CCCCCCCCCCCCCCCCCCCCCGGAAGTGTTCTTATGTTTGTTTGGGTTGATTGATTGCTGACGAGAAATCCCATGTGGGACGATGCAGTCACGTTGTCTACGGGCAGAAGCCGCTTGAGAAGTGATTGGAGCTTTGACAGTTCCCACTTCTGGTAGCGTGAGAGGGCGTTATTGCTAGGTAGACAGGCACGGCACATGATGATAATAGAAGTCATGCATCAGGCAGTGAAAGTCTTTGCGGGTCTGGTCTTCGAATCATTTGTCCGTTTTGCGTGCCCTTTTCGTGCCCTTTTCCCAGCTATTTGCCTTGTGAATAATGTAGTCTGCATGCAATCTTAGTGACACTGTTCTGATCACACTCTTGTTGCCGATGCACGGGAGAAATTGCCGGTATTTTGCCCGCCCGTAGTCCTCACTTCAAGCGATGCGATGGCACTATTTTCGAGACAGCCAGCTTCGTCACCAACAAGCTTTAGAGTACTTGTGATGGGCAGAGCAGGGAGTAGTGCATGTGACACAAGAGGACTGAAGAACGAAGAAACAAAGAGCCAGATGTGGCCCGGAGACTGCGGAGATTTGTTGGCTGCTTTAAAAATGGCTCTCGAGGTTGTGAGCATCTGCGGTGGCAAGGCTCCCTGGATCTAGCCAACATCTTCAGCCAGCTCTGGTCCTCCGCTGGTCGCGAGTTGAATGATCCCGTCACCAAGTCATCAGGAAATAGTTCCCGAATTATCCGCGCAGTTGAATACCTTCGTAATGAGGCCGGATCGGAACGCATCGCGAATCGAGACCGCTACGCCGTATCTAGCACCGAAGTTAGCCACAAGTATCCGAACGCGTTCATCGTCTGCACTTACGTTCCGGCAACAACCATAAATAGACCTAGCACCACGATGAGCACATGGGCCCAGAACATCGCCTTTTGCTTGCCAGATCCTTGTCTGAACGCCCTGAAGTCGTACATCCACAGCACGGCCGGGAAGACGAGGCTGAAGGGCGCGAAGCATAGTGAGCCGGCCAGTCCTAATAGGTAATTGAGGATGGGCACGGCTTCAGCTATAATGAAGCCCAATGCGCCAAGGACCAGGTTGGAGCCCAGCCAGGTGGTCCAATGCACGACGGTGTTCTCCTGCAGGTGACGCGTATCGCGTAGGACACGGACGAAGAGGTACTTGGCGGCGACATGCTGGTAGATACCTACACCAATGACCAAGCCCGGGAGGGCGACACCGTAGCAGATCTTCTTGAAGAGAACGCCAGCGCTACCGAAGGCGGGTGTAGCGATCCAGATACCGCACCAGTGAAAGATGACGAGAGAAAAAGTGAGATACATGGCACCGTTCATGACACCGGTAATGATGGCAGCTTTACGGTAGTCACTGGGCTTGCGCATCTCGGAGACCACAGGCAGGTACATGGATGAGCCACTTCCGCAGAGGAAGATGTTGGCGCTGGCTGTCATGCCGACAACGAATGTGGGGTACGCAATGGCAGTCCATCCGAGATCGAAGTCGCCAGTGGGTGGCGCAGCAGCAGGACGGTCTTGCTGCGTGACGGCCACAACAAATATAAAGACGGCGATGAAGAAGGTGACGAAGCCAAACCAGGTGAGCCAGCCTAGACGAGAGAAGGTGCGTACGGATGAGAAACCGGTAATGAGACATGCGGAAACGAAGCTGAAGACGACTGTGCAAGCTCCATGTTCGGATAGAGCATTGAAGGCGGTGGAGCAGGAGACAATGCCCGCGGCTGTAATGAGCACTTGAGCGACGAGGATCTGAACACCGACCAGCTCTCTCCCTATACGGCCCCATGGAAGGCCACACATATCGGCCAAGGTATGGCACTCGGGGTGACGGTTGCGGAAGTCACCGAGGATGACAGAAGTGTAGGTGTTGAGAGCCTGCCAACCGACGATGGAGAGTGCACCTCCCACGGCACCGAGAGTGGCGAGGGCACCGGGAACACTGAGAATGCTCATGGCAAACTGGATCTTGAGGAAGATGATGGTGGCACGCTGCCAGCTGACGGTACGAAACTCGACTCCATCGACGCCCTTTTGAAAGATCTCACGTTGTTCAAGGATGTCCGTTTTGTCCAGCCCTGGATCACTGTCCATTCGAGTGGGCTCGATGGCATCGCTAGCTAGGGCTGCGCCAGTCTTCTCTGCGTCCTGGTGGAACTGAGTCATCTTGCCGTTCCGAGAGCGTATGCTGGAGGACACGAAACGATCTTTTCAGAGATCGCATAGGAGCTCCATAGATATAGCAGACAGGTACGATAGCCGTTATCTGTAGCTATCGAGGTCTAGGCCGGTCTCGGAGATGTGCTCTTGCATAATTAGCGATACCCGAGGCGTTGCTTGAATGATTTATCGTCTATGCTTGAACTTGGGAAACGGCTGTGGGATAAGTACCGGCCCGCGTCCGTGGCTTACCGACTCCTCCTCGAACGCCTCCTGGGTTGGGTTTGTGCAGGGGGTGGTGCGGGGAATCGGGGATTATTTGCCTTATTGAGCACAGCCTTGGTGTTGGTCAAGAGGAACAAAGTCCCTGATATTTGATTCCGCACGGGGGGCATTTTAGCCTCGCTTATGGGCTAGGTGCGACCCGGAGAAAGTGGAGTTTAGGCAAGCACCGCCTGGAACTTTACGCGCTTGTTTTAATGACCCAAATACACTCATTGGCGCAGTAGGACTTTGGCCTTGCATCCTCCACCTCTTTGCTCACAATGACTGACCGCCTCTTTGGTGAGGTGTCTTCCCGGTTGACAATTTCCAGAGGATGGCCAAACGATGGCGCCTGTTGTAATCAGGCCATTCACGAAACGCACGATTTGCCAAACTTGAATGGCGCTGGAGGCCTGTTTCTTGCAGTGACAACATCATGTTGAGCCTCACATCTGACCGTATCCTCAATCTCTTGTGTTACAATTATACTGGTTACCACGGCTACAATGCCGCTCAGGGAGCAACCGGCCGCCGTCGATCAGCTTTGTGCTGCATGCTCGAATATCATAGAGTCGCTGCCTGAAATCGCCGGAGACAAGATCGAACGAGGCATTCATGCAGGTGAGCGTGGTAGAATACACCATGACGACTTCAGCCACGTCCTCTCTGCGGCTAGACATGGTTGCTATCTCTGCCTTTCACTTATCCTGGAGTCGGAAACCTACGATGGCGAAAGCGCTGAATTGTTCGGAGTGTATACCATTGCTGTGGCGTATCAAGAGCTGGGTATTTTCGGACCGCGAGCTTCGTTCAACCTGTTTTTATGCATCCCCAAACGCGGTTCTGGCATCGACAACCATTTGGAGGTGAAGTTTGCCGTTTCTGCTACCGAATCAGGTATGGTTACGCTCCCAAACCCATGTACCTGGGGCCACATATTAGACTGATTGCTTGTCGCTAATGTCGGAAGAAGACCCATCCCGGGCGAGAGCTGTCGTTATTGCTGCAGCGGGATCAACGAATGACGACAGCAACATATCCTTCGCCGGGTCATGGCTCAGCAAATGTCTAACCACACACCCAGCATGCAACGCCATCTCCACCCACAACCACTGGTATCCATCTCGGCTCCTCCGGCTGGACCGCGCTCGAATGGGAATAAGTATTCGGTTACAAGACTGCAAAGTTGAGGTGCCGACGGGTCCTTACATCTCCCTGAGCCACCGATGGGGTCAAGCCAACTTTATGACTCTCAATGTGAAGAATATCGACACTTTGAAAATCAACATAGCGTTATGTGATCTGTCAAAGACTTTCCAGGATGCAGTCCACGCCACCCTGAGCCTTGGATACAACTACCTTTGGGTCGACTCACTGTGTATCATCCAGGACTCGGAAGATGATTGGTTGAACGAGGCATCAACCATGGACAAGGTCTATCAGAATGCCCTCTTTACCATCTCAGCAACCAACGCAAGGTCTCTGACCGATGGACTCGGATCTATGCGTTATACCGATCATGTCAGCTGTTTGTATCGAGACGTTCGCTTTGACTCTGGGTCGCAAGCGACAAAGCGAGCACAGATCCTCCATACAGGTCTCTGGGAGGGTCTTGTTTTACACACACCCCTGAATTATAGGGCATGGATCCTTCAAGAACGACTGCTATCCCCACGTATCCTTCACTTCGGATTATTTCAGCTTGCATGGGAGTGTAGCGAATTAGAAGCCTGCCAAACATATCCAGATGGGATCCTGCCTGAAATGAGAGATTCATGGACGTTGGGTGGTGCTTCAAGGCTGGCGTTGCTGCCCCGTCGGCTATCTGACCATCCTCCCGCGAAGGATGAAATCACATATGACTGGCATCACGCATGGCACTCGATCGTGGAACGGTATACACAATGTCGCCTGATAAAGCCCAGTGATATGTTTATCGCACTCTCAGGTATTGCAAGTAATATTCGAGTACAGATCCAAGACACATACCTAGCTGGCTTATGGAAGAGCAGCTTCGTGGAAGATCTTGGTTGGCAGTCTACCATACCCGCAGGAGGCCACCGGCCGGAGGCTTACTACGCCCCGTCGTGGTCGTGGGCAGCGATTGACCGCCCTGTGAGTTACCGAAGTCGTCAGGAAGGTATCAGACATGCCGCCGAACTGATCGATTATAACATAACTCTGCTCGACGAGAACAACCCTACTGGCCCTGTACGGGGTGCCAGTGCCACCCTCAAAGGAAAGTTAATAGAATTCCAATGGGACCCACGTGACCGGGAGGCAGATGGCGCCTCTACACATCCCTGGAAGGGGCCCATGAGACTGGCGGTGTCCGCCGAAGGCTTGATTGGGGACGAAACAATGTACTTTGGCGCTAATGAGATCCAGGAGGATTGTACTGCCGATATTTTGCAGAAGGCTCACGGTCTCGTGCTCCGCCAGGAAGGTCAAGAGTTCACCGGTGCGAGACTGGACGGTATATTACTCGATCAGGTGAGCGAGGCTCTCCGACCCACCTCAACTCGCAGGATCTCTCGCAGGATCGGCCATTTCAGTGTCAGTGGGGAGAGATGTGGCACAATAATGGAGTGGAGTCGAGATGCCACTGTCACGCTGATCTAGCAGCACTCGGCCCGCAGGTTGGCCAGATCTTGGAGAAGAAGCGAATCTCACCCGGCACTCTTTCCAAAAAGAACTTGAATGCCCCCAAAGTTACTATCTTATGTTTGCAAAAGGGTGACGCTGAGCGCCGACGCATTGGGGTGATGTGGTTCTCCCGGCTATCAATCGTCTGTCCAGTCATTTGAATGTATTCCGTTTGCAAAGTCACCAGCAGGCTCTATGTTCGTTAGCACATGGCCAGTCTGTAGGGGCTCTCAGCTCAGAAGTACAATTCCGGCTATGCAGCCTGTACAATCAATGAGTTCCTCCAGCGTGTCACAGAGGATTACCATGATCGATATTCGACAGGGCCGCGGTTGCTCAGCCACATGATCGACAACTGCCTTGACGTATGCTTGGCGCGTGGACGAACCTTGTGACCAGCGGTGACGTATGATGCTGCCAAATTATCAACCTGTTTTCCTTCATGAAAGCTCATTCTGTGATCAATGCTAGAGCTATAGCACTTGTTCAATGCTGAGGAGAAGAGGTGGACCTATTGACTAGCTCTAGTATTCGAGATGCCGCCTAAAAAGATTGCGCCGAAGACGTCACAGGCGACGCAGAAGCCACAGCCGGCGCCACAACAGACGCAGCCGACGCCACAACAAACACGGCAGAAGCCACAGTCGGCGCCACAGAAGCATCAGCAGAAGCCTCAGCAAACGCAGAAGCCCGCACCGATCCAGAAGACACAGCAGCAGAGTGCTCCGAAACAGCAAAGTCAAGCTGCCTCCAAACCCAAACCTAAGAGCAACAATGCAGCTGATACCGCTAGCAGCCAGCCAGCAATTCCAGAGCATGAAGTTAAGCAAAGCTCGTCGATGAGTGCCCAGTTGGCGCTCGAAGCAGCAAAGAAAGCTTATGACCTTCGTCAAGCAGCATACGGCGCTGGCGATCCAAATGCCCGCGAAGAAATACTGGCCAAAGCTGTCAATAAAGAGATCGAAGCCGAATCCTTTGGCAAGGCCGCCAAGTACACCCGCTCCGGGGCATTCCAGGGACTAGCGGCCGGTGCCGGTGTGGGGGTTCAACCAGGCGCGACCATTGGTAAGTTGACTGGGGCCTTAGTTGGTGGGGTTGTGTCTACCTTGGGTGGCGTATTAGGCGGCGGCATTGGATCTGCGTATGGCGCGATGAGTGGCCCGTTCTGGGATCTGGGCCAAATGGCAAGTCAGGGCGTGAGGAGTATCACTGGCGATTGGCCGAATTGGGAAGCTACGTCAAGTCAGAAAAAGTCGCTAGAAAAGATGGTCATCGGGGCCCAACAGACCAAGCCACCCACTGAACAAGAGTTGCAACAGATGAAGGACGACAACGGAGGTGGCACTTCGCAGGACCAACAGCAGTTCTACCAGGACCTGACGAGCTATATCCCGAACATGCCCTCGATGCCGTCGATGCCGAGTATGCCCAGCATGCCCAATATGTCCAGCATGCCTTCGATGCCTTCGATACCAGGCTTCGGAGGAGGTTCGAAAAGGGCCAATCAAGCGCCTGGTCCAGCTTCAAATCAGAGTCAGCAACCACAACCAAAGCCCCAACCGTCTACTCAAGCACCGAACCAAGTCCAGCAACAACAGGCACCACCGAAGCCTCCAGCTACTGCTCCAGCGCCTCCCAAGCCGCAAACTAGATCTGCTGTGCCTCAAAAGCCCCAGGCTACTCCTCCGGCTTCGTCGAAGCCACAAGCTGCCCATCCACAGGCTGCTGCCAGTCCTACAAAGCAGCAACCCCCTGAAAAGCCGGCTGAGGGCGCGGCGAAAAGGAAGCCGAAAAAGCTGGAATCTAGGTCAACCAGCAGTACACCTTCCCAGTCCAATCCTCCCGCCGCACGAAAGGCACCACCAAAACTGGGCAAACGTGGCCCTCAGACTGCGGCAGCCAGCGCGTAATCGACAGAACAACCCCGAAGTGAAAGCACCAAGTGTGCGACGATGCTATATGACACGATCCTGAATTTGTCCTCACTCTAGCGCGTTTGGCGTGTCAATCTATCTAGCTACGTTGAGCATTAAAATACCCTGCGGGAAGGTGCTGACGAACTCTCGTGCCTAGAGGGTCAGCACCTAAGGGACCTTCTCCGCTCTAACGTCGCAGAACTGTTCTGGCGGCCCCCAGCGCCTTCGTAACTTTCAATTACGGGGGGATACCCCCCGTGCCCCCAAGGCTAGGGGGCACGCCCCCTAGAACCCCCTTGGGTCACGTGACGAGTGTTTTTTCAGCGAATCAGAAGACCTACACGTGACGACTTTTGACCAATCAGAAGCCAGAGATCTGCCCCAGTCAGCGTGCAGGATTCAAGTCCTTGGCGCAGAAAACCCAATATATCCCTGCTCCGCTATCGCTTCGCAGGAATATTCATGTACTGTTTGAGTCTTAACTTGCCCCATAACAAAGCGCGTATCTTTCATCAGGCGTGGTCTCAAGCCTTCAAGGCCAACCTGTCTCGTGCAAAGGATAGCATTCTCGCCCAAGGTGTGCCCCTGTTGCACAGAGCCTCACAATGAGCCCAATCCGAAGAAGTATCGCCCAAAGCGGCTAGCGCGCAATAGCACCACGAGCAAGTCGACGGGACAATTTCATCAACTTTCCTCTGTTTACCTTCCTCCGTTCCCAGGCCTATCAATGCGTATGGACCTTGATGCCTCTTACCATACCAATTCCGCAAGTGCTTTTCGCCGCAACAATGCTGATGTCCACCGTCGGGACCTACGTGGCTCTCTCACCTCCAAATACTAGTGGCCCTAGCTCCAAGCCACCTTCTTCAGACAACGACGACCTCATCCGCCGACTGAACCTCACCAACAAGCACAGCACCAAGATTGCTCTGGCTCCGTTGGGTCTCGTGGCGCTGCACACCTCAGGCCTGGCGCTCCTGCACCCACACCCACCACCTTTCCTCCTGCGCCACGGCATCGACAACAGTCTCAGTCCAGACCTCATCGCCTGGTCGACCGCCACGGCCGTCCCACTGTCACTGATTCTCTGCGTCGGCATACCCCTGCGCTTGATCCCATACGCCGCGCTGGCCAAGGACTTTACCTTCGCTCTCACAAAGCCCACGCGCCTGAATACGAGCGGCATCTACTCCTTCGTGCAGCACCCCAGCTACGTGGGTATTCTGGTGTTGGTGGCGAGCAACGTGGCGCTGTTCGGCCGCCCAGATGGCGTGTTTGCCTGCTGGATTCCTCCGTCATGGTACCCCGTAGCACGACAGTCAATCTGGCTGTTGGAGGTTGCGAGCTTGGCACTGATGCTGCTGGTGATTCGGACACGAGTCCAGCAGGAGGAGAGGATGTTGAAGAAGGAGTTTGGCGAGAAATGGGAGAGGTGGCATGCCAGAACGGCGAGGTTCATTCCTTGGGTCTTCTGAAGCCGTTGGGTGCGGTACGTGGCTATCGACTTGTGGCAGCCGGGGTCCCAGCTCCGCCAGCTTTTCCCGCTCCATTGCGATAATATCCGCCAACACGATGGGCCCTGTGACTGAGTCTAATTGTTTGCTCAGCCACCGAATCCGCTCCAGAGAAAGGAGATAACCGCCAGCTTCTACTCCATGAAGCCTGCTAGCCTATATTTCGACTGCCTGTGGGGTGGCCCCTGCTCCTCACGCTTTCTGAAATGGTCTTATCCAGCTGGCGTCTCCGGTACATCCTGATCAAGGGTGAGACTTTCCCACATGCTACGGAACGCTTGGCGTGGCCGCTGCCGTTTTCATGCGCAACTCCCCCACTGTCGCCACGAAAAGATCCCTCCTGTTCGCCCACTCTTTGTTTCGTACATTCTCGACCTGCCTGATGCAGCCACGAAGCCGAAAGAGAGCTCCAACTGTGTACTTGTGGGCCTCAAAACCCTCCACACTTCCGGGCGCCTCGAAGCTGGGCAGCTCCGTTCTTGGCAGTGATCCGAAGCAATCAGGGACCGCCGTGAGGCTGAAAGACTTGTGATGCTACTGCCAATCACCAAATGCCAATATCGCTTACGGCGATCATCACGAAGAAACCACGGGAAGCTTTCCATATGCATGAGAAGCTCCACTTCATTTTCCCACGGTTCTAAACATACAATACCAAGCCCTGCCTTGACGAATCTCACGTCTTTGCATAAGCTACATCGACCTCGCCTGCCAATTCAGGATGCAAGCAGTCCTGGGCATCAACAGCATGCATGCGGACAGTGTGAGTCCTGAAGGTGGTGTGATTGTGGTACGTGGATTGGGAGCAGCTACATTACGTCCTGCAGAGGACTCTCATCCCCTCTCCATCATCATCACCTCACTACCAGAACTATGCGCTGTATTTTGGTAACTGCAGTGATAGCGGTGGTGGCACGGGCTGCATGCCCTTACATGGGTGTCGGGTCTGCTGCATTCTCGAGCCCGTCCATCTCCCACGAGAAACGTCAAGAATCGCAGACTGCACCTGAATCGACGGAGGAATTCCTGACGCAATTCATCAATGACGACAATGACACATTTATGACGAGCGATACTGGCACGCCGATAGAAGACCAGGGCACTCTCAGGGCTGGTGAACGAGGTCCGAGCTTGTTGGAGGATTTCATCTTCCGACAGAAGATCATGCGCTTCGATCATGAGAGGGTACTGGCCCCACCCAAGCTTCTGCACCGTACTGACGAAGTCTAGGTTGCTGAACGTGCAGTTCATGCACGAGGTGCCGCCGCTCATGGCTACTTTGAGAGTTATGGCGATTGGTCGAATCTGACAGCTGCTTCCTTCCTCGCAGATGCGGGCAAGAGAACGCCTGTCTTCCTGAGATTCTCGACTGTGGCTGGAAGTAGAGGAAGCGCGGACACTGTGCGAGACGTCCATGGGTATGCAGCGAGGTTCTACACTGACGAGGGAAACTTCGGTGAGCTTCAACTCAAGGTGATTTTATTTTGGCTGACTGATTTCGAGACATCGTTGGAAACAACATCCCGGTCTTCTTCATTCAAGATGCTATACGCTTTCCCGACCTCATCCATGCCGTGAAGCCCGAACCAGATAGGGAAATCCCACAAGCGGCGACCGGTCACGATACAGCTTGGGACTTCTTCAGCCAGCAGCCAAGCACTCTGCATACACTCTTCTGGGCCATGTCCGGCTGGGGGATACCCAGATCATACCGACATACCGACGGTTTTGGCGTCCACTCCTTCCGTATGGTAACTGACGAAGGAGAAAGCAAGCTGGTCAAGTTTCACTTTAAGTCCTTGCAAGGTCGGGCCAGCTTGGTTTGGGAAGAGGCGCAGATACTGTCGGCAATCAACCCAGACTACCACCGGCAAGATCTCTGGACTTCGATTGAGAATGGTCACTTTCCAGAGTGGGAATTCGGTGTACAGGTTGTTGATGAGAGCGATGCCCTGGCTTATGGTTTCGACATGTTGGATCCAACAAAGATCCTCCCAGAAGACCTAGTGCCCGTCCAGCCTTTGGGGAGACTAGTTCTAAACCGAAACCCAACCAACTACTTTGCAGAGACCGAGCAAGTCATGGTAAGATTTCCATTCTGTCTCATCTACAGCACTGAACGTGGACAGTACCAAGTTGGCCACCTCGTCCGCGGCATCGACTTCTCCGAAGATCCCCTTCTCCAAGGCCGACCCTTCTCCTATCTCGACACCCAGCTCAGCCGGCATAACGGCCCTAACTTCGAGCAACTCCCCATCAACCGTCCTCACAGCCCCGTCAGCAACAACCACCGCGATGGCCCAGCCCAGATGGAGATCCACACCAACAAGCACGCCTACACGCCCAGCTCTCTTAACGCCAGCCCGAGACAAGCAACCCGCAACCAAGGCCGCGGCTTCTTCTCCTCACCCGCACGCACACTCTCCGACCAACTAACGCGCAATCTCTCCACTACCTTTGAGGACGTTTGGTCCCAGCCCCGCCTCTTCTACAACTCCCTCGCCCCCGCCGAGCGCCAAATGGTCATCAACGCAATCCGCTTCGAGACCTCCCAGCTCAGCGCACCCATCCAAGCCAACGTTCTCGTGCAGCTCAACCGCATCAGCCACGACATCGTCACCCTCGTCGCGCAAGCCCTGGACGTCGAGGCACCGCCGCCCGACGATACCTTCTACCACACCAACACAACCATCAACGTCCGCACCTTCGACACCGCCACGCCACTGTGGCGCCTCGACTCCCTCACCGTCGCCATCCTCGCCTCCGCGACCGACGAAGCCGGCCTCGCCGCCGCCAGGAATCTAGCCGAGCAACTCGCCGCGCAGCTCAACGTGACCGTTGACATCGTTGCGGAGCGCCTCCTCGAAGGCGTCGACGGCACATACGCTTCCGCCAACGCCGCAGCGTATGACGCCGTCGTGCTCTCGGCGGGCGCGGCTCGCGCGCTCGTCATGAAGGGCGGCAATGGGACGGCGGCGTCAAGTCTCTTCCCCGCGCACCGCCCGCGGCGTATCGTCGCGGATGCGTATCGGTATGGCAAGCCGGTGGCTATCTTTGGCGATTTCCAAGGCGGAGAAGAAGAAGTTGGTGCTGTGTGGGACGCAGTCGATGTGCAGGCTGGACCGGGCGTTCTGGTCGCTGGAAGCAGTGAGGTGGGGGAGTTGGTGGGGGAGCTGGAGGGGGCGTTGCGGACGTGGAGGTTCGTGGGGAGGTTTGCCGTTGATGACGGCGTTGGTGATGCGTGAGGGAAGGTGGGGGAGTGAGAGGAGAGGAAATTTCAATGTTGATTGCGATGCGGCTTGAGTATTTTCTATAGTATCCCCATATCAATCACCATAATGAAGACCTAGGTATGATGCAGCACGCGGCACTCAGCACTCAGTCACTGCGTACGTAGACCGGCGCAGTGATCGCCACGGCCATCCTCGATAGCTGGGCTTGCTACTGGCTTGGTGCCGACTCTCCCTTCGCAAAACCTCTAGTCCGTCATGTTGGATGTCAACCCCCAGCCTCCTTCTTCGCCTCTCTAGGTATATAGCTCGGGGCTTGCCCCTAACGCTGTCAAGCTCTTCACGGGCTTTCCGTCACCTTCACGACACATCGCGCCCGCTCGTCCAGCTATGTCCGACAGGCCCATGCGCCTGTCGAGCCCTTCCTCGGGGTATTGTAAAACCGCGTTCTCGCCGTTTCCTGACACCTATAAATTCCTTTGCATCCTGCCCCGTCTCATTTTATGTTGCAAATTGTCCAATGCTCGTTCTGTTTCAGGGCCGTTTCCAGTATCAGACGCCCGGTTCTCGCTCGCAAGAGGCAGAAGGGCGCGTATTGGGCCTCTCGACTGCTGCGGACCTCTTGAGTGCGCGCTTCCATTCTTCGCACCGGCGCCAGATCGCAACAGCGCCTAGCCAGCTCGCTCTCACGTGAGGGTAGAGACGCAATTGTTCAACAACCTGGCTAGCATATGGTGAGACATATCGCTGTCCACATACTCACACCACGGACCATCCAACAGGGCAAGGGCCATGACTCCTCAGAGTAGTGGACTGGGAGTAGGACCGGTGGGCTTTGCCCAACGGCGGTGTGTTTGCTTGTGCAAAACGGGTTTCTCACTGAAATGTAATCGCAAGCCGTTGGGGGCTCCCTTGTGTAGGATAGTAAGGTCGATGCACCGGAGACTTCCCTGTACTGTCTGGACGAGGTTTGAGGCGGGGTGGGCCGAGGGGACGCTCGTTGACGAATGGACCGTTGCCTGAGGACGGTGAGGGACTGGAGAGGAGAAAATAGGGGCTGTGTATCGTTTATTGTGGGGATGCTCGTTGACAACAAGCACTCGTACCCGTCGTCTGGCTGACGAAGGAGGCAGTGGCTTGCGAGTTTCGTGGCAGAAATCCATCGGAGGATTGATGTGATTGTAAGGCCGGTTGGTGCCACTTGAGGACGACGCGCCACACCTGATCCAAAGTAGTGCGCAGACTCAGACCATGGAGTGGAGGTCCCCGACTTCTTGCTTGCCAGGTGTCCAGCAGAGTGAAGCAGCCACATCACGCCCTCGTCGCAACCACAAACAGCCTCGGATACCTCAAAATCACCCTTCCATCCACACTTCTCGGATACAGCTGCCGCAGCTTCCCCAAATACACCTCCAAGAACTCTCGCCTCTGCCCCTCCGACAACGGATCGATGAACGGCCGCAACCCCGTGCCCTTCACCCACTCCACCACCGCTCCATGATCCTGCAGGACGTGGTAGTAGTGCGAATGCCACAGATCGACGTGCGCGCACAGGGGTTTCAGCGCGTCGTACAACACCTGCGGCGACGGCATGAGGCCGCGCGCGGGCTGCAGCGGACGCAGAGTCGCGGCCCAGGGTCCCGTTTCCGCGGTCTCGCGCATGGCGGCATGGGAAGGCTCGTGGAAGTTGTCGGGGACTTGGAGGGCGAAGACGGCGCCGGGCGCTTGGGATTGGAGCAGGCGTTTGATGGTTGGGATGCGGTCTGATTCGGGGAGCCATTGGAAGACAGCGTTGGAGAAGAAGAGGTCGACGGCGTCGGTGGGGTGGTAGGTTGTGAGGTCGGCTTGATGGAAGGGGATGCTCGGGAGGGTGGCGCGCGCTTTGTTTAGCATGTCGGGGGAGGAATCGATGCCGGACAGGGTGGCGGCGGGATAGCGGTCGCGGAGGATGGCGGTTGAGTTGCCGGGTCCGCAACCGAGGTCGACTACGCGATGAGGGTTGTCCAGGGGGACTTGGGCGAGGAGATCGCGAGACGGGCGGGAGCGCTCTTTCTCGAATTTGAGGTATAGGGATGCGGACCAGTCTTTGGCGCTGGTGGAGTGGTTCATAGTCACATTTGCTGTCCGACAATGACGTGCGTAGCGCCTGACCGATCTGGAGGCTTGCATTTTCGTAGTACACCGTAGAAAGCGAAGCAAGCTGTGAGGTCGATGAAGCACCTTTGACGCCCTGGAGGCACCGGGGATATGCCGCGGCGGAGCGGCGACGGAGCTACCTTTGCCCGCGCCAAGAAATTCACTGCCTGACGACTGCATTCTAGCAGGACATCGAGCCAAATGCCCTGGACAACGCGAAAAGCTGAAGATTTTGGAGTTGCAAAGAAGATTTGAGCCCCTATGAGAATGTTAAATAGTTGTGTCTCAAGTTGTAGACACCCTCCACCGCAGGACATGCCTGGCCGCCGTCGGGTAGCAGCATGTAGATCAGCAACTAGGATATCATTGCAATGCCATTGCTTGACGCTGGCCCGAATAGCAAGTGTGACTTGTATCATTCAAAACACGTTAACATGACAGGGGTATCTATATGGTATACATCACATTTTGCGGTACGCTCGAGCCATCGTCGCCAAAAGTCCCCCGCCACCGTTACCGCTATTATTGCTGCTACTCGTGTTTCTACGCTCGGCAGGCCTCTCAAACTGTATATCCGACTCTGCAATGCGATGTGCTGTTGCTGACGTTGTGGCTGAAGTTACACTTGTGCTGGTCGGACGGCGCTGGTTAGAGGCGGGGTATTGTAGTGGCCTGGCGTTGACCGCTTGCCTATTGGACGGACTCGAAGTCGCTGAAGTTGGAGATGGTACACCCCTGCTGGAAGGGAAGCTGTCGCGAATCGGTATCGCACGCGGTTGAAGCGTTGGACTCGTGGTCGAGGAGAGCGTTGTCTGTGTTGGGGTCCGTTCGGATCGTGGACTAAACGCGGATGACATGAAGGACGACCGACTTCTTGGCGAGATGGTGGTATTCGAGTTCACTTCATGATCAGCACTGCTGTTCGATGAGGCCGATCGTCCGCCACTGACATTTGTTCCATAGCTCCCAGACATCGAGGTCGAACCACTGACGTTGTGACTGCCACGTATCGGACGGGAGTCCGTGGCATGCGCAACGTCGTCCGAGAAGCTGGACCATTCGGGCACCTCGAGGTGAGGTGGCAGAGTCTGAACGCTGTTCATAGCTGGGAGCGAGCCTGCTATCGAATTCCTTCGCGAAACGTTCTGTAAGAGATACTGATCTCTTCGCAAAGGCTTGTTGGAGTTGTAAATCAGGATATCCGTAATCGTGTCTGCGTTCTCCCTTTGCTTCTCTCGTACTGCGAAACGATACTTCAGGCCACGATCGAACCTTTGCTTGGCTTCTAGGTTCGAGAACTTCAACACAACATGTTCTGTGTGCCTCAACTTTATGTCCTTGTAGTCGGGTCGTCGTGGTAGTCGGAACGGGAGCACATCGAAAGTATTGGGATTGGGCTTGCCTGAATCGTCCAGTTCAGAGACAGCAATCCGCACAGGCAGTCGGCCCTTCTTTCCACCAGAGATGACAAGCTTGGAGCAGGAATAGTAGTCGTCTTTGCAAGAACACGCGTTACGATCGATCTCGATACCTTCCACAAGTTCAATATATACGACGGCGAAGCGGTTGATGTTCTTGCCGTGTTCTAGTTGTGTGAACAAGACAAGAGCAGGAAGCTTGATATTCTCGGCGATCCATCCATCGGCTGTGTATGTGAATGTATTGGTGTGAGCCACGGACGGGGCGAAACTGGGCTGTCGAGAGCGTGAGATGGACGCGCCTTTGTCGCTATTGCTTCTTGCAGATGGTATGCCAGGTGCAATGGCACCTGGCTGCGAGCTGAACACAATTGGATCTTGCCAAAGCTGAGCTCTGCCGTTACACACAAATGAGTCCAGACTTCGACCGAATTGACAAAGGACGTCAGGTTGATCGTGGGACACATCATAGCCGGTGAGCGCAGCCTGGAATCTCCATAGGTCCTCCTCACTCTTGAAATGGTAGAAGGTAAGCTCGTTCCGTGAAAAAATCGCAACTTCTGGACTGGAAGAGGGAAGCGTGGGTAAAGTATAACGAGGTATGAGCGTATCCTCTCTGGTATATACTTGCTGTGTGGTGATGACCCGCTGCCCTGTAGCAGTCGATGTTTCTTTTGTGATCCGGAAGTTGTCATCGCTGTGTTTGAACACGGTCACAAAGTGCGTGGCTTGACCCTCGTCCGCGGCCAGTTCTATCCGGGCAACTTCCTGCTCATTGGCGCGGACAGACAAAGGATGTGGTTCAGGGAGGATGGTAGATGCTCTCGGGGTTGGTGGAGGCCATATTTCGAACCATTTCTCAGGCAAAGAGAGTAGTACCCTTTCATCAAACGCCTTCACATGCCCTGAGCGGATTCTCAGTCTGATGCCTTGATCGACTTGATTGATAGCACGCCTGTAATAGAAGCCTGGCCGAGCCCTCAGGTATTCTTCGCTCTGTTTGATGCGAGAGATCAACCACCGGCTTTTGAGCAGAAGAAGGTATTTGTGTGGGGTCTGGGTCAGACTTTCAACGCTGTCTTCGAAACAAGAGTACAACGCATCGAAAGCTTCGATAAGTGGAAGGCCGGATGAGAGGTTAGTCGGTGTGTTGATGAATAGAGCTGCTTCAAAACGGCGCTCAACGTCGGGAGTTGCGTGGTGCACATCTTCCGTAGGTTGGTCACCGGTAGCACTACCCCGCCCGATAAGCACCTGTCGAAGACGTCGGAGTTCATCGTAAATGTCTTGAGAGACGGCCAGATTCTCCTCTGTGATCCCAAGAAGATCATCCAGTTTTGAATCCATGCTAGTCAGCAGATTCAGAGACAATCGATCGATAACAAGTCGAATCTTGTCACAATGGAATCTGAGCCGACGGCGCAAGTTGTCTATTCGCGTTTCTTGTTGCTTGAGGTGCCTAGATGTCTGATCTTAGCACTGGACGCACCGTAACACTGGAAGTCATTGCTTACCACATAAGGCTCTCGAGGACCGTAGCATAGCGCTCTCTATACTTCCTGTTCTCACCCAGTAGTGCTTCGCACGCGCGCAAGGTGTCTTGAAAGTTTCCGATCAAAGCAATGCGTTCGGCGTCAAAGTCGGGAGCCATGGGGTCGTAGGCCCCTTGTGCTCGTGCGAACATGCCGCCATCGATGAAGCGGCGTTGAGCATCTCGAAGCGAACGATCGAGTCTTTCGAGAAGAAGACTGAAGTTGAGGATGTCGTTTTGGAATTCTTGATATCGTACATCTGGAGGAGGGTGGTCAGCAGGTGAGGTCGACTCTGGCTTCGCCGAGGGTAAGGTATATCACCAGTCTCATCAATCGTGACTTACCAGCAGCATTTTCTTCAGTGAATCCATACTCGTAGATTGTAAGTGCTATGCGAATGCCAGCTATTATGTCTCCAGCTCCGCAATCAAAGGCCATCACCACGATGCTATCGCTCGGAGGTGGTTGACGAGGGGCGTGCCAAGGCCGGGAAGAAGCGGGGTGGAAAACGCGCTCGGAGCCTCAAGCTCCAAGGGGCGCCAGAGCCAGGTCAGAACACTCTACCACCTCAGCCGCAACCGGAGCTTGTATCTTGCTTTCTGAGTCAGCCCGATCAGAGGGGCGGAAAACACGTACAGATGCAATGATGGAAGAACGATGCAACGTGGGCTCCATCCATCTACAAATGTTGAGCGGTAGCCCAGCCAGCGGGCGTACTTCTTGAGGCTGTGTGAGTGCTCGGGCACTGTCAAGAACGCCAGTGTCGCTTATCGCGGAACGCTACTGGTACTTCACCTTTGTGGCTGTCTTTTTCGCGTCCGTTTCGCTTGGGCAATGCCCCAAATTTAATTGCGAACCACTAACAGCACACTCCGAGCCAATCACCTCAAGCACGGAATTGGGCAAGTCTTGTCCTCCTTGCGTCGGGCTAGTCGCCTTCTGCTTAAATGTCCTTCTAGGCTCGGTAGTCGCGTGGCAAGGCGGTTTCGAGACAGACTAGCACCTATTGAAAGCATGCTTGTACACTCACGCCGCGCCGGGGACACGAGGCGCACCAGGTGACCTGTTGGTCTGGCATTTATTTCCCTCGCCGCCATGCGTCAACGAGCCAGCCTACCTCATTGCCTACAATGGCACTCAATGCGAATGAGATAGCACTCTTGGGCCAGCCTGCCATCGATGCCATTGAATATGGCCATCAACGTGTGGATTATGCCCCCTCGGAAGCCAGGAAGATCGGAAAGTACACCATTGTCGCCCTCATTCTCAATCGAATCATCGGCTCCGGCATCTTTTTGACCCCCCACAGAGTCCTCGCTGGAACTGGCTGTGTCGGAGGTGCTCTCTTTCTGTGGGTTGTCGGAGCCCTTCTGTCGCTATGTGGCCTCTACGTCTGGCTCGAGTGTGGCCTCTCCATGCCACAGCGGAAGATCAGCGGCGAGACCGAACCTCGAGGAGTTCCCAGGTCTGGCGGAGAAAAGAACTTCCTCGAATTCATGTTCCCCAACACTAATCTCCGCCTGCCTCACATCAGAACGACGTGTTCGTTCTCCATCATGTTCATTCTCTTGTACAACCTGTCCGGGAACGCCATCTCATTCGGCCTACAGGTGATGACGGCTAGTGGCATTTACGACCCTGCGAGTGGCGAGACGCCCGATCGAGCCACAGCGGTGGGTATCGCGATCGGCGCCTTGACCTTCGTTGTGCTTCTGCACATGTTCTCCAGACGCGGTGGCATTTTGGTCAACAACGCTTTCGCCATAATCAAAGTCTCGCTTCTCTTGGCCATAATCTGCCTCGGCATAGCAAAGGCAGCAGGCCGATTTCCTAACAGCCCCGGCGATGACTCCAATGCCGAGGTGATCAGAAAAAATTTCCGTGAGGGTGTCTGGTCCACTCAACGCTCCGATGCGTCCTCCTGGTCCAACTCACTCATGCTGTGCATGTACAGCTTCAGCGGGTTCGAACAGCCCTTCTACATTCTTGCTGAGACCAAAAGTCCAAGACGCCATTTCCCAAAGTACACCGTGATAGCCATGATGATAGCGATTGTCCTCTTTGTTGCCGTCAACATCAGCTATCTCCTCGTTGTCGACAAGGACCTCATCTTGGACGACGAGACATACAAAAATGATCTCGCCTCCCTTTTCTTCACACACCTCTTCCAAGGAGACAACCAGCAAGCCACCCAGGCAATGGCGGCTCTTATTGCCTTGTCGATCTTTGGGAACCTGGTCGTCATGACCTTCACCGCGGCGCGCGTCAAGCAGGAGATCGCCAAAGAGGGCATCCTGCCATGGTCCCTCTTCTTCGCCACCTCATACACCACACCCTACGGCCTCTTGAAGAAGTGGATGTCCCACCGTCAGCTGGCCGATCACGAAGTTGAAGAAGCGCCGACCGCTGCCTTCATCATGCACTGGTGTACATCAGTCCTCCTCATCCTGGTGACAATCCCCGTGACCGACCCTCGCTACGCCTACTCAGCCCTGGTGTCCCTGTACTCGTACACCATCGTCGGGCTCCTCGGCTTCTGGGTCTCGGGCGGCCTACTCCTCATCAAACTCCAACGCTCCAAATTCCACTGGCAAGACCGCCGGCGCTACCGACCCTGGCTCTCCCCCGCCCACCCCATCCTCTACTTCCTCGCCTCGGCATTCATGCTCATCGCCGCCTTCATCCCGCCCACCACCGGCTCACCCTTCCACCATACCATCACCGGGTTCCAATGGTACATTATCCCCGCTATTGGCATCTCCGCCCCGCTCTGGGGCGTCGTCTACTACTGGGGCTTGCTGATCTACGAGTGGAAGATCGGCAAGCAGCTGGACGTCACGCGCCAGGCGTACTGGGCACAGGACCCGGACTGCCCAGGCGAGTACGTGCAGCGCGCCGAGATCATCGACCACACCTGGCTCATCACGGCGCGCGGCGACAACATGTCTGACGGATTCGCAGAGCCAACAGCGGCCTTGGACGAGGAGCTTGCGAGGAGGGGGGGAGACAATTTCGGGATGCGGGAGCGGCGTGAGCCTGCTGCTGGTAAATATGATAACGACGACGATAGCATCTTCGGCGGGGCCACGGGAGGGCGGAATCCGCAGGTGCGGCGCTTGTCGGATGGGTTCTAGGCCTGTGCATGTATTTCCTATATTGAATCGGCGCTTGCCTTGAGTCATGAATCCAAATAAGCCATGAGGCATCATCACACGACAGCCTGCTCCTGCTCCTGAACTTGCACCAACACGAATCAAGTTACAATACCCACTGGCTCCTCCTGTCCACCGTCGATCCGAGTAAAAGCCCGTGGGCAACAAGTCGACCACTCAGGTAGTATGCATGTAACGCGTACTTTCCCTGACGATGTGCAGGCCACTGCCACTGAAACAAAAAGCCCCAAACCATTAGAGATGGTACGCCGGCTCTCCCGGCCCCTCCACAGTCTTGTACACCGCGCCAATCAACTCAGCCAAGTCCTCCGGCAGCGGTCCGGCACCCAGAGCGTCCAGTGTTTTGTGGAGCTGCTCCATTTTTGACACCCCGAATATCACTCCATCGCCATATTTGGAGTCCAAGGCGCTATGGAATCGCGTCCAGCGCAGTGCGGCGGCGTGGCCATCGATGCCGTGCTTCTGGACAGCTTCCTGGACGGCGGCCACGGCGCTCTGGAGCGCCGGGTGGCTGTAGATGTCGTTGTAGCGCTGGCCGATCGGACTCTAGGCAGTTCAGGTCAGCATACGGTGGTGGTGGTGGCAGTCAAGGAGATGAAAGGAAGGTCAGTAACGTACGTCTTTGCTCCATCTTGAGGTGCTGGTGGTGGTTGCGGAGAAGAGGCCTCCGGCGGCGGGACTGGCCATGTAGTGAGTATATGAACGGAAACCCAACAAAAACCCTCTCACCTGTAGGCAAAGAATGACATGTTGTTCTTCCGGAGGACGGGAAACAGATCTTTCTCACCGCCCCTCACAAGTGCATTGTAGTGGCCCTGATACACGCTGGGTCTGGTGTACCCTTTCCGCTCACAGATGTCGATGTACTCCTGCACTTCCGCGGCGGTGAAGTTCGAGAGCCCGAACCTGGTGAACTTGCCCTGTTTCTGGGCTGCGTCCATGGCCTTGGCAGTCTCTTCGAATGGTGTTTGGCGATCGGGTACGTGCAGGAACATGGTTTCGACGTGGTTGGTCTGGAGATCCTTCAACGATGCCTCAATGCTAGCATGCACCTGGGCCGCTTCGAGGGTCCCATCTCCCAGACCAAGGATCTTGGTGTGGATGGTAAAGCGGGAGGCGGCATCGGCTTGGCCTAGGCGATCCTCTGCGCCGGGATAGTTGCGGCCTGTGTCGATTTGTCTGTAGCCGTGGGAGTGGAAGGCGTCTAGAAGGCTAGCCACGTCTTCCTTTTTGTCGAAGTGGATGACTCCGGGCATCAAGGTGGCGTCTCCGATCTGTGATAGTCAGATGATCGAGCAAGGCCGGCAGTGGCAGGAGAACGTACTGTGTGGGTGCCGAGGAGAACATCCACTGGCTTTGAGGCAGACATCTTGGTGGTATGGTGTGAGTCTGAGCCTTTATGGGTTTCGAGACAGTGAGACAGGTCCATGGTCAAGACGACGTTTAGTCTCTTATTTATGCTCAGGGCACAGGCGGTGTCTGCCTCCGCCGGTGTGCTCGCAGTGCTACAGGTATCTGCTACTGCTCCCTCCATTCATTACCAGAAAAGGAACAGGCGACCACCGCCATGAAACTTTCCGCAACTTTCCCGCAAGTCTTCCGCTAGTTCCCCGCGAACCTCCACGGTCCAAGCACGCACCGATATACCTAGATGCAAGTCTGTTCTCGAGCTTAGCTAATCTCTCAGGGGATCTCAGCCGTTTATCATGCATAGCATGTTCATTTGTCGGTGTTCGGCCTTCTTTCTTACCTTTCAGCCGTTGGTGCCATCCTGACTGACCATGGCGATCATGAAGCGTCGGAGCTCGGGTAATCAATTCATAGATTCTATACTGCTGAACGATGCGGTTTGATGGGATTGACATACTTTCCAATATGAAGCCTCCCAGGATAAGATTTTGCGCATCATTACTCTCGAAATCCGAGATCGTGCCACGAAAGAGGATTTCAATTCTACTACCACTGACATACAGCTAGTGCAGCATATGTCACCCAGCAATTTTCTTCCTACTACTATTGTCAACCCAGCTTTTCATCTTGTCTGTACCAACGATAAACGTCCAGAACATCTTCACGAAATCATCAATCTCGTCAGCTGCGTGCTGTGAGATGCAGTTGCCAGGCTGCATGGATGGCACCAAAAGTGGAGAGTCTCTGTCGCAGCGTTCCGACCAAATAGCCGCCGATTCTGCGTCCCATAAACCACACCGCGCGGTGATCATAACGCCTCCGGTGCATTCACTCTGCCCTTGAGTCATGGTCTGGTATGTGTTGAGCACTGTGTCGATGATGATATGTGTGCGCCGGACACTTTCAGACAGAACCCAGAGATCCCATGACGCCATCGAGATATCATACTCGCGATCGAAGTCGCTTGCAGCCAAGGGGGGTCGTAACATCTTCAGGGTAAGATCGGCCCCCTGATATTGTCTTGCAACGTCTAACATTTCGGTCACCCATAGCCGAAGTATGGGAATTTGTCGCTCGGCAGAAGCACGTGACGGCACAGAGCCATCAAACAACTGTATGAATACATAGACAAAAAGAGCTTGGACGCGCGCCAGATGAGCCCGTAGCCCTTTCGTGCCACTGGTAACAGGTGCTAGCTGGCAGGTCAAGGCCATGGCGCGGTCTTCCGCAATTTGCAAGATTGCGTTCTTGATCGCCGATGTTCGATTAACATATGCCGCCAGGGTCGTAAAAGCGTCTTGTATACATGAAGGCATCCCGTTCCTGTACAGACGCCGGTGAATAAAGCTGTTGTGGCCGTTCTGCACCCAGGAATGAACCATTTCCTTAACCGCCTCAACATAAGGTTCGTACTCGATGTCGGCGGAGCATCCTGGACCTGGACTGCTGTGCTGCATAGTCCATGACTCTTCTCGAAGAAACCATGGCCTTGATATGCTGGAGGGCCGAGGTTCCCATGCATCGGCCTGAGGGAGAGGGTTTGATATTGGCACTGGAAGGGCTTGCGGGAACAGATACGTTTCATCGAACAACGGAAAATCAATGCTGCCCGTCCCCATCCCTTCCAAACGGCCTGCATCAATACTCACAACGTCCGCGGCGCTGGCATTGGGATATGACGAAAGAGGCAGCCGGTTTTCGAGCTGTGTATTGGTCAATGGCGCATCTCTCCGCCGTCTCTTGTGCTGCGGGTAGACACAATCCACGTCTCTGTCTACGCATCGTTGGCATTCAGGGAGGCCCTTGTCACATCTGCGCTTGGAACTCGCGCAGCCGAGGCAGGCCTTCTGACGGGCTGTCGCTGGCATCTTGCACCATATCTTCACCCGGCCTTTCACAGAGGGGGGTTCTTCAACCGCCTCGTTGTACCTGCGGTGGTGAAGTTGACCCTGGTATGCGGGAGTCAAAAGGTCAAGGAGTCCATAGAGATGAAGTCATGTCTATGGTGTAGGAATGGAACATTATTTGCCACTCCGAGTCGCTGACAAACCCCGGGCGCCCATTGAAGGTAGCCACGGGGCCGGGGGCGGGGAGCAGCTAGGTAAGCTCGGCGCCTCGGGCAACACCGAACCCCGAGGCTTGGCATACCGCCTAAACCAACAGCAAGCTATAACCGCGACTTATCTCATCCCTCTGCAGATCCTCAACAGAATGGCACTGTACGCCATCATCGCCGGAGTCGGTCCTGGCACTGGGGCGACGATCGCACGAAAGTTCGCAAAGGCATACCCTGTCGTCCTCCTCGCGCGCAACGAGGACAGCTTCAAGCCCATCGTCGCCGAGATCGAGCGCGACGGCGGGCGGGCGTTTGGCGTGGCTGCCGATGTCTCGTCTCGCGAGAGCCTGAATGCCGCGCTGTCGACTGCGGAGAAGAGCCTGGGGAGCTTGGATCGCTGTGCTGTAAGTCTGACTTGCCCACGACTCGGGCCCAGGGGTTGAAGCTCATGTTTGATCCAAGGCGGCCATATTCAACGCCAGCGCGAGGCCTTCACCCAAGTCGTTCTTGGAATTGTCGGAGCAGGAGTTCTTGAGTCCGTTCACGGTCAGCGCGTGAGTCTACAGAGCCCTTATCCTTCGTCGCCGCTTAGATCGCGTAGTCAAGGAGGCTTCCACTTCACGCAAGCAGTCCTCCCAAAGTTGCTCAATTCGGTCGGCACCGATGTCAAGTACCCTCCAACGCTGCTCTTCACAGGCGCCACCGCGTCCATCAAGGGTTCTGCAAGGTTCGCCCCTTTTGCGGTCGCGAAATCGGCCGGACGCATCATGGCACAGTCACTGGCACGGGAGTACGGTCCGCAAGGCGTGCACGTGGCTCACATGGTGATTGACGGCATTATCGACCTTCCGCTGACCCGGGAGTACATGCCTGACGCGAAACCTGATGCATTGATCTCTCCAAATACGGTAGGCATTCAGTGCTCGGTGTTAGATGAAAGGCTGATGAGTTTTAAGATTGCCGACACGTACTGGTATGTTCACACGCAGCCAGCGAGTGGTTTCACGCACGAGCTGGAGATAAGGCCCAGCGCGGAGAAGTGGTAGGCTTTGCCACGACACCAGTCCCCAGACGAACTATGCTTTAGGTAACTAGGGTTCATTGAGTTCGTACAACCACTGGGTGTTATTATACTGTATGTTCCCCTGCGGTTCGAGCAATTGCTGCCGTTCGTACCCTTCGTCTTCATTACACCTTCTCATCAAGGTCCTTTGCCGCACTCCTCTCCCCCGCTCCAGAAGCAACCGTCTCGGTCTCAATCTCCATCTCCTTCCGAACATGGATCGGCACGACAACATCCTCCTCGTCAAGGTAGTTCGTAGCCTTCGTATACTTCCACGCAATAAAGAACATGATGGGCCACGACAGAGTGGCGAGGGAGAAGTAGGCGGCATTCTCGTTCTGGTAGGGCGGTTCCGTGGCGTCCACGCCGAATGAGACGGCGGTGCCGGCACTCAACCCTAGCTGCAAGTTAATACATGGTTGTGAGGGTGAATTTGTCAGGCTTACAAGCAACGAAAAACCCAGCGAGAGCAGACGTCTTACGCGGTTCATTCGTCAGGGACGTCAAGATATAGAGAATAACATTCTGGAAGATGCCGTACTGGGACGCGTACATCATGTAGATGACGACGGCGCCCGCGTATGCGCTGTCAGTGCAGTCGATCATCGGCCCAGGTACTGCGCGGTTGAAGTTCCAGCTGGACAGCCAGGCTGTCTGCGCAATGTAGGACCCAGTGATCCAGACGGCGTCAATAGCGACACCCAAGAGTGCGCGTTTCTTGCGGCTTCCAAGGCGCTCCGAGTCCAAGAGCAAGCCCATCAGCATGGTGACTGGAATCTGTATGAGGTTGTTCAGTAGGCTGTTTAGCGTACGAGTCCGTAGATTGAAGGCATAAGCATTCATCGAAGCCTGGAAGGGGAAGAACATCTCGGCCGTAAAGCACGGGAGGATCATGATCACGATGCGCCAGTCCTTGAACAGGCCGGCCGTGATCTTCAGCGACCTCCCAAGCGATATGGTGTCAAATGCAGCCAGCGCGGTGCCGTCGCGACGCCGGAGCTGGTCAGGTGGGAGGAGCAGCATTGCGAACCCCGTGGAGAGGCACTGCAGCACGATGAAGACGATGTAGACGGAGTGCGGGACGCCGAGCCGCTCGGTGTTCCAGCTAATTCCCAGAGCCACCGCGGCCCCGGTGGCTGCGCCCGCGACATTCATGGTCCACTGCATAGCCCGCCAGGTCCCCTTTTCTTTCTCCTCGGCGTAGGCGCTGGAGGTGAAAGCGGCAGTCGTCCACAGGCAGCCGGCTGTGAGACCCAGATAGGCGCCGGCCAGAACCGGATACCAGAGGCGACCGTACTGGTCAAAGTACCACAAGGAGCCGATGTAGATGGGGTAGCCGGTGATGCCAAAGAGCATGGTCAGGCGAGGACCGAAGACGTTGAGGAGCGTGCTGGCGCCAAGGGCCGAGAAGACGAATACTCCGTAGAGCGCGCCGTTGCTTATGTTGGCCATGGTGATGGAAGACGGGCGTCCGCCCCCGGCTCCCAGAAGCTACCACAACGCTACATCAGTTCTTGTTCTCTCCTGAATACGACGGTGGTGGCTGAGACCTACCGAGACAGCTAGATAGAGACCAGGATTGCAGAAGAGGCATCCTGATGCGAGAAGATTCTGCACGAAAGGACTATACATATCAGCAGGAAGGCTCCAGCAATAGTCTGCCATGATAGTTACTTGTTGAGTCGCAGCAGCGGTAGTTTCGGTGCTGATTCAGACATCATCTTATGACTATGAACCGCTAGATTTGAAAGGTGGGTCCTGGTTCCGTAGTGTCCGATGTTCCACGCTCGAGTCTAGAGAAACAATGAGATCAAGCATTGAAGTGCTGTTGAACCGACGCAAGATCGGTTGTAGTAGCCACAAGTCACCGTGATGCTTAACAGTGTCACTTATTTGCAAACACTTGGAGGTGAGCACGAGCAGAACATCGTCCCGCCGGTGGGACGGCAAGGTTCTGATATAAGAAACTGCAAGCAACACACAAGCTACAGCACCCTGCATTCACGGCGTATCATTCACGTGGGATAGCATTGAGAGTTTGCCGGGTGATCCGCGCGGGTTTCGGCACTGGTGAGTTTCCATATCTTGCAGTTACGCAAAATAGTACTGTCGGCCCATTGGACCTACGAATATGTCTAGCGGAGTCATGGAGGGAGTCTCCTGATAAGAAGCATGACTGCTGTTCCTAGATTCCTGGTAGTACTTGCCAAGAGAGGAGGTAAGATGGCAAATTTACTAGTAGTATAGCACCTTGTAGCAAGCAGTCAATTCAATGCTCAAATTCCTCATGCAGAAAAATTGATACATGCTTGCTCACTATGAATAACATTCCAAAGCTGTGATGGTGAAGCGTATCATGACCACTACCATTGGCCCAAGACTCTCCATGATCAACAGCGCTCACACCTTCGACGCTCAGGTCCGTAAGCCCTACTGATATTGGCGCGGAGACAGCATATCTTGCCAGAAATATGTCGCCACTCGTACAAAGCCTATAATACATCCCCAAGATCTGCTCTGCTGTTGATAAGCTGGCATGAAGCTATCAGGAGAACACCGGCGCATCTCCGCACCGCAATGCGTGGCAGGGTGCATGTGGGCAGATGAGTTCCGAACCCCGCTTCGCATTATGCCGAAGGTATTTTTCTCGCTCGTTTCAAGGCCTTGTATTAGTAAAGGGCCGGAATAGTCGCGACATACGATTGGAGAGACATAGAAAAGATACATCCGGACCTTCTTGAATAAAGACAACCCATATTGCCCATGCATCATCAGCAGGCCAGATCAGTCCCCGAACCTGGTTGTACCCAAGCGAAACAACCCTCACCAAAGATCAACAGCCACGATGGCACCCTGGCAAGAAATCGCAGCAACCCGTCAAACCGCCGTCCTCGACTCCATCCCGACGAAATGGCGCCTCCCCAGCAAACCAGACACATCAACTAAGAACGTCCAGCATATACCACGTACCTGCGGACTCATCACACCAGACCAGCTGCATATCACCGAGCAAACGACCGTTGAGCTGGCGGCGCAACTTTCTAGAGGAAAACTAACGTCCGTTGAAGTGACCGAAGCGTTTTGTGCGCGGGCAGCGGTGGCGCATCAATGTGTGAGTCTTTGCACCAAAGCACCAAAATATGTGCTGTGTGTTTCTGCTTCAGGAGCCATAGACTAAGAGTCATGGGAAGGTAAACTGCCTGACTGGTTTCTACTATGAAGAGGCGATGGGGAAGGCCGCTGAAGCCGATGCCATCCTCAAGGAAACTAGAAAGCCGGTTGGGCCGTTGCACGGCGTGCCGATAGCGATCAAGGTATGGGATTCCTCAGTAGTTCGTACTAGGCTAGCAGCTATTGACAGACAAAGGATATCTTCAACATCAAAGGCAAACGCGGCACAATGGGCCTGGTAGCATGGCAGGATAAAGAATGGGGAGTCGACGCATCGATCGTGACCTTGCTGAAAGCTGCGGGAGGTGAGAGTCTCGCAGCCAACTAAGTCGTACATTTTGTTGATCGATACGACAACCACAGCCATCCAGTTCGCCAGCACCACGATGCCACAAGGCGGCATGATGCTGCAGACCGTCAGTCCCCTATGGGGACGCACACTTAACCCGTTCAACACCGACTTCGCAGCCGGCGGCTCTTCCGGGGGTGACGGGACCTTGCTTGCCCTGAGAGGGTCGCCTTTCTGCCCGTCGACGGACATTGGAGGAAGTATTCGAGCACCAGCCGCGTTCAATGGACTGTATGGCATCCGCCCCACAGCAGACAGGATTCCAAAATTCGGCATGATCAGCACTGCGCCGGGCCAGACGTCGATCAAAGTATCTTGTGGGCCAAACTGTCACAGCGTGGGCGACCTGAAGCTGGTCACTAAGCTTCTTTTCTCGCATACCGATTATATTGGATTTGATCCAACTGCGGTGCCACTCCCGTGGAAGGAGGTGCAGAGCAAGCAAAAGCTTGTGCTCGGCATGCTGAAGACAGACGGTGTGGTCACGCCGCAACCTCCTATCCTGCGAGCACTTGCTGAAGTGGCGGAGAAGCTGAAGGCTGCTGGTCATGAGGGTAAGTAATCCCATGTTCCTAACAAACGTCCGGAAGTTCTGACTGAGGAAATCCAAGTGGTTGAAATCGAGCCTCCAATAGATCTATGGGAGGCCGCCCTGGTCACGGTAAGTGGCCCGATCCCAATAGGCTCCTTTCCTAACAACAGTCTCCAAGTGGAAATTGTACTTCCAAACCGGCGCAACAGAGCTCAGAGCTCTAGTGAGCTCCGCAGATGAGCCATTAGAGCCGCAACTGGCCTGGTACCTCGACACATTCGCCATCAAAGAGCTCACAGTGCCCGAGCTATTTCAGGTGCGTTGTTCTCCTCAACTCCAACAGTGCCACTCTTTGGCAGCTGTCTGACAGGTTTTGCCACAGACAAACCTCAAACAGGCGGCGATAAAACGGCACTTTGCCGACTTCTGGGCGTACACAAAGCAACTGACGTGGAATGGCTCTCCCATCGATGGGCTGATATGTCCTTCTGCGCCGTCTGCCAGCTATCCCCATGACTTCCCGGTCTGGTGGGGGTATTTCTCGATCTGGAATCTGCTGGACTATCCGAGCGCCATCCTTCCACTCAAAGATTTCAGTATCAGTGAGGAGAAGGATCCAAAGGACACTTTCTACAACCCAATCGAGACGAACCCATTTGACAAGATGAACGCGGATATATGTCAGTGTTGTCTTCCAGGGGTCGTCTCGGTGATGAGCTGACGAACCTAGATAATCCCAAGCTGTGGGCTGGCATGCCGGTTTCCATACAAATCGTCCAGCAACAATTTGCCGACGAAGAGCTTCTGTCCGTCACAGAAGTGGTGGACAAAGTTGTAAACTCCTCGTAGACTGCATGTGCGTTATTGCACTCCCATACAAGCACAGGGTTACGTCATCTCTGCAAGCCAAACAAGGACTCTTCCCATCCTGCTTCTTCCAGATATACACCATGGGCAGACTGCATCCACGACGCAGAGGCCAGGAAGTCCGTCCAATTGACATTTAACGCAGCATTGTCGGCATCTTCCGTACGAGGACTAGTATCCCATGGGCGACTGCTGTCTTTCAGCATACCGGTAAAGTCGTCAAACAGACTTTGAAAGACTTTCCTTACACCCTCGGCACTGGGCCAGAATTCTGACAGGTGCTTTGCTGAATTGCACACTCTATCGAGCAGGTGCCGTTCGCTGATAGCGAGCATGGAATTGCCGGCGTCAACGGCGCGTTGCAGTTGTTTCGATGCTTGTATGGCTGCAGCAGAGAGTGCCGTGACGGCAGTGAAGTGGCACTGCGCCATCATACCCGCAGCGTGGATTGCTTCGAAGGCGGAGACGATGGATGTTGCTGCGCTCGTGCTAATTCGCATGGCTTCGTTGTCATATCCATCTGACGGTGAAGTGGTCTGGTCCATAATTACGCGATAAAGGTGAATAACAACGGCATTATAGTGAAGCTGGAGGTTCAGCTCCGCAAAAGTGCTCTCCGATGCCTGATCATTCTCAGCAGGTGCAGCGTCCAGCATCCAGGAGACGAGTCGTGTCTTCAGGCTTGACGTAGTATCTCCGATGCCTTGTTCTCGTGCAAGCGAACGTGGCGCGCTAAGACTCATGATGCGAAGGGCAATGTCACACAGCTCGATGTTCCTCCGACAGTATTCAAAATCAATCTTTTCGTTTATAGCGCCATTTGTCTCGGTAAAGTCTTCCAGGATCAGAGGCTCCTGGTCAAAGTCCTCTAGTCGGATCATAGGCGGTCGCCCATGCTCTAGCGCGGACATGGTTTCTGCTTGAAACAGCGTCCACCAGACGCGCCGCCAGATGCGTCTGTCCGTCAATGGCATTCGTTCTTGACCGAGAGGGTCACGAAGTACATTGCGGTGCATGCCCAGTCCAAAGGCGATGCGGCAAGCGACACCCAGCCAGTACCAACTGTTAGCTCCAGCATTGTCGCCATCCTGTAAATGCCAGGAGAACAGTAGTGCAGCTTGGACGAGATGCATTCGGTCGTTTTCATGCCGCATGTCAAAGACCTGCTTGGCACGACTGAAAAGCACCGCCCCGATAACGTGCCTAGCTTGCACAGCTCGCGGATGCCGAGAAACTCGAGCACCGACAAGAAGAACAGCATGAAAAAGCAAAAGGGGTAATTTGTTCTCTGCTTCCGCATACTTTGCTCTGAAACCGGCCTCGTCAATGACGGGGAAGTATGGATTTATCTTGGTAAAAAAGGCATCGACAAAATTATCACGGATATCTTTGGCTGGGAAGGCTGTAATGTGTTGAATTGTGTCACGAGTTAGGCCGAGGAGACGATTAGAATCGGATCTCCAGTCTGGGGAAGCATGAATTTGTGGATATGCGTAGATGATACAGCTAGGGGATGCCCGGCGGTCGAGCTTGATGAGGTGCGTCATATTGGAAATCCGTGTACCGACATATGCTGTCCGAACGTGATCGAGTTGGTCGAACATAGTCCAATCACGTTTGGAGGAGGAGATTCCTTCTTTGAAGAAACGAAACAGAGAGTTCTCGGCGAGGGCGATAGAGGTCGCTACATCGGTTCCTGGAATGGTATTATCTTGCGTGGGTACGGAATTGTTCGCTTGGGGTAGCTGGTATGGATGTGACACAAAGTCGGAATTGCTGCCTGTTGATGCTGGACTCTCGTGGAGATCATTGACAGGTCCTGTAGGATCACATTGCTCTGTAGGTTCTCGTTGGCGATACCTTGGCCCACCAGATCTGTGCTCGCTACCGTCCAGTATGTTGTGGCAAGCATCCACGACTAGGGTCGAGTTGTCAGTCGACGGAACAGATTTTTGCTGTCTCCTTGGTCTTCGCCAGCCCATCATGAATCTGAAGGTCGTTTGTCAGCCTGTGATGGTGCTGATAAGCCTGGGACGACGGGAAAACATCTCTTACCTACATTGAACTCGAGACCTGACGCATGCACTGCAAGACCTACGGCCGTCGGCATCGCAGCGGACTTTACGCCTTCGGCATGCATCGCATGAGTGCATTTGCTGCCGGCCCATCCTTGTTGTAAAGCACAGGATTGCCTTGTGATGAGTTTTAAAACATAAAGGTTGGCCGCGGTGAACGCACGTGATAGGAATGTCGACGGTCGTGATAGTCTCAGATCAGAGCCATAGGCGAGAATATGTTGCCGACTGCAGAGTAAAAGTCGATGACCACCGGCCTACCTTGATCGTGTAACTGGACTGACTGGGACGCGGTATTGGCCGACAAAGCCAGCCTCCTCGTGGAGATGACAGGGTTTCTGCAGTCGCGAAAGGATGGTGCGCGGACTGTTCGAGTCTGCCGATGTTGCCACAGTACCAAAGCGGCCCGACCACCAGAGTGACGATATGATGGGGCAGCGCAGTGGTCCAGTAGACGTGTGAGCATTCGTGACAACAGTGACATGGACGGTTGAAGATGCGAGTTGCGAGTTCCGAGATATCAGTTCCGAGGCTGACTAAGGACCCCGCAGTGGGCAGGTGGTATCGGCCAATAGGCCTCCACTTCCTTCAACCACAGGTCGACCTCGATGGCACTGTGATAGGATGACTCCCGAGGTCCTGCTCACTGGAATGAGGGCATTGGCGGTGGTTCGGCGCAGACAGTCACCCTCCCGCTATTGAAAGCACAGATGTCGTGGGTCCATCTGCAAGCGTTCGGCCAAATCAATTTCCGCGGGAACGCATAGCTAAGTCTAGGCCGACAAGATATCCATCCTTGTAATGTGAGCCTGATGATCACGCCGAGATCCGACACAGCCAGTAATAAGTAGCTCTTACCGGTGCCTACCCAGGCGTCCAAGCCTTCACGAAGCCGTTGTCACCCTTACCACGCTCTCCTGAATCGCTCGCATAGCATAACCACCGTCAATTACAGGCCGATGGCTCCTTCAACACTGACAATCGACCCTCCTGGGTTGATGGATAGTCGTCCTACTTTCTCACATGTGGCGACATCCCTGGGTGACAATGTTCGCTTCATTTGCACTGCTGGACAAGTTGGAAGTGATGCTCAGGGCAATATCCCCTCTGATCGTACCGAGCAGATCCAATTGGCGCTTGCCAACCTCAGGCGCTGTATCGAGGCTGCTGGAGCTACCGTTAAGGACATTCAAAAGCTGGTATACTACATTGTTGACTATGACCACACCCGGCGCGATCACTTTCTCCCGCTCAAAGCCTTCCTGAATGGTCACCGTCCCGCTACGTCACTTGTACCAGTTCCGAAGCTGTTCAAACCTGGAGTTATCTTTGAGATCGAGGCATACCTGGCAGTACCGCAACGGAGTCCACAGAACGTCGATGTCGTGGTGGTAGGTGCTGGCCTCAGCGGTCTCAGCGCCGCGCACCAGCTACAAGAGGCAGGCTTCTCTTGCGCTGTTCTTGAGGCGCGTAACAGAGTCGGGGGCAAAACCTGGTCAGTCGATGCGACAGATCAAGGCAAATTCGTGGATGTGGGGGCGGCTTGGATCAATGATACCAACCAATCCGAAGTCTTCGCTCTCACCAAGGCATTGGGGCTCGAAACGGTCGTACAGAACACCACAGGACGCGTTGTGCAGCAAGACATCGACGGCAAAGTCTCCACATTCGTATACGGAGACGTCCCCAAAGTAAGTAAAATGTGCGGTAACACGACTCAACGAGCTGTGACAACTAACACTATGGCAGGCTCTATCGGAGCCGGGTGGCGCACAGAACATGCTTGACATCCGCAACCTAACAGAAGAGGTCTGTCAGAAGCTCGACGTTCATCACCCGGTGCGGATAGGCGATGATCTCGACAACATGACTTTAGAAGGCTGGATAGTTTCCAATGGCGGCGGCAAGACTGCTCTCGCCTCAGCCACCGTCTGGACTCGAGCAATGTTGGGCATGGAGCCAAAGGACATGAGTGCTCTGTTCTTCCTGAACTACTGCAAAAGCGGTGGTGGACTCATGCAAATGCGATCAGATCTGAAGAACGGTGGCCAATACCTCCGCTTGGTCAAAGGTGAGCTTTGCAAACTCCAATAGATTTCTGCTTGCTGACCTCGGATCAGGCACCCAGAGCCTGTCGATTGGCCTAGCAGAACAGCTCAAGCCAGGTTCCCTCTCTCTGGACGACCCGGTGCGCTACATTGAGCAGAGCCCTTCTGGTTTGCACGTCTACTCCGCCAAGGGCAAACATACCTGCAAAAGAGTCATTGTCTCCTTGCCAACTCCTCTTTACAAGGACATCGTGTTTAGTCCGGCATTGCCGCAGGACAAGCTTGAACTCAGCCAAGCTAACAAGCTGGGATTCATCAACAAAGTTCTTGTTCGGTATCCGTCGCCTTGGTGGAGAGAACCTGGGCTAACCGGCATGCTCCAATCATTTACTGGGCCTGTCTCCGTCACGCGTGACAGCAGTGTCGATCCAGTAGGGTCTTACTCTCTGACCTGCTTCGTTGCTGGAGACGCCGGCCGAGCATTGTCAACACTCTCAAAAGCAGAACGTTTCAAGGTCGTCACCGAGCAGATCAAAGCCACTTTGGGGGTCGCCGCAAAAGTCAACATACCCGAGCCGACTGGGATCGAGGAGCATGAATGGGCACACGATCTGTGGGCTCAAGGATGTCCGTGCCCCGCTGCACCTCCAGGAACCATGACTAAATACGAGCACGCTTTGCGGTCGAGTCACGGAAAGGTACACTTTGTGGGAACGGAGACAGCGTACGAATGGAAAGGCTATATGGAAGGGGCGATCAGGTCTGGAAAAAGAGGCGCTGACGAGGTGATTCGAGCTTTGAATTTGGCCAAACTGTAGCCTGATGCTAGATTGATACTGACTGACTCTGAGAAGACTTGACGATCCAGGACTCTCAGTATCGGTAGTGTCAGATTCCTCTGATTTTGTGATCAAGGCTGAGAAAATAAGCTAGTTCACCATTGCCAAAGTACACCAGCACCTGGCAGCGGTCAACGAAATCAACAGCGGGCCCTTTGCACCTTTAACAGATCACATATAAACACCTGTTTTCCGAGTTCTAGAGCAAGTCTGTCAATTACTCTACCACTAGCGCAGTTTGTGGCTTGTGAAGACTAACGCCAAGCCTTAGTGGACGCCTTTGTTGCCTTTCTCTTCGCCCCTGAATACTTGCCGCCTTGCGTGAAGTGAATCACTACGTCCCATGGCTACAACTACAAGACACACTTTACAATAGCTAGGAATCACAAAGTTCTTTCTGGCCTAGCCCACAAATTCCATTACTTGACCTACGAAAGATTCGATCTTCGAATGCGCACTCCTATCCCCGCACCTTCCCACGATTGGTCCTGTAGGTGCTTTTTCTTCTATCCCCGAGTCCTTACTTACTGACACTTACTAGCCCAGCGTCTGGCTAACAATGGCGCCTGGCAACGGCCACGATTGTGGTCCTTGCTCAACGTGCATTCCCAACAACCCCCTCCTTACTTGCACCCGCGGTTGAATGGCGTTGCTTGCCGCATCTGCGCCCGCGTCATTAACGACCTGCCCTACCCATGGCCAGCTACGGTGCCGCATAAGGATCTGAGCCAGTTCGCGCCGGCATTCTACGGCAGCGAGAACATGCGGTTTCAGATCATGAACCAAGGGCGCCCTGCAGGATCTGGCGAGGAACTTTACAGATTTTCTTCCGCGGCCTCGGTAGTCAGTTGAATGACGTGTCTGCGGCGCTGGTAGATTTCCTGGAGGAGTCGAGGAGGAATGATGGGGAGATGTTGAGGGAGCTTAGAGAGTTGAAGGCGATGAGGAAGATGGAAGAGGGTGAGCATGGCGAGGAGGGTTCGTGGCCGCGGAAGAGGTAAGTCATGCCTCGCACGAGGAGATGCAAATGCCGTACTGACGTGATATACAGAAAGTGACCTTGAGGCTGATGCTGCTGCTACTACTTTGGTGTTGACCAGCACTACAGGGATGCTGTAGGATATTAGTGGAACTTCGCTTCGACGAACCATGAAGACTGGGGATAAGTGCTAGTCATTCAATCAGTCCACTGGTTCCTCCTGAGAAGCTTTCCCCGTCCTGACCATGCTTGACAATACGTCGCATGGCCGAACACAGAGATAAAATAATCAAATGAAATGGATTGTCTAATGCTCATTTCGGATCTCCGACCTTCATGACTCGCTCCAAGCTATTTGTTTGCGAACTTCTGATTTGATTCGCCCTAGATTTGCTAATCATTGTCCTCTGTTATCTGCTTCGGTCTTGTGTTACTCCTTGCGCAGACGGGGTAAATCAGGTACTGGGCAGCCACTCGTTCGGTGTCGGGCTTTTGAAGTTCGCGAAGGCTTTCAACGCTTGCTGACGTTTACCCTATCAGCAGTGCTCTCTTTGAGCAATTCCACAAGCTTTGAACATGTATTCAAGTCACTCAGTCTTGGCGAACAACCCCATGAGCGGAACTCTCCCTTACCGCCCCAAATCTCAATCAGCTGCACTCACCCAGCGCTGGCTCTGGGCTGACTCCCACTATGAGTTGTTGCGCATTTGTCTGTCTTTGCCACCTCATACGCACATCTTATCGCCTCTTGTGCCTCCTTCAGACCAAAATAGGAAACCAGCCGCATCGAAGCCATGACTGAGCTCTTCGTGAGTCCATGTTTGGCACGTTGCAGAACCTTTCTCACGCTGGATATCTCCCGACCGTCCTCCTGTGATATTCGCGTACTTCAATGCTCGGAGTACATCTTAGTGCCTGCGGATAGTTGAGGTGATTCAGAGAGGGTGGCTGGGAGTTTATGCTGCAGGGCCTTAATTGACGGCTAGACGAGGGATTTCGATGCCACCCACACTGAATGATCGCTCGTCCTGCTGGTGGGAGTCGCCTGGCGCTCCACAAGTACTACATGGCCGGTTTCCCCATGGCTTTGACCTTGTTGTATGAGACCACTCTGCCGGGGTATATCTTGTCAAGTGACAAACTCTCCCACCGTAGAACGTCCAAGCACCTTTGAGCCGAGAGATCTCCCGATCTGAAAATAGGTCAAGATTGGTGTTCAATAATGCGGCACACCCTTCATACCACCGCTCCCGCTTCAGTCCTGGTACTCTTTCGATGATATAAGCGCATTGGGGTCCCGCACCATATAGTTCGAGGGCAAAGGCCGCCTGAAGGTGGATAGGGATATCGAGCCACCTGCATCGCCAAGGTTTACAATAGCGTACGACAGAATTTCCAGTATAACGGCCCTTCGCAGCTAGCACATCTGGAGCCCATCGCTGAACGATGATCAGGTTCTCGCCGAACCTCGCGTACTCAGAGATTTGCTGGATGTTGGCAAGATCCAGGCACACTGCCACCGCTGGAAACGCAAAGACATTTCCAGAACCTGATTCTAGCAAACTTATACTACCGACAGTAGCCTCGAGTGGAGCTTTCCGTTTGACAAATGCCTTTGCAAGCTCCACCGCAAGATCGGACTCGTCCCTCGACACAAGTCTAGGGAATATCCAGCCGATGAAGTGCTGCCACAAGGATTGACCACAGATCAGACGCTTTGATTTGTTGTGACCCATTCTGAGCGCTCCACATGGTTGGACAGCATATGAGGTCAGGTCGAGCAAGTCGAATAACAGCAAGTCGAGCTTGTAATAGACGTGATCACATAGCAAGCAAAATGTATACGCCACTGCTAAGTCACGAAGTTGTGTCTCGCAAGCCTTGAACTGGGGTGACACATAATGCTTAAAAATGCCTTCATAGAATTCATGGTTTTGACCACAGCACGCGATATCGACAGCGATCAAAATTCCCCTGGGCAAGTTGAGTGCCAGCAATGCCGATCGGAATGGTTCGCCCGGCGACAGAGGGTTATACAAGATGTTATCAGGAGCCACTTGTTGTCGATCGAGGAGCTCAATTTGCATTTTCATCATTGCAAAGAGAGTTTGACGATGTGCTGCGGCTTCCATGAATCGGTCGATGTAGTTCAGGGAATGTGATAACGCTCGTTGCCATTCCCACCATTTGAAACATTTTGTGTTCAGTCTAGAGCTTAGGCACAGCCACCCAATGAGTACCGCACCTAGCATGTGAACAGTCTCGGTTTCCGACAATAAATAACTTTCCAGAAACCAGCGCCCTTCCTCGGCGAGGTAGTCTTGTGCCGTTGTATGGATATATGTAACCTCACGGTCGAGTAGTGCTCGCATAGAGGTGGTGTCTGGTAGGGCTTCCAAGACCATCGACCGCGCGGGATCATAATCGGTGATTTGAACCAAGCCAGCAGATCTGCTAAGAATTTCTTCTTCAAACCCTTCAGCCCTGTGTTCAAGCTCCGCTAGAAAAGCTGGATCGAAGCCCGATTTCATCTTGATGACCAGCTCATCAAGTGGTCTTGTTGCTAAGAGTATTTCGAATAAGGAGATGTGCAATTCCCGTCGCACACAGAAGTCAACAAGCTGGAAGAAGGGCCCACTTTGTTTCTTGAAGTAGTCATCCTGCCGAGCCAGCATTTGTGAGAAGAGTTCGTTCATCTCGCCTGGACATGAATCGAAGCGTTTCGAGAGCTCTTCCTGGGATGCGTTACGTTTAGCAGCTCTGGCAAGATCATTCGCCACAAGATGAGCCCATAGAAAGACACCGTCCGCCCGCGAAGCAATACGTTTTGCATAACCGCCGGCAATGGTACCTTTTAGGCATTGCTGGCTGAAGAAGAGTATGTCCTGGAAGTTGACATCGTGTAATCTGACTGTGGGACAGCTTTTCAGCTCGTTGCGGAAAGGTTCGTCAGGTCTTGCAGAAACCAGGAACTTAACTTTGTTAGACACCGAAAGAATCTCACTGATACAGTCCAACAATGTTTGATGGCCGTGGTCACCGCCGCCGTATTCTTGGAATTCATCCAAACCATCAAGCATTACCAGGTATTTCTTGTCCCCCTTAGATAGCAGGTAGATAAAGAAACTCTTGAGTTCATTGTTGGTCCAGCTGAGTGTGAATGAGCGAGCAGGGTCAAGTGCGTTCCGTAACTTTCTTGGACATCGCTCATCTAAGACAATTCTGGCAAGGACTTCAGGCTCCTCATCCAGGATCTGATAGCTCAGAGACCTCCACAGGCCTTCGAAACATTTCATCAACCTGTTTGTGGCAGGTTTGTAAAAGAAGAAGCTGAGCACCACCGGAGATTTTGGAGAGGCCCAACGAGCTAGGTCCTGGTGGGCAGGACCATCTTCAGGCAGACTCTGCCGTAAGAAGCTCATCAGTGATGATTTGCCAGCCCCAGGTTTTCCTGAGATGTAAAATTTTCCGCTGCCTGACCGCAACCAGCTCATGAGAATGGAACGCGACTGATGCATCTGATCACGCTGTTTCTCAACCCGCCAATCCCAGGCATTGACGTGTCGTTGGTCGGAAAGCAAACAGCTTGTGGTCTTGCCGTAGTCAAAAATTCGAGCCTGTATCATATTCTCTCTTTCCTGCATTCCTTCGAAATAGAGGCTCTTAGAGATGCGTTCTACCGCAGCGCGCTGTTGGTCTGTAGAAATAATTTGCTCGAAGTGCTGCTCAGTCCTTGCTTGAGCGGAATCAATCTTCCGTTTGATGCTTGACTCAGCATCAATGATCTGCTTCGATAGCAAGTCTTGCGTTCTCGCCACTGCATCCATTGCCTTGCTTGCGCACCGACAGTCACCATCGAGCATCTTGCGAACATTCTCATCTAGCTCGGCAATTTTGAGAGCTTGTTCATCGTCACATCGTAAGATGTGCTCTCGCATGCTGACCAACAAGGACGTCTGAAGCATGAGCTGAAGATCCGAGAATTCTTTCTGGAGAAATTGAACCTGCGAACGGCTGCGTACACTTCTCAGTAGCTTACTCGCAGGGTTTCTTTCCTTCTTCGCTTTACCATCGCTGTACTGTATCTTGCGAACTATATCGTGCAAGTCCTTGGCGTTCTTAAGGCTCTTGCTGGCACATTCTTCAACCTGCTGTTCAAGAACATTCAGAGGCCGCGGCTGCAAGCTACGTGAACAACTTTTATCGATCTCTTCCGTGAGTTGGCTGAGCTCGTTCAAACGCTGAACATCTGCCGTCGAGCCATTCTCCGAGATCTGGCTGTACAGCCTTGTCAAGGTCACACCTTGTTCCACCAGCTGTGTGATGTTGCACACTAGGGCAAGGACCCCGAGCGCCTCCATGATGGAGGATACTGCACAGTTCTGGGGGTGGAGTGGTCCCGGATGAGAAGAAGTAGTCGAACCTCTGCAGGCAAGGCTGGTGCTGGATCGCAGAAGCCTAGACTTAGATTGTGCAAGCGATGCTGCGCAGGCCAGTGATTCACAGAGGCCCTGATGATGCTGGCTCAGTTGCAGCGTAAACCGAAAATATCCTGCCGCAGTTTCTGTGGGTGGCGGCAAGAAGTCAGTCGTCGCTCCCAAGGCGTCCGTCAGGCAGACTGGCTTCGAAGTGGGGTCGAAGGGTGGATGGAAAGATCCGAACCGGCACTGCCTTTTAGCAAACTGGCAGCCAATCACATAGAAGATGCAACTTTTGTTTCATTGAAACAGGCACATCTTGTCATAGATAGAGGAGCCCCTAATTTCAGGTTCAAGATCGAGGCGACTTTCTGAGATACGTGAACGAAATCTTGCAGTTTCGAAATCAAGAAGCCAACCCAAGCTTTTCCTTTGGCAACAGGGCAAACACCGTGCCGATGATCCCCAGTATCGTGCAAATTACAATGAGCACCCATCCCAGGATTCTCTCCATCGCACTAATCTCATCGCCCTCTCTGCTGAAGATCTTCAAATAGAAAGCCACAGGCATAATGACACAGATTGTAAAGCACAGACCGCTTCCCATCAACCCCATGATGCTATCGAAATCCGGGAGTAATATCGCCACACCGAGTTGAATGATGTTCGCTGAGCATGCGATGACACAGCGCGCGAGGTTATGCTTCCAGCTCTTCTCACTGTATTGCCTCGCCTTGGGCTCCATCTGACGTAGGTCAATCAGGAATTTCTTATTGATGGTGTCGGTCATTGGGCGGTTGGTGAGCGGAATTTTCGTGATGGGGATGATGGAAATGAGGATGACAGTCAGTACATTCAGAGCATGTGGGTAGGCAGTGCTCTTTAGCAGATTGGTCGTCACTTCATCACGCACCGAATCGCCGAACATCAAGTATCCAAGCACTGCCATGGAGAGATCCAGACCGTAGGTGAAGATATAGGTATATGTGAGGGCCTTGGTGTACTTCTGGGGATGCCGCATGTCTTTGTAAATGGCGGGAAATACAGAGTGGCCGCCCCAAGGTGCCATGAAGAGACCAAGCGACAGAGGGATGGTGCGCCAGTTCTGTGGAAAGGCGTATGTAACAGCCACCTCGCGGAGGGATCCAGGTGCTTGTGGCTTCAGGAATCCATCAATGAGAACGATGAATATTATCCCCAAGGTACACATTATACCAAGAATGGATGTGACCGATAGATACTTGAACGGCGCAAAGTTTAGAGGCATCAGACCAAGTGCCACGACACACTTCCAAGTCAGAGTTGGGACACAGGGAATTAGGCTGTTCATCGTATCACCGAAGAGGATGATCAGCGCCACGTTGGCCGCCGTAAGCTCCAGAATGAAGAGTGCTTCGATCGAATTACGCCCGATAGTGCCAAAAGCAAGGAATGCGATGTCGCCATAGGTAGTAGCTCCCGAGTTCGTGTCCAGACAGCGCGCAAGCAGCCTTGCGGTGTAATTTGTGACGAGAGCAGCGAGGAGAAGAAAGATCAGCCCCATGACCCAGCCAGAGAGTCGTACGGCGAGCGGCAGAGCAAGAATGCCCACCCCGATCAGCACGTTGACTGAGTTAAAAATGGTTTGTGGCACAGTGGATTCACCGACAACGCGCTCGATGACTTCGCCGTCTGGCCTGACTTCTTGCTCAACATGATGCCGCGCCAGTTCTTCCTTGAATTCGTCGTCTTCGTCTTCCAAGGCTCGCATGCTGGCTTCGCGTTGCTGTTCGATGAGGATGGAGGCACGTCGCTGTGCTTTCGCCGTGAGACGCGAGGAGATGCTGCCATAGCTCTGGCCGAAACTTGACGCGGCCACGCTGGCCCTCATCCTCAGCGAGTCTTGAACGGAGGGCTTGGGATGTGGCTGAAGGAGCTTTGTAGTTTCGGATGGCTCAGACTGTTCGCCATTGGGGTCCTGTATGGCCGTGTCGTTTGAACCATGGCCACCAGCTGCCTCGAATTGCTGTCGCAGCAAGGACCTAGTCTGTGGTGACGGGCCTTGAGATCTTGCGCCAATCCCGGCTTCGTCGTCATCTTGACCCTCCTGGGATGTCGCTTGCGACAGCCTCCGAATAGGCGTTATCTCTCTGAAGCCCGCAGCTCTTTGCCATGACCGTGCGAAGTTATCCATGCTGTTGGGACCACCCATCTGACGTATAGAGTTGATTCTCGCAGTAACAGAGGACCGACGTCTTCTCAGCTCTCCTTCTGGGACATTCCTAGGTCCGGATGCGGCAGAGGAGGAGAGGATCGCAGTCTGTTCGCCCTCTGGCACGGACTCGAGCGAGCCAGCCGAGGAGGCTCGTCCACGGTGATAGGCATCCCAGCTCTGGGGAGAGCTCTTGCTCCGCTGACTCATGTTGACTGTTGTATGGGACCAAAGATAGAGGTGTGCGTGGAAGCTCAAAGCATGGTAAATACCGAAAGCAAACTACCACCCGGGAGGAAAGTCAAATGGGCGGAGGGCTGCTGAAGACTGCAGCGTTCGTGACGATATCCTTGTAGAGAGAAAAAAATCATTCGTTAGCTCGCGGTCGGCTACGCTGTCCTTTTGACTGCGAGCGGCGACGCCATGGTCTAGTCCCAGCGACAAGTAAAAAGAGACGCAAACATTTTGCAGCTCGGTTGGAAGCGGGGCTGATAAGAGTGGAGAGCGGAGAATAGAGGCGCGGAATACTGGGCTACGGCCATCGCTAAGACGTCGCTCACGTGCTCCGGCGAGCTCTAGGCGCTTGATACGACAGCAAGTTGAAGATTTTTATCATCTCATATACCCGATTGGGGCTCCAAGAGTCAGGAGGCTCTCCGGTAGCGACTATTGATTCTTCTGGGAGCCCGCATGTGCAAGGTTGCTTGTACTCCATCTATCGAATCGCATCCGTGGCAAACCAGACGTCAGTACGGCGAGACGAGTGCATATCACATCTCATTGAACATGGGATTGAAGGTGTGACGACCCTGTCGTCGGGGTCGATTGCGCTGGCCAGCGCTTCTGCTTCGGGCATCGTTCTGGCGCGGCAAGATATTGGTGGAAAACGGAGACGAACCTGCGCTTAGCCATCGGTTCGAATGTCTATGGCAAGTCCAACCTTTTGCTCGGCAGTATCAAAAATGAGGCGTCAGGTCGAGCCGTCTATCGCATTCGAAGACATGCTGATAGGAGGATACATATTTGCTGACAATGACTCACCTTGACTCGAGTTGCCTCGAACCACGTCTGATATCTTTCTCAATTCTCACCATGTTGGTAGACTACGATACATTGGCAGTGCGGTAATGAGTATAGAGTCGTCACCGCTCCGACGATGAAGGTAGAAGAACGAGTACTTATAGACCAGGCAACCCATGTGTTGTTCTCGACGAAGAGTAACTACTGGGACGTGGTCCGGATATCTGCGACCAAAAATCCCTAATCCTAATTAGGCAGGCGGGCAGACCCCCGCCGATACCGACATCGAAAATACCCGTGTCGCCGTAGCCCAAAGAAAGTCATCTACACCCCTCTACCTTGCCACCACACTCGCCCTGTCCCCTCTAGTCATCGCTCGTACCGACCGCGAGCGTGACATATCTGCCGTGGGTTGGTAGGACGCACCGGACTGCCCACCCTCTCACGTCCGCACTCATCGCCACGACCGCATCCGAATTTGCAGAGCCACTTCATTCAATATGTCGAACCAGGATGGGTCCTCCGATGCCGACAAGAACATTGAGATGTGGAAGGTCAAGAAACTGATCAAACGATTAGAATCTGCCCGGGGTAATGGTACATCCATGATCTCCCTGATCATCCCGCCCAAGTCACAGGTCGCACAGGCATCAAAAATGTTGGCTGAAGAATATGGTACCGCATCCAATATCAAGTCCCGAGTCAACAGATTGTCTGTCCTGTCGGCGATTACATCTACTCAGCAACGCCTGAAGCTGTACAACAAGGTTCCTCCGAACGGTCTCGTTGTCTACTGCGGCGAAATCATCACTTCGGAAGGAAAAGAGCGAAAGCTCAATATTGATTTCGAGCCTTTCAAGCCCATCAATACCTCGCTATACCTTTGCGACAACAAGTTTCACACCGAAGCACTGAGTGAGCTACTCGAGTCCGATCAAAAGTTTGGCTTCATCATCATGGATGGCAATGGTGCTCTATTCGGTACGTTGTCCGGCAACACTCGTGAGATCGTTCATAAGTTCTCGGTCGATCTCCCCAAAAAGCACGGTCGTGGTGGTCAATCTGCCCTGCGTTTCGCTCGTCTCCGTGAAGAGAAGCGCCACAACTATGTCCGCAAAGTAGCCGAACTGGCTGTCCAAAACTTCATCACCAACGACAAGGTCAACGTTGCCGGTATAATCTTGGCCGGTAGTGCCGACTTCAAGAACGACCTCAACCAGTCCGATATGTTCGACAACCGTCTACAAGCCAAGGTCATCAAGGTTGTGGATGTTTCGTACGGTGGTGAGAACGGCTTCAACCAGGCCATCGATCTCGCCGCCGAGACTCTCAGCAACGTCAAGTTCATTCAAGAGAAGAAGCTCATCAGCCGTTATTTCGAAGAGATCAGCCAGGATTCCGGCCGCGTCTGCTACGGTGTCGAAGACACCCTCAAGGCCCTCGACCTCGGTGCTTGCGAGACTCTAATCGTCTATGAGGATCTCGACGTTACCCGCTGGACTTTGAAAGACTCTCAGGGTGGCGAGAAGATTCTGCACACAAACAAGCAACAAGAACTGGACCGGGCCCAGTTCATGGATACGGAGACTGCCCAGGAGATGGAGGTCGTTGACCAAATGCCTTTCCTGGAGTGGCTCGCAGAGAAGCATCGCGACTTTGGCGCCACCCTGGAATTCGTGTCTGACCGCTCCAGTGAAGGTAATCAGTTCGTCAAGGGTTTTGGCGGTATCGGCGCCATTCTCCGCTACAAGGTCAACTTTGAGCAGCTGGCCGACTTCAGTGACGAAGACGAGTTCTACGACGAGTAAGAAGTCCGATCCTTTCGTTTTGATGAAGCTAACCCACCATCAGTTGACAATCGGATGACCTCGCAGAGCGCGAGGTGCAAAAACCAGACATTCATCAGCCCAATGATGCTCTGACGGCAAGCCCCGCCTCGCGCCCTGACATCCAGCATCCAACCGATGCTGACGACGCTCCGCTCGTGGAAATTGAGCTGGACGCTAACAAGACATCGGCTACCAAACCTGTAGCGGGCAGTGGGAACGTGCGCGCACCAGCACTTCCCCCACATCTTAAGTCCAAAATCAAACTGGCGCCTTCTGAGCAAGCCGGCCAGGCCCCTGCTGCGCAAGACCTGGGGCTGCGACATGGTACGTCTGCCATAAGGCAGTGTAGAGCTTCGCTGATTTTGGGGGCAGGACGCACTAGTCTTCGCAACATGACTTCTGTCTAGAGCCGGCCGCAGCTATGGCGATCAGTATTTCACCAACGCCAATGAGGCTGAATCTGATATACGACCAACATCGAGCTTCATCGAGCTCCTATCGCCAATTACCCCAGCGCAATGCACACGAGGTGTCTACTCCACGTCATTGAGCCAACCACGGACTAGCGCTCCATCGCGACGAATTTGTTTCACCCCATTCTCCAGGATCCTCTGATCATTCACGGCTGCCAGACCCTTATCTTGGCGTCGACATGACCGAGGTGATTCGGAGATCATGACCAGCAATTTACATCTGACCTGCCTGTCCTCCTCTGCCTCACGAAGCCTGAGTGTGGACGGTCGGTTGTCCATTCTTTTATACAGATAGCGAATCTAAGAAAAGGCATCTGCCAGCTAATTTCCAAGTTTCGTCCCCCTACTCGTGCACGTCCTCTTTTCTCTTCCCACACAAGCGTCTCGACGAGAGAGTCAAAGATGCTGGATGCCAGGCCGTTAAAGACAGTCTCCAAATCTCCACGCATGCGGATCTTATGCAACACGACAATGGATTTGTGCATGACGCTGCCCCCTACTACTACTTTACATTGGAGATCATTCTAGTTCTCTCTACACTGACATGTTCAGAACCTGGAAGAGAAGGCCGCCACACATGGAAATATCATCCAAGCTCGACAGAGCTGCTGCTCTAACCAGTCGAATCGAGATGATCGATGTGGACAGCCCATGCCTGGGTCGTACCGACAATGTCCTTGGCCTAGACGCGTAGTCCTTGAAGAAAAATATCGCTAGCTGGCCGTGAAGAGGCCTCGTTTCTTTCAGAGCATGTCTTCTTGTCCTTTCTTCCAACCCCTCCACCATGCTGACTCTCATCGATGTTAATTCTCTTGCGTATTCGCCACAATCCTGCCAGCCCTGCAGTGTGCGCTCTGGCAGTTGGACTCCCTTCAGCCATATTGACTATCGGGAAACAAATGTGGCTGAGGCCACGGACCTCATTGACAGCGATGGCATCAAGACCGGGAATCGTTACCGTATCCAGCAAGACACACTCCATGCTTTCCCGGGGGTTTGTAGAGGTCTTAGTCGTGCGGGCTTGCTGCTCTGCGCGTGTATACCGATGACTCTTTTCCGTAGCTCCTGAGGCGTCGTTCGCTCCCTGAGTGTCGATCCGAGTACCTTTGCTCTTGGGGTGCTGCACCACGGCGGGGTGTCGTCTCAGTTGCCTCTCTGTCTGGCTGGCTGGAGCAGTGCAATCAGCCGCCGTGGCTCAGCCACTATAGTCGTCTCGCTCTGTCGTGTCAACTGCTTGACGCCAGCAGATGCAGCACATCGAGCGGCACACACAGTCACGTCTTCATCTCAACGTTCCGAGATAGCGAGTCCAAAGGGCCGCGATCATAATTGGGGACATAGTGTTCGTTTGTTCCCCTGTATCGAAGAGATCTCCGGGGGTTGACTGCACTCCATTACCAAGTCCGACATCAAGCCAGATACCATGGATGTGCCACTCATTCCGACAGGGGCAAGCATTCGCAACTCCTCATCGTCGTAGCCAGCATGCCACATCATCCCTCCTCGGTCGGCTTTCCAGGCTCAACGCCAAGCACCGCAAACGTCGTCCGATTCCCCTCCCTATCATCCTCAATATGCGCCGCGACACACTTCAGTCCGTACGCCTCGCCCGCCTGTCGGCTGCAGATGGCTGCGGGCCAGCCGAGCCTTTCTCCTGCAGGCCCTGACATCTCTGATCGCGAAACAGTACCTGTGAGGCTCTGGGCATGTGTAGTGCGTGCGACGAGCGACGCGGCTTCTGACGTCGAGTTGTGGTCCACGTGCGTGACGGATGAGGCTGATAAGTGCGTGCGGAGGAAGGTGGAGCATTGCGTCCACACTTGAGGGTGGGTGTGGAGGGTTGTTAGAAGCGTGTAGTCGATGGCCGTGGTGGTGGAAGGGCTACCTTCGTCGTCTCCGCCGGCTTTCAACGTGGCGGCGGATACAGGACAGTCCGGATGCACATAGAGATAGTGGTGGACAGGTAGATGGTAGGTGTAGGGCGGGCGCAGGATGATGTTGAGGTAGGTTTCCGACTTTGATACTGTGGTAAGGGATGTGGCTTGTGTGCCGCTCGGTAGAGCCTGTTGGCCCACCACTGAGGTCTGGGCCTCGACAACTATTATGGCCTGGCTTTGCACGCCGATGTCTGCGCCATGCTCAGCCAGCTCACTCAGCAATGAGCCATTACCATCGCCACACTGCCGTAGTAGGGCCACGACCGGGATGACAGGACCGTTGGTGCTGTTGCAGACTGGAACAATGGCGTAGCTGTGTGCAGAAGCGTCAGCATCTTGACTCGCATGCTGTAGACGCGAGAATATCTGCGGAAAGTCTGAGCATTGAGTGTGATGTTGACCAGGGAAGACGGCCTGGACGGCTGCGTGGGAAAAGGAGAGGTTTGGTCCTAGGTAGAGGATGTGCTTTTTGAGCGGATCGGTTGTCATCACTAAGTCTTGACGCATACAAATGACCTGCTAGGTGGCGTGCAGTTTGGTCTCTATAGTCTTGAAGTCTGTTGTGGAACATATGAGGCAAGGAAGGCGAGAAGGCAACATGAAATGAGGCAGCGAGATCGGCCTTGCCTTATTTCTTGGCACCCTAGGACGAGAGCGAGTCTATCAGGCAGGAATTGGAGCTGTGTAGGAACGTGATCACTACTAAGAAGCAACGGCTGTCGAAGTTTTGTTGTTTGGAACAGCTGAAGATATAATAATCCTACAATTGTACATGTTGATGACCTATATCAACCGCTTAATGACATACGGATGATCTCATACCCCCGTCCTGCTCAGGTTGTACTTCAACACTATGGCAGTGACAGGCGGGCGTCTCCAGATCGGGGCTCGTTCCCTCTAGCCCATTGATCCCCTGCGCTTTGAGCGCTTCCAGAGGGATATCGTCTATGGGATCGACTCGTTTGTCCAACGTTCCCGAAGCCACTGACGAACCGTGCGATACTAATACATATCCCGATCTCTCGAACATGTCGGCGCGACTCACGGCCTTGGACTTCTCGCTTTTCTGCCTCCAAACTTTCTCACAAAGTCTCTGGGGTCGGTGCCAGGTGAACCAGACTCAACCACCCGCTTGACCACCCGTCCGGGCCCAGCTCTCCGGCCGGGTCCTCTAGTCCACTCGTATTGAGTACCATCCTCCTTATATTCGTCTTCTAACCTCTGCTGCTCGGCTGCTTCGGAGAGTGTCAACCTCTTCACCTCTGCCTCCAGCTCGGCCTCGCCATCCTCACGAAACCGGGTGACCTTGTGCATGTTCAGTGCCGTTAATTCGGTCATTGGAGATCCTTCTGTCTGGTGTCTCGCAAGAGCCTTTGCTGTCATTGCAAATCGCATGTCACGTGGTCCGTCAATAAGTGATAAAATGGCTGATTGCGCTGCATCGTTCTGGTCGGATTCAGTTCGTAGCACTCGTGTATAGCCTCCAGTACGAGAAGCGTATCTCTTTGCCAGCTCACCAAAGACTTTTGGCAGATGCTTATGGTCATCAAAGATCATGCCTTGTGCTTTCGACTTCGATGCATTCGTGTTCTTTTTTCCCAGAGTGATAAGTTTCTCAACCCATCTCTGCGCTTCTTTGGCTTTATGCCAGGTGGTTGTTATGGATTCATGCTCGATGAGAGATGTGGCAAGGTTACGGAGAAGTGCTCGTCGATGCGCGGAATCGCGCGAGAGATGGCGGTATTTGATATTGGTCATGGTCGGGTGGAGGTCGCACCGTTGAGGTGCGGCTCCTGTTGGACTGTGGCTTCGTTACGGGCAGTAGCGTTGCGACACGCGGGCCAACGGGGACCAGATCGGACCGCCAACGGATGACGAGTGAGCGGTGCCGATGTGAGAGCGTGTGGAAATTGTCGTGGTGGCTGTGGTGGTCGCAGGTCGATGGTGTGAAGTCGCGGAATAATTTGATGCAAGCCTCGTGCCTTCCCGATTCGGACGCGCGGAAAGCTCGAGCTTCAACCACCAACAGAAGAACCTTTCCTTACACCCACACAAGGCCAGGCAGCACTCTATCGATTGGCGGAGGCTCATTTCCAGATACTCATCTGCCCGAGCCGCTCGTCAGTGCATTGCATCCGGCTGTGCGTGCTCACAGTCATTCCCGGTAAACATTTTTGCGCTGGGAGCTCCCCACCAACAATTCCGATTGTCCGCAAGACATAAATAGGGGACTTGCACCCTCCCAACGCAAGCTCCTGATCGGTCGTCACTCAGATACACGCGAACATGGGTTTCACGACTGGTTTCGTATGTGATACTCGATCGACTGCCACTATCGTGCGCTAACACATCACAGCTTGGAGGGTTCACTCTCACAACCGGGGTACTCTACCTCACGATATATCTTCACAAAGCGAACAGAAATGTCCAACACACGATATTACAACAGTCGTCTCAGCTCCTCCACAATGTTGTAGAACCCCCGGCGCCCAGGCCCGATCCACCGCCATACGAGGTCAAACGCGCCGGTCTCTCAGAACAGCTGAAGGATCGATGGAACAGTGAGCTCGAGAAGATGGTGTCCCGAATACAGACTACCGACTGGACGGAACAGCGGGAGATCTACACAGATAAGATCACCAACGCATGGAACAACCTCCGACAGACTGAGCAGGTCAAGGAGCTCGAGCAGAAGGCTAAAGAGGCTGTGGATTCCGCGAAGGACGGAGCCAAAGACATCGTGGACTCCGCGAAGAGCGAGACCAAGGACAAGGTCGAGGCGGCGAAGGAAAAGTCAAGGGAGCCTCGTCTGCTCGAAATGAGATGAAGCGGCTGCGGCAGAGGAAAATCGCGCCCTTGACTTTCCTTCAAAAGATAGCGCGGGCAATGCATTCCTCAAACCGTCCCTCAGATCACGACATCAGCGGCTGCCATTTGAGCATACTCGCTTTTCCATCCGCTTCCAGCTTCCAGCCTCTGACACCGCAGCACTGCGGCAGTGAAGCTTCTCACCTTCACCATTTCCGTTGATACCAGTCTACAATTCGAAAGGCTAGTCGAACCCATATGTCTCGACTACTTGTGTTGTTCAATGTAATGGCTGTGTCGTTACGAAGCTATCAGCGCGCAGGGGCGTGGCTCGAGTAAGACATTGATGATGCGATGTAATGGGCACGGCGCCTACCATGAAGCAGCTGGCAGGGACGGAATATTAAGATTGGGATTCGATATGCGCTCAGAACATGGCATTTCTCATGTATAGGTCTGGTGCTAAGCATTCTGCCGTGTGCCAAACCACTGCAAGCGGTCTATAGAGACCAATTGAGTGGCCATCCACGTGTCCCCCGTTCTCGAAGGCTCGGATGCACGTCGTTTTGTCCAGTGACCAGAGCTAGGATAGGTAGACCGCGATTGCGAAATTCCAACCCGCGAAAGTTGCTTCGCATCACGTCAATATGAACAACATGGTCTGCTCCGACGTTTTCACATTGCCCATACTGTGGTGATGGGGCCTGGACATATCAGCATCGCCCACAGACCTCCGGACCCGAAGACCCAGGAGCGCGAGAGCTGTAGTGCCTACATAGCGTCTCTTCATCGCAGATTTAGTTGTAAAGAAGGGAAAGCAAGTTGTTGCTGGCGAGCTTGGAGTTTTTGATACGCAGACTTGGCAACGATTGGCAACTAACCAACTTCAGACTAGCGCTCGCCGACTTCTCCGCGCGGACAGGTCGTCGATGACTTCAAACTCGATGCCCCAGTATTGCCCCAGTCTCGTGCTAGGGCGTGGTATTGACGGGCGATGGCTATTTGACCTAGACGACGCCATTTTTCCAGTAGGACTGACCGACGTTCTGCGTGCAGAGCTACGAGCTTCCATCCAGAATCTAAGATCACTAACGCCACCTCTCGCGGGGTATCATCGGACGACCTGGGCGAGCTTCGTGTGCTGTTGCTTCACGCCACTATATTTTGCTCTCAGCATTCGGTGCCAAGTCAGCACTCGCGATGTCGGTACCCCGACTTGCACGCCCATTGAGGGCAGCACTCTCGCATCAGCCGCCCAGAGCCGTTCGCCAGTCAGTATGCTCTTCTTGCCTCCAATCACGGAGGACCTTTGCCACCTCCAAGCCCATGGGTGCCCTCACCGGTGCTATGACTGAGTTGCTTGGTGATCATCTCGAGAAAGCCGATCCGCAGATGTACGAGATTGTGCAACGGGAAATTAGACGCCAGCAGCATTTCATCAACCTCATCCCATCCGAGAACTTTACATCTCAAGCTGTTCTAGACACTCTTGGCAGTGTTATGCAGAACAAATACTCCGAAGGATATCCAGGAGCCCGCTACTATGGCGGCAATGAACACATCGACGAAGCCGAACGACTCTGCCAGCAACGAGCTCTGGAGACCTTCAGATTGAATCCTGAGGAATGGGGTGTGAACGTTCAGCCCTTGTCCGGCTCACCCGCCAATTTGTACGCGTACTCAGCCGTCCTCAACACTCACGACCGGATCATGGGTCTCGATTTACCACATGGCGGCCACTTGTCGCATGGATACCAGACTCCAACCAAGAAGATCAGCATGATCTCGAAATATTTTGAGACTTTCCCATACCGACTAGACGAGAAGACTGGTTTGATCGACTACGACAAGCTCAGTGACCTTGCGCAACTGTATCGCCCAAAGCTCATCATTGCTGGCACATCAGCTTACTCTCGTCTGATTGACTACGAGCGGATGCGCGAGATCGCAAACTCCGTCAATGCCTACTTATTGTCTGACATGGCCCATATTTCTGGCCTCGTTGCAGGCGACGTGATTCCATCGCCTTTCCCGAATTCAGACATTGTCACAACAACCACTCATAAATCACTGCGTGGCCCTCGTGGTGCAATGATTTTCTTCCGCAAAGGCGTCCGTTCAACCACCAAGTCGGGTGAGAAAGTAATGTACGACCTCGAGAACCCAATCAATGCCTCGGTCTTCCCCGGTCATCAAGGAGGTCCTCACAACCACACCATCAGCGCTCTCGCTGTTGCACTACACCAAGCACAGTCGTCCACATTCAAGCAGTATCAGAAACTTGTGCTTGAGAACGCCAAATCTCTCTCGAAGAGATTAGGTGATTCGACCGAGAGCGGCGGACTGGGCTACAATATCGTCAGTGGTGGTACCGACAACCATCTAGTTCTGGTAGATCTGAAGAGCAAAGGCGTGGATGGTGCCAGAGTTGAGAGGGTGTTGGAGCTCTGTGGTCTGGCCGCCAACAAGAACACTGTGCCAGGAGATAAGTCCGCTTTGAAGCCCGGAGGGTTGAGGTGAGTCGCATTCTTCCTTAGCGCTATGTCAAAGTAATACCTCTAGGATGGGTACGCCCGCCATGACAACTCGAGGTTTCCAGCCTACGGATTTCGCCCGTGTAGCGGACATCGTCGATCGAGCCGTCAGTATCACAATTCGCCTAGACAAGAAAGCCCGAGAAGAGGCGGAAGCGAAGAAGCGAAAAGCTCCTGGTAGCGTCAAGGCCTTCCTCGAGTACCTCGGCAATGGAGAGGAAGACACGGAGATCCTGACTCTGCGAAAGGAGGTGGAAGGGTGGGTTGGCACTTTTGAACAACCCTGGATCAAGGAATAGCGAGTGGGCGAACATCGATTGTTATGCAATAGCAGGACTCTGGGCGGTATACATACGACGGCCTTGATGAATGGGCTTCAACATTCCCAGTTCGCACTGCCAAGATGGCGTTTCGAGGTAGGAGTCTTCCTCAACGATCCAGTCACAGGTCTTTCCAGCACGAGATGTACGGACAATGTATAATCAGCCATACCCAACCATGTTTGAGATCCTGAACATTTCGTGGTCAACCGAGATCGAGACCGGCAGGCTTTGTGGAGGCATTGGTAAGTCAGAACCCAATGCCAAGCCTGGTTGCCTTGTTTCAATATCTTCACTTGACAGGCGTGAATGATCAGCACTGCAGCGTGAATTGCATTTGCTGCAAAACAGGCATTCACAGGAAGATACTATCTGGAGGCCGTCCCAGCACCCACACCCCAGCAATGTCTCACTCTACAGAGCCCTTTCCTCGCCTTTTCCCCATGCACTTCCTCTAATGTTCTGCCCTACCCTGTTGCTGAAGTGCAACTTCAAGTGAGGTTTACATAACATTCAGCAGCTCGTTACGCCGCCACTATTTCAAGGTACTGAGCCGACGTCTGTCTTTTCACCACCACGTCCCACGACTTCTCCAGATGTCGTCGATGCCCCACTCCAAGCTTCACCCCTTCACACAACAGTGACACTCCAGCAGCACTTTATTGGTCGACCTCGTGCTTAGCGCTTCCGCATCAAACCTCGTCGACTACTTAATCCGTCGTTGCAGGTGGCGCCTTTACACTTCTCCCCTCTACGAACATTGCAACTCGTGTGCGCGGCTCGAGCGATTCAGCAACTGCGTGGCTTCTTTGCTTCTCCTTATCCTCTCTCTTCGACAACACTGTCCATCATGGACTCTCCCGATCGTTCTGGCCTGATTCGTCGAAGCATTCCCTCGTACAACATCCTGTCGAACGATGCAAGTGCATCCGCGCAGCCTGCGAACCTCCCGAACCTTCAAGAGCAGACTGGTCTACACATGTCCTTGGTGCTCCAAGCCTTCGGCCTTGCCCCCAACGACAAGACCAGTGCGGCCTTCGAAGCCTTCATGAACATCGCGTCGTATCCCGTCGTTCGTGTCACGCTCTCCGCCAACTCTCTTCAACAGTCTTTGCCCGTCAGCAACCAACACATGCCGGTTACAACTCAAGCGCTGGCTTTGCGGCCCCGTCCCCGCCCAGACCTCTCTAATAGAATTATGGAGGGTCTCTCAATGCCCGATAGGGTGGCCCTGGTTCAATCCGCCTACCCCAGACTCCAGGTCATAGCGGTCAATCTAGTGGTTCCTGGCCCATTCCCAGGCGACCTTGAATCGCGTGTCTACGCTCGCATTGAGCCTCGCCCGAACCTCATGACTTGGCCAGGCATGTTCTTGGATATGTCTCGTACGTTCCACCAGCGCGGGCTACATGCCTGGCAAGTCCATATGGTATCTGAGAAGAGGCCGCAGCCTGACCGGGTCACCTATGCGCAAGGCGGAACACCTAGTGTCCTACTAGTTGGTGTCACATTCATGGTCAGTTCAGGTGTGAAGGTTGAGGCTAACTTCAACATCCTACCCCATGTCCACCCGCATCTCCGCCGTCCACTTCAACTTTGCCTTGTACGGGGATCCGACCTGTTCTCCAAGGAGGATGTTGTACTCGCGAACAAAATCGTCAGTGAGAAGGTACGCTCCTCTCGTCTACAAGGACTGCCCCTCGATGCGTCGGCCATCTTCTCCCATATTCCGACCATGCTATCATCTCGTCCCCATGCATCTCCGCTTGCCAGTACACACCAGGCTCGCCCCTTCAACATCATGGAACTCCCAGACGACTTCAAGCTCATGCTTCTTGACGACATCCTCGTCTCCGATGAGCCGATCCAGTTGGGAGTTCCTAGATCTCAACAGCGTTACTGCTCGGGCAACAAATTTCCAGCCATCGCCATCCTGAGTGTCAACCATCACCTGCACAACATGGGCGCGAAGATCTTCTTTGGCAAGAACACCTTCGAGATCGCTAGAAACCTCGACTCTAGAGGCCACCGCGGTTCTAAAATGCTTGCCTGGCACCACGTTCTAAAGGCTGTCATCAACCTCGGCCCTGCACTCAACGGCATCCAGTACCTGTCTATCAACTTGACCAGCATGTCATACAGCGGATACCTGCACTACATCAACGACCCCGTCCTCTTTGAGATCCTGAAGCTACTCTCCCGCAACGGTCTGCCTTACGAGGAGATCTCCATGTGGTTTGCCGGCACGGGACAGTATGTCGGCTCAGCCAAGAACAATGGCGGTTTCTTGGTGCCGGCGTTGCAGGATCTGCGTGCCCGTCGTCTCGTCTTTCCGGCGCACGACGAAGCGAACTCCGCCCTCAAGGGCAAGCGCGAGAACCAAATTACCAAGGACACTGTGAGGATGCTGCAGAAGATCGTTGTGGTGCAGCGAGCGGCGGGCGACGCGGGTGAGAAGGCTTATGCGCCTGTCCTCGCGCCGGGTAAGGTGTGATGGCCGAATTGGATTCTGCATCGACAAGGTGGTACGGAGGACTCAGCTGAAGTCTGGAGCACCTGGGTTCACAAAGGGGTGATCGAGTGTACTTGGGATACCGGTTCATTGTTGCCCTCGGCAGCTAGCGTTACTGGAACGACGACATGAATCATACTGGAGCGGGTATGAGGGCTACTATGGTGTACGGATGGTCGGTATTACTGTGGACTCCCAAAAGTTTTGACGCGGCTCTCGATAGAGCACCAAGTACTAGATTCTACGGGTTGCTCAGCAGCACAGCACAACCTGTAGACAAATGCAGTTTGTCGATAGAAAATCTTTGAATACGCAAGTACCTTGTCCGTGCATCTGTGAGTACTATCGCCCTCGCCAGTTCAGTCATTCAAGTGCTAGACCCTGCCCAAACACAGTGTATATATATTGTGATGACCAGGTACGCCAGACTCTCCCAAAAAAACCATGCTCCATGATACTTCTTCAGTTCACGAAGAAAAATAATTCGATGGGATGCCATGTGACCTGAGACCCCAGTACACTCCGCGAATACTTGCTGCGTTTCGTGCTGTTCAACCCAAGTGTTGGACCTCGCCGAGAAGCCCAGCCCTGAGCCTCCCAGGCCCTAAAGCCGACGCCTAGAAAAGGCGCCTGGGGGACCGCGTGCAGCTTGGCGGCAGATGCTTAGCAAACTCTTGGTTGATGTTTCTGTTTCTGCTGGCAACGACATCATGCGCGGGGCTTCAGCTTGGGTTGAGACGACGGTGATTCGGCGCTGATATCGGCGACGAGGTAGAGGTGAGGTGAAGAGGATGGTGCAGTAACAGTTCCACACTCAATGGCCCAAGAAGCAAACTTATCTTCCCTTTCGCTCCTTTAAGCAACTTCTTCGCTTTGTCCCCTGCGTACGTGATTCTCTGGTTCTACTGCTCCCGCATGAATCCTGCTGCTCAGGCGTCATCGACTCGACAGGCCGGACCCCCCCTTTCGAGATACCTAGGAGATTAAGTGCACCTGGCCCGTCGCGTGCCGTCCCTGACTTTTGGAGGGGACGCCTAAGGCACCCCGAATATGGCAATTCAGACACCACCCCCCGTCTACATCGCAAGTATAGGCTACAGGCAGGCTTTCTCTGCCGCGTGGGATGCAGGTAGCGAGAGCTAGCGCCGACGACGATAGGCGGGGTAGCAAGCTACTGTATCCAGGTAGGTAGATCGCATCATTCTCCGCTTCCCAGCCGTGTAGTACAACTAATCCATCCTGACGCCATTGCCGTAAGCCAATAATGTCAAGTCTCGGAAGCGAAAGCTCAAGTGCTAGCTGGGCGGGCCAGCTATATATGGCCGCGCTGTTGGAGCTGCTTAGAGCCTCTGAGCACAACATAGCATAGCTTTGCGCGGCACAGCACAGCCACCATGATCCCACAGTGGCTGCTTGTCCTCGCCTTCACGGCCATGAGACTAGCCATCGTCAACAGCGAAGCCCTCGTCGTCGACACCGCCCACAACGTCACCTACCAAGGCCTGACCCGCAACGGCGTCGAGTTCTTCCTCGGCGTTCCCTACGCGCAGGACACCGGCGGCGCGAACCGCTTCAAGCCGCCTCAACTGCACGTGCCAGACAACGACAGCACCGTCGACGCAACGGCCTACGGCCCAGCATGTCCGCAGGTCATGGGTCTGCCGCCGCTGTACCCGCTGACGCTCTCCAACGTCACGGACGTCTCGGAAGATTGTCTGCATCTCAACATCGCGAGGCCGAGCGGTATTAGCGCCAACCAGGGCTGCGGCTTGCCCGTCATGGTGTTCATCCACGGCGGTAGCTTCTGGGATAATTCGAACGCCGAGATCACGAATGCGCCGGACGCGTTGGTGCTGCAGTCGGTGGAGAATGGGCTGCCGGTCATTTATGTGGCGATGAATTACCGTTTGGGAGGTGAGTCGGTCTGCCTTTTGCATTGAGGCTTGTCCTGTAGCTTTGTGACCGGAGGTTTGGCTTGCTGATGCTGTGTATGCTTTGTTCATTCAGCTTTTGGTTTTGCGCAGACCCAAGCACTGCGTCAAGAAGGCTCGCTGAATGCTGGATTGCGAGACCAGAGGCTGGCGATCGAGTGGGTGCGCGACAACATCGGCATGTTTGGCGGTAACGGGGAAGCCATCACCATCTTTGGCCAGTCGTCTGGAGGTGAGTAGCTTTCAATCTCTACCACATCCACATACTAACTCACCTTGCAGGCCTCGCGGTAGGCATGCAAATCATGGCATACGGCGGCACCAAACCCGTGCCCTTCCAACGAGGCATCTGCGAAAGCCAGGCGCTCGAGCCGGGCATCACCGGCAACTTCACCTACCACCAAATGGACCTGCTCGCCACAGCCCTCGGGTGCAACACCTCGACCCTCGACTCGAACGAGACCCTCGCGTGCCTCCGCGCCAGCGACACCACGACCTTCCTCAACGCCTCCATCGCCACCTACTCCGGCGACGTCTCCCACAACATCGGCGACGTCTGGCTCCCCGCGGTGGACGACGACTTCCTCCCCGCGGCGCCCTCGACCCTCGTCTCCCAACACCGCATGGCAACCAACGTCAGCGTCATGATCGGCTGGACCGACGACGACCTGGGCTTCTTCACGCCCCGCACCATCGCCTCGGACGCCGACACGCGCGATTTCGTCACCAGCTACCTCCCCGACCTGGACCCCGAGAACACCGACGCCCTACTGGCCTTGTACCCCGTCAGCGACTTCGCCGCCAACCCGGCCGCCAACCTGACCGCGCAGTTCTACCGCTCCGCCCGCATCTTCCGCGACGTGCTCATGACCTGCATGCCCATCTGGTTCGGCGACCACCTGGCGCAGATGCACTCCCCGGGCGTGTACTTGTACGACCAGAACGCCACCATCCTCACCCCCATCCTGGCCGCTCAAGGCTACCCGGGCCTCGGCCCAGTGCACACCTCGGAATTCGCGTACGTCTACGCCAATTTCTCGCACTACGATACCCTCTCGGGCTTCGCGCCTACAGAGCAGGACTACGCGCTGCTGCCGCGGCAGAGTCGGAGTTGGACTTCGTTTGCGGCTACAGGGCAGCCGAGTTTGGTGGGCAAGGAGACTTTGGTGGGGTGGGGGGAGGGGTTTGTGCCGATGCCGATGGCGGAGGGCAAAGGGGGACAGGGCAATAGGACGGAGGTGTTCGTCATTGGTGGGGGCACGCCGGGGTTGTGGGCTTTGGATGGAGATGGGGAGCGGGAAGGGGAGGGAGGGTCAGCGGCGTTGACGGCGCAGAGATTGGGGGAGAGGTGTGCGTTCTTGAATTCGGGGGGGGTTATTGCACAGTTGAAGTTTTGAGACCGCGGTTCGATATATACGGGTTTTAGAGTGCGTTGATGAGGAGGGCGGGCCGGCGGATGGAGGGTTGGCTGGGAGCCGCGGCGCTGATGAGGAACAGGCAAGGGAAGAGATGGGTTGGGATGGAAGTGGAGGAGAGATGAGATGCGTTTGGGAAACGAGGAAGAGGACCGCAGGATCGTATTTGACAGTGTCATCACAACGGGATAGTGGAGGCTCGTGGTCTGTCATGTCATGGGTGGTTGATGTACGTGGAAAACAGAGACGGCGGTCGGATGGGCATGATACGATAGCACGTATTGTAAATAAGAAACGAGGAACGATAGAGAGTCGCTCGATTGGATCGTGGGATGCATGGACTGGAATGCGGGTCCTCTGATGGCGAGGCTCGATGCCCCTATGTAGTCTTCTACATGCGTAACTGGTACCCGTACACTGGAGGGTTCTACTTCCACGCATCAACGGTATAAGGCGGCGACTTGGCCTGGCTAACAGCCCGAACACGATCTCGGACTCGAGGCGAGGCGCAGACAAACGCATGCACGTCCGAATGCACATCACAAACCGGGGTCAAGCAGAAAAAAAGGCATCGTATAAAACATTGATCATTCCGGTCAGCGCATATATACAACATACACGTCCAACGCAGTGCTAACCAATATTACATTTGCAACCACTTCACACTATGCACGCTCCAATCCAAGTTCATCTCAGTTGGCGGCGACGGCAGCACACCACAACATCCCCAGAAGTGATGCTGCTGTTGTCTCGAACGTGTGCGCTCACCGCCAAACTGCCGAAAGAACTTTCCCACACATACAAATGTGTCAAACCATGTACATAGAAAACCACAAGTCGCGTCATTCCCTCTTGAGATCAAAAGAGAACGCTGCTTCTTATATCATCCATGGATAGCCATGGGCGACTTACAGGAGAAGGGCGGCGATGGCGGCAACACCGGCCAGACCAGCACCGGCCATCTTGGAGGCAGCACCGGTGTAAGGGGAGACGGGCTCGCTGCCAGCAGGCTTGCCGGGGTAGCCAGCGCTGGGGGAAGCAGGGGAGACGCCAGTGCTGGCACCAGTGGGGCCAGCAGGGACGACAGCGTCGACCCAGGTGGAGGCAGCACCCGTGGGAGCAACGGGGGTGTCGCAGACGGTGGAGGTCTCCTCGTAGACGGGGATGGTGACGGTGTAGGGACCCTTGGTCAGGACGTAGGTCTCGCCAGCGGTGGCGGTGTAGACGTCACCCTTGTCGGTGAAGGTGGTGGCATACTGGCACACGGTGGTGATGGCAGTGACAGTGGAGGTGGTCTCGGAAGACCAGTCACCCCAGGTGGAGGTGGCAGAGGTGGTGGGAACCACTGGCTTGGTGGTGGTGGTCGAGATCTCGACGTCAGCCCAGGTGGAAGAAGCAGCAGTGGTGGTGGTCGACTGGATTGGCTCCACTGGGGCATCAGACCAGGCCGGGACGGCAACGGCAACGCCGGCGAGAGCGAGAGCGATGACAGACTTCATTTTGATTGTTTGGTTGGGAGTTTGGAGGGATTAAAAAGGGTTCGGTGTTGGTTGATGTTGTTGGTTGTTGGTTTTGGAAAGAATGGACGGTTCGCGAGGAGCCTGGTTGTGCAACGAGTGTGACTGAGTTTGACTGAGTACTAAACTGGAGGAAAGAAAGAAGAGAGAGTACGGCCTCCCGCAGCTGTTGCTGATATAGGTGCTGGCCGGCGTTGGCAACGGGAAATTGAGCAACCAGGAAGATGATGGCGGTGGAGGTTACTGGGGTGCTGTTCAGGGGCAAGCGGAGCCAATCAGCGATCCACCTCGGAGGCGGCTCTTCGGTAGTCTCCCACCAGACAGATTGCGTCGCTCTTATTGGGAGTCGGGGAGATTGTGGCTGCTTTCTTCGGCGTCGCTTGTGCTCAATGGGACAAGGTCGATGCCATCGTGGACAATAGGCGCCATCTCTTGGGCGGCGGATCATGAGATGAGCACGATCACAAGCTGCGCCGCCGACAGCTTGCCATGCCTGTGGCGGCCGCCGACTAGAGATCGCAGAGCCCAACAGAGGTTGACGGCGCTGCTGTGTGACCGGAACAGAGACAATCAGCACACTTTCGTGGCAGAGTCCATCGCTATGGGTACCGTAAATTGATCAGCGACATCGATGTAGCTCAAGTGGATGCGCGATTGACAAAGCGCATCCTCCGCCGCCTGAAAGGGAAAGCCCGATCCTGCTCACCAGGCACGAACTTCTGAGACAAGCAACTCATCGCCACAGCGCGTGTTTGTTGATCGGAGGCTAGTTTTTTGGGGCTTCATTTCGCCTGGCGCGGCAGAAATTGGCGGATATTGGTGTTGGCGTCGCGAAGTTGCGGCTGTGTTGAATATTCCCCCCCTGAAATTCCTACGCCTTGGCGCGGTCTCGTCCTCGCTCGTCTTGTTGATCCTTGGAGCGTGCGCGTAAAAGCGGTTCGCTCCCACGTCGGCCACTACTTCCCTCTCCGAGACACACGGCGGGATACAAGATGATCACTGTCTCCATCATGTGCTCCAAAGTTGCGCGTCTGTGTTACAGAGCCTGATGATCCAGGCTTGTTGTTTATCGTGATCGAGGATCGAGACTGTTAATCAGATACGGACGAACCTTGCTTCTGATCAGCGGATAAGGAGTTTGCTTGCGACTACATTCGCTAGCCCCAGCGTCGATTGATCTTTCCGAGTCTTCGTTCTGCTTCGCCTACTCCGAAGACCCCTATACTGTCTTTATGTCATGTTGACAGGTAAAGTGATGAACACGATAAACATGCAAGGGCGATTGATGGTGACCCCTTAATAGTCGAGGCCGGGTAAAGTTAGCTTCCAGTCATCAGATGCAGCCTGGGAATCGAGCGCTTCACTTGCGAAGATACCGTCGATGTGCTGTGGGTGAGAACGATGAATGGCGAGTGAGGCCGGTCCCTGCACCAGGCTTGGGTGGACATAATATCTGTGAAGACTGACCTACCTTTCCCATATCTTTGACAACAGCCGCGCCCGCAGGCGCTCGATCGACGGCAATGCCTCACCAGCTACCTCTGACGTGTGCAGCGATGGACAGTGTAGTCGAAGAGAATTCTCGTCGCGTTGAGGAAGAGATGGAAGATATATCATGAGGAATCGAGGTCATGTCCGCCGAAGGGGTGTCTTTATCCTCAGGAATGCCGGCTTGAGGCAAATCACCCTGGCAAGCGTCATCAAGGGGGACTTCCGCCAACTTGGCAGCATCATGTTGTCGACGTGGAGAGGTAGCGAGCCGCAGTGGTTGCAGTGTTGGCAACGTGATTCTTTTTTGGGAGTGTGCATCGATGGGAAGCAGCGAACCACTGAAAACGTGTCGGGTGGAATTGCAGAGGTAAGAGCGACTGGACGACCACCGAGTCCTCCGGCATTTGCACTTCAACAGTATTCTCGGCCAGGTCCAAGGCGCTGCTGAGAAACTACGCTTGGTCGTCACAATGAGACCGAACTCAGCCCGCGACGACGAATTCAAGCACCAAATCAAAGAACGCAAACGATCCGTCCTGATCCTTCCTGTCTCTCCTGCAAGCGCCCTGTGCCAAACCTGATGCGACGATGGGCTTGACGATAGCTAGAGCCGCATCTACAGTACGAGGCCTACAGAGATTGACCAGCGGCGCCGTTCGCCTTCTCCAGGGCTCAATCGTTGCATCCACAACTCTCGTCCACACCACGCCACGCCTCGACGCCTCGCTAGCATCGCAATTTGAGACCATTGACAAGGCGCCCATTCGTCCCAGAGTACCATCTGCGTTGAACCTAGCCAGCCCTTTTCATCCTCCTACGATGCATCGCACCGAACTCGCGCCGTGAGCTTCTCACCCACCCAGTGCTCTTCTTTATTCCGTCGGCTATCGCGAACTGAGCGAAGGAGGGCGATGTGACACGCGGAATCAAAGCAGTGAAGCAGGAAAAATGGAAATTCAAGCTTTTCGTTCTATGTATTATATGCAACATGCTGTGCGCATGCATCTCCATCGCCTGCCTACCTACCTACCGCCTCTTTCACATCAGCAGGCAAAACCTCGAGACCGTCCTTCTATTCACATCATCTACCATTACACGGCCTAGGCACCTCACGCCGTCGATCCTCCCCACTAGCTCCTCACGTGTAATGTGCATCGACTTCGTCCCTGATCCTTGTCCCCCAACCATGACTCTCACCAACCATGGCCCATCTCACTCCGGTAAGAACAACCCCGGTCCACCAACACCCAACGACAATCCCTTTCCTTCCCTTCCCAACTCAATTCCCCTGGCCTCCTTTCTCCTGTCCATGCCCCCTCTCAGCCCTCAAAGCCCGCACGCGCTCCCACTCCCCCTCGGCGACCTCCCTCCGACAAACCCAGGACATGACCCTCCACAGCGCCACAAGCAGCTCTTTGCGCTGCCTTACGTCAAACAGGTCGTGGTACTCACTGCGACACACTTGCAGGATATCCTCCTCCCGTAGGCCCTTCTCCGCCGTAGCCTCCACGCCAGTCCCTGTCCCTGTCCCTGTCCCTGTGCCTGCCTCTGCCCCAGCCTTCTTCGCCGTGGTCGTCCCACTCAACAAAGGCATCTCCGCCTCGGCATCACCGTTCTCCAACCACGTGAGGTATCGGCTGCTGACGCGCATCTTGAGGATCGCCACGTGGTGGTTCACGCAGCTGAGGAGGAAGACTTCGTCCCAGTCGCCCTGCGCAGCAGGCGCGGCAGGTGCGGCAGCATTCACTTTTGCTTTTGCATCTGCATCTGCATCTGCATCTGCATCTGCATCTGCATCTGCATCTGCATCTGCATCTGCCTTTGCATCTGACGAGCCTGAGGGGTCCTCGACGTGGGCGGGCACGGCGCTCTCCTGTGCATTACCTTCCGCCCCCGCCGCTGCCATTCCCTCGCCATCACCATGACCATCACCACTATTGCCCAACGGCGCGCCCACCCTCCGCCAAAGCACCTTCTCATCCCAGCCACTGCTATTGGGCTTGACCTGCGTCCACTCGCGGTACCACTTGCGGCGCATGGGCGCCGTGTACATCAGGCGCCGGCCATCCTTGTACTCGGCTTTTTCTTCACGGTCTTTGTCGCGCTTGTCTTCGCGGGAGGCGGGCGATGATGAGGGAGAAGAAGATGATGATGATGATGATGACGATGGAGAGAGGCCCAGGCGGGAGAGTTGGGAGACGCGCTCGTTGATGGCGAGGCGGTGTTTCTTCTTGGGAGGGCGGTCGCTGTCGGTGTTACTGCCCCCGGAGGACGAAGAGGTATTCGTCGAGGCGTCGTCGGCGGTGATGGGCTCGTCGCTGCCGACACTCCTGGTGGAGCTGGAGCTGGAGCTGGAGCTGGAGCTGGACCGGGACCTCGTCGATGAGTACGCCGGTGTGATGATCGGTGTCAAGGTCGGAATCCTGACCGACGTCTCACTCAACAATCCCACCATGGGTCCCGGACCCGAGCCGGGTTTCTGATCCGTGCCCGGCGAACCCGCCTGTGCCTCCGTCTTTGCCAGCAAGTCCTCGACCTTGACCTCGCCGTTGACCTTCCCCGCCACATCGTCAATGCGTTTCATCTCCTCCTGCGTCTTTTCCCGCTTCTGCATCTGCAGTTCTCGCTCCGTAGGGCTCCAGCTCGGGTCCTCATCCTCAAATACCTCGTTAGCCAACATGCCCCAACGGGTCGGCGCACCACCCCACCGCGGCGTCTTAGCCCACCACCACCGCTGCGTGACACGCTCGTGCTCGGCGTCCTTCTTCCTCCCCTCGCGGCCCCTCTGCAGCGCGATCGCAAGCCCGGCGCCAATCTCACGCAGCAGATCTACAGGAGCTCCGAGGCAGTCACCGATCTCGTTGCGCTCGCGCTTCTCCTGCTCCAGCAGACGCTTGTACAGCGCGTCGCTGAAGACCGTTTCGTGGCGGACGCTCACGCCCATGACAGGGCCCTCGACGTGGCGTGCCCTCGCCAGTGCGCGGTCGTTGGGAAGTCGCGCAACCACGAAGCTGGACATGACGAATGCGGGGGGAATGTTGATGTCGCGGATGCGGAGCCGTTCGCGGGGGCTGAGGTCGTAGTCGCGGCACGTGAACTTGTGCATGACCATCTTGAGGAGGTTGCGGACTGCTGAGGTGCGGGTGCCCGGTGGGAGCTGCGAGCTGTTGCCGAGTCGGGGGCCAGTGTACATTTCCTTGGTGGTCTTTGTGTTCGAGTCTGAGGGCTGGATAGGGGAAGGGTCGCTCGTGTTGGCGCTCGTGGAATCCGCCATTTCTGAATCACCTTCTGCGTCTTTCTTCTCCTCGCTGCCAACACCACCGGTAGACGAATTCTTGCCGTCTTTGCTTTCACTAGCTTCCTCCTCTTCCATCTCAAAGTAGTGGTCGCCCGTGGAGTCGCAATACCGACTCATATCCTCCAAACTACCGAAGAAATTCCTGCTGTAGGCGACGCGCGGCTTCGGTCGTCCCTCCCTTGGTCTCTGGCGCAGCACCTCCCGAAAAGCGTCCTCGTTCTCGGTGTTGAGCTCGGCAAGCATGGCCTCTAGATCGGCATCGAACAGGAAAGGCCGCTGTGGGAGGAAGTCGGTGGGAACGAAGTCCGATGAGTCCAACGGCACATCCTGAGTGAGCTGCACATTCATCAAGTTGAACACTTCGTCCGTGTTGTCGGTTGGCCGGCGCGCACAGAGGATGGCTCGGCGAAGCTCTCGCATCGAGCGCCGACTAAGCGGACGGGGTTTGGTCTCTGGAACATGGCGGGGAAAGTCTAGTGGCGTCGGGCGTGGCGGTGGCGCGCGAGGCTTGTTCAGCAGTGATTCGGACTGTGGTGCTGCGCGATAGTTAGACAGGTACGGGTACGGATATGGATATGGCGACGGTGGGGGAGAGTAAGGCAGGAAGGTGGTGGTGTCCGGTGATGGCGACGGCGAGGCGAAGGGGCAGTCGCGCTTTACTCCTGCTTGCTCAGGATTCTGCAGCGAAAGAAAGAGACGAAGACTGTCCTCCATGTTTCGCAGGGTAGGACAAGCCAAAGGTCCCAAGCCCTCGCTTTTGAGAACCAGGGACAAGGATTCCAGGAGTAGTGAGTTAGCGAATCCGAGGCAACGGTGAAACGAAACGCCTCAGCAATGATGTATTGCTCGTTGCTCGAACATGGCGCAGTAAAACGCCGCCAGGTAATTCAGGCGTGCCGCAAGATTGCTGCCATGCACAACGTGGTGTGACCTCATCGCCGTTGAAGGGGAAGGGGGGGCGTCAACGGTGGTGGAATTCGGATTTGAGGCAGTAGCTAGGACGGATGAAACAGTTCTGAGCTTACCAAGGCTTCCCCAGATGCCGGAGCTGCCGCCACCGAACATCTTGCTGGCCGATTGGTGATTGTTTCAGCGCTGAAATGGGTTTGATGACGAGCTCCAAGTGTCTCATTTGAGTGATGTATGGACGTAAACGGACCTTCACAACGTCGAGGTGCTGCGTAATGGGGGGCAATTGTCCGAATCCGATAGGAAGTGAGACTCGTGCGAATTTGAGGAGCTACCTTTCTGTCGTGTGTTTGAGCTCGAATGAGCAACGGATATCAGATGTGCTGCGAATGCGGGACGGGCCTGTGCATGCCATCCAGTGTATAGCCGCCAGACTCACAGCAAGCTCAACTTCCGACTGGGGCTATGCAGTCAGCACACGAGCCGTCTATCGGGCTCTTTTAATAGCGGTGCACCGCTTGATAGGCGATGCAAATGCCGTGTGCTGCAACATCAAGGCTTGGGCCTACAAGTACATGAATTTTTGGAGTCGAGGGCTCAGAGGTGCATCAGGGCGCGAGACGGATGCATAAGGAATGTTCCGGCAGGTGTCTTGGGCTCCCGACTGGAGGACGATCACTCTCAGACAAGTCAGACCGCTTCAATGCAGGCAAAGAGCAGCGGTTGTTTGAGCAGTGGGTTGAGGTGCAGATTAGGCGCCATGAGGCCGGGGTGTTGACTGGCTGTAGGGCGGTCCATGAGGGGCAGTTCTTGGTGGTTCACATCCCAGGCAGATGTGGCTGTCTCCGAGTCATGAACTGCAATGCGATGCCTACGACAACAGCTCCGTGTCTACGATCGAGGAGAAGGTTTCAACGGGCCGTCAGGATTGCCTCTGAACAATCGCTCTGCCCTGAATGGGGGGTGAAGGGGTAAGAAGAGGAGAAGCGAAGCAGGGTTGTCGACGAAACAAGGTTCGAAATTTTGTGTATTGCACGTCCGAATCATGAAGCTGTCTCTCATGATACTCAAAAGACCTCGATGCATGCTATTCGTTGCGGTAAGATGCGGTACGTGGCTCTCGGATCTCGCAGGATTCGTGATGTGCTGGATGCTGATCTGACGCATTGCACTTGTCATCAAACCGTAGTCCGTCAACTCCGTCGGCGGTTGCCCTCACCAATACGCACATATGTCTACTCCTTGGTCTCCTCGTCCTCGCCAGTCAGAGCGTTACGCTTCTGTAGGACACGCTCCTGCCGTCTCTCGCGGGCAGCCTTGGTCTTCGCACGCTTGGCGTCCATCTCCTCCTTGAGGATTCTCTCACGCTGCTTCTCGGCCTTGGCTTTGTGGATCTGGTAAGGAAGTCAGTAGGATGCTAGGGTCGATGCACATGGTAGCAACATACGTGTTCAACAAGGGCACGCTTGTGCTTGAAGGTGTTACCCTTGCTCAGCTGGTACAGCTCATGGTAGAGGTGCTTGTCGATCTTGCCAGCGGCGCGGTACTTGACCAAAAGACGGCGGAGGACACGAAGGCGTCTCATCCACAAAACCTGACTGTACATCGCATAATAATCAGCCATCATATCCAAAATAATGCTCGGTCCATCGTGTGCACTTACGAAGGCATTCTGGCGTCCTTGGTACCCTTCCTCTTACCGTAGCCACGGTGTCTACCGATTCTCCGGGCCTGGTTGAGGGCTCTAGCACGGGCACGAGAGTGCATAGCAACGGGCTTGCGGATGATGAGGCCATCGGCGACGAGCTTGCGGACGGTCTGACGGGAGTTGGCGTTCGAGATCTCGTTGACTTCGTTGGGGTCGAGCCAGATCTTGCGCTTGCCGCAGCCGACGACCGACGCGGCCAGGCGCTTCTGAGTACGGAGGTTGACCCTAAAGGAGCATGAATATTAGTCGCCATTCGGTTTGGGCGGTGTTGCAGTCTGGGACGTCATGAAGCTGAGGGGTAGCCAAAATGCCACAATCTCTGTAGCACTGAACTTGGAATAGTGTACATGTGCTGCGACAATGCGTGTGTATGTGTGTACTCACATCTTGCTGAATCTCCAAAGAGACTGATGGCCTGGTTGTCGATGGGCGATGAAGTCGATGTGGAAGGCGCAGGATTGGTGTTGCAGTTTCGAAAGTGTGGGAGAAGGGGCCTTGGCGGCTCTGAGTCACGTGAATGTCCTCCCAAGGCTTCAATGCAGCCTTGTCACTCGGATCACCAGTGCGCTGCAGGGTATACCAAGAGCTGATCGAGAGCCACATTAAATCCAACTGCTCCCACCAGGATCGAGTTGTCACAAGTAGTTCACAGATAGCAAGCATGCAGGATGGTTCAGTCATAAACAGTCATTATTGAATTGATTTTATCCGTGGTCGTAATTCGGAACAGAACATCACCACCCTCAGGTGCCATGCTTGCTTTGCCATCGCTCCTCGCTTTTGTTGACCCTCGGCACCTTGATATCGCCCGAAAGACAAATCGCCCACACCGATCTGGATAAGACGACGCCAGATCGATAGCGCCGGCTTTCGAAGGTCCAATGAAGACCCTTGAAGCCCAGTAACAGGGTGAGGGCAGACAACAATTCCACAAGAGCGACCATCGAAGCAAGACAACAGCACGCCAGGCTCGTGTCCGGTTGATTCATAATCCATATTCCATCCCTGTTCGTCCACCACGTGTATCGTCGCTCATACATGTCCTAGCCCATTTCCTGCATGTCAAAAACAAAGCAAATCTAAAAAGCCGTATCATCAAGCCATTGGCCGTCCCAACTGGGAAACAAGCCATTGCAAGTGCTTTCGTGTTCCACCGTGTAAAATACTTGCTGGTTCGTAGAAGAGAAGTTTCGGGTCATAAAATCGTAAAGCCGGTCGATCCAGAGCGCCGCGAAGAGCAGGCTCCGGCTGTTCAGATCGTTGAGCTCTGCGAGTTCCTTCTTTTCGGGGCATTCATTACGTCGTCAAGCGCTTTTGGGGTGTCGCGTTGTCAAATCGGTGCGCAAATTAGTCAGTGGCTGCACAATCAGCGCTGTCCACCAGTCTTGATCGCCTGCATGTGAGGTGCATTCAAAGGCATGCCAAAGGGCTCCTGACGGACGGGACCAGTCTTTTGGCGCTTGAAGTCGAAATCTCGGCTACCAGGCCGATCTTGATCATCGTCTTCGCGCCCGCGCTTAGCCGACTGCATGCCAGTTCCGGAGTAGGCCGAACTTGGGTACGCACCATCAGAGCTGGGTCCGTTGGAGCTGTTGGTATTTCCCATTACATTATAAACATTGCTCGAGGTCGATCCACGTGGAGGAGTCTGGTAGTCGTGAGCACCCCAGCCAGCTTGAGCAGGAGGCATGGTGCGAGGGGTGCCACGGCCAGACGCAGCTTGGTGAGGCGAGCCGGTCATCTCTGGTGACAGATGAGGGTGATCGGATGCTGGGTTGTAGCTATAGGCGCGGCTGGCGCCATAGGCAGCCGCGTTGGAAGACATGTAGCCGTTCTCTCCATGGCCAGCGTCGTGCTCATGGCCTTGGCCATGACTACCATCGTGTGCCTCAAGGGGCGCGGCACCAGGAGCGGAAGGTGGTCCCATCTCGCTTTTGGTGTATGTAGGAGGCTGGCCATATCTCGCATCTGACTGAGGAGGATATCCAGGTACTGAGCCCGGAGTGTTGTACGTCGCCTTGGTATCATAGCCGGGCTGGCCTTGATAGCCCTGCATGTTCTGTTGGGATTGGCTTGGGGGCGTGGTGGCCGGGGTGGTAGGCATGGATCGAGCGTTAATGCCAGTATCAATTGAGAGCGGCTGTGCGCCGTTGACCCCGTTTGCCATAGGTTGGGCGCCCCATTCGTAGCCGGGACCACCAGAATTGCCCATGCCCATCACGCTAGAAGCACTGGTGGGTGGGGTGGGAAAAGTGTGAGCACGATCAAGGCCAGGTCGACCAGCATTTGGATTGGGCGCAATCGAGTGGGGAGTTGGAGGCGCTTGGCCTGGGATTGGTCCTGACATCGAGTGGTGATGATGGAGTGGGGGCGCACCACCAGAAGACGAGGGAGGGCGACCACCGTCTATACTGTCCATGCGTCGACGCTCAGTCGTCGCTGCGACGAGATTGTTGGTGCGAGGTGCGCTTTCGGGATTGTACAGCAGGCCACCGATGTTATGAACGAACAAAGGATAGAGCAAGTCGGTGATCTTTTCCCGGTTGGCAAACTCAAGGGCTCGTTCAAAAGGGATCCTACTGTGTGTTAGATGGGAGAGCCTTCAGCAGCAATTGAATAACTTACCAAACGCCTTTGAGGTGCATGGGTCCAATTTTGACCACATGTCTCGTTTTTTCGGACTTCAAGATACCGTCACGACGACCTCGAGTCATGCCTGCAACGTTCAAGAGCTTGGTACCGTTGATGAAATGGTTATCTTCTCTTCGCGCTACGCAGACGCCCTTGGCTTCGACCTGGAAGCACAAGCTACCCTCATCTTCCCACAGGGTCGCGGTCACACGAGGCTTCATACCCGGCGGAGCATTCTGGCCCGTAGGATCGTAGGGATTTGCAGGGTACTGCTGGTTCGAAGGAGTACTCTGGGGAGGATAACCAGCATGCTGAGGGGCACCACCCATGGACATGGCTGCAAACCGTCAGTAAGGATATTCGGGCTGCTGATGTAGGCTGACTTACCAGGAAGCTGAATGTTCTGGGATTGCACGCCAGGCCCAATATGCCCTCCTGCTGACTGGGGCGAGGTCACACCGTTAGGATAACCATAGCTTGAGTATGTAGGCGGAGGACCGTAATGCGCCGAGCTAGGCTGCATGACCGGCTGAGGCTGATACTGCGGATAATGCTGCATGGGAGCAGCGGATGCAGGATGCGAGTAGGACGGCGCAGAGGACATATGGTGTGGAGCATGCATGTCCATGTACGGCGGACCTTGGTTCATAGTGAAGGATACCGGGCTGTAGACTGCGCAACACTTATGCCTCCGAGTGCTGGGAGAACAGCACAAACCCTATTGCCGGCGTTGGAAGTGTTTGCCGCCCACAGTACAGCGATACCTAAGTATAGGCTACTTTGTTGGATTGGCAGTCCTGCTATCACGCTTGGTGGGGATAAGGCGATTCGCGCGGGAGGATCTCAAGGCAGCGAATTGGTAGATATTGGGATCGTGAAATCGTGAACAGTGACACGCTTGTGTGATGCGCTGGTCGGCACGGGCAGCTGCCGATGGCGCAGCTCACGGAGCGGGGACGAAAGGCTTAGGAGATCGAACAGCTAACGGACTTTTTTCGAATTTGGCGTAATTAGTCGTTGGTGGTCGTGACGGTCATAGACAGGTCGTGAACGCGAAAGGCAGCACAAAAGAGATCCAGCCGACTGTTGGGAGAAAAACGTTAGCATTGATACTGGGACTATCGCTGCAACGGATGTGGTGGAGGCGGCAGTGACCGTCGCGCAGATCCCGGCACGCTACCAGCACCAACGAGCGCCAGACATGAAGAATTGATTCCGAAACCACAGAAAACTGCGTCGCTTCTACCGTGGTGGTAGCCATGGCCGTGGTACTGGTGTGTGCAGATGGTAAATCGAGGAGCATGGTGGGCCTTACCAAAGATTGTAGCAGCCGAACAGAGCCACAGCACCCGAATTCGCTGGCAGCAAAGAGAAGCCTCGGTCGTGTCGCAGACGACTAGGCCATGAGACGTCCGGCAAGAAGTCGTCGATGGCGAGGTACAGAGGATGGGCAAGCAAGTTTGCAATTGAGATGAACGTGCAGAGAAGAACACTGCACTGCAAGGTCTGAGGCAGCAGGTTGAGGCAGGTTGCAGGAGGGATGCAAGATGCACAGTAGCCGAAGCGGGAGGGCCAGAGGGTGCATTAGAGGCATTTCTAGAGGGCGAGCTGCCGCCCACAAGCTTCCGACCTAAAGAACTGAGGGGGTGGGAACCGTGCTGACTTGGCGGCCATTAGCACCTCGATTTCAACGATTTGCTGGTCTGCTCCACCTAGAAGGGCCCGCTTCCGGCTAGGCTAAGCTGATCCACTGGGGGGCTTCACACCCAACCAGCAGCCAGCGGGGTGTCGTGCTTAAGCCTGGCAGCCCGCCCCCGGCCGTGTCTGTTCGCCCTCGGGTAGAGAATCTTTTGGGTCAGCGTTGTGCTGGCGGGCCGGGCGATTGTCTATTCTGCAGTCGTGTCAAGGCCGAGTGGACAACGATAACGAGCTCGATAATGATTATTCACTGAGCACCAAGGGATGACTACACCTACTAGTGTATGGCCTGCGTGCACCCGTTGCCCTGAAACCGACCTCCTTCAGCCGCACGCCACGAAACAATAGACATTATACTTATTTTCTCACCCTCCACGAAGCACGTCAACCGCGTGGTTATCGGCATGAGCTGGGAACCACTGGCATTGGCCCGAGGTTCCCAACAGAGTTGATGATGGACGAGTGTCTCGCAATTGCCTTTTCTCCCGGTACGGAGTACGGAGTATTCAACTGGCAACATATCCATCTCTCCAGCCATCTTTCTCGGCTTCCTGATTCCTACGCGTTCCGGCTGTTGTCAGTTCCTAGGCCCAGGCCCACCGCTACCCTACCCATTGGCGAAGGGCGACCCGCGGATCCAAGCCACAGTGGAAAGGCAGCGAGCAGCTTAGGCGAATGAATATTTCGACCTCGTCAGACAGTATCGGCCATACCGTACGGCGGCTATTCTTCAACAGGATCCTTCAAGCAGATCCCTGTCTCGGAGAAAACAGACGTTATCACTACCCTATTACTCAGACCACAAATCAATGCTAGTATTGCAAACCAAGCCAAAAGGTCTCAAAAAACCCGACTCCTTGCTCCTGTACAACGCGGCTCAGCCTTGGGCCTCGGTGGACAATAACCATGGTGAAGCGGGTCTGTCGGTGTCAAGAGCTCCGCCGACGCGAGGCGTTGCTTTTTTTCGTGTGTCTCTGTGTCGAATAGATGAAAAGAGCGAGGATCTCTTCTTTTGAGGTGATGCTCCACCATAGTCGGCGCCGATAAAGTGCGTGGCGGGTAGCCTGGAAGGCATAACGCGGAGTAGGCCTTCGCAGGCCTATCAGCGCTCACAACCTAGCCTAACACTCACTCCGCAGCGAGTCAAGAACAGGCGATGAATTCCTAGCCCCCTCCAACAGCATGACATGTGTCTGTCTAGCGCCCATCCACACCCGAGTCGAGGGCGGCAAATTCGATGATGCCAATGGCTGCGCTTGTCTTGCTTGGACCAAAGACCATGACAGCTTCAACGCCGGTGATGCTCAGCAAATATTGCCACCGGTTCCTGCAGATGGCTACTCCGTACGGAGTGCTCTGGTATTCCTGAGGTGTCAAGACGCGGCTCGCGCTCTACGAAATGGCTGGGATCCGAATTGGCGAGAATGGAGACTAGGTTCCTCCAACACCACCAGATCCCAGTCAGATTGGTATCCCAGCTATGCTTATCCCGGCAATCCTTCACCGCAAAAGCACATGCACGTCATGAGCTTCCCGGCTCCAGTCCTCAAGCTGATCACGATGGCGCTGTTGTGTCGATTTACCACGCGAGACTCGTTCATTTCCCAGCCTGATGATTTCAGTTGTTACGCCGCCTTGAGTTGCACACACGAACAGCTTCTGCCCACACAGTAGAATCCGTCATCCAGCGGTATCGCCCATTCGGACAACGAGCCCCATGCAAGCCAGACTCGCAGAGTTTCGGGTCGGCGGCATCGGCTGAAATATACCCTGCGAGGTACTTCTGCCGGCAAGGCAGAAAATCGAGTGACGGTCGGAGGTACCACCGTCCGCACCAGAGTTGCATTCGCGCCGGCTTAGCAAAGACGTGCCGATTGCTGTTACGAAAAGCAACGCGGCGCCACAATTCTATCTAGTAATTCAATGTGGACAGACGTTGAGTTATAGTCACAGAGCCTGGGGTGTTACTGTGAGGCAGATCACCCGCACGTTGGAGGCTCAGCCTGCTGGCTATTTCTTGCAGCAACGCTACCGTATGCATGCAAGGTCCGGAGCGCCAGGCAGTTCGTGTGCTGTGTCTTTAGGGTCGCCTTGCAGCTGCGGCGCATGGGAGGTATCTCCCGAGGCGGACGCACATGCAAGATCGTTACAAGATGATTTTTTCCCTTCTGTTCCAGAAGAAACAGCGATGATCGACGATCGCTATGACCCGTCGCCCCATCCTCCTTTATCAGGCTGGTGTCAGCTTTAACACAATAACAGGCGGTGTGATAAGAGAACACAGTAGTAACCGTCACGGCTCGCTTGCACCCCCCGCCTGTACTAGTCGTTACAGCGGACCAGCGGTAACTTATCGCCCTCTGAGCAAAGACGACCGATACCATCCGAGATCTCCATTTGCAACCGGCCTGCCCTAAACGACATGGCCTGTGCTTGGAACTCTTCAACTCAAGGGAGGCTGGTCACTGGTAGGGGCAATGTCCACGTTGAACAAGACCAACGGGGGGCTCCACTGCACTTGCAAGAGACCTTGCAGGGCCAGCCAACAAGCGAAGTCCTGCAAGCCCCCGGACGATCTCCATCCTGGCTGGGAAGCCTCCGCCTGAACAGGCCAGACAGGCGAGAAAAAAAGCCTCCGTTCTGGCCGCCACACATCCCGGTCGCTGCGTTGGCATCCGTGGATTGGCCACCTTGTCCGCGATGGCCCCTCCTCTTGAGGAACCACTCACCTTGTTCTATGGGTGATTTTTCGCCAGAGAAAAGGTCAGACAACCACTTTGCTTTCCGAAACCACTTTCTCGACTGTGGGCTTTGTCCCGTTCGTCTGTCAGCCTCTCGAAGGGCCAAGACGGTAAAAGCAACCTCACAGGGCAAAAACATACTTTTGCTCTGGGTCCAACGTTACTGGTATCGCTTGCACCCGTCTTCTCGCATCGCTGTGCTGCAACACTGCTCCGTTGGCGGTCGATCAGTGCAGCAGCTCTGCATCAAACCAACCTGCTCATGCACCTGTTCGCATTGCCGCAGATTAAGGTACGTACCCGGATCCAGGCTGGGACCTCAGTCTGCTGGGACTCGAATGCAGCCTGGCGGCTTCCTGGGTCAGCAAAGTGGGAACCAACTTGCTACCCTTTGTGGTTTCCCTAGTCTCTAGTCCTCTCTCCCCTTGCTGCCGGGCCCCAGTACCGGCTCCTGCAAGACATCTTGCATCAGTTCCCCAACACCAACACTTTCAGGTCATTCCACTTGCGGCCATCAATTGGCAGCTCACTTCCCGAGCTTAAGATGAGCCTCTTCCTTCAGCCCACCATTGATAATTGGCCTTGACGTTGGCAATATTGCAGTCCCAACCAATTCTCCGGCAAACCAATTCTGCGGCAAAGACGGGTCTCAGAAACAATCAGCAACCATTCAATGGCTGGCTGCATGACACGAAAAAGCCATCTGGGGCAACCTGCAGATGATAGCCTCGCGGGACCCTCATCTGAAACCCCCGTCTTTTCCTTTTCTCCCTTTTCTGACCCAGGAAGCACTACTCTCGCTTCCTGACTTTCGGACCTGCAGTGTACGATGGTGATGATGTGCATATTCCTGCCGGCTGCTACAGTCCCGCGGGTCCGGACTGTCAGTTGGTTACAAGGGAGATTGAGGTCGCCGCCTTGCATCGTGGCGGTCTGGCCGTTCAACGTGGGCCCTTTTTCAGTTTCGGATTTCTCTCACTCACAAAAAGGGCGGATCTTGGCCCCCTGTTTCCCCCTGAACATCATGTTGCTTCTGCCCTGGATGACATACGGACGGACCGAGGACCGTTGAGTCCATGACGGCAAGCCCACCGAGACCGGAGAGCATGTACGTAGGTCAAGGGAACATGACGTTGACTCGTTCGTTCAGTGTCGTGGCGAGCTCAGCCCCTGGCTAGAACCAATGACTGCGCAATTCCAGCCTCCAGTATATGACGACGAGATCGTCTATCCTGCCCCAAGCGTTCAGTCCCGCTGAAGTCACTCGGTGGCTAGTTTCCAGCCTCCGGTTGATGACGACGAGATCGTCTATCCTGCCCCAAGCGTCCAGTGCCGCTGAAGTCACTCAAAGGCTAGTTTCCGGCCTTCTGCGCTCCGAGCTCCCTCCAGCAGCTTATCCGAGTGGAATTCTGCTCAGGGGAAAGGCAAAGGGATGATCGCAGGTAAGAGCTGTCCGCCAGGCGGCGGCGAGCTGTTGGCCACACCTCCTTTGCGGAGTTGAGAGCTACCTCGTTGTAATGGTCTTGACGCTTGTAGCGAGTTGAGGACGACGAGGAAGAAGCGCTTAGGCCGATGAGCCCGTTCTTGCGAACCTTTGGAGAGACGGTGATAAACCTGGTGGCACCTTGCTACGGCCATGAAATTGGTCTTCCACGTATGTTTATTGACATGGCCGACAAGCCTGCGTTGTGTGTTGTACGGAGATCTGTTTCAATGAAGCCTCTGTCCAGGTGTCAAAGGCATCCGTGTACCGGTAGTGACGTCCACTGCAAGCCATCCACCGCCATCATCCATCTCATGATCTATCCTGACTCATCTCATGCAGCAGCGCAATGACTTCCTCCCCGTCCACATCTCCCAGTCCACCCCCCTCAACATCCAATTCCGCCCCATCTCGGCCCATCCTCCTCCACCGTCCCTCCAACAGCTCCTTCACCCTCCTCCTCAACACCTTCACCGCCAACGCCTCCCTCCACCGCCTCACACTCACCCTCACCCGCCCATCCAAACTAATCACGCCCGAAAACACACTCGTCTCCGCCGCCGTTTCGCCCTGCGGCCCCATCCCCATCCCCAATCCCAACAGCAGCGCCATCCCCAAATCCGGCACCCTGCCCACCTCCCTAACCTGCACCGCCGGTCCAGCTCCCGCGCCCTGGCCCGCGGATCGCGTCTGCACCGCCTCAGCATAACACAGCCATTTCGGCGGCTTGGCGAGGTCGCGCACCACGCTCCCGCGCGCGGGCGCCACGACCTGGTTGCTGAAGACGTTGCGGTAACCTTTCCCCTCGCGCAGCAGGAGGCGTGGGTAGAACGCCGCCGCGATGAGGCTGAGGAGCAGGTCGTCGCTGATGGGGACGTTGTACCACTCCGGCAGGACGTACGTTGGTGCAGCAGCGCCGGCTGAGGCCCGCCCACCCCTGTTTCTCATGGCGCCGGCGCCGGCGCCGCCGGTGCTTACACGAGCGCGGTTGAGTGCGGCGCGCTCCTCTCGAGATAGGCTTAGGACGCCGCCATCGGCGAGATACACGCATAGCTGGACGCGGGTGTCTTCGATGTCCGCGAGGTTCAGCAGGCCGTGGCGGCGCGCAAAGTCCGCGCCCTGGCCCTGCGCCTTGGCGCGCTGGTACGCGGTGTAGGCGCCGAGCGTGGTGAGGACGTCGCTGTCGCCGCGGGCGAAGGCGGCTTTGCCGGTGAGCGTGCTCATGCCGCTGGGGCCAGAGGCGCCTTTGCTGCCGTTGCTGTTCGTGTTGGTTGCGAAGATGCTTTTGGAGGTCATGAGCGCGATGATGGTGACGATGGGGTCCAGACAGCGGAACGCGGCGCCCAGCACGGCCAGCTTCCCCAGCGCGACATCGAGCGGCAGACGGGCGAGACGCTGGCCTAGTGGTGTGAGACGCTCTACGGCGTCTAGGGCGCCGGCCTCCTTGAGGCGCTCGACGGCGCGGGCGACGCTCTTCTTGGACGGTGCGTCCAGCGCCTGCTCGAGTGTCTCGGCGATTGAAGATGAGGCGAACCCCAAGCCCCCGCTGGGTCCTTGGTCCCACAGCTCGATGCGCATGATTGTCTCGGCCAGACTGAGACGCAGCATCTCCGGGACCTGCTGCTCCAGTAGGCCGTGCTCGAAGCGGTGTTGCGTGACGAGGTGGAAACACAAGCCCGGCTGCACGCGGGCGGCGCGGCCACGACGCTGGCGAGCTGAGCTTCGCGCGATGAAAGATTCGCTTAGCCGTGATACCTGGCGGCGGGCGTCGAAGCGCATGATTTTCTCCTTGCAGGTGTCGATGACGGCGGTGATGTCTGGAATTGTCAGGCCCGTTTCGGCAATGTTGGTCGCGAGGACGATTTTGCGGTGGCCCGGGGGTGGGGCCGCGAAGGCGCGTTCGAGGTCAGAGGTTGAGAAGGATGAGTGCAGGGTGTGGACTTCCCAATTGTGAGCGAAGGTCGGGCTGTTGAGAAGGGCGTTGCTGAGGCGGCGTATTTCTGCAAGACCCGGTAGGAAGATGAGGATTGCACGGGAGAAAGCGCTGTAGGCTGTTTTGGTAGCGATAGCAGTGGCGAGTTTGACGATGAGCGGGTAGTCGATGCGATATTCGTCCATGCTGGTCAGGCGGCGGACGGTGGCTTTGCTGTAGCTCTGGAGGGTGTCGGCGCCTTTGCTGGCTTCTCTGGGCTCCTCGTCTGAATCGTCGCCGCCATTGTCATCAGGCTCGAGGACGATTTCCTTTGCAACTCCTCCGACATCATTGGTTGCCTCCAGTGCATCCTCCAGATACTTCACGGTCACGGGGAACGTCCGCCCCTCGACATCCAGTACTGGGGCACCCTCAAAGTATTGGGAGAATTGCTGCGCGTTCACTGTTGCTGACATCAGGATTATCTTCAGCCCCGGTCGCACTTGCAGCAGTCTCCTCAGTGCGATAAATGCCAGATCCATCTCCATGCTCCTTTCGTGCACTTCATCTAGTATCAGATAGTCCAGACCCTCCAGCGTAGGACTCGTCTCCAGCATGCGAAGCAGCACGCCGGTGGTGGCGAACGTCAGACGAGTGCTCTCGCTAGTCTTGCTCTCAAGGCGAATTGCATAACCGATCAGCGACTTGCTGGTGCCGAGGTCATTACGCCCTTCGCCGATCTCTTGCGAGATGCGCCGTGCAAGAGAAATTGCGGAGATGCGGCGCGGTTGGGTGACGAGGATGCGGATGTCGCGGCCAGCTGACAGCTGCTGTTCCAGAAGGTAGGTACCAGCTTGTGTCGACTTGCCGGAGCCAGTCTCAGCGCAGATGATGGTCACAGGGTTCGCAGCGATGGCTTGGAGTATGTGCGATTTCTGGTTGTAGATGGGAAGCTGATTGCGTTGGGAGAGCATGGCATGATAGGCTGAGCTGGTTGCGCGCATGTGCCAAGCTGCACGGGCTTCATCTTCTGTCATCTTCGATGATGTTGCTGGACGGTCGTCCTTGCGTGTGCGGTATGGTACAGGCTGCTTGCTCACCTCGCGTGAGTATGGCTTTGAGGGTGCCTTCTGGGAGTCTTCTTGAACTTTCATGATCATACCACGTAGCTCTTTGAGTAAAACCTTATCACTTGCTTCAGAGAGCTTCTTCTGCTCCGCACATAGACCAGAGAAGTGTTTGGTCCAGGCAGATGGCAACCGGCTTGAGGCTTTCGCGTCTTGGCCTGGTATGGACAACACAAGGAAAAGCATTACCAAGGATATGTAGTCCAGTGACGAAGTAACTGTAGAAGCTGCAATTGTCTGCATTTCAACCGTCCACAGGCGTCCATCGATTGATGACACAACTCCATCGGGCAAGGCCTGTACGGCAAACTGTTCTGGCGTTTGCGTTTTAGACCATCTGCATTCGAGAGAGTGGCGGGTTGAATATCCTGTCTTGTGGAGCGTGGTGGGCTTGATCCTAACTTTCGGATCAAGCTTCTCGCAAGTTTGTACTAGTAGTTGATGAGGAGATAGACCTGTGTAAGAGCCGAAGTCGATGATGCGAACGTGTTGACTTCCGACAGTGCCGGCGTCCGTCTGCCCAGTATCATCGCCCCCAAACATGGTGCCGAAGACATCGGCCTCTTCCTCTTCCTCGCTGGCTGTTTTTGAGATCTCGTCATGCGCTGACTGTGCTTCGATATTTCGTTGAGGTCTGGCAGCCTGGTTCTCCCGCTTTCTTTGCCCCTGTGCTCTCTGCAATTCGATCTGCATTGGCCACCACATCGACTCAGCAACGTGCTTCTCAAAGAGGATGTCGCGTTCGATGGCCGAGATTTTTGCCTGCAGTCGTCGGACCTTCATGGCGTTCGGACGTTTGCTCGTGTCATCTGGGTTTATGCGCTGCCATAAGTGGCCCTGCAGCCGCACCCATCGGCCTACCAATTTGGTAGGATCATCTTCATCGAAATCATCCTCGGATACCTCGTTTTCATCGGAGCTGTTCCTAATTTGCTCGGCGCTATTACCGGGATCAGGTTCATCCTTCCGCCGCACTTCTGACGAAGGCTGTTCAGCTGGCGTGGATTCAGGTAAAGTCAACCCCGTACCTGGATGAGCCGGAGCTTCAGCAGTCTTCTCGTTTGTTTCATCCGTTGGCGTAGTTGGGCGTTGAGAAACTTGCTCCTCATAGTCAGGAAGCTCACTCTGGAGGAAGCGTCGAGCGTACCAATCCAATGCTTCTGTGAGACCAAAGAGCGTAAAGCTGGCTTGGACCAGCCGTTGGCGACTTGCAAGTTGAACAACATAAGCTACAGCTTCGCCCACTGCGGGGAGACCGAGGCTAGTGAGCACTCGGTGCAGAATCCATAGATCAGTGACAACCTTTTCGTCTTCACTTCGAAGGGCTTCATCTGACGCATGTACCTGTTCATCATTGGCATTACTTTCCCAAGCAAGCATGCGATCGATAGCAGCTTCATTAAGCCATTCGTCAGTGAATAGCTTGTGAGACTGTGACCGAAGCTGACGACGCTCTGCCTTGAGTCTAGATACGTGTCGAGAGCTTTCAGCTCTGCAACGGGCACCAGTGCGATCGAGCAGATCCTGCAGCTCAGCATCCTCTAAGTGTCGCTCAAGCTCCTCGGGAGTCATGTGTTGAATGGAGGATGTTTCTTTGGTCATTCCGTTTGATTTGCCATCACCAACGCCTGGACCCTTGGGTTGACTAGGTGTGGACATGCCACTGCTGGTAGGCGTCTCGGCATCTTGTCCAACAGCATCTACCACCCTGGGTTTGGAGGGTTGTGAAGTAGTAGCAAACCCTCTGGCTGAATTGGCAGCCGCCTTGGTTTTCTTCTTCTTGGGAGCCATGGCTTGTCAACTCCAAGCATGGCAGGGTTGATGAAGAATAGTCTGGCAAAACGCCCGAAGTTCAGCAGCCTTACCTGTAGACAGTCATCACGCGTCTCTGACTGCGTCCTTGTCCAATGCTAGTGGCACAAATTCAGTCTAGGACGTTTGAGGCAACTGGTGACTGGCCGGACGAATGTGAAGTGAAGTCTGCGGGGACGAGGGTGATTCCCCGAAAATATATTTGGCCTTGGCAGCGTCACGCCGCCAACCGCACCCTCTCCGAACTTTTGCAATTCGATGCAGCAAAAGTTGTCACTCCCCTATACCCTGTCGCATGTCTCCCGCTGGCAGCAGCAATGGAAGAGGACCGGGACACCCAGGATTTGGGCGATATTGATACCCAGGTCAAAGGTTTGCGCAGCGGCTCGACTCGGCTGCGTACAGATATCCTCAAACGAATCCTCCACAATGTCGAGAGCACTCCAGGTAACTCTACTCTTATAATAGGGGTGGCCCCAGGTTGACATGCTATAGGTGAGGAAGAAAGCAGTGAAAATTACCTCCTAACCCTGTTACCACATGTCCTCGAGACATATCCTTTGTACAAGGATCGTCTCTCACGCAAGGCTGTCGAGAATGTCCTTCGAGCCTACCTCCGCAACCCTTCGATCGGCGGTAGCTGCTGCAAAGCTTTCGTGACGTTTCTGGTTCGAGAGTCCCAGAAACCGGTCGTCGCCCCGAGCAACGCATTTGTCCTCCTCGAATGGTGTTGTCTAGCGCAAGAAGAGCTGGCAAAGAATCCAGCATGGGTGGATACATTTCTTCCGAAACTCTGTGCTGCCGCGGCCGCTTGTCTTGACAAGACCGAAAACGACAATGTGAGGAATAGTGTGCAGCACAGCTCCCTAGTCGCTGCGAGACGTGGACTACGCGCTGTGCTCCGAACCGACCTGGGAAGCAAGGCACTACCTGCAGTCGTCAATGAGCTCACGTCGGGCTCTTCAACGAGCGCAAAGAACGCCCAATACCTGGGAGTGGTGGCAGGGGTGAGCTTTCGCATCCCGGAGCGCAAAGAACAACTTGGTCATCTGTCCAGCCATGTTCTAGACTTCTACGTCAAGCATGTCCTCAACTCTAAGACTGCTATTGCCAGACACCAAGCATATGGTATGCGCGACTTCTTCTCTGGTTTCGTTGGGTACAAGGAAATGAGCGAAATGCTGATGCCGGCGATCGAAAAGAGCATTCTACGCTCCGCCGAGGTGGTGCTTCAAGGTCCACTAGTTGCCCTGGCCGAGTGTCTGGAGAAGCATGTAGACATCAGCGCCCTGGTTCAGTCGAAACTTATCAAGCCTCTCCTCTCGTCTATGGCTTCCACGAACGCTAACATTCGCGATGGAGCCGGCAAAACGCTGGCAGCGTTTTTGGCACGCGGGGTGGATGATACTGCTTCTGCCCAGATTGCTGCAGACCTTACTTCTGCACTCAAAGCTGCTAAGGTCGCTAACCACGAGCTCCGAGGGCTCATTTCAGATGCGTTGCTTGCAATCTCTCCAGAGCCAAATGCCTCCAAAACCATTGTCGAAAGCCTCCTACCAGCCGCTGCCAAGGAGGTGAACGAGGTATCATTGAGAAAGGAACTGAGTGCAATGGCGTTGCACCTGCCTGCAGTAGTGCAGTCTGGCGACCTGAGCAAGGCGACTTCTGACGCTCTACTCAAGAACTGTAGTGACAAGCGACCGGTCTTCCGCAAGTGCTGGCATCTTTGCTTTGCATCTGCGCTGCTCTCGCTCAGCCAAATTCCTGCTGAAGGCCCTTCTCGAGATTTCGTATCAACTGCCCTTGGAACCCTGAAAAAGATATACGAAGAAATATTGGCAAATCCGCTACCTGCTACTCAGACCGGCATTGTTGCTGCGGCCTATGCACTGCCCGCTCTACTGGGATTGGAAGTTGCAAAGGCTCAGGATCTATCGCAAAGCCAGATTTTCGGCCAGCTTCTCAACACACCCACACCGTCCTTTCTGCTCAACTCCAGGGTGTATTCGAAGCTGAGCAATGCTGAAGACCAGCTTTGGGCACTCCGAGCATTAAGGGGTGTATGCGTGGGCTTGGGAGATGCGAGTGAAGCCAACTCTAGGTTATGGGCGCGAGCTATCCTCCACATTGTTCTGTCTTCAGAAGTCGACCAAAACGTTCGTCGTGAAGCTGGAAATGTTCTGTCACAGACCTACCTAGACCTGCCTGGTCCAATCGGGCGGAGTATCATCAGTGGAGTCTGGGATTTGCTGCAGGAATCGTATAACCAGGGACCACAACAAAGCCCACGACCTCTGGGAGACATCAAGCTGCACCACGCCCTCAACCATATCATGCCAGCTAAAGCGGCTACTGCCCGATCAGACCGAACAATTCCTGCCTCGGTCCTCGAGAAGCAAGCCGTTGATTCCGTGACGCTACTGCGGCCGGAGCTCATTGCGCACACAGAGTGGATTGCCTCATGTTTATCCATGGGCATCGACCCTGGAGAGCTTGCAAGTAAAGAGCACACTGCTTTGCTGCAGCAAATTTCTGCCAAGTTTGATCTGACAAAACTCGCCCCTTTGAATCCGTTCGAGGTTGCTGCCGGTAACGCGGCAGCATCTTTGGCCTTTGTCGCTCCTGACACCATTACACCAATCCTGGCAAGATTTATTGCCGAAGACCTTGATCCTCGTCAGCTGGATGACATTGGGCCAACGGAAGCCACTATCGCTCGTGCGCCTGAAGGTCAAGTATTTGTCGATGTGCTTGCGCAGAAGCCGAACGGATATGTTGAGAACAAAAATGTCAAAGACTACGATATCATGAAGTGGGAAGAGGAAATGCGTACCAAGCTAGCTCAGAAGAAAGGCCCGCAGCCCAAGAAGCTGACTCCCGACCAGCAAGCCAAGGTTGATGCGCAACTGAAACACGAAACAGCTGTGCGTCAGAGGGTGCGCGAAGTGTCCGCGCGTTTACGGAGAGGGTCGCAGTATATCTTGAGCCTCGCCCGAGGACCTCCCACCGATCCTAGCCAGTGGATGTCGACCGCTGTTTTGTCGCTCATGGCGGCGTTGTCAGCAGGAGGAGACCTTGTCGTTGACGACGAGTTGTTCTCAGCTTTCATAGCTTGCTCCTCAAAGGTGAGTGACCGCGTAGGCACCATGCGGCCTTTTATCGGTATAGCCACCCTTCGCTCTCTGCGAAATGCTGCTGTGCCCGAGCACTTCGTCTCTGAGCCGCTGGGCGACCTTGTTACCCGAGTGCTATACCGCCTACGATTTGCGGCAGAGCAGCGCCCATTTGACACCGCTTCCATGGCGTATATGCTTCCCCTTGTATTTGCTGTTCTAGACCAGGGCGGCGTTGGCGAGCTTTCGAGCGAAGATGCCGATGCTCAAGTACTTCTCGCCATGGAGTTCTTGTCATTCCAAATGAGCTCGTGCGATGATCGTAACGTCTCAAGAGAGGACATCATCAAACACCTGATCTCGGCTATGCAGCACTATCCGCAGCATCATCGTCTGATGAAGGATTGCCTCACAGAAATGTGCAAAGCTATTTCAGAAACCATCGGTGAGTCAGAGCTGGATATTCTTCTAGCATCGACAACTGCTCCTCAGTCCGCTGTTCGAGCTGCTGTGTTGCAAGCCATTGAAAGCGAGCTTGATCTCACGAACACGGCACCCTCCGTCAACATCTGGATCGCATGTCAAGATGAGGAGGATGAGAATGCCGAGACTGCCTTAAGCATCTGGGAAGAAAGCAGCTTCTCTATGAGTGAAGAGCTTGTAAAGGTGTTACCTGCATTCCTTTACAGTCCGGCGAGGTCAACTCGTACTGCTACCGCAAAAGCGCTGGCGCAGGCTTTATTGGTGCTAAACAGTCAGACGCCTGTCGTTGTGGACCAGCTGAAGGTTGCCTATGCCGAAGAGGCGAAACCTCTTGCGCCAAAAGCCAACAAGTACGGCATTATTCAGAAGGGCGACCTGGTTGATCAATGGGAGCGACGAAGCGGTTTGGCGCTTGCCTTCCGGGAGCTGTCCACGGTTTACGACCAGTCGATGATTGTGCCCATCCTGGACTTCTTCGTCAATCAAGGGCCCCTCGCGGATCGCCATTCTGCGGTGCGCGCGGAAATGGTTGAGGCCGGTAAAGTTATCGTGGCCACTCGCGGTAAAGACAGCCTTGAGCCACTAATGAAGCTGTTCGAGGGTATTCTGCAGCAGCCTGACAAAGGGACACAGGAATTTGATTGGAACAATGAAGCTGTGATCGTTCTCTACGGATCAGTTGCGCAGCATTTGCCGGAGAGCGACAAGAGGACAGAGACTGTTGTTTCCAAGCTCATTGACACCCTTAGTACACCCTCCGAATCGGTACAATATGCTGTCGCTCAGTGTCTTCCGCCCTTGGTGCGACCCAAGTCTGTCGATGTCTCCTCCAATATCACCGCACTCCTCGAGCAGCTGTTCGAGCACAAGAAGTACGCGGCCAGACGAGGTGCTGCGTATGGCTTGGCTGGTATCATCAAAGGAAAAGGCGTTGCAGCCCTTCGACAATACCGTGTCATGTCCTCTCTCAGAAGCGCAAGCGAGAACAAGAAAAGTGCCGAGCATCGCCAGGGAGCTCTTTTCGCCTACGAGCTCATGTCGCTGCTACTTGGGCGTATGTTTGAACCTTACGTTGTTGAAATTCTCCCTCAGCTACTGGGATGCTTTGGTGACCCAAATGCCGGCGTTCGGGAAGCATGCTTGGACACGGCGAAGACTTGCTTCGCTAGCCTCAGTTCCTTCGGTGTTCGCAAAGTCCTGCCGCAGCTACTTGAAGGTTTGGACGAAACACAATGGCGAAGCAAGAAGGGTGCTTGCGACCTTCTGGGCGCTATGGCTTATCTTGACCCTCAACAACTGGCAACGAGTCTGCCTGATATCATCCCACCTCTCACGGCGGTTCTCACAGACAGCCACAAGGAAGTTCGTTCAGCGGCGAACAATAGTCTGCAGAGATTTGGCGAAGTCATCACGAATCCCGAAGTCAAGAGTCTGGTCAATGTTCTGCTCAAGGCTCTCAGCGATCCGACGAAGTACACAGAGGAAGCTCTTGACAATCTCATCAAGGTCAACTTCATTCACTACCTCGACGCGCCATCCCTGGCCTTGGTTGTACGCATCTTGGAACGTGGCCTGAGCGATAGATCATCGACAAAGCGCAAGGCTGCACAAATCATCGGCAGTCTGGCACATCTCACCGAAAAGAGAGACATTGTGGTTCATCTGCCTATTCTTGTCAATGGCCTTCGGCAGGCAACTGTCGACCCCGTTCCAGCAACCCGTGCTACTGCATCAAAGGCTTTGGGCAGCCTTGTCGAGAAGCTTGGAGAGGATGCCTTCCCCGATCTCATTCCAAGCCTGATGTCTTCACTGCGGACAGAAACTGGCGCTGGAGACCGACTCGGCTCTGCTCAGGCTCTCAGTGAAGTCCTTGCTGGGCTTGGTACAACTCGTCTGGAAGAGACTCTGCCATCCATCCTGCAGAATGTCTCGAGCGCTCGTGCGACTGTGCGCGAAGGCTTCATGACCTTGTTCATCTTCTTACCGGCTTGCTTTGGCAATAGCTTCGCGAACTATCTGGGCCAAATCATTCCTTCTGTTCTCAGTGGTCTAGCAGATGAAGTTGAAGCTATCCGCGAAACTTCCCTGCGCGCTGGTCGCTTGCTGGTGAAGAACTTTGCGACCAAAGCTATTGACCTGCTATTGCCCGAGCTGCAACGTGGCCTGGCGGATGACAGCCACCGCATTCGTCTGAGCTCTGTCGAGCTTGTTGGCGACTTGCTGTTCAGTCTGACAGGCACTTCTGCCCAGGATGATGGTGATGAGGATGCTATGGAGTCGGCAGCTCAAGCTGGACAGTCGCTTCTCGATGTGCTGGGAGAAGAGCGCCGGAACAAGGTCTTGTCTTCCATTTACATTTGCCGCTGCGACACTTCTGGTCTGGTCCGATCAGCGGCCATCAATGTTTGGAAGGCTCTGGTGGCGACTCCCAAGACTTTGCGCGAAATTGTGCCTACACTGATCCAGATGATCATTGGTCGGCTGGCATCGTCTAACATGGAGCACAAAGTCATTGCTGGCAACGCGTTGGGCGAAGTCATCCGGAAAGCTGGCGAGGGTGTCTTCACATCCCTCCTGCCATCGCTTGAAGAAGGTTTGCAGACATCCACCGATGCTGACCAGCGACAAGGCATCTGCATTGCCCTACGCGAGATCGTCAACGCCGCATCTCCTGATTCGCTCGAGGACAACGAAAAACAGCTCATCTCTATCGTGCGGGTTGCGCTTGTTGACTCCGATGATGATGTCCGTGAAGCTGCTGCTGGATCTTTCGACGCTCTGCAGCAGACCTTCGGCAAGCGTGCCGTTGACCAGGTCCTTCCCCATCTACTCAGTCTCTTGCGCAGTGATGACGAGGCGGACAATGCCTTATCTGCTCTGCTCACGTTGCTCACTGAGACAACAAGGGCAAACGTCATCCTTCCCAACCTGGTACCGACTTTGCTCGTGAACCCAATCACCAGTTTCAATGCCAGAGCCCTCGCTTCACTGGCCAAGGTTGGAGGATCAAGCATGACCAGACGCTTACCAGCAATCCTCAACAACCTGGCCGACAACATCGTCGGCTGTAAGGACGACGAGCTGAAAGTGGAGCTTGATAGTGCCTTTGATGCTGTTTTGACGTCTGTGGACGAGTATGATGGGCTTAATACCGCTATGAGCGTCATGCTCACCATGGTCAAACACGATGATCATCGTAAGAGAGCAGTCGCCGCCAAACACCTGGCAAACTTCTTTGCCGCTTCAGAAGTCGACTACTCGCGCTACAATCAAGATCTCATCCGTGTGCTGCTCATCTCCTTCGGCGACCGAGACAAAGATGTGGTGCAGTCCGCCTGGTCAGCTCTGAGCCAGCTACAATCCCACATCCGTAAGGAGGAGATGGAAGCACTCGTTGGGTCTACGCGTCAAACCCTGCAACAAGCTGGTACTGCGGGCTCCATGCTTCCTGGCTTTGCTCTTCCCAAAGGCATGCTACCTGTGCTGCAGATCTTCCTGCAAGGCCTCATGAACGGCACCCAGGACCAACGTGTTCAAGCTGCGATGGGTATCTCAGACATCATTGACCGCAGCAGCGCCGATTCCCTCAAACCCTTCGTGACGCAGATTACCGGTCCTCTGATTCGAGTTGTTGGCGAGCGCTCCCTCGAAGTCAAATGTGCCATCCTCTTCACTCTCAACCAATTGCTAGAGAAGATCCCTACGTTCCTACGGCCCTTCCTGCCTCAACTGCAGCGCACATTTACTAAATCCATCGCGGATCCTTCCAGCGCGCTACTGCGCCAGCGTGCCACCAAGGCCCTGAGCACGCTCATCACATTGACCCCACGCGTTGATCCCCTGATCGCAGAACTCGTGACGGGTGCAAAGACTCCTGACGCAGGTGTCCGCAGCGCCATGCTCAAGGCCCTTCAAGAAGTCGTCAGCAAGGTCGGCGGCGCTATGAGTGACACCTCTCGCGAAGCTATCCTGGCGCTGATGGACCAGAACCAGCCCGACACCACCTCGTCAACCGGCGACAGCACAATGGAAACCTACGCGCGCCTGCTCGGCGGCATGATCAAAGTCCTCCCAGCTGAGAAGGCCGGCGCACTCATCCGCGCACGCGTCCTGCTGCAGCCTGCCGCGACGCCGGCATCAATCCTTGCCCTCAACGCCTGCCTGCTCGACGCGCCAGCCTCGCTCCTGGACAGCTACGCCGACGAAACCCGGAGCACGATCACCAATGCGCTCTCGAGTCCGAAGGGCCATTTCATAGCTCAGAACGCCGTTCTTGCCGCCGGCAAGTACCTGCTGATACCTGGCACGCTCGAGAAAAGCGAGGACGAAGAGGACATTGCCCCACTCATGTCGGCATTGGCAGCCGCCATCCAGCCACCAGGCGATATCGACACGCGCCGCCTGGCCCTCGTGGTCACGCGCACGGTTGCCCGACACCACCACGCCGCTCTGCAGCAATTCCTCGGCCAGCTGGCGCCGGCGGTGTTCGCAAGCGTGCGCGACGCCGTCATCCCCATCAAGCTTGCGGCGGAGGCGGCGTTCCTCGCGCTCTTCAACGTCGTGGACGAGGAAGGGGCCGTGTTTGACGCCTTCATGAAGGAGGGGCCGGGCAAGGGGATGCCGGTGGGCGGGCAGCGTGCCATGGGGGATTATTTCAAGCGCGTGGCGCTGAGGTTGGGGGCGCAGGCGAGGGAGAGGAGGGAGGCCGAGGGTGGGGCGGGCGGACTGGGCCTGAGTGGTGATGAGGTCGAGGATGAGAGGGAGGTGTGGAGTGTGGGGAGGGTGGATTTGGGGGAGGGGGGGTTTGAGGAGTGAAAATGTCAAGAGTCAAGTTGAAGAGGGATGGAGAATAGATGTTGAGATTTGTTCAAGGAGCGTGTCTTCGTGAGAGGGCGGTAGTAGACATGGCGCGGAAGTCGAAGAGGCATGATCGTTAGATGGGAAAGCTCAAAAAGTGCGGATTGCATAGAAATTTCACGTGAAAAGAAGAATCGATGAAGAATGACCCGAAAGGTTCCTTCCTCTCTTGTATCTCATTCAGTTGCCGCATTCTTCTTCCTTTGCAGCCTGACAGCGGTGTGCGATCCCAACGAGGCCACCCCTCCCGGCCCTTGTCTCGGTGCGCCCGCACCTTTTTAGGAACCACCCTCTCCCGTCTTTCTCCTTCACGCAGGCCAGGCCCCATCGTTCAATGATTCAACCCACCGCAGCACCAACGTCCCACAAGCCACAACCCATTGCGTCGAATTCGGGACATATCCCGTCGGAGCACCCTGCCCCTCGCTCTCCCGCCGCGGCGGCTCCCATGTCGTGCGCCATGGGCAAGGTCATCCAGCCCATGTCCATATCGAGCGGGAAGTTTGAGCCGAGAAGCTGGTCGCCCAGCGCGGTCAGGTCAGAGTCGAGATTGGGCGCGACATCGAGGCTGGGGGCGGGCACCAGGGGTGCGTATATCTTGCGGTGACTGCTGCTTTGGGCTTGGTCGGATGATGTGGCGGGGACAGGTGCTGGTGCTTGGGAGGTGGGCAGGCGCCCGCCGACCGCGACATCGAGGCCGTTGGCGACGGCGAGTAGAGGGTGGGTGGCGTGGGATATGTCCAATGTTTGGTGCAGGCTTTTGGACAGCGAGTGAAGGGTACTGAGTATTTTGTCCAGGGTCAAGTTGGGCTGAGCTGGTTGTTCGGTGGCCGTGCCGCGGGAGCAAGCCCGGAGAAGGAAGACAGACGCGAATGCTGCCATGGTGCTGAAGTACGATGGGAGACATTGGGGGTCACGCCACGATGTCAAGCTGTGGAGATAACCCAGCGCGGCATCCGTGGCTTGTGTAGCTGGGCCGCTGGTGCTCATCGTGCTTGAAGTGTCCGGCGACGAGTTGGAGTTAGCAGTCCAGCCAGTCGAGCCTCTGAAGACGTGGGAGTACAGGCATAGTTTTGCGGCGTTGAGGTGCAGATCCCAGAGACCATCCGTGACTGCATCAAGCTCGCCGCGCAGAGACAGCAATTGCGTCCACTCGTCGTGCCACTTGTCAAAATAGCCGCCGAAGCGCTCCAGCTCAACCGTTCTGCTGGCGTCGAAGGGAGTGCCTATATCAGCGCCAAAGTTGTTGAAGACTTTACCACTTAGTGTCCAGAGCTCGACTTCAGCGAGGAGCTGCACATCGAGTGATACGGCGTATTGGCTCTGTAGCAGTGCCCGCGGGTTCTTCAGAGAGCGCAGCGTTCGTGTCATGGGGGGCCGACCGTGACGTAGCGAGCAGTGATGATCGCAGATGAAGACCAAGAAGTAAAGGCGAGTGCGCTCGTAGCATTTGGGGTCTGTGTGCGGCATCTTGGTGATGCAGCGATGGAGATTGACTTCTGATGCCATGCGCACAGCAAGCGAGCAGAGGGCATATGAGACGTCGTTCAGCCAGAAGGCACCGATACAGAGGGCACGAATGTCGTCGAAGGTGTGGTCTTTGGCAAAGAGCTTTCTGGATACACAGTCGGTGAGTGCTTTCAGGCAAGCCTCGCTCTCTGGCAAGCCCTGACAGAAGGCCGCAGTAGCACAGATGGCTGCGACTAGAAGTGGGGAGCGTGTGCGCACGGCACAGAGTGTGTCGTGCTCGGGTAGGATACGGTATATGTATCGGTCTAGACTGGAGCGATAGTAGTCAAATAGCTCTTGTGCTGTGGACATTGACAATGTGCCTTGCGAGACCAGGTCTGCAGAATTGGAGGCGCTCGGCGTGATCGCGCGCTTGACATCGGTCATGGAGGCCGCTGGGAAAGCACCGAGACTACAAGTGAAGTTCAAGGCGACCTCGAACTTTTGCCTGTCAGATGAGTTTGAGTTCTGTTGAGATGGCTGAGTGAAATTCAGAGGAATGGTCTGTTGCATGACGGTGAACGAGGCTGGAGCAGCCGTTGGAGAAGCACCAGCCGTCTGGCTTCCGCTCGAAGCAAGCAGCGACTCCAGCTGGGAGACTCGTTGCTCCAGCTCCGACTTCCAGCTGCCATTAATCAGATCCATGTCACCATAGCGGCCACAGGAGAAGTGCGTACCTTGCATCATTCTCCAGAAGCATTTGGATGCTTTTGTTCACGTGGCAAGGCAGCCCGCGGCTTTTGCAGCGACTGCATGGTGGCTGAGAGTCGTTCATATAGCACTTGATCTTCCATGCTTGTCAACCATAGCTTTGAGTGTAGGGAAGTGGTAGAGCGCCGGTACCTTCAATTTCCTACATGCTACACAGGCAGTGATCTTGCGTGTGATGTCCGGGGGCTTGCGGTCGCCCCACGCCTCGCGCAGAGCCAGCGCTGCGGATGGAGAACCCATGACTGAGAGCACGTGCTCGCAGTCGACCGTGTCTCGTGCATTGAGAAGAAAGGGGAAACAATCATGATTCAAAGTAAATAGAATGTCTGCTTTGAACCGCTGACGTTGACCTTGCACGGGCTTCCTGCCGTATCCACATCTATCGGCAGCCAGTGACAAGAACTGGATTGTATCGCACTATGCCCATACGAGAATAGATCAACGCTCCCCACGAGCCGTTTCAACAAGGTATTTCACCGTTGTCAGGACCTCTAATGGCTGAGCCTGCTCGAGCGACATCGAAGGGAGGTGATCAAATAGGCTGCCACACAGCGTCTTCGTGATCAACAATTACGCGATGCCATGGCTGCAGTAGCATCTAACATGACGGCATCTCCGCTCCGAGTATAAATCTTGACGTAGAACTGGCGTCCATCAGATCCGCTCTGTGTTCCCGTCGAATGGTAGTATCGGTCTTCGCACATACCCAGTTCTACCTCTATGCAACCACCACTTAGTCGTCCTTGCGCCGCTTATCAGATGTACGGCTTTGCAGCAGCCAAAGCGCCACCCCAGCAAGCATCAAACCACCGAATAGCCAGAGGACCCAGCCATCTTGTGCTTGAAATTTATGCTGACCTTCAAGTCAAAGCTCAGACTTTCCTTGGCCTTCGGGTAGACACTTTGTGACGAAAGCCTCTAGGTCATCAATCTCTTCTAGCGCAGCTGAATGCGGTAGATTCTTGTAGGTTTTGAATTCCACCTGTACCCCCAACTCCTTCTTCAAGAAATCCGCCGTCTGCTGGCCCCACTGGTACTTGACCACCTCGTCAGCGTCGCCATGGCCCATAAAGAACGGCGTGTCCTTGTTCACATCCTTGGCCTCCTCGGCGGCGATAGTCTTGACCTTGTTGCCCATAAGTAGGTAACAAGACAGTCCAAAGACGCCGGCAAGTTTATGCGAGGTGGTCAGACCGGTAAAGAGCGACATGGCGCCACCTTGCGAAAATCCCCCGAGGACGATACGGTTAGACGGGATCCCTGCTTCGATCTCGTCGGCGATTAGCTTGTTGAACACGCCGCGGGACCGCAGAATGCCAGTCTCATCGTGAGCAGCGTTGAGGTCGTTGAACGAAGTCTGTTTGAATAGTGAGTACAAGCGTATTATAGTACGGGAAGGCTGCGAACGTGGTCGCGGCGGCTTACGATGTCGTACCAGCCGGGCATCACGTAGCCGGCGTTCTGCGTTTGGTCAGTCTTGCAACATGTCCTTGAAACAAGGCACTGACAATTGTAATTGGTATGCTTGGCGCATTGGGGAAGACGAATTTGATCTCCTCAAACTTGCCACGCCGGCGCCAGTTTTCAGCTAACGACACCCTCACTGGTATCAGCAACAGGCACCTATGACAATGAAACAACCTACCATCCAGCTCCGCTGTCACCCAATCCATGAGCCATTATGACAGTTGCGGTATGCTTCTTCAGAGCGGGCACAATCAAGGCATGTCTATTGGCCATCTTGAATAGAGCTCTTTATGAGCCTCGTTTGGTCAATGAGATGTTAGATGAGTAGCTACAGCAAGTTAGTCCTTTGGATCTGGGACTTAATGTGTAAGGCGCGAACGTTGTGGCGGATAGTGTTGATTTAGTCGTTCACAGGTCCGGCTTGCTGGCAATCACGATGACTAGGGGTTCCCCTCCGAGGTTGCTAAGGCTGAGGCCCCGCAGGCAAGGCTGAATCGCCCACAACGCCAAGATTTCATGCACCGAGTATACCGACAATTCATGGCGCTTTCATAGTATATAACTGGAGAAATTGACCGCTGGCTGGCTTTATTCAGGGAGAGTCGGAGTGCTGCCAAATTTCCCGTGTCACCCATAATCATCACTTCCACATAAAAAAAGGCGGGGATACAGTGCCAAGACATTGAATTGACCGCACTCGCTGCAGCTGCGTTTTGAGCCGTTCTTCCACCTCGCACGACTCTCACTCATCCTCTCCCACATCTCTCCCGCCATCATGGACCCCGAGAAGCTCAAGAAGCTGCAGGCTGCGGCCGCCAACAACAGAATTGGTATGTGCAACGTTCGAAAGTCCCGAGGCTGGTGTATACGATGAATGACCCGCGAGCTAACATTTTTGCGCAGGGTAAGCAAGTCCACTATACCTCCACGACATTCGCCTCAGAGAAGCGCCCTTATGCCGACGATGAATTTGAGTGCAAGGAGCGAGACTGACAGTCAGCGAATAGTGGCAAGGGTACCCCCCGAAGAAAGACCAAGAAGGTGCACAAGTCATCAGGCACCGACGACAAGAAGCTGCAGACTTCCCTCAAGAAGCTCAACGTTCAGCCGATCCAGGCCATCGAGGAGGTCAACATGTTCAAAGAGGACGGCAACGTGATACACTTTGCTGCTCCCAAGGGTGCGTTTTCCCCTTCAACACCTCTCACGTGCTTCGTTATGTGAGCTATTAGAGTACCGCACATACTAACGAACACAAACTCATACAGTCCACGCCTCCGTCCCCTCCAACACCTTCGCCATCTACGGCAACGGCGAGGACAAGGAGCTGACCGAGCTCGTGCCCGGCATCCTCAACCAGCTCGGCCCCGACAGCCTGGCGTCCCTGCGCCGCCTGGCCGAGAGCTACCAGAGCCTGCAGAAGAAGGAGGGCGGCGACAAGAAGGAAGGCGAGGCCGACGATGACGACGAGATCCCCGATCTCGTCGAGGGCGAGAACTTTGAGGGCAAGGTCGAGTAAAAACAGGCCCGCGCAAAGCATGATTCCCGGGAACTGTGATGCGTGGAGGCCCCGAACATGGCGCTTGTGCGTAAACAACAATTTCCCCTTCGTGTCGCAGATGGCTCTTTACAGCTTCCAGCATCTTGAAGCATCACGCATCGATGCGCTGTGAGTGGAGAAAGCGGGCATGGGAAAAAAAAGCTACAGTGGTGAACCCGATCATGAAATACTTCTCTTGCTACGGTAACACCAAAAACCATGGATCTGTACAAGCCTCCGTCGTTGACTTCACACGAGTTATCTGTCTTATTCCTGAATCTGCCTCTGGGAAAGTTATTATGCAATGCTAGGTTTTATATTACAAGGCATTTTGATATATCCTGCGCGGATCGCTTGGTTCACCCACTTGCCAGCGACCACGATAATTCCCCAGCACAACAAGTTCGCAAGTCAGCCTTCTAGTGGCGTTGCCTGCCTGCTCGCTCAATCATTCATTCATGGCATGCATGATAACTCGCCCCACGGCTCCCCCTACTACCTAGAGTAGGAGAAACCGCAGCTAATCAATCCTCCTTCATGCCGCAAAAGTCCGTGCCTAGCCACCCGTCCACGCCGCGCCAGAATCCCCAATACCAGCCATTCTTCTCCTCGTCCCAGCTCCCGTCCTCCTTCAACACGGGGCCATCGCTAATGACCTCCCCTGCACCCCCCTGGCCGCCCACGAACCAGCTCACGATCGGCAGACTGCTCAGGACGCGCTCCGCGAACGAGGGTTGGCGCGGCAGGGCCTCTGACATGTCGCGCACGCGCATGCGTTTGGCGCTCGGGATCGCCGTCATGAAGTCCGACTTGCTGGGGGACAGCATTTGCGCGACCGGAGTGGTTTGTGAGGGGAGATTGGGGATGCTGCGCGAGCGCAGGCCCGTGGGCGTTTGTGGCGGGATCTCGTGGCCGGTCGCCGTCGCGGACGAGGCGGTCGCGCTGTCGATTGACATGTCGTCCTGCGTGCCGGCCTGCGTGTACTGCACGTCGGGCATGGTGTGCGAGCGCGGCAAGGTCGAGCTCTGCAAGGCGCGTTCGAAGCCGGAAATCGCAGACTCTTTGCCGGATGTGAATTGTACGGATTTGGAGGTGGGGAGGGTCCGCGATTTGGTTGGGCTGCTGCGGGACAGGAGATTGGCAGCTTCAGATCCTCGGGGCAGAGCAACATCAGCGGTCGGACCGCGGCCCGACCACATTTCGCAGTGTACTTCGTACCCGTCGATATCGATGGGGGAATAGAAACAGGCACGTTCGGCAGCCGGGTAGGAGTCGAAGGTGACTTTGATCCAGTGCTTGCCGCCTTTGTAGATGTGGGATTTTTTGAGCGCTTCTTTGGACAGGTTGCGGTGCACCACGACGGCAGCGCGGGAGTAGCCCATGGGAGAGCTGGTAGACAAAAAGAGGTTGGGGTCATCGCGTGGGTAGTCTTCGCATATTATCGATGGGGCCACGATTCTCTCGAATTTGGAGAGGACTTTCCATTCAACCGACTTGTCGGCATATCCATAGAGGAGGCACTCTGTTGGTATAGCTTCGGGTTCCGCGGGACGAGACGTGTCTGATGGGGCGGGTGTGGTATCTGTCTGTGAATGTCTTTGTTCGTGTGCGAATATCTTGCCGAAGTCTGCGACTGCTGGATTCTCTTTCTGCCGTACTGGAGTAGTGCCTGCTCTTGACCTTGACGCCCGAGACCCGGAAGCTCTCATACTGCGATGCCGGCCAAAGGCACCCGTCTCTTCCACATGCTTCACGCCTCGCGCAGACTCAGGATAACGGTAGCCCCATGGTAGTTGGTCGCCCTTTGTATCTCGCGCCCGCTCTTCAGGCAGCACAGAGTGGATCTCCATGGGGAAGGAAGGAGGTGGTTTGATGTGCTCAGTGCCCTCCCAGGGCACTCAGAGAACCGTCGAGAATACAGCCTGCGTTCCAGAGTACAAGGGAACACAACGGAGATGTGGCGTGCACGCTGTGCCTGTTGAAGGTCAATGTTTACTCGGAACGAAAAAAGATGCCCAGCATCTTCGCGTTGCAGATCTGCAGCCTCGTCAGTGCCATGGCAAGGCTGAGGTTCACGTGCATTCCTTGGCAAGGGTGGAGTGGATGGCTTGGCAAACGACTGCGCTGGTCCGCCGGCTGAATGTGTCTTCTGATTACCGATCCTCATCATGACTTTTTGCCTCTCATCTCTTTGGGAGACCGGTTGGTCACACGAATCTGGAATTGCCACAACTCCATGCTCCGCCTCCGCCTTGTAACTGAGCTCCGCTTCGTGCTTTCCATCTCTCAACACGTTCTGCCAAGCCCAGTCCTCAGGCGAAGGGGCCGGCAAAAAGCAGTTCCAGACTTCGTGCTTTTAACCGGATGCACCAGTGGAATGAGCTTGTCTCGACTAGCTCCTAGTTGGCGGCACCTTGGCTTTGGCCTGCAGGGCATGACCGCCATCCAAGCTCTCAAACTGGAAAGCTTCCGAGCGCCAGTGGTCTGCCGTTTTACGATCCAAGCAACTGTTGCAGGTAATTGCTCCTGCCGTGGTTCAACCGGGTCACTTGCACTTCTTGGCCGTCTTCAGCTCGCAGAACTCGAAGCCGGCACCATCTCTCGTTCAGAGAGTGGTCTGCTTATCCTCGAAGACCTCATCGAGTCATTCACAGAACAGATTATGATACCTTTCAAGGGTTCCACGTCGTTCTTGACCTTGATGTTTCTCTCATGGATCAGATTGCCGCCAGGGAATCCATTTTCGAGAAGGGTTCATCGCGTGCTGAGATTCGGAGATCTCTACCCGCATTTCAGGATTCCGGACTCCCATCCACAAGATTCGTGCCTTTCCCCGCTTGCCCCTGCTCCAGTTGCACCCCGACTATGCAACCCCGGTCCATTTCTAGCCCATATGGCGACCCTCAATTTCTGCCATCCAATTGCCCTCCGCCATACTGGTCGCCAAGTGTGTCTTTGCCCTCCCTATACCTAAGCGACATTGGTAACGTGTGATGTTGCCGGACATGTGCCGATCTATGTCAGGTCTAGCCTGCCCGGCGTTCGCTGAGCCTCTTGTTCGCCCTCGTTGCGCATTCGCCAGATCCTGTCCCACACCTCTGACGATATGCGCTAGGTCTTTGGACACGGCCAGAACCGTGATTTAACCGATCGTCTGTCCATGTTTAGGCTCAATGCATGGCATGGGGGAAGATGTGCCCCGTGCCATCTCCAGACAACTAACCGAATATCTTGACTCCACGACAGGCATATTAAGACAGACATGTTTCGCCTTGCTACTGATTCACTTCCTCTAGTTCTGCATCTTCGTTCACCCTGGTGGTTGGGATAGAACACTCTCGTTGACCTCGACCTATCTCCAGCGAGGACTCTCGAACTGCCGCTGCCACCATGACGAGTCTCGTCGCTAAGAAGCCTCACACGGACGATGTGGCCATCGCGCAGGCCGAAGCTCCTGAGATTCCCTATGTGAACTGGCGCAAAGACCCTCAGCTCCGCAAGCTGTATTTCTACGCCGGCATCATTTGCGTTGCCTCCGCCACCACCGGCTACGATGGCTCTATGTTCAACGCTATCCAGATTCTCGATCAATGGCAAGATACCTTCGATCACCCCACGGGCAGCACCCTTGGCCGCCTTTCTGCCATGTACTCGATCGGGTCCATTGCGTCGCTCCCGATCGCACCCTTCATTTCTGACCGATTCGGTCGCAGAGCCTCCATCATCGTCGGCTGCTTGATCATGGTGATCGCTGCTGCCGTACAGACTTCAGCTAATGGCCAACCTCAGTTCGAGGGTGGCCGGTTTTTCATGGGTTTCGGCAACTCCATGGCCCAGCTAGCCTCGCCTCTGCTACTCACTGAGATCTGCCATCCTCAACATCGTGGTCGGGTCACTGCCATCTATAATTGCTTGTGGAATGTGGGCGCGCTTGTCAACTCCTGGATCTCTTTCGGCACGCAGAACATCCCTAGCGACTGGTCATGGCGCATTCCCACCCTCATCCAGGCTGTTCCTTCCCTCATCCAACTTGCCTTCATCTACTGGATTCCAGAGTCCCCGCGGTGGCTCATTAGCAAGGACCGTACCGACGAAGCTCTCAATATGCTCGGCAAGTACCACGCCAACGGGAACATCAACGATCCCACCGTGCAATTTGAATATGCTGAAATCAAGGAAACGCTGCGCTTGGAGTTCCTGTACCGCAAATCTTCGCGCTACATCGATTTCATCAAAACGAAGGGCAACCGCTACCGCCTTGCGATCATCATTTCGCTTGGTCTGATCTCGCAATGGTCCGGAAACGGTCTTCTCTCCTACTATTCCAACCTCATCTTTGAGTCCGTGGGCATCACCTCGGCCAACACGAAGCTCGGTCTTGACGGTGGCAACAAGGCTCTCTCACTCATTGTCTCTATCACGTGTGCCATGCTCATCGACCGTGTGGGCCGCCGACCACTCTTCCTCGCCGCCACAACGGGCATGCTGCTGTTCTTCACCGCACTCACCATCGTTGGCGCGCGCTACACCGCCAACCCATCCGACGGCCTCGGCATCGTCTTTATCGTCTTCATCTGGCTGCACGGTGTTGCGTATGCGCTGGCCTGGTCCGGCTTGCTGGTCGCCTACACTGTCGAAATTCTGCCGTTCAAGCTGCGCGCCAAGGGCCTGACAATCATGAACGTTGCTGTGCAGGTCGCTCTCGTCATCAACAACTACGTCAACCCCCTGGCCATCGGCACAGGTGAGCCTTGGGAGAAGACCGGCTGGAAGCTGTACTGCATTTACACTGTTTGGATTGCCATCGAGCTCATCTGGGTCTTCTTCATGTACCCTGAGACCAAGTATGTCGCCCTTCATTTCCCCTCAATGTCTCCGAGAATATCCTTTGCTAACGAACTCACCACAGGGGCCCTACTCTGGAAGAAATCGCAAAGATCTTCGATGGTGACGCCGCCGAGGTCGGCACGGTCGAGGTTAAGGGCACCGAGGGCCTGTCCAACGTGCGCTCCGGCTCCGTTGCGCAGCACTCTGTTGGCGGCGACGACGAGAAGGCCGGCGGACGCGTCGTCCAGAAAGAGACTGCTTAGATTGGTCTTAACTTCTTCTTGACCCTTTTTGACTCAAAACTCAGCTGGAAGGGCGATGTGCCGCAGAAGTGGAGGACGACGATAATTCGTTGTGGGTGTATACATACAGCGATGTAGCTGCCGGCGAGAGAAGAGGACATTCTCATCACAGTTAATTTGAGACTTCTCTACCACTCATGGATTCTCTTACTAGTGTTCCCGTCGCTCAACCCTGAATTCTGTTCCCACCACGGTCTATTCTGTCCCCCCCACTGAGCAATCTAGAGTATGCAAGGACTCAATGCATCAAACTCGCACGCACGCCGCACGCGAACAATCAACGTTCCAGCAAAAGTGCCTACTTTTTTTCGACCCATGCCGTAGAAGCTCACTTGCCCATCACGACCTGCCCCCGTTCCACCTGGTCTTGCAGATCAGGCCCGGCGATGCGCACCCACTCCACTGCCCGTCCACTCATGTAGTCCAGGCAGCAGTGCCAGCGCAACCGCCATCAGGCCTTAGGCCTCTCCGTCTCCATCTGCATCTCTTCTGTCTTGCCTACTGTAGCACAAGTAACCCGGCGAGTCAAAGCGGCACGCCTGCCCAGAACCAAGCAGATGCACATGAGCCTGGAGTCAAGAGTCATGAACCATGAGCTGGGCTTCTGAGAAGTGGCAATGATCAAGATTAAGTCGTGCTATCGTATCATATCATATCACGTCATATCTCATGTCATCCTTCTCCCTCTTCTCAGCGCGCTCCGATCGCCACCGCGCAGTCGTGACTCGACTCGACTCGACTCGAGATTCGGGAACGCAACGAAGCTCAACGAGACATGAACGGGACAGGCAGAGCTCCCCTTGTCATCGAAATGTCCCGTCCAGTCGGCTGTACTGATGACTATGAAGGCCAGGAAAGAGGCAAGGATCTGCTCTGCCGGTAGGCTGGCTGGCTGGCTGCCGCAATCAAAGGGAAAGTTTCTCTCCAGTATTGAAACATACAACCAAAACCATGCGCCTTTCTCTCCAGAGCGCTGCCTGCCCTGCGCGGTGGTACATCTACAGTGCCCTCGTGGCCTCGACGCAAGATTTGCAAGCCAACAGTAGCCCCCCCCCCTTCCGAACTTTCTGGAGCGGCGTGTCCATGCCTGCCTTGAAGGAAAACGCCTTGCATGCGTTTGTCATTTGCCCATTCAATTGGAATGTGACGCGCATATGTAGACGGACCACTAATTACGGGGCATGCGTTCCACAAGTGACAATTCCCGCCCCCGTCAAGTGCTGCGGGAGTCACTCAAGGGGTGCGAGAGGGGAGAGGTCAGGGCACGGGAAGTATATCAGGCTAAATTGCCCCCAGAGGCATACACCCAATATGGAGCACGCGTCTCTGTTTCTTCTGGCCACACTCCGTGGTGGTTGCATGTGCCTGGTTGAGCTAGTTTTGGAATGTCTGCTGAGATGTGTGCTGGAGATCGAGACTGGATCTTGTGACAGGACTTGTTTGATGAAGAAGAAGGCTCCAGCTGCCTTTTGTTGGATGTCGTCAGCTTTACTCAGGCGCCGAATCGTCTGTGCCGTCACGAGTCTTTCCGGCTCGTCACATGCCTCAAGGGATGTTCATGTTCTGCGGCAAAGTCTGCAGAGATACCTGATCTGCCCAGATTGCAGGCGGCGACATGGCACTTGCCTCCGTGAATAGCGGCAGATGGTAAGGGTGAAAGCCATGGTGATCTCGTGTAAACGCGTTTCGGTTCTGTCACTAGGCTAGACCGGGCCATCAAAGCAGCCAAGCGATGGCCAAGCAGCAGAACAGTCTCGTGAATCCGAGCGACTCGAAGGTATCTGCGTGGCAATTGCAATGGCCTCCCTGTTAACGCCAGAACCGCCCAGAAGGCTGATTCCTGTGCCTAGACAGCTAACAGGGATGCCGAGCTCATTTCCCAGGACCGAGAGGCCGTTCCGTTTCTGGACCGTGCGAGATGCCAAAACAGCAGCGATCAGGAAGCGTGATCTGCTGTCGTGCCCTGCTTCGGGACTGGAGCACACTCCACCTACGGGGCCCCTGTTAGATGTAGCCCTCGATGCAGCGTGAATGGTGGAGAGACCCCTGGAATCATCGCCTGCAACGCATCATGGAGGGATGGAGGCTCGCCCATGGAATAGAGGATAACAACACACCATCTCGGAGTTGCGGCGGGAACAACATGAACCATTTGCCACAATCTGCTCGGCTGATCCTGATGAGAGTGCAAATTCTGCATGATAGGCCATCGAGGCGCGTAATGACAGCAGTAGGGCATTGGTCTAGTCCATTCTGTGGCGGTATTCTCCATACTGGACGGAAACCAGGCATCGGCTGTGAATTAGCCTGATGTCCAAACGGCACGTAGGCCGGAGTCCTGCGCAGTCGTGTCTGGGATAGAGCTCAAGATCTGCAAAGCCACTGCTCATCTGCGTCTTCTCTGAGCATTCTCGAGTGGCTGTATTTCATGCAATGCTCTGTATTCCATGATGCTACGTTCCACATGCAGCATTGCATGTCGATCTCTTTCATCGAGAAGGCGTTGATTCCGTCCCTTCGTCAAACATGGGGTTCCACCTCCACCGTGATGTTGTACCGGAAGTCTGGCCTACGATAAAGATGCCTTTTGCTTCTTTGGGTTCCTGTGGCCAGCGCTGCTGCAGGAGTTCGTGAGATGCGGAGACCGCGGTTGGACTGGCAAAAGCGTAGGCCGTTGATATTTCGATGGACTGAATTTGTGCGAATGACGCAGCTAGGTCGACAAGAGCACGCTCAACAATTCCTGTTGGGCCGGGAGTGCCCAGAGCTTGCACAACTCGGAATCTCAAGGCCTGCAGCCGTCGTCCCAATATTCCGAACTTCTCTTCTCGGTAAGAATAGAAGAGGGGAGACAGCAGGGCTGTTTCTGGAAGGGTCAATTCTATCAAACCTGGAAATACCTGCAGTAAGGCAGAAAGGTCAATTCCGTTAAAGAGCATACAGTCCACGCCTTCGGCTCCTTGAATGGCCAGGGAGGCAACCTGAGGCGCTTCGACGCCTAAGTCAATGATACCGCCGAATTGAGTGTTCTGTCGCAAATGCTGAAACGACAGGATACGCAGACTCTGGGGAAGACCGGTGATGAAATTTCGCCATTGAGATTGCAAGTGTGGGACAGTATTGTTGACTTCGAGATATTCGAGCGCAGGCGACCATGCACAACGTCCAGAGGCGGGACTGTCCGGATATGTGTTGAGAATACCTCGGGGCAATGAAAGGAACCTCAATGTAGTTACTGGCTGTACTGCACGAGTAAGTGCACAGATGTCAAAGTCATACTTATCCCTGGACAGGTCGAGATGCTGCAGACTCGCCATCTTTGATATGGGCGCAAGACTGGACGTCGACATTGAATGCGAGGGCGTAACCAAAGTAGTCAAGGACGTTCGTGTCCGTCGGAGGAGACGAGCAGTCATACTCCGGCTGGTGACATATGCTAGGTCTCCCAAGTGAAGTTCCTTGACCAGGTCCTCCAGGCCAATGGCTCGGACTCGGGAATTGACTGGAGGGCACAATGTTCGAGTGAAGAGCTCAAAATTTCTTGGACCCAATACTGGTCGGCTGTAGAGATGCGGAACGCTGACCGAGTACCAATCTCGAGAGACCAGACAAAGAGACCACAGATCACCTTGCCTAGATTGTGATTCCGACCGGCGGGCAACGTAGTCAACAATGACTTCAACAATCTCAACTGGCAGTAAGAGTGGAGGACCGGGCACTCGGCCGAGCCCGACCTTCATCTTCGATATCGGACGCCGGAAGCTACGCTCTTGTAGCGTTGAACCGGTAGCCAAACAAGTAGGCCAACAATGTGATGGCAGCGAGGAGAAAGAAAAACGAGGCGATTATTTGCCTGGTTCAACTCGCGGGCGCCTTGCCGCCCCAATTCTTCTCGGGGCCCGGCGTTCACCCGCCCGGCGCCGCTTTTAAGTCTCCGCTTCCGCGACTTCAGCCCGCTCCTCGCCTTCCACTTACCCTCGCCGATCTGCCACATTCTCGCCTCTCGCTCCCCGGCCTTGCCACGTGCTCGTCTATAGGCATGCATGTGGATAATTCGGCTGCTGACCAGGACTATCAAATGACAACAATTGGGAGGGTCAGTAGAGGCCTGAATCTGCATCCATGTCTTCGACGATGAAACGTCCGACTGATGAGCGATCGCACAAGATGCCTGGCGCTGCCGCTGATGAATGAATGTGTGTATTGTCTTAAATGAACGTGTCCCCCATCAATGGGCCCCGTCCCTCAAAAGGCAAACGGGGAGAGGTTTTGGGTGCTTCTGTCTAACGCATTCCATCGCACCTGCTGAAACCTGTTCGCGCCGGCTTGTCGACATCCCCTCGACTACTCCATCCTTGGAGAAGTTCGACCTCTGCTACAGCACCCAGACCGGCCGTCTTTGGTCTCTAGTAGCCAGGAGTATTGACCGCAAGGCCCATGAGCCCACCACCAATCAAACCTGCAATCGGAATGGTCATGACCCACGAGAAGAACAGCAGACCCACACGCTGCCAATTAACAGCCTTGAATGTACCGTTGCACAACCCGACGCCTACAGTAGCACCCGTGATACACATGGACGTTGACACAGGCAGAGAGTACTGGGAAAAGATGAGAATGGTGATCGCCGCGCCCATCTCCATCGACGACCCTCGAGATGGCGAATGGTAGGTGAGTTTGTTGCCCATGACTTTCATGATATTCTGTTCTTGCTGTCAGCTGTCTGGTCCGAAAAAAGATTGGTCAGGACCCTGCAATGACTCACATAGCCGTAAGTGATGAATCCGATGCAAATCGTGAGTGCGATGACGGCGATTTGCCAAAGGGGAACCTCTTCTTCCGAAGCGACAGTCTGTCCAGTGCGCCACGCGCCATACATACCTGCCCAGACGCCGACTGCATTTCCGACGTCATTGGCGCCATGAGCGAAGGATGCTGTGCAGGCCGTAATGATCTGGACAAACGAGTAGAGGTATTCGACCTCATTTTGATATTTTGGTGCCTGTATGGGCCTCAGCGAGTCTGCACAGACACAACATCGGCGAGCAAGGGAAGTTTCTGAGCACTTACGTGAGCATACACTCGGTCCATGCGACGGCCTTCTGGAGTTCCGAGGACTCCGACCTGAGCCCGATGGATATCATAGTGGAGACCTATGCGTAGTCAATGGGACTGCTGCAGTGCCTCTGGCATGTATGAGCAAAGAGCTGGAGCTCACCATAGAGCAATGCAATAATGAGATATGCCGGCAGGCGATAGCAATATGCCTTCAGGTTGTGCAGCTCATAGATTGCGCCAGCACCCATGGGGTAGTTGTGAAGTAAACGCATTGCCTGGAGTCTTTGGTCAGTACACATTCGCCACGAGGCAAACAAAGACATCTCACCCATCCAAGGGGCCCTCGCCGTTGTCGAAGCTCTGCGTGGTGTCTAGCCTCAGCCCGCTTAAGAAGTAGACGATACTGAGCTTGAGGATTCCCGCGAGCGACAGCATCTTCCATCTCGGCAAGTGATTTTGTGTTGGGTTTGCTCTCTGCGCCTGCGAGGTCCTTGTCGCTGTCGGAGGCAGATTTTTCAGCGTCTGCAGCATGCGCTTGGCCTTTTCCGGGGGCAACAAGCTCTCCAGCATCTTCGTTATGGTCGCCATCGTGTTGGATGACGGCATAGTTTGGTACCCTGGCCTCAGCAGCATCGGTAGGAGGTTGCCGCATGAACAGCGCCGGGCCTCTCCAAATTTCCCAGATCTTGAGTGTATAGTCCTTTTTGATGACTTTGCAGTGGACGTATGGGACGAAGAACAAGGCAGAAAGGAGGCACAATCCAAATCCAACGCCCAAAGTCACGCTGGCAATGAACCAAGGGGGGCGCTCATCAAGCCCAAGGTTTGGAGAGCCTTTGTAGACGATGGACAGCGTGCAAATGCTGCCGGCGATCAGGAAGAAACCGGGCGATGTGAACACGGCCCATTTGACAGGATCGGTGCGGATATGAACAACCTGGAAGAAGTTAGTAACTCCTACCAGCGTATTCGGACCCAGGAACACTGGCCATTTTGATGAGCATGAAGATGGTCGCTCCGAAAACTCCAGAGATGCAAGGAGCCATACAGAGACCGGCGAAAATGGCACCCAGACCAGATCCGCCGCTCCAACCCCATTCAACGTTGCTTGCACCTACGGCAGCCACACCTACACCAGCGATAGATGAGACCAGGGAGTAAGTTGAAGAAACGTGAGCAGAGTTACGTGTACACCACATAACCCAGGTAGCAGCGCCGGCGGAGGCACAAGCAAAAGCCAACAACTGCACTCCGGCGTTGCCATTGAAAGCCTCAATGGGGATACTATTTGGGTTAGCAGGTTAACCCCTCAGTGGTATTCCTGAGGCATTCAAATTTCAACGTACATGCCATTCTTGATTGTAGAAGCCGTCCGGGCACCTACGGCCAAAGCCCCCGTCATTTCAAATATCAGACAAAGAACCATCGCTTGACGATAGGTGACAGAGCGAGAGGAAACCGAGGTGGCCCAAGCATTGGCCACATCATCTGCGATCAAGGTCAGATGGCGGAAAGTAGCATATCAACAATCGTCGACTTACTAGCACCGTTGTTGTACGCTTCGAGGAGCGCAAACATTGTGCCAATGGCAAAAACGTAAGTATAGTCGGTCATCACCATTGTGGAGGCTTTTGTTGTCGTTGTTGAGACACAAAAGATCGCCTGCTTGGCTGTGTAGAGGGGTCAAAGAGTGTGTCCACGACATGATTGAGCATGGTTTTATAGATCAACGAGCAAGTGAACCGGCTACTCCATTACTCAGAACACGAAGGCAGGCAAAGCAACCCTTTTCTAAGTCCTTTTGACCAGCGAGAACCGGTGCAGCTCCCACGTGGGCTCGAAGTTCGACAAATCGCTCGAGAAAATATCGAAGGCAGCTCCAATGCGTATGGGTATTGTGGCAGTGCTGATGGTTTGGGATATTTCCAGGCCGCCAAGTTGCGGCCAAGCAGCGTCCAAGACACCGCGAAGACTGTCTAAGCAAGAACGAGGCGTGGTGAGATCTTGGCCACCCGATCACAGCAGAGAACCACTGGACACTCGATCTGGGCGGCGGAGCACTGATCGTCTTCCGCTGGAATGGGCTGCCTATGAAGACTTGGCAGCGGCGGAAGTGGCTTGGCAGCATCGCCTGAATCCTGGTAAACAGAATAAATGACACTCGTTTGTGAGTCTAATGGAAGACAATTTTCATAGACAAACCAAGATTGCACCTTTCTGCAAACATTGACCTCATTTGAATTTGGTGGGTCCCAAATCGCCATATAAGACTCGGCTCGGCGTAACAGAAGAGGAGATAGGGATTAGTTGGAGAATACGTCCTCAGAAAGGCATCACTTGCTGCACCAAGCTAATCATGAGCTCTGGCTCTCGTATGTTTGAGAAGTTTCGTTCCCACGATATGTATATGTGTACTACGCTAGTTAAGAGAGCAGCGGCAGTGGGCGCCACGGGTAGCAGACCTAGTGTCGGAACGGTAGAAGGGTCCTTATCAGCGTATCATTGAAGCTTAGTCCGATACACAACGATCCAACACTTCAGAGGAGGAATCTAGGAGTCCAACTCTCCGGTCCATTCGACTCGAGATTGCATGTGCAGTTGGGGCCAAGACCTGGGACTTGGCAAATGACGCTCAGCTGGCCGACTTCACCCTTCAACTTGACGTTTCTTCTTTCCCATCTCTAGATATGCTTCAACCTTTGCGCCCTATCGCTTTATAGAGAGCGCTCCGCGATTAGATGGACCGATACCGGGACGACATGGACTGGTTGCCTAGGCCTAGCGAGACCCGGCTTCAGGAGCTGGTTCTTGGACCGTAGCTCAGGACTGGTGAGGAGGCCTTGAAGTCTTGAACACTCAGTGCTGGTGTATCAGAGGTGAGACATGGATCTTATCGTGCCGACTGAGGGCAGAACGGAATGATTAGATCGATCGGCGGAGGAAGGTATTTGGATTGCCTATGAAGGTAAGAAAGCGAGATCCGGACCCTACAAGTCGAGACGTTGGGACTGTTATAGCAGGTGAGTATCACTTGGGATGGGGGCATCTCATCGCTCCTGCCCTGGCCGCCTCAAACTTGTGTGTTGTTGCCTTGCAATGCGCCAAGACCATAGAACCTGCTGCAGTCATTGCATGCGGGTTCCCATATTTGCACCTCTTTGCGCCATTCTTTCCTACTGCTTGCCCGCCCTTGTCACTTCCGTATCTGTCCTGGACAACCAAAGCTTTGATACTACCCAGACATAAGGCCTTTAAAAAAGACAGCATGGCTAGGTAAGTCTCTCTCTCCGCCAAATCTTCCTACGCATATCGAGCAATATCGCTAAGAACTCGTTATCAGCCTCGCGCAGCTGTAGATTATCCCCCGTCATCTCTCCATGGTCATGCTAGGTGCTGCCGCTAGAGCCGCTGAGCTCAGAGCTGCCCAGAAGGCGCAGGCCAGGCAAGCCAGTCGCGAAGCCGAAGAACAGAGACTTCCTCCACCTGCCGCTCCAGTCTCTCTTGACGCCTTCTCGAGACCTGTTGCGAGCCGAAATAAGGGCACGAAAGCCTACATCCCTCTGGTCCTCGGAAGAACCCCGGAAGCTGACCATAGCGTCGCTGCAGGCGATCCAACAGAGACTCCTACCAAGAAGGCGCCCACTCCGTCCTCGAACCCCAGCAGCTCGCGGCTTGGCTCCAGCAATGCTGCGCCGACGACGCGTTTCTCGCAGGCCGGTACCGACCCTCCGACTGCCCCGCGGGCTATGGTAACAAGAGAACCCTTGCAGCCGCAGCCGCAGCCACCCGCTCCTGCTTTTCCACCGCCAAGGCCCCAGACGATGCCCGCCGCCTTTCACACAACCCCACCTCACCCTCATCTTGCCTACCAGCAGAGTCATATGTTCGCTGGCCAGTACCATTACCACACTCCACCCTCCCATCATATGCTGCCGCCTCCTTCGAACTATCTTTGGCCACAGCAAATTCCAATTCATGATCCCGGCTTTCAATTCCACCAGCCTCCATCCGCTAATCACCTCTACCCCCATCAGCAGCTTCATGCTTTCGATCATTCCAGGATTCATCAAGTGGATCAATTCGCCCCATCTGCAGATAATCATCAACCTCGCCGTCCAATCGAGATCAGAGAACCTCCCCAAGAGCATCCTCAGCCACTCCCACAAGACTACCCGTGCCTCAAGACTCCAGAGACCAAGGTACGACGCTTCGTCTTCGGTCCAGACGACCTTTCGCCTACAAAGCAAGAGCTGAAAATGTCGGTCAGAGGAACAACGCCGGCGCTGAGTTCCGCAACGCATCAACGCCAGCGAGAACCTATTCGCATGCGCGATCCTCTTGTACCGAGGACCGAAGCTACACCAACTGAACAGGAGAACAGACCTCTGGATATGCCCGCATATACACATCCGGGCTGGCTGGCTAAACAATCCGAGTCAGAGGATTCGTTTTCTATTACCAGTTCTGTCGAGATGCAATTCGCAAATCCGCTTCGACAGTACGCTGACATCAGCTCGACCTCGGAGGAGCCAGTCACCGCAGTTCCTTGGATGAGGCCAGGAAACATTCCCGAAGCCATTCTGGCTACCCAAGATGATGGTCACTACGATCGGGCTACTAAGATGCAGAAGTTCGTTGCTGTGCAACAAAGCCTGAGCAAACAGGGAAAAACAGTTCTTAACAATCCTGAGCGTAACAATACCGCCAGTCTCATCTCCCAGGTACCTAGCGTCATGATGGACAGCATCAGTGGTCCGGGACCTGCTGTCCTCGAAGAACAGGCGAGATACCTTCCTCCGGTGAACCAACGTCCTGAGCGCATCCCAATCCAGGCGCCTCCAGGACTCAAGATGCCGGATCGCCCATTCGTCTCTTTGCTCTTGGACGAGAAGGCAATGCTCGAGTCGAGGGCCAAAGCCGACGATGCACTGCGGAAAGACTTCGGCGTCGGTACTGATGCTTGGTTCGATCTGAAGCCACCCACCCTGTCCGATCGTAAGAGAATGCAGTCTGCCATGAAGTCCGTTCGTCTCAAGGAGGCGAACAGAGCACCACCAACTGTGCATGAACAGCATCGCTGGTACACCGAGGATAACGCCAAGAAGCTCATGGACGAGGACCCCCGGCCTTTCTTGCGTGCTCGCGAGCATATTGACTACATGGCTCGAGACCATTCTACTAGACTTCATGCGACCGTTGGAGAGCCTCAACCCCCCAACAGCGATGTCGACATGCACGCTGGGATGATCAGAGGTGCTGGTCATATTCTGATAAATCTCACCGAGAATCTGATCAATGATAAGAAGCAGGACTACTTTTATCGTACCAAGAAAGCACCAGACTATGCGGTCGACCGGACTGCTCTAGTTTCTGGGGCTGAAAATATCAGTTTATTCGAGGACAAACCCAGCGAGAAATACAACCCTCCTAACCGCCTTGCGCGCGATCCGAGGTACTCCAACACCGGCGGCGAGTCTCCCAGGGAGGAAAAGAGTGGTGGAAATGGTTTGCACAAGACCAAGTACGGTTGGGGTCATTGAAGAGACGGGTCCAGAATGTGACTCTGACGAAGAATGAAAACTGGAGCGTCAGATTTCTGTACGACGGTATTCACCGTGGAAGTCTCGAGCGGAGACCTTGGTCAAAAGTGTAGCGCATGATCATAGTTGTGCAAGAATGGTGCCAGACACAATCGAGGCTATGAAGCCGCGATAGACATGTATATTTTATCGACATGACGCGCAGATGCACGATAGCACAAGGAAGGCAACAAGGAAATACTGCGGCCCTTGTGGATAGCACGTATTGTCTCACATTATTCTTCATGCTCTCTACCCATGCTCATGCATATGACTTATGAAACGCTTACGCTTCTAGACGCCGAGACCACAATCGCTCAATGCACCTCAGCTGCCCTCCAAAGGCTCCATGCCCCAATCCTTCAACCAACAGCCCACAAGCTTACTGACGTACCCATCCGGCCCATGCTTCAACAGCACCTCCCGCCCCGCACTCGCCACGACCGGCGCGTCCCGCACCGTGCGCACCGTCTCAAACTCCAGGCCATTCTGCCGACCCCCTTCCATCCCACTGTCGATCCCTCTCTCGAATCCCGCCTCCCTCGCATGGCCATACTTGCCCTCCCAAAACCCCAACAATTTCAGACTCGGATTCGCCTCTGCGTCTTGTGATGCCTCGCGCAGGCGTCTCAGCCACTCGGCGGGACTGACCTCGTCGAAATGCGGAAGGAGGGCCGTGCGCCGCAGCGCGGGCAGGACGTCGTACGTCCAGTGGAGGGTGTGGGGGTTGAGGACGTTGTAGACGAGGTCAGGTTCACTTTGATCGTCATGGGCATGGTCACGGTCATGCTCCTGCTCCTGCTCCTGCTGGTGCTCCTGCTGGTACTCGTGTTCCTGGCCCTGGTGTTGAGCACGCCTCGCAACATCACCACCCCCCAGCGCCAGCACGACAATAGCCTCGGCGCACACGTCGACGGGCAGCCAGCTCACGCGCTCGTCCAGGCGCGGCAGGCAGCGCAGGCCGTCCTGCGCCGCGCACCGCACGAGGAGGGCGACCGCCTCCGTGGCGTTCCAGGCGCCGCGCTCGAGGTCGCCGCTCAGCTGGCCCACGCGCATGACACGGCTCTGCATGCGCGTGGATCCACCCTGGAAAGAAGAAGCAGCCTCGGTGATGCGCTCGCCGCACAGTTTCGCCTGCCCGTAGCCCATAGTCTGCGCGTGCGCGAGATCGGGGACGCGCGTCTCGCGCACGATGGCGGGGCGGGGCGTGCCGCTTGCGGCGGAGACGGAGCTGCAGAAGTAGAAGGCGGCGGGGGTGGCGAGTTGCACGGACGTGCAGAGGTTGATGAGGTTTTGGATGCTGGCGAGAGAGGGCGCGAAGGCTGGGAGGGGGAGGTTGAAGTTGACGGGCCAGGCGCAGTGGATGACGTGGGTGAGGGAGGTGCGGAGTAAGGTGAGGTGGGTTTCGGAGAGGCCTAGAGTCGGGAGGCTGAGGTCGGAGGGGAGGCAGGTCAGTTTGTCGAGGAGGGAGGCGGGGAGGTCGATGCCGCGGGAGTGGAGTTGTGAGAGCACGCGTGTGCGGGCGGCGGCGGCGCTTGGGGCGCGGACCAGAGCGTAGACGTGGGAGACGCCGGGGCGTGAGAGGAGGGACGCGGCGATGTAGGCGCCTAGGCTGCCAGTGCAGCCTGTGAGGAGGATGACGGCGTTGTTGGTGCGATCTGGAGTAGGCCAGTTGGCTGGCTCGTGGGGTGTGAAGACCGAGTACTGAGAGATAAGCTCCTGCATCGTGGTAGTGACGCTGCCGGCAGGGTCTTCCTCGGGCTCGCCTGTACGCAAGCTGTAGAGGTGACGAGCGAGGGCGGCAACGTTCCCGGTCTCGAAGACGACGTTGGTGGAGAGCTTGCTCGCGTTGTCGCCGAGAGACAAATGTTTGCGGATCAGACTGTATAGGCGAGTGGTCTGTAGGGAGTCAATGCCGCAGGAGAAGATGTCAGAAGTTGGGGACGGGAGTGGGGTGTTGAGCGTGGTGGCAAAGGTGGACATGAGGAAAGATTCTAGCTCAGGGATCGAGAGCTCGAGGAGAGAGCTGCTGTCCATGGCGGATGGAGAGGTATCTTCGAAGGCGGCGTAGGCGGCATCAATGGCAGTGGCGAAGACTTGATACAATTGTGCGCGGATGAAGGTACCTTTATCGGTCTTTGGATAGGCAACATCGGCGTGCATTGGGATGATGAGTTCCTGCGGGATGCGAGAAAAGCTCTCGGCTGCGGCGTTGGCGGCATCAATGCTGGGTTGAATAGCAGAGAGGAAGTCTGCATCGGATAGATGCGCAGAGTGCGCGTTGCGGAATACGATAACGCCTGGGACGCTACGACCTGCACCGAAGACGGCTGCTTCGCCAACGAGACGATCTTGGCGAATTCGGCCTTCGATGGGGAGAGGAAGGACTTTCTCGCTGTTGACGAGGGTCAAACGATCGTCGAGGCGGGAAAGATATTTGTAAAAGTTCGACTTTGCAGGGTCGGGATGTCTGGTAAATAGATCGCGAGTGCGGAACGAGTTGGGAGGATCATCAGAGTTTGAAGGCCCCTTGGATGGTAAGCCGTCAAGACCGACACATTCGAAGACACCTGGTGATATCTCGTCCATGAGAACATGTTTGGAGATTGGATAGTGGAGCCGCATATAATCCCATTCAAGATCTCCTGCTGGGCGGGAGGAGTTCATGATAAAACCAGTCTCCGTAGCTCCGTAGTTCGCGACAAGATTGATGCCTGCTGCAACCAGCCTATTGCCCAGTGCGTCTGGACAAGCACTACCGGCGTACAAGACAAGCTCAGCCTTCTGCAGCTGCGCTATACCTGCCTCGGTTTCGGCCATCAACTTGAGCACGTAAGGCACGACATTGAACAGCTCCGGTTTGGCCACTGACATGGCCTCGATGAGGTTCTTCGCTGTGACTGGGAATGCATAGTTGCCTAGGTACATGGGCTTCCGTGCATAGAGTGCTCGGCCACATTCCATTAACGCTTGGCTGTGAAAGAGAGGTGAGACGCAGAAGGCTTTCAAACCCAAACCCTTGTAGAAGTTGGCCAGGCATTGCATGTTTGTCAGGATGATGGGCTTGGGGAAGCCGGTACTTCCAGAAGAGTGGATGATCCAGCCCATCTTGTTGCCCTCCTTCACCGGATCAACGCTACTGCGGACGAATGCAGGAGGACTTGTGACATGGCGGTAGTCGGCTCGGGCGAGTAGCGGGTAGCTACTGCATGGATGAGCTTTTTGAATTTCGCTAACCATGGTCTGAAATGTCGGTGCGGCAATGATTCGATCGCAATTTGCCATTATCATCAGCTGGATATAGGCTTCAGCCGCAAGCCTGGTTGAGAGAAACAAGATGGCATAACCTAGTCGGTTCAGGGCGAAGATGGATATGTAGACTTCAAGGCTCGAAGGGGCAAGCAACGCCATGACAGGGGCTTCTGGCAGGGAAGGGTCGACCGGTGCAATACCATGGCTGATATACTTTGCAACAGCAGCATCGGTGAAGCGATCGAGATCCTTGCCCGTATACTCCTCGAAGTCACTGACACCTTTCACAGGGTACGCAAGCAACGGGGCATTTGATGGCTCTGCGGCATGAGCTTTCAGCAGACCATCAATAGTCCGGTATTCGGCAGGTGGTAACTTCTGAGGTTTGGTAGATTGTACTTGGGCTGTAAATTCTGCAACAGGCGCAGTCAGAGTCACTGTGGTCGACATGGCGGTACAGTTGTTTGTGGCGTCGAATTGTGTGGAGTATAGCGTAGACACTCAAGAGTTGCACGCAGCACCTAGAGGGATGTTCAAGGCTGCTGCCGAGGAAGTCTCGTCTACATGTATGTCAGGGAAACTGTCCTGGCGTCGTATGGCTTCCAATGGAGCAGAGTGCGGTGGGTACGTGTTCAACACCTGCCAATGGCACAACGTACATCATCTCCTGCATCGTTGAAACGGGTGCCCAGTCGACCTTGGAGGAGGAGACCTGGGGTGAAGGTGGGGGGGTCGAACGGGGTAGAGATGTTGCGAGCCGACGGGATCTCTGCCGTCGGCCCAGTTGGAGAAGGTCGTGTCGGCATCATACCCGTAGCAACAGCGGCACGCCGATAATGGTTCCAACATCTGTCTAGTCGAGTGTGGAGAACCTTCTTTCGACAATGAACACCGCCGGCGGAGGTGTTGATATGTGTCTGCGGTTACTGTGAGCAGCATTAGTGGTGGCCGTTGAAGCCGAAACAACGATGCTAAGTGGTCAATTACGGCGACCCATTACGCCTGCACCGACCATAGTTGTGCTCCACCGTAGTGACGACCATCTTGCTTGATGCTCGGATTTGCGTTTCATGTTTTCATCAACGCCTTTACAATCCGGTCGGTAGCAACTCTGAATTCTGAGATGCCGCAAGTCTCTCGATCAGGCTGGACTCCATTTCCCCGTACCCGCCGCTGTCATCTGGTTGCTCCAGGCTCTCTTCTGGCCTTTCTAGCCCCAAGAATGGCCCGTTACAGCTGCTGGCCTTCACTAGGCTTCAGCGGTCTATGGGTTCATACTGATTTCCGCAATGCTCTATTTCGTTCTCAAGAGCAGGAAGACGTAGTTTGGCCCTGTCACGGAAGTCCAAGGCCGGAGCTTGTCTGCATTGAGGACATGAATGTCTCTCTCCTGTGCCCCTTTATCCCCGTGCCGTAGCGACAGCTTACACCCGAAACATATGGCTGCCCATGATAGTCCCGGCATGGAGCAAACAAGGTAACAATGAAATGCAGCAGTCGGGAAGCCACATGACCTTGCCTCACAACCGCCCTCGTCCATCAACGAACGGCTGTGGCCTCATCAAACACCACTTTGCCTGCTGCTTTGTGCTCACAACGCACATTGTCACATTAACTTCAGCCATAAATCAGCCTTCAGTGGATCCAACACCTCAAGTCATCTCCACTCATTCCCAGTTTTCCTCGGTGCCACTGGCTGAAGAGATACCTAGTCTACCTAATACCACCAGGATTCAATTAACTCTCGAGCCCACCATGATCTGCAACTGCGTCAACTGCGAAGCCATCCGCAACAATTACCCGAAACTCGACACCACCTATGACCCTCACCACAAACCGCCCTCAAGCCGCGATCACCATCAGCTCCACGAATGGGCACACACTATCAGCCATCTGAACAGCACGCAAGCTCTTCTGACCATCAAGTCCGATGTCGCCGACATCAAAGCTGGCGTTGCAGCCCTGGAAGAGAGCTCGAGCTCGACCTCCAGCAGCAGCCGATCGCATGCCTAATTCGCTGCCACCGTCTGATTTCTGGTTGCTCGTATCAGGAAGGCGGTGGTGGAGAGGTAGGCGGGTGAAAAGGTGTATGAGAAAGCGCTCGAAAAAGTCGCCGTTCCTGCTGCTACGGTGCCTTCTGCAATGCCCTGCTACGTTGTCGCGCCTGCGACGATGCTGCCGTTCGACCCGTCTCCGCTGGAGCAGAGTGCTCAATTGTAAGAGCAGCAGTAGGAGATGGAGCAGGAAGGGGAAAATTTCAGAAGTGTGATTGGGGGTTGGTGACGGGCGAGCAGTGTGGGGCATTGCTCCAGAAAGATGAGTCGCGACAAAAGGACCAACAAAAAGGAAAAGATATGAATGAAGGAAAATTGGCATGGTGTTCTTCGCAGCCCCCGAACATGCATTCTTCCTACACAAACCTGAGTACCTTACGTAGCCGTTCCAGGGCAGGCGCCACCGCATGGTAAGTCTTTCTTGAAACCAGGTGACTGCTGGAGGATCATCCTGGACATCAATACACTTAAAGCTGGCGATAAGGGGCCACAATACCAGCTCGGAGAAGACAGTGTCGATGTCACTTCAGAGCCTGCCAAGGCAGTGTGAACGAGAGGATTAAAAGCGGGACTTCTCCCCCGGCACCCCGCGCAGGAAGGTTTCGGGCGTCTCAAATACCATATGGCATCAATCTCAAACACCCCGCTAGTGGAATAACTAAGCAGAGTATTCTGGATGACGATACCCCCGTCCAAGCCGTCCCAATGTCGCACGGGGCGGGGAACGGCCCATTACTCCGAGCTTGCTGTTCGTAGTTCCTAAAGCATATTACGTATTCCATCGCTAATAAATCCACGACAGAATTTTCCAAGTCCGATTGACTTCGCCGGATCCGACGAGCAGCAATTTAAGCCGTCTTAAGCATGGCAGTAAGCTTCTCGAGTCCTAGTCTTGTCCCATATCGTCGACGCAGAAGGACATGTCGACGCTCAGCCGTAGCGCGACCGACGTAGAGAATGCGGACGAGCCCCGTTCCGCCGCACTGCGTCCATGTTCGTTCACCCAATTCCGCCCATGCAACTATCTAACCAGAGCAATTAGGCACCTCAAGTCGCGTGTCAACCCACACACTGGACTGGGCAGGACCCGATGACCCGCAGAACCCCTTCAATTGGCGGCTGCGCAAGAAGTGGATCGCCACCGCCCTGGCGCTGCTGGCCAGCTTCACCTCGATGCTGAACGGCACCATGATCACCGTCGCGCACGAGCCCATCGGCGAAGCCTTCCACGTCAGCGACGCCCACTTCCCACACTCGTACTGGCCCGTCGCCAGCTGGACCATCGGCGGCGCCGTCACCTGCCTGCTGCTGCTGCCGATCATGGAGGACTTTGGCATGCGGCCCACCTTTCTCGCCACGTACATCGTGTACCTGTGCTTCCTGGTGCCGCAGGCCGTGGCGCAGAACTTCGCGACCCTGGTCATCTGCCGCTTCTTCTCCGGCGGCTGCGTCTCGGTGCTGGCCAACACGGCCGCGGGCGTCATCGGCAATATCTGGGAGGGCGAGCGGGGCCGAACCATCCCCACGAGTCTGTACATCACCGCCTACCTGACGGGCAGCAGTAGCGGGCCGGTCGTTGGCGGCGTCATCCTCGAGTATCTCGGCTGGCGATGGATCTCTTACATGCAGCTGATCTGGATGGGAGCGCTGTTCCCGCTCTACATCTTCCTGTTTCCGGAGACACGAGGCGTGACCATCCTCGAACGCCGGTCCCGCAGCCTCGGCAGGACAGGTGGTCAACGGCGCCTCTCAGCCACGCGGTCGGTGCCGTTGGGTCAGAAGCTGCGGAGGAGCGTCACGCGGCCGCTGTACATGCTCTTCACGGAGCCGGTGCTCTTCGTCTTTACCATCTGGTCCGCCTTCATGGTCGGAACCGTCTATCTCTTCACACAGTCCGTCGAACAGGTCTTCTCCGGCCTGTACGGTTGGACACCAACGCAAAGCGGCTATGTTCAGGCGGCGGTGGTGCTCGGCGAGTGCATCGGCTGGACGGGCACACTAGTCTCTTCCAAGATCTACTTTGGATCCGCCTCCCGCAACACCGAAGTGCCCGGGACCCCCATCCCAGAAGCGCGGCTGTACGTCAGCGTCTTCGCCAGCTTCATCGGCGTCGCGGGCGGCATGTTCGTCTACGGCTGGACGTCCTCCCCGGCGATCCCCTGGGTCGCTCCCGCGGTCGGCCTGGCCATGGTCGGCTTCGGCATCAACATCGTTGTCCTCGCCATTGCGGACTACATTCTCGACGCGTACAGCAGGTACGCTGGAAGCGCGATCGCCGCTCTCGTGCTGGGTGAAGACATCTTTGCCGCGTTTTTGCCGCTGGCGACGCAGAGCATGTACAGCAATCTGGGCTTCAACTGGGCGAGCTCCGTGCTGGGCTTCTTGGCCGTAGCCATCTCCTTCACGTCGCTGTGTCTGATCGTCTGGGGCAGGCAGCTTCGGGCGCGGAGTCCGTTCATGGCTGGCGTGGCGGTTGTGGGCGAGAAGAGTGTATTTACGTGATGTAGATGTAGCTTTCATGTCACGAGCAATTTATGACCATGTAACAGCTGTTCAGTCGGCAGATTTCAACAGCATCCTCATCTTCACTGCCCTTTCCCGGCATGCTTATCCGCTATGAGGCGTCTCAGACGCTATGTCCGGTCCTCAGTCACCGGATATATTCTGGAATCCGCAGCCATAGCTGCCGGAGGCTCTCAGTATCGCACGTCCCACCCTCCCAAACAAATCAAGCCCATTACCCCACAAACTCCATAACCGCATCATCCACCTCCCTCAGATGCGACGCGCTCAAGAAATGCGCCCCACCCTCTACAACCCGGACCTCCGCCTCCTTCGCGTTGCGTTGCCAAACATCTTGATCTCCTCCTGCGCATTCGCCACCGAATACACCGTATCCGCCGTGCCCTACCGCCGCCGCCGCTGTTTTCCCAACAGGACCCTAGAATCGTAGCACTTTGTCCGACAGATATTTGCCAATCTCGAAATCGGGAAAAAAAAGCTCACATGCAACCACAAAACCGGACACCTCACACCTCCAACCCTTGGCATGCAAGCCATCGCGATCCCTGAGATTCAGTGTCGCCATCCTCGCCCTCCCCCTCCTCCCCTCATCGCCACGATAATTCTCCTTGAGCTCTCTGCGCCCAGAACTCGGCTTCTTCTTTTGGGGGGGGGAAACGAGTGGCGCCGCCAAAGCCGGCACTGACGAGAAACTCGCAGAACGCGGTCGTCCATCTCGAAGGGAAGGCGTGGGATGGTCCGACGTCCAGGGGCCTCGAGCGAGGACGTGCACGCCGCCCGCGATGCCGTCCCAGCAGCCCGAGGCGGCGGCTGCGGTCGGACTCGTAGTCCATTGAGGTGCCGCGGCAGTGGGATGCTGCCGACGATCTGCAGAAAAAGGGGGAAGCGGGGGAACTTTTGGCGTGGTGTATATCAATGGGGATTGCGCCCCGTGATCCAGCCGCCCTGGCTGGTGCCGAGCACGAATGCCTTTGGGACCCCCAGGGTGTCCAATACCTGCAGGTTCATGATGGCGGTGTCCCAGTAGGTGAAATGCTCGCCTATGGTGCGGGTCTGGCCGTGGCCGAGGAGCTCGATGGCCAGGAGGTTCATCTTGCTGGTGAGGTCCTTGTTGGCGAACTGGCTCCGGTAGAGTTCGGAGGAGGTGGTGTATGAGTTGACGAGGACGAGGGTTGGCTTGGAAGCGTCGTAGGGCTGGGGCATCTGGTAGGCGGCGTCGATGCCGCCTAGGTGGGGGACGTGGATGGTTTTGGTGTTGGGCATTGTGGCGAGAGCTACTCAGCTGGGCGTGTTGGATGGTTCCAAGTGCACGAAACTGGACTTGACTGTTGAGGGTCATGTAGTAGTTGGTAAGCACCATGAATTTTGGTTCTCTGCCCCGCAATCCAGCATCCGGGGTACTTGGAGCTGGTATGATGTCGTTTGGGAGGACATTGCGTTTGTGTACGACTTTCTGATGAATGCACACTTAGCACTGTCCTTACAAACTTCCCTGATCCGAGCTTACAGCTTTGGTCTCAACGGTATTCGCGCTGCTGCAGGTGACATCCTTCCAGGCCAATTGTCAAAGACAGCCGAGGCTGTCGACATAAAGTTCCAATGAGCCAATGACGATTGTGGATTTACTGCCTGCTCACACTTGGCGCTTTCTGTACTGATTGAATTGCATGGAGGGACGAACCATCTGAGTATTGAACTACGATAAAAGCCCTGTCTTTCATCGCAAGAGATATGCTGGCATCTCATTGGTCGTCGGTCAAGGCTGACACCCCTGCATCCTTCAAGAAACCAACCACCCTAGCGATCTCCGTTAGCAACGTCTTTCGCGCATAATATGCGTGGTCCTCCTAGCGCACCATCCCCGCTATAGTCCTTGCAGGAGTGGGAATAACACTCAACATCTTATGGGACCACCTCTGGGCCAAAAGTCCATTCCTCTTTTCCGAATATCTCATAGCCGGTACACAGCTCAACAGAGCGAAGATAGAGCAGTGGTGGATGTTGAAAAATGACGACAGACCAAAATTTGTGCGCACTATGAATCAAGTCTTCAGTCAGACATTACTCAATCAGTCACTCACTCACTGCATGGAACGATCAGTCAATCAGTCAAGCCACCGCATCCACCACATCACCCATCATCCCCAGTCTCTCAGAAAGTGGAAAGGCCGCTGCGAGCGGACGGTTTCACGAAGGAAATGTTTCCACAGCACGCGTGCCATGCCCCAAACCAGCCTAGCTCCACTAGCTCCCCTAGCTTTCCCAGCATCAAAGTCATCCACAATCTTGACGCCATCAAAGGAGTGTCAGAACCACCGTACACACCGTAGTTTGCTCCGATCGGTTTTCCGAGTTGAATTTGAAAATGTGGTGCTGGCCCCCCAAAGCCCAAAAAGGGAAATCTTTAACGCCCAAACCTCTCCCCCCCACAAAAAAGCCAAGCATTATCGACTTGGAGAAACAAAGAATTCAGAGAGATCGGCCGTTTACTTCCGCACTCCGCAACTGCTATCGGTACTTGGGTTTGTCGTGTCGTGTCGTGTCAGATATTCTTCACATGTCATTGTTACTTCATTGATTTGGTTCATCATTGATGCAATTTTGGTTTTTACCCGCTTTTGCCACAAAATGTTCCAACGGGTTACAGGAGCAAGAAGACATTTGGTTCGTAGCTCGCTGTCGGTGTTCTCGCCATATTCCCCTCGCCAGAGCTTTCTTTCTCCTGGAGCTCCAGCAACTGTTGACCGTGCAGCTGCGTTTTGTCGCTTCGCTTTTCGCATCAACCGACCACGACATTCAGACGACAACTAGGCTCTTCACCCCCCAGCATTACCTCGGTTCACCTGTTGAATGCGATGTATTTATTTCTTGTCTCTCTGGCCGTAAGCCTTGGTGGCATAGTCACCCTTGTGCACGATCAAGTCTTGTGGTCTGTAATCCTCCTTGCCGCTGAAGTAGCTGGTCAGGATAGCCTTGGTGCCAGCAGCGTAGCGCTCCTGGGCATCAATGGAGGTACCGGACATGTGGGGAACGGTGGCATTGCCTCCGCCCCAAGGGTTCTTGGCAGTGCGTAGCGGGTGGTCCTTGGGCGCAGGCTGAGGGAACCAGACATCACCACCGTAGCCGTTGAGGTGGCCAGAGGCGAGAGCTTCGGCAACATCCTCCTTAACGACGATGGCACCACGGGCGGTGTTGACGAGCCAAGCGCCTATGTGGTATTAGTAGATGCTGAGTGGAAGAGGTGCTGGACTTACCCTTCTTCATCTTGGAGATCAATTCCTTGTTAAACAGACCACGGGTCTTCTCGTGCAGCGGGCAGTTGATGGTAACAACATCGCACTGGCCAAGCATCTCTTCGAGGCTCTCGACACGGCGGCAGCCAATCTCCTTCTCAACCTCAGGGGACAGAGGCTGGTAGTCAAAGTACAGGAGCTCCTTGCAGTCGAAGGGCTTCAGGCGACGGAGCACACGCTCACCAATGCGGCCAACAGCGACGGTACCAACGACCTTGTTCTCAAGATCGAACTCGTTCTTGGCGACAGCGGCGACATCCCAGTTACCAGCCTGGATTTGCTCACGGGCGGGGACGAAGTTGCGGACGAGAGTAAGGATGGTCATGATGACGTGCTCAGCAACGGAAACGACGTTGCTGCCAGTGACTTCGGCGACGGTGATACCACCGTTGGTCTTGTTGGCAGCGTTCAGGTCGACGTGGTCAGAACCAATACCGGCGGTGATAGCAATCTTGAGGTTCTTCGCCTTGGCCAAGCGTTCTGCGGTGAGGTAACCAGGGTGGAAACTAGAGATTACATCAGTATGTGATGTGAAAAACCCGACCGCCAGACGTACGGAGTAGTGATGATGACTTCGGCGTCAACAAGCTCCTGGTCAAACTTGGAGTTCTCGCCCTCCTTGTCGGAGGTGGTGACGAGAGTGTGACCTTGGTCCTCGAGCCATTTTCTGATACCAAGTTCGTTCTCGGTGGTACCTAGGAGGCGGGGTTGGTCGCGAGCGTGCTCATGGCCCTATCGATGAGATTAGCAACCGAGCCGCTGGCGAGCAGCAAGAAGCTAACTTACGTCGTAGAGGACGAGCAGAACTTTTCCCTGTCGAGCAGCAGAGGCGGTCAGTGTGCGCTTTGCAAGACCGGTGAAGGATGGGACGGCAGTGCGGCGAGCAAAGTGTGGGGAAGCCTGGCCAGCAAGCAGAGAGGAGGCAGGGCGGTGCAAAGACCGAGCAGCAGAGCGGGCAAATACCATTTTGAATCAATGAACAAGAGAGCAGAGAGTCGGTGACAATAGTTCTCGGAAGGATGGAGAGAGAAAGTAGTCGAGCTCCAAGGCCGAGGTGATGGTCGACTTTTTATGAGCAAAGGAACAGGACTCTGTAGGGGAACTGGGGTAAGCTCGAGGACTAGCTGCCTTTGGAGCTTGCGGTGATGATGACGGGAGGTTCGGCACTGATCAGACAGTAGGATGCAATTGGCCGGAGGAGAGCAGCGCGGAGAAGGGCTGGGCTTCTGGACTGCTGGACTGCGGGAGGCAAAGGCTGCTTAGGGACCCTGCAAGCGCGTGGATGTTAGCAAAGGCTAAACGAAGTACCGCGGGCAGGTACACGAGTCTGGAGACTCGAGAGGCACTCGATCACTGAAGAGGGGTAGAGAATGCGGGACGCGGCCAGCGGCATCGGCGGAGGGGTGAGCTATCGATAAGCGCATTGATGCCCCTCGAGGCTCGGGCTGGGGCTTGGGCTTGGGCTTGGGCTTGAGCTTCCATATAGGGGCAAATTGAGGGGCAGGAAAAAACACAAATATCCGGACATAGACAGACAGTACGCACTCTTTGAGATTGAGATTTTGGTCGAGTCGGATATTGTCGACGGCGAGCTCGGTGCTGTGAATTCTCCTGTGCTTCTGTGGCAGAAATGGTCCTCGCTGGGTACGACGGCAGGTGCAATCCAAGTGCTAGAATGTTGTGCCGCTGGTAGTCAGGCAGTGAACGATATATCGCAAGCTGACTAGTAGTAAAAGTAGCTTCTCACAAACATCTACACGCACTTGTTCGAGCCGACACGCCATCTATATACCTTTTTCTTTTTCACCTGCTCCATAGCAATTTCGCACGAGTTGTGACGCCCAATTGCTGTGGTGCTATGACATCTGTTCGAGAAGCCCCTCCTTTGGCCTACGGGGAGATAGGTGCAGGGTCGAGGCAAGGGCAGCCGTTGCTTCGCTGCTCCGCACAAAACCATCCACCCCGCCCCACACCACACCAGTCAGTCCCAAGCATTCGCTACCCTCGTCCGATGAACCGTAGTCGTATCAGAGTACATAGCGAATGCATTTCTGCCAGGCCTCCCAGTTTCTGTTGTCAATCGAACGCTTTCTCCTCACCTCACACCATGGGGATTGTGGTCGCATGATCGCCATACCGCAATGCATCCCCGATTTGCCCACTGCCGTAGTACAGGGGTTGCTTCAGAGGCCGAGTGGCCCCGCGGAGCAAGAACTGGCGTTTGACGCTTGGCCGTGGTGCGAATTCCCACCAGCCAGCGAACCCACAACGGGTGTTGCAACCGAGAACAGGCATACAACGCGTCTCCCTCTTCGCGTTATCTGTTGCTTCCCACCTACCGTCCCGCTGGCCTGCGCGTCTCCCGTCCTTGCCTCCCGAGCTCCAAAGCCGCCAAAACCTTACTGGGGCGGGCTTCTCGCCTGCAATCCCACCACAAACCCACAGAACGTGCCCGAATCATTCCATATTGCCCCGAGTGAAACGTCTGTCCGCTGTCCTGTCGACGGCATTTTCTCGGTGTTGCCTTGTTCAGTACATTCTGCCGCCATCGCTTGCCCTAAACGTACTGTCTCAGCGCACGAGACCGCGTGAGACGGCTTTTTAGGACTTGGCCAAAAGGTCTGGCCGCCCCGCCCTCGAGCCGCTAGAACGTTGAACCGTCTCTCAGGATTCCCACCTCGTCCCTCCGCTGGACTGTGCGGACCTGCATGGCAGCGCGAGAACTCGCACGAGGCGGAAGCTTTGTTAATTAGACTGCTGTGGACGTGCTCGGCTGAGATTCGGCGTTTGTCTTTCGCGTCCGATGCGCTCGCTGCCACTTGCTCGAACAGGTAGGTCTTGTATTTGGGACCAGTTTGCTGCGGATGCGGCGGCGTAGTTCCTCAGCCTGGCAGATGATGCCTACGGGTCAATTCGACGAGGCACTTCGAAGACATGATGACAATGTTTGCGAATCGATGCTCTCTGCAGAAATTGTGGTAATGTTGTCCACGCCTATCACATCGATAGCGTACAGCTGGAGCGGAAGCATGATGAATGTTAATGGGCTTGGCTGTAAAAAGGTTGCTTGTTAGAAAGAGCAAGCCAAGTAGATCGGAGGTACTTGATATGTTCAATCTGGAAGGCACAGCAAGTCCATGAGGATTTGGGATGGCCAGTCTTCAATTCCCTAAGTCTAGACAGACTCGGCCTGACTATGAGGTCCGCATTAGACCTCCAAAAGACACACGCTGTCTCCGGGACGTATAGTCAGGCATTCTGTCTATCGAGTACGGGAACCGGGACGAAGCCATGCCTGACGCACTGTCCATCGCGTTGCACAATCCCATCAGTTACTTCCTGCCACTCAAACCGAATCCCTTTCCCCGAAGCCTAGGACGAACCGTGGCCACTCGGTACTGCCGAGACGGCCTACAGCCAACGAGTACATCCCTCCGCTCCGCATCGCCTTGCTCCTTGCGTCATCGTCCGAGCCGTTTGAGGATTCCGCTCCCCGCCTGCGACCTGCGAGGAGCCGTTGGCCGGTGGCCTGGACCCCGCTTACTCTCTCTGTTTCTGGCGCTTCTTCATGCTCGTGTCCATGGATGAGTCGAAGACGCCGCGCCGCTTTTCGGCCCGCTGCAGTTGTTGTTTAGCGTTTCGTTGACAGTCTGAAGGTCTTGCCGCTCGCTCTCAATCGCAGCTTCTTCTCTGGCGATCTTCTCATGCTTGTCGTCGATTTGGTGCTGCAGCTCCTGCTCCTCGGCTTTCCACTCCTCCGCAGTCTCATCGTAACGTGCATCGAGTTGGCAGATCTGTTCCATGATATTGTCACGTGCATCTCCAATCCCGACTTCTTGCTCGCAAAGCTGATTAGCCAAGTCACCAAGTGCCTTGCTCATGCGGAACTCCTGCTCCTGATTCTTCTCCTTGTCCTTCTCCAACTGATTGATGTAGCTGTCCACGCGATGAAATTATTCCTCATCGTTGGTGGCCACTCGTCCTCGACATGGGTCGCACCCACTTCTTGACGGTTCTCCTCAAACATGAGTAGCTTGAGAGTATCTGATCTATGTCTCTGCTTGATGAAAGGCCGACGATTCAGACAAGTCTTTTCGCTAATTGAGTCTCGATCTTGGTCCGAAATACCAGGAAGACTCTTGTCGTCGTCGAGCGTAATCACGTCCTTTTCCAAGCTGTTGGGATTCGCACGGGCTTGAGCGGCTTCGACAGCATCATTGAGATTGCGCGATTGCGAACGAGTGTCCTTGTCAGGAGCAGAGAAAGGGACAGTGCGTGTGCCATTATTGCCGGCAGGCAGAATCCGAAAAGTCTTGCTTGACAGATGGCTGAACTGCTCGGGTGTGCGATAGTGGAAAAAGAAGTCGGTTAAAGGACTAGTGGACTTGTGGACAGGACGTCTGAGATATTGCACCAGATCATCCTCGCAAGTGATCTCAGACATGATGCCTTTGCTCAGACGCAGCTTGTCTGTTCGACCACGGCGCATATCGCCTTAGAACATGTCAAGAGATGTACGGTGCCGAGGCTTGCGGGCTGGAGTCTTTTCGGAAATGATGGCCTTCTGAACTCGAATGTGCAAGGTGCTGTAGGTGGAGTCTCTGATGGATTCGGGTACTTCATCGCACAGAGTTGGAGCACTCTCCGGTGAGCGTAGTCCAGAAGTAATCAGAGACACCATACTCTGCATATCCGGCATGCCGGTTACGGGAAGAGGGAATACCTTGAACACGATTCGGTGAGAGCTGAATCTTGAAACACCTTGCTCCTCGTTGAATGGTAAGTTAACAGGGCGTAGGGTGAACTAATCAACGTCTTCCAGGAGGTTGTTGTTGTTGTTGTCGTGAGTGAAGACAGCTTGATCGCATTGACTTCGGGGCTGTGCCAATCGAAGGCTGGTCCGATCTCGACGACCACGACAACGCGCTTGCCAGGCTCGAGCGAAACATATCGATGGAAGTTTTGCCCGGTGCCGTACTCATGACAGGCTTGAGACATGAACTCTCTGGATTCGACATCTGTGTGGATCGATGGAATTGAAGCTCGACCAGGTGTCCCTTGCGCAGGCGGATGTCCAACAAGTATGGTGAGACCAAGTTGGCAGGACATTGTGAACACTGGAATTCGAGCACTGTGATTGCAATGCGAGTACCTATCAGAGGGTCTGATCTATGAACCAGTCTCGGACTATTGTCAGGCTCGCGGAGATGGCACGACGTTGAAATCATGAGGATGGAAGGCTGCGGTGGTCAGAAAGCAGAATTTGAGGCCCCGCCTTGGTTTCGATGGTGACATTGAGACCCGAAGATGAAACGAAGCCCCAGACTCAACGCTGCAAGGCAGGACTTAATTGAAGAGCATACTGCTCTCTTATCACTGGATAACCAAGGACCGACTTGCCGCTGTCTGGCTGCCTAGGCTTGTACAGGAGATCTCGACATCAATTGAGGTGACAAGAGATACTCTGATACCAGACACCAGACACCAGTGTCGACACCGGAATGCAATACAAACAAAGTGCAGCGAGAAAGGAGCTTGCAGCGGACAGAGTCCTGGGCAAGCCATACTCGCCGGCTTGAAGCAGAAGCACCCGCATGTCTGCCGGCTGCGCGAGTTATCAGCCTCTGCATGCTGAGCGCCTTTGAGATGGTTTGCCATCCCGGGTGGGTTGGCTTCAAGTTGCGATGGTACCGATTGTCGATATCAAGGCCTCGAGTTCATACCTTGAGACCATCAACCTTGGGGTTACCGTCAGGGCACGACCATGTCTGCTACTTCCCTGAGCCCAAAGGCAGGCTTGGAAAGTTCATGACAAGACATTTGGGATTGCATGTTGTTTGCGATATTCAAAATATCGGAGGTACTGAAGGGTTTGCGTAAGAAGAGAGAACAGAACGTTAGAGCCAGATGTGCCGTCGTGCAACCGTGCAAACACGCCAAGCACTGCCTTCGAGGCCTGGGCGCCAAGACCGGCTATACATTCCTGCACTAGGTAGGGAGGGCTCTCACTACACTTCACTGCTGTGCAATTTTCACGTCCGATAACACCTGCTGGTGAAGTACATCAGCAATCACTGCATGGAAGTCAATGCTGCATGGGAAATTTCCGGCTCTATCCTAGTATATGATAAACACCTAAGCCATGCTGCATGATGCTGGCCTTCTCGGCAGATCACTATCAACTCATTGCTCGCAACACCGAGACCTCTCGTGATTACAGGATCATCGATTTGACATAAATGGTACGGGCCAGAAAGTCTCGGTACTTCCCCCATGTAATTCTCGAGGCCTTCGTTACAGGGTATAGCGGAAGTCCGGACTGTCATTGAGGATCAGCTTGCCCTCGTCGGCCAGCTTGTTGCGCCGCTTGAACAAGATAGACAACATGACAGCAATCATCACCACCACACAATTGGCCCTAGGTCATTTCGGTCAGCAAAATCCTAATAACATAGACAACTCGATACTTACACAATAACGGCAATAAAGCCCGGCACGTACTCCGGGGCGTCTTGCGAGCGGAATACTAGACTACCGGCGATACCTCCCACGCCACCCAGGCCTGTTAACGTGGCACTGCAGAAAGCTCGCTTCCACTGTCCGCGGATGTTGTTGGCCTGGTACGCCATGGTTGCGGGCACGTTTGCGTTGGAGCCGGCGATGCCAATGAAGGCACCGAAGTAGCGGACGGCGTTGTTGGTGGAGAATCCCATGATGGGCAAGCCAATGATCGAGATGACGGAGTTGAAGATCAGAACCGGGGCGCGGGTCTTGTACTTGTCACCGTACCAGGAGGTCGCGTACATGAGCATCGCTGAGAGAACGTAGGGTGGCGCTACCAGGCATTGGGAGGCGGCGACGCTGAATCCGATGCCGTTTCGTAGGATAATCGGCAAGAAGAAGGCGAATGAATATGTGACGGTGGTGGTGCAGCTGGAAGATGTCAGTCATAAGTTTACATGGTGCAGACAGCTCCTCACAAAAATATCAGGGCGAAGCCCCAAATCTCGATCTCGCGAGCTGGTTTCATGAACTTCCGCCAGTTGAATGGTTCAATCTCCACATCAGCGCGGTCCTTGTCCAATTCGTGCACGATGTACTTGGTCTCATCGGGCTGGAGGAATCTAAAGGATGGTCTGTCGATCTCTTCATCTGGGAACCTGACGATAAAGATGTAGGAGAAAAGAGCAATAGTACAGGTAATGACACCTTCCATGATGAAGATCCATTGCCAGCCTCTAATGCCCGAGACGCCTTCCATTTGCATGAGCGCATATGCCAGGATACCGGAAAGAGCTGAAGCCATACTACCAATGAGGTAGAACACCGAGTAACGCTTAGCGACTTGGAACCGCGTATACCTATCAGATGTCAGAAGGGCAGTTTGAGATCTGCGGAGGGAACACGTGAAACATACCAAGTTGATAAAAGGTAGACGCAGCCGGGAAAGTATCCCGCTTCCAGTATACCTAGAACCAACCTGAGGCCAAGCAGTGTGCTCCAGTTTTTCGCGAAACCAAAACCGATGATAACAACTCCCCAAGCCAGGCAGATACCCGGCAAGAAGATGCGCGGGCCTACCTTGCGACAAATGACTGTAGTTGGCGCCTGAAAGAGGACATATGTGATGAAGAAGGACAATGTGATTAGACTGGAAGTGATCAATAACTCCACCTTTGTCTGATCAGGGGCCAAACATACCTGTAGCGATAGCCAACTCCGAGATCAAGGTCACTCGTCATGCCAGCAATGGCTGCATTGGACACGTTCTTTCTATCCATGAGACTGATCCCATACATGAAACCGAGGCATGGAATCAACCTAAGGTCGATCCGACGTCTGATGCGTCGGGCTTGTTTGGGCGTGAAGATCTCAGCCGACTCGCTGTCACTGGATTTCTCTTCATGTTGGGCAGTGTGTTGCTTTTCCTCGAGCGTATTCATGATGAATGTGGGGAATGCAGTTAGGGCAGAAATGAAAATGGACAGAGCAGTCAACCCGTCCTACGGGACATCAGGAAGGGGGATTCATTATATGTGGAAAGCCTGTCACGCATAACCCCATTGACTTACCGACACCGAGCAGTCTTGCTCGGTTATTGTCAGTTATACCGCGGTCTCTGGGATTCCAAGAAATATTAACGGACACTTTATTGGACAAGGAGCCGAGAGTGTCTTCAGTAGGGCAAGGATATACCTGGGACGCACGGCTGCTGTTGGGTGATCCGATAAAGCGAGGGCTGTGAAGACTTGGAAAGTCTTGGTGGTGAGGGTTGTGAGTCTTGTGTTGCAGTATCTGGAGATCGCCAGAAACGATGATTGGCAGGAGGCCTTCCGCTTGTCTCGATCAAGTGGACTGCAAATAATGCCAAGATGGGCAAAGTCTTGTCCTGGGGTTTCTCCCGCTCTTTCAATGCGGAAAACTGGAGGAGTTGGGGTAAACAAACAGGGAGGGCAAAGCACCTAGTCTCCTTTCGACAAGCGATCAAGTTCGTGCCAGCGTCAGTAAGGCATTGGCCCGGCTCGACCGTGAAGATCAGTGAAACAGTGGGTTGTTGCATTGTTCGTTGGCTCGCAGTTAGGTCTCGCTCCTCGACTGCACATGGCAATCGAGTCTCGGCACGCATTGAAGCTGTGCAATGAAGGTCAGCGTTGATCCAGGGGGCAGCAAATCCACACGATAAACTTCCTCGAAGGCTTCTTCAACATTCATTGCATAGTAAGAGCAGACGCAATGTCAGAGGCATAGGCCCACTAGGTTCCCGAAACCTTGTGACATTCCGATACAAGCCGCCAGTCCGCGGTCCAAATGCGAGGGTACGGTTCCCGGGTACTCGACGGACATGGAGGACAGATCTCGGTGTTGGCATATCAATAGAGCAGTAGAAAACCTCAGAGCGGAAAAGCTAATGATATTGAGATGGGATGCAGAGAACACCATAAGCTGAGCTGATGATTGGCCGGCGAAATCTGGTCACGTGCGGCCGGCATTTTGCCCGTGACGATTCCCGACAAGGCGACGTCGGCCAACACATGCTAATCCTTGTATCGTGTGAAGCTACACCATGTATACTATCACAGCTGTTGGTATCTGAGGAAAAATCGCATCGCCATGCCGACCGCTAAATCTCCTTTCTCCCACACCAGCTTTCTCCGTGCCGTCCGCTCGTGTCAGCCTAAAACTTATCGCTCTATCAGAACGCCGCCAAACCGATCACCGCGCAAACACATTCACACATCCCCACGCCCGCAACAGGAAACCTATTCCTCGCGCTATGGTCCAGCGGCTTCAACTCCCCTTCCTCCACCATCCAAACCTGAAGAGCTCCGCTTCCCGAATGAACCTCAGGAGCCGCAAAAGAAGGACCATAAAGAAGACCCCGAGGGCAACCCCTCCCACGAGGATGTCGTGCACCGCGTGCAGCGCGACGGCGCCGAGAGCGACTATCATCCTCGCGAATCTGAAAATCCCGACGAGCAGGTTGTAGCAGACAGCGAACCTCTACGCAACAAGGAATTGGACATCGTACTCTCGGTTCCTTCGCCCAGCGAACTGAAGGGGAACAGCCAGCCACGACATCCTCATCTGGAGGCCTCGCCCTATGAGCATCATTTCGACACCTACAGCCTCGTCCAGATGCTGGCGGGTGAGAAGGCATACTCCTCTGCTCAATCTGTCACGTTAATGAAAGCCATCCGACTCATGCTCGCCATCAATCTAGACGTCGCCAAGGAGGGCCTTGTGTCCAAGTCCGACACCGAAAACGAAGCCTACCTCTTCCGCGCCGCGTGCTCGGAGTTGCGCACCACCCTACAGACGGCCCGGCACAGCGAAATGCTCAAGCAGCGGAGCCAGCGCGCACAGCTCCAGCACGAGAGCGACCTGTTGAATCAGAAAGTCACGCAGGACCTGATGACCATGCGCGAGGAGCTCAAGGGCATGTTCAACGACCGCAAGCTGGGCCTCGAGGAGCAGAAGCGGCACGTAGACGGCAGGATCTCAGAACTAGGTCACAAGATCACGGTTCTATTAAACAGCGAAGCCAAGAGCGAGGTGGAAGGCCTACGCTGGATCCTGACGCGGCGGGCAGCAATGGCCATTGCGGCGGCGGCTTGTGAGTATTCACCCCAACCAATTGCTTATGCTGGGCATTAACTAATGCGTCACAGTCATGATCATCTCAGCTCTGAATTACTCATCCATCAAGCTGCGTGAACGCGACGAGGCCGAGAAGAAGAAAGCCGCGCTGAAGAAGAAACAGAAGGAAGAGCGCGAGCGGGCTGAGCAGGCGCGCTTCACGACCCCGAGTCGCGACACTGGCGTGCAGACCGGCGCGAGTTACGAGGAGAGTATGGGATGACCGAGACGCCGAAGGGGTCTAACGCGTGTTTTTGGGCGTGAAAGGTGTGGATCATACGACGTACTATAGAGAGCCACGATATAGCGAGTCCACATGAGAAATGAGCGAATACAGTAGAATTTCAGACAAAAGCGGCCAAATCGCGAAGCAGGAACCGAATGTCGATAATGGCGCATTACCGTCAGAAAACGCCGGCATTTTGGGTCAGATTGCCTACTCTACAGCACCACCTCGATCCAAACACGAATCCACTTACTCGTGGTCAGACATTAGCCCAATCCACTGCGCTCTCCTCCTCGCCCTTTCCAGCGCCCATCCCCCCAACATCCCGCTCCATCATATACAGCGTCTGGCTCGCCTTGCGCTCCTCGCTCCGTTTCGCGAGCCGTAGCCGTGCCGCTGCCACTTTCTCCGGAGCGAGGTTGATATTGCTGGCTCGACCTGGCTGGCGGGTTGCTGACGAGAGGAGTCGTGTCGAGGAAGAGGGTCTGGGGGCTGGCGTAGGCTCCAGCTGTGCGGCGAGCGCCGTCAGGGAGAAGGGTGAGGTTTGGGAATGGTGGCGAGGAGGTTGCCGCTGGTCATGAGGGGGAGGATGTGAAGGTGCCGATTGCGATTGAGCGGGTGGCACGGCACTGCTGGATGCTCGTAGGCTCTGGGACGGTCGCGTTGGTCGCAATTGTGAGGGTTCTGTCGCCGTCTTTGTGCTTGATTGTGAATGGAGTTCGGACGTCGAGGAGCGCTTCTTGGGTGGTAGGAGGTCTGGTCGCTCTGCTGTCCCTGATTGTGTCGCTGAAGGGTCCGATCTGGTGCATATCGGTTGGTCGCGAGGTTTGTCTTCATGGATCTCGAAACTTGGATCCTTACCACGGAGAGAGCGTTTGAACGCCTCGGTCCGCGAGAGATTGGTGTCTACAGACTTCGCAGCCACCTGCTCGTTGGCTTGCGATTTGGAGATGCCCGTAGTTGTCACGACGGAGGCGTTGCTTCTTCGCTCGGCAGACCTCCTCTTCAATGTCAAGTCGTCCATAGCAGCACTCTTCGCGGGACCTTCAGCGTTCGCCAACCTTGTGGTCAAGCGTGCATTCTCCTTGTGCAATTCTTCGACCATTGCCTGCAACTCCACATTGCGCTCATCCATCCTCTGTGCATAGCTTTTGAGCCTCTTATGCTGCTTTAACAGCCTCTTCATCTCCCTTTCTGTCCTCCGCGCGTACGCCTCCGTCTCCTCGTCCAGACCCACCGCCCGCAAGGGATCGTCTCCATTCTTTGTTTCCTTCGCAACCACACTTCTTGCCGGCTTTCCAGAGGACTTCCCCGCGCGAGCATCATCTTCCTGTGGCTGCGACTGGGCCTGTGCCGGCAGTGATTGGTGGCTCTTAGCGGCTTCGAGCGACAACTCGAGCTCTTCCCACAGAGTGTCCACCTGCTGCTCCAGCTCCGCAATTGCGGGCGGCGGGATCGGAATAGATATAGACGCGCCCCTCCTATTCTCTGGACTGATGCTCTTGAATTTGACGTTCACATCTCGTAAGCTCTTTGCGCGGGGCGTCGGCGCACCTGGGGTACGTAAGATGGATTTCGTGGGCGAAACCTGCGCGTCACGCTTGCGCTTCTGTGGGCTGAGGTTTATGACCGGCGCATCGATGCTGACGCGTTTCGGAGACAGAGGCTGAGGCAACAGCGTCGTGTGTACCGTGTCATTGTGTCCGGGCGACTCTGGGGAGCCGTAGACGAAGCCGCGGAAGGCGCGCCAGGCGAATTTGTGTGCAGGTGTAATGGGTGCATTGGCTAGGAGAGTTTCGTCGGACGCCATAGCTTGTTACGCGTGTGTGTGATGCGCTATGTGTTCTGTGCTGTTGATCTCTGCATTGTAAATGTCATCTACACGTTGCTGAGAGCGTGTTCTGCTGCGGGTCTAAGCGCGACATTGCACGGCGGGCGAAATCACAACTTAATACCAAAAAGGGTTTAGGCCTGTTGTAGCTTGGCATTTTCGCTGCCTGAGAATTAAGACATGCAAAGAGTCTTTCAAGTATGAAAGCAACGTAATCCACGACTCAATACCATGATATTCAATGCTAAGCACCTAGGTACTCAAGGGCACCTGGTATGTCGAGTGCGTAGTCCACTCCAGCGTCCCTCAGGCCCGATTTTGGCCGTTCAGCATTCGCCGTTCGCCCTGCTCGGTCTGTCGAGAGCCATATGGAAAGATTTTGATCATCTACAGGCGTACCTATACTCCGATGATATGGGCAGTCGAAGGGTTGTTATTGGCAATTCAGAGAAGTAGAGTTTCAAGTTCTCGGCGATTTGGGAGTGGCTTAGCGACGACAGTCGACTTGACGTTGCGATCTGAAAGAGCAGAAGCGGCTTCGGCGAAGAGGACTTGCGACATCTTGCGTTCCTTGATGTTAAAGGCTGTATCTCTCAAGAAGTGAGGTAGTGGTTCAATCCTCGTCATCATCATCTTTGGCCTCTCTGCTCATGACTTTCCTCCATTCCTCCATCATGTCTTTCATGCCCTCAGGCGTCATACTGGCATCGACCACATCTTTGGGAAGTTTGTGAGCACTATACTTGGTCGATGCGAACTGATAAGCCTCTGGATCATCTCGTTGAACAAGACGGAACTCCGGATCGAATATATCTTCCTCGACTTCTGCATCATCATCGTCGGGCACGGTCAGCGTCAGTAACTCGAGCCATGAGAATAGCAACGGATCCGTTCTGGGTGCCCAGGGGTTTATGTCGATGAGCCAGACTTTCTGGTGTGGAGGAGGAATGTAGACGTCAAAGACAAAATTGGGATCTGGAAAGTTTGCGAGAAGATTGTCCTCCATGAAATCCTCGATCTTGGCCTTGAATTTCTCGCGGAGATCGAATAAGAACTCGAAGTGGTTCATCTCGCGCTGAGAGATTGCTATTAAGCGGCGGTCTCGTACAAAGCATCTGAATTCCAGCGATGGATTGAGGTTGAAGGCCTTTCGTAAAACAAGGTGGTATGGGACCTCGGCAGAGTCCACGCAACCATCGAAAGCTTGCTCCAGATCATGAGTGACAAAGTCGCTGGATTTCAGGAGCAGATACACGTCATTAGCAGATCGACATTCCATATCGTTTGTCGTTGAGATCCACGTTGCGTCTTTGGGTGCTGACCAGTTCAGCTTGGGCACGGCTTTGCCAAGCTCACGGATGGTGGCGACGATATTGTCGTGAATATCGCGCCAATACTCTGCGATATCTTCCTCATCTTCGGCATCTGAGTAACCGCTGTCATCGTCACGGCGGACATCTGGAGGGAGAACAATGCCATCTGCCCTCAGATACTCTAGGAAAGGCTGAGTAAGTGGAATGAGGCGAGCTTTGGGTGAGACTTGGCGGAGTTTTGGGTACCAGGCGTGGAACGAGCAGTTGAGAATGTGCGCCGCGGTGACCGGTGGGAACGGTAATGCTGTAAGCGTTGTGGAAGGCTCTTCCTCTGTTGACATGGGCATATCGATTATATCACGACAATGGCAGTCGTAGTAGAAGGAAGAGTCATGGCGAAGGGTACGGCTTTGACTTGGCAGAGAAAGCTAGATCCTGACTCTTCGCTCTCATTTGTCAGTCATTCGCCCCACACCCACCAATCTGCAGCAGATCAAAAAAGTCGCTGCGAAACCTGCAGCTTCATCTTTCTCGTCCCAAGAGCATTATTCCCCCAATTGACCAAAAAGTTGGACGACCCCGGAGTCGAACCGGGCACCGCTCCCATGCTAAGGGAGAATCATACCTTTGCGGAGTTAGAGATTGCAATGGCTGAGGGTTTAGAAGTCACTAACCGATAGACCAGACGCCCTTGAGTGAACTCGGATGAATTTGTTGAGCAAAAATCTGGTGCTGTTTTATCTATTCTACGTATTCAAAGGCCGATATCGGAAGGTCCGACCGTCTTCTAGTAGCACTTCCTCGTTCCTAGTACCTTTAAGATCTTCAAGCGAGCAATACTCCGCATAAACATCATGTAAAGCTCGGATTCAGTTCTAAATGACCTTTGCGTAACAGCGTCAGTACATGCTCTCGCTTGGCCACGGAGCACAAGATCGCTCACGGCGCTTACTGGTCGAGGTGTTTAATCAACACATGGACGATGCAACCCCCACAAATATCTATACCTGGCCACATAGGTACTCTTCAACCAACGCATTGCTGCATATATAAGTTCAGGACAAGACCAAAGTCTATAGCGGCGCGTGTAACAACATGGTGCCATCCATGGCATGGAACACGACGCCAAGACCCGACGCGTTGAACAGCACTGCGGCACGAGGAGAGCGACTACAGTGGCTGAATTGTGACTTTGCATTAACAGAGTACAAGCTGCAGGAGTTGCAGCATCCACGATGCTGGCTTAGTGTCAGGTGGCCTAGTGTCAGGTGAATCGGCATGTCAGGTGCAAGGGAAAATTCTGCTTCTAGACGCCCTGGATGCTCATACTGTAGCGCTGCTGTTGTGCACACAATGACAGAGATTGAAGTTCTTAGACGACAAGGCCAAGCCACTTTGTATACGCCGCGAAACGGGACCACTCAATCGAAACTTGGCCTGCACAGCAGCAGAGTCGAAGTATTTCGGATCAGGTTAGTCAGAATCAGGCAATGTCACCAAAGCGGCTGAACCCCTTCTTGGCGCCAGCCTTGTTGGACGTCGACCGAGTGCAATGTCAGAGCTACCTGGAAATCAATGTAGATGGTATTCAGTCAGTCGAATTAAGCGTGCCGCATGCTGACCTTGGACACGATGCAACACTCGCATCAGTATATCTCGGGATAACAGGCCTATTTTACCATAATCAATTGTCTGTACCTATCAGGCGGGTCATCGCGCCCACAGAAATCTGCAGCTTGCAGAATGCGTGTTTGTTGCTTGAGAATATGAAAGAACCCTCGTCTTCGTCCCATTCAATCCATCCTTACAAGTCGGCTGCCCCGCGATTAGCATCAGCTGTGGATGAAGTAGGACAAGCGTATTTGGCTTTAGCAAGCTCATCTTCCCTTGTGCTGCTTCTTCCGATGCCCAGTTCCATCCGGCGGCGTGGGCGGATTGTGTGGAGGTCTTTCGCTCGCCTGGCTGCTCCATTCTGGCCTTTGCTGTCCATAGTCCCATTGAGGCTCGCTTGCGCTTTGCTGCTCGCGTTGCCAATGATCCTGTTGAAGTATTGCTCCAATTGATTCAGGCCACGCACCCCCTGGTCCATACATGTCCTCAGACTCAGCTTGAGTGGCTTGTGCCATCACTCCTTCGGAGGAAGAGCCGCTGAAGATCGAGGATGCACTGCTTTGCTGAAACTGCTGCTGACGGCCATACCCAGCCCCTGCTGGGAGCTGCTGCTCATAGCCACCCCCTGGCTGAAACTGCTGCTCATAGCCACCCCTTGTTTGAAGCTGCTGTTCATACGCACCCCCGGTTTGAAACGCCTGCGCATACTCACCCCCCGGTTGGAGCTGCTGTTCATACGCACCCCCGGTTTGAAACGCCTGGGCATATCCAACCCCTGACTGGTTAGCCTGCCCATAGGCTCCATGCCCGTGTATACCGCCGGATTGGTACGGCAGCGCAAAATTGCTGCTAGTCGTTGAGAATGCACTAGCTGAGTAATAAGACTGCTCCTCCGCCCCACCGTCCCCAAGACGTGAATCGGAATAGAAAGCGCTGCTTGGAGCTCGTGAGGTCGCTTCCGAGAAATCCGTGTAGTCGAATTGTGATGCACTTGCGGTGCTTTCGCTCTGGAATGCTGACCCGGTTTGCGATGGTTCGTGTAGCGAAGTACTAGTACTTGCAATGTTTTCTGACAAGGTCATTGAACCAGTCTGCGAGGATTCGGCCATACTTGGAGCGCGTAGAATCTCGCTGCGGCGTGTGGTTCTCCTGTCTTGCCCTGAAGGCTCTGCAGAGTTCTCTGGCTGATTGATTCGGCGAGGTACCCTACGCTTCCTTGAGGCGAGCCCGTGCTCCTGCTTGTATTGCTCAATCAGATTTGACTCGGTCGCTGGTCTATTGTCCATCCTTCGCCGCCAGCTGGTGTCGACACTGTTCCCCTCGCCCACAAGCTTACTGATCACAGGTTCATACTCTGGGTGAGCTGCCATGAAAATCCTGGAACCACTCCTGCATGCGTTGCACCATAGTTCTGGTCTGTCCGGCAGAAGATCTTGTGATCTTATCGGACTGCGCCCACAATATCCACTGATTTGGATGGTCATCCCGCAGCTTGCACATCCACGCTGGGCTCGTATGTCGTTTGGCACTGGATCAAACTTTCGGGTAAATTTGCGTGACATGTTTGGATATGATCTGGAACGAAGTGTGGAAGGGAGTCGCTCAGTAGGATTCTCGAAGGAAATTCAGAACGGCTGATGATGAGAAAGACGATATTTTCCAGGCTATGAGCATGGTTTTGTGCCTTTCCAGGGCTATATCACCCTGTCGATGACACTCTCATCCTGATTGAGACAACGACAGCGAACATGTCTCTAGCTACTGACAGGTACAGACTCATCTAGCTTCGAAGCAGTCAAAAGTCCTTCAGTGTGAAATTCGTGTCAAAGAGTGCTGTTAGCTTCACAGTGGCCAGATGACACATAAGAGATTGTTGGTCAGGCTCGTGGGACTCTGTCGGGGAGAAACTGCTATGCAAACGGCTGTCACGTAGAATTGCTCAATTGCAAGAGCATTGGATGTCTGAATCAGTGCAACACAGTGTGAGCCTGCGGTGCTTAATTGCCTTTGTTCCCAACGACTTCGAGCAGCGCAACATTTGAAACAGTTGATACAGTTGACTGAGTCAGCTCTGCAAGCTGCTTGTCAAGGTTGTATTCTTACGCTCCAAGGTCGCTCGACATGCGGGAGGGCTTCGTGACTTACATTCGCGGGCATCTCGACGGCGAGGCATGGAATCTTCATGTTGTCATGCTCGTGGCGGGGCGATCAAGAATGAGTCGGTGAGGATGGACGGACCTGACTTGTAAAGCTATAAGATCCATTGTGGTTCCTTGTAGCCAAGGGAAAATATGAATATGCAAGAGGGAGTGAGCGGTAGAAGACATAGGATGGCGATCTCAAAAGGGGTGCATGGAGGATGAGACTCATCGATGTAGCCATTTGCAACTTGTCTATTTCGCAGGCTGCGGCGCCACAACGTGTTTCCAGTCCTATCGACATTTAGTCTCAAGCCATAACAGCCACCAACCCATCGCTTATTGGGCGTGTTACCAAGGGCTCATACTCTGCACCTGGAGCCTCGTTGGTTGGCCCCGTACGCCCGGTCATCGCAGTTCTCTTTCAATAAGTCACTACCCGCTTTAGCCTCATCCACAGGTAAACACTGTCGTCTCTGCTCACCTTGCCGTCAAAGTCCTCATATCCAGTCGGAAACATCACTCGATAGTCAGGGCTGGGTATCCTCGTACGCTTGCGGGCCGAGAACACCTCGCAAAGATATCACGGATTTTCCCATGGGTCTAGAATCCCTCAAGTAATGATCAACGGCGAGGGCAGAAAGCTGACGAGTGCGTCCTGCGAAGGATGCTGTAACTATCACAGGCTCCTTCTTCCAGATGATGACCTGAAGTCGCCCCTTTGCGTTGCTCTCATCCAAATAGGTGCAAGGTGGACGGTCCGGGCCAGAAATGGTCACACAGTCTCCGTCAGGAAAGATTTCGACAGTGTGTGGCTTGGGAAAGGTGGGAGTGTCGCCAATTTGTGCGTCTATAGTTCGTAGTGGTGAGTACAATGCATTGGTGTATACTCGTGGGGACTCACCTTCTCCTTCCGGTTTGTGGCTTGCTGTAGACCCAGATTCCGGTACCGGCATGCCCTGATGGATATCAGTGGCTCCGGATCGTCCTTCTTCCTCGTCTGATGAGATTTCAATATAGCTTGGATCTTTCTTCATAACTTTTGCCCTCTTCATCGAACGTGTGATCCTCGTATTGCCGACAAAATCATGAGGTCGTTTCCTGCGCACCAGTCTTCCAGCTGACTCAAGAGTCGCTCGTGCCGGAGCAGCAGCAATCACATCGGCGTCTCTGACGGTGGATCTTATAGGGACTAGCCGATGATCGTCATGTTGCGTAAAAGGTTCCGTGGGGGCACTGTCAACTTGAGTCTGGAGAATTTCAGTCTGGGTCTCAGTTGCGCTTCCGAAGCGTATTTACCACTTTCACATGTCCTGCAGTAAGGTTGAATGCCTTGACCGTCTCACCAGTGGTCACCGTGAGCCGCACAGGGCATTCTGAGTTGCTAATTCAGCGTTCGATATATTTTTTGTCCTCTGAACTCACCAAAAGCAATCTTGTAGAACTTCGAGTCGTGGGCAGTAGCAGCAAGGACCGTGAAGGGTCCGAGAGAGTCTCTCTGCTGTTGGGCTGGCATGGGCACGACAGAGACATTTGTCGGGATTTCTGGGGCATCTGGGAACCATAGACGGCGGATAGTGCGAAGTTTGTCAACGAAGACTCGATGGCTAATATCGCTTGCGTCGAACAGAGTCCTAGGATTGATATTTTGCTCGGTAAATTTGTCTCCTACTTTATCGCGTCCAAGAATAGCTGCATCAAGTGCAAAAAGTATCTCAGCGGGTACTTTGCTGCCTCTGCGCTTATTGAGGACATGATATGGTGCTACATCCCATGCGTTCGGGAGCTCGGTCGGTACGCTGTGGCCGTTGATGAACGTTTCTACGATGCGAGTGTGATGCTTGTAATTGTGGACGGCCGGTTTGACAGCGCTCCTCAGATGATCATAAGCGGGATCGCGGCGACGAATGCGGTAGCCTGACTTTTCGGACGGTACGGAGAGAGGCTGATTGCTCATGGTGGGTAGGGTAAAGTAACGCTAGGCGTCACGCATGGTCAGCGGAATCATGTGGCATGGAGAACAGCATACTTACTGCATAACAGCGGTTTATCAGTGGTAGTAATGTCAAGGAATGGTTCACTGGAACGGAGCACTGGCGATGGAGGAGATGAGTGCCGCGGCGACCTGTTGTTTAGTAACAGGGGAGTTGTTGCGAAAAGCGCGAGGCAAACGCCAGGCGCAAATAAGTCGACCGGGTGAAGATCTTGGCACTTCTAGCCCAGACCTCGAGACACCAGATCAAATTTGCGTTTTATTGTACACGTCCTGAATCCTAAACACAGCCTTCATGCGTATCATTACCTTCATCGACCGCTCTACTCTTGTAAACGCACTGGAACCTGCGATTTCCTTCAATCTCTTCGCTGTTGACCAGCAGCACCATCTGAAACATCTTACGCACCATTGCCGTTGTAGGCAATGCGGTTGGGACTGCCTCTGATGTCGCTGATCTGTCCTGTGGTTGCGAGCTGAACAAGTCGGTTGGTGGTCGCAGCTGGGCTGGCCAAGCCTTCAAGAGCCTTGAGGTAAACTACCAGACCAGCAACGTGAGGAGTGGCCATGGATGTGCCCGAAATGGAGTTGGTGGCGGTGTTGGAGCCGATCCAGGCAGAACGAACAGAGACACCTGGGGCGAGAATGTCAACGGTGGTGCCGTAGTTGGAGAACTGGGCGCGGCGATTGGAGGAGTCAATGGCACCAACGGTGATGGCGTTCGCAGCGGATGCTGGAGAAACTTCCGAAGCATCGATGGGTCCAATGAAAGCACCGGTACGCGGGTCAGTGACACCATTGCCAGCGGCAACAACAGACAAAACACCGTTGCTGTAGGCCGTGTTGACCATATTGTTAAAGGCTGTTTCGACACCACGCTCTATTGTAGTCGTTAGTGCTGTGGCTCTCTGAGGAGAAGTATACGTACCTGTGCCCAAGCTCATATTGATGACAGACACACCGGCGCGACCTCTGCTGGTGATATCGTTGACAGCCCATTGGAAGCCTTGCATGATAACAGATGTAGGGCTAGAACCCGTACCAAACACCTTGACGGAGACGATGTTCGTGTTCTTAGCGACACCATAGGTACGACCACCGATCGTAGCGGCAACGTGAGTACCATGGCCGCCGGAGTCGACGTTGGAGCCACCGACGAAGTTCGCCCCGTTAGAAGCACGACCGCCAAACTCTTGATGACTGATGCTCACACCTGAGTCAATGACGTACGCATAGGTGCCACGCCCAGCGCTGTCGTCGTACACATACTGACTGGATGGAGATTGACGGTGAGAGATCCTACCAAGTCCCCACTCGGCATTGTTCTGTGTGACCAGTGCCGTCATATAGCAAGGAAGGTCAGGCTCGACAAGTTCGACCTATCTTCTGTTAGTTGTGATATGAGATCGGTGGGCAAGCGCACCTCGTCGCTGGCTTCGATCTCAGCGATTGTCTCTTCATCAAAAACGCCCGCATAACCTTTGTAGTCGAACAAGTCAAAGGTCTTTAGCTCTTGGTCAGCCTCCTGGCGCTTAACAAGACCACGGCGCTGGAGATCACCAGCCCATGCAATGTGAGTTGCACTTTCATTGGCAGCAATGCCAGGCTTCAACGTGACAATATATCCAGTAGTTGGTTCGGCGGGCTGCACGACTGGCGTATCGGCTGCTCCGTCCTGCTGAGCAACAGGAGCACCCGAGGCCAGGAGAGGGGCCAAGAGACCAAAAACTGTTGCCGATGCTGTCCACTTCATATTGTACGAGTGCTGTAATTAGCTTGTGTGGTAGAACGAGTGTAAAAGGTCGGTCGAAAAACGAGTGTAAGTGGCCGGTGGCCAAAGGAGAGACAAAGATCGTTAACGAAAGACTGTGTGTGAGCAAAGAGCGACTGTGAAGGCTGGTGGACGTGCACAGAGTTCGAGGGAGCTGCTCATCTATATACCTTAGCAGTCTTGACTGGTCAGCGGAGGCGACCGTTCGCAACTGTTCGCAAGCATTGTTTCATGCAGTACGATCATGGTGCCATCCAAAATCATATCCACCTGGCGCATTAAATTCCACTGCAATTTCGGGCAATGTGCACAAAAGCATACCTGCGTCCGTAGATTGTATAGAAGGGAACATGATAGAGGCAAGGCCTAGAAAGGAGCCCTTCTTGGCCAGTCTCGGTAGCAAGGGACCTGCCTCATCGGGAATAACGAACATGCTTGAACCTTGAAGACAAGACTTCAGCGCAGAGGGATCGACATACTCACAGGTCTCGCACATGGCAGACTGTCGTGTCCTCGGCAGTATAGCCGCTGTAGAGCTCGTAGCTCGGCCGAAGCATATGATGGTGGTCTCAGTAGTGGCCAATAGCATAACACGACTCCCTTGTGCACCGATAGACGAGCATCGGTTGCGTTTTGCAATGAGCACAAACCCTGTACGCGATGGCACGCGAGAGTTTGATATGTTGCGTGAAAGCGATAGGGCGCGCACTTAAGCAAGCCTACCCCTGATTTTGGGCTGAGCCGAGCCGGACGAGGCCGACGGGAGATCATCTGTTTTCTCCGCAACAGCAGCCATGGCCAATACCAAATTACCATCGGCCAGACTCCTATATGGATGTAACATCGCTATCGAGCCAAGAACGTTTGTAAGCAAGGTCAAGATGCGGGGATGTGCAGGAAGTAGAAGGAGAGAACTTTTGCCTTCATGGACGAGAGAGGGTCTCGAAATTGCACTCTGTAGTGCCTGGGCGCCGACCCACACCACAAGGACTGTATGAGCACCGCAATGCGCATTCGTTCGGGCGACGAGCCTATAAGAGATGGCGTGTAAATCGTCCTGCAGTCGGATAGCGCCGGCTCGATGAACTGTTCCTTTTGCATGGCTCTGAGTGCTACGAAGCCGTGAGTCGGTCGCTGATGCCCTATAACGTCAAATACAGACGCGTAAGCGAGCCTCTGAAACACAACTTAGGCACGAGTCCATGCCAGGAGCAATGCGAGTGGTATCAGAGCCTTGCACGGGGGCGATTAACCAGGATACGACATCTGCCTTCATCACAATCAGAACGTATCTTGCGCGCGTCTCTATAAGCATTTATCGCGCGCCGTGCTGCGCAAGGCTGTGTGGCCGCACAAGGCTGGCACTTGCCAAGAGCTTGCGGGGTTGCTAGGGCAGATTTGTTGACCGCTTCCATTTTCGGGCGGCCGATTGAGCCAGATCAACTGCATCTGCATCATTCCTTCTTGGCCCGCCCGCATCTGAGATTGTTGTCTACACCGCGGTTTCGTACTTTCGGTGCCAGCATCAAGTTGTCGTCTACGAAGACTGCACGCAGACGCATGGCTATCACACCTCTTTCGCCGCGTGAAAACATGGCTATGCCCATGCCTCCCCCACTCCTACACACCCGCTCTGGGAACGAGGCGTATGATCGGCCACAGACCCCTACTGGCAATGCCTTTGTTAGCCCATCTCAGACGCCTGTTGGCAGTCCAAGCAAGAAGCAACTGCCACCTGGTGCTGCTGACTTGCCCAATGTCTTCGACAATGCACTAAAGTTGAACCCATCATCACCCACGAAACAACCGACCTCCCCAAGCAGGCTCGCACTTGCCGACGATAGTATCCTACGACAAGACTTTGGAGGCTCGTATGGTCGCTCCGAAAGTCCGACACGAGGATCAAACAAGGAGAACGCCCCTAGTGGTGATGGAAGATTCAATCAAAGTCATGCTGCGCTCTCTAGAAGAGGCCAGTACGAGTCGGTCGACACCAAGCGCAACATTCAGACAAGAGGTTTGACTGCGGAAGAACTACAGAAGCTGCAGAATCCGAAGCTCAAACGTCTCGCCAACGTCACTCAACTGTGTAAGTTCGGCTCTGGCAATGCAATTCCCAGCTAACAATTCTAGACTTCCTCGACTACTACTATGACCTTCTGACGTATGTGCACAACCGTCAAGTCCGCGACGAGCTCTTCAAGGAAGCGTACCCAGCCGATAGCATCTCTCAAGGCGAGCGAGCGGCGGCCCTTGATAAACATCTTGGAAAGGAGAGATCTACCCTTCGCAAGCGTCGCACTCGCCTTCGACATGGTGACTTCCAAATCCTCACACAAGTCGGTCAAGGAGGCTATGGACAAGTGTATCTTGCGCAAAAGAAAGACACTAGGGAGGTCTGCGCGCTCAAGGTCATGCGGAAGAAGTTGTTGTTCAAGCTCGATGAGATCAGACATATTCTGACGGAGCGAGACATTCTCACCGCCGCCAAGTCCGAGTGGCTCGTCAAGCTACTCTATTCCTTCCAAGACGACGAGCAAATCTACCTTGCGATGGAATACGTTCCCGGTGGAGACTTTCGAACACTGCTCAACAACACTGGTGTCCTGCACAACCGTCATGCTCGCTTCTACATTGCCGAGATGTTCGAATGCGTTGATGCCCTGCATTCTCTCGGCTACATTCATCGCGACCTGAAGCCGGAGAATTTTCTCATCGACGCTATTGGTCATGTCAAGCTCACAGATTTCGGCCTTGCTGCAGGCATGCTCAGCCCTATCAAGATTGAGAGCATGCGCATCAAGCTGGAAGAAGTTGGCAACACCCCAGTTCCTTTCGGTATGCCTCCACCAGAAGAACGTACCGCTGAGCAGCGACGAGAGGGCTACCGCTCCCTACGTCGTCGGGACATGAATTATGCCAAGTCGATTGTCGGTTCCCCTGACTACATGGCCCCCGAGGTCCTGAAGGGCGAGCAGTACGATTCCACCGTCGATTACTGGTCTCTAGGCTGCATGCTATTTGAGGCTCTAGCTGGCTATCCCCCTTTCGCAGGCGCCACTGTTGATGAGACATGGCAGAACTTGAAGCGCTGGCAACGTGTACTTCGGAAGCCAGTATATGATGACCCTAATTACTTCCTTAGCAAGCGCACATGGGACCTGATTACCCGTCTGGTCGCTGCCAAGGAAAACCGTTTCAAGAACATCAGCGAGATTCACAAGCACGAGTACTTTGCCGAAGTGGACTTCGAAACCCTGCGGGAGCAGAAAGCGCCATTTGTGCCAGAGCTAGACAGCGAGACCGATGCCGGCTACTTCGACGACTTCAGCAATGAATCGGACATGGCCAAGTACAAGGAGGTGCACGATAAGCAACGTGCACTTGAAGACATGGCTGAGCGTGACGAGAAGATGAACAAGAATCTTTTCGTTGGATTCACCTTCAGGTATGTGCAACGAGCTGGGTATGTTTTCATGGCTAATTGCATTCAGACACCGCAAGCCCAACGTTGACAACGACGGCAAGCCCGAGAGCCCCCGCAAGGCCATTGCCACCGACGGGACTTTTGGCACGATGTTCTAAACAGGCCATTGCAGCACCGCCGCGCGGTCGCTACTTTTCGGAAGCTGCCAACTCTTTATGCAGGCGGCACTCACGCAATGTTTTACTAGCATACTTGGACGAAGACATGAGCAGGTAATGAGGCGAAGCAGGCTAGCAAGTCGGTTGCGGTTTACTTGGCGTTGGACGCGATGGTACGAAACAGCACGCCCACGGAATGGCATGAATGGGAACGGCCTTGAGATGGAAAGAAAGGCATGTACGAGATGTTCGCACCGGCCTTCCTTCAATACTGTAGTAAATGCACGACCATTGAAGGATTGGCAAGGCGTTTGAGGGCGTGATTCAATACACTGTTTAGCACGTATCTTTCTCTTCCCTCTACTTCGTCCCGGTGCTCGCTTCATCACACGGCCATCAGCTCAGGCTCACCGACTCCACCGACTCCTTACTCCGCTCGGCCTGAACCTTTTTCTTCTCCTCCAGCTCCTTGATCTTCGCGTCATGGATTTTCCCTTCATCCATACCGACAGCCCGCATCCAGTCAGGGTCAATCATAGCCACGTTCAGATACGGGCTAGGATCGCCCTTGGTGACGAGGGCCTCGGTGGTGCCCATGCCCAAGTAGGCAAAGCGATTCTGCCGGGCGACGCCCACGTAGCGGATCTCAAAGTCCTCGTAGCGGACGTTGCGGATGGCTTCGATGTAGTGCAGACTGCTGCCGGGCCAGACGGCGTTCACGCGGCCGGTCTCGTTGTTCTTGTACCAGCTGCGGCAGTCCTCGGTCCAGACGGTGTGGCGCACCCACTCCTGGCAGTGGGCGTTGAAGTCGTCGGTCACGTCCTGCCGCGGCGCCAGGCTGTGCACGTACTCGCTCTGCAGCTTGCGGATCACCTGCAGCGCGTACAGGCTGACGTAGTACAGCGGGCCCATGACCGAGCCGTTCTCCACCGGCCAGTTGGGGCCGATGAAGGTCAGGAAGTTGGGGAAGTCTGGGATGCCCAGGCCCATGTAGCCCTCGGGGCAGACGCGCCATTTGTCGGCCAGGTCGACGCCGTTGCGGCCGATGATGGGGAAGCGTGGGCGGTAGGAGACGTCGAAGCCCGTCGCGCAGACGATCGTGTCGCATTGTCGCTCTGTCCCGTCGGCGCCAACGACGCCGGTCTCGGTGATCTTGTTGACCGCGGTGAAGTGGACGTCGACGTTTTCTTTCTGGATGGCTGTCATGTAGGGATCTCCGGGTGTGACTCGACGGCAACCGATGCCCCAACTGGGTGTGAAGCCCTTGAGTAGGCGCTCGTCCTTGATGAACTCGGCCATGCGAGCCTTGAGCAGCTTCTGGCCCTCGGTTTGCGCCGTTGCGCCTTTGAAGAATGTGCCCCAGAGCCCGTTGACCTGGTCCTCGATGCTCTTTGCGTGCTCGACGATCTTGTACGGGTCGCGATAGTCGGATCGCTGCGAGTCAGTGTACGCGTGGTTGGCACCGAAGTTGTTGGCGATCTCCACGAACCAGACGGGTGTGCGGACGAAGATATCCATGTGCTTGACGTGGGGTTGCATTGTAGGCACGGTCTGGATGGAAGACGCGCCGGAGCCGATGATGGCGACGCTGTCGTTCTTCCAGGCTTCGGCCTGGTAGTCTGATGGCCAGCGGGCCGTATGGACGATCTGCAAAAAGATGTTCAGCAGATGAGCTGTGGCATCAGCGGAGGGAGATTCTCACCTTGCCCTTGAACTTCTCCATGCCCTCGATGTTAGGCCATTTGAAGTTGTTCAGGATGCCTGTGCCATGTAGGAGGACGTGGCAGCGCTCATCAAAGAGACGACTCTGTCCGCCTTTTGTCTCTCGGAGTTTGACAAGCCACTCGCCTTCCTCTTCTTGCCAGTAGGCGCCCACCACTTCTGTGTCGAAGGTCATATACTTCCTCAGGCCCCATACATCGCATACTTTATTGAGATATTTCCAGATATCAGGGCTGTAGCTGAAGAAGCGTGGCCAATCTGGGTTGAGGGCGAAAGGGTACGTGTAGGCGTGAGAGGGTATATCTAGGCCGCGTCAGTCACTCCTGAATCGGGGGTATTGATCTAGTCTTACCACACGCGGCACCCGGGTACCTATTCTCCAGCCAAGTGCCTCCGATATCAGCGTTCTTCTCATAGATGACATGCTCGACGTTCTTGAGCAGCTTTTGGATATGGTAGGCGTTCATGATGCCCGTTACTCCCGCTCCGATAGAGAGCACCTTGATCTTTCGCGTGAAAGGGCCATGTAGGACGATGTCTGGAATAGTGTACTCCGCGCGAGCCACGCCATTATTGGCGTAGCCATCGGTAGCATGGTTGGCGAGGGGTTCGCTGGAGATGGAGTCGATATCGGGCGCCATGATAGATTATAGCACGCGGTCTTGTGATCCTCTTAAGTAACAGCGAGCAAAAGACAAGGCCTCTGGAAAGAAGAAGGCGCGATGCACGCTGGAGCAGTGTCTATGACCCGGCTATTGTATCTGCTGAGCGTTAAGCTATCGGCGCATTACACCAAACATGGTCGTGCAGTGTCTATTTAGCGTCGATATATACCTTCCGGCAGGCGTGAACCCAGGTCATGCATCGTAGTCAGTAAAGCCTGACAAGGCACATCCGGGAACCTATCGTCAGTACGGGTCAACAAAGGTGTGACCGTTGCCCCTCATACCCACCACAATGCCACCATCATCGAAGGCCGAGCGATGCTGGAGCGACCGAGGTCTGATTGAGCCAATCACTCACGAGGCCAGGAGTGGCTAACCTGGCGGGCAGGAATGCGTGGAATGCGAGAACGACGTCGCTGCTCGATGAGTGGCCATGGTGGGTAGACAAGCGAGTCAGGTGGTGGAGTTATGCGCTGCTACAATACGGGATGTGAGCTTTCATGAAGGGGTCCCTGACCAAGCACAGTCCCAAGCGAAAGGCAAAATGCGGGGGCGGAAGCGGGGATGCCTTGGGCGCAGCAGTGGGCCGAGGCTTCAGCGTGATAGTCTGCGACGGTTGTTCGACAGCAGCTGTTCGGGACCTGGAAAGGCGACCTTCCGGAGCCAACTCTCCTGGCCAGTGGCAGTCGACATGCCGGACACGCTCTGATGCGTCGAATTGTTGCAAGGAGGCTCCCGAGTATCATCGCAACTCTGCCTACTTCCAGTAGAATAGCTGCGAGAGTTCCACCGCATAAAAGTCGGTCTCGTAAGGACCCAGTCGATGAAGTACTGATGCAGAGCGTCGTGGGATGTAGTGTAGTGCTTTAGGCCTCCTGCGCCTGACAAGGCAAACAGTGTCAGCAGTGCTTTTAGTGGTAGAAACGTGACTCTCTTGGCATCGGTGCTACACCGTCAACGCTCGCTTGGGATAGCCATTCACAGAACATTGACAGGATCTGCCATTTGCTCTATACAAGTTCAAGCTTGACTGTTCAAACATGGCTCTATTGACCCAAGATAGGGGCCGCCCACTAGAAACTACCAAACTCGGACCTTGGCAACTACCATCTCTAAGGAGCAAGGCTACAAGCGTAGATGGCATTCCGACGGCAGATCCACGAGATGCACCGGTCAATGAAGTGGCTCGAAGTCGGTGTCAATAGATATTCGGATGCCTCCTGTGCCCCAGTCTCGCCCAGAGCACGAAGCTAAATCTCAGGCAGTAAAAGTCTTGGCATGATCCCCTCGTCAGACTGCACACTTCGATATTCATATGAATGCCGCTAGTAGCCCTGCACGCGTACACAACGGACGCGTAGAAGCACTACAGATACTCACGGTGACTTATAGCTGCCTACCTCAAAGCCCTTCTCGTCAACACACCTGAGTGCCTTTTGCCTTGATATCAAACCTAAACCACAATACCGGGCCCGAGCCCACTTGGTTGAGCTATATCATTCGAAAACAGCACCAGCTCTTCAGGCAACGCTCTCTGGTATCGCAGGTACTCAGATGAAAATTCGCCATGGAGGTACTCACCGTGCAGATACTTATGTCGCGCGGGATCCGGTCGCAGGTCCCAGTCACCGTCTCGTACATTCACACAACACCTTCACTTCCAGTAGAAATCCAGACAGGAATATGTCGGGCATCTTACTTCACTGTTAATACCAACAACAACAACACCACCGCCAACACCAACACCATGGGATCCTCGGAGGCACCACAGACACCAGTGCCAATGTCCGCCTCACACCTCTGCTCGTCTCCCGTGAGCTACACCAGCCGTAGCAGGAGAAGCCCCAGTCCCACACCATCCCTGACGGACTGCAGCACCCGTCGCACGTCCTCTCTGCCTTGGCCCGAAACGCCAGATTCACAAACTAGCCTGGACTCGCTCGGCCCTTCACCCTCCTCGCCGGCCACGCCAATGCTGGACTGCTTGCCCTCCCCCTCCCTCTCCACCATACCATCACCAACACCATACTGGGCCCGCACCCCCTCCGGCGCCTCCTCCCACACCATTTCCCCAGCCCGCTCGCCATCCTGGGCCCCCTCAACACCCACGCCCCGGCCCGTCCTCCCCGCGTCAGCGCCACAGCAATTCCAGCCGCGCACAACCTTCTCGAGCGTAGTGGCCGCTCGTGCTCCACGAATCGAAAACGAGCATCTGCAAGCCGCCGCCGCCGTCGCCTTCTCCGCTGTGGCCTTCCTTTTCGAGCCTGAGCCACAGCGCCCGCGCTCCACCTTTGAGAGCGTCGCAGCGGAGCGCCTTCGCCGTAATGCGGCGGTGAATACGCAGGCTGAGCACACCTCCTCCTCCTCCTCCTCCTCCTCCTCCTCCTCCTCCGTCGCTGTTGCTACTGCTGCGCCTTCTCCTGCTGCTGCTGCTGCTGCTGCCGTCAACGCAGCCTCTCCAATTGGGCAGCCGGTGCCGGCACCACTGGGCCGCATGCTGCTTCCAACGCCGGCCTGTCCGACGTTCACCGGATACGTGCTGTGGCAGACGGCCGCGGAGCCGCCGGAACTAGTGCATCCCCGCCCTCAAAGGGGGTTGGGGGCGGAGGTAGAGCAGTTGGAGGCGATTGCGGAGAGGATGGGGACCCGTCGTGCTTGTGGGGATGAGTACTGGGGCAGAGGATAAGAGGAGCGTACAGAGATGGAAACGGAAACGAAAACGGACACGGAAACGGGGGACGAACAGGAGTAGATGTAAGGGGATACAGCAGCAGAGGGGAATTTGGCAGAGGAGGAATAGATTCATGACGCAGATGATGATTGACAGGTTACACAAAGGGTGTGTAACGCCAGTCGCAGGAGTGATAGATCGGATGAGTGTTTGGGTCCCGAGCAAGATCTCTATTCGTAGAGATGAGGATAGAAGAGGCGGAGAGGGAGCTTGAACAAAGCGTCAGAAATGCACCGCCAATAGGAAATTGGCATGAGTCAAGGTCGTCACCAGTGAAGACTGAATCTGGCCACAGATTGCATGGACATCATACAATGCTGTCGGACCAGATGCTGAGTTCTCGAGAGACCCGTCGTCTTAGAGGCCAATGAGTTGGGATTCCTTGCAGCCTCCAGGATATAGCACTTGCTTCGTAATCAGGAGATGCGCGTAGCCTTCCTGCGAGAATGGAATCTGAATCGCAACCGTGTCAGCGGCACTGGGATAGGTCGTGATATGTCCTTCGTCCGAGACATCCGGAGTGTCCAGTGCCAAGATCAACCCGTACTTGCCGCCATGGATCCAGACTGACGCTGTGCTATCGTCGCCGTCGTTACGCTTCTCGGTGCGGTTCCCCCCTTCGGGCAGTGTGAGATGAATGAGGCCCGATGTGAAATATACAAGCCTGCGTTACGGTTAGTATTCTTCACCTTTATGGTAGAATTCTTATCGTACTGGGGAGCCGGTGCGGTATGAACACCGCCTTCGAATCTGGGTGGCAGAACTGTGAATGACGCATTTGTCGTTGCGCCGAGGAAGAGATTCAGGGCGCCGGTGGTTCCCGCTGTTGTTGAAGCTACGAAGCCTGGTATCTGCCAGCATTCGTACGCGCTCCGGCCATCATGCGCAGTGATCGTAGTGAGATTGAGCGATGGCGTGGTCACGTTGGTTGAGATCTGAGCACTGACAGATCCGGCCAGAAGCGATCCCAGCGCGTAAGTAGTCGAAAGACGCATCTTTAGTGACGTCTTAGACTTGAGACTCCTGGGAAGTTCTCGCAACTACTGGATAGCAGATCCTGACGCCAGGGTGGAGAGGAAGTGATGATATATAGAGCAACGACAGACAATGGCCAAATGCTTGGAAACTGTTTGGTAACCATTAAGGGAAGTTGCTGCCAGTAGTCGAGTCGCAAGCAACTGCATTGCTTGCCTTGCTGACTTCAGCTCTTTAGGCAACCACACTGAACGGTGCTCGCCAAGTAGGGTAAAATCTGCGTCGACTTCACCCCCGCGTCGGGACAGGGTGAGGCCGCTTTACGCTCACCCGCCCCTCACCCGCGTCGCGCGACGGCCGGGTGCGCGCTCACCCGCGACCCCGGTCGCGCTGAGACACCGGCGCCTGGGCGCGGCAGAGGACTGGTCGATTGAGCCAGGCAGCAGCGGCATTGAGACCCACCTGTGTGAGGCTGCGCAAGGGTGAGCCGCCAGCCCCGGCGCTTGTGTTGATTCGGACTTCCTGTAAAGCGGCACAAGCGACTATGCTCATTGAGGCCGTAATTGATTCGGCTAACTTACCTTTTCCCGAGATCGTGCACCTCGTCCATGTTTCGCCGCATTTCAGCGGTTGATTGCGCACGATGACTTCGTTGCAGGCCACTGAGGAGACATCAGACAGACCGGTTTCCGCTTGTGAGAGCGACCACTTTCGTCGGTGTGCACGACGGCCACCCACCCTGAGCTGACCGACCGCGCTCTTGTCCTCATCCCTCCCGTCCGTTCTGTCCCTCCTGCCAACAATGACACCACTCCACCCCTTCAATGCGTTTGCGAGTGAGACAGAAGCGCTGAGCCGGTCATTCTCTTGACCGCCGTCCTGGCCCTCAGCGAGTATTTGGTGATGGCGCAGGAGTCGTGCTAGGCGGAGGATGGCCGGATGGCAAGCTGCGCCAAACTCCAAAAGGGTCGACGACGCCGGGATCTGAGCAGACTGGCCTTATGCGGCATTTTCCTCATTGGCTCCGTCGGGGCAGGCTCAAGGCAGAATAACGGTGGCGGCGCAGCTGGCAATGCTGCGATCGATCGTGGAGCACGACTCTTGGACAGAGCGTCGGTTGAGAACGAGTAGTCCCGCCGATGGAGAGCCAAAGGGAAGTCCACTTTCCAATGACAGACTCGGGCTCACTCCTGCCTGCAGGCACTGAGCCGCTGGACAAAGCCCAGTCAGGTGACGGAGGGCACGAGGACAAGAGCGGGCTCTCCAAGGCGCCAGCTCAGTGTCCGGGGTTTTACTACTCCCCCAGGTGCGGCGTTTTACAGTACTCACTGGCCGCGGCGTTGGATCACAAGTCTACCAGGGCACGCACCGGGCAGAACAGCAGTGTCACCTTTTTTGACACGAGGCAGACATTCTAGGAGCAAAGATCTGTCCATGTGCCAATTTCAGCCGCAGTGACGATTACGAGCAACGGTGGAACCGGGATTGAATAACCAGAGGTTACCAGGAGACGTCGACAAGCTTGTCCATCCCCTTTCACCAAATTGAAAGCGCACAATGTCGACAAGGGCACGGCGCCAAAGAGAATTCGACTACAACCACCACGCTGCGACGGCCTCTGCCCGCAATCTTCCTGGCTGTTGCAACAGGTTGTATGATCGCTGCCCACGAACAATGGCTATTGGAGATGAGACGAACTCGGCTGTTCGACACGACTACTTCCCGTGGACCGGGGAAATGGTGGAGGGCTAAGTGAATGGCGTTGTCCGGCTAGGAGGGGTTGGCAGGAGGTACCGTCCGCCGTCAGTGCCATCGGTTGGGTGATTGCAGGGCCTTCCCGGCCCAATTGTTGGGGAACGACAGAACTAGCTCATCTGGGCAGAGAGTCCACCCCCCTTCCTGTGCCTCGATTGACCTCGTTCCACGTCTAGTAAAGATTCACAGGCTTTGCAAAACCGTTGTTCCATGAATTGCAAGTCGGTCTCCACAAGTTGGAGAAAGCCATGCGGGTAACGAGGTAGCGTGTCTTGGCAAATTCGTGTGCTCCAGGTGTCACATGTTCTCTTTCGCTCTTTCGTTTTGACTTCTCCGCGCATGACTAGCATGAAGGCCGGTCTCAACATAAAAGGTCCCAATTCCCGCACACCCTCCTCATCCTGACCATGGCAAACGGCCGACAGTCGCAAGGCACTCTGTCAAACAGACGGTGTTTAGAGCAAGGTCAATCTCACCCTTAGGCTTTCGAAATCAGCGATGACGACTGACAAAACGCACAGCGAGGACAGTTGTATCAAATGCTCAGAAACAAACACCTTGCAGACCTCCGCGTCGAAGCCCACGCCTGAAGCGACTAGCGCAACTTAAAGAATCCGTGCCTCAATCAGTGGACCTGGCGTGCGTTACCGCTGGTGGGAGAAGATCACACCGTCCGAAGACTCAGACCTCCACGCGTTGCGCAGTCAGCCCCTCTACACGAGCTCCAAGTTCAATCCACGTTCCACACCCGCGAGGCCAGAAACGTGTGGGGGAGGAACACAAACTCGGTGGCACGAAGCGGCGTCGGACATCAGATAAGCCAGCGGAGCCGGAAGATAGTTTGTGGGAAGGCAGAGAAGGCGACCCAATCGATTACTGGCGAAGATCAGGATATTTTTGGCCACAGAGAGACTGGACGAAAAAACTCGTGAATCCTGCAATGAGCCATTTACTAGCTCGGAAGAAGTCGACTGGCTCCCTGCGTCGGAAGCGGTCGGACAGCGAGTTGGTCGAGCAAAGCACAATCACTCCAAGCGACCAGAAGTCCCGAGAGGCAAAGAGCGCCCCGTACCGAGATGTACGCTACGAAACCCTACTTGCCACTAAGGGCAGCTTCATGGACAAGGATGACCTTGGCATTGTCGAGAAAAGCAAGGCGCTTGTTCGAAAGCTTCTTAACCAGGAGCAGCAAGTGCCTCAGGAGTCTCTATTTCAAGATGACATCTTCGAAGCGACCTGTCGCAAAATCAGGAATAAGAATGAGACCCGAGTCATTCGCGACATTTCGCTGTTGATCGTCCCTTCGGCAGAGATCTTGACGACTTACGGTGCAACTGAACTGGCATGCCTGACTGAAAGTGTCAATGAGGGATGGAACAACAGCATCCCGCTAACTGGTACTCGACCACAGCCAGACTACTCTGTCGGTTTCCGCCGGGAGGCGTTTACCGAGGAGCAGCTCAAGAAATTACAGCCGTTCGTGGGTGAACTTACTGACCAATCTTTCTTCATGGCAACGTACTATCTGTACTTCCCATTTTTGACGGCCGAGGTCAAATGCGGTGCGGCCGCGCTCGATGTGGCCGATCGGCAAAATGCTCACAGCATGACGCTCGCGCTGAGAGCGGTCGTCGAACTGTTTCGATTAGTCAAGCGCGAGCAGGAGCTAGACCGCGAGATTCTTACCTTTTCGATCTCCCACGATCACGATGTCGTCAGGATCTATGGTCATTACCCTGTCATTGAGGCTGCGAAGACGACTTTCTATCGGCACCCAATCCACAGGTTCAGCTACACCGGACTGGAAGGGAAGGACAAATGGACAGCGTACAAATTCACGAAGGGCGTCTATCGTACCTGGATGCCAGCTCACTTCACGAGACTCTGCTCCGTTATTGACGCTCTACCTGCCGAACTCAACTTTGATCTGTCTCAGCAATCGGAGCTTCGCTTTTCTGAGCAGACCGGGCTTTCTCAGGATCTTGCAAATCAGAATCTATCGGCCGAGTCGGCTTTGTCTGCACAAGACGATGACAGTCAGTTGCAGCCGCTGGGCACATCGGAAACTCCCGATACTTCCTTCACGAAAGATTCGGCGCAGGGAGGGAAGAAGAAAGCAAAGAGGAGTCGTGGCTGAATTGAAATACACCGCAGGTCTTGTGGGCTATTAAGCCCGCCCACCGGAAGCAGTCATTTCCAATCCGTAGGTTGTCTTTGCTCGATCGCTGAATCTCATTCAACAGTGACTTGAGAGCATCCCGGCGAAGGTAGTGCTGCTGAATCTCCGTTTCATCAACAACCGGCCAGCCTGGCATCAGTGTGACAGAACCGAAGGCCCCCACCCTCTGAGTCCGGTCCGGCTTCTTGCAGCAGACGTAGGCCGGAACAAATTTTGGAGGTGAAGGCAGGCTGCTCATAAGATATCCTTCCATTGGCGTCTGCAGTGTCCATTCTCTATCTTGCCAATCGGACGCATGTCTTTCGGTCAGACGTAGAGGATGGACCTAGCTCAGCTGCTGAATCATACTACTGTCGGGAGGCTGACTCTTTGACACGTGGACCCTACTCATCAAGATTATCCCAGGGCGAAAGCCACAAGTGACCAGCCTGAGCTGGAGATGTCACTTGATGTATCACTACCGTCGCTACGACGATCGAGTTTCTCATGTTCTGCTGACCTCTGCATTATCTCTATCAACCACCATAAATGTGCCCAGCCAATGCCAAGACCAATACAGGCTGCGGGAGGCTTTGGGGCTTCCGGCGGATGCCGTACAGCCTTGCGCATGCCATCCACATATCCAGTTCCGCAGATACAGCTTGACATTCACCTGCGGCCCGTCCGCATTGGCTGTGTAAGTTGGCCATTGTGGAAATATGTTCCCGCCTCCCGATGATTGAAGCAGTTGCCCAGGTTGCGAGACGATCCGGCAGGATGAACATGCTCAGGTCGATGGACCTGGATATCTCTCCGTCCACAATGATGTCCTTGTTGTAGAGGGACATTTAACCTTAGGCAAGGTACATGGCCGTTTGGTGTTTTCGTACAATTTCGGTGGTTGACTGGATGGGGATGGACAATTCGACAGCCACAGAAATCAGCGGTGGACATTTTTTAGGCGAATGGATATTGTAGGGCATGAGGGGAACTTGGGGGTGGCAGTTGTAAGAAGAGGGTTGGACGCCATTTTGTACCCAAGCCCCCCAACTCTCCCTCCACTTGTGTCTTCCAGCCTACTGTACATGGTATCACGCGCCAATCCAAGAGTCTCAGCTGCGGACTAGGGTGCAGGAGCCAGGCTGGTCGCTGTTCTGGGTTTTGGCTAACGCACGTTGACCTGCCTTCCATTGGCTCGCGGCCCTTGACAAGTGTGATTTCCCAGGCACCTGCATATATCGAGAAAACAGTCGCCTGCTCGTTCAACTCACCCTCGCAAACATCTCTTTCTGTGTGAACAGGGTAACCCCCACCAACATATTGCTTCTGTCAAATAAAAGATGGAATCGGTTGCCTCTAGTCTTGCAGAATTCGTCCATCTAGATGGCACGAAAGTGACCGAGAAGATCATAGGTATTGGGGGAACCAATATTGTTATCGAAGACGGAATATACGCCATCAAACTTCCTCGCCTCTCGAGATTTTTCGACCCTGACGGGGTTTCTGTCTTGATAGATCAAAGTCGAGCCCCAGGAGAAGGCGATCACGACTATCACAGCGACCTGATCAATGCTCTAGACAACGAAAAGGCCATTTATAGGAGAATCGGCCCGCATATCGGCGTTACTCCCTGCTACAACTTATCTTCGACGGAGCCTTCAGTCCAGATGCTACGAATGGGACAAAATCTGCAACAGCATCTGAAAGACAACAGACCAGACCGCAAAAAGCAGCTAGCATGGTCAACACAGTTAGCGGAAGCCCTCGCCCATATCCATTCTCGTGGTGTGATTGTGGCTGATGTTAACCCATCCAACATCGTTCTTGACGATGACTCAAACGTGAGATTCATTGACTTTTCAGAATCGACTTTAATGGCTCTTGATTGGGACCTGAAGAGTCCGGACGAGCACGGGTATTCGATTCTCAGTGATATCGGGCAGCTAGGTGCGGTGATCTTTCTGATTGTAACGGGCCGGCCGTGCAAATTCACTCTTGAAGATGCCCAAGATTCCTGCGAACCCGTAACTTGGCCACAGCGAAATAGTCTACCGGAGACAGCCAATGTATGGCTTGGTGCTCTGATTGAGAAATGCTGGACGAAGGGTTTCAGAACCACAGGAGCCCTCGCAGCGGCCCTTAGGCATGTGGAGGTTGTTCAATAGAATGCGATGCAATGCCGGTGGTGGATTGGAGCAATTTTCGAGCCAACTTGATTGACGGTTGACAATCAAGCCGCCATCCAAGCGATGGCGAATACCTAGTGGCCTTGAGATTTAACGCACTCCGCAGTCTCCGCCAATGGGTACATCCCTGCGCAGGTTGGAGTTTCTGATAATGAGGCGGCCGACCAAGCTGCAAAACAAGTTGCAACCAGGCTCCGAACGCAGGAGCTGGCCTTGGACAACAATTGGAGAGCGAATATCTAGGTCCAACGGTTATCTCCCAGATGCTGGAGCAGACCGCCCAAACTCTCCAGGCAAGACACACATGTCCAAGCAATCCTAGTTTCACTTGTAGGCTTCGTTCAACGTTAAGCCCATGGCCCGATTGGCCTGCGGCTCGATAGGTGATGAAGCCTCGCGCGTACACGCATGGCAGAAAGGAAGCGGCTTTATTCACCGAGTAGGACCACCTCGCATCGCGAAGTGGCCGGAAGAGTACAGTACGCTGCCAAAGGAATGGGAGGTCGGCGAGCGCACTGAACTTTATTCTTACGTCACAAATATTTTGCACCGCATGTGACACCGCAGCAGACCGCCTCCCCTGCTGGCAGAAAATTCAGACACAGGCAACCACTACGACCAAGGTGGAGTCAAATCACATGCCCTTGAGCCCCACCATTTCACGCTCATCTTTCAATAACCTCATCTTCTGCAATCGCAAGGCTACAATCTCCTTTGTTCCCTCAGCGGCAGAAATCACTCAGGATCACCGACGAGCTTCAATTTGCATAAGCTGTAGGCTTCTTCCCACATGCGCTAGAGGAAACCGTTCCTGCCGCGTTTCGACGACATTCGATTCCGCAGTGTATATTTGACTCACTTCTTCCTTCGCTCTGAGCGCCTTCGGCAACCTTCTTCCAGCCTTCGCAAAGTCGATGTTTTGACTGTGGAAACTCTCCGCTAGCGAATCCCAGACAGACTACGTCCTTCTTCCTATCCCGATCTTAAGACTGTCGAAAAACATCAAGCCACCATAGCTGCCGAGGCCAACTGTGGGTTGAGAACAAAGGCCAATACGAGTTCGTTGATCTCCCTGCACAAGTACTCATATGTCGCATTGAAATACGCATTCAATGACTCTCGATTCATCGTCTTTGCTGGACCAAATAGTTGCAAGGATCCTCCGTGATGGGTTTTATTGCGAGGGGAGCGCTGCCATTGGGCCCAAGGTTGACAGGATGATTGAGACGGGACTACAATTCAAGAGCGAAGATGGGCTTGAATTTTGCAAGTTCCACACTTTTGACAATGAGGTAAGTGGAGAACAAAGTATGTAAGAGCTCGAACTGATTGCGCAGTAGATCATCCGTGCTGCCATTGAGTCCATTCTTTCACAGTCTGCTATGGGACTGTACATGGCATTTGGCTATGACACAGAACACACCTTCTGCTTCTTGAGTCATACAAAGCCGGATGTGCAAGCATTGATTGTACATCTCTGGAGTAGCGGCTCGAAGGTCATTTTCTATAGGGCCTCCCATCTGAAGTCGCTCAGGCCGAAAGCTGCAGCGAATGGGTTACTCGAGATTGAAGACAATGCCCTTGTAGATAGTGCTGTTGAGCCTATCGAAGTTGACCTCAAAGATGGTGGATTGTGAGTGTTCCTACCAGCGCATTCACAGGTTGTCTGACTTTTGCGCACAGTGCTATTGCTGACGCTCGACTGGGCTTCAAATTGTTGCGGGGTCTCACCATCACGATTGGCTTCGCCACAGAATCTGAACTTCGCAGTTGGGCAAAGATGACATTGCCCAAATCTGATCGGCTAAAAGATAAGGTCGCATTGATGGACACACCTAAAATCGGTACGAACTTCGAATTCACGGATCTTCCCGTTGCCCCATAGCGTGAATATCATTCCTGCACAACAATTTGGCATGAGCTTTCGCCGCCCTTCCAGCGTATCGTCGAAGCCAGCTTCGAAGCCAATGCTTTGCTATTAATTTACAACTGTGTCGGAAGCCGCATGATCTGAGAGGGCCGAGCTTGGAAAAGTTTGTAGAAAATGCGCCACGTGGTCAGTATTCCCCAGAACCATATCGTACGATACTTCCGATGGCTTGTGCCCTGAAAGGGTAGAAGCTTGGTTCATTTGGCGCGTTTGGTCATGAAAATTTGGTGAGCCAATGATGGTGCTCGTGGCCAACAGGGGCGCTCTCATCAGCGCTGGAGATGAACCTAGGTGAAAGGGGACAGGAGGCGGGACCTGGATGCCGTTTTCATCATATGGTGGGGGCATGGATTCTACCATGGCTGCATCTTGATTCAGAGTCGTAGGCTCGATGATCGTGAAAGAGGCCAACAACGGCGCTCTCACAAGTGTATCATGCTGGTGGAGAGAAGTGTTCTCAGCCGGCAGTTGATCCGCGAATAAATATCCCGTGCTCCTCGAGTCGCGGTCCTCCGGTATCTCCGCGGGTTGAATGAAGCCCTCCGGGTTGATTATTGGGTCTATTTGGGGAACGTATAGAGGGATGGCATCAGGCAACAAGGAAGGCTGAAAGCGATTTTCGAGGCTCTGCCGTGTACGGGACCGACACTCACGGTCGAGCTTTCTGGCGGCATCTGTTCGTAAAGATTTCATACGTCTCTTCACTTCTTTTTGAGAAGCTTCGGACTCGACGTTTTGGCCCAGCTGTTTCTTGCATTGTTCGCAGTGGTACGTGAAGCTTCGCAGGTTTCGAAAAAGGCGGAGGCAATATGGACACTTCTCGTTGATCAATATGTCTAAAGCCTGGTCAGATTTGATAGGTGTTAGCTCGAAGAGCATACGGTTTGAGTAATGTCGCTCCAGGTTCCTCTTTGCTCTATATCTTATGGCTTTTCCTTCGCAAGATACGTGGGGACATTTGAACGATTCATTCCCAGAATGGCCTCGGTTACTGGTGACTCTTAAGATATCGCATCTGTCAGGCAAGAAGGTGGTATAGTCTCCGTTGCAGACTTGGGCCTCTTGATGGAGAAGAGCTTGCTGAAGTTCACGCAAGTGATACTGCGCCGATATCTTTGGTTTATTGAGTTCTCGCAGCTCAACAGCTCATCTGGTGCGTACGTACCTTGTAACCGTTAATGTGACTCTCAGCCTCAGTTCTATCATGAAAAGTTTGGGTGCAGAATGAGCAGCTCCAAAGAAGCGACAAAGAAGTGGACATTGTGTCGTCAAAGAAGGAAAGTTGGTAAATTGACACCGAGCTGAGTTGAGATGAGAGCATCTGCTTGGCAGTTTATCACGTGACAAGTTATCATTCTAAGGGCCAATTCCGCAATCTCATTTCATTTTCTCTCTCCATCACATTCACAACCACCATGGCAACCTGCACAACTTGCGGTGGTTCCGGTAAGAAGGGAGGTTTCACGTGTGGGGTCTGTCAAGGAAGGGGAACGGTTTAGCAATTCAGACAATGGGTAATGAGTACTGTCGCTGTTCATCATAAGTATCTCGCTGATAAAGGATTGCAGCACATTCGGAAGTACATGTCGAGTATCCTATGCAGGCCGAAACCATAGCTGAAATACGCTGTGGGAGGGATAGGGACACCACGACGATGCGTAAAGAAGCCATTTGGTTCCCCTGAGGAAGACTCGGCGGCGATCGATGTCCGCTTGAAATGATGAATTGAAATGTTTAGACCTTTTCGATGAGATGAGTTCGGACCATTGAGGGATTCAGTTTGAGGCAGGCAGACAGAGCTGAGGCAAGTGCGGGGGATTGTTCGTGCATGAGCGCAAGGTTCATGCAAGGTTGGCAAAATTGGTGCAGGTGGGTGGAGGTGGGCAAAGCTCGATGCAAGGTTGGCAAAATTGGTGCAGGTGGGCGGAGGTGGGCAAAGCTCGATGCAAGGTTAGCAAAATTGGTGCGGGTGGGCGGAGGTGGGCAAAGCTCGATGCAAGGTGGGTGCAGGGGCATTTGGCAGAAGATGGTGTAGGATCATTGGCAGGACTCGCAGGCCAAGTTGGCAAATGAAGGCGGCCTATTTTTGGCCCCCGCATTTACAGCCTTGTACCATGAGCGCTGTGGTGGGCACAATACTCAATTAGTGGTCTGCACGGCCTGCTACACGTACTTCGATCATAGAGCTGTATGCGGCAGGTCGTACGGATCTCGATAAGACATTCGCGATGCTCTGCAGAAAAATGCCAGGACTGGCCGAAATCGAGCTCTAGCGCCGTCTTCAATTACTTCCCAGTTGCGGTGGTCAATTTCCCTCGTTCCTGCACGGTTCTATTCGACAGCACGGAAGAGGAGATTCCCTACACACTGCGTTCTGAACAACGTGACGCTCGTGTCTGCGGAAGCTTCCGATTGTGTCAGGAGGAAGGTATGAGAGGCTTGCACGACGTTGATTGGCTCCTCCTCCTCTATGGAAGTTCTATAAGAACCCCCGTTCGAATCGCCCTCTTTCGAACATGTAAAGCTTCATTAGAGCACACGTTTCTGCACTTACGGAAATGGACGCATCAACAAATGCCTCCAGCTTCTATACTGGTAACTTCAACGAGCCATTCCGACAGTCTAGCATCCTGGAAATATTTGTGCCTGCGGCTTCCCTTGTCAAACTCGCGCAGCTGGTACAATTGAACCGCACTGGCCACGCCTTGCTAGCTTGTATGCTCGGGCTTGCGATATTTCCTCAAAAATACTTTAGCCAACTGAAAATATGGCTAAGTGACCACTTTAGTTTGTACCCAGCTCCTTGAACACAGATCTCTTTAACATTTGGCAGCTTCAACGATCCATATCAAACGATCAGACGAGGCCTATGACATGGTGCTCGCGTGGGTTTCAACTCGTGGACTGGAAGATGCAGCTCGCTCGGCTATCGCCAACGTTGGTTCAGAGAGAGCTCCTGGGGGTCTTACCAACAAGACCAAAAAGCCTCTTAGATTTTCTCCTTGGAATGCAAGCTTTTTGTTCTGGTTTCGGAGCAATCTGTTATCATATCGGAGTGAGCTCATGGACATTGGGTTCCACAAGGTGGAGAAGATATCCATCACTTGTGCTGGTCGATCACCTCGAGTTCTGAAGGACTTTCTTTGCGAATGTCGCCACGAATACTTGGAAAAGCTCAAGCATAAGACCACAATTTTCGAGAATCGTGGTGAGCACTGGAGGAAGGTAGCGACCAAAGACATCAGGCCGCTGTCGACTGTCATTTTCGGTGAGAAACAGAAGCAACAGCTGATTGCCGATGTGAAAAGCTTCTCAGACCCTGAAACGCGAAAGTGGTTCGCAAAGCGCACAATCCCTTATCGAAAGGGCTACCTACTCCACGGCCCGCCTGGGACGGGAAAATCGAGTTTCAGCATGTCTGTGGCTGGCGAACTTGACGTTGACATGTACGTTGTCAGCATCCCTGGAGTGAATGACCAGACACTCAGAGATCTCTTCGCCGATCTCCCCAATCAATGTGTCGTCCTCTTGGAGGACGTTGATGCTGTCGGGCTGGACCGCTCTCCTGAACCCAGCGGCTCTGACGGGGTCTCTTCAGAGCCGAGGACGCCAATTACGTTATCAGGCCTTCTCAACGTCCTTGACGGTGTGGCATCGCAGGAGGGCCGAGTTCTCATCATGACAACTAATCATGTTGAAAAACTGGACGAGGCGCTCATTCGACCTGGTCGTGTGGACAAGAAAGCCGAATTCCAATATGCCGATGCTGAAATGACTCGCCAGCTATTTGGATTCGTTTTTGGGCTGGATCTCAGTCTGCTGGGCAAATCCGACTATCTGGATGTGGCAGCTTGCGATCTCGCCGCAGAATTTGTTACCAAAGTGCCACAGCTAGAGTTCAGTCCGGCCGAGATCTTATCGTATCTCCTGCAATATAGGCAGTCACCGGCCGACGCTGTGAAACACGCTGAGGAATGGGTTGCGGTCTTGCGACGTGAGAAGAATGGTTTGCAAGGAAACGTGATTCCTGTCGAAAGCTGATCGATTGAGGGCGTGTCACCGCAGGACATCTGGGCTCATTAGGTTGGACGTGGGCACAATGTTAGCTATCTTGTTTCGGAACGCAAGTGACTTTACTCCGCGCATGAATCTGATTATCTCGCACCGTAGACAGCTTTCGAAGTAATCCTCCCGTTCTCGACAAAGATGGACCACACGTCTTGGTTTGAAGTGATGATGCCCCTACAGATCGGGCGGTTTGACTCCATTTGTTCCGTGACGGAATCCTGGTGATCAATATGACGACGTGCATCTGAATTCTCGGGTGTGCTTGTGTTTTCTGATAGGAAGGAAGTCGTCAGACGGTTCTTCAGGCTCTTGTAAAAAGTCAACCCTCGAGCGCGCATCTGCTTTTGGGTCCGGTCGGAAGGCGAGGAATGTGTAGGACGACGATGAGTTCGCACTGATAGCCTAAACACAGAGTCAAGTAAATCAATCTACAGGACGCGCGTCGAGGATGCAAGTCAGGGAGAGACTACAGGATGCTCATCCGGGACGCAAGTCAGGGAGGGACTTTCTAAAATAATGCTATGCGCTCTTAGGCGGGTAAAGGGGACTGTGGGTAGTCTTGGTACGTCCTGAAGGGGAAGTCAGGGTACGGATTCTTGGCCTAACTTTCCCAGCGAATGCAAGGTTACCCAAGCTCGGCTTTAAAGCCTGATGCTCGAATCGATTTGTCAAACGAAAGCACGCCCGTCGAGCAGCTTGAGAAAGGACAAGTCCCATGTGTTAGCACCCTATTGGAGCCGCCGCTCACTCACATTTACGTCGAGGTCGAAGCACTTCAGGTCGAAGCACTTCAGGTCGAAGCACTTCAGGTCGAAGCACCGCAAATTGATGTACTACTGATCAAAGTGTGTGCCCAAAAAGTGGCCTAGAGCGCTAATACACTGCTAACTGATGTACTACGAACTGATGCACGCAGAATGCGATTACCGACTCTTCTTCAGTTCCTAGGGACAAGCAGGGGGTGGGGTCCCTATGTTTAACAATCCCCCAGGAAAGGGAGTTGCATAGGGGATGGGGTCCGTATGGTCGCCAGTTCCCTAGGGAAGGGAGCTGAATAGGGGGATGGGGTCCGTATGTTCGACAACTCCCAAAGGAAGGAAAGAGGGGTGGGGGGGGTGGGTGCCGTTTCGGCGGTTAGCTTCATAAGCGTATACCTTTCCGGGTAAAGAACGCGGGCCCAAAGAATTATGCAAGCTCGGAGATACTCTGCCCTCGCGGCCTCAGCCGAGCCTGCGCTTTCGAATGTGGGGATTTAGCTCCGCCCACGTGATATCACGAGAGTTTTTTGAGGTCGAAGTGCGGAAGACTTTTAACGACATTGCGTCCTGTCAAAGCTTGGATCCCTTCGAACACAGCGCGATACGTCTACTGTACCCTGCTAAACCTGCCAGTGATAAAGAGGAATCAATCAAGCTTGAACAGCTTTTTGGCGGATCATTCGTCAATAAGTAAATAAATTTCAATCTATGAGTCTCCTAGCGGCCAAAGTAGCGTTTCTCGAGTGATCTGACATATCGGACAAGCCACCGCACGACGCGAGATACTGGAGATGTCAAAGCAAACAACACTAGATCGCCTGGAGTCTTCGAGATCACAAAGAAGAAATGTACCGTTCCACCCCAAATTGAGATTCACGAGCAATCCTCCACTTCTAGGACAAGGCAAACAAAGCCGTCCCCGAACGAGATAAGAAAACGGCACACGGACGGTGCTATAGACCAGGAGAAATGCTGTGCCCTTTGGTTATGCCCATATCCGCATCATGAGCATAGTCTCGGCCACACCAGACTCAAAGGCGGCGATAACACATCGGCTTCCTCGAGAGAAGCAGCTCGAAAAGAACCGGACAGGTTGCAAAGAATCAGGTTCAATACCTCTTGATAGTGGTATCGAGGTTGATCCCGTTGCAGACTTAAAGAAAGCCGGAGATAGCTGGAAGCAAATCTATCAGAAATTAGAGGCTAAATACGTCAATTTGCAGAGTCCCATCCGAGTGGCGAACAAACTCTCAATCAAAGAACTCATCGATCCTGCCGACACCCGCGCATTGATGTCGGCCTGAACCAAGCATCCGTCAGTGTCATTTTAACTATCCAGACAGTTTGTATTGGCTTACTAACATAGGCGCAATATCAGATGCTTAATGGAGCCCTGTAGAAGTTGTCTTCAAAAGACTTGGAGGCTCACGCAGACTCCACATTTGGAATTCGCTACGAGGCAATTGCCCCTCATGTTCACCGCTAACTAAATGGGTTGCCTTACCATGGAACGGACTGCACCAGACTCTCGGTTACAATAAACCGGGTCATCCTCGACACATTCTGAGCATTCCTTTCTCACACACTAACGAACGCTACCTTCATCCTCTTCCGAACATGGAGACGCAACTCCGTCGCGTATCTTGTTGCTCACTCACGCCAGAACAGCATCACATCTACTGGAGCGTTTATTGTCAAAGCAGCCCAATGTTTCGTACTCAGCACATGCCTTTGCTCCTGCCAGACCACTGGAGATGAAGCTTTTGGAAGAAGGACCGTACGCACAAACATCTCTCGGAACCCGCGAACAATTGAAAAAGACCTTGCAAGACGGCTATAACAATCTGCTCAAGGAATTCGACGAAGCCAAGGAGAAAAGTATGATCGCTTTTCATCATATGCATCCTCACTTCATGCTGTATCCGATGCTAGCGTCAAGCTACGTGCACGGAGATGATTCAGCCGTGCAGCAATCCAATCTGGAGTACTGGCACGTTAAAACCCCAAGGCGCAAAGACGAGTCGTACACCAGTAGTGTGGTTCTTCCGGATGAAGCACTTCTGCAAGCAGGAACGCACCCAATCTTCACCATTCGACATCCAGGTGTGATGGTCCCATCAATCTGGAGGACGATGCGTGAGGTTGAGGTGCTGTGACGTTCAGTTGTTCTCTGCGGTGGTTGCACATGCTGTACGACTGGTACACAGAGAAAGGACCAAGCCATCACGTTGAGCCAATCATCGTGGATGCCGATGATTACATGTCTGACAAGAAGACTGTAGAGGAACTTTGTAAGCGAGTGGGACTTGATTCAGACGCGATCATCTACACGTGGCCCAAGGCTTCGGAGGAGGAATTGAACAGTATGTTGCCAATGGAAGCAAAGATCAAGTTCACGATACTTGGATCTGATGGAGTGATTCCGGGTCGCACAGCGGCTGGCTTTGATATGGCCAAGGCACAGCAGGAATGGATCTCTCAGTACGGTGAGGATGGAGCTGCCGAGATCAAAGGGTTGGTGGAAAGAACGATGCTGGACTACGAGAACATGCGAGCGCGGAAAATGGCGTTTTAGGATTGGAAGGAAATGGAAGTGGATTGCAAGCTGGACATCCGAGGTGATGAAGCTGAGATCATGAGGTCGATGCAGCCCGCGACGATCAATCGAGGTCTTTTCTTAATGCCATTACACGCTTTCGACATTCGGACTTCGACGAAATCAGCGCAAAACTCGAGATCGACCGATTTCAACGCCCATGTTTCCAGAGCCCGTTTCAATGTCCTATTTGGTGTTATGATGCCGATTCTGGCTCTTATCGTCATCTGACAGAACTCGAAGAGACTGCCGATCGAACGTGAGTCAGTTGTAAACCGGTCCGCCAATCTAAGTCTAACACAGTTGAGGGTCATCTAGCCAGGTCTACCGCGGCTCTTTTCAAACTGTCATGCCCAACGACTGCAACAGAAATATCTCCGTGAGGGCCGGACTCCCGAACACAGGACTACGCGCATACTGGCCTGTGTACGTACGCTAATGCGAGATATCCTGTTCGGGCTGATGCTTGCTAGATACGACTTGGGCTTCACCTTGACGGCCAACTCGATGATGTCGTTCCAAAATGCCATCTTTCCATTGCTACTCGGCATCTTTCTCATCATCATCGGCAATACCGGATTTCCATGCATGCTCCGGTTTGTGATATGGGTGGCATCAAGGCTCGTGCCCCAAAACAGCACCGTTTGGGAAGAGTTACGCTTCCTGCTGGATCATCCTCGTCGATGCTTCACCCTGTTGTTTCCGGCGGGAGCGACATGGTGGCTGTTTGCGATTCTGGTGATCCTGAACGGAGTAGATTTAATCCTTTTCATCATTTTGGATCTCAACGATCCTGCTGTGACCCATCTTGCTCCAGGGATACGGTTCGTGGACGGACTGTTCCAAGCAGCCTCGACAAGGACGGCCGGGTTTGCCGTCGTTAACCTCGCTGAACTACATCAGGCAGTTCAAGTGTCATACCTGATCATGATGTACATTTCCGTCTTCCCAGTCGCCATCTCCATGCGGCGTACCAACGTATATGAAGAGAAGAGTTTGGGAATCTACGCGAGTCCGAGCGAACAAGAGGATGATGCGAACGAACCGAGCTATATTGGAGCCCATTTGGAGAGACAGCTCAGTTTCGACTTATGGTTCATCTTCTTGGGTCTGTTCATCATTGCCATCGTTGAGGGACATCGCCTGGAGAACACTAACGAACATGCCTTCACTCTATTTGCGGTCTTGTTCGAGATCGTGTCTGCGTACGGAACTGTTGGGCTGTCCTTAGGATACCCTACAATCAATGCCTCGTTTTCGGCGGAGTTCAAGACGTTAGCCAAATTGGTCATCATTGCGATGCAAGTGCGTGGTCGGCACAGGGGTCTGCCCTATGAACTTGACAGAGCCGTGCTTCTTCCTTCCGAGAAGTTGCAGGCCAAAGAGGCAGGAGAAGGTCAACGCATGCTGCAACGAAGGAGGTCTTCCATTGGTGGCATGTCTGCAGTGGACGGGCAAGTGGAAGGCAGCCAGTTTCGCGGAGAGCCTGGTCTTTCCGGTTATGAAAATGAGGAGAAACGGAAGGAGGAAAATCTGGAGGCGGCACAAGAGTCATGCTAAGCACAGACTCGGTCAAGAAATGTACAAGTTGGCATCTGCCCCCGACACAATACGAGAAGAGTTGGCGCCGACAAATGAGCGATGATATGGGACGGCCCATTCTGTTTGCTTTCTGAGCGAGCGTTGTTACGGTCTTGTTAAAATGACGGAACTCAGCAGTATGATATGAGACCGTTAAACCCGCAATGTACATTCTGGTTACAAGATCAAAATCGATTCGGAGCACGCGGCACATTTTGTGTCACAAGCTGTTTTGGGGAGCATCATTGGGAAGGCCAGAGACCCTTCGCCAAGACTGATCCACTGCAGTTCGTACTGAAATGTTCTTGGGCATCCCTTATTTGCATCGATTACAGTGTCGACTCGTATCTTCCAGAAAACAGATTGCAGCCCAGGGTGTTCAAGCTATCTCCACGGATATTCAAATCTACATTCACCACCATGTCTACCCTCATCGCCTACCTCCCACCCCTCTTCACCGCTATGCCCGTCCTAACCACCCTCCTCGGCTTCACTGGTTTCGGTGGTGGTCTCTACACATTCACTTCGCCCGCTGCGAGGCCAATCCTCTTCGGAATCATCCCGCCCACTTCCATGCTCCCATCCAAAGAAGACCAAGCCCAGTCACCAACCCCATCCCAAGCCTCCCTCATCGCATACATTCGCGTCCACGGGATCCGCAATTTCTCGAACGGGCTAGGCTTAGCGGGCCTGTCTATCTACTCCCTCCTCGGCGCAGGGTCACCCGCCGAAGCGGCAATCGTCAGGAAGTGCCTTGGTGTGATGTAGCTGGCCGGCGCACCGGTTGCATTGGGTGACAGGTGGTTGATTCGCAAGTATGTGAAGGTAGTGGAGGCTGGGAAGGGAGAAATGGAGGAGAAGAACACGAAGGAAGCGACGACTGTGGGTAGGGCGAAGGCGGCGGAGCATGCGTTCACAGCGTTGATTATTGCGGCGGTGGCGGTGGGGTGTTTGCTGAGTTAAAGCAAGGGGGTCTCTCGGGTGTTGGAGCTTCGGGATTTTCATGGAACTAGCGAGGAAGGGCACGGTAGGTCATGTGGAAGGTATGTACTAGCCACACAGTTCTACTTTTGTCTGCATGCGAGCTCGTGTGGTAGATTTATCGGTCTGAGTAATCTTAAAAGTCTCACAGCTTGGTTCGGAGAGGGCGGTGCTGGTTGTGAAAGCGTGAAGTTTGTAGATGCCGGGCTTATCGCACGCATTCGCCCAGAGATAGGCTGGATTTTGCATCAGTATTGAAAGATAGGGTCCAACATAATCTTTGTTAGATCATTAACGCATTAACTTTATTCACTTTGCTCGAGTGTAAGCATTGACCTGCTCGCGGTAAAAGACCATCCGTCCTTCAATACGAGCTTCGACCCAGAATTCTTCAGGGACGTTTATCTTTTGTACAACACGCAAAATCGTGCCAGTCCGATACAGTACAAGAACACTCGGACAGCACTCCCACAAGTAGGCATGACACCAGTTCGCCTTCGGTCATTTCAGGAATGTTGACAAATGGGCCACAATTTACCGGGAATTCACCAGAAGAGGCGACTGACCGCCGAACATAAGAGTTGAGCGCAGATGTGTTGGGCGCACCGGATGCATTGAGCACTGAGACGGCTCCAGGTATTGGAGTACATGTGCTCAGATCCGATCCCTAATCGTCAATGCGCCCAATCTTCAGCTTTGTTACACGTTCCCTTAAGCAAAGAACGATCCCCAACGCCCCGGCTTAGCTCACTAAAGCACAAGCATACTTTCTGTGCGCCTTCTCACGCACTCTGTGGGAGATTTTTATTCGCGAGCTCCAGAGTTTCCTCATGGGATGGCCCTGGAGGTCCGGGTCTCCCACCGCCGCTGCTATGATCATCCTGGCTCCCGCGTTCGATAGCCTCAGAGAGCGTGCGTGGGACTTTGATGCCCAGCTTGACGAGCGGGATCGTGAGGCCGTGGACGATCTGTACAGGATTAGAGAAGACGAGAAGACTTAAATTTGTTTGGCTGAAACGGAGAGAGGGGCACACTTACGATACTGCAGGTGACCAGGAACCAGATCACCACCATCATGATCTCGCTCAGTCTCGCGGCGTCTTCTCGCTGGTTGCCTTTGTCGTCGAGCACCTGCGTGCGAAGGTATTCCTGGCTGATGTAGAGGTAGAATATCGCGGAGACGCCGATGGGACCGAAAAAGCCGACGACGATGGCTTGACGCCACTCCTCGATCTGGTGGATGCGATAGTGCATGAGGGAAATGATTGGTGGGCGGCGGAGGAGAAGAACGAGGATGCCCAGCGCGATGAGGCGGTAGATGGGGATGACGTCGTTATGCGCGAACATGTGCCACGGGCAGACGGCGCCGAACCAGACAAAGATCGCGACGTTGAGGAGCATGTCGATCGTGGGCTGCAGCGAGTCGTCGGCGGTCTGTACGCGGAACCAGTCGTCCCAGGTGAAGGCGTTGCCGGCGATGAAGCAGGCAAGAACGTCGTCGCTGCCGATGAGGCCGTCGGTGCCGACGACGAAGAGCTGGCAATGTCAGTGTTTTGGCTGGGTTTCGAGACGCAAGTACTGACTGCTAAGGCGAGAGCGAAGACCAAGAAGCTCTCTCGATCGACATATTTTTTCTCTTCCGCCCAGTGAAGAAGCTTCTTTGCAAACCATCCACATGCGAATCCGTAGGCGGTACTAAGGAATATTTGATAGCACCAAGTCTCGTAGAACCACAATCCCACCGCTTTACCCGCCGTATGTCCATGCGCACCTTCCCCAATACACGTGATCAAATACAGCGGAAGGAAAAGGAAAGGATATCCCAGGCCGTCATTGACACCCGACTCAGCAATGACTATCTTCTGCAACTTCTTTGGAATATGCCTGTCCGCAAACTTCCCTTTCAAGATCGAATTGGATAGAAGGATCCGTGGGTGTGACGCATGCGCCGACAGCGAGGGCGTACAGAAACGTCAGATTCGGCACCATAGCCCACACCAGCATGCTGGTGATGAGCCACATGACGACCATGCCAGGCCCGAGGAGGTACGCCAGGCTCCGCCATTCTGTTTTCAGGTATTTTGGTGGCAGCTGGATCCCGGCAATCACTAGCTGCACGCCCAAGACGACGCGGGTGAAGTACAAGTTGATGTACTCGAGGTTGACTTCGTCATTGAGCGCGTATTCTGTCGGTCGGATCCAGTTTGCGGCAGGGCCAAAGAGGACGCCGGCGAGGAGCGACAGCACTATTGACAACAAATTAGCTGAATATTCTTCAGAGTGTGAATATCAGGACATACGCGCTTCTGACAGGTAGAACTTCTCTTTGACCACGAACGAAACTAGGCCGAACAGAGCGATAAAACCTCCGAGAGTTGCGCAAACAATGTTGAAGTTCACCAGGCCGAGGGTCGGCATCCTGGCAGATATCTGGAGAAGACACGGTGTAGTGTCGTCAGGTATCTTGGCGCAGGGCTGGCGCGTAAAGGCGCGGGGAAGATCGAAGCCGTCAACGACGTGTGGTGCTCACCTTGATCGTAGATTGATCCTGCGAGTCCATGCGTGTCAACTGATTTAGACCCTGAAGCATCCATTCTCGAAGTCACTCGTTCGGTCTTTGGCGACATTGTGCTCGGATGACGATTGCGAAAGGTACCCCACAGCACGTAGCGGAGACGACTGGGATTGGTGTGGTCTCCCTGGCTATTTTCCCTCGGTCCGAAACCCGGATACCTTTCTACCTCCCTAAACTGGCTAGGAGTAGCCAAGCACTCCACAACAGCACGGGGCATCTCCCATTCCCAAGTAAAAGTTTGGGCTGCTGTGAAGGCTGAGGAAGGCGCCCCACCTGTGGGGTATGAGGGTTCATTACCAAGGCTCTCTAGGACCCAATTTGCCCGTATTTTCTTTGCAAACCTCATCTCCTTGGTAGCGGCTACAGAACATTATTAGTGCCAGAAAGTCGCGGCGGACGAATTTTTTTGTTGCACGCGCAGCATGTAACCCATTCTCCAGAAGCCACCGCTTCAAACCGTCGAATAAAATTGATTGATTGATTGATTACGGGTTGGCAGCTATGCAGCACGCAACTATAAGTAGGGAGGTGCGCGTTCCTTGCAGCTAGGCGCATGGTATTCCGACGATCCTGCTGGCGACAGGGCTTCTGTGCATACTATATTGCCCTCGACGCTCCAAGCACGCACGTCCCTACTAACAATCCTAATGACTGTTCTAGTTGGAGCTCGGAACTAGTTGCATCCCATGATCACGTGCGTCTGCCTACAGGCAGGAGTGTCTGCCTGCTAGGCGGTGTACGTGGCCTTAGGCAGAAGAGAAGGTATCACAACTATAAGTAGTTGTAAATTGTCCCTAGATATGAAAGGTATCATACCTGTACTAGTTCTGAGCTCCAACTAGAACATGTATTAGAATTGTTAGGAGGGACGTGCGGTTTCCGGGCGCCGTTGAGTGACACGGTCGGAACCAGTGACCTGTTGCCAGCAGGTCATTGGCCCACAGTACCTCCGGGCGCAAGAAACTCGCACGTCCTGATTAGTAGTCGTACGCTGCATAGCCACTGTAGTGTAGCTGGGACAGACTATGAAATAACAAACAAACAAACAAACTAAACTGACTAACCTAAACCTTCCAATCAATCCCAGGAGCGGTAATGTCCTAACACCACGAAGTATTTTCTCACAGATTCCACGACGCATGTGTAACTATTTGTAGCTACAACGACCCCTCTCAAGTCATCGCTCAACTTGAGTAGTCCGTCTACCGGAGCTCTAGATGGGATCTCTCCACGCCAGAGCTCTCGCCAGGTTAACCCACCACATTTTTGAGCTGCTTTCCAAAGCCGACTCACATCACGAGTCTAACAATACACACACACACACACACACACACACACACTATTTATTAACGCCCGGCGGCTGAGCCGATAAGGGCAACTCTCACTGATCTAATAATACACGTCCAATACGAAGTCCTACTCTTCTTCAAGCCCATACTCAAATCATTCGTCAATTTACCCCTTACAGCCTTTTCTCTTCGGGTTCTCGTGGGTTAGTGACCTGATTAGTAGACCGACTTGAAGGCTGTTCTCCAAGTGTTCAGCGTCCTATCTTCGGCGGCTGAAGCGGTGTCTACTTCCTGAGGCACGAGGTGATATGTAGGGCGAGGCAGGTGTGTGAGGTAAGGTGTCCTAATCATTAATGTACCTGTAGTTAGTTCGCATCGAGTCGACCGGTGGCTATCGCGAATCGGATCGTCGCTTGCACGGCGTCCATGTTCGGAGCCCAGTTCTCATCGTCCATTGTGGTTTTCCCTCCCAAATAAAACGAGATATTCCCTCGTTGTGTGGCTGTCTGTTGCATCATCTCCATTCGATGTTGTGTCCATCTTCTGCACCGGAATAGGAAGTGTTCTACAGTCTCTCTCGCATGCCCACATTCACATTGATCTGTTGACGCAGCATTGATTCGGCTAAGGTACGTGTTCACTCTTGCCATGCCGGTCCGGAGTTGGGCGAGTACACTGGCTTCTTTGTACGTTGGTCGGTCGTAGAGCTGGCGTGTGTGTTTCCCCGGCAGTGCTGTATCAATCCTTTTCGAATGTTTCCCTACTTTTTCCGGTAGTTCTCGTGTCAGGCGAAGAGTTGTTGATTGGATTCGGGGGAGTGGCGTCTGTGGGGTGCAGCCCTGTCTCGTTGCGGCTTTCGCCTTCACCTTGGCAAGCTTCATCAGGTCACAGATCTTACACGGCTGCGAGATGAATGGGTCTCGACCCAGCACAACCTGAATATTTAGTCTGCAGCACAAAGCCACTTAATCGACAGTATTAGCACTATTGAGAATTACACCAGTGGCAACTCTATCCAACTTATGGCTTCAACGGGGGAGAAGACCATTCATGGTAAAAGTCACGCATTTGGTGCGAAGAATGATCAAGTGGGTGGTCATGTGAGTGATGACACAATTCAACAGGCTCTGCGTGTCATTGGGGGTATTTTGGCGCAGCTAACGGGCTGGACGGTTCAGCCCTGGAGGAAAAGATTACAATCATTCCTTCTGACAGCACAATCGAGGAAACTAGCTCAAGCTTCAAAGGCAAAGGGTTCCAAGTTGCATCTAATCCCTCCTGCACCCGGACAATGCTTACAAGGCCGGCGGAGGACGAATCTCGGAGATGACTGAATTGGTCATTCCTCTCAAGGTTGGATCGTGGCACTACTGACCTACGATCAATGGTGTGGATCAGTCCAAGAAGTCACGTCCCCATCATGAAGACCAGCTCTCGTGCTCGAGACTGCAGACGCTCAATGCCCGGTTGAAGCCTCTTCTCGTGGCTTATCAACGCCTGTGGCACATCAGCAACACGGCAGAGCTCTTGAGTCAGTGCTTCAGCTGAAGGAAGCGCCATACCGGCGCCCTGTCCGGACACGACTGCTAGGCAGTGAGCGGCGCCGCCCAATAGCACAACACGACCTTTGGAACATTGGGGTAACACAACGAGATTGATGCTGTCCATGACTAGCGATGGATCCGCTGATTCGCCCCTTCGAACAGCATCCTTTACGATAACGTCAAAAGCGTTGTGAGGAAGCTGTGACGGTTCTCTAGGCGCTGTGGAGGCTTGTAAGTGGACCCTGGTCTTGGTTAGAAAAACCATCAGTCCTAGCCTATCATGAGGCACACAAGGCCCCCGGCTCGGGATCTTGGGCTCACTCCGATGTTAGCCAAGCTGCCATCGTCGCTGCCAAGCGCTGCTTGCCAGCTAATATTCCGCTCATTCGCTCACTGGTCCTCGGACGTGAGCTCAAAGACGGGTCGCGCTCGGTCAGGGTGTGATTCCAAGACTTTCAAGATCCCACCAGGTCTACTTAACGAACCTATCTGCTGAGCTCTGAGGAACACGTGTGAAAAACGCCCATGTTGGATGGCTATACCAACGTAACTCAACGAGATGCGACCTGAAGTTTGCCTCGAACAATCAATCATGTCAAGATGCCATATATTTCAAAGCCTTCTGCAGGACGGCATGTGGGCAAGCTCTCTGCATCACAACAGCGAGAAACACTGGAAAACACCCTCGGCCCAACAAGCGACTTCCAGCCAACATGGTCCTCCACATGTTTCTCCCACGCCAATCGGCTGAAACGGCTCCATACGACTGGATTCTAGCCATTACTTTTATTGCGTACATTTTTTCCGCCTTTGGTAACGGCGCCAACGATGTCGCCAACGCCTACGCCACTTCCGTCGCTGCTCGAACCTTGACTATGCCGCAAGTCGGCGTGCTGTCAGTGCTCACAGAATTCTTCGGAGCCGTCGTACTTGGTGCCAGAGTTACATCAACTATTAAGAACGGAATCATCGATATCGACCGTTTCGAGGGCCGACCAAGCGTGCTCATGCTAGCCATGGGCTGTGCCGAGGTGGGCAGCGCAACATGGCTGATGTTTGCGACTAGCCGCGGTATGCCCGTTTCTACAACTCAAACTATTGTTGGAGCACTTGTCGGTGTCGGCTTTGCCACTCAAGCTGCCATTACATGGGAATGGACCGGTGGTAGTGTATCTCAGGTTGCGGCTTCATGGGGTATTGCTCCTGCGATCGCTGCATCCTTCGCTGCGATCTACTTTGGAGTTCTCAAGTACACCGTGCTCGAGCGCGAAGACAGCTTCAAGTGGGGTATGCGACTGATTCCTGTCTACTTCGGTTTCACCGCCGCGATCTTGGCCCTGTTCATCACTATTGAGGCTCCTGGATCTGATCTCGACGCTCTTGGTGCTGGCACAGCAGTTGGAATTATCCTTGGCGTCTTCACTGGCGTGACGCTCATCTGCTATATCTTCTTCGTACCTTTCTTCGAGCGCAAGCTTATCAAGAAGGATGCTCGTCTTCGCGTGTGGCATATCCCTCTCGGCCCTCTCCTGCGCAAGGACAATATCCACCTTTACTTCCCTGGCAAGGGCAAAGAGTATGTTACCAACTACTATGCCGACTCATATGGCCATGTCGCCGCTGGTGGAAAGGCCTCGTTCAATGCTCCCGAGCTCGACGAGGAGCGCGCAACAGACCAGCCCGCCGTAACTGGCAAGTCTTTTGCCGACGACAATGGCAAGGACCTTTCTGAGACAGCTTCGCCAAGCGGTGAGCCCGAGGCCGGACAGCCAATGCTCAACCGACCGGGCTACGTCTCTCCCTATAGACGCTGGATTGTGCCCGTGCAGGAGCTTTCGTGGATCAACCCTAAGAAGCTGTGGAACTGGACCAAATTCCTCCTGCTTCGCGGAGTCACGATCGATGCGATCAGCCACAATTCGGATCTTCTCCGCGCCATTCACTCCAGAGCCAACCGCTACGATGTTCGTGTTGAACATCTCTGGACCTACTGCCAAGTTATGTCTGCCATCCTTATGTCTATTGCTCACGGTTCCAACGATATTGCCAACGCTGTCGGTCCTCTCGCCGCGGTCTACGCTACCTACAACTCTGGCGAGGTCAACACAAGATCTCCCACTCCTGTGTGGCTCCTGGTCATTGGTGGTTTGATGCTCGGCCTTGGTTTCTGGTTCATGGGCTACCACATCATCCGCGCTCTCGGCAACAAGATCACCCAGATGAGTCCGACCCGCGGCTACGCGATCGAATTGGGCGCTGCCACCACAGTCCTCATGGCTTCTCGTCTCGGTCTGCCAGTCTCCACTACCCAATGCCTGACTGGTGCGGCCATTGGTGTGGCGTTGATGAACTATGACGCCAAAGCCGTCAACTGGCGCCAAATTGCCTTCATCTTTACGGGCTGGGTCCTGACCCTCCCTTCGGCTGGTCTGATTGCCGGCTTGCTCTGCCTCATGGCTCTAAACGCCCCTTCTTTCTAAGATCCTTCTCGATGAGCTCGACGGAGCAGTCAGTCGTTCGTTGGTGGGACCATGCCGCTCGATCTGCAGGTGTTAGTACACTGCATGGCCTGGTGTCAGTAATAGTACACCTGTACGACCTCTATACATGTTGTGTAATGGACTCCCCTTTGCGTCAATCATAAAAATTGCCCCGAATACGTGCCCCAGAACTTGCTCTAGTAGCCGACGCAGGTCGCCGCACACTGACCGATGAGTTGCCTAATCTTACTTCAGCCTGCACCTGCTCTGACACCGCGCTTTAATCGACCTATCTCGTCGCTCATCGTGAACTCGAAGAAGACTTGACTCCCTCTCATGTTGGAAGCCGCTCTGTGAGTCATTTGTCGGCTGATCTTATCGGCCCTTAGTATCTAATTTGCGCGACATGACGGAGCCGACTTGAGATCATTTATGGTTCATCGAGCCTCTCGGCAGTAGTGATGTCAGCAATGTAGCGGTCTTGACTATGAACTGAAGCAGTCGCTACTTGGCTTGTTGCAACCTGACGAATGCTTGATATATTGACGCGAGTGTCAAGGTATCAACAGGCCAACGTCAGCGACCCTGTTCGAGCCAGCAGAGGACGCGAGGGGCCCATAGTAAGTGGCCTACGCATAGGGCCACTCCGGGACATGTACGGAAGGAGGCCTTATCACAACTTTTTCGTATCGTGGTGGCTGTTATAAGACACGCAGACCGACAAAATGTTGTGGAGAGACGAGGCCAAAGAACCTGTGCTATATCCGTGTTGGCGCTGTTCCAAGACAGCCCACTTTGCGCCTGTATCAGATCCCATCCGACCCCAGCCAAGACTCCAAGAGACTAGGGTCAGCTTGCTTCTTGGCATCTCCGTCTTGCCGGCAGCACCCTGGCGCTACTAGTTCGCGTCGGCATGACTCTGGTGGACAAGAGCTTGCATCAAATAGTAGGCCGAGCCTGATCATCTACAGAGTATTGGAAAACGTATCGACATCGACATGATACAACAAAAACCGAGTCTACTCCCATCCATTCTATACAGTTGTGTGCGGCATAGGCTTGGTATACACATCTCAACTTCACGGTCATTCTGATGGACATTGAGAACATCATCAACAAAGTCCGATATAAAGTCCCGAAAGATCGAAAGTCCTCTCGGCGGCGGTCAGCCCGCGAAAGTACAGAGACAAGTGTCGTCTCCGAGACCAGGTCCGTACCCGATCTAGTTCAGCATTCAGAGGACCTGCAACCCAATGACTATACGACGTACGACTCAGACGCATCACAACCAGTGGCAAGTCTCCAACACAGCGAGAGACACAGAGACTCAGAGGCACCACAGAGTACCTCTAGCCCACCACAACGGCGTCAGGCAAGAACAATCTCTGAACCTCAAGTGGCCGCGCACCCAACACAGTGGCCTCCAAAGCCAGCACCCGCGCCCGCGGTCTCTCCCTACGGACACTTCCCGGCGCCAGTATACTTCCCAACATACATGGTGGTGCCCATGCATATCCCACCACAACACCACTATTTACAGCCCCGACCCAGCCTGCCGCAGCATCAGCAGCATTCACAACAGATCATGAAGGAGGAGAAAAGCACTCCGGACCCGATCCCGCGAGGCGTGCGACTTCCACCTCTACCAGAATCACTACGACGTGCCCAAACAGCTTGCAAACGAAAGCCAGTATCGGCGAAGGAGAGAAAGAAGCGAATCAGAGCTCCGCCCGTCCAGCACGACTACGACCATCTCAATGTAGAAGAAGCCATCCGGGAACTGGCACGGCGGGATATCTACATTACTGACATCCAAGGCCTGTCGCTCAGCAAGCCGAAACTGGTCAAATTGCTGCAGCGAGCGGACAGGAACAACAATAAAGGCGAGAACAATAGCCCAAAGGAGTCAGGTTACTTGAATACTTCTGAATGAATCCTTTTATGTTCACTGATCGTACTACTTTCGGCGCTGCATCAGCTTCTGTGTACTGTATCTGTATGCATCTGTAGAGAAGTCGATCTGTACGTGGTGTATCTTGGCAACGTCCAGCAAAGCGCAATGACCGCACGTGCATGCCTTACCCAGCCAACGACTGGCTTACAGACATCGGGAGCTCCTTCTTATCACACCAAGCAATCATTTTACTTTCTTGGCTGGAAAGACGTGCTTCGTCCTCCGTCTTGCCGTACTCAGGCGGATGTGTGCAGGGTAGTGGGGTATGATCGCCTACCAGGCTAAGCAAACTATGACTCGGCTCGAATTTGTTGAGGTTATGAAGCTCTGGGCCAAGTTGGGAATCTGTAGTCTCTCTGAATGTCTCAGATTCTGACCTTGTTGCTTCTCATACATACATCTCTGTGTCTCTCACGATATTTATATACATCGTTGGACACACGGAATGCTTCCTTCATGCTGACCAATCAGATCTTCCTATGTGCTCACTCTTGGGTTGTCTGGAGCATCTATATTCTCAACAGAATTGACTTGCTGCTTTTACAGCCCTTTCTCGGTCGAGCATCGTCTATGAGTATTATTTGATGTGTTTGGGTCCGATGGTTATGTATGTGACGGTCCTGATGCACAAGGTGTGTTTGATAAACCCGCGCACTCGATTGTCTTACGTGACAGCACCATGTATGTTGATCGATCAGAGGAGGGTTCAGGCTCGCAGAACCTGTCGAAGGGCGAACGCCTGAGAAATGTCTTCATCGTGTTCGGTGTCGTCGCTGCGATCGTTCTGGTCTCGCACATCTTGTACGCAAACTCAGTCTCTTCACTCACTTCCAAATTCTATTCCTGTCCATTCTAAGAAAAGACCTATCGTTTGAACGATATACAAAGTACTGACATTGTCTGGACACAAAGGATCAAATGCCGGAACAGAATTCCCCATATCAAGAACTGGTCATCTGCGGGCCGGAGACGCTCAATCAGGCCCGCGACTCCTCCAGATACAGCCAACACTCGTCGACAACGACAGACACCTGCTTTTACTCGAGCTGAACTCGACGCCGTCGCGCCGAAGCTCATCCTATCCCAATGCGTCCTGTACGATCCCTCTGCATTCGAAGAGTCCAGCAAGAATTCGACCCCCGTCTCAACATCGCCTGCAGTCACAAGGACGCCGAGTATAGCCAGCATAGCATCGCTCCCTCAATGTTCGAATGACAACGCCGCCAGCCCCACCAAATGCGCTGTTCGCACAACAGAACGCCCTCACTCAGACCCAACACACGCTCTCTCAACTCCAGCAAGCGATACTACCTGCAGCATCTGCCTCGACCCACTATTTTCCTCATCTAATGACGATGTCCAACAACATGACCAAACCCACCAACAGACCTACATCCGCATCATTACCCTCTGCAACCACGCTTTCCACTCCCACTGCCTGCAGACATGGCTCCTGCAGCGCAGACGCCGCGATACACGACGCCCCGACTATCGACAATACCAGCAACCACAAAACCAGCCTAGATGCCCACTATGTCAGCTTTCTTTACGAACCAGCAACAGGACGACCGTAGCTGGGAGAGACAAGAAATAGCACCATCATGCTGGAGGAGCCGGGGCCCACTGCAGCAAGAGGAAGGAGGAGGTGGCGATGGAGGTGGCGATGAGGTGCTTGTACAATCAAGACTACGATTATGAGAGCTATGACGAAGACGAGGGAATGAAATGCTACTCACGTAGGATCAAACGATCCGCCCGGCCATGCCGAACTAGTGGACTTAAAAAGCGAGCAGGGAGTCAGCCGAAGAAGACTTCAACGCGAGTGAGGTATAACATGGAAGTGACCTCGCGTTGAACTAAGAAAATACTGCAAGGGAAGACAGCTTAGGGGGCAAACGAGTGTAAATGACCGGCGCACCATGTCAGAAAAGCCGTTCTCTTTTCTATAGGTGTATAATCTGAGAAGCGCTCGAAACGCTGTCGATCAAACGAGGGACAAGAGCTGAAAGGAGTGAACGGCATCCACCATGCGGCTCTTCCGGACGAGTTGATATCGACTGCAAGCTGTGGCAAACAGAAATTGAGTCTGTATGGCACTTGTCTTCGCGCTTGCCCGCCACACCACGGCGAAGACAGTTGGCATAAGCGCCGCGATGAAAGGCAAAGCCACACCTGAGCAGATGCAAGCGCCACAAACTCAGATATAAAGTACTCTCATTCTTCTCCTTGCCCTTCTTCTGCCCGTACCGGTCCGACTTGCTGCTATCCGACCGTCTTATCGTATGCTGATAGCTGCGGCGCAGCTTGCGCCCACTGGATCACGGGATCTTTCGGTAAGTTCTTATCACTGCCATACGCCTCCGCGTCCTGCTGCTGTTACCACATCTGCGTCCTCCTCCTGTAGCCCTCGACGGCATTAATATCCAGCTCCGCCGTATTATACGACCTGCTGAACCTGTTGTTAAGCACGATACTGCTGCGATCATCGACGCTCCTGTTCTTCGGTAACGGGTTGTGCTCGCTAAGTCTGCGAACAATGGCGGGGCCGTCTTCGTCTTGGATGGGTTCGACGCCGCGCCATTTGTAGATGAGGTTTAGGGCCGGGATGGAGAGGCCGTGGCAGAAGATGGGGGAAGACCACGGGCCACTAGACGACGGGAATCATGGCGGCGGTGAGGTTGTTTTCTTCTTCTGTCAGGGACTCGCCAGGCTCATGGAAGAGGTGGCGGGTGTGTTCTACGTAGAAGACCGCGCCAATGCCGATGGGGCCGAAGTAGCCCATAAAGAGGGCTTCTTCCCAGTCGACGATGCAGTTGGGCATGAATTTGTAGGCCATGAGGATGGCGGGGATGCGGCGGAAGAGGACGATCATGATGGCTGTTTCTGTGGGTTAGTAGGTTGATTGAATGTTTTGGTTGTGGTGGTGTGCTTACCGAGACCGATGAGACCTGGGATTGTGACGCCGGTGCCGTCGGGTTCTTTGGAACATTCTCCATGGGATTAGGGCCCCAATGTACATGAAAACGACTGCTGGAAGAGCTTCACCTAGATACCATACTTGATTTTGATGGAGATGGCACCGAATGCCAGTATGAAGAAGCCCAGGATGGAGATGACCACATTGAGTGTGCTTGGATCTATGTAAATGGCCATTGCGGCTGAGTGATTGCAGTTTCTCCGAGCTCTTCTGAGATAGTCCCTCCACCGGGAAGAGCGAACAAGTGTCCGGCCAGCGGACGGCGATAGAGGACGTCTGCGAAATGAAAGCGACGACAAACTAGACATAACAGGCCTGCTGTTTGCGTAGATACTGGTGTCAGCGACGGAGAGGCTGATAAAGGTATGCTACAGAACACGACGCGTGAACGTAATGCATGTCTGCGTAAGCTCAGAGTGCGTCGTAGGCCAGAGGAAACTGTTGAAACAGGTACTGAAAAGCCCCGAGCCAGAGGTGCGACAATGGGCGCTAGGAAGTGCCTCAATGTCCAAGCCCCTTGCAAGGCTGGCGGCATGTGTTTGGCACGATCCAAGGGCCAGAGAGCGGCATTCCTGGGTACCTTAAGTTTCCGCGCAGCGCACTCCGTCGTGTCCGTGCTGTCGCGGCTCCGTACGAGTGGTCGGAGCAGGAGTCGTACACGTAGCGGCTGAGAGATCTTCAGCGACAGGAAGCCCCCTCGCCTGTGGGGACTTGGCTGTGCCACCTTGCTGCCGTCAAGGGCAGCCGTCGAACAAAGACTCCGCCAATGCCAGCTTGGCAGACGGCTCCATTGGCTTAGCCCGTTGCCAAGATGGCTGAGCGACGCCAAGTCTGCCTATTCCGTCCTGCCGGCCCGCAAAAGCGGCAACTCGACTGCCACGCCAAGCAGATGTTTCCACTTCCGCCGCTCCATCCCTACCGGGTATAGTCCACGTCCTCTCTCTCGAGGGTTTTAAGGCGAGCCTTTTGCAATGACGTTATGTGGCTGTTCAGACAGAAGCTCGGGAGCCTGATGGTGGTTGCGGTTCGGCTGGAGTCTTTCTGAATCGCCGACAAAAGTCCATTGATGTTTTCCATCGGGCAGCTGAAGGATTCTAGAACTATGGACACTTGTCGACTCCCTCCTCTGTCACGCGTCTCCGGAGGCTTCTTGATATGCGCAGGAGATGTCGTTAAGAGTTATCTGCGGCTTCTTTGGAACCCTCGATGACTCGTTGGTCAATCCAAAAGATCGTGCTGGGTGAGAGATGCCAGCTATTGACGTGTCAAAAGTCGTGTCCTCAACTCTGAATGTTCGTGTCCGCAGAGGCAAAGAGAGCAGCTTCGTAGCCTTGATTGTTCAGCACCGCTTCAAGATCAATTCCAACAGCCAGGTCCTCAGCGTGCGCCAGCATCGTGTCTGCATCCATAGGTCGCTCGTTCGGTACTGGCGAAGTTGCTGTCGAATTTCTCGCTGCTTCTGCCAACTCATGTGTGGCCGCCCGCCTCGTCCTTCCTACCGGACTCAGCCATGCATCCAAAGGCTCGAAGTTTGGTATTGTGAAGTCATTCTCGGAAGATGCTGACGCACAAATCCTGCTACTCGTATCCTGAATGTGATCGAAGTTGAAGTCAACCGTGTGGTTCAGCTGTCGAACCACCTCTCTGAGCAGCTTGAGACAAGTCGCTGCGCAATTATCGACACAGGCGTTCTTGGTGAGGAGTCGAATGCCAGTCTCGCATCTATGCCACGCCTCACTGGGATGAGAAGTGCCATTGTGTGCTGATATCAGAAACACGAGACACATTATCGCCAAGAATAGCGTGTAGGTGGTGCTCCATGACAGAGGAACATCCGGCATGGCAAGTGCGTTCGATTCAAGGCGGACAATAGTGGTGGATGCTAGTTTGATACAGGCCAAGGCATGGCGCGATTGTGACAAAGGAATAGCTTTACCTTCCGCCATGATGCGTAGATAAGGCAAGAACGGTCTGTAGAGAATGAGTTGTGCAAAGTTGCACGCCATTTCAAGGTCACGAGACACTCTGTGGCTCCGTCAACAAATTGTTCGTGAGTACCTAGAACAGTCCGCGATCATCATGGAGGATACTGTGCAACGCGGAAACCACGTGATGCAGGGTCGCAGGTTTGCTTGCTTGGCCGACGCGAGGATAAGAAGGAGAACTTACACCGAGTTTTGGTCTTGCTGGCTTATTCGCGCAAGCAGAAGGGAAATATCCTGTGTCCAGTGCAGTAGCCGACCCTCCAGAGCATCCAGAAGGCTCGTTTTGATGCCTTCTATCGCCTCACCAGTCGTTGCATCGGTGAAGACTGCTCGACGGGTTGCGCTCGTGAACCTCAACAGCTCCAAGTGCTTGATGGATGCTTCTGTATTTGCATCAAGCTCGCGTGATGCTCCATTACCGAGCGTAATGTAGAGAGTGTTAATTCCGGTATCAACCACAGCTTCTGGAAGCAGTGGCGGCAAGTCGAGCACGAGACTTGCGTAAAAATCGAGTCTTGCCAAGGTTGTGAATACAAGTATACGCATGGACCGCTCTTGTCCTGTCATTGTTGGTTTTCCGGTGACATCGCAATGCAGACCAAGTCGTATAGCGCCTGATGATGCCAGGCTGAGGAAGGTATGAGCACGAGATATCCGTGATGTAGCCACAAGAAAGATGGCTCCGCACAGCAAGGCTTGCACTGATATCAGATTATCTGACTGGGTAATGTCCAGCACCTTCTGGCCTATGTTGAAGTGGCACATGGCGGAATCGAGAGGAACATGACAACCACTTTGTCGGTGCTGATCACGATCGAAGAGATGCCCAAGGGCAATAGCGTAGTGGAACAGGGGCAGAAACCGCACGCATGCGTCGTTCTGCGCAGGTGATTGGTCGTACAGTATAGTCACCATATCTCGGAAGTACTGTTCATGAAGGAAGTCCATGAATGGATGACAGCGGTCAAACAAAGATTTGATGAGGCGTAGTGTGTCGTCTCTGCTCGGCAAGTTGTCAGGAGAGTGAATCGTTGGAGTGGCCGGCAATGGATCATTGACGTTCCTAGCTGCAGGTAATGGCAGGTCGAAGATCCCAAGCGTAGGTAGTAGAGCCTGACGAACGTCGACTCTGTTTAGCTTAAATATTTCTAATGTACGCAGGATGAAAGCGGTTTCCGATAGAGGTCCATAAAGGTGGGTATTCCAGGGGGGCGACGAAATCAGGCGTCGGCAGCCTGCCAACATGCTGCTCATCTCTGAGCCACGGCTGAGGTCCTCATGCGCATCTATGGAAGACGGTGGCGCTGTAGGGTCAGCCCCGAAATTGAGTATATCCAATGCTGGCTTGAGGCTCAATTGGTCCGTAGGCGGGAGACACTTGGCATGGTCTTGAAGCAGCAGGTATGCTTGCCGTAGATGCTGTTCTAGCATTCGTATTCTCTGCGTAGGAGGGGGAGCCGGCCGACGAAATTGGTAAGCACATTCTGCATGCCGGTCAGCGGCTGTTCATCAGCGGCGGAATATATGAACAACCTAAGTCAGATGCTTTACAAGGCTGACAAGGCTGCGAGCCGTCACACTTCCGCTTTCTCAAGCGGCACTCGTCACATGCCCAAGGCGAACGACGGTGTGTCTTGCCTGGGCGTCGGGTCCGGGATTGCTGAAATTTGCCAATCGAGTTGGCCTCGGCTGACCGTGTACGGCCCATTGCGACTCCAGTACTTGTGCAACTGCCGTCAAGAGAAGGGTCGACGCTCCTACTTCTACTCAGCTTTTGACCACAATCATGAAGGCAACCCCCCATATCTGTGTATGATGGAAAATTCGAGCTGTTTGATAAGACGGTAAAGCAGCAAGTGAATCAGGGCCAGGATCACGGGAAGACGGATATCCCATGCTTGGCAGTGGCTGCCATATTCAAAACGAACTACTGTGAGATCGAGATTTTTTTTCCCCCGCTTCTGTCGATCATTTCCACATTATTCTCAGTCGTCATCTGTGCCTGGGCACCGTCCACCCGTATCATAGGCTGGTCTTTCACTGGTTCGGTCTCGGCGTGCATTTCTCGCCCATACCGCAGGGCGCATGTTTGCCAAGACCTCTGTGCTTCAGCAATGGTGGGACACAGCAAGCGGCAGAATCGTTGTTCAGAAGCAGTTTGTATGGTGACACCGCTTCGGCTCTTCCTGCACGATAACCGGCGCCAAGCGCCTGCGACTGTCTTGGATCGTAGTAGGTACGCAACCGCTGCCGACCTGAAGTCCGACTACTACCATTTTCCACAAGTGTAGGAATAGTATTTGATGTCTTGCCATGCCCTTCGATGTTTCTTTGTTTTTTCCTCTACCTTGATATCTCAACGCCATGGAAAATCACGTGTCTGGGCAAAGCAACAAGCCCATGAGCAAGCCTGCTCATGCCTTGAACCGCGATATCTTGGTCCAAGAGCTGTCGGCTGATGCTGAAAATGGCTTCTCTAAATCACAAGCCAGCGAGAAGCTGAACGAGTTCGGTCGGAATGAACTTGACGATGGGCCTGGTGTTCAGCCCATCAAAATCCTTATTCGCCAGGTCGCCAATGCCATGATGTTGGTCCTGATTATGGCCATGGTGGTGTCTTTTGCCATCAAGTCATGGATTGAAGGGGGTGTTGTTGCCGCCGTCATCGCCTTAAACATCATTGTCGGATTTCTGCAGGAATTCCAAGCTGAAAAGACTATGGACTCCTTGCGCTCGCTCAGTTCACCCACCGCCAACGTTGTTCGCGACGGAAGCACCATCAACGTTCCCACCGCCGAGCTTGTGGTCGGAGATCTTGTCGAGCTAAAGGTTGGAGACACTGTTCCGGCTGATTTGAGGTACGTAATTCTTGACATGGCCAATCTGAGCGCGGTACTGACTTTGGTATAGAATCATTGAATCTATCAATCTTGAGACTGACGAGGCACTCTTGACCGGCGAGTCTCTTCCTGTAGCCAAAGACGAAGAAGCAGTCTTTGATGAGGATACTGGTCCTGGCGACAGACTGAACGTCGCCTACAGCTCTTCGACTGTCACAAAGGGTCGCGCTCATGGTATTGTTTACGCAACTGGCATGTACACTGAGATCGGCTCTATTGCGCAAAGTTTGCGACAAAAGGATTCCAAGCGACGCCCGGTCAAGCGCCGAGACGACGGTACTGCATCTCCTCTTCGCCATGCACAGGCCTGGACCTTGACTGGGGCCGACTTCATTGGACATTTCCTCGGCGTCAATGTGGGAACTCCACTGCAAAGAAAACTCTCGCGCTTGGCAATGCTTCTGTTTGGTATTGCCGTTGTCTGCGCAATCATTGTTCTGGCAGCCAACGAGTTCTCGAACCGATCCGAAGTCATCATCTACGCAGTTGCCACAGGTCTCAGTATGATTCCTGCGTCATTGATCGTGGTCTTGACCATCACTATGGCAGTCGGCACCAAACATATGGTCCAGAGAAATGTTATTGTGCGGAATCTCAAGTCACTTGAGGCACTGGGAGCTGTCACGGACATCTGCTCTGATAAAACCGGTACATTGACACAAGGTAAGATGGTTGCCAAGAAGGCGTGGATCCCCAGCCGTGGCACCTACTCGGTGGGTATCTCGAAAAACCCATTTGACCCAACAGCTGGTAGCCTTGCACATTCGGCCGAGGTTCCAGCCAAAGGTCTCCCTGAAGGCGAATCGCTCTCTGAACAGGACTCGACCCCAGCTAGCAGCCTGCTGGAGAACAATGCCGATCTCGAGGCTTTCCTTGCGGTCGCAGGATTGTGCAACGTTGCCAGGGTCCACAAGAACAACGAGGGCGAGTGGACGGCTTTGGGAGATCCCACAGAAATTGCTCTCCAGGTCTTCGCTTCGCGATTCGACCGCAACCGTCACGGCCTCGTGGACGGTGAGGCTGCGAAGTTCAAGCAGGTCAGCGAATATCCCTTCGATTCGGATGTCAAGAAGATGTCGGTGATCTTCGAGGACCGTAAAACCCAGGATCAACATATCTATACCAAGGGTGCCGTGGAGAGAGTCATTGACTCCTGCATCTCGGTCGTATGGGACGACGGTCAAATTGTGGACTTTTCCGATTCTCTGAAGGACAAAACCCTCGAGGTCATGGAAGCATTGGCATCCCAAGGTCTTCGTGTTCTTGCACTTGCAAGCCGCGAATACGATCCTCGCAGTGGTCGACGTGCGTCTCGCGACGGGCCGCCGCCTCGAGAGGATATAGAGCGTGATCTCACCTTCCGAGGCCTGATCGGCCTCTACGACCCACCGCGTCCGGAGTCCGCTGATGCGGTCAAACGATGCCATCGCGCCGGTATCAAAGTCCATATGCTTACTGGCGATCACCCCGGCACTGCTAGCGCCATTGCTAAGCAGGTATACATTCTTCCCGACATGTCAAAGGTCTCAGCAAATGTTGCAAAGAGTATGGTGATGACGGCCAAAGAGTTCGACAAACACACAGATGAGGAGCTTGACCAGCTGCCTGTGCTGCCTCTCGTCATTGCGCGCTGTGCTCCGAACACGAAGGTTCGCATGATCGAAGCTCTCCGCCGCAGAGACGCTTTCATGGCTATGGTACGTGTACCAAGAATCTGTCCAATGAGGGTGCAACATGCTGACTGCTCATACAGACCGGTGACGGTGTCAACGATTCCCCTTCCCTCAAGAATGCTGATGTCGGTATCGCCATGGGGATGGCCGGCTCAGACGTGGCCAAAGACGCAGCCGACATTGTCTTGACTGACGACAACTTCGCCTCTATCCTTAACGCTATCGAGGAAGGACGACGAATGTTCGACAACATCCAGAAGTTCATCCTGCATCTTCTCGCCGAAAACATCGCACAGGCCTGCACGCTCCTCATTGGTCTTGCCTTCAAGGATAGCACAGGTCTATCGGTGTTCCCTCTGGCTCCCGTTCAGATCATGTGGGTCATCATGATCACATCCGGTATGCCAGATATGGGCTTGGGCCTGGAGATTGCGGCTCCTGATATTCTCGAGCGCCCACCGATGCCTCTGAAAACTGGAGTTTTTACCTGGGAAGTTTGCGCGGACATGTTGGCCTATGGCCTATGGATGGCCTCGCTCTGTCTCTCCTCCTTCCTGCTTGTCGTCTACGGCTTCGGTGACGGCAACCTAGGCGAGGGCTGCAATACCTCGTACTCCGACCAGTGTGATACAGTGTTCAGGGCTCGTGCCACGACCTTTGTGTCACTGACCTGGTTCGCACTCTTCCTTGCGTGGGAAATGGTCAATATGCGTCGCAGCTTCTTCCGTATGCAACCCAAGAGCAAGAAGTACTTCACCCAGTGGATATACGATGTCTGGAGGAACCCCTTCCTGTTCTGGGCCGTTATTGCCGGTTTCGTTACGATTTTCCCGGTACTTTACATTCCCGTAAGTTTGCCGGCTCAATCTGTCCTTCGCTCTCTTGTCATGACCACCACTGACACATTATGCCAGGTCCTCAACCACGATGTTTTCAAGCATACCGGTATCTCCTGGGAATGGGGCATCGTCTTCGTCGAAGCAACGCTCTTCTTCGCCGGCATCGAAGCCTGGAAATGGGGTAAGCGCATCTACTTCCGCCGTCGCGCCAGAAAGATGGGCCAAACCAGCGATGACCTCGAGAAGCGGGCGTATGGCGAGTTCATTGATTCCAGTGAAATCAGCAGCGACGTGGATGTGCCTGCCAAGGACGAGAAGCACGCTGCACAGACGGCCTGATTGAGACACAAGTCATCAGTTCCTGACAAAAAAACCTTCAAAATGAGTAGACCTCTCACTTGTATGTCATCAGGACTTGAAGAAAGGCTGGGTTCTGCTTCAGAGGCAGCTCAAAAGGCTTGAGCGCCTCTCCTATGTCTTCAGTGCACCAAAGGCTTCTTGTTGACTCTGGTCTGCCACCAGGGATGTGTGAATAGACTGTTGATGATCAGCTTCTGCTTTGAAGGAATGAAGGGGTCTGATCCAATGCATCTGCAAGTTACGTGAGCGTTTGGCATCGCAAGGTGCGACAGAGCAGATGCGTGAATAGAGATGTCGATAACGGTTTGTTCAGAATAAGCCGTCCGGAGGAACATACTACAAAATGATAGAAATGATAGTATTGCGACTGTGGGTACCGCAAGAGAACTCTGTATGCGATTATCGTTTCGGTGCTGCCACTGCTGCATGAGTGACCATCATCGTGAGCGAAGCACTTGCGTTGTGTAGAATATGCTGGCAGCTGGCATTTCGAATTAATCCTACAAGCTGAAGTAAAGTGCATCACGCGGTGAGAAAGGTCATTTGAACAAGATATGACATTAATTTCTTCTCATCAGCGATCCAGGTTGATTAGCTGCAAAAGACCCCTAAGTGGTTGAATTAACTCTGTTTCACCGTATTTGCACGCCTTTACATACCCATATGAGCGCAATCGTATCAGCGGTAATTCAATTGCCATCTGGCTGGCCATAGGCTCATACTGGAGCACATACGGGGCTTAGTTGTGCTGGCGGAAACCGCGATATTTCATGAAGTTGTTCTTTCGACAGCCGAGCCGATCGGCCAGCGCAACTAACGGGAATCTCCACGTTCCGATGGAAACCCGCGCCAACGAGTCTAGTTCTGGGTACAATAGAGAGGTTTCTTGGCATCGTCGGTAGCATCCAACAGCGCTCTCATCGATCCGGGTGACAGGAAAGAAAGAGCGGAAGGAAGAAGGCAAATGGCGAACAAATGACACAGGAATAAAATCTTCCTCGCTCTATGCACCGTGCGAGACCCCTTGCCAACACCGCTGTCATTTTTCTGTCACTTCGGGCCATCCGAGTCCGCACTGTTCGCCTGGTCGTACATATGCACAGCACTTGGACTCAACCTACTCAACGCTGACATTGCCTTCTTCACTCCGCTATTAGTGACACCGAGTCTTTTCGTTAGTCGCTTTACTGTTGAACTCAACTGGATGTTCTTTTGATTCGATAAGTCCTGCTTAATCCGTTCAGTGGCCAGCTGGTCTTCAAGCTGACTGGATCTAACCTCGGCGCACTGCCGTGCTACGTCTCCAGCCTGCGCCTTTTCCACACACTGCGCGAGCTCGGTTTTAAGTCTTTCGTTCTCTGCTTTCAATTCATTGACATTTGACCTTAGACTCATGATTGAGGTAGCCCCATTCGCACTCTAGAAGAGCCTTTAGCATTCATCAGATGACGGTCAGGACGAATCTTTCAAAACATACCTTCCCATTCCATTCGGACTCGTCATCAGTCAATGCCGACTTTGGGATGGCTTCGAAGGAGGTTCCGATCTCGCGACAAAGTTCCATATACGCTCCGTAGCTGTGCTTACTCAACTGCTTCTCGAATAGGTGCTCTCTCTCGGGTTGGCGCATCCAAATGTATCCATCATCAGCGGTTGGAATTAAACGAACATCGTCAGGATCAACCACAATGCCTAACCTGCTCCCTGCAGATTGGTTAAGGTTCAGATCGGGGGCTTCGTTAATGGCTAATCTCACTAAGATGATTCGATAAAATTTGGCGACAGCGTTTCCTTGCAGCCGCCCTCCTCTGATTACTTAATCTCGTGTTGGCGGGGCCAGTGTCAATGGCCATTAGTAGTCAAGGTTTCTTGAACAGACCGGCTGTCCGTGCATCAATTGTAGGCAGAGCCAACTTTACTACAGTACATGACTGGAACGAAAGAAGCAAAGCATCAAGAATGCAGGACAGTTCACTACAGGACTGTACGAGCATTAATACAGTACGTACAGTAGTAACACTTCCTGTGCATTTCAGAACCTTCTAGAAAGCCTGCATTTCGATGGTAACCGAAACCAGAACACAGACAACAGAGGTACCAGATCTGGGTCACGCTAAAGAGTGGCTCGGATTCTTTCGTTGGGAGGCTCCCACGCAAATGTCGAGTGGAAATACTCGCCGAGCGGTGGGAGGGTACTGTAAAGCTTGCTTCTCTTCATGCGTGGGAAAGTTCCCCACGAGAGGCTGTAGTTTATAGAACATGGCCCCACTTACCGAAATATCTCCAGTTCGGGGACTTCCCAACGAAACCTGGGGATAACTTACAGCACCCTGCATCAACTTGGGTAACCGAGCTATTGAAAACGTTTCACATTGTCAGTGGAAAATAGGGCTCTCCGATGAAAAGTCAATCTAATCAGATAAGATACAGAAGCCCAAACCCAAACATTAATTAGTAGTAGAACGAGCACAAGCCGAAAAAGTAAATTCTTATCTCCGTCATCGTGTGTTTGGACGCTGCACTTGTCCAGCTGATCTCGCACATCACTGATATCTTGTTCAACCTTTGTCATTACTCCAGGTTCACAACCAACATCATCTTGTCAACCCCTTCTTTCTAGCTTCGAAGCTGTCCACCAGCCGCATACTGCGTCGATTGTGTTGGTTCTGATTGGCCTTCAGCGACGCCATAACCCATGCCTTGTCATCAATATTGCTCTCAGGAGTCCAGCAAACTTTCCATTGGACCAGATATAAGCTGGGACCGTCGTATTCGCACCGATCGAGGACACTGTACACGTGGGACCAGAGACTGCCGCAGCATTCAGCTTGGCATTTTCGCAAGTGCGGTTCGAAATCCAGAGTCTCAACCTTGTGCCTTTGCAGTCCGATCTCCAACAGTGCCGCAGCATCTGCGATATCGAAGTCACCGGGTGGCATCCATCTATTGGCAGTCCCGAGAAGGTACTCGGTTTCACCATGGTCGAAACAGAACCTGCGGTCATATGCCGCGTTATGGTCCCACAGTTGATTGGGAGGAAGCCCAACGTCTTTGAAACTGGTGGGGAAGTCCTTCCGTGCATTGATTGGTCCATCCTGGTCGCTTCCTGGTCCAGGGATGAGACTCACGCGGTTGACATCTGCTACCACAAGGGGCTGATTGAGCATTGTGGATGACAGGGCCGGTGTGCCTGTTGCTGATTGCCTAGGGTCCGATTCGGGAATTCCAGTGTCGTGTCTGTCATCCTCTTCTTTTCGTCAATGCCGTCTCGTAACATCAAAGGGATCACAAACCTGCTATGCTGACGACATGATTTATGCCAGCCTCTTCACACAATCGCGGGGCACTGCAGAGCTGTTGTTGAGAGTCATCACAGTAGCTTCCTGCCGGAGTCTCGAGCCGCTTGGAATACGGATGTTCGCTTCTTGCTATTGGTATGCTTTGAGACTCGGGATGGGAATTGACATGACATTGAGACGGGGTTTGGGCGGCACGGCTTCGAAACACGCGCAGCCGCGACCTGGCGAGAGCGTAGTTGGCGTGAGCTCTCTTTTTGATAGAGACGGTGGGCATGACGAGTGAGGGCCATGATGAGCAACGATGACGGTGCAGTAGAAACCACGATCAGACTGAAGAGTGAGGATGAGGATGAAGAAGTGCCGAGGGCGCTCCGCCAGACTTATACCCCTAGACCGCCTCCGGCAATGGCACTGAGTCTGCCTTGCCCTGTCGCTGCTGGCCAAAATGAGAACAGCAGGGATGCTAATGAAACCAACGCAACCCGATCGCACTGGTCCCTGTGGAGTATTCAGCGTGCCCGGGTTTTCCTTACCATAACCTCTGCCAGACTATGGACAAGATGGACCGTGGACAGGGATCCCGAGGCAGCTGCGACGAAGCATTCTCATCACACTCTTCTGACCGCCCAGCCCAGGACACAACCGTCGTCATCGTGTTTCTTGTCATCACGTCAAGAGCGCGGGAACTCCTTCCTATGCCAGCGGTGATATGTCTATTTGAGTCTGGCCCGGATACTGGCCCGCGTGGGAGGTAGAACTGGCTTCGGGGGTGCTCTCTTGAAGCCGTAGTCCCGCGACAGATTGAGTGAGTTGACGACACGATTGCGACGGGGAGTGCCAGGTGTGTATACTCTTCGCTTTGACAGCGTGGATCGGCGTAGAGGCCATAGCAGTGGGATGGCGTGTCTACCTGGAGAGGGGTGACTGCGGTCTGTATGTCGGATATCATCAGTCAGAACTGATTCAACTCATTCCTCACACAGGCCGTGCCAGAACCTGCGCTAGGGCTCCTGGCTCGCCACTCGTCTGGTCTGCCGTCCTCATGTGATCCCGGACGCTCTTGCCTTATAGCGGCCTGTCACATGCACGCCTAGCCGAGTGTGTCCACACGAGGGACTTTCTGGACCACACGGCGCCCGCTATTATTATCTATATCGGTCCTGGGTGCCACGATCCAGCGGTTGGGATAGATCATGGTCCAGAGTCCTTTGGGCACGCAGGTCACACAACGCGCAGGCGTACATCTGATCCCAGCAGCACCGCCGAGTGACCCAAATAAGCGCTGATGACACGGTCTGACAGCTCATGTGCGAGCCCCTTCTTCTTGTGTTCAGCACGCCATGTCAAGGCAGAGACGTGTCCACCGCAGGCGGCAAGGCACACTTGCTATTGTCTAGCCATGAGACATTTTTGGATTGGAAGCGGCAGATGCAGCGCTGGGCTCATTGTCAGGGGATGTGCACTAGCCCCTTATTTCGGTCTCAAGCACGTCCAGGACGAGGCATCATGGGACTAATGGCGATGATCAGTGCGTCACTCTTCCGGCTTGGCCATCCCAGGCAACGGCCGACAGGATGCAGGAGTCGAGAGCACAACCACGTCTGTGGACGGTGTGGATCGAGGCTGGGTAGGACAGTAAAGATTGGTATTCCGTCACAGCAAATAGCTTGTGGTTGATTGTAGTGGGCGTACACAAATGTCTCTAGAGTCTTGACGCAGGCACTTTTCGCCCAAGTCAGATGTCGGCGGTTTAGGAGGCAGTGGCCATAGCTATCTTCGAAGACTTCAAGGGAGACACGGCACGCCAGGCGGAGAGTCGTGCATTGGTCGTTTGGGGCGGAGGGAGGGAAGATGAGGAAAAGAGCGCCAGGGAAAGGAAACATCCAGCTGACGATACGCAGTCCCTCAAGTCGATCATAGGGAGGGGAAAGCAACGAGACAAGGCCGCTTCGGAGGGGCGTGCCGGGCTTTATAGACCGCGGTGCCGCGCTAATTCCATCCAGGCCCGGGGCTTGGCAGGAGCCAGACACCCTCTGCACCGGGAAACGCCCTCGAGAGATGGCGTCCCAGACAGGATGATTAAGCTGGCAAGATTCTGGGCAAGATCCACGTGACAGCTGAAGAAGTTTCCACGGCCATTTAGAAGCAGCCAATCATACCTTGCCAACAAACCATGCCTGGGGTAGACCAATCATCATACAGGTCTGCCCCATTAGTTTAGTTGGGGCACCTCAATCGCACCGTTGGAATTCCCCTCAAGGGCTATTGGTGTAACGCTCTTGGTCAAATGGGATATCCCACTTTCATCATTGGGATATACCAGTTTCGTAACTGGTATGTCCCTGATCTAACGATCGGCTACATACAATTTCCGAGGCCGAGGCAAATCTATTCCTGGGACTTTGGCTCTGGGACAGTATCTGGGCGAGGCCAACCACTCTGGAACACATCTTAGGCAGGGACAAAGGCTCTAGACGCACAATTGTCACAGGCACATTATCCTGCGATGTATTGACTGGGAAACCCCTCCTGATCCTAGTAACGGCCTGGAGGTTCCATGGTGCTGGGTCGCTTGGCCTGGCCCGGCAGTGCGACTGAGACAACTGGGAGAGAGTCTTGTATGTCATAGGATACAGTATGCTGTTGAGGACTAATGCAATCCTAGACTTCAGTCATATCCCAGCTTGTTCCTCCTGGCCAAACCCGCAGCAATGCGCCATAAACGCATGCACTACAAAAAGATGTAAGTTACTACGGAGAGAGTACCTGGATTCTTTACCAGCTTGTAGTGTACCAAACTGATACGCAGGTCTTTTGGATCGTACTACTTCTATTGCCACTCTATCCTCCTTGCTTAGATTCATTCACAGGACCAATCACATCTAGCAGATCATGCGGTATTGCCTTCAAAACTGCGCTCAATCCTTGGAAGATGCTGGCCGTGTCATCTTCTGGTGCGTTCCCTGCCATCGCTGAGTCTGCCACACCAGCATCCTCACCAGCCACCTCCAAGACCTTCATGAGTCTCGGATGATTGCGCTCAATTCGAGTTGCCAGGGCCCTGAGAGTCATATCCCGGATGGAGTTATTCTGCCTGTCAAACTTGTGAGACCCAAACAAAGGTTAACGAAACCAAACATACACGATCGTTTCCGCAATATTGGGGAACATAAATACCAAGATCGGTGCTCGACCAGCGAGCGTCTTCCAACGTCGGCCGGTTCGACAATATCCCAGGATCCGGCCTCTTTCTAACATCTTGTCCGCAGTCTTTCGCTTTGCTTGGAGATACAAATCTATGGCTACCGTGGCGTCCCCACGTCCACGCCCTCTGCTGCCATCGCACTGGGTGCGGTCAGTGGCCGCCACTGCCTTGTAAGCGTCAATCAACGATATCAATCGGATAGATGCAAATCGCGAAAGAAGACGACAAACCCGGTTACCACTCAACAAGTCGCGTATCGTTTCAAAAGCAGTAACGACCGATTTCTCGAGATTGTTGCTGCATATTCCCGATAGTGAAACTGAGAATGGCTTCAAATTCTCACAGATTTGATGACGATCCCGAAGAAAATCACAGATCGCGTTCCGACTAACCAGAAGATTGGCCACGATGGGTATTTGAGAGGGCGTCAAGTTCCGTTTGTCACTTATACGCAACACTCCGGTCTTATTTGACTGCGTGCGCCGTCTTCTATGGGGTGGTCTCGGTGGAGAACATGTTGCTTGGTCCTCTTTCAGTTGGTCAAAATTGATGTCTTTTTGGAAATCCGATGTTGGATCTTGTGCTGGCTCCAGATCTGGTGGAGTAATGAGCCGCTGATCCTGGTTAGACACAGAATGAAACGTTACAGAAGGCGACGTGCCCCGGGATAACTTTGTGTCATCGTCAAGCTTGTTTGGATTGTGGTCAGTTCTGGACGGTACATTGTCGTTCCCGGTGTAGCGCTGCGTCCCGGGGGCAAGGGGAGACTTAGAACGTAAGTATATTGATAGATCTTTGGCGTCGTCAACGAGGTTGCGTGGAACATTGCAGAACTCGTCATAGATGCTGTAGATGTCTTCAGTTTCGCTCTCATCCTGGAAGAGGGAGCTGGCATCGTCCCGAGGAAAATGATTGCTCGAAACATCGATTTCTGGATTGTCAGCGACCACATGCTGAGAGGCTTCCTTTTGAAGATATCCTGACCCCAATGCCGGGCTCTCTACAGGATTTGCGTAACCAGTCCGAAGAGTCAATACGTGGTACAGCACCGCGGCATGTCCGCGGTTGAGAAGAGCGTGCGTGATCTCTTTCCACTTCATAAGAAGATCTGCATCATTCACGTCTTCGACGGCACAGTGAGGAAAAACGGAGCCTGCCGTCATTCCCAAGACTGTCGTGGGGAGAGAAGGAGAATCAGACGTGGGTTTTCATGGTCAACCTCCACCTGAAATGCGGCCGTCGATTGACAAAGGACCTAAATTACAATATTGGAGGCCAGTTATGGGCCTGACTAAATAGATACGAAAGGGATCAGGACAGGTGGCAGATTTGGGACAGGGAGATAATTGAGAGGGAGGCTCCTTGGTGAAAGCTAAATATAGCGCGTAACAGCATGCTCCGCTTTGGGGGGCGGCCCAGTCTGTCAGACTGCTGATGTTGATTAGTTGAGTCGTTCGGCGCTAGGTTTCAGCCAAGAAAATGGAATAATAGCACTCCAGTGGCCGAGCCACAGCACTGGCTTGGCGCCAACCTTAATCCATGGTATTATCATCGCGGCGCGTAAGTTGCTTTCTCACGAAACCATGGCAAGTACGTTCCGATGGTTTGTTGAACTGCCTCCCCCTTACGCCAACTACTGACTTGTGGGTAGCATCATCACATCCCGTATACAGTAGTCACCTTCCTCCTCGGACCAGGAGAAGAGCCGATCCTCGTACACGAAGCTGCCATCGCGTCATTGTCCCCCACTCTGGTAACTTTACTTCGAGGTCAAATGAAGGAGAGCCTTGAAGCCAAAGTCGTATGGAAAGATGTCAGCAAAGAGACATTCCAAGCTTTTGCACAGTTTGCATACACCGGAGATTACTCCGTACCGCCTCTGATGTTACAAGAAGAGCTGACCAGCGTGGTCGCATCCGATGAGGCTCGGATGGACAGTGAAGCCCCTGCTGATGTGGGTTGGTCGTTCGGGTACGGGCAAAAGCCTCATGAGGCTCAAGCTGCAAGCATGGTCTCTTTCCGATCCAGAAACTACGCGGTGGCTGAACCCCGCTCCAGGTTCGCGGCTAGCTGCAACGCTACAGTCCTTCTGGGGCGCCCAGATAACGTCCTCGAAGTGCTTTTGTTACACGCTGCACTTTACGTACTTGCAGAAAAGTACGGCGTCGACTCCTTGCAAAGCTTGAGCTTACTCAAGCTTCACAAATCGCTAACGTTGTTTGAACTGTCCAAGAGGAGGGCACCCGATATGGTGAAGCTCCTGCGCTACGTGTACTCTGATGAAAATACCTTGGATCAACATCCACTCATCGATAACCTTCGACGCATGATGTGTGAATACGTTAGTGATAAGGCACAAATTTTTAGGGATGACGCATCATACTTGGAACTCATGTACGACGGGGGTGCCTTTGCTCGTGATATTTTCAGGCATCTAGTCGTATCCCCTTCGAGGGTAGGACTCGAGCAAACATAGGCCTTATATGCAACATATCCTCAATAGAGATCAAAGCAGGGCTGTGGGAGGATGCGACTTCTTGCGATATTCCGCGTGTGCTCCTCAAAGCAAACTCAACCGTCGTGGCCCCCTTGCCTCTTTCGCCCCTTTCCCTGGCCCTTTTTACTCCGATACCTCTAAAAATTTTTACTTTCGACTTCTGGCCTGCAGTGTCCGATCTCTTTTGGTCGTTTTCTGCTTATTTCTCTCTGAGCGGACCGGTGTCTGGGAGTCTGAGGCGGGGCGTGATCTTGGGTGTCGGACTCGCAGCCGGGGGGAGGGGCCTGTACTTGAACAACAATGGGCGTTTCTTGTTCTCGTGCCGCTGACATTTCCGGCACGATACCCGGGGTCGGCTCTGTGGACAGGTCTGGACTACCTCGAGACCGATCGTTTTCGGCGTCAACCAGCGTTGCGCCGCTCAAAACTCTCGAAGCATCGTCTGGTGAAGAGAGTGGGGTGGGTGAAGGTGAGTGTAGATATTGGTCAAACAGTGCATCGTCGTGGTCATTTTCCTGCAGCAAGGAGCGGGCCGTGTGACCAATGCGTGGACACTGGACGGGACCCGGATGACCATCAAGATCAGCATAAGGTAGAGAGCATGACTGACCCGGTAAACTCATCAACAGTATGTACATCAGCCAAGCTCTCGTCTCGGGACAATCCCGCCGGGTCGATGGTCGGAGGGGAGGGCCGGGCTCGCTTTGGAGGATGGAATAGCGATGGTGCTTGAAGAGACACTGGTGAATTGAGAGACATGGTTGGCGTCCGCTCGAGCACTTTGTGGCCGCTTGGAGACCTCCGCTTGCGACTCGGAGGGGCAGCGGACATGAAGCTCCCGATCGCATCCTTTTCGACGGTTGGTGCCGCCAATCCGGCCGGCTCCCCCGGACACGTTCTGCTGAATTGATGCTCGTCCACCGGGTGCAGGCGAAATGCCACCGCATCTTTGACGTGTGCATCACACTTAGGATTAGGACATACACGTGGCCATGGGCACTCGCGGAGATGTTCGTTGACGTGACTCCACAGTTTGTGGTCGCGGGTCTATAACTCGGGCAGCGCCGTGTCACCCATGGCAGTAGGCCAGACATATCAGAGTATGGCAGTAGGCGATTGCGCCGCACCGCTTATTTACCATCTCGCCGAGGTGTGAACCGCAGTGAGGCTCCCACTCTTCGCGGTTAAGAGATTCTTCAAGGTGAGCAGGTAACTTCCCGGGTAGGCCTTCCTCATGGAACTTTTCCAAGCTTCGAATCTCCAGCTTTGTTCACTATGCTATTGGTCGTTAATCTATTGAGTGAGCGCAGCATATGTTTAGCAATGGAATCAGTGCTCAGAAGTTTCCTTCAACAGGTGGTTGGTCGTTTATGTATAGTCCCATCAAAGCCGCCAAGCAGCTCCCAGCAGTCCAGGCTGTGGCCCAGTCACTGAAGATGAATTTTCCCACATAGACAGCTAGAAGCAGTGCTCCTATTGTAAATGTAACGGAACGATGGTCGGAGCCGAATGTCTCATCAAAGTGAAGCGCGGGGAGGGCTAGTTGGCCCAAATCTCGACTGCCGTGGCACTGGATCAGGAACTGCATGTACCTTCTCTCCAGTCAGAAAGGTCCAAGATTACATGTCTTGACTTACCATGGACTGTATATAAGCTTCTCTCGCGAGAGCTGCGCATTAGCTTCGCTTGTTGTGGGGTTATGAAACATAAGACTCAGGAAGGGTCGCATCGATAAGGTTGAGAGGGCCTCGTTCAGATGGTGGAGGCTTTCTGTAGGGCAAAAGCCTTCATTTTCTCCCCAGTACTCTGGACACTCGATGTCCAAATGCTCGGTCTTACCGGTGACTGCATCGTAGTAACAATCGGTGGTTTTCTTGATGGAATTCTTGGCTGTCTCGAGTTCCTTCCGCCGCTGGGCCGCGGGCTCGTCCTTGCTGCATATTCCCAGGAAACGAGCGTTGCGAACACCCTCAGAAGTCTCCAGATATCCTCGCGCACCTAATATGGATATCTAAACTAGTCGTCAGCGACTTCTCCTTGCTAAATTTGAGCCTGTTGTGAAAGCGACGCGCCATACCGATGCCTTGCTCACATTCTTCACACGGAGGAGAGGCACAAACTTGCGCCACGAGCCACGGCTTGCGTAGTACGCTCGGCGGATCTCCTTCCATAGCTCACTTTGGCTTTCCAACTTGACTTTCTCAATTGCCACAGCCAATATATCACACTCATTCTGCTTGCCCCAACAGATGAAAACGTGATAACGGTCCGCTTTTGCCTCTTGTAAGACAGTCTCCATCTGCTTCTCCACTCGCTTTACGCGCCTATCGTGCCTTGCCTGCGCATCATCTGAATTGTGCTGTGCTCCAGTACCTGTGGGATTAGGAGTCTGACTGGATCGACCATTTTCAGAACAACCATGACGTCTGCGAAGCCCTTCAGCACAAGCCGAACCTTCCTGTGAATGTTCGATTTCTGGTTTATTGCCGGCTTCGAGGTAGCTAGGCGTAACAGATGGGAGAGAATCAGGTCGCTCGGAAAGGAGGCACTTGTAGAGGTCTTTCGTGGATAGCACGTGCTTCCAAGGGTCAGGCATGCCACGTCTGAGAAAGGCATGGAATCGCAGTGCTCTAGCAGAATCGAAGAATGTGGGCGGTTTATATATATAGTGCCTCTCAATGACTCTAACCTCGCTTGAATAATCGGTCGTAGATGATCGGTCTTGTGACAATAGAGCGTTCTGTGGTCTGGCAACAAGATTATCTGGGCTTGCAGACTCCATGTCGTGATATGTCGAACAGCAGTGATGATCTTACAGATCGACGCAATGAATGAGCTCACCAGTAAGTAGTGCTCTACACAATTATCAAAATGAGACCTGAGTTGAGGAGGCATGCGAATCAACCGTATATCACTTCAGCACGAAGCAACCTAACCGGTGTGCTGGACCACAAGACTGCCCCTTGTTGTAATTTGGGGCTAATGCAGGGATCAGAACACCCATGGTCAGGCGCTAGCGAAAGCTAATCATCGCCAATGGAAAACCTCAGCTAAGGCTGAGCCGCTGCGCCTTCGAAACGAGCAGGCCTGTGACTCTCATATGAGCTTTGAAGCGTGGGTGAGGCTCGGACGATAAGATCCCTAGCATTTACAATGATTCTTCGCGCTTGCCTTCTTAATAGTGCAGGGCAGCATGGACGACTCGAACTTGGCATCGGCGACGAAGAGAACGTTGAGGCCGTGAATGGAGCGCTCGGTCCTCCGGTCCGCCGTTCGCTGCTGCTCTCTTGCGGTGTCTGAACCACGTGCTTCGCCACCCAAGCCTTGCCATACTGTTGTAGAAAAGATCATGCAAGAGGCGCACGTGAGCTCCTGTAGTGTTGCAAACATGTCTCCTGCGGGGACGGCTGCACCGTGAACGGAGGCCTGCACGCCTGCTGCGATCGAAGCAGCCTAAGTACAAGCAGCGCAGAAACCAACAGCGTGGAATATGTAGGTCGTGCCCATTGCTGCGAGAGCGCCTGCAGGGATCAGATAGCATTTAATCTAATAGTGGGGAATTAGTAACGTGGATGGATCTCAACTCTTAACTGCCAGGATTGCATGCATTGCCATAATGAAGGAACGGGTTTGCCTAGATAAATGCTACTTAATGTGGTGTAAGACCATGCGCGACTAGGCGGCTTGAGGAGCTCAAGGGATATGAGTAGCGATTCACCAATCAACTACAGTTTGGAGAGCCCCAGATTCGGGCGGCTTGCGAAGCGATTGAGCATCGAATCATGTGTCTGCCCCTCGCAGCGGCTGAGCCTAGTCGATCGCTGTCGAACCCTAGCGGCAGGACCCATGAGGTTTTTCATGCCCACAATCGAGCCTCCTTCCCAGGAATTAGGAAGCATCGAGAAACCTGTCTGACAGCTGCGTATTGCGTTGTGCTGAACGTCCGTCTCCAGCCATACTGTATGGTAGCAGCCCTATGATGATTCAGAGGAGCATCGTTGAGGCGTTGATGCCCGGTCCACCCGGGCGGCATGCGCAAGGTGACGTGGCCCTCTGTGATTGATTCAATGACTTGCTAGGCGCCAGCTCACAGGGATGGTGCGGTTCGGTGAGAAAGAACACCTTGCATTCACAAATCGACGCGTGTCCTCGCCCTAACCTCGGCTTCGTTGGTCATAGTAGCATTGAATGTAGCTCGGCAGAATTTTCAAAGCCCCTCCCTTATCATTAACCGACAGACACCGATACGTCCCTTCCATCAATTTAGTCAGGCCATAACTGGTCGGTAACGGCTGCAGCGATCACCAAACTCGAGCAGGAGAAGAAGTCAGTCATCAGACAAGAAACTATGTGGAAGTCATCTGACGTTAGCAAGGGGACGACCAGATGAGCCCGTCTCTGGGAGTTTGTGTTTTGTCTCCCGCGCCACCAAAATGGTAGCGCGACGGGCTAAAATACAGCTGCGCAACGGCAGCAGGATTGCTAACAGCGTGGAAATGGAAACTGACTCTCCATTTGCGTCGTTCACAGTTGGTGCAGACTCGATCCGGACGGTGAGAGTCTTGCCAGATCTAGACGATGGTGGTCTAATTCAGTGTCAATGGAGACTCAGCATCCCTGGAACTTCATACTTGCCAATTTCCTACGAATGGGGCAAGGGGATTCCCACAAGACCAATAAAGATCTACCAACAGACCTTGTACGTCAAGGACAACCTTTACAGCTTTCTTGAATTTGCCAGATTGAATAGAGCTGGTCAGTGGCTCTGGATCGATGCGCTGTGCATCAACCAAGACGATCATCAGGAAAAGAGTCGTCAAATAGCTATTATGCAACGCATCTACTCTCGGCCGCGCAGAATCCTTGCGTTCATACCAGACATCGGTCACCATTCTTCGCACAATATGGCTCCATCTGGGCTCAGTCGCATGGCATGGAAGTTCATGCAGAAAATTAGTAACGGACGATGGAGTACGGTCAGTGCTCCTTACGCATTCGATTCTCGACTCGTTGATTCAAGCAGCTGGAAACGCATCCTGGCAGGCACTCTACAGATCGCGAGATCCACCTACTGGACTAGACTCTGGATAGTACAGGAGATTGTGCTGGCGAGAGATGTCGACATTACAAACGGTCGACACGTAGCGTCATGGGACAGTTTCCAGAAACTGTTGCGAATAGTAGAAGATCGATCCTATATCTCAGCTTCAGCAGCAGATCGGACAACTTCGAGCGTACCGTCTCGACTACAAGAATTGCGAGCAGGACGATGGCCTGCGTCGTTGACAGACTTAATACTCGACTTTGCCAGCTTAGAGTGCCAGAATTTCCAGGATCGCACGTATGCTTTGGCATCGCTTGCGTACAACGGACATTGTTTGCATGTTGACTACTCGGTGGATCCGATTCGTCATTTCTTACAAACCATAGAGTTCTGCCGCGGATCTGGCGCCTATCTACATCACCATTCACAGCTATTCTCTGTCAGTCACAAGCTACGGAGAGCCATGGACATTGAGCTGGACTCAATTGAAGATTGGTGTTTTGGGCAAGATGTCCTCACGTGCAACACCACCATCTCATCTGCGAGAACTGTGCAGCCGAATTTTCACGCGCAACCTTTCTCCGAATGCGAACACTGCCATACAAAGATGAAATATATAGGAGGTGGCCAACCATACATATTGCTCTGTCTGTATGACGAGGGTGTCGAAAGCCACTTGGTGATGGCTGTGCCGCAGTCCAGACCTATTCGTGGACAATGGACAGAGGTTTCAATATCTCTGCCTTATGCTATCACCGATGGAGGACTCTCGGTAACTCAGGCAGTCAGCATTGCACTCGAATCGGCTCCCAATAAGCCACATGAACGTCTGAGGCTCAGCGCGGCCTCCTTCCTGGAGATTCTACAACGAGAGCGGGCACATACTGGCGATTGTGTTCCAAGAACTCAAAAACTATGCATGATAAATGCATCAGAGCCTGATCTACATGTCTTAGGAGAGAGACTGTGGAGCCAACCCGCCAACAAGATTCGGTCAGCGTGTCAGTACGCCATTGTTCATTCGCTGTGAGTTGAAAGTCCACCTATCCAAAGCTCTGCGTAGCTTTGCCAATATAGGTTTCATCATGTGGTCATTCTCAGCAGAAGAGGATTGTCTGACATGCAAGAGGATGTCCATTCAATTATGTGTCATTGTTATCGCTAGATCGCTGTGGTACCCCAAGAATACTAAACCAAACTCTACCTTCCTCCCGCAATAGTCGCTCTCACGCCCAGTCGTTCGCCTGTCGGCAAACGCCTCTCTTACAGCCTTCACATAGCTCTTGTTTGTGTGGCAAACCCTCCCTGGAGGCGTAAAACGGCTGTTCTACTTTGATGCCAGCCCACTTCTGAATCCTATATGAGACTCGCTCGACGTATGATTCCTTGTCCAGGAACAGCGTGCCTAGCTGATTGCATTCCTTGCATCGCTGATTGAATACCACAGCATTGTAACCGTTCTTTGTGTAACCTCTGATTTGAATGGCCACCTTTTTACTGCTCCAGCCGCTTGTACTGCAGGTTGTGTTGATGCACCTGAAATTGCCCATCACGTGGGTTGTGTACTCTCGGTCGGCAGTTCTGTCGTTTATACCCTTACGCACCCATGTGCAGGTCAGGTTGGGTGTGACAGCCTTTAAAATGTCTTTGTGGTGCCACGGAAACGTGAGAAACTTCCTCGTCTCTGGTGTGGGATTGAGGGTCTTTTTCTTCGCCATACTTATGACGACGTGACTATACGCGGGCTGAAGGCGGCCGAAGAATCGGGACAGGACTATCTTGAGTTTGGTCGTATCGGGGAACAGCTATTTCCGAGATGATGGCGCCCTAATAATGAAGAAGTCTCTATCTGGGAACCTGTCACGACTTTTATCTGGAGAATATGTCCTCAGATCACATACCCTCCGAATGGGTGTGTTACTGTGGGCTCTCACTGGCCGGTATGCTGACCGGTATCGCTTAGAATGCAGTCAAGATTCATGGTACACTGCACAGTCAAATATTGCTACCAATAGCACGACGTCACGTTGGCTTCAGACGTGGAAACGACATGATCATGCACAACTTTCCGTCTGCAGTATCCGATTCGTTGTATAGAGCCAGGATGCAATGACCTAGTATCTTGTTTGGTTAATACTATGACATGTGTCTGCAAAAAGCATGCACTATGCTGCATTCTGCAAGTATTTTGAGCATTTGGGCTAAAACCCTCTCACAACACCTTTCTCCATCCCTTGGCAGAGTGAAAGATGACCAGTAAGATGAGAGCACGTAGATAGACGTGCAGAGAGCGTGCAACGTGGCGCTACAGGATTCTAACTACTGTGACCAATCAGTCCAGGCCTTTCATCATCACCCTTGTAGTCGCGTGATGAAGCTGCAACCTTCAAAACAGTGATCTTGCCGCGCTGATGCGATTAGCGCTTTAAGAAATAAGCCGCACAGAACGTTTGCTATCATCGACTTTGCACCATCACACGTCGAAATTACTCAATATGCCACGAGATACACAACTGGTCCAGCGGTTTCAGACAACTATTCGGCTCCAGGACAATCTTCGAAACGCAGTCGCAAAGGAACAGAAAGTTACGAGGAGACGCCAAATCTCGGCAGAGGCCAGTCAGGCTCTGCCCCCAGCAGTAGCAGACCATGGAGAGACTGAAGCCGTGGGCAGCATAGCAGAGAGTCAAGACGCGTCAGAACACCCTGCAATCGTACAGCAGGAGCCACACCTCCATGCGAAAACGGAAGAACCATGTACATTCGCTGAGCTGGAGATCCAACTGAGCAATAGCAAGGACTTTAACAAAAACTGCCAAACAGAGCTTGAGGATGCCAACGCTCGAATACAATATTTGGAGCAACGACTGTCAGATTCAGAAGCGCAACTGAAGGAGTACATCATGCATGATCAAGGTGAAGATGTATTGAAGCAAAAGCGGATTATCAAGCATCTGCAGGAGCAGCTTGAAGAGGTCGAGACTGATCGAGACCGAATTCGTGAACGGTTTCGGGAAAGTGAATCTCGGGTGTGGGAATTGGAGTCTGAGATACGGCATTCTCGTCACCGCGAGAGGTTGGGAGCGTGCCACCACGATCGCGCGAATGACGACACGTCCGTTGACAGTCTCCATGAGGTGCGTCTAAAACAAGGAAAGTCAGGAGCACAGAAGAATGCCACTACAAAACTGCATGTATCGAAGATTGCTCGTCGCCGCGGCGACTCGCTTCTTTACCTACTGACGTGAAAGAAAAGGATATGCCAATTACACTACAGTAACAATTTCATATCGAGATTACTGTCCTGTACGTTTCCACTACTTCTGGTGATGCCACTGATGATACGTTCATATCTTTCGCCACATACAAGTTAAAGCCATCTTCAGCCAGCCTTAGAGACAAATTGACACTGACTGAGCACAGAAGCATGCGCCAACAACCCGTCAATCTAGTACTCAGTATGTATGACCTTAACTTATCTTCTACCACCTCTCTTCTTTCCTTTCACCTTTTTCGATATAATAATACCCTTGGGCTTCGCACTTCCACTATCTTCTCTGCTTCGCTGATTACCCCGGTGCTTGGTTACGTTACCTTTGTTGCCTGGGGCGTGGCTTGTTCTTGAGACATTGAGGCGCAGTGTGATCTTGGGCTGGCTGACTCGCAACCGGATCCGTGGCAGTGTACGGACATGGTCAGGCACTTCATCATCATGCACCACACTCGCAGCTGTCGCTGAGGACAGCCCAGGGCTACCGCAAGGCTGACGAGATTGAAAATCAACCAGGGTTGTCCCGCTTGACTCGCTCGAGGTGTCGTCTGGCGAAGGGGCTGGGGAGGGCGAAGGTGAGCGGCAATATTGGCTGAACAGGATATCGCCATCACCTTCGAGCGCAGGCGCCCAGCCTGTGCTATCTGGACTTGCACAGCGAGGGGTGGTAATATTGTACGCGTACTTCATCAGGGTTTCATCGCTCTCGGTCCCAGAAAAATACGGATCGGATAGCATGGGCGAATGCTTTGCACCGTAGGCAGTGTGGTCGACAGCCAAGTCCCGTTCCAGAGACAGGGCCGCAGGACAAATAGCTGGCGGTGACTGTCGGCACCGCTTTGGAGAGCGAGAGAAGACCGCCTCCTCCGGGATCATACGCGAATGGTGGGTGGTCTGCCATGGCACCCACTGGAGGGCTTCGGTGCTGGTTGGCTGCTTCCGTTTGGGAGACGAGCTCACTGCTGGCGAGCCGCCGTCGAGAAGGTTCTTGTTGGGCTGACCGTTGGGAGGCGTCGAATAGGCCGCCTTCACAGGGCGCGTTTGGCTGAATCGATGTTCGTCCACCAGATGAAATCGAAAGGCCGCAGCATCTTCAAAGACGGAAGCACCACAGAGTGGGTGGGGGCACCTACGGGGCCAGTGGCAGATTTCGAGATGCTCCTCGACGTGGCCCCACAACTGGTGGTCTCGTGTCCACGACTCTAGCCGCTCGGGCGCGGGCAGTTTCTCTTCAGCCATACAAAAAGGGCAATAGCCAGGACGCATCAAGGTGTGGCAATGAGTGATTGTGCCACACCGCTTGGTTACCATGGTGGCGAGGTGCTCTTTGCAGTGTGGATGCCAGTCTTCACCTATGACCCAACTAAAGCAAAGATGGCAATAGTGAACATCCTTCTGGAGATGTCCAAGACGGCTGGCCATTTCCCAACGCACACAAGTCTGGATGTGCTGGCTGCGGGAAGCCTTTGGTAGACTATAGCCTGTTAGCGTAAGTCCAGAAGGCGCGCGGAGGAACTCAACCAGTCTAATTGCCGCTGACAGCAGCTTCTGGGGCACGCACCGTCAACCGGCCGGCACCCTGGAAGGTAGAGAACTGTGAAGTCTTCAACACAGAGTGTATAAAGATCCCCCAGGGCCTGCCACATCGCGCCGGGCTCCAGGGCCTCTTCGACGGCCATCGCACCCGCGATTCGGGCTCGTTCTGGTATTAACTGACAGATACTCTGCACAAAATCAGTCTTGGACTGGTCATGTGTAGCGCCTTTCCCTCGCGTCAGGATCTTCCAATCTCGGCGCTCTCGAACCCAGTGCTCCTGGTACTGACGTAGCGCTGTTGTTTTGATCGTCTTGAGATGAGCCGCGTGACGCTTTTTGACTTTGTTGAGAATGTCAATGCCAGCCTTCTGTTTTGTGAGCGCCTCAATCTCGCTTTTGATTTGACACAGTTTTGGGTCACGGGTCAGAGCCTCGTCAAGGTGGGAGGGTAGTCGCGCAGGTAGACCTGCTTCACGGAACTTCTCCAAGCTTTGAAAGTACTCGATGTGGCGTTGATCGCTTTCTTCACCACGGAATGCCGCCTGGCCATCCACTGTGGAACAGTTCGCCACGTAGCTCTGGCCAAAGACTCGGGGGTCGCCTTGTGTTAGGTGCTGTGAGCGTTGGACAGAGGTATAGCGCTCTGGGCAGAGAGTTAGTAGAGCTATCCAGTGTAGGAAGGCGCTGAAGAGTAGGTTTGCTTACCGTCAACACGTTTGCCAAGCTGCCGCCGGATCGCGTGAATCGATGTGCCACAAAAATAGCCCGCACTAAGAAGCATCTTCCTAAAAATCTCGGTGAAAGCATCACGGGCCATTGGCTGATCAGTCACCCCATCTTTCTTGGTGCATTTTCGAAGGATGGGCTTCCCCAAGGCCGAGTCTTTGAATCTGAGGATGAGCTCGTCGTCGCCGTCAGGGATCCTCTGCTCTTGCACCTCTGCAAGTGACTCGTAGCCAAATAGAGCTCCATCAGCAATCGCCATGGCGAGCAGGAACCCGGCATCGTTGTAAAACAGTCGGTGATGGTCCTTTGCTGCAGCACCGAACCTGATAAGTGAACATGAAATGTCAGTCACCAACGAGAATCGGAGGTCAGACATGGAAGGGAAAGACGTACACCACATTCTCAGGGTCACGGTTGTTTTTCACCCACCGCTGATCGAGCCTGTAGATGAGCCTCCAGCTACGACCCTCCACGCGCTGCAACACGAGCGTCACGTCCTGGCAGTGTGAGATTCAAGGACTAAACCATGTCTACTTCGAATGGTTCGTACCTGGTAACGAAGGCCGCCGGTAAAGAAGGCACCGAGGCGGGCCCCGGTCCAGCAGTACACATGGATAATAAATGTCACCTGGACGCGGTATCGCTCGTGAATGAAGAGAAGATCATTGTGCGTCCAGAGAGCGAGCAGGACTCGCGAAAGGTCGCGGTCGGCAAAGTTGTGTTTCGGAACATGTTTCTTGACAACAAGTCCCTCTTTAACCAAGGTTGTCCGTACCCACTGCGGGATATCAGTACTCAGCCTTCTTAGAGCAGATGTACATCTTCTGTCCCGCAATTGTTTTAAAGTAAAGCTTACATGGTACACCTCGCTCCGCTCCCTTTCAACGGTCTCGGTGCCGGTGACGCGTGTGAAGCCAGCAAAGAACCATTCCATCACGGTATTGATGGAATCAACGGTCGGTCGGTGGGCATCCAGGCGAGGCTTGCTGGTCGAGATGTAGAATCGGACAAAGTCCTTCACGTTCACAAGGTCGGGGGCGGTAATTCCGGGTCGGAGGCACTGGTCGCGGGCCATGTCCATGTCAGGGGGAGGGAGCCCTTTCTGCGCGTGTTTCCACCTCATCTCTGAGAGGTGCCATCTGAGACAGAGTCAGAGTCGGAGGCAGTGTCAAGGGTTCCCCAAGAACGAGGTGCAAGGGGAGGGGAGGGGGTTTGGCCAGACTCACAGGACGTAGCGTCTCATTGTGCGGTCTTGATCTTTCTTCGTCTTGGTCACATGCTTCTCACGGCCGCAGAGCTGATCGGCCTCCCTGTGCGCCCCTCGCCGGTACCCGTTGGCTTCAGCACGGGCCAGCAACAGTTCGTCGGCGGTCGGTTCGGCCATGGGCACCAGGTGGCACGGGCTGGCTGGATGGGTGGTGGGTGGTGGGTGCTACGGTGAGGCGCAGGCGACGAGAGCCACTGATGGAGGCGGCAGAGGTGATGGAAAGAGAGGAGAGAGGAAAGAGGAAAGAGAGGTGCAGCCGCGGATCGGCTGGACACCAGGTCTTTGTATGTGCCATCGTGCAGGGGGAAGGTGGCTCGGCCGCGCATTGGGAGGTCCCCGAACGGGGACGGCCTGCTGTCGCCCATTTTTGGGACATGGGTTAGGGGCGCCGCGTCGCACGGTGGATCACGTCGCGAGGACGGTGTGGGAGACGGGCGAGGGTTTGACTGGGAAGGTGAGTGGAAGGTGAGGAGCGGGTGAGGTGAGGGTGAGTCGAGGGTGCGGCGAGGTTAAAAGCGGCGCGAAGGCGGTGAGCGCCCACGTGAGCTCGACGCAGATTTTACCCCTACTTCGGGGCCAAGTCTCTGGTTGGCCGGGCTAAAACTCGCGCCGATACATCACTGCACGGCAGTCACGGCGTGTGATCATCCAGAGAAGACATCGTTTGTCGATGATTGTTAAAAATGAGATTCGTGAGCCTCTCGAGCCGAGGTTACGGTCGACTATCTGCTTGCCTCTTTGCTGAGCAAAGCGCTTTTCTTAGGTTTTCGGAAGCCCTTAGATGGCAGCCTCAGATCATCGCAGAGAGGTTTCCGCGGGGACTGTCGACGAGGGACCTGCCGCTACATATCACTGTGTGGTGAGCTGTAGGGAGATCGTGCCGAGTGTGGGTGGAGTTTTGTATGGATGTCAACCACTCTCGTAGGAGAGGGTTGCTCGACTGAAGCCTTTATCGTACCTGACCCACGTGCTGGTGCGTCCTACAATCCGGCCGTGACATTCGCAACTTTTGTCCAGATCTTGTTTCTATATTGAGGTAGAACACGCTGTTTGTTTAGCCATTCTCATGCACGTAATTGATTACTTGTGTCCGACGATACGGATGACACTCCGTCAGAATCATCTGCAGCCTCGTTGTGGAGACCAGACCGACGAGCATTCAGCAATTGGGAGATCTGCTCCGCCATCTCTTGGCTCTGCTTCCCTTACACCAACAAGTTAGTAGAGACATCGAAAGCGGTTTGGCCATCGCCATTTTTCGAGTCCGGATCTGCGTTGTACCTAAGCAATAGTCGAGCGAGATCGATATGTCCGTATACTATGGCTATATGCAGCGCGGGAACTTCTGATAGGCCATGCAATTCGTTCGCATCGGCGCCGTATTTGAGGAGGATTCTTGCCAGCTCCATACGATCGTGACGCCAGTCTCACCCTTTTAAATGGAAGTGTTAAGGCGCTCGTTCTCATCGCTGCAGCGCGCCATGCCGAACAAGATGCCAGACGAGTCAGCTTCATGCTTGAATGGGAAGAGTTTCGGCTGCTGAAGTGGGCTGAAAAGGTTGGTTTCGGTGGACATGAAGCCAACAAGCTCGTCAATTGGGCAATGGCTGAGGAATGTCTCGGTCAATTGCTCTCTGACCTGGACAACGTGGCAGACTTGAAGGAAAAGTACAACCTCTTGCCTGAAGCTGATAGTCGTGCCTCCGAGCCGGTGCGTTTGGTCACGATGGACAGGAAAGCGGACGGTCTCGTCATCGGGCCCTTCGGTAGACTTCAGGCGCATACAAGCAAAACAATGCGCGAACGTCGCAAAAGGGCTATCGACACGCGAGTCCTCGCATACAAGCGCTTGAAATAGGTGAAGTTGGACCAAGCGCGGATCAAAGGTCTGATCGAAAGGTCTGATCGCACACATCACCTTGATCAACAACCGCCTCCAGCAGCTCCTAGACGCCGCACAGCAAGACATCTTTGAAAGCTCCCTGACAGCTTTGCTCCGTGACATGGTCTCCAAGAGCTCCAGCAACTCCGACCTTGAAGTCGTTCAGGCTTTACTGGAGCTAGACACCATCCTACATTCCTTAGGTCAGACAACTAACAAAGAGCCTGATCATCAAGGAAAAGGCCTTCAAAAGTGCGGGTCAATTAGCTAATGAGCGAAGGCCAGTGGTTCTACGAGGACACAAAACTCTCCTGGACCGAGACCTGATCAAATCCATCGGCGAGCATGTGGCGTTCCACGCCGGTGATCAGGTGAGAAATGCTGTGGAGCTGTGTTTCTTTCCTGTCGCGGTCAAGGGTCAAGCTGCAATTAGCATTGATGGAGACGAGGCTGTCTCGACTGACGACGAAGATGATGCCCTCGATGTCTCACTGGCCGCACAGGTGCAGATCGTTCGGCTCATCTGTTCAGTTCGTCGCGTATGAAGAACAGACGTGGGTCATGGAACCCGGTGGTACATTGGGCTAAGGCATGAAAGAGGGATTTTTGGCCTAGTCGGGGGAATTCAGTCAGAATTGCAACCAATGCGGAGCTTGAACTGCCAGCGAAATGAGCGAGCGTCTCATTTGTAGGCTACAGATACATACACAGTGCCTCAATTCCGAGCAACGTCTCGACTTGCTTAGTCTACTACCTACGAATTGGAGTGAGTGGGCGAGTATAGCTTGAAGTGATGACTGGGGCTAAGGTGGGCATTGATGCGGCGACCTGATGCCGCACTTTTATACATGGCATTTTCATGTTCACATGGATCGTACGCGTGGTATAAAGGCGCTTTCGTGGGAGCAGGGAGGTACCCTGGCATCCAACGGTTCATGTGTCGACCGTCAGCGACGCCGAGGCTCACGGTTTGCACGCCTTTCGACCCTAGGTTCGCACTGCGCTCTCGTTCTTGCGGCTCGACTCGTCAAGAGCGGCCTCATCTCCCGCCTCACCAACCTCTCCAAGCTCAGAGTCAACCATGCCCTCATCGAGCTTCCGATACTTCCTCCGTTTCTTCTTGTCAGCACTCTGCTTCTTCTTGCTCTTCCTCTCCTGCTTCAACGCCGGCCTCGAGTCCTTCCCATGAAGGTGTTCATCCACTTTGTCCGCGAGGATCCGTCGTGCGAGCTTGTAGTTTTGAGTCCGGGAACGCGTAGCCTGCGATTTCACCACGATACCTGTGGGTAGATGCGTGAGCTGCGCCGCGGAAGCGGTCTTGTTGATGACTTGGCCGCCTGGACCGGAGCCGAGGACGAAAGAGTGCTTGATATCAGCATCGGGGATCTGGATGCGTGGTGGGTAGATATCCTGCTTCTTGAGGAATTGTCCGGACGTCGACAACTGTCGGGAATCTATAGGTCGGCGCGTGGCGCCGGCAGCCACACGGATCAGCCGGCAGGGCAGCATGCCTCCATCACGAGCTCGGTCGAACGATCAAGCTGATATTCGTGGGATTTCACGATAAGAAGGATGGGGATCAAGATCATGATGGTTCAACAGCCTGAAGAAGCGGCCATCTGAATAACTCTATTACCTTGTTTGGCCCTATGCCTAAACCTCCGTACTAGCTTCAGCTCCACGTCCTCATCAGTACCCTAACGTCTGCTGCTTTCAAGATCCCACGAATCTTCCCCGTACGGCATTGACTGCAGTGAAATCTCCTCATGTCTCCACGCATCATGCTCGGCCAGCTCGAAGTCGGTGACAACCTCCGCAAGGCGGGCCGCTCCAATCGCGTTCACGTACTCGAACCCTTCGGTCGGCACTCTGATGCTGTCTCGCAACCGAGGCTGGAAATGTGCAATCGCCCACTTGACCTCGTCGGTCTCAGAAGATGTGAAGCGACCGCTGATGACAACGACCGACACATGTCTGAGATGAGCCAACTTGCCTCGCAAGCCCAGGTAACTGTAGTCCTGCGAAAAGCCCCACAGCGCCAATATCAGGCTGTTGAAGTGGTTGTCTGCAATTTCTGGAAAGGTGTCTATGAGTGGTCGGCTTTCGCACATCTCAGCCATGGTCACAGTGTAACGATCGAAGTCGCGATCAATGAGAAGCACGACATCTCCACAGTTAATAAAAGTCCCGCCATGATCATATCTGCGGAAGCATGATGCCTCTGGATATGTAGCCGCAGCTCCATTGGCTGAGCGAAACACGCGCTTGTCAAAGCCGGTATCGATCTTCGGCTCCACGGTTTGGGAAGCATCCCTTAGAGCGATCCAGCAAGAGCCATTGAAGTGAAAGGGATATGTAATCGCGCCGACTCTAATCGACCTTGCCTCGGAGTCGCACCGCAGCAGCAGCGGCTTCCTTGACCATGATTACAGCCTCCTTGAAGATGCGGATGACTCTAGTTTCGTCGAAAGGCGGAGCTATGGTGGGTTTGATGTTTCCTTTGATGTCCTCAATGAGCCACTTACCGCTTCCTTGGCCTCGCTCACTACCAGTACTGTTAGCACTCTTTCCATGCAACACTTTGTCGTACCAACTTTGAGCACTTACAACCGATGACCCTCGTTCTGCAAGGTTTCTTGTATAAGTGCAAAATATCCGGAGTTGCGCTGGATCTTTGCCACGACAAGTGGCTTACCGTCAGAGAAGTAGGCCGTGGTCCTATTACACTATTACCACATCTATCAAAGTACGCAGTTCGCTCGGGGCCTGACATGTGAGTGGATCCAAGGTTGACATCGATGAGTGCTGCTATCTGTTAGATGTGTGCAGCGCTCGACGGACAGGGTCCGCCTCTTACCAGCATAGTGAGATGCAAACCCCTTGCAGCTGAGATACCCTAGAACCAAGAACAGCCCAGCCAGTAGACGAGACTGACGCAAGAGCAGCATGTTGGATAACGATGCTCTTTGAACAGTGTCTGCACCTGGAGCCAAGGATCCCTCAATGTCGAGGCGACGATATCGAAAGCGATGCTGTCCAGCAACAGGCCGCATTATCCATGTGAAGTGGTGGGCACAATGATACGTGGCAAGTTCGTACCGTCACCCACCAGCAATCAAGATTATCGAGTTGAAGCCTGTGTGGACTTGCTACTCATTGGGCGTTCATAGTCAGATCAGAGCCAGTTGATAGTATGCACACCTGACTACTGGACGACTCGCGACTTAAATGGGAGCTGATTGAATGTTGACCTTCATGTCACCAGGTGAATGATTGGCAAGGCGTTGCTTGACACGAGTACCGTTACAAGTACTCACGGACTGCCTAATGCACCTCGGTCACCGATCACAGTAACAATGCCACCGAACACCGAAGAAGCCAGAAGGCCATACTATGTCCTGTAATGTTAAACAACCAAATCACAGCTCTTCGACTACGGCGAGGAAAGGCTGAGACATAGTGGGAGAATTTTCTATCAAATGCTGGGTATCGTCATGTTCCCTCGCTATAACGTCAATGCCATATCCGTCGCTGAACACAAACTGCCGTCCATAAGTCACACTTTTCGTATCTGCCCCCATTACACCAGTTGGCGGCCACAAACTATATTGTGAGCGACATCAACGCGCCGCAATGCTCTTTCTCAGGGTTCCAGGTCTGTCCCTCTCCAAACTTGCTTGCCGGAATACCCTTGATGAGACTTTCATCATGGTACTTCGCCGCTTGCCTCATCATCGGCAGCACCTGTTCCTCCAGTAGCCCTTTCCGCCTCTGTTTTCCGAGCATGGCTATTTCGTGGCCTTGTATCAATCCCATAGCGCCCTCGAGATGCCGGGCCGCATTCCTCAGGTTCCACAACCAATACTCGAAGCTGAACAATAGCAGGCACGTGATTAGCGTGGCAGCTAACAAATCGTCCTTCTCGTGTTGCGAGCGATATTCGCCGTCTTTGGAGGAGACAAGAGCCCGCACGGCGCGTCCGTACATTTCGAAGCTTGCTTTGCGGGCCTCTTGGTTGATGCAGCCAACGCCGGGGCCGTTGAGGCCATTTTGCGTGGCATAGTTGTCGACCGACTCGTCGACAAGGGCTGTAGAGAGAAGGGCGTAGCGGACCGAGTCGAAGGAGCAAGCCACTTGTGGGACGACGGAGAGGAAGAAGGCTGGAGAGCTACGCCCGCCCATGACAGCGCCCGAGCGTTGGAGGTAGAATGAGAAAGAGCGGGCGGTGGTAGGGTCTCGGGTCAATAAGGTGCTGGCAAGATTGATGGTCAGCGGTGAGGGCAGATGAGCAGTGGTGGCAGGGGCGATGATGTGACCGGCCTCATATCGCAAATTTCGGTCCCCTGCTTTTGCTTCACTGGAAGCGAGCCGCGCCGACGTGCGAGTCGGAGGGAGCATGCTGCGAGGCAAAGCCGCAGCACCAACAACTTCATCCTCGGGAAGAACTGCACTGTGTGAGCCGCAACCGTATGCGGCATATGGTCGTACAACAGCGTTCCCAGTTGCTCGGACGCGGCAGCCAAAAGAGGGCTGAAGGGGGCCTGGCCTCGGGATGACGACCTCGTGCACTGATTTGCTTGCTATCGATGGTTGGAATGCCAAAGTTGGTTCTCTGTCTTTGGTCTCGGGCACTCGTAAACATTCATCTGGCAAGATTCGTGATTCATTGGGCAACGAGAATGACCTTGGAGCATGTGTGCCAATCGGCGTAGTGCTTGCACTAGTATTTGAGCTTGAAGAACCCGATGCGATGGAACTAGAGCTCTCAGTCACTGAATCCGTTGGGCTCGCATTGGCATCAGGCTGAGAGTGCTGTTGAGATATGGCGGTGTCAAGCAACCGGCTTTGGGTGGATTGATACCCTTCGCAAACACGATCCTTGGACTTTAGGCAATTCCAGCATTGGGGCTTGTGTTCGTCGCAGCGGATGCGACGCCGTTTACAGGTCAGGCAGCCATTGCGGGTTTTGGTAGTGCAGCGTCGCTTTCGTAATGGCCCCTTTTGCGATGTTACTGGAGTCAACATCTGGGCAGAACTCGAACGAGCCTTGTCTTTCGTGTTTGCCGTCAGGTGCTGGGAAGGGGCGCCAGCGGAAGACATGAGAAGACTCCTTACGCCCCTGGGCGTAGTCTCCGGCGGGGACAAAATGAGCGGAATCGATATGACAAGTCCTTTGAGCGGAGGGAGGAAAAGAAGGAACACGAGGAGGATCCCGATGTAACGGACGGGCTAAAGCCAGGTCGAAACGAGAACCGCCCGGCCGGTTTGCGCGCCGTTCAGCGAGCTGGCCATGGCCCAAAAAGTGTGGTGGTTCGGCAGAAAGAGGTTTGGTACCGACTGTCAGTGGTTTGAGGGGGTAGGAGCGTTAGCCTGGTCGGATCAAGAAGCAAGCTCGATCTGGGGGGCGTGCAGATCCTGTCCGCCCCCTTTCGGCTAGCTAAAGTATCTTGGCGTCGTGCTGGAGCGCTCTAGATTCCGCTCTTCATGACCAGTAGACGAGGAGGTGCCTTTCTTGTTCGCTCGTTCGTTCAGAAGGATGCCTGTCAGAGCTCGACCGAGAATTTGGACAGCGTCGGGGACCTTATGATTTCATGGTATCGGGGACCTCAACGTAGCGGGTGAGCCCGTGGCCTTGGGTTGGGATGTTGTGGCCTGTCAAAAGAGGGGACCCGCATCTTTTGGGGTCTCACTTCAGCAGTGACGGCGCAAGCCACATTTTTGCCTCTTCCAATTCTTGCAGATCGCACAGGATGGTCAAGACGCACAGGCCTGGGGAGTCGATTGTAATTTCTGATCGAAATCGGATGATGCAATTGATCTGGGCTTGATGAAAGCCCTGCGATTGATGGTCGGCAAGGATATCTCTTGGCTCTGATGCTTCTCGCGTGACTTAGGCAGCTACGCACCAGAGGCAGGCTCCGCCGAGCTCATCGTAGCAGGGCAGGACACTCAGCCGTCTTCTGCACAGTCGATATGGTGTGTTGTTACAATGACCATACTGCTCGTCAACAATGCCACCAGTTATTTCGAAAAGCTTACTACTCTTCTTAGGACAGTCAGCGACTCCTGGCCGCAACATCATGACTACGCTTCACCGTACCACAGTTTTCAAAGACTTCAACAAGCTCTTTGTGCCTATAGCAGGCAGCTCATACACCTGTGTCGACAAGTCGTGGAAGTTGGTCGCACATCAACTGCTATACGACTAGTACGTACGGCGTTATCGCCATTTGATGCCGATTTTGGATCTATCCACTAAGCTCGCAAGCCTCTTAAGCAAGAGTCTATCCGATCATCGTCCCCGGCACATGAAGCCACTCTCCGTGACGTTGAAGACTTTTTGAGAGAGTGTATCGCAACAAAGAACGAGGAAAGCAGGAGGAAAACCACGGTTTCCATGCATATGCGAAAATCCTCGCTTAACATCACGCAGCCTCTCACAATCCACAGATAGACAAGGCGGCATATGCTCTCTTCAGGCGCCTGGTCAATTCCAAATGCCGTCACTCTGAGCAGCCGTCGTTTGAATGCTATTCTGAATTGCCACCTGGTTAGTTGGACTGGAATAAGTGGTTCAGGGCGCTCGATGGGGTCATACATCTATATTCAGGACCCAGTGACCCTTAGTTGACGGACTCCGGAGTGATTGACTGGCGGCGTGTTATTGGCCCACCAGCTATCAGGTAAGTTGGCCGCCTAGATGGGGAGCGCCAAGTCGCTGAATGCAAGGCGACGGCGCTGAGAGCCACTTGTGAAGCATGAGTGAGAGCTGGAGAAAGAAACTGTAGCAATACTCAGGGATACAATAATGCAGCCGCCCGCAGCTCCAAAGCCTGGCTGACAAGAGCAGTTTTTGCGACTAATCTCGTCAGTTAGCGAGTCTCGTTACAACGACATCACTCAGCCCCTCGAGTCATCGGTCATCACAGATATGGCAATCTCGTGGCGTCGCACCGGAATTTGCAAAAGCTGGCAAGCAAGCGTCAATGCACCCACGTAATCGCTTCTACCACACCTTCATTCAGGAACTCTCAACCATATCGACGTGAAATACATACCTATACCCCCATCCGGCTTAGCGCGGGTTCAATGCCGCCAAGCCTACAGCCAACGCTGACTGGTTAGCTAAGCACGATAGGGACCTATGGCCTCTTGAGGAAATCTCGCCTCCCAAGTGCTGAACTAGGATCAACATCGTTCAGAATCAGTGGTGCCACGGACTCGTAACGCGGAGGCGGCCTGGCGCTTGTCGTAGCGGTCATCGGCATGTCGATGTCTAGCTGAGTAATTGCGTGCATGGCAGATAACGCTGGAACGAAGATAGCGGGGAGGAGTTGTGGACACTGGCAAATCCCTAGTGGTGAAGCAACTGCTATAGACTCTGCTAGGCTTTTGTCGAAAAGGTCGCAACAGCCGTGTTGTTGACGCATCGAGCTGCATAGGAGCAGAAAGAACATGCATGTTTAGTTTGGTCAGAAGGTGAATATACTTGCGGCGGTGAAACGCATGCGCATCGTGTTGGGGCCTTGCGTCTGCTTGCGTTGTCTTGCTGGATGAGTAACCGAACATCGCGGTTGGTAATATGGTCTCGGTTCGAGAAGGCTACAGGTCAGGCACTGGGTATGACGGGGGTTTGCACCACTTCCCAGGATGGCTATTGATCGAGTGAGAGTTGGACAGGTATGCTGCATGCTGGAATGGAGTGGGTGTATATATCAAGGTGTCATGACGCTCGTAGCGAAGGATTTGTTCTTCAGGGCTCACCTTCGTCATTCACCCCGATATAACAGAAAGTTTCACAAGTCTTAGCTTCGTCGCTTCCCCGATTTTGACCATGACTGGCACGATCGACTTCAGGGTCTACAAAGGCTCCGCTTCTGGAGCTATTGTCGAAGCCCATGGGCATCGTACCCTTGGACCTACCGAGGCCATCGTTGATATCACGCACTGTGGCGTCTGTGGTACTGATGAGCACTATCGGCAGGGGGACATGGGGTTAGGCCATGAGTGGGTCGGGATTATCAAGGAGCTTGGCAACAACGCGGGAAGAATCAGTGATCTGAAGGTTGGCGATCGTGTTGGTATGGGCTGGATGCAGAAGGTGTGTCTGCACTGCGAGAGTTGCTTGAGTGGTGAGTACCTTATGTATCAGGTTTCGATAGCACTCGTGATGCTGACAAGGATGCAGGAGAGCATGTTAGATGTTTGAATTCGATCCAGTTTGGGGATGGAAACTGGGATGAAGGCGGATTCGGGACGGGCGGTTGTTGGGATGTTGGTAGTCTCTATCGGATCCCAGACGAAATCAAGAGCGAGCATGCCGGACCATTGATGGTGAGTCGATTCCAAACAAATTCAGTGGCGGCCGGTAGGATTGCATGCTGGCGGCCTCAGGATTGCTCACTTGCACTACCCTATCATCTGAACAGATTTGGCTCGGAAGGCGCTGATCTTAGCCGCAGTGTGGAGGTGCAACGGTCTTCGGGCCACTTTACGAACATGGGATGCTGCCCGGATCGCGGGTTGGTGTAGTCGGAATTGGCGGGCTTGGGCACCTAGCCATTCAGTATGGGCAGAAGATGGGTTATGAGATGGTTGTCTTCTCAGGCACGGAGTCCAAGAAAGCAGAGGCGTTGAGCTTCGGGGCAGCCGAGTTCCATGCTACAAAGGACGTGAAGCAATTCGAGGGCGTTGAACCTATCGATCACCTGCTGATCACAACGAGCTTCTTGCCAGACTTTGAGCTGTGAGTACCCCATCTTACTCTGCACTTACAGGACTGACAAATGCGAGCTTCGCACCTGTTCTCAAGAAATTCGCAAAGATCTTTCCCTTGACGATCACTCCGGAACCTCTCGCAGTGCCTATGTTAGGACTGGTTGTGGGCGGGTGGAACATCATTGGAAGCGCGGGTGCGAGAACGAACAGCTTGCGCAAGATGCTCGATTTCACGGCTAAACATGGTATCAAGCCACAGATTGAGCTTTTCCCAATGACACAGCAGGGAGTGACAGATGCGATGCAGAAACTCAAGGAGGGCAAAATGAGGTATCGAGGTGTTGTCACCGTTCAGTGAGGGAATTTACATCGGTCATCAGTCGTCGGTCGGAGCACAAGTCAGCCGGCGGATTATGAGGCAAAAATGCTCAGGGACCTTTCAGTCGGCTGGCGTGAGCATAGTCCAGCGAAGCGAATAATCCGGGGCGTGGCGGATGCACTGGTTACGTACGTCAGCGGCATATCAGAGAGCAGGCTGCAATGAATAGATACAAAGGCACCACCAGCCACAGGCTGATGTGTAACATACCTGCTAACTCCAAGTGCTTTTGCTGTTCGTCCCAGAAGGTCCATCCTTGCTAAAGAAAGCGGAAACCGTTGTAGTCTTGGTGAGAGGCTGACATTTTTGATTCAACACCCAGCCCTCTCGGCAAACCTGCCACCGCAAGCGAGAAGTGCCGCGCTAGGGTAATCTGGCTGCGCCTCCCTGATAGAGTCCTGTGTCAGCTCATTTGGCTGTTCCATCTTTCTTCCACACTGCTCATCCCAATCACTCCTACATCGATCCCCAATTTCATCGCAAACTGACTGCCACCAATCCCGCGACCTCGTTCACCCATAAAACCAAACTCTCCCACACCTTCGACGCCATGGCCGACCGCGAGCAACCCTACGACCCCTACATCCCGTCTGGTGGACAGGGTGGCGCCCCGGCTGCTGGTGGTCAAAATCCAGGCAACCAGAGAACGGCTGCTCTTCAGGCTGTAAGTCGACACCTCTCAAGTTATATTCGGCGGGTGATTGCACCCACGGCGTGGTTGGGATTGGAGCGGAGGCCATCCGGTTTGCCTATGATAGGACACCGAGTGGCACGAACCTTCAGTCCCGACCAGCTAGTTCGTAGTCACCTCAATATCGCTCGGAATAGTGGATCTGCTTGACCGCATGAGACAACATATGCTAACATGTGAATTCAGCAAATCGATGACACCGTAGGTGTCATGAGAGAGAACATCAACAAAGTGTCTCAACGTGGCGAGCGTCTTGATTCCCTCCAGGATAAAACCGACAATCTTGCCGTCTCCGCCCAGGGCTTCCGTCGTGGCGCAAACCGCGTTCGCAAACAGATGTGGTGGAAGGATATGAAGATGCGCATGTGTCTGATCGTCGGTATCGTCATCCTGCTCGTTATCATCATCGTTCCTGCTGGTAAGTCAACTTTTTTTAGATGCCAGTGGCTGAATCTGACAATGGGATAGTCGTTGCGACTCGATAAACGCTACTATACCCCGAATGCGACTTAGCCGCGCGATACCTCACCTGGCAGCTCTTTTGGGCTACTAGACTCTTGTACATTTGCAAAACCAGGAACCGCGCATTTCTCGATGACCAGAATTTCAAGGCGACATCTGAGCAATTCGCTAGCATCCGAAATGACCGGTTGATGATTGGGATTTGAAAGCGAAGCGGAAATGCTGTTACGAGCCAGAAATCCATTCTGGACAGTGTGTCATAGGGCAGGCGTTCAAGGCGCTACCGCTCCCCAGCGAGATGTTTCAATCATGAACCCCTTCACCAATGTCTAGCATCTTTCCTGTAGTGATCTATCTGTATCAAAATGCTTTCTAACCCGATGACTACACCACCTTTTATGCAACAGCAGAGTCCAAGTGATTCGTGGGTTGTCCCAGCATCCCCAGCAGCATTCAGTCAAGTCCTAGAACATGCGACGCTGCTACAAAAATGTTTTGACATAGCAAGCAGCTGTCAGTTGACCAAGCTCGGTGATCTCCAGGCTGTCGAGTAGACTTGCGGGGTTGGGGGTGCTGCAGGTCAAGGACAACCACGCGAAAATTTCTAATGCCGCAGCATGCAAGAGGAAAATCTGGTAAAAGACCACTTGATAGCAGGCTCGGCTTGCTATCAGCCACAAAATAGTAGTATGCGATCATCAAATACTATTTGACTGCTGTTTTGCTTTCTCGTGTGCCCTCTGAAAGATCTCCTCTCACCGCCCGCCTGCGACTTCGGAGAGCTTGCTTGCTCTCCACACCTGCGACTCATATATTCAACTTTTTCTACAGCCTGCTCGCCCATCCGTCCACACCCTGCCGCATGACCTAGATAATCATGTCGGCTGTAACCGCGGCTGCGGTGCGCGCAGCGTCGCGTACCGGGAGAATTGCTTCCAGCGTCAGGCAGAACAGAGCTCTTGCCCCACGTATAGCCGTTCCACGCCAACAGAGCTTTCAGCGGCGGCACTACTCTTCACCAGGAGACCCCCAGATATCTACGAGATCGACTGTCGTGCAATTGCTAAGCAACATTGGGTCCAAAAGAGAGGTTCAGCAATATCTGTCACATTTCACATCAGTCTCGTCGCAGCAATTTGCGGTCATCAAGGTTGGGGGAGCTATTTTGACCGAACATCTACAGACTCTCTCATCTGCACTCGCTTTCTTGAATCATGTCGGTCTATACCCGATCGTCGTTCACGGTGCTGGGCCTCAGCTGAACAAAATCCTGGAAGATTCGGGTGTGGAGCCGCAGTTTGAGGAGGGTATTCGCATCACAGATCCTAAGACTTTGGGTATTGCACGTGCTCTCTTCCTCGAAGAGAACTTGCGACTCGTAGAAGAGCTGGAGCGACTCGGTATTCGTGCGCGACCCATCACCTCTGGCGTCTTCACCGCGGATTATCTGGATAAGGAGAAATGGAATCTGGTGGGCAAGATCACACACGTTGATAAGAAGCCCATTGAGGCCGCCATTCAGGCTGGATGCTTGCCTATCCTTACCTCCATGGCCGAATCCACCTCCGGCCAAGTTCTCAATGTCAATGCCGATGTCGCAGCGGGCGAGCTTGCCCGCGCGCTGCAGCCTTTGAAAATCGTATACCTGTCCGAGAAAGGCGGGCTCTTCAACGGCGACACTAAGGAGAAAATCTCTGCTATCAACCTCGACGAGGAATACGACGACCTGATGACCCAATGGTGGGTCCGACACGGAACTCGTCTCAAGATCAGGGAGATGAAGGAATTGCTCATGGATCTGCCCCGTACCTCCAGCGTTGCCATCATCCATCCAGCTGATTTGCAGAAAGAGCTTTTCACTGATTCCGGAGCTGGAACTCTCATCCGCAGAGGCAACAAAGTACACGTCAACTCAAAGATCAGCGACTTCCCTGACCTAAATAAGCTGACCGAGGTCCTGATCCGTGATCGTGAAGGCCTTGATGCCCGCGCTGTGGTTGACCGTTATGTCAAGGGTCTACAGGAGACCACATTCAAGTCTTACTGCGACGAGCCTATGGAGGCCCTGGCCATTGTCATGCCGCCTACGTCCGAGACCTCGATTGCCCATCTCGCTACTCTGACGATCACCCGTCAAGGATGGCTCACTAACGTTGCTGATAACATCTTCGCCAGCATCCGTAAGGACTTCCCAAGATTGATGTGGACTGTCAAAGAAGATGATGAGAATTTGACTTGGTTCTTCGACAAGGCAGACGGCAGCTTCTCCAAAGATGGCGAAGTGCTGTTCTGGTATGGCCTCGAAACTACCGATGAGGTCAAGGAGCTTATGACTGAGTTCAACAAGCACGGCCGTGAGATGTTCGGCGGCATCAACCTGGAGTCGAAGCTGCAGAAGGCTGCCCGTGCGGCTGCTGGTATCGCTTCCCAGGCTGCTCGCTCAGCTGGTCTGTCACAAGCTCGTGCCTACTCGACGTCTGCCCGAAAGTTGGGCTCTTCCAAAAGACCCGGTGTTTCGTATGGGTCATCCCTCGGTGCGAGATCCTACTCAACAACCACCAACCCCAACCCTCCGCTGGGCGCGAAGAACAGCTCCAACGAGAAGCCTTCAAAGGTCGCCATCATCGGTGCTCGAGGCTACACTGGCAAAGCTCTGATCGACCTCGTTAACAATCATCCCAATCTCGACCTCCGGCACGTCTCATCACGCGAGCTTGCGGGGCAGAAGCTCACTGGCTACACCAAAAGAGACATCATCTACGAAAATCTGTCTGTCGAGGATGTCCGTCAGATGGCCGAAAATGGAGATGTAGACTGTTGGGTCATGGCTCTGCCTAATGGTGTCTGCAAGCCATTCGTTGACGCCATTGATGAGGCTGCTAAGGATCAACTCATTGTAGACCTCAGTGCCGACTACAGGTTCGACTCTGCGTGGACATATGGCCTGCCCGAACTTGTGGACAGATCAGCTATTGCAAGAGCAACACGAATCTCGAACCCTGGCTGCTACGCTACTGCGGCTCAGCTCGGTATTGCTCCTCTCATCAACCACCTCGGCGGCCAGCCCACCGTATTCGGTGTTTCTGGCTACTCTGGCGCTGGGACCAAGCCAAGCCCCAAGAACGATGTTGGAAATCTGACCGACAACATCATCCCATACAGCTTGACAGATCATATTCATGAGCGTGAGATATCAACACAGCTTGGAACCCCCATAGCTTTCATTCCTCACGTAGCTGTCTGGTTCCAGGGTATTCACCATACTATCAACATCCCTCTGGCCAAGGAAATGTCATCACGAGACATCAGAAATCTTTATCAGGATCGGTACGCCGGTGAGAAGCTGTTGAAGGTCATCGGCGAAGCACCATCTGTGAAGAAGATCTCTGGAAAACACGGTGTAGAGATGGGTGGCTTTGCTGTTCATTCGAGCGGAAAGCGAGTAGTCGTGTGCGCTACTATTGACAATCTTCTCAAGGGTGCAGCCACACAGTGTCTACGTAAGTTCCAGGATTCCCTCCTTCGTGCAGTCCATCACTCTGACTCTTACACAGAAAACATGAATTTGGCGCTGGGCTATGGCGAGTACGAGGGAATTCCTCTTGAGTAAGGGAGGACTAAAAAATAGTTGCACGGCTCGGGCGAAACGATGTATGGCAGGATCGGCGGCAGCAGCACGCAGGCAGCAATTAGACTTCTAGACAGTCTGGTATCAGAGCACTAGCAGGCGCATCACTAATACATCCTGATCGGAACGGACATGGACCTGACGGATGCCTTCAGACGCGTTCTTTTCGACACGACGCGTTCCGTTTGTCGACAGTGAATCATCGTTCTTGATCTCTCGCGTCCAATTCTCAACTTCTTGTCCGCGCCTTGTCTGCGCCTTGTCTTCGTATTCCACGCCCATGTTCAACACTCAATTTGTACGATTAACTGCTGTCCTGAATACTTGCTGTACAACACTTCAACGATGTTCTACAGCTACGAACGTCAGTCGCCCGGCGAAGCACGTACCCGGCGACAGCCTGCTAACTAAGACCAGTCCTCACCAGTCGCAAGCATGGCGTCGCGACGGTTTGGTATGCTCTCTTCGAAACCCATTGCTTGATCATTGCTGACATCAATGGAAGGCTTGTTGCCACTCTAGGCTCCAAATCCAACCTCAAGAAAGTGACGCGCAAAGCCATCTTGGATGTCGATATTCCTAAGGCCTGCGACACCATCACCGATCCTGAGGCTCCACTGGCCCTCCGTCTGCAGGCTAGCTTGCTGTAAGTACTTTGGGAGGATGAATGACACTAGGAGCTGACACGTGCAGCTATGGCGTCTCGCGCGTCCATTCGCAGCAATGCAACTATGTCCTCAGCGATACTCAGAGCTTCCGCGACAACTTGCGAGGCATCACACAAGTAATGAAGGAACTCGAGATCGACCCTGATGCTGGTCGCACCAGGTGAGTAGAACCAGACGCAGGAGAACAGGAGACTTATGACAATTAGGCCGGACCAGCTCAACATCCCTGAGGATCCCGGTTTCATACCTGATCTCGATCTCAACTTCGATCTCTCTGCCTTTGACATTCCTTCCGACCGCAGCAGTTCTCGTGCCTCCAGCGTCCTATCACCTCATACTCCAGGCTCCAGCAGGACAAGTCTCGATGCCATCGAGCTCGAGGAAGAGGCCGACATGGCTCTCGACATTCCCTCTCTTGACACTCCGAGCGGCTATGGAGGCTTCACCCCTAACTTGAGGCTCGGCTCTAGCGTTGGAATTGGTAGCATCACCAAAGCTACGCCTCGGCCTCCATACGAAGAATCTCCAATCATCGATGATCCAGAGTTCGAAATCGCCGAGGATGGTAGTCTCGTAGCTGTCGAGAGACCACAGACCGGAGCCCGCGAGCACCACACTCCCGCAGGAAGAGCCACCAGTGAGTCAGTCATCAGTGCGAGAGTAAGAGATGAGCACGCAGTGGGGAGCACGGAGCAGGTACGTATACCACATAGGAGCAAGATGAAGCACTCACATATTACAGAACGGTCCGCGGTACAACGAGTACGACGACGGCATGATGGTGCTCGGTGAAGACGATGAGTCTCGTCTTCCTCCAGCTTTGCCGTTTCCCACCGCAGTACTCGCCAGCACTCAGCAACCTGAGCAGATCGAGCAGTCCATCCAACATGGCTCATCCCCTTCCCAGCAGCCTCAGGGTACGTCTACAGAGACCGCTGAAGCACCACAGCGCCGCGCTCGACCTCTCAAGCGCGTGCAGATGGATCTCCGTACGGAGCTTCAAAACAAGGATTTGGGTGATTGGAGCAACAATTACCTCGATAACATGCGCGACTTGACTCGTGCCAAGAACCAAACCCGTTCAACAGCTCAGGCCAAGAGAAACGCTGCCTTTTGGGTGCTCGGACAAGGTCTAGGTCGCGTGCAGACCACCTTCGGTGAAGATCGAGCTCCGCACCCACTGGCTATTTTCAGCGGCCAAGCTTTACTTGATGCTCTACTCTGCCCAGATGCTCTCGAAAGCCCTACTGGATCAAAGAGATCGCGGAGTAGATCTGCTGATCGTGAGGATGAGCGTCGCGTTCGAACTAGAGTCGCTGAAGACGAAGAGATCGGACGGGGTGCAGACAATGGTGGTCAGATCATGGGCTTTGACGACGACGACGACGGCATCATAATGCAAGGGGACGACTTCAAACTGGACAGTGAAATTGGCCGACGCGCAGGATCATCAATTTCAGACGTCGCATCAATTCTACCATGGAACCGTTCAACATCTCGTCAAGGCTCAGCCCAGCCGTTTGGCAGTGCCGGCTTCGGAATTAGCTCTAGCATTGGTGGTCCCAGAAGCGGCATGAAAATTGGCTTTGAATCTCTAGTAGGTGGCATACGTTCCAGGCTGTACTCAGCGAGTCCACTTGTTGGCAAAGGTCGACCTCTGATGGATCTTGATGATCTCATGGAGATGGCCCGACAGGGCGACATGGGCGGCGCAGAGGGTCTTGAAGAGCTTGCCAGCTTCGAGCAATATGGCCCAGCAGCTGCAGTCGACACGCAAACTGCAGCTCAAAGTCAGTGGATGCGGGTCACACTCGAGAACGAAGCGCAGAACTTCCTGGATTTCGTCGAGGCCCAGTTGCTGAAGAGAAGAGAAAATGGCGAGCCAGGTGACTCGGTGACGTTGGATGAATTGCTGCCGCCCATGGACAATACTGGCATCGTGGCGGCGCAGGCCCTGCTCCACGTACTTTCACTGACGACGAAAGGCTTGCTCGAGGTGGAGCAAGAGGAAGCGTTTGGAGCGATCGTCTTGAACATGGTGTATGTTAGCGCGAACTCCGATCGTGGCGCAGACGGCGAAGTTGGTCATCAGCCCGCCGGTACCACACGCACGAGTGACGAGGGCGACGAGATGGAAGCCGAGCCCGACGAGTTGTGAGACTATTGTAGTCGAGACTCAGCGACTTCACGTTGAGATCGCGGCTATCTGTCATGATGCCCCTGTGGGCGAAGACGACTCATGTTGCTTGACGCATACATTGTTCGAACAGCCCAGCTCTCTAGTGGCATTTACATCGTCACGATGTTGTTTGACAGACACCTACAAGGATGCAAACACGATTCAGTTGTTCATGTGACGGCTAGCATGCCAGGACAAGGCAGCAAAAACCAAAAAAACATGTTCTGTGGAGGCTAGGGAGGTGGCCGTGCAACAATACAACCAATGACAATCTGGCGAAGTATGTCAGCCACTGTGGCAGTGCGGGTCGGCTTACGGAGTAAAGAGTCCACGCAATTGCGACAACCAAAGTTTCAGCTTAACAGCGATTATCCTCAGCCGTTTGATCCACTTGATCTCCGTAGCGCGGCCAAGCACGGTTGAAGTGAAGCCGGGTAAGGATTTCGGCGGGCGCAGAGCGTTGTCTGGAAGGCAATACTCTGGAGATGCACAAGCTTCTACAAGGGGCATAGTATCAAGTAGGATTGTGGGAGGACCTCCGCAGCGGCCAACAAAGACCAATGCACGCTGTAAGCCTCCAGTAGTCATGGTAGGACCCGACAAATCGGCAGCGCGTGCCTTGCATCGTCGATTAGCCGGGGTATCCAATGGTGGATGCTCGCTGCCATCTCCGTCAGCGCTTGGTTTGCCTGCATTTTGTGGCTAGCCGTGGAAACTGCACCTTGCAACTCTCCTTGCTCACACCTCTTATCCCCTTGTCGCAGGCACGGCTGGACAGTCTTTCTGGAAGTCAACTTCCGGACTACATAATACTGCTCGACTTGAACCCACCCATCGCCGTCCTTGATCCTGCCTGTGTGCTGCATATCCAGTCTGGCCCACCGAGGTTCCACGATAATACTCGCAAAACCAATAGCTCGCGTGCCGCGTCTCGCTTCCCGTGCTGGCAAGGACAGGCTTTAGCGGTCCATACATCCTTGTTTTGAGCCCTGTTGCCTCGTGGAACTCCAATCTCGATTTCGCCCGCCTGTGGCCTCGCCCGTAAAATCACACTCGTCACAGCGCTGACCGTCCCCGCCGCCTGCCGTCGCTATTTCGACGCATCTACCCACCCTATCACTCTTTCGCGGGAAGCGTATCCAGACGTGAGTCTTAGACACGCCGACATCACGCAAGACAGACACGGGGTCAAGGAGGATGACACAGTCACTGTCTTGAAACCCGTCGGCGTCCCGGATCAAAGCGCCTGTCACATTCCTTTGTCCCCGCCGAATACGAACCAAACGAACTTCCCGTACCAGATTAATTCTGTTTGCATCGCAGTGTGCCTTCAGCCTTGACTGCGCCCTTAGGCCACGCTCAATCTCGCCGGTCCATCGAGCCTCTGAACCACAGAGATGGCCACCAGAGGCTATCCCCCGCAGCCTCATCACTACCAGCACCAGCCGCCGCCTCAACGGCAACATCAGTATGATCAGCGAACTGGTCCACGATGGCAAGAACCTCCCCAGCAGCAGCGAATGCCACCTCCGCGGCAGCAGCAACCACCGCCACAACAGTACAATGGGTATCAAGACCAGTATAGTTATCACGGTGGTTACGGAGGCTACGATTCAGGCTATGATCAACAGAGTTACTATCCAGATCAATACCAAAATCAGAATTATCAAGACCCATATCAGTACAATGACCAGTACTATCAAGATCCAAGGGGACAACCGCCACCTGAGCGACAATACCACTACGACGAGCGGTATCACCAGCAGAATCAGGGCAGACAGACTCCGGCGGATGGTCGGGGTTATGATACACAGCAACACCCGAGAGACCCGAAAGACCGGCAAAGACCCCCTCAGCTAGAGCAGAAAAAGCAGAAACGTAAGTCACAACTTCGGCCTCACAAAGTGTAAAGTGTGAAATATCTGACTTATCCCAGCACGCGAGCGCATACTCACAGATGAGCCTGAGTCTCCTAAGGTTTTAGCTTGGGATAATCCATTTGGTGCATTTCCTGCAAAGAAGGAGAAAGAAGAGAAGAAAGAGAAGAAAGACGACAAAAATGCCAAAGGCGAACAACATCAACTACGTGAGAGCTCGGATTCTAAACAGCAACGCAGCGGAGGATGGGATACCCGCGATCGCCGCGGTGATCAGCAAGAGCCGCGTCCCAACACCTCTCATGGTCAGCAAAGATATCGCGATGAACCTCAGAGACCCAACACGTCCCATGATCAGCGAGCGCCGGGGCCGCCCGAGCAAGCTCCTAATTTCGAGCGAGACGACATGCTTTGGAAGCGCCGGCAGCTTGATGCTGTAGGACCCTCTACCACAGTTGCGCCTCTTCGACCTCAAGTTCCACCAGCGACTTCCCTGCCTTCACGGCCTGTGCCTCAGCGGTCCGTCACTCAGCCTAATCAGTCCAACACCGGTCCAGTAGCTGTCAACGGCTATGACTACAATCGGCCGACAAACGACAAGCATGCCATGGTTGGCGTCCGCCCTCCCGTTCGTCAAGCCAGTGATAACCAATATGATCGTGATCCAAGCTACGCGCCCGTATCACGAAGCCAGACATACGATCAGCAACAAGGCACGACTGAGATGCCAAACTTTGATGCCATGGCACCGAACGTCGCTGAAACCTTGACCGGTCCAAAAACAGTCGAGACGCCGGCCTATGCTAAGAAATCGTACCATACCTTGGCTGTTGACACGCAACCTCCCCCTCCACCGCCTGTACCTGCAGAAAGCCACGAGTCCCCTCTAGCACAATTCACGTTCGATCTGCCTCACAGCAATTCTGCGCCACCGGCCATGGATCGGCTGGCCAGGTCTCCTGAGAAACAAATGATTTCGCCTGCCGGGCATGAACAACAACCTTCTGCTACAGGTCGATTCGAGAGCGCTGCAAAGAACCGAGGGCCAGGAGGCTCTGCTGGTCCTGGGCCTCGCGCCGCTGCTCCTTTCGACTACAACAACCCACCTCTTTCGCCACCCGTTCCTGCACAGAACAACCGGAATTACGATCCAAGAATCGCTCCCCGAGGGGCGTCAAGAGATCAAACTCATAATCCAGCATCGCAGTATCCCCCTCGAGGCGCTAGCCGACCCGATCCAGTTACTACGCGGGATCCCAGCGACCAGTATTCGCAGCAAGATTCTGGGTACTGGACGATGAGTCCCGATCAGAAGCAGATGCAGCCGAATCAGACTGTTAAGCGAGGTGGTCCTGGCTATGGTCGTGGAGGGCCTGAACAGTATGATCGAGGCTATGGCTATGATCCGAGCCTTGGTAATCCGTACGATCCGGATCCGTACACTCAGCAAGATGGATATGACCCGGTTCAACACGGCCAAGGCTATGATCGCAAATCACCTCCTCAACAAGGATATCCTCCCGGCAACTACGCTCAAGGTATGTCCCAACGTTCGGCAGCTTCGAACGCCTCTCACCCAGCACCCTTGAGAAGCTATGGAGGCAGAGCGAGTGCCGATGGTTCCCGTCCAGAAGTGCCCCCTCCCACTGGAGGTGGCTACGACCGTCCACCCCCTATACGACCAGGTCTCATGAATAGCCAGCCACCTCCTCAGCCGCGCGGGTCATCAGGATCACCAATGCAGCAAGTACCCGCACGTCCGCAACAGCAGAACATGCCTCAGAGCAATCTACAGGCGCGGCGCACTTCTGCTACTTCTGAGGAGAACAAGCCAACTGTGACCGTTGCGGAGCTTAACAGCATGCGCGAGCAATTCAAAGAGCATCCCAACGACTTCGCCCTTGGTCTTCGTTTTGCCAAGAGGCTTGTTGAAGCGGCTAAGGTTCTGTCCAACGAGAACGGCCGTGCCGACCCGAAGCAAGTAGCCCGCAATCGTGAACGTTATATCGACGATGCGCACAAAGTAGTCAAGAAGATGGTGAATGCTGGCTCGACCGATGCAATGTTCTACCTAGCCGACTGCTATGGTCAAGGCAGTCTTGGTCTCCCAGTTGATGCCAAGGAAGCCTTCCACCTCTACCAGTCCGCGGCGAAAATGAACCATCCTCAGTCCGCGTACCGTGTTGCCGTGTGCTGCGAACTGGGCAATGAAGAGGGAGGTGGCACGCGTCGGGACCCTATGAAGGCCATTCAATGGTACAAACGTGCCGCAACTCTCGGGGACACTCCTGCTATGTACAAGATGGGTATGATTCAACTCAAGGGACTACTTGGTCAGCAACGCGACCCACGTCAGGCCGTTTCGTGGCTGAAAAGGGCTGCCGAGCGCGCCGACAAAGACAACCCTCACGCCTTGCATGAGTTGGGCCTGCTTTATGAATCTGCCAAGCCAGAGGACCACATCTTGCGGGACGAGCGATACGCCTTCGACCTCTTCAGTCAGGCGGCCGAGTTGGGCTACAAATACAGCCAATTCCGCCTGGGGTCTGCTTTTGAGTATGGCGCCTTGGGCTGTCCGATCGATCAGCGGCAGAGTATTGCATGGTACAGCAAGGCGGCTGGCCAGGGCGAGCATCAAAGCGAGTTGGCGCTGAGCGGCTGGTACTTGACAGGCGCTGGGGATCTAGTGAAGCAGAATGACCAGGAAGCGTTCCTATGGGCACGCAAGGCAGCGAGTAGTGGACTGGCCAAAGCAGAGTTTGCTATGGGGTATGTTATTTTCTCCTCATTCTTATGTTTGGACGTAATGCTAACAACGGTCTTGCAGCTACTACTGCGAAATGGGCATCGGCACACGCGCGGATCTAGAGGAGGCGAAGAGATGGTATTACCGTGCGGCGGCGCAGGGATTTCCCAAAGCGAGAGAGCGGCTCGAGGAACTGAAGATGGGAACGAAAGGGAAGAAGAAGGAGATCCGGCGCAGTAATGCGCGAGAAGGGGACTGCATAGTAATGTGATGAGGAGATCCATGTTTTCTATAGAGGCGGAAAGCGGAACTTCAGTGTTGGGGATATTACAAACTCCATGAGGCGCTTGGGAGGCAGAAATTAGGATCTGAGGTTGTCAATATCAACCCAGACCCAGGGGGGAGAAGATGAAGTCCATGATGATGGATATTGATGGTAATGAGCTTATGGATCATGAACACTGTGGCCAAGTACGGCGGCGTGTATGTATAGATAGAGAATTTACCCAGAGATGCGCTGGTGCTTTTGATATCGCGGGAATTCGCACTGAATCTCAGAGGTTGATAGTAAGGTGATTGCGATGACCTACCTCGCCAAGTACACCTACATTCTGTGGCTCTCGTGTGAGGTCCTTGGTGCGGCACAATATTGGGCAGCTGGTGCAAGGCCAAATCATGAATTCAGGATATCCGAGGTCACGAGCGGACGCATACTAGTACTGTGTATACATACGTATGCCTTGGCATTGACGGACAGAGCGACTAACGCAGAATACACTATGCTGACAAAGTCGTTTTTAAGCGCCGCACACGGCTGCTTGGAGGCAACAAGGTAATTCTGTTCGGGGACGAGTTTCGTGTACCAACTGTTTCGTGCGCTGAGCTGGATGCAGGCGGCAGTCCCTGCAACCGCCAGGTCATGATTCTGGAGAAACAACACGTTTGTGAAATCGTATGTCGTATCGAGGCAGCCAATCGTGTCTTCGCAACACCGAGCCTAACCCAAAGGAAGACCAAAAAGCGACTTTGCCGGACTCGCCTGACGTCGCGCAGCATACTTGTATGTATCAAGGAAACGCAGTAGCCTAGCCAGGCGACGATATTTGGCACCCTTTAAAAGTCTTACATGTAGGGCCTGTCCCTGATTCCTGACTTCATATTGTCTCTAGGTGTTTATGAGATTCGGTGGTACGTTGGTCTTACTCGTGTGCGACTTTGATCTTGGGATCCATCTCCCTACCAGTGGATACCACGGGTATGCGAGGACCTCCATAGACTCGCCCTTTAACATCTTGCTGTTGAACGGCATATCTCTTGTGGTCTTCGAGGGCTTTTCTCTTCACCGGCCTCGGTCTCAATTACTTCTGGGAGAAGGATACCTGGACTAGCAATTCCACGATTTCCCACTGCAATCATGCAGCTCAGCACCCTGGTCCTCCTCGCTGCCATCCCTCTTTACTTCCTGGTCCGCAGCGTCCACCGAAACATTCAGTTCCGCCGCTTCTCGCGCCTCAACAATGCCTCCGCCCCACCCATGTTGCCCTCCTCTGTCCTGACGCTCCATTTGGATTGGCTCATCACCGCGATCCGGATGGCGACCTCTCATTCCATGATCGCCCATTTCAGGTCTCTCTTCACTACTCTCCAAATATCGACACTGAGTGAACCTCCGGTGTTGCTCGGACTTCTTGGTTCCAGCGCCATCGTGACGCAGGACAAGGAGAACATCAAGGCGCTCCTCGCCATGCATGTGGACGACTACGCCATCGAACCTGTACGACACGAGCTACATCCGCTGCTTGGGCAAGGAATCTTCAATTCCGACGGGGAGAAATGGGCGCTGATGCGAGCGAACCTGAGGCCTTGGTTTGGTCGAGGTTCCATACGGAAGTCCAGCAAGAAGGGGCAAAGGAGCGATCTGCACCACGCCCTCCGTGGCATGGAGGGTCTCGATCTCTACGACCTCGCGGGCCGCTCGGAGAAGCCGGTGCAGAAACTCCTGGAGAGCCTGCGCGCTCAATGGACCAACGGCCGGACCGTGGATCTTTCTCCTCTTTTCTTCCATCTGATGTTCGACACTTCAACGGGCATGACATTTGCGACGCCCTCGGCGCCGCCTTCCCCATCTGCCTATCCCGAGGAAACCGCTGAGCTGGAGGCTTATCGGAATGCCCGTACCTGGCACCGCCTCGGCGGCTGGGGTATAGGCGTCCCCAAAAACGTTCCACACACGGATACCATGTCGGTCTCAGATTTCGAAGCGGTCTTCGACCGTGCCTTCCTCTGGCTCGCCGAGAGCAACATCGAGGTCATGGGCGTACGCATGCCCAACGAGAGTTTCTTCCGAGACTGCGAGATCATCAAGTCGTACCTCGCTACGCAGGTGGATGCCGCGATCCTGCGACGGGACACCGAAAAGTCACGCGCCAAGGTAGAAGGCAGCCAGGGAGCGACCCAAAAGCCGTTGGGCGCGCTGATTGACCATCTCGCGGCGCTGGAGCCCCCCATGGCCCGCGACGACATCCGCGACGAGGCTCTGCATATCCTCTTCGCGGCCCGCGACACCACCGCCGGCACCATGTGCGACCTCTTCTGGCTATTATCCCGTCACCAAGGCGTGCTGACGCGCCTACGGACCGAGATTCTAACACACTTTCCCCAGGGCGGTTCGCCGGAGGAGATCACGTTTGAGCGCACAAAGCAGCTGCTGTACCTGAGTGCCGTTATCAAAGAGACGATCCGGCTGCATCCCGTGTTGCCCTTCAATGCCAAAGCGGCTGTGAAGGACACGATACTGCCCCGTGGCGGCGGTCCGGATGGCAAGGGCAAGGTCGCGGTCCGCAAAGGCACACACATCGTCTGGTTCACGTATGGCTTGCACCGGAACGAAAAAGTGTACGGCGCGGACGTCGACGCCATGCGGCCGGAGCGGTGGCTGGACGGTCGAGACGTCGATGCCGATGACAAGGACTGGTTGGACACGGGCCACGGTGACGAGAACGGCGCGTTAGGAGCTGACGTGCGGTCGCCCACCACACCCGGGGCACCAGGAACGGCGCCCAAGGGCATCAGGCCTGGATGGGCGTACATTCCATTCAATGGCGGGCCGCGCACCTGTATTGGCCAGCAGTTCGCCTTGGGAACGCTCAGCTACGTCACGGTACGGGTGCTGCAGGAGTTGGAGCGCGAGGGGTTGCGCATGGTGAGTAGGGATGCGGACCCGTGGACGGAGAAGTTCTCGTTGACGGCGAAGAACTTGAATGGATGTAAGGTTGCGTTTGTGCGTGAAGAGGACGGGTTGAAGGAATGTTGAGGTGCTGCCCGTGGAGCAGCGTTGGGACATAGATGAGTCAGGAGACAGAGAGAGAGAAGAGGTGACATTCTGTCGAGGAGGTGGTATAGTAGGCGCCACGAGAACATGAACATGAGTGTCTCTGCATTTAGCTGCGAGATGAATATGTATTCCACCCCCCTGCTCTGCCGAGATACATCGAGGTGCTTACACCAGCTGTGCACAAACCACCCAGCATAGCTCGCTCAAACGCCCTCGCCCTCTCTACTACGTGGCATCATGTTCTCCCCACGCCGAGACCAGCAAGCACCGCAGGCAAGAGGCGTGCCACCACCACCCATCTACCCCATTGAGGCACACGCGCAATATCGAAACGTGAAGGTCTGGCGCTCTGTAACTTTGTCTTTGCTCCACCATCTCGCAGCGGATGGTAGGAGTCAAAGGACTTTTGAAGTCGCTCGTTCTGAACAATTGCAATGCATTGGAGATGATGGGGGTCAAGGCCTGTGGACACTTGCTTTTCTCCAAATTGGAGAAATTCATAAAGGCTCGTCGGATTCGGGGGTAGAGTGGAGGGAGAGGGAGGGGTAAAGCAAGAGACGACTTGAGAAGAATACCTAGTTGCGGGCAGCCCTTACTCAATCCTTTTCTTCCCGCTATATACACCCACCGGCGAAACTCGACAGTATAAGCCTGCGAATCAAACAGGACGCGCAAATTGGACCCGATACCTCTAGTGTGGTTGTTTGGAGGAGCAGGAAGCATTTCGCCGTGGCTGTCCACTGTCTTAGGTTTCGGCTGGCGCACCGTCTATCTGTCCCTGTAACAAGCCTCGCACAAGCAGGTCCTTGTATCTCCTCCGGACCAATACTGCATAAGCATAATCGATCTAGCTTTCTCCTCCGCATTTCTAAGATGTCCTCCACAGCCACGGTGCCTGCGACTCAGCGCGCCCAAGTTCTCAAAGCCTTCAATGAACCATACACCTTCACGGCCACGCATCCCACGCCACCGGCCCCGAAAGACTACGAGCTGCTAGTGCAAGTCAAAGCCGCATCCTACTGCCACACTGATGCCGTTTTCGCCTCAGGCGCCATGCAGCAGGTCCTGCCCCGGATCGGCAGCCATGAGTTCTGTGGCGTCATCCACTCGTTCGGGCCCAAAGCACAGGAGGCTGCAGCCGCCCTAGGACTGAAGGAGGGTATGATAGTGGGATGTCCCGGCCGAGCCCTCAATCCCTGTGGCGAGTGTCAGGAGTGCGCGAGTGGGGAAGCGGCTGGCGATTATCCTGGATATGGTGTATGGTGCACGAAAGCGGGCAACCTGGGCCTGACCAGCGACGGTGGTTGGCAAGAGTGGGCCATTGTGGATTCGAGACAGGTTGCGCCAGTGCCCGAGGGCCTGGCTGCTGTGGAGGTCGCGCCGCTCATGTGCGCCGGCGTGACTATTTGGAGCGCTATTGAAAAGGCGGGCGTGGACATGGCCGACAAAATGAAGAACAAAAACAAGCGTGTCGCAGTTTTAGGGGCGGGAGGAGGTCTGGGGCACCTTGGCGTGCAGTTCGCGAGTCTGCTAGGCGTTGAGGTATTGGCAGTGGATGTTGGTGATGCATTGAAGATGACCGAGGAAGTCAAGAAGGAGACTGAGGCACTTGGTGGGGGAAAGGTACACGTCGTTGATGCACGGCATGACCCAACCGAGGTCAAAAGCCGTATTTTCGGCGAGGTAGCGCCAGGGCTGGAAGGCGAAAGAGGCTGCGATGCTTCCATTGTCTTGCCAGAGGCTCAAGCCGCGTTCGATTTCGGAATGGCGATTCTGAAAAACCACAGCAAGTGCGTCGTGGTCAGCTTTCCCAAAGATGGCTGGAAATTTCAGCCCCGGGATACCGTGTTCCGCCATATTGATGTTGTGGGTGTGCTTGTCGGCAGGAACAAGCAGCTCAGAGCGATGCTCAAGTTTGCGGCCGAACAAGGTGTTCGAGCGAAAATCAGGACTTATGCCCTTGAGAATCTGAATGGTCTTGTAGAAGACTATCACAAAGGTGCCGGTGGGAAGTTGGTGGTAGATCTGGAAAAGGCAGCTTGAATCACTAGCCGTCCCGTCGAAATCTGGGCATGTTCTTTGCATCTTTGGACTTCTCACGCTTCTTCTTTCGTTTCTCCGCTTTATCTCTGGCGCGCTTGCCCATGCTAGCCACTCGCTCTTCTTCGGCTTGCTTTCTGATCTCACCAGGCTTGAGGTAGTAGGGCTTAGCCTTCTGGCCGGCTCGAATCGCTTCGCGTTCCTTCTGGTTGTGCTCCGTCACAATCTTACTCTCTCTCTGTCGAGCTTCAGCATTGCGGATTTTAGCTTCGGCCGACATGACTTTTCGTTTCAGAGCTGCCACCAACTCTGGATCCTTGGTCTTTTTGATCTGAGCTTTCAAGTCCAGAATCTCTACTGCTTGGTAAGTGGTGAGGAAGGCGTAGTTCTTGTTGGCTTTGTCCACAGTGTTTTTGTCAAAAGTGGAGGACATGATAGTCGGGTCGAAACGAGGGTCTCGGGACTTGATCGCTGGGGAAGGCTCAAAAACGTCTCTCTTTCTCGAGACTTGTTGTCGCGACGACAAAACCGTGGGGGCATGCTTTGACGTCCTCGAGATCTTATTTGGCTTCTTCATATCCTTCGCACGATTCTGTGACTTTTGGTCGTTGTCTTCTTGCACGGCCCCCGGATCTGCAGCGTTCTGAGACCATTTTCGTTTTTTCGATGGCGGAGCGTATCTCTCTTGCGCCTCTGCTAGCACACCGAAACTGATGTCGTTTAGAGCACTTTTAGATGACTCTTGTCCAGCATCGTCAGGATTTCCAGCTTCTGAAGTCTGCGCCACGCCCTCTAGCAGGTCGGACTCGTCCTCGGACTCAGACTCAGTCTCGCCGCTACCAGAAGTTGACCCCTCGTTCGAGGGCTCATCTTCGTAATCGGAGGAATGGGAGAACTCGTTGAGCTTCTCATCGTCTACTACATCCGGTCGAAGTCGTATTGGACCGCGTGAGGCTGATTTCAGAGCCATGATGTCGTCGCAGCAACGCGGAGCGCCTTCGAATAATTTTGGTAGAAGTCATGAACATCTCGGTTATGCCTGCCGGAAACCTCTATCGATAACGAGCTCGCCTGCGCTTTCCAAATTCTGCACCTGGACGCCTCCATTTTTCGGCGCCGCTGCCTGCTTGTCGAACTTGCGCCTCACCTCAGTATCACTCGTCTTTCGAGCATATTTCGTGCGGGCTTCGAACCCGTCAGATCCCCATCATTGCACGCTGCAAGTTGCGTCTCATTCTTCACGGCCAAGCCTGGTTACGAAAAGTGAAGCTCACTCGCCATGTCTTATTCAACAGTTGCTAACACTCTTCCTCAGTGGACACCAGCGGGCTCCTACGGGCTCCCACCGGCAGCTCCATTTTATCCCCATCAATACCAGCTCCCTAACCCGCACACCATGGGTCAAAAGAAGAAGCCTCAAGCCGCGCCTGCCGGTCCTCGCACGTCTGCAAACCCCTTCAGGCCTGCTGGCGATCATTACGCTCCTGATGCTACGCAAAAACCAGCCTCATACCATCCAAACGTGTCGCACAATCCAGTCGAAGCGTATAGGAATAATCATCCGGCACAATGGGGTCCACCAGCACCGACACCGTGGGGCTACAACAATCACGCACCCGCTTTACCGATCGCTCACGGACGGCGTCAGAATCCGCAGTCTAAAGTGAGTATGCCTGCGATCTACTCTCTGGTGGATGCATGGCGATCATATAAGGCTGATACAAGACACTGTCAGGAACTTGCACCACATACAACATGGAGCACTCAGCAGAACCATGGTTTGAGCGGCCCCCAGACTGGTGTAAGTTTGGCGATGCCGCAGCAGACAAACATTCGACCTCAAGCACAGAGCTTCCAGCCGGGCCAAAGGTTAGTGAATGGGTATCAACCTCATTCAAATTACAGGATTGACAAGTCTAGCCGGCACAGCTTGCGATCTAGCCAGAGCCGTCCCATCACATCAGCAGTCGCCAATCATATTGTCCAGTCCATTGAGACTGATGCAGTGCCACAACATCGGACTCGTCAATTGCCGATTCGCATTGCCGCACCTCGTGACGATAGATCTCGTAAGGCTACACCACGACGGGAGCCAACTCCGATCAATACGACTATTGAGCCCGTTCCTGTACCCAAGGCATCTATAGCCTACATGAAACGTGCTCAGGATGTGACCGAGAAACTACACTCGCCGCGCAAACTTCTCGTCCTCCTGGACCTCAACGGTACGCTGGTCTATCGACATGGCAGCCGACGGCAATTCTCGGTCAAGAGACCGGGTGTTGATCGCCTGCTCGAATACTTGTTCGGCAACCATGCTGTCGTGATCTTCACTTCTGCTACTCAACGGTCTGCTGAAAAAATGGCTCAAGAGCTACTGACTCCCCAGCAATACGGTCAGCTCATCACGATTTGCGCGCGTGAGCACCTTGGGTTGAAGCCGGAGCAGTTTCACAACAAGGTACAGGTCTACAAAAACCTCAACACGGTTTGGAGAGCCAAGGAGGTCAGGCAATCTGCCTCCGAAGAAGGGCACCTGTGGGATATGACAAACACTATCCTCATCGACGATTCAGTTGTCAAAGCGAAAAGCCATCCGCACAACTTACTGCAGGTGCCAGAGTTCATGCATCCGGAATTCAACAGCAAGAAAGCACAGAAAAAGTGGACTGACGCTGAAATCAAGGTTATGCATAGTGTTGAGAAGAAGCTAGAAGAGTTGAAATCCTGTTCCAACGTCGCCTGCCAGATTCGTAAGTGGCAAGAGGGCCAGGATCCCTTCCCTGGCGCTGTCGGTGAAAGAATAGACGAGGGGGTATTGAATGCGATCCAGGAGGAAGCTGTGCAAGTACCGCAGAAATCTTCGGACATTGCAGCGAAATACCCAACGCCTGCGAGCATTGGCCAAAGTGACAATGGGAGCAGTGTCGATGAGGAGGACGGTGATTATGATCCCCAGCAATGGCAGGGAGTCAAGCTGCCGACTCCTTCGGCGGAGGACTCGGTGGATGAGTCTCGGTCTCGGAAAGATGTGGCTATGAGGTGGAAGTCGAAGACACCCTCAAGCTCCAAGACAATGAAGAGCGAGAGGGTTGTCAATGAAGTTGTGCGAAGTCCTTCACCGGTCACTGAGAAGCATTTCAGCTGGTTGTCGTACGGGAAAGAAACGTGAAGGATGTTGCGTGCAAATATAGGACGTGGCATCGACACAGTCATCTCGGAACGCCGGGCGTAGGGATCTCACGAGAGGACGGAGATTTTGATGTAGCAAAAGCGCCAGCGGCAACGCGAACGTGTTCAAGCTACGTGAACAAGCACTGCCCAATAGAAAAGGAGCGAAGGTCGCAAACAAGCTTGTGCATCATGTGACTTTTCTGCTTGCAAACCGAACGTTGCTCTATCTACCCGCAGTGTGCTTTTCGTAGTCTGCTGGACTATCTATGAAGCGACGAAAGACAGACAACGCTGACTCTACTTTGAGCATGGTATGGTGCTGGTATCGAGGGGCATCATCATCCGTCATCTCTACATCCTCACATGACCGTTGTGAAGTGGCCTCGTCTCGTCATCACATCTTCCATTATCGTGGCTCAGTCTTCTGGTACCTGCTAAGTGAATACAGCACATCAGAGCATTGACCGAGCGTTCAGCGCCCGCTTGTGCAAGCGAAACGCCTACTTGAAGACCTTGCCGTCGGCCCACTCGTAGGTCTTGCCGTTGACCTCAATGGGCTTGTCCCAAGACCACTCGTCCTCGACGAAGGCCTTATCCTCGGGCTTGGAGGGGTCGAGCTTGGTGAACTCGTAGGATTCCCAGTCGGGGGCGACATCGAAGGCGGGGAGCGCCTCCTGACCACGGACCAAGAAGGCACCACGGATGACGCTGTCGTTGGTCTGGCCATAGACGGAGCAAGCTCCGAAGAGGTACTTGCGAGAAGCCTCGAGACGTGCGAAGAAACCACCTGAAAAATCAGTCAACTAGGCATAGGAAGGAAAAGGGTACTGAATGCTTACCAACGAGGTTGGCACTCATGAAGGTCATGGTGAGCTCATCGTTGTACTTGTAGTCGACGCGCCACAGGGAGTACTCATCCGGCTTGTAGTTCTCCCAGAACCAGGGAAGGGCGACCTCACGGGTCTCCTCATTGGAGTACTTGCGCTTCCAGTCATCGAGGATGAGAGTTGGCTTGCCAAGAGCCTCAATGGGGTGCTTGGCCTTGGGAGCTTCGGGCTTGGGCTCGTCGTCTTCCTCGTCGGCGGCGGGCTTGGGAGCAGCGGCCTTGGGAGCCGCGGCAGGTTTGGGCTCCTTCTTGGGAGGGGTATACTTGACAGCCTCCTCGACGAAGATGGGCTTCTCAACAACGGCCTTCCAGATGGGCTGGTTGACCAAAGTCTCGAACCAACGGGTGATGTTGGGGTACTCGGAGCGGAAAGACTTGTCGAAGACATACTGGAAGCCCCGAGAGGCCTGGGAGGCAAGAAGCAGATCGGCCAGAGTGACACGCTCACCAACCAGGAATGTGTTGACGAGGAAGTGACTCTCGAGAACGTTGACAGCCTTGAGAGTGGCGGCCTTACCGTCCTCGACGTTCTTCTTGTTGTAGGGATCCTTGCCAATCAGGGGGCGGAACCAGCTTCCGAGCGCAGGGAGAAGCTCCGAGTTGGAAAAGGACATCCAGCGGACGATGGACGCACTGTTTTGGTTAGCGATCGATTCAATGACAGCGTGAACGGGGAGTCTCAACTAGTCTTTTTTCGTCTTTCCCAAAAGGGTAGTCTTCTCGTTCTGCGAAGCGACTAGAGAGACGATTAGCTCATGTTTGAGTGGATTGGTAGTAGATATTGTTGGAGTATAGTTGCTAGGTCAGAGTTCGTGTAGGTCAACAATGTTTGTTCAGACAGGGATAACTGAAAATTGGAATTTCTCATCTCGTGACGGATCTCGGGTTGCTTTTGGCACTCACAGTAGATGGCGATAGCAATGACTTCGGTCAAAACGAAATCATCCGCACCATGGAAGGTCGGGACTCTGTTGAGGGGGTTGAGCTTCTGGTAGTCGACGGATGTATTTGGAGGGCGAGTATCGACGAGCTCGACGTCTAGCTCATTGGCTTTGGCAACCGCCAAAAGCACTTTCAGAAAGTTAGCGATGCTTCATGGTAGGTGTTTCGGCCGTCCGAGCGGCGGTGATGGACGAATTGCTGCTAGAGACTTACCGGTAGAGCGCGCATTATCGGGAAACCCGTAGAGCTTGCCGAAAGACATTTTGGCTAATCTTGTACCGGTCGTGTAATGTCAAGAGGTAAAGAAAAGTTGCAGGGTGAGTCAAAATATTTTGAAGCCGTCGAGGGGTAGAAGATGGAGATTTTTGGGCTGCGGGTCAGGGACCGCAGCCAAGGCCAGATATGCCAAGCCTACCACTAGCCTTGCTGTACTACCGATGTACCGGCGTGATCAGTCTCACGTTCCCCCGCAAACCTCATGACCCTTGTACGGTCTAGGAACATCGATGGCCAAAACATATTCGCTGATGTCAGTTGCCACTTTAACCCGGCGGCCGCGATCTAGCTCTTGGCTACGGCGGTACCCAGCTGTGTGAAAGACTAGGTTATTTCAAATGGCACCAGGCTCCTGCTTCTGTGCATAGACCAGTAATTCAGGCCCTGCCCGGTCTTTAGCCGCCAATGGAGATATGTCTCAGGGGATCTCACTAGCCAGCAGAAACCTGAGAGTACTGAGCTCGCTGAGGTCGCCGAGGTCGCCGAGGTCGTCGAGGCCATGCGGACGAGAGCAATGGGAGACAGCCTGCTCAATCCCAGACATAGGCGGTATGACCCCTGGGACTATTAGAATCAACGATGGAGACAGGTGCGTGATCGCTGCCTAGGTCGTGAGGAGCAGATCATCTTGCCCACTGGACGCAGAAGCACAAGATCAGCCTTTTAATGCAACAGACTTCCCGTTCGGGGCCTGATACGAGCTCAATGACAGAGAGCACTCCCAATGCAGCAGCTGAGATATCGCCGAGATATCAGAAACCATCTGGAGTGTCATAACGACAGTGTCCTTGCCAGCTGGCGCTCGCAACATCGCCGTTGAGAGCCTTCTGAAAGGCTGGACGCGACAGCGCTAGTGAAGTCGGTCAAGTTAAAGGTATGCCATGGCCCAATGGCCCAAGTCGCGATGGGTGATGACACTAGACGTAACTGATGCTTGAACAAGACTTGAACAGCCTCATGTCAGGGCAATTGACTCTCAGCTCTCCTGGTAACTTTCGCTTTCCGTGATGCAGCGGAGCCAACAACTTTGATGGGCGGGTTCCATGGATTTTAGTCAGGTTGCAGCCAGAAGCCTGTCCGTTGAGTCCGGGGATCCCACCCGTCATCCTCATCGACCCCTGCTGCCTCGTGCAAAACTTGATGCCCGCGAGCTGCCGGAAACGAGCACCTGGCCTCTGCCAGCATTTCAAAGGCCAACACAGATTACACACTTCATATAGCCGGCCAAAGTGCAATCGCGGAGTCTGTATTGCTTGACGAGGGGGGTTCTCATCATCTCCGTTGAAGTAACACAGTACATCCTAGACAAGCGTATTTTGTACTTGATCATTTTAAGACCTATTCGCGAGAGTCTTGAGTTCCTCTTAACGCTCTAGAATAAATTTCATCGACAACCTGTCATGGCGGATCTGCAAACGCGATGTAGAGCACGTGTACTTCGGGCTCGGGGGTATGCCTCGTATGCTTCAGGTTGCTCTGGATTGTGGTTGCGGGTGGAGAGTTTGTCTCTACCGCAGGCTTGGCATTTGGGACGATTTTCCTGTGTAGCTCCGCTTCATTCTCCTGGCCTTCTCACCTGTATCACTCGAAGCTCATCCCATCAATTCTTGGTCCCATGGCAACTTCATAACACCAGTTTCGCTCCTGAACGCGTGCAGACGTGTTTCCGGGTATCACCACGATGGTGCGAAAGTCGGTGGCTTCGCTGTCGCGGGCCGTAACCTGGACATGTCGACAATGCCAGCTCCGGTCAAAAACTTCGCTATCGCATACGACGATCCGAGCCTCATTAGCCATAAGACCGCTTTCTACCCTGACTACAAAGCCCGATACCCTTGAGGTTCATGATACTGGAATCGAGCCAACTGGGTTTGAGATCACTGCCGCACCCCCGATCAACTTCGATAAGAAGTCCTCAATTGGGGCACCTGCCCGAGTTGTGCCAACCTCTGCATCTTATTTTACCACTTCGCCGCTTTTCAACGACCACATTCTACATTTGACCAATCTCGCGTACGAGTATGATGCATTGCCTACCGTGGCATCCGCCGACCAAAAAGGGCGCATGACCTTCATGACTCTGGAACAGGCACGAAGCTCTATTTCGGAAAAGATTGGTGCGGCGAAATATGCAAGATTAATAAACTTGTTGAAGAGACTTGACCAGATAGATCCCCGCCTGCGGCCGACATCTGTACAAATGGCTCTGGAGCAGTTCCGCCGACCTGGATCAGGAGATCTCATTCCACCACGGCCAAAGACCATGGATCGATTTGGTCGAACGATGGGCGTTGGCAGGAGAAAGTCAGCAGTTGCACGAGTGCAGCTCGTTGAGGGCACAGGCGAGGTACTAGTGAACGGCAAATCAATTTCTCAGGCTTTTGCTCGGCTGCATGACCGCGAAAGCGCCGTTTGGCCACTGAAGATCACCAATCGGCTTGACAAATATAATGTCTTCGTAGCGGTGAACGGAGGTGGTCCTACGGGTCAGGCTGAGTCCATTACACTCGGTTTGGCAAACGCACTCATGGTTCATGAGCCGGTATTGAAGCCGACGCTGCGCAAAGGTAAGTTTGCTCCCTTTGTAGCCAGTCCCATTGCTAACAATTTCAGCTGGATGTATCACTCGGATTATGAAGCGCGTCGAGAGAAAGAAGACGGGACGTGTCAAGGCTCGCAAGAAGCCCGCATGGGTGAAGCGATGAGAGACTTCCGCTCCCCGTTCAGTCTGTCACGCAGTCGAAGGGGTCTCTTGGCAGCGATATTGCTGGTTTCGAGGAGGAAGCGAACTTGTGGTCGCTTCTACTATGTTACGGATGTCCTTGTCCCTAAGCGGCCAAATCCCAGATTCTGTTGTTCTTCGATCTCGGGGTTTTGGTCTGAAGCATGGCTCGAGGCGGTATCATCATCCCAGGCACGGGTTCCCGTCTTCCGCAGATCTTGCGGTACCCGCGACCTGTCGATCTCGTGCGACCGCCCTGTGCTACATCACTCGCGTCATCCCGTGTCCGAGTTGCACTACATCTCGGGCACATCAGATTTCGATCCAGGCTGATAGACGGCTACCGACCTGCATGCTTACTGACACATCACATGAGCCTCTGCAAACCATGCAGCAACGACATGGACTTCTACCTCGAGCCAGTAAACGCCTCACGCACCACTGTGCAACGCCTATGTACGTATAGCGAAGTTAGTGACCGTCAGCGCAATTTAGAATTGATGGAGACTGATATCGCCAAACTGAATTACGCCGCGAGCTGAGATTTAACAAGAGCGCCTGTACCATAATCCTTCTGACCGACAATCTCGGTCTCTGCAGTAGCGGGCATAAACAGAGCAGGTTGAGATTACCTGGCCCAGACAATCATCCGTATTCTTAACTATATGAAATGGCAAATTGATTCCTGCATGCCGTGTCGGATTCCGGCTCAGGCAAATCGCGACGGAATCTCATGCCGGCGCCACGGAGGCGCGATGGTGCGACACAAGCGGCCGTACGAAGATCTTGTCACGAAACACACTTCGCAGCCACACGCTGCATCTGACAATCAGCCACTCCGCATCGGCGGTGCAACTGCCGGGCGGTATCAAAGGACCACAGAACAATCTTAGAAGCTTCACGGCCATCTTCCGATGGACCTGGAGTGACACGTGAAACACTGATGCCACTGCAAAAGCACCGCTGATGCTCAACTGCAGCTGCCGCCTGCAGGCAGCAAAACTGGCCGGATCTCCAACATGAGATTGCGTGCATGTTTCAGGATATGCGTGCCGTACAGCCCGTGTTGACGTTACGCCAATGAGCTTGATCGGCCAGGTTGAACTGCCGGGGTTGCTCACATCATAGAAATCTTACGACGATGGAGCAAATGAGGACAGCAAGAAACAACGGATGCAGCTGGTCAACCGTGGCGTCAATTGGTGAGCAACCACTTGAATGTGTCGCGCGACGTTATGGCGCCCGTCAGATTGGTTGTTTCTCCGTAGTGCGCCATAAACGTCGCCGTACCCGCGGATCTGGAAACGAGTCCCCCGGTTGCCCAATCTGGAAGAGGGTGGCGGAATTCGCGAAGGATGCTTGATCTCTTGGTTGTTTTCGGCTGCTAGATACAACGATGACTGCCCTAGGCGCGACCACCACTCCCATTGGCGCTACCATCACCTTCTCGGAAAACAACGTATCGTCTGTCAGCTCCGGACGTCTCGTCAAAGCCCCGAGTAGTAGATCATGCCGGAGGTGATGCCCAAAGTATTGCTTGGCTTCCGGTACGCGGTATGCCGCCGGCGAGTTGCATTGCTGCCTCAGAAACGAGCGCATGACCACCATTGTACCTCAACAGGCTGCCGGTGCCTTGATAGTCTCGCTCAGGGGAGCTTCCGAGTCTCACCTCGGGCATCCAGCGCTTGGTGCTTGGGTAGCAACGTCCAGACCCTTGAAGCAGTGAAGGAGGCGCAACCAATCCTAGCTACTGATGCGTTGCTGCATTGATGCGCGTTGACAGGCGTCCGGCGTCTGGCGTCTGCCGCCTCGGAATAACTATAGTGGGCCTTCTAGAGCGTTGTTGACGACTTTCCCATGTCCAGGGTCTATTGACCCACGCTGATCCTTTGGGCTAAGAATGGGGTCGAAGAAGGGAGAAAGCTCATGACTTGGCAAGATGTTGGCTCTCGGGGGGACATTGTGAGCTTCCCTGCTCGGTAGAAGAACCTGGACAAGAAAGATTGGCTCAAAGCGAACGAGATGACTGCCAGAACTGAGAAGACAAGCTCTTACGGCACTTGATTCCATCGGGCCACCGGTGCGCAGAAAATTCCAGACATGCCCTGTCTCCGTTACAACGCCACACCTAAAACGTAAAAGCTTCTTCGCTGACGTTCGGATGAGGCGCAGAGGGAGGCTGCCGCCTCTCCCCCTGGCCCCCGCCTGAGATCGAATTGCTCAGGACAGCAGGGTCTCCTGGTCCACCGTGGTCCACTTCTGTTGCCTATCCTCGTACGCCTCCCACAACAGGCCCTTCTGGCGCTCTTTCCTTTGGACAAGTTTTTGAGACACAGTAGCTAGACTACTTTGCTTGTTTCCCAGAGGCTTCATTCACTTCGGCCGCTGTCAACAGTTCACCTGTCTCCATCCCTGTCACCAAGTGGCGTCACTAAGAAACCCTGCCACATTGTTGACCACCCTGCTGTCGCGGCAGCGAAGCCGTTTAAGCCCCTCCACAGGTCATTTTCAGCATTTAGCGGACTGGAATCGGGCTTCGATCCTGTCTGCCGAGAGCTTCAGAAGGCCGCCAGAAACTTTTAGACCGTCACTCTTCGATAGCCGGTGCATATCGCTCCCGGATTCCCACTAGGATGCTGAATACCCACCCCTCTCTGCCTCTCTGCACATCCCCACTTCTACCTCTACACACTCAATCTTTTCTTGATATACTGCGCTTCCAGGCACATCCGCTGCTTCCTGTCAATCCCTTCCTGCCTGCCTGACCCTCATTCGCTCGTTTCGCGGCCGACTCGCACTGGTTCCCTTCCTTCATCCCGGTTCCGCCATTGCGCACTTGCCCCGCCTCACCATTTCGATTTCAACTTGCAGCCCAACGATCAACGGGCACCACGCACTTTCACCTCGCGGTCGCCCTTTTGTCGTGGAAGTCTAGCGACCCGCTGCCTGACCATACCGCTCAGTAGGGGATTCCTCCATGCTCGCCTGCATTGTCCCTTACGACTGACGAACCAGCACACAATCCATTTTCCCGGGTCTGTCTTATTGTGACTCCCGATCAAAGTCACTCTTTGCACGTGCGCCAATCGAAGTATCTTATGATACTTCCACGATACTTCCCACAGCATTAGACAGTAGTTTCCGGCCTTTGCGGCCGTCGATACTGCCTACTCGTCAAGCCTATCCTGTCAACATACTACATTTCATCTACCCAACTTACTTCGATCCCGACCTTGAGTGAGGTATCTGAATCTCTGCATCGCTCCCAGAAGATACTGTGTGAATGAGGGCGGATTTTCTACAACCGCCTCTCGTTCCACCTTGTTTCCTCTGTCCAAGTGAGCAAGAACGACGATACTCAGACGCTGGCGTCAACAGTGGCTCTCGTCCCGTAAATGGACGGCGATGACCGTCGAACTGCACAGTATGGACAGCCATACCACCATACAGGCCCGCGACCTCCAACTAGCCAACCTATGGGACTGCCTGGAACAGACCGATTCGCGCAGCCAGGTACGCCTGTTCGAAGCGAGACGGCGCGTCAGTCCATGACACGTCCTTATTTACCAGGATACTCTGGTTATGGGTATCCTGAGCAACAATACGGCTCATCCACGATCCAGGATAGCAGTCCAATGCAAGGTGTGGAAATGCAGTACTCGCCCGCTACATATGTTCAAGGTCTTCCGCGGCAAAATGTGGGCCAGCCTTCATCGCAGCAGTATGCGCAGTATCAGCAGGGATCAATGCTACCATCAGCAACCCAACAGGCTATGTACGATACGATGCCGCCATATCAGCAGTCACGGCAGTCTGCAGCCATCGAAGTCATGAGCTCTCAGCTTGGTGCGATGCCTCAGTATATGCAGCCCGGCGACCAATCAAGCATACACATGCAGTCAGGCGCATCAACATACACCTCGCAACCCGAGCACCATCACTATCCATCGGGTTCGGTTGGGCGCCCAACGATCCCGTCACAGTATGGAGGCACGGCCGCTGATTATGGCATGATGGAGCAGTCTACACCGCAGCAGCCTGCGCAACCGAGTGCAGCCGAGCAGGAGGCATTGGAAGAAGGGCTGCGGGAGTACGAACAACAGCTGGCAGCCACCTTTGAAGCAATCATGGCCGGTCGAGTGACTGAAGCCAGCGAGAAGATTGTGCCTTTGTCAAGGTGGCTTACCAGCTCGATTGTTGGTCTTGGTAAGCAGTCGTGGCTTAGCCACGTAGGAAGAGCTAACAATCAACAGGACTGCATCACGATGACGAAACCAAGTATGCTGAACGGCTTACCCTGTGGCAGCGATTCAACCTTTGCTGGGAAGCGTTAGGTCAGAAGCAAAAGGATATCGTCCAAGATGCTCTACGAACGAGCCGGCAACCGGCAGACATACTCACAGCCGAAACACTGACGCGCCTCATGGACGAGCTGGTAACCTTGTGCGACCAGGTTGAGCAATATGGGTTGGTCGATTACGAGATGGGTATTGCCGAAGAGCAGATCATCCACATTTTCATCGTATGCCTTGATTTACTACAACAGCAGGGATCAAAGGATCAGTCTGCCACCCGCGCGGGATGAAGTTAACGGCTGCCTGGCTAAAACTCAACATTTTCATTTCACTTCTATGTTGACGACTGTACACGATTTCAACGATTACGACATTTTTGTATCATTACGGCTTGGTGATTAGCGACATGTTTTACTGGAGAGTCAAAGGCGGATCAACCATGTCGGCTACGCTGTTGGGAGGAGTACGACGGATACATCTGGTCTACCTTGTCCTTACGCCTGGTCCATAAGCGCTGGCGCTTTGACGGATCAGGACGAAGACTGAAAGGTACGGCGCTGACGCAAGTTTAGAGGTCGTTAGTCCGGCAGGCTGACGCAGATACTGGAGCACAACATCTTATGTTACGGACGGATTCAGGCAAGGGCGGTAACACTCTTCGACTATACCATTGGGCAAGAACTCAACCTCGGAACAACGTCAGATGGCGCCGAGGTTGGAAGGAGCCGGTTTGCCGCTAAGGGTGTATAATGCGACCTCAGTTCCTGGTTGGACAAATGTCACAAAAGAAATCTAGAGAATCGGATGCATCCGGCCAAGACCGTCAGGCTGTCATCAATGGCCATCATTTAGGCGAGAAATCGGTAGAGCACGACGCTGACAGTTTCAAAGAAGACTAGCAGCTGCAAGATCAAAAGGAAATACAAATCTCGTAGCACAAGCGCACGTTTAGCCCAGTCTGCCCGACGGTACCTGTTCCAATGACACTCGCGTGGCTGCGAAACAGTTTCGCACAAAGTCACGTCAGTCTTAACTCGGAAGCCTGGCTTCCAGCGGCTTGACATGTCGTCTACAGATACAGCTTGGCGTTGGAGATGATCGCCCTTTCACCGAATGCAACATAGGCGCCCGCCCAATTAAGCGAAAAGGATCATCGTCACCCGCCTCAAACGGCGTGATGTGAGGCTGATGTGAGGCGCGTGTATCAAATCTGGTGGCAGATCGGCGGCGCGCGAAAGGCTGTGCGGAAAAAGGAGGGCGATCGATCGGTGACTTTCGGAGCCCTACGGAGCCAATTCGGTCACCAACATCGTGTAGAGGATACTAAAACCAGTATGGTAGTATTTAGGCATCAGCGATTTTCGACAAGTGTGCCGGGCGGGGCGAGCAACTGCGAGCTAAGGTTGGATGAAGCAACGTGAAACAAAAGAGACTTCTTAGGGCTGATGAGTTGGGAGCCTGTGGCGTTTCCTGCGTGTCTGGCGTGTCAACAGCGCCGTAGCCGTGCTCTAGCCCGCCATGTCCAAAAGGGGCTTGCGTAAGTATAGCCCAGGTCTCGTCCCAAAGCTCTCGCTCTAGCTTCCCTATATTCCCTGGTCCTGCAGCTCTTGTTCGTGTACCAGGTGGGAAGCTACTCCGCGTCGGCAGTGACTATCCCGCGCAATCACACTCAAAGCTGTGATGACCATGCAACTGCTACCGGAGCTCTTCGATGCTTTTCGATACTACCGCAGAAGTTCAGCCCTAGCTCCCGCACGTCAACGCTTGCTCGACATCTGAAACGCGACATGGGGTTGCTTCGACTTATATCTCGTGTTCAGAACTTCAGAGTCTACCACTACTGCGATAGAACCCTTGGTGCTAGAGCTATATGGCATGTAAGTGGTTAAGTGCTCCTACCCCACCTTCCGGGTATCGGCATCGATGGACTTAATATACTGGACAACATCCAGAGCTACCGCCCGGTGCGTAAGCGTCGGCCAAACACATCCTGAGGAAGGACAACGCCGGGCTGCTGTTGGAACTCTCTATGGGATTGCTCCCCCAAACCCCCGAACGTTCCGCGGATGTTTTCCGGTCGCTATAATGGCATTGAAAAACGCCATCTATGCCCCTCTTCCGCTAGATACACACATCCATCTGCTTACCATCCGGCCGGGCCACGGACAGGACACTCTATTCGCCTCTATTGGCTCATGTTTCCTCTCAGAATCCACTTCGAACTACACAGCTATCTCTTATGTCTGGGGTGCCCCTGCTGTAATTGCGTCGATCACAATCGAACAAAGGATGGTTCCCCTCACTGAAAGTGCGTCTTAGGTCTTGATAGCCCTTCGAAAGCCTCACACGGAAGTCACTGTGTGGATCGATGCAATCTGCATCACCCAGAGCGACCTCAACGAGAGGACTCAGCAAGTTCAGTTCATGGATCGCATCTACGCTTGCGCCAATCACACAGCAGTCTGATTGGACTACGGGGGTGATGACTCAAGCAGAGCTCTAGAGTTTGCTAAATCGCTTAATGAGGCAGGTATCCTGAGTGAGTATGAAACTTGCTCGAAATATGGAAATCTCGGCGGCCAGTGTTCGATGAAGTCCCATTTTCTGGATATGCTGAGAAGCGAAGATGGAGTGATTCATGACTTTGAGCTCCTGGGCGCCTTAGGCCGTCTCTTGCTGCGCCAGTGGTTTACACGCGTATGGTGTGTCCAAGAGACCGCCATGTCGCCACAGACTTTTGTCTGCCGTGGTGAAGACCAAGCCGATTGGCTCTCGCTTTCCGCCGTAGCCTGCCTTTTCATGCCGCGTTCTACCATGGAATGGCCACAGCAGTTTGATGTCGACTACCCCAAGCTTAAAGCTAACCTATTCAGTGTCATTGATATCCAGCGCTACAAGTTCAGAGGGGGAAACATTCGTGCCAGAAAGGACTCATTCATCCTGTCATTCCAAAGCCTGCTGCAGCTCTCCTCCCGTCTCCAGTCCACAGAACCAAGAGACCACGTATTTGCCATGGGTGCGTAACCTTGCCACAGACTTGCGGTCTCCGGGTGGAGACTGGGCACCGCAACCCAATTATCATAGCAGCTGACAAAATCTCTATAGGGCAACAGCCATCAAGTTAGTCGCGAATGACCCACGCCACTTCCTAAGCCTGTCTGGCCTAATATGACATGGCGAAGAGGAGGACTTGGCGTCGTGGGTTCCGACTGGCACAAACGACCATGGACTCATCATATTCCACCAAGCCGCCTGGGCCACGGGCTCACGACAAACTTTTAAGGGACGCGTTAACCAGGTTTTCAAGAAGAAACAACATGAGCTCCGCCGGCTGCTTAGGGTCCCGAACAATGTCGAGAGACCACTAACACACTCTTTAACCATCACGAGTCTGACGGGTTACCTTAAAGAGCTGGGAATCTCGGATAGTAGTAGCTCGCAATCGTTCAGGCGTACGGAGCATTGCGAGCTTGCAGCACTGCTCCCCGTCGTGTCCTGCCATCTGCAAGCTGTCGTGGCCGTCCTGTTGCCCGATAGCGATACCGGTCATGGTCGTTGTCGTCATCAAATAACGAGAGAGGGCCAGCGTCGCGGCGGAATATGCTGGCGACTGCATCCTGCAAGACCTTGCGTTCCTCTTCCTGGCTCAAGATGGTGCAAGGACACTCGTCGTCAACGCAACTATCAGATCTACTTCGAATATAATGAGAAATCGTATGTGAGTCTCGTTCTCAACACCATAGATTGTTCCGTTGCGTGTAGAGGCTCAGGTCTTGACTTCTAACTCACTCTAACCTCACTTTCGGAGGATTAGCCGAACTTTTCCCGATGTCTTCCCTCGCTTCCATTACGAGGCTCTCTTACGAGCCCACCGTACCAGCTGATGTGGTGCTGGCTGCCATGACGCTCGGGGGTGTGCCTGAGTACGGCTATGTATGGATTGCTGAAGAGCAGCAAGCCCTCTGCACGGCTTGCACGACGCCCTGAGGCGGAATTGCTTTGAAACTGTAACCCATGTTTGCGTCCGGCTTTGGTCGCGAGCATTTCAGGATTTCATGTTTCAGTCTAGCCTCGATACTGAATAGCTGGTGCAAGTTTTGGTTTCAGACCTCCAGAAGTGCTGGAGAAAGGGTCCGCTGAAGAAGGTGAAAGCCAGGCAGTAAAAGTCTTGGCACTTAAAAAGAAGTAAAATTGGTCCCCGGCTCGCGCAGGGCGCTGCACAAGCCTCGCCGCTTTGTCACGAGGCTTGGCGTCCGGCGCAAGGAAAGGGTGAGCGTCGCGCGATCCTCACCCTCCATTACAACCAGCACGACCAAAACCCTCCGTCAGACAAAATGATACCCACCGTCACCACTATGAAAGTGTTCGACCTTCGTCCGCCGCACTTCAAACTTGCTGAGCCACACACCTTAAAATGCTGGCGGCCACCCCGGCCACCCCGCCCTTCCTCCTCCTCGCTTGACTTGTCCACCTGTGACCTGGCTCTTCTCGCTGTACTCCTCTCCGATACCATCTTTGCCTCTTTACCTTAGACCGCCCCCGACGTTTTGAAAATAGTGGGCCGGCGCCCGACGATTGCTGACTGACGGGTCTGGGCCGGAGCCTGCAACTGTATCCCCAGGATAGAAAGTAGTGAGGGATAAGTAGAAAGAAGTTTAACAAGTAAATTAGAAAGACTATATAAGGTTTAGACACAAGTCTACATCGCTACCTCACATGATTGCCCTCTGGCTAGTGATCTAGCTCTACCCCTCTAGTCACAGCGCTAATATTAGCTACACTCTATAGTTGGTGTATCTTTACGTCTAGTGAGGACGCTGACAAGATTACTGCATGTATTTGATGGCTGGCCAAAGGCGATCTATCCCCCACAGCCGTCAAGTAAATTTCTTCCTACGCTTCTTGTCACATATTGATAAAGTGCCTTAAGGATGCAACTACAGGCCACCACTCGATTCGAGTGAGGACTACAGTACTACCATCAGAGGAACTTGATGAAAAGATATAGCTTAGAAAGGTTGAGTTCTGGTCCTACTAGAAACCAATTTCACATCATTTTCGTATGTCTTGTATTTGCTGCTACCAAGGAAGAACTACTTACTTATTAGATAGTTCAGATCTCGCATGGATTTCCTCCATTCCATGTCGGTATTTGTTTGAACATTTCCACCGCCTCCTTCATCTTGCCCTGGTCAGCGTAGAGAACCGGAAGGTTGTTGGCTGTGTTGAGAGTGTATATATGCTCCGGCCCCAACACCTTCTTGCATCCTTGCAGCGCCTGTTGGAACATCTCCTCCGCCTCCTCCATCTTGTTCTGGTCTACATAGAGGATCCCTAGACTGTTGACTGTACCGAGAGTGAGTGTGTGATTTAGGCCCCACACCTTCTTATAGCCCTGGAGCGCCTGTAGAAACATCTTCTCTGCCTTCTTCATCTCACCCTGGCTCGTATAAAGACGCCCTAGATTATTGACTGTAGCGAGAGTGGATGTGTGATTTAGGCCCCATACCTTCTTATAGCCTCGCAACGCCCGCTGGAACATCTTCTCTGCCTTCTTCATCCTGCCCTGGTCCTTATAGAGAATCCCTAGATTGTTGACTGTAGCAAGAGTGGATGTGTGATTGGGGCCCCACACCTCCTCCTTCCCTCGTAGTGCCCGTTCATACATCTTCCCTGCCTTCTTCATCCTGCCCTGCTTCCAATAGAGACCCCCTAAGTTGTTAACTGTATCAAGGGTAGATGTGTGATTGGGGCCCCACACCTCCTCCTTCCCTCGTAGTGCCCGTTTATACATCTTCCCTGCCTTCTCTAACCTGTCCTGATTAAGGTAGAGATCCCCCAGGGCATTGACTGTATCAAGGGTGGACGTGTGGTCCGGGCCCCACACCTTCTCGTAACCTCGCAGCGCCCGCTGGTACATCTTCTTCGCTTCCTGCATCTTGCCCTGATCGCTGTAGGTGTCTCCAAACTCATGTATAGCCCACGCCAGCTCCTCCTCATCCCCCACCATTCCTTCAATAACAAATGCCCAACTTCGAGCAACATGTTGCATCAGCCGCTGCTGTCCAAGCCAGTACTTCGAACTATTCCTATCTGGTAGATGTCGAGCCACAGAAATCAGCGCCAGCCTTGTCTGCTCCACATTCCACGTATCATTCAACACATGTACCACCCATGCATGGACACAGCCGTGCATGCTGTATCCGTTCTGCTCCTTTCTGATCCCAGCAGGATTGTTGGCTTCTGCGAGCCCGACGTTGCATAGTAGCCTCATCGCATGGGTGAATGTGACCTCGTTTTTTGTTAGGCTGGCCAGCCACCCATGACCCTCCAATCGTCCTTCTCTCAACAGCTCATACCAGAGGTCCTGGCTGTCAAAGTATGCCCAAAAGCGTAGGAGTTGACTGGCAATATTGCTCTGCTGCTCCACATACTGCCAGGACACGTTCCATGTCGAGTACATTGCTCGGTCTTCATAGGACGTCAGTTCCGGTGTAGTCTGTTGGAGCTGTAACCATGATTCCTTGTACAGTCGCTGATAGTCCTGATATGTCACCGAGGTCTCCTTGAGGTAAGCACGTGCTGTGGTTAGCGCGAGCGGAAGGCCATCGAGCTCTTTTGCTAACTCCTTAGCACCAGGGTCTATAGCTGGTCAGCCTTTATTATATCTATAAGCTGCCACAAGCTTACCATTGACAATTGTGTCCCACCCAGATCGCTCAGATAGAATCTTTATACACTCGTCCATATTCGTTAGTTTCTTCAATGATATCTGATGGCCAATTTCAACCTGAGATGACCGTGTTGTTACTATAATAGACCCGTGGTCGGCCTCCGGCAGAAACTGACGGATATCGACAGCAGCAGGATCCTGATTACCTGCCATCTTGGGGTTGTCGTAGTTGTCGAAGATTACCAGCCATTGAGTATTCTTGGCCAAGCCCAGCCAGGCCTTGATTGCGTCCGCAGTTTGTTGCAAATTGCTATCCTGGGCGATGGCACCCAGCTGATCCGGATACTGTTGTTCGATGCGCCCTACCATCCGCTGGAGGCTCTGCTTCAACGCATTCTCGTCACGAATATTTAGCCAAAAGATTGCGGGGTACTTCGTCTTGTACCGCTTAGCGTATGCCACCGCTAGCTGCGTCTTCCCCATCCCTCCAAGACCGTGCACAACCACTATTTTTCGACCGCAATCTTGGTGAAATATGGTATGCAGCTCCTTGAGCTCCCGTTCTCGACCGACAAAGTGTGTTGTGTCCGGTATCTCGGCAAGACTGAATGGCACTGTGAAGTGATCCTCAAGATTAAGGCGCGCTAATCAATCATCACTATGCCTGATCGTGTGCTAGACCGTACATCAAGCCGACTCACCGATATCAGTCCGTCGTTCAGCCTCCCATCGTAAGCTAACCCGGGCCTTGGCGTCGCGCACCATTAATTGAAGCTGCCCTGACACCGTCTTGTATCCGCCATCGTCTCTTGACTGAAATTTAACCATGGTCAGATGGTCGGCGTGGATCGCTATAGGCTCTACATCGGCTGCCCCTGGCACCACCGCCGACGCCCGTGGCACCACCTGTTCCATTAGTATATATCTAAGCGATCATCAGCAGTCAGCCTACCATTAATAAGGGCCCGGCCACTGTTCGCGTCTTATACACCTCGTACGCGAATTTCGTCACGAAGTCGCCACTGATCAGCCCGTACTGGCCCAGCTGCTGCTGAAGCCATTCTGAGTCACGCTCCAAATGCTGCAGTAATCGCGTGTCTGCAGCAATAAACACAGACGCGATATTGGCGAGGAGCTTCCCCAGCTGGACACCGGTACCGCCCTGATGAGGTGTGCCCATGAAGATGATCCCGTACGTTGACGTCTTGATCGACCGATGCTCTTTCAATGCCCCTTCCCGCGCCGCGTCGGCATGGATGAGAGCCTATTGTTGTAAGACCTTGTCTTTAACATCCAGGGTGTCACCTACACTCTTGACAACAATCCCGCCCAAGCTGTGGGCTACAAAGATGATCGGCCGTGTTGTTGTCTATTGAACTCAGTATTCAATCCTAACCCAGCTCTTGTACCAGTGTGACTTACTTGTGTCAGGTTTCGCTGCAGGCATAAATCCGATACCAGCTGCCGTGCATGGTCATACAAATACATGCAGCTGACGCGATCGCCATGTGTATTAGCATCATATCCCCAGCTCAGTACACGCGCGTTCGGGATGTCGGTCGGGATCAGGTCGCGAGGCCAGTGCATCCCATTACTTGCTGTCCACGTCTCCTCGCGATGGCCATTCAGCCCGTGTACGACGATGATACTGAAGGAGGTTAGCGGTTATACACCGGATATCGACTCGCAACATACTCAACAATAGGCTCACGCCCCTCGATCTCCACCTTCAGACCGACAGGAGATGATTCCGTGGGTGCAGTTGTTGCCGCCGATTGCTCAGCCTGATGCATGGTTACTGCCGCATCAAGTTGCAGGTTGGGCATTACGCTCACCGTTTTGATAGACTGATCTCGGCGGAACGGATTCCATCCACGATAGCGTCTTTCTGACATCGCGTCGCAGCAGCATGGACATGTCAAAAGCTAGCAGTATTATCAGACTGCGGTTGTCATAGAATCCGCATAGGACTTGGCTTTCAGCTGCATGCGATTTAGGTGGGCAGGGTTCGGGAACGGCCCGCCAATCCTTGTCCGCGTTTAGGCGCCCAACAACGCCGGGGGAGCTTTAGTATTGAGCTTCCGAGGGCCCTCCTCCAGAAGTTCTTGCCAAGCCACATCAGTGGCGCAGCAAAATTGTGGCTCAAAGATCATAGGGCAGTCATCGGGTCATAGAAGCTTCGAGGAGCTCAATCTGGAGGTGGAAGCTGAACGTCCCTAACTATAGGTATGCGAAACCTCTTTTTGCTTCAGCCATGTTTTCATGGCACTAAATCTGGCACTTTCTCAGCACATCCCCATCCAAGATATGATTCGATGGAGCAAACACGAAAACTTAGATCGCGAAGGCTGTTGGTTGTAGCGGGGCCGCCGTTACCGCTGTAGGCGCCAACCTACGGGGCTCTTCGGCAGCACAACCGCAACTCTAAACGGCGCTGGCCGCTTCCGCACGAGAATCCCGCTGATGCTGGATACCCTGCAGAGACATTTAATTGAGCATCCGGACCTGCACCTAGACGAGATAGCGTCGTATCTATGGGAAACCTTCGATGTTGGCACCATAGTCCCCACGATCAGCTGAACCTTACGCTCTGTTGGCTGGTCCAAGAAAGTGGCTCGTCGTGTAGCCAAGGAAAGCAATGCTGACCTGTATGACTTTTATCTGTATGCTCTATCCTCCTTCCATTCTTACTATGTTGTGTATGTTGATAAGTCCGGTTGTGGCCGACGAGCAGGTTTTAGACGTACAGCATGGGCTCCCGAAGGGGTAACTCCGGTTTAAGTTGCCCAGTTTCAGTGAGGTCTTTCCTTCCTGATTCTGGCTCACCCTGCGGTGCTCCATGATCAGGGGCCTTGTTTCCCTGGGGAGTGTTTCTGGTTGTACTGGGTCGTCCCCAAGGACCCGGGTCCCCAAGGGACCGGTCCTGGGTTTCCCTTTCCGTCCTAGGTCGTTGCCTCGGCTAACCTCCTTTTCCTGTGGTTAGCGTGGCCTGCGGGTGACCTGGGTCGTAACGATAGCACAATCACTTCAATACAAATGCATGAGCAGGTACTTGACGATGGATTAAACAACGTGCAAAGTAGATTACTAGGTCCCATGAAACATTTTAGCTAGAAAATATTCAAGGTGTGACAGTATATAAAATAGCGTGGACGCTGTGGACCAACTAGATAATGGCTCATTCCACTGCCGGACATCTAGGCGCACGCTCACCTGGGTCGCGCGATCTTGACGCGACGCAAAAGCAGCATCGCTTTGTCCGGAAGTAGGGTGAGCCCGGGGCAGGTTTTACACATCTTGGCACGATGCATCAGAGGCGAAAGGTGAGGTAGCTAGCATTGCTAGTATCTACCTAAAAACCACTCCACGAGATGTACAAACTCATGATGTTTCTCAAGACAGGACCGATGGACATGTACCTAGATCGTCGGAGTCGTCAGGCGTGGAATTTTCACCCAGAACGATAACTCTATCTACATTTATATTCGTGAGTTGGGTCAGCACTAATGCCAGCAATTCCAGACAACCACAGGGCATTGGAGGCTACATCTACTGTTTTTGGCAGCTATACCTCGACTTGGTTTGCAAAGAACCAATATTTTCCCCAGCACTAATCATCAGCGCCGTTGACAAGCTTCAAGCTGTCTCCTTTTCTCTCCCCCTCCCTCCTGCCCTCCCGCTTCTTCCAGCGCTCGAAAAACTCCTCCACCACACCTTCGTAATCTTTCGCCTCATACCCTTCGAACCATTCTCTCGCCCAAGCCCGCCAGCTTTGTCTGAAGCCCTGCTCTTTCCCTGTCCGCTTTCTCTCGACTTTGACCTCCAAATCCAGACACAGCCGGTCCGCATACGCCTGCACAGCTGGGCCAAGATGCAGGTCCTGGCTCTGCTTCTCACCCCACCGCCGCCGCAGGAATGCCATCTCCTGGGCCGTCTGCCAGTAAGCCTCCCTCTCGATGGCATCTTCGGCTACGTCCGCTCTATGCTCTAGATTCGTTGTGCCTGTGTCCAGGCCAAGCACAGCTTTGCGATCAAGCATTCCCTGACACCAAGCCGCGGCCCAGAGCGCACTCAACTGGGCGGCGATGGCGGTCGCGCCGGTGGCGCTCATGTCGACAAAGGCTATTGATCGATCGTCGTGGGTGAGGCACCAGGGCGAGATGATGTTCCGAAACAGAGCATAGGGGGTGTGTTTGGGCGGACGGTCAGGCGGCGGATGCGGGTCTTTGAGGCGCGGGAAGAGCTCCATGACTCTCTTATCCGCAGCGGCGACCATGGATGAGTTGGTCAGATTGATGTCGCTGTTCAAGTAGACCTGTTTAGTGTCCGTTCCTTCGAGCGGCATGGGTGCGCCCATCCTCTCGCGTTCCTCTCCTTCGAAGAAGTCCACACTCGGCAGCCAACCCGTGCACCACAGTACAGCGTCGCAGGGCACGCCCTCTTCCCTTCCCGCCTCATCCGCGAGGGTGGCCTCCCGCCCAGATAGTCCCTTGACCCGCGCCCTCTTCATCTCCACCATTCCATCTTCCCCTTTGCTCAATGCCTTGACAAGCTCGTGATGGGGCGGTAACTGCACACAATTGAGGATCTCCCACTCCACGCCCGTCCTTACTCCGCTAGGACGCACCACCTCACCCTTTCCGCTCTTCCCATACACCTTCCTTGCCGACCACCCAACCATGCAATCCAAAAGGGCCCAAAATATCGCCACCAGCCAACTGCCCACCAGCCACCTTCCCGAATGCAAGAATTCATACATACCTCCAGCCCCGTGATCCCACAAGCTTGAATGTATGCAGCTCGCTGCTCGCGTCAGTGCCTTCTCCGCCCCCGGATTCGCAAGATCGGCCAGTAAGAACGTCACACCCCTTCCTCTAGGGCTGGGCGCCACCAGCCACGTCACGCTGAAGCGGCCACGCTCCTGCCCGCTGGTGCCCGGAAGGAACAGACTGCACGCCTCAGCGGCAGACTTGGCGGAGCCGACGACCAGTACGTGGCGAATGGAATCGTCGGAGACCAAGGCGGGAAGCTCGCGGCCCATATGCGTGGAATGCAAGGATTTGCCGGTAAAAGGGTTGGAGGTGCCGGGGGAGGGTAGTGAGGGCAGGGGTCGCGGCCGCGTATAGAGGCCGGGGGCGAGGAGGAGGATGTCGCATTCGTAGTCGGTGGTGCCCGCGCCGTCCTTGTCGCCGTCACCATCGACACGAACGGTGCGGACGTGCCACCCTGTGTTCGGACCGTCGCCACGCCGCACCACTCGTACGACACGCTCGTCGAAGTGGCACCGCTCCCATAGCCCCTTGTCTCGTGCGTAGCGTTGCAGGTACTCGCCCACCGCGTAGCCGCTCAACGGGGAGTATCTAGGGTGCTCTGCATCGACCATGGTGGCGTCGCCGTACTCAAAGAGGCCGGTGGGCGTATGCGCGTACAGGCCGGGGTACAGGCGGTCAGGTGACCAGACGCCACCGGCGGCGGAGTGTGCGTCGATGATGCTGAGGTTGATAGAGCGGTTGAGGAGACGTGCCAGGCGTTCGTAGGTGCTGGCAGCAGCGAGGCCGCCCCAGCCTGCGCCGACGACGATCACCTCAGCGGGCCGGTTGGGTGCTTGCGGTGCGTGATGAGGTGGATGAGCCATGGTGGAGGTCAGGGGAGGAGTCAAATGCTTTCGCTGGACATTTCATAGGTCGAGCGGATGAGTTTGAATCCAAGTCATAACGGTGCACTTCAGGTTCTCATCATCTGAACAATGTCCAAATGGCGGGCTGCATTCTGTAGTGTTTTTGCTGCAGCAGTTCGCTGCATCAGGCGTCCAACGGCAACCAAGCTCGTGTCATATGCAGCGTTGTTGCGAGTATCATGTATGTGTGGCAGTCAATCGCTACGCTTGACTTTTGCGGCACGGGGCCTCCCTCTTGACTCAGCCGAGTTCGTCCGCATGCTACAAGCAGGGGTGAGCAAGCACTTGTGAAGGACGTTGAGACTCGAGTGGTCGATATAATCTGATCCGACTAGCTGTCCATTTCGTTATAGCTTGCACGATTATGTCTATTACCCTCCAGCATGGCATAGTAAGGTTGTCGTCCCCTGCCCAGCCTCTGCAATAGTCGATTGTACAATACTTGGTAGTAGCAGCTCTGAGCTCGACAATGAGTATACTCCAGGCTTCTCCTGGCTCGGCCCACCCGTGTCTCAATCGCTGAACACCATGCTCGAACGCTCAATTAGAATAGCAAATACAAGGCAGTCGTCCACCCGCACAATAATCTGCTAGGAAGGAAAATTAGGAATGTCATCGCTCCGCAGGCGGTTCTGGTTCCTGCTCCAGGCCATCGTCATCGCCCACCATTCTGACCTGTGGGTCAGGTATCTGAATGTCGAGATTCATGTAACCTGTTCTCCGTAGGCTGATCAACTTGATACCTTCTCTACTCCCTTGCTCCCGATTCCAGCTGTCCATCCACGCCTCCAACTCCTTCAAGCTACCTTTGACGCCGGTGGGTCTAAAATCCTCCCAGAACCAGCCGGTCACAAAGCCAAGAATTCCATCAAGCCAGTTGTAGGTGCTGTATGGGTCGAAAGCCTGTACAAGCGTTGCATTGATATGGCGGACGATATAACGGAATTCTTGTTCGTTCATCAGTGGGTCAAGGATTTCAGGATAGATGTTCGAGAATGTAGGCGCCAAATCGCCAACGACCATCCAATCACGTTTGATTCTGATGACACGCGTGGTGGTATACTCGGGAGATGATATGGGAACGTGAGGATTCAGGTGGGGAAAGCATGGATGCGAGGGACCCCAAGCGAGCTCTTCGTCGACGTCGCCATCTTCTGCAGAGGGGTAACCAGTAGTTTGCGGTGGCGGTGGTAAAGGTGGCGCATCGTCGAGATTGGTGGTGTTTGTCCGAGAGGGATGCGAGCGTAGAGATCCTTGCGAGCGGAAGTGTCTGAGAGACCGTGATGAGGATACGCGGCGTGGGGGCTGGGAGGGCTGATCGTGAGGAGATATACCATATTGAGATGCAAGGCGGGACGGGGCATTGGATTGAGCCTGTTGGCCTTCGAGATCGTCGTAGCGACCACCGCCGAGGTGCGCCTGCTCTGGTTCGTTCAACTTTTCATCGGTCATGGCGGGTAGATGAGATCCTGATCCGAGGCCGGAAGTGCGACGTTGGTTGGGCGGTAGACCAATGCTCGTCCGAGAACCAGCAGCAGAGCTCAGTTGCGGGCTGTGCTCAACGAGATCACCCTCTTGAGAATACTGCCGCGACCGCCGCTGTTCGGGCAGGCTGAGGAGTGTGTGGACTTCGCCGGTGCCTGGTTCAGCGCCAGGTGGAAGGTGCGTTTGACGATCTATGGACACGGGGGTAGGTCGGGGGACGTAGTTGATAGGATTGAGAACTCTCTGTGTCGCGGCACGATTATTGCGACGCTGGCCTCGACGTTGCTGGCGTGCGAGGAGAGCCTCCAGAAAAGATCGTCGTCGCGAAGATTGACTTTGGATCTGGGTGATGGAAGGTGGAGATTGCGCAGCTGGCGGAGTGTCCTGTGGCTGCAGGGCAGGGGCTAGGTGCTGCAGCTGCGAGTCTTCTATGGCCACAGGATCAATGTCTTGATCTCTGACGGGTTGCTTTTCCAGCGCTCTCTGGGACAGGATCTGTGGTTCGGGGGGAGTGGTGGAATCCGTGGTGACGGAGAGGAGAGGAAAAGGAGCGAGGCCGCAGGTAGGAACGAGTGTGAGGAGGCTTCGGCGGTACGCGAAGCGTCTAATTGGCGCACATGCAGGTACAACTCCAGCGCTTCGTTCGGCCAGCAGGACAATAGCATGCTGGGAAGAAATCTTTTAGAAACACACAGCAATTAAAACATATTGAAAATAATACAGTCGGTCGAAGAGTAAGTGTAAGTAAAGTGATCGGAACGAGGCAAGCAGGCAAGCAGGCAAGTCACAAAGTCGAATTCATCTACGCGAGAGGGCTGCCGGCCAGGCTTATGGGCGTGGACTGGAACCCTCGGTTTGGCCCGCCGTGCGACATCGTCGCTCGGACTGCGGGCCCTTGTCTGTTCGGGCCCTGCGATCAGACCCATCTCAGCGTTCAGCAAGGATACATTGTGACGAATGATGAGCGGCTGACTTAGGCTGGCGTTGGGTATTCGTGTGCCACAAACGTTTCTCGTTCGAGGTTTCCATAAACGCAGGCAGCTGACGATCCGAGTTGGGGGGAGTGGAGGATGCTTTCTTGGGTTGGACTTTGATCCATTCGGATCAGGAGTACAGGAGCCGGCGCCGTGTTTGGCGTTGGACTATTACTCAGGGCCGACCAGAATTTCGGGATTCGGGCGCCGCTAGATAGCAAAATAGGGGGGAATCGACTCGAAAAAACAAACCATGACGAGCCTCTAGCGATCCCCATCGACACCAAAATCTCGCATAGCGACGCACTATCGCTTTTACCTTGTATGCTGCTCATCGTGCATGAGATGAGATGCATGCAAATGTACGGAGTATGTGCAGATACTCTGTACAGCGTGAACTCTCGTGCCAGACCCGACCGGACTTCATGTGGCCGAGAGGGTTGTTGTCTGCAAGCAGCCTGCAATTTAGTGCTGAAGCACATGGAGAGTCGGTGCACGACACATTCCGGGGTTTCCTTCAGACTGCAACCGTTTCCAAATCCTGGCTCTATCCCACCTAGATCTCATATCGCCCGTTCTACTGTCAAGCAACGTCATGTGGCTCCTCCGGCCGGTAGTAGGGCTGAGACAAGCTGCTGGTCGTCGGGCACAGAAGCTCCAGAATGCGACTAAGCGGGCAGATTGGGAATCTCGCGAAGAACGGGTTAGGAAGCAGTCGACAAGGGTGCCAGCACCACGCGAGCTCATGTAATGCGCATTATTGTTCTTGCATCGTCTATAACCTTGTCATGCTATGCAGTATGCTTGCCGCGGAGGCCTCGTCTTATCTCGTCTCGTCTGGTTCCGTCCATTGCACATGAGATTCCATGTCAGCTGATCACTCAACCTCTTCCTTGCTGGGCAGCGGGATAGCCTTGTAGAGTAGGATGAGAGCCGAATGGGTCTCGCCTCCACCAGACAGTGTCTGGATGCGCTCACCGTCCACTTCCGAGACCTTGTCATCGTTGAACCACCACCACTTGCCATCACTGTCTCGCCGTTTGCCCCCAGGTGCCTTGGGATCATCCACAAGCTTGCCTTCCTTCTTCACATATGCTGTGTAGTGACCACTGTCTGCACTGGCGCCCTGATGAGTAATGACGCCAACGAGTTCATACAGCCCAGACTTGTTGGCCGCTTCGTCGGCAGCTAGCTCGGGATCGATTGCTTCGTACAGTGCCTTCCGCGCCTTGCGCAAAGCCTCTTCCTTCTCGGCTTCGTATTCGGCATCCGTTTTGTAAGCATCGAGATCCCCTCCGCGCTCTTCTTGAGTCTCCTTCTTCTCTTTTTGCTCACGGAGCTTGGCGATAGGCGCTGCTTCGGCACTGACCGCAGCGTCGTGCTTGCGGTCCTCTTCTTGCTGATGGCGAACCTTTTGCCGCTTACGGGCCCGCTCCATGTCTTGTTCATCCTTGCGGTAATTGCGGACCTGATCGCGAACAGGGATAAGCTTCTTGCGCAACTGCTCGGTGCAAAAGTCGACCACATCCAGCTCCTCAGGGAACGTGACCTTCTTCAATATCTTGGCCTTCTTTGAAATATCCTTCTTCCAGAAGAAACGCACGAATTGAACGGTAAGGTATGCAGGCAAGCGTGAAATTCTGGAAGTCTTCGTATAGACAGCATCTCGGCCAAGACTCTCGGATCGTTTCTCGATATCATCGGTCAATCCACGCATGAGGCCTTCAGCTAGGTGATGCACAGTACTGTCAATGTTGCACCTCAGCTTGTCGAATGTCTCATCAGTCTCGACTACTGGCTCATTGTCCGCAGCTTCGGTAGGTGGCGCAAGCGAAGCGTGCACGCTGCCTGTCAAATACCGATCTACGAAACCAGGCTTGCCGTCTGGTCCTTTGCTGTTCTGCTTGACTTGTTGAAGTATTTGCGTCCAGGCTTCTTCTGCATCCTGCTGCGCGAAACCACGACCTGTCTTGTCCTTCTGTGCGAATTGTGGATATGCTTGTCGGAATGCATTGAGGAATATGAACGGATTGAAGCCTGCTTGGGTATCGGACATCTCATTGAGTAGATCACGTAGCTGCGAGGTCATGTCGCCACCCAGCGCATTAAGACCCAGGCTGTTGAGGCTTTGCAGGCTCGGACCCGTACCAGGACTCGACTTGTAGCTTGCGAGTTCAGTGCGCAACTCCGGCATAGCGCGCAGAACCTGAATGGTTGAGTTCAGGTAGCAGGTGTTCCCTAGGTTGACAAGGCCGGCCGGAGTAGCACCCTCCATCCGAGCTGCCTCAGCCTCGGTCAAATCTTCGAGGAACTTAGGCTTCTCAGTCGGGGCGACCAGAGCACCAGCTTCACCTGAAGCAGTACCAAGCACCCTGACCAATTGCTTGGACTTGAGCTTGAGTGAGGACAAATCGGTGTCATTCTTCAACTTTCCCTTAGGCAGGAGGACGGTTTGGTTTTCTGGCTCGACACCGGTGAGAGAAAATATCTGGAATCTGAGAGTTTCGGCATCGTTGGCAGTGTCAAGGTCGAGGTCATATTTCTTGCCCTGGTGCAGGATAACGATGGGTATGGTGGACATAACGGTGGGGGCAGCGAGGCGGGACCGATTGTACGATGAAAGGACTTGAGGGTATCGTGGGCTGGTAGGTTTCGTCAGAGTCTATGTGGCTGTTATCTTGGTGATGAAAGCAACCAGGATCAAATCGTTTTTGAAATACAATGGACTTTCTAAGGGCGTGGATTGGTAAAGAAATAGGAAATAGTCAACCGCGGCGACGTAATGCAAGGTACAGCCTGATCTAGATGCCAAGCCCGGGCTGACTCCGCGAAGGTGGGCTGTCGCTGAATGCGCACCCTCACCTTTCCCCGGCAGGCACCATCAGAGGAGCTTTCGCAGTTCCAGCGCCATACTCGGTCCCAAAAGCTTTGTGGCAACTCGAGGCGCATGCGCTGGCATTGACATATCCTAGGCGCATGCACGACCCTTCGATCAGTCCCGCCGACTCCCATCTTCGCCCCGCCTCGAGCGGGTAGACCCCAAGATGTCCCAGAGCCTCCGTCCGTACCTCCAATGCGTGCGCTCGTCTCTGACCGCCGCTCTGTCCCTGAGCAACTTTGCCTCGCAGGCGTCTGAGCGACATAATGTCCCCGAGATCGAAGCCGCGTCATCCCCTGAAGTCCTGCTTAACCCGTTGACAGTCGCCCGCAACGAGAATGAAAAGGTGTTCATTGAGCCTTCTGTCAATAGTGTACGAGTCAGCATTCGCATTAAACAGGCCGATGAGATCGAACACATCCTGGTCCATAAATTCACGAGATTCTTGACCCAAAGAGCAGAGAGCTTCTTCATTCTACGGAGGAAGCCGGTCAAGGTAAGGCTCACCCCGACCAAGTTGCTGGGATCTCCTCTATGTTTTGAGCGAAATTTAACACTCTGCTCAGGGTTACGATATCTCATTCTTGATCACGAACACACATACTGAGGAGATGCTGAAGCACAAACTCGTCGACTTTATCATCCAGTTCATGGAGGAAGTGGATAAGGAGATCTCGGAGATGAAGCTTTTCGTAAGCCTTCTTACCTAGGCTGTGCAACTGAGCTGACCCTATTTAGTTGAATGCCAGAGCCAGATTCGTGGCTGAGTCATTCTTGACACCGGTGAGTTGTTTCCGCGAGATTTGCTGTCGGTTGACTAAGCCCTCACAGTTTGACTGAATGCCCCTATCGACCTAGATGGAAGAGTCATCCTACTTGAAGGGTCGACGCTTGCGCAAGTTCACATTTGCGGCCACAAGAACGGGCCGCACCAAGAAAGTATTGCTGTTGTACGATACCCAGCAACATGCGAAAATAAAAAGTCTACGACCATAGAGCCAATTTCCAAATCCTTGGGGTGCTTATTATATTATCTATGTGATGTTCGAGACCATGGGGCCTCAGGCCGATGACTTTCGCAGGAGCTGGGAATGAGGCTTGGCATTGCCAAGATGAGGCAACCAGGCGCCTGACAAGGCACGACCTCCTTTTTTCGTAGTATGTAGAAAGTCGTTCGACTGTCGATGAAGCACGAATTGAACGAATGAGGTGTCATTGCACGTACCAGACTGCTCCAGATTTCCTACTTTTTCAAACCATTCGGATATGATTAGCGAAAGCATGGAGACTGCCTTGATTCCTGACTCCGACGGCGATCTCGTGATGTTCAACTCTACTCTGCGATAAAGGGGGGCCCCAGCACACGTAAGTCCGTGTAACCGAGGAACCACACGCTTGAGGTCTCCTGTGCCAGCTGTTATTGCTCCAAGTTCTTGGTGATTGAGACGTGGAAGACATCTTGAACACAGTAAGCTATACACCATTTCGTGGAGTTGCCGCCCCACTGTTTGTGTCTACTACCCCTGCAGGGCCTGCTTAATGTAATAGGAGTAATCTGAATGCCAGTAGAATCGCACCACAGCCTGTTCATGTCGTTCATTATGGACCACAGGTACTTTGTAAGTGGCATTATGACAAGATTCATCTCATGCTGTCCTTTCACATGGCACAACGAGGTCCGCTTTCACTGGCATGCATGCACTTTGATTTAGCACTCTGTCTACTCACAATCCAGGGTTTCCAGTTCTGTATTCACCAGAACCCTTTGCATGCTCCCTTCACCCTAGTTAGGTACCAGGAGTATTCACCGACTTACGTCAACGAGGCTGTGTCTGTCCGGAGCTATTCACTCCCTACCTTAAGTGTATCATAGTATGCCTCGCGTAGCCTGCTTGATAGGAACATGTTTGCCAGTAGCCTTGCGGCGGCCCACAAGGCGCCATCCTATTTTTCCCTTTCACGAAACTTCCTTCTGGACCTACCTTCTACCACCCACCACATCGCCCACATCATCTCGCCTGTTCTTGAGCTGTAAGTATGCATTTGTGCACCTCAGGAGACGTGTAAGAGAGGATACTAAACTTACTTCTTGCTCTAGCCAAAAAGAACTTGGTCACCGCGGTGATGCCGTACGCTTCGCCCACTGTCATGAGTGACAGCGATGTCTCCACTCCTGGAGACACCAAAAGCCTCGACCCTGCGGTTGAGCATTTTGTCCTGAGAACTCCTTCGCCTTCCTCCCCGTCGCCGAAGGTCGAGCCTTTCCCAGAGCTCGAGACCGACCAGCTCGCCGACCCGTTCGTCGCCCAAGAGCCTCGTAAGTTTATTTCAACTTCTTTTTCAACTTCTGAGTTTCGCAACTGACCTGCAGTCAGGCTTCATCGTCCCGGTAGTCAGCAACTACCCTGCCGCAAGCAAAATCAAGATGACGCATCACAACCAGGTGCCTCCCCGAGGTGATCAGAGCCGCATCGCGCAGCTTCAAGCGCTGATGCACGGTTCGGCCGCTTCCATGCCTGTCATGGGTTCGGACGCCCGCTACCACGACCGCGACACTACTGCCAAGCTTGACTACGGTCTTGATGATCACGAAGACTACCGCAGTGTTGAGTCCGACTTCGCTCCAGGTGGCGCTCCTATTGCACAGGAAGTTACTCACCCTCAGTCCGCTCTCGGTCGCTACATGGGCGTGCAGCCCGAGCTTGAGGACTTGCTCCCCGACGACTTTCCATCCGAGCGCCCTTACGGCTTCCACGTTGATAACAACCCTCCTTTCGTCAACCTCGCTCGTGGTGTCTTCCCTTCCACTGACCCAGTGTTGCGTCTCAAGAACGTAAGTCTCGTATCCAACGACAAATGACCTCTGCTGCACCAAGCCTACCGAGGCCTTACCTTTAAGACACAAGTTACCTATCCTTAAACATATGACTGACGTATCGCTTGCAGATCCCATTCGGTGTCTCGTACTCAGAGATTGTCATGTTCATGAACAAGGCCTTCATGATTCAAATTGGCGGTAGCACAGTGAACTATCCCGTCCACATCCTCATGGAGCGTTCGACCGGCAAGACTGCCGACGCTTGGCTTGAGATGCCTGACCAGATGACGGCTGATGCGGTCATGGATCGTTACAAGTTGCTGCAGGATGATAACAAGGTGCCCAAGCTGGGTAATCGCCCTGTCAACATCTCTATTGCCTCTCAAGGTAAGCTGATGGCCGAGATCTTCCCTCGTGCTAAGGAAATCTACTGGCACCCCAGCACCGGTATTCCTATCAAGATCAAGCCCGACTTCGAGGTCGAGCCATACAGCGCTGGCTTCCAGGGCTTCCTGACCGCAGAGGAACTGTACTGCACCAAGTTGCACTCCGAGCAACCCACTCGAGTAATATCCCTGCACCTTCCTGCCCATGGGAATACTGACAGACTTCATAGGCTCCCTTCCCTCAGAAAGCGCTTCAGCGTTGCTACGAATCGATCATGGCGACAGTATTGAAGGTGCGTTGCCTGCAGCCACGAACATGAGCATATACTGACCATGAACAGTACCCCTGGGCCTCCCCCTACTTCAAGATGAGCGAGCGCGACGAACTTTTCGAAGCCTACAAAGCCATGCTGATCGTCCTTTCGCGCAGCGTGTATGATCAAGAGCACATTCGCCGCAACAACAAGCAAGTCGGCCTGACCCAGACTCTCTGCACCAACTTCGTCAACGTTGGTCTTCGCTGCCCTGGCTTCTCTGAGCGTCAGAAGAGCCAGCTCACCGACATCATGTCTGACTATGGCGAGGAGATTGGAATGAGCCGGTTCTGTCGTGTCTGGCCCTTTTCTACCATGAGCATCCCTCCTGAGGTCAACGACCATGACCTCGAGCAATGGATGGAGTTGTTTGATAGTGGCTGCCTGTTCACCATGGCGCAGCGTGGTCGCCTCGCCTTCTCAGTCGACAACGTTGTTGAGCTCACCACGGACAGCCGTCGCGTTTGGTGGGTCGAAGATATGGTCATGAAGGCTCAAAAGATGGGCAACAAGAACGCCGTCGAGTACTCCTTCCACGATATGGGCCGTGCCGAAGAGATCCTCATGAAGGTCCTCATGCAGCGTGCTTGGGAGCAGTTCTTCCCCGCGCGAGGTTACGATGTTCCCAGCGATCTTATGCCTGAGCCCTATGTCGAGACCCAGATCGAAGTCAAGATGCGCAGCCTCGGCGTCTATGACAAGAAAGGCATCGACCGTCCCGAGATCTCGAAGCCCGGAGATGACATTGTTCACATTCCCCGTGAGCAGTATGGTGCTTGGCGTCACCGGATGCAGGCGTCTACTACTCAGATTCCAGTCAAGTCTTTGGCCGAGATCTTTGCTCAGGCTGGTCTTCCTCCTCCTACTGCCGAGGCCGAGGCCGAGCACCAGCGCATCCAAGCTCAGATTCGTGGTGTTTCCTCTATCATGAACCCTGCTGGCCCCAGTTTTCCCTCTGGTTCTGCTAGCCAGATGCACGGTACGCAGACCAAGCCCGCCACCAATAACGAGGCTGTTGCTCGTCCTGGCTACGGTTCCATGCACCCTCAGGCCACTGCGAGCTTCCACACCCGCGGCTACTCGAACATCACCAACATTGGTGCCCAGGATGTTGAAGACCAAGCCACGCCGTCGGTTGGCATTCGATCAGCATACACTTCGGCATTTTCTGCTCCTGTGAACAACACTGTTCGTATCACGAGCCCTGGAAATGGTCACGAGGTGGACTTCTCCAAGATTGCCGAGCAAGTTATCGCCACCAAGTCGGTCGAGAACACTCCCCAGGCTAAACAGTACGGTTCTGGCGTTGATCCCTTCGCTGCTCCTTCTTCGCGAAGCAGCCAGAGAGGTAGCCGTCGTGCTGATCGTGAGTCGCAGGAGAGCATTTCTTTCCTTCGTCGTCGCAGCAAGTCCCCAAGCAAGAACTCTTACACTCTTTCCATGGACAACTTCACTCTGGACGACCCTCCTGTGGGCAAATTCGGCGCTGTCGGCACCCCTCCTCGTCGCGCTCCGGCTAGCAACACCGTTGTCGCAGCTCCTACTATCCCCGAGGGTGATGAGGAAGAGGAGTGGGACACTCCCAGCCGCTCCGCCAAGGGCAAGGGTCGTGGTTTCCGCGGCTAAATGCCTCTCTTTACAGCCCTGTGTGGCATTGCTTGTCGGCCGAAAATTCATCTCACTGATGGATCAAGCCTCTTCTTCGGTGCCTGTGCAAAGGTGGCCACCAGACCTGCTCACACGACTATCTCTTATCAGCTTGTAGCTTTAGCGGAGGCGTCTAGTTTTGATCGTCACTCAACGATTCGGCGGACCAAGACGTCAGTCATTGTCCATGACGGCGACAGTTGGATCAAAGGAGCGAATTGCTGGGTTTCTCATCGTCGGGCTTGGACACGAACATGGTGTTGAATTTTTGATTTGCAGGGTGTTGGGAAGGGCCACTGGCATCGAGTCACGCCTAATGAGCCACATGAACTTACGATTTGATACCCCAACGCGTCGAAAAGCGTTTTGAGGCTCTTTAGTAGGAAGACCTCGAGGCGCATAGCATAGAAAATAACATGGATGATACCATGATCAAGGATTTGTGGTTACCGACACGAGTAGAAGCGTCTGAAGCAAGTCTCCACTGACACACGGGTCCCACTCTCCTGCATGCCCGCAACGATCGGCACTTTTGCCCGTTGAAATTCTACCTTCTCCTAACTAAATACCTAGCACTGTCGTCGTAATGCTGTCCCGTGTCACAGATGAGTCCACGTAGTCTTGTGCGATGTTGCAGGACCGGTAGGACGGTGTTGAAACGGCGATTCGTACTTGAAGGGGACTCCTAAAAAGCAACATCAGCCGGTTAGCCGCCAAACGACTTGCTGCCAACGATTCTAGAAGGGCTGCTTTTCCAGCATCTACCCACGGAATTGCGTCCCTCTTGTCTGACTGCTCGGCATGAAGCCGTCACCACCGCCCTCGCCACAGTTCTTAGCCAAGAAACAAGGCATCCTTTCGGCGCTTGCTCTTGACGCCAGAGACTACGAGGATAAGTCTCCGAAAGGCAGTGTCGACATCCAGATCCTAGATTTGATCCAACTCATCAATAACGCCCAAGGTTGGGTGACGACAAGCAGTTGCGCAGGCCGAGTTGCCGTATTCGTTGAGGGTCCGAAGAAGACGTTTCCGCGCACAGAGGCATCCCCAATCGCAAACACTGATGACACACCAGACGGACACGCCCAGAGCACCGTTATCGGCAGTGATCAAACTCCTCTAGGCGCAACACAAGCACTTAAGACAGCTCCTGGCGGTAAAGGCGGCGGGCATTGGCTCTTCGTCTCCCATGAACCCCTTCCCCAAGCTTCCGCGTCAATAAATGAAGAGCACTGGGCATCTTTCTTCAAGCTCTCTAGGTCCTCGGTCAACCTTGATCGAGCGACTCATCACTCCTTGCACCGTCTCATCCGCCTCACGTTCTCCCCCTTGATTCTACATGTCCTCTGCGCATCTCTGCAGCACGCCCGTCCACTCCTATCCGCAGCAATCAATGCCGGCTTCCGCGAGAGTGGCGTACAGTCTCTCAAAGCCCTCGACTCAGAGCAGGTTGGCGAGGGTGTAATGGTGGCTATCCGAACGAACGGAATTGTCTTCGAGAGTATGGTAGGGGTTTGGGACGAGTCCAGTGATCAGGGTGTAGCCATGGTCAGCGAGGAATACTTGGCGATGTGTGCGAACGTTGTCAATGAGCGTTTTGAATTTAACGTGGAGCGCAAGAGGCGGCTGATGGAGGAGCTGCAGTCAACCCTTGAAAGAGAGAGTTCCAAGCACGAAGAGCAGCCGGAGACTAGGGAAGAGAGGCGAAAAAGGAAGGAGACGGAGGGTTTGAAGAGACAACAAAACTCCAAAGACGCTGCAGGTCAAACGCGAAATCGGGTCAGCGATATCGACCTTGCCGGTTTCGATATCGGCTAGAATACAGACTCCAGCAATCACTTCTGTCAAGCCGAGTTCACCTTCCGTGGCCGATGCCAATCCATTCATACCGACCAGGGTTCGATTTGCTACGCGGGTAATCTACTCCGGCTTTCGCCCCTTCGCCACAAACACTCGCCTAGGCATTGTCCCTCGAATCAAAACTTCCTCCTCCATGACTCTCCATTGCACGTCCTGCAACCCTTGTCCCTCAAACAATCCTCTAACTTTCTCAAAATCAAATCCCGCATGCGCGACGAGGTGCCGCGTCGACTCCTCCGGCTCATGCGTCACCAGGTCAACGATCATGAAAACCCCGCCAGGACGTAGGCGCTCCACCAGCGTCTTCGTGGCGAGCGGCAGGTCTTCAAAGTGATGGAAGCCCAAACCAATACAAACCATGTCAAAGCCTTGCCACTCAGGGCCGCCGAAGCCCTCATCGCCGCCTTCTCTTAGGAGGTTGCCGTTCGTTGCGTGCGCAGTGAATGGCTTTAGGGCCTTGTCCGATTCCGGCACTGAAGCGAAACGCTCGTTGTACATCTTGCACATCTCGGCGCTGAGGTCGATGCCCTTCCATTCATTGGCTCGTGGACCCAGAATGGCGGTGACGGTGCCAGGCCCGCACGCGTAGTCCAGGACGCGGATTGGTCGGGCATTGCTATTGTCAGCGGACGAGGACTGTCTGGGCGGGAGACCGAGCCATTCGGCATTGGCAGCTAGGAAGGAGTTGATGCGCGCGATCATTTCTTGTTGCCAGGGTTGGGAGGTGTAGGTGCGAGCGTTCTGGTCCCAGTGGGCGCGGTTCTTTTCTGTGAAGTCGTCGCCATTCGCAGCTTTGATGGCCATGGCTGCATGCTTGTGGGCGTGCGCGTGTGCTTGGGAGTTCGCCATGCTGGGTGGACTGATCAGGTTTTGTTCCGGTGTAGTCTATGTACTAGAATGACCGCAAGGCTGCTGGTACAAGGGCGATCAGTTGTGAAACCGACGCCTTTTCGCAATCAAGAAGAGTATCAGCTGCCCTTTTGTATATGCTCTTGTCGTTTAGGAAAGGTTTGGGCGGGGGCGCTGCGGAGAGATATTGTGGAATCCAGCCGCCCAGAATCTCTCCGGGTATAAGTGCCCGAATTGGGTCCTGGCAGGCGGATTATATTCAAAATTCTACCCATGCAATGGGAGACTTTCTCCTCAGGTAAGTAGGTGCTGGTCCGAGGTTTTCAGGAGGAACTAGTAGAAGTGAAAGCTGGTGTCAACTGACATCAATAGATGAACAGGAGGCCGGTAGCCTCGAACAACGATTAAATGTACCTGAACCAGCACTCGGTCCTGTCTGACCACTCGAGGCCTACGACCAGCTCACCTCTCTGTCACTTGAGCGATGATGGATAACATACACAGGTGACTCGGCTCTCTGTATGTCTGTTCGCCGGCGAGGAGTGGTGAGGGTCACAGACGAGTTCACAGTATTCGTAGATCGTAGAAGCTCCCTTGTGACGTCACTAGCAGCTCAACCTCGACGCGACGCGCCGAAACCGCGTGGCCAAATTGTTTCAAAAGGAGCCAAACGAGCAGCAGCCGGAAGACTTGAAAAGCTCATCAACGTATCTGCGACCCACACGAATACATCCGGACATCTATCCCTTGGTTTTTACACTCGGAACTCCACTGCGAGAAGCATAGCACCATGCCTCGCCGTAAATCATTCGCCGCCACTGCAGCGGACAGCACCCCCGGACCGAAGAAAGCCGTGCACAAGCGACAACTTTCTGCCAATGCCAGCCCAGCAGTCGGCACGCCCGGTTCGCGAGCGTCAAAACGTTTGAGGGATTCTGCATCAAAAGCGCCAGCATCAGCTACGCCCAAGAAGTCCAAGTACTTCGACAGCGGCAGCAGCGATGAAGTGGATGTGGACGAGACCACTTCAAATGATGCAGAAGTGTCCGGCTACGAAGATGAAGAGGTCGAGGTGGAGGACTCGCCAAGTCAGGAGGCAAGCGAAGAGGAGTACGACTCCGAGGAAGATGCCAAGCCCCGACGGAGAAAGACAGGGAAGAAGGCGAGCGGCGCCTCATCGTCCACAGGCGCAAACTCGCAGCTATGGCGAGAAGGGGTCAAGGCTGGTCTCGGACCGGGCAAGCAGGTTTTTATTGCGAAGCCAAAGCCACGAGGCGATGGCGGCATCAAGTATCTACCAGAGCGGATCCATCCAAATACCAGTAAGTCTAGCTATGCTTCCCAATCCACATCGCTCTGCCAGAAGGCGTGTGAAACGTGAGTCCAAAGCAAAGCACGCTGTACGCACGCCAGAAACAACCACTGTCCGAGATTTCTGTGGTCAGAAAAACAGTCGACGCTCTCGGACGAGGTCACTTCACCAAGAAAGCGTTGATTGATGGATGGTATACGGTGCTCAGTATACTCGTCCATCACAACACAAAAAGAAAGGACGGCACCTTGAGTCTGCCTGAGTTCAGCCGGGTCGCCGTACAACGTTGCGCTCGAGGGCGCCGCCATTATCGGCTTGGGACAGGTTTGAATTTTACTGACGGGCGCAAAGTGCTTTTCCTCGCCGACCTCAAAGCCAACAACGACCGAGAATGGTTCAAAAGTATGATCATCCATACCTGACCAGAAATGACAACGGATTCTGGCTAATGTAATCTACTTCCCAGTGCACGATCCCGACTATAGACAATCGTGGAAGGATTGGGAGAGCACTGTTGAAGCACTTACCGAGAAAATATCAGAGGTTGACGAAACGATCCCAGAATTGCCGCCGAAAGACCTAGTAAGAGATGCAACGCTCGACATGCTTTGGAGGCTCACTGGTGCATAGGTATTCCGAATATACCGTGACATTCGGTTCAGCCCAGACCCGACGCCTTATAAGGTGCGTCGAACGCAATCCCTACTCTTGATGCCATATTCGAGACTGACCATGAAGGCAGCCACATTTTTCAGCAGCATGGTTAGCATCCTCGGAGAATCGATAGCAGCTCGAGTAGCTGATGCTTTGAACAGGTCTCGTACGGGGCGGAAGGGACCGTACGCGTGCTATTATGTCCAGATCTCACCGCACGGCCAAAGTTTCGTGGGTACGGCGTCTCTCGCTCTTGCTTTGAAGTGTGTTTTATTGATGTTTGGATCAGGATCAGGGCTGTGGATGCCCGAAGCGCAACCACTATCTTTACTCCGCCGTGACATCGATCGCAAACCGGAAAGACTGCGAAGAGTACTGACTGATCCTGCGATGCGTAAGCACATACTGGGAGGTGTACCCAACGACGAGAAGAAGGCTATCAAAGCTTTTGCCGCTCAAAATGCGTCCAACGCCCTCAAAACCAAGCCGAAGGTACGTCGCGGTCTGCTTCGAGCCCTCTTGTTAGTACCTATCTGCTCCTGTAGACTCAAGTGCTCGAGCCTGCAACAGCGAAATTATTTCGCCATCATCCCGCAGAACGTCACCACATGTGACGGCCAGGGAGCAACTCAGGCGGCTCTGGCAGCTGAAGGGCAGCCGTCCAACTTACAGATGTGTTGATGTCAATATTGAAAAAGGTGCACGAGCCAGCAGGTGGATGCGAGCGCAGGCAGCTGTCAAACCCTTGGTTAGTCGCCATCAAATGCCGTCTTTGGTTGCAGGGGAGCGGCCACAGACAAGGGCGAATGCCCAGGGATCGGAACTGCCTGCGCACGACCCAGCCCTCGCCCGGCTCGTCCAGCTCTGTTCCAGCTCAGTTCCAGCCAACCACTCAGCTCAAATACGACAACACACCTCTTTTCGCCTCGGTCGACCGTTCATTGCAGAACACATGTTTTAGAATTTAGTAGATGACTTGCATGAACCGAAACTGACTTGTCACACTACAGGGGTACGAGGCGGACCACCCGAACATCGACCTGATGCGCCTGCGCAACTATACAGCCGGCGTCCGGCTTAAAGAGGAAGAGGTACTTGGGCCGAACTTCCTGGGCAGAGCGCTTGAGATCATTGGCGCGATGAGACCGCTCGTGAGTTCCCCCCTCCCCCTTCCTCACCCACCGACATTTGTGGTGGTCTCCACACACACATCTTTTGTGCTCTCACGAGTCGCCCCCTTGCGTCGGCAGGGAGAGCTCGGGCCTCGACTCGAGCTAACATCGCTTCAACATGATGTTTGCTTGTGCCCTAACCAATGGAGCCCAATGTCGAAGCCCGCATTCGAAATTGATGCAGTCTGGTTGCTGTATCACGCAAGGGCTGACCATTGGCGACACTGCTTAACGCGCCTCTTCCAGGGACTTCCTGCTGATTTTGATAAAGGTCACGTATCTCAACAGCGTTGTCATGCCGGACTCCAGTAGCGACGAGTCTGACGAGGATGACGAGGATCAGGACGATGAGGACTCGTAGATGGGATAAGCGAGCTCCTCCCGTCTGCACTTCTGCAGACCCTTTCCTGCACAATCCATGTGGTGGGACGGGTACCATGTACAGGCATAATGGTCCATAATCGTGCTGGCAAATCGCAAGTCCTATCAGAAGCTCTTGAATGAATTTCTTTCGAAGTCTGGCTGGCAGGGGTTTTCAGTTGTCGTACCATGCGACTCATGCTTGGACGGCAGTCTGAACTGGAGATGCAGGCGATTCTTGACCAACAATATGAAAGCCCGCCTGGCTGCTGCCCAACTGCAAGTCCACGGCTAGGAGAAGCTGCACCTACAGCTGAACCATCCACCGGCCCACCTGTAATTTGACAAAACGAACATTAGATCGGCGCCTAGCTACCACTACCGAATAGGAATCGTCGAGACGCGGCAAGCGCTCGCGGCTGCCCACGTCCATTTTTGGTCAGGTGACCGACAGACTCCATGACTCGCCAGAGGCGATGTTTCTGTGGGCCGGTCCTTGGAGCCCCTGTATCTGGTACGATACACCACAATACCGAACAAGTAAATCTCCTTGCGTGCTTCTCAAGCATGCATCAACGCCGCAAGGATGCGCAAGGGTCGCCTGGCTTCTCTTTATCTTGCTACTTGTACAAGACTCAGCTCTAGCTACTTTCGTAACCGTGCTGGCATGTACAGCCTAGTCTGCACTCGGTGTCTCTCTCCAGACATTGTGTAAAGTGATATGGGGCGCATTCTCCGGAAGCTTTTACTAAAATGTAGCGCTAAGCGGTGCCGCAAGTTACTCCTCTAGCGATCAAGTCGGTGTGATATCACATTCTGCAGGCGATCAAGATGAGAGCACTTGCGCGAATCAAGTTTCGGGGACTATTCGTGCTAGTCAGGCTCAATCCACCTGCCGTATGCACGCCAACTGTGCTCGCCGAGTCAAAGCGAAGGATAAGGCCTCAAACGCATGTCCATGTAAGGTCACCTTCTGTGGCACTCATGGCCGGCATAAAAGACCACGCGTTGATGTTTTGTGTTCTCGAGTACGAGATTTGAGGCGACGCCAGGCGCAGCGCCTGCGCAGTGTGGTAACACAAGAGTGAGCCGGTCGGTGTTTGCGAACTCTTCTGGCATCGCTTTGCCTACCGACAGTGCACCATGACTGATGGCTGACCAGTCGTCCCGCTTCTCTGCGGCAAGAGCCGTTGAGGCTTCCCCGGGAATCACCCTGGGACGGCGAATTGCGAAGCAGGCCAAACTGCAAAATTGTCCACAGGTAATGCGCATCGCAAACACTTCCGGATTTTGTCCCACCCGGGAGGCCTACTCGCCTACGCGAGAATCCCTGCCATTACCGGTAAATGCAGCTGAAGCCCAACAATTCCGTGACTGCGATCTGAGCAGATCCAAAAGCCACTGATGGCGGTTCCGCCTGCAGCAAGAATTGGCCCCTAGAGAGGCTTGCTCGTAACGCCATTCCAATAGCAACCTGTCAATCAAGGGCTGTCAATGAGGCAAAGGGGTAAATGTGGCACTTGCAATGTGGTAAGACAAGGCAACGATGTCCGGCTTTGAGGCTTGAGGATGGTGCCGTGCCGCCAGTACGACCAGCGAAGCACAGGCGCCCGCTGCGCTACGGGCCGGATCATGCCTTCCCGCCCCGGGCCCTGCGCAGTGGGATTGGCAGATCTTAAGTCGTGTCATGCCCGATAACCCCCGTTCCTTTCCACAACTTGCAGGCACTTTGCATAAGTAGCGCGAGACAACCTGCCACATTGACCGAGATGGCTCGGTCGGGCGTCGGTCCTCATGCGCTGGCGCCAGTCGGAACCAGCTGGTCGCTTGGAGTGCAACAAGGGTCGGATCCCAGGCCTGTTTGACCGGTCAGAAGACCTGTCGATATTTGTCTGGTTGGTGGCTGCTTCATGGAATTTGAATTCGGGCTGCTGCAGTTCGATGTGTGTCTCGTCTGGTGAGCAGAGCTTACGCACCGCATTTGGATCACGGGACCGTCTATCCAAGTGATGCACTGCTGCCAAAACAGTAGCGAGACGAACTAATGAAGAAGTGGGAACAAGAGTTGCTCCTCACCGCCTTACCACGCGCATGGAGGTTCTTCGTTCGGGGTCCCCGTCCTTGGGAAGCGCATGTGGTTCGCGGTTACGACACCAGGCTAAGAAAGTTGTCATGCCTTAGGCGCCGCCCGTGTCCATCCATTTATGCGAATGACGGGCTGCCGTGTCAGTACCAACAATCCGGGAAGTCCACTAGGAATCCTCGCAAGACCAGTCAGAGCACGAACCTGGCACTTCCGCATCTTGTGGCTGCGATGAGAGTCGAAGAGGGCTTGGACTTGCGTCCCCGAGTGGCCCGAGCCATACCAAGGAGACCCTGGTTAACGATAGAATTTTGCATGGATTTGGCGGCGTCCGGCAAAGTTGTAGTCATCATGATGTGAGTGTAAGAGGCTTGTTCCGCGACTACCAATGCAGTTCTTGTCAGCAAAGTCAACGCTGCATGCAAGTGTTGAAATGATAGCCCCAGTCAACATCGAACCCCAGGTCTCAACCAAGCCAGGCCAAAATGACAATATTTCGGTATCTTACCGCTTCGTACGTCAAACAAGCGCAGTCACTCTTGAGCGGGCGTAACCGCCAACCGAGGCCAGCATCTTAGCCGGCCCCGTAGCGGGCCCATGCGAATCAGCTGCAAGCTAAGGAGGCGGGGCGATGCTGCAGGCTTCGCGGGAACTTCCTAGACCCCTGTAGGCTAGGTATGTTAAGCGTTTCGATGACGGCGGGCGCTGAGTGATGGGAACACAGAGTAGCGAACCGTGACAGTTGTAGATGGGGCATGGAGGTGCAGACATCTGCAGGTTGGAGGCTACACAGGGAAGAGGTTGGTGGCCAGCATACAATGCCTGATACCGTCCAACACCGGGGGTTGACGAGGTCGCCTGTACGCAATGAATCTTACTTATGGCCGCCCACCACGCCGATTGCCCTTTCTGCCACCTGAACGGTTGACCGCTCAGCCGCCTGACAGCACCTTCGCCCTGCCTACACGGCCACCCCAATACAAGTGGAATTATCACGCATTCCATTTCATCGCGTTCATTAACATTGCCATCACCGCCTTGGTCGCAAGTGTCTCCATCTTACGTACGTCTCGCTCTATCCACCTTTGGTCTCAGCCGCACCATCCAATCACACAGCCAAGGGCAGCCTGAAAAACTCAGGCTGTAAACAAGGGTACCTATCGATAGCACGGCTGAAGGAACGAACCTAGCGCCGCAATCTGCGGTCACGGGAGAGGGCCATCGCCTCTTCCCACACCCTTCTACGCCTTGTCTAAAGTCTGTTCACACAATTCCAGGCTTCGCCCGGCATCGATAGCGACGAGGTGGTGTCCAAAAACACTGATTTGCCATCGAGTCCACTCATACACGACCACCACAGCATAGCCAGTCGAATCGATCGCCGGTATTTAGCTGAGAAAAGAGTCAAACATACGGCCAGCTTCCGGCGCTGACAGGCCAGCCCATCACAGCTACCCCGACCTCCAGCAAACTTACTAACGTTACGGAGTAACCACACTGGAACGGCACGCGAAAACAAACTTGCGCAAAGCAGGACGGAAGCTGAGACCCGTGCCAGCTCCCTTTTTTTTGGATGACCCAAAAATCGCTCCATCCTTCCGCCTACATTACACCTCAGACCGCACGCCGTCTCACTCGCGGCAGCGCCATCGCAATCCACTATACCAGATACTTGAGACCGGGCTCGCCTGCCCGCAGTTGACCGAACACCACTCTGAGAGGACTAGCGAGACGCCCTAAGCCGGCTATCCCTGCACTCACCGAAAAGCCACGCTAAAGCGGTCCCGGAATCCTGGGCCACCAACTGCACCTAAAGCGACAACCCTTTCGCACCAGTGAGCCCACTCATCCACTCCCAGAAAAGCTTTTCAGGCTTTCCAGAAACCACAAAGTCTCTTGCGTGCAGCCTTTGCTCGGCTCCCCTCTGGCTTTCTCTGGCTTCCGTTTGGCTTCAGCTATCCCTACGCCCTTGGTTATACCGAACTGCCAGCAGCCATTCATCGGCTCGCCACGCGCAGCATCCACCCCCTGCGACTCCTCCGAAGCCCTCCACACCTCTCGCCAGTCACACCGCGAATCACCGCCAATATAACGCCCTCCTTCACACCTTCTCTGGCCTCTGCCGTCATCCTGTCTCCTTCTTCAGCTCGTCACCTCTTACCCGGCCCCCTCCAACCACAGCTCGAGTCCTTGTTGCCTCCCTCGAGACTCCTTCCAGAAATCCTCGCCTTTCATCCCATTACCCGACACCTGATCACCTGCGCAGCCGGTCTCCACTACCGGATCGCCGTACTTTTTGCGCCGCCGCACACGTTGGCCGGATAATAATCTATCTGCCCCTTGCGTAAACCGCAACTGTTCTTCCTCTACACGCTTTCATCGACCTGTCGACTGGTTCGCTGGTCGTCACTATTTTTTCTCCCTCCCTCCTCGCCGCCGCCGCAGCCCGAATTGCCCCTCCTCTCCCGACCTTCGTTAGTTCCGGATACTCCCTGGCCCCCGTGCGACCACCTTAATCTGGACCTGCATATCTCACGTCAATGCAACTACCTCCGACCATGGCGCAAACAGGAGATTCAAGACCCCCATATCCACCGCCGGAAGGTCCAAGCCAAGGAAGCTACTACGGACAGCAGCACTCGCCGCAGCAGCGACCTCCCACAAGAGATGAAAGTGGCCCATACTCTGCGCCTCCATCTGGATCCGAGCCACCTCGTCAGGGCCAGTATCCCCCTGCTCCAGCTCCGCATGACCCAAGAGCGCCGGCGCCCTACCCTCCCCCTGGTCAGTGGCCTGGACAGCAACACAGTGCTTATCCTCCACCGCCGCCGCATCATTACCCTGTAAGTTAACACCGAATCATAAGTCGTGGTTGCAAAGTGCCACGTGCTGACGTTCCTAGGATCCCCAGGGGCCTTACAACTACCCACCTCCTCGACCAGATATGGGTCAGCCTCCTCAGCCGCTGCAACCCGATGCTTACCGTCTGCCTCCCCCGAACCCGCACTACCCTTATGGGCCCTACTATCAAGCTGCACCGCCGCCTGCTCAGGCTCCACGCCAGCGTACTGCCATTGCTTGCAAGTACTGCCGGAAACGCAAGGTACGTTCATCTGTGAAGGCCATGAGAAGCATGTGCTAACTTCCATTCCAGATCAGGTGCTCCGGCTACGAGAACTCTCCCGACGGGCGGTGCCAAAACTGCGTGCGCTTCAATCAGCAGTGTCTCTTCCATCCAGTGTCATCGCAGGCTGCTTTTGTGCCGGCTTCTGCGGTCTATGGTCCAAATGCTCGGTCCCCCATGACCCCCCAGGACGGGCGCCCTGGTGAGAACGGCCAATATCGGAATGGCGATCAGCCTCCTATGCTCTATGGCGCCCACGGCCAGCCGCTAGGACCTCCTCCTGGACCCCAGGCTCAGCAAGGATACAACTATGGACCTCCTGCCCAAGGCTACCCTCCGCAAGGTTATCAATATCCGCCGCCGCAGTATCCGCCGCAACAACAGGGTCATTCTCCAACCGGACAGAATGGACCTCATTATGAGCATCAAGGACAAGCTCACCATCAAGATGACCGAGTCAGTCTTAAGCGTCCCCCTCCCGATGATGATCCGCACAACGAGAATTCTCATACTTCTCAGTCTCCACACCCGAACGCACGGGCCCGTCATAGTACGTATGACTCGCGCGCAAATTCCCGGGATAGCTATAGCTACCCATCCGATCCCTCAAATTTGACCCCTACTTCCCCTGCGACTTCGATTATGAGCCACCAGTCATATCCCCCGCAACCGTACACGAATGGTCATGGACAGAAGGGTAACATTTCTCCTCCCGCAGGCTTGACTCCGAATTCAGCTCAGAGCTACCACTCGCCGCATACGGCCGATGGCGCAACTCCCCCTCCAAACCCGTCCAATTCTGCCGGGCCTGCTGCCAACGGTCGCAGCGGCATGAGCGTGCACGATATGCTCCATGGCGGCCATCCCGAGCAGCGCGCGAAGAACGACAACGATATGCTCAGCAAGCTCGATGGCAAGAAATGATGCGTGCCCCGACGAAGGAGCGCACCATGCTCGATTTGCCAGCGTATTTCCTGAACTTCCTCAAACTCGAATTTTTTGTTTCATAAGAACCACGACACATAAACAATAGGGGCAACCCAACTTTTCCTTTTCTTCAGACTTTTGTCCCACACAAAATCGCAGAGCAATCTGCGAGATGGGCATACATATCACTACGCTTTCTGTTACGCAATTGGGAAGGCTGTCTGATCATTTATACGCGCTTCATCGCTTTTTACGCGGGCAGCGATGCCACCTTAACTATAACAATATCACTATCAATACCAACGTCGGCAATCGGCAATCATAGATGAAAGGAAGGACGGCAATGCTACGACTATCCGATTTATGCGGATAATGGTGCTATGGCGGTACAACGGCTGCGAAGCTGAATACCCTGGGTCGGCTGTCTGAAATGTTATTTGTTTGCGCTCTTCGGTAACTGGAAACATGGGTTCAGAGCCTCGAGACGGATGGAACTTGTTGAGAGATAGGAGCTGACAAGTGGAGTACATGTGCAGCTCAGTAGCGTCGAGGGTGGCGGTTAAGAAGTCAATCAAAGTGTCTACAGCACAGACAGTCGACATGGCCGTCCATACCAAGGGCTAACAACACTTCCGCTTCTGGGGGCTCAACGCGAGTGTTTGCGTGTTTGCTTGCACGGCTTCCGTGGCTTGCAGCGCACATGTTTGGGTGGGAGTGGTGGATCAAATGTGGACGAGGATCGAGGGTACCATTCATTTCAATAGTAAATTTACCGTCGTCAAGAACAGAGACTACTGCTTTACAGACCGACTCCTCCTTATCCTCCGTATCTTACCTACCAGTCGACGACGGTACACAAGACGCCAGCGGATACATATACTCCAAAGTAGTTCCAAGTACTGACGACGTCTATGGTACGTAGAATGCAGCCTGAATATGGTTCCATCGGAAAAGAGGCTCTGTGCGCCATCGACTGATGTGTAGACCATCCGATCGCCACCATCTTGCAGCACGGCCCGTGGCCCTCGCGAAGATGTCTGATAAGGTTCCCGTGTTGGCATATCAGCCAGCCATGTCCGCTGAAGACTGGTGCGCACTCGCCGACGTTCCTGCAGTAACATTCGATGCCGACGACCACTCACCCACACGACGCAGCTCAAGACACTCGCGCGAAACCTTAACTTTATCGCTCCGTGCTCGCAACGTTCGGGCACCATTGCTGCACAGCTAGCTGCGAGCCCGGATGGCGATCCCCACTGGCGAGCACATGCCACCGGGGCCACTTAGACCGCTCGAGACGAGAGACCTTGTGAGCTTCTCCGCTAGAAAGCATTTTTGTCAACAATAAGCAGCATCCCTCACGCCCCCCAAGCTCGTCCTCCAGCCGCGATGTGCCTCATGAAGTCCAACAGTTCATTTGTCGTAGGGGAGGACTGGAGGGCTGCCCCCACCAGCATGCCCGAGAAATCCGAGTCCCATCCGCAAAACGCAAAGCACCCGCACCCGCATCCGCGGAAACATGGGTCTCATGCTCGATTACGACGAGGGTCAAGCACCCTTGACGCTTATGCTCACGCGCCTGCCCGTACCCGGGCCTCCAGCCGCTGTGCAGCGACGATCAAAAAGCATACCCTTTTGGTAGCAGTGCTGATCTTTGTTGGTGGGCATGGCCCAAATCTTTTGCGCACATCGTTTCCTCTTACCTTGGGATCCCAAAACCGTAACCCATCAAACATTCTTTCATGGGATAGTGAGGGAGGAGAATAATGGGCGGAATTTCTGACCACACACGGCACGAGCAGGAAGACCGCGCGGACCATTCAAGTATCCCAGTCGACCGATCCAAGGACATCTGGACAAGGGCCGGAGACGCTAAACGGCTCCAGAAAACCAGTCACATGTGTGTGCCCCTCTCCCTCCCAGGGGACACACCAGCATTCAAACAGAGTTTTGCCCCTCCTTTCCAGGCCAAGCGAGAGAAAAAAAAAGCTTGTGATGTGATGGAAAAAAACCTCGTGTTCATGCGAGACATACACTCCGTACCACCCCTCTTCCAAGACTAGATAGGTTGCCGAGGCGCGCGTGTGGAACTCGCGCGGCCAGCGCTCTCGCGCTTGCAGACCTCACTATTACTCGTAGGAGGCACTTCAGCTGACATCTACCCATGGCTGTTGGCAGTTTTTTGTATTTCTTGGCTTGAGGATTTGTGTAACGTGATCACGAGCTTTGTGTAACGTGTCAAGACGGCAACTGCAGTGGCGTTGTGAGTGGGTTGCCTGCCGAGGACAATGGGCGGGAAAATACGAGCCACGGTGGGTAGTGAGACTGCGGTAGGTGCGGCATGAGGACAACGGTATTTGCAATTGTAGCTGGTCGACACTGAGGGGTACACTGACAAGGGCCTGTCCGTGATCAAAGATACTGCTTGCTTTCGGAACGAAGGCTAAAGGACTGAACGGCTCCAGTTCGCCGCTATCAAATGAGCCAGAATGCTGTTCGTGCAGCTTCTATCGTGGTCTCAAAGCGGTCTGTTCTAACGTCCTAAGGCACGACCCCTGGGGGGTTCTCATCACTCTTGCTTCCATGAGCGTGATGTCCACTCGCGAACTCCCTAGCCTCCTCCGCTTCGAGCTGCTGCTCCAATTGCAACATGGAATTCCACACCTCCTGTAGGCGTTCGTCTTTCCCTCTGTGTTCGAGGGTCTCTTCCAGCCACAAGAGGACATCGATGGGTCTTGGGTCCATCTCCCCATCGTACTCGATCAGGATCCGAAGAAGCCGCTCCCTGGCTGTTTCCGTCTGCGCTCAGTCTGCCTTGTTGTAGAGATCACGACACACCAAGTACGCTTCACGCACTGTGTTTGCATGGAACGTTCCTCCAGCCTCAACGTCTCCTAGGCGAGCGTTGAGCTCGCTCGAAAATCTTTGCGTATCATCGTGGCATCCGGCTGCTCTTGCGTGGAAAACTCTTAGCTGCAAACATTGCAGCGACTGCATGCTCGTCTGGCCATAGAGCCCATCGCATTGGTCAAGCACATTCTGAACATTTGACTGAGACACTCTCCATCTGGGATCAAACGCATTTCTGATGCTCTCTTTATGGTACGGACCCAGTGTCTCTTCAGTACAGTCTCGGACGCCCTGCAAACAGATTTCGACCCTTTCCTCATCATAGTTGTGCCATATAACTTGGGGTAACGTCTTCAGGATATGTGTCGAAGGGTGAACAGGCCCGTGAATCAATACCAACATGTGTGAGAGATACTGCACGACCAACTTCAGCGACAGTTGCAGTTGTTCCTGCGCAGTTGACGGAACGTCATATCCGTCCAGCCACATTGAGTAGATCAGATCCCGGACTAGATCTATAGACTCTCCTTCAAGCTGCTGTGTGGCGATGCGGCACGCGTGAGAGAACAGCAATCTGGCTAGGGAGTGCCACTTGCGCTTCGAAGCGTTCTCCGCTGTGTCGAGCAGACCCCCAAAGTCCCCCGGATTTGAGGCTTGGTGCATCTTTACAGAGGCGCAATATCTATGCTGGCCATTGCTCACCCAAGTGCCTGCTTCAAAGGAGCCATGAACGTATGTCTGAATCGTTGCGCAGAGAAGTTCAAAGCCTGCAGTGGGCTCAGTGCGAGAGCGCGATCTATACAAGCAGAACGACGATAGCATCGCAGACTCCTTCCGGACTGGTCGAGAGCCATAAGCGGATCGCTTTGTTCGCTCCTGTGCCACTTGCGAGCCTCGTCTAGCAGCATCCAGTCGCAATATTTGCCTGTAGTCACCCCTCCGGCGGACAACAAGGGCATGACCACGTGCTTGCGGCTTCGCTGCTAGCCGTCTCTGATGTCGGTTGAGCTCACCGCGTGTGCCTAATTGCCGGCCACATGCGCAAGCTGTCTCCTCGCCATAGCCAGAGCGATTCTGACCACAGATGAAGCGACGACGGCCTTGGTGAGAGACTTCCAGGTGTTTGCGGAGGTCGTTCCTATTTTTGAAGGGCTTGTCGCAGTCCGGGCAGGGAAACCGCTGTTGGCTGTGTGCGGCAGTAAAGTGGTTTCTAAGAATGTTGCCACGCACAAAAGATTTATTGCTAGCCTGGGAAGTGGCAGGCAAAGCGTTTACGGGAAATAGTGCTGGTCGTGGTCATGGCTTCGGTTTGAGCCCATTCTGTGGGAGTGTCAACGTGCTCGAGCTGGGTTTCTGTAGATTGCATATCCGAGAACAGAGGCAGCAAGGACATCTCGGTTGTCGACTTCTATGGCACAAGGTATGAGTCAAAGATAGCGGAGGAAGCATGCAGTCTAGAGGCAGTGAAGTGCGCGAATGGGCGGATGCTGCCTTGTAGATATACCAGCAACTGCCAGCTCGCCACTACTGCAGATAGAAGTTGACAGCTGCACCGGTGCAATTGCAGAGCTGATTGACCGGGCCAGTCGAATACATCCGACTATCAGGCAGGAGCGAATCCTCATTCCGACACTGGTGTGACTAGACCATGAGGTCGTGCCGCCGGTCGTTGCCTGCTCGGGAAAGGTAACCAATCAGACCTTACAGGAAATGCACTGGTGCAGATGCATGAGGTTGCATATCTTGGCGGGCCGCTGGATGCCTGCTACGAAGCTCAGCCTTGTTGTTTACACAGTCCTAGTCTGCACGGCCGCTGATGTGGCTTTTGGTAGTGCGAAGCGAAAAGCCAACTGGGAAGGCACAGTCATTGAAGAGCAGCTCGTCGTTGTAGATGCCGAACTGGAGGTAGTTATCTTGCCGGTAGAGGGTCATGTGGCAGATTGAGAGTGTACCTGACGTGAATGCGACTGCTGGAGTCTTTGGAATTCTTTGTCTACCTGCGCTTCTGCGCTGTTCTTTTTTCCAATGAGGATTTTCCCTGCACGCGTTGAAGTTTCCGGATGTGCTCGAAAATCTAAGTCTTCTGGTGATTCAAAGATGTAGGTCAAAGACGAGATTCGGAATGAGCTGGGGGTTTTGCGCGGAAGGACTCCCCTCTATGCTCGAGAGGGAACCACTCTTGTTGCTGGCTAAAAGCGTGTGAGCGCCACCCGCTCGACAATGTATCTGGAATGCTTAGTGTTCAATGTCGTCCCCTGACCAGCACATTAGCGTCCGGTACTTTCGCATGAAGACCATGCGCAGATGGTGGGAAACACTTACAAGCCCGCCCTTGCACGGCGCCCAGTTCATCCATGCTGAGTACCTTGCCAGTCGTGAAATAGCCTGCGTGGATCTTCGCATCGATCTCCACGCGGCTGTCTTCTGGGATCATCTCTTCGGGAATTGGAATCCGCTCTTTGATCTCGATTCCTTGCTCAACGATTGCATCGTGCTTCATGTTGCTCATGCTGAGCATGCGGTCAATCTTGGTGATTCCCAACCAGTGTAGTATATCGGGCATAAGCGCCTGGAAACGCATGTCCTTTACGCCTGCGATGTTTTCTGTACGCTGGAAGTACTCCGAGGCCTTGTCTTGGCCACGCTTGCGGGCATTGTAAACCAGGTACTTAGTTACCTCGCCCAGGGCGCGACCTTCTTTGCGGAAGTATATCACCTGCAGAAGTGTGAGTACAACGGAGACTTCTGGACGCAATCGAATGGGGAAGCGGGCCAGACAAGGCCAAGAGCCGGAGAAGGAAGGGATTTGGGAGCTTACCACACCAGAGCCGCCGTTTTGCGCTTCTTTGACAGCTTCTTCGATACCGAAGATGAGGTATGGTCGGCAAGTGCAGATGTCGCTACCGAAAACATCACTGCCATTGCACTCATCGTGGACGCGGAGGGCGAGTTTAACGTTCGGGTCAGACATCTTGGCTGGGTCACCGAAACAGTACACCGTCAGACCACCAATCGGAGGAAGGAACACCTTGACGTCGTTCCTGGTGATCAGTTCAGGATATGAGCCACCAGTATCTGCTCGAGTGTTAGCCTTCCCAGAGAAATGACACAAGCAAGTCTTTTAACATACACTCAAACAAGGCCCGCCTTAGACTCGCTTCGTCAATACCAAACCGCTCCGCCACGCCCGGAAGATACCATACGGGCTCAACCGCGAACTTGGTCACGGCCAATTCACCTTGCTCGTTGAGGCATATTTTCCCATCGGGCTTCAAGCGCCCCGCTCTCACACTTTCCTCCAGCTCTGGAATCTTCATATGTGCCTTCGTTACGGCAATGGTCGGCCGCACATCCACGTTTTCTCGCGTCATGAGATCCTTGTACAACCACGGTGCCAAATGGCCAAAGGGGTCCATGGCCACGATTTTCTTGGCAGATCCCCAGGAAGGAAACGGCCCAATATTCGCAGCAGGCTCGGTGTTCGTGAAATCGGGCTTGTGCTCGAGGTCCAGGTTAGCAGACGCTACAGCCAGAGCATTGTAGATAGAATAAGAACCACCGTGAGCGCCAATAGCGTTGCGTCGACGGATAGTACCTTGTTGACGAGAAACAATGACGGGTCCACGCTTTGCAGGATCCGCTTCACCCCAGGATAAAGGAATGGGATCGATACCTGACTGGCCCGGATAAGTGGTGAGGATGATGCGAGACGTGGTGGATTGACGGCGAACGGTGGGCGAAGATGGTGCCTTGAGCGGAGAATCACTGGGAGGCGACGATGAAGACTTCCCGAGCTCCATTGGATCTAAGGAGGGGGAGTCGCGAATGCTGGAGCGATGATTGCCTCCACGTAACGAGGAAAGCGCTGACTGGGTCTCTACTCGAGAGGACAAGGACTCAACGTTCGCCGATAGAGCAGCATGGTCAAGTTGCATACGCTTTAGGGTCAGAAGGATTTCAGAGAGTACGGCCTCATTGCCGGAGCCGTTGGTCGCCATGGGTGTGGTGGCGGAGATAGAAGTAGCTAGGGCTGAGTTGAGCGATTGATACCGACAGCTACCCTCCCAGTCCAAACACTGCTGTGTCAATAGAATAGGCCTAGACAAAGGTTGTGGAGGCGACAGGAACGAGAGCAAGTTAGACAATGTGAGAGCAACAGGATGTACCAGGTTTCATCGAAGTCTAAGCACGACTCTTTATATTGGCGGTCGGGGGACTCCGACGACGTTGATAACGTATGCCAGTGTAACAATGGACAGCGGACAAGGGAGCGCTGTTGGAGGTTGGGGCGCCCCCACTTTCACGCGTCGACCACTGCCTGGGGGTCTCGGTGTTGCCTCACGGCTGAGGGAAACCCTTATCGATAACGGTGCGAATGCCTTTTGAGATGCGGCTTTGTTGATGGCACTCAGCCTCTCTTCCCATCTTCACAGCTCGTTACTAGTCGTTAACAGTCATTCCTAGTAACTGAAGAACATGGTATGACACAGTCGGGCACTCTGGTCGTTCAAGCTAACAACGGGTAGGGCAAACGAAAGAAGTCTTCGCGCAAGCCCGCCGGACCCAAGAAGGTGCGTTGTCGCACTGCGACTCTCGTGACATCGTTCATCGAACCGCAGCTCATTCTACATACAGCGCGAAACTCTTGCATCAACATTCACCTGCTTATTTTGCAACCACGAGAATGCAATAATAGTCAAGATCGACAAGAAAGGTGGCGTTGGAAATCTATACTGCAAGGTCTGCGGCCAGAAATTTCAGACCTCGACGAACTACCTCTCAGTACCTGCCGACGTGTACTCGGACTGGATCGATGCGTGTGAAGATGTGGCAAAGGAGGCTGCCAGTGCTGAGGCTGCTGAAGTCGTGAAGGATCGCGAATTCAGCGACTATGCCACTGCAGGCATTGCTCGGGCTGGTGGGGACGACGACGATGACGACTACTGATACAACAGAGCCGGCGCAAGGCGTATATGGGGCATCTATGGAATGATACCTAGGAGAAGTGGCGCTATCTTGCTCCTTTGAGCATTTTGTCAGGTGCGGCGACACCAAGCAGGTCCAAGTTGCGTGAACGCCCCAGGTTGATCGTACCCGGGCACCTTACTCTATCCGTGTGCTTGGTCACCAAGCTGGGTCACCGAAGAGCTCAGGTGAGCCCGGAACGCACGTGCAAAGGGATGTTGGCCATCGTGGCAGCAGCTATTAGATTGTGGAAGGACAATAAAAGCATTTTGAAGTCTGAGGAACCACTCCAAGAATACTGTGCCTCGCAACTGGGGTTCTCCTACCTGGGATCATTCCCGAGCGTTAAATTCTAGATAGCCGATCATCTGGGCCGATGCCTGCAGGTATGGTCGCAACGGCTATCGCGATTGAAGTGAGCGAGGACAGTCAGGGGTTGGGTGCGAGACGCCCGTCGCTCTTGCATCGGCATCCAGATGCGGCCAGTAGGTCAAATCGCCTTGAGTATCAATCTTTCCGATGTATTACCTAGCAATCTGCAGTATGCGATCAAGGCTCATCCGGTTCACACCGCACAAGAGATTGACGAAGTCAACAACCGCCCCCACCACCCCGTTCCTTCTACAAGGATTGAGCACTGAATGGTCAACTGTGGTCATTTAGCTTCTCCGCCGATCAGCAGTCGAGCTTGTGCATGGTGCGACGTGAGCTATCGTGGCTACACTGTACAGAGGACATGTAATCACATACGCGTCCCTATCCCCGCGATTCAGCCCATCGGCGTGAAATGACGAGTTCGGCGTGTTCAAGCTAGCAGAAGGAACGCGCCCCTGAACTACCGAGGGGTCCCCTGCAACTGCGTATCAATCGTATCAGGAACATGCTCAAACCTTCGCTGTTGCCGAGGCATGCAGCCTGTGCTGTGCAGACTGCCAATACTCCTTATAATGGTGCTGCCTACATTGGCTCCTCGCTTTGCGCGTTTTGCGATTGTTAACGCCAGATGACAGACGGCTGCGCTGTCCTCAATCAACGCACCCAATGTTAGCTGCCTCACGATCACACGCAATCCGTTCACGCTTCCACGCACTCTAGATCCTGGTCAACCGAGCTGCTTCGTCGCTAAGCTGGCGCCTTGAGGACGTGCTTTGGCTGTTGTCGGGTACTTCTTCTGCTCGCTGCTCAACATGACACACCAGCACTCCAGTGTGTCTGCTGCAGGACTTTTGAAGAAAGTCATCGCGCTGCCTTTCAGCGTAGCAGGCTATTTGGCGTTCGAGCCGGTTACGACCGGATTGCTCCTATACGGCTTGACCAAGGCCCCAAGCCAGATTCGCGATCAGCTGCTCAGGCCGTTACAGGGATCTGGTCTGCCACTGGATCGTCTTGTTACACCACTCAAGTATCTCTTTGCTATTGGCATTGCTCGCAGAATACACCATGTGCTGGACCGCCTTGCGCTCAACTACTGGCATATAAAACGTCATGGCGAGCCCTGGAGATTCGGCGACGAGAAGCTGAGCGAGCTGATCCTCATCACGGGGGGATGCTCAGGCTTTGGTGCTCTCATGACCAAGGGCTTTGCTGGCAAGGCGCGCGTGGTTGTCGTTGACGTATCTGAGCTGCCAGAAGATCTGGCCAAGCGTGAGTGCATATAGGCCGAAGGTATTCGCCCGACTGACCAGATTCAAGTTCCAGGAGTGTATTATTACAAATGTAACATTACCGATGCCTCTGAAGTTGCATCTGTAGCTGCAACCATTCGTCAGAATCACGGCAATCCCAGTGTACTCATCAACAATGCTGGTCTTGGTAAGTAGCTGCATCTCACTTTGGAATGAATGATTGACGGCGAAGGGATCGGTGCTACTGTCTTGGAATCTTCTGTACAACGAGTGGAGAAGATCTTCGCAACCAATCTAGTCTCCCACTTCGTTTTGATCAAAGAGTTCCTCCCCGCCATGCTCGAGGCAAGAAAAGGGCATATCGTTACTATGGGCTCTATAGCTAGCTTCCTTTCTATGCCTGGCATTGTTCATTACTGCTGCACCAAGACAGCTGTCAACTACCTCAATGACGGTAAGGCTAATTGTGCGTCATCGTCACAAGTCCGCTAAACAAAACTGTTATAGGTCTTCGATCTGAGCTGTTGACGCGGTACAGGAACGGGCACACAATCTGCATGACCAGTGTTCACCCAACCTTCCACGACACGCCTATGATCAAGAGTTTCCGCAGCGGATCAAACAGGAGTGGCTTCGCCATCTATCCTGCAGAGGGTACGACGAACAGAGTAGTTGAGCATGTCCTTCAAGGAAAGAGCGGTAAATTATACATCCCCGAATCATACTATTGGGTATCTTTTCTCAAGATGCTGCCGACGTGGTTCACGGACGTGCTTACCGGCCATCTAAAGCAGAGTTTGACTGGGGAGAGGAGGGATAGTTGACCCGTTGACCGCGAGGCTGTTCGGTTTGGGTATGCTTCGTTGGAGCCACGCGCGACCTAGCAACTTCCTATGTAGGCTTAGGGCTAATAGAGACAGAAGGAGGACTCAGCAGCACAGAATGGCGGTCTGGAGTGCTACTCCTATTGTTTTTGTACCCACAACGGCCGCGAGTGGGCCGTCCCTCCTCCTGACGCTGCCACGTTGTAGTCCACTCAGTCCCTGCATTGACTGCTTGGCGCCGGCCGCCTCACGCCGGTTCCGTCCCCAAGTATTCTGAACTTGTGCACATCCTTGCTATATCCTGACGCTTTTCGAGCAGCAATATGACAACCGAGCATCGTTCCCCGGGACGATTGCAAGGCCGCGTGGCTATCATCACCGGTAGCTCAAGTGGCCTGGGAGCTGCTATCAGTCAGGCGTTCGCTCAGGAGGGCGCAGTGGTAAGTACTTCTGATCTCCGCTCAACCTAGCGCCTAGCGCTTCTGAGTGGCTCCATGGCGTGCTCTTCACCATTCAGCCCGACCACAAAGTCTTCAGGCGTTGCGATCGCTACATGGAAGCCATAGTAGAACGCCGGCTGACAACCGCAGGTTTTCTGCGTGGATCTATACCCCTCGCCACGCAATGCAATCAACGCTACCACTGGCAAGGCGGATGATTTCAATATTCGTGTACATGGCCAGGGCACACACGAAAAGATCCGTCAGGCTGGTGGAGAGTGCTTTTACCAAAAAACTGATGTCACCAAGGCTCGGGACATGGACATGGCTGTTCGGGCGTGCGTTCATCGGTACAAGCGAGTTGACATCATAGTCAACAATGCTGGTGTCTCGGTCGAGAGCACGCACGTCCGACCCTTGCGCGCCCACGAGACAAGCGAGGAGGATTTCGACAAGACTATGGCAATTAACAGCAAGGGGATGTTTCTGGGCTGCAAATATGCTCTGAAGCAGATGCTGGAACAAGAACAGATCTATCGATCACGAGGCTGGATCATCAACACGGCTAGCGTGCAAGGGCTCGTGCCGTACTATGGCACACCAAGCTACTGTGCCAGTAAGGGAGCTGCGGTCATGCTGACGAAGCAAATTGCGTTGGACGACGCGAAGGACCTGATCCATGCCAATGCTCTATGTCCGGGATTTCTGGAGACGAGTATGACCCAGAATCTACAGAGTGACTTGGAGAGTAAGAAGGAGATTGAGGCAAAACATCCGCTCGGCGGGAAGCTGGGCAGCATCGAAGATGTAGCAAGAGCTGCAGTATTCCTGGCGAGTGATGACGCAGGGTGGATCACAGGTGTTCCGTTGCCCATTGATGGTGGCTATCTGCTGAGGTAGCACAACTGGGCGGCTTAGCTGCGTGGAACTCTGTCCACGGTCCTTTGCGGTGCCAGGACTTATGATGTTCGGAACACTTCGTGCAGCTATTACCATATGTACGGGACGGCGCTGACCTAGGTCCAAAATGCTTCACTTCGCGGATCGCCCTGTTGTCCTGGTGGTACGGACGGCTGCAAGATGTGGTAGGAGGCCACGAGGCCAGGCAAAAGCCGAAATCTGAGGCAGATTATCAAAATTTGTGTATGCCTGGTAGGCATAATGTCTGCGGAATGTGACAGTAGCCCCTCCCAGGTGGACCTCGACCAGGCGCTGACAGAGGCAGTGAATGAGCGGGGATAACTTTCTCCGGGACCCGGGGCGACATGATTTTGACCCGCCAAAAAGTGAGCGAAGTCAGTTAGCCGTGCCCGGAAAAGCTGGTCAAATATTACTCACTGACCACGACATCCCTGGCCTCTCCTCAAGAGACCGCACCAATATTGACACCATGCCTGTGTCCGCCCTCACCGAGAACATCAAGATCCCGCAGAACGGCGAGCCTGCGGCCCTCACACGCTCTGTGTCACGCAGTCAGACGGGCACATCCCAAGTCTCAACCTCGCCGACCGAACACTTTCGTCGCCCTTCCATGAGCAGCTATGGTCACGAAGGGCCCTCTCCGATCATGCGCCGCATGACCACCCATCAGACCGGCGTTCCCAAACAACTCAAGCCTTTCAGGGAACAAGACATCAAGATCCTACTCCTCGAGAATGTGAATATTACCGGCATTGAGATCCTCAAAGGGCAGGGCTACCAAGTCGAGACGCTGAAGAGCAGCCTGCCAGAGGACCAGTTGATTGAGAAGATCAAGTAAGCTGGCACCACGCTAAGCATAACGACTATCCTACTAACCAATCAACCTCAGAGACGTTCACGTCCTAGGTATCCGCTCCAAGACAAAGCTCACGTCCCGTGTACTTGCCTCGGCGCGCAATCTTATTGTCATCGGCTGCTTCTGTATCGGCACCAACCAAGTTGACCTCAAGTACGCTGCCAGCCACGGCATCTGCGTCTTCAATTCACCCTTCTCCAACTCACGCAGTGTCGCCGAACTTATAATCGGTGAGATAATTGCACTCGCGCGCCAATTCACCGACCGCAGCAACGAGCTGCACCAAGGCACGTGGAACAAGGTGTCTGCCCGCTGTTGGGAAATCCGTGGCAAGACGCTCGGCATCGTCGGGTATGGGCATATTGGCAGTCAGCTGTCGGTGCTGGCCGAGAGCATGGGCATGGATGTCATTTACTACGACGTTGTCAATCTCATGGCCATGGGAACATCGCGGCAGGTTCCAACACTCACTGCACTTCTCGAGCGCGCGGACTTTGTGACACTGCATGTGCCCGAGCTTCCGGAGACGACCGGCATGATCGGCGCAGAGCAGTTGGCCCAGATGAAGCAGGGCGCATACCTGCTGAACGCGAGCAGAGGGCACGTGGTCGACATCCCGGCACTGATTCAGGCCATGCGCGAAGGGCACATCGCCGGCGCAGCGCTTGATGTTTATCCCTCGGAGCCTGCCGGCAATGGCGACTACTTCACAAACGACCTGAACCCATGGGCAAATGACCTGCGCGCGCTCAAGAACTTGATTCTCACGCCTCACATCGGCGGCAGCACGGAGGAGGCTCAGTCCGCCATTGGTATTGAGGTCGCCGAGGCGCTGGTCCGTTACGTCAACGAGGGCGTCACGGTGGGTGCGGTCAACATGCCCGAGGTGAGCTTGCGCAGCTTGACCATGGACGAGCCCAACCATGCGCGTGTCATTTTTGTGCATCAAAACGTTCCGGGTGTGCTGCGGCGCGTCAACGAAGTTTTGGGCGACCACAACGTCGACAAGCAGATGACGGACAGCCGCGGCGACGTGGCGTATTTGATGGCCGATATCAGCAATGTGCGTGAGGGTGAGGTGGCGCAATTGTATAACGATCTGGAAGGATTGAAGGAGAGAATCTTGACCCGTATTCTGTACTAGAACAGCAGCGCTACCCGGCACAGCTCAGCCCGTTTTGGATGTGCAGGGATGAAGAGCTTAGAAACGCGACAGTATTTGCATGGCGCGGTGTTGGGACGGTGGCAAGGATCAGGTCTGAGACATATAAAGTCGCCCTCAACGAGCGCGGGGAGGAAGGAAAACGTGTACACGAATCTAGATACCAGAGGTAGTCCAAGGTCTTCTTCAACAGGACTTTGAGCTACATACGCATTAAGACAAGTTCTCATTCATCCCACAGTCCTCTAACCTCGGGACAATAAAAAAAGTCATAAGCTGGACTCCGTGGCGCGAAAACAAATCCAGCCCACCTATTGAGGTCTAGCAGACACTGACATCAGTAATTTCGACGCGAGTAGGAAACATTACACCGTACTATCATTACCCGCGCTTTAGACAACGTTGTTCTTGGGTGCGGGTGGAGCTGGCCCTTCGGCCGTGACATATGCCTTGCTGAGGCCGCCATCGACAACAAAGTCGGCCGCGTTGACAAAGCTGCTCTCATCGCTAGCCAAGAAGAGTACGGCCTGGGCCTGCTCGACCGCCTCACCAAAGCGACCGGATGGGAAATGCACCTCGCGGCGGTGACGCTTCGGCAGGTCGTCGCCCAACCAGTCCTGAAGGAGGGGTGTGTTGAGTGGGCCAGGGCAGAGAGAATTGAAGCGGATGTTCTCGCGTGCGTGCACCATGGCAAGCTCGCGCGTCATGGCCAGAACGGCTCCTTTGGAGGCCGTGTACGCCAGCTGCGGTGTGGCGGCGCCCATGAGGGCGACGAAGCTCGCGGTGTTGATGACGCTGCCTTTTGTTTTGCCATGCTTGCGCATCGAGAGCACGGCGTGCTTGCAGCCGTACCAGACACCCTTGACGTTGATGTTGTGGGTGAGGTCCCAGATCTTGTCGGTGGTGTCAACGGCGTCTGCGTCGAGGGCGTGCATGATCCCGGCGTTATTGAACACGATGTCGACACCGCCCCATTCGTCAGCGGCTGCGATGGCGGCTTCAACAGAGGCCTCCTTGGAGACATCGCATTCGACGATCTTGACTTGACCTGGGTGAGAAGGCACAATGGATGAAAGCTTGGCGAGCGCAGCGTCAAGAGCTGGCCGCGAGATGTCGGACATGATCACAGATGCACCTTCACGAAGGAAGAGGACAGTGGTCTCTAGACCGATGCCGCCGGCAGCTCCGGTAATGACTGTCAACGTTAGTGTTTGATGGGGTTAACATGGGTACAACGAGGCGTTTAGCAGGGGATGTGCTGGACTCGGGCTTACACGCAGTCTTTGCCGCGAGACGGCCAGGGCGGGTGACCTCGAAGCCAGTAGCGGAGACATTGGAAGTGCCGTTGGAAGCCATTATTGCTGCTCTGTATGATTCGAGGCCGTGGTCAATGGCGAACGCGCGGCTGCGGGTCGAAGCGATATTGGTGGGCGGGGGCGGCGGGGACGTCTAGCGGAGATGAATATGCAACGGACAGAGCGACCTGGAATGCCGCAATAAAAAGGCGATGGAAGAACCCTAGTCTATGGCTTGCCCAAACACCCAAACTTGATCTATGCGGTCAGGGCGGTCAGTAACAAAAGAGTGGTGGTACAGTCATAGAAACATCGTAGGGCGGAGATGATCATCCGGTTATCTTTGCTGCATCGTAACACCGTTTCCGCCCGAGAGTGGCCCGGTGCATATTTTCACGTGGCCGAGAGGCGATGGCAGCGGAGACCGGCACTGATTTCCATGCTTCTGCTTATCGTCTTGTTTGCAGAACGTCCGAGTCGCGTCTTCATACCGTACTACTGAATCTTTGGTACAAGACTGTACTCGTTTTGAAAGCGAGGAAATGACGTCGTTCAGGCTCGTCTCGTTGAGCACACGACCACCTTTCGTATTTACGGTGTCATCGCGGCATGTTTCCAGGCCCGTTGGAAATGTTACCGTGCTTCCTCGAGTGCAATGCGAAAGTCCATTGGCGAAAAGGTGAAGTGCATACAAGAAGAACAGATGAACCCGGATCGGCAGGTACAACCAGCTTAACAGCATGCACAGCGTAGTTGCACTGCATTAGTGGCGCGCAGCTTAGCTATGGGGCCGATAAGCTGCATTTAGCTGACGTAGCTGGGAACCCCCCTCTCCTCCCGTACTTCCACCCGCTCGTCCAGCTTGAGCAACACGCTGTCTGCGCCGCAGCCGATTCCATCCTGATTCAACATCATTTTCGCATGTGAAATACCGTCACCATGGGCTCGAAAGGGAATAAGGATGAGGTACTATCCCTCGACAACCTCGAGGCCGCTTTGTCGAAAGACACGCGAGTAAAGCTGGCAGGTGTCGACGTGGATGGCAAGCGCACTTACAACATGTTGCTGTCCGACTTGGACTGACTGTACCAGGTATGCTCCGCGGAAAGCTCGTCTCTAAGAAGAAGTTCCTCTCCGTAGCGAAAGACGGTTTTGGTTTCTGCAGTGTCATTTTCGGCTGGGATATGCACGATATGACCTACTTCCGGGAGCTGAAGATCAGCAATAAAGACAACGGATACAAGGATCTTATCGCTAAGATCGATCTCAAGAGCTACAGGAGGATACCATGGGAAGACAATGTACCGTTTTTTCTCGTCAACTTCTACGATCCAGACACCGACGAACCCATCTGTGCCTGTCCACGAAGCTTGCTCCGAAGCACACTAGCCAAGGTTCAGAAGGGAGGATATGGATCAATGGCGGGCGCAGAATACGAGTTTTTCACCTTCAGAGCGCCAAAGGACGCATCAATACAGACGTCACATACCTCGTCAGCCACAACGGCACCTTTCCTTCAGAGCAACCCAGCCCATTCTCTCCCACACCTCACCCAGGGAATGTTTGGCTACTCGCTGACCGATCCTATTCACAACCAAGATTGGTTTTACAGCATCTTCGAAACTTGCGAGAAGTTTAGGTGCAACGTTGAGGGCTGGCACACCGAATCAGGCCCTGGCGTATTCGAAGCAGCCCTCGAGTTCGGCGATATTGCCGAAATGGCGGACAGGGCTAGTATGTTCAAATACGTCGTCAAAGCGATGGGCAGCAAACACGGTATTACGCCCTGCTTCATGGCCAAGCCAAGAGAAGGACTGCCCGGCAACAGCGGTCACATGCACTGCTCGATCGTTGACAAGTCTGGCAAAAACATGTTTGCAAGGGCTGAAAAGGATCCTAATCCGCCTTTCAAGGATCTGGAGTACGTCTCAGATCTCGGCCGGCATTTTCTAGCTGGTCTGCTTGATGGTCTTGCAGACGTCATGCCAATCATTGCTCCTACTATCAACTCTTACAAAAGACTGGTTGAGAACTTCTGGGCTCCAGTTACAGTCTCCTGGGGCCTTGAACACCGTGCTGCATCTATTCGATTGATTGGTCCGCCGATCGCGTCAGCCAAATCAACCAGATTCGAGATTCGGGTGTGTGGTGCAGATGCCAACCCTCACCTTGTCCTTGCTACTATTCTAGGCCTTGGATGGCGTGGGATTGAGAAGAAGCTCGAGATCAAGCTGCCTCCTTTGTCCAAAGGTGCGGATGTCGGCAGTGAAGAAGACAAAGGCGAGAGATTGCCCAAGAGTCTCAAAGAGAGCACGGCCCGCTTTATGGCAAAGGGCAGCGTGGCTCGCGAAGTCTTCGGCGATGACTTTGTCGAACACTTTGGAGGGACCCGCGAACACGAATTGAGACTATGGGATGAGGCTGTCACCGACTGGGAAATCAAGCGCTATATCGAGACAGTCTGAGCAAGGAAAGTACATGATACCCCCTCGGATGTTTTCAATTGATGTGTTTGACGACAATGCATTGTCTTCATGACGTTCAAACCTCTGTGTTTGTATTCTAATTCGAGCCCTTGAAAGCTGTTTCTCACCTTCATTGTCCCTGCTTCTTATAGCAACATGCACTTGTCGGTCAAAGCACTCCAATACCGCAGAGGTGTAAGCGTCCTGGAAAAGACATACTGCATCGAGTACGGCCATAGCGAGCAGAATCACAAGGCATTTCCTTTCAGTCATTCTAAGAATTTGAGCCGCAGCTGAAGACAGCGTCCCAATCTTTTACACAAATGCAGACATGGCATCGCAGCAACCTGTGACGCCTCCTCGCAGAAGTTCCCGCATTGCTAACAGGCCACCTAGGCGCGTTCCATGGCTATGGTCTCCAGGCAGTGCGTCCTCCAGCAGAGTCGAAGAGGTGGACCCTTTCGACCAGGAGGACCAAATCACTAAACTCCTTAGGAATATGTACCAGGAGATTGATGAGACGGCTACCACACCCCCGGATGGAGACTTCCTGAGTCGCATATACACACTGATTCGTCGCATACGATCACGCCGATTTTGGTCGGAGGCCGAAGAGGGCTACCGGATTGATCTCGACAGAAGCAAGGCGTTTGCTGCCAGTGAGAGGGCATCGATCGAGAATGCCCTCGCACATTTCACTGAGGATATTCAAGACTCGCCTGATATCCAGGACGAATTTCTCGCGCACATGGTCGAGACGTATGGATACCCCTTGCTTTCCATTTGTCTACACTCGAGCAGCTTCCTCCGGCTCACGGAGACGGGAAACCTTGACCTGGAGACAAAGTTGAATAAGAATGAGTGGACACGAATCAGGATGCGCTTAGAGTTGATTGCAGCCAGCCTCGAACTGTTCGCAAAGCTTCGGAGGCTCGATTTCATGGCGCCCATTCGACACTACGAAGCAGACTACAAGCTTCTGCTGTCGAACGTGTTCAGAAAACACAACAGTGTTGATCGCTGTCGAAATTTTGGTATTAGCCCCGATGAAATGAACGAGGTTCACATTGTTGAGCCTTGGGATATTGCAGGCAAGCATTGGGCGCTTCCAGAGAAAAGAGCAGAGCCAGCAGAGATTTGTTGCATCAAGTACACAGTAACGCAACACCTGAACGAAGATTATCCCGAGCTGGCCGTGGGCGAAGAGCTGACAGAGCCCCAGGAAGACATTCAGGACTCGATTTTCCTTGGTGCGTACAGGTGGGTCAACCTTACCCAGTGGCCGTCAGACGATCCTAGAGAATCGGGCTACGAGGATCCTTGTCTTTGCTGCGGCTACCAGCGAGGTCCTGTGCCGAAGAGAAGAGACGGAGCCCGCTACCCCCAGGGATGCGAGTGTACCTTTGAGGATCTGCAACGAAAGCAGAAGAGCTTAGTTGGACAACCGCTCTTTGAAATTATGACATCTAGCTTTCTGGGCAGATGCGTACGAGCCCTTCAAAATCTTCGCACTGGTGACTATTTAGGCATCTACCACGGGGAAATGTACCCGTTCTTCAAGAAGACTGAACATGAAAGGCGGGGGCAAGAACATCTCGAGGACGAGCGCACCGAGCCACGATATAGTGGCAATGTGAATTCGTCATACATCCTTCGTCAAGACCTCGACAGGCGACATGTGAAGAACCGCTCGAAGAGAAAGACCACTAAGAAGCGGCCCAGGAATACGGGCTCAGACGATGAAGATACTGCACGAGAGATGGAAGAGCTCGACCCAAGAGAATGGCGTGTGTATGCTATCGATGCGGCTCTCAAAGGTAATTTCACCCGCTTCTTGGCCCATAGTTGTGATGCGAATACCAGGTTCGAGGAAATTTGTTTGGCTCAGAAGAAAGTCAATGTTCTCGAAGTGATCCGCCCCATCCAATTCGGGGATTCCATCACTGTTGATTATGGTAAGTTCCAGACTGGCACCAGAGATATGGACAATAGCTGACGAGTCATCTCAGGCGATGAATACTTTGAGCATGAGGACTATGGCTGCAGGTGTGGCATGAGCAACTGCATACATTGGACTACTGACAATATCGATTCCGAGTTCAGAACTTTAGCCCAAGCCATCAAGGACGGAGATGCTCCTGACTGGGCAGATTCGGCGAATTTTCCCATCGAAGCAAGCGAAGAGGGCAACGCTGCGTCCAGAGAACAGATCTCAAGGCGGAAGAGGCAGGTTAGGCAACAGGCCCGCGCGGACCAAAGATCAGCGGGGAAGGCGAGACCAAAGGCGGCTCAGCAAGCTAAACAGAGGCCGTTGTATGCCCGGAAGACGAGCAGTAGCGTGATGAGAGCTGCCAGTGGAGAAGAGCCTGAGGACGAGGAGGGAAGAACGGGTACAAAGAATAGCGGCAAGCGACAAAGGAGACAGTGAACACTTGCGTCCATCTTATGGCAGTTCGATTGAATGGACATCCAATAGCGTTCAACGCATGGGGGAGTTGTGATCCGAATTGTATAGACCCTGTTCTTGTGGAGTATTATTAAGTACATTTCACTGCCTGTGCCAAGCACTAAATAATTTTCGGGGAAACCCCCCAATTCCGTCACTGCCCTTCCCAAGTTTACGGAGTCGCGATGAGGCTGCGCATACTCCTCACGGGTTGCTTGAAACTACACGACACTGTGCTCTCCTGAGGCATGAGCGTATCCTGCTCGTGCAGAGGCATTTCTTATTCCAGATGGCGTCTTAATGTTTTGAGTCAGTTGTATGCGCCGCGGCACGATGTACGACCAGAGCTCCTTTTCCTCCATCCTCAATCTCGAGGTGTCAGTACAAAGCGATCATATGGTGGGAAAGGAATTGGCCAAGGACCGCAAGCCGGCTCCTCGCTTTCTGAGAGCCTGAAAGAGCCGGGAAACTCGGAGCCAGAGCTGTCTAGCAGTAACAGGGAGCACCTTTCTGTCTCATCGACCGCTCGTAAAGATGCAAGCAAGTCGAGGAACAGGAAGCCTAAGAGTTCATGGGTTCGCCGGCCACGTCATGGGGAATTCGACCTTTTCGGGTCCCAGACTCAAGTTGATCTCCGCTCAGCTATCAAAGCTCTCACAGCCCTCGCTCGCCAGGGCGATCGGGATGCCACTGGGAAACCGCCGAAACCTCAGCGCGATCCAGACCTTCCTCACTCGCCAGTTTTACACCTTGTGAACAACAGGACAAGACTGGTGAAGGAAAGATCCCAAAAACTGCGTGTGAGACGAAGTCAATCTCCTCTCAACTACGACCCTTGGGCGAGCATACTGGCAGACCCGGTTAGAATATGCGCAGGAAGTGGATTGAGGATGCCGTTGGCCTTGATGAACGGATGGGGCCTGGTCGAACATCCAGAGAACAAAGGAGAAGTCTACACTCTACCGACAGAGCTGGCAGACGTGGAGAAACTTGAGACTATGGGTGTACGGCTATTAGACCAGAAGCGAGAGGACAGGGAAGCATATCAGTACCCACCTCCAGCAGCGGGCGACATAGGTATCGACAATCCGCCTCACTTGAACCAGAGCGAAGCCGCCAACGCTACGGCTAGCAACGATTCTGCTCAGTCATTGCCAGAACAGAGGCCCCTTCCTCCATACGATGGTCGCACAAAATCCTTTCCGCCGCCCCCACAAACAGCAACACCTTCAAAGCCTATTGCATTCCGTTTGCTGCCTTCGCTCACTCTGCTTCGCCAGATGACTCTGTCTCTTACTGCATTCAATCCTCGAACCAATACTCTCAAGACCACTCGCTCCGCCGTCTCACGCCTCATTCCAGTTGACCTGAAAAAGCGGCTCGCAGAGATCATGCATTACGATCGACAAAGGCGCCAGGTCGAGAGACAGACTGGCGTGACTATCATGAAGCCCACACCGAAGGAGGCGATGTTAGATCTGCCGAACTTGCAATGGCAAGAAGGCGTGACGGGTAGAGCACTAAAGCTTTTACGACGGAGAGTATCGGTGGCGCTCAAAAGAGTCTTGGAACTAGAAGCTGGAGCGGTGCAGCTTAGGAGAGTGCAGGTCTGGGGTGACGGCTTTGTGGCTGGGCAAATATTCGAGAGGAACGTTACAGGAGCCGGGGTTGGGCCTACGGCTGCGGCAGCGAACAGCCAGAGGGTGTCGAATGAGACCAAAGACGAAAATGACGCGCGAAGTATCCACGGTGACATCCCATCGTCGAATGATGCTGAAGCTGGATCAACGAGCATTGCACCAAGCCGAGGAGTCCTCCAAACAAGGGTCTACCTGCACTTCGGACCATACCCGTCGGCTACGGTCAGTGCATACGCCAACTCATGCAACGCAACCGACGGTCTTCCACCCCACGCCCATGCCACAACCAAGGCGTATCTCCCCATCCTGCTGCCATCCCCGAACAACAAGCAACAGTTTCCAATCTTTCCCCTCCAGCCCCTCCTAGGGCACGACACGTACGCAGACCTCCGCGCCGCCGTGCTTCAGCGTGTGAAGAACAACGAATTCGCCATATACGGCAATGTAGCTTGTGAGACTGACGGAGCTGGCTTCACGCTGTGCATCAAAGCCTCTGCCTGGCACGCCAGCAGTGTCATTCGCGAGATATGGGCGTTGTGGCGTTTTGTCGGCGGGAAAGAGGCGCTGGAGCTGTGGGAGATGGGCATTGATATGGGGAGTGAGGCCGTGGTCTGTGATCCGAGGCTCTTGGAGCGGAGCGCGATGGTAGAAGCTGCCGCGGAGTAACATAGATATGAGGACTGTACGATACGTGCTGTATCATTAAAAGCCACTTAAGCCTTTGAAGTCGAGTGCAGTGTAAAACATGAACCTTTGCCCACTGTTCGATACGCTCATCCTATTATCAACGGTAAAGGTGCGGTGGTAGAGACAGTCCGTTTACAGCCTCTCTGAACGCCCTGCTATCGTCCCTAAACGCGATGCGCCCTTTTTCCTTTGATAAAAATGCTGGACCAGACGTAATCAATAGAGTAGTTGTGACCGGAGCACAACGTGTCAAAAATCGTGATGAAGCCCACGAACCATGTCATCGACCAACGAAGCAACAGGTCAGTAGTCTCAAAGACTGCTTCTCAGCCACGCCCTGATCCTTTGAGCTACATCTGCACGACCCACGTCACGTAGAAGCAGCTCCATGTTGACCTCTTTCGTTCCCCAGGCCGTTGTCATACGGTTGTCCGGGCACTAACCCACACGGTACGCGTCGTAGATGACCTCGTTACCGCGTCTGCAGCCACTTCCCACCCAACTGCACGTATTCAGGAACATGTATCGCTCGTCACCTGTCTCCAGCTCTATGTTCATGCGGAATTTGTACTGAGTGGGAGGCGTGGTGTCTGCCACGGTGGGGTCTTGCAGCTTTTCGAGGACCTCTTTCGGGCCCGTACGCCAGCCGATCGAGCGCACGGTGATGTAGGCAGGAGGCTCATCCTGAGTCTGGAGGAGGTAGGAAGCGTCTACTCGCGTGGCCAGGTCCTTGAGGACAAGTTGGTTATCTTGGCCACCAGGCTGCGGAAACATTAGTTTTGATTAGTGTAAGGAGAGGTTGAGAGCTCACAATGACTATGCCCTTGCCCCAGCGACCGGCCCATTGACCACCGATGAAACTGATCCAATTACGATTGCCGTACATGCCAGCGCCGAGATTAATCTTGGGGTTGAGCTTGACTGACATGCGGAAGTCAAGCTCGAGGGTGGGAGCCGGGATGGCGAGACTGCGTGCAACGTCGTTCTCGTCAAAGCGATGCAGTAGGTTGTTAGCAGGAATGCTCTCCTTCATGACGTTCAGGTATGTCTGGCATTCGAGCAAATGCTGGCGCTGACGAGAGGTGTTCTTTGCCCGAATTTGATTGCAGTAGATGCATTGCACCGACAGGCACTTGTCTTCTTCTTTGGCACGGAACTCGACGAACGCAGCGTGGACGTCGTCGAGGGGAGGGGCAGGCAGGCCGGAACCTGGTGTATTGGTCTTGGGTGTTGGCTTAGGCTTCGGGGTCTGTCGCTGCAGAGAGGCAGTATTGCTAACGCCAGGAAGGCCACCAGGCAGGGACGGCCGGCTGGCCATGGCTTGCATGGGCGTGCCTTGAGGTGTCATGTTGTTAGCCATGCCATTCGGGCCTGCGAGACCTTGAGGTGCGTAGCCACTCGGAGTACCGTTGATGGCATCGCTGGAGGATTCGGGACGTGGGGCGCTGGGCTGGTTTTGTAGACCAGGACACTCGAGCAAATGCTGCTTCTGGCGAGAGGTATTCTTTGCGCGGATCTGCTGGCAGTAGATGCACTGAACCGAAAGGCACTTGTCGTCCTCTGTGGGTAAAGCGAGTTAGCTGCTGTTCTGTTCGATTTGCGTCACAGTATTGTATGTAAGTGAAAGGTATGGAAATGAGCGGTATTACCTTTGGCGCGAAATTCCACGAACGCGGCGTGGACGTCTTGATCGACGGAACGGCCCATTTTGAGCGGGATCTGAAATGATTGATGAGTCTGTGCGTCCGTATGCAGTCTCTCTGATGAATTTCCGCTCCAAGTTGATCGTGGTGATATGTTGCGTCTTGAGGCAGCCTCCCTCTTCCTGTGAGCGACAGCTGTACAGCGCCAAGCATTTCCTTGAAACCGGCCCCGCGCTAGCTCACCTCGGTACCTTCAGAATACGGAACCTCACGTTTATCCCTACCCCGCCGTGTATTTTGGACCCTGTTGATTTCGTGTCAAAATGGTTGCTGTCATTTTGCGTGTATCGTGCTGCAGGTGTTCTGAAATCACTTCCCTGTTGAATTGCTCCAGTCGTAACACTGTATCGATGACTTCTGATCAGGCCTGGACATCGTGTGTTCCCTCCTCGTTCCCATTGTCACGCAGCTCACTTTACCTACACTTGTACCACGACCATCTTCCACCGGGGGCCCTTAGACTTTCTATGCTACTGTGTACTGAAGCTCGAGCCTCGACAGAACTGTCTAAATATCAGTGAGCAGGGTAGGCCTCTTAATCGATTCGCTACCCTCATACTGTTTCCTTCCAACCCAGTCGATACGGTGAGGCTGTTGCGGACGAGCGAAATCGAATGCAAAGGCTCCTCTTCTAGCTTTCGGTATGCGGCTCGATCATCACCGGTGATCTTGAGCAGGATTCGGTCTTCTAGGATCTAACACACCCGCTCACCCAAAGGCATGGAAACCTGGGCTGTCGCTAGAGTATGCCTCGTTTCGCGGCGTTTGCCTGGAGGCTTAGCGTGTACAAAGCGCTGCATCGCTTCTGGGACATTCGAGTGCATTTCGTCCCTCTTACGGTCACGAGTACGTGCTTACCATCAGGCCTGCATACCAAAGTCTGACTACCTGATACCCACCGTTCGCAACGCTCATGCTCAATCATCACCATAGTCATCGCAATAGATGCCAGCTTGTGAAGTTGGGGACGACGTCGGCATCGATCCCTACAGTCATCCTCCCAGTCATATTCTACACCATAAATTTCGATTTTCCTGGTAAGTCGCCTATCCAACCTAGGGCCAGCTCGCAGGTCTCGACTCCCTGTTATGGGGTCAGGCCTCTGCCCCAAAGTCCCAGCAACACTGGCGGCAGTCGGGACTCTCCAGTGAACGAAGCCACTGATCCGTCCTGTGGCCGCGAACAGACCACCTTCTAAAGGCTGCATGAAGGTCTGCTATCTCACCAATATTGAGATCCTCACGATGTGGGACATGATCAGAAAATGGCTGCTTGTCGAGATTGTCCATTACGTGTTGGAGTGCGGCGTGTTGCGATTGATGGGTTGGCACATGGATCTAGTGTGGATTGTCAGGAGATCCCTGTTGCCTTTCTGCACAATACGCATAGGGAAACATTATGAGTTAGAGCCTGCAAGCTCACCGCTTTGGCCATTGTGTAGCAAGTCACGACTCATGTCGCGAAAGCAGCCAGAGTGATACGCTCATGCTGGGCAGCCCCAACGTGTCGATTCTTCTCTCCGTAGCTAGGTGGTAGTTAGTAGACGAACTGCTAGTGCAGATTGATATGCTTCTGCAAAAGGCGGGCAGAGTCCGAAACGCGTTTAGCCATCTCAGTGCCATAGAGCAGATGTCGCGAGCATTCCGCCGGAGAACAGTGTCCCAAGTACAGCAGCAGATATAGAACAGGCATGTAGGCTACAGCAGAAAGTACTCCTCTGTCCATGGAGATGCTCTCCTGCCCTAATCCCGTATCTTTCTTTCACTGTCTTTCAAGATCAACACAGCGCTCTCCCCCCTTGTGATAAACATCTCAGTACCTGGTGTGCCCCAATTCACGTCCCCACCCACTATCTCTAGGGACCTGTGCGTGCTTGATGGTGACGTCACACCAATAGAGATATATATATTTGACTCGTTAAATCGACTCTGAAATTGCCACACACTTTCATCCAAAGATTGTGTTTAAGTCTGAGTGATCTTCGGGCCCTCGTGGCACAATTGGTTAGCGCGTGAGACTTTTATCCAGTCTGTATCATTTCAGGTATGGAAAGTAAATCTCAAGGCTGTGAGTTCGAGCCTCACCGAGGGCGCTGCTTCGTTTTTGCGTTTTTTTTGGCTTCGAGCGAGAGGGATTGCTGCAGTATGCTCCCTTGACTGTGTAGCAGTCGAGAGTACAGAGCGGCTGTGAATAGGAAAACTGATCTATGACTCATGATGTAGCGGTCATGCGAGATTGAATCTCACCAGGAGGGTTGGAGAATAAGGCCTGGGCTGTACATTCATCTGATATTCTTGTGTTCGATCTATGGGCGAGAGCATGTAGCAGCAAGACCATATGTATGGCCGAAAGGTAGCCTTGATTGGTTTGCGTGCGTTGCCCCTGCATGCCTCCTTCGCTGTCAATTTAAATGCTTTGCAGTAATGTACAACAGCTCAAAAGACTGGGCAATATATGTACAATGAATTCCAGGACACCGGTTCCCAACATGCTCTCTAGATGTGCTCAGATCGCTAGAGTTGTTCTGCCTCAATCTGACTAGAACCAATGATGTTACCGCGGCAAATGCGCTCCTCCCATGTCTGGCATCGGTGACCCTCGACGGCAACTTGTCCCTCCATAATACACTATCCACCGTTCTCGCCATCGAGATCAGACGATCTTGTACACTTTCTTACACCAATAGAAACAGCCCACAGCAAAGCAGCCCATGAAGGCCGTGATGCCCCAGAACCAATACAGGTTTTCAATTTCCTGGCCCGGAACCATGACGTTCATACCTAGGTAGACGTTAGCAAGCGAAATTCGACAGCAAGAACGCATTCGTATATGACATCGGCGAGGGTGGCGCTTCTTCCTTCCACCACATCCCTGAGAAAAGCAACAGGACAGCCTCGGCGCATATCGCACAAGCGAAGGCCAGTGAACGCGGTGAAAACAAAGAAATACTGAAGACTTACCCCACATGCCGCAAATGACATTCATCGGCAGCACGATGGTGCCAATGACCGTCAGCTTGCCCAAGATATCCGCAGTACTTTCCTGCCGCTCACCCATACGAATGTTCACCTGCGCCAGGTAGTTGGAGTGCGCGCGGCTCAGACTCGTCTCATAGTGGCTCAGGTTTGCAGACATGGTGATAATGTGGTCCTGGATGTCTCCCAGGTAAAGACCGATCTCGGATCGCGGTGCAACCTCCCACTGCTCATTGCAACGCTTGGCGAAGCCCTTGATAACATCCGCCTTCTGGCCAAGGAGGCGATATAGGGAGGTGGTCTTCTTGCGGCACTCGCCAATACGACGGAGGATGTCAATACCCGAAGGTGCAGCGTCAGGTCCGTCGCCTCCAGCTGTGGAAGCCTTTTCCTTATCCTTTCCGGGCCCAGTCATGGACGGTGGCTGTCCAGCCCCCTCGCCAGCAAGCTCATTTGTGGACTGGAGAGCATCCAAGATAATCTCGTCGATGTCGTCGACCTCTTCCTCGATGCCGGTGATCAGTGGCTGGTAGACATCTGTGATGTCGTCGATGATGGCGTAACTGATCCAGTCCGCGGATAGAATAAGATAGTCGGTTAGCTGGCGGATACGTCTTCGCACATTGGCTGGGTGTGGAATCTGGCTGAAGTGGAACGTAACGATACCGTAACGGAAGACACACACATACATGTTGACCGGCTCCAGGTAGTCTTCAGAGGATGGATCCTGCTCGAAGGTGCGGTAATTGATAAAGTAGTAGTTGCGGAAAAGCTCAACTTTCTCGCGAGCTTCTTGCATCATAATATCTTCTGATGTCAGTGCGTGAATACCGAAGGTCTTGCAAAGGACACGCATCTCCTGCTCGGTCGGCGAAAGGACATCGAGCCAGAAAGTCGGACGTGGACCAAATTTCTTCGGCTTCGAAGGTGGTGTTTGAGACCGTTTGAGAGGGGTGGCGCTCCCAGCGCTATTCTTGCCGGAAGTTTCTTTGGAAGACGATGATGGCTTGACAACATCGCTTAGCATGCTGTTGAGGCGGCTGGCCGTATCCGAGTGATTCTGCTTCGGACTGGCAATAGAGGCAGGCTCTTCCTCTTCTTCGCTGCTCTCACTTGAGTCGATTATCTCGGGAGGATCGGGGATGAACAGTTCTCTGAAAGTCCCACCTGGTTGCACGAGTTCGCTAATCGTCTGCGCATGTATAGTACTCTCGAACTCCTCGTTGAAATACGTGTACCGATAGGGGGCGTCTTCCTCGGTGCGATGCCACATACTCTGCCTTGGCCTGAGGCGGCCTCCTACCAACACTGGTTCATTGATCTTCTTCGCCCTGCGCTCGCCGTCCCGAGCCTCCTTTTCTTCTCTCGACCATTCGTCTAGTGCCCAAAGCTGCGGCCACTCCCTTCTCTTGCGCCTGCTGGGCCGGCTCGCATTCGAGCGCAAGCGCTCCATATCGTCTTCCCCAAGCTCTGACATTTCATCGCCAGGGAAGCATACATCGCCCTCGGCTGTCAGTGTCGTGCTTCGATGCCGTTGGATGCCGTCTGGTCTCAGCCTCGGACTTGGCGGGGCCGAGTTTGCATCTCTCGCATCCTCCAAATTATCGTCAATATTGATCAATGCATCATGATTCTCCTGCAGATGAGGTAGCGTTCTTCGACTTTCGAGACTGCGGGGCATGAAATCTTCGTTCGAGACCATGACATCGGTTGGACCCAACTCGTGGCTTGGACTTGCGGGGCGGGAAGGTGGATTGTTGACATCGTACTCCTGGGCCATGGTCGTGCCGACGTAACTAGTAGCCATCGTGTTTCCCCTTCGTCTGCCCCCTCTTCTCGCGCCAGATTCATCGCTCCCTTCTCCACTAGCGCCAGACCTGGCTCTGTATAGTCCATAACCATCGTCCGTATTGTTCTTATGTGTAGCCACGCCAATCAAAGGTGTGCGATCTGTTGGGTTCTCCTCTTCACTGCTACCGTAGCTCTTCGGTGCTGTCCCTTCACTCTCTCGGCTCTTCAATCGCTTCCGCTTATTTTCCGCCACCATGTCTGAATGACTTCGGTCCAGAGTTCCAGGGCTCTTGCTTCCGCCCAGCTTACCAAAAACGCTCGGCAATAGTCTACTATCCCGCCTGGGCCGCATGCTGGGTTGGTCGCGGTGATCAAGCAGCGCCTCGGATTCTAGACTCTCCTCACTCAGGTTCCCGCGCCTCGCATAGAAGTCCCGTCGCCTCACGCCGGCCTCTTCTTCGGGCACTTGCACTAAGCGGTCGTCATGAGCTGGATCTTCAGCTTGGGAGCTGTAGGCTGCCGAGCCTTCGGACGGGGCGATGAAAGACTGCCGGCGTGGCTTCTTCTTCTTGTTCCCACGATGGCGGCGGCGTTTCCTCGTTGCCTCCGAAGACTGTGGGACCGCAGGAGAGCTCTGCGCCGTCATGTTGGATGAGTGAGAGGTGGCAGAGGGCGCTGATGGCTGACTAGGAGCGTGGTTTGGGTGGTCGCGTGCCTCACTACGGTTCGGTGGTGGAAGCGGGTGCATGACGGTACAATCGAGAGTCGGTGTCGGAAAATGAAATCAAAAAATGCAAACGAGTGCGTTACTCGTACGCGTCGCAGACGTCCGGTCTCATTCAGATTGTTCGACGAAAGTATTATTCGAGATCTGATGGCCGATAACATTCAACAGAAGACGCACACAGCTAACGAGCGGGTGGAGTGCAGCGCAGCGTAGATGGACGGAAGAGCAGAAATGCATCCTTGTCTCGGAGCGCATGACGTACAAGTGACTCCGATAGCAACCACCAATCAGATCGACAGATACAGAGTATACGACGATTCACCGGTGCATGTGCAGTCTATGAACACTACGAGTTTGACATTCTAGCAGGTTCACCACAGTACTAAAGTTGTGGTCTAGCAGGACTGCAGGGGTAGCGACTTCGTACTTAGCGTGGCATCGAAAAGGCAGGAACAGAGCACATGACAGGGCGGATCCTGGAGGCCCAGGAATGGTGCCTGGCACCTGACCTGAAATATGAGCAGATCCTCGTTGATCGTGGGGGCTTTTAATGAGTCTTCAACATCGGTTATTGGAACGAATAGAAGTTCGCTGGCCTCAAAAAGGTTATGTATAAGTACATATCACGCCAATCGCTTGCTTGATGGCTTGCTCGCACGGTCTTTTTCGTCGCATCGTATGCGGAATTCATATCAAGTCATATAGTCAGTCCCTATCGTACAGTCCTCCAATTTGAGCTCCTCTCTGATATGTAGGCTGGGATTGCTCGACCCTTATGTCTGACTGGCTCTCTTCCTTCGCACCTCCCTCTCCCTTTGACTCTGCTCTGCGAATCGTTTCTTTGGATTATCATCATCATGATCCTCGTCCCTTACCGCGGCCCTTGAATCCTTGTTGGGTAAACCTTGAATCTGGTAGGGGCGGGAGAGGAGGTTCGTCGATGTAGTCAGGAAAGGGTCGGATGACGTCGCTGCTGGCGTAGCTCGTGGCGGTGTCCGATCGGGTCTGCGGCCGGGCATCTGGTTGGGGTTCAGCGCCTCCGATGGGCGATAGCTCTTCGGGGGAGGCGGTGGCTCTTGGCTCGTGGTGTGAGCTTTTCTCTCCGTTGAAACGTACGTGGGCAATTGTGGGAGGGGCGGATTTGCTCGAAGGTCGTTTTTCGGAGGAGTTCGGTGGTGAGAGGAGCCTCGACTCGGATTTTTCGCTGATGCCAGAGGGTTCTTCTCCTCGTCAGATGTGTACACATACTGATGATCATGGGGTGGTGAAGGGTAAAAGTAGCCGTCGTCTTGGGAGGACGAGATAGAGCTACTTGGGGAGTGAATCTGGATATTGGGCGGGTGTGTACGTTCGGGGGACGCGTGTTTTAGAAGGGAGTGGGAGGAGTCACCTTTAACAAGGCCAAGTCTCTCTTCCTCAGTTGCGTTTTTCATGGCTCGTTTCTCGTGACTGCTTGCTCGACTCGCAACTCTAGGACGGTTCGCAGGCGGAGGTACCTCCATTTCGTGAGGGGTCAAAGATCGTCTATTCCAGAGATTCGTAAAGGAGAACTGTCGTCGTGCTTCTTGTACTGGTCGTAACGAATCTGCCGTCTGAGGCGGCTGTGGTGACAGAGCGGCCGGGATGCCCGCAGCTTTGTCTTGCTGTTTTCGAAGACCCTTGGGCAGGCCGTAGATGTGCTCCTGGGCCTCTTCAAGACTGCCAGGCCCATATGGTGCGATGGGAGTGTCTGGCTTGTTGGAGTGAACGTCGATCCTGGTCATGGCAACAGGGCTCTTGGCTTCGCCTGCTTCTGGGTCCCGACTGCTGTTCTCACGACGTATCACACTGCGTGCTCGTGTCCGAAAGTTGTCGAAGAAGTTGTTGCTGTCGCGTGTTTCTGGCCGTGCATCCTCCGGTTCTGGATCTGGGAATCTCGACATGCCAAGTGGAGGATGAACGGTCTGCCGTCCCAGAGGAGAACTGCCTGGCTCGCCAACAATAGTTTTGCGGCGTCTCAGCCCATCCCATTCCACGATTTCGTTCTCACGCAGTGGCTCAAGATGATCCGCCATCTTCTCTTCACGGAGTCTTTCGGCTTCTTGCTCTTCCATCTTTCTTCTAGATGTCGAGATCCGGCGCAAAATGGCTGAAGTACCTCGAAGAGCGTCCGCCTTTGGTTCCGTTTCCGGCTGTTCCTGTTCGCCAATCTGTCGAATCTGATCCAGATCGCCTTTGAAGACAGCCGCGTCCGGCACGTCCTTTGCCGACTTGCTCATCTGCAGAAGCACCACGCCGGAGCAGATGACCAAAAATCCCATAATAACCGTAGCGATCTGCACACCAGTGCCCTTGAAACCACGAAACAAAATCGCTGAGGTGACAATGGTCGCGCTAGTGAAGAAGACGTAGTATGTTGGCGTCACCAAGGCCGCATTGAACAGGTTCAACGCCTTATTTAGGTAGATAATTTCTGTGAGCAGCGTCGCGATCACGAAGACCAGCAACACATACAGAAACCATTGATTGAATTGCGGCTTTCCACCTGCCTGAGCAACAACGGCGGAGCCCAGACCTTGAGTGGCGACCACGGACAAACCACCGATCAGACTGCATACGCTGAGGTAGACGAGCATGCTCTTCTTGCCATATCTGGGGCCAACCCAGAACGCGATAATGGCGCAGCCGACAATGATCACGCCAGCATAGGACAGAAATCCCGGTGCAATGACAAAGTGCTGCATCTCTTGGATGTCAGCCACGGCGCTTTGCTCAGGTGCGTTCATGACAATGATAATACTGCCAATGATGCAAGCGAAGCAGCCCACCTTCCCCACGAAGCTGAGTCGCTCCTTAAGGAAGATGGCTGACAATACGGTCGTGACCACGACGCTGAGCGCGCCCAGCGGCGTGACCAATATGGCATCCACAAACGCATACGCCACGAAATTGCAGATCTCGCCGATAATCATGAGAATCATGCCTCCCCACCAGTGCGCATTCTTGAGGTAACCGTAGCCCTCGCCGGCTTCTTCATTGTATTTCGCATTTGCTTTGAGCAGGCCCACTTTCTTGAGGACAAAGGATATACCAATGAAAACGCCTGAAGCCACGGCGAGCGAGAGGCCAACAGCCCGGTAGACGGGTGGGCGGTTATCCTGGCCCTCGCCAACGGCGGCGCGCGCAACAAATTCATGTGCGGATGAGGAGAGGAGGTCGGACATCGTGGTGGAGGAGGGATGTCTCTAGGAGGGTGAGGTGGTGGCGAAGAGTGTAGAGGCTTGCTGGCACACATTCACCGAGCCATCGAGAACGTGGTTGTATGCAGGTAGGATAGTGAGGAGCCCGGGTCGCAGCGAATCCTGGGAAGGTATTTTGAGGCTTCAACGAGACTTGAGGTGTGTTACGTCAAGTGTTTCGAGGATCTGCACAGTTCGAAGCGTCGAATCGACAGACGAGAGGATAACGGTCGATCTCTCCTGGGGAAGTTTGCGGATCACTTCGCTCCAAAATGACAGTAGGGTAGACAACAATGCTCTAACAGAAGCCCGTTCAGAGGTACGAAAGGGATTGCAATTGAATGTTTAAGAGAACAATCTAAGTTGCGGATTGGGTGCATTGGTAAATCTAGAAGTCTGGTGTCTTTCGTTGGTGGAACAAAAGCAGGATGAGAGGGCTGGTTGCTGGCGCGGTCGCGACCCATGACGTACTCCACAGCCAGGAGACCAGGCTTCGTTGTGGAGATCTCCAGCCGCCCCCTTCAGCACCGACCACCCAATCAGACGCGCCAAAAGGCTCGCCTTCAGCGACTCTTGGAACATCGAACATGGATTTGCCCATGTCAACACCTGCCACCCGCTATTTATTTTTGCTCTGGCGACAATCATTTTAGCCCGGGCACCACGCGATAACCTCAGCCCTCACCATTGCTCACCCATCGTGTGCGAATACCAATGACGATCTCGCCTGGCCATCTGCAATCGCTCTCGGGCTGCCAAACTCCCAACACGCGTCGCGTCTGACCGTTGACTACACCGTGAATCCCAAACGCGCTCAACCCCCGAGGCCGCGTATACGGAGGACCTCTCAATACTTGACAACCATTTGTGCTCCACAGCCACACCACTATTGTCCTTTCTTACAACCCCTCAACTCCTGTTTGCGCCTGCTCCCCACATTAAGTTCTAAGCGACATGCATGTGCTTCGAGTCGGCTTTCCCTGAACACCATCTGCAGGCTGCAGGGATGTTTCATCGCGTTTCAGACCCAACAATCGCCCGACTTTGAGAACTTCAGCATGCGCGTGTCGCTTTGGCGCTTGACCGTATCAGCCTGTCGAACCGCGAGAAATCCCTCGTCTATTGCTGACTCGGGACGAGTTGCAGCTCCGCGAGTTGTTCTTGATCCATGCCACGTCTTCCCACATGTTTCTCAATACGCAGTATAATTCGCCCGCCCCGTTGGGCGGAAGACTCGCTATGACATTAACACAACATGTATCTGGTCCATGAAAAGGCATTAGTTGTAAATTGGCTATCTTTGTGACTTGTGCTGAATTCCTTCTTGCTTATGCAAAACACCAATGGGGTATATCCGTTGATTTTGGTTCATCAAATTCGTTAGAGCCGTGGCGGAGCCTGCGTAAATCGTGTGCCGGTGATGTACGTTCTTCCCCCTTCTTGTCTCGAAAGTTCGCGGTGGCTTAAGCGGGCCGGTATTCGGGCTTCCTCAATTTATTGACAATCGGTGGTGGTCCATCAGTATCTGGATATGGCAGCCGGACGTTGCCGTTGGGCCTTGCAGGCATCGCCTGGTGGTAAGACGGAGGCGGACCACCTTCGTTGATCGGTGTTTTTGGCGGCCGTGGAGGGGGCTCAGTAGGAGGGTACGCATAATCATTGCTGGAATGTCGTGGAGGCGCCCCCGTCGGTGAGGTGTACGAAAACTTCTCGCTGCTAGCTCGATATGGCAGCTCGTGGGATCTTCGCGGTGAGTTCATCTCCTCTGGAACCACCATGAACTTATCTTGGGAAGACGCAATGGAGTGGCTGTCTGCTGAGTATGGTGCCGACCCAGGGCGATGCGTTGAATAAGGTGGCTGAAGATCACCAGTGCTGGCTGGCAGCTCAACGGCTCCTGGAGGCACCGGTGCCACTGACGGGCTCCCCAGCGGTTGCTCTGCGCCAACACTGTTGTGGCTCGGAGCACGTTGATGTCTCTCCATACGCCGTCTCACAAGCTCAATCTTGGCCATCTTGGAGGCGGCATTCTCGAGCAAAGCTTGCGTTTCGTGCTTCTTGAGGTACCGTCTTGTGCCGATTGTCATCTCGGACAGTCGATCCCACTCGTTCATACCAAACTCGCCCACGCCAACTTCAACGTTGAGACGGACATAGTTCTCTACCGGCACTCCTCGCCTTGGCAGCTCGGTGTTTATCATCTGGACGTGGGTATCTTCGCAGCCTTCAATCTTCGAGATTAGACGCCGCCGGGCTTCTGCGAAATTACCCACGCTCCCACCAACGAATCCTTCCCACCACTCATGTTGCTGCTGGTTTGTGCCGGCGGGTCGTTTCCCTGTTCCGACACTCACAAACATGCCCACTTCCCGCCCCGGCCACTCGTTGGTTGCAGCCTCTTCCAAGACTTGAGGACTTGGATTGTATTTGCCCGCGCCCTCATCGATGAAGACACTTTGGCCAATCTTGATTGGCTTGAACGCCAGTCCCGTAGCGGAGGTTGCTCGTCCGGCTTGCCAGATAGTGCAGTTGAACTCTGGAGGAGGCTCTTTGCGAGAGTCGTACGACCTCAGAAAAATGGCGGATCCCGTTTTCGGGTTAGTACCTTTGTAAACTGCGGTGACCGCGCTGTAAAGATCAGCATCTGATGCGAAAGTCAATGGTGTGTCCAACTTACGTCTTAGTCCTGTTCTCTCGCCCATCATACAAGCTCGCATTCTCATTTCCCCACCTTGCGAACCCTGGACCGAGTGTCGGCATAGTAGCCATTGAGTTCCTGTTACTGGCCGGGCTGTTAACGCCGACTGTACTTGCACTTCGCACGCTCATGGACCGACGCGCCGCGCCGCTTGTTGGCGTCATAGGACTTGTGATATCCTGAAACTCTTTCCCACCGGTAGCCGTTCCGTCGTTGCCCTCGTCCTCAAATATGGTGTGTTCTCGTACGCAGCCTTTGATGGCCTCTTCCAGCTTACTAGCCTTGAACAGTGTAGTCTTGTACGGTATGCCCGCTATTGTCTTGTCCGTTTCAAACACCTTCTTAGTCATCCGCACATACACATCCATGCATGTCTCAAGGTCGAGTCTTAGGCGACCCAGCATGAGCGCAATCAAGCCGCCAGTGCCAGTTCCAGCGATGAGGTCAAAGTACTCGCATGGTTTGGGAATCTCTTCTCGCTTGGGTGGCTTGCCCTCTGCTTCGACATAGGCGCGATACATCAGCTCCTGGAGGATGATGAGCATAGAATAGCCGCGGACGCCTCCGCCATCTATAGAGTGCGTTAGCTGAGTGCCTGGTAAGATTGGTGTTGCGTACTCACCGAGCGACAGAATGCGAAGCGGGGGCCCTTTCGTTGTGTCCTTACGCCGTAGGTTCACCGAGTCCATCTCGAGGGAGTTGTGGTCGGGAGCGTTGCGCAAATGATGACTCTGTGAGATGTTGTCTCAGCTTGGGCAAGGCTGAAGTGCGCCTCAATGTCTGGAAAAGGTCTTCAGCCGCAAGAGAGTTCGGACGACAGCGCTTCGGACCGTGAAAGATAGGAAACCAGGTAGCGTGGCACCGCTGAGAAGAGGACTTCAGAGTTGGGGCAAGTCCTTTGTGTTCAGGCGAGGAGAAGGCAGTCTTTCGAGTACCAAGCGGCTGGCAACGAATTGGAAGGTATGACGACGAACTCTGGGCACGCGCGGCGACTACGTGGGGCAAACGCGACCAACCACGGCCAGAATGAACTGCTCACCCAACTTTTACGTGGGTACCTCACTCGGCTCAAGTGGCTCCGTGCAGCTCGGAATCCATGCACAGCTGATCTTTAAGGTATTCTCGTCGCATGATAGCTTCCCTGTTGAGGATGCTGGACACTCTACGTGAGCACCATCGGGCAAGACCAAGAGCCGCTGTGGCTGTGCTCTTGGCGCTTCCTGCGCCACACTCGCTTCAGAAGCGTCCGCGAGTACAAGGTTTCACACACTTGACAGATCGAGCGTAGGAGATGCTCATACGGACGGTCTGTAGTTGGCATACTATACAAATCTGCCCAAGGGTAGGAATAGGTGGTTCGCTAATATACAGTGGGCTAGGTGGTGTGGGTATGTCCTGCCCTTTGGTCCCACGGCAACAAGATGCAGATGGTATATCCTCCCGAGAGTATCCTCATTCATCAGGTCCCAATTAATCGCCAAAGGAAAATGTGTGCCCAAATTGCCCCCATAATGAACGCGGAGATAGGTAATCCCGCAGTGTGCTTTCGCCAGTCGGCCGTGTCGACGTCGTGAACGCGTTGCATGACCCACTTTGCTAGGAAAAGTGCTCTAAACGCTAGAAAGAAACCGCCGAAATGGGGAGCCTGCCCTGATGTGAAGACTTCTGATAAGTGTCCTCCTTAGAATGCAATATACGTTGTGTTATATCGGCCGTTGATCGTGCATCGTGGGGCTCATCGACTTGAAAAGCTAGAAGACATGCTCGGTTTAGTGTCCGGGAAGACGTTTGCTCGAACCTGTTGGAGGATACGGAAATCCTTGGCCAAGACGGGCGAGATGCTTTCGTTAGCCTGGAGGATACCAAGTGTTCGATGGAACAGATGCCGTAGTGTGCTTTCGTTGACCATGGAGGAGAGGTCAGGATGTGGAGAGGTGTAGGTTGCGGCCAAGACCAGCATATTACCGAATTGACTGTGAGCTGTTAGCATCGTATCGTGGCTAGGACGAAACAACTTACGCATGTGCAGTGCCGAAGATATTGGTGATAATGAGACGCTTCGGCACCTTGTCGAATGATGTCGTACTTCTGATAGCCGCCTGAACGCACTTTCTCGCAGATGTGAGGATCTCTTCGGCGATCGGAATAGGCGCACGACCCAGACTCGGCGGTCCCATCTCGCTATAGCGACGGCCACGGCCCGCAGGCGAGTACCCTGGCTGGATAGGCGAAGGGAAAGCCGAAGGATCGGAAGCTTGTGGCGAATCGGAATGCTTGATGCTGGGAGTCGTGGGTGCGGTCATGCGTAAGCAAAAGTGCAGCATTGGTCGGTGGATGATGTAGCGCGCACCGTAGTACTTAGCTCGCATACGAGCCATGTTGATGTGGGGGCTTTCGTGATCATCGTCATCCCAGTCCCAGTCCATCAGCATGGCTCGCCACGATTGAAGGTTGGTTTCAAGTACACCGACCAAAGCGAGAACTGGTTTCGGGTTTTGCCGAGGCGCTCGTCGGTAAAGCATGGAATGAATGTCGTTCATCGTTCGTCGCAGCTGAATCTGGTACGAATAGAACCGCAGAATGTCTTCCCGCCCACCTTCAGGTATGGTGTCAAGCGTCACATTATTGGGCATCTCCTGGTGCTGTCGTCCTTCGTAACGGGTGATTCCACTTGGCGGTAATTCGACTTCGGCCAAAATATCGCTCTCAAGTTGAAGACAGCTCCAGAAAGCAAAATTGATCAAGTTCCGGCGGCTTTTGCTCATTTCGTTCCGTCGATAAGCGGTAGACTCGATGAGAATCTGGCAGGCGCGGCAAGCCACCGAGATATAGTAGTGGCTAGCGATAATGCGCGCCAGTTGTCCCATGTAGAGTCCGGCAAGCAGATTGGCCTGAATGTGTGACACATCCACGCCACCTGGTAGCTCCCCAATGATATCTGCAGCTTTCGCAAAGTATGAAAGACCAGGGATCACATCCATGTTCTTGCCTTGCGGGTTGCTTGGACTGGACACAGCCACCGCCGCGTGGTTGCCGTTAGGCTGGTGATATGGGGAAGCGGGAGCGGATTTGGTGTTGTTGTGCGGCAAGTCTGACAGTGTCGAATACATTGTATGAGGCGTTGAGGTACGGATGGTCGCGGTGGAAGCAGGCCCGGGAAGTGGCTCTTTGTGGCCGCACACCTTACCCAAGGCAATCACCAGGAGGACGATTGCATTGGCCACCGAATGCTCAATCATGCTGCTATTAACCGCCCGACTGTGCGGACGACCTCCGGCAAAAGTGGATGGAATTTCGTCCAGAGGCGTTGGCGAATCCGTCGCCTCTCGTTTTCGCTTGGCCCCAGTAACCTGAGCCGTCGCATGGTGAGGACGATAATCCCAGCTGTACTTTCTTTTAAAATCGTGGATCATTTTGCGAAGAACTCTAGGTTCCAGGAACGGGTGGAGAATGTGCATGTTGTCCATGTAGCTTCGAAAGTATAAGTCGACCGCCTCAGAATCCAGCATCAGCCCGCCTCGGGGACTCAGACCGCCAGGGTGTTCCCGGGCGTTCTGTTCGTTCGAAGTGGGAGGTGGCGGCAGCTGTCCATTGCCCCACACACCATGAGGTGAAGAGGATGTGGTCTCGTCGTCGATTATTCGTCCTTCTGAAGATTGACTATTGGCTGGACTTGGAGCGCCCTCATGTCCGTCACCTTTGTCTTCGCCCTCTCCGCATCCGTAAAGGCGAAGGAGACCGCGGCTCAGTTCAGTGTCCATTACATAAGTGTTGGATTGATTCTTCGGAATAAGTGCTTGGATCAGTGGCCACTCGAACATGTGGTGTACAGCAGTTGTGTGTTTTGGCGGCATCGAATACTCCAATTTTTCTCCCTTGTCTTCCGGATCACCCTCCTCTTTATCAGCTGTCTCCTCAAAATTTGCTCGCGCATGAGCTTGAGTTTCCTCACTCTTGAAATTCGGCATGGGTGGTCGACTAGGTGGAACAGTCTGCGACGATTGAAAATTGGTTGAGTTGCCGCCCAAAGCGCTTTGCATATCGAGTAGTTTCTGTATTTGCTGTTGCTGTGATTTCTGATTGGCGACGAGGAGATTGACGTTGTCAGCCAAAGATTCAAGTTTTTCGGTAATCTGCATGACTTGTTTCTCCGATTTCTGAGGTGGCATTTCTCGATATGTGCATTTCAAGTTGTTGTCTTTGCAGTGTTGGCATTCCGGTCTACCTTCATCACATTTAGCTTTGCGTTGTCGACACGAATCGCAAGCCTGTGCTGCTCGGACGGGTTTCCTCCTCTGCTGGGCACTATCGTAATATTGGGGATAATATCCTCCCGGAGTCGGCGGAGGGGGTGCTGAATGTGGCGGCGCATGACCGTAACCATGGTGAGAATGGGGTGGAGGTGGCGCGCCAGGTTGGCCGCCCATCATCTCATGTCCGGTTTGAACGTGGAGAGGGGGTGGAGGATGCGTGCCGTTGGGCTGCGAATCTGGAGGCCCATATGGTACCGGGGGTCGGTGATATTCAGGTGCTGCCGCTTGCGAGTAATATGGCGATTCATGGGGTGGAGGCGCAGAGCCTGGAGGAGGATATCGATTGTGCTGCGGCTCAGCGGGCGACCTCGTTGGAGCCGACACACTGCCCTGACGGCTGTAGGCAGGATCTGGAGGATAGGGTCCAGAATTCTCCCTGGTGGGTGGTTGAGGGTATGGGGTTTGAGAATGCGGCGGAGGGGGATGATGGCCTGGCGGCGGATATGACTGTTGAGGCGGAAGATCCTGTGGAGGCGGCCTGTGCTCGGGAGGTTCACTATACTGTGAGGGGGGCTGGTGCCACGACGCCATGACTGCGGCCTTAGACGTGGGGATGGTTGTGCGACTTTTGTCTCGGCTGACGGCGCACAAGATGGCGCTGCGCTCGGTAGAATTCCGTCTCCAGCACAGTCACGATAGCCTCTAATCCACTGCTATCTCAAAGAATTTAACATTCGCAATCACTAAGAGTCGACCCTATATCCATCCAGCCCAGATCCTGATTTCCTGTGGCGCAAAGTTGGGGATGTCCTCCTCATGTCCTCCGTGCAGAAGGTGAATGGCGGGGCTTTACTGTCGGTCCTCGTGGATTCTTGCACTGGCCTTTCCCGCTAGTCGTGAAGAATGTAGAGCAAGCGCACACGTGGAGCAGGCGCCTGATTATGACAAATGGTCGACGGAGATTCGGCGCACTGCTTCGTAACAGAGCTTTGCGACAAGGCCGTGAAATTGAGGTCCAGTCCGAGGTGGGAACTGGCCCGCGATGTTGACAGTGGCAGCGACGGGAATTGACTACAATCGAGATTCAACCGCGAGGGTTGAAATTTCAATGACCAAAATACTGAGCTGCTGATGTCGAGAGTGAGGACCGCCGGGCAAGAGAAGTCCCAAAATTCGAGATAAAGTCGATGTTGGAGAGCTGTCGGCTTTCCCCAAAATGACGGAAAAGCTTCTGCAGATCAGACAGAAAACCCTTGGGCAGCAATGATGGAGACAGGGGCGAGGCGCGAAATAAGTGCGGCTCGTAACGACGGAGCTAGCAGCCTGAGGCCCTGAGCTAAGAGTCGAAATTCCAGACGAGTTGAGCACGGCCCGGAGGTGTAGGAAGGTGAGAGAGTGACTTGGGGCGAATCAGGTGTCGCAAGCGGCTCGGACAGATCGGGCCTGTCGCGGAAGGCAGTAGGCAGCGGGAGACGACTGACCCGGGAGACTGGGCCAGTTGTGAAGGCAAAAGAGTCAATCTAGTGATGTATAGGACGAGAAGAGATGGCAGCGATTGAAAGTGACCGGATCTCACATCCCGTCATGCGGAAGCTGAGGGAGGTGAGTGGAGATGGATATAGCGTCGTGGCGTGGGCGGCGAAGAGGGCAATTGGAAGCTGGATCGCGAGTCCTTCTCGAAGCAAAAATCCTGGTGGCGGCGCTGGTGGGGAATTGCTGGGTCAACTAGCTCAAAAGCTATGGTATTGGCAACCAAGCGTACGGTGCCGTTTCGGACATGGGGATCACAGGTTCAAAACGATTAATTCGACAAATCTGCAACGCGGGCAAAGGAGCCCAAGGTCAACAATGGTGGGGACTAGGAGTAGAGGGCCAGCTCCGAGAAAAATTCCCGAGCTTCATGCAGGAGGGGTGTCTCTAACATTCGAGGGGGAGCAGAAGAGGGGAAGAGAAAGAGGGAGCAGCATCGACGTACCTGGCTTGCTCGGGCTTGACGCTGGTACCTGGAACTTGCTGTTCCGTAGTCCTCGATGATGTGATGGCTCAAAAATGGTCCAGCTTTCGGCCGCTTACAGTGGGGCAGCTCCGGCTGCGACAAAGTATGAAATGGGGTTGTCTGGGAAGATGATCAACAGAGCAGCGGACACAGATCCGCACGTTGGGTGCTGGCAAGTTGCTTTCACAGCACTATTGCAGCAACGAGTTATGCAGCGCAGGTGTGCCTGAGTCGATCATCATGCTACTGCACGGTACGGGGCCTTTCTCTGTGATACTCTTTGCGTGAGCCTGACGAAAAGCTGGTGGTGGTGGTGGCGCGCGAGGAGTCTCGGGCGGGTCAGCAGATGGTCTACTCGTACGCCGGCAGGATCATCCTGGCAGTGACCGGGGCCCACTGAGAGGGGCGACTGTTGCTGCTGAAGTGAAAGTTCTAGCCTAGTTGATTAAGGGCCTAGAGGGGCATTGTGGGCAGCGCCCATACTGACCGCTCGAAATTATCTAGGCTTAAATTTGGAGGCGGCGCGGTCGGCTGAGGGCGGCCAATCCAAAGGCACGGGCAAGCACCCAGCAACCACTCTACCGGGTTGAAATGACCTCGTTTGGAAGAGCGCTCTCTCTCTGCTAGCCTTGATGCTCAATTCGCCCCAATCTCTGCGAATCTCTGCGAATAGCTCGGCTCCCCAACTGGTGAACACAGAATAGGTCAGAAACTCGCCAGCGGCGCAGTTCCACGGGACCACCACAGCATTGTATGTAGGCCCATCGGTCACCTGTCCCCGAGGCTAGGGGCTAACCCTGGATCGTAGGAGACCCCCTTACGCTTTCGTTGTTATAAACTTCAAGCTGTTGGGGAAACCCGGGTCGACGCTCGGCCACAGGCTACGATCCCGCCCGAGATGCTCCGTCGATCTTGCCCACCTGGGTAATGAGTCTGGCTTCTGGGCATTTCTGTGTTTGAAGATCAACCTGAACCTGCGAGCTGCGAGCTGCGAATCCGAATTGGGCAACGGTCTCCAACGCGCGTCAATGTGCGTGCGACAATCCCGTGGGCCGGTCCCATGCAATGTTACTCCCCCATCTTTCTCGATGGTAAAGCCATATTGATTGCATCGATGCGGACGATGTGACATGGAATGCCACCTTTGCTACGATTCAGCCATTCATGATTCGTTCGCGTCAAAATATACCTAAGCTCGGCATTGTCGATTCTGGGACAAGCTCAGGTCAGCACTCTCCAAACCTTAGCTGTGGCGGCTGCGCTAGAAAGACACGTGGAGGACGTTTCAATCTCGCCTGACGCCCTGCCCTCAAGGGTCTGGAGCTTCCTTCGTCACAGCCGGCCTACGTTCGCTTCGCACGGCCTCGCCCTGACGTACTCCGTACTCACTTCCTCGACAGAAGTGAGGCGGCTGATCTAGTTTCTCCAGGTAGCGGTCCTGGAGGACAAAGTACCGCCCATGGAGCTTGAAGTTGTCCCAGGCCGCCTTTGCAGGTGTTGATCTAGACGTGCAGCATATTAAGGATATCTGAAACGGATCAGTCACGGTCGGTGTGGTTGCTGAGCAGTATTATTGGAAACTATCACACCCTCCCAGACTCCGACATCGCGAATAGAGTTGGAAGCGATTGGGGGTCAGAAAGTTCCTTCTCGAAGACGCCCATGGGACAAATTCGAAGTGCCGTTGGTTGTCAAGTGGCCAAGCTCAAGGCTCTAGGCTCAATTGCGAAGGGCGCTGCATAGCCCCTGCCAGAGCATGCCTTCGGTTCCGGTCACGATGTTGGCGACAGTGACACTGAGCCCTTTCGCGGACGAATCTGCGGATCTCCCGCGGTAAGCTGTAGGTTGATTGCCGATAATGGCCAGCAACACGGTCATAGTCCTGGCCGAGCAGAGGAAGAGTCTGAGACAGGCTGAGAAGCACCCTGCATATTCGGCGCGCCCCAGCACCTTGGACCTGGAGCGAAACCTGACTTGTTCTGGAAAGAACGATGCAGTGGCTTATGAGGTATGATCTCAGAGGCTGACAGTAGCACGTGCAATCTACTCTTTATGGTTACATTTTCATCCAACAACTACAGATGTCATGGTTGACGCAGTGGATCAAGGAGCGTCCTTTCACGGCAAATGCTTTTCAATGGCTGGAAGCAGCAAGGGGGCTTCGGGGCAGCAGCGTTGGATAGCTACTCCGTACTACGCGCAGGGCCACATCTGCCAACTTGAAGAGCTCTTTTTCTTTCAACAATGATGCTATCAAACCAGCCTCGACATCGCCTGAAACTACTCCGTACTCAGGGACAGTAACTGCCGGGCGTAGGAAATAGCCATTGCAAGGTTTCGTAGGCTTCTGCCGAAGGACGGGAGGGTCGGGGGGGCCGGTTACCCCCATTTCTGAATCCCCATCTTTGCATGGTTGCACGGAGTCGTGTGGGCTTAAATCTTACTGGTGCAATGAGAACGAATGCGCCCCTACGATCGGCTCCGACCCCCCAAGGCGGATAGTGCACCAACAGACAGCACCCTTCGAATTTCTTCTTGAGCACTGATAACACGGGCTGTGATCGAGGCAGGTGTTGCGCAGTCTGGCCTGTTCTCCTATGGGGCGGCGGTGAATGATACATCATCATTGATAACTGCCAGGATGGGTCGCCATCACGGCCCAGCCGCCACGTGTAAAACCCCTGCAGAGTGAACTCGGTGGCCGGCGAACTCTGGGAGTATTTCGGAGCTGTCTCCGATCTGCGCCTACTTGCTCTCAAAAGGACGCGATTGCGCGATCAATCAAATCGTTTTTCAAGAGCAGTTGCTGAGGACCTCGCACCCTGCATCAACTGTGTCGACCATGAAGAGAACAGAGGTTGCCTTAAAGCAGGTGTGTGTGAAAACTGGCTGCTGATACGGATACCTTGCCAAGAACTCCCCGATTGCTGTTGCTCCACCACCCTTCAGGGTGCACCCTTGATAATCTACCATCAGATGACTCTTTTTACAGCACCGTCGCTAATGGCGTGCATGCACTCGAGGTCATGTGGCTCGAGCATGCGGGCCGGTCTATCATGTTCCCGCAATTTCGCTGCTCTTCATACGGTCCCAATTAGTAGCGCTGCGGGAAGCTGGCACTTTGCTCACGCTCCATCTCCTGAACACATTCCCGGCGAGGGCGACCAGGGCACGGACATAGACGATGACTTCGCCACAATCGAATGACAGTGTATGGCATTGCTCAGGCATCTAAAGATCGGTTTTCTACAGGCGTCTCACGTGACTCTGAGTACGCACCTACCAGGAGAAATACTTCCACCACCACACAGCGCTCAAAGCTTGCGCCGAATACCACCGCCTCTATACCCGCAACAAGACTAAAGCGTGGCCTACTACCGACTCTCACTTGACACGGGTTCAGGCGCAGGTATATCAACCTACCGATCTGTTGGCACCCACATGGTGTTCAGTGTTTGGGTACTGCTTGTTGTAGGCTTCGTCCACCATCACTATCGCGCGTGTTCACAAGACTCTATATACTCCAACACCTCTTGAATGTTGTAAAGACAGTTTACAAGCACAACCATGAAACGCATGTCAAGTCCACATGATCTTCTACATAAGTGACCTGTCAGATCCGGCGAATGAGCTTAGCGCCCAGCCTCATCCGAGAAAATCATCTGAATCTCGGACCTGCTCTTCGGATGTTGCTGTTGGGTGTGGTCCCTCCACGTCCGTTTGCCACACAAGAAGCAGCACCAGCACCAGGTTGTTTGCCACACCTTTCTGCCTCTTCTCTCACTGATTACCAGCGGCGAAGCTTCGCCGAGCCGATGTGCGTCTGACACCTTCACCTGCCACAAACACCCCGAAGTACCAGATATGGTGGGCCCTGTCGACGCAGACTCTTACCCGTTGCTTTTCATCACCGATTTTGGATCTTGAATGCGGCTCCGGTGGCATACAAGAATGAAATCCGGATATGACAGCTGCCACGCTGCGGTGCCGCAACGGATATCTCGGTATTTGCGTGACTTGACAGACGCCACAAGCACGGTGCGATGGAAAGCAGTTTCCAGACTTGGACTTCTCCAGTCCCACGTTTCAACGGTTGACTTGAGTTTGCACCACTTACCAATACTCAGGTGGTCCTGTCTGCGTCTATCAGACTAAACTCGCAATGAGGGCACCTTTCAGAACGTGTTCTGGCTAACAATGTGCATCATGATGTCCATGCCCCGAGTGTCATACGATTGATTCAGCAAGCGAGCACGGCGGATATTTGCACTTCCTCCGCTACTCATCTATATCTTTGCTGATTCTGTAACCACCTCTCTGACCAATTTAAGCGCCTCAACCGCAAACGCTACCATGTTCGCCTGACGATCTGCCCCATATTCCGTGTTGAGCTCTTTGGAAATCGTTCCGCTTGCACCTCCTGAGACCGCAAGTGCTACATAGCCCCTTAAACATGAGGTTAGCGAGCCGCGACGTTGGGCACTATGCATGGTACCCACGGTTGGCGATTAGAGGCCTTCCCACTCGCGGTCGGACCTGCCGTCCCGCTCTGTGATTGCCGTCGTCAGCCCCTGTTCTATCACATCTGCGAGACGACCATGGCAGAAGTAGCATCTCACCTCTGAGACGGTGTAAGTTGAACCGAGCTTCGCGCGTACATTATCTGCGAGCCGCTCGACAATCTGATTGGGAAAGGTCAGAGAAACGGTGGGCATCACAAGTGAGGCGGTCACCGCCGCAGCCTCACCTGAGGAGTTGGCCCGTCATAGGACTTGATATCCTCGTCCGTCCATCCGGCGAATTGAATGCGGCTCGGTAACGTATAGAGGGTCAAACCCCCACGATAGATCTGCGATGCCCCAGGCGTTGCCAAAAGGGCCGCAGAAATAAGCCCGCCTGCAGCTGTTTCGGCAACCGAAATGGTTTCCTTGCGCTCCTTGAGAAGCGTTGCAACTTCCTGTGCCGCTTGTCGGAGCACGGGAGGTGGGAAAGCATTCTCAGAAGACATCCTTGTCCTCAGATGGCGAAGTGAGGTTACAGGAATTGGCGAAGACGGTCGGAAAAGCAGTTGCGATCCGAAAAGTGGTTTAATTTGCATTAGCAATCAAGGTGCGAGGAAAGTGAGGGGAGATTCGAAAGGTGTGAGAGGTGGTGACCGACCCCATTCACTTCAACCTCATTCCTGTTCAGCTTCTATCGCCTGTATCTCCGGTTGCGCCTGCCTCGAGAATCTTTACATTGTGGAGAGTGCGCCTGCCATAGATGTCATCCACCGTCAACTCTACCGACCGTGATGTGCTCCGGGTTGTGCCCCTTCGTTGCCGCCAACGCGCCCACCATTGCTATACCGGACCCCGTCTTCACCGGCGCCCCGGCTATACCTGCATTCAATCGAGCATTTCATAGCTGAAGCGAAAGCTGATGTCAATAGGAGCGTGTTCGGGTCTAAGATGATGGCTTCTCGCTGGTACTGCGAGCTGGACAATTATGGCAGCAATCGTTTGCAATGCCAAACTGGATGTGAGGCAGTTGCTTCAGGCTCGCCATTCATTGTGAACAAAGTTTGCTAGCAGCATACTACATGGCGTAATGTGCCAATATGAGTTGGTCTTTTCTGTGAGTATGAGTTGCCTTCCACACTGATGATGCCTCTCTACTTGTACAAGAGGCCAAATGGTGAGTGTGGCGTCAGAAGAGCCTCTCCACGTCCTGCTCCAGCAGGACGCAACCAGGTACCGCATCATTCTCTTCATCCTCGCTTAGCGTCCCAGACTGGTGATATCCACCGTCCTGTTTTCCATCCACATCAAGGCCTCGCTGCTCGTCCGTGCAACCAATGCTCGTCCGCCTGCCGCAGCAACCGGGACAGTCACTATCCGAAATCCATACTTCGTTCCCCATCAGATCGCCGCCACGCCTTACACGACAGAGACAGGTCTCCTTCTTCACCTTCTCCACAGCCTATGATACCCGTCACACCGCGTTATCGGGCCACTGCCATCAATGCCCTCGCTCTTTATCGACGATCCAGCTTTGAGGGACCCACCTCTTCCCCTGCCCGCCGCCGCTCGCCAGCTCTACAGCGCCGTCTGCCAGGGAATCACTTACTTCGAGGCCTTTCAGCAGTCCTACCGCAAGTCCATTAAAGGAGTGCGCGCTTATGGCGACAGCGAATTGCTCAACCGATGCTGGACCACTCAGATTCACACCAGTATGTCGGACCCGACCCGAGCGTCTGGCCTCCAGAAGTCTGCTGATCGAAATGACCCAAATGACCAGATGTACGGTCAGAGCCACAACCAGAGCCATAGCCAAACGCAAAAGCCCGATCTGGTTGAAGACAACTTGTCCTTTCCACAACACCAGAGGCGCATCCTTGAGCGTATCGATGCCCTCCGTCGCTCTTGCTACCCTCGCATGCTCGAGCAGGCCGCCGCAGCCAAGGACGGAGATGCGCCGTGGCTCGAACCTGAACTATACGCCAATCGGCTGCGTCATGGTGCCGCAGAAAAACTAAAGCGTAGAGTTGAAAACAGCAGTGACGATGTCAAGTATGCTATCGGAGGCATGAGGAAGGACTACCTTTTGGCAAAAGACGCTATGAGAGAGCTGAAGTCCCTGCGGCAGGATCTGACCACTTACAAGGCGTGCTGGGACAAGAACTGGGAATGGGAGAAAGACGATGGTGGCGAGAGTGATCAAGGCTACGGCGACGACGACGGTCAATGACAGCAGTAGGGACGCTGGTAACCGCGACCGCCGTATTGAGTCTTGTGGGGGGGGCATCCTTCCAGGCAGTGAAATCTTGGCGCGGGGTAGAGGGTGCACAGAAATGCGTCCCATACAGCTCGCCACAGGCTTTGGTTTGTCGGCATTCGTAGGGGAAGGTGGTCCAAGACGAAGGTATCGACAAAGACTCATGGATAAGATGCGATGTATTCCAAAGTCTTGGAGCTGCGCTGGAGATCTGGCGATACGCCAGTTTGGAAACTGAATTGCGGGGCCGAGGTTGCAACTAGATACCAAGAGTTTATATTCGTTCTCCAAGATACTGATAACACAACGCCGGTCTACCTCAAGCACGAAGTCCGTTACCTTCACCTAGTCCTGCATCTGTTTCTGACTGAGCAAACGGACACTCTCCCCTAGATTCCCGCCTGGCCTCTCGAGTTCGATCGACTTCGCGCCAGAAAGCGTATCGCCTTCTTCGAGTACGCCCTTCGACAATCCCATCTCTAATCTACTACCACTCTGCTGTGGCCAGGCCCCTAAGATAGGAAGCATACGAGGAGCTGCGCGAGTTACCGAAGACAAACGCGTTCTCCGTGTTACATCGAACGAGATCTGCGTCTCTTCTCCTCTCAGACCTTCTGAGAAGCTTGTCTGGTAACTGCTGCTTGCCTGTGTTCAAGCGTCTTTGGTCCGATAGGGGACTACACGAGCCTTATAGAAGACTAGACTGAACCGATCCACGGCGGGAACGCAATTTGGCAGATCACGAGAGAAGCCAATCGATCAACATCGATTGCGGTTGACAATACGCTGTAGCTTCTAGAGCCAACCATTGCGAACGTATCATCATGTCGACCACCACCACCACCACCACCACCACCAACATGACTGAGGCAAAGACCTCTCCGCTCAAGGTCAAGCATGTGCGTCGTACTCATTCACTCGCTCAAACCAACTCACCTATCCCCCTCCCGTTCGCGTGACCCCTTTAGCCACCTCTTGTTCCTACCACGTCCAGCTGACATCCCTCAAGCTATACACTTACCCTATCAAATCTATCCGCGGTCTCTCCCTCCCAGCCCTCCCCATCTCCCCACTCGGGCCCTCGCACGACCGCCGCTTCATGCTCATCGCCATGGAGACAATCGATCCCAAAACCAACCTACCCTCAAACATGCACGTCAGCAAATTCGAGGAGATGTGCCTCTTCACCACCCACCTGCCGGACGGCAACGATGACAACCCCAGCATGACCGCCGAGCAAATCGCCGCTCTCACGGAAATTGAGGTGCGCTACGCCAAGGACCACTGCTTCAAGGACACCGCGAAGAAGGTGTCAATGGAGGCGTTACGAGTACCGCTGAGTCCTGGCACAGAAGACCTGCAGACGGTCAAGGTGCGGATGCACGGCAGTCCGACGGTCGCTTACGACATGGGTGCCAAGTACAACGGATGGTTCAGCGAGCGCTTTGGGTACGAGGTCAAGCTGCTTTATCTGGGCGAGCACCGGAGGAAAGTGCTGGGCAATGTGGCACCAGCGGTGGCGGCCGCGCAGGCCAGAGGCGAGATGGCTCAATATGACGGGTTGAAGAACTTGCCGGAGGGCGAAGGCGATGGCAGCGGGGGATGGTGGAGTGGAATCAGCAGCGCCGTGGCGCGCATGGCGGCGAATCTGCCCGGCGCGGCCGCGGCAGGCCTCAATGGCAACGAGGGAGAAGGCGTGGATATAGGTATCGGCTTTGCGGACGTGGCGCCGTTCCTTGTCATCAGTACGAAGAGCTGGGAGAACGCCAGCTCGCGCTTGCCGGATGGGCAGGAGATGGATATCACCAAGTTTCGGCCAAATATCGTGGTGGAGGGCGCGGATGAGGCATTCGACGAGGACTATTGGGGGGAGTTGATCTTCGGTGGGGGGAAGGAGGCCGTGAGGATCATACTTACGCAGAACTGTGCGAGGTGTAACAGCCTCAATGTTGATTTCCGAACTGGCAAAGTCGGCGAGGGCGAAGATGGGAAGATACTGAAGTTATTGAGTAAGGACCGTAGAGTCGACCCGGGAAGTAAGTGGAGTCCAATCTTTGGACGTTATGGGTTTCTTGGAGGCAAGGGAGAGGCGAGCCTGAACGTGGGTGATCAGGTGGAGGTAGGTAAACGAAACGAGGCCAGGACGTCGTGGGGTGAGTATCTGTTCTTGATGTGTGCGCGGGAGATGTGCTAAAGACTCGCAGAGTGGCCCGGCCTCGGAACGTACCCGAAGCAGACTTGAGGAGTTCGAGGCTCAGTCGAAGGAAGAGTCTGAGGCCGTTAAGAACCTCGTGTTTAGTCGCTGTAGAGATTCAAGCTGCAGACGGGGAAGCATTGCTCACAGTCCGTGTATTAAGATGCATTCATTGCGTATCAACGCCGTCCGTACCGGGTATCACATGCAGTCTATGCCGCCCTGTTCATGCTATGCACCTCCCAGTTCCCGCTCGATGCAAGTCATACCACATGTCACGTATCAAGTCAGTCATATCGTCACTTCTTCTGGAACATCCCGGCCACACTGCCCTGTCCACTGCCTCCGACTTTCCCTCTCAGGTTCTTCGGCACATACTTCCCTTCCGCTTGCCTTTTGCCCCGCTCAACACTGTCCAGCACCCACTGTGCCGTAACGAACTTCACACCTTTGCCCCTAACATTCTGTACCTCCTTCTGGATTTTCGTGCCTGCCAGTCCTCCACCACAGTCCTCGCCAATGACCACGTGAGTGACGCTGCGGCGGGCGAGAGACAGTGAGGTAGTGCCGCCGTGCTGTGAGAAGAGCTGCTTGAGGCGGTGGTCGGAAATCAAGGGCGCGGTGGAACCATTAAGGTATAGAGAAAGAGAGGCAAAGATTTGCGGCTTTTGTTCAGCCGGCGTGGATTTCTGAGAGTATTCATCGATATCCGAGCCACTTTTACTGGTGCGAGGTTGTGCTGAAGAAAACGGCAGCGTGGTGGCGTCGCTGTCTGTCGAGGCATCGTTGCTGGGCCCGGCTGCGACATCCTCTTGCGTTGGCGACTCTTCACTGCTCTTGCGACGCTTGTACGGTGGCACAACTGTTTCCAGTGTTGGGCTCTTCCTCTTCTTTCCACCACCCAGCAGGCCTCTAATATCCTGCCAGCCATATTCTCTCAACCCTGGTGCGCCCTGCTCCCAATCGCCATTTTCCTTCCTGCCGTCCTTGCCAAAGTTTTCACTTCCTGCGCCGACCAAGTCCGAGAGATGTTGGGTGCCACCCCGCCCAGTAGCGTCGCTGAACTGGTGTTTCAGCTTGTAAGTGCGTGAATCGCGCCATGAGGTGCTGCCTGAGAGTCTATTCTCGGCGCGCTGATGGCCGGTCGAGGACGAGTTGTAAGGATCGAAGAAAACTTTGGTGGGTTGAGGCGCTTTCGGGATAGGTGGATTATGGGCTGGCATTGCCGCAAGCGAATATTATGGGTTGTTCTATGATGGGCCATCGCTGGGTAGATGCTCTCTTCAGTGCAGGGAAATTTGCCTGATGAATGCGGGTCGCAAATGCTGTAGCAACGGGGTGGACTCGATGACTTCATTATTCGCGTCGCGTCAACGGAACGCGTCGCCGTGGACTCGGCAGATACGGGCTGTTTAAGCAAGCAGTCACACCAAGCTTATTTCGCTTCATTGCAAGTTGATGCTAGTGGTGCAAATATTAGGACATTTAAGTATGATATGGCGTATACCATGTAAGCTAATGCATAGGCAGAAGTGCTCATCTTTCGGCGCCGCTTCGGATCTTGTACCTCAGTCAAGCCCCTCTCTCAAAATCAAGCCCATGCAGAATGCTGTCAAATGAGGCCCCATCCTCCAAGCTGAACAGTGGATTTGGCACTGAGGCATGCGAATCATAAAATCCACCACTTAGCACGATATCATACTGCTCACGATGCAGAACACTGTCGTTATATTGATGATCACTTGCCTCGAATCGGTCAGCTGTGTCCCCGGACCGAATCGCATTCAACTGGCCAGCTTAACAATCCGACGTTAATGGCACCTCCTGTCCTTTGTCACCCTGGTGGACAGCGATGCCAGCATTCGCATTTGCCACCTCGCTATTCCAGGGCCACCCAGAGACATCGCTTCGCCGTACCCGGATTGTCCTTGATGCGGCATCGTTACGCTAAGGGCAGATCTCCTCGTTGGCATGACCATCGTATTGTGCCAGTCCTGAATCGCCATCGATGCTGGTATGAGTGGTGTAACTCCATCCTTGGGCGCCGTCGTCTTCAATGTCGAGCAAGGACCGTGAAATTGCTCCAATCTCTTTTAACGTTCTCGTCTTCAGCATTCGCCGATCTTTGCAAGACGTCCAAAGCTCGCCCTACTAGGCGGCGATCACTTATGCGCTGATGTTGAAGGGAGTTGAAGGGAGTTGAAGGCGCTGATCGACCCGTCCTCTCGGCCAACGCGTCGCACCGTGAGCGGCTGCGTTCGCACATAATTGGTACCCGCAAGTTATATCCTTTGCCAGCTAGGTGGAGAGAGCCTGGCAGCAACCCCCGGGGCAGATTCTAGCTTTCCAGCTCTTCGACAAGGGCTCCCGGGCGGGCGCACCCTCTCAAAGATCGATATCCAACCCCTTAAACCCATCGAGCGCCTCCTCGAACGCGCCCGCCTTATTATCGGTATGTCCCATCCCCTCCAGTCCATCCGCAAGCGCATAATACACGGTCAACTCAACTGGTGAACACGTAGTTCGATAAACGCCCAAAGCCATAGCACTCTTCCGATTAACCTCCATAAACTCGGCCCCGCCCATGTGATCCTCACCCCGGTATTCCCTGTCGTCCACGCGACCCCTCTCATCCGGCACGCCGCGAGCATCGATCGCGAGCTTGAGACCGAAATGGCCGTGGCGCGTCGACGTGTACACGAACATCTGCCAGGGACATTGGCGGCGGCCTGGGAAGATGGGGAAGCCCTTGGGCAGCCTGAGACGGTGGTCGGCAGCAAAGTTGCGCCAGACGACCTCTTCACTCCCCGGAGAGGCGGCGTCAAGCCAGGCACGCTGCCGGCCGCGCGAGCTGGCCGCGCGGGTGTGCAGGGCGAGAGCTTCTGCGCGGTCGCGAGGCAAATTGCTCTTCCATAGGTGGTACTTGGCGCGCGAGGTAGCCGTAGCGGCGTACATGCAGATGGCGGCGGGCGTGAGGAGCAGGATGTTGGCTAGATTCATGAGCACGTCGGTCCGGTCGATAGAGCTTGAGTGCTCGAGCCAGATGGACTCGAGTAGGAGCTCTAGCGGTGTGAGGTTGTAGTCGACGCTCAGGGAGGAGCCGTGGGTGGCGAGAGGCATGATGCCGTAGACGCGGTCGCGCAGGTTCTGGCAATAGCGGGTGCCAGACAGGGTGGTCCAGTTTGCCGAGGCTTTGTGCTTGGCAGACTTTTCGTACTCGAGGCGACGTTGCCAGAGGGGGTGTATATTGGAGATGTAATCAGCGAAGTCGTGCGACCTGCGCGAGGAGAAGACAAGGTGAGTGAGTACCAAGCGGTGGATCTTGTTGTCGAAACGGCGGATGGTGTCTTGGAAAGTGGAAAATGTGACCCAGCGGTCGCCGCAGATGATGCGGCCTTTCTCGGGAAGGGTGAATTCCTGGATTACCCATACTCTGTCCCAGTACATGGCTGAATTGATAGCTCGAAACCCGTCCCAGAACTCGTCATCTCGGGCGCTCGTGAGCGCCATCTCAGCATCATTCATGTTCACATACTTCTGCATGCAGCGGATGGCGTAGCCGACATGATCAACCTTTGATCCCAGCCACACAAGGACTTCTCTGGTTTCGGAGTATATTCTCCACATCATCTTGACCTGTCGGTTCTTCTCCTCAAGATCCTGCTGATTGATGCATATGGCGTCGACCCACAGCGCCTTGTCGGCGAGGTGCTTCCGCGCGTGCTTGAGGAAGGTGTAGAGATTCTGTCGTACGCTGAACGGCTGGCCATTGATGAGGATGGTCTCCTGATCTTCGCGGTCGCTGCCCCAGGTATATGACAGCGCGGAGTAGGAGGATTCGACCGTCGTCTCCTTAATCCTGCATGATATGTAGCCCCTCTCCAGATCGGGCTCTACACGAATGATGCGAATCGCCCTCTTGGCTCGTCGATCCAGTGGAGTATAGACGTATCCTTTCACCGATCGAGTTGTCGACAGCGAGCGTCTCCGTTCCAACTCCCTCGGAGGCTCAAGCATGGAACCGTGCCGCTCATCTCTACCAACGGATTTCGACCTGCGAATATCCACCGAAGTCCCCGGCACCGTCAGGCGGCGGACCTGGTACGTTTCATCGAGCTCCATGTGCTGACGACCGTTAGCGATCGTTGGTAGCCTTGATACTTCTATAGCGGGCTTGATGATGGTGGCAAGAAAGTCTCGTGCTCTTCAATATACCAGAAAGACGTACGAAATGTTGCCGTCAGGCGAGGTGAAATCAGTCTCGATGGTGGGCTAATGCCAGCGCACTTGTGTCAGATCTAGACCAGTTCGTACACGAGGTTAGACTCGGTGGGGGGCCTGACAAGGCCGACCAATGAGCGGAGTTTCCATGAGCGTCAAGCAAAACGCGAAGCACTCCTTCGCCAAGACCATCTCAGGCAGTGAATGAGGCCTTTCTCCGCCTTACCGTGAGCGGTCCTTGGGTCGTCAAGGGTTGCGACAGTCGACAATATCGCCCCGGTCGCGTTGCCATAGGCTTGAGTGGAGAGCGATGCTGAGGAAAAGCTCAAGATCCACGCATTCACCCTATATTCGCGTCATCATTGACATCCCACCAGTTGTAATGCCAGTTCCCACCCGTGAACTGGGTTTCAATAGCCTGCATGTACTCGAGACCCTGAAAATCAGGTTGAGCCGCAGCGTGCTGCAGGTCCGCGGCTGTCGAGAACTGCAGATCTCCAAAGTCTGGCAGTGAATGAGTGATGCCCAATGGCTGGTAATCCAGGGACGTGGAAGTGGCATCAGCACTCGCGTGCTGGTCTTGACTGTCCGGTGTCAAGGTTGATATTACCGCTGACCGCGGGTCTGACGACGAGAATGCGGCAGGCTGCCAATGCGTCTGCCAGAAGTTTTGTGGACTTGAGACCTGCATCTGCTGAATATGCTTCACAACCTGATTGAGGGAAGAGATGGCCTTGGAGATCGGTATATACTCGAATCGTGTTTGCGTTGCCCTGTCCATGACGGCCTCCACCCGTTCAAGTCGTCGAATGTCCTCCCTGTACTCCATAGCATCCTTGGAATTGAGAATGTGATAGTACAAGGAGAAAAACGCTCGGAAGGGATAGAATGCAATGCAATAGGTGTTCAAGGCACCGTAAGCCTTGTGGTCGCCTGTCATCTGATCCAGCTTGTCGGTGGCGTCAAGGACAACACGAGCAGCTCGTACTGAACGTGCTGAGACGATGTTTGCATTGCTGATCTGTCGTAGCTTGTCCATCTGCAGTACTATGTTGAGGCCGCCGATGATGGTGTCAGCATATTGCCAGCTCTCGATCGGCTTGTCCTTCTGTGCTTGCATGAGCAATATCTTGCTAATCAGTATCCAGCTGACCGAGTCGACACGTCACTTACTAAATGCCAGTCATTGATCATCTCCTCGATCTCATCGCACAGCTCGTCAACCTTGCTTTGGAACTCGCTTGATGCAATGCCGGCTCTTGTTTTCCTAGCCTGATCGAGCTCCTCAAAGAAAGTCTTTGCTATGAAAGTCACTCGAGTCCAGAAGATGTCAGTGACTGTTCGGGCAGCCCGAGGTCGCTCGTACACCAGGTCCACTACCTCTGGAATCTTGACAAACGTTGGCGATGCCTCAGCACTGATAGCCGAAGGCTTCTCATAGCAGAGACGGAAGAAGAGGTCAGTGATGACAATCTGCCAAAAGCCAGATCGCTTCTTGCGGAGCGAGAAGTCCTCTTTGTTATCCTTGCTAGCCAAGACATCAAGATGGTGCAGGCCCAACTGCTTTGCAATCCGGCAGCCCATACAATGGAACTTCCATGCAAGGTTGTAGTCGAAGCTGACGACTGTCGTCCACGTCAAGATCGACGTGGCAGCAAGGTCCATGAGGGTGCCCTTGACACTTTCCTGCCACGGCGGGACTGCGACGAGACATTGGAGGTAGAGTGTGCGAGCTCCAGCGCGCGTCTTGCCTTCGCTGAACATATATCCGTGGAAGACAAGGTTGCAGTACACGAGGCGAGCAGCAGGATCGATGTGGACATGGGGCGAAGTGATGATCTCGCTGAGAGATATCATGAAATCAAGCTCGACTAGCGACATAAAACACTGATCGGCTAGAAGGTTCAAAGCCGCTGTATCTTGTCAGCAATGCTTGAGAAGACACTGCCGTCCACCTACCTCGCACAGCCTCCTTCGCTTCATCCTTTGTCAAAATTGCAGCAGGGTCCTCGTTACTGATGACTTCGGTCAGATCACCAAGTTCCGCAAGGACGCCATCGAGTGCGTCTATGGCGTGTGATAACGGCGAGTCCTCGGCAAGATGCCCTCTCCTCCCCAGTTGGCTGAGTGAGAAGTCTTTCGCATTCCTCACCTCCTGCGCCAAAGCATCTATAGCGATTAGCCGGACCCGAAATGACCTGAAGGATGACGCAAGATCTACCTTCGCCGTATCTCATGGACTCGAGATCCACTGCCTCGGTCTGTGAGGCAGTTGTGGCAGGTGCGGGAAGTGACTGGCGGTCGCTGCTACCTCGCTGGAGGGACACAGTGCTCGACCCCTCCGCCTGCCCTTGCAGAGCTTGTTCCAGGAGATCGATCCGTTTGTTCAGCACGTTTATGCTTTTCTCGTCCCTATCAATGATAAGCATCCTGCTGGCCCTCAAATTGGAGAACAATACTTCGTCCTATGCGAGGTCCTTTGCTTGCGGTCAGGAACCGCGCACGCCGTACCGGCCGCAAGACACCGGTCACACGGCTCTTGTCGGTTGCATCGCAGTTTCTTCTGCTTGCAGCGGACGCAAGAGAGCTTCATATGGCCCACTCGCTGCGCCCGGAGGTCCTTCGCGCACGGATTTGCGGGTTGACCTTCCCGGGACTCAGATCCGCTTGATCAGAGTTCTACCTCTGAAATCGATCCGAGAAGAGTACTAAACGGACATCTAGTTCGTTGAAGGTAACTAACTGCATGGCCCTGGAGAAAGGAGATACGATGGTCAGGACAATGGGTGCCTAAAGGGTCCGGGTAAGGGTCGTATGCGCCTCGTTGCTGCCACTAAGACCCTTCTTGGCACCTATGACTGTTGCAGTACTTCATTGCTGCCCGTCAAGTCCGAATGACACGCCGCGCACATCGACAAATCTCGAGTTTACAACATAATGACGCGTAGAGCTTGATTTATCGACGTCCTCAATACCCGCCACCCACGATGTCGCGAGGTCAAAGTACATCGCATTGTGCTTGCTAAGGCTTTTCTATAAAACAGCCTACTGCTATTACCCCGGCCCTGCTCAAGGAAGCAGCATTGAAAGCCAGGCGGGATTTTTGGGCTGCGAAAACTCGTGCCGTGGTCCATGTCAATGCATTGTTGAATGCTTTTCCCCATTCCCCTCGTAGCCCATCAGGAAGATCTAGTATCATAAGCCTTGCGAGGCGATGCTCACAAATAAAACGCCGATGTTAAGATCGACTTTTTGGGTCTTCCCGAATCTCGTCTCATCATACAATATCATGGGGTATCATTTTGTTGAAAAGATCACTTTTGCTTTCACCAACGCCGTTCATACGCCCACGTCATGTTAAACTGACGGGGTATTCACACAGAAGGAATGTAGGTTCACTTCTGGTACTTGCCACGGAAGGTTTTGGCCGCGTTGACCATGTTGGTCAGGGCGGCCTTGGTCTCCTTCCACTGGCGGGTTTTGAGACCGCAGTCGGGATCGATCCACAGTTGCTCGGGCTTGAGGTACTGCAGCATCTCCTGGATGCGGTCTTCAATTTCCTGCTGGCTGGGCACACGAGGAGAGTGGATGTCATACACGCCAGGGCCGATGTGACGAGGATAAGCCTCATCCACAAAGACCTTCAGCAGCTTGGCGTCACTCTTGCTGTTCTCAATGGAGAGAACGTCGGCATCGAGAGCAGCGATGGCATAGAAGAAATCCTGGAACTCAGAGTAGCAGAAGTGGGAATGGATCTGAGTGCCATCCTCAACACCAGCAGTGCTGAGACGGAAAGAGTCGACAGCCCACTTGAGGTAGTCGGTGCGCTCCTTGCCGACACGGAGAGGCAGACCCTCACGCAGGGCGGGCTCGTCGACCTGGATGACAAAAACACCGGCCTTCTCGAGGTCGACTACTTCGTCTCGGAGAGCAAGGGCAAGTTGCTGAGCTTGGACCGACTGGTGGACATCGTCACGAGGGAACGACCACCGCAGGCAGGTGATGGGGCCAGTAAGCATACCCTTCATGGGCTTCTTGGAGATGGATGCGGCGTACTTAGACTCCTTGACAGTCATCGGAGCAGGGCGGGAGACGTCACCAACCACGATGGGGGGTCGGACACAGCGGGAGCCATAAGATTGGACCCAGCCGTTGGTAGTGAACGCATAGCCGTCTAGGCGCTCACCGAAGTACTGCACCATGTCGTTGCGCTCGGGCTCGCCGTGGACATAGACATCGAGACCAAGCTCCTCTTGGATGGAGATGACGTCTTGAATTTCCTTTTCGATGAACTTCTCGTACTGCTCAGCAGTGATCTCACCCTTGGTGAACTTGTTGCGCTGGATTCGGATCTCCTTAGTCTGAGGGAAGGAGCCGATGGTGGTAGTGGGGAAGAGGGGAAGGTTGAGTCGCTCCGACTGTTGAGCAATGCGCGTAGGGAAGGGACTCTTCCGGCTGTGCATCTCTTCGGTAACCTGGCGCTGGCGGTCTTGGACGGCCTTGTTGTTGGTACGGCTAGAAGAGGCGCGAGCTTGCATCGAGGCAGCATTGGCCTCGAGAGCCTCCCGGACGGTAGCGGGGCCCTCGCTCACGGCCTTAGCGATGATAGCGATCTCAGTAGCCTTCTCGGTGGCAAAAGAGAACCAATCGGCGACCTCCTTGTCGAGCTTCTTCTCGGAAGCAAGAGTGTGAGGAGTGTGGAGTAGAGAGCTAGAGCTGGCAACAATGACACGATCCTTGCCAAGCTTCTGCACAGCAGCCTCGACAATCTCAATAGCTCGCTTCATGTTGGTCTTCCAGATGTTCCGGCCGTCAACCACGCCGGCGGACAAAACCTGCTGAGAGCCGATGGCACCTAGGACAGACTCGAGCTGTTCAGGGTTGCGGACGAGATCGACGTGCAGGGCATAGGCGTTCTTGAGGTGAGCCACCGCGTCCAAGTTGTGGACGACGTCGCCAAAGTAAGTGGCAACAACCAACTTTGGAAGACCGGTTGCGGTCAGAGCCTCATAGGCAGGCTTGAAAGCCTCCTTGACATTGGGCTGGAGATCGTAGACTAGGATGGGCTCATCAATCTGTACAGTCTCGGCACCCGCCTCTTTGAGCTGCTTGAGCAAATCAACATAGAGAGGCAGCAGCTTGTCCAGAGTAGAGATGGGCTCAATGGACTGTCCGCGGTCCGCCTTTCCCAGGTGGAGGAAAGAGACTGGGCCGAGAAGGACAGGGCGGGTGGTGATACCAGCCTCCTTGGCCTCTAGGAACTCACTGACAGGCTTGGGCTTGGAAGCTAGCTTGAAGGTCTGGTTATCCTGGAGGGTAGGCTTGACGTAGTGGTAGTTTGAATCGAACCATTTCACCATTTCCTGTGTCTGTCAGCTTCAACGCCAGTTCGAGTTCGCATCCGACTTACCAGAGCGGGTACATCAACGGCAGGAGCATTGTCGGTGGCCGGTCTCTGTAGACCACGTCCCATGGCGAAGTACTCGTCAATAGGAGAAAGGTTGTACTTCGAGTAGCGCTCGGGGATGACACCGAACAGCTGAATGTGGTCCAGAACCTGGTCGTAGAAGGCAAAGTCATTGCTGGGGATGATATCAATGCCAGCGTCTTTCTGGATCTTCCAGTGTTCAGATCTCAGTCTCTTGCCCTCCTTGAGGAGATCTTCCTGTGAGAGCTTGTCACCCCAGTAGGCTTCGGTCGCTTTCTTGAGTTCACGGTTGGCACCCATGCGAGGGAAACCGAGAATGGAGCTAATACAAATGTTAAGGAATTGATAAGCCAGCTGCGGGACGTCACTCACGATTGAACCATGTCGGCGGTAGGCCCTTCGGGCGGTCAACGAAAATTCTTTGACACGAACGTGTATTGGGTAAGTGCAGATATCAAAGAAGTCAAGAAAAACCTGGGCAGACGGTTCGAGTGAGATGTAAGTTGCGTCAGTTGCGGATTTAAGCAGTTGCACAATAAAAGATGGATGTAAGAAGGAGACAAGAAAAAATTGTGAGAGCAGGTTGCAAGCGGTGAAATCGGTCCCGGAGAGCCAGACTGCCCCTCCAAGAGGGGAAACGGGAGCATTATTCAAGTCCGGCGACAAATCACCTCATTTGCAGGCCGATATCGCGAACGGAGGCTAGGCATTTCGAGTTTGACTTTATCCACTCCCGCATTCAACAAGCCCGTCACAATGTATCCGGGCATGGGTGAACGACTTTGGATGGCGTCTGTCGCGATCGAGGTACCAAACAGGGTCAAAACATCCCCCCGGATCGCGGTGGGCGTTGGCATATATATACAGCCACTGTTCAATGTGGGGCATGGGGCTGCTCCCACCTCGCTGGAGTCGGTAGTTGTGGGATCGCCCGACATCGCTATGCCTTTGATACCAGCTATTTGTTGGAGACATTGACAGCTTTACGAAAGTACACAGATATCTCCGCCAACAAGTCTTTCTTTAGTCGCCGCGCATTACCTCAAAGTCCAGGAAAAGGTAGCGCTGCCGCCCTCCCCGCCACTGCCCTTTTCCCAAATCGCTCCTCGTACCATTGCTTCCCCTGACGTGCTCTCGGCAGCATCACGAACATTTCAGCAACAAGAAACCACAATGCTGCACTCTCAGCACCCCATCCCAGTCCCCACGCACCTCCTAAGATCCAGTAACCCGTCCACTCCAGCCATTCAAAGGCATAGTGTGGATGCAGTACATACTTGAAGCCACCCTCCGGTGGTGGTACCACATATACCTTGTGGTAGCTGACCTCTGCCTTGCCTTCTGACTTGGCCTTGCGTTTCGCCGCGCCACGACGCAGCTCGAAGAGCTTGTGCTCACATGCGATATTGCCGTAAAATCCAGCAAGCCAGAGGCCTAGGCCGAGGCCCGCAAGTGGTGACATGAGTACTCGCGAGACGTCATGGGTCCTTACAGCAGAGTAGACTATCCAGCAGGCGACGTTGGTAGAGTTTCCGTACTGGAAATAGGCCATCAAAAAGGCGACCCAAGGGCCCATGGGGCTGACGCTCGGTGCAAGTATAGGTGTGATGAACGCCCGGTTCAGGTAGTGGATGAGGTACAGTAGGATGAGAATCTCGTACTGGATCGGAAGACCAGTCCTGAGGATACTTGAAGGGGCATCGGGTGGAGGTCTCAGCTTCGAGGGTAGAGCATACATGATATAGAGCATATTGAACGGCGCTACTGCTTCAGCGCAGATCCAGGCGAATCGTCCAGGCAAGTGAAAGGCAGTTGAACCACTCGTTTTGCCCATCATCTGCAATAGCTTGAGCGGCGTCCATTGCAGTAGCGAGATCTATAGCAGCTCTGTTAGTCTCTGGCTGATTGGAAATGAGTCTCTGGGGTAGGGCAAAATAAGGCAACCGAACGGAAACAGATGCAGCGCCCCTGTCCATGTCATTTGTTCGCTTGGGCCTACATCGATGCTGAACCCTACAGGGCCTTCGCGTATGCAAGAGTGGCAGTGTGCTTCGTATACTTGCTGACTGGAAAAATAAAAAATTGACTGACCGGTATCCAGGTTAGGATCAGAATCTTGACGAACTGGTGAGCGTGAGGCGTTGGAGGAAAGAATTCGGTCAATCCGGGCAACCATTCGGAGTGTCCCATGGTGTCGAAATCCTGGATCTTCAAATCCTCCGTCTATGCTGCAGTGATAGCTGTACGTCTAGGAACAATTGAACGAAGGAACTGACGAGGCTTTCCTGTCCATACGGAAAACCTGCTATTACAGCACGATTTACAGATCATGACGATTCTTGGCAAATCGCCGAGGACGCATCCGTGTCGGACCACTCGAAATGTTGCAAGAGATCGACACCGATTTCTATGGTAACGTTCTAGGGTCAACATCAATGCTAGAGATTGAACTGGGAATCATTGCTGACGGGGCTATGTAAAACGCCAACCACTGCATCACGCTTTCGGCGCCAAACATAGCATGTGGTACCATCGAAGCCTCCACCCAGTTACAATTACGTGCAGCGAAACCCAATGCAGCGAAACCCAACCCAGTAGCCCCGAGGCCTATGAAATCTAGCCAGGAGGCAGAGTGCTGACATCAACAATCTCGTCAGCCTCCCGTAGAAGCTCTTCGGCAGGCGAATACAGGGGAGAGCGAGGCAGCGCCATGAGGCCGGTTCTTGTCGACTCAAGGATACCGAAGGGAGCAATGAGCTTCATGAACGAGTCGATCCTCGAGGGTTTGGCGGACCTATAATCTCGTTAGTTGCATCCTTGCCCCGCCGGGATGGGCTACTTACACCTCCACAATGCAGTTGTTGGTGCTAATATCCAATACCTTGCCGCCAAACTGGTGCGCCAGGTGTGTAATTGCCTCCAGATGCTCGTGCTTGTGCCTCAACGCCTGGCTAGCCGCTAGCCTGTTCGGATGATACGTTTCTGCACGTCCCAACATCTCCTTCGCTTGCTGTACGAGACTATTTTCCTTTTTCGATTGATTCTCCTCTAGCTCTTGAAGCCTCTTCTCCGCATTTTCCTCAGCCTGATCTGCCTCTTCAGACGGTTGCTCGCTTGGACTGGTCATCTCGCGGTGATGCTCCATGAGCTCCTCATAAACCTCGGGGCCTAGAATCGAAACCTTGGCGAGCAGTAACTCACGCTGCACAAGCGCAGCAGAGGTGTAGTCCAGAACAGCCCAAACAGGTACCAAATCTTCGAGCTGTCGCCGAGCCTGTTCAACGACTCCATCGAGACCTTGTAGCACGATGGTCATGCGCGAAAGATCCTGAACTTCGGTATTGCAGACAACGAGCGAGTCGATATTGAAGCCACGGGCAGCCAGAATACCGGAAACGCGCGACAACACACCAGGCTCATTTTGAACAAGGCAATTGAGGATGTGCTTCTTGGCTGGGGCCTGCGAAATCTGGGGAGTTTCGTAGAGGATAGAGCTCACGGCTGCCGCAGCACCGTACGACGGGGAGGCATCGTTGACAGGAAGGGGCAGAGGCGAGCGACGGTGCAGTGCTTTATAGGCGAGCGCCGAGGTCGAGTTGGTGGTTCGGTAACGCGATTGTTGTTGCGCAAAGGTGTCGAGGAAGGAGGAGCTGGACTGTTGAGCTCGGCTTCCCTTCGGGAAGCAGGAGAGCAAAGAGCGGCGTGCAGCCATGCTGGCGCACAGGAAAGGATGATATGTGCTCAGTGTGCTGCAGCTGTTCGCTAGTGTAGCATTACAACGAGCACGCAAGTGTGTTAATCCTGTCCATAGAATAAAATGTTGTGAGTAAGAATTAGCCAGTAGCGAAGTCCGATCCCGGGCTCTGGGGAAACTGCTCCGCCAAGCCCTAGCTGTACTGACTTCATCGATTCATCTGGAGCAGTTGCCTCAGTTCGTCCTTAGGTTACAGTAATCTGGACCGCTGTGTTGAGACCATAACTTGATCACTCCAACTCCAAGATCAGTAGTCGGACGTCAAGTGCAGTTTCGCCCTTGCCACAAACACCGACCCTCTGGCGCAGGTGGTCGAGACCTCACACGACTCTACTACAATCACTCCCGACCCGGCTGACCCCTCGAACAACGCCCAGGACATACACCATCTGCCAGCATCATGTCTCGCGCCCCTCGTGGTCCTCTCTACGCCAAAATGGCGGGCATCTTCACACTCTGCGCAGTTGGCGGGCCCGCACTCATGTACTACGTAACACCCGACCCAGACACCCTCTTCTCGCGCTTCAGTCCGGAATTGCAGAAACAGAATCTCGAGAACCGCGATCGGCGTAAGGCCGAATACGAGGACTTCCGCTCGAAGATGATTGAATACAGCAAGAGCGACAAACCCATTTGGGTGGCGGCCGCGGAGGCACAGGACAAGGCGCGATTGGAGATACAGGAACGGGCATTGAGGGAGGACAAGGCGCGAAAGGAGGCGAAGAGGGGTATGAGGGAAGAGATGGAGAGAGGTGGCTAGACCTGTGTCGAGCAAATGCGACCGACGGTCTGTGTATTGGAAATCGTTGATTTGATGACATTCTGGCGACGTGGATTGACGCCTCCATATTCGTGCATAGCGAGCGGCGTTTGGGACTTCAAAGCAGGGTGTACAACGCTGGCGGTGTCCAAGATGGGGAGGCCCTTCTTGAAGGCATGTGTTCTATCTAGTTTACATCTGCCTCCCACTTCTAAAAGGTACGTTCCCTTTTGCCTGCCTTCCTTCGTTCCATTATATCTCGAGGTGCATTCCCGCTGACCAGGTAGACCAGATCTCTGTTCTCCCGTTCTGTTTTCGTTCCGCTCTCAGCAATACCAAACACCCTGTCTGTGGCAGATTCGAAATCAAGTCTATTTCGCCCGTATAGATCGCCTGAACGTCCATCGCTGAATGAAGTGCATTATCCCATAAGTCGTTACACGTCCTGCCCCTTGCTAGGTCATGAGATCAGCCACCAGGCACCTCCTGCGACAAAGCAGATGACAAGGACAGTCAAGAAGCCTGCGCCAACCCGATCACCCGTTGTTACGACGCTGCGATTAAGGTCTCCTGGGAGAACTCGACTGCCCGCTCCCGCGTTCGGGTCACCGGAGCTAGTGCCACCAGTGTCAGCTGTTACTGGGCCTTCGACATAGTCGATGAGGTTCGCTTGAATGACCTCGAGCGCCGACATTTGCTCGCCAACACCGACACTGCCGTCGAACGTTGACGTCGTCCACTTCAAGCCGCACTGATTGCCATCGTCCCCTCCGCTGCATGACCTAGCGGCCGCGGCAGCAGAATCTTCGAGAATGGGCTTGATCGCATCGTATGCGAAAGGTGCCTTGACAGCAGCCATGGCCATCCACCGAGCGAGATATGCCTTGAAAGAGCGCTGATCAATGTTGCAGTTCCCGAGAGGTTCGCAGGTGACTTCCGAGATAATGTTGTTGCCGTCCGGCATGAAGTATTTCAGGTTGCTGATGATACCTTCAATTCGTCTCCGCCAGACGTCTGAACCTTCGGTCTGTGTCATGGTCAGTATGCATTGCTGAGTCACATCAGATCAACTTACGAAATTGTACATGTTTGCCGCGCCCGCAAGGTACACGCCAGCATTGTACGACCACTGGAGATGATCAAACTCTTTGCATCTTAGATTGACATCAGTCCCGTCGAAGAAATTCCAATTGTCGTCGATCAAGCCGATGCTATCCGTCCAATTGAAAGCTGTGTCGGCCCAGCGAGCATAGGTCTGGTTGCCGGTGTATACGGCTAAGCGCGAAGCCAAATTGAAGAAGCATCCGTTGGAAATGGTGTTCTTATAATTGTATCCGTTGTTGAAGGTGAAGATCTGCCATCTTAGGCCTCCGTCGCAGGTCGCATTGTCCCATCTTCTGGCCTGGGTCTCGAAAACGGCCTGAGCGAGTGCGAGCCACTGCGCTCTGTTGCTTGGAGGGTTGGGGAAGTTGTTCTCGGCGGCGGACATAGCAGCCATACCCCAGAAACCCTGGTCATCATTGCCCTCTGTTTTCGTTTGATTGGGAGGCATGTAGTCATTGTCGGGTCCGGTTTGGTGCAGCATGGCTTGCATAGTAACATTGTTCCAATGGTCGTCTCCGGTGAAATAATAGTAGTCTATCATGGCTCCAAACATAGCGCCAGCCTCCCACCAGTAGTATGGCTGTGGTAAATTTCCTGGAATATCGCCAGGTCGGTCGCCAGTGTAGTATCGCATCATACCTTCTGCGGCAGTTCTTGCGGCGGCCTTGATCGAGTCCTGGCTCGTTAGGTCGAGGGTGATTGCGGCTTGAGCATATTGTGTACTGAATAGAGCAGGTAACAGTAGACTTAAAAGTCTACGCGGCTGTAGGGACTTCATTCTGGGTTTGACAAGGCCGGAATGTAGTTGTAATCGAGAGGCAACAACTCACTCAGAGCGAGTCTGAGTTGCTCTTATTCCAGGCTTTTTTCCGGGTGCTTTGTGGTATTCGAGGGACAAAGAATTGGTAAGGTGGGGGCGGCACAGCCTTATCGTTGATACGGAGTATTTGCCTCGTGCGGTAGATTTTCGTAAACAAGCGAAAGTAACTCCTGGGATATTGAGTGTGTTGAATTAAAAGAACGGATCGAACTTGGTCGAGAGCGTCAATGGCAAAAGGTGGCAGGCTGGGACATTCAAGCATGGACCACGCCCAGCATGCCAGCGGAAGCCAAGGAGGACTGTCTTAGAGGATCGATGAGGCTATGCAGGAGATCTGAAGCAGACACCCGTGCACAATGATTAGTCCTGGCCAATGGGAGTGGGTGGGTGGCTGGGTTGCCCTCTGAACCGACGCTGCCCAGACACTGGCGAGACTTGGCCGCCTGGATAAGAAGAACCTCTTACGCGCAGGGAGTGGTGTCACCAGTTGCTGATGTAGTCAGCACCTCGCGAATAGCCAAGCACGTGTTTACGAGCAAACTTGAATCGAATATTAGCAGTCACACATACATCAACCAGAGTACTTCAATGCCCTGTACTCATATACTAAAATTGTGTGAAACCTGCTGCACTCAGGCCGCGTGTACAAACGTAAAGCCGCCGAGGGGCGACGCGGACACACACAGCTTGACGGGGATAGGAAGAGCTAGTCTGTCAACTGCCACTTGAGCTGTCATCGATCTAAAGCTTGATCGAACAGGCAGTCCACCTGGTTTCCGGCCACTCCTAAAACATTGCTGACGACATTCTGGGCGGTTGCAAACCCTGGCCTCAAGCCGCATTTTCTACATTCAAGTTACTGGCGATCTGGGGAATATAGTCTGTAGATATGGCGTAAACTTTGGTTTTTTGATGACGGATCGGAATCGTGAAGCAGCCACGACAGTCCGCAGCCACCTTGTAAGCAGATAAATATATCATTACATCGCTGCATTAGTCTTGGACGAGCCAGCACGCCTTGGAGTTGTACGAGTCTGGTCAAAGGTAAAGCCCGTCCCCAGTACTTCTCATGTATTGTGCAAGCTTGTGCATGGATACGGCTCTCCTGTTCCGAAGGACCCGGCTCTGTACCTATGGCGCCGAACATTCAAGCGCCATCCGAAACATAAATGTGTCGCGTTTGGTCATTCTCTAACGAAAGAGCAACTCGTCTGCAGCTTGCAACAGACAAGCTGTTCTCACTGTTGCCTCATGATGACTACTTGGGCTGCTCTCTGACAAGCTTGAGAATCTCCGACTCGTTCTCGCCTGCGACAGCTTTGCCCTGATTCCAATCCACAACCACAGGTCGCTGGAAATTGTCACCGTCCTCTTTCAGCTTCCGCAGGGCATCAGATTCCGATGCCGCTCCCTTTACCAGCTGAGCAGCTTTGCCACTGCCCAAGTACTCGAAGATGTTTTTCAGCTGATCTGGAGTTGGTGGGGCTTCGGTTATGTCCAGCTCGAAGGGGTCTCTGGTGACACTGGTGTTCTGGGGAGTGTGGTCTGATGCCTGGTCTTCGGTGGCATGTGCTTGAGATTGAGCCGACGCCTGCTTCAACAAATTCACCACTCGCGTCGAGGCTGAGACCGACGGCTTGTGGAAGCAAGTAAGAACATCAAGAGTTTTCTAAATAATCGTTAGTTTTAGTGTTAGTTGGTTATCATTGCTGCGCCTAAACGAGCTGAGAATTGCCAATAATTGCGAGGTCGCTGGTACATCAAGATTAACAACAAGGTTTTGGGATTGACTCACGCTGCGGAACATGTTGGATCGGAACTCTTTGATGCTGAAGTTACTCAGTATTCCCATAACAATCGTACGGTGAGTGCGGAGAGGTGGAGGGGTGAGTGTAACAAATAGACAGCTTCCAGCAGAAGCAGGGGAGGAGGCAGGAGGAGCCGGAGCATCCTACGTCATAGCGTCTTTCCTTTGGAGATGGATATGGAGACGGCAAGTGCAGCCCAAATATCTTGGCGTTACATTGCTTCGAGTGCCGACGGGACTTTCATGAGTGTGTTACTACATCTTGCGCTTTGCGGCTGACGGGGCCTGATTAAGCTTCTTATCCTTGTCCTGGTGGCAAGGTTCGCTGCGAACGAAGGCCATGTGGCAAGGCAGCAGATCAACACCGCCTCGCCTAACATGTTAGCCCTTCTCAGGACTGAGAACCCTTTCCGCTGAATATTCGAGTTACGGATCACTTGTGTGTCTGCTCTCTCTTGGACGGGATAGCTTGTCCCTCAAACTTCCATACCAAAGTCTGATCTTCGTTATGAACGCAAATCGAATCCCGCCAATAGATCAAGCAGTGTCTTCGGACCTTGCCCAGGCCACGTTGCTGTACAAACCGTCCTTAACTAGCCTCCCCACTGAAGTCCGTCATCGCATCTATCGAGAGCTCTTCTGCAGAGGCCAGCAGCCTTTGGTTCTCGCACGTCGTAGACCAGGCTTGCCAGGGGTAGAGCGGCACTCTGTCTTCTACACGGCCTTCTTCAGAGTGAACAGGCAACTACACGACGATGCCGTAACCTTCGCATATTCTTTCAATTCTTTCCAAGTTAGACAAGATTTCGACGTTCTATGTGGTCTCTCTCACAAAGCTCGTTCATCGATCCGTCACCTGACTGTATACCCCACGATGTGGTGCTCGGAGCGCAATAAAGAAGCGGAAATGTGGACTGGCATGGCGCAATTCACATCTCTACAACGAGTCGAGATTTGGCTGCACTCTGAAACTCTGTATCCTGCCATCCCCTACCTTCATGAGTTAAGACAAGTGCTTTCGGAGCGCAAGCAACGACCATACATCGCGCTGGAGCTATGCGTTTGGGAAAAGCATTTGTCTTTCGACCATAGCCTTGACCACGAAAGGAATCGGAAGCTGATTCTTCAGGGCTATGCTGAGCCTAAAGAAGAATACACCACAGCCATCAGCCCCCGACAGCGCATTCTGCGACTGCCCACACATGCAGCCCAGATCGTGCTCACTGGTGATATCAGCGCGACCGCTGCCAAGGCGCTGGATGAATACCTCATGTCGTTGGATCGATGCTTGCTCACTAAGTCAGTCATGCCTTTACCGAAAGATGCTGTGAGATACAATGGACGTTCTCAGCGCCTGTGGTACGAATTGCAGCTTGAGTGAGATACTCTGGCGAGACCGAGCCAAGGAGTACGAGCACCAAGGGAGCACCAAGTCGCGGAAGTTATATCGAGCCTGGAGGCTCGCCTGTGTGGCCTCCGCCGGCGCCCGTGCTGAGACTGCTTTTTTCGCTACAAAACACGAGATATTGGTGCAAGGCTGTCTTGCTCAGTGGTATGTGAGCACATGGCTACCATGGATGCGATTGCTTCGAGCGTCCTCGCCAAGTCTCCGTGGTGTCTGTATTTTGCCTTGTCGTCGTTGATTGACAAGCGATCAACTTGATGCTGGCTGCTCATCGAGGCTACTTACCTCCTGCAAAGATCGAGGTTCTGAAGAGCGGCTTTCAAGGTTTGGGAACCGAAGCCGATATGGAGTGGACAAGGCATCTCGGCCAGGCCGGTAGATATGCTACAATATCAAATTCCCGAGTTGACGTGGCTCGAGGCAGTAACGCTTTGGTGATTTTGACTGGTAGTAACGATCGCGATATCAGCGGATATACAGTCCCGGGCAAACACGTGGGTTCACGAGCCAGAGCACAGGTGGCTTTTCGGAAAATTTTGGTGGCGACGCCAGATTAGGATTGTGGCATAAGAGGTTCCCTCTTGGGCTCAGCCGCATGTCAGGGGGTACACTTTTGGAGTGCACTTCAGACCACAGACACGTTTCAAGCTACAGTACCATGATTGTTATTGCGAGATACTGTCTTTGGGAATAGTGGCATGCACTGGCGGTGCCGCTGCTAGGAGCTTATCACGAGTGACGGGTAAGTCTCTGGCGCAAGATGTTCACCTCAGCTCAACAGACTATCGAAATGCTGCATACCTTAAACAGGGGTACGCCTATAAGGCAGCAATCTGACCCTGAAGACAAGATGCTTGGTGGCGTGCAAGATCAGAGCTGACAGAGACTACAAATATGCAGGGGATTGGACCTGTCCCAGGATTTGGTCACAAACACGTCGGCCAGACGCCTGTCGATACCTGTCAATTCCACAGGCTATTACCGTAGATCCGTATCTCTGGGACTGCTGGCAGCTACCGGTATGTACGCGCAGAAGCAAACAACGGCTACTTTTGGATCCGCTGTCAATGTCCAGGAGGGCAGGGTTTGTTGTTCGTGTTGATGAGCGTCTCGAACATGGGGTTGGAACTCTACGGAAAGCCCGGGCTCAAATAAGCAAGGCAATTTACGGTGCACACGCGCAGCTGTGGGGTCGGCACGAAGCACACGCGCAGTGGTCTGAGCGCCCGACGGAAGGACTTACAGAGATCAGCAGGGGTACAGCAGCCATTGCCGCAAGCTACCCCGGCACTTTTGGGGTCCCGAAAATCGATCACCAGCAATCTTGCCATGTTGGGCAGGGCACAGCATAAACGCAGCGTTTGAACACCATCGACATCTGGAACACTAGAGCATCAGGCTGTGACAGTCGTTCTCCGGCGGCAAGACTCGCAGGCTGAACGTTGCTCTGACTGGGATTCACCACTAGTCTGCTAGTGCCGCTGACTGAATACCGCTCGTTTACGGGCGAATCGCATGGCACAGGTGACCTGGCGATTTGGGCGCGAAACAGATAGACAGCATCCTTCAGCCTAATGTATAGATCACAGGAAAGGAAGCCTTTGGATAGGTAATGAGCATAAGCTCACGATACTCGACCCTTTGCATCTGGTCTATCGCGTTCACGAGTCGGGCTACTTGTATCTCTGCGAAAGCAGAGAGCGGCTGAACAAGAATGGTGGGGGCTCGTGCAAGCCCGACCAGGGGAGCTGCAAGCGAGCGCCCCCATCGATCATGGCTTTTTGGCTGGCGAGTGGAGTGCACGGAGAGATGAACCACGGATGCCGGTGACGGGGATGGCACTTTGACGCTTTAGCGATCTGGAACCACACGAAATTGCACAGGCCAGACAACGAGGTTTTATTTTGGTCTGCTTATCGAATACGGTAGGTATGGCAGTCCTGCAAGCGGCCAGCCGTGTTCGCGTGAGGAATGGCACTGCCACAGGGGCTATCCACGATATGTTGTTTGACGACATATTCGCCAATGGCACGGGGGACTTTCGGAGCGCTTCGCACATTGGGGGTGTGGATTGGTCCGAAGGCACCAACGCAATCGCCAGTGGCCAGCCGTCGCTTGTCTCGCGATCGGAGCACTGCGGGAGGGACCTCACACTCTATCTGCAGCGCCGCAGCGCGTGGTCCTCACCCGGCACAGGGAGGAATTGACCCAGCATCGAGTGTGTACAAGTACAATAGTCGAAATACATCCGGCGCCTTCACGTGGGAGGCGTGGTTCGGCGAAAGCCATGCAGCCCATGCCCAGTGTGGCAGCCGCTTCGCGTGCTTGGGTCGAGCGGAAATACGGAGTAGGGCAACGAAGTCGTCCGGCCAGTGCGCAGCAAAAGGTGGACACCCGCAACGATGGAGGAGGGGAGGCGAGGCCGGCGAAAAGCTTTGCTCGCTTTCTGCAGCCGTCTGCAGCTTTTCTTGCACTCGCCAAGAGAAAGCGCGCATACGTTGGCCCCGCTGTGCTCGCATCTACCTATGGCACCTTGCACCTTGTCGTGTTAATTGACCCATGTGAGCTCAGCAGAAACCATTGCAGTGGAAACTCTCGGGACAGAGCGACGAGGTCTGTGCATGCTTTACCATGTTGATTGAGTTTGCCTTGATGAGCGTTAGTCATTTTGTTGTGTTGGAGCTGCCATCGGCCATCGCCTACACAGTACTCTGGCTACGACACCACTAAGTGTCCTCGGGCCAGCAGGTTGCTACCGCACACCACCTCGCCTAAGGATAGTCTGCCTACTGTCTCGTCAGGCTCGATGCGAACTCATCAAAGGCAGCAACACGCGGCAGGTCGTTTCAATGGCAGGCGCCGTGTGAAGTCTTGCGCCAACCTCGATGTAGCCTAACGCCAATCTCACAGATTCCGAATTGGGTCTTGGTTCTGGTCGGTCTGGTCGGTCCAGACAAGTCCATGACAGTGACCCGAGCTTGCAAACTGTGTGCCCGCCTGGCCCCCCTTCTGACCTCGTCTGTCGGATGGGATCATCAGAGATCGTGGCGGGACCCCTGCTGGTCTTTTTCTGCTCGTCGGCCTGTTAAGTCTTGACTCAAACCTTCCCCCTAAAACCCACTCGTGAAGCCCCTCCAGTGCTAACCCGCTCTCGCCCTATCCGACCTGTCTGAATCGAAGCCTGTCCGCTTCCAGAGGGTTCAGACGAAAGACCCGTCCAGCCAGACATCTGCCAGCTGCTCGTTAGAGCGCCATGTGTGTTGCCCACCAAACTTGAAATGCAAAAAAGAGGAACTCCCGTCCGCATTCTTGAACTCGGGCCCTCGACATCACAACCATACCACCACTCAACCCACGTCGTGACCCGGATTCCCTTCCCTGCGACAGCCACCGATCCTCGTTGCAGTCTCTCGCATCCTTCTTTTTGTGTCTGAGCGCAGTCGTCGTCAGGTACCATCGAGGCGAACGATCTCGCCTTGCAGCTCCAAGCGCTCCCTGCTGCTGATCTTTACCACACAAAGTCACCGAGTTACCATCCTTGTCTCGGGCCATTGACAGCCATTCCACAACGACCTAAAGATCGTCGCTCTAGATCTACCTTGAGCGGAGATTTACAAACACCTCTACGGCGCTCCTACCTCTGCTTCCTTTGCAGTGCTGTACTTGCCTGATAAGCGAGCATCTGTCCGTTGACTCCACGCCAGCTTCCACCTGCGGCGATCAACCCGAGCACACTATCCTCCAGGAATACTCCAGCTGAGCTTCGACTCAGAGACATAATCAGCGTACCAGCAAACCGACCCAGAAGTCATTCTGGCTGCCGCCGTCGCAGCTCCGATGATGGGCTCGTCCCTCGATGCCCTCAATGCGCCGTCCAGCTTGACAAACCGAAGGCCGGCAGCAGCCACGTTGCCCGCCTTTGAGCTACCTGCCCCTCCGGCCTTTCCTACCTTACATGGAAACAAGTATCCGGCGCTGTCAAGCACGCTCCATTTACCGACCACGGCCGCTGTCAGTGTGGGAAACCTACTGACACCGCCCTCCAATTCTACCTCCGACAGCAGTACAACATCTTCAGCCATTCACACTGGTACAACGCCCAATACTGGCGCGCCCGTTCTACCCTACACGCCCACCTTCTTCAACCCAGCAAATACACCAGGTTTCCATACTGGTCTGACTCCTCAGTGGCAATCCAACCAGTTCTCAGGTTCGCGCTCAATGTTCTCACCGCCAACTCAACCCCTGTATCGCCCAAATACGGGTTCGCCTACAGCTGCTGAAGCCAGTTCACTACCACCACCACCGTATGAGATTGCTCCAGGTTCTGCATATGGAATGCCCATGGGAATGACTTCATCTCATAACGCTAGCCTCTCATCCCATCACATGCTGTCAAATTCGATGGTGCCAGTGCGTCCACCTAGCCAGCCGGCACACACGCTTGCCGAAGTGATGAACAGCAAGCCTGCCTCGGCACCGTCACTATATACCAATGTGTCCCCGGCTCATGCACCCCAGTCAGCATACTCATATTCTGGCTCAACCCCTGTGTCACAGAGCCCGCATGCAGCCAACGGCCCAGCTGCGCGTCAGTCTCCTCCTATGAACCAGCCCAATCTATCTTCGAACAACTTCATTCGTCCCCCATATCCATCATATTCCCTACCAGCCATGCCTGGTCCAACAATGAGCAACCTCCACAGCCCCGGGTCACAGATGTCCATGGTTGGCCACCAGGCCGGCCTTCTTCCTTTACATTTTAACAGTGGCTACGCCGCGAATCCGCATCAGAGCATTTATGGCCAAGCACGGACCCAGTCCCCTGCACAAGCTGCACAGAATGACCGACCATTCCGATGCGACAGCTGCCCGCAATCTTTCCATCGCAATCACGACCTGAAAAGACACAAGCGCATACATCTAGCAGTAAAACCATTTCCCTGCCCATACTGCGATAAGAGTTTCTCCCGAAAGGACGCTCTCAAGGTAAGTCATCTATCCCAACAGGAGACTTTTGTGCAATGATACTAACAACGCTGCAGAGGCATAAGCTTGTCAAAGGTTGTGGCAGCAAAGCAGATGCCACTGCCAGAGAGGATGGGGGAAAGTCCGATTCAGGCGGCAGCGACACCATGGACGACGGTCCCGGAGCTATGGCACAATGAACTTCACGGTTCGTTAAGAAATTTGTACCTTAATGTGCATATGGGTGATTTATTTCAATCGGACGGCGCCACGGGATCAAGACGTTACGACGCGTCACGACGGATACACAGACACGCGAATGGGAGGGAAGAGGCTTGGATGATCCTCAGAGTGAGCACAAGCAGGGTGCTTTCTGGGGCATTTTGCAGTGGATCTTGAGACGACTTTTGTGTGCTTTTTACTGATACCCATTTCGGAGGATTACCGATGGACAGCGAGTCACCAGTCTCGGTGAAGGAGATTCTGATTCGATTTCTTGAAAAAATAGCAACGGCGCTGGTGGGGCTCGACTACGCGGTTCGGTAAATGTACCACACTCTGAGTGATGCTATGAGTTCTATGCTTTTCGAGTCATTCGCACTCGTTCAGAAGTAGTCAATAGGTTCGCCATTCACCGCACGGTCCTCTCACTCTCTTTTCTTCCTATGATGAACACAAAAGAACTGCGCCCTAGCTACGTCCTGGCAAGCCACCGATCTCAGAAAGGGGCTTTTTCCAAGATCGTCCACGTGCAGAGGCTTGAGGTGGCTTGAGAGGCTTGTGGGGCCCCGAACAGCCACAGCGTGTAACGTAGCTGCCAGCCCCGGCTCTTCTGTGGTATGGAGCATGGCCGAAGCGTTTGGTATGTAATGGCTGGCGTTAGCAGGGCTTACTGACCCCCAAAATCAAGTGATCGGCAGGGAGTCGTCTCGAAATGTTTAACGAAGTTGCGCGGCTGATGCGAAGCAATTCGGTCAAGCTTTGGGCAGGTCTGGACCGCACGCTCGGTCGTCAAGGAGGCCCGGTTTTTCTTGGACACCTCTTATTGTGTGTGTACCTTGTGAAAGTTCCTTTAATGGGCAACCACTTTGTTCGCTAATGACCGTCAGCCGCAAGCTTCCCATTTGGCTGTTGTCAGCTCTGGTGGATCTTTGTGGGAATGGCTGGCACGATGCTGGTGATATGAAGGTTGCTGTACCTGGCTTACGTGGATGAAACCCCCAGACACATCCACCGTTTCTTCCGTTGTGACTTTGGAGCTGAAGTCCCGCGGAAGCTTCACTTTTTCCGGCCATGCTTGCCGGGTGACGATTAACGCGTGTCTCCAACCCCAGTGATGCAATGCGCATTACATCATGAACGTTACGCGACAGACGAGTCATTCAAAGTGAAAGGTAGGTGAGTGGCCGCTGGTAGAACAGTAGGTGAAGGAATGCAGCATCGTGTCTTTCGCCCACCCAATTGAGCCTTATCCTGCCACTCCTCCACATTGTCTCCTATTCTCAAGATCTAGCACAAATTCCAATCCGAACAAAACAAAGACTACAATGGCCCTCGCTCGACACGTCGACCCTGACGAGCTTGTCGAGAAGCTGCGAGCGACAGGTGGTCCCATCCATCGTCACCGTGTCAATCACAACTCTGCTGCATCGTCGCTCACACCTTACTCGTCCCGCTACAATGCACAGGATCAGATCTCCAAGTTCCGCATCCCGCAGGAAGGCGCACCGGTACGACCGACTTCTGCCGTCATAATGACAGAACCTGCTCAACTGACATGAACTAGGCGGATGCTGTGCATCAGATGCTCAAGGACGAGTTAGATCTCGATGGCCGGCCCAACTTGAACCTCGCCAGCTTCGTGGGCACCTACATGGAGCGTGAAGCCGAGGCACTCATGATCGAGAACTTGAGCAAGAACCTGTCGGACGCCGACGAGTACCCTGCCATGATGGCCATGCATCAGCGTTGCGTGAGCATCCTCGCACATCTGTGGGGCGTACAAAAGGGCGAGACCGCCGTGGGCAGCGCGACGACCGGCTCCAGCGAGGCTATTCATCTCGGCGGGCTGGCGATGAAGCGGCGTTGGCAGGAAAAACGGATGAAGGAGGGCAAGGACTACAGCAAGCCGAACGTCCTCATGGGCGCAAACGCGCAGGTGGCGCTGGAGAAGTTTGCGAGGTACTTCGAATGCGAGGCCAGGATCTTGCCTGTGAGTGAGAAGAGTCACTTTCGTCTAGATCCCGAGTTGGTGAAGAAGAACATCGATGAGAACACTATTGGCGTTTTTGTTATCCTGGGATCGACTTACACTGGACACTACGAGCCTGTCGACGAGATTTCCAAGATCTTGGATGATTACGAGGCGAAGACCGGCAACGACATTCCCATTCACGTGGATGGCGCGTCTGGCGCTTTCATTGCCCCGTTCACGCATGGAAAGACTGGAGGCGCGAAATGGAACTTCCAGCTACCGAGAGTCAAGAGCATCAACGTCAGTGGACACAAGTTCGGTCTTGTGTACGCGGGTGTCGGCTGGATCATCTGGAGGGACGAAAGCTACCTGCCAAACCACCTTAAGTTCGAGCTGCACTACCTCGGCGGCACGGAGGAATCCTACACGCTCAACTTCTCGCGGCCTGGAGCTCAGATCATAGCGCAGTATTTCAACCTGATTCATTTGGGTTTCGACGGATATCGAGCGATCATGGAGAACGCGCTCGCAAACGCTCGATTGCTCAGCAAGGCGCTTGAGGCGACAGGCTGGTACACCTGCGTCTCGGATATCCATCGCAAGAAAGGCGAGTTCAGCTTCAAAGGCGTTTCGGAGACAGTCTTTGGTAAAGAGAACGAGACGTCGGCAGACTACAACGCCGGCCTGCCAGTGGTGGCCTTCCGATTCTCGGACTCGTTCAAGAAGGTAAGTTGCGCCTCGAGAATGGCCTTATGTGAAACTTTTCTCATGTTTCTAGGACTACCCGCATATCAAGCAGGAAGCCGTGAGCAAGTTGCTGCGTGCTCGCCAGTACATCATTCCCAACTACCCGCTGCCGCCCAACGAGGAGAAGATTGAGATCCTGCGCGTCGTAGTTCGCGAATCGATGAGCATGGACCTGCTTGATCGCCTTATCAGCGACATTGTCTCCGTGACGCAAGACCTTATGGGCGCGGACGAATTCGACTTGGCGTCTCTGCAAGGAGCAGCCGCGAGCGTGGAGAAAGCGCACGGTAGCAGCGGAGTGGACGCGAAGACACGCGCGAAGCATGGCAGTAGGCGGCCAATGCAACATGGCGTTCACAGGTTAGTCCCCACTCGAAAGAAGGAAATGAGTACGTGCACTAACGTCAAGGTCAGAACCGTCTGTTAGAGAAGTCATCCGAGGTCACAAGCGTGGTGCGAGATACGACAATTGGTGAAGGGTTATGCCACATGGTCAGCAACACGAACGCGAAACATGTGGTATGAGCCTGTTTGACAGCTCACACAGCAGGAATGGTGGCTCGTCGGATACGTTTGAGGAAGCAAAGTACATTAGTACATTAGATAGAGCTGCAGTCTCGAGGTACTCGAGTGGCCCTGCAGCCACACCTCACCTCCACCAAGGTTAATAGCTAGGGACAGGGACAATCTCCTGCACACAAGCACAGCCGGACCACATTGTTTGCTCTTCGTTATCTTGAAACCGCTACACTGCAGCTGAGGCCCGACATACACGAGGATGCCCTCCTGCAAACTACGAGGGTGACGCAGGCGTGCAGACGACCAAGACACAATGCCCTTGTCCAGTTGGTGCATCGCTAATCGGGGTGCCATGTTGAGGCTGCACAGCGCCTACAGTTAGCTTACGCCTAGCTCAAGCCACACGTTGGCCCCCGCGATCGCCAGGCCCGTCATGCAGATCTCCGTGATCATGGTTAGTGGGTTAGTGTCCGATCTTGCTTGCACCACCATGTCAAGAGTCATGCTGTCACAGCTCGCAACTTTGCAGGCCCCCCGAGCAAGGCATGTCGGGCTCCCGTGGCAGCCACAACCACGTTGTAGCTCGTATATTGTGCAAGCCATCGTTACCGAACTGCCTGGCGTCTGAATCAGCGGGCTCAAACACCTGACATCGATGCATTGTCGCTCGAAGAAGCCCGAGAATCAGAGCCATGTGAGCCATCGAAGCTGCCTCGATTGCACGCATTCGGCGCCTCTCCCCTTCCACCTTTTGAGCGAGTCACCGTGGTCGAACCCTCTAGAAACCGGTTTAGCTTCGAAAGAATTGGGTGAGCTGCAAGGTCCACTCACGCCCGTACATCGGTTCACTGCAAATGGGGTTCCGATCGAAAGGAAAAAAAGCCTTGCCTTTGCGATTCGTCCCAGATCTGTTTAATGCATACCGCCGCACTAGCCGAACTGCCCAGGCCGCTTTCAGATCCATGCTGTCATAGGTGGGTATGTTCCCAGATCTATAACGTCGTCAACTATCGTGGCCGCAGGATTTCTGTTTGCGCACCGCGCGGTGCCCGTAGATTCTTGTGGCACCCCTCTCTCTTGCTTTTTGCCCCTCTGCTCGACTGCTGTCTATTGCGAGGTCTAGATGTTTCGAGTTGCTGGATTTTGTGTCGCCTGATCCCGTCATAGTGTCGGATAGGGACTGATTTGGTGGGATTGGCGACTGGTGGCGTAGGAACTGGATTCCCATATCTATACGTTGGCCACCAGAAAACACAGGGTTCTGACCGTGGAATTATTGCTCAGGCTACAGCGTCTGTGGACTTTTGTTCCTTCCCACGCCGACCGAGCACTTAGCAACCAGAGAACTATAACCCAACTGCTACCACTCTTCCTGATAGCTTGCCTGCCATGTCACAGAAAATCCTCATCTACCTCCTCCGACGGGACCTTCGGGTAGCCGATAACCCCATCTTCCACGAGATCTCCACACTCGCCGACCAGTCGAAACGGCCGTTCACGCACATCCTCCCGCTCTACATCTTCCCTGCACAGCAGATTGAAGTCTCCGGCTTTCTCAAAGACGACGCCAAATCACCGTTTCCCGAAGCACGCGCACAGGTCAGTGCTATTTGGCGATGTGGTCCGCAGCGGGCGAGGTTCCTGGCACAGTCTGTATGGGACTTGAAGGAGGACCTGGAGAAGCGAGGCAGTGGTCTGGAGATCCGAGTAGGAATGCTGGGACAGGTGCTGCAGGACGTGCTCGAGCAGTTCAGCAAGCAGGAAGATACCGAGGTGACGGGCGTATGGATGACGGAGGAGGAAGGCGTTGAGGAGAAGCGCGAGGAGCATGATGTGCGGCGGGCAAGCCAAAAGGCTGGCGTCGACTTCAAACTCTGGATGGATGAGAAATACCTGATCGATGAGTAAGTGGGCCATTGTTTGTTTGCTCCTCTGAAACCCACGACCCCAATGACAGAAACCGCTGACGCCCTTTCCCCACCTCCAGCCGCGACATCCCCTTCGACAAGCCCTCCGACCTTCCCGACGTCTTCACCAGCTACCGTAAATCCGTCGAGCCGCTTCGCGACGCTCCCCGCGCCCAACTCCCCACACCCGAGTCTCTCCCGACCCTCCCCACCACCATCCCCCCACAAGCCGGCCCCTTCTCAATACCCTCCACCTACGCCTGCCTCGAATCCGCCCTCCTCGCCCCCATCACCGCCTCTCCACCCCTTTCCAAACCGACCCCCTCCCTCCCCTCCGGCGTGCAATCCGCGCACCCCTTCTCCGGCGGCGCCACGCCCGCCCACGCCCGCCTCCACCACCTTTTAACCTCCGGCGCCGTGACGCGCTACAAGGACACGCGCAACGGCCTCTTGGGCCTCGACTTCTCCACCAAACTGTCCGCGTGGCTGAGTCTGGGCTGCATCACGGCGCGGCAGGTGCATTGGGCGCTCGTGGCGTTTGAGGACGGTATCGAGTCAAAATACAAGGGCGTCGAGGGTTACGGGAAGGGCGAGAACAAGGGCACCGCGGCCGTGCGCTTCGAGCTGCTCTGGCGGGATTACATGCGGTTGTGCACGCGCAAGTTTGGGCCCAGGTTGTTTCGGCGCGGCGGATTCCGCGATGATGAGTCGTATCCGTGGCGGGTGCCGGCGGGAGGCAAAGGTGACGGATCAGGAGGAGGTGGAGGAAGAGGTGAAGGAAAGGAGGTGGCGGAGATGGTGGAGAGGTTCATGCGTGGCGAAACGGGCATTAGTCTCATCGATGCCAGTCAGCGCGAGCTGTGGTGTACGGGCTACACGAGCAATCGCGCACGGCAGAATGTCGCGAGCTTTCTGGCCAAGCATTTGGGCATCGATTGGAGGATCGGTGCCGAGTGGTATGAGTTCTGTTTGGTGGATTATGATGTCAGCTCGAATTGGGTAAGTGGTTTTGCTCTTTCTTCTCTGTTGGCATGTTTTGCCCGTGGTGTTGCCTTTGGGTGGAGTTGAGAAACATGCATGGGATCCCTTAGCTCAGGAGGCAAAGAAGACTGGGCGAGAGGAGCGAGGCTACCGCCAAGGATCTCTCCAGAGACGCTGACATGGCATTCTTGTCCTGAACCTCGCTGACAATTGTTTCTCTCCTCAACAGGGCAACTGGCAGTACGTAGCCGGCGTGGGCAACGACCCCCGTGGCGAAGCCCGTGTCTTCAACCCGGTCAAGCAGGCGCACGACTACGATCCACGGGGCGAGTACTGCATGGCGTGGCTGGAGGAACTGCGCGGACTGGACCCGCAAGGCGGGGGCGTGCTCGAGGTATACCAACCGCACTTGGTCAGCAAGGAGCGCAGGGAAGGGTTGGGTCTCGCGGGCAAAGTGGGTGTGGAGAGGCCGCTGAAGAGGATTGATTTTCGGTTAGGGGGGAAGGGGAGGGGTGCTGGTGGTGGAGGCGGTGGGGGAGGGGGTGGAGGAGGGAGGTATGGTGGGAGTAGTAGGGGGTGGGCCAAGGGGGAGTGGCGGGGGCAAGAGGGGTGGCGGAGGAAGGGTCGACAGGGGAGAGAAGAGGGGCGAGATGGCAAACGGGAATGGGAATGATCATTGGAATGGGGCCACGGAGAGTGGGTATGCGCATTGATCTGGGCGCGGTGTTGAGGAGCTGTTAAGAGGATGGAACTGGGAGTTCTTTTGTTTGTCCTCAGGGGAGAGCAGAGCATTTTCCGGGCTCTTCATGACCGTGGTGAGCAGAGTTATTATCTTCCCGGCCGAACTGTACGAATAACTTTGTCTGTCGGACGGCATCAGAAGACAGTGAACAGCACGCTCTCTCATCCGCGCCTTGCCTCATTAACGACGCCGTTGTCTCTCTGGCGGTAGAGTTTTGCTGGATGTAGTTCATGAAAGGTGTTAAGGTGTGCGAGACAAGCCTGCGCAACAAGATCTTACCGTACCAGGAGTGATATGCTTGACAGCTGGAGCCAAAGTTCTCCACTTACTTGCACTGCTTCTGCGTAGTATCCGGTGAGCATGTACTGAGTATTGTCATGTCGAGTGCCTCTGGAGAGTGACTTCACACTTCGAGCATTAGTACGCCATCCGCCAGCCTTGCCAGCAGGTTCCTAATCCTCGCCTGGTCAAACCTAGGTGTCTGTGTTGGGGGTTTACTCATCGCCCTTTGCCGGGCTGTGTATGTTGTTGGTTGAATGAGGGGTGCTTCATGCGATTCGAGGTACGTACCACGAAGCAGTGCAAGGCCTTCAAGACTCTGCAGTGCCATCATTGGAGCAGAAGACACTGTGACCGAACTCATCATTGCTTGTCTGTGTGCAGACACTTCGACGGTGACAGACTGCAGAGGCAAGGACGAATCGCAAACATGCCGCAATTCACTTGTGCTCCTGGGCCTATGAGGGGCGTGTATTTCGGACTGATGCCAGCTAAGCGCATTTCGCTTCGAGTCCTTCATCGCTGAGTCGAATAGCACTCGGTGAAGGATGGTTAGGAACAGGTCTGGAACGAGTGTGTTTGACCAGAGCAATTGTTGATAGCCGAATACGAAGGCTGCACCAATACAAGGAGCCGCCACTGTATCAAGATGCTCAGTGGACCGAGCCTCACGATCGATCGATCTGAGAGGGTTATATGCCTCTCGCCACGGTCAAGCAAACGCAGATGGATCTGCTCAGGCCCCTCTCACAGGGCTCGTTCAGGATGCTGCATGAATCGGTGCAATCCCAGCTCCGCTTGATGGTGGTCAGCCGAAAGTGCCACTGTACTTGCAAGACGAGCTGATTGTCGTGTCGTGCTGCGTTGTTGGCCGAGAAGATTGAACCGAGGTAAGATGGAATACGAACACTGGGAGATTCATCGCACATGCCTCGGTCGTACGAACTGACTAGTATACGCTCGTCATTTCTTCTTCTTACCCCAGATTCCAAGATTCCAAGGCATACCTAAGGTTCTCGGCGCTCTTTGAAGGACAGTCTACGGCCGGAGATCAGTGCCTCGTGGTGAGCGGATACTCGGTAGAGGCCTCGAGACAGTCCAGAGCCAGGGGTGGCTTCGGGTGGGGTCACTGCGCAGCCCGAGAGCTACTATGCGAGGGGTCCCCCCCAAATTGTGTCCCAGCCAGGTCTTTGAACGACGGCGATGGCATTCGATGAGGAGTGTCTGTGCGTACAGTGAGCGATCTCATGAGTGGCACATGCGAAGGTGATGGAGGTACTGGCTCCGGTCGTGATCCTCGGTCCTAGGCCTAACATCAGGCTGTTGCACAGGGTGGGGCTTCATCGCATCGCTATGGTTGCGTAGACCCTTAGCGAATGTGTGCGGAGCTAGATAGAAGCGGCAGGTCCTTAGCGACAGGTCGGTAGTGACTGCATAAATTTGCTTATAAGGGGCATCATCGGGCGACCAGCATGAAATGGAACGGTGTCTACTGTAGGCGACAGCTGTGTCGATGCCACGCTGAGTGCTTGAGCATCCTCCTCACCTGTGCATAACGACATTGTTTACTTCTCTCGGTCTGCGCATCTCCGAGTTCAAGCCTCTGCTTCACGGCAATCGCGACCCCGCAGTTTGCACTCGGACTTTACTTGCTCTTTAGTGCTGACACGACCGACACCCAAGTACATGACCTTCAGCAACGCCATTGTCTAAATCTAGGAGCACGCAACGATACCTCTCAAACTCCCGGTGTCAGCATCTCGCCTGATCCGAATCAACCAGCCCGTTTAGCCGGTCCAAGTCATCTGCAACCTCGGCCAACTCTTCCCAATCCAGCAATCTGAGACCAGTATCTGAATATTGACTGGCCCATCCCTGAGCTGACAAAGGGACCATCATTTATCTCGTTGCGTTCGCTTGCCGCCAGCTGAAATTGGTCTGATTTTTGCTTACTCGGCCTAGGACGACGTATCCTATACAAGAGCTGCGACCCCACGCGATAGCTTTGTCCTGCCAGCTCTGCTCTCTGGCGACATTCTAGCCATTGGTTAGCCAAGCAGCTGCCTATTGACGGGATACTACTTCGCGTTGAAGCTGATCAAAACTGGTTGAGAGGCTGGCAGAAAGTGCCTAACTTGGGAGGCTACGCGTCAACCACACTTCAGGCAAGGATCGAGTACAAGGACGAGTCAGACTGTCAATCCGGTGCTTTATTTGTCGACTTCGTCGGCTTGCGCCACATACCTTTGGCACTTCTTCATCACATCTTGCCTCACAACGCCCTGCGCTCGGCTGGAATCTTGCCACCGCATTTCAGTCCAGTCTCTCTCAAGACAATATGCCGACTCTTAAGCGCGTAGCCCCAGACTCTGCGCTGCTTACGCCTCTCAATGCCGCTCTACTCGCACTTGCCATATTCGCCCATTACCAGCTCTACGTCTGGCTTTCGACATATTTGCGCCAACGTCAGGTGATCCGCCAGAATGGCTGTCTGCCAGCCTACAAGTACCCACACAAGGGGCTCCTCGGCAGATGGCTCGGGCTCGACGTGATGAAGGAGTTTTTACGTCAAGGCAAAGAGGGTCAGATGCTCGAAGGGCTCAGAAAGAGAAATTACGGCGACGGCATATACACCCTGACGAGTCGACGCCTGACGCAGACGGTCATCAATACGATCGAACCAGAAAATATCAAAGCTGTAAGTCTCCCCGTGTTGCGCTGTGTCCATGCGGTCAACGATACGCCACGCTTTCCTAGCCATTTTGCCGGCCGCTCGGCTAACGCCTTTTGCTAGATACTCGCCACGGATTTTCAATCATACTCTCTCGGCCAAAGCCGGCGCGATATCTTTATACCACTCTTCGGCCCGGGCATTTTCGACCTCGACGGCCATGGTTGGGAAAGATCACGATCCTTGATCCGCCCTAACTTTGTGCGCGCCCAGGTCGCCGACCTCGACATGTTCGAATCCCACGTCCAGGAGCTTCTGGCCCATGTCCCTCGCGACGGCAGCACTGTTGACCTTCAACCCCTCTTCTTCGGCCTGACCATGGACTCTGCTACCGAGTTCTTATTCGGGAAGTCCACCAACTCGCTTGCCCCCGGGCTGGAAACCGACACAGCAGCCCAGTTTGTGCGCGCGTTCGTCTACTGCACCGAACGCGTCAGTATTGAGCTGCGATCGTTTGGACTCCTGAAGTATGTGCCAAATCCAACCTGGCGCAAGCAGGTCAAGGTGGTCCACGAGTTTGCAGACAATATTGTGAACGAAGCGCTGGTCAAAATGCGGGACGAAAAGTTTGTCGAGGCATTGAATACGGGCAAGCAGAAGTACACCTTCCTGTATGAGCTGTGCTCCCGGACGCAGGACCCATATACGGTGCGCAGTGAGTTGTTGAACGTCCTGCTGGCGGGCCGCGACACGACCGCGGGACTTCTGAGCAACACCTGGCACGTCTTGTCCAAGCGCAAGGATATATGGGACAAGCTGCAAGCTGAGGTCGATACCTTGAATGGCGAACGACCAGATTACCAGGCACTCAAGGATTTGAAGTACCTGAAGTGGGTGATGAATGAGAGTCTGCGGCTGATGCCGGTCGTGCCCGGAAACAGTCGACAGGCGGTGCGAGACACAGTGCTGCCGTTGGGTGGCGGTCCAGACCAGAAGAGCCCCGTGTTTGTGCCCAAGGGATGTGTCGTCCAATATCACGTGTGGTCCATGCATCGGAGACAGGACTACTACGGCGAGGACGCACACGAATTCAAACCTGAGCGGTGGGAATCGATCAGGCCGGGCTGGGAGTGAGTTTCTTCTTTCTCTTTCTATACCGATGGTTCGTGTGGACTGACAATTTGAACAGGTACCTGCCTTTCAACGGCGGCCCGAGGATTTGCGTTGGTCAGCAGTACGCGCTGTTGGAGGCCGGCTACGTCACCGTCAGATTGATGCAGGCCTTCAAGCGCATGGAGAGCAGAGACGAGCGCGAATGGCGCGAATGGATGACCATCACCCTCAGCAGCGGCGTGGGTTGCAAAGTGGCGTTGTATGAAAAGTGAACGGAGCGGGATAGGACAAGCCGGGGCCAAAGCGCGACAGGGTGGCAGCAGCAGCCGCCGCCGCCTTGCTCTCCTGTTCCTCGTCCCACGCTGCTGTGTGGTAGTGTGAGAGGAAGAATGCAGCTGGTGAGACCTGAAAAACGTGCCATCACCATCAGGAGAGATCGACGCATGAGATATCTTTTGGGCGGGGAACAGGCGTTTTGCGAGCTGTTGACGATGTACATGACCTACCGATCTTTTACCACTCCATAGCCATAGCATTTATCGTCAATTTTTGGACACGATGGCTAGTAGCATGCTAAGCTGGACCGTTTTTCTACTCATCTGTCGCCTCCAGCCTGCGTGTCTGTTCAAATGCCCAGACATGGACTTCGCTTTCTGCACATTTTGATGCTGGCGCCGGCACGGATCATCAAACCTGAAATGGCGGTTCAAGTGCCAGTCTGTAGACTGCTAGTCTGTAGGAGCACAGGCGCGCAAGTCTCATGCTCATGGACGGTCATGCAGCTCCGCGTCAAGTTTCTTACGCATAAATACCGGGGGTGATGGAGCCTCCTGGAGCCTTGCATGTCATGTCAAGATCACCCAAAAATTCCGTGAGCGAGGGGGCATCCAGCCCGGGGCCTGACGGATAAGGGAACATTATGACCTGGATTGATTTGGCTGCTGTGGTTACAGTAGGTTCCAGATTGCAAGTCGTACATAGCTGGGTTTACTTGAGGCCTGTGATGCCCGGAAATAATGGGTTGGGCATGGGTCGGCCTCTCGAGTCTCGGTCCGGGGAAGTGCTGGCGCACTCGTATGGGCAACGGCTCTAGGGTTCCCAGGGCCAGGTGAGTTTCGTGTTGGCCGATCTCGTCGCGCTTGCAACCTGAATATGCAGCTAACGGGCCTTTCCCATTGGAACTTTTTACAAAGGTCAATGTTTGGGCTGCTTGCTAGTTATTCGGTTGGATGGCTCGCTGTGGAGGGAATATCGTCGAGATTCTGCTAGGAGATTTTTGGGTCTGGAGAAGTCCTTACTGTTCTGTCCGGGATGCTTGTCATGCTAGAGGTCACGCGAGCATAAGATCGAACTTGGTCTTGGACTTTGTGAGCCTGAGCGAGATCGCTCTGGTGCAAAGAGGCTCCTATTAGAGCTCGTAACGAAAGTACGGGGGGCCGCATGAAACCTTGCTACAAAACTTAACTCAACCCGATAGAGTTGCAGGCGTGCTGCACAACATTTGCTACAGTAAGATGCAGGTCCTTACCAGAGCAGGTCTGCTACTGCGCGTTTGCTTCGTCTTTGTTGCGGGGAATTCGGAGACAATCGAGCTGGGCATCACATGTACGGAGTACTGTGCAGGCCTGTCGAGAAATTGCAGCGAAAGAAGTCCGAAGCGAGGCGATGGGAGACACATGTCAAATGCCATGCTAAGCGACGCCGAGAGAACGGTTGTGGAACGCCATGCCCTGGAGTCCCAGGAAGGTGGCTTGTGGAGGCCGGCGTTAATGCCGGTACGAAAAATGGGGGCTCGATCGTTGGGATGGTATCAACGCATCCAAGCAGCGACATAACATGCTAGACTATGATCCATCAGTCACCGCGCATCATGTTCCGTAAACGTGTCTTGAAAGTATGCCGCCGGCTCTTCGAGGCTGAATGGCATTGTTGCGCACTAAAGCCCACAATCAGAGCAGCGCTGTTTAGCCGGACCAGCCGATCAGTGTAGCCGGCCAGACCCTTGTAATGGGGGAACAATGAGGTCAATGGCTACGGGCCAAGCAGCCTGGTCCAAAATTGCGGAGTCTCTGCCTTTTTCTCCCACCCAAGAAGTCGGGTCTCGTGCCGTCTGGGAGGGCGAGGGGACGCCTCGGTGGTGTTCCCTAACCTGAAAGTAAGCGGCGCCCTTGTAGTGGCACTTCCGTCTCCATGCACCAGGTGGGTAAGTCCAGCGTTTGTCGCACTGTCTTTCATTTGTCTTCCTTCTCGCTTGATCATCGCCCTCCCACGCGACAGTAACGTTCAGAAAAGAAGAGGCAGAATATACTGGGACAGTGGTCCGACAGCACAGTCCCCGCACCGGTAACGCCCAGTCACACCGAGAGATCGATCCCTCTCACCTATTACGTCGACGCGCCAGGGTCCGAGCTGCTTCCTGTGATCACGAGCCGGGCGCATACAACCTCAGGCTGACTCTGCCTTGCCTGACCCTCGCTCCTGCACGTCAATATTCCCATATACGTCGTATATCCGTGCGAAACTGCGTCCATCCGCGAATTCGACCGTCTCGAAGTCCTGAGACCCGCAGCACACAAGACTCGAAGCCGTCGGCGCAGCTACTACCTCGAACATCGAACGCCGCACAGCGGACCGCCATAACCCATATTGGAAATGATCACATCTGAACTGGCACCCAGCTGAGAAAGCGACCGATTCCTACCAAACCCGTGCTCACGACACAATGTCTCTGCTCTTGCGCCATCGTGATACCAACAGCGCCACCGGCTCAGTCGGTGCCGGCGCGGGGGACTGGAGAGCGCATGCATCGCCAGAGGATTTTATTCTCGAAGGATGGAGTGAAGGCTTCATGGTTGGCGCCCTGATCATCATGGCGTGCATAACCATAGCGAACATGCGCAGCAAAGTCTTATTGCACAAGCTCAGTCCGTGCCCCTCCACCACTGCCGAGCCCAATGTCCTTTTTTGCTGACAATATCACAGTTCTCCTCGAGCAGCTCCTCGCCATGTCCCACGGCACCTTCTGCTTCATGGCCTTCAAGGGCTACGGATGGTACCTATCCGCCACCGCAATGCTCCTGTACTGTTCCTGGTTTATCCACAATATCGTTGCCTGGATGAAGATCAAGCCCTTCTTCATCGACCGCGGCTCCCTCTTCCCGGCCAAAGTCGGCAAATGGACCCGCTACATCTACATGACGACGCTGTTTTGCACCATCCCACCTATCATCTTGCAGATCTACGATAACTTTCGTTTCTTCAACAACATTAACGACTTTTATACCCACGTTCGGCCCTATGAGCCGCTGTTCAGGGATCCCTGGTGGGTATTTACTTGTCTGGTTCTATTCCACGTCGTCCAGAAGTGTTACGGTACTGGCGTTGTTGAGCTGATCAAGCGCTCACCGCGATTCGGCATTCTTCTGACAGCCATTATACTCGCGCTCGCCTTTACGGCTCTCGACATCGCCTCATCTATACACGACTTTCTTGGCACTACCGATGGCATCGTAAGTCCATTACCCACTTCACAATCATTGACGCAATGACTGACGATCTCAGAACCCCTGGTGGAAGTTGTCATTAGTCTTCAAATGCCTTACAGATACCATCATGTTGGATGATGTAGGTCACCCCCCTCTTCGCCTGCCCTTGCTGTGCTCTGTCGCTGTTAAGCTGACAAACCACAGTTCAAAACCGAGCTCAAGCGTCTGGGCATCAAACGCATCCGCAAAGAAGAGCTGCGGCGCCAATCCTTCGCCCTCGTCCTCGAGGACAAGGACACGGACGAAAACGGCGAGCTCGAGTTCGCCGACGCCCTCAACGTCTCCCCCGAGCGTCTGGCCGAGGATCGCAGGCGCACCGACGTTCCTAACTCACCAAACAGTCCCAGAGGCAGATTGCGCAACGACTCGGTCATCCAACAACAACGGGGCGAAGCTCGCACGTCCGTCGGCAAAGGCGGGCGCCGCATATCGCAGCTACCCGGCCTCGGCATTGCCAAGGGCTTGCGTTTCGGGAAGAAAAGAAAGGGCGGCAGTGCTTGGGACCTAGAGAGAGACGCGCCCGACGTGCATCGCTGCGAGCCGCATCAGGACCCCCTAGAGCGGGCGCGTACGTGTGAATCGAATGCGCGGACAGAGAGGACGGTTGCCCATGACAGGTTTCATGATGATATATCGGAGATGTCGACGAACCACATCAGCGGGCGCTCGAGTCCCTCGTCACGGCACAAAGTCGAAGATCATGAGGGCGCTGCGGCTGCAGAGGGAGAGGGTGAGGCCCCAGCTAAATCGCCGGATTTCGACAGTATCGATTTCCAGACAAAGCCGGCGGGGTTGTGAGCAACAACCCCCCCGCCCCTTTTCTTTCACCTGCGACAGAAGCGAATGATGGATGATGCACGACTTATGATTACACGGCTGCCCGCTCTTGATATGTGAGAGCAAAGGCCGGTAGGCCCGAAGAGAGAGGCTCAGGACAGGAAAAAATGGTGGACGGTTATGGCTTTGGGACGAGTGATCTGGCTTTTTGTTTCTTATGCCTTTCGTAAGGTCCGGCATCGCCACGGGAAAAAAGGGAGGCACTAACAGCATGGCGCTTGGGGCGCTTTCTGGTTGATTCGTGATTTGGGGTTTCCCCCCTGTCGTTGATGGGATTTCGAGATATACCTCTTTGTTATGGTTTGATGGCACTGATGGTTTTTTGCGGACCGTGATGGGTACGGCTCATGAGAAGGGATGGTGATGAGGTAGAGGTTTGAGGTCGAGATGGAAGATCGAGACCGGCCATTCCAGGCTTGGTAGCCAAGCTCCCTGCTATAGGACCAGGGTGCAGGGCGGTTCGAGTGTGGACCACCTCTTGCCGTTTTAGTGCCAAAGACCTACCCAGTAGTGGGCAAGCGACGCAGCAGGACGAGAGTTCAAGACTGCTTGTTAAACAATACCCAGACAAAACGAGTATATACCAATGGCGAGCTCGGACGCCTTTTCTAAATGCTGGGAGCATTCAAGTCACGACAGCCGTGACACTGTCGAGGATGGGCAGCATCACCAGTCACTCTCAACTGCGGCAAGTTCAAGTTGCGGTCGAGATTGCGGTGGTCGTGGTGAATCGAACTCCGAAGGGGTGTCCCAATAACGCAAAGCGTCGAGATCGAACACCTGTTCGCCCTGTTGACGAAGGGTCCAATCAGCGGTGTCCTCAAAAAGACGTCCATATTTACTATCATAGGCTGTATACCGCCCGTCGTCGTCGTCTTCGTCAACGATGTTAATAGCGGGGGCGTCGTCGTCGTCGTCGTCGTCTTCATCTCCATCGTCCTCGGCCCCACCACGTCGGAAGTTCAAGAACTTGTAGGATTTCCTGGATGCTAGTCCTCCATTATTGATCAGTATCGCGGCACTGTGCAACTCAACATCGTCCATGGTCACGTGTTCGGTCCATCGTGTCATCCAGAGTTCCGCCAGCACGTCGAGTGGAGTTTCACCGCGGCCATTTCTTCCGTTCACGTCGGCGCCATATTCAATCATCAAGCGCACCATGTCGGGACTGCTTAGAACGAGATGTAGTGCTTTTGAAGTGTACAATTCGGGACTTTCTCCGAAAGACTCGATGTTGTCAAAAAGATAGAAGATGTCGCAGTTCGGGTCACTTCCGTTCTCGAGAAGCAGTCTGGCAAGTTGTCCGAAGGTCATGGAGAAAGTCCCAGGATCTCCAGTAGGGTCGATTTTGCGGAATAGTGCCTGGAAGACCGTCAGGTTCTCAAATGTGTTGTGGACGCTGGCACCCTGTTGCAGCATCGTTATGCTGGGCCGAATCGCATCAAATCTGGGCCAGAAGTGGAACTTTTCGATAATGTTGTGTAGGATCCGCGGTTCCCGACTGAACAGCCAGTTTTGTTCCCGGCTGAATTTTGCTTTCAGATATAGGGGTAGGCGCATCACCGCTGCGAAGGAAATCTGCGAGTCAATGGGCCACCTCCTAGGTCGATAGTCCTTCATGGCGTCTTCCTCGGCTTCGGCATCATACCTCTGCTGGGGGAAGAAACACGTGAATTGTCCAGCGTCCAGATCGTCTAGAAGGGAAGATTGAGCAAACCCAGTGGTTTTTTCGGCGTTATGGAAAGAATCTCCGCACAACGCGAATAGATTGTGTGCTTTGTCTGCCGATAACCAAGGAATTCGACTGAAGACCTTGCCTCGTCGTCTGACAACCGACTTGATCAGGGTAAAACCAAATTTGGCGAAGTATGAATGTCCGTTCTCAGATTTCATATCACTGTGATCGACTCCGAGAGACCCTTTGAATCCTGGACTTGTAACAAACTCTTTGACGGTCTGATGCATCAACTGAACCATGTATACGGATTGTTGATTGCCAGATCGATTAGGGTACGCGGGAGTATTCTTGTTTGGTACGCCAGAGGTTTCACCAATCGTGCCTCTCGAAAAACCTGGCAGACCTCGTCGAGGATGGGGCACATGTTGCTGCGCGTCAGGTGTCTTGTTGTTGTTTGGAGCTGGTGAGTTCGGATTACCTCCAGTAAACGGAGGGGCAAAGGCATCTGGCGCGTGCCCCTGATATGCAAATCCGCCATTACTTTGGAGAAAGTGAGAATGAAGTTGATCGGCGGTATTTGTGGTCCACGGAGAATACGACGCAGCATAAGGCCCAGGGAGAAAACCACCAGGCTGTGCAAAGTTCAGATATGGTGGGAAGGGCGAGGGAATAGAATGCATCGATGTGTATGGAAGAGGGTGTGATCCAAAAGGCGCTAGATATGACGAAGCGGGAGGGACCAAAGCGGGTGGCGGAGCATACAAGCCAGGAGCCCACCCTCTATGCGCCAGGCTTGGGTGTTGCCACCCCCCAAACTGTGCATACGGGATCTGTGACGCCCAGAAAGCCGTGGAGGGCAGCCGTACATCCGGCGCAGAGACTTGTACTGGTCCATGATCTCGAGTCGGTGGCGGAAGGCTACCGGCAAATCCGGTAACTTGTTCTTGGAATATTTCGGCTCTGCTGGAAGACCCTGAATCGTCCTCGGCCACGGATGACCCTGTAGGGGCGTTCACCTTTTCAAGTGATAGCTGCTTCGAAACTTTATCGTCGTCCTGCGGTCGTCTAACTATCTCCACTAGGCCTCCACAACGGCTCCTAATGCGGCGTCGTAGTGTATCGATCTCGGCGGATGATAGTTCTTCACCTAGTTGCTGCAGTCCCCGAACGCTGTGCTCGAGGTCAGGTGCGACTGCGCACCGCAAAATCCAGGCGAACTCTGTTAGCTGCAACGGTCGAGGCGATCGGATAAGAATCTCTAGCATAGCATAAGTCTCCTGGCGGAACTCGGGCTTTTTGACTCTTGCTAGTAAAGCTTGGTACAGATCTTCGAGTTCATGTGGTAACTGACCGATCATGCGGCGCAACTCGTCGATCTCGGCACCCTCGGTTCTGGCGTCAAGCATTTCCTGAAGCACCAGCCTTACCCAGATGAAGACGCCTTTGGCCTGTCGAAGGATCTCATCCATGAGTTCATATAGTGGTTGCCTTTCAAGACGAAGTGAAGACCGCAGCCATGGCTTCATAGCCTCATGTGTTGACATAGTATCCATTACAAACTGGCGAATGTCCGGTTCCGTATGATCTTCCATCTGGAAAGTCGGACAGGATTTGAACGAATCCGCGAAGGCGTCCCAGGGCCTGCTAGCGCAGCATATGCGTACCTTTGTCATTGATTCAGATGAACGATGAACCGTTTTCTTGATGAAGAGGGCAACTTTCTCCGCTGAACCATCAAATTCGTCCAAAGCGTCTAGGAAGAGGATCAGGTTCAGCTTGGAATGCTTCTGCCCCATCAATTGATCCCACAGACGGTCGAGTCTATGGAAAGACCATTCCTTTGGACTTTTGGTTGCCGGCTTAAACCACTCTGGGAATATGTTGACACATGACAAGCCGAGTTTGAGTAAGATTTGATGCAGTAAACTCCTTAGGAGCCCCTCATATGATTTTTGTATAACGGAACCTCGTTGGAAAAAGAAAAACCGTGCTGCAATTTCTTGGGACGAGACCGTATCAGAAGAATGCTGCTGAGATGTATTGTACCACCGATAGATGTGTTTCATGGCGGTTGATTTTCCGGACCCTGGCTTGCCGCTAATCCAGAAGATTCCTGTTCCCCATCGGAGCCAGTTCAGGACACCCACTCTAGGTTGCCGCAACAGCCAGTCGAATGTTCTTCCATGAGCTTGCTCCACCATTGAGTAGCGAAACTCTGCATCTTCAAAGTGGATGCTCTCAAGGATCGACTTCACTGGCAAGAGTTAGGATGACTGCGGTAGAGCTGCTTCATGCATACTCACAAGTTTGCTCCTTCTGGCTTTGAGATAAGAGGTCCACAGCGGTTTCTGACTCGGATCCTGCCACCCTGTCTGCCGCGGAAAACCCCTTCTTGGATTGTTGAGCATGGCCGACACGTGTGTGACCGTCCAGACTCTCGTACAGCGATCGTAGGAAGAATAGAACAGCTGTGAGATCGTCCTCGTTCTCGTTGAATTTGACAAGACTAGAATGATCTTTATCGATGGGGTGTTGATTTTCTGGTTTTGTCCCGCGCTGAATCGCTGATTCAAGTTGGACCAAAATTTCATAGGGGCCATCCTTTTTCCATTGTCCGTCGCTGGATAGCTATACATCTCCATGAGTGTCAGCTAGTACAAGAGAGCAGCACACTGACCTGTGGTGTTGGAGACTTGTGTGTTTCATATATGGAGACCAAGTCTACTTGGCGCATGGATGAGATTCCGTAGAATTGTGCATCAAGATGTTCAAGATACGAAGATCCTTCAGCAAGAGTCTGGACCAGTGGCTCGTTCGGCTGCTGCTCAACCAAAGGAAGTAAGTGTGAGATTCTCATCCCTCGGTTTGGAACGCCAAAAAAGATAACGCGTTTCACTTTCCACATGAAAGTTGCCTCGAGCGGCGGCGAGTTAGCAATACGCGCTATTGCTTCTTTGACTACAATCCCACCAAGGCTGTGAGCAAGGAAAAGGAGGGGCTTTGAAGACGGTTCAGCCAGGCCAATGGAGCGCATCTTGGTGATGAGAGCCAGTGAAATCTCCCGTATCGACTGAAAAGACTGACTGCCGAGCAGATGAGAATCGTAGCCGTAAGTCAAGACCCTCATCCGAGGATATCTCCTGGGCAGGGCATCTCGGAGCCACATGAAGTCCACTGTGCGATCCTGAGCGCACCACGAGCCGAACGCGTGGCCCGAGAGTCCAGTAATGGCAATGCAGCTGTTTCGTAGTCAGCAACTTCCCCTATAGGTTCGAGACCAGAGTGGCCGACTCGAGTATATGATGATCCATATCCACCTCGTTCAGCGGAGTAAATCCGCGAAAATGCGAATCGATTATGAGGTTATGAGCGTAGACCGCGGCGGGAAGGCACCATTCGGACCGTGCAGGATTCTGACCTGCTCGAAGTTGATCAGGTTCATCTTCAAATGTGACCGTAGCGACTTTGGTGGGTGGATTCTCAAACGAGTCGATACTGGAGGCAAGCGAGCGGACTGTGATGGTTTTGTGGTAATCCAGGACATAGGCTAGTAATCGAGCGAGGTCGTAGAACTGAGAACAATGAGCGGGTATCTGGCGAACACGATACGTTTGTCGGCCTGCAGCCGGTGCCATTGCAGCCTGACCAGCTGCGGCTTCCCGTGCGCCGTGCGACGGTGGTTCAGTACATACAAGCAGTTTCACCTGTGGCCTGTGAAGAACGAAGAGATAGATGTGCGCGCAGGGAGCCGCAGGCGCCAGAGGCGTTCAAGGCTGCGAACAACAACCTGCGCGCCGCCATCGAAGCGCCGCGGGGCGCGGCTGAGTCTCGTGTCCGCGCTTCATGGATTTTATGTACTTTCGGTGGCTAGGCGTTTTAGCTGCAGGTGCTAGGGGGCGCTAAAGGATAGGGGCCATCAGTTCAAGGCAGCTACAGTACAGTATCGCTTGGCAAGACCGGCCGTCGAGACTCGTTGAAGCGAAAGTGCGAACGTGTATACCCCGTCGTGGAGGTTTAACGGGCACTTCGCAGCCAATTCCGATCCCCATGGGGTAATGCCCGGCAGCCGTCTAAGGCGTCTACCCAACCAGGGCCTGCTCCTCAGCATTCCGCGAAAGAGGCTTTTCCGGGCCGGATGGTGCCCACAGTCAATGCAGCGGCTCGCGCCCGGCTAGAACCCTACTTTAACAGGCAAATCTTGCTTTTGCAATACTTGTCTAGTATCATCTCCGACTGTCGTCACTCAAGATCACGCTCGCACAGCCCTTCCATGCTAGAACGGCTAACCTGTCAGATATTCCGATCGACCGCTTCTCCATCCACCCAGACCTTCCAGCCGCCTCAACCACTCCGCAGTCAGCAAGCCTCGCAGGCAAAGTCGGCGCAAAACCATCATGACAAGGGGTACTGTGCCCTCCTAAGAATACAAGCCCACCTGTTGCCGAGCTTCGCTCACGCGAACAAAGACGAGAGACAAGGCTCGAAAGGCAAGAGTACTGGCTGCTGGTCCACCTCCCTGGACCTTCGTCATCTCCTCCTCTTTCCCCTCTTCCAACATCCATCGCCCCAAAAGGCGAGCCCAGAAGCAAGCACACGACGAGGTTCATTGCCGTCTCTGTATGTCAGAAGCAGACGAGAGAAGTAGTTCGATAGTTTCACACCGCTACAATCCGGTCACAATGCATGGATCGGCATGCCAAGAGTATCATGCCAAGACATTCACTGCCTGAATCTTGGGTGCTCTCAGCCTCGTGGTCCACCCCCCTTCGCTCGATCTGGGCATCAATTTACCTGAACTAAACCTCGCAGTCAAGCTCGAATGCGTTTTTCTGCGGTATTAGCAATCCGATTCCTTCTCTATCACATGTACAGAATCATAGCACCACAGCAAGCAAAGCTCAATCGCCCATGAGTCGTTGAACTTTCACATTTTTTCTAACCCCTGCTAAGATTTTCTCGCCTTCAGTTTTCCACCTTTTTTTTTGTCCCCTCCACAATGCAGAAGTCAAGGCTCTCGAGTTTAGTCTATCCCAGACGCAAACAGTAGACCAATCCAGAAAAAACGGCGAAGCCTGCGCCTGGGCAACATGGCCTGATAAGGCCGTGCCAGGTCACATCCTCGATCCCCCACGCGCGCAACGCCAGAGACTGTCTTACTTTGCTCAACCGAGTTGTTACCACAGATGCCGCCCATTAAACAATCAAATAAACCCAAAAAGAAGGGAAAAAGAAGCCAATCCGGAGGGTGTGAGATCCCGATATCAATTGCAGAACACACAATCCTCAGGTTGACGAAAGAGAAAAGGTCGGTGTGGAGTTCTGCCGGTTCGGAAGGGCGACGAGGTGACTCAGGCATCACGAGCCTTTCGGTGTGAGAGAGCAGTCTGATACTTCGCAGCCATCTCGTTCTGATGAGTCTTCTTGAGAGCCTCCTGCGTCTGCTTCTCGGTTTTGATGGCTTCAGTTCTGGCAATCTTGATCTTGCTGACGAGGGCCTTCACATCGGCCAAAGAGGGCTTTCCGCTGAGCTTGGCCATGGGCTCGCCGTCGGTGCGAGCCTGGAGGACTTCGTAGGTGTTGCCGAGCTGCTTGGCAATGATCCTGTCATCCGCAACAGCTTCTGCGCAGATTTGCTCGTATCGGTCCATAACGTGCTGCAGCTCATCCTTGCCAGAGTACTTGCTCAGGACTTCGCGCTGAGCCTCCTTGACAGCGATGGCAGTCTTTTGAGCGATGGCTTCGCGCAGCTCCGTCTTGACGCGCGTAGGCTTGGGGCATTGAGTGGTGCGAGGCACGTACTGCTCCAGGTACTTGTCAGCAGGACAGCGTAGGAACTGAGCATAGAGACTGTTGAGTTGGAGATTGCGCTTCTCGGCCTGTCCATATGTTAGTAGATCGATTTCAATCTAGGCTAGATGACTCACCAGCTTCTTCTGAATTTGCGCAATGTCGAAAGCCGTGATACCCGCAATCTCCTTAGGGAGGCCATGCTTGAGGGTTTCGCCAAGCATATCAGTGGTCTCGAAGTCGGCGAGAGCCCGGGAGGCATCCTCTAGGGCGAGGGCGACAGGCATGGTGGAAGAGACACGAAGATTCTTATCGAGAACGGACTCCTTCTCATCCAGCTCCTTGTCAAGATTCTTGACGTTGTTCACTTTGCGCTTGAGATCGGAAGTAATCTTGACAGTGTTGGCGAAGGCCTCGGCCAGGTTGTCATAGCGAGAGACTTGGATTTGAGAGAGGGTAATGGATTTGCTCTTCTGGTGGGAACCGGAGGCTTCGCCGTTGGTTTGAATGACACCAGGCATTGTGATTGATGGTGAAGTGGTGATTGTGGAAGAGATGTGGTTTCGAAGGAAGGTCGACGTTGGAAATGCGAAGGAAGCAGGTGACGGTTGCAGGGGGTTTGGATGGACGAGTGCAAGAGGGTTGTGATCGCGATGGTTCAAATGTGTTCCAGAAGCAGGACGTAGTCAGCATATATTCTGGTCTTGCTGTCCAGAAGGATGATTCTGGTCATCGTTCTGTTTGCTGATCTCTCATTGACACACAATGATTTGTGCTTGCTGGAAGGCAAGGCATCATCGTGGCGGTACCTTGTTCCATGAAATATTCATTCATGGCTTTCATGCAAGGATCCATGAGGCGGTACTTGCCAGTGAAAGGTTTGAAAGCCCTTGGTATGGCAGTAGACAACGCAGTACTCACTGGGCCAGCCTGAAGAGTTTGCTAGAATTCCAGGTGGAAAAAATACCTCGGGTGGGATTCCTTGCCTTGAGGCGGGGAAGGCAAACTGTGCATAGCTTTGCAAAGAACGACCAAGCCGCTATCTTTGTCTAAGAAGGGTTCCTGCATTCGAGCTGCATGAAAGTCTCCGCGATCGGATCCTGGAGAGTCAGACTGTTTCGTTGATGAGCGATACCGAACGAAGCTGATGGTGGCTGATTCCATGCCTTCGTCTTCCTGTAAACTCGAGAACGTATGAACAGCTCGTGCCCGCAGAAGGAGCAAGTTGGCCAGTGATGTAAGTCTTCGCCTGTGAAGAGGAAAGCGGAAACGTGCAGGAGCAAGTGACCCCAGTAGAATGTCTGTCTTTGTCGAAGGCAAGCTTTCGAGGAGGGTGCCACCACAGCTTGAAGCTGTAGCACTTCAAGCCTGACCAAGTCCGGCGTTCAAGCTGAATCGGCTTTGGCTTGCTACGAGTGAATTCCGAGATCACGACCAAGTCAAGCAGACGACGAGAATTACATGATGGCCTTCGGTATTCGTTGCTATGCTAAGCTAGAGCTACGGTAAAGAAGATAGATAGATCTGCTCGATGAGGAGATCTGTGGCCCATAGATAGAGATATCCTGTCAATATCATGAAATGAATGTGTGATCCGAATCTAGCCAATGCTCAAGTCCCGAAAGATTCAAGTCATTGACCAATCCAGCAATGGTATGACGACCGGCAGACAATCCCCAGAAGCCACCCCGAAGGCGTGGGTGGAGATCAAGTCACATTCCGGCCGTGGCTCTTTTTTGTGGATTTTGAAAATTTTCTCGAACGCATTCAAATGTCAGACCCGTTGAGCAGGGTTTCGCCTTTTGTTTCAAAGCAGAGGCTTCAACTGCTGCAGAGGGTTCGTGATCTAGATGTACCACATGGCTTTCCGGATCTCGTTGGCATTGAACATGCTCAGAAGAGGTGTAGACTCGGAGCTAGGAGCGTCCGAGGAAGGTGGCGCATTCTGCTTGAAGCCAGGACCACCTTGAGGACCATCCGAAGCCGCGATGTCCTGGTGGGCTTTGGCACGGTTCGAGGCCAAGTGAGCATAGTACACCGCAGGGTGGAGAGACACTGAGGTAGTCGACCTCATGTATTGGTAGCAGTGCTCATAGATCATGTTCTGAATCTGGTTGGGAGGGTGATTCGCATCGTCGTAGAGAATGGTGTAGTGCACGGGACGAGATGTACCCTGGAGCGCAATATGAGAGTAGAGATAGAAATCGAACTCCTTGGGCATGGTGATATCACGCTCGATGAGGCAGCCAGGCACAGGGTTGCCCTTCTGGTCGCCGGCGACACTGTCACCTTGCTTGGGGAAAGCCCGGACATGATGACGCTTCGAGGCAACGATGACGGTGAGTTTGCCGCTCCAAGGTTTGCCAGCGACGGTGCTGAGCACTTTCTTCAGCTGCGGGACCTCTTGATTCATGACGTGGCTGAACTGGCCCTCGCTAACACCATCGCGCATGTAGTAGACCTGGGTCGGCAACTGTCGAACACCCACATCGTTCATCCAAACCTTGATAAGTGGCTCGAGAATATTCCTCATGTTGGCCTCAGAAATCATCTCCACACGGTGGCCGTTGGTCTGACAAGCAGCCGCATACCGGCCGGCATGCTTGTCCCAAGACACGGTCAGGGCGGCCATGGAAGCCTCGGCAGACCCAGGCGACGCATGCGAGACGTCAGCACCGATGAACATGGTGGGGCCGCCGAATGTGCCCTTGAAGCCGCTGGTCGCATTAGGCTTGACTCTCGACGTGCAACCTCCCAGCTTAGCGTTGACCTTCATGAGGACATTGCCATAGTATTGTGGGTTTCCTTTTAGGACTTGGGCGAGTTGCATGACTTGAGAGACCACACCAAAGCGGCAATCAGCTGACTTCTTGATGCGCAAGTAGTTGAAAGAATTCTTGTCTTGGACAAGGAACACCAGCAGCTGGGGCCGCAGCTGGAACTTGTTGCCAGTGGCCTGGTGAAGCTGCTCGACAGCAGCTCCCACGTCAGCTGGCAGCTGCATGATGTGAGGGCCCGCATTTGAGACTCTGCCACCATATCCGCGGTAGTTTCGGGCAAAGTCTTGCGCAAACCTCGTGATGGCAGCTTGGTCGGCGGGAATTCGACCTTGAAAGACGCCAATGCCCCATGCAACAAGCTCCTTGGGATTACCTGTGAGAAACCTCTTACCACGCAAGTCCCAACGACCTTTGGTGCCTGGGCTTTCGATCCTGCCGCCAAACTCGATCTGGGGAGGGGGCAGTAGTCGAGCGTTGGTCTTGATGGTATCGTTGTCAATCTTAAGGTTGTAGTTCTTAAGGTACTCATCGTTCTGCCAGTTGAGGAAGCCTTTTTGTTCCTGGATGGCGGCCTTGCGCTCCTTAGGTGGAGCAACCGCAAACCTGATCATGTTCGCCGTCTGGTTCTCGTCGAGCTTTGCAGCGTATCGCTGGTTCGGCTGTAGGTGCAGAAACTCCATTGGGTACTTGACCCCTCGCTTCGTCATCTCAACAAGAGGAAGCTGAGGGTACTTGAGCCGCTGATTGTATTTGCGGCGGAAGTACTCATTGACGGAGACCTTCTCGCCAGTTGGCTTCTTGGTCGTGGGGTCTTTCCAGTCGAGCATCTCCTCATTGGCATTGTTAGTGTCGATCTTAGCAATCTTCCACTCTTTACCAGCCGCCGGGTTGCCAGGGTATTGAGCAGTGCACACGTTGCCCTTGAAGCGGCTTGAAACTTGACGAGTAAAGGCATTGCTTTTTCGCTGTCCGTTGTTGCCGTCTGGCCGCATTCTCTGAGCAAGCTGAACAGGGTCACGAACACCTTGATTTGCTGAAATGGCAGCTAGGAGAGCCATTGGCTTCCAGAAGGTCGTGTTGGCGACATCGATGTTGACTATCAGCTTCTGGCCTTGAGCGAGACGCATCGACTGGTATATGCCTCTGAAGACCTCAATGCCCCCACCAAGGTCAAATCGTTTACCCTCGCGCGCAAAGAAGGAGCGCTTGACTGCCACGAGGCTAGGGTTCTGAGATGGACCTTCGCGAAGAAGGTGGTCCATGAAGTTGATGGCTTCGGCAACGTTGACAGAGTTGTCGACCTTGCCCTGAAGATAGCTGTGGATGATGGTCGGATCAAGGATCCGGGTCGGAGTGACTCGCAGGCGGATGGAGTTGCTGCCGTCAGGTCGCGGCTTCCTTCCCTCCTCAGCATCGAGGTCCACCATCAGCCTCAACTCATTCATCTTATCAAGGGACCAGGCAAGCTTGTTACCATCCCAGATGATTGCAGGGCCAGTAGCATTCTTGCGAGTCGTCGAGTTCCAGACCTTGCGGTTGACAATGGGCTTCTCAGCACCGTTGCCAATAACGACATCGTACTGTGTGATTTGGCGATCAGGGTAGTTGCGGACTTGAACAGCGTTGAGTTCAAGGGTGATGTCTCTGCCGGTAGTGTTGAAGCCTGGACGAGCCTTGAATTCGGTGCCGACGGCGTACTATCTTTCGTTAGTATCAGGCTTCTGAGAAGGCTTGGTAATTTTGGGGTCTTGAACGAGAAAGGGCAACGTGATTTCGGAGACTGAGGCAACGATGCTGGTTGAGATAGCCGCAAGGCGAAGGCACGACGGGAAACGGGCTATGGTCAAGAGCAACAATGAAGTCCAGCTCAGACCAGCATGGTGCAACGAAATGATGACTGTAGCGTCTCCAGCATAAGCAGGACATTGATCCGAACGAGACCAGATCTGCCACTGTGCCCAATATCTGGTAAAAATGCAACTGGGAGATGAGGGTTGGCAGGGTATTCAGGGTACTCACCGACCGATCGAGGTTGAAGAAAGAGGCTGGAAGATCAACGTTCTTCAACGCATCCGTAGCTTTGGGAATATGCGCAGGATCGAGAGCTGGATCATGTCTAGGCATGCCTTGAGACACACCCTGAGAGGGAGGCTGGGAAGGAGCGCCCGAGGTGCTTGAGCGACGACTTCCTGCACCCTGCTGGCCAACAAAGCCACCAGCAGGAGCAGGGCCACCGCCGCGGGCTGGAGAGCCACCAGATTGAGCTCGGCCTGAGGTAGCTGAGCCACTACCACGAGAGGCGGGGCCGTCGAAACCACCGGCTGGGATTGAGAGGCGTTCGGAGCCCTCGGAGGTCTCGTCGCGCTGGCCGCGAGCACGACCTCTGCCGCGTCTGCGAGCAGCACCAGACATGACAGCGATTGACTTAAGAGAGCTTTTGAGCGGTTAGTCTGAACTGATGAGACCGATCAAAGAACAATGTTGTTGTAAGCAAAGCAGAACGTGAACTCAGAACGTTGTCTGAAATACCTCAGCGCGTTTGGCTTGATGCTTGATCGAGACAAACCACAAGCGCAAAGCTGATGGTGTCAAGCGAAGGACGTTGTGAAGCCCCAAACAAACTTCAAAAAGACAATCGGCTTGATGAGGTCGCTGCCATTGGGAGGGGATTGCGCCAGGGGCTTCTTATTACTTACTTTGTGGTTTGGTGAGATGACTGAGCTGTCGCTGCCTAGACAGGACTGAACTCGGTGGTTGGAGTGGCGAGGCGAGTGATGAGATTCAAGCGGCCTTGGGAAGGTAGGCGGTATGAGGGTAGGAAGGGAACGCGAGATCTTGATCAAGTGGTAGCTCGATCAAGGTGGAGTGTTCGGAAGGATGACAAGTGCGGAAGAGCGTAGAAGAAAGGGTGCTTTTGTAATTGGGAAGGTCGACGAGCACATGCCTCGACGTCGCTCTCAATGGACAACCAAGCAGTCACCGTCGCGGTCACTGTCGGATCCAGGATCCAGGCCCACAGTAGGTGGGGCGGACTGACTGAAACTGTCCAACACCCTATTGAAATATTAATGAAGCTCGATTGAGGCCATCTGAGCCCCTCGGGATGCTCACTTGCAACCTCAGTTGGCGGGTGCGGTGAGGTTGTCAGGCAAAGGAGAGAAAGACAATCATGGACCTCACCGCGCTTTGGCTTTTGCGGGCTGCCACCCGGGCTGAGGGCCGGATCAGGAAAGTTGTGGGCCTGGGAATCGCCTGGGACGGTCCAAGTCCCCGCTTATCGCAGTCTACCGTGCCTATACGAACTCAAAATCAACACCAACCGTCGCTCACGGCCGGACAGGGCTACAGGTCATGTTCAATCATCGTCTCGCTTGCGAATCAAGATTTCCTCACGTTGGAGAGGTACGCATGTATGGCTGACTCTGGTCAGTGAATCAGAAGGCTCGATTGGAATTGATGTGATGCATCACGTTGCTGCCTAATTCTGCAAGCCTCCAACTACCCTGGCTTGACCACCTTCAACCGTATCTGATCGTAAGCCGATCCGGACTGTCGTCATCGCACAATACATGCATGCTATTATTGTTACAACTTCCAACGCCGCGCCATGCCGCGCAATGAAGAGCAAGATTAGCAGATCAATGGATGCTTCCGTTTCCAATCAAACTAAGCAAAACGGAAAGGAGCTGTTCCTCGATTAGCATCTGGTCTATCAAGGTCAGGATTTGAACTCACCTCCACCATACTGGCTATGGGTCGGAGTCGGAGGCTGCATATACCCCGGTCCGGGCATGGGCGGCTGCGGATAGTGCAGCGCCTGCCCCTGTGACTGGTGAGGCCAGGCAGACTGAGGTGGCGGTTGTGGGGTAGGCTGTGCTGGCAATGATCCCGGCGGCGGAAGGTGAACATCGCGAATCAGATTGATCATCTTTGCTGCATCGAACCGGGCGTCCGTATAGAAGTGAGCCTTTGGCAGGATACTGAGCAGATAATGAATCTGAGGCGGGAGTGGAGGCGGCAAGGGAGCTGGGAGGCTACTGATCGACGATCCATTAGCCTGGCGTTGCTGGTTCATCCTCCGACCAGCCGCACCCTTGAGAGGTGACTCCCCACGTGCCAGCTTCCGAACCCCGCCATCTTCAAAGTCGTCAGGCAATGGCCGTTTGGGGGAGTTGATTGCAATCGAATCGATGACGTTCTGGGTGGGAGATCCAGAAGCTTCAGCCTCAATGGACGGCAGAGGCTCATCGGTCTTGGATCTCATCTGCTGCCGTTTGGAGATGATTGGGAAGACGTGGATGGGATCAAAGCTGTCGGTCGCGTAGCGATCCGCGAAAACGGCCAACTGCGGGTCTTCAGGGAACAGCTCCTTCATGCGTTGCTCCAGTCGCTGAACTTGAGATAGCTCGCCGAACCTGGACTCGTATTCGTGGAGGTACTTGAAAAGCGGCTTGGTTTTGTCCTTGTGCCCAGCGGCTGATAACCGCGTTACGCTGGTCTCGAAGACTCCACGCGCATTGGTCACATCGTTGATCTCGAAAAGGTGCTTGATGTACTTCAAAGGTAGGTAGCCATCCTCGGGGAAGAGTTTCATGCCACGTTCCAGAAGGCGTGTGCTTGTCTTATCCTGGTAGCACTGCCACTCAATGGCAGCACATTCAACGTAAAAGACGCTGGTGAGTTTGCCCTTCTTCCGAGCCTCGTTGAAGACGCCGCGGAACCCACTGTGAGCATCTCCTTTCCCTTGGATTCTTCGGGTGACACGGGCGATCGCAATCCAGACGTGTGAGATCAGCTTGGTTAGTAACTCCAATTCAGTCTGCGCAGCTTTCTTGACGATGTCGATCCGAGCATCAAGAACGGCCTTTTTAGATGCAACATTCGCAGCATTAACTTCATCGTCCGCACCATTGCCGTTAGAAGTCTCAGAATCTAGCTCAAGTTCCTGAATTTCTTGTTGCTCTTGCTGAGCACCTTTCTTGTAGAGGGCATACAAGGCTTCGACCACGTTGTCTAAAGGCTGTCGTACTTTTCTAATGCGGTCCTTTGCGCCAGGGTCGGAAGTTTCATCAGTTTGAGTTGTGGTCTCAAGGCGATCTGCGTATTTGAAAGCGAGCAGGGGCGATTCGGGATTCGCACTGATGCCTCTCTCGAGGAAAGAAGTGGCTTCTTTGTTCATCGCATCTTCGTTGCCACTAGCATTCGCAAAGCAGAACTCGGCAGCCGAGTACCACATGTCTGGCCAGAATTGTAAGGCCATCAACGCCTGCTTGTAGGCATAGATAACACGATTTCTGTACGCACCCACGTCTTCATCTTTGAGCACTAACGGGTCTTCCTTCTCCCATTGAATCCAGTCCTCCCATAGACTGATCTGACGAGAGAATGCATCGTCGCCTTGATATCCAATTGCAGGAGGGAGTCGGGGCCGAGTAGAACGCTTCAAGCCGGTGGTAATATTGCTAAGTTGGACATGGGCTTGTCGAGCGGTCATATATGTGGCAGACATTTCCTGCAGGTGCTTGCGGCCGTTGATCTTGCTGAGACCGGTCTCAAAATTGTCGTAGTCTCGCCATAGCTGGGTGACAGCCTCAGTGGGAATGGCAATGGCTTGCCGATACGCAGCGCGAACCTGGTCGGCCTTCGCGCCATCCTGCCAGGTGGTGCCGCCCAGAGTTCCTGGTCCGGATTTGAGGAATGCAATATAGTCTTGCCAAACCTTGCCTGCGTCCTTGTCGATACCAATGGTTTTCAGCGCAAAGTTGAAAACTTCATTGATGATTTTGTAATTGCCTTGGACATCCCCGCTCTGGAGGCTGTATCGTCGGCGGACGTAGTTGATGTACATCATCCAAAGATCAACATTCAGCACTTTCAAAAGAGACTTGTCGAAAATGCCAGCCATAGAATTTCTGCGATCGTGATCTTCCTCCCATTGCACATAAGAGCGCCATATTTCAGCCTGGCTTTGATTAGATCCCCAAAAGCACGCGAGAAAGATATAGAACTTACATCGAGTGGGAAGACTTCAAGGTATTTCTCGTACGCCTGTTTGACGTCTTCTTGCTTATTTCGGCTCTTGTACTCATTGATCAATTCAAGATAGGCATCGGGGTCACCACGAGGATCATCCTTGATGCGGTCTTCCAGAATACCGATGGTATCATGAGCAAGTCGCGTCTTAGATGCAGCTGAAGAAAGTGGACCATTCACACTGTAATGTTCAGAAGGTTGCGCTTGAGCGTCAACAACAGCTGGGGCAGGAGTCTCCGCGATGGCAGAAGGAATGCCAGAGCCAGATGGAAGAAGAGAGGAAGAAACACCGGTAGGGCTGCCCGTAGGTTGAGCAGGAACGGGAGTGATTCCATTTTCTTGGGAAGGCGATTTGGACTGTCTATCAAGGGGATTCTGAACAGGGGCAGGGATTGGGTCATCGAGGTCTAGGCCTGCAGCTGGATCATAGACATCGACCTCGTCCTTGCCATCCTCTTGTTCTTCATCTTCATCGTCGTCATCGGCGTCAACTTCGAAGCCACCTCTCGTGCGAGGCTGCACTGACTGCAGCGGGGTACCTGTAGGCGTCTGCTGAGCATTCGCTGGCGAAGCAAGACTGCTGGATGGTCTAGGTGGTAATGGATGCGATGCTGAAGTCGGCGACAGAAGATTTTCACGCGCGGGGTCTGGAGAATCTGAGCCTGGGGAATTAGGTGGAAGAGACATGATTGCTGAGGGAGTTGTTTCTAGCAAGAGCTGGTGGTCTGTACTTCAGTCGTAAACAGAATCCGTTCCCCTCAACCACCATCAAAACACTGAGATGCTTGAAGAAAAATGCAGACACATCGCAGAGCCGAGGTCGTATGCGCACGCTCGTGTCGCGTGATGATGTGATGGAAGAAGTGATTCTTGAACTACTACGCCGTGCAGAAGATGGCTCTCAGAACCTCAAAGGAAGTGCAGAAGGAAGGTGGATGCAAGTGTTGAATGTTGGGTGATAACTGCGCCTGGTCGTGGAAATCGTACCTGAGTCAAAGAGCAGACACAGGCCGCTTTCACCAGCCAAGGCGCGTTACTTCTTTGGGGTTAGCGTACTTAACGCGGTACGCGGCAGCAGCAGGTCGCATCGCGGTCAAATATCTCGGAGGTGAGAAACACTCTTATCTTCCTACCTGCCCATTCTTGTGTCTACATACACTACCTCTCACGTATTAAACACTGCATCTCGCAAACTGCACTTCGCAGAATCTTTACGGTCCAACTCATATCCTGCGAACATACTTCCCCATCCTACCCCGCCAAAACCTCGACGCATCCAAGATGTCTGTTGTCTCGCTGCTCGGCGTGCGGATTATGAACAATCCTGCCAGCTTCACCGACCCATACAACTTTGAGATCACTTTCGAATGTCTGGAGTCGTTGAAAGAAGGTAAGTCTCCTAGTCGACCTTCGGCTGATGAGCCAGTACTCACCACAACGACCAGATCTCGAGTGGAAACTCACATACGTCGGTTCTGCTACCTCCGCCGAGCACGATCAAGAGCTAGACACCCTGCTTGTCGGTCCCATCCCTATCGGCGTCAACAAGTTCATCTTCGAAGCCGATCCTCCTAACCTCTCACGCCTGCCCTCCTCCGAGATATTGGGTGTCACTGTCATTCTCCTCACCTGCTCATACGATGGAAGAGAATTCGTACGCGTTGGGTACTATGTGAACAATGAATATGATAGCGAGGAGTTGCAGAACGATCCCCCTGCCAAACCCGTCATCGAGCGTGTTCGACGCAACATCCTCGCAGAAAAGCCCAGAGTCACTCGCTTCGCCATCAAATGGTAAGTAGCCGCTGTTGCAGCTAGGCAGAAGCTCTAACATCATCTAGGGATTCCGAAGACTCTGCGCCAGCCGAATATCCACCTGAGCAACCCGAGGCTGATCAACTCGATGACGATGAGACTAGATACGGTGCTGAGGAAGCCGATATGCAGGCCGCGTTGGAGAAGGAGCTGGAGGAAACCGAAGCTCAAGTCGCCAAAGACCCTGTTGGTGCTGATGCTGAGATGGGCGGGACCGAGACTGCCAAGAAAGAAGACGACAGCGATGCTGGCAGCGAAGATCTCGAGGAGGAAAGCTCAGACGATGACGATGATGAGGAAGAAGAGGGCGAAGGTGATGAGGACATGGAGATGGCCGATGGCGAAGAGAAGCCGGCTGAATCCCAAGCCAACGGTGACAAGAAGACTGAGGGCAAACAACCCGAAGTCATGGTCCACTAGATCGCTTGTGCTTCTTTCAGCGAGGCGTACGGGCGTTGATGGCGGCATGATGATTGACGACAATGGTTTGGGTCACAACATTTGATGGCAGGACTCATCCTGACTATTGCAAAGGCTGCAATCGGACACGATAATTGATACCACCGCATGTGACTAGCATGATTAGACTAGCCCCATGGACATGCATGTTAGATGGCATTTCCTACAGCACAACACGAAACGATTCCATTTTTCGCGAACTCATTGATGAGGACATTGTTGATCAGGCCTTCGAAAGGTCATGGCTACACGGCCTTCACACCCTACTGTACACGCCTGTAACATTGCGGCCGCACTCGACCCGCTGCTCCATCGCAACCTTCTTCCCCTTGATGCGTACGGTGCTCCGCGGCGTGACATGAAAGCGATGCTCCTCCTTCCTGCCCGCCTGGATCTCGCTCTCCATATCCAACGGCCTGATATAGAGGGGATTGGCGACGTTGTTCCGCTTCCCCGTTCCCAGCTGGTAGAACTCATTGCCGCCCCACCACAGGCAGTCAGCGCCCCAGTTCGTGTCGTTCTCCGTCCCCTTCTCCGACGCTGCGAGGTATGTGACGTTGTCGAGCGTGGCGGAGGCGTGCGTGCTGCCTACCGTGATGTTCGCGACGCGGATCGGGATAGTGCGTCGGTTGACTTCATCGTACTCGAAGAGGCCTGAGAGGGAGGGGATCTTGGACGGCGTGTCCTGGATGTGCGTCCAGCGCCCGTTGCCTAGCCCGCCGCGCAGGCCCTGGCCGCACGCCCATGTGTCGGCGGTCACACGACCCAGAGTGGCAAGCGAGCGCGTGTCCTCGTCGGGTGCGGCGACGCGCGTGGCGTCGATGGTGAAGAAGCTGTTGAGGCCGCCAGCGGCGATGCTGGTAACTTTGGCGGTCTGGCTGGTGCCGCTGTAAAGCTTGCTAATGGGAAGGAGGGAGGGCACGTCGACAAAAGGGGCCTCGCCGGTGGCGTCGATGCCGAGTTGGCCGGAGGAGTTGTCACCGAAAGCGAAGACGCGGCCTTCGCGGTCGAGAGCCAGGGAGTGCGTGTCGCCGGCGGCTACAGAGGTGATCTCAAATCCTTTTAGAGTGGTGATTTCATGGGGCATGTCGAAGGGTCCTGGGGGCCGCGTTGACCACGTTACGCCCGGAACGCCGAGCTGGCCTCTGCTGGGGAAGCCTTCCATCGATGAAGCGGCGGAGAAGACGCGGCCGGATGAGGCGAGGAGCAGGACGTGCTCGAGACCAGAGGAGACGCTGGTGATGCGCTCGTTGTAGCCAAGGGTCGTGGGGGTTAGATTGCGGTAGGAGATGCGGCTGGTGGAGGGCCAGTACGGGATCCATGAGGATTCACTCTGCTTCGGCTGTGTCTCTTGCTCGAGTTTGGAGGCTGGGATGGAGTAGACTTTACCAGACTTGGAGAGGGCGATGATACGGTCGCGCGAGATGGCGAGTTGCTTGAGATCTTTGCCTTTCAGAGTCACAGAAGGGGTAGATGACTCCTCGGAATAGCCTTTGCCCCATTGCACCAGATCTCCGTTCTCGAGGATGGCAGCGCCAAATTGGCGGTCCAGCTTGAGGTCACGTAAGAGGACATCATCGAAGAATGCTATCCGCTGCGGAGTTCTGATGAATGCTTCATTGGAGTCCGGTGCGACGACCTTGCCAGTATTGGAGCCCCAGGCGTATACGCCGGGGTTCTCCCAGCTTTTCTTGACTTGTAGATGCTGTGAGCTGATGAGATCTCTGTTCTCTTCCTTAGAAGCACCCTTCTTTTTCTTTGACTTCTCGATGACGAGTTCTTGCTGGTCAGCCTCTTCGGCTTGCGCATGCTGAACAGATGCGTTGTATATTAAAGCTAAAGCTGCCGCAGCCGCGAAAGTTGCCGCTGACGGCCGTGTCCATTCGCTGTGGGAAGCTTGTGGTGTTGGCGGGGTATGGAGGAAGCGTTTCGTCTGATTTCGCTGACCGAGAGCGATGTTCCGTGATGTGGACGAGAGCACGCGGGCTGTGCTCCGTGGAAGCTTTGCAGCAGCCATTTTTGAATTCGTGATGTTCGCGTAGGTTCCCTACAGAGAAAGGTAGCCTCTTTACAAAAGGGAATGAGCTTGCAGACTGCCCGTAGGTCATGGAGCGATGATGAGCTGCTTGAAGGTTGGAACATGTCTGCTCTAATTGGGTGGCTTGAATAGACACATCGCGCCCACCTTCGCCACCGTAGTCAAGCTCCGCTGCGTTTTCGTACTCGTGTAACAATCGGACTTGCTTGATAGACATCTAGGAAAGCGGGTAATTTTTCATGCAGGCCCATGGTCTCCGTTCCAACATCTCGCCTCATGCATTCTGCCATAGCTTGGTCGCCTTACCTGTTATGCTGCGTCCAAGCACCACTACGGCGACAGCTCATGTTGCGCCAAGGATCTCAGGCAGTTAAAGTCTTGGCAGTGAACCACAGGCCTGCGAGCACACTTCTTAGACAGCATACTCTGCTCCACTGCTGCAGCTCTCGCTCGAACCAACGCGCAGAAGATCTCGCAGTATATGAGCTCAACCTCACAATGCTTCGTAAAAAAGGCGCTAGAAGGTGCGGCGCCATGACGCGGAAAAGCCACGCCAAGTTATGGCCGTGAGCGAGCCTCATGCAGTGCCAGTAAAAACCGCCAAGACACTGGGAAGAACCCATGTTCAGCAGGTGCGCCAAAAGCTCCTAGGCTGCAGCGTCTCGTCCGCATCCCCGGCGGCTGCATCCGCCCAACCGTCTCGAGGCCGTAGGGGTTCCTTGATGAGACACTTGAGTCTACAGGGTTGCAACGGACCCAACGGTGGGCATAGAATGCAGAAGCATAGTTCCAGCTTTCCGACATGCTCTCCCTTGCTCGTCTGCTTGTTTAATACTTACATTGGCGCGAGTACGATCGCAAGGTGGCCTGGATTTGGAATTGCTACACGCGTAGAGCCTGCCTGCAGTCTCAGCCACAGTCGATCGTGATGCGCTCGCAGAACCGGCCGCTCGCCTACGTCCTCGCGCCTCTGTGACCTATCAAGGTGAAACATGCTTGTACTGTAGCCTACCTATGGGTCTTATGACCCCAATGATGCCCCATTTTTACTGCTACAAATGTACATGCTTCTCCTTCTTCATACGATACTCCCCACCAGATCAGCCTGCCTATTCCGAACGTTTGTTCTGTTCTTACAATGGCAGAAGTAGCAGGGCTAGTCGTTGGAGGCGCTGGTCTTTTGACCTTGTTCTCAACTTGCTTGGAATTGGCCGAACAGATCCAAAGCGCCCGAAGCGTGGGCGACGACTACGAAGAAGCATGCACGCAGCTTATGTTTCTAGCCGACCGGCTGAAGAGGTGTCAAAAGCAGCAGGCCTCTCGAGAACTCAATCCAACGCCTGAACACGAATCACAAAGGGTGCTTGTAGCCCGTGCCTTATGCCACATCGAAAAGCTCCTACAAAAGATCGAACCACTTCATAACAGATACGGAAACTTCACCAACGATGTACCATCGAGCCGCCTCTGTGCCATCGAAGCCGTTGGCACTAGCCTTGAACAAACGAGGCAGACATTGAGTCACACGTCTTCCCAGAGGCAGCGAAGACTACCTCTGCAAAATAAGATATCATGGGCTTTGCACAACAAGAAGCTTCTGACGGATTGCATCGAGCGTATTGGCTTCTTTGTGGCAGAACTGGAGAAGCTTTTCGAAGATAGAGATCTCGAGGGTGGACAATCCGTTTCTGGTACCACAGGCGGTGGGATGCAAGGTCAACTGGACACCTCTGGAGAAGACACCAGTCATTCGGACACTGTCAACCTAGATGGGACTTTGCAACCACGACTGATATCGAATCTCGATGGCCATGTCTTCCACAACAACAAGATCGGCGGCAGGGCTCGTGTAGCCCAAGGTGACCTTGGATGGAATCTTCCTCGCAACACGAGAAGAAACTTGTACGCTGGGAATACCATGACAGGCGAGGCAAAGGTACTCCAAGGTAATGTGTTGGGCGTCGACCTTGATGCTTTTTGGAACGGCTGATATTGTATGCTTGGTCGTGAAATTTAGCCTTCCCAGATCTGAACGGTAGATCGATGGCCCAGGGCGAATCCGTCTAAAGCTTCACGTGGCAGCCCTCTGTTATCGAAACAACAAGAGTCATCGTTTGCTTTTCGACGCCTGTTAGCTCCACCTTCTCGCCTGGCGGCAGGCTCATATTTGGAAACCTTTGTAGCAGCCTGACCACGGTGTACGCTGCCTCGTAAAGGCCGAAATCCATGCCTAGGCACATTCTCGGGCCGCCATTGAAGGGAAGAAAGCCCCATTTCGCATTCACGGGGTCATCATTTAAGGCCATAGGCTCCTCCCACCGCTCAGGCCGGAACAATTCGGCGTCCATGCCATAAAAGTCTGGTCTTCGGTGCATGGCGTAGACACTATACGCCACCGCGGCACCTTTGGGAACGAAAACGGGTTTATCCAGATTTGGACCGCCACCGACGGGAAGTAGTGTATCTCGTACAGCTTCGCGCGAGTTGACTGGGACAGAGGGGTAGAGGCGTAACGCTACAGGTGTCAGAATGTTGAATCACCAAGTCCATTGGGACTTACTCTCGTTGAGAACGTGATGCAGGTACTTGATTGCTTTCAAGTCAGAGCGCGACAGATCGCTTCTGCCACCTACCGTTTCTGCGATTTCACTTCTGAGTTTGTCTAGACAGCGAGGGTGCCTCATCAGCAAGAATCTATGTAAGCATTAGAGAAGTCCCACACTAGATAATTGTATACTAACATGGTCCAAGAGATGAGACAAGCTGTTGTGTCTCGTCCAGCGACAAGAATGTTGATGATCTGGCTTCGGAGAGCAGTCCTATCGGAGGTGTTCTCGGAGAGAAAGTCAAGGAAAACATATCGTCCTTGCTTATCATCGGCGTCTGGACCACGATCCAAATTTTTGTCAATAATTTGGTCAGCAAAGCGGTGCACGGCATTGCATGCGTCGCGAAATTTGCGTCCGCCTACAAGCCAGTACAGATCTTGTAACCTCATACGCTTCGCAACGTAGTCCTGGGCTGTGTTGAAGGCAGTAGCGAAGTTGAGCTTGCTACCATCATCGGCCTGGCTAAGTGAGTTAACCGACTCTCCAAACAAGAACGATGTGGTGACATCCAAAGTGAGTTTGAAGAAGTATGGCTGTAGGTCCACGAGGCCAGACTCTGGAAGGGCGGCGATGAGAGTATCAACAGACTCATGGAACACCGCCAGATCCTCGTACTGCTTATAAGCAAATTGGGGTCTCAACAGCTCACGGGAGCGTTTCCAGTCATTTCCCTCTTGAGTGAATATACCATCCCCGAAGAAAGGGTGCATAACCCGGTGTCTCGATCCCATAGACCAATCCTGGAAATGGGAGCTCAATATGGTTTCCAGATTCCGCGGCTCAATAGTCCCGAACGCCTGTGTGCCGAGGAAAACCTGCTCAAGTGTAGTGCCCCACAGTCGGAAGTGGAACAAGAAGAGCTCCATGAGACGTGATTCACTGTTCGCCCGAAATATTTGCTCCAGGCGATCCAGGCCGAAGGGTCTCTGATTGAGCAGGCGTGGTGGTGGTTGGCAGCCATGCAGTGCTGCTCGTTGCGATTTAGCCTATTGACATGTGTTAGGTCAGGTGAGTCCTCCCGAGAGTCAGTCGCACACGTACTTCATGCTCTCGGAACCACGTCAAGATTTGAAGCGCTATGGCAAAGGCTCCAAAGCCCAAGGCAAGCGTCAAGAGGAGCATGAAATTAGCTTGATCGAGCTCTCATACCAGAGTCACGCAAGCATTGAGATTGTGTAGATCTAGTCAGATTCTAGGACAGATGAACATCAGATGGACAGATAACAGAGCTCTGTCGGCGGGCCAGAAGTACACGAACTTGTTCGGACCTGATTCAGAAGAAGCGACGATACCCCTGCAGGAGCTTCCTAGCACTGCTGGCGGCTAGCTTGGGTGTATGCGGCTATGGCTGACCTACGATTGGGCGGCCAATTTAGACTGTCGGGGAAGGGGGTCCTGCCGAAACCCAAGACGAACCACTCGGGTGCACCTGTGCTATAACGACGCTGCAACTTTCCCTGTCTCAACTGCGAGCTGCAGAGTGCGACTCTTGATGTCAAATGCGGCGCGTCCTGGCAGGCACAAGTCCCAGATAGAGGCCCTCCGCCATGACTGCCGGAGGCAAGCCGTCGCCTTGGCGCCTAAGAACACGTTACAGCACTAATGGCCTGTGTTGAGGTCTCGCGTCCATCCGCGCTTTTCTGCTTATTGTTTCTGCAGCTCGCACGCTCGAGTGCCAACGTATCTCAGCTCACTTTACAGGCGTTATGGATTCGGTATGCCGCTGACAGTTTTATTTGAATCGCCTGAACTGCAAGCTGGGTCCCCAATAGAGTAAGATTCGATCGAGCCCTGTCTAACGGGATAGAGCTTCGCTTACGTTGTGGCAGCATCGTAGCCGTACGCAATCTGTTCGACGTTGTCACGCCACCCATAGATTCATGGGATTGGTTGCCTCGTCTCATCCGGCAGGAGACCTGGCAATGTCGGATCCTGCTCTACGATTACAATCCCGACTCTTTGCTCGACATTGGGACAAGTGGCGATGAATGCTTGCGTTCCGAAGCCGATGCGCTCTTGAAAGACCTGCTGCTCTATAGAAGGCTGGAAGCGGAGTCAAAAAGGCCTCTGGTCTTCATCTGCCATGGCTTCGGCGGCCTCATCGTCAAAAGTGCCCTCGTACGCTCCGGAGTTGTGAAAGAGGCCTCGGCTTGGTGTCGGTCGATATTTTTGTCCACTTATGCAGTGTTGTTCGTATCGACGCCGCATTTGGGCATCTCCAGAAGTGCCCTGGAGATCCTATCGCCATATGCAGCCGGACCTATCAACCAGTTCGCAATTGCCCTACTATACGAATCCACCCGAGTCAGAGAGCCGCCAGACTCCAGCATGCTGTCGGATCTTCATTTGCAATTTCGGCCGCTCGCTGATTCTGTATTAGTCTTCAATTACTGGGAGCTCCAAGATACGCACATCGGTGACATGAGCGCCCTACTCGTGGAAAAGCATTCTGCTGCCCCAACGCTGGAGGGGAGCGAGAGCTACGGTCTTGCCGCTGCGCACCGAGATCTCCTCAGCTTTAACGACAAGACCAATCAGGGCACAGAACATATATGGTCTGTTCTGAAGTCGTGTGTGTCCTCGGCCGCCTCGTCAATACAAGCACGGTGGCGATCTGACCCGTTCCTGAACCAAGACTCCCATCTAGACGCCCTGAGCCCACCGGAACCGGAGCATGGCCACAATTTTCAGCGCAATATCATCACTGGAGGGCGAACACACTTCGGTGACAACATAACTAACAACTACATTGTCAACAGAAACGGGCACCACAGATCTGACCCTGGAGACGGCAATCCGCAGGAAAGCGCAACTCAGAAAGCTTACAAGTTCTCAAAACGCTCGTGTCCAAGATTCACCGGCCGTCAGCTACAACTAAGGCTGCTGCAAAGAGCATTTGCCGACCCCAGTGCGGTATCCGGTCGCGAAGGACCCAGAATCGCTGTTATACATGGTGTCTCGGGTTCGGGAAAAACTCAGTTTTGCCTGAAGTACGCCGAGCAAGCCCGTCACGAGTGAGCCACTTCCTTATTGTATATTACCAATATTAACCAGGCTATATAGCTACTGGGACGTCTTCTTCATCGACGCCAGCTCCAAAGCAAATGCAGAAGCGAGATATAGCATACTCGGTCAAGAGCATGGCAGGGGTGCAACGTTCGAAGCCGGCAAATTCTGGCTGTATGAGCGGACGAAGCCCTGGCTGCTCATTCTGGATAACGCAGATGACCCCGATCTAGGAATCGCAGACCTCATTCCTGATAGTGCCTACGGGGATGTTTTGATCACGACCCGGAACCGAAAGGTTGTGGACACGTTTCCGCAGGGGTTTGCCTTGCAGCTTCGAGGGATGGATCCGGAAGATGCGGTGGAGCTTCTGCTCAAGACTGCGGATCTGCCACCACAGCGGCAAGATCGGCCAACGGCGAAAATTTTAGCCACTGAACTCCGATACCTGGCCCTTGCTATCAACTTGGCCGGTAATAGCATCCGGCAGCATTGCCGGACTCTCAAGGAGTATCTTGCACATTACTTGAACGAACGACATGTCGTTGCGGTCTCTTCAGACGATGCCGATGAACTCGAAAAGGAGGAAGCTGTCGTATTCGCAAACTGGAACATGACTTTCGATCGGATAAAGATTGATCGTGCCAAAGCCGCTGAAGATGCCAGAATTCTCTTGTCCATCTTCGTGCACCTACACTTTGAATCCATCAGTCGGGAAATCTTCCGGGCAGCATGGCTCAGCCCGGAATCGGTCAATCAGGACGTGCCTGACCTCTTGAAGCTGAAACCAATAAAGTCCAGGCCTACAGAATCGTGGGGCCTGACAGAGCGTCGATTATCCAAGGCAATCAACGTCCTCCATGACTACTCAATCATTGAATACGACACAGAAAGAGAGACTTGCATGATACATCCACTAATTCACAAGTGGGCCAAGACGCGTCTGACCGCTCAAGCTGGTACTAATGCTCTAGAACAGAAGACTCAAGGTACGATCAAAGCACCCGAGGGTGATATCGACTGGCTGAGCTACACCGTGGAGCTCCTCTCTCGAGGTATATCGTCGCACCTAGATACTTCAGGGAGTAGATTTCGCCGCTCTATTCTACCACACATCAATTTCTGCGTCTCGATTCTCGAAAGGTCCAGATCTCTGTATCCGAAAAATCGTCATGAGGCGATCCATTTACAAAGATTTGCTCTGCTTTATGCAGAATCTGGACATTGGAAGCAAGCGAGAGACCTTCAGCGCCGAGTCGTCGATTTCTGTTGCAGTGGACTAGGTCAAAATCACGAAGCTAGCCTAGAAGCTCAACGAATACTATCTCAGATCTTATGGAACTCGTTCAAAATTGAGGAAACCATAAAGCTCCAGGGTCGACTGATCCAGGCGCGAACGCTCTCGCGGAAACGCTTGTCCGACTGGTTCCCGATATGGCCACCAATGCACCTCGAATATTGCATTGCCCTCAACGATATCACGCAAAGTCTGTGGCTAGCAGGCGAGCTTGGTATATCCGAGTACACGGGACAACGAGCATACGCCGGTCTGAAGGCCAAGCTTGGCTCCATCGACCCCCTGACACTGAGTGCGATGCTAAATCTGGCACGCACATTGCATCACTTGGGTCAGCTAGCACGAGCTCAGCAGCTCTTAGTCGCAGTTATGAGAAAGCGTCAAAAGTTCTTTGGGCCCAACCATCCAGACACCCTCATGGCAGAAAATGAATTTGGTATGACCTGCTTGGCCAGCAAGGATTTTGTACAGGCAGAGACGGTTGTGACCAGTGTGTACGAGAGTTCCCAACGCGGGCCGGGCTGTCGAACTCCTTGAATCTATTTTACCGATAGTCAAGCGCACGCTTGGAGACGACCACGTTGGCATGCACATGACCAAGGGCAACCTTGCCCGGGCGTACGCTAGGTCTCGGCAACTAGACAAAGCAATGGCGGTCCTTGACGAGATGTTTGAAAGAATTGGTCCTAAGCATCCAAACTGGAGTGAGGTAATGACAGGGAGGGCAGAAGTTGAGATCAAGCTCGGTCAATTGGCAGAAGCGTCTAGGACTTGTCGTGAGGTCCTGCAGCAAATGGACTTGGAAGAGCAGCCGAAGCTTCCTCGAGCACTCCGGCTGGTTGGGCCGAAGAACCCTGTACGAGCTGCTGATCTGCAGCGCGCGAAGGTCCTCAAACTTTTGAATGAGGTCTCAAAAGCCCGTTCAGTAGCATTCTAGTTGGCTCGTCCAAAAGATTAGCAAACCATGAACATCTGGGTCTCGGTGCATGAAGCCAGAGCTGTAGCAAATATGATAAATTTTGACAACCTTGGAAGTTTCGTCGTCCATTACCTTCGGACCAACTATTGTATCGAGACCAGAGCAGTCAGGAGATCTAGCTGGGTTGCGTAAGCGAGTCCAAGTGCTCAGACTACAAATGACCAGTATGCCAAAACTTCTTAGCCAGATAATCTGAAAAGAATTGTAGGTTGCGTAGTAGTAGACGTCGTCATTAGAGCTGGGAGCGGGGCGGAGCGGAATTCCACACACCTGTACTGTGGCGCAGAGCGGCCTCTGACGCAGGCTGCGAAGCACGACAAGTTGCAACATTCTCGGCTGAGTCTCTCCCCCTGCAGTTGGTGACATCCGGCTCGTTGACTGGATCCGCCTACTGCGCTGCGTTTTTGGGCTTCATGGCTGTCTCTCCGACATTGAGAACAAGACTGCCGAGCATCCACGCACAGAAGGCAGCATGGCGGAGTCGGACTCGAAGGAAGCCGCAGCAGAAAGTACAGACGTTCTGCGACTTGTGAATAGCGCGGAGACGGAGCTCGATCTCCTGGGTCTGTCCAAAGACGTCGATGAGCGCCTTCTTGATGCCAGTCTCGGAAGGTACCAGGACTACTTGGACCAACTAGACGCTGCGAAATTCCATCTTGACCATCTTTTAACGAGCACGGCCGAAACGCTGAACGAACTGTCCGAGATCTCTGCCGCTTTTCGTACGATCGACTCCCAGACCCAAGCTTTTCAGAAACAGACGGCCAATGTGCTCGAGGAACAGAAGAGGAACGCGGCCAATGCGGAAGCAATTGCCGAGAACTTGAGATACTACGAACCTCTCGAACGCATTACGAGGCGCCTCAACGCCCCAGGTGCAGGTAGTCTTGCCAGATCAAAAGACTTCTCGGAGATGCTGAAAACGCTGGATGAATGCATAGACTACATGCAGACTCATACAGAGCACAAGGAAGCAGAGTCATATCGGTCGAGATACCGGCTGCTTCTTACCCGAGCATTGACACTCGTTCGGAATGCCTTCATGTCCAGTGTCAGGGAAACAACTACAGAAGTCGCTGGTCGAATAGCAGCAAAACAATTAAACGACACCACTCAGTCTGCGCTGCTATATGCGAAATTCAGGGTTGGTGCGGAGGAAATGAAGGAATTAGGTCTCGAAATCCAGAAACGTGCCAACCCACCGGCGGATGCGCAGCCCGGCGAGGAGGGAGAGTACCAGTCTCTGATGAATGAGTTGCACCAGTCTTTTGCGGCATGTCGAGCGAGACTCCTCTTGCCTCTCATTCAGAAGCACCTTGCCGAAATGGCACAGGCACCCGGATCGAATGACTTGGTCCAATTTGCCCGGTCCTCCATCAGTTATATTCGAGGAATCTGCCTGGACGAATTTGAGCTATGGCAGGAATGGTTCCACGGCCAACGAGGCGTCTATGACTTCCTGGAATCTTTGTGCGAACCAATGTACGATTATCTACGTCCACGTATTGTCCACGAGGCGCGCATGTCGAAGTTGTGCTCCCTCGTCAGTCTGCTCCAGACACGTTATATGCAGGAGGAGGACGAAGACGGTCCACCGGATCCTACTCAGCTTGACTTCGGCCTCCTAGTCCAGCAAGCGCTGGAAGACACCCAGACAAGGCTTCTTTTCCGCGCCCAAGCCATTCTCAGAACCGAGATCGAGAGCTACAGACCAACTCCGCAGGATCTGGACTATCCTCGGCAATCATCGAGACCAGCTACAGCTGCCTCTGGACCCGCCCCTCTGTCTGGAAAGCGAGGCAAGGCCCCTGCGAGCGAGACTTTGGACGTTGAGTCTGACGACGAGAACAATGTTCTGCCCTTCTCCTTCAGTACGACCAACTCGCAAACACTACAAAATTCGTATCCGACGCTGCCCCGAGCTCTGTCGCTCCTCTCCCGCATCTATCGTCTAGTAAACAGTACCATTTTTGACGATCTCGCACATCAGATCGTGCATTCTACGACAGCCTCGCTGCTTCACGCATCAAGTTTGATCAGCACCAAATCATCCCCGGCTGACGGCCAACTCTTCCTGCTCCGGCATCTTCTCTTGCTGAAGTCGCAAATAGTAGCCTTCGATATCGAGTTCGTCACCCCAGACGTATCCTTCGACTTCTCAAACATTACATCCACATTCTACGAACTACGTGAGCGTGGCGGCCTCTTCAACGCCGGCAACTGGCTCAGGCTCTTCACGACCGGCGGCCTCTTACCCCGCGTCGTAGAGAACATGCTAGACGCCAAAGTCGAGCTCGACGGCCGCCTGAGGAATGTGATCAACGAATTCACCGCCGGCTTCGCGTCGGACATGACGAGCCATCTGCCAAAAGACGGGCTGGGCAAGGGCAAGCTCGAGGATGCCGTCGCCGCCACAAGAGAAAAAGTGCAGAAAGAAACGCCCATCCTGCGGGCCAAGCTCGAGCAGTACCTCACGGACCCGCGAACACGCGAGACCCTGGTCGCCGCTGTTGAAGATCAGGTCGTGCAGATCTATGAGATCTTTTTCGACAAATATTCTGCTGGCAAGAAAGGTGCGAATGGCGTCGCTTCCGGCAAGGGTATTTCCCGCAAGGGCAAGAGCCCAGAGGAGATGGTCTGGGACTCGGAGACGTTTGCCGAGTGGTGTGAGGGCGTCTTCGACGTGGCCCTGCCGCAGCATGTCGACGAGGAGGATGATGATGATTATGGCGGGAGCGTGAAGAGCATGAGCGTCCGGGGCAGTGGTAGCTCGTGAAAGCGCACGAGCATGAATCATGACATGATGGACCTTCTTCTTTATTCCGGCTCAGTGTAGACCTTCTCCTGCTGACAAGTACTGCTTCCCATCTCCCCGTGCTCCGTCTGGACTCGCGCGTCCTTCTCACCACCCTCCATCTTCCGCCCCCAGTTCACCTTCCCCCTCCCCTGCCCACTATGCAGCTTCCGCGCCCTCTCCACCCAAATCTCCGCACTCCTCTTCAAGCCGCCGCTCCTCGCGCATTCCCTCTCGATAAGCTCGTGCGCCTTCCGCCGCCCCCACTCCTTCCCTGAAGTCTCTACGTCAACCCCATTATCCCACCCACCGAGATTCACAACCGCGATGTTCCGCGTGCTCGGAATCCGCATCAAAGTGCACGTCGTCTGCACGCCCAACTCGCGCGCCAGCTGCACCACCTTCTTCGTCAGGCACACGTACATGCTCTTGTCGTCGGCGCCGCTGCGCTCCTTCAGTCTTTTTACTCTTAGGGCCTTGAGGTCGCCTTGCTGGCTTTGCTGCTGCTGCTGGTCCTCGATGTCGTCGCCGTTCTGTGTCTTAGTGTTTCCTGCTACGGGACCCAGGCGCACTTCGTTGGGGTTGTATCTGTGTTTCTCGCCGCTGAAGGCGTGGCTGCAGCAGGGAATGTTGAGGAAGGGGAGGGGGGAGGCTGGGGAGCTCAGGGCGGCTAGGAGGGGCGTCCAGGTTGTGAGCTCGTCGGCGTGGTTGGAGATGATGAAGGTGCCTGGCTCGAAGATGCCGTCGTGGACTCTCATGCCCGTGTCGCGTAGCACCCATCCGCTGGGGGAGTGTCCGTCTGCTTCCGCTTCCAGCTCGTCGAGGAACGGCCGGGGCACAATGACCCTTTCCTCCACGGTTGCAGGGGTATGATCGGTGCCTTCTAAGCCCAGGGCACCCCAAGTCTTTCTCCTCCGCGCATCCACGCCTCGTCCGCTCCAACCTTCCCGATTCAGAATCCATACCAGCAGTCCATTCCCACATGCGATATCCACGAATCCCTTCCATCTCTCACTTTGAGCAGTGCCGTACATCTTCTGCCACAGGCATAGTAGGAATGCGGCGATAGCAAGATCCTCAAAGACATGCTTCTCTGGCGGCGTGCTTTCGACCCAGGAGGCGATGAGATGCGGTGCGTAAGCGGTCTTGAGGCGTGCGTAAGTGTCCTGGACGGTATGCTGCGGGAGAAGGGTATCTTTGATGGCGGTGGGGCGGAGGTCAAGGTCGAGGCCAAGGTCCCTGTCCGAGCCAGTGGCTGTTGAATCAGATGCCGGGACAAATGCTGAGCTATGTGCTTGTGAATCGTAGCGCACCAGCCTCATAAAAGTGCTTCCAAGCGCCAACAGCGTCCGATGAAGTCGCTGCGGCACTTCCGGCCCCACACCTTTCTGCTCTGAATCAAAAGGCACCCACCACACGCTCACCGCTGCCTCCTCGCAGCCACCTGCTCCCCCCGGCGCAAATACATATGCGAGAGCCCGCACCTTCGGATGATACCATGGCATATCGCCCTCACTAGCCGCATGCGGCACATACACCACCACCTCAGCACCACCCTCCAGTCTCTCGTAGAAGAAACAAGTCTGCTCTAGTGCCCGATCCAGATTCTGGTTTCGCGGGATCAATCGCCGCACGACTGTCCTGTGTGGTTGCACGCCATTTACAGCTGGCACTGGTGTGTACGAGGGTACGGCACCGTCCCCGCCTGATAGGCTAGATGCATCGGCTGCATGAAGGAGCGCCTCCTCCTGCTGCGCCCGCGTCTTCAGCTGGCTGGCGGAGTCAGAGACGATGTCGGCGCGGAAGAGGTGGGAGGAGTTGAGGTTTGGATTGGCGAGGAGGAGGTTGGTGACTTCTTGGAATTTGGCGGCGGTCAAGGTAGTCGGGGGTGCAATGTGTTGGTAGGATGAGTGGGTGCGCCAGTGCCAATCTGGAGTGGAGAGGGAGTCTCTCATTGGGCCGAGTGCATCTGCGTATGGAAGAGCGGGCGTCTCGTGTACTTGGCAATGATTTGACCAATTAATAAAGCTCCGGAGGCGGCGTGCTCACATTCGAACTGCCAAGAGCATGCGCCTTGTGTTGCAGATTGAAACGTGGTTTGCCTTACTGCGCATGAGTCTATGCTTTTGATAGGACTATCTATGAGTCGTCGAAGAAAGAGTCAAAAACTAGAACAAGCTGTGGATTCGGAGAGTTTTGCCAAGCGGCGCCGCGTCGATGAGGCAGTTGGAGACTGGTTGCCTTGTAAGGCAATAGTGCCAGCGCTCGCCATCAGGTTCTGATGCAAATCGAAGCAACATAAAAGTAATAAGGTCTACCACAGGCTGTGGCTCGAACAACATAGCGATATTCCACTGCTAACTGGCGAGAAGTGCGGAAAGTTGGCATTGTCAAGACTCAAGAATAGGAATATAGAATACGGACCTACGTTTGTTGTGGCCAAGGAATGCGGGCGCACAAAGCAGTATAAGTACGCGCATTTCATCAAGAAAAATCACATAGCAAGACCCCTACATTGGATGTCTACGCAGGGGTCGAAGACCGCACGAAAACCAAAAAGACAATTTGTCTTTTACCCTCAGAACCCACTCCCCCAGAGCCTACACGCCCACAGAAAGCCCACACAACATCACCCCCAGATCCACAACCCCACGAACGTCTGATTAGTAGCGTTGAGGGTGTTATTTCCACTAGACTTGACCGAAGCCATCGACTAGCAACCCAGCGCCAGGATCTCTACCAAGTTATCCTAACTAAGCCCCAACCTCCGTCCACGGGATATACAACTGAAGCAAAGGACAGTCATCCTGTGGTAGAGTGCGCCGAAAATCAATTCAAGCCTAGAGTCAGCCCGTCTTTTTCGATGCCAGTTGTTGGGGAGATTTCTGGCTTTGTGATATTTATCAAGTCAAACGGTTGGTTGCCTGGGTGCTGCTGAGATGTCTACTGCGCCAAGGGGGCCAGGCAGGCAGGCAGTGTAGTGACTTGCTCGCGCGGAGCATTTGAAGCTAGCTACACTCGCTTTTCCCCTGGTGCTGCCTAATAGTTCGAGTCTGGCCAAGCTCAAGGTACTATCAAAGTGATGTTTACTTACTTCACCAACATACTGCTGCTTCTTGGCTTTTGCCTATTCTGATTGTATAGAAGTATCGTTCTCGGCAAGCCTACAGCCGCTGCAAGAGTGGTATTGAAGCTCTGTGACACCCTGCAGACCCCTGAAACGCCCAAGATACCGGATCGGAGGTCCTTATTGGGACGTGTGCCGTAATCACTCGAGGCCTACACCCACTTGGCCATTCGCCAATTGCCCTTCTGGTGGGATCCATCAGAAGCCGCCGCAACCGCCGGTAAGTCTCTTGCCAATCGAAGCTGTCGAGTGAGGGACAAAGGTCATGCACAGGCGATTGGCTACAAGTACTTACTATTGGTTGAAACGAATTGTCACCGTTAGCTGGCAATGAATGAGTGCGCTCTACACCTCTCCACAGGCTAGAACACGTTAGCTGATACTGTGTCATCATGATGATGAAGTCGAATCGTGTCCGTGCAATAACGAGACTCGGTGCAAGGCACATTCGACTTTCGAGGACTACCAGTGTTGACTAGTGGCTGTTCGAGTTCACATTGGCAGCTCGTATCCTAATAGCAAACAGACGACAATGGACCTGGAAATGACGACGATCTCGAGGATCAAAGTAAGTGCGAGAGTATCCAAAAGTCATTTGCCATCTACATGTCCGACTGAGCGATCAGCAATGGTCCTAGTTGGATGAAGTAGCTTGAACATGTTTATCTTTGGTCGCGATCGTCAGAATACTGCTCCCGTGTTCGATGTCAAGCTTCTCACATTCGAACTTCATATTAGGAGCTGTAGGGGAAACACCCATGACAGCCTTGACAGCTAGGCATGAAATGTCGCCCTGTGCTCCAAGCACAGGACTACACACTCTATCATCTTTTGCGTGACAATTACCATGAGACACCTTTGAGCGTAGATTCCGACTGTACAGGGGCTCAGTATCTTTCCAAGCGGTGTTAAGTCCAGCCCTGTTACATTGACAGTGTTGAAGCTCTCCTCACACCAGCTATAGACTGATTGAATGCTTCAGCCAACGTGTATTAGATCGAAGTAAGCTTCATAGTAGAACAATGGGTATAACCAACTACGATGGAAACAAGATGTTAGTCGGATGGAGCAAAGCAGTTCATGCGTGACCAACGCAGCATGTTTGGTCGCGAGACCTACTCCCGAGTCCTAAGTACCTGTAATGATTGAAGAGGTCATAGCAAGAAGGTCGTACCCGAAGTTAAGGCAGAGCAAATGCTCCGAGAGTAATTTCAATAGTCTATAGACTGACGGGGTGGTATGATGTCCATTTCGAAGCTCCGCTCCTCAGAGCACTGCAACACACGTCGAACAGGTCGTACAAATATCAATCTCGCTGTGAGACCGGCAAAAGCATGGACTTCCCGGTGCGGGAATCAGACCATTCGAAGGCCCCATTAGTAACTCGAAACGCTGCGTTTCCTTTCTTCCGGCGCCTAACGCAGAGCATGCAAGGAGGCTGAGCTTCGCAGTTTCGAGGTCTAGGCATCTGGGAGAGAATACAGGAGATGGCGAAAGGTAGAGGCGCACGAGAACCTTGGAAATGCCTCTAGGTAGCCCTCCCTTGCATGGTTCGCGCGGAGGCTGAGGCAAGCGCGAAACAGAATGCGCTTCTGGGGTTTCTTCGCTTGTGAAGGTGCCAGGGCTGCTACAGTAGAGATTTTGTAGGCTCTCTTTTCGGTAGAGAGTCGGCACAATTAACAGGATGATCTATGCGGAGAGTGCGCATTACTGAGGTTCAGTGGTCTGCTTTAACAAACAGGAAAGGAGGATTCCCAGCCGCGGGACAGCGCTAGGAGCACTCAGCCACAATTGCTGATTAGGTGGCACGGGTCCACCATACACTATTAGATACACCAAAGAACCGGACCTTTGGTCCAAGGCCAAAGTTCCTGCCAATCACCATCAGGTCCATCGCTTGGCCTAGAAATTGGTCAAACGGCTTACGGAGGTGTTGACCATCCTTCTGTTCATCTCTTCATCAATGAGCAATGCTGCCGGTCATCGTTGGGATCATATGCTAGTTTAATAAATCCACGACTGCGCCTAGCGTCGAGTGTCGAGTGCCTTCGTGCCAAAGTCGCGACAGCGGTATGTGTATAAAGACGTGCTGCAGCCTCATCTGGTCTTCGATCAAGGCATACCTTCTAACTTGCAACAATGACAGGTCAAGATAATGTAACAACACCCCGCCGACGTGGTAACATGCTATGCGAAGCATGCAAAGCAGCAGTGTTCAGTCAAAGGATATCGGCCCCTGGGACGTGGATTGGGCCCGCGCCGGAGCTTTTCCGAGATCCGGCAGGAGGCGACGCTTGGAGAGGCGCTCACCACACTGACGATGATTCGTTTTCCGCGGCAGTGGAGTCGGGTTGTTATATCTGCTATACTATCCTTGAGGCTTGTCCGGTGGAACTTCGCCAATATGCCGCCTCTTTCCGGACGTTCTACGAGCTTCGAGCTGACGACGATGACCACTACTCGATGGACTTCACTATCGAGATGCCTCAGAGAAGCTCTCCAATGGTCCCCGCTCAAGTGATTGAGTGCTACGGAACTTTCAAAATCATTCCGGAACAAGGTTCGTAACTGAAAGCTGAGTCCGGAGTCGCAGCTGACGCGAGTGTCCAGAGATCCCAAGCACTGGCATGCACTTATCCTTAACTAAGAATACGTTCACTGGTCCGTGCAGACTTCAAGTACAAGACTGGCTGTCCGATTGCACCAAAGTCCACGACATCTGCAATGAAGACTGGGGCACAACCTCCGACTACCCTATACGACTTTTAAATGTTGGTCCTGAGATGGGTACCCAAGTCAGACTGCAACTGTTCGAGCACGGCGCCATTCGGCCCCGATACGTTACCATGAGCCATTGTTGGAATCACGGGCCTGCGCCTCAGCTCGTGAAGCTTACGACAGACAATCAACATCGACTGACCTCTGGATTTGCCATCGCCGATCTCCCAAAGAAGTTTCAGGATGCTGTCGCGATCGCCCGCTGGATGGACGTGAATTTCATCTGGATCGATGCCTTATGCATTATGCAAGACTCAAAAGATGATTGGCAACACCAGGCCAACAACGTAGGGGACATTTACGCTGGTTCTTATTGCAACATCGCAGCCACCAACGCTGATCAGGAGGTGGGTTGCTTCAGAAACAGACCTGTGGAGATCGTGGAACCCTACTTGGTCGATGATCCGAAGAAGGCGTCTCACAAGAACAGTCATGTCATTGGGTATGATGATTTCTGGTGTAACAGCTTGCTTGATTCGACCCTGCATACAAGGGCTTGGGTCTTACAGGAGCGCCTGCTAAGTCCGCGGACCATCCACTTTGGGAAAGAGCAGATGTTTTGGGAGTGTCGACAGCACAAAGCCTGTGAGGCTTATCCATTGGGCATTCCAACCCAGTTTTCGAATGAGAGGACCCGGGATTGGAGAGCAGGTGTACAGATGTTCAATCCCGAGAGCCGAACGCCTGGTGTCATCAAGACGTCGATCCTAGCCGCAGTTTCAGCCTGGTTTTCCGGTTGGCTACGTCCATCAAAGCCCACGCCGCACGTCATCCCTTGTCAAGAGGCCTACGAATTCTGGAGCAGAACCGTCGAGCGCTATATGGAATGTGGCCTGACATTTCAATCCGACAAACTTGTCGCCATTGCAGGCCTGGCCAAGAAGGTTTGCGAGACCACTGGGGAGCGCTATCTGGCTGGGCTCTGGGACAATGTGCAGCTACCACAGAGTCTGCTGTGGTACGTGCCCGTCCGAGAGCAAGCAGGCGGCAGCCCGTCCAAAAGGGCTCCAAGTCTCGGCTCCCCGGATTACCGAGCGCCTTCGTGGTCGTGGGCTTCCATCGATGCCAAGATTACCTGGGATTGGCCTGCTCCATGTGGTAGAGTGCTGATCACTATTCTCGAGACCAACATCGAGCGAGAACGTGGCAGCGGCACCAGCGCGATTACCTCTGCAAGGATGGACATCAAAGGAATACTGATCAGCGCAAAGCTCCAGATCTCGCACAACGATGCTGGTGAAAGATCGGAAGAGGATGGGAGTTACATCATGACTTTTCCTGGCAAGGCATCAGAAACAAATGACAGTGGTAGTACGCGAACGGCACGACAAATTGAGCCAATGGTCTTCCTCGATATATCCTTGTCTTCGACTGAAGCAGACGAATTCTTCTTTCTACCGGTATGTACGGATTGGCGGAGTCGTGCGGGATTGAGCATTGCGGCTGTTGCAGGCTTGCTATTAAAGCGGGCAAGATGTGGAAAAGAGAACATGTACGAAAGAATAGGGGTCGTTGGCATGAGTGCAGGTGAAGCTCAAATGGCCACAGGAGGCTCCGCCCTGCTCGAACGCACATTTGATGGTATGCATTTTACGGAATTGGACTCCATCACAATTATCTAAGTCATGCTGGCGTCAAAAGGAATGGCGACTGATCGTGCTCTGGGATATCTTGGGACTTTCTTGTAGATAAATTTTGGCCAAGTCTGACCCAGGCTTCCGGCTGAGAACATGACCCTGATCAACACACTGCATGGGCTGTGTAGCTTCTGCAACAACTTTGTGCAGAGGCGCTGTTTCCGACGACGCAACCGTTTCCACTGCGGAGCGTGTCATCGGATCGACCTCCTTGTGCAACCCGACGTGCGCTTCTACTTGTGGCGCTGCTCGCGTCGAACAGCTTTCCCTAAGGCTGACGGTCGCCGGCTCCGAATCATCCAATCATTCGTGCCTTAGGTCAAGGAACTTGTTCAGTATTCGCTCGACCGCATAAGACTCAAATCCAATCTCATGTTCGCGATCGGCCTGTTGCCGTTGGATTAACTCCGCTGGTACGTGTCGGCTACGTGTTAGTTTGCATGAGCACATCCCTGATCGCGCAGTGCTCCAAGCAGTTTTGTATGTGGATCTCCACAACCTTTGCGATGGGGCTGCTCCCGGTTTGCCTCGGTAGCCCCGAGCTTGAATGCACGTCCTTTCCTCTCAACCAGCCCACGAGCCTCACATCGCACTTTTCATCAGATATAGCAGCAGTACTCTACAGATCTTAATCAAGCCACTGCAATCCAACACAGCGGACTGCCGTCCTGCGAGTGACGCGCTCAACGAAGCAGCCCGAGAGTCAGCAGTTGATGGCAGTACTGGTGCACAGTTAGAGCACGCGCCCAGCGCTGCTCCAAGGGCCCGATCGACGCTCAAGAGCGAAGCTGGAGCCATGCTCGATCTTGGGCGCATCATGCTCTGGCGAACCGTTGTGTTGTGGTTGGTCGAATTCTTGTGGCGCTGAGCATCGCCACATAGTGGGCACTAATAAGACCCAATAAACAACCAGGAGAGTCGAGGACTTTTGCATGGCTGATAAGCATCATGGTGTTCATGCGCAAGGGGAATGGTCCAAGAGCTACAGCACCAAAAATCCCTGATTAGCGCTTCTTGACAGCGGCTAAAAGAGGAGATAACTACTGAAAGGCGCGATCTCTGGCTCGACCTTTGGAATAGACCCAAAGGCCTACCAAAGTGCTCACCGTAGCGTCAAATCAAGCTATCTCGTTCACCATTGAGCTCCAGGACCCAAACAAGGACGCAACTATATGAGTAGTGTGCGCTGCCCCAAGGATCCTGTCCTTCCTACTCTGACCCCCAAGTTTGGGAGAAGTCCCAACTTGTCACTCTTGAGAGGCATGTTTTGCCGAGCGCGGACACAATCCACGGCCGACTCTTGGTCCGCCATTCCGGCCTTACCGAAGCAGCACATCTTGTTGCAATGATACCCGTCACCGGACAGGTCCGAGCACGCCGCGAGTTGCTGCCCCTGACACCGTCTCTGCCCACCGGCTCTCGTGTCGTCAGCGTCGAAACCCCGCCTCAATGGCCAAGGAAACTACTTTCGCCGTAGGGGCGACTCCACATGCTTAGCAAGAGCAGGGCAGCCAATGCCGACTCGGACTCTTGGGGCAAGGAAGCGCTGTATGCTTGTCGTATGGTATACGGTTTACTGCTTGTGTCATTTGACCACCCATACGCGGCTCTGCTCACATCCCGGCGCACCCTATCCTTGCCCAGCAGCTCTACAGGAACCTTGCGGCACGAATCTTGGGCTTGAGACAACACCAGCACATGCTCTGTCTTCTGGCTCCCGTCCGCTTTCGAGGTGCGCTAGGGGCGAGTAGGTGTCGAAGTCATCCGCCAACTAGGTCTAATCGCTCTACGTGTCCGAGGATTCGATGACCATCACGGGTCACAATCTCACCAATATTGCTCCTACTCAACCGTGGCTTCCCATCTCCCCCCGGGATCTGGCCTAGTCGCTCCTACGACTTTAGCTCGTCTTAATCATGGGCATCTTCCGGAGTGTCACTGTTGGCCTTTGTTGCATTCTATTTTGTGTACCCGAGTATTTACAGAACAGCATCCCCCTACTTTTTGAGGCAGTGCAAACCATCTCAATATTCACTCACACAAGATCTACGATTCTGTGCATACGGTCCTACAAGCCTTGGGCACCAACACTGCTCAAAACATGTCTGAAAGCGTGCAGGCGACTATCGCCCATTTCGCCAGGCTGGAAGATGAATGGGTGCCCGGTAGGCGCTGAACTATCGTTTCATTATCTTGCAGCTGCTCATCCAGGCTTAGAGCTTGTTCGCAAAGTGCCAGCGGGCCATCAGTGCTGCATCTGCAACAAAATATACTCAACCCCCTTTTACGCCTTCCGCCACATCGAAGAGGTAGCATTTCCCGAAGCACATCGGTGTGCCTACTGCGAACACCATAACGGCTGTGCACGAAAAACCAATCTCAAGCTCCATTACCGACGCTATCACAAAGGAGACCCGATCGACTGCACAAAGTGTGGAGAGGTGCTTCATCGATCTGCTGAAGACGATTCCGTCACCTGCGGTTGCCATCTCAACTCCAACACGCCCTTTGTGTGTAACACTCCTGGCTGTGGCAGAGGCTTCAAAACCATGAACATGCTTGCTAGGCATCAACGAATAACTGGACACCGGGGCTGGATCAAGCTTTAGCCCATCTTTATTTGGCCCTGCCACGACTTTTCGATTTGCAATGAATGACCTTGTCACCGCAGGCTCGGTCTCAAGTACGTCAACCGACAAGGAGAGCTTCTTGGTCACTACCGACTGCAATGCCCGTCCGGCCTGGCTTGTAGCTTTTCTAGACAGATTCGCCGTAATGAACTGACTACCCGCAAGGGTTTGCTTACGATACCCACCAATTGAATAAAATTTGCATTCAAACTGTCAAATACTTCTCTCGCTTTCTATAGTGTGATCTCCGCGATTGAGCGGCTGACAGGTAATACGCTTATACTACTGATGCCAGGACTACACGACTTTGACAAAGGAGCGTGATACTCGAGGCTTGGGTTCTTGCGAGGTTTCGCATTGGGCGCTGACGAGGCCTACGAGCCCTCAATCATCGGAGATGGCTCAGTCAACTCCTACGACAGTATGTCACCCATCCGAGACATGTGCAGCCACCGGGACAGTCTCGCAGAGCATCAGCGGCGCGAGCGCTCATTCCCCTGAGGAAATGTCGATGCTGCGGCGGACCATGGCTCATCTCGTTTCTGAGGAGAGGCACACTAGCTAGGCGCACTCACTCATCGGTGGCGAGCGAGCTCTGACACTCTCGTTCACCGGTGCAAACAACAGAGACACCGCACTGGGGGGCCAAGTCTCGACTCGCTCCTAGTGGTACTATCGCTCGACGGCCGAAAGAACGCCTAGCCCAGGAAGCTGGGTGGGAGAGTGTCCAAATTCGTGCGGTTGCTTGCAACGGCGCGGCGTCTAGAGTTTGCGACAAGCCGATCTCGTATATCGGCGGTTGCAGGGATTATGCCTAGATATCAGGGAGGGCCACGGCACTTGACCGGCCTTGCATTCCGCGAGGGTACCGGAACGAGACACGACGACAACGATAGAAAAAAGCCAGGATAATTCTCACGCTGGCCAGATCTGCCCTGGGCATCAGACTGCGGTTGTCACAAATCTGCCCTGTCCTATAAGTCAACACACAGAGTTGCTCGACGCCTTCGATATCAAGTGCGTAGAGTGGTTTATTTGGTAGGTACCTGTTTCTCACTGAGGTGCCAAAACCCGCGTGGGAGATGTATAATCAACCCTAGTCGTATCCCTGTAAGTGCTACTAATATGCGATGCAACCGACAGTGTAGGGGTAGTGATAGGGTTGACGTTGAGCGAGGCCTTGGCTAAATTCTCCGCGATTCGGCCACAAGCGCTGGCGCGCCGCCTGCGATTGACCCAGACTTTCAAGCGGGAGTTTGGCGGGTCCAGTGCAGGCTCCACGCGGTAACATGGGCCCCGGGGGGGTCTGATGGACATTTAAAATGAGTACTCCGTACACATGGGGTACTGGTACGATACGGTACGGGAACTCCCCCGCGCATATGACCAACCACGACTCGTCTTTCCCATGTCATGGTTCAATTTTACACGGGTAATGATGGCCACATAACCAGTCAGCGTCGGACGTTGAACTTGGCGTCGACTTCAGCAACCTCTCTGAACGGAGAACGAGGAAGTTTGAGGTCGAAAGATGCATGCTGCTGGCTGCTGGCTGCAGGCTGCATGACCGTGGTCCAGCAGACAAGTGCAACTCGGAGGGTCACCCTATGCAGCCCTACCGCACCTACAGTTTGTAGTGGGACCGGCCGTGTACGTGATCAGGTACTTGTGGGCCTGCAACAGAGGCTGGAGAGCGGCGTGTCGGGTTTACGGTATTCTCAGCAGGTGTTTCCCGCCCAGCGCTGCAAATTTGCGTAAAATTTCTGCCAGTCCCAAGGATGAGTAGGATCCATCATGATGGGATCGAGGGGCGTGTCCAGCGGGTGCTTGGCGGAGAAACGTTGTTGCCGCACCGGCCTGGTTGCTGTTTAGCCGCCGTGATATGCCTATCACACTCCTAGCACATTTCAACCTCCTGCATGATCATGGCGCTTACCATGGTGTGCGGGCATTGGCCACGGAGTGTGGCAAATGGCGTTGCCCGAGTTTCAGGTACTGACCGATGTCTTCAGCTGTCTCTGTCGCTTTGATGGGCATGGATCTTTTTACTGTGTTGCCTCTTCTCCAGTAAATCTATGCAACCACGCCGCCCTTTGCAAGGTTTTCCGGGCTGCAAAGGCGCTTTTACACCTTACTCCAATGCGTCAGGCTGTCTTGTACCAACACTAGTGTTTCTTTTGAAGGTCGGAGGTGGTGACTGACTGACCAAAACAAGGCGCAAGGCGTCGGCCCTGCGCAGTTCGCACTGCAGTAGCTCGCACTCTCGTGGGAAACGCGTTGTGTCAGCCCAATGAAGAGGCTCACATGTGTAGGGATGTGAGCCACAAGGCGAACGCGGTGCCTCAGGAGGGCGCAGAGCTCGCAATCCGCTTCCCACCTCGGGCACTGTCAGCGCCTTGATACCACCCTACCAGTCCCCGCCCAAAGGTCAAAGCCCAACCGGAAACGTTCGCCCAATGCAGCTTAGACGCTTCTCACCCAAGATAGCAATGGTGGCAGAAATGAAAATCTGGCAGAGCATTCCCGTTTTGGATGGACCGCACCTCTCGTACCAGCCGTGATGCGGCACGGCAGGTACCATGAGACCACGACGCCCTTCGTGCGCGCCAAGGCCACCAACACTCCTTGCCACGCATCGCTCGAGTCACGACCGATTGCGACGTCCGGAACAGCGGCAACACGCTGGCCTCAACTCGTCAGACGGAGATGCAGACGCGAAACCAACCTTGGAAAGGAGAGCTGCTGGAAGCGCCCACCCAACGGTTGCCGAGCAGTGCAAAGTGCTTGTCTCCATCGGTAGGCAACAAAGTGGCAGCTCGCATATATCATGGTAGTTAGGGCGAGCTTACATGGCCACACCGGCCCAACGTCAGCAGCCCGACGACCACTCGCTCAGTTGGCTCGCGTTTCTGGGCCGTGTGCCACTCCTACAACGCTTCGCTCGTGTTCGTCGACTGTGTCACACCATTCGTGAGAGTATGCGCTACGTCTGGTTGTTCCGGCTACGAAGCGGTATCTCATTATACCCTGCAACGTGCACGACACTGTAAATGGTCATCCCTCAGCCTAGTGGTGCCTACACAAGGAAACGAGAAATGACCGCGTCCCTTGCTTTTTTCATGCTAACACTGCGCCATCAAGACACTCCCTGGCTCTACGGGAGCATATATTAATCTCGCTTGCCATCTACCATTGAGGGCGGCAAAATAATTACCTCCTGATCAATGGCGAAGTGAAAGACTAGCTGGCTGGGGTCAAGCCAGATTTGACGCTTTTGAAGCAAGCAAGTGTGGAGTTCGTAACAGTAGATGGTAAGTACTAGAAACGTACGCTTACTGCAGCACAGTCACGTCGTCAGTAGCTGCCACAATGCCTGCCAAGGCTAGGCAAGGCAACCAGGCACCCGCGGCCGGGCTTCCAGTCCAACGTTATGCATCGACAGATCCTCAAGCTATTCAGCACAGCTTCATAATCCTGAAATACGACAGCGGTACTTTCGTCAGCCAGCAAAACATGCACCTCTACTGTGCCTTGCCTGTCTCCACCCCTCTGGACCCATGCGGCCGGTCGTGTCTCAGGTAGCCGCCGAGCTAGCGCCGTCCTCTCGGTCGCCGAGGCTACCCTGCGCCAGATGCTCAGCGATGCTATTGCTCTCGGACAGATCTACTCGTCGTCGGTTGCGGCCGCGACAGAATCAGAAACCTTCGCCCGCCATGCCAGAGCCGGCACCTAATATAGGCGGCCGGGCCTGCCGCGCAATGTCTCTCCAAACCTCCCAGCACCACATCTATAAAGCTGATGTTCCTACTTCAAGAAGAGCTGCTTCAAGCATAGATTTTTCCCTCATCGTGTATCAGCGACCACAATCATCATTATCGAAAAAGACCAGCCCGCCCTCTCCATTCAAGCCTCCATTCAAGCCCAAAAACATCAGACCCCACTCCCCCTCCCCTCCACCCAATAACCCCAAACTATGGGCTGCAGCAACAGCAAATCCAGCCATCACAACAGCACCTCCAGATCATCCCGGGCTCGCAACCCCTCCGGCAACACCCAGCAGAAGTCCACATACGATCACCCACGGGACGACAAGACCTGGTACCCGTGTTCCATGTGCGACCACCGCTTCCACACCCGAGACGAATTGAATGTACACCTGCAGAAGCGCCATAAGACGAAAGGCGGCCGATGACAAGCTGTATACATAGTATAAATCTGTTGAGAGCAATGCTGTCGGACCTTTTGTATGGCCAGATTTTGGCTCCTGGGGAAGGTGAATTCATTCGCCAATCAAGTGCCAAGACAATGTCAAGAAAAGGCGAAACACGAGGCGTCCACGAAAAGAGAGTGTTTATATGCGCAAAAGCGAAGAGAGATCAAATCCATGATGCAATTTACATGAAATGATGAATGTTGTATACACATATTTTCGCAAGCAAGCAAGTAGGCTAGACATGTCGATATAGTTATGTAAAATCCAAGTAGCCACGCCATAAGGAGACTCGTATCGTCGTCATCAATCATCCTCTCGAACAACAACCATAGCTCAGAGAAGCGACATATAAATATATGGCGTGCAGTCAGTCGGTCGGTCGGTCGAAGAAATCTTTTTTCCTTGCCTTGCCTTTCCTTATCCCCCCACCCTTCCCTGGACTGCTTGATCCTGAACGCCATGAAAAGCAAATCATTTCCCCCCACCATGCAAAATCCACAAATCGACAGACCTGCAATGCAATGCAATGCACGATTTGAATCGAATCGAATCGAACCAACGCATCAAATCATGCCCCCATTCCCACTAGGCTCCACCCCGCTCATGGCCCCCAAGCTATGCGTGCTCCTCGCATCCATACTCGCGACCCTCTGCGTCCCACTCGCACTCCTCCCACCACTGACCCCACTCTGCCGACTCTTACTCCGTCTCCCCTCCCGCGCCACCAACACCTGCGCCGGACAAACCACGACCTCCTCCTCCCTCTCGTGCGCCACGGTCCCCTCGCCTTCCGTCACCAGCGTCTTACAGACCACGAGTGGGAACAACACGACGCGCACGACGGCGCCCTCGCGCTCCAGCTCCTCATTGTCCCTCGTCTCGCCCGAGCGTTCGTTCATCAGGCTGGCGTTGAAGTACACCTGCCGGGCGAGGTCACCATTGGTGTCGTACTCGGGCTGCAGCGGCGGCAGCATGACGTACTCCTGCCGCTGACAGCGCATCTCGACGCTCAGACTGACGGCCTTGCGCATCACGCCGCGCAGGCTCTCCACGATCTGCCCCTCCGCGTTACCGGGAGGCGGCAGGAACTTGCTCAGCGTGGCAAACACCTCGAGCGCCACGGCCTCGGTGTCGTTCTCGCACTGGCTCTTGAACTGTGCGCGCTTGCTGAGCATCGTCAGGGTGATGGCCCTCCATCGGTTCACCGCCGAGGCCGGGCCCACTTCGGCCAGATTCTTCTCCAGCTGCTTCAGCTTCTGCCGCTGCTCGCGGTCCATGCCGAAGAGGTATCTCGTGAAGACGTACTCCCAGATCATGGTCATGACGACACTCATGAAGACATCGCGGCGCTTGACGCGGTCGCCGAGGTAGATGTCCACATCGCTGCCGTCGAGAATGGCATTATCGAAGCGGTCCACGATCTTCTCATCGCGGACTTCGTTGGTCGTCCGGCACATGCGCGCGTCGCTGTACTTGCTGAATCGCAGAACCCACTGCTGGACGTGCTGGCAGAGCTGCTGACACGCACCGTCGAAGTAATCTTCATCCTTGACGTCGATAATATAATCGTCACCACCGCTGGCCCCTTGAGCTAGGATCTGGCTCTGCAGTTCGCGGATTTTATCCTTTGCAACGGCAAGGTCGCGTTGCAAGCGCTCAAGTTCGGCATTTTTCTCAATCATGGCGGCATCGATTTCATGGCGTATGATGCTGTCCATGCCGTTGGAGAGCTCATGGTGCTGGCTTCGCAGGGTCTCGAGCTCCCGCGTGCTCTCTTGCCAGGAGGCGCGCTCCTCGTGCAGCGCAGCCATGCCCGCGATCTCGTGCTGTAGCTTGGCAATCTCTTCATCGCGGTCGCGTAGCTGCGCCTCGGCAGTGCGAAGCGCCTCTTGCGTTGCATATTCAGCCTTGTTCTGGTTGATGCTGAAGTCCTCCAGGTGCCGCTCTGCGATTATCTTGGCTTCAGCAAGGTTTCTATTCTCGCCCGCTAGCTGATCAATCTTTGCCTGCAGGTCTGAGATTTGCTGCATGCTCCGGCGCTTCGTAATTGAGGGAGGTCGCGTCGGCGACATGGGACTACCGGGGTGGTGGCCATAGCCGTCCTGTGCAAAAGTTAGCATGATCCGCAGTCACGTCCAAGTGAACACATACATAGTCAGCCATGTCCCGTTCTGGGGCGGCAGCTTTGCCGGAGCTGGACTCATCAAAAGAACGCGACGGGCCGGCCTGGGTGTTGTCGAAAGGTGAGTTTATGCTGCCACGGAGACTGCGGTTAGATCCGCTCCGTGACTTGGACTTGGCAAGCGATCTAGTCGAGTCACGTGCCAGCGCCGCCGCTCCCAAGGCTCCAACCCCTGCCACAATCGCGCCCTTGGTGAGGCTGTCGCTTTGGTCGTGCTCAGGGATGGCACGCAGAGGCGATCGAGGAGGTGACAGAGGGTGACTAGATGGTGGAGGAGAAAAGACAGAACGGTCCACTCCCGAAGATGAGGCTCGATCGATCAGGTTGGAAGCCAGGGGCGACCCCGTTGAGCGCCGACGGTCTTCGGTGGCTTGACGGAGCTCTTCACGGCTCTTGTGCCGCCCATGTATGCTCGGTGACCGGCGAAGATCACTAGGTGTCTGCATGTAGGCCAATGAAGTGTCGATGTGTGGTGTCCCAGGTGGTGCCACAGCGGGAGATGACTTGAAGACGACTGACGAGCGATCCTTGGATGTCGACTCAATCGGACTAGGTTGCCGTCTTGCCGGAGTCTCGAAGCTGCCTTCGGGTGCCATCTCTCTCGTCACATCTTCAGTTGAACTCGTCGGCGATTGTGGTCGCATCGGCCGTAATGAATCTCGTTGCGAGCCTTGCTCCCAAGCGGGCACGTAGCCACTGTCTCTGACAGAATCATGGCCGCTGCCAACCACAGGCGACTCAAACTGGACGCCGCTGTCACGGTTCATTTCTTGGAGTTCATCTCTCGATGGTCGAACTGTTGCAAACGACCACCCTGGCTCCTCTTTCGTGCCAGCAGAGCTGTGCTGCGCTTGCTTCACATTTGCTTTCTCATCGGCTCCGAAACCCAGATGTGCAGCGACACCAAGAGCTGTGTCCATGACCTCGTTGTGCTCCGGTGGGGGCGTCGTTGCGCGATCACGAGGTAGATCAGGTGGCTCCTCCCCAGTCCACGCTTGAGGCGATCGTCGACGTCGGCGGCGTTCACGAGTGCTTTCGCTCACACCAGAGCCATCACTGTCGTGCATAGTGGTGTCTCGCGGCTCGGTAGGTGCCGCAGTTGCTGACCATGCTTGAGCCGGGCTTGTTGCTCGTGCATTATCAGGCTCGGTGATGGGAGCATTTCTCGCTCCATCCAATGTCTCCTCTTCCCACGAGATAGGTACCTTTCCCTTCTTCTTATCTTTCTTCGACTTCTTCCTGCTAACAACAAACCCTTCATCTTCCTCATGAATGGTGTCTGGCTTCTTTGAGCCTCTGCTGCCCTCTTCCTGTCCTGCGACAGGGTCACCATAACTCATAGCAATGTCATCTATCGTATCTGCCCTGTGCATGCCGCCTTTCTTCTTGCCTTTTTTGGGCTTTGTCGTTGATGCATACCAATCGTCGACCTCCTGCAATGTATCCGTCCGAGCCAGACCTGGTGATGGCTCCTCATAATCCCTGAGAATATCCGCCTCCTCAATACGAGGCGATGGGGGAGATGCTCCGGCGGCCGGACCCGCTTCGACAAAGGCTGGTGGCGGCGTCGGAGCCTGAAAAGATGCAGAGTCCTCTGCCGGGGCCAGATGTCGCTCGAACGAAGAGCTATCGAAGTCGGACTCTTTTTGCTTCTTCCGCTCCTTCTTTGAAGCTTTTCTCTGCGGCTTGAAGCCCCACACGTCGTCAGGGTCTGCTTGAAGCGCTGGATCACTAGGACCAGCGGGCTCGATGATGGGGGCCGCCGAACTTTGTGCCACGGTCTCAGTATCAGCGACTGCCGGCTCATCAACCTCGACGTGCTCAGCCTCTTCTGTTTGAGGTTGATAGATCTCCGCATGGCTGTTTTTCTTCCTGTCTTTCTCCGAGAGGCTCGGTTGCTCAACATCCCTAGTTCCTTCAGGCTCGAAATCATCAATTGGCTGAACCTCATCGGCGACGGGTTCAGGCTGCGACTTGGAGTCCCTCGCCCGTGTCTCATCTGTCTGTAGTGAATCTGGTGAGATCTCCTCGACAGGCTCGTACAGCTCAGCGCGCCGATTCTTTTTCTTGTCCTTTTTCGACAACTTCCGAGACGGGCCAAGGTCCCATTCGTCTTCGGGCTTTGCTGCTTCGGCCGGCTGATCAACGATAGGCGGGGCTTGGGCTTGGACATCCGAGATCTCTTCTTGCGGTACAGCGACTGGTGCAGCCGCATCTTCCTCAATGCCAAGATCTCGAGAAGGCTCCTCGATTGGCTCATAGAACTCAGCCTGGCGGTTCTTTTTCTTCTTGTCTTTCTTAGATGACTTTCTGGACGGCGTGAAGCCCCAAGCGTCATCGTCTTTGGCCGCATCCTCAGGTTGAGCTTGATTTGATCCAGACAGTGCGGCAGCACCCACGCCTGCAGCAGCGCCCGGAGCAGCAGCTCCCAAACCGGTATTTTTGGAGGTCTCGGAGTCCATCTGACGTGCAGATCCTATGGTAGCCTCACCGGTAGGCTCAGGAGTTGCATCAATCACGGGATCCACAGCTGGCACAGGTTCTGGTTCCTTTGAAGACTCAGGCTGGACGTCATCAAAGGTGGATTGGCGTTTCTTTTTCTTGTCCTTCTTTGATTTCTTGGTCGTAAAGAAGTCGTCCTCGGGAACTGCTTCTTGTGTATCCTGGGCCATATCATCGATTAGCGCTTGCTCAGACTCGGGCACCAGCGCTTGAGTTTCTGCTGATCCCGAAGCTTCCTGTGCCCACTCCTGCTCTGCTAACGGAGGAGTAGCAGCTCTCTCCGGAGTAGCAACCGCAGATACATCCGCAGATATATCCGCGCTTGGCTCTTGCAGAGTCGACTGGCGTTTCTTCTTCTTTTCCTTCTTGCTCGGTTTGCTAGTCATGAAGGCCCAGTCATCGTCAGGTGCGGCCTCTTTGGAAGAACCAAATTCTTCTGGCTTGGGTACAGACTCGGTCACGGTCACGGGCTCAACAGGCAGGTCTTCTGGCTGCCGCGTTTCCAAGAGGGCAGGCGAATCCTCCATATGAGTGTCAAGATCTTCAGGTTCTGCGGAGAACTTGGATGGCTCGCCACTCATGAAATCGTCCTCGAAAGCCCATCGGTCCTTGCCATCGACTGCTTCGTCTCGCTGCAAGGTATCCATGAGCAGAACATCATCGAGGGCGTCGTCAATGGATTTCTCTCGGCCAAAGCTTGACTTGACCTCCTTGCTTTCATCTGACGGAGGTGGTGGAACTGCTATGATAGGCTCACTCTCCATTGGCGTAGATGGAGTTGCAATCCCTGAATCGGTAGCGAATGACCCAGGGATGGATTTGCGCTTCTTCTTGTCATTCTTGGTGTTCTTTTTCGTAGGAATTGCCCAGTCATCCGAGCCAGCCTCTACAGGATCAGGCTCGGCAGGGTACTCGATGTCACGTGAGGCTTCGTCATCCTTAGTAGCAGACGCGACAGCCGCCGCTGCGCCAGCAGCAAGAGTTGCGGCACCGACAGTAGTGGTCTCAACGTCAGGAGTCGGCGTAACCTCGCCAGAAGCATCGACAGACGTAGATTGCTCATCGTCCCAGGAGAAGGCAGAGCCACGCTTTTTCTTCTTGTCTTTCTTGGACTTCTTGCTTGAGAAACCCCAGTCGTCGGCTTCTGGCTCTGCTGCCACCGCTGAAGGCTCTGCTGCCACTGCCGAGTCTGGTAAAGACTCTGGAACGGGCTCGACTGCTGGCTCGGCTTCCGCAACTGGTTCCGATGCTGGCTCGGCTGTCACAGCTCGCTCGATGGTCATCGTGGGAGGCCATTTGCCTGAGCTACGGAGCTCCTTCTCCTTCTTTTTGCGTTGCTTTGAGCTTAAGCCAAAGTCCCAGTCTGGATCTTCTACCTCTACCGTTTCCGTCGCATGCTCCGCAATTGTCGCTGACACTGGCTCAGTGACTTGATTTGGCAAAACAGCAGTCTCTGCAGGTGTGCTTAGCTCGACGCGTTGCTCTGACAGCGGCTCGGAGAGCGACCGAGTCGTTTCCTCGGGTGTTGGTTCGCTGGTTGGCTCAGTGTACGGATCAGACACCGAGGCTTGCTCTTGAATAGGCTCAAATACGGGCTCGATAGCTTCAGCTTGCTTTTCTCGCTCAGCGGCCTTCATAGGAGGCCAATTACCAGAATTACGCAACTCCTTCTCCTTCTTCTTGCGCTGTTTCGAGTTCAGCCTGAGGTCCCAGTCAGTATCCTCGACCATCTGCGCAGCAGGCTCGTACACGGCGACACCTTCGGCTAGAGCAGGTTGAAGTGGTTCATGTTCAAGCTCGGTCTGAACCTGTCGCGAAGATTCTCCCTCTATATCTGAAGGCACTTCTGCCGCGATTGGTGTAGCATGCTCATTCGTGTCTGCTTGTGCAGCCTCAGAGAACGACTCTGCCGCAAGTTCGGCTGAATCTTCAGCAACAGGCGCTATCTCATCCACAACATGCTCTGCAAGGTCGTCAAGGATCAAGGTTGAACCACGCTTCTTCTTCTTCTTGTCCTTCTTGCCTTTCTTCGACGATGCTGGCAAAGACGATTCATCTTCTGGCACTGGAGTGTCAGCTTGGGAAGACTCCAGGTTTTCAGTCGCCAACTCCCGGGCTAACGATTCCGTCTCGGGGACGATCTCTTGGCCTGCCACCGATAGCTCGTCCTTCGCCCCGGACTCATTGTCAGGAAGTACAGCGATAGGGTCGGGTTCAACAGTAGTGTCCTGAGTCATGGTTTCCGGTTCAGTGTCCACGGGTTCTGTTGGTTCGTTCCAATCGAAGGTAGAAGAACGCTTCTTCTTGTCTTTCTTCGATTTCTTGCTGGTAGACGGAATCGCCCATTCATCTTCGGCGACTATGGTTCCGACTGACATAGCTACGGGTAGATCATCAGGGGCCTCTCTTGGGACATCTGCCGGCACTTCCGTATCTTCGTGCTTTGCGATATCACCGTGAGTTGGCGCAGGCGTCCCTTCTTCAGCGACAACGAGGTCACTGACCACAGGAGTTTTGATTGCAGTCTCTGTAGCTGAGGTCTCGGCGAGCGTGTCTTCGCGAGGCTTGCCAGCCTCAGCATCCAATGGAACTTCAGGCGCAGGATCGGGCGTTGACATGCCGGAAGCTTCGTCAAACGCAGAAAAGGTAGACATTCGCTTGGCTTTCTTTTTTTCTTTCTTGCTCTTCTTGGAAGAGAAGCCCCATTCGTCTTCTGCAGTAGGCTCTTCGACAGGCTCAGATTCTAGAGGGAGCTCCCGAGGAGTATCGCTTTCTGGCACAAGAGATGCTGTGGGCAGCACATCTGTTGAAGCTGGCACTGCCTTCGTCATATCATCGAAGTCCAATTGAGTCGAATCTGGCTGGACAACGTCAATTGGCGAAGTGGACTGATCAGGAACCGTTTCATTCAGCTTCATTGGAGGCCAATTGCCCACGGATTTCAGCTGCTTCTCCTTGGCTTTGCGTTCCTTCTTCGACAGTCCAAGATCCCAGTCGAGATCCTCGACCATTTCAGCTTGAGCCGAGGGTTCGGACGTGGCTTCTGCTGCTGGTGTAGCTCCGCCTACTTCTTGTACGATATCACTTTCGGGTTCTTTGATCTTCATGGGTGGCCATTCTCCGGCAAGCTCGAGTTGTTTCCGCTTCTTTTTGCGCTCCTTGCTAGACAGCCCGAGATCCCATTCGAGGTCTTCGATCATCTCAGGCGCAGTAGCTTCGCTGGAAGAGGGCCCAAGTTCTTTTGTGAGTACTTCGTGTGTTTCTTTTGGCGGCTGGACGGCGGCCTCGACAGCAGGCTCAGTGGTGATCTCATCCTTGGGCTCGATCGATGGCTCGGCGGCAATATCCGGCACAGGCTCAACTTCCTTAGCTTTCATCGGTGGCCAATTGCCAGCCAACTTGAGCTCCTTTTCTTTGGCTTTCCGCTCTTTCTTCGAGAGTCCAAGGTCCCAGTCGAAGTCGTCCACCGTCTCAATTCCGGTGGCGACAGCAGCCTCGTGGAATTCGGAACCTTCAGCAAGTCTGGCAGGCTCGGAAACCTCGGGCTCGTCGAAGTCGAGAGTCGAAGCACGCTTCTTTTTCTTGTCTTTCTTGCTCTTCTTCGACAGCGTGGCCCACTCGTCCTCCATGGCAGCCTCGGTGTTGTCTGCGGGTGCAGGAAAATCCGGTTCAGGCACAGTTTCTCTGCTGATTTCCTCGGCTCCTGGCTCGGCATGAATTCTGGCTTCGTCTGCATCTTTAAATGGAGCAGAGGGGTCGATCTTCGACTCCGCATCGACTAGAAGGTCGTCCTCGATGACGTCTTCAGTTGTAAGCTGAACTTCGCTGTCAGATTTGGGCTGCACAGCTTCGACCTCTGTTGCATCGACGCCAGTCTCGACAACTTCGTTTTGCAATAGGTCAAGAACTTGGTGTTCGGTAGTCTCAGTTTCGAAGACATCAGGCACAACACTACGAGACTCAGCAACTTCAGGCTCGACAATCCCCTCGTCAACAACCTCAGCCTTCAATGTATCGACATCTTCCATCTTGACAGCTTCAGACTCGGCAACATTGGAATCATCGACAGCTTCAGACTGTGGTGCGTCTTCAGCGGCTGGTGCAACAAACCCGAACAAGGAACCACGTTTCTTCTTGTCCTTCTTACCCTTCTTACCAGTGGCCCACGAAAACCACCCGGCGGGTTCCTCGGCTTCGGCTGGATCAGGCTGTTCAGGATCTTGCTTAAGAGTCTCCAGCATTTGCCCTTCAGCTGCTTTCACATCATCCGGAGGGAGTGGTGCAGGTTCAGCTGCGGCCAGGTCACCCACCTTCTCGATTTCTTCTTGACCTTCGGCGAGTGCTTGAGCATTGATGTCACCCTGGTTAGGGTCAAGGTGGCCAGGCTCCTCGGTAATTAGCTCTTCGGCGAAGATGCTAGATGGTGGTTGAGGTTCGTTCATTGCTGATGCTGGTATCGATTCTGGGGCTACTGGAGCATCGCTGTCTTGCGTCTGTGGCGTGGACGACTCATCTTCCGCCCAGGTAACACTCTTGCGCTTCTTCTTGTCCTTCTTGCTCTTCCTGGTGGGAGCCCAGGAGAGGTCTTCAGCTTCTTGAACAGGTGTCTCGGCGGGCGTAACAGATGCTGAGTCAAGCGCGGAAGCAACTGCAGCAGTTCCAAGAGCGGCTGCAGCGGCGCCAGAGGCAATAGTATTGGTCGAGGTGAGCTCTGCAGATTCCACTGCCGGCGAAGGAGCAGGCTGGTCATCAAGAGCGAGAGAGGCTCGCTTGCCCTTCTTCTTGTCTTTCTTGCTCTTCTTCGTTGGCGCCCATGGGAAATCCTCAGGCTCATCAATCGCCGTGCGCGCGAAGTCTTCCGTGGTAGAGTCAGGCTTGAGGCCGGCTTCGGCTTCATCGGTAACTTTCTGCTCAGCAGGAGTATGCTCGGAGGCGCCAACCGGTTCAGCATCATCTTCTGCAGAGATCTCACGTTCGTCAACTGGTTTTGACTCCTTCGGCTCCACAGGCTCCACGACTTCGTCAGAAACAGGTTCATCCATAGTAGAAGCACTAGGGGCGTCAGCATCTTCAGAAACGATAGCGCCGCGCTTCGCCTCCTTTCGCTTCTCCTTCTTGGACTTCTTCGCAGGCACGAACAGGATATTGTCTTCAGCAGGGACTTCATTTTCATTTTCGAGCGGCGTAGATGGCGCAACCGTTTGACTTGGCTCATAGGCCGCCACGACGGAGGGGAGCGTATCGGGGCCTGGAAAATCTCGAGGTTGAGTCTGCTCAGGAGGCGCAGCAGGAAAATCGGTTGACTTGTCGTGCGCACCAGCCAAGAAGTCTTGATGCGTAGGATCATCATGGTGCTCTTGAGGAGATGCTTTTCGAAGCGCTTCGGCCTGCTCGACAGCTTCTTGCTCATCGACCGGCTCGACAGGTGTGGGCGCGGTCATATCGCGTTTTTGTGACACGGATTGAGAGGTTGATTCGTCATTGAGAGCCATGCTTTCGCTCTTCTTTGATTTGCGCTTCTCCTTTTTGGACATTTTTGCAGGTACAGCCGAGTCATCCTCGCCAAGATCTTTCGGTGCTTCGGGTTCGATCGACTGCTGAGCTTCGACAGACGCTTCCGTGGACGAAGGAGGAATTTTAGGAGAGCCCGATTGTTGTGTTGCTGCCTCGACGGGCTCGCTTGGCGTATCGACAGGCACAGACCTCTCCATCTCTGTTGCAGGAGCCTCAGGTTCTGTCACAACAGGTTCATCCTCCCACGCAGAGATCAAGGACTTCCGCTTCTTCTTATCCTTTTGCTTCTTGCCAGAGGAACGCATCTCGAAGAAGTCATCAGCTAGGGTCTCAGCCTCCTCGGCAGTAGAACTCTCGCGTGTCGAAGGCTCAACCGGCTCGGTGTCACGTTGCTCATCCGCAAGGACGTTTTGATTGTGATCCGTCTCGGACTTCGGGAGGATCTCAGGTTCGGCGACGACTTCCTTCTTGTCATCGTCAAAGGCAGAAGCGACGAGGGTAGCCCCGCTAGCCACAGCAGCGGCACCAGCAATTGGAGCAACATCGTCAGTCCAACCAGAGGATTGATGTTTGTTCTTCTTGCCCTTCTTGCCCTTTTTGGCGGTTGGCTCTTCCCATGTATCCGGCGCCGTTTCTTTCGAATCTTCGGCAGACACCACTGGAAGATCACGAGCAGCTCCTGTTGGCGCGTCCTCAGCGGGCGTTGTAGGCTCGGAGAAGTCGGAGGCTTGACTCTGCCTTTTCTTTTTCTTCTTGTCTTTCTTGGAAATCGGAGCCCACGAGAACTCATCTTCAGCAGCAGGTGTAGGCGGCTCGGGCTCTGCGGGCTCAACAGCCGGTGCGGCGTCAACTTCAGTCTCGGAGACTTTGCTTGATGGTTCCTCTACGAGAGATGCAACGTCCACTGGAGTCGATGTGCCGCTCTTCCTTTTCTTCTTCTTATCTTTCTTCGAGGAAGGCACCCAGGAGAATTCATCCTCACCTCCTTCTAAGGGGTCCGCTCCGGGTTCAAGTGGCTTTCCAACGTCGACCTCTTCCGGAGCACCTGTGAGGTCTTCACCCCGGGAGCTCTCAGCGAACGGCTCTTCGACAGACGCAGCTGCCTGGGCCTTCTTCTTTTTGTCTTTCTTTGAAGTATAGGCCCAAGCAAAGTCGTCTTCAAGAGCAACCTCCATGGTCGGCAGATCTGCTGGCTCAACGGCTACATCTGTACCAGCCTTTTCTGTGCTACTCGGTGTGCCAGAGCCACTCTCTTCACCAACGGCTGGGAGACTGTCTGCTGGGACGAATGGAGGGTTGTCTCTCGTTGGCAAGAATGCATCGAGCGCAGCTTCTCGACTGCTACTCTGACTGAGTCCCCGCGCACGAACAGCTCGCTCGAACGCTTCTTCGAAGGCGCTGATATCATTGGTTTGTTTGTTGAGTTCATCTGCTGCTGGGACGTAGGAAGTTGTGCGCTCAATCGTAGACAATGGTGAATCCTGGGACGGCAGCTCTCTGTCGGCGGAGGCAATTTCGCCAGCTTCGAAGGGAAAGGCGTCCTTGTCATTGTGCTCTTCCAAGCCTGTGGGCTCATCAGCGGGCGTGGCTACCTCGACCGGGTGATCATCAAATGGCTGAGGTAGAAACTCTGGAGTGGTATCGTCCTTGGGTATGTCGGCAGATCGTGGAGTTTCTGAAGGGAGCGAAGGAACCGCCGTCAGAGGTTCGTCGTCGTCTTTTTCACGCTGCTCATTTTCATCTTTAGCTTCGGCCTTGGTGACATCAATGGCAGACGGCGCATCCCTCTTTTTGCCTTTCTTACTCTTCTTTGATTTTTTGCTAGATGTAAGCCCCCATTCATCTGCTTCATCGGTGGCGATGGGCGTAGATGTAGCCGGAGTGGACACTTCTTCAGCAGTAAGCGGCTCCTCGGCGGCCGATGGAACGGTTGGTGGCGCTTCGAAGGTTGCAGCATCAGCCATGGCAGGCTTCGCCTTCGCCTTCTTTTTATCCTTCTTTGACTTCTTGCCGGCAGTCCGGAAAGCCCACTCATCTGCTTCAGCGGACACATCAGGTTGCACTTCGCGACTCTGCTCCTGAGTAGAGGCCATGACAGCTTCGCCCGACCCTTGCTCTGTAAGCGTAGCAGGCAAGCTTGGTCCTGGCGGAGGGACACCTTTGTCGTACATGTCCTCCTGATCAATGTTATCATGACCACGACTGCGATGCTCGTCGTTGTCTTTCCGAGACAGGAGCTCGTTGACGCCAAAAGCTGCTGCAGCACCAATGCCAAGACCAATACCTCCAGCAGTGACAGTATCACGTCTGCTCCTCGGCCTTGAGCGTGATCTGCTGCGGCTTCTCTCGCTTGGGGTGCCCTCTCTCGCGCTCATGAAATCATCATCTTGGGCGCTTACGACACTGGGCAAAGGACTACCCACTCGAATTTCTTCTTCAACATCGCCGCTCGTAAACTCAGCCAGGCTTGCAGGATCTTGCAACAGTTCGCTGGGGCTGTGGAATTCGTACTTCGGTTTCCCTTGGTCAACCCTGGTCTTCTCACGTGCCTCCCGTTCTTCGCGTTGGCGCAGTTCTCTGTCTCTTTGCACGCCTGATGGTACAGGCGTGGCGGCTCTGCTGTCAAGATAGTCAGGAGATTCTGGTCGTTTCGACGCAACATTCCATAAGCTGTAGCTGTGACGGCGTCCGCGCTCTTGAAAGCTTCTGGGGCTCACCTTCCCATCCGCGAGGCCAAAATAGTCCTGCTTTTCCGCCGCAGCACGAAGATTATCCATGCTAGGATGGGCAGAGCTGCTGCGGCTGCTTGGCAAGGACGGTAGATTATCTTCAGCCTCCGGCAGAGGAGTCTTCTCCGACCTCGACTTCTCAACAAGATAGAGCGGCCTAAATTCCTTGCTCCGGAATTCAGTCGATTTTGGCCGACCCTGTCTTGTTCTCGGGGTGGTTGATGGGCTCTGCGGACTCGCAACTGGACTACTGAAGAATGCCCTTGGCGTCGCTGGACTACCCGGGGGCCTCCTGAAATTTATTGGTACTGCCGTTGGGCTGTTTGCAGAAGGTGTAGCTCCCAGATCGGCCGTCCTTAACAACGAGACACGGCGTGCTTGCGTTATCGGCGTTATTTCTGTTTCGCCAGATGAGGGCGTCTGTCTTTCGGTAGTGACTGTCTGCCCCGAGACACCATCATCAGTAGTGGCCATTGGTGTATCCGTTGGTCGCTTGTGTGGCATGTCGAGGCGCTCCGCTAAAAAAGACTGATTCTCGCTATACTCATTCACTGGCGTTTCCGTACTGCCCTCGTTCGCGGAAACGAAGCCATCGTCGACGCTTTGATCGCGGGACGGCATTTGGGAGGTAGGGTCACGGACTGCACCTGTGGGTGTAGAGTCGCGATTGCCGCGGCTATCGCGCATAGGCTCGGAGGCGGCGGAGGCATTGTCATCAATGTCGAAGCTCTTAGATCGGCGTTTCTTCTTGTCTGACTGCTCTGATCTCTCTGCTCGACCCTCGGATTTCGAGGATTTCGAGCTCTTTTTGCTGGATGTGCTGATATCGCTCTTTGGACCACCGAAGATGCTACCCCACATACCAGTCGAGCGCTTCTCCTCTTTATCTTTATCTTTATCTTTGCGATCCTTGCTCTTTCGGGAGCTGGAGTCGGCCGGAGAGCTAGCAACGGACCGAGTGTCATCGTCATCGCAGACCTCAGACTCACGTTTGGAACGACGACGAGCCTTCTTGTCGTCAGCTTTGGTTGCTGGACTGCTAACGACTGAGCCAACATCATCATCATTAAAAATCTCGCTGTCGCGCTTCGATCTGCGTTTGGACTTCTTATCCTTTGCATAGAAGTCGTCTTCACCCGCTGCGGCGGCAATGGCAGCCATGCTCGCTGCGGCGGCACCTGCAGCGACAGCGGCTTTGGTACCGGAACCAATGTCAGACTTGGCAGATCGCTGATCCCTGTTGCGCGAGGGCGAGCGCTCCCAGTCTTCGGGGTCAGAGACATAGTCGCTTTTGGACTTTGACCGGCGTTTGTCAGATGCAAAGTCGTCGTCGAAGGTACTGGCTCGTTTGGGTTTCGCGTAGCCTTCGGTGTCGTCGTTGGTGGGCCGGACCCGCTCACGCTCAGTACGCCCACCCTGGGAGGGGACTGACTCAACGCCATGATTCAAGGCCGAGGAAGGCGGCAACGGCCTGCCTTCATCATCCACAAGGTAGTCGAAGACCTCCGAATCTTGGTCACGCGGCTCTGAGGTTGTTCCAGGTGCGTACTGAGATGTGCCTTCAAGGGATGCTGCGCGCTCCATACGGCGTCGCTCGCTTTTACTCAATCTGGGCGCCACGTCGACGATCTCTGGAGAGACTTGCGGAACATCTCGTGCATCTCGGGAAGGATGCTCATCCCGCGGCGTTTCCGGCAACTCCGTGTCCTCGACAAAACCGTGGCCGGTCTTGGGCACCTTGGTTATATCCACAAGATCGCTCATGGTCTCGGACAATGGGGCCTCGTAGCCTGCTCTACGATCAAGCAGATCATCCAGACTGACTTCCACAACGGGAGTGTCGTGTTGAGGTGCATCAAATGAGCCCGGCATGTCCGCAAAGCCTTTGCCCTTTGACAGATGCTCGCGCTGCTCGGCACTCATCTGTTCCACGGGTGGTACTTCGCGAGTAGACGGCTTTTCGGGTTCTCCGTATTCGTCAGGCAGAGTTTCCACGCGACTGAGGTTACTGGGCCTGAAATCCCGGTTGCCGCGATTCCTGCTGCCCGCGGCCGCGGCCGCAGCTGCTGCAGCTGCGGCGACGGCATTGCGTACGGTAGCCGACGGTCGGTCCTCCTTACGCTGTTCAGGAATAAAATTTGTTCGCTCTTCCTCAGGCGTCATAACCTCGTAGACATAGGTGTCATGATCGCCCCAAGTCACCTTTGCACCTTTGCGGTCGAGCTTTTCGCCAAGGTCTTCTTCCATCACAGGCTCTCTACCTTCGACAGGCGAAGAGACTGGTGAAGCAGCGGAGGAAACAGCAGGGCTCGTGGCTCGGCTGCCAAGCCTGCTTGCTGGAGGTGTGGCTTCGACCAGTGCTAGTGTTGGTACAGCCCAGGGAAATGCGAGGGGATCGTCGTCGTCACGAGTCCCGAATACGCGATAGTTGAAAGGATCGAACAGCTCGTTCTTCTTTTCACCCGGCACGATCTCGACGACTTGAGCTTCCCCGGGGTCATCTCTGGTAGATGAAGCAATGTTATGCTCCTCAACATGCTCTGCGATCTCCTTGGGCACGAAGAACGTTCCATAGCTGTCGTGCTCCACAACAGGAGATTCAGACTGCACACGCTGAGCAGCCATTCTGGCGATCCGCTCCTGCTGGCTTTCCGTGGCTGGAGAATCCGCACGATCCTTGCTTTTCTTGAGGCTTGATTTGCGAGTTCCGGAAGGTCGCTCGCGCTCATTGGAGCTTTCGCGAGATTTCTGGCTGAGGCCAGACGCAGCGACGATACCAGCACCCGCTATGGCTGCGGCCGCAGCGGTACCGATACCGTCATAACTACCCCGGCTCTCTTCTTTGGCACGCTTCCGATCGGGACGGCGCTTTCGGTCTTCCTCGTAGAGCCTCTGCAATTCAGCTTCTATCTCAGCTTCGCGAGCAGCTCGTTTCTCGTCATCCTTGGCGATCTCGGAGAAATCATAAGTCTTGCGTCGCTCCTTCTTGTCACGACGTTCACGCTCACGTTCATCTTCTCTGGTTTCCGTGAATCTGTCGTAGGGTACATCGAATGTGACTTGACTGCCGCGAGATGGCAACTTCGCAGGACTTGAGTCTCGTCGGCGGCGTCTTGAGTTATAGTCGCGCTCAGAGATCCGGCGGTCATTGGCAATATCATTTGTGATCGCTTCAGGGAATGAGCCGATTGGAACGATGGGCTGCGGTTGCTGCAATGGTACAGAGCCAGTTGTAGACACGTATTGCCCACTTGCGGTTTTTGAGGGCCCAATCGCTCCAGACATCATCGAGTCAGAGGCCGGTATTGGTTCAATCTCTTGCATGGGTGGAAGCGAACCAGTGCTGCGACCAGAAGAAGGCTGCTGTGAAGACATCATGCCGGCAGCTACTGCGCCAACACCAGCGCCAAGTGCGGCGGCAGCGCCTGGATTGATTCTTGTTGGAGTGTAGGGGTGTGAAGAGCTTGATGGGCGCTCCTTCCGTCGCTTCGTTGGTGTGCTCCATGGCCACCAGCCACCTTCTTCTACCAAAGACTCTTTGCTTTGGGCGGCTGAAGCCCGTCCGCCGTACTGAAGGCCACCGTCATCACTCGAAGGAGCGCCTTCGCCATCGGTATCGTACCAGCCGTCATCGTTATCTGCATCCGTGGTTGTTTCATGATCTTGCAGCTTGATCCGAGGCGCTCCGTCAACGCGACGAGCCCGGTCGTCTCTGTGCACGTTAGCATTTCGTTTACGCCTACCCTTACCGTCCGACTCAGAGGCCAAAGCCATGCCCGTAGCTGTCAGCGCGGCAGCAGTCGCGGCATCAAAATCGTCCTGGCCATCGCTGCGGCGGAATTTTCTGCTATTCTTTCGTCGTACAGTGCCTTCCCCGAACGCCAGATCTGCGTCGGACGAAGAACCGGAGGAGTTGGAAAAGTGGAAGAAGCCCTTGGAGTGTTTTCCTTTCTTTTCGTTCTGCGACGGGCTGAAGAATTGTCCAAGGCCGAAGGTGCCAGTCTTCGTATCGTTCAGGTCGACATACGAATGCTTGGGAGAAATGCGCTTGGAGTAGTAGCCCTTCTTTCTCTTGGAAGGCGAGCGGCTACGGCTGCGATGTTGGGAGGCCACAGCAGCGCCAGCTGCAAGGCCTGCTGCACCGAGTCCGAGTGCTGCGGTCTTGGAAATGCCATTTGAAGAAGAAGAGCTCGAACTTGAGCGCCGTCGCCGAGTGCGCCGCTTTTCAGAGCTCTCGTCAACTCGCTTGCTCTTGCTCTTTCGTTCGGAACCACGGCGCTCATCTCGAAACTCTTCCTTGGAGAAGTTAACGCCTCGGGAAGCGCTTTGTTTCCAGTCGTCTTCCTGGAAACTGACTCTGCTCCGATTCGCCGGCCTCTCCGTATTGATCTGACCAGTCCTAACCGAGTATGTGTCGTCAAAGTCGTGCTTTTGGTCATACAGTGTTTGTCCGATCTTTGCAGCTCCCAGGCCAGCTAGACCTCCAGCAATTATTTTTTTCGATGTAGAACTTCGGCGCCGCTCATCATCAGACGATGAGTACCGAGAGTTCTTGTCTACTCGGGATGAGCCTTCATAGCGACGCTTCTGAGAAGATCTGCGGCCGTGATAGTGGTGTTTTCGTGGCGCGTCCATCGGGGAAGAATTGGGGTCAAAGCAGTATTTGCATACACCGATCGCTTCGGTGTACTGCTCAAATTGGGCAACGCTGTCCGGATCCTTGAACCAGTTGACGAATTTGCCAAGCGGCCCACGACGCTCATGGCGATGCTGATATTGCATTTGAGGAAATGCGGATTGATTCTGACCAACAACAAAACTCGGGTCTGGTCCAGACTGGTGATAGGCAGCGTTGCTATGATGGCTTTGACTTGCCATGTACGCACCTGCAGCACTTGCTGCCACGCCAGCTGCAGCCGCTCCTCCATAGCTATAAGATTGGCCGTGGGAGGAGGCTGATTGCTTGGGCGGACGGGTATTCTCAACGAACGATTCAGGCGAAGCGGTCTGGTAAGGTCGAGGGTCGTGTCCGCTCGTCATCGGAGCTCCCGAGAAATAGGCAGCCGCCTCGCCGACTGCATTTCCACCTAGAGCGCCTGTAACCATCGGGCCTGAGCTCGGTACTCTGTCAGAATTACCGAGCCTGGGGCGCGAGCCTGACACTCGGTTGCTCGGCTCTCCTGACTTCGGCTTCTTGCCGGGCTTCGCGGGTCGCTTTGGCTCCATGGTGTCGTAGGCACCGCCCTCGCCGTCAAAGTAACTCGCCGAGGCCCCGATCCGCCCAACACTGCTCGGTTCTGGTGGCGGTTGGGAGTTGGTTGTGGGCCGCATGAGATGAGCTTGGTCTGCGGAGTAGACAATGCTAGGAGCGTCCGGTCGGACGCCTGGCTGATAGCCTACGCTTTCTCCGTTGTCGTTGTAGTACACGGATGCTTGCCCTGGCGGGCGATATGGCTCTGCATAGCCAGATGGATCTTGGCCTGGAAATTGGTTTTGCAGTAAGGAAGCATCGTGAGAATCGTAGGCGCGAGATTTGTCTTTCTTCTCAGATTTGGAGGACTTCTTAGAATCGCGAGATCCACGCTCACTTCGATCCACATTCCTCGGGTCGTCGTTGTAATCATCTGTTGTGCGACGGCGTTCACCCTTCTTCTCACTTTTGCTACCTCTCTTGGAATCTCTTCGCGACTCATTTTTGGGAGAGTCGGCCATGCTCTCGTTGCGCACAAGCTCGGCTGGTCTGGTAGAGCCGTATGAATCGTTCGCGGTCGCATAGCTTGAAGCTACCGAAGGGGCAGCGACTCCGGCGTATGGGCTGCGGGAGCTTGACGCGAAACTGGTAGAACTAGGCATGAATCTTGTCTCTTGTGTCTCATCATCGTCATTGTCATTATCATCGTCGCGCTTGGATTGGCGCCGGGAGGAGGACGTTGTCACAGAGTCGGTTCGCGAACGCGACTTGTTCGACACTGAGTCATCGGTTTCTCGTCGTCGTTCAGATCTATCCGGTTCAGATCCATTCTTGGATCGTCCAGAGCTGGACTTCGGCATGGTGGCGGAGTTTACGTTGTCAATCGATTGTTTTACGGCGATGCGGTATTTGGGGCCGGCTCATTTGGTATACTCATCGCGTTGGCGTCAGGGAAGTAACATGCCAGAGGAGAGGAATTATTATTGATCAAATGGAGAAACGCAGGTGGACGACAGAAAACGAGCAGCACGATTGGGACAACGCAGCAGCACGACTTCGTGCATAATCCGCAATAAAGTTGACTTAATGAGTGGCTGGGCCATCCACCGGCGATCCTCCACTGCTTTACGTGCAGGCTCCTACTGCAACCTACACCGACGATACGGAGTCACACAAAGCGGTGCAGGCTGCAGCTCGCACTTGTTGACATGCAGTCTGAGATTCATTGCTCTTGCTATAAATTCTATGTCCCTGTGCGACCCTCCCTTACGGTGACAGAGTCGACTTTTGGATATCCCGGGGTCTCGGAGACCCGTTGGCGTGGAACGGCGCGAGGCTCGTGACGCCCAGCCTTCGGTTCTCAGCCACTCCACCTAGCCGAAGTGGCGAGTGGCCGCTTTTACGAGTGCTGCCTACTGCCTTGTGTCAAGTTCTCAGCTGGGAGGGTCCAATCTTTCCAAGGTCATGCCAGACTGTGGGTGTCTATCCCAGCAGTGTTGCACTCGTAGGGGAACGACAATCATCACGCCTCTTCCGGCGCTTCAAACTCCACCAGCTCAACGCCGCTGCCCACAGTTTCACCTTCACTGTGCACAACCCGCTTGACCGTCAAGTTTTCCCCAGGACTGCGAATGACGGTTTCCATCTTCATGCTTTCAATGACCAGTAGTATTTGATCCTTCTTGACCACGTCTCCGGGAGCAACGTGCACCCTCAGAATCTTTGCCGGCATCGGCGAAAGCAGAGAATTGGCCTTCTCAGTCGTCCCCAAGGCTTTGGCTAACCATGATGGTGGGGCAGGAATCAGTCTGAAGGACCCTTGGGGGCTAAACAGGTGAATCGGAGCTCCCACGGTAGGGTTCAGTCTTTCTGGAGGAGGGATTACCACTCGGCTGGTATGCCTTGTGTGTGGGAAGTATGTGGTGAGAGTCTTTGTCGCTGCTTCCCATGTGGCCGTTACCTCCCAGACTTTGTCGTTGCTTGTGACCTCGAAACTGCCGGGTGACAGCTGCTGGACCGAAACAGACATCACTTCTGGTGTCTTGCCCGGTCCCGAATCCGCGTCTGCTCGCTGGAAATTGAAAGTTCGAGGCTGGAAGTCTGAATCCGTCTGGAGCCAGGAGGGAGATGACCCTACACTTGACGCTTGTCTCGACCAGGCGTTCTGGAAGTAGGTAGCAAGCCCTGCTTCCGCCAATGCTTCGCCGGTGACGGTGAGCTGCGGAAACAGCTCCTGCTTGTGCTTTTCGATATAACCCGTCTCTACTTCTCCTTCCATGAAATCCGTAGATCTGACAATGCGTTTCAAGAAGTCGACATTGGTAACTGGTCCAGCAATTTCATAGTCCTCAAGCGCCCTTGCCATCTTCCGGAGTGCGTCCCTCCTTGTTGCGCCTCTGACGATGAGCTTGGCTATCATGGGGTCGTAATTGGTCGATACCTCGTCGCCTTGTACGAAGCCACTGTCCACGCGAATGTCCACGCCCTGGTCTGGTAGGCGCACATGCTCAAGCCAGCCGGAGTCTGGCACAAAGCCCTTGTCAGGGTTCTCAGCATATATCCTGGCCTCGATTGCGTGACCATGCCGAGCTATTCTTTCCACCACTTCCTCCTGATTCAGCGGCAGCTTCTCGCCTCGGGCTACCTTGACCTGCCACTCTACCAGATCCACTCCAGTCACCATCTCGGTAACGGGATGTTCAACTTGTAGACGTGTATTCATCTCCATGAAGTAGACAGCCCCGCTATCGGCATCAAAGATGAACTCGACCGTTCCTGCACCCTCGTAGCCAACGGCAGCAGCTGCGCGACAGGCCATGTCCCAAAGCTCGCGTCGCTTTGATTCTTCGAGGCCTGGTGCAGGGCTCTCTTCCAGAATTTTTTGGTGGCGCCTCTGTATGCTGCAGTCGCGCTCTCCCAGAGCGACAACATTGCCATGCTGATCGGCGAAAACTTGAACTTCGACGTGCCTTGGTCGTACAATGTACTTCTCAACCAGAACTTCGTCGTTGCCAAAGCTGTTCCTAGCCTCGCTCTTGGCGCTGTCGAGCTTGTCCCGGAACTCCTCTTTGGTCATGACTACACGCATACCCTTGCCTCCACCGCCTCGGACTGCTTTGATCAACACGGGATATGTCATCTTCTCCGCTTCGCTTTCCAGCTTCTCGACACTCTGGTCAGAGCCACGATAGCCTGGAACGCATGCCACATTGGCCTTCTCCATGATGTCCTTGCTCTTGGCCTTGTCGCCCATACTGTCAATGGCGCTCGCAGGAGGTCCAATAAACTTGATGCCTTCCTGCTCGCATCTCCTCGCGAAATCCGCATTCTCGCTGAGAAACCCATAACCAGGGTGAATTGCCTGGCATCCATTTTCTTTGGCTATTCGTAGAATTTTGTCCTGATCCAGGTAAGCGGATGTCGGGCCGAGATTGAAGCTGTAGGCGCTGGACTTTGCATGTTGCGCATGCTTGTCCGGGTCTGTATACAAGGTGGTCGTTTTGATCCCATGCAGAGCGGCGGTCTTGTTCACTCTGATGGCAATCTCACCTCGGTTCGCGATCAGGATTGAGTCTATCGGCCGCAATGAAGTCTCATCATGTGCACCGGTTGCTGTGGCATTCCACCTCCTTTGTGAGCGCTGTGCGCTTGGGGCTAGGGCACCAATACTGGGAATATGTGTTCGAGGGAGTACGCCCGGGCGAAGCGGGATGCGGGCTGAGCGTCGCATTGTGCTAAACGATTGACTGCAGTGATAGAGGCAGAGGCCAGTTGCTAATAAATATTCTCTCGAAGCTCACATGGTAGCAGCGGTCGCATGCCAAACTAAATGCTGGGTCCCTTGAAGCTCGGTGGTTGTGGTTCCTCGGCAATCCACGCCTACCCACGGCCTTCCCCAAGCCCGGACACCCTACCCCACAGAAGGAAGCTTGCGGGCGCGGAATCGCGCCGGACACGCCTATCCGATGCCTACTACGTAGCTAGCCTTACGTGCAACATCTGCAGCCTTGTTTCTGCCAATCCGAATCTCTTCGATCCCAAGTGGCTTGTCCTCGACCCCTGCAGGCTGCAACTCGTACGAATTCCACATCTATGCCACGGCCGAACCTGATCGCAGACGTACATAGAGCAGGACGAGTGCCGACATTCCATCCTTGAGCCTGGATCTGTGGCCAAGTGGTACAGCCAACCGTTGACTGGAGCCCTCAGTATCACGACAGCGCAGTCCTTTCATCTCGAATGGCATAGTCTGTCTGGCCTCGTGCATGTCCCACGCGTGCTATTAAAGCAATCAATGTTTGTTCACGCCCACACCTTCATATAAGCGAACAGAAGTTGCTCGTCGAGCGCGTTCAATTCTTGGAACTCGGAGCCTTCCTGCGAGCACAAGTCGATCCCTTGCAACATCATGTCCGACTATTCACCCCCGCCATCGCCGAACGCATTTGACGAACTTGAAGACGTGCTGTATGACGCAGACCCATCGCCAGACCTAGCAGACGAGCTCGCGTCTCACGCTCTACACTCACCTTTACTCGATTTTGAGCCAGGGTACGAATTGCAGGAGTACCATTCAGATTGGGAGTACTATTCAGACGACTACTACGATGATGACCCCTCCATACTTAAGACGAATCCAATCGATGGCAGCCCTACCAAGTCAAGAAGTCGTTCAAATGGGACTCGCGGTCGGAAACGAAAGCTCGCAGAACGTGATAGCGAAGTTCCCACACTTGACGATCGCGGCTTCCTCCAAGATTGCATGAAGGGCACTGTGTGGGCGAAACCTGTACCTGAGCGAAACAATCTTTATCACGTTGGCCAAGGAGAGAAGGTCGCCCTCCTGAAGGACTGGAAAGCGAAATTTGGTACCGCTTCCCCCCGCAAGGGGCAGGGTGATCGAAGAAAAAAGCCTCAGCTATCGAAAGACGAGTCATGGGCAAATAATTTGAGTTTGGCTGACATGGGTCTAATGAACGCGCGTGGTAGCATGGCTCAAGCAGGCGGCGAAGGTGAAGCCGATGATGAGGATGGTTTGGAGGGCGAAGATGGGGAGGACTATCCAAGTGAGGAGGACGAACAGGACGAAGAGCAGCTTGAAGAAACTGGCACTGGTGACGAGATGAACATCGGGTCTCACGTCGCGGAGCCTACGTTGTCGAATATTCCAGACGCCACCAGTCCTCCTGCAGCCCGCTCTCATCAATCATCCGATATGGCGGCCAGCAGCTCTGACGGCCAACCTAACAAGCGCCGCAGGAAGGATACTACTGCTCCCACATCCCTGATACCCTCGCCGCCCGCTACCAACGGGTCATCGGCACCAGACGCCGGTCGTCGGACACGCGGCCGTGCCAACTCCAGCTCCACCACAGCCTCCACGGCAGCTTCCAAGCCCGTGCAGGGAGATGCGGACACAACTCAAGCGCCAACCAAACGCACGGCTCGAAAGCGCAAGGCTTCTGTATCAGAAGACGACGTGACACCGGAGCTCGAGTCCGCCAAAGGCCGAGCAGCTTCAAGAGCAACCGCTCCGACCGCCAGCAGTCGCGCCAAGCGGGTCGCGAGCATGGCGAACAATGTGGTGTCGGACAGATCCAGTGCGGTGCAAGGCCGCGGCACAGCCCGAACGACTAGGAGTCGGAAGAAGTAGTGATGAATTTTGACCAAGCGGTCTTGAGCGATGGACAAAAAGCCCATGGGAATTCGAGTGTTTAGAAAAGGCGTTGCTTCTGGTCCTACGATATGGTTCATGACAGTGGCGTTGATGATCACTATGGTTTCTGTCTCTACGCGGATGACTCAATGTCTCATCTTGACATTCTCCTTGCAATTGCTCGATGTCGTGGGGGAAAGCGAAGACAGCTCGTGAAGGCTTCAGCGCGCACGATGTGTTAAGTAGCATACCTGCCTAGGTAGGCTCGAGACCAAAAAACGGTACCGAAACGGAGAGAGTTGAGGACGAGATCGCGAATATTTTCTAGAAGCCCAGTAACATTAATCGCTGGAATTGATCCACGTGCCGGCATGTGTGTGAACGTTTATATACAAGGGCTCGATTTCCGAGTATCTGCCCTCCTTCTCCCCCGGCATCACATCCTCGATGCCCTCAATCCAGCTCACGTGTCTGCCCGCCTGAAGTGCTAGGTGTGCGATTACCGGCCGATAACACAGTGGTGGTGATGCACTACAACCGTGGTAGATCGCTCGCGGCGCCCCTGATGCCAAGCCCCCTACCGGGGGCAGGGGCAGATCGAGACGCGTGGAAGCGAGTGACTGACTGACTGACTGACTGACGCCTCCACCTCGACCTCAACACGGCGTCATGACCCGGAAGTGGCGTGCCTATCTGCTGAGGCAAATATGAGATTTCGTACGAACAGGTTCGCTCACATGCCAGCATCCTTGTACTCCTTGTTGAAAGCCCTTCCAATGACCATGCGCCGAATCTCACTCGTCCCAGCCCCGATCTCATACAGCTTCGCATCCCGCAGCAGTCGTCCAGCCGGGATCTCATTCACGTAGCCATTACCGCCCATCAGCTGTATGGCGTCCAAGGCACACTCGGTGGCACGCTCTGCCGCGTACAGAATGGCGCCTGCACAATCTTGCGTTCTGATGGTGCCCTCTTCATCCACCGCCCTCGCCGTTGCCATTGTGTACGCCCTGCTTACCTGTAGTTTGGTGTACATGTCGGCCAGCTTTCCCTGTATGAGCTGGTTGTGCGCAATTGGGGTGCCGAACTGCTTGCGCGTGTGCGTGTATGGAAGCACAAGGTCCAGCGAAGCCTGCATCAGACCAAGCGGGCCAGCGCTCAGCACCAAGCGCTCGAGATCCAGTCCTTCCATCAAGACTGTGACGCCCTTGTTAACAGGCCCGAGGATGTTCTCCTTGGGCACAAAAACATCCTCAAACACGAGCTCTCCCGTATTACTGCCGCGCATGCCTAGCTTGTCCAGCTTCCGCGCCACGCTGAAGCCTTCGAAGCCTTTCTCAACAATGAACGCCGTGATCCCTTTGCTCCCCGCTGCAGGTTCCGTCTTCGCGTACACCACCACGTAGTCCGCATCCGGTCCATTGGTGATCCACATCTTGGTGCCGTTGAGTTTGTATCCGCCGGACACCTCCTCTGCCACCGTCTTCATGCTCACCACATCGCTACCTGCACTGTGTTCGCTCATGGCGAGGGCTCCGACCTTGTCGCCAGATATTAGGCCAGGCAGAATCCGACCTTTCTGCTCTTCATTACCATTCAGGCACAGTTGATTCACGCAAAGCTGGCTGTGCGCTGCGTAGCTCAGCCCAATGCTGCCGCTGGCACGGCTGATTTCTTCCAGAATGATGCAGTGCGCTTGGTAGCCCATAGCCATGCCACCGTACTCTTCCGCGGCGGTGATGCCCAGAAAACCTGCTTCGCCCATCTTCTTCCACATATCATTCGGGAAGGCATTGGAGACATCGGTCTCGTGGGCTACCTCTTCGGGGATCTCGCGACGCGTGAATTCCTGTACCCGCTCGCGAAGTTCGTGGAGATCCTCGGTGGTGGGTGGCTCGAAGCCGGGAGGATGCTTGCTGGATGTCGAGGCATAGCGAACCAGAGGTCTTAGACCAGTGGCAGTCCTCCGGGGTACGCTTTTGTGGAGTGTATGGGTGGAAGCGCGGGCGAGACGGCGAACGAATGTTGAAGCCATGATCACCGTCAGTGTCTTTGGGAAGATGTTGACGGAGAGATCTGAGATGTTGACGACGACGACCGTCCCCTCCAAAAAAGTTTCAGACTGTAAGATCAATGAAGTAAGAATCCCGCATGCCTCGGACCTGACGCTCTGTGCGGCGGTTACCCCGGGCGTCGGCTACCAGCGGCTGTTCCGGGTGTGGGGGAAGCTTGAGTGCGGAATGACCGAGGGGTGCGTTCTTGCTCTGCGCGGACACTGGCTTCTCTGTACCTCTCCTTGGTGAAGGAAACAAAATAATGTACCAGCTCTCCTAAAGTCCCTCACGAGCCATGGCTACCACCCGTACAGCACCCTCCGCGTCGCTGCTCCGCAGCCTGCGAACGGCAGTCGAAAGTCCACGGCCTCACCCTCCAGCATGCTATAGAAACCTACCACGCCGTACTGCCGCGACTTTTACACACCCACGGCACAGCGACGCTATATCTGTGCTTCCTACTCTGGTTGACAAGTCTAGTCCCGAATTCAAGGAGAATGCCTCGCAAATGTCAAGCCTGCTGGAAAAATATGCCGCGTTACACGCAAAGATTGCACAGGGGGGACCTCAGAAGTCGCGGGACAAGCACATCCAGCGTGGGAAAATGCTAGCACGCGACCGCGTTACGGCCCTGACAGACCCGGGCACGCCTTTCATGGAGCTTTCGCCGCTCGCCGCCCATGAAGTATATGGCGAGGACGTACCCGCCGCGAGCATCATCACTGGGATCGGGACGGTGGAAGGCGTGACATGCATGATCGTAGCCAACGACGCAACAGTCAAGGGCGGCACGTACTACCCTTTGACGGGCAAAAAACATCTCAGGGCGCAAGAGATTGCGGAGCAGAATCGCCTGCCGTGCATCTATATGGTAGATTCCGGAGGTGTAAACCTCCCCTATCAGGCGAATATCTTCCCGGACAGGGACAACTTTGGCCGAATCTTCTACAACCAGGCCCGTATGAGCGGCATGGGGATTCCACAGATTGCGGTTGTCATGGGTTCGTGCACAGCTGGTGGCGCGTACGTACCGGCCATGTGTGATGAAAGTATCATTGTCGAGGGCCAGGGGACCATCTTCCTGGCAGGGCCACCGTTGGTGAAAGCGGCAACGGGTGAGGTGGTGTCTGCAGAGGATCTAGGAGGTGGAAAGCTGCATAGTTCCATCTCAGGGGTGACGGACTATTTGGCGGTAGACGATGCGCATGCCATCGTGCTGGCAAGGAGGTCAATTGCGAATCTCAATTACCCCAAGGAGCAGCCTGCGCCGTTCGAGGTGAAGGAACCCCTTCACGATCCGTCAGAGCTGGCTGGAATTGTGGGTACAAACCTCCGGAAGCAGATCCCCATGCGAGAGGTTATCGCTAGGATTGTGGACGGCAGCGAATTCTCGGAATTCAAGAAGGACTACGGCACAACCCTGCTGACCGGCTTCGCGAAGATCAAGGGATATCCGATTGGAATCCTCGCCAACGACGGCATCCTATTTTCCGAGTCATCGCTGAAAGGAGCCCATTTCATCGAACTGTGCTGCCAGCGGAACATACCGCTCGTCTTCCTGCAAAACATTAGTGGTTTCATGGTTGGTGCGGATGCCGAGAAGGGAGGTATCGCGAAGAACGGAGCCAAACTTGTCACCGCTGTTGCATGTGCGAATGTACCCAAGTTCACCGTAGTCGTCGGCTCCAGTGCTGGGGCTGGCAACTATGGTATGTGCGGCCGTGCATACTCACCGCGCTTCCTCTGGATGTGGCCAAACTCAAAGATTGGAGTCATGGGATCCGAGCAGTTAACAGCAGTCATGGAGACTGTTGGCAAAGCCGCCGACCCCGAGCTCCGAGCTCGTATCGACAATGAGAGCGACCCTACTTTCGCGTCAGCAAGGATATGGGATGACGGCGTCATTCCTCCTTCGGAAACTCGAAATATGCTTGGACTTGGACTCAAGGCTGCTCTCGGAGGAGACAGCGAGCCGGTCAAGACACAGTTCGGTGTATTCAGAATGTAGAACAAGGGAAACCGAGCCCGACCAGGGCTTTCTTTTCAGCATGGCGTGGACCAGCGAGTCTATAAATCAGGTGTCTATACGCCTCTAACGCTTGAACGCCTGGGTAATGCTCGAGTGCTGGAACCTCTACAGAATCACGCAGCGGTCTCTGTTGCGCTTTCTGCGGTATCGTTGATCATCACCGTGCCGTTGTGTTCTCGTTCGGGAGAGTGAGTCTGGATTTGCCCCAAAGCCAGCAGAGCCACCGCTCTCTTTCTGAATGATCTGGCGGCACAGGTTGACGAAGACTTCATCGACATTCGTGCGGCGACGAGCGGAAGTTTCGTAATACGGTTTCGAGCCCCAGCCTTGAGCTGCCTGGAAAGCCCTCGCTCGTGAGACGACGCGGTCTTCCTCCATATCACACTTATTGCCGACCAACACCAGAGGCACATCGTCATCGTCCTTGATGCGAATGATCTGCTCTCGGAGTTCGGAGAGTTCGTAGAAAGAGTTCATGTTACAAATAGAGAAAACCAGCAAAAAGCCTTGTCCCTGCTTCATGTATAACTCCCTCATGGCCGTGAACTGCTCCGTACCTGCGGTATCGAGACTGGAGTCTGTCAGTATTTGGTACTTTTGAAGGTGCGACCGTCGAAACTCACATCTCCAGCATTACCGATCGGCCTGCGCAAATTTGCGTCAGTTTTGAATTACAAAAGAGCAAAGCAGGATGTGCTCACCGTCCACGTTTATCTGCTTCCGGTACGAATCTTCGATCGTGGGATCATAGCTTTCGATCCACACATTTTGAACGAACTGAGCTGTGAGGCAGCTTTTGCTGTTCACAGTTGGTTAGCAAGAGCACATGGCAGCTCTCAGCGCGGCTTAGCTCACCCTACACCACCTGTCACCGCTGCCGTCAGTTCAAGCCACAATTCGACGTTGGGAAGCTGCTTACCGGCGCCCAGAACGACAATATTCAATTCCCTCCTGCACGATCAATCAGCATCGTTGAGCTGCTTCAGAGCCCGGGCCTGAAATCACCTTGGCTGCAAGCTCATGCTCCGGACACCCCTTCAGCACAAATAATGTTATCGCCCGCCCCCAAATCGGCCGTACAGCATGGCCTGCCGGTCGTCAAGTACTTCACGATGACGAAGCCGTTCTCAAATGTTGCTGTTGTGATTTGAAATTCTCTGATGGATCAATCGAGAAGAATGCGATATGTCGCAGTCGAAATAAAAGTTCTGGATTCAGCTGCGTGCCGCGGCCAACGGCATACGGACTGCTGGCGTATGGTTGGTACGTCTGGCGAACTTTTCTTTTGCACGAATTTGTACAGCAGCAATGACTTAGGCAGAGTCTTTGGCAGGATAGGGCAAGCGATTGGCATATGCGGGTATATCAATCCCGCTGAACTACATTGCGCACCACAAGCCAAGGACAACCCTTTATTAGCCCCCAAGCCCTAGGACCACTTATACCGAGAGATCAACGATATGCAACCGTCCCGCCATCCTGGAAGCTTTGGACTACACGAAGCATCGTCTTGCGCGGAAGCTGGTCGCCGGCTGTCAACATCCTTGTCACAGGGCCCCTTCTGCTTCAGTACCCATCTTCGGCCCAGTCGATCGCCGCTAGAACACTGGTGTTACGGAGGAGTTGTGCATTCTCCAAGCACACTGGCCCAGTTGAAGATAAGGTGCGTGTGATGTAATGCTCGGGCTGCCCAAATCCAAATGGATTTGTTGCACACATGGCCTGGGGCTTTCCCATCGACCCCGTTTGGAACTCTGGCCCTCAGCAGCGTTTCACTCATCTGTGGAAGTGGCTTTCCACTCAATCGGCACAAGAGACCCTAAAAGCTAACAATGTTACAGCCCGCCACCCTTTCCTCCACACTAGGACATTTTAGAAGGATAGACGCTTGCCGTGGGCAACAGGAGCACGAGTAGCAAGCAGGAGAAGCAAGCACACGAGTGTCAAGAGACCCAGCTGTTGGAAAAAAATCTCCAACCCATGACGCAGAGGCTTGCTGGGGGACTCCATCTGCAGGTACAGCTTACGCTACGGGCCCCACGAGCCTCGCTAAGCCTACACTGACGTCCGAAACTTGCCCCAAAAGTCCATTCGCCGAACGTGGCCGGCACACACACCATACGCAGATACGAAGGTGTTGTTCTCCTCATCTTGGCTTGGACCTTCTCGAAGGATCGTCGATGAAGTTTGTCAGGAGCATGGGGGTCCGATACCACCCTCCGAACCTGCAACGACCATCCTGCGGGCCGGGTTATGTTCCCCGGCGTGTCATCAGAGGACCGGCTGCCAGAGAATCGGAAACAGCACCTCGGTCCCCTCAGGCGAGGCCAGAATCTCGCCAGCGAAGGAGCAATGCCAGTCCCATTGCTGCCAGAGGGCTCAAAGTCCCCTTTAGCCGCAAACCCCTGACCGGTGACGATGCCCCGGACCCTGACCTGATGCACTTCGCTAAAGACGGAATGCGGAAGCAGCCTGAATACACGTACGTGCCGCGGTGACTTGTGACGTCCGCCTCGCCGCATAACATGCCAGAAGTGAGCTCGTTTGATACTCTCCGACTTCAGCCTAATTCTTCGGTTCGGTGAGGATGAAGGCCTTTCATTCCCTGCGCCTCATTCTATGCATCTCCTCTCGGGCACCAACGGGCTGTGCAAAGACGGTTGAAGCCGGATATAATCCGTAGAGGGACACGATGAAGCCTGCCTTGGCTCGCTCACACCTTGCTTTACCCGCGTGCTCAATGAGCTTTGTCTCCAGTCAGCTTCTCCAGGAAGAGGGGCGGCAGACTTGCGTCCCACGTTGTAGACTACCGGCACTTGCTCACATCAACGACCGCCAGAACTCCTTTGTGTATACTGCCACTGGAACACCTGCCGGCAAGGCGTTTTACCGCTCCCATCTTGCTCCACTTCTCTCAAAAACCCGGGCCTCGGATTCTTAAGGCGTATCGAACAGGAGCGAGAAGTCCCTTGAGGAGGTTAGTAAACAAGGTAGGCCGTGAGAGACCTAAAGGTAGACGACCTGCTGGTGGTTCATACATATACAAGGTCAGTGGCAATGCAGTAGTGATGGCCCAAAATCAGAGCAAATCGTGAATGTTCCATTTCTGCTCTCCATTCGGGAAGCGATGCACACGACAGACCTCTTTGTTGAGGCGGGCACACCATGCCAATGGTCACTTCTGCACGGCGGAAATCGAGGACTGCCGATATATCCCCCTCAGATTTGCATAACAGCGCGGTCCTTAGAACAAACTATTGTTACTAGAGACCATACAATGTGAAAGACATTTGTTGGTCATGGTCATGATCGATGAATGCGGCCATGGTCAGCTGCCCCCTGCAGCTTGTGGCTACCATCTGTGCAGGACGTAGTATATGTCAACTTGATGCGGCCTCGTTCTAGGATATGCTTCGCAGTTGGCAGCCCGACCTGTAAATTACGGGCCTCCGCGCGGTGGTAGCACATAATGTGTAAATGTATCGCCCAATGTCTCAGGGCTGCCGCTTGGGTGTGGGTAAGGGGGTTGAAGTCTGATACGTCGCGAAAGCGGATTCGGGGTCAGGAGCTGCCGCGCGTACAGGAAGTCCAGGTCTTATGGAATGGCAATGGCGCTTCGGATATGTGAGACTTGGGTCAAGAATGTATGGTATAATAAGAACTCCGGGACCTCGTAAGGCAGGGTCGAGGGGGGATAGGTAGGTATGCTTCCTGTTCCGTGAGCTCGTGGCAACAGGTATGGCACAATATAAATCATGCCATCACTCATAAAGCATGATCAACGTAGGTAGGTAAATCAACGCAGATAGGTGGGCGTCAATTTTTCAATTCTTTCATTTCGCTGGACCACATGTCTGGATCTGAGCCTGTCATCATCTCAAGATGCCAGCTGCAGTTGCAAGCGGCTTGATAGCAGAAACTTCTCGCATATCGTAGGCGTGAGGCATGGATAAGGGCACTCGTCCGCTTCTCATCGCGAACCAGCCTCTAGTACCGCGCATTGCCCATGCCACGTCATGTTCAACCACTCTTTCCCACGCACACAACAACATGGCCGACCATCATGGACTGCATTTATCGGGTCCTCGCCTGCACCTTGGGAGCGGCGCCCTTCTGCTGCTGCTTGCTGGAGATGCCACCCCGCGACTGGCCCTTGGCGGCGCTGGCGGCCGTCTTCGCCTTCTCGGCCTTCTTCTGCGACTCGGCGGCGGCCTTCTTGTCCTTGCCCTCCTTGATGGCGGCCTGGCGGGCGGCGGCGCGGGCTTCGGGACGCTGGGTGCGGCGCTCCTTGATCACGTCCAGGGACGCACCTACGATGGCGCGCTGGTGCTTGACTGTGCGGCGGCTGCGCTTCTTGGCGACTTCCTGTTTTTTGGAGTGGTCAGTCATCGATCATTTTAGCCTTATAATGGGAAAAGCATCTAAGTCATGGCTGTAGATCGGCAAGCCAGATGTGATGTATTTCGATGCTCGTGTTGTGGACGGGGGGAGAATCTTTACCTCAGAGATACCCTTCTTGTGCATGCGTCGGAAAAGGGTGGTCCAAGCTATTCTGCGAGGGTTCTTGCGCTGGAGGAAGAGGGACTCGGTCTTGCCATTCTGGAAGCGGAAGACCTTGCTGTCACCGCGGACAAAGAGCTTGCCCTGTATTAACACAACTTGTCAGCCCATGTTCATCTCTTAGTCTTGTCGTCTTTTGACTGCATCGCGGCAGTAGTCGGATTATGTCGTTTCGTTTGAGGGAAATGCGTGCGAGGATTTGCGATCGACTGACCTTGCCCGGGTAGATCTTGGTGGCGCTGAAGGTATCGTCGTAGGTACGCATGTTGACGGCTTCTTGCAATCAACTGTACCTGTGTGTGAGAGGGGACGATGTCAAGAGTGGTTTCGGGGATCAGTGAGGTGCCGCAGGCGAGGCACTCGTTGCGCGACTTGCTACGCCAAGCAATGTGCGTTATTCGTGGCTTGGCATTTCTCACTCTTGGCGTGTTTGTCTGAGGTGGAGCCGGACAGGGACTACAAATTTCTGCCGTCGCCCGCAACTTTTCTTCTCTTCTTCATGCGACTGTGAGTTGACCCAACGCACCCCCAACGGTGCCATCACGAGGATTCTTGATACTAATCATGCGACAGTTACTTCATAGAATCATTTCTATAGTAAACGTCCTCTTCTGAGCTCTTCTCACGAGCCACAGAATCCTCACCCTGGTGGATGATTCATGGTCCTTGGTACCCTAGAGTGAAAATGTTTTACTCTCGACGCGCACGGTGTTGCTGGCAACAGCGACCTGTGCAAGAGAGTGGTGATGATCTTTGACCTGAATCGAGGTCTGGCTTCGTGCCGCTTGGTGAGGGAGGTATCAATGGACTGAATCTGACAGGTCACTTTTCATGAATCTCTGCTACTCGCTGGCGGGTTTTGGGAAGAGTTTTCCGAGTTTCGTTTTGTACTACTTTCTTCAGTGCAAGATTGCCTCTATACAAAGCAAACACTTTCTGCCATAATGCTGACTGATGGTGCTGAAAGCTGCCAACTTGCTGTTGCATGTAGATAGGTAGCTAAGCCAGAGCTTTGAAAGCGAGCAGCGCCTATGAGCCGAAATGAGGTACCACAACCTGAGCCACAAATGGCGTATAAGCCGCGATGTCAACGAGCCGAAGGTGCTGAAGGCTGGCAGATTGCTTTTGCATTGCATCGAGTGGGTGGGCGAGAATCCGGAGAAGACAAGCGCCTGTGAATCGAAATGGCTCCCCAGGATGTGAGCCACAACTGGTTCGCAAGATCACATGCCAACAGAACCCCAGTTATGCTGAACCAAAGCTACAAGTCAAGTACGAATGAATCCACCTTCAAGCACTCAGGACTCGCAAGTAAGAGTAAGAAGATAGCATAATTTCAGAACTTTTCTTTCTCATTTCCCGCCGCGCGAGGCGGCCAAGGCGGCCAGGCGACCAAGGCAAAAAGCCAAAAACAACTATTGAATCCTCGATATTCAATCGAGGAAATTTGTCTCCCCCAACGCCCACGCTCGAGAATTGTTTTAACCCATTTGTGAAAAAAAAAGAGAAACCCATTTTCAAAACTTCACCGGCTACCGCCACCTTGCGAGGCAACCCGGGACGACTAGTGCTCCGCGTGGAAGTCACAAGCCGCCCATGGGTCCGCCTTGCAGGCGCGGCAGCAAAGCAACAGACATACCTCGTCGCTGCACTGGCCGCAGCACTCGGAACACACCATCTTCTCGCACCCGCTGCACCTCAAAAAGGTTGGCAGCTCCCGCCCAAAAGGGCCGGACGACTCGATCTCCTCCTTGATGTTGGCGGCACGGTGGCCGGCCTCTCCTCGGTGGTTGACTACCCCCATGCTCGCCGCCTTCCACGCGCAGCACGCGCGGCCACAACGGGCACAGCAACGCTCTGCACACTGGGTGCACCACAGATTGCGGTGCATCCAGCTGCGGGAGGTGCCGGGATGGCGGGGAAACATGGAGGTGTCTGGGCGAGGGAGGGTATTAGTGACCGTCCGCAGGCGCTTCTCCTGGTCTTCCCTATACTCGACTCGGTCGAACTCGGGGGTCTCCTCGGTTGGGGAGCGGAGGGCACCGGCGACGCTGCGTAGACCCAGCGAAACGAAGCGCCTACCGCCAGGCGTGGAGTTGCCTGAGGCAGTGCGCGGGCGCGAGAATAGACCGGCAGAAGAGCGACGATTGCTGGTGGGAGTTGTTGGAGGTGGCCCTTCTCTAGCCGCCTCGGCCAGGGAGAGAATCTCCTCGTCTGGGTTGTTGGCTTTGACGATGTTCAAGAGATTGTTCTTGGGCTCGGGCTTTGCATCTTGGGTCGCCTTTGAGGTCCGCTGCGAGCTGCGAAGCTGGGCGGGAGTCCACGGAACAGCGAGCATAGGTGCCGGGCTGGCCGAACCGAAGGGATCAGTGCGGAACATCGGATGATCGTTGATGTTGGGAGGGGGGCGCTTCTGCAACAGCGGGAATGGACGTGTGATAACGACATTGCTGTTCTGTCCTTCTGTCTGTGTCTGGGAGGTTTGCAGGTTGCGAGCAGGGGCGTTGGCTCCAAAGTCGATGACTCCGATTGCTGGATGTGGTGAGTCCCTGGAAGCTTGAGGTGTAGCTGTGGTTGTGGCTGAAGGATCGGTGGTGCGCTGAGCGGCGACGTTGCTCTCGGTCACAGGCGTAGGTGAGGCAACAGGAGTTCGCTGAGTCGACTCATCGGTTGTTTCCGTGCACGTAGCTGGTGCGGTGGGAGAACGCTGAGGCAAATCATTGCTTACAGTTGTAGTCGTAGCTGGAGACGGAGAGTGTTGAGGCAGATCGTCGCTTGCAAGTGTGGCAGTAGCGAGAGGAGGGTTCTGAGGCAGATCGTCGCTTGCACTTGTGGCCGTAGCTGGGAGAGGAATGTGTTGAGGCAAATCATCGCTTGTACCTATACCCGTTGCTGAAGGAGGAATAGGTTGAACCGAGTTGTCGCTTGCATTTGTGCCTACGGTGTATCGCGGAGGAAGAACCTGAGTTTCGACCCCGATGACGTTTGTGTTGGTCTCGGCGGATGGGCTGGCAAGAGAGTGTGTAGTAGAATCGGGGTTGATGTCGGCTGCCTGTGACAGACTAGTCAAAAGCTGAGCTGAGTCTCCGGACTGCGGATTTGGTAGACTGGCATTGCTGGCGTTGGTGCAAACCTCGCCGTGAAGACTGGCGGTGTCAGGTCTCAAGCTGTCCGAATCGACGGCAGCCTGGTTGACAGCTCCTCGACTGGTGGCGGATGAAGGTAGAGTAGCATTGCTCGAATTCCAGTGAGCGTGACCATATTCGGGTCTTCCAGTTCTGAAAACTTCAAAGTCGAGGACCCTAGGTGGGGTGTTGTTGTTCGAAGGACTCGGTCGCTCAACTTGCTCGTTCGAGTTGCTGGACGTACCCATTGCAAGAATTTGTTGCGGAGGGAAGGGCTCAAAGGTGCTGCCAGAAATCGAAAGGTGTCTGTCATCACCTTGAGTCTCTTGGTTGTTCTGGTTGTTTGAGTGAGAAGACATGTTGTCGTCGGAGATCGGAGGCTGGACGGGGTTCTGAGGAGGTGCACCTAGTAGGCCCTTATCATCAACAGTCTCGCCAGATGGTAAGGCAGGAGGCACTCTAAGATGTCTGATCTTGTTCTTGACTCTGCCAAAAAGTGATTGTGCGGGTGCCTGAATGTCCACATCGTCGTTGCGGGAAGTGAACTTGTTGAAGGCCTGCCGGATCAACTTCGGCAAAAATGGCGAGGCTGACCGCTTTAAGGAGTTGCCTTGTTCTGCACGTACCTCATTGTCTTGAGCACCAGTGACTTGGGCAGGCGTCTGAACTTGCAAACCATCTCCAGCACTGGTTTGATTGCTGGTTTCATAAACCGTCCAATATCTCCTGTCTCTAAGTCAGTACTCCTCATCTCAGGCATGGTGGACTGCAACTTACTCCGGACTTGTCACCCGAGGAAGCGCCGTTAGCCCTTCAGTGCAATCGCTATCAGCCGACCGGGCGCCAGGCTGGCTCTCGCCCTCGTCGTGTGAAGCCTGATCGTTGTCACCAGTGTCATCTTGCCTGTCTCCAAGTCAGCACTACTCGTGACTTAATGGACCGCAACTTACTCTGGAGTTTCAACCCGAGGAAGCGCCGTTAGCCCTGCATGGTAGTAGTCATCAGCCGACAAAGTGCCAGCTGGGGTCCCGTTGCCGCCCTGCAAAGAGGGCATATTGCTGCTGGAACGCAGGAAATGAGTGGCAGATAAGCCTAGTAACGAAGACGCTGCTCAGAGGTAGGACGAGAATGGACGGAGGGTCGAGTTCAAAAGATGAAGACATGCTGTGAGAAGACATACTGCAGCCTTGAAAACCAGTCAAAGGTTCGTTTTAGATTAGTCCTAGCCGTATATGGCTGAGCCGTATAGGGATCCGGAGAGAGACATACGGGGAGAACCCCAACGCAAATAAATCCCCTGGTGAACATCAAAGCACAGCAGAAGCCACACAACGGCAAGAAGGCCATGAGTTGAGAAGAGGAGGTAGTTGTATGAAAAGTACCAGGTGACAGACGATGAGAAGGTGGAAGAGTAGGGCCTTGGGAGGCGCAAAGGTAGATTGATGTAAGTGAAGCGGATTGCATGGCTCACCTGCACTGCAGAAAGCTTCACTTCCGCATCTTCACATGAATGTCCAAACAGCGGCTCTATTCATCTCTCATTCCTTCATTGCTCATAGTCGCTGACCGAACTGGCTTTGCCTAATGCCAAATGGCTGTGGTGCAGTTGATACCGAAGAGATGCTCCAGTCTAATCGAAACGAGTCCAGTCCGTTTCCCATTGAAATGAACATTCGCCCATGGTTCGCCAGACGTCTCCAAATCTAAAGACCGGCCGTCAGGCCATAGCGTGAGTCCTGGTCCACTCCCGAGCAGTCTGAATAGCGGCCGGCTCGTCCTCCTTCCATCGCTGAGCAACGTCATTGGCTAGTGGGTCGTCCGGATTTGGTGCGCCTAGCAGTGCTTGTATGGAAAGAAGAATGGTTCTAATTTGGAGTGCCGGAGACCAGTTACCTGCGAAGTTTTAGACTTGATTACCGTAGCAAGGATTCAACGCTTACTTTTCAAGACATCTAAGCAGATGCGACCGAGCTTGTCGATATTGGGGTGGTAGATCTTGGTGAGAAATCGAATCTTAGGCGGGGTCATTGGATAATCATCCGGAAGGAAGAGCTCGAGTTTGAAGATTCCACCTGCTACCATTAACATGGAGGCCCGAAGAGGTTGTGCCGGGCTACTGACCTTCATATGGCGACTGAGAAGGACCATGTATGCTGACGTCGAAGTATCGTAGATTGTCCTCATGGGGCACAGCGCTGATGCCAGGGACCCTGTTCGACTGTCAGAAACGCTTCCGACATCTCGCCAGTTGCACCCACGGCTCGGCCATCAATCTCTCCGTCTCTTTGATGATTCTCTTGGGTAGCGCCATGACGGCGGCAGTGGTCGTGTGCGGTAGATGTGTTCAGGTAGAGGATTGGCGTGCGCCCAGAGTGAGGGGCACGAGGACGGGATGCGATGTCGAATCTGCTGGCTCAGACGATCACTGACAAGAGAACGCAGTAAAGGAGCTCGAACGTATCTCTTGAGCGGATAAGAAGCGGTTTGTCCAAGGGTGGGTTGAAGTTATGCTCAGGGAAAGTGAAGGGAATGGGTCGATCAGGTGGAAAGCGCAGGCAGGGACTACCTGCGAGGCTGAAGTTCAAGTTGTTCTGAGGCAAACACTTAATGGAGTCTTCACTTTTGCCGACCACCAATCACGTAAAGAGACTCTCGGAGAACGCCTCGAACGCCTCGGCGGCGGTATCGGAAGTACCCAGTCTCACAACAAGTACCACCGGCGCAAGACCAGACAAGTGCTACGTGCCAACTCAAACTTGAGATAACAGTTGAGACTCCATCGGACGACCGAGTATCCAAAATCATCATGACGACTCTGAAGGCCGGGGACAAGTTCCCAGCAGACGTTACTTTTAGGTGAACCCCTCCCCCACCTCGTTTGCTAACAACATCGGGCACGCCGCTGACAAGGTTGCCAGCTACATACCGTGGACACCGGAAAGTTCAGAATTGACCTCGTGGTAAGTATGCATTCCAAAGCAATTCCACCATATTGTCAAACAAGTATTCCCAGTTGCGAGGTTCAACACGTAAATGCTCCTCAAAGACTGAAGAAATTGACAGCTGTCAGTGGCATTCCCGTAACCTACAATGCGTCCAAGGAATGGGCGGATAAGAAGGTGGTCCTTTTCGCCGTCCCAGGAGCGTTCACCCCCGGTTGCAGCGTTCGTCACCTTCCCGGATACATCGAGAAGCTAGACGAGATCAAGGGCAAAGCCGTCGACATTGTTGCTGTTATCGCTTTCAACGATGCGTTTGTCATGTCTGCTTGGGGCAAGGCCAATGGTATCAAAAACGACGATATCCTCTTCATGAGCGATTCAGAGACGAAATTCAGTAAGAGCATTGGCTGGAACCTGGGGGAGAGAACTGCCAGATATGCCATGATCGTCGATAAGGGAACCGTTGTCTATGCTGAGAAGGAACCAGCAAGAGACGTTACGGTCAGCGGCGCAGCAGCAGTTCTGGCTAAGCTGTGATGCCAGTCTTGGGACCATGCTACAATGCGTTGTGCGTCACTAGAGATAGTTCGAGCGCTGTAAAGAGAGACCCAACAGGACTAGACGATCTTTTGAATATATGTCGATAAAGAGACGAGTAAGCAGACCTCACGAAGAGACCAATGCCGCCAAGTAACAGGATTTGCTACACAGAGGTGATGTATACGAACACATAGACATCGAGGTAAGAACCTGTGGAGAAGCTCTCATGCAGCAGGCTATCATCATCCGGGGAAGCGTGATCCAAGCCGTGCAGCTCGGTTGTTGATACAGCTTGAGCCACGCCGCGGGGCACGCTTTGACAGATAAAGCAAGCGCAACCCACAGCCCGCAAGTGGCCGCTGCAGCCCTCGAACGCCCCTGTTAGAATACTTGACATCGACTTCCCTTCCCAAGAATCCTCTTATGTTGCATTGCTAGGAGCCTAGAATTGGTTAGAAGAGCGCCGGAGCGTTGATCGACTGGTCTCGCCTCGCCTAAAGGACGACGTAATTTTGCTCGTGTCGATGCCCCTCCTCCACACGGCTCCTCCTTACCACCTACCCACCTTGCTGCTTCTGTTACGGCCATAGGTTGCAGCAGTTTCTGCCCCTCACTTGGGCGACTGCTCGCCTCACATGCAACAAGTAAAAACCTCAGACGACACGCCTCCTTCTCCATGGCCAATTGATCCTGCTTGGATTCCCTTTACCTCTTCCTACCGCAATCGAAACAAGCTGTCCACGAAGCCTCGAACTCCGCTAATTTACCTTATCTCAGCTCTCGTTGTGTTCCTAGTCATCTTTGCGCAGCTATTCGTTTCACGAGACCACACCTCCGCTCCTCTGCCCACACCTGTACAAAGGTCTGGTTCGTACAGTCGGTTCGGTGACAGCGTCTATAGACAAGAGGCGTACTTTGATCAATTAGAACCCGGCACTCAGTGCAAGCCCAAGAACATCTTCTCAGACACCTTGCCTACCTCTCTCGCACCAACAAACATGGCGCTCGCGGACGAAGTCAAGCGAGTTGCCGCACTCTTCGAGTATCCTGCGGAAGAGGTCAATAAGGGCGTCAAAGAATATCTCAGGCAAATGGACGAGGGTCTGGCGAAGCAGGGCACCATGCTCAGTCAGATACCCACGTACGTCACAAACGTACCAAATGGAACTGAGAAGGGCACTTACCTCGCCGTGGACCTGGGAGGCACCAACTTCCGAGTGTGCTCCGTTGTCCTACATGGCAATCATACGTTCTCTCTCCAGCAATCCAAAGTCGCCGTTCCTCGAGCTCTGATGGAGGCCCAACATGCCACTGAGCTGTTTCACTTCCTGGCACAGCAAATTGAAGCCTTCCTCAAAGAGCACCACAATGACCACTTCGAGAAGCATAAGCAAGCCGGTCTTGGAGAGCAGGAGTTCTTTGATCTAGGCTTCACCTTCAGTTTTCCTGTGAACCAGGTCGGCATCAATAAAGGCTATCTCATGCGATGGACTAAAGGATTTGACATTGACGAGGCTGTTGGCAAGGATGTCTGTGGCTTGCTGCAGAAGGAAGTTGATGCACTGAAGCTACCAGTACGAGTAGCGGCGTTGGTCAATGACACAGTTGGTACCCTCATGGCTCGTTCTTATACGTCTCCTGGTAAGACCAAGACGCTTATTGGTGCTATCTTCGGCACTGGTACCAATGGAGCCTATGTGGAGAAGCTGGACAAGGTCACGAAGATGAAGAATATCGAGGCTGAAGCGGGAAAGGCTGACTATGACCGCTCAACCGGGTTAATGGTTGTCAACTCGGAATGGGGAAGCTTCGACAATGAGCTTCGAATTCTTCCTAATACTCCCTATGACGTGGACCTGGACAAGGAGTCTGTCAACCCCGGCATTCAGATGTTTGAGAAACGCGTGTCGGGCATGTTTTTGGGCGAAATCCTGCGTCGAGCACTATTGGCTCTGTACAAACATTCGGACGACAAGGTGGCGCTGTTCAAAGATTCGAGCTCCGCTGACAATGACACCAAGAGCACAACTACTGTCGCTAACAACAGCCCCCTCTACAAGCAATGGGGTATCGACACTTCCTTCCTATCCATAGTCGAAGAAGACAGCTCGGACCAACTTCGGATAACCAAGCAGACGCTAGAGAGAGAGCTTGGAGTTTCAGCACCTTCAACGGAAGACTGCGTTGCTGTCAAGGCTCTCGTACACGCCATCGGCAGACGTGCGGCTAGACTCAGCGCAGTTGCACTAGCCGGCGTCGTGATTGGCACAAACAAGCTCAAGGAAGATGAGCTCGTCGACATCGGCGTTGATGGTAGTCTGGTTGAGTACTACCCAGGCTTTGAAGATTATATCCGCGAAGCCTTCCGAGAGATCGAAGGCATTGGCGAAGATGAGAAGCGCATCCGCATCGGCCTGGCAAAGGATGGCAGTGGCCTAGGTGCGGCTCTGATTGCCCTCGTGGCAGCCAAGGCCTAGCAGGCAAAAATCTGGAAAAGAGCGCTTCGACATAGACAACAGCAGCATTCGTCCATGGACGGCGCTGAGGACTGGATCGAGACGAACGGCCTGAGACGGTGGATCGAGTCCTGCGACGACTGGGAGGAACAGCCTACGCCTACCACGAGGCTCGTTATCCCAGACAACAAACGGGAGTTTCACTTCGGGCAGAAGTGGTACACTCGGATCCCGCCAAGTGTCAAGCGAGTCGTATCTCAGCACTCGTACCGTCAGGCTTCTGGCAAAACCCCCCGATATCAGCAGCATACCGTAGCAAGCTTAATGAAGCAGCGGCAGTCATCACTGTAGCCTGAAAACGGTGGCATGAATATACGAATAGCATAGTGGCATTAACATGGCATTGAGTCAGTCACTCACCGACTATCGAGATCTTACAGCACCCACTGCTCATTGTCCTCATCGTGCTGCACTCTCCTCCACACATTTGTCCTGCCTTCTCCCCTCCCCTTTCCCTTGTCGTTTTGCTCGCCGTCCTTCGCCTTCCAGATCGGTCTGATCAGCCCTCCACCTTTCAACAGAGGATTGTTGCTGAAAGCTCCCGTGCCACTAGTGAGCGCCTGCCCTTCCATCTCAGCCTCGCCATGCTCATCCGTATCTTCATCCGCCTCATCCGCAACCGCCGCCGCACTTGGCACTTTCTCGCGCTGATACGTCCGCACCAGCTTTCCCTTCTTGTTGAAGCCCAGACTCACCACCTGCCGCGTCTTCTCGTACTCGGGTCTGCTGCTCTCCTCCAACTCCCGCAGATACCGCTGCTGCTGCTTCAGAGCGGCAGCGCGCTGCACGGGCGTCATCCACTGCGTCTGGCCGGGGGTCAGCATGCTGAAGTCGGCGGCCTCGTCGTGGATCTTGGTGCGGCGCGTGTTCTGCGACTGGTAGGCGAGCAGCTTGTCGCGATGGGCCTTGGCGGCGGTGAGGGCGGCGAGGTTTTCGGAACTGGAGGAGGGGGAGACGCCGACGGAGGTGGAGGGCGTGCCGGTGCGGGAGGATGCAACGCTTAGATTGTGGGCGATCTGGCGCTCCGTGCCTCGCTCTTGCTTGAGGGAGGCGATCATGGATTGAGTCTCGGCTGGGCTGAGGATTGGCGTGGCGCAGAAGGAGCAGGGCTGGAGGCCTTCTAGGGCGCAGATGATCTTGCCGCAGGAGAGACAGTTAGGTGCTGTAGTGAAGAGAGGGTGAATGCTGGCATTGCAGGTGCATTTGCGAGGGGCGCTGGGGTTGGAGAGCGAGGGATTCGTGCTGAGTTCAAGGGCCGTGATGGCCGACGTGAGGTCGGAGATGGATGAAGTTGTGGTAGTGTTTGTCCCACCGCGGGACGGGGATCCGGAGGAGGGTCCGTGGTGCTTCTTGTGGGATTGCTTGGAGCGGACATTGGGGAGGTATTCTGAGATAAGGTTGCCTTGCGCAGAGGGTGGAGGGCGGTTCGTTGCACCCACCATCTTTGGCGGGTTGCGCGGAGATCCCTGGCTTGATGCGGTCGGTTGAGGTTCGTGTGCAGTGACCACGACCAGATTGATAATGCTTCAGCAGCACAACTCGTGGGCTACAAATTCTGGTTTGGTTATGGTGGCGCGGGGATGAATGACTCATCGACACATGGGAGTTGTCAGCAAAGAGATTCGGTCGATATCGACTCTGGCTTCTGTCCAGAACACCTGGCTGCCGGAAATTGATGGAGTACGGGTTACAACAGAGATCTGACCAAGAACGTACGAATGCTCAAATCAGTGCTTTTGGTGGGGGCGTCTGGTCGCGTGGCTCGTATAGGTCGTATCGATAACCCAGCCCCCTCGGCCCCCTCAAACCTGAAACCGTAGCGTCGCTTAGCGTTGGTGTACCTTGCAGAAGCAGGGTCACGTGATGCTCAGGGCAGCCGCTTCAACAACTCCCAGGGTCACCATGGTATGACTTGTGAATCAGAGCTGGCGCGGAGGGAGCAAGACCGTTTTTTGAAAGAACCTCTCCCATCTCACATCCCGCGATCTTCTCCTCTACGACCCGAGCAACTCAACCCCGGCCTCTTTTCACAGGCTGCCGCCTAGAGACGCGCTGTTGCCCAACCATCCCTTGCTCTCCCATCCTCGCTTCAGCTGAGAAACACCAAGGCCCACTGTTCAACGACACCACCATTCAGCTGCGCCGAAGAACGTTTTTCGACGGATGATTCTTTATTAGAGGTCGACAAATCGAACGTCATCGGCCATGTCTTTGTTGCAGGCCTGTTAGGCCGAATGGTGCGGTCAAAGCAGCTGTTTACCCAGTCAACTCCGCGTGTAGTCCCTTTGCTGGACATAGGTTCCTCAACATGATGGAAACAGAAGCACCTGTGGTGCCAAACATGATACAACCCGACGACGTTCGCATGCCACGATCGACTCGCTTTGATGTGAGCTCGCCCCGCGCTTCGAGCGAGAACAACCGGCCAAATATCAATCCTCCCGATCTGAGATCACTGACCCAAGATTCGCCTCCACGGAAGCGCGAAACTAAGGGTACATCACCCATGTTCGCCGCGAACACTTTGACCGCCGAGCAAACAACTGAGCTGTTCCAGAAAAGACTGGCCGAGGCCCAGCAGCATAATGAGCAAGTCCTAGATAAGGAGGGTGTGACCGACGTCCTTAGACCAAAAGTCACACTCGACCTCGGCAGTTCCTCTATTGCACGTCTGCCCGAAGCGGTCATCGACCTGATTAAAGATGAAGTGGACCGCCTAGCGTTGTCTTACAATCAAATATGGCATATTCCCTTGCGAGTACACGAATGTACACATCTACGATACCTCAACATCAGGAATAATGTGTTTCGAGAGATTCCCCGCGGTGTGTACAAATTGCCATATCTGGAGATTCTCGACATTAGCAGGAATAAAGTCAAGAAGATATCGCGAGAGATCCGCTCGTTGAGTTCGCTAAGAGTGCTCTCAATCACCGACAACAAAATCGATGAGCTTCCAACAGAACTATGCGAGATGAATATGCTCGAACTCCTTCGCATCAGGGGCAACCCTCTGAAAGAGAAACTGAAAAAGGTCATCGAGGCAAAGGAGGCTGAAGTATCGTTCCTGGAAATGAATGAACAAGAGCGAGAGAAGACAATCACTGCTGAAATCAAGAGGCATCTTAGGGCATCCCACCCGGTCATTGCGCCCATTGATGTCGAGGCTGCGCAGCAGTTCGAAGAACCTCCAATGGAGACCCCCAGGCCTGCGAAGCGAATACCTAGCAGTCGCTTCCCTGTTATCCCATCGACTGGTAACTCAGACGGCTCCTCGCCGCCGAACATGATCAATCCGCCTCCCATTCCAACCCGTTCGCATTTTCGTATGACTTCTGGACAAGGCATGGCAATCAAGCGGCCTGGAATCGCACCACTGATCTCCAGCGATCGGATAAGAAGCAGCTCTGATGCTATAGTTCAGAATCCGCGAGCTAAGCGCATGGGCATGCTCCGGAACAAGGCGGAGCTGGATTCGATAGAGGAGTCTAGAGCAAACAGAAACAGCCACTTACGAGGATTCAGTCATGCGTCGGCACTGAAGCGTGGAGGAGCACTGGCTTCTCCAAGTACAAGCGCTGGTACATCAAGTCCCAACAGCCCACGAAATCGTCGCGAGCAATACGTTCGGCGCCTGTCGAGCTTGCCTGAGCACAAGGTCGAGAGTGAGTGGCAAAACCCGGTCGTACAAGGCGGTAAGGGCATACTGTACGCCCTGTACCAGGTACACCCTCAGATTTCTGGTCTCCTTGCAGCCGTCCGAGGCCGCGATGGGAAGCGTTCGAGTCTGGAGGTGATCTTCTTCTATGCGTCAACCCATGTCGATCGTCTGAACGAATCACTGGAGCTTGCCGACGCGATGGATCCAGACGATGCTGTGGAATACGAACAGGTTGAAGAACGTATCAAAGAGGATTGTGCTCATTGCATCACCGCTTATTCTCAGGTTGCCTCACGGTTACAGGATAGCATGAAGCGGATAATCGCAGGCAGTGATCCCAGATACGTACGCACTCTAATGCTGCTGCTATATGGGAGCGTTATGGAATTGAGAAACGCGATCAGTGGCTTCGGTTTTGATGTCAGGGTAACGACTTTCAGCCACAAACGCCAACGTTCCAGCGGGTCAAAGCATCCGATCCAGACCATTCCCGAGGAATTCGTGGCCGTCAATCGGTCAGCAACCCCAACGCGAGAAGGCATCGTGCATCAACGACCCGGACTGAGGTTGAGGAGTGATACCACCATTCAGCACCCGCCCCCTGAGAACTTGAGCACACCACAACCCACTCCAGTAAATCAGTCGATGCATCTGACTGGCACGACGATGAATGGCAACACATACCACAGCACTACCACAAGTTCGACGAATGGCACAACTGTGGCTGGTAGCTCTTATGGGTCGCGGTCGCGGTCGAATTCACGTAACACGAGCAATCCTTCCTCGATGGCATCGTCGATCGCAAGCACTCCGCGGTCGAACGATGGCTTCCATTTGCCTCGATCAACGTCTTACTTCGCTCGCATTAACCCCTCCACAGGCCTGACGGAAAGCCAAGAAGAGGCTTTGTTCGGGCAAATCTTTATGTCACTGACACGAGCCTACGAAGCTGCATTGCAAGCAGTACCGACCGCGAGGGAGCATTTTAGTCGCTGCCTCGACGCTTCCAGAGAGGGTCGTCAGACAAGAGCCATCCAAGAACTCTGGACAGCCCTTGTTTACCGATGCAAGCAGTGCTACGATGTCAGCGAGGCTCTCCAAATGCGGCTGACCAGTATGCGGATCAAAGATGAAGGTGGCCGGAACGACCCTTCATTCTGGCTTCTGTGCAAGACCTTTCTGCAAAGTTTCGTCGAACTCGTCACCGAGATGAAAGAACTGCGGAATCTACGTTTATTGCCACAAGAGCTAATACTGATACTCCGGCCCGTCCAGAAGACTAGTCGCGAAGCAGGTCGATTGATCGAGCAGAGTCCATGGCGAGCTCTAACTGATGGGGTAACCACCATGCCAGCGCCAACGCCCTACACCTCAGGCTCTGGAATTCCGCCACCCGTCAGGTCCGACAGCTTCGATACTCCTCATCTCGGGCCTCCTGTGCGGAGCGACAGTTACAGCTACATGAATGGCGGAGGAAACGGTAATGGCTATCCCGTTAGAGAGAACTTGAGCTTGTCTACGGCGCCCCAGCATCCACAGTTGCTCCGCATGCATACATCGCCATCGGCCATATCATCCGCCCCAGCTGTACAGCCTCTGTCGGCGCTGCCACCAGACCTATCCGCTGTTCCAGGTTTTGACCGCATGCACGGGCCTTCACCCCTGACGTCCCCGCTACCTGCCACCCCTCTCTCTGCAGCACTGGGCCCGGCGGCACAGGCGACTATTCCGACATCAGCGCCTCCGACTGCCGTACCTACATCGGCGAATCCCATGTCTGCAGCCATGGCAATGGGACCAGGATGGACGCTCAAGCCTAATCAGAGGGACGATAGGGGAGAAATGCCACCAACACCGGCAACAGCAAGTTTGATCAGTACTGGATTCGGTGGAACGGAGAAAAGTACCGCAAATGGCTATGGAGGAAGCAATCTTTTTCGAGGGGATGTGTTCCAACGAGCAGATGCCTTATTGAGTAGCACGGGCAGTGGTGGCACGGGCATGAACTGGAGTATCCGTCGATGATCAACGTAAGCCCAGCCATGGAAGGGTAAAAAAAGTTCAGAGAAACGAACAAAGGGAAAACGGTTGCATTTAATGAACAAAAAGGAAGGCCTCACGACGAGAGACGACAGCTTACGGCCTCGCTAATGAGTTTGTTTTTTTGGGTACCGCGTACTCACAACGGGATATCAAAAGTCGGGCAGGGTAACGAACGCGTGCGTGCATGCGGAATACAACACAATCGGACTAGCTGGAGATAGGAGCGCGCAATTTATCCCTGGCATTTAATGTGTGGCATTGAATGCTGCATACTACAGCAGCCGAGCCAGAGGCTCAAGCTCCGTGGTTTGCGGGCTGTACCGCACGGCACCGGAAAAGCTGCAATGCAATGTCTAGAAAAGGAGCAGCAGAAGGAGGAGATGGGAGTTGGGAGATGGGAGATGTGTGGGAAAGCAAGACAAAGATGCGCGCCCGCAAGCCGGGCAGATAGTGGAAGGAGAGGGAGAGGGAGGAGATACTTTTATCTGGTACATTAGTGTATTATGATGTACGACATGCAGGCAAACCTACCTAATCCCTTCACGCTTCTATCATCGTTGCTTCTCCTGTTCAATACCACGGGGTGGGGGTTTCTTTGCTCGTGATGCAATGTGCTGACGAGGAAGAGGAAGAGGAAGAGGAAGATGGAAAGTGACCGTGGAAAGGAGAATGATCTCAACGCTGATCTTTGTATGGTTCCGCTCTCGTGCGAATGTCGAGGAGAATTCGAGCACAGCTCATGTAGCCCGCCAGCCCCGCTGTGCATCAGCGGCTTCGTCCCTTCGACTTCTCGCCACGGCATCGTGCAGCTTCTGTGTGCGGGCCCACGCCTCTCCGTCCTCATCCATGCGCTCCGCGAGCCAACTGCCCATCGCTGTCGCCGTTGCCACGTCTTCTCCATCCTGTCCTGGCACCACCTCCGTCACGCCCACCTGCTCCTCGGCATAGCCTGTCTCCCGTCCCCAGAAACAAGCCCGGCGCAGTAGGATGCTCAGCTCCTCTGTTTGCCGGTGCAGCAGCCAGCCGACACCGTCCTGTACGTCCGTGGGCGGGGTAGTAAAGATCTGGAAACGCGGGAGGGTGATGGACTCTGGGTTACCAACGGGCGGCCAGCGGCGGAGGACTTTGCGGCGGCGAACGGGGCGGCGGTCGTGGTCGTGCGGTGATAGGGGAGGAGTAATGGTTGGTGGTACGAATGGCGGAAGATCGTCGTCGTAGGGGCCGTATGTAGACATGTCGTGATTCGCGGCCTCGTGGGTGGGAGTTGTGGGAGGCGTGATAAGATGAGCAGCGGACTCTTCAGTAGCTATGCCGGTAAGAGTATCGTCGGAGAGACCGTCAAGCAGACCCAGGGCTTCGGCGTGCGTTGATGGCGTATCACGGCCAGGTGCCCGCAAGAAGAGGACAGGTGATGCGAAGGGGTCGAAATACGCGGAGGGCGTAGGGAAGAGCTCTGTCCTTGAGGCGATCAGAGATTGTGCTGCTGCGGCTATGGAGTCTGGATCCCCGCCTGGTTTCTTGCCCTTGCCTGCAGGGTTGGGGGTCCCGTACTCGTCGAGCGAGACCCAATCTACTACAGCATTGTGCACAGCGACTGCGGAGATGACATTAGGTTCGCTGAGTGCTAGCCCCGTGGCGAGAGCGCCGCCGATGTGTGAGCCAGCGAGATAGATATTGGGATCTTGTGCATCACTGTCCGACGTTCGAAAGAGGGCCGGGAGGATGGTGGAGATAATGTAGTTGAACGAGACGGCGACGTCATGTATCGGCTGGGGAAAACGATGGACAGGCTTCGAGCTCGAGATGTCAAATGAAGGAGGAGAGAGACGATAATTGATTGCGAGCTGCGTGACGTGCTGGTCTAGAGGCATGGGCCACGCCAGCGGAGGGCTCCATCGTGGGGAAGTCAGAGCCGGGCCTGGAGGGAGATGGATGAGCACCGACGGCTTCCGTTTGGGTTCCGGCCGCGTCGAATGGACTACACTGCAGGTGAATCAGTGGTCAGATCGGAACGGTGATGCTCCATGATCATACTCGACATGTACATCACCACTACCCCCAACGGGTACCTGCCAGGTCTGAGAACGAGGCGACAGACGTGTTGACGAGGCGCTTCTGCCGACGCTACAGTCCGGCCAAATATTACGGATTGGCGCGCCCAAACAGCGAGTTAGGGATAGGAACATCACATGCTTGTATAGTTGTTGCAGAACGCTAAGATTCGCCGTGCTACAGACGCGTGATTAATGGTGGTGGTGCACGAGGCTGCGGATCTCAGCCTTGTGGACGTCTCTTCGACGTTAGGGAGAGCTAAAGGCGTTCACCTATCTTTTACGATCGACTAATCCTACTGCGACGGGGCCGGAGCAGAAACATGAGTATTTTACTGCATCTCGACATTGTCGAAGGCTCCATGTGATATGTGATGTAGGAAGAGCGGTATAATGTCCCTGTCTGTCTCATGCGAGGCTGAAGCTCGCCTCAGTACGCTAGCACCGATATCTTGCAGCCGGTCTTGTGCATGACGCCGAGCGATCGGTAGGTCTCTTGCTCCGCCAGTATGTTCTTGTGATCCCGACTCGCGCATGTCAAGATGTTCTCTTCGAGGATGGCTCATGATTCACTGCGAGAGGACCTCAAGATCAATTGGAATTTTGAGTATACCACAAGGAAGCCTGACGACAGATACAAAGCCGAAGATAGAAAGCTAGCCAACCCGCCGACAAGTTCAGACAACCTTATAAAAGCCCTGTCGGAGGCAGACGCCTCTGGACTTCGACCAAACTACTACTCGTTCAGCGTCCTGACCAAATTCCTGGGCAGTGCCCACATTGATACTTTACTCAGGCCGCCAGGGAATGCGGCTTCGAGAGCCAAGCTCGCATTCATTGATGACCGGCGCGATAGCGATTCAGTGGGTGGTGCTATCCGCAATGTGCGCTCTACAGATCATCAAGCCATCCCGCAGCCAGGAACATTGCCATGGATGGCTGCCGTGGACGCATGTGGGCTCTACAACCGGCTGAGGCTACCGGTGAGTATCTTCCATAGCTCGGCACGCCGCTAAAACCACATAGAGAGCAGGCAGCAATGCGGAACGGCGTATCATGTGGGTGGGGAAATGCTGTTTTGAGCACCTAGGCATTGACATGAACAGATACGTCCAGAATCTTGGCGCGTTATATGCTGCTGTTCTACTCTCAATGGCACCGAACCGCTTTGCTTTGGATATTCGAGATTGCCTTCAGCGATACCTGACCCATCGTGCCCTTTTCAGAATATCTCCCGTCAGCGAGCCCGGGCTCCCAAGTGATTCATTGAGCGCTGATGGATGTACAGCAATCTTTTGGCTTCGTGCTCGAGTTTCATCTGCCATACCTCGCTTTGCGACCCGCGGGCAATCGAAAGGATGACCGGGACCGCAGGCGACGGCACAAGCTTCCCACTCGTGACGAAGCCAGGATGCGGGGAGCCGCTCAAAGATGGGAATACCACGAGGCTCAGATCTCCTTACTTTTGGTCGGTCCCGACGAATGGTTCTGGACAGCTTACTGCTTAGTTGACACCTTCTTCGGGAGCGAGAAGTCTGTTGTGGATTATCTCGGGTCAGATCCGCCGCTCGATCCATCAGGCGGCGGTACGATTTTCGTGAACGAGCCGATCTGGAGTCCGCGAGAGTACTTCCTTAAGATTCTCTCAGCGAGGTTGGAGCAAGTCAGTCAAGAATGGTCTGATTTGGGAGCTGCAATAGATGCTCAACTGGTGGATTATGTGACCGCTCATCGCGCCCCGCAATAATCCAGGGCTAACAACGATAGGAAGAAGCGTACAACTCGAATCTGGAAGCCGGAAAGTTCATTGATGATCCTAAGAACAGCAGTGTGAAGCTGTTCATGCATGTGGTATCAGTGCTTCGCCATTTTCGCGAGGTACTCGGCCACACCTTGTACGCGTGGGACGCGTTTCTGGCTTCGGATTCCCATTGCTTGATCCATAGTGACGAAACGACAGATCAGAAATGGCGTGTATCTTTGAGCGCCTGCAAAGCCGCGGTCTTCGAGATGCAGTTTCTCGACCGGGTGCTGAGTCGGAAAATTGAGCTGTTCAACGGAATGAAAGACGACGTATGTGACACAAGCCTCGGTCCAGCTTTCAAAATCACGCCGCTGAACCTAGCCAAGCTCATAAATGCGTCGGTGCTCGAGGAAAATCGAGTAGCATCCGGGCAAGGGAGGGATGTATCAATCTTGACGCAAACCACAGTGGTAAGGATGCAACCATTTTGGTATACTGGCTGAATCTGGTACAGTTCTATCTTCCGTTCAACCTCGCGACGGTTCGTCCGGCGGACTGTTTGATGGCTTGTGAGACTGATGATTGTAGGCAGCCTTCTCCATATCCATGGTTCAGGACAGTACGCCTTGGCGGTGGTTCGTAGTAGTTGTGGTCTCACTTTGCGTCGCCACATTCTCTTGGGCTTTCGGGAATCCAGTATGGGACAGAATCCGGCGCATGTGGGCTAGAGCTCTGTCGTAAATGCAAAGCCATCATTTCGAAACGACTTTGCAGTGGGCACATCTGCTACGCCCACAGGATCGACATGCTGGGGAAATAACTATATGCATGGGCCCGTCTCCGCAATGACACTGGGCTTCTCAGTAACTCCCAGATGCATACACAGGTGACTCACGCAAATCCAAAACGATACACAGCTTCTATAAGGGACGTCTGCGCTCCGAGGATGATCAAGGCTGGGCTTGAAGATGGGCCCGACCACGGACGGCAGGGATGACGAAACGAGTTGACTTGAGTGTTTGCCTTGGTGCATGGCTATCGTGAAGTTCGTAACAATTGTATACTTGAGATTCGACGATGATCGATGCGTCGATGATTTGTTTCGCTCGGGCTTGACCCAAGCGAGGCGGGATGAATCAGTGCGCCAAACCGTCTCGAGTATACATTATAGATGGGAAGATGCCGAAGGACACCGTCAACGTCAAGCATCCATCGACTACTGTTTTGTAGTGACAGACGTGCCAGCGTGGGCAGCAGGTGGCAAAGAATGCAGAAGATGACTCAAACTGCCTGCCTAGGACGCGAGGGCTTTTGTCGGGCCAGCCTAGGCTAGATTGGGCACAAATAAATATTTGACACGAGTCAATCGTGTTGTAACAGCTCAGTACAACCATATTAGAGCGACCATGTGCCCGGCAGTTTTCGGGTGGCATGATGTTTAGCAGCGAAGGATCAAACGACTGCGTTGCTGCCGCAGGTGCAGCGTAAAAGTGCACGTTTCTGACTGTCCCTTGAATGACCGATCTATAAAGGCATCTGGACCACCCTTTCATGGACTCTTGCGCTTTCCGCCCTTGCCCCAGATGTCGATCGAAGGCATGACAAAATCCGACACACCGCTCCTCCGTGCTTTATCCTGCTCAAGATTCAACGTCAGGTTCGCACTCGCCGAGCGCTTGTCATCCGGTTTCTCTTTCTTGGAGCTAGACTTTCCCTTCAAGTAGTCTGTCATTTTCGACTGCTTCTGCTTCTGCTTCTGCTTCTTGGCTTCATCTTCCTGACGTTGGGCTTCCTGCAAGATTCTCTCAAAGTCCACGCTCCTATCGGCCTTGGCGCAACTTGAGCCGGCGGCGCGCAGCAGCTCTTCCTTCTCACCCTCCTCCAGCGCTAGCAGCTCTTGCGCCGATGGCAGCTGGAAGTCAACCTGGATATTGGACTCTCGCAGCTCCGCAACTGGCAATTCGAACGATGGCTGTGAGACCCTGTCCATTTTTACGGGATACTGCTCGGGTGGTGTCCGGCACATGCTGGGAAAGTCGCACTTTTCGCATCGCGTGAGCACTTTAGTATTGTCGATCATGTGCAGCGCCTTCCGTCGCCATTCGCCATACTCATCCCAGCCCTCGTAGTCGAATTCGCTCGAGCAAGCCTGACCTTTCCTCTTCTTTTTCAGGTTCTTGACATTGGTCTCACCGGAGCAATAGTAGTGGCCGTCGTATAGACATCGCCGCGTAACGCCCAGAGCGTATCGATTACGGCACAGATGACACTGCCAGATCCATGGCAAGGGAGCCGCGGGCGGAGCAGGAACCGATGCTTTCTTCCTGTGATGAGGCAGAGGCGACTTCGGAAAATACTTGTCGAGATTGAAAGGAGTGGCTGCACCTGGTGGTGCCCAAGTCGGGCTACGAGGTGATCGCGATTCTTCCTGCTCGGCAAAAGAGAACAGCGGAGCGTACTCGAGGACTGTGGTAGCGAAGTCGGACATATCCTCATCTTGGGAAGCCATGGGCGCAGTGGCAGTTCAGAATGACCTGATTTCCACGCCCACAGGCGGGCAAAGCTATATTGAGATCGATAGGCGGACAAAGAAGGTTTGCCTGGTTTGCGATTCGGCAGGTCTGTGCTGGTTCATTGTCACTTCTCAACAAAGAAGATGTTTTCGGGAAACTTTCGTGAACGCCTCGAGCTCTGCTTCGAATGAGCGCCTTTGTATGACATAGCCCAAACACTGTTGCGTGAACTTGTCATGTCCTCGACCTTCGATTAGCAGTTCGGAAACTTCTCACTGTACCTCTGAGAGAGGCCTACGTGGGCCGTTGCTTGGGATCGATATTACCGTGCCTCAACATAGAGACGCAGCAATTCACGTACCTTGGTGTATGCTCTCATATTGAGAATACAAAACTGGAGCTGAGACCACATCCTCCTGTGCAAGTAGCCAGTCTCAGTCATTGAGTGGAACACAACAAGAAGTGGTCTGCCTCTGCTCTAGCGGTGAGATGCTGTAGTCGCTCTAAGCGGATTGACAGCACCATGTTCACAGTCCCAGCACGGGATCCATGAAGTTCTGCGCTTCACCATGTGCCTGGCTCAATCAACTCCATCCAGGATGCAGAGAACCTGGTGGTGAGAAGTGGACAGCAGGGAGCGTGCAAGGAGCTCGAGAGAAGTGGATACGTACTAACCTACTTTAGGCGTTAGTGCCACAAAAATGCGAGGCTGGCTGCCAAGCTGGCAAGGCTGGGAGTTTCAACCCGCCGACCACCTCCTCGCTTCCCCGTCACCCACTGTCCAGCCACCGTCTGGCACCTTATGATGTCTTACTATAGCTCCATACGAGGTTGGTCGTGCAATTTGACGCTATGTATATACAGAAGCCCGTGCTGGCCGCCATGTCCTCTTTCTTCCATTCCTCACCCAGCCTAACATAGCAGCAAGCTCACATCTTCCCCAAACAACCAATCCGAGCCACTTTGCAACAGCCTTCTATATGTGTGTCTAGCACAAACCCGCCACCATTCCACCCCAAAGCTCGCCGGCCTTCCAGGCGACCACCTCGCCGCCGCTCTCTCCCAGAAGCTTCACAGCCCGGCATCACACCTCGTGTCCTGTCGCTATCCGACCACTACCTCCCTCAACCACCCTCCACCTAGGCCAGCTGAGCCCGCCAGCACCCCAACGCTTCCGCTACCTGCCCAGGCACTCAGGTCATCTACGGACACAGAGCACGCCCGTCCCTTCGCACCCAGCCGCTCCACAAGACCACCGAACGCACAAACCAAGCCAGTCCCTCAGCTTCCCGCTTCCCTCCAACTTGGTCCTCCGGCCTTCCACCCCGGACAGCGACAGCGACAGCGACAGCGCCTCACCGCCCTCTTCCTCCGCATCAGACAGCGAAGATGGTGCAACGGAACTACGTCATCGCGATCATCGTGATCGTGCTCTTCGTCCTACTAGCCTTGGTGGGCTATGCCATCTACGCCATCCAGAACAGAGTCTCGCTCTTCGCGAAGCGGGAGAAGGAGCTCGACGAGGAAGAAGAGTAAGATTCGCCGCCCCGCTTCTGGAATCGGAAATGCAACCATCCGAAGCCGGGGCAACGACGACGACGACTAGCACTCTTGGCCGAGCCATCGAATTGCCTCCCCCACCGCTGGCGGTGCCGAGCGCCGTGGCGGTCGATGTGCCGGCCCCACGAGCCACCAGTCCCGTCTTCCCCGTGGCGTACTCGTACCTGCAGGAGGAGTGGGAAGGCGCCGGTTCGCGACGGAGCGTGAGCGGCCGGCTCCACTGGGAGGATGGGCGAGATACCTGGTTCTGAACAACAGCGAGCGAAAGCGAAAAAGAAGACAAGGAGTGTGGTGTGGTTTCGGAGTCCGGCCAGAAAAGCTACCACGATCGGTATCTAACGGTAAGAGGCGTCTTCTTCGAGAGGAAATGACACGAGAGTGGGAATGAACTGGGGGAAAGGGGAAATGGTAATAAGCGCTTTTGCTGTTGCTCTTGGAGTTGGGGGGGCAAAATCGCGAGGTTCCAAAACCTGAGAGTCGCGAACGATCGTAATGATATACTCTTTTTTCAACTACATGATAACGACATGAACACATAGCCAGCGACAACAACACAGTACCGTGTGTGTGTACGCTGCTCGAATACTTCCATCAACTCTTCTTCCTCGCCTTCTTCTTCTTCATACTTCCATTGAGGTCGTGAATCCGTTATGCTCGCTTTCCCGCTCTAAAACTCTCTGCCACCCGCCTACCTCACAATTGTGAATCACCAATCACTCACGATCCTCACATTGTTGGCCCTCCCAAAGGGCCTTCTGCCAGTGCCGTCCTTCCGAATTCCCAAACCTGTTTGTCCCTGGTCCTGTCCTGGACCCTGGCCTTGACCCTCGCCCTCGCCCCCAGTATTCGGACTACCCTCCGCCGCCCTCGCACCGTTACCATTATGCTGTTGCTGTGGCCCCGCACTCCCTGGCGGTGCCCTGCCAGACGCGTCCGCCACAGGACTTGCCGATAATTGGCCTCCGAGGCCGTTTGCACCGCCGCTGTTGTAGTGCAGCCAGGGCGCCCGCCGCAAACGATCCTCCTTGACGTGCGCGCGCCACTTGCCTACCAGCTTGTCAAAGTCCCATTTGTCACCGCGGGTGTTGACGTTTTCTGTGACCATGTTCGGGTTCTCCTCTTCTTCGTCCGTCATTTCACCAGCGACTGCTCCGCCACCGTTGCCGCCTAACGAGACTCCACCGTCCTCCGCAGGCGCGCCCTCGCTCCTCGCGCGGTTGACCATGGGAGCGACGCCTCTGCCCACGGCCCCAGCATCCGGCTGGCCCTTGAGTGTCGCATATGGTGGCCTCTGCAGGTTGATGAGGCGTATCTCCTCTTGCATCTTCTTCCCATAGGTCAGGCGTTCGGGCGGCCAAAGGGCCATCTCCCGTGGCCACTGGCAGCGGCTGAGGTACTCGACCTGCTGCCTGAGCTGGTTGCGCTCCTGACACAGCTCTTCCATACGCTCTTCGGTCTCGGCGGCGCGATCGCGGGCCCCCTGCATCGCCCGCAGCAGCTCCACGTGCCACAGCGCATCGCGCGTCTCCGCTGGGTGCACCATCCAGTTCTCGAAGCTAGTGTTGAGGTGATTCAGCGCTGCAGACGTGTAGGTGTCGGCCTGGCTGGAGAGGAAGGATGCTTCGTCTGCGATGTTGGACGTGGTACGCTGCGCCAGTCGCAGTGCGTTCCATTTCCAGCGGTCAATGGTTAGGGTAAGACGGTTGCGGAGCGGTGTCAGTTGGTCCGGACCAGGTGCGGAGATAGGGACGGATTGTAGTGTCGAGAAGGGGGAGGTCTGCATGAGTGTAGGAGGGGTGGGAAGGAGTCTGAGAACGAGCGAGGGATACGTCTGCGATTGGATCTCGAAGTCGAAGGGCGTCGGAGGCGTGTTGATGTGCTTGGAGGCGGCGCGCAGCGAGTCAAGTACTTCCCGGAGTGACAACTCGAGAGCGCGTGCGGTGTCCGCGAGAGCCGTGGGGGTTGTGCCAGAGTTTGAGATGGCAGATGTGGTGGCTGCGGCGGTGGGAAGATCGGAGCTATAGGCGCTGAAGTCGCGCTTCTTCGTAGGCGAGGCGCCGGCGGCCGGCACGGCCGTGGTGTTGGCTGGAGTATTGGTGCTTGAGGGGGATGGGTTAATGGATGTTGGGTCTGTGATGACGCCGGTCGAGTGCCATGTAAGGCGATTGAGCGTGCTGTGTATGCTACCGGGAATGTAGTTGTTCAGTCGGTCAACGGGCGCTTCAGTATTAATGGACTGCGGGACCGGGGAAGGTCGTCCAGGTGTATCGCTCCTGTCAACATTGTGTCCGAACTCCTGCTGCTGTTGCTGCTTCTTGCTGCTCCGTGCTGTCCTCCTCGTAATCCCCCCGCGTAGCCTGCGGATCTCGTCCACATTGTGTATGCCGTCGGGCTTCTTCTTGTTGATGAATTGGTCAAGATGCCGGCCAAGGGAGGAGGAGGTAAACTTCTGGTGGCAGTATTGGCATTCTTTGTCCTTGAGAGCAGCACCCTTGGTTTCGCGCGTATGTTGCGAGTCGTTGTCTGATTCGGAGGCGGCGGAGTTGACGGAGGGAGCAGGAGAGTGTCCAGCCATGGCGGCTGCTGTGTCCGTTCAATTGTCCCCGGGCCAGGTCAGCAATCACCGGTACGGTTTCCGAGGAGTGTACGCTTGCATTGTTGAAACAGTTGATGCCTCACAATGCGGGTGACATGGTTTGCTGCGTCCTTGAACTTAGCCCTTCCTTCCGGGGCCATTACTGGAAGTACACACAGCCCCAGCGCTTTCGGGATCATTTGGTTCCGGGCGGGGCGGACTTTAACTAAGCCCTCTACCTTCAGGCGTGCCCTAAGGGCTACAGCGTGTGCTGGATGACTAAGCTAGTAGACCTCCTACATATTCTGCAATTGCCAGCATCTTCTCCTCCGTGAACCTTCGTCCCACGATCTGGACGCTGACGTGCGCTCCATCGTAGATCTCTGCGTCGTAGTCTTCAAACACCACCTTGTCGTGTTCGCTGACTGGCTCGTAACCTTCCGGATACTTATCAATGGACTTGTCGGCCAAGGTCACAGGGACAACAGCCGCGGTGAGATCGAGGCCGTTAACCCAAGCACTGAAGCCATAGTACTTGTAACCCTCAGGCCTAGCAGCCGGGTATGGTGCCAAGGGCGCAATGAGCCCGTCAACAGACCTGCCAGTCCCCGTCAACTCTGCTGTAGAGTTCCAATAGTCGAGGTATTCCTTCTTGCTCTGTCTCTGTTCAACATTCGTTGCCGCAATATCGGAAGCCTTGAACTGCTCTCTCGCTTCTCTGCCATAGCTCATAGCGACCTGTGCGGCGACTGTTTCTCCGGAGAGACCAAAAGCATCATGGACATCCTTTCCACCATCGTAAGTCCAGGTCTTGAAGATCCATTTCAGCATCTTCTCGTGAGATGGCGGTTTCCACTCGATGACCTTGTGCCCAGCCTTTTGGACGGCGGCTGCTACCAGGTCGATAGCCCGCAAGACTGGGGGATCTGGGTTGACAACGCCATCGCCCTTCATCACACCAAAAGCAAGAGGACCTTTACCTGACACCGCTTTAGCCATGTCGAAGACAGCTTGCTCTTCGGCATCACGCCATGGCATGTCAACGACCATGGGATCATACAAATGAGGGCTCTGCGACAAGATTGACCTGACCGCCAGTCTTACAGCTCCGGCCGTACTTCCTAGGGGACCAACAACTGAGAGAATGGAGTTCTGTCCATCCATCGAGTTCGCCATGCCTTCGTACGGCAGTCGACCTGAAGAGGGTCGAATGCCGTAAAGGCCGTTGAAAGCTGCAGGAATGCGGATCGATCCACCTGCATGATGCCAATCAGCAAACCATGGTCAAGCTGAATCTAGGCAGAGGAGTGGTTCGTGAAACATGATCCGAACATGTGTACTATAGACGGAGTCACTTACCGATGTCTGTGCCAAAACCAACGGGCGAGCCTTTCAGGCCGATCAATGCACCTTCTCCTCCCGAGCTTCCGCCGCAGGTGAGATTCCTATTTTTCGGATTCCATGTGTACCCGATGATGTTATTCACCGTCTCGCCGGACATCAACGTATGCGGTACAGAAGTCTTGCAGTACAGAATGGCGCCCAAGTTGCGGAGCTCTCGTACCATCTCACTTTCATACTTGCCTTTCCTAGGATCATCGGGCTTGCCTTCAAACGTATCGATCCAGCCGACGTATCCCATGCTGGTGTCTACGTTCTTGACATGGAACTGATCCTTGAGCGAGACGGGAACGCCATGAAGGGGCCCCTTCGGTCTCTTGTGCTCTGCCAGGTAAGCATCTAGTGCTTTCGCGTCCGCGAGAGCTGCATCGAAGAATGTCTCGTGCAGACAATTGACCTATGCTTGCGTCAGTCACCCATCTGCTGATTTTCATGGTACGAACAAGTTGGTGGGCTAGAGAAGCTCGATGGCAAAAAGCCTCGGCTACTGCCACGGCAGACCATGCGCCAGAAGCAGTCTGCTTTGCAATGCCAACAGCATCGGTCTCGGTGATCTCAATTTCCTTAGGGTCAAGGAACTGCTGGATATATGGTCCAGTAACGTCTTTCTGGTCTTGAGCACTTGGGACACTTGAAAGCCTCCATTTCTCTGGGATAGAGTCCAGGATTGCCTGTCGTTTGGCGTCCGCCTTTGCTTGCCAGTCTTGAACCATGTTGTCTGCTCTTCTATCTTTACCAGGGAAGATTCTGAGAGTACCTTGGAGCGTACTGGGGGCTTCTAATATGGCTTGCAGTCGCTAACCAGACCCTGCAACGACCTGCCTGAATGGGAACAAGAGTGATGAAGTCTTCGTGAAGCGGGGTTTGAGTTCTGTGTTGGAGTCCTCGCTCCTCGAATTAATACGGGCGCCTCTAAGGGTGGTACTTGGTGACGCGCGCATCTCCATTGTTGTTAGATAAGCGGCAATGGCTCCTATCGTTTGCCGCTTTTATGCTTTTATCAGTTGCGTGGGTAAATACACAAAAGTAGTCTTCAGGGCAGTTCTCGCACTTTGGCCCGGGCGAGAACAACAATACATCCACGGCCAGCAATGAATCGTTGCAAGTAAACCAACGTGTTGTGGATATAGGTCTCGAGATTGCCGCAATGTGTGCATCTATACCTGCTTCATTTGGCGAACATTCAGATTGATCCTTTTGGTCTGCATCCAACCTCGCCATTGCTGGTAAGCTGGTTCCACTGGGGTATGTGGCCATTCAGACAGAGATGCTGGGCAGGTGGCTCCCAACACTTTGGGGACAGCATGCCAAGCATATCTCGAGGACCCTGTCATCAGGATAGCATCTCCTGATCGAAGACGGATAGTTGCAACACTGGAATCGTCTTCGTTTCCTACCATAAAAAGTGCATCACAGCCGATCGAGACGCTGATGAGGCCTCGATCACATTCCTCGCTGACATCTCGATGTACACTGAGCGTGTCTCCTGGTGTATAAAGGTTGACAATTGCTGCCTGAGCATCAACAGTAGGAAAGAAGGCCTTTAAAAGGTCGGCTATGTCCACAGGAAATGAAGGTGGTTCTTCGTCTGGGTAGACCTTGTTGGTCCAATCATACTGACCACCTAACGTCATCCAGCGTAGCTTGCGGCGCATCATCTGAGCGATGCTCATGGGCTTGTGTATAGCAGGATCTTTCGGTTCGAGTAGGGTACTGCTGTTCATTGCGAAGAATGAATTTAGTGTGGCGGTCTTGTCAATAGCATCCGCCCGGGTGTCCTCGGGGTAGATCATTTCGTGGAATAGATGGACGTTGGTCAAGTGTTCCGGGTTAGCAAGATCCCGGTGCAGCAACTTGTCCAACAGCGCGGCTTGCACTGGACTCGATAGGAGGCCAGGGTAGATGAGTAGACCTACATCAATCAGAAGCTTGCCGAGGGCACTCATTAAGGAGCAGCCCACCAGGAAGTGCCTTGGCTTCATATATGGATGGTCTGGGGCCGGAAGATAGAGCCTCATTGTTGAGAAAGTGGCCTATGGCTTGTCGGAGATTATCCAAATCCCACCCGACATTCGATGGACTTGCATGAAGATCGACTGAAGAAGGGTTCTCAAAGTCCAAAATGGCCTCATCGAGAGCAAGGTCTTCGGGTGAAGCTTTCTGAATCTTCTTGAACAGGATTCGGAGGTTTTCTGGCGGTCTCGCATGCGCATCAAGGTCAGCACGGTAGGCCATCGTACAGATAATGCATGCAAGTGTGTCGCTCGCCCAGGCTTGAGGTCAAGGACGGCGCTGCCTCTGTGGCCAAGAAAGAGGGATGATGTATCACGAAGCAGCCAGTACAATCGTTGGTTCAAGTAATGGGCGCTAAATGGGACTCGCGTGGCGGCTTCTGCTAGGGTTGGTGGTGGCTGCCGCTAGCGGAGATTATCTCCGGGTGACGACAATGCCCCCGACTGCAGGCTACGAAATAAACGATCGAACGATAGGTTGCTCGCACCTAGTGCAACCTCGCAGCAGAGGCATTGTGGTGACCGATGCTAGAAGGCGCTGCGCGCTTGTCTACGCCGGCCTTGCTCTCTGCTTACCTCAACTTGTACTGCTAGGCTTGTGTCGAGATGCCTGACATCGAGCCCGGAAGTCGAATGCCCAGTTCTCGAACAAGTCGGGCAAGTGTATGTGCTTTGCCCAGTCCGAGACGGCCATGACGAAGTTGCTTACAGCATATAGCTTCGAGCAGCCACATTCATCGATCCGGATAGCGGCGAGCGATTGAATCGTAAATTCACATTACATGAGCCCCCAACGGCAGACGCCACTGTTGGACAAGAAGAGGATGTCGCGGAGCATACACCTCTTCTACCCAGACGGGCTTCCGAGCCTAGGCAAAAGACGTGGCTAAGGAACAATTGGTATCGGACTCAAGATGCCGCCCGAAAAGCACGAGACTTTGCTGTGTCTCCTGTTGGCATCGGCATTCTCAAATACTCACTCGCCTACCTCCTGGCCAGTATGGGCACCTTTGTACCCTGGCTGCGGGCACTGTTTGGTCGTAGCGACACGAAGCACACCGTTGCCACCGTTGCTGTCTATTTCCATCCCTCGCGTTCTGAGGGCAGCATGCTCGAAGCACTGATCTACGCCTTCAGCGCCTTTGCCTACACTGCGGTGGTATCCGTCGTCAGCATGGGCATTGCAGTTTTCTTCGAAGACAAAGTTCACCTTCTGACACTAGGTCACGCATTGATCCTTGTGTTCTTCGTTGGTGGTGGCTTGGGTTTCGTGGCCTGGGTCAAGTTGAAGTTAGGGGATCCCTTGGTCAATGTGGCTTGTTCGCTGGCCTCTCTCACTCTTATCACAATTCTGACGAAGGAGGGATCCGTCCAGGAAGGTGACTTCAACATTGAGAAGATCTCCCAGATCCTTCGGATGGTCATCGGTGGCGTCATTGCTTCGGTTTTAGTCTGTTTCACGGTCTTTCCTACATCGGCTCGTCGAAAGATCAAGCAGAACATGGTCGACACTACAGATTGTCTCTCTGATATGCTGGCAATTATCACCAGCAGCTTTATATCAGGCGACGAGTCGGAGCTTGAAGGTCAAGCGTTAGTCAAGGTCAGCGAGCGCCACCGAAAAAGCATCAACACCCTCGCACAGAATCTCAAGGAATCCAAGTACGAGCACTATGTGAGGGGTCACGAAAGGCAATCATGGTTCGAGCAGCGGCTTGCCACCTGCATCCAGCGACTTAGTCAGAGCATCGGCGGCTTGAGGAGTACAGCAGCAACACAATTTGTTGTCATCAAGCAAACGTTCCCTTCCTACAGTGGAATGCATCGACGTTTGGGTTCGTGGGCAAGCGTTCCACCCTCTCCCTACTCTCACGGCTCTCGAAATCATCAATTTGGTTATATCAACGAGGTCTTGCAGTCCCCGCAGCCTAATGCGGACCCTGGCCATGTCCAGGATGAGCAGCCGTTCCGGACACCTTCTCAGATCTTTGATATCTTCATGGATCACCTGGGTCCATCAATGCGGTCACTCGCCTTCACATTGAAAGAGATCCTGGATGACCTTCCATTCGATCCTGAGCAACATTACGCCATCACCTTCAATCCGAAGTTTAAGATAAGTCTACAGCGTGCGATGGAGCTCTACAAGAATGCTCGTTCCGAAGCGCTTCATGCAATATATGACAAGAACATGTATCGACAGAGACCCATGGAGGTGCAAGCTGACTGGGAAGAAGCTGCGGCATGCTGCGGCCACTTCTCTACTTCTTTGATCGACGTTGCAGAAGACGTACAGGAATATCTGATTATTCTTGATGAAATGCAGGAAGTGCTTGCGGAAAGCCATCCAAAACGCACATGGTCATGGCTCAAGTTTTGGCAGAAGCCACCTCGCGACCAGCCTGTGAAGGAAGACAATGCGCTCTTCTTGTCAAAACCAAGCGAGGCAGATCTGCAATTGCGAACTCATGAGAAATCCTCAGCGGAAGTACCCGCCGGATCGCCATGGAAAGCACTAAAGCGACTGTACTTTAGGAAGCTTTACGACAGCTTATATTTCCTGCGGCGGGAAGACGTCAAATACGCCATAAAGGTTGGCTTTGGAGCAGTCCTGTACGCTCTGCCGAGTTTCTTGAGATCTACACGATCGATATACCAGCATTGGAGAGGCGAATGGGGTCTCTTGTCCTACATGCTGGTGTGTAGCATGACCATCGGAGCATCTAACACCACGGGTTACTCAAGAATCTGGGGCACATGTCTCGGGGCAATCATGGCTATTATTGCATGGTCAGCATCGAACGGCGATCCGTACGTGCTGGCCGTTTTTGGATTTGCAATGGCGTATTGGACAGGATACATTACGATCGCCAGAGGCAAAGGTCCAATGGGCCGCTTCATCATGCTCACATACAACCTCAGTGCACTATACGCCTACAGCTTGTCGGTGCAAGATGAAGACGACGACGGAGACGAGGAGGACAAATCGAAGAATCCACTGATGTGGCCAATCGTCTCCCACCGTGTCACGTCGGTTATCGTTGGATGTGTTTGGGGTCTGATCATTACACGCCTGGTATGGCCCATCAGCGCCCGACAGAAACTCAAGGAGGGGTTGTCGTTGATCTGGTTGCGGATGGGACTGATCTGGAAGCGAGATCCACTCACCGTTTTGCTGGAAGGCGACAGTCCTCACCCGTACATGAATCTCACCGAAGAGTTCAAGCTTCAAAGATACGTCAGGAAACTCCAAAACCTGGTAGAGTCGGCCAAAAGTGAATTTGAGCTTCGAGGACCATTCCCACATTCAGTTTACAGCAAAATTGTCAACAGCACTGTGCAGATGCTAGATGTCTTTCACGAGATGAATACTGTCCTACCCAAGCAAGTATCACCATCACCCGGTTTGGAGGCATTGCTTCAAGCCACGAGGACGGAACGGGAGCAGCTTTGCTCCCGCATCAGCCATCTGTTCAGCGTTCTTGCTAGCTCGATGAAGCTTGAATTTCCTCTAGCTACAGATGCGTTGCCTAGCATTGACCATACCAGGGACAGGCTGCTGGCAAGGATCTTTGCATATCGCCAGTCCAATGTGGATTCTGAGCAGACTAGTGACGAGGACTTTAGTGTGGTATACGCGTACGCCCTGGCTACAGGGCAACTGGCGCAGGAGATCCAAAACGTGCTGAAGGAGGTTGAGAATTTGTTTGGAGTACTGGATGAGGAGGCTCTCCGACTACAGTGATGGTCGTGTAACAACAGAGTTGTCTAGTTTGTGCATGCTCGCCGCATCTTGCCGGCATCTAAGGGGTTTCTGGACGATTATGAGATCTGGTACAAGCCCTAAGCATTTTCTCGACAACACATAACCCTCCAACCCGTTCTGGGAATAGAAGACTGATGGAGAGCGGTGCACCGCCTCCTCGTTCCCCATAGACCGCCTGCTAGCGAGCCAAGGCCCCGAGAGGCTAAGTCAGTACAGGCAGCGGATGTGCGAGACAACCCAAGACTTCTTGTCTTCTGTACCTGATGCTGCAGAATAATGAGTAGAACTGTTCTATGATCGGCACTTCAAATTCCTGGTGCCTGGAAATCCGCATATCACCGTCTTTGAGTAGGAAAGTACGGTGACTATTGCGGGCGTAGAGGCCACGCCTGTGGGGTACAAGGACGCCGGGAGCCCCCAGGTCTGCCCGCCTGTGACGCGTTCCCAAGGCGTCCACACGCGAACCCTCCTTCGACTCAGCCTTCATACCAGGTGTGCCCTGCGCATTGAAGGACGTTCCCACTGCGGTCGGCTGACCAACGTACAGCCTCGAGGAAAGGACTTCCTCTCTTCCTAAGCATTGATATAGACCATTGTTCCTTTCCACACATTCTTTTCGTCCAGCGCTCCATCCACTTTAGGCGGCACCTCGCTCAATCATCGACTTTAGATAGGCCGCTTTACTTTGCATTCGCTACGACGCCATGTTGGACGAAAGCCTGCCAAGTGAGTCTAGACGCAAGACCAAAGCACATTCAACTGACTCGTCGTAGCATTCCGACTGAAGTCAAACAGACTTGACAAACACAACGAGACCCTACTCTTCTCACACTACGGCAGTGAGTTTGAGCCAAAGTATTCGCTACGACACCTCGATCCGCAACAGCATGGCTCCAAGAACAGATACGCAGCCGCGCTCTACGATTCATACAATTCAGATGTGTTATACGCAGAAGCCCTCCTGATACCAGAATGGACCCAGCCATCGTTGAGCGCCGAACAGATCAGACTCAACGGCGGCGTCCCGCCCGCGCCGCAGCCTATCTTGCCATCCGAATTCGCGCTCCAATTATACAACCCAGATCAGCAAGTCATCGTAAGACACAAACCTTCCAAATGGAACCAGTCTGAGTCATGGGATTTTGAATTGCCCTCACGAACATTCCGTGCCCCATCAGCATCTGCCCTAGACCGTAGCCAGAACGATCCATCGGTCTCGGAAAATACGCCACGAGTAGGCCTGAGGTGGAAGAAGGACAGCAAGTTGAACAAAGATCTGGTGTGTTTTCAGTCAGGAAAGGCACTGAACCCGGACGGGACGAAGAAGAAGCACAAGGAACCAGACATTACAATTGCGATCTTCCAGGGTCAGAAGGAGGTAACGCTATACGAGCCTAATTTGATCAGGGTAGACATCGAGGACATCAAGGGCCTCGAAGTCGTCTTACTCCTTGGCGCGGTGGTAATCCGGGATGTGTATTTCGGCGAGATGAAGAATACCTTCAATTTGACAGAGGGCCGTAAAGCCAGTGGATCTAATTCAACCTCGCCACGGCCAGTGCTCAGCCAAGTGGCCACTTCGCCGGTTAGTCCGCCTGGCGTGCCAGCGAGGGATCCGCGCATTCCACCTACAGATCCAAGGAGTCAGTGGGAGCTTGACGCAGAGACCGCTCGCCTGAAGCAGCAAATTGAGGCAGAAGAGCGTCAACGCAAGAAACGAGATGAGGCCGAGGAGCGTCGCGTCAAGCAGATGCTCGAAGCCGAAGAGAACGAGGCTAGGCGAAAGCAGGCACAGATTGACGAAGAAACCGAACGGCTTAAAAGGATCTACGGAGATCAACAGCGACCGCAGAGCCATCCTGCTCGTCGGTATTCGTCAGATCCTCGACAATCTCAACCGCAACCGCAACCCATTCAGCACCACTACCCAGCCGCCTGGGGATCGTACAATGCAGGCCCCTACATGTCAGGAGCGAATGCACAGTCCAGCTTCTTGACGCCGGTGCCTCAGCAGAACCAGCGGCTGAAGAACAAGTCAAGCATTTTCAGCTTTGGCAGGCGACGAAGTGAAGAGGATGGTGCAAAGTTATCCAAGAAACGGTCAGCAGTATTCTAAGCCCCTCATAACCCACCGGGATTTACTCGTTATACGAGCCGCCGGAAATCTTCAGACTGCCGGACGCGATTACATCACCATCCTTTCTAGCGCACTAGCGTGGGCTGGGGTACAAAAACGTGGTAAGCCCCAGAAACAATTAGCCTGAGAACGCTATGCGACCTGGCATTATTACTATTGCCAGAAGATTCAGCATGGCTTCAAACACGGGCAAGCGCATCGCCTTCACCGGCGGGTCTGGCAAGGCGGGCCGACACTGCATCCCGTATCTACTCAGCCAAGGACATCAGGTCTTGAACCTTGACCTTGCTGACTTCCCCAAAGAACACATCCCCGAAGGAAAGACCGTCTACACCATGAAGACCGACTTGACCGATGGGGCGCAAACGTTCAATGCACTCTCAAGTTTATTCTCGATGGACGAGTACTCGCTACCGAAGCATCCCGGTCCGCCTGATGCCGTGGTTCACTTTGCGGCATATGCGCGGAACATGATCGTGCCGGATAGTGAGACGTTCAGAGCGAATGTGATGAGCACCTATAACGTCATCGAATCTGCGTGCAAGCTCGGAATCAAGAAGGTCGTCATTGCAAGCTCGGAAACCACGTATGGTGTTTGCTTCAGTCAAGGCGACACCGACTATGATTCCTTCCCGCTTGACGAGGATACCTACGACAGAAACCCAATGGACACATACGCCTGCTCCAAGCTCGCAGGTGAACGCATCGCCCGCTCATTCTCTCGCCGGTTCAACAACGACATCTATGCTCTGGTGATTGGCAATGTCATTGAGCCGCATGAATACGCACGAGACTTTGCTCGCCACGTCGGCTCACCTGAGACACGGAAGCGAAATGCGTGGTCGTATATCGATGCTCGAGACCTGGGTCAGATTTGCGATCTGTGTGTGAAAAAAGATGGTCTTGGTTTTCAGGTATTCAACGCGACCAACAATACCATCACCACAGCGGTTCCCACCAACGAATTCTTGAAGAAGCAGTATCCCAACACACCAATCACGAGGGAGATGGGAGAATGGGAGGCACCTCTCTCGAACAAGAAGATCAGAGACGTCCTCGGCTTTAAGGATGTACACGACTGGAGGAAATATTACACTCACAAAGGTTGAGGCGGGTTTGGGAAGCCACAGATCTCTATCTCAGGGTAAATGGGTTCGGAAACGGGGCAGGTAGACAACCACAAACCTCAATGTTGTATCCTGGCACGGCAACTAGGATATCAGGGAGACTAGTAAATAGAGCAATGATGGCCCAGCGGTCATTCTTTTCGATGTCGTTGCCTGCTTTGTTGTGAATCCCTCTCCACTTTGCTCAAATCGAGTCCCTCGTCAGTAAGCCGCTCGGGCACTTTGGGCTTGAGACACAGGTCACGCCAGGCTGGTCATGGCTTGTGCAGGTCTGGCTCGCATGGGAACGTGATGTGTCGCACAAACATTTATCCGCGCCGAGCATTGATATCGCTCTTCGAAGCCTTGGAAGCTCAGTCACCGGACACGACTGCATCTTCATAAACCAAAGCAAACTTATATTTTGTGGCAGTGCTTCATCGGTCCCCATCTGCAATTGCGACTGACAGCCAAATTTGCGAAGATGAGGCGCAGAGCAACATTCATCCATGATGGTGCTTCAGAGTTCAACCCCGAATCTGTCCAGGTCACCAAGGACCGCTTCTTCCTGCCTGAGATCAAGGCGGCGCGTGAGGAGCAGTTGAAATACAGCCTCGATGAGCTTCCAGAAGAGCTCCAACATGTTCTGATCAATGCCCACGAGCTGCATCTTCGCTGGGCCCCAGAGCACCTTTACAACACCGTGGCCCCCTACCTCTCCCGGCTCTCGCCTGGATTGCATGTCTTCTACACTCCCCTCGAGGGTGGCTCAGATGATTTGCTCTGCCCATTGCTTCGCAAAGCGTTCGACAATGACCTCAAATGCCGCTCTCCCAGCCACACCTTTATCAAATCTGCTAATACACCCACCGAGTTCAGCACTACTCCTGCGCTCCAGTACCATTCCGTCCTACCTGATCTCGACCATCTCGCCGCCTACCTTCAGCGTACCGTGTGTCCGCACTCATCACTGTTGTGCATTCATTCTACTACCCTACTGTCCACCGCCGATGCTCTCGACCTCTCTTGGGATGCCATCTCCAACACTCTGACCCTCACGGCGTTTTGGTCGCGCCCACCCTCATTCCTGGTCGACCCCGAAGCTAACACTAAGACCAACGATGCTTGGTCCCTTTCCATCGACACACCACCCACAAACTCCCGCGTTGAAGTCGGCATCCTGTCCTCCGAGCCTCCCTCGGACGATCCACACGAGCTCACACTATCCGGCTTCCTGACCGTCCTTGGCAAAGACACCTCACCCAAGCCAACACGCTTCTCGTTCCCGAGTCGGCACCACTCGATCCCGGCCTCTCAGCCGCAGACCTACACGGCCACCATTACAGAGCCCCAAGGATTGCATCCCACGCTACGCATCAGCTTCCCCAATGCCACCGCCCTGACCCCTCCATCCACGGCGCCTCCTGACGCACAATGCGCCCTCCAAATCCACCTGACACTCCCATCTCCCATTTTCGTGGACCCCTATGCCCTCAAGCCCTCAGACCCCAACTTCGTGGCCTCCCACCACATCACCGCTGTGCACGCCCTAGCAGGCTACACCGACCTCGAAGCCCCCGCCTACCTACCCTCACCATGGGGCTCCACCTTGCTCCTGACCCCCTCCCTTCCTTCCACCGACAACCTCCACCAACCAGCCGAAGCCACCTGGGACGTCACCATCCCGCTCCACCTCCGCTACCTTCCCCCTTCCCCACAAAGCCACCTCCCCACCACCCTCCCCTGGCCCACCATCTACTGGGCCTGCACCGCCGACTCCGGCACCAAATTCCCCATCAACCCCTTCGACCGCATCCACCTCGGCTACGACGGCGCCTACGGGCCCCGCACCATGTTCTACCACTTGACCCCGTCCAACAACAGCACCCGCCTAACAGAAACCCTCCAAGTCCCCGTCTACGACACCTCGCGCCTCTCGCCCTACACCGTCGAGGTCGTGACCCTCCTGTGCATCGTCGCCGGCTTCGCGTGGGTGCTGGTCAAGTTGTGGCCCGCGCTGTGGAAGGAGTTGCAGGCTTACGTGCCCGAGACGGTCCTCACGGACAAGCCGATGACCAAGGAGTGGGAGGAGCCGGTCAAGGGTGGGCCGCCGCCGCCGGCGGGGGTGAGAAGGAGGGTTGGTGGTTGAAACCGATTACTAGACAAGCACCAGATAGACCATGTCATTGGGAAATATGTGTGTATGTGTGTGTGTGTCTCTCTCTCATATCAACGAGTTCATTTCCAATCAACTGTCGGTCCTACTTACTAGCTTTTCCCTTGTCTTCATGGCATTGCCCCTAAAAAAATGGAAAGCCGAGTAGCATCCTCACGCGCAAACCCTTCTTTTTGGCCGCTATCATTCGATTTACAAGCTCCGCCGCCCGCTATAATAAAGTAAGATAATAGTAAATGGGCTTACCACAGCTGAAATGAAGTGAAGTGCACGTATATCACTTGGAATAAACGCCAAAGACCTTCTGCCAAGCAATGAGCTCACGGGTCAACGCCTCCATCATCTCGGTGCTGCCCATGTCACGAAACTCGCCATCGTCGCGAAACCGGAGCTTTCCTTTCGCGGCGTCGCCGTCTTCGTCCAGCGCCTCGGCCTCGGCCACGTCCTCGGTCGCGGCTTGCACCGCTTTCACCAGACTGGCCACGCCCGCGGCCGCGGTGGCAGCTGCAGCGGCGGGTGTGCCCTTTTCGCTGCTGCTGCCGCTGCCACTCTGATCGGCCCCTCCTCCTGCTCTTCCTCCTCCTTTGTTCGCAGCCAAGTGCCGGCTGGACTGCGTTTGCATCTGGCCTACAAACTCCAGAATGGCCGCGACACGACGCTTCATCTCGTTAAGACTGGTCCGTGCCGGATGTGTTTTGGCTTTGCTGCTGCGGCCGCTTTCACCGTTGATGTTGTAATGTCCGGGAGAGTTCCTGCCGTTGGCATTCCCATTATGTTCACTCATGTCACCCATAGGTGTGCCCGAGTCAAGCATTCCATTGAAATCCCTATCTCTGGTGTACTGGTTCCGGCCGACCCGCCGGCCTCCACGATTCCGCGAATTTTTGGGTTTGGGGGCAGGTCTAGACGAAGCTGGCGGTGTTTCTGCCTTGTCTTTGCGTCTCTGCAAGGCTGCACCGAGGGCCTTGGACGGTGATACGGAGGGCGACGGCGGGGGTGAGTCTATATCGGTTGTCAGCACGAGCGCTCCAAGTTTGTCAGCTTCGATCTGCGACCGACCTTCTCCTCGTCTGCGCTCGGAACGTGCGTTGCGTTTGCTTGCGGCTTCGGCACGAGCAGCAGCCTGCTGTTCCTTTGCTTTATCCCTTGCCTCTCGCTCTTTACTATTCTTTGCTGCCAGCCCACGCAACGACTGCTTGCTCCTGACTCCTGCTTTCGTAGAACCGTCATCTGTGGCTGGAGGCGATGCACTGTGTCTGGACTCGGACGAAACCGAACCTGTTCGTTGTCGCTTCATCGCTGGCTTCGACCTGGATTCTCATAAGCATAGGATCGAGGAGCTGATCAGATTCACATACTCATCCCCGTCTTCTCTTGCCCGTTTACCGAGCGTGCCTACCCCGAGCTCCCGGTTGCTCTCTTCAATGGCCCGCCGCAGGGCTTCGTCCTCATCATACGCACCGCGACTGTTCATGGTCGCCCGTCTTCTGGTGCTTTCAGACATAGCATTCTTGCTTTCTTTCTTACTAGGGTCGCCAGAGGAGAGGGAGGAGGATCTAGAAGATTGAGGTTTCTCTGGCTGCGGCTGCGGCTGCGGCTGTTGGTTGGGGAGGTAGTGGGATCGTTTGCTTGGGAGCTGTTAGCCATCTGTCTGCGGGCCTGCGGAACAGTCAAGCTTACCCGTGGGTAGTGATTTCAATTTTGTGTAGCTTGGGCTTGCACAGTTCGCAGTAGTATTCTTCTGGCAAATTTGCCTCGTCGTGGAAACCCATACAGCCGCCGTGCTGCCACACAAGACATTTATCGCACTGGACGAAAAAGTCGCCAATGTCTTTATTGAAGGGGTCTACCGCTGTTGTTGCAGTTAGTCTTGCGGTGCAACGGGGGCTTTGGTTGCACTCACATGAGGTTTTCCCCGCGGCCACCACAGAGGGCGTTGGGCCCGGATACTCCGAGCTACCACATATGCAGCGTGTGACTTCTTCAGGATCATCTTCAAGTGGATCTTGCATGCTTTCTAGGCCAGGCTCTTGTTTTGCGATCTGAGAGGGGTCTCGAGAGTCTTCGGCGCCATTGCGTCGGCTCCGTCGTGGCGCCATCGGTTCCGTGGAGGCGTCGCCGTCGAGTGTAGCAGAATCCTCGATGGACTCTGAGCGTTGTGCAGTACGAGTGTTCTTTGCGTAGGTCGACGAATTTGAGGAGCCGGCTTGGGAGGGAGCTTGTGGGATTGCTGAGCTGCGGGCTCGTGAGGAACGACGCGGGGACATAGTCTAGAGTTGGGAACGCCGATGCACTGCAGGAATTTTATGAGCAATGTAAGATGGCGACTGGGAGTTTAGAGGACGTCCAGCGATGTCGTTGATCTTGACTGCTGGCTCAGAGGTGCTCCTGGGTGCAAAAGGCCTGTGTCGTGCAAAGACGAGGCTTGGTGTGGTGTAGAAGCAGATCAGTGACAAGGGTGCAGTTTCTTGTGGAAAATAAGTGATCTCGCCCAGAGCAAGATTAGTTTACATGATGGACTGAAGCAAGTACTTGCAGTCTGCACAAGGGCAAGAGAGAGAGTTATGGTGGGAGGGGAAAAGGCGAGAGAGGCGTCGCAGCGCAGCAACCTCTTGTGAGAGTCCCAGGGTGCTGCGACCACCGCCAGCAGCGCTCAACTTCCGTCATAATTCCTGATTGGCTCAAGCCCCGACAAGTGGATCTGGAAGTGATCGGCAAGCGATTTTCTCCAACCTTACTCGCCTAGAGCCGTTAAGTCCTAAGTCCTTGAGCAGGCCAGACGCGTCTCAGTATGTGCACTCTAACCTACGCGATACGAGCCTCATCGCAGCTGCAAGCGTAGGTTCGATCACCTACGAAGCACACACAGCCGCGTCGCGATATGACAATGCTATCGTTGTTGAAGTCGTGAGAACGACCTTCGCGTGCGGATAGGCAATTGACATCTCAAGAACCGACGAATACCCCGACGCGGCGAGGCTGTAATGATGGGCACAAGGCTGGTTGATGGGCCCAAGCACCAGAGCACCAGAACCTCTGAGATGGCCACGAGTACAGACAAGCGTCAAGACGCGATATTACTATTGTCTCTCTAATGCTGTCTAGACCCGAAAGATGCTTGCGCTGGCTGTACCAGATACTGGTGATGGTACAACAATGTTCTATGCCGTCTCGTCGTAAGTCATGCTGATGTACAAATGACCTCCCGTCCAACCCTAGAACTAAAACGTCGCATTGGGTGAGGGCGAGCGATCTCTCCCACCCTCGTCATCATAGCTTGGTCTCCCTGGTCTCGATGTCGGTATGATGGGTGCAGCAGCTTGTCGACCTTGCTTGAGTAGCTCCTCCCTCTTGCGACGCGCTTCGGCAGCTCTTTCACTCTCGGGTTGTGAGCACGGCCCAAGGTCTTGACTGCCGCTCTGCTTCCTCTTGTCCTTGATGAGCATGCTGAGCTGGCTGTGCACCCGTTGAAGCTCGGGAGCGCCCTCTGATCCGTCGCTATCGGTGAGAACTTGGCTGTTCGACCGCCCGCGCTTTTCCCTATCATCACCTTCATCCAGACCGGGCCGCTCTACTCTCTTACCCTTGTCTGCAGGGATGCTGTCGTCCTCGTCTGCGAAACGCACAGAGCTTCGGACTTTGCGAATTGCTTCTGAGGTCGGAAGGCTTGATCCGATCGAAAGTTGTCGCTGTTCGACGAACTTACTTCGAAACCCCGGCTCAACGAGAGACCCCGTAAAACTCCGAGGGAGGTCAGGCTTCTCTTCATTTGATTCGTCCTCACTCTGCCATGAAGATCCTAATTCAAAAGTCCCCTTTGCTCGAGCTGGTGAAACGTCAGTACTATGATTCATCTGGGCATGGATTCGTATCTTGACCTTTGCTTATACTGCTTGCATGCTGCTCATCGTGCTTAACCGCCTGGATTGCTGCTGGTTCCGCAGTGCGAACGCTTCCCCGGCTCTGGCTTGACTTTCGCCGTGGCAATGGAGGTCGACTTCTGCCTCCTCTCGCTGAACCGGTAGAGGTCATGGTGCGACCGCTCGTAGTCCTCTTGAACGCAGGTCTCGGTGGCGGAGCAGCACTTACAGCGCCACCAGAAGGACCACGTTCTCGGCGCGCTTGGGAAGGCGAGTCTAGACTATGCTGGTCAAAGGTAATCTTGGTAGCTCGTGGGCTGATGGGTGATAACGGGGCTTGCTGGACTTCAGGATTCGTCTCCGCAGGCGGCTGTGACTATTAATCTTTGGACATCAGACCCCCAGTTGGACTCACTGGCAATGGGTTGATAGATGGCCTCCCCACATACGACGACCATGCGATCGGATCCGGCCGATACGGCGCCAGCGGGGTATGGCGTCCGCATCTCTGCCACAGCTGGTTGAACTCCTGATTGGAGATTGACCTGAGGTTTGGGTTGCTCCATACGCGCCAGAACAGATTGCCGGAACGCGGGACTGTCATGTCATCGGCGAACTGTCTTTGTACATGGTACGCTTGGAGTTGATCAGCACGAGACGGGACTGGTCGAGCGCGGTCCCTTACTTTGCCAGCATCTGAAAAGGAAGCTCGTGTCCTTTGCGAAGCTGACATCCGCCGTCAATGCAGTCTCTTCTAGCTCTTCGAAAGCAGGATTGATGAGGTTTGGCGGAAGAGCCGGGTTCATGTCCATCAAGGAGTGGCGATACCCAGGTAAAAGTAGGAAATCTCAAGACGAGCGGGTATCAGCATTGCCAAAGGAAGATGTGATGGACCGCTGGTGACGAGTTTGGCAGACTTGCAGGGCACAGCCGATGACGATGAGGATACCTGAGCCTGAGCGGTGAAGACTTGAAGCGCGTGTACTAGCTACCCACGTGACCCGAAAAGCTAAGAACAACAGAAGTGGGTGGCAACAAGGAAGAGAGCGGTCAAGTGAGTGCCGGATGTCAGGTTCTTGTGGTAGACAAGTGTGAATTGCTTCTGAACACGGTAAGTACATACAGGCGACAAGGGCTTTGCATTGACTCCTTCCGACTCCCACGCGGATGGTGTGGAGACAAAGCAGGTGCGCCCTGAGGATATCATCGGGTCTAGATCCCTGAAGGAATCTGCTCACAGATGACGGAGTACAGCGATAACATGCCACTAGACTTTTGGCTGGCCTGAGTGTGTGGGATGGGAACGTGGTAGACATCACAATCCAAGATGGAGTTGCAGGCCCGAAGCGTGGGTTGTCTAGGCCGGCATATCACGAGTAGGGATAGCGCCGGCTATGCACTGCAGAGGCAAGGGGGGGTTTACTGTCCAGGAACTAGTCTAGGCGGCTCCCGAGCCTGCTAACGGCTTTCCCGCACCCGGAACCTTTGATGAGAAGCGTCGCTAATGTACATCCCGCGTCCTACGGGGCTCTTTCCGACATTCCTGCTCTACAAGACGCCCTACTGGTGCCCTGCTTTCATCAGCGTGTTTCGTAATGGCCTTGTGCTGCTCTGCTGTCCGCGTGATCACTCTCGCGCTGTCGAAACATCCGAGATGCACCTACTCCTAAGTACTTGCTCGCGAAAGCATGGTCTTGTTCCATCGATGCCGAGAGGAGTAGAAGTAGGCCTCGATCTACAGAACTCGTACTTTCAGAGGCTCGATGTTGACAGCTGGAGGTTTTAGGAAGAGCGAGAACACTGTGGCCCCGGTTTCATCACAATTGTTCTAATTACGCCGACGTTTCGAGCAACGCTCAATAGTCTCCTTACCATGAAAGTTTTGCACCATATTCAACGACTGAGTGCATGATGTTGCTCTGGATGTCAAGCTATAGCCCGGTGCCACGTCCGCCCGCCAAAACGGCCCCAACGCATGCCAGAGCTGCCGACGGCGACGCTTGAATCGCGATGGATCTCTTCCACAATGTCTAAAATGTATCCAAAGAGGACAAGAATGTCTGGGCTATCAGCGCCTATTGCGCTAGGAGTCGGGACTTGCCAGTTGTGGGAACATGGGTGGAAGGACATTCAAGCAGCTGGCAGAGGATCGATTGCAACGAACCCAATTCTCACCGTTGGGATTCCTCTCCAATCCGCTCGTGCAAGACTTGCATGGAACTTCGAGACAGTATTTATTCTACTGTGAGCTACCCTGGCCAATCTACTCGAAGGAATTTGAGGAGGCTGATACCCCCCCAGATATGGAATGCTATAGCCAATCACACTTCGCAGTTTCAACCGGCTCTTCCCCAATAGGCAGCCAAGACGCAAGCCTTGCAGCTCGCGGGTTTGCCATGACGGGGAGGAGAAGGAGGAGTTGGTGAGGGACGCGACGAGGGAGGGGGTGGGTGGTGGAGAGAGTTGAGGGAGCTGGGATGGATGAGAGTGGAACGACGGGTCCCACGAATCGCGCGGCTGAGTGCGCATGAGGAGAGAAGTTTGGCTTGGTAGGCCTTGCATAGGTATACATATACATAAAGGTAATCGCAGGATACATATGGCCTTGAATGTCTTGCATCTCGAGCAGCTAGCTTTGATAGCTAATGGCCCAGCTTCTTCTGGCTCGCCAGCGAGCATCCTACACTCCACGACCATTTCTTGAATGGACTTGGTACAGAGGATGACCAGCTGCCATCCAATAAATGGAGGAGAGTCCCGCAATCCTTCTAGAAGGCATAGTTGTGGTCGCCTCCAGTCTTTGCCCCAGACTCGCACACTCGAGACCCAAGTCTTCCACAGAAGCGACATCTGCCATCTCACAAACACTGTACGACACCGCCACCCAAAGGTCAGCAGCAGCCACTCATTAGTGGCTATATGTATGATCCAGCAATGGCTTCTTTCAGAGCATCCACTCCGCCAGAGTTTGGGCCAGAATCGTCACCGGCCTCAAGGACGATGTTGATTACTCAGGGACAAGGCTCGTCTCATCAGGAGGCAAGGTAGGGCTGAATTCGCATGGCCCCCTTGCAAGTCACCAAATACTTTATCTATTCCTGACCAGCATTGGCCCTTGCGCAAATCAAAACTACTGGTAAGGGGTTTGTTTGTACCTCGGTTGAAGCATTCTTCGAAGTAGCACAGCATATGTATTTGCTGACTACAGACCGTGCATAAGGTATACAAGCATTATTCCCTATACAAAACTCTAAAATTCCTCGAGTTTCGGTCGGTCCGAAGTTAGCCCATAGCACACCAACCGGTCCCTTTTCAGCCCATATACGGCGGATGATCAGTTCCTCCGACGACTGACCCAGTGGCAAAACTACTGCTTCACATATATGCTCTCAGACACACAATCGAGCCCATATGGCTCATACCCAAATCCAGATAGATATTCGACTCGGCCATGGCGCCCGATACTACCAGTACCACCACGATGCAGTGCATCACCGCACCCAGATACACCTCGCCCGCGGCCTACGAACTCACCACCCTTCCCCGCCCTGAAGTCACGGACGCCAACGACGTCCTCATCCAGGTCCACGCGGCAAGCGTCAACCCCATCGACGTGAAGAAAGCCTCGGGCGCGCTCAAAGCCGCCTTCAAGGACCAGTTCCCCTACAAGATCGGCTACGACTGCGCCGGCGTCGTGCAACGGGTGGGCGGCGGCGTGACGTCCTTCCAGGAGGGCGACGAGGTCTTCGTGCGACTGCCGGAACCGAGCCGAGGCTCCTTGGCCGAGTACGTCAAATGTCCCGACCGCTTCCTGGCGCTGAAGCCACCCGCCCTCTCCTTCGGCGACGCCGCCTCACTTCCCCTCGCGGCCATGATCTCGCTGCAGGCGTTGCGGAAGTACCGCGGCTCGCTCGAGGGCAAGACGGTGTTCATCCCCGCGGCGCTGAGCGGCACGGGCGCGTACGCGTGCCAACTGGCCAAGAACGTGTTCAGCGCGGGGAAAGTCATCACGTCCGTCTCGACGGCCAAGGTCGCCCGCGTGCCCGAGCTGTTGGGCGAGGGGGTCGTTGACCAGAGTAAGTTTTCAGTCATCACCTCTCCTCTTCCCCCCCCCCCCCCCCCGGCGTATGACCATCCCCACCCAAAACGACCAGCCAGGCCTTATAGACCCTTGCTTCCCATTGCCTTCATGCTGATCATGAACAGTCATCGACTACACCACCACCTCCGTTCACACCAGTATCCCCCCGCAATCCATCGACTTCCTCCTCGACACGACCGGCCAAGCCATGTCCTTCCTCTCCCTCATGGTGCCCCACACCTCGCGCATCGTCTCCATCTCCACGTCCCCCTCGGGCGCCCAACTGCAGGAATGCCAAATGATGAAGCGCCCCCACGGCCTCCCGCCCGTGCAGGTCCCCTCGTGGGTGCGCATGACGCTCAATGTCACCGACGGCGTGAGGCAGCTAAGAGCCAAACGCTGGGGGGTGGAATACGGCTACCTGTTCCTGGAGCCGAATGGCGAGGATTTGAGGACGTTGAGTGGCTATGTGGCGGAGGGGAAGTTGAGGCCCGTGGTGGGGAGGAGGGTGGACTTGAGGGATTTGGAGGGCGTGAGGGAGGCGTGTAGCACCGTGTATGGTGGGAAGGGAGGGGTGGGGAAGGTGGTTGTCAATGTGAGGTGATGGGGATTGAGGAAAGATCGGATGGCGTGGTTAGAGGGGCGTTGAGTGGCCTCAGGTTTGAGATCGGTCATCATTCGGTTCTAATCCCCGCAGCATGTATTCGCAAATGTTCTTGACGGCGGTGGACTACTAGAAAAGGCGTGTCAGTGTCAAAAACTTCCTGGGAGTGGTCCTTGGGGCTGCAAAATATCTCTGCGCGCAGGAGCACAGTGGGAAATGTTTGGTGTAATAGACAAAGAATACTTTTTTCTTTCCTCAACCATCCTGTTCACCTCCCTGCTCCTTCTATTAAGTCCCGTGGCGCCACGCCTGCGTACCCAAAATGCCAACAACCGTGGTTCGAGCTCCGGCTTTCATCCCAGCGTAGGCGCTATGCCATGCTACCAATCCACACTTCTGTTTTGGCCGATGGGCTCACGAGCGCCCTGCTCGCATTGTATAACACAGCAGGATCCATGTCCTCCCGAGTCGACGATGGCTTATGTGCAAGTGTAACCTGGAGTGAGGTCAGCGGGTGAAGTTTCATCGAGTGGCGCAATGTGGAGGCATTTGAAGGTGAAAGAATGACATGGGAGGTGTAGAGTGAAATGGAAGATTGAGTGTGACATACCTCCATCGACTCTCAGGTCAGCGCCTGTGACGTAGCCAGAAGCGTCGCTGAGCAGGTAGGTGACGGCGCCCATCAAGTCTAAGAATCGTCAGTGTGACTGTTGACATCAAGCGCGATGCGCTACGTACCCTCAGGTCTGCCCATTTTTCCGACGGGAATCAGACTGGTCCAGGTCTTGTTTAGCTCTGGGTTGTCGTCCAAGATCTTTCTGGTCAAGGCGGTGAGCATGTAACCTGGCGAGATACAGTTGACGCGGATATGGGCATGCGCCCACTCGACAGCCAAGCTGGCTGCGAGGTGGCGGATGGCGGCCTTGGCGGCGTTGTAGGGTGCCTGCGGCTGTGGAACGTTGACAATGGAGCCGGACATGCTACCGATCATGCAGATGCTGCCGGGAGCCTTGCGAGCCATAAGGTGGTTAGCAACGCCAGTCGAGAAAAGGTAGGTGCCGTCGACGTTGACGCCCCACAGCTTCTTCATTCGGTCGTAGGGGTACTGCTCAGCAGCGAAATTCTCGGTGAAGCCAGCTGAGGTGACTAGGTGATCGACCTTGCCGTGAGTGTTAATAATCTCAGCCAAGCAGCTGTTGACCGACTCCGGATCAGCTACGTCGCAGTAATGGGCAGTGATCTTGGGAGAGCGGAAGATGCCTCCCTTCTTGCCACCTGGAAACTTGCTCCGATCGTAGTCCTCGGAGTTGGGGTTGTCTTTCTTGAATTGATCGAGCATAGCCTTGGTCTGATGCTCAGCTTCCTCCTTGTTCATGTCGACAATTGCCAAGTCAGCGCCGCTACTGATCAATGCTTGACCCATGACAAGACCGAGGCCTCTAGCGCCTCCAGTGACGATCGCAGTCCGGCCTTCAAGCGAGAAGCTGGCGAGTGTTCGTTTCAAGTGGACTCCACCGCGGCCCTGCACGGGAGGTTCACGCGGGAATTGTTCATCTTCAGGGTATTCGAAGCTAATCTGGTTATCGGTTCCTAAAAGGTGTCAGCAAGCTTGAGTCGAGATAGATGGAAAGCTCGCCCGTATCGGAAACAGCTCCGGAATAGGCACTAAAGACGTAGTCCCAGCTACTATTCCTGGGGCTATCTTCGTTCGAGCAACTTTGAGTGGTAACTAACGGCTGAGAAAAGTTAGTGAACGTGTGCAGTCAGCAAAGAGAGTCCATGTAGTGTAGACAGCAGCTTTACGAGTAGGCCGGGACGACGCCCCGGCTGCAATCGAAAGGCCATGCTCACTGCACTAGATTGGGTAGCGTACCTGCTTGATCCCTCGTGTGCACCAGCGCTCGTCCCTGTAGCAGCTGTTGATGCCTTGTGGTAAGGGTCGTCTTTGTTCGGCCGCTTGATCGAGGACGAAACCCAGGCTCTAGAGATTCGCGTCGACGGTGTAGTTGGCACCTCTGCCGCGATCCGCCCAACATTGGAAGCAGCAGCAGGCGCTGTGGAGGGTTTGGCAAGCACCTGTCTTGAAGCTTGGAGAAGGCTGTGTCGATACATATTGGGAACTATTGAAGCACCCGTGGGTTTCTGACGGAGGAGATGGGAAGACGAAATCGAACGGCGTGAGGAACGCCTCGGGGATGAGAGTAGGTGATGGCTGTTTGATGAAGCTTGAGGCAGAGGACAGGCGACGAGCTTGAAGAGTTTGTGTACAGTATAGCAGTTATCCACCTTGAGAGCACTTTGTCAGATTTATTTGTTGAAGAATTGACATCATCGAGTGGGGGTCTCGAAGAGGGTCGAGGAGGGTCTCGTCGCCCTTGGCAGGGGGAATTGACGCGGCCGACGCGGCTCCGCCATACTTTGGTAAGTAACAAGCAAGGGTCCAGGCGGGCCAGGGTGGATCGTTGAGCTGGATCGAGTTTGCGCACGCTTCTGAACGCGACTAGATGAGAGGTCCAGAGGCCCCAGATGGCCAGATTTGCAGCATCCCACGCCCCGTGGCTTGCTAGACCACGGAAAATTGCAACGGTGAATGTCTCATTTCCCTCACACAGCATGCATCAGTCGGGGGTTTCTCGCTTTTTTCCGACGCGTCGGTATGCGATGCAACCTGAAAGTTCAGTTAGGGTCGAAGCCTTTTCGGGGTGCATGAATTGGATTTGGAGGGGGGCTGGAGAAGCTGCGTTAATGTGCGCGGATTGGCATTTCCGGATCCACTATCGCACTCTCGGATAGATAAGCCCAGGAGCAGTCAGCGGAGCAGTCAGCATCGATGATTATTGCTCGCGCCGTACTGTGCCTGACTCAAGTTCTACAACACCGGTACTCATGCAATACCACTAATGTCAGACACACTCGTACACCTTCAGACTCTCTATAGCTGCTGCTCCTCCAAACCTCCTGCACGTTCCTCTTTGGGCCGCGGCTTGGCCCTCCCCTCACTCAAGAGCTTCCTATCCGCCACAAAGATGATCCAGCCACAATAGCTCGCCGAAATAATCCAGAGCAGCATATTAGCCAAATCAAACCCCGCCGCAATCTTCATATCCTGGATCCCCTGATCCATCTCCGCGTTCTCTCCCAGGTACATCTTGCCAAAGATGCCGGAGCACACCAGCCAAAGAATAACGATGACGGCATCCCACGCGAAGAGCAGGGCAATCGCTCGAAATTCCAGAAGTAGGCCCCACACGATATAGGCGAACGCGGTGAGGCCTGATATCGCACCGACGGTGACCGCGTAGACCCATTTCGAGTCCGAGTAGACGTCTTCTTTCATAGCTCTGTTGAGGATTCGGCCGTAGTCTGCGTCGGCAGGTATCAGCATCAACAGCACCAAGGGAGAAGCTTGCGAGGAGGAAACTTACAGGCACAGACTACGATTGCGCCCACTAACTGACAAAGCCGCCCGATGAGGTTGGCCCACGTCCGCTTGTGAAGTTCGGGAAACTCGAATCCCATGGCTGTTGGCTTTACGTGGGAGTTTGAGATTGTTGGTAGACAGGTCTGCTAAGACGTATGTAGAAGGCCACTTGATCTTTGAGCTCGTGAGCACGACATATAGCTGCGAGGCCCGTTGGTATTAACGCACAGAGTCATAGCAAGAGTCAATAGAAGCGTGGCTAGGTACGAGGTGAAATGCATGGCGAAGGCATCACATTCCAGGGCTACAATCCCTGCCACATATGACGCATTGCGCTTGCTGGCGAGGTACTAACCGCCCCGGAAATGCTCATCCGGCCCCCCGTCAGCCCCCCCCGCAACAGCCTTCAGAGCCCAATGCATTTCTCTCCAGCCACAACACGAGACATGACAGGTAATATTGGTTGGGAATCTTCATTAGGAGCAGAGTATGTGCAGAACATTACAATAACGGAAAGACAGGTGACACACAGACACTCTATGCTAAAACAAGCCAACGCCAACATAACCAAACGCACACCGCAAGCAACGCAGGAAACACAGACAACGGAAATGGCAGAGGATAGCTGCATACTATCCTTTGTCAACATCGTCGCCACTTTCCCCGCTGTTGCCGCTAGGTATGGGCTGCTGCGCAGTCGGTGGATCTGGCATAGGTAGAGGTTCCTCGTCGTACCCGTAATCCAAGTCCAGGTTCTCCTCGGGATCCAGAGAGTCGTTGTAATCTTGCTGCGGGTTGGCCGCTTGTCGAGAAGCATTTGCTGCGCCTTTATTGGCTTTTTTGCCCTTCGATCGTCTGCTCTTCGCGCGAGCCTTTTCCAGCAATCGACGTTTTTCAGCTAACCGCCTTCGCTCCCTCCTGTCCTTTACCTCATACTGTCGGATCAAGGCACGAGGTGGCTGCCCGAAGATGCTCTCGTACTCGCAGAACTCGCAAATCCAAATGTCCTCCGGAGCGGGTGGGTGTTGAATGTTGGAGTACTCCTGCTGAAGCTTCCGCTGGCGAGCTGCAAGAGCGTACACATCACCTCTCCGTCTCCGTGGCTTCCTAGCTTGACCAGCTGTGTTTGCCTGACCTTGGGCTGGAGGTGGTTGCTGTGCGGTCTGCGCCGCAGGGGTTGTCCCGATCTGCGAGCCTTGAGCATTGGGCAATCTTTGTCCATTGCTCGGTCCACTGGGAGGTGGAAGGTGCCCGCTTCGCTGTGTATAGCCAGGACTGTACAGGCTCTGTTCGGGAAAAGTGACACCTTTTACGTCTGACTCGCAGGTGAATGTGAACTGGGAATTCGCCGATGCTTGTTTCGCTTGTTGATCGAGTACGCCCATATTTTCCTGGCCCTTTCCAAGTGGTTTTCTCAGCAAAGCGGTGGCATTTGCTATCGCAGCCGAGATGATCCCTTGATCTTTGGAATCTTCGGCTGGAATTGTTAGTTTCACACAGTCGATAGGAGGGCCGCAGATTTACCTTTGGCAGTTGCTGCCATGTTTTGGTCGTATTTTGCTGTACCACTTCTTAGATTCGAGCCATTCACCGAAACGCCCAACGGACGTCTTGCGCTGGACTTGCGAGCGTAATGTCCCCTACCAGCTCCCTGCACACCCAACCCCGATGCTCCTGGACCACCGTGACCCACAAGATCGTCGGTGCTTCCATCCTTATTGGCGCTAATGCCCAGCTGTGCCAATTCGTTGGTTAGAGACGAATGGTGCAAACTCAAACTGCCAGATGTTGGTATCTTTCGTTTCTTCTTATTGTTCGTATTTTCGAAGGCTTCGTAGCCATCCGGACCGGAGACACTGCCTCTTCCACCATGGCCACCGTATTTTGAGGCACGTGCGCCTCGAGGTGACCTCGGCGGAGAGCGGTATGAGCCTGAATTGCGCAGTGCGACCGGACTAGTGTCATCCACCGACTCAACCTCGTCCTCGTCCTCATCATGATGGCAGTGATGGTGGTGATGATGGTGATGGTGGGGACAGTGGTCATCGTCGTGGTCGTGATAATGATCGTGATCATCGTAGACGTCACCATTCTGCACCAACACCTTACTATCGCTCATGAATTCGCCACTTTCGCCATAGTGGTTGTACGTGGGTAAACTTGAAGACGGTAGGGACGGCGGGTATTCGATGGACTCAGCAGCTTCGTGGGAGAGGCGGGACTTCAAGGATCGTCGCGGGAGGGGTCGAATGAGCCGGTCTGGAAAGACAGCCGACTGCTGATCTGGGGACGAAAGGTATGATGTGCCTGGAAACTAACGTCAACATCTGGTTGGCCATGATAAAAGCCCATTGAAGTCTCGTAGGGCGAGTCTGGGGTCTTTCTCGGATATTCACATACTGTATGACATCTTGAACTATTCCGCCAGGGTTATTGCGATATTGCCGTCATTGGCTGTTCCATCAGAGTCGAGGACCAATTTTAGGCCTGGCACTAATCGAATTCTAACTGACCACAGTCAGTAAATGTTGGCTCTTAAAACGGCCCCGATGCCAATGGTTCTCTCCAGGTGCCAACTCTTTGTCACAAGATCGGACAAAAATCTTTCGAGGGTAGCGGATCGATGGTCGGGGGCTTCGAAAGACGTACATTAATCAGCAAGCGAGGCGACGACCGGGCCAGACAAAGGACCGCAATCGCCTGCAGCCGAAAGGACGTCGATGCTTGCTTGAATAACAGGATGAGATAGATACAAGGATCTAAACAAAAAGTCAATAAACGGAGGAGTAATGGCTGCGACTTGAAGTCATGAAGACACTCCTGCAGCTTCTTTCAGTGTTCAGGTAGCCGAGGCTTGGCAGCCCCCCTCCACCCGCCGAGCCTTCACTTTCAATCTGCAGGACATCCACTCGCACCTCCTTATTTTTCAGCCCCTTACCATCAGACTAGTATCAATCAACAGCTGTGAGTACTGTTCTTCTCGCAGAAGAACCCATCACATCTATTCGTGCGTCAAACCCTTAGATACGAGACTTCAAACTCGATTTGCAAGTCTTGGTCCAGGAAGGGTGCGCTGTGAGGCCAGCATCGACCTCGTTTCGCGTCAATATCTCCTTTCGTGGATCTATTGAGGTAGAGACCGATTCTTGAGAATGCCTTCCGCAATTGCCTGCGGGACCACTTTGAGTGCAGCCGGACAGCCCTGAGTACAGTGTCGGGTGACTATCTAATGAAGTCAATCGGTAGAAGGGAAGCTGTGAGCAGCAATTGCCGCCTCCTGACAATGATCAAATGTGGCAACGTATTGCTGATATGCTTGCTCTATCTGCCGCCGCCTGGTTTCCAGCCGAAGATGGTGGCATGTATACGGTATCCTTCTACTGGTTGCTGGCTCCCAATGACCTGCAATGACCTGAACCCCAACACCGGTCGGCAAATTGGCTGCAGTACAAACGGACCACCGTCAATTGCGCAAGCGTCCCACATGTCGCATGCTCAACATCCCGGTGGACTTGGGAGCCCAACATCAGGCGGTTGCCGATTTACGTGATCTCGCCTCATGCTCTAACCTGAAGCACTTCTGCTAAATACCCGCATTCTCACCTCAAGCAACATAAAATTCCGTGTACAACAGAGTACCTAGGCTGTCTCGGTCTGCTTGATATAAGTCGCACCCTCTGCCTCCATGGCACAAACATGGATATGGCGACGCTGCTGTGTTGGCTCGCTCCGAAACGGCTGTAGACGTTCAACTGGACCAATACCTCACTTATGTACGTGTCAGGCAGTGAAAGTCTTGGCGACACGCAGACTGCTCGACACGATAAAGAAATCTGGTGACGAAAGGGTCTAAATGGCGTGCGTGTCCAGGATTCCCTCCTGTGAACATAAATGGGAAACCTCTCTGGGAGATACGGTGGTGAACCTGTGAGTTGGGGACGAGATGGCCATAATAGAATCGGATACGGCTACAGTACGGTACCTTGCTTTCAACAAGACTTGAACGGCTTTTTACATGAGATTGACTGAAATGCTAATCAGAGCATTGCAGAATAGATTCAATCGAGTTTCATGGGGGTTGGGTATTAGGGAACTCGCCGTCCAAAGACTGCTTCATCCTCCACGCCAAGAGTCAATCAATAAGTAGGTTCTGCGCCAGAACGTTCTCATACATGTCTTTTCATACTGTAATGCCGCATCGCGGAATTGTCAATCATGAGATGAGCTGAGCAACGAGTGCACGAGGGCGAGAAGGGCCAAGATAGCTGTTGAAGGAACACTGTTGAGAAGCCGCCAGCCTCGTACCTCTGAGAGCAGCCTCGATACACCACTTGGCGCCAAGCTCTGATCTGCGCCGGAGCCAAAGTTCCTGAGATGCAGGCATTCGTAGCCTCCAACGCCAGATATCGATTTGTTTGCGCTGGGGCCTGAAAGGATAGCGAGGCTCATATCCACGACTATGTCTGCGCCGCAGGTGCTGAAGCTCGCCCTCGAGGCGTGCAGACCTGTACGACCGCGACATCAATTGCTGTCCTTGACAAGCTCCAAGTCTTCTCAACCGTCAACGACGAGGATACGACCGTTGGTGCAAGGACGATTTATCACTACCGCACCCCGGCTACATGAGGAAAAGCCATCAGAGCGCGATATAACAACGGGGTTTCCTATGCCCGAAGCAGATCCGGACTCGGAAAATGTGACTGCGGACGTCCAGAGTTCCTCGCTCGATGCAGAAGCTACACCATCATCAGGAGTTGCCCCAAGCTCAAGAGCAGGAGAAGGCTTTGCCGCGCCCCCAAAAACAGCGCAGCCAGCCGTTTCACAGGGGGCCGGGCCATCATCGATGCTCGATAGCGTCTCCAATCCTTCCTCAGAAACTGCCAAACCTGAGTCTGAGGAAGCGCCAGAACAACTATTTCCACCCAATGTTCTTGCCACACACCTAGCGCCCATGCGCCATCAGCCAAAGTACGGTGTTCCCGTTGCCTCGCTTCAACTCCGCTCCTACTCAATTCGTAACCTCGAGTTCTTCGCCGACTTCTGCATGCGCGCCGCCTTCTACCTCAAGATGCCCGCCCGTGGCCCTGTCCCGCTGCCTCGCCGCACCGAGCGCTGGACCACGCTGCGCTCCAACTTTGTGCACAAGAAATCACAAGAGAACTTCGAGCGGATAACGTACAAGCGTCTGATCACAGTCATGGATGGCGACAAGAGTGCCGTCGAGGCCTGGCTCGCATACGTCCGCAAATGGCAGTTTTACGGCGTCGGCATGAAGGCGAACGTATGGGAGTTTGAGGGCGTAGACGTGGCCAAGAACATGGACAAGGATTACAACGAGGAAATCAGCAAGCACTTGGACGAAAAGCTGAACTTGTACGGCTGGAAGAAGAACATCGGCCAGAAAGCCACCGTGCAAAACCTGCTACTGAACAGCCAGAGGAGTCGGAACGTTGTTGGTGCGCCCATGGCAAACGTCAGAAACCCAAGCATGAGCCGTGAGATGAGGGGGAAAACCTTGGGTATCGACGACTCAGCTAAGAGCTGATTTCTAGACTGGCTTTTCTCCTGTGCCGATACCTCAATGTACAAAACACACCCTGTGCTATACCACCCTCACTGCGTGCTTACCCAAGCGCTGCCCTATCCGTGCCAGACCCCTCCTCATCTTCCACATCCCACACCTTCCTTCCAAAGAACCTCGTAATCTGCCTCCCCACCGCCTTCCCTACATGCGGCTCCAGCTCCGACACGCTCATATTCGCCACCTCCCTCACATCCCTCGTCTCCAAATACAACCTGGCCGCATTTTTCGCCGTGATCCCCGGCACGGCCCTCAACAGCTCCTGCGGCGCATTATTGAACGTGCGCTCCTCCAATTCCAGCCCTTCCAGTTCCGAATCCAGACCCAGCTGCACGGCACGCATGGGATCCGGCTCGGGCTGGCCCTTTTTCAACTCGGCGAAGATCTCGGCGGTTTGGTAAGGAGAGGACGACCAGATGACCTTGAGGCGTGGGAAGGAGATGGTCAGCAGCACGAGTTTCGATTGGAGGTCGCGCGAGTCGGCGTCGGGGGTTTTGAGCGTGGAGATGCTGGTGAGGTCGGCGAAAGGGTCGAGCGTGAAGGATTTGTTGTGCTCGAATTCGATGAGGAGGAAGGGGTACGTGTAGTGCTGCAGCATCGATTCGGCTTGGTTGAAGAGGCGCCCGTTCTTGAAGGAGGCGATGAGGTCGCGAACGCTTTTACGCTCGACGCAGATGGAGGGGGAGAGGACGTAGTCGCCAATGGTGAGTTGGCAGGGGAGCACGATGTTGCTGCGGCCGTGGAGGAGGGAGGGGAGTGCGGAGCGGAATTCACGCACGTCGACGACGATGGTCGGGGGTTGGGCTGTGGCGGCAAGCTTGCCCCCGCCGGCGATGCGGGTGTTGATCGTGCGGAGGAATTGCTCCGAGTCGGTGGCGGATGCCCCCGGGTCGTTGATGGTGAGGGCGAGGCCGGCCCGTTCGTGGATGAGTTTGGTGAAGGCCTCTTTCTCCCGGCGGATCCGCGAGAGGTAGACTTGCTCTTCGACACTACCTTGGTAGTAGAAGAAGTAGGTCCGCAAGGACATGCGTGAGGAGTGCGACGACTTGTAGACTTCCACGCGGCGGATAAAGTCCGCGGCTGGTGAGTACATGATTATGTGGGAGGGACGGACTTCCTCAAGGAGAAGGTCGTCGTTGTCGCCGGAGTAGGGATGGACGAGTATCTGGTCGGTGGGTTCGTACAGTGTGAACTGCGCCTCAGTAGCAGTGGTGAGGTCGTCGATGATGGGATCGTCGGGGCCACGCTTGTCTGCTTCATCGGGGCGAAGGGAATCTAGAAGTGAAGCCACTTGCGCATCACGCTCCATCGCTGCGCTGGAACGCCCTGCACCTCCTCCCAGACCACCGCCGCGTACACGCCGACGTTTGTTAGCAGGCTGTCCTTTAGCGTTTAGACGGGACGTGGCGCTCGAATTTTTCAGATCTGACAAAGACTTGAGGTTCTCATCAAATAGAGCAGATTGCACCCTGTTGAAAGTCTTGCGCCAGTAAAGGTAGTCGCGCAGTTTTCGCCGCATCATCCACTCGCCTGAGCCCTTCTCTTGCTCTTCTTCCACCTCATGAGGCGCCTGACCGTTGGCCTCGTTATCAAGTTCAGGCTTAATATGCATGGTCTGCAGATACTCCTTGATCTGTCGACATGTTCTCTGATCATTGCACATCACCAAAACTGTGTTGCTGGCTTCACCCGTGGCTGGATTCAGATATGCGTCGTACTCGATCTCGCTCAAGATTTCAGCGAGGAGCGCCCACTTTGGTTGTTCTTCAAGCACCGGTCTGACTCCTTCTGGGATCTTCTGCGGGGTACTGTCGCTCTTCTCCTCAACTCGCCCACTGTATACACGATCTCTGGCTATGGTGAAGATGGTATCGGCGGCGTCAGTGAGCAGCCAGGGCGAGGAATTCTGCTTGGTCGAGTTCGGCGGCGGTGAGAGTGTCGCACGGACAGTATCAAGGTGTTTGAGTAATGATACACAGTCGTAGCTGAGCAAGTAGGTCAGTATCTCTCGTAACGTGGTGAGGTCGCGAGCGATCTGTCGCGTCCGAAAGCTCACTCTATGCCATACCGGATCCAGCTGTCGTCGTACCATGGAATCAAAGTTCTGATGTAGGGCCGAGTCCACGCTCCAGTCTTCCAGATCGAATCCAGAATGAGCCTTGCGTAGTTCCGATATGCAAAGCTCGACACATTCCAGAACGGCTTGCTGGATCTTAGTCATGGCATCGCTCATGGGCACCTCGAGCTCCACGACGTCTGCCTTCTTCTTGCCTTCTAAGCTTCGCGCAACACTGGCATGGAACCGTGGATATAGCGCCGGCTTTCTGAGAAACAAATTCCTCAGCATCGCACCCAGCGGCGCATACGCCGAGATGAGAGGTTCGGGTGCGTCAGTAAAAGCCTTGACGAAGCCAATCTTGTTGTACTGTCTGAAGACCCGTACGATGAAGGCCTCGGAGCTAGTGGTAATAACCTTCTCGGCGTGCATTACAATAAGTCCCGTCACGGTCTCTGGGTCCAGCAACTTAGAAAGAAGGTCGACAATTAAGATCCTACTGGTGACTGAGACGACACCACCTTCAGAATAGATTTTCTCTCGAGCTGAGACTGTGGCTTTGTCGGTGTTGATGACCCGCAGTCCTCTAGCATGCGGTGCCCTTGAGATGGCATAGTGTTCCGCCAACGCTTCGCCGATCCAGTCATTTTCCTGGTCCTCGGCGCCAACAACGATGACAAGAGAGTTGCCAGCTGCATCATACGAGTGCAGCAGATTGGTCACGATCTTCAAGAGACCAAGACCTCTTGCTAACACAACAAGAGCGTCCTCGTTGCGTAGTAGATTGTAGATATCTTGCTGGAATTGCTGCACACGGGTTAGGATCGTCCTACTATACGATTCTGCTTAAACCCGATGAATGATTGAGTTGTAGACTTACCAGTGGAAGAGATAGCTTGATTGGCGCCGACGCGCTCGCCGCCGGCATCTTCACATTGCTGGACTCTTGCAAGAAGCAAGTCGGAACATGATGGTATTGACGGTTTGCCTCCTTCGAGTTCGCTGCCTTGCGTGAAACCCACTTGGAAAGCCCCAGCCAATCAGACACCATCTCGAAAATCGCGACGTCAAGTCGCAGCTCGCAACTTTTCTGCCATTGAGGCATTACACGGTCTACGACGGGGTCCGGCTACCAGTCTATCATCACAGGCGGTCGCCAGCTGGCAAGCAATGAGGTCGACTCCTGTTCCCTCGCGAGATGTGTTGAGATACCTACGATCCCAGTCTGACATCCTCTTTCCCGCGACATCGAATCCGTCCGTCCGTACGAACCGATCAGAGCAACCACTCTGCGCCCGGCGTATCCGTCGTGAATACAGTACGACCACTTCAAGATGTGCAAATCGCCAGAACACGCTCATCGATGACCTGTGGCCACGACACCGAGATGTTTGCAAAGCCCTCCCTCCTCCTCGCACCCCTCCACAACCACCGCATACCCGACACGCCTCTAATTCCGCACATCCTGGCTGGCTGCGGCGCATGTTCCAAGGCCGCCAGCGCGCCGAGAAGTCAAGGAACAACACCCCCCAACATGGTGTCCCATTCGAAAACCAGACGTATGAGGATACCTCGGCGCAACTCTTCAATCTATCCCGAGCCCTATCGCGCAATCCCTCAGGCGCAGACCTCAAGCTCCGCTGTACAGAATTCGATGCCAACGGCTCCGTTACGCTCGTAGCTGGAGAGTTCAAGAAGTCAGAACTCATCGCCAAATACGGTCTTCTTCCTCGCGACTTGCGCAAAATCGACTCCTCCGTCCTTCCACATATCCTGGTTCGCCCCTCCGCCATCCTCATCAATCTTCTACACCTGCGTGTGTTGATTCAGTCAGACCGCGTCCTGGTGTTCGACGCATATGGCTCTACTGACTCATACACGCAATCCCTTTTCATGTATGATCTCGAAGGCAAACTCCGGCAGAAAGCCGACCCCCGCTCCCCATCCAGCTCTACAAGCTATCTGCCTTACGAGTTCCGCGCCCTGGAAGCCGTCCTCATCTCCGTGACAGGCGGACTCGAGGCCGAATTCACCTTGGTTCGCGATCCTGTGACTCACATCCTTCGGGCTCTGGAAGAGGACATCGACCGTGAAAAGCTCCGACATCTCCTCATCCACTCCAAGAAACTAGGAACCTTCGAGCAAAAGGCCCGCCTGGTCCGCGACGCTATCGACGATCTCCTCAATGCCGACGATGACCTTGCCGCCATGTACCTGTCGGAGCGCTCCAAAAGCGGCACATCACGGCCCGAGAACGACCACCAAGAAGTCGAAATGCTGCTCGAGTCCTACCACAAGATCTGCGACGAAATCGTCGAGATCTCCGGCAATCTGATCTCCAACATCCGCAACACCGAGGAGGTGGTCAAAGCCATCCTGGACGCCAACCGCAACCAGCTGATGCTACTGGAAATCAAGTTCAGCGTCGGCACGCTGGGCCTCGCGGGCGGCACCCTCATCGCCGGCCTCTACGGCATGAACCTCAACAACTTCATCGAAGAGACCGACTGGGGCTTCGGCGCCGTCAGCGTCGTCTGCTTCGGCCTCAGCGCCATCATCTCCATCTACGGCATGCGCAAGCTGCGCAAAGTCCAGAAGGTCCGCATGTGGGGCGAGGGCATCGACGGCCACAACGGCGACGGCCGACGCGGCGGCGCTGCCGGCTACCTCCGCAGCGGTGGCGGGCACAGCGGCGGCGGCGCAAGCAACGGCGTCCGCGCCTGGAGCCGCGGCAACTGGCGCAGCGAGGCCATGGAGAGCGCCGAGATGCGCAGCGCCCGCGCCAGCGCCGAACGCGTCCTGTGGCCCGGCATGGACGGGCTGGGCATGCATCGTCTGCCGGAGGCCGAGCAGGGCGCTGCTGCTAGTAGTAAGCTGGGCGAGGAAACCCCTCCCACTGTCACCATCAAGGACGACCTGGCGACCGATGTGCGCAAGGAGGACAAGAAGGTCGTCAAGGTGGCGGCGGGGAGGAAAAAGTAAAGGAGATCCTGCTCAGGCGTATCTCGAAGGAGAAGGAGAGGGGCAGAGGAGAGCTGCACCCTTCCTTCGATTTTCGCTCTACTCAACTCAATTCCCATTCCATCCTTTCAAGGGCCTGCGGTGCCCGGGGCATGGATATACTTACTGACGGCGCACGCATTCTCGAATCGGTTTCTCTGTATTTTCTGAAGCGTTGAAGCGGGCATTATAGACGGTTTGGTCGTTGGGTTCGGAAAAATGAATTGAATTCTGCGAATGGCGAATGGCGAATGGCGGTGGTAACTGCAGTACAACAACAGAGGCAGGCAGGCAGGCAGGTCTTCGGAGTGTGTAAGTGTACAACAAGTATAAGCAACCAAAGCTCTGAACACGATGTCTATTCCGTCTGTAGACCGCCGTCAGACTGCGTGCAGATTCGTCACGGTACACATCTAGGGTTTTGAGGATTTTACATTTCAGCTTTTATATTTATAGCCCATTTTCCGCATTCACACCTTTCCGTTTCGCCGTTGCGTCGCAGCCGCCTGGTCCCGACTGCTATTGGCAGTGGACACCGCCCACCATTCCTGTAAACAGCAGCAAATTGAAAGAACGCAAGTTCGCTAGAACGCTCAGTCATCTTGGGACGCTTCGCTTCTGCCGCCGCCAGGGAATGTACGAAATATCAACTACAGCCGCGATCTCCGGTCGAGAGTCACCAGGCCGAGGCAGTGCATGACTCTTAAGGCACCGTCGCATTGGCTATTCCACGTCGCAATCACCAGTCGTCGTCGTCGTCTTTCTCGTCGTCTGAGAACCTGTTAGTAACCTTTCCGGCATTTTCAAGAAGTCGAGGTGCTTGCTTACCACTGCCACTAACTTTCTTCTTCCGTTGACTCAGTGCTGCTGCTAATGCACCAGCTAGACCCCCTTGGGCATCACCACCAGCGGGCGCTCCGCCTGGCCCTGGTGGCGGAGGGGGTGCAGATGGCTCCCCACCCGGCACAGCCGCAGCAGATCTGTCACGCTTTTCGCTGTCCTTGACTTTACGCAAGCCGCCACCAGATCCTCCACCAGCTGCGCGGATGCCAGCTAGAAGATCGTTGCGTCCACCAGTAGGTTGGGGCAACGGAGGAGCTGATCCTCCCGGAGGCGGTGGAGGAGGTGGCGGTCCACCTGACGAAGGCATTGGTGGAGGAGGAGGTGGTCCGCCGGTAGCCGGCGGAGGGGGCGGTGGCGGAGGCGGTGGACCACCCATGTTTAGCATTGGTGGAGGCGGTGGAGGACCTGACGATGCTGGAGGTGGTGGTGGGGGAGGTGGAGGAGCGAATGAAGTCGCTGGCGGTGGAGGCACCGCACGTGTGTTGGCGGGTGGCAAGGGAGGGGGTTGACTGCGAGATGGAGGCGGAGGCGGAGGCGGTCCCGGACTGGGAGCGACACTGCCTCTGTCTGGAACTTTCGGCGGCAACGCTGGAGGTGCTGCACTGACAGGCTGTCGGCTTGGTGGAGGCGGTGGAACTGGACCACGACTTGGGGGCGGCGGCGGTGCTGAGGACTTCCTCTCTCCCGTGAATGGAGGCGGCACCTTGAACCCGGGCGACCTCTCCTCCTCCATCGGGGTCTTGGCCGGCACGCGAGGGGGCGGCGGAGGGCCGGGATTAGCGGCCCCCGAAGACGCCCGCGGACGTCCAACAGACGAGCTCACGCCTGGGCTATCTTTGACGGCAAACCTACCCGCATCAGCTAGCGGAGGTGGCGCTCGGAATCGAGGCTGAGGCGGTCCAGCTGGGGATGGAGTTCTCTCAGGAACATCCTCCGCAGCTGGTGACGAATCTCTGCCTCCTACAGGTCTGCGCGATGGAGGAGGTGCAGGAGGCGGTCCGCGCTTGCTGGAAGAGGTTGCACCGGTATTATCAGGGCTCAGTCTAGGAGCAGGCGGGCCTGGAGGTGGAGGGGGAGGCGGGGCTCGTCCAGATTGGGCTGGCAGGGCGGACGCAATGCCATTTGCCATTTCCTCGGCCTGCTTTTGCATAATGTATTGCTTGATGAAGTCTGCGTTGTTCATGATCTGATCCTCACTGATGCCCATCTGCTTGAGCTCGTCCAGGATTGGTCGCCACGTCGGATCTGCCAGATCAATACCACCGCTACTTAGCGGTCGCTGTACCTGGCCCATTTGAGGAGCAGGAACGGCTTGGGGAGGCGGCGGGTTAGAGGAGTGTCTATTGCCACGAAAGAAGTTGCCCACGCGGCTGTGGCTCTTTTGACTGCTTCCATTCTGCTGGTACATTGCACCACCACCCGCATTCATGCCGAAAGGCTGGGCCTTAGTTTGCTTCGTCGCGTTCTTTTCCCGGTCATTCATCTTCTTCATAAAGGTCTTAGCCTCCTTCTCATCCACGAAAGATAAGCCGGCGAGGCATGGCGGATTCTCCAGCTCAAAAGAGTGGAAGAACGTTCGGTCCTGGTTGTAGGTGAAAGTGTCATAGATCTCCTGGTCCCATATAACGCCTCTGTTAGCCGGCGAGACATCGACCAGCTTGATCCAGAATGTGTTTCCCACGAGATCGTTAGACAGGACGACAGCGCCCTGGAGGCCGGTATATGTCCATCGATTGCGATCGGGATAGGCAACGTAAAGCCGACCAACAGCGACAGCCTGGATCTTGTTTGTTGATTTCGGAATCGTGCGTTTCACGGTCTCCTTGTCATGTTCGGAGAGGATCGAGGGCATGGTTAGAGCTCGTTAAAAGAGTCGCCTACTCGGAAGGCGAAAGGTTGGCGTCCGGGAAGCGTAAAGGCGTGCGCATAGGTATTACAGTGCACAGGCAGCTCTGATGTTGCAACCTTGGGAGTACGTACACCTCTAGCGAAGAGGCGACAAGGCTGAACCTGAGGCGAGTCGATGCGTGAGTGGACTCAATATGAAATGGAAGAACGACGTTCGTTGTCAGCAGGCGCTCCTCGCCGGTCCTCGTGGCAGGTGGAGCCCGGGCTCTTGGGGGCGCAGGTGCAAGCGCAAGCGCAGTGCAGTGCAGGTGCCCCACTCCAACGATTTCCAGGTAAGCGACGTCATCTCAAATCGTCACTTTAGGTGTATCCTGCAAACGACATCACTATGCAAGGGTAGGCCACGAAGAGGAGCCTTAAATAAGGCTCAGGCAGAACCGTTTTCGTAATTCCACCTTCCCTACCAACATTCATCCCGAAAAACATCTACAGTCTTCAGAACCCCCACAACTCCATCGACACCACCCACGGCCCAAGCGAACCGTGATCATGCCCGTCCACCCCACCGAAGAGACCGCGCCGTCGAACCTGACCGACAAAGTGGCACAGGAATCTTCCGATTCTACTGCCTCCGATCACCCAATTCACGACGAGAACAAGGGACCAGTCAAGGCTACAGCGGATGACCACAAGAGCAAAGGCCCCGCCATCCCAGAGAGCACGTGCTCCATCCCGTTGCAAACGAATCAATACTGACTGTACACCAGAAGTTCCCGATGCCACCGGTACCAAAGATGAGCTAAAGGCCAAGGCCCAGGAGATGAACAAATGAGCGTGGAAAATACGAAGACTCTTCGATCGAGGTGACTGCTAGGGCATATCTGCATGGGGACTTGGAATGCAGCTAGTGCATCGTTCACACCTGCAAGGATAGCATAATGCACATTGATTCATCATGACTGATCTGTCCTGCTTCGGACACACTGCTAACACTTCGATGATTGTCCAGCTTGTTGCCGAACAGCTATTAGCAAAGATTTGTTGTGACACTCCCGTCATGCAAGTCCATTCGGTGACCTTCGAATCACACTCCGTCACTCTCCTTCAAAGACTTCACGATCGCTCTGAACATTGCTTTCGCCAGTACAGGAGGTACCGCATTGCCGATCTGTCGACGGGCCTCGGTGACTCCCTTTGCACCCGCAAACGAGTGATACAACGGGAATGTCTGCAGTCTTGCCAATTCGCGAAGTGTATAAGGCCTCAAACCGGAAGGGTGATAGTTACCTTGGCCGGCATTGGTAGTGATGGTTTTTGCTTGAACGTTGCCATCGAGCGGTGGTCGCCGACCGTTCTCAAATCGGATACTCTGGTCATGATTCAGAGCGTTGTGAGGAATGTTGCTCATCGCGCTGTTGATGGTGGCCAATGGCTTGAGGCCGGTGTCAGCCGCGCCATGAGTTGGTTCGGGAAAAGGTGGCAGCTTCTCGCCAGGCCTAGATGATGTTAGCACGTGTAATTCTCATTGACCTCCTAGCATGTCACTTACCCAGCGGCGACCACCAGAAGCCGCTTTCGGGTCTGAGGTACCCCGTACTCATTGCATTGCACAACCTTCCAACGGACGGAGTAGCCGAGGGTGGTGAACGTGTTAATGAGGAGAGAGAACCACTCCTTGTGTCGCGAGAACAGTCCTTCGGTTTCTTCAATGGTGACGATTCTCGGCTTCAATGTTTCCACCAGCTGCCAAACGGAGGGTAAAGCAGCCTGATTCATCTCATCGCGTTCTGGCGACGGGATGGTATGTGCCGGCGAGAACGGCTGACAGGGAGGGCTGATGTGCAGGACGTCCACTCGAACTCCGCTCAAGTCATAGAGCTTCATAAGACGGGAAAGGAATTCATTGACAGATTCAAGGCGACAATCGGCCCCGCAACGAGCAAAGTTGGTCTTGTACGTTTCGATAGCCTCAAGATTGTTGTCGAATCCCCACAGCAGCTTGAGGCCCGCATCAACGGCGCCTCGTGAGGTTCCGCCAGCTCCACAAAACGCATCACCGAACGTATAAGACTGTACTTGCTCGACCGTGGCCCTGCCGTTAAGATCGAAGGTGCGGGACCGGGAGGTGTTGCTGCCGCCTAGAGTTGTGTCAATTCCACGCCAGAGATATCGAGCTTCTACCGTCGAGATGCGAGTTTGGCGTGTATGACCATCATTGGCAACTCGTATGGTATCGTTTGCACCAGCAGGATCCAGGTGCTCGATGATTTGCTCGATAGATCGCCGTCTGGTATCTAGCACAGTTGTGTGAACCCAGCGGCAAAACAGCGGACCGTGTTCAACTTGTTGGGTAGGATCTGAGAAGGAGGCCTGGTCATCGCGAGAACTGACGGTGGGAAAGGGCTGGTTGGTGAAAATGATGTGCCGGTTCCTCAGGACCTCTTCAATCGAGACTTCGTGTGTGGCTCTGTCAAGGCCTGGGACTGCGGGTTGGTGCTCCAACACAACCTCGTTTCGACGCTTGGACATGGTCAGGCCCATAAAGTTCTGCCGAACGAGGTGGTCGCCGGCGACAAAGATTTTGCCGGCCACATCTTTCTGAACTCGAGTGATACGTAGGAAGGACCCATCCTTGAGCTCGACACATTTACCTGCCGCACATTTGAACCGCGGGTGCTGGTTTGAATGGACTGATATGTTTGTGCGTCTGCTCAACCTTGCCTGCTCGTCTTTCTCTTCTTGGATGCTTAGTCTTCGAACGTAGGCCCGCAACTGTGCGTCTGTCATGTAGTCATCTATCGTAAGGTCGATGACCGAGTTGTTGCGATTGCTTAAGTGCGGTGAGCGGCTATCGTCGTTGTGACTAGAGACGTATGCTTCTTTGATGGTGGTTTGCGGGTCGTCATCGTCCTCGAGCAAGTCCACGGGGTTCATTGGCGAACCTATGTGGTTTGACGTCTTTGAGTTTGGCGAGGCCTCCGAATGGCTGACAGTTCGCTTGCGTTTGGAGGAGACCGGTCCACCTTGAGGCGAAGGAGATTGTTGGGAGACTTCATTCTTTGACTTCAGAACGTGAGGGAAGTATCGTTTGACATTGGCCAGACTTCCGTAGGCTGGTGTCAAGTAGCTTCCACCGACCATCCTCGCGGTGTGAAGCAGGTTTTCGGAAATGACTTCTGTCGTTTACGGCTTATGGCAAACCGAATCCAAAAGCGAGGTCAAAAGAGTGTCTGGATCACGGTGAGCAGGAGGTAGCCTGAGCTGAAGTTGGGCCAGAGGAAGAGTCCGGAATTTTAAGAGCAAAATCAGGGGCCAGATGAAGTCTGTCTGATGCACAAAAAGAAGCGAGGGTTGTCTAATTAGGCAGCAGGAATGACACCTTGTTCACATCGATGTGAGAGATTCATTGTGCACATAAAGGCAGAAGAGCATCTCGTTCATGTTTCAGTGCAGCATGCAACACTGGACCCACCGTGTTACCCATGATGGGTTGTTCCGATGTTCCAAGAGCAACTACGTCTGTTGTTGATGCCACACAATGACTGCACCCGCGCGATATCGTGGCGTGTACAAGCAGCGCACGGCATTGTGCGTCTTGGAAGGCGTTCACCTGGGAATTCATTGGAGGCTGGAATGATAAAGGAGGGTTTGCTTGCTGCTACAACTTGTATGTGGGGTCTTCAGCATTACCGACCAGAACAGAGCACGAGTTTCTCGACAGACAGCAGCACGATATAGTTACAAGGCGTGGACAAATGAGAGATGAAGTAATAGAAGTTGATAATGCATGGTTAATGCCAAGGACCCAGCTCCAAACCAGCTTAGCGTGCCGGCAGCCGTTTGGGCTCGGCGTCGCTGCCCGCAAGAGCCCCTTCCGATTCTCTGCCGGCCGACTCGGACGCGGCGCGAAAAAAGTGTAGCAGAAAGATTTCGAACCACCAGTCTTTCAGCACTAAAGACTCGCTCCCCCCATAACAATGTTGCTCCTTCACATATCCAGCCCTTCACCCTCCCCTCCCCCACACTACGCACCTGCGATACCTCAACCAGCATCTTCCGACGAGTCACGCGTGCACTGAGAGATTGATACCATCGGTCCCGATATCCCCCACCTTTGCTCCACTCATCCTCTCGAGATTGCCCGGTCCACGCACAGATGCGCTGAGCGCTGAAGTGAGTAGTCATCTCCCGTACCTCAGACCCGTCAAGATGAGCCAAATTGTATTTTTTAGATGTTAGACTTCTTAGCAATCCTGCTGAGCTATTACGGACTGAACGACCCCGACATAAGAAGTGCACTCACGATTTGCCATAGCCGAAGTTTGAGCTGACTGGGCCTGTATAGATTTCTCGAGACTTCCCTCAGAATGTGCGGCATCCTTGCCCTGATCCTGGCAGATGCCACCTCGGACAACGCCGCTGCCGACCTGCACGATGCACTGTACCTCCTCCAGCACCGCGGTCAAGATGCGTGTGGTATTGCGACCTGCGCACCCGGCGGGCGCATCTACCAGTGCAAAGGCAATGGACTGGCGGCAAAAGTCTTCAGAGATGGCTCCAGAGTCGTTGATTTGCCGGGCTTCATGGGCGTGGGCCATCTAAGATATCCCACAGCCGGCAGTAGCGCGAATGCCGAGGCTCAACCCTTCTATGTCAACAGTCCCTACGGCATCGTGTTTGCACACAATGGTAACCTGATCAACGCGCCAGAATTGAAGCGCTATCTGGATTATGAGGCCCATCGACACATCAATACAGATTCCGACAGTGAACTCATGCTCAACGCCTTTGCTAGCGAGCTCAATGAAACAGGCAAGGCCCGTGTCAATGAACACGATATTGCGAAGGCTCTTGGCAGGATGTACGACCGCTGTCAGGGTGGATGGGCTTGTACTGCCATGCTGGCGGGCTACGGTCTGATCGGCTTCCGTGATTCCTACGGTATCCGGCCTCTAGTTCTGGGTGAGAGGAACTCGCTGGATACATCCGGAAAGGACTACATGATGGCTTCCGAATCGGTGGCTCTGGAACAGCTGGGTTTCACTGTCGTCCGTGACATCCTACCTGGTGAAGCTGTCATTATTGAAAAGGGTCTCGAGCCTCGTTTCCATCAAGTGCAGCCTCGCAAAGACTACGCCCCGGACATCTTTGAATATGTTTACTTCGCTCGACCAGATTCCGTTATCGACGGCATCAGCGTTCATCGCAGCAGACAGCACATGGGTACCCGCCTGGCAGCCAAAATCAAGGCAACGCTCTCGCCCGAAGCCCTGAAAGAAATCGACGTGGTTATCCCTATTCCCGAGACATCGGTAACCTCGGCGGCCGTAGTGGCAAAGATGCTCGACAAGGAGTACGTCCAAGGATTTGTCAAGAACCGCTATGTCTTCCGCACCTTCATCATGCCACAACAAAAGGAACGTCAAAAGGGTGTAAGAAGAAAATTGAACCCGATGGAAATGGAGTTCAAGGGTCGCAACGTGCTCCTAGTGGATGACAGCATTGTTCGTGGAACCACTAGCCGCGAGATTGTGACCATGGCCCGACAATCTGGCGCAAAGAAGGTACACTTTGCCAGCTGTGCGCCACCCATCACACATACTCACATCTACGGAATCGACCTTGCCTCTCCGAGTGAACTGGTGGCTCACAACTACATCGGCGAGTCCGCGATCGCCGAGCACATTGGGGCCGACAGTGTAGTCTACCAGACCCTAGATGATCTGAAGGCATCCTGCATCGATGCCGCAGAGGAAGCTGACGCTAAGGAAGCTCCTCGGAATTTCGAAGTGGGTGTCTTTTGCGGCACCTATATCACTCCTGTGAGCGAAGGCTATTTTACTCACCTGGAGCGAATTCGTGGTCAGACCCGAAAGCTGAAAGTTGCGGACGAAGCTCGCCGCGCTGTTGCTCAGGGCCACGCCGACGTCGATCAGATCCAGATAGCTGCCACTGGAGCAGTGGTAAATTCCAACGGCAAAGTAGTCCCAGCGGTGAGCAACGATCGCCGCGCAAGTTCTCATCAGACCAATGGCTCTGGTAAGGTGATACAAAGCATGGATATTGCACTTCATAACTACAACGACTTTCCGCCCAATGACTGAACGATGTTGGATGATCGACAGGAGCTGAGGCAAATGCAGGTCACGAGCACGGCTCGTCGGACGAACAGCTGGCAGCACGGACCGAGCAGGGTATGGTCAAGTCGTTCTCCACGGCACGAGACTGGCGTCGATGAGAACTTCTGTATCGTGCAGTACCAGTCGAACGTACGGTCTGCATGAGCAGCCCACCTCGGAGATGACGGTGTACAAGATTATAAGAAGGTGTGTGGGCTTCCAAATATTGTTATGTTGAGGCTACATGGCAGCTGAACAGGCTTGCCTCATTCCAATGTCCTTGATCGGCGCCTCTTGGAACCCAAACGTCCGTGCGAGGGACATGGGAGTATACATGACTCGGATTCGTTGTCGATTCGAGAATGGTGGAGGAATATATAAGAGGAGCAAGAGGTTCCTCCATCAAAGAATCTTAGCCATAGTCGATTTAGCTCTGATTGAGCAGGCTGATAACGAAGGCGATCAATAGCGTCGAACCGGATCCAGAATTCCAACATGCATCTTCACCCGCTCTTCTACCTCGCTGGAATTGCATCCGCCATGCCAGCACTGGGCGGCCTCGAGCAGCTCCGACGCGACGCCTGCCCCAGAGACCTGCCGCCTCTCCCCGGCTTCGAGTTCCCTCATCTCATTGTCCCCATCTCGAAGGCTCAGCCAGATGTCGCCAATCCCAACAGTTTCTCGCCCTCCATCACAGCCAACGATATCGCCACTGTGTTCAATTTCGATATTGTGCGCGACAATCAAGACTGCGAGCTAGGCTTCTATTTTCCCCGCCTGGAGCAACTCAACATGTCGTCCTTCAGCTTCTCGGGCACAGGAACGTTCACCACCAGCATCAATCAGCCGGGTACCGGAGCGCAAGACGGCGTTACGACATGGAACAATCAACCTGCGGCGGGACCTTATGCTGAATTTCCCAAGACTATTACCATGAGTCCAGGCAACTATTATAGTCTGTGGATAGGAGCTTGTCCCGTGGGGCTCTGGAGCATCACGGTCACGAGTCCAGACACCTTGTTCCAGTGGTTCCAGTCCTATGCCTCATGCCCTATTGGTCCTTATGTCACGTACAGTGGATAAGTCTGCTGGAAGGGAGACGGAAGAGCACTGGGTGCAAGGGAATCGAGTTCTGCATCAACGTATGCGAAGAGGGACGCATGTCTCCAAGTCACGTACCATTATGCTCGATTGATTGCTTTAATTAAAGTGCACACCTGTTCATTTCATCGTCCTTTGTGCTGTTACAAATGACGTAAATGTTGTGGTGTTATCGATAATGATCCCTGTCGTTGCTATGCTGCGGCTTCGACTCCAACCAGGTGGCTGGGCGGGGCTGGTAAGGTGACAGAAGCCTCACTGTTCTGGACCTGCTCATGTGCTGTCGCTTTCCTCCTCAGGCTCTTCACACTCTCTTATCGGAAATCTGTCACTCCTTTACCAACCGCTGCTCTGCTACCTTGTCCGCTTGTGCGCGCTTCCCCCGAATCCACCAAATGGAAGCCGCAACTTGTGAAGACGGGCGCCAGAACCATCGCATCTGCAAGACCGTCCTCGCCTTAGAAACAATACAACTGTCGCGCATTAGCTGACACCAATGTCACGACCTCCCGATCGTCGAGGCTCCATGGCCAGCGGCCTCGCGCCGCCTCAAAACATGATGGCGCCCATGCGCGGCTCCTCTGTCATGGCTCCGTCACCTCCCAGTGCGATCGCTCTGCCGCGAACCCCATCCCGCGCTCCTAGTAGAGCACCGTCGCGCATGGAGCCGCCTCCCTTGAGCGCAACCATCGGTCCCTTGCCTGGCACTCTGCAGAATCCGATTGCCCCACGACGAAAGCGCCTTATCGTTACATGCGATGGCACGTGGCTTGACTCTGACAACGGTCTTCTGAATGGTCGCAAACAGTCTCCTTCCAATGTCTCGCGCCTGGGTTGGGCCATAAGGGACACTTCAAGAGACGGCTTCTCACAGGTTGTGCATTACCAGGCTGGTGTTGGCACCCATGGCGGCCGAATATCCAAATTCCTCGGAGGTGCAATCGGTTTTGGTCTCAAGGAGAACGTACGCGAGGCTTATACCTATTTGTCCGTCAACTGGCACCCCGGAGATGAAATCTTCCTTGTTGGTTTCAGTCGAGGCGCCTTCACCGCGCGAAGTATTGGTGGCATGATCGGCGATTTTGGCCTCCTCACACGAAAAGGGCTTCCACACTTCAACGAGATCTTTGAAGACTACGAGAACAGGCACAACGAAAGGTACATGTCCGACTTTCCTGACGTGCCGTTTGGTCCTAAAGGTCCCTTCGATCGGAAATACGTCCACGAACTCCAGCGTTTAGGTCTGACGACACTTGCCGTTCCCATCAAAGCTGTCTGTTGTTGGGATACAGTCGGTAGCCTTGGTATTCCGCAGATTCCACTGCTGGAGAAATTTGGCATCCAAACTCGCGATCTCTCCAAGCACCAGTTCTACGACACTAAGCTAAACCCCTACATCGAGAATGCATTTCAAGCTCTGGCGCTTGACGAGAGAAGAGGGCCATTCTCGCCTGCGCTCTGGGAGAAACGCGAGGGCGACAAAGTCAACCTCAAGCAAGTCTGGTTTCCCGGCGTGCATTCCAATATCGGTGGAGGCTACGATGATCAAGAAATTGCCAACCTCACACTCGCCTGGATGATGAGCCGCCTTGAGCCGTTCCTCGATTTTCGCAGCGATTTCCTGATCGGCGAGTACGAAGAAAACGTCAGGTATTACAAAGAGACAGGTCAGAAACGCCGCTGGTGGAGCTTTGGAGAAATCTACAATTCCCTTCGTGGCATATACGGCCTCGCAGGCACAAAGAAACGCACCCCGGGCGATTATCACCGCGTTGACCCCATGACAGGACAGGTTCTGAGCAAGAAGCTGCGCAACACAAATGAGTACTTCCATGCATCAGTCCGTGCTCGTGTCGGGCTGAAAGGTCCCGGTGTTAGTCAGCGAGGTGTCTATGACCCAGTATCCTTAACAGACTGGACATTCGAGCCCGAGCCTGCACGCAACGGCCAAGGAGGTAATGCCGATGGCATGTCGGTGGTATGGACAAACCATCGAGCCGATGTGGAAGGCGGCCAAGAGAAGATCCCGGAAGCTATCCTCTTGGAAACCGAGCTCGCATTGTTGCGCAACAGCCCGCGCGTGGAAGAGTACATCAGGACACTGAGGGCGCCAGTCAAGGATAGACGACGCAGAAGGACCATGAATGGCGATCCAACCATGGTCAGTGGTGCCGTTCCGTTTGAGGATGGCAGGAGGAGGGAGAGAAGTCGTCCACGAAGCATGGTTGACTTGCCGGACGAGCCGAGGGACGAGGTCCGGGAAAAGCGTCGCAAAAGACGGAGTAGGCATTTCGACGACTGAGCGATGCCATCTCGCGCATGGTGGATGTGGATGAAATGCAGACACCCCCAGCTCGTTCGCGGTAGCTGGTGCTTGACTGCAGAGAGTCGTGCCACCTGGCTATCACTTGGACTACGATCCCAAGTGGCTACGGCTTCGGTACAGCACGATTACCATATGATTCTCTATTGAGTTAACAGAGATCTCGACGGTACCACACTTATCGAGCTTCGTGGTCACATGTTGAGAAGCATGCCAGCTACGACGAAGTCTGGGGGCATTGCAGAGAGAGGAAGAGGGAACAAATGATGGACGAAGCAATAAAGGCTATGCCGCGAGACGAGGCTTTCAAATGATGTCTCAAGAGAAAGCCACTGGACTCCTCACTGGAGGCTAGAACAGGCCAGGAGTAAGGCGGCATGGGGTTCGTTAATCCGGCGTGCGAGTGAGCGAGATACCCATTTTACATAGCACGACTGTGCTTCTCATAGCGTAATAGCATCGTCAAAAGGCACCAGCAGTCACTCAAGACCCAAGGATCGTTCTGGGGATCCTGTAGATTCTTGACGAGGAACGAACGAGGCGACAAGGCAACCCCTCACACCGCCTTTCCTCGCTTCCCCACACTGTTCTGGCAGAATAATTTCCGTCGATCGCGACGCCGCCCACGGTACATACGTACTTTATTCTCCCTCGTGCTCGTGCTTACAACGCGCACACTCTCTGACCACAACATCAGACACCGTCCATGCCTTACTACTGACCTCCGACGACTTTCGCTTGTCTCAGACTCGCTTCCCACCTCTACGAACCGAGATCTCCCTCACCCTCTGCCCTCCCCCAGCAGCAGCAGCAGCCGCAGCAGCATGGGCTCCCTCCCACCCACCGCCTCCCCATCAACCACAGCAACCACAACAACCAACGCCGCAATCCCACCGCACGCCATGCCCCTCATCTCCGCTCCCGCCCTGCTCTCCGCACACCTCTCCCGAACCCCTCCCACACGCCCCTCCTCCGGCGGCCGCGGCCCCACGCAAGCCCGACCTATCAGCCTCAACACCGCGTCGCTGACGCACTCGCACGGCTCCGCGGTCGTGAAGATCGGTGCTGGCGCTGGTGAGGGCAGCTCGAGCGTCGTGTGTGGCGTGCGCGGCGAGATACTGCCCATCAGTGAGATTCCGAGTTGGAGTGTTGGGGATGCGGTGTCGAGGGTCGTGGTGCAGGATGCTGAGGAGGACTTGGAGGATGAAGATGAAGATGCGCTTTGGCAGCACAACCTCCTCGTGCCCAATATATCACTTGACACAGGCTGCTCGCCGCTACATCCGGCCAACACGGCGCCCTCGGAGGAGCAGCAGTCGCTGTCGCAGCGCCTGCTGTCGTTGCTGCTTACGTCGCGGCTGGTGCGGTTGCGCGACTTGGAGATCTACCATCATCATCACGATGCAGAAGAAGATGATGATGCTGCTGCTGCTGCGCTAGATCCGGACGGGATGGAAATCGAGGCCCATGAGCCTGCAGGAGGCAGCAACGCTACGAGGAAAACAGTCAAGGCCTTCTGGGTCCTCTACATCGACATCCTGTGCATCTCCCACGCGGGGAGCGGCTCCGTCTTCGACGCCGCGTGGCTGGCGCTGTGTGCTGCTTTGCGCACGACAGTCTTGCCTGCGGCGCGCTGGGATGCGGATGAAGGTAGAGTGCTATGCTCGAGCGACGTGGGGAGGGCGACGAGGCTGAGCTTGAGGGGCTTGCCTGTGCCGCTGAGCTGGGGCATTTTCGTGCATGATAAGCGCGTGGTTGGAACTGGGAAGGGAGAGGAGGCGGTGGTCCTGGTGGATCTGGGCGCGATGGAGGAGGAGGCTTGTGCGGAGAGGGGGTGTGTTGTCGTGGATCTGAGTGAGGAGGATGGGGAGGTGCAGCTGGTGAGGGTGGAGAAGAGTGGCGGTGGGGTTGCGGGCGTCAGAGAAGTGCAGAGCGTGGTGAAGGTGGCGGAGGGGAGGTGGCGGGAGTGGAGGAAGCTACTTGGGGAGGCTTGTGGTTGAAGAGGTAATGGCTTGCGTGGGAAGGAAAAAGGGGAAGAAGAGTGTGTTCACGAGCGTAGGACATGGCATGCCAGAAGATACCCCCCGGACAGGAAGTGCTTTCCACTGAATAGACTGCTGATCAGCTTGGATGGCCAAGCAGTTGATATACTGCCCCTTCATCTTCTCCGTCATTCGTCTCCTGGCCTCCATCCTCTGTCCCAGTTATGTATAGCCGTGGAGTTCTTTTCCCCCAATGACCTCGGTACCGCACCGCCGGTAACAACAGCTGCATGTCTCTTCCGCCCTTGCTGCACCCTGTCCCATCCGACCTGCTTCAGGGACCTGGCTTCAGGCAGCCCAGACTGCGCTTGCCAGCTTGATATGTCGTTTTGGCGTTGTGAACCCCTGTTTCTGACGGGCTTGTGACGCTGTCATTGCGCCATGCTGTCGATATTGGCTTTACGATCCCCAGAGAGATCATTGTCATCTCTCAATGCATGGACGTCGAAGCTGTCGACTGAGCTTCTTCTTATGCTGGAACTACTTCTTCACAGAAGTGGCGCTGGACATCGGTAGGAATTGGTTTTCGTGTAGCCTGCAATGAAATCCTCATGCTTCCCAAAGGCCTAGAGCAAGATGAGACGTAATGTCCTGAAGCAGCCTCACATGTTTCTCACATCAGTCCTGCTGATGCCAATGCAAACTCATATCCTCAATGAACTCGACCGAGAGCTGCCGCAATTCCAGATCCTCCCTTGCCATCCTTGCCAGAAAGATGGGAAGCGTGCGAGCGAATTCGATGCACAACATCTCAATGGTGTACTGCCCGGAAGAAACGTTCTCAAGGTACGGTGACAGCAGCGAGTGCTCGATCGCCGTGCCATCTTCGTCGGTTACTTCGACACTCCACCTATCGATGAGCCACTCGAGCTCCCTGCGCAGTTTCCGAAGACTGCTCAACAGCACCTGCTTCTCCCCATTCGTGAGCGGCGTATTTGGAGTTTGAAACGCGAGCTTGAGTTGCGCAATGATGACTTCATTTAGGGTCTTGCGGGCCAAAGACAAGCTAGCGGCCTTCCTCTGGGGCGCGGATTTGCCAGCGTCGAAGATGTGGGCGAATCTTTGCTCGAGGACGCCTGTATGAGCATTGCTTTTGGCCGCATCTCGGGCCAACTGCAGCACAGCCATTTCGTCAGGTGTCTGGCCGATGAGACCACCCGAGATCCTGAGCGCGCTGTCGACGTGCAGCCAGGAGGTTGAGAAGTTGCCTTGGACCATGTCTGCTTGCCAGAGCAGGAATGCGACCATAACCATCACGGTTGGGGGGTGCTGCTGCTTGACGAGATGGCCGATGGAGGCGTTGAGGTGTTGAAGCGATGCCAAGCGCGCGACTTCGTAGTCTGATGGTGAACACTTGCGTCGGATGGCCGTGCCCAAGACACCACATGCGATGATGGCGTCGTTGACCGCTGGGACGCTGTGGGCTACCTGTGGGAAATAGACTGTCCACAGATCAGGCGCTGTGGCGGCTCGTGGCGAGGCGTATCGGGCTAGCCAATACCGGAAGAAATCATGGGAGTACTTCTCTAGCGACGACTTGAACTTGCCGTCGGGGGGTGGCACGATACTGGATGAGGCAGATATGTCGCTGAAGTCGGGTATTGCCGCGTCCTGTTGCCGCCTAGGCATCGTAAATATCATGTCAACACCATCAGCACCCGTATTGACTGATTCCGTGACGACTTCTTCATCGTTGTTGCCAGCTTCTTTAGTTGAGGATGTCAACGAGCTCGGCTCCACCGAAGTCGACTTCTCGGAGGCGTAGACATCGTTCAGGCCATAGCCAAGACACCGTTTGCCAGATGCTCGACACCGCAAACACGTTGGCCTCCCTTCATCACACTTGACGCGCCGTTTCTTGCATGTGGCGCAGCCCGAGCGCACTTTGCGATGGAACTCGCGTTTGGGCGCAGGAGTTGCAACCGGATCGGGCACGAAACCATCGAGCACCAGCACGCGCTCCTCGAGCGCCATGTTACTGCATGTCGGCGAGGTAAGACGGGTCGAAAGGAGGGAATATCATTGCATGATATAGGGCCGCCCACCGCTAGCATCTACAGCCGCATCGTCCGCTGGATCATCGGTGCTGAATGGTTTCTTGGGAACTTGGCCGTCAGTGGGGGCCTGAAAATGTCGTCCACGATGCTGCAGACTGCTTGTGGTCTGATAGGCCGCTGTGTTATGAATTGAATGCGGTCTGTGCTGCCTGAATGTTTGCCTGCTGAGTCTTGGCGTGAACACGTTGCTGGCATAAGTTTGCCTTCTTTGCACCGCTTTAGCTAAACACTCTAATTGCTCAATTACCTCTCGTTGAAGCAAGTCGATCGTGCTGATCGACGTTGGCATTCCTTTGAGACCCAGAATTCTTGGTGCGATGACTTCCGTACCCTTGTAACACGCCATTCGCTACTACGCGTCTCCATTGAAGCTTGCCTCAAGCATCATCGATATGGACACCCACAACACCACCATGCAACCGTCCGAGCCCGGGCCCGTCATCTCATTCCTCGGTCGAGTGGCCTACGAGCTCCAGATCGTTCGTCCCCTCGTTCCCACATACCTGCTTCTTATCGCATCCGCTCTCTTTCCCATCTGGATCGCCAGTCATGCCTCCCTCGTACGTCCCACCTCCGCCGCTCCTCCACCAAAGTCCAAAGGCAGACGCAGCAGATCACGCACCACGGCCAAAGCCTCCGACGCTGACTCCGACTCCGAGTCCGAACCCGAAGAGACCTCCCAGAAGATCGAGAACCTTACTCCTTCCGATGCCTTGCTCTTCCCCTTGCTCGCCGGTGGCACTTTGGCTGGCCTCTACTTCACCCTCAAGTACCTAGAGGACCCCGCCTGGCTTAACTGGGGTCTAAACCTGTACTTCAGCCAGATGGGCCTCTGGTTCAGCTACCGGTTTCTCAGTGATGCCTTTGTCTTTCTGCGGGAGGCGGTGTTTCCCAAGTGTTACTCGTGGCAAGGCAAGTTGTGGATCGCCAACCTGGGGAATTTGAGATACAGTACGAAGAATGCAGAAGGACAGGACGAGCATGAGTCCTCACCGCTACCAGGCGTGCTGCGGCTACTACCCCTGCTTGGGTTCGCAAAGCGCTCGCTATGGGCGTTCCGCCGCGCCATTTCCGCGAGAGCGACTCTGACGCTGCATCTCCAAGGCCTGCTGACACTGCGCGCCAAGCCGACGCTGCCAGACTTGCTCGCCGTCATCCTAGCCGCCAGCCTCACCTACATTCACACCTTTGTCTCGAAGCCCTGGCCCCTGACCAACTTCCTCGGCCTATCCTTCTGCTACGGCAGTCTCCAGCTGACATCGCCCTCAACCGCTGGCACTGGCACCCTATTACTGCTGGCTCTCTTCTTCTACGACATCTACTTCGTATTCTACACGCCCATGATGGTCCATGTTGCCACCTCCCTCGACGTGCCTATCAAAATGCTATTTCCTCGACCCGACGGGTGCGTGCTCCCAATAGGTGCCGAAGAAGGCAGCGCTGCCATGGAGGAGTACCTGCGGTGCCTGGGGAAGAAGCGCGCCATGGCGATGCTGGGCTTAGGAGATATCGTGGTCCCTGGACTCGTTGTGGGTTTTGCATTGCGCTGGGACCTCTGGAGGCACTATCAGAAGCTTCAGAAGTCGAAGTTCTCGCCGGTCATTGAGGGAGACAAGAGTGTTACAAAAGAAGGTGCAGTCCCCACCGAACAGGCTGGTGTTGAGAAAGTGCCCTATATGCCCGCCACGGGAAGCTGGGGCCCGCGATTCTGGACCTCGCGTGCTTTGCAGACTCCTGCGCTCAAGTTCAAGTCGTTTCCAAAGCCCTACTTCTACTCTACGGTATTTGGTTACGTCGTTGGATTGTGCTGCACAGTAGGCGTGATGCAGGTCATGAAGCATGCGCAACCCGCGTTACTGTACCTGGTACCCGGCGTCTTGGGCACATTGTGGGGCACTGCAGTGGTCAAGGGCGAAGTCACGCGGCTCTGGAAGTACAGCGAGGAGGGTGAGGAGGAGAATTCTACGGACTCGAAGCAAAACAAGAAGAAGAAGGGGACGGATGACGAGAAGAACCAGAATGCAAACGCAGTCGTGAAGGCGAGCAGTGAAGACGTCTCTAACGCGAAGGGTTCGAGCACCAAGTCCGCAGACGGTAAGGCAAAGGGTGAGCCCAAATCCAAGCTCTCCCAGGAGATGCAACGTATCCAGCAGCACGCCATCTACTTCGGCCTCAAGCTGCCATCGTCCACTGCCGCTCCCGTCGGTGACTCCAAAGAGCAAGCTGCTGCAAAGACAAAGAACAAACCACCCACGAAAGCCATCAAAGCCGCAGCAGAAGTTGCCGACTCCACGTCCAGCGATGCCGACGAGGCTCACCCTGACTCCGACTCCCACTGCGATGCAGAGGTAGAAGTCAATGTCCAGAAGCGGCAGACTCGCTCACGGACCGCCAAGAGTGGCGGCGCTGGGAAGGCCCGGCCGACGAGGACATCGTCACGGCGGCTACGTAGCGCGAGCTCTGCTACCGATGATACTGCTGGGGATGATGTGCAGCTCGTGAAGGATGTCGATGAGGAGAAGGCGCGCATGGCAAAGCGGCAGCGCAAGCTTTGATGCTGTAGTCGGATCTCGTTCGCGGCACGGGATTGAAGGATCTGAAGGAGGATCTGAAAGAAGTCCTCCCTCGAGACGATAGACGGCAGGGAGAATAGCCGACAGAGGAAGAAGCCTGTGGACTGAATTAGTTGCAAGCTTCCAGACACACAAACGGCGCTCTGCGCTCACCGACTACGCGCATACTCGCCAGACACAAGGGGGCCAGAGAAGGAACGAAATGGCATTGCATGGGCATCTTCACCGATGGGCAGTTGTCGATCCACATACACACAGACATCGTCACATGGCACTCCCTCATCCTCTCGGACCCCCTTAATCCTCCCTTCAGCCCATCTGAACCCGCTAGACACCGCCTTGTCCCGCAAGGGGCCGTTCACTCGATAGGGGGGCCCTTCAGATAGAATATACAGACAGACACTAGACGACCACGCATGACCGCCATATGACGTGACATGCCCGTCGCACCGCAAGGCAGAAGGGTACACAGTCGTGAATCTGAAATCTTTCCTCCCATCCTTCCTTCCTTCCTGCCGATAAGTCAGCCAGCCAGCCAGCCAGTTAGCAACCGAGGAACCGAAGAAGCGAGGAAGCAAAAGCAAAAGCAAAAGCACGCAACGAAGCGAAGCGAGGCAACCTGTCTACGAAGTAATCAGTAAAGAATCAATGGAGGCGCCGATTAGGCCGAGATGCCTGATTTGGTATCTACATCCTGACCCAAGTCCCCGGGCAGGAAAAGAAGACTGTAGAGGAAAAAGAGAAAAGAGGAAGAGGGCATATAGTGACACCCCGAATGTATGAACAAGGTGCCTTCGCATTCACGTCCGCATTCGCCTTCGCCTTCGCCTGCTCTGCTACTGCATCGTGTAGTTAGTATAGTAGCATAGCTCCCGTCGATGCTTCCTCGATGCTCAACCACAGTGAAAAGCGCGATGAAAGCGCGATGAAAAGCACGCTCACGCCTGCAATAAAACTTCTTTCTCACATTGCGAACACGTTTGCGGTCAACCACTTTCTATCAACGAGATATGACCCAGTCAAGCCAGTCAGTTAGTGATGGAAGACTCAAGCATCACGACGCTGCTGTACTTTCCTCCTATATCGCATGCCTCCATCAACATTCACATGCGCAAGCCTGCCTCTCCGAGCAACCTCCTTGAACTCCATACGGCTATGCCAAAAGAAAAAGAGGACCATGAATTCCACCTGGTGTGGGGAGGCCCAGTGCCGAACCACCATTTTCAGAGCCTCCAGTGTCGTCCAAAAGAGAGAGAGAGAGAGAGAGAGAGAGAGAGAAATATTGCTGACGTGCTGCTGCCCAAGAGCTGAACATGTCCGTACGTTCGATCATTAATGCTCTTGGTAATAGCAGCTCAGGCTGCTTCGCCATCGCTCAGTGCGCCGTCGTTGACACCACCTTGTTCCTGTTGGGCCATGGCTTGAGCGGAGACGATTTCCGCCAGCCGCTTTAGTCGAGGAGTTTGTAGCCCTGCATGGTATGTTAGTAGCTGATGTGACGCGAAAAAGGTAAGGGGTTGCAACTCACAGGACGGAGTATAGGTCTCCAGAGCCGTAATGACTCGCGGCTCAGCAATCTCATACGGCCCACTGTCCTCCATGTCGACAGGTGCAAGAAGCAGGACATCGCTCTTTTCTGTCACTCTGGATGCCACAGCCTTCATAATCTCACCGTTGATGGGCTGCTCGTAGTCGGCAACGAGGTACTGGTTCAGGAGCTTCTGAATCTGGTTGGGAGACAACATCCAGCAGATGTCTTGAATGATCTCAATGTCGTTCAAGGTCGCCTTCTTCAGCTGGAGCAGTTTCGTAGCTTGCATCAAGTGTTCGAGTTGCAGAGTGCCTTCCGGCATGTCGTGACTCTTGCACCACTCCTCAATTCTGGTTATGTTGTAATTTATCTGAAGACCACGCTTCCAGGACAGGAAGTTACGACGCATGAGCAAGTCATTGAAGGCGGTAACGCCAACCAGTCTCAGCAGCTCAGTAACGGTCTGTGTGACAATAGAATCTTCGAGGTAGTAAGCCTTCATCGCTTTGAAGACATTGTTCAACAAGCTGAGCAATTGATCCATGCTGTATGCAGGAGTGTTGTTTGAAGGAAGGAGCTTGCCGAGGAAGCGGTTGCTCTCGTTGGTGACGAAACCGGGTAGAGACTGTGACTCGATGATAGCAGGAACAATCATCTTGTGTAGCTTCTTCTTGAGGACCTTCATCCAAGTATGATAGATGTTGAACTCCAAGCTCTCGAGATCGTGCTTGACAATCTCCAACAGGCGGTCGTACTCGTAGTTGTCCGTCTTCTGGGCCTCGTACCAGTCTTCGGCAAGGAAGACGAATGAGAGCATTTCATGGACGTTGGAAAGCCAGAAAGCGCCAGGATTGACTGCCTCGTCACCCTCATGCTGCATGACTTCCTGTTGGATTGACTGCATGACATTGGCGAGGAAGCGTTCCGACTCCTTGACAAATCCATTGTTCCACATCTCAGAAGTGACCAAGTTGATGAGGTAAGAGGGGAAGAGTACTTCTTTGTCGGTCGGCGCGGGATTAGCTCCCGGCTGGGGAATCTTGATGCCTCTGATCAGTCCCATCGTAACCTCATCGTTGAGCTCCTCTTCTTGTGCAAGTAGATTCTCGAGCTCCATCTCCACACTGTCAAGACCAGGGTTGAAAGTCGATCCAGATAGAGTCTTGGTGTGTGCGTCAAGAGCCATGGACATTGGGCGGGCATTGAACGCGCCGCTATAACGATCGGCCTCGATACGTTCCGCAGCGCCAGCGCTTCTACGCTTGAGGGGCTTCTTGGACGATACGAGGTTGATTAGACCATTAGCGGCGGACTGCGGTGCGGTGCCGTTGGTGACCTCGCCGTTGACAGTGGGAGCCGGGGCACGCTTGGCCATCTCGAGCTGATCCTGCAAGTCGTTGATCTGCTGCCGGAGAGTGTTCTTATCGCTCTCGTGTGTGGTATTGGCCTTGCGAACCGTCTCAAGTTCGGTCTTAGAAACGTTGAGCTGATCCGTAAGCTTCTTCTGCTCTTCCTGCAGGCGCTTGGCGTTGCCCAAATGCTCGTCGTGGCTGGTCTGCAACTTAGCGTGTTCTTCCTCCAGAGCAGCCAGCTTAGCGGCAACAATGCCAGCCTGGTTGGCCTCACTCTGTAGCTCGCGCGATCGCGCCTCCAAAGCGTTATGCCTGGTTCGCATCGACTTGAGCTGAGAATCATAGTTCTCGAGCTGGCTGACGAGATTCTTGTTTTCCCGCTTGACAGACCCAAGCGATTGAGTAAGCTCAACGACCTTGTTTTCGAGCTTGTACGAGATCTGTTTGAGATCACGGGCCTCTTCGCGCATGGTCTTGTACTCACGACGCGCCTGCCGTCCGCGCCAGAGACTTTGAGCAATGACAACCTTCCTCCGATGTTGACGGAAGTCGCGGAGCGACCGATACGACCGCCATGCCCTCTGAATAGTGGTGGCAGCTTGTCTGAAACGCGTCTCCATAATGTTCTTCCGCAGCAGATAACCCTTGGCCCTGGATTCAAACAAGATAAAGTTGTTGCGGGTGATGTTGTAACTCTTGCGCTGCTTCGAACCGCGCCAGACCCGCTGGATATCGGTTGCAGCTTTGGTCTGTCTGATTTCATCCGCACGGCGCCTCGCAATGAACGCGCGCGTCGCGGCCTGCATCTGAATGACGGCCTCTCTGGTCTCGAGGAACTTGCGCCTATAATACTTGGCGCGCAAGTTCTTCTGGATCATGATAGCGCACTCCTTCAGGCGCGCGGATCGGAGGTTCTCCAAGAACGCCAGCATACCTGCACGGAAGAAAATCTTGGTTAGACCAAGCTGATACTTGTCAGACTTGGTGCCGCTTGCGTCCCCTAGGGCTTTCCTTAGAATGTTGTGTCCCATCTGCCGGATCTCGGTCGTCCATTGTGATGAATGGCAGAGCATGTAGTATCGCATGGCAAATTCTTCGTAAGTCCACCTCGTTGGGTAACCCGCAGTACTAATACGAACAGTTTCCAACACACCGCAAGCCCTAAGCTGACTGAGCACCATCGGGCCTTCGAACTTCCACGATGCCTTAGCCTCGTTAGGCTTGATACAGCGAATGTAATGGGCATCTGTTGAATTGATGGTCTGCATCAGCTCGATCAAGGAGCTCTTGAAGATTCCACCCAAAGTAGGCTTGCGATTTACCGCCACACCAACACGGCGACCTGGAGCACTGGCGATGGTCTTATTGTTGGACGCTGCTGACTCTTTGTCACGAACAGCGATCGCGGTATCCAGAACCTCAACGAGGAATTTATTAGAGGCCTTCCTGAGAACCTCCATCTGCTCGTCAGGTACGGTATCCCTGTTCTTCTCGATGAAACCCTCGGATTCGTAGGTGACGTCCAAAGCGTAATGACAAACGGTGAATGCGGACTTCCCAAACCTAGGCTTCTTGTAGAACTTTTGCTTGTCAGCAGCAAAATTATGGTGCAGCTTCGTCACAAATTGGTCATCGGAGCCCATCGGTAACCTGGATTCTTCATCCAGTAGAGATAAGACACCAAGCTTGCCCTCAATCAGATCGATACAAGGCTGGTTGTCCGAAAAGTCAATAAAGGTCCAGTCGATCTCCTCGCGGATATATTCTTCCTGCTCTAGTTTGAAGACATGCTGGTTGAATTCTTGCTGCAGCTTCTCGTTGGCGTAATTGATACAAAATTGTTCGAACGAGTTCTTAGCAAAATGTTCGAAACCATAAATATCGAGCACTCCGATGAAAGTATGCAACTTTTGCAAAACCTCATCAGTGGCCAGGTCGTGGTTGATGGTCTCAACGAGCCAGTCAAACAAGCTCGAGTAGATGAACTTGGCTACCGAATCTCGAACCACAGTGGCTTGCTGTTGCGTCAAGTTGGATATGATCTTCTCGCCTCGAGTCACAAGTTGCTTCTTGACAATCCACTTCGCAAAATCGGCAGCATCGAGGCCCAGCATACTGCAGAACTTTTCAAGCGAAGGCTCCGAGGAAGACAACGCCGAATCGTTCCGGGTGGCCGTGATCTTAACGTTACCAAGGTGCAGCAGGGCGGCGAGGATTTTGAATATCTGGCGCTGAGTGCTGTCTGGTACGTTGATGGTGCTAAAGGCCTTCTTGGTGAGGTTGAACTCTGCAGCATCATCAACACCGTCGATGACAGGATCTGCACCTTGGTTGAGGTAGTCAAACTGCTCCACCGGCAATAAGCTGAACTCTTGCTGCTCCTCGGGCGAGGCACCTGCCACCAACTGATAGAAAATGTGGTAATTTCTCTCTTTCAGTGGCTGGAAGACTAGTCTTGATCGCTCGAGGAGGTATGTCCGTATTCTAGCACCAATGATATCTGTCTGCTTGTCGAACATGATCTCAATGTATTTGCCGAATCGTGACGAGTTGTCGTTACGGGTGGTCTTCGCGTTGCCAAAAGCTTCCATGACGGGGTTGGTGGCCAAGATTTGTTCTTCAGTCTCGCTGATTGCATCGGCTCGGGACTTGGTCCCTTGCTTAGATTGTCCGGGAGCACCGCGGGTTGCGAAGTACCGCATGATGTACTTCGCGCTGACGGTTTTACCGGCTCCAGACTCGCCAGACACTACCACGGTCTGATTTCTGGTGTCCCGCAACATGTCGGTGTAGGCCTCTTCGGCAATTGCAAACAGATGGGGTGCTTGAGAGTTTCTCTGTTTTCCCGTGTAGACCTGAACCATCTGCGGTACGTAGAGCGAATCTACTCTGGCAAAAGGATTTGTGGCGATCAGGACGATGCCGGAGTATGTGTAGATTTCTTTCTGGGCATATCGCAGCTTGATAGCTTGCAGAATGGCAGGTTCGTTGAGATGGGACAAGCTTGTCAGATCCTCGGCGGCTTCGAACATTGGGGGATTCATCAGCGGCGGGAGATTGCCGTCGTGGGTGCCATCAGCCAGAGCCTCTTCGGTGGTCTCGATGGTCTGAGTAGAGTCATCTGCCAGCGCGAAGACCAAAGCAATTTTGCCATCGCCCTGTGCCTTTCGCTCCGAGAGCTCGCCAGGAATGAAGCCCTCACCCGGATTGGGGAACCAGGCACGGGTTCCGACCTCCCAAGAGGCCATCTTGGGGGATTGGGAGGGATTTGCTATAAGACAGTTGAAGTTGTATCAAATTGAGCAGCCATAAATCTATGCAGAGAGTCGGTCGAGTCGTGTCTGAAAGGTGCAGGGCAGCAATGGGGTGCGCGGAGATTAGGCGCAGGCAATTAATACAAGTAACTTGAAGATAGTAAAGACAAGTGGTGAAAGTGATATGAGCACGCTCAGCGGTCAACGAGGACGAGGACGAGAATGAGGAGGCCTAGTCGCAGGCGGTGTCGATGACGGTAAAGAGAGCGTCTCAGAAACAGATCAACACTGGCATCATGCTGGCTTCAGAATACTTGTGAGCCAGGAGACACCTCGACACGCTCGTCTAGTTTGGTTTGCCGCGATGCCTAATTGGTTTAGTCTCCCCCCTGAGGAAGCCCCACAGTTAAAGACTCACTGGCGTTGCACCCTGCATGCAGTCCCGCTACAGTAATTTCACCTCGAGCCTTGGACGCACCGTCGGCCGCTGCCACCGCGTACTTGGATCTGTAGGCTGCAGTAGTGTGTATGAACGCCAGATCCATGCATGCACGTTCTTGTTGGCCGAAAAGAGTACTTTTATTAGAGTAAACCCCCGTCATCTCAGTCTATCCACGTCGCGCCATATTGGTATTCATTAGTCCTAATCCGCTCAAAAACTAACGCCTGCGTGGGAAAGGTCCTCACCAGCAGCATCGGCTTCAGTGGTCTTGGTCGCCCAAGTTGCCAGTCCAGCTCTCTCTAACGCCCACGTATGCTGGGAAGAGGAATAAGCTATCAAGCAGAGTCATCGTGACCTCGACTCCGCCCCGTGCCGTGAGAGCATGCACATGTACAGTCGCCACCTCCTTCGTACCGTGATACTCGTAGTCTACTGGTTCTTGCACTCGGATGAGTTCTGCTGCGAACGAGGTTGGCCACCTTCCTCCTCCTCGTCATCGTCAGAATCAGCTTCCTCCTCATCCTCGTCGTCATCATCGTCATCATCGGCATACATGTCATCAGAGCCTTCCTCATACTCCTCGAACTGGAGAGCTTCGCCTGTGAACCAGTCGATAGCTCGGGGAATAAGCTTCTCCTTGATGTCCTCACCCAGCTGGTAGTCGAGCTCGAGGCGCTCCTCAATATCAGGCTCGACATCCTCCTCGTCATCATCGTCAGGCGCCGTGGGAGGGCTGAAGAAGTTGAAGAAGGACTCAGTGGGCACCGTCTTCTTCACGACGCGAGTTTGCTTGGTGTCTGTGCAGTATTAGTACTTGCTTGGCATAGTGCGGAACTAGACCTACTCTTGTTGCGCTGCTTCTTGCTCTCAACACGAACCGTCAGGTCCTTGCCAGCCTTCCAGTCGATCTTATCACCATCAGCGTGATCGTAGATGAAATCGCCACCATAGCCGTTCTCTTCCCGGTAATAATAAGTCTTGGTGATGGTCTTGTTGGTGAAGAAGTCATTGGCGGCAAAATCGAAGATCAGTCGGAAACCAGGCCGATCGAGGTACTCCATACGAACATCAGTCAGGTGGCGGAGGGCTTCCTCGTCGCGGTCGGTGATGAGCTCAGCAAGTGAGACCTGGTTCTTCATGGCAGATAGCCAGAATTCAGGAATACCCTTCGTGGGCTCGGCGGGCTCGCTGTCGTCCTTGTCGTCTGCCTTGTCGGCCTCAGCTTCTTCCTTCTCCTCATCCTTACCGGCTTCGATCTCAGCATCGGTGGGCTCCGTGTCGCCGTTGATGATTTTGGCGCGCTTCTCATACAGCGGGGTGAACTTGGCAAAGTATTTCTTCTCGAGTTGGAGAACCTCCTCTTGGAATTCGGCTTCGAGTTTTGAGTGGTCTTTCTGTATGCCCTTGAGACCGGTGACCCGACGGCGGACGGGAGCGGGCAGAGATTCAACGTAGCCAGATGACCGCCCAACAAGTGAGCTGAGTTTTGACTGCATCATGGACACTAGAGCAGGATTTTGCGCGAACAGAGAGGCGGCGGCAGCGCGATCAAGGTCCTCTAACTCGAGTGAGCACTTGGGGTTTTGTATTGAGAGGTGATTTTACCTTCAGCAATGCTTCCCACATTGGGAGCCTGAGCGTGAGATGAGATTGGGGCATTGTTGGCAGGAGCTGTCAATGTGTGAGCAATGCTTCCATCAAAGCCTTGATCAGGAATACATACTGTTCTGCGGAGTACTAGTGGGAAACGCCATGTTAGATGATCACATCCACTAATCAGTAGCAGGAAGAGAGACTTACGGGGCAGTCATATTGCCGCGACCTTTGGGGATTTCGGACGCCATGGTTGAGTGTTGAGGTACCAGTCAATGCGGCGGAACGGGACCAAGGGAATTGTTGAATGGAAAAGAATTTGATGTTCTCGGGTGTTTGGCGGACTTGCAGAAATGGCTCCAGATAGCAATCCCTGGTGGCAACTTTTGACACGTGTGAAGGGGCAAAAGGCTTACTTCGGCAGGGGGCACAGCTGACTGCTAAAGGAAAATTTGTGGTGGTAGGATATTGAGTTGGTGGTGAAAGATGGCGGCGGCGCTTCCTCCAAACCTGAACCCAGTGAGTCGCACTGAAATAAACCCCACCAATCCGGGCCCTAACCCTAGCAATCAGTTGGACAGTAGTACTTGCAAGTTGCTGGTAAATCTGAGTTGAGATCTGCGCGCCGCATTCTAGGTGGTGACGACGTCACAGTAACCTATGCCAGTATGCGATAACATCCGACAATACAGGTGCCGAACGAGGCGCAAGCAAACATAATGGACATACCAGATCGGCCCTCGTCGGCTCTGCAGCACCGCAGCAGCTCGGCGAGGAGGATGCACCGCAGGGACTCGAACATGAGCAGGTAAGTCGAGTCAACAGCATCATAGAGCTTCCTTAGTGACAGATGTCAGCGCCAGCTTCGTGTCCGAGGTGGAGATGGCAACAGACGAGGTGATTAACAACCCCAAGTCCAGCTGTGTCCCCACTAAGCAGTTCAGCCATTCTCAGGCCCAATATCTGAGAGCGTACCCACGAGTGTTACCGGTTTCGCATACCAACGTCCCCGTCAGCGACAAGGCTCGATCACGAGCTTCACATACTTTCAGGATGAGGGGGAATCGCCACAGTTCTCCGACGACGATGAGGCCGTCGTAGATATCAGCGACGAGGAAGATGGCTACGCAAATGGTCATGACCGAGACCTAGAGGCGCAAGACTCCCTGGCTCCCAGACGCAAGTCCTCCGGACGACAGCGGTCCTCCGTTGACGCACCTCTGCTTCGTCGCCATGACTCTGCCCGTAGCGACACACAAGAGTACGAGGAAGGTAGCGGCAACTTCAGCCAGAAACTTTACATTGAGGCTGAAGATCTCACCATGGTCATTGCCGGCTTTACAACCAGCTCCATAGGATACCTCGTGTATCTTATGATCTGTACTCTGACCGCCGGTATAGGCTACCTGGTCTTGCGATGGGCACCTCGATGGCGAATCCGTATAGTCGGAGTACCCGCGGCTCTTCGAAAATGTTCTTGGGTTGTGGTTGAGGTGAGCCCTGGTGTTATGTTACGGCGTTCGAGGCGGAAGGCTAAAGGTTATCAGAATCAATGGGGCGAGTTCACCATCCACGCTGTGGCAAATGAGGAGTACGGCTATGCTATGTCATCCGTCTTCAATCCACCCAGCAGGGAAAAGGGCAACGGCCACAGCTACTACGACGACCGCGACCTGAAGTTTCTCCGGTATCTCGACTACCGTTACATGAGACTGATCTATCATCCTCGAGAAGACAAATTTGTTCTGAACAATAACTGGTGGGATCCCCAGTGGAACGATGTCAAAGCCATGCGAGCTGGTCTCGACTCTGAAGAACGCGAGCCCAGAGACCAGGTCTTCGGCAAGAACGTGATCGAAATTGAGGAGAAGACCATTCCTCAGTTGCTTATGGACGAGGTAAGCACCCCTGTATACCTGTAGAACCCAGACTCATCACAGCAGGCTTTCCATCCGTTCTACATCTTTCAAGTGGCTAGCTTGATCTTGTGGTCTGCAGACGAATATTACTATTACGCCGCTGCAATTTTCTTCATATCCCTCTTCAGCATTACGACAACTATTGTTGAGACGCGTTCAACCATGAGACGTCTGAGGGAAATCTCGCGCTTTGAGTGCGATGTGCGCATCCTTCGCAATGGATTTTGGCGTGCCTCAACATCCGCAGATCTTGTCCCGGGCGACGTCTACGAGGTCTCGGACCCATCGCTGACTCAACTGCCTTGCGATAGTCTTCTGCTAGCTGGCGACTGTATCATCAACGAGAGTATGCTCACCGGAGAGTCGATCCCTGTGTCAAAAGTTCCGCTCATTGACGAAACACTTGCTTACATCGACCTCGGAGCTACCTCAATCCACCCCAGCATAGCCAGACACTTCCTCTTCTGTGGCACAAAAATCATCAGAGCTCGCCGTCCCCAAGACTCGGACGACGAGGAAGCAGTGGCGCTTGCCATGGTCGTGAGAACCGGATTCAACACTACGAAAGGCGCCCTAGTTCGGTCAATGCTGTTTCCCAAACCATCGGGTTTCAAGTTCTATCGCGATTCTTTCAGGTACATTGGCGTCATGGGCTGCATTGCGGGCATCGGCTTCATCGCTTCCTTCATCAATTTCGTCAAACTTGGCTTGGCCTGGCATCTGATCATTGTTCGAGCTCTCGATCTGATCACAATTGTGGTGCCTCCAGCATTGCCTGCCACACTCACCATCGGAACCAACTTTGCACTATCACGCTTGAAGAAGCAGCAAATCTTCTGCATCAGCCCACAAAGAGTCAACGTCGCCGGAAAACTTGACGTGGTATGCTTCGACAAGACTGGTACGTTAACAGAAGATGGACTGGATGTTTTGGGTGTGCGCCTCGTACAACACCCTGAGATTCGATTCGGCGACATACTTGAGGAAGCCCATGAGTTGCTGCCTCCAGCACCCTACGACCGAGATCCGACTATCGACTATCGTGTCAACAAGACGATGCTCTACACAATGGCCACCTGCCACTCTTTAAGATTGGTCGACGATGAGCTGATCGGCGATCCCTTGGACGTGAAAATGTTCGATTATACTGGCTGGTCATTCGAGGAAGGCTCGTCACGAACGGCTCATTACACCGAGCCTGGTGTGCACCAAGCCCCGCCTCCCGTTGCACGGCCGCCGCCGGGAATGCAGTACGACCTGGATGATGCGCAGGACAACGGGAACCCTGTGCCGGTCGAGCTGGCCGTCTTGCGCTCTTTCGAGTTCGCTTCTCACCTAAGGCGAGCAAGTTCCATTGTGCGCCAGAATGGGGATCCTGGAGCCAGTGTCTTTGTGAAGGGCGCCCCCGAAGTGATGAGAGATATTTGCACCCCATCTAGCATACCGTCAGATTTCGACGACCTGCTGAGCTACTACACTCACAAAGGCTTCCGTGTGATTGCCTGCGCTTCCAAATACCTGTCGCGTCTGAGTTTCTCGGAGCTTGAGAAGATGGATCGGTCCGAAGCAGAGTCTAGGTTACAATTGACCGGCTTCATCGTCTTCGAAAATAAACTCAAGGAAATCACAACCGAGATTATCGACGAGTTGAATGAGGCCAAGATCCGCAACATCATGTGTACAGGGGACAATATCCTCACTGCCATCAGCGTGGCGCGAGAATGCGACCTGATGAGCAGAGACGTTCACTGCTTCGTGCCACACTTTATCGAAGGCGACAAGATGGATCCGAAAGCGGTATTGAGCTGGGAAAGTATTGACAATTCCATTTACCAGCTCGAGTCTGAGACCTTGTTGCCGGCGGCAATTGCTGCTGAAAGCGATACAGCAGGACCGTACGACTCGATAGCTGTCGGCGATTACTGCCTGGCGGTCACTGGTGACGCGTTTCGCTGGATCATCGACTACGGTTCCACCGAGATACTGCAGCGGATGCTGGTCAAGGGCCAAGTATTTGCTCGCATGTCTCCAGATGAGAAGCACGAACTGGTGGAAAAATTGCAGAGCATTGATTACACGTGCGGCTTCTGTGGTGATGGAGCTAACGATTGTGGTGCGCTCAAAGCCGCAGATGTCGGTGTATCCCTGTCGGAAGCTGAGGCATCTGTTGCCGCGCCCTTTACAAGCCACGTCTTTGACATCTCTTGTGTGCCAACACTGATCAAGGAGGGGCGAGCAGCACTGGTGACGAGCTTCTGCTGCTTCAAGTACATGAGCTTGTACTCGGCCATCCAGTTCACGTCTGTCAGCTTTCTCTATGCGTCGGCGTCTAACCTTGGCGACTTTCAATTCCTCTTCATCGACTTGGCTCTGATCTTGCCCATCGCCATCTTCATGGGATGGACTGGTGCATATCCGCAGCTGAGCAAGAAGCGGCCAACAGCGAGCCTCGTGTCCAGGAAAATACTTGTACCTTTGATGGGCCAGATCATCCTTTGCATTTTGATCCAGGCCGTTGCTTTCGAAACGGTGCAGCAGCAACCATGGTACATTCCTCCACGCCTGGACAAGGAGAAGTCAAGCGTCGACAACTCGCAAAATACTGCCCTCTTTCTCGTTTCTTGCTATCAGTACGCCCTTTCCGGCGTGGTGTTATCCATTGGACCCCCATTCAGGCAGTCCATGAACACCAATGGGCCGTTCTGCGTGACGTTGGTCATTGCACTTTCGATATCACTGTACATGCTCTTGGATCCTGCTGAGTGGCTAGAAAGTTTCATGGATCTTACGGAAATGGAGTTGGATTACAAGCTATTCTTACTGGCGCTGGCTCTGGGCGGGTTTCTGCTCGCATACCTTCTGGAGCAATATGTGTTCCCCCGGTTGGCAAAAATGATCGGACGACTGAACAGAAAGGTGCGGCCTACACATCAGAAGAAGCGGAAACAGTACAAGGAGATTCGGGAAGAGATAGAGCTCGCCAAGTAGACGCGACGAGCGCATGCTGTACAATACAAATATATTCCGCTGTGGTGGAGGGCGACCCTGCCCAAAATACCACGATTAACAGAATCTGCAAACTTGAACTACATCATGGAATATCTGAGTGCTCTCTGACCGCAAGTCAACAATCTTCAGTTGTTGCCATGTTCCATTGCCTCGTTCGATGCGGCATCTTTTGTTTCTGAGTCTCGACGTCACGACTTGCGACTAGCGGCTACCATCCAAGTACTGTCCCAGACTCTTATACCACAAACTCCTGCTTCACTAGCCCCTCAAACCCTGTTGAAGCAGTGATTGGCTTGATTGCCTTGCATCGTTTACCCGGGGTCTCTGTTGTTGCCTGGCACTTGCTTTAGTCCTGTTCCGTGAAGTCTGAGGCGGGTCACCCGGTCTGGCCAGTGGCTATAGCATCGAAGAAAGATCACCATCACCAAGGCACTTTCACTCCAGGGATCAGCTATCAGCATGGCGTCTGCGTCTCAACCCTCGACCTGGACAGACACTGTTCTTGACGGTGGCTATCTCCCCCATGCTCTCATTCGCATCGGCATCCGACGACAGCTGGCGGATCGCATCTCCCTCATCGCCAGCACGTCGCTTGCTGCCGAGTATGAGCGGAAGATGGCGTTCGTCGACGCCCTTCGAAGCCGGCCCATCGCCATTCACACCGATGCGGCCAACAGTCAGCACTATGAGGTCGGCACGTCGGTCCTCGCGGGGATGCTTGGCACGCGCATGAAGTATTCCAGCTGCTTGTATCCCACGGGCAAAGAAAGCTTGGCCCAGGCGGAGATTGCCATGTTGGAGAGCTACGCGGAGAAGGCGGATATTCGGGACGGTCAGGAGATTCTGGATTTGGGTTGTGGCTGGGGCTCTGCGACGCTGTACCTGGCTGAGAAGTTTCCGGGGTGCACGGTGACGGGGTTCAGCAACTCGCGGACACAAAAGATGCACATCGACTCTGAAGCCAAAAGGAAAGGGCTGGGCAATGTCAAGGTCATTACGGGGGACGTGGTCGACCATGAGTTCGAGGCGGACAAGTACGATCGGGTGGTGAGCATTGAGCTCTTCGAACACATGAAGAACTACCAGCTGCTCATGGCCAAGGTCGGCCGGGCACTGAAACCGGGCGGGAAGCTCTTCGTCCACTTCTTCTGCCACAAGACCTCGCCGTACGATTTCGAGGACGGCTGGATGAGCACGCATTTCTTCACCGGTGGCACCATGCCGTCTGCGGACCTGCTCTTGTTCTTCCAGGACGACCTCCAGATCCGGAAGCAGTGGTGGGTCAGTGGCACGCACTATGCCAGGACGTGCGAAGACTGGTTGAGCAAGATGCTGAAGGAGAAGAAGGCGGTGTGGGCTGGACTGGAGGAGACTTATGGGAAGGAGGGCGCGCAGATTTGGTGGAATCGATGGCAGGTCTTCTATATGGCTTGTGCCGAGCTGTTTGCGTACAATGGTGGCGAAGAGTGGGGTGTCACGCATTATCTGTTTGAAAAGAAGTGAACATGGCAATGGGAAGGAAATGATATAGAGCTTGGTAGACATTGTGGATTGAAACCGCGGCGTCGCCGTTCAGCTTCAGCCGATGCTCTCATTTCGTAGCCGTGTCTCGGAATATGCGCCGTTATCGTTCTCGACTAGGTACATGTCGACTGTCGAGCAGCGTATGCATCATGCTTTTCTCTTTCGCTTCGACTCCCACAAGCTCAATGGTCCCAAGGATGCTTCCATCCAAGCAGCGCGGGGCCGTCCTTCTTCGCGCGGTAAAACAGCTGCAAAGCTCCGAGTCAGCTCCTGGGTCTCGTTTCTGCTTCGGTTCGTGGACCTACAAAGAACCACATGGCGGCACCGAGGCCGGTGGCGGCGAATCGGTAGAAAGGGCGTGCAGCTGCGATCTGGCCAACGGGGTGGTTGCCCTTCCAAGTGGTCTTCCCTCCCGCTGATTGCGCCATGTTCTGAGAAGGAGCTGCGTCAGATGAGGGTTGTGCGCTATTCGGCGGCGGGGCGGCGGGGTTTCGACGTACCTTTGTTGCTGGCAGGCAAGGCGGGCGTTAGGACAGAGTGCAAAGGGAAGCTCGAGCGATTGTGCGCGTGGTGTAGAGTGCAGCAGGGGTCCAAATCGAAGTCTGAATTGCCCATCTCGACGGCTGCTGTGACACGGGGCAGACCCACCATTTCCCGCGTTTCCTATTGGCCTGATCCCCGTTGCGTTCTTTGGGCCTCTTCAAGATCATGATCGATGCCCGGCGCCCGCATTCAACTTTCATCTGCTTGCGCTCTTTGAATGACAAGTTACACTACGCCATCTCGATCCCATCTGCCAGGAACCTCCGCTCGGCATCCGTCACAAAAATAAAACCTTTCATCGTGTGCGACATAAACGCGATACTCGTCCAAGTGCCCGATCTCCCAACCGTCCAACCCGCGGACAGTACAACCACGTGTATTCCAAGACCATTACACTATCCCATGACGCACTTAGCATAAACCCGATGGCCTCTTCATTCACGCGACTAAGCCGCATCTCAAACGCCAAACCATCGCCACATTGCAGACCAAGGTCGAAATCCTCTCGCGATACTTGAGCGGCCATAACAGCATTCTGCGCCGAGTGCGCTCGGCCCCCCTCCTCGTTGCACCAGCATGGCAACTTCCTCTGACAAGCCCCCGAACAGTCTCGAGACTCTCGACGATGGCCGCCCACGATTTCATGGCTGTTCCAGGATCCAGCAGTACGACTATATCTGCAAACTGGGTGAAGGCACTTTCGGCGAGGTCTCCAAAGCAAAGTCAAAAAGGACCGGTCAGGTCGTGGCCTTGAAGAAGATTCTTATGCACAACGAGAAGGATGGCTTCCCCATAACAGCCTTGCGAGAAATCAAACTGCTCAAACAGCTGGATCATCCCAATATCTTGACTCTGGTCGAAATGGCCGTGGAGCGGCCGAAGAATGCGGCCAAAAAGACCAGCATGTTCACCGTCACGCCCTACATGGATCACGACTTGTCTGGCTTGCTGGAAAACCCCAATGTACACTTTACAGAACCTCAGATCAAGTGCTACATGAAGCAACTGCTGGAAGGCTGTGCGTATTTACACGAGAACAGAATCCTGCATCGAGATATGAAGGCTGCCAATCTGCTCATCAACAACTCGGGACTCTTGCAGATTGCTGACTTTGGTCTGGCCCGACCCTACGACGATGAGCCACCGAAGCCAGGTCAGGGCGGCGGCGAGGCCACTCGAGAGTACACCACATTGGTCGTGACCAGATGGTATCGGCCCCCGGAGCTTCTTCTCCAGTTGCGACGATACACTACCGCCATAGACATGTGGGGAGTAGGCTGTGTTTTTGGCGAGATGTTCAAGGGCAAGCCGATTCTTGCAGGCAACTCGGATCTGCATCAGGCCCAACTCATCTTCGGCCTCGTGGGAGCCCCCACTGATGAAACGATGCCGGGTTGGCGAGAGCTGCCAGGTGTGGACGGCACAATCGAGTTCCCGCCACGTCCCTCCACACTGCGAAGGGAGTTTCGAGATCAGAGCAACCTTGCCATTTCTCTTCTCGAGGAGTTTCTGCGACTTGACTGGCGAAAACGGATCAATGCCATTGATGCACTCGAGCATCCGTACTTCCATACTGAGCCTCTTCCTGCTCGACCAGGTGATCTGCCTACGTTCGAAGACTCTCACGAACTTGATCGAAGGAAATTCCGCGATCAAAAGAACAAGCCTCCTCCAGCACCGGCCGGTGGCGACGTCGGTGTTGGGCCGCAGGGCGAGTGGGGAATCAATGGGAGACCTTTGCCTCCGGACCAGAGAGGTGGTCGCCCGCCATACGCTAATGGCTACGGCAGACGACATGATAGAGGTCCAGGACGCGATAGAGGTGGTCATCATCCCCCAGCCGACCACCGACACGGCCCTCGAGATCCTCGTGATCACCCAAGGGATCGAGACCACCAGCGTCATCCAGGCCCTCCACCAGATTCATACGCTAGGAGACCTCCGCCTCCAGCTGAAGGCCTTCCCCCACGACCACCTCCACCTCGTGATGATCCTTATCGAGATCAGTACCACCAAGCCCCTCCACCTTTCCGGGACGACGATCGTGGGCCACCGGCTCGTATCCCTCCCGTCCACGTTGACCGCCGCGTTCCACCCGGCCGAGGTGGCCCGCGTGACGCTTTCGCACCCGACTACACTCGCACCGACCCCAATCGCCGACCCCGAAATGACCCCGATCATCCTCGTTACGCTCCCGCCCGTCGGAACTCTCGCGAGTATGTAGAGCCAATCCGCTATGATGATATACCACCACCACGCTACGGAGCCGGTCGGCGTGGCTCAAGAGACTACGATGAACCCCCGACGAGGTACGACGACCGTCCGCCACCACCAAGGAGAGGCTCGAATGATTACGACGACGGTCCCGTGAGATACCATGAGCCTCTCCCTCCACGAGGCAGGCCAGAAGGCCCGCCAGATCATTACGATAGACGCCGGAGTCGCAGTCCTCGGGGCCGCGACTGGGATCGTCCACCAAGGGACCGAGACCGGGACCGGGAATATGACTACGAGAGAAGAGGCGATTATCGGCGCTAGCGACGCTGAATTTGACGTCTCAAAGGAGACAGTACGCAGCGAATGGAGATTTTGGAGATTTTTTCTTCTTCCAAAACTGTAAAAGATCAAGGGAGATGACAACAACAGCAGCATTGGCGCTCTCGAGAGATTCATTATCAGGGTTTGGCATTAGCGGGATGGACGAAGGAGAAGAAGAACAAGAGGTTCTGCTTATACCCATATCGACTAGAGCCTGTTTTGGTTCTCCCTTGAGATGAGCCTGAGCCTGAGCCTGAGCTTCGAGCGCTCAAAGTGGCTTGCTAAGGCCCAGGCCAGGCCATGGTCAGGCCATGGTCACCTCTCTAACTCTTTCGCCAAACGAGACACACGTATACGATGATAGACCGTCTTCTGATTTCCTTTCTACCTTCCCCTGCTGCTGCCGCCGCTGCCACTGCCATTGGTCTTACTTGAAGCCCGCAAAGAGGTCGTCGATTGCGTTGCCTTTTCCTTTGGTCTTGCCCTTGGTCTTGCCTTTGCTCTTGCCTATGCTCTTGGTCTTGGTCCTGGTCTTGCCTTTGCTATTGCCTTTGATGTTGGTCTCGCCCATTATCGACCCCGTGTAATCCTCCCTCTGCTCCTTCTGCCGCTGCTGCCGCTGCTGCTTCTTGCTCGACTTTGGCCTCCCCAAGAGCTTAACTCCATGTCCGTCCTGATCTCTGGGCCCAGTCGACTTGTCCTCGCTATACTTCACGGCTACCGCTGTGCTCCCATCGTGTGGCTGACTTGCATCTGCCGCGCCTGCTGGTCTTGCGGGTCGGAACTCCGCATCGCCATCCTCCCTAAGTCGTCCCGTGCTGTAGGTCCCGCGCGGCTTGACGTGCTGCGGCGGCGCATGTACATGGGCCTGATGAGCAGTAGTAGTAAGGCCAGATCCCTCAGCCGCCGCGCCGGAGCTCCCCGCAGAGGGATCTGCCGAGTCAATTTCATCGTCGCTGAAGGCGGCGAAAGGCGAGGAGGCTCGTATCTCCTGGTCGATGTCGGCTTCGTGGGCATCGTGCACTTCGACGTCGGAGTCGGCGGTGGCGCCATGTTCGATCTTGCTGACAGGTCTACTCGCCAGCTTGTGCCAGTCCGCATCGCCAGTGTCGGCCTCTTCTCGTCGCTGCACCACCTGCCCAGTATCCTCTGCCCGTCCATCCTCATCGTCCTCTGCCGCCTGTCGTGTCGTAAGTAGGACACCACGCCCGCCATCCGCCCGAGCCTCCATCTCCGCCACCCTCTCCAACGGCCCACCCACAAGCGCCCTCACATCCGCCAAAACCCCCATCAAAACCAAGCCTATCCCCGCAAACTGCCCATCCCCCACAAGCCCACTCACCGCGACCGACGCACCAGGCAGGACCCTTTCCCGCACCCACCCTTCCACCTCGCCTTTCCGCTCCTCCAAAATCCCCTCCCTCTCAAACCGCCTCCTCACCTCCCTTGCTCCCACCCCCATATCCACCCCTACCCCCGCACCAGTGTCTCCTCGCCCACCATACCGTAACTCAAAGAGCTCGACCTCCAACCTCAGCAATTCCGCCACTCGCCGCCTGAGGAGGTTGAGCCACTTGAACCACAGCTGTGCGCGATGCTGGTTCTTGTTGCGCGCGTGCAGCGTCGCGAGCAGCGAGGTGATGGCGTGGAGCCGCTTTAGACGGTCTGCGGCTGGAGCAGCGGCGGCGGCGGCGGCGCTGTTTAGAGTTGTGCCGCTGGTGTCGGTGACGGAGGGTTGGAGCGTCGGGAGGTGGTGCCGCGGCCGCGGGGGATGCGGGAAGAGAGTGATGCGTTTGGTGGGACTGATCTTGCGGCGTTTGGGCGCTGGTGGTTGAGGCCGTGATGGAGGTTTTGGTTTCGATGGGTTGGCGGTGCCAAATCTGGGTCGTGGCGCGGAGGCGGCTTTTGCATTGGGGTTTGGTCGCGTTTTTGTGTTTGACATTTTTGTTTTCTTTAAACGCTGGCAGATGTGGATCAATAGCATGTGACAATCAAAGGGAAAAGTTGAGAGGAAAAATGAGAGTCTGACATTTGAGGCAACGAGAAGGCGGCCTCGACGCCTGCCAAGAATGGATATTAGTGGGTCCTTGGTACAGCGCTACCTTGTATATATACTCCAGCTCCTTGGGCAGGCTGGCTGTGTAGTGGCGACGGTATCAAAGCGGACTCAAGACGCTTCGTCTGGCTGTCGCTCCTGGTGTGGAGTTAAGTATCCCTTCCTAGCAAGCCCCAGCTGCCAGTAAAATACCTTGACCAGCAGTAGCTGTACCATTATCCTTTCAGAGTAGCGGTCCCGTGCGTGTATTTGCCCTGTCACCAATCTTCAGCATGCAAGGACGGAAAGGGCTCCTCTTCGAGCTCTCTTCGCGTTATCTCGCTATATGTGGCCGCCCTCCCAGCGGGGGTCCATCGCTGACCCTGCTGATCCATCATCCTGCGGCTGGCACTTTGCCGTAGCTGCGACGTCCAACGTTACGCCGCTGGCGAGTCCTCGTAGAGTGGAATGAACTCGGAGCTCAAGATTTCCAGAAGAGCTGTGTCTTGTTCGCGTGGCAGCATCGGTAGGGGCGGGCTAGAGTGTAGCGATGTGAGCTAGAACTGTGTGCCCAATGTGTGTAGCTTGTGACGGTGTAGGTAGCGAATAGTGGTTCAAGCCAGGAATGGTTGGGTTGCAATTGGGTATCCGGTGGATCGCTGTCCGGAGATCGGGCTAGTCGAGGTGGACTGGCGGGCATTAGGTGATGAGGTTCAGCAGGAAGAAGTGGGTTGATTTGGCCAGGCAGGGATCAAGCCTTGAACCCACGGTGCTCTATAGCACCCGCGAATAGCACCTTTGCGAAGCATGCTGCAGATGTTGACCTTCCCTGCCGCGGGTCTTGACCACGGTAGAAAGTCATAAGCTTGTAGCCTGCCTCTGTCTTACTGCTGTGGGTCTCGCGCAGGGTCACTTGCGTCTCTCCAAAGCATTGCTCTCACACAAGAGCCCTAACTTCTGCTTTAAGACGTTGTACGGGAACGAGACTCACGATAACCAGGTTTCGTAGGCGAACCTAGCCGAGAATCTGGGGGATTCGACTTTCTACCACGGGTGGCCTCTATCCATGCCCTTAGCCCTTGTGGAAGCGAAAGCCTCAACCGGATCTCGTGCTTTCTGAAGTCCGCCTGGCCGAAAAGTACAGCCTTTCGGTGCTCAAAGTCTTGTATCTCCTCATCAGGCTGCTCTTGAACCTGTTTCTTGAACCCATCTCTTAAGTCAACCATTTACTTCTCCAGAAACAATTTCTAGGCAGGCCATGGGTCAGGTATGTTGGTGTCACAACGTCGGTAGGCGAGGAATCGGGGCCAGGAAAGGACGATTGGACTGAAGAGGACTCCACAAGATTTCTTTCGGACCGTATCTGGAGGATCGTTCTCGGATAAGGGCATCCTCTGCGTGAGTGAGGTGTAGTGCAGGAAACCGCATCCACAGGAGGGGACTCTGTTTCGAAGTAAAGCCGTAGAGGCGGAAATGTGCAAGATTCTGCTCACGGGAGGTCAGAACCGCTTGCGGCTGTCGTAACGCGTGGGAAGCATGACTTAGCTTCTCTTTTCGAGTAAAGCGATGGATTGATCCAGGAGAAGGGAGAGGAAAGCTAGGTGAGATCTCGCTTTGACACCTACATTGCTTGCTTCAAGGTCAACTTCTATGGATGAATAGGCACAACATGACGGCGATGGAGTTCACATTCAAAGAAGAGACAGAAGTTTAGCTCAATTGATTTGCCATTGCAGTATCTACAATGAACTGCCGGTATTGCACACAATGGTACAACCGTACATCATGAACAAACAGTTTTCTCTTCGACCTTGCCTTGAACATTGGTCGGAAATCTCAATCCATCTGAGACTCTGTTTTTTTTTTTTTCAATTTCTGATGTTTTCTCAAATTCAAGCAGCTCTCAATTCTGTGGAATTGATTATGATGTCGTGGCTTGATGTTACACCCGTAGTGCACATGTTTGTCGAAAGCTGACGCCAGACACCGTTGCTTTTCCGTAAAACAGATGATGGGGACAAAAAATTAATGGCGGGATAGGGGAAATCCAGGCGATGATTTCAAAGTACACAACGTCAAGAAGCCAACGAGTTGCTGGATCAAGTCGTCCTGCCTCTGAGTCAACCACCAAGACTCATGGACTGCTCAACAAGTCCCTGAATGTCGAATGCCGAATCCAGTGGCAATGCCGAGAGCCTCAATGCTGCCAGTGCAGAGAAGGAAATGGGGGGTACTGGGGGAAGTATGCCAAAGGCTGGTGCATGCCTCGAGGAAGGTCAAGGCCACGTTGAAGCTCAAGCTCTGCACCTGGAGTGCCTCGATCGAACTGAGATCGACGACGGCGTTGCTCTTCTCGATAAGCTTGTCCTTGTCTGGGAGCAAACAATCCTGTGAGAACGTTTATTAGCAAAATGCTGACAGGATTTGGAGGTGTGCAGAGATGTCTCACAGGAGCGACGGAAGGGGTAGTAGGCACGACCGTCCTGACGGGCACGACGCATCGCAGAGGTGGAAGCGAAGACGTCATCATCAGTGTCAACCGCCACGTTGCCAGAGCCAGGGTACTGGGCATCAGGGGTGGGGGGAGGTGTATAGATGGGAGCTCTCGAGCGAGCAGGAACAACGTGAGGAATGTGCATGGCAGTTGCACGAGCTGGGGCAGCGTAGTGACCACGACGACGTCCATGAGGAGGACGAGGCGCAGATAGCTGAACAGTGGGGTAACGGGACCGATGACCACGAGGAGGCTTGGAAGCCTTGGAAGGGTGGAACAAACCAACGGTCTCAGCGTTCTCGACGGAACGACGCATCTTCTGGAGGTTGTCTGGCACGGGGAATGGCTCCTCGGTTCCAGCACGGGCATCGGGGTGCACGAAGAACAACTGTACAACGGTTAGCATCACATTCACCAAAATTTTCAGAACACGTACTTTTGGACGATAGTCAGGGTGCTCAAGCAGAACCGATGAGTTGCGGAACTTCTGAATCAAGTTGACACGGTCTTGAATCGCTGCTGCTCTGTCAGTAAAAGTAGTGGAACGGTTACTGAGAATACTTACTCGCATAAGAAATCTCAGCAACCTTGTCAGAGTGGAACATGGTCCAACGGCGACCTTGACGAGCGCGCGCGAATGGAACGATGGACTGCGCATCGCGAAAGTTGATGAAAGCATAGCCGACATTGCAGTTGTTGGCAAAGTCGATACGTAAGTAAGCAAAGTCGTAGTTGCCGAACGAGGTCGTATCAAGCATGGATTTGAGCTGGTGGCAGTCGACACGGTTTGGGATGTTGCGCAGCATGACGGTGGTACGACAGTCTTCACCGTTCTCAATGGCAAAGACGTCAACGCGGTTGTCAGCTCGAACGTGTCGACCAGGACGACCATCAAATTCGTGAGCCAAAGGGTCAAAAGAAGGAGTGCCGAATGCAGGAGCGTTGGCTGGCAGGATGCTTCGACCAGTCAAGCTCACTTGACCAGAGGTGGCGAGGGAAGGACCACTGTAGCGGGACGAAGAACCTGGAGAAGTAGACGCGGCGTTGTAAGCAAGGTCGGGCTCAAATGGCTGGATGCGAAGCTCAAGATCCTAAAGATGTGTAAGCATGAAGAATGATGAGACCAATGATTGACTCACATCCTGGCGGATGATACCAGATTCCAGAGCATAGTCACGCGCGCGGATGTTGAGAAACTCAACGCGAAGCTCGCGGCGACGAACTTGGTAAGAGGGCAGCACGTCGATGGTTTTGATGACCCCGAACCAGGTGGACAAGGCCGCCTTGACACGCTCGCGGATGTCTTGGTCTCTCATGGGCTTGTTGATCTCATCCCAAAGAACCGTCACAGCCAGCTCGCCGTCGTGGTTAGACACAGTGCTATCGTCAAGGCCACAGAAGCGAGCCACAGCTTTGGGGGTGTAGAAGTACACCGAAGCACGGTCAAGGTTGAGGCGCAGTGCTCGGCAAGCCATCTCAGCCAAGTTAGGAATGTCAAAACTAATGACGAATTGCGCAGGAGCATCTCGCTGGTCGGGGACCATGCCTGGATAGACGATGCGGAAGGTAGCCTCGTGGATACCAATATCCTGAAGCTTGAATTAGCATCTATCCCGATGCAATGGTGAAGAAGGATCGATATACCTTGATGAGGCGCTTGGCACGCTCAACAACAGAGAACTGCGACTTGACGAGAAGAGCTCGCTTGGGCTCACTAGCATCGCTGGTGAAGGAACCGTTGCGGACGGTCGAAGCAGTGGGCAAGCCACCAATGGTGGGAGCAACGTTGTTGGTGCGGTATTGAGCAATGCTCTCTTGACGGGGAACAACAGTCAAAGCTGGGCTGGGAATGGCTCCTGGAACGAAAGAAGTGGCGACAGGGGACAAGCCAGAGACCTTAGAGCCTTGAACACCAGCAGAAGTAGGGTCAAGGAAGGGGTCCTCGGAACGGGAACTGTGTCTGCATTAGCTGTTGCATCTTTGGAGCGTGGATGTTGGAGCTACGCAGTAGTCTTGACAGACAAGCCGGACATGGCAGAAGCAAGCTTTGAATCAGAATCAGGAGCCTTGCTGGCGCCGTTCTGACGGACCGAGGCGGTCAAATGAGTGGCGGGGGTGCTCAGAGTGGTCTCGTCCTGCGAAGCAGGAGAGCTTGAGGGGAGAAACGAGCGTTCGCCCATCTTGAGGTTTGGACTGGTCATAAGTTAGTCATTGAAACCCAAATAGGATGAAGAAAGATTGTGAATGCAACAGAAGGTAAACATTGGCTGAAGTTAGTCAATATTGGACTGGTGATTGGTGACCATTGAAGCAGTCTTGACGGCGACAACGACTTGCAGCCATCGTAACCATCAGAACAGCAGCTCTGATGATCGTTCTGTTAAACTGAGATGCTGCAGCTGTCACCAATACGTTGTGAGACACACTGGTGTTGCTGATGATGCTATGTTGATGGAATGCTCGACTCCAAATCGAACTCACCTGAACTTTGGTTCGGTCTAAAGCTGTGCCTTGGGGCAGTCGGGGTGGATGAGGAGGAAGGAACGACTGTGGAAAGTGCTTGAAGGAGGAACGTTTGGTAAAGAAAGTGAGGGTGGGAGGAAGAAGAAGGATTTGAGCACAAAAACTTGGGAGTCTTAAGTATTCTGGGCATTGGGAAGGATCAAACTTGCCAAGGGCTCGCGACCACTGCTCAGCACGTGGGATCAGGCCAATTACAACGCGTTCTGAGCCGGGACTGACGCGATGAGGGGGGGTGGGGGGTCGGTGCCTGCCATGGGGGCGTTTGCGTGGGCAGGGGAGGGGTTGGAAGAAGCCACGAGACGCGAGAGACGCGTCAAGAGCTGCACTCGGGATGAGAAGACCAGTGCTTAATGTAGAGAATGCATGGATAGTGCCTGAGAGTGCTGAAGCACTGGTTATGGTTGCATCCTAGGAAGTCCCACTCGTTGACCATGGCTCGCACCGGCGCGGAGAATTGCTTCCAGCGTCAATCGGGCAGGTTACCATGCATGCATACATCACCAGCCTGCTTTGGCAACTTTGCGAGCCCACAAGAGCGATGCCAGACCAGGATCTTAGCGATTGATGTAGCCATTGATGACAGACGTCGGTTCAAGCTGGACGCTCTGCAGGCACCGTGCACCCTTAGCCCCGAGTCAACACCGAGTCTTTACCCAACAACCATCCTGGGCAAGCATTGGGTGCCAGTACTCAATGCTCAAAAGCCGACGTCGACCAATGCATCGTTGTACCCGCATCAACGACCTCAATCAGACAGCATTGAAATAGACCACCAGATCAATTTTGACTGCTTGATCCAGATCATTGTGGGCTGATGACAGGCTAAAAAGCTCGGCTTGCATTGTCGATGATAGTAGCAAGAACGTGTGGCCAAAAATTGCAGGGACTGCGCAATGCATTGATTTTTCACAGGAAATGAGACTGCGCAATGCTTCAGGATTTGCACTTAGATTGATCTGCGCAGTGACTTGGCGAATTGATAGTGACTGAGAGACTGTGTAGTGACTGGGAGCTGCATAGTGAAAGGGGATAGTGTAGTAGTGCATTGGGACAATGCAGTGACTTGGGATCGCGTGGTGAATTGGACTGCCCATCAGGCAGTGAAAGCTTGGCTCGCGCTTCACTTGCATTAACGGCCTGGCAACAAGTTCCAGGCATTGTCATTGCTGCATGAGTACAACCTCATCCGCAATCCACAGCCCTTTCACCGGGCCTCATTGACCTTGCGGACACCAGCAACCCAGCAGTCATCTTTCGCCTCGATTGCTTCGGATCAGCCAATCACATGCTCCAGATCAATGCAAGACCTTTACGACTGCTGGCTCTACCGCTGCCCCAGCCATACGGTCCTCGGTCATCCCAAACGAAGGGCACCGCCGTGGAGTGAAGTCGTTATTGCCTCCCTGTCAGTGCCTGTCAAACTATTCCTCTCTGAGAATAGCTTCGATCCTCGCTGATGAGGCTGAGCGGGAGAGACAAGGCTGTGTGGAGCTTGCACGTGACCTAGTGTTTCGGGCGCCTCGACCTCATCAGGCGCAAGTGAGGAAGCTCGATATATGGCTCGATCGCAAGCCACTCAACAGCTGGCTTTTCGGGTAGGAGACGATCGCAGCTGGGGCCAGTGAGTATCTGTGGCCCTGTTTTAAGTTTCTTCGAAAGGGACGTCCGGTCGGTGCAGCCTCTCCGAACCCCCTGGATTGACGACCAGCTCGCGGGGCGGGCAAGGCGGTGCTCGTTGGAAAGTCCTCCTCCCAGGTCGTGAGCAAAATGCCGTCGGTTGCGAAGCCGCGGAGCGATCCCGCAGCGGTTTTGAAGCAGGTACGTTGAGACTAGGAAGCGGGCCGAATCTGGAGGGCAGGGTGGCTGACTTGGCAACAACAGATCATCATATCACCGTCAGATGCAGATTATGTCGATCAGCTGATACCATCCTTGAAGGAAGCCAGCTACAGCAACAAAACCTCTCGGCTGTTGGGGATCCTCTCAGATTTCGCGAGCGACAGGGAGGCTGAGATCGAACGCCAGTGCAACGCTAACCACCAAGAATTCGTCAACTCGGTCAATCAGTTGCTGCGGATACGCGAAGGTACCGTCAATCTGACAAATGAAATCCTGGACCTCAATCAGTCAATTCAAGGTAGTACTGAGAAACTTGTCGAGCAAAAGAAGGCTCTAGTGGAGTCGCGCGGAGTTCGTCAAAATATTGACGAAGCAAGTCAGTCCTTACAAGATTGTCTTGAGGTTTTACGCTTAGCCAATCAGGTGCAAGAGCTGCTCGACAAGAAGCAGTACTATGCAGCTTTGCGAGCCTTGGACGAACTGCAGAGCGTGCACCTTCGCAATGTCAGCCATTACAAGCTGAGCGAACTGATCCAGCAGTCTGTGCCCGAAACCCAGAAAAAGATCGCGAATGAGGTCATGAAAGATCTCAACACGTGGTTGTTTCGCATTCGAGAAATCTGCCAGTATCTTGGAGAGCTCTCTTTCTACCACACTGATCTCCGCAAGCAGCGGCAAAATGAGCGTGCCGAGAAGAGTCCGTACTTGTCACAATTCAAGCTCAACTCTGCGCTCGAGCTGGTGGCCGATGAAAGTGAAGAGTACGATTTGCTCAAGAACGACGATCTAGAGATTGATTTCACGCCTCTGTTTGAGGCCCTGCACATTCATCGTTCGCTCGACATGATGGAAAAGTTCAAGGCTGACTATGCAACCAACCGGAAAGGCCAGCGAGATCTCATACTAGCAGAGCCTGTCACCCTGGTGGAAGAGGATCTCTCGACATTGCACAACATGCTGGAAAATATATCAGGCTTCGCAATCATGGAGCGAGCAACAATGAAGAAGGTGCCTGATCTTCGGACGTCGACTGAAGTTGATGAGCTGTGGGATTCGCTTTGTCAGCGATCGATTGCGGCAATGACTAAAACGCTGCACCAGGTCGACAACGCAGAGCACCTCCTCAACATCAAGAACCTGATATCTCTGTTCATTCAGACAATGAACTCCTTCAACTACAACACTTCTATCATCTCCAACTTCCTACTGGTCCTGTTCGACCGCTATGCTGAGCTGCTCAAGCAGCGCTTCTCGGAAGATTTCGTTGAGATCGTGTCAACCGATGACTACATGCCAATGCCAATTCAGAACGCCGAGGAATACGAAAAGGTTGTCAATGTGAGCTGGTATACTCCTGATCGACCCGTCGATCAGATGACGTTCCCGACGGTCTTCCCGTTCTCACAGATGTACCCACTCTGCTGTATCGACATTCGCAACTTTCTCAACCAATTCTACTTCTTCTCCGACACCGAAGCGCCTACCCCAAATGCCTTGTCTACTACAATAGATGCACGACTCCGCACATCTCTTGACGATCTGCTGACGAGCAAAGTTTGTGCTTCTTTGGTCAGCAAACTGTCATCTCAGTACCTCGGACAAGTTGTACAGATATTGATCAACCTCACGCACTTTTCAACCGCCTGTACCGAATTGGAGACACTGCTGTCAACGATACCTTCACAGCCCTCGAGCAATGTCCCAAGCCTCACACTCGCCGCAACGGCACAATTCACCACGCATCAGAAGACGGCGGAGAATCGCATTTTCGAGCTTGTCAACCTCAAGGTCACAGATCTTATCGACACTGCCGACTATGAATACACGACTCGCCAAGCACCGTCTGAGCCAAGCTCATACATCATGACTCTCACCAACTACTTGTCAAATATTTTGACCACTGTTCTACTGTCTTTGCCTACCGAGCTGAAGGACCTAATGCTCTTCAACGCCATCTCGCATACTGCATCACAAATCCTTGCGCAGCCGCTGTCTCCCGATGTTACCAAGATTACATCTCTTGCAGTCAAGCAGCTTTCAATGGATGTGCAGCACTTTGCCGACTACGTTAGGACGCTCCCGAACAATCTCATCCTTCTCGAATCTCTCGATGAGCTGACACAGACCATTGCGCTAATGGCGACGGATCAGCCGGAGGAGTTCTATGATATCAGCCTGCGAAACAAGAAATACGGCGCTGTAGATCCGCTCAAGGGCCCGCAGCTACTAGAAAAAGTCGTGCCAGCTACTGAGATAAGCCCAACCGGCAGAGAGTCCAGTGGCACTGCAGGTGGCAGAATGGCTGCATTCCAGCAACGGTTCATGCAAGGTGGAAGATGAGCTTTCGAATGGTGTCTTTGGATGCAGCGCGCACCTGAGGATAATGCCATGTACAGGCTCGGGCCTGTTTACGGGCTGTGCCTCCTTTGAATTGAATCTTTTCGGACTCCTCTCTATGAACAGCTTTTTGGAGTTGATGCTCATGCTTATTACTTTTGAGCTGCATTACCTTAGGCTCGAAATCCTCACCGACACTCTCTTGTTGGCACACGCCTGTCTCTTCCTCCATCTTGGCGCACCGATTGTGTCTTATTGCGCAATCATTGTGCATAACTCAACTTGACTACAAAGCAAATCACAGTCCACATAATTCACGGCTGCGATCAAGTGACCACCTGCTTTTACTACCTGAGCAACTCCTGTTTCAGTGAATCGAAGCGCAACCCAGCACCCCATCGATCCCAAGCTCCAAACCTTTCTACTCAGAACATGGCATCCCATGGCAAACGCCGTATGTCTCTCGACCACCCCCCGACCTCTCCGACCTCCGCAACGAGCCATCGTTCCCCCCTTCGCAGCAAGAAGCCCAAGCTCTCCTCCCCACCCGATCACCCGACCCTGCAGACCCACACAGCTTCGACGTTCAACTACCTTGCTCTGCCTGCCGAAATCCGCGCCGTGATCCTCGCTCTTGTCCTAGAACATATTGCCCTCCAAGTGATCACTCTCGGCGATAACGACCCCCACTTCACCAGCCCGCTCCTCCCACTGCTCCTCATCAACAAAAACGTCAATTCCGAAGTTCGCCGCATCATCGCCAAGGAGTTTTCTCTGGCGACCCAAAGAGGCTGCCTCACCATCCGCGTCATATTCTTCAGATCTGCTTCCGATCGACTCGCGTCCGAGGAGTCAGACGTCCGGTGGGGGATGCGCCAAGAACGTCACTGGCCGGTGCTGGTGAAGCGGGAGATCCGCAGATTGACTCGTTCCACGCTCTCGCCGAAGGTAGTGGTCCCGCTGGAGTTTCGTGGGGGGGTCCAGGTTTCTCTGTGGGAGCCGCTTAGCCGTCACGACTGAGTTGGGACGCATGACAAGACCAGTCTGGAAAGGGAGAGAGAGATAATGCTTGGTCCGTGTAGGAGAGTGGTCACTGGCAAAGGATATTCACGAAAAGGGATGGGGAAGAAGCGATAGTGAATTATCCAGTGATCAAATGAATCTCACCGGGATCCTTGATACTGCAGACGCCCTCAAGCATTAGTGGTCGATTCGACGGTGACTGGCTCGCACTCATAGCTTAGGCCCGAACTGAATGACCTGGCCTTCGAAATACTCTGTGTAGCCTTTGATCTCTTCGTTTGTTTGCGCTTTGCTTGCTTTCAATCTAACCCCATTCGAACCGGTGACTCCGACAGCATAGACATCCTCGGCTCGACCAACTTATGGGAGTAATCACAAGCCTTGTTTTCAACACATCTTTAGCAGCACACGCTGAGTTGAAGGGAGAGAACCTCCTCGGCCGTCATGCCTCAAATATCACAGAGTCAAGCACATTAGGTCTTGACACCAGGACATAATCTCAAGCACGACAGAAGCTCCTCGACCTTGAGCCTCACCACCGCTTGCTCAACGTCGTCCACTCCAACACCCACAATGACATCGTCCCCTAGAAACCCCGTGCCCAACGCCGACAAATGCTCAGCGTCGTCACCCTCCTCACCCGCAGCGGCATCCACCACCGACCCAGGCCTCCACGCCCAAGCCACGCTCGTCGTATAGGTGAACATCGAGCCTCCCTGGCCCTTCTCCACATCCTCCGTCTCCGACAGCAATCCATTTTCTTCCCTCCCCCAAGGCCTCACAACCTCCCCCGCAAAAGCTAATGGATGCTTCCCCACAGCCAGCACGCGAAAAGGATACATCCCCTCGCACACCACGGCCCACCGCTCGTAGCGCTCCGGCATGCCGACCGCGTTGCTGAACTTGCGATGCACGACGCCGAAGTGTACGGCGCGGCCGTCGCGCGTCCAGTCGCGGGGGCTGCCGGGGCAGCTGTCGTCGCCCGCACTGCCGGTGGCGTTAAGATGAATGCTCCCATCGGTGCTGCCGCGGCGGTGGCAGAGGATCAATTTGAGCGCGGGACTCGATTGGTGGAAATGTCCGGGCTTGCCAGTTGGATCGAGAAAGTCGGCGGTTTGCAGGCAGGGGCTTTCGTCTGGGGAGGTGAGGTTCGGGGTGGTGTAGCCGTGGGAGAGGAGTTGGGCGACGGTGCGGCCGCCGTGGTAGGTCCAGCCTTGACGATGAGCGTCGGTGTTGTTCCGCGAGGGAACCGACGGAGGAAAAGAGCGCCTGATGGGCTGTGCGCTTACTATTGAGATGCTGTCCTGGCTCACGGTGTTGAGGTTGGCGGCATGAGAGCCCGTGGCCGATACGAGCCTGGAGTTGTGGGTCGGTGCTTGGACTGTGAGCTTTGAGCTTGTCTTAGACGTGAAATTAGAGAGGTTGAACATCGGCCACGGCATTGTGTCTGGCAGAAACGGGTGATGTCTAGGCATGCCCTCCCGATTGGTGTGTATCTCTTGGCCTGGTGTTGATTCGCCTTCAGCTTTACTGCCGTCAGGGCTGTTGGTTCTGTTCAACTCCCACTTCCCAAACCCTTCGTAGCTCATCCACGTCTCGCCATCGTGTCCGGGAAACCAGAGTATCCAGTTCTTCTCCACCTCATTCCTCTCACCCCATCTCGTCAACTCTGTCAGCGTCTCATATCTGAGCACCGGGGCTTGATACTTCCTCCCGCCAGCCACCTGCCGTGAAATTTTACTCACATCTCGCTTGACGGTGCTGACGCCCCCATCCAGACCGCCATCCACCTCCGGCGTCCTCCGCTCCATAACATCCCTTAATTCCGGCACCAGCACCCGCAAATCCATGATCCACAGGCCCACGCAGCCGTACGTACTCGCGCTATTGACGACAATCAGCGGCTCTCCCCGCCCCGACCACATGATGCGTGGGTCATGGAAGCCCGGTATATCTGCGAAAGAAGCCCACTCCCCAGTGCACCGCTTGGCGGGCGTAGGCGGGACATTCAGTCTTCTCGGTTCCGTCAGGCATCGTAAGCCACCTCTTCCGCCGAGGACTTTGACGTCGGAGGGTGTGCAGGGAACGGCGTCCGGCGGGGTGCGGCTGGGAGTGCTCGCTGGTTGAGGCAGGCAGAAGGTCGCGAGACAAGCGTGGGATTCTTGATGTAGACCGGGAGTGACGAGGCGGGTGACGAGGAGGTAGCGCGCAGCAGTGAAGGACGCTGCGTAGGAAGGTAGAGGGATGATTGTAGGGTTGAAGTGACGGACAGAGGGATGAGGCTCGGCCTCGGGAGGAGTGAGTGAGATGTCAAGGTGGGGACTGTGGACTCGAATGTGGCCGGTCTCAGGGTTGGGTTGAAGGCGGCATCGTAGCAGAGGCCGAAGGTGACGGATGGAGGTTGCTGTTCGGTCGCTGGGTGGGCGGTAGGAATGGTAGTAAGTGCTGATCAGACTCCTCTGGATGGGAAGGGACGGGTTCAGGCCTTCGCGCAATGGTAGACCCGTCTGTGTAGCGGCATATATGATCCGATCGACCAATGCTGCAGGGAGAGGAGGGTCTCCTAGCAGTTTGGCACAGCCAGTGAGGAGTAAGATGGCGGCGATACAGAGCAACGAGCGTGGCATAAGACGCCGCGTCAACATCGTGAAGCGAGATCGGGCATGGACGACAGTTTACTTACCCTCTCAAAAAGTCTTTGTCACCGGGAAGCAAGTCTGCAAAGGGGGGTGGGATTAGGCTGAAAAATGGAGGGTAGCAGCGGGATGTTCTGCTCGGGGAAGGGAACGAGGCGGAATACCTTGACTCACTTTTTGAAATCTGTTCTTCTGTACAAATGCTTCTGAATCATCCCATCGTAAACATGCTATCCCGTTCTTGATCATCGATGAATCCTTTGTATTAGTCCGTGCAACGCCGTCGCTGTGAGTCCGCCCGTCTAACGTATACGATTATCAAACACCCATTCCTCTCTACCAGTGTCTTCCAAAAGCCTAGCCACTCTATGTTTCTGCGTCATCATCCGAGGCGTCGCTATCTTCATGTTCCGAATTCCAGCCCTCAGCCTCCAGGTTGGGTGAACGTATGCCAAAACTGAGAAGGAAACCAATAAATGCTACAATACCGAAGACGCCGAAAGCCAAGGCTTCGCCCTTTGGTACCCTCAAGGTCAAAGTGAAGAGACCGCCGGAAAGGAATGGCCCTGCGGCTCTTCCTGCGGCCGACAATGACTGAGCGATACCGTTGAGGGTGCCCAGCACATTGTGGTTAGGGGCCGAATTGGTGATCTGGTCTTGTTAGTGACTGTTTATTCGACGGTGGATGAGGATGCACAAACCAAAAGAAGGGCACTAGTCAACCCGCCAACTGATGCAACAGTCTTGACGAGAAGCACCGCGCCAATCTCGATCCACAGCCATGCTGCTCCGATTGATCGTTTCTGGCCAGTATCCTCCTTGTATCCCACCCAAGGCATTAGGATGAAAGCCACCACAAAACCGAACAACCCAGTCCTGTATGCCCATCGATTGCCCATCTTGTCGCGCAACTTCCCGAAAACACCGACTTGGAAGATGATGGTAACAGCCCCTGCAAAAGCCAGCGACAGTCCGGTCTCGCTTGGCTTCAGATTTCGCCCGTGGGGCACATCTGCTTGAGCGAAGACCGGGTACAGCGAGTTGAACGAGATGTTGGATAGCTGGAAGACGAGATATGTCGCCAGCAGGAGGATAGTATCACGGTTCATGACGTCCCTTTTCTTCAGCTCTTCAGTAGAAATAACGGGCATTAGCTCTGGCATATCAGACTCAGCCTCGCTCTCGTCCTCAGACTCTTCGATCATACCCTCCCCTTGATGCTGACGGACCTTTCGGCGTTTGCCTCGCAGATAGGAAGGTCTAGTAGAACTGGTGAACTGCCACATCCAGGTGAAGAGACTCTTGACACGTTTTCCCAATGGCGGCAGATAATGCGCTTGCTCAAGGCTTTCTTCGAGGAAGATAGCTGTCAGAACCAGATCTACGATCAGTATGATGGCGGAGAGTAGGTTCGGCAACAGGTAAGGGTGGGCGGCCTCCTTGGTGTGGTCGAACAGACTATGGTTCATGACCAGGAGCCCACCAATAATGGGACCGGTAATTGCGCCTAGGCCGTAGATCACTGGAAGGTATGTAAAGGCCGCGGATTGGTTACTCCGATCTGTTATCTCGCCCAAGCATGTCGAAACAACTCCTTGGTTGCCGTTGCAGAGGCCCATCAATGCTTGTACTGCGATGGCCTGCGGCAGGGTCTTCACAAAGCCGAAAGCCACGAAACACCCAGCCGTAAGTGCGGTCCCGAGCAGTATCACAGGCTTCCGACCAATGTGGTCTGAAAGCCATCCCCAGAAAAAGTTGGTAGCCAATTGCGCAAGCGCAAAGGCTGAAGCGATCGTTCCAACATAGACTCCTACCTGGCTAGGGTCGACTTCTGGAAAACCTCTTGCCATGGTAGGAAGATATGGTGATATTGAGTTCAGTGCTGTCTGTTCTGAGAGAGCTATGATGGCCAAAATGGCCATCTGCTTCTTCGGGAGAGGGGAGCTGTGATGCTCATGGTCGTGGGGAAGGTCGCGACTACTGGAATTTGAGGAGTCGGAGAAGGGTCTCCCCTTGGAGGTAGGAGGACTAATGCCGCCGAAGGTCTGGTAGTGTGGTGTCGAAGACTTACGCCTCATCAGAGGGCTGCCAGAGTCTGAAGGCTTCATGATGCCTGTTCGGGGTCTATAGAGGCATGGGCCATAAGCGACCGTCGCGTGTCCAGGGTAGAATGTGCGGCTTTCGCGAGTATATCAGCAGCAAATTGTCAATCACGTACGACTCGAAATTATGTATGAAGTACGAGTGCTATCCGAGCAAGCGCGATAGATGGGATCTAAAAGGTTTGCAGAAGTTGGCGCAGATGTTCGATCGAAGAAGATTTGCCTGGCCCAATGACGTCCGCAGTCTGATCGCCACAGCTGCAGGCGATTTGCTATAAGCCCCGAGACTCGGAGTCACCCACCTGCAAGTCATCATGTCGCTCAATAGTCTCGGGCGAAGTGAACAGTGCCGAATCTTGCGTTCGAAAGTATTGTATGAGGCCAGAATCTATCGAGCCTATCTTTGCTCGCCGTGAACGCTCAATCAAAAGTGGTCGCAGGCAGCAATGATGTCGACACCAGTCGAACGCCACTATGCAGCGTAAACGCAGCAAATCACGTAGTCATTGTACCGCCAATCCAATGAGAGCAGGAGCGAGAAATCATTTGGGAGCCGACGGTGACGTTTAACAGCTTCTATAGAACCAAGTACAGTAAGTGGGTATCTTCAGCGCATAGCCGTATACTAGCCCTAGGCCCCCACCTGTTCGACTGTGCTCACGCTCACTGCTGCTGTTTTGGCAGCGCCGCTTTGAGGCTGATTTGACCTGTAGTGCTGCGTGAAGTCGTATTTCAGGCCGTTGGGTGATCTGAGAAGCTCTTGCTGAGCAGCCACATTGCCCTCGTTGGCCTTGAGCTGCCTGAGGAAGGCATCGTTCTCCAGCGCTTTGTCAGGGTCTTGGTCGAACAGACGTCGGATATTGTCCTGTGAAACGACATCCGTGATCGTCTTGTACTTCTCTCGCCGCACGTCTGAGTAAATGTCGAGGATCGAGGGATCGGCTTTGCCCTCATATATACCCACAAGGCAGTCATACAGGCCTCCGACGTCCACGATACCTCCAGTCAGTCCAAGGCCACCAAAAGGGTTGCACACTAGACAAGAGTCAGCAGGATCAGAAGGTCATGTCGTAAAACTTACAGTGAGCAGCGTCAGCAGCCAGACAAAAGCGGCCTATCCTCAATTTTTCGACAAGTCTCTGGTGGATTTTGTAGGGATTGATAGCAGCGAGCTCATATTCCCCGGGTTTGGGGTGGCCCGGAAGCATGGCCTCGTATTTCATCGGTTGTCGAGCAATCAGCTCTTCCCGCGTCAGACCATCAATCTCGCCATAACTGACTCTCCACCAGCCTGATCCATCTGCTTCTTTGGTCAGACGGGCCACCATGTGCCAATGGACCGGATCGATGATGAACTGGACATCTTCGTATCCGAGCTTTTCGAAAGGGTATTTGACCTGAAAGAGTAAGTAAGAGCAATTACCACCGAGGAAAAACTTACGTTTGTGGCCACAATCTGCTTGTCCCACGTCCAACCCGGAAAGTCGTTGCTACCAAACATCTGTTTGCGGACGGTACTGGAAGCGCCGTCACAGCCAATGACATACTGGCCCTCAAATCGCTTCTGTCCCTCAGGCGTCTCGGCGATCACCCATGCCTTATCCTCATCCTGGCCGATGCTCGTGACCTTGTGGTTGAAGAGGACTTTGACATTTGGCTGAGCAATCGCATGCTTGTACAGCAGCTTGTCAAGTGTCGCAAGAGGCATGCATGCCAGTCGATCAGGATCATCTTTGACCACTGAGCAATCCCACCCAGCGAGATACGTGCCGTCAAGTTTCCTCCAGCAGGTGATGATCGGATCGAACCCCTGAGCGCGAATTTCGTCTAGAACACCAGCCCTTCCTAGCTCGTACGCCGCGGGTGGGCCGTAATATGCTGCTCGTGGTGAATCATCTAGTACCGGCGAGCCTTCCAAAACCAGCACTGGAACATTGCGCTTGGCTAGCATCAGGGCAAGAAGCAGTCCAGACGGACCTGCTCCTGCAATGACTGCCCATGGCTTGTGCTCAGAGCCCATATTGACTGGCTCGATATCTGATACCAATGAGCCGAACGTCCCAAGGTTCTCGCAGTAAATAGGTGGTCGGTTATATGAGCCTGGACCAACAATTCGAATGGGACAGGAAAGGCTGGAGGGACAGAGGGGGGACGGAAGTGGAGGAAAGCGAACAGACTGGGTCCGCGCTATATACAGCGAAGTTCTCGAGGGGCTTGTCTTGACCCCAGATTCCAGACAGGTCTCAGACCACTCACACCTCGTGGAAGCCAATATCAAAGCCTCTGCCGTGTGCAGAACCAGGGCCTAGGCGAAGCGGAGGCATCGCAATATGCCCCACACGCGCGGAGAAAACCCTGCAAACCAAACCGCGTCCGGTGCATGTTGCCAGGCCTTGGAGCACCCGGACTCTGAAATCGTACATAGTATGACATTTTTGGCTCGAGTTCGGCATTGATGTCGACATCTATCCAAGCTGTTTTGGCTGCAGCTCAAGCGGACGATATGAACGTCTTGGTGCTTCTTCTGATGCATAGCCGAGAGGCGGGGTAGGCGCTGCAAAGACCAGATACCAACGAGCCCCGGAAGCCCCGCCGCCACCTCCTCCTCCTCCAAAAGCCCGAGGGTGCTTCTGCCTGCGATCTCGGGGTCGTGGGGCTTATCCTGAGTTCAACGGCGGCTTGCGGCTCTGGACTGTATTAAGTCGGCTATTTGCCCCACCAAACGTGGCTCAACATCGACCTCAGGCTTCTGGACTTTGCAAAATCGTAAGCCACCACCTTATCGGAAGGAAACCACGTGGAGGAATCGACAGTGCCGCACCATGGCCGATGCCAAGAAGCTCGAGGAAGCCCACGCGACGCTGTGGGAGAATGGCATTCAGGTGCGCCGGGAAGTGGCAGGCAACGAATATGTCGACCGCTCACTCGCCAAGGGAGCTTCAGACTTTGGCAAACCTATGCAAGAACTTGTGACTGAAGTGGGCTGGGGCATGGTCTGGTCTCGCTCGGGTTTGGAGCGGAAGACAAGGAGCTTGCTGAACATCGCCATGCTCTGCGCCCTGAACCGCCCAACAGAGTTGGCAGTGCACGTTCGGGGTGCTGTCAACAATGGTGCGACCGAGGTCGAGATCAGAGAGACTATTCTCCAAGCCTCGATCTACGCAGGCTTCCCGGCTGGTCTGGAGGGAACGCGGGTTGCCGAAGGCGTGTTGAAGTCCATCAAGGAGGCAGAGGGCAGCCAGCACCAGGAGTAGGTATAAGTGTAAATGAACCCTCTTGTGGCGAGGCTGACACGAGCATCGGTGGAACATGAGCTACTTGGACTTGGACTTTGGCCGAAATACATGAACGATACGTGCCAGCGAATGAGATCACCTCTGTACTGACCGCCGTTGCACATCCCTACTCCATGTCTTCAGCGACCTTTTTATAACCGGCGGGAAGACGGCCCCGTAGATCCACGGGCAGCCCTAAAAGCAGCCCAGAACGGTTGCCGAAGGAAGGCGCCAGGCGAACTGCTAACGCCCAGAAGAAGCGCCTTTCGGCAAACCTTCCCTGGACGGAGGCCCAATGCCAAAGCGCAAAGCCGCCCCGTCGCCCGCGCCGTCAGAGTGAGCGCCTTAAGCCTAGCTGATCACCGTCTACGTCCTTCAACTGCTAGCTGTTGACAGCGCATCTGATCCAGTGCTGGAAATCCTGTCGCCCGACGACGCCTCGACAATTTGGCGAACAGTGAAGCCTCGACGTTGCATTCCCTCCATACCGCCGTCATCGTCATCAGAGCCTCTTTTGTTCGCCTTACGTGCGCCGGCCTTGGACAGGGTGGTTATTAGGCCTTGTCGCCCGCACCGCCTGGTGAATAATGCAACTATTCGATCTTGCCAGATGACGCTTGAGAGCTCCCTCACGGCACTTGTCGACGACTAGACCCGGCGACGCCATCTTCAACCAAGCCTGCGCGGTCGAACATGCGAGTGACGGGCCTGTCCTCGCACTTCCTCCTACACGACCGGTTGTGGTAGACTAGCACCTGGTGCGCTGTCAACACCAAAATGGCCAATTACCAGAACGGCCAACAGTACTATCCATCGCATAGCCACCCCTCCCAAGGCCATGAGACATATCAAGATCCCTATCACACCCAGCCCTCCTATACCGATGGATCCTTCCCCTCCTCAGGCAACTATGGTTCTGGAGACGACCAATATGGCTCTCAAAATGCGTCGAGCAATTATGTCCCATACAGCGGGGCCGGGTCTTCGCCCAACTACAACAGGGCACAGCCCGCAAGCATAAATACTTCGTTACCGTATCGACAGAACACCCAAAGTGCGGCGCTGTCCGGCTACCAGCATCACTACCAGCCAGCGTCTTCGGGCCAACCGTATAACTCCTACAACCCCGCACAATATCAATATCAGCAGCAGCAGCAACATCAGGCGCCGCAACAACAGCCGCAGCAGCCGCAGTACAATCCGCAGTCGTACACCTCCCCACCCTCAGCGACTCAGTCTGGTGGGTACCAGCCTTACGTGCCCGCTGCATATTCGGATTCCAGTGTGCATCGCAACCCTTCTGTGTATAACAACAATGCATATTCGGCCTATAACCAGACTCCTCAGACGGCGTTTCCCTCCTCTCAGCCGCTACCACCTCCTCCCCCGCAGCATTCCTCGAGCTACAATACATATCAACCTGAGTCGCAATACCCCTCACATTACACGATGTCCTCCTCTCTACCTACGCGGCAGTCCACCTACCAGCCTTTGCAGTCCCCACCAGCTCCAGCCCCTCCACCACATGAGACTCCCCCGCCTTCCCGCCCCTACTCGCACTCGTCTGCCGGTCATCAGGATAGGTCGTCTTATAGCAACATTAGCCCCCGCCCGCCATCCGAGATTGATCGTACCTCGTCCTACGCCAGCCGCATGAGTGCGCAGTCAAGCGCTTTCTCTGCGTCGCCACAGCCCTCCATTCCAACGCCGCCGACTCGCCACACATCCAACAGGTCACCCCAGCGGACTAACACTTTGGATCGACACCCTCAAGGTCGAACATTGCCTGGAGTACCCTCCGAATCCGAATCAGACAATGACTACTTTGTACCTCGGCCCCCTGCTCACAGCTCTGGTGGCGTTGACGACATTATGCACCAGCTCGACAATGAGATCCAGGCTTCTTCGACGCGCGAGCGAGCACATTCGGGGGGCTCTCCTCAGCCGCTGTTCTCCCCCGACGAGGCTCCGACCCATTTGAATGGCAACATCGCGTCAACGGGAGAGGCGTACGTCAATTATGGCGCCTTCAGCGACGACAGCGATGCGGAGGCGGCGGCTGGCCTGGCAGCGATGCAGGCTCTTGACGAACAGGAAAGACAAGAGGATGCTCGCCGAAGAAGTGGTTCGGCGACTTTGTTTCCTACCTCTATGCCGCAGCATGACGTCTCAGCCCATAATCATCACCAAGACATTAGCAGCGACAGTGACTATGCCGGCTATGATCTCAGTGCCGCGGGTGGTGGATATGCACCAGGCTTAACTTACGGCGAGGACGTTTCGAGTTACGCAGCCGCAGCAGCGCTTCCCCGCGATGACTACTACCAGCGACAAGGGGTGGACCCTACTCGACTGAATTCAGTCCGTAGCAGCGGAGTGTCTAGTGAGGGGAGAGCTTCAGATGCCAGCGGCCTAGACATGCCCGCCCTAGATTCTGCACATCACCTCCCACCAATACGCGATATAGCACGAGTTGATACTGGCGGTACTGGGGGCCTCACTGAGCCAAGTCCGCACCCTCGACGTCTCAGTTACGAAGATGGCGACGAAGCTGGCCATTTCGATTGGGAAGAGGGCAGGACACTAGAAGGAAGCTCGAGTCCATCCAAGGAATCTCTCCCAGACTTGTTCTTTCATCCTGGAATGAGTACTCAGAGGCCACTGCCACCCGCTCCATCAGGCCTGGATGCAAATCGGATACCTAACTTGGTTCCTGCGGGGACGTATACTAACAGTCAACGATTCTCTCAGTACACAGACAACAGGTCTAGCTACTACCCGAGTACGCCGGACAATTACGCTGCCAATCTACTCAGCCCGACAGCTGTCCCAAGGTCAACGTCACTCATCAGCAATCGCAATAGTACCCCAGTCAATCAACCGGCCCGGTCGAAAACTGATGCTGATCGAGCGAAAGCACTACGACAGCAACAATTGTCCAGTCGGCCAATGTCCGAGATATACGATCCCTCCCAAGATGATAGCAGTATGGCTTTGGACCTCCCCGCACTTCCACGCAAGAAATTCAACCCTGCAAAAATTACCCCGGAGCAGTTCAAGAGGTGCTCGGAGCCATGGGCGCTTAGTGGAGTCTTAGCATGGATCAGGGACCTGGCGGACGAGGAGACCGACCTCCGAGAACAGACCATTGTTGATGGGATAATAGCCCTCTTCACCAACAAAGTGCCGACAATGAACACCACTGAGGCTGAGGTCTTGGGCGAGCGTGTTGTCAAAGAAATGATTGCTGAGCATGCGCTTGTCCGTGAGGAAGAATGGGTCAAGTTTGGTCCAGGAAACGTCTCTGGCGTCATATTTCAGCTGAGTGGAGCTGGTTGTTATTCATCTAAGCTTCACGTGTATGAGACGAAAGGCAGGTGCTACTCCCGGCACTGCATGAGGACACTCAAGGTCGTGGACACCAGCGATCTGGGTGCTACTGGTCCAGAGAAGGACTGGGCAACGTTCTACAAGTTGACAAAAGAGAGCATTGAAGGCAAAGACAGACACGAGGTTGAGCTTCAGAATGTCTTGCATGAAGTCGTGACGTCCGAGGAAGACTACATCGTGGACTTTGACGTACTTCGGCTCCTATATCGAGATCCGCTGCAAAATTCAAATCCTCCCATTATTGCACCGAAGAAGCTCAAGGACTTCGTCAAGGATGTTTTCGGGCTGGTCGACAAAGTCAAGAAGGTCAATCAAGACTACCTACTTGGAAGACTTAAGTATCGTCAGAACGAACAGGGACCTTGGATTACCGGCTTCAGCGATATCTTCAGAGAATGGATTCGGAAAGCCAGAGCAATCTACGTCGAGTACGCCACAAACTACCCTCGTGCCGATTTCTTAGTCCGCAGAGAGCTGGACCGGAATGTTGCGTTCAGAAATTTGCTGGACCACGCAAGAGAGGATCGTCGTTCACGGAGACTTGGCTGGGACAACTTCCTGAAGAGCCCGATCACCAGAATGCAAAGATACGGTCTATTATTAAGTACGGTCGAAAAGCGCATGTCCAAAGAGATGTCCGACGAAAAAACCAATCTACTATTTGCGATTGACGAAATCAGAGCCGCCACTCACGAATGCGACAACAAGTTTGCGGAAATGGAAAGGAAGATGAAGATGCACGAGTACTCTGTGAAGTTGAAGCTCCGTCCAGGCATGGATAGGGAGGTCGAATTGAACCTCGACCATCTTGGCCGTGAGATCCTGATTCAGGGCGACCTTCTGCGCGCTGGTGGCAAGGGATTCAACTGGGTTGATACTCATGCTGTTCTATTCGATCACTACCTTGTCCTTGCGAAGCTTGTTCGCGGCGTAGGACGAGCAGACTATTACGACGTCTCGAAATTACCAATACCCATGGATCTTCTCGTGTTGGAAAGTAATCATGATCCGGCGGTCATGAAGTCGTCAATGAAAGGCATAGCAGCTGTCTCAACAGCTAACATTCCTCGCACCCAGACGACTGACTCGCGCTTGGCCCGGACAACCTCCACGAACAGTGGTGGCTCGGGCTCATTACAGCACACCAATACTTCCACCTCGATGGGTTCTGCAGCTACGGGGCCATCGATGGTTTCGGTGACCGCCCTTGGCGACAGTGGCAAAGAGGATAAGATCATGTATCCCTTCCGCATCAAGCATCTGGGAAAGCAAGAAGTATACACGCTGTATGCACCCAACGCCCAGGTCAGAGTTGACTGGTGCGAAGCCATCATGACCGCCAAAGAACGACACGCCGAGCAACTTCACGCTCAGCGTTCCGAACCCTTCAAGCTTCGGGTCCTAGCCGATACCGCTTTTGGATTCGACGGCTACGGCGCCACACAAAAGCGTCTCTATTTGCGGAATACTCCCCTATATCGCGCCGTGGAAGAATCCAACAACAAATATGCTGGCCAAGGGCGGCCTGCGCCAGTCTGCAGAGCCCAGGTGAATTGCGCTACCGTTTTCAATCAACCATATGGCCGTCTCATGTGCGCCATTGGTACCGACTACGGCGTCTATATCTCGGAATATGGCAATGCCCGAGGTTGGATGAGAGTAAGTCTTTGTATTTCCCGCCTCACCGTGATGTTCCACTAATCCGTTGTGCAGGCGATTCAACAGCAACGCGTCACTCAGGTCGCCGTGCTTGAGGAGTTCAACTTGTTCATTCTCATCGCCGACAAAGTTCTCGTCGCGTACCATCTGGATAAAGTATGTCCTCCTACGGGAGGGCCTTCGGTCGCGAGCTCGGCACGCGAGGAAAACGCACGCAACGCGCCGCAGAAATTGTCGGGCAGCAAAGACGTAGGGTTTTTCGTCGTCGGCCGCATGAAGGACCGTGCGCTTGTGTTCTACAAGAAAAAGGATACGACCAGCAGTCACTTCAAAGTCTTGGAACCCGTGCTACAGAAGAGCACGACCAGCCGATCGAGGTTCCTGCCGAGCAGCAGCCGACGGGGACAAACCGAGTTCTTCCGCGAATTCGACGAGTTCTACATCCCCACGGAGTGCTTTGGGCTGAATCTGTTCTCGAGCTCGCTGGCGGTCAGTACGGCGCGCGGGGTGGAGGTGCTCAACCTGGACAAGAAGCAGACGTGGACGGTGCCGAACCTGCGGAGCGAGCAGCCGGACACGCAGGCGCACTTGAGCAGCATTGCGTCGCGCATCAAGGACCTGAAGCCGCTCGGCATGTTCCGGCTCGGAGAGGCTGAGTTCCTGGTCGTGTTTGAGGAGTGTGCGGTCTACGTCAACAAGCATGGCGATGTCAGCCGGGGCGTGGTCATGGAGTTTGTCGGCAAGGCCAGTGCCGCGACGCTGTATCAGCAGCAGTACCTGATACTCATCGACGAGGATTTCGTGGAGATCAGGGATGCGCAGAGCGGGAGGCTCAAGCAGATCGTGAGTGGGCGGGGAGTGCGGCTCCTGGATGATGGCGGAGCAGGGTTGAGTGGTGGCGCTGGGGCTGCTGCGGGCGGAAACGGCAACGCAGGCCATCAGGCGCAGCTTGGAGGCGGCGCGAACGGACTGGGAGTGCTGGGCTGGGGCGCCGCGCCCCGGACGGTCAAAGTGGCGATGCAGCATCCAGAGGAGTCGAGGACGCAGGTCGTGGTTGAGTTGGTGTTGTGGGAAGCGGAGGAGGGGTCTTGATCTGCCACCGAGCGTTGACTACAATCTGGTCCCGTCTAGCTTGAGAAAGGAGGATTGAATATGAAAGAGATGCCATCAAGGGATCCGGGGAAAAGCGTGCGCTTCAAAGTGTACCGAATCAGCAAGACTCTTACGACTTGCACTGCCTGACTGTCAGGCACGCGGCTGAGCTGCGAACATGAGAGGCACGCACGAAATGAAGGATTAGGCGATTAGCTGCAGCGGGTAAGAGATGCCCAAACCGACTGCATGAACCAACATGGGCATGGTGCCGGGGTTCCTGAGACGGCGTTTCTCGGTGTCAGGTGTCAGGCGTGCTAAAGCTGAGGAAAGGGGCACCAAAGAGTAGGGCGCGCAAATGGGTCCACGGGCTATATGAATGGATGGGCGAAAGCGGCCACGGCAAATCTTCTTGTCTACTAGTAATGAATTGAAATGAGACGAAATCTTTGTCGACGAACTTGACAACTGTGTATGTATAGCCGTGTTTACTTACCTCGCCCAATGATGCTTTGTAGAGAGGGAAGGACGGTGTAGGCGCGTCGGGCTGTCGCTGCGTGTTGCTCTCCCTCCTCCCCATCGCCTCTGGCCTCGTTGACCCATAGACATCTACCACCGAGGTGGACATGAATCGCTTTGTGTGCACGTGCTTGCGGACTATATATACATACTTGCAGTGCAGCGCCGTGCTGTGGGTACAGAAGGTTCCGTCTTGAGGCCTGCAGCCAATGACAGCATGGGGTGGGGCTCGTTTGTCATCTCAAGGGCGTCGGAACCTTGAAGCACGACAGACTGGGGACGGCGACGCCGACCAGACGGGGACTGGGTGGTCAAGGCGGGTTGTTACGAGTACGCGTGGCGGGGGACTGAGCTGCAGGTGGCTTTGTCTTTCTCACATATATATATACATATATATATGCACGAGGGGCCGCGAGTGCCATCCTTCTCACCACCACATCCATCTGCACTGTAGAAAATGGCCGCCGCTCTCCCGCATCTCCTCGACCTGCAAGCCTACAACGTCGATTCCACGACCGGCTTCATCCCCTCAACCCCACCGCTACGTGCCCTGCCCGCCTACTTCGCCGCGTGGGATGAGCTGGCCGCCCAGCTGCCGCAGCTGATCAATACGGGCGCCCTGCGCGCAAAAGTCGCTGGTCTCGAACTGCTCGACGCATCGCGGCTGCACGGCACGGAAGAGCTGCGGCGTGGATTTGTCGTGTTGGGGTTTTTGGTGCATGGCTATGTCTGGTGTGGTGATGTTGATGATGGTGGCGGGCGGCAGGGCACTGCTGGCAAAGAGGGGGTGACGGTGCCGGCGCAGCTGGCGGAGCCGTATCTGCTGGTCTGTAAGAGGTTGGGGCTGGAGGGGAGGGAGACCTTGAGTTATGCGGGGTTGTGTATGTGGAATTGGGGGTTTAGGGCTGGGGAGACGGGGGAGAGGGAGGGGGTGCCGGAGTTGGAGGAGATGGTGAGTTTGGTTACGTTTACGGGGACGCGGGACGAGGAGGTGTTTTATCTGGTGCCAGTGTTGGTGGAGATGGAGGGTGGGAAGTTGCCACGGAGGTTGGTGGAGGGGATCGCCGCTGCGGTTGAGGGGGACTGGGGCTTGTTGTGTGAGGTGTTGGCGGAGGCGAGGGTGGCGTTGGAACGGATGCAAGGGCACATGAAGAAGCTGCATGAGCAGTGTGATCCCATTTTGTTCTATGGGCGGGTGAGGCCGTTCCTGGCAGGGGGTAAGGAGAGCGTAGGTGGGGGGTGGACGTTTGAGATGGCCGACGGAAGCAGGGAATGGAGGAGTTGCATTGGAGGGAGTGCGGCACAATGCAGCACTTTTCCTGCGATTGATCGCTTGTTGGGGGTCAAGCATGAGTCGCGAGGGGAGGGGTTGTCGGTGTTTGATGAGATGAGGGAGTATATGTGTGGGTGCTACAGGGACTTCCTGAGTGCGCTAGATGGGTTGCCGAGCGTGGGAGATCTGGTGGAGAGCAGCGGAGATGGAGAGCTCCTTGAGAGTTATAATGCTGTGCTCGAGGAGTTGGCCAGATGGCGATCGAAGCACATCGGCGTGGTCACAACACATATCGTCAGTCAGGCGAGGAAGAACATGAAGGATACGGTACCGGCCGAGGAGGTTACGGAAGGGCTAAGCGTCAAGGATGAAACCGAGCTTCAAGGAACCGGCGGTACTGCGTTGATTCCATTTCTGAAGGGATCCAGGAAAGATACGGAGGCAGCCAGAAAGGAACATACCGAGGTGTCGGCGTCGGCACATTTGTAGAGAACAATCCAACGCCATCTTGTCCGACTCTCGATGTCTGGTGTCTGACGGTTGACGCATGCCAAGCAATTGACGCCGGCAGCCGGAGGATCGGCGCTAATGACTGGCGTTACAGGCGCTAGATCGGCGCAGAAAAAGAAAGCCTCAGCAGAAAGTTCCACAGCCTGGCCGATAGAGCGCGATCCAGGCACGAGAGCATCCTGCAGTCCACACCTTTGCTGCAAACCAAGCCACTGGATCATGATACCACGATAGCAGCATCCTTCACCACCCTTCTCGCTTCCAAGATCCCACGATCCCACGATCCGGTCGCTGATCTCGTGCTGTCCTCGTACACGTCATGGCCACCGCCGAGGACCGCGCCGCCGCCACAGCGCTGAAGGATAAGGGCAACGCAGCATTCAAAGAACATGACTGGCCTACGGCCATCGACTTCTACACTCAAGCTATAGAACGATATGATCAAGACGGGACTTTCTACTCCAACCGTGCTGCGGCTCACATCAAGCTCGAGGCTTTTGGGTATGCGATCGCCGACGCATCCAAAGCGATTGAGCTAGATGCCAACTTTGTCAAGGTATGCCCGCGCAGGGACCGTTGAAGAACCCGGACGCTGACATGTATAGGCGTACTGGAGACGGGCGACAGCCTACACTGCCATTCTCAACTACCAAGATGCACTACGAGACTTCCGGCTGGTCGTCAAGAAAAATCCTGGCAACAAGGAGGCCCGGCTAAAGCTGGCCGAATGCGAGAAGCTCGTCAAGAGAATCCAGTTCGAGAAAGCCATTGAAGTCAGCGATCCTCCGTCTGCGTTCGAGGACCTCAATATCGAGTCCATGAAAGTCGATGACAACTATGATGGCGTGCGGTTAGGCGATGAGATGACCCAGGAGTTTATCGACGACATGATCGAGCGCTTCAAAAACGGCAAGAAAATCCACCGAAAGTACGTCTTCCAGATCGTCAAGGCGGTCAAGGAGCTCGTCTACGATGAGGCAACCATGGTCGAGATGGAAGTGGAGCCCGACACCAAGCTCACCGTGTGCGGCGATACTCACGGCCAGTACTTTGATCTCCTGGAGATCTTCCGCTTGAACGGCTATCCCACCGACAAGCATGCTTACCTCTTCAACGGCGATTTTGTTGATCGAGGCTCTTGGTCGACTGAGATCGCTCTGCTGCTGTACGCCTACAAGTGGCTTCGACCTCACAAGTTCTTCCTCAACCGTGGCAACCACGAGACGGACGACATGAACCGTGTCTATGGGTTCGAGGGCGAGTGCAAAGCCAAGTACAACGAAAAGACCTTCAAGCTGTTCTCAGAATCATTCTCGGCATTACCCCTGGCGACTCTGATCGGCAAGAAGTACCTGACTCTTCATGGCGGTCTGTTTTCTGATGACAAGGTCACTTTGGACGATATTCGCAAGCTTGATAGGCACAAGCAACGCCAGCCCGGTCAGGCTGGTCTGATGATGGAAATGCTATGGACAGATCCTCAGCCACAGCCTGGTAGAGGGCCTAGTAAGCGTGGCGTTGGTCTGCAGTTCGGTCCGGATGTCACCAAGAGATTCTGCGAGAACAATGGTCTGGAAGCAGTCATTCGAAGCCACGAGGTGAGGATGGAAGGTTACGAGGAAGAGCACAACGGCAAGTGTATCACAGGTACGATGCTTCAATCCCTTTTTAGCGCGAAATCTAATCATGCTGCAGTCTTCTCGGCACCCAAATACTGCGACACGACTGAGAACAAGGGCGCGTTCATCAACATCGGCCCGGAGCTGAAGCTAGAATTCACCAAGTTTGATGCCGTACCGCATCCTGATATCAAGCCCATGGTTTGTTCCTGTACCCATCCGTTGTTTCAAGCCGCTAATTCGTCCCAGGCCTATGCGCAGAACTCGTTGCTTCAGCAGATGGTGCAGTGATTTGCTGGAAGCTCAACAATCGGATAGGATCAGATTTGCATTGGATGCATTAGCGGAGCGTTGGCACTGGCTGGGCATCTTGCATTGTAGAACTACGAAGACGACATGTCGAGATACCAATGATACAGCCGTTCTACGACCTACACAACTACTGGTGCACAGACAGATTGAGATGGACAAAGATCATGGGCTGAATGGCTGGATCAAGGTGACCACGTGGCCAAAACACAAAAGTGTGGTGCTGGGATCAGTGAAGGCCTGCGCGATCAGTCACTTCTGATCCCAAAGCCTCACCTCTGGTTGATCCTTCCACAACTCCTGGGTCACGTGAGAGCATTCCTTGGCAGCTAAAAGGCAGCCACAAGGCGCCTTCCTCTTCTTCCTTCTGTTTACCAACTCCTCCGCTTTCTTGCAGTTGGCAACCCACTCCTCCTTGCAGCTTACCACTTACCAGTACCACTCCATTGATCAGTCACCACAGTTGTTAACTGACAACATCCTTCTGCACATCATCCATCACAATGATTGTCTTTCTCACCCTCCTCGCCTTCTGGTGTGCCGTTGGCGCCGCCTTCGAGATTCCCGGTTGCGCTGTAAGTAGGCGCAGCGTTACAGACCCAGCATCAGCTAACATGTCTCTAGAGACACTGCATCGCCCAGTCGTACACAGGCACCAATTGCCAAGCCATGTTGGTCTTCTGGGATCAACCCGGTGTTCGCTGACAAGAATAGGAATTGGAACTGTATGTGCTTCGCTGAGATCTACATGAATCAATTCTCCGGCTGTGTCGACGAGAGCTGTGATGCTAAAGAACGTACCCGTAAGTCCCAAAGTCTCCTACCTCATCACATATTGATCACTTCCATAGAGGCTTACGGCTGGTTCGTCGATGCTTGTCGCCCCTACGAAGCTCCCATGACCGGACCGTACGCCTCTGCTACCTCTGTCCTAGCCACTGCCACTGTTGAGAGTACCAGTGCAGTCAACGACACCACTCTGCCTGAGCATACCGAGACCACCGTCACCGAGGTTGCTTCTGTCATGACCACTGAGACTGTCGGCGGCTCTAGCACGACCTCTCCGACCGATGCAACCTCTAGCACATTCGCTGTCTCCCAGACTACCCCACCCGCCAACACTAGTGCTGTTGATCCATCCTCCATGTCTGCCAACGTTAGTGTTGTGGCCCCCTCGTCTATGTCTGCCAACATCAGCATCGACTTGAGTGTCACTTCTATGCTGTCGATCAGCATTCCGACTACTCCACATATTGTGTCGAACAACTCTCTCATGTCTCCGATCACGAGTGTCCCTGCCAACGTCACTGCGAGTCCTGCCGGTTATTACATCACCGGTATCAACGCTACCCATACTCACACTCATGGCTCGGAGAGCATCAGCAGCACAGCTCCAACTCTATCGGATCCTTCTCACGAGAGCACTTCCCATCTCACTTCCTCGGCTTCCACCGCAACTCCCACGGCGAGTGCTGTGCCTGAGAATCCCAACAATAGTGCTCCAGCTGCGGCTGCTACCACCACCGCCAGCAGTGCCGAGGATGTCAAGACTCAATCCAAGCTTGCTCTTGCAGCTTTGGTCTTTGTTGGCTGTGTCATGTCTGGCTTGTGAGACAATGCCACGATAAGATTGGAAGGATGATGATAACGACTGCTTTGGGGAGTGAGGTGCAGGGTGCCCTCTCTCGTTGTAAACAGGCAACTGATTCGAGTTATTGAGAAACTCAGTGATACCCCCTGGAATAGCATCTTGAATGATAAGTTCTTTTGAACGACGTAATCTTCTCGGTCATGCTATGCGTGCTGGTGTTTGTTGTTGACCAGTCGTGTTTTGTTCTGTTCACCTGTGTAAGTATTGACCGTGAAGCCCTGAGTGCGGTGTCGGATGCCACATGTGCTCTAAATCAAATTCGCTGAACATATTCGTCCATCTACTTCGACTTGTGGCCCAAGCGGAAGTCTTCAAAAAAGGGATCCAGCCTTACCCCACGCCAAGAACGGACCGACTTTTTGCCTGCTTCAGGCAGCTCTTGGGATTCTACTCCGTGTACCACAATCCGCAACTTGATCCTCAAGTCCTTGCCTCTGATCCCAGACGTACCACCCGCATCTGACGTCTGTCCTGGGAAGACTTTCAGTCGCAGCGCGGGCGCACGGGATCATCCCTGCGTCCATCGCCCCTCACTATTGGAAGGGGGCGAGATGGCCAAGGCGACTACTATGCCTTCTCTAGCCACACCCACTACCAACACCACCAACATCGGCGCGACGACAACGACAACGACAACAACAACAACAAAAACCCTCCGCCACCCCCCCTACACATACCTGCACCTCCGCCTCACGACCCTACCTTCACTCAGTAACAACACTTCCAACTCCGGCCACGCACCAACAACAACAACAACACCAGCCCAGCAGCCACTCGACGAAATCACAGCCCGCCAATACCTGCACGCCGCGCTCTCGACGGCTTTGGGATTGCATGGCGCCGCTATCGGCGTTGACGTGCTGAAAGTCGGAGTCGGAGTCGGAGCAGCGGGAACGGCGGGTCAGCAGCAGCAGCACGATGAAGAAGGTTCGAGCAACAATTGTTGGATTCGTGTGCCAAGTGAAGATGCGGATGCTGTGCTGGCGGCGCTGGTGCAGTGGAGTGGTAGAGGGGGGGTGTCGTGGCGGATTGTGGGGAGGGGGGCGTGGTTGGGCGGGTTGACCGGGAGGAGAGGGAGACGAGAAGTGTTTTGAGTGATTGCGGTGCGGCGTCAATTCGTGCTGATACTTACCGCGAGAGCCACGAGTCAAGCAAGGGATTTTGGGGGCCGTTTTTGTTTGGCGTTTGCAGAGAGTGGCTTTAGTTGTCGATCAGACTTTTTAAGTTTTTCACTCTAGCCATTTATTCCTGATATGCTATGCGCTGTCGTGCCGGTCAAGTCGCTTGGAGCTTTGTCCGCCTCAAGGTCAAGGGCTTTCGGAAGCATCTCATCTCATCAGCCGTCGGCTGCGCCATTACATTCGCCCTCTCGAGGGCATGTTTATTTCCCTAACGCCGGTGCTTCCTGGTCCTGGTCCTGGTCCTGCGCCTGCGCCTGTGCCCCCACAGCCCGCCAGACGCGGAATCCCTCCAGCACCGCCCTCCTTTGATCCCTTGTCGTGAACGGAATTTCCATCTTACCCCCTGCAACAACACCGCCCTCCACCTCCGCCTCGGTCGCCCACACAAACGCGCTATGCTCCTCCGGATCACACCTCACGCCACTCATGTCCACCTCCCGCACCCCAACCAAGAAATGCCACTTCCCGACCAGATTCCCACTGCGCGTGAGGAAGACTTGGGCCGGCGCTCCCTCGTCGCTGCAAGCTGGATCTCGAGATGCGGTGCCGCCAACGATGGGCCCCACGTGTGCCGCGGTAAGGCCGCTCTCCTCGAAGAGCTCGCGCGCGACGGCGTGCAGGATGGTGGGGTCGGTGGGGTCGACGGCGCCGCCGGGGACTTCCCAGAGGTTGGGCATGCTGTCTGTTGGGGCGCGGCGGAGGAGGAGGACTTTGGGTGTGGGTTCAAGTGGTGGTGAAGATGAGGTTGAGGTTGAGCTGGGCGGTGGTTGAAGGGTTGGGGCTGGGAATGTGGTTGTGGTTGCCGGTGGGGTGATTACTATGGCGCCGACGGCGAGGTGGCGGATGGGGAAGGCTTGGTTGTTGTAGGTTATGGTGGGGTGGGCGGCTAGGTAGCCAGAAGAGGGGATCTGGTAGGGTGTGAGGGCTGGGTGAGTGGTGAAGGTGGAGGGGGATGCTGGGGATTTGGACTGTGGAGTGTTGGGGACAAGGTAATTGGCAGCGGTATCCGTTGTTGTGGGGAGCGTGTGCTGAGACATGATGTGGTCGTTGAGTGTATATTAGAGTGTGTTGACGACGTAGTTGAAGAGTGAAGGAGGTGGGTTATCATTGAAGAGCAGAAGTCTTTAAGAAGGGGTCACAGCCTGGTGAGCTGCCGCTAGGCTGGATTGGGAATAGAGGCACTTTGGTCGGTCATGAGGGTTGCCTGTTGAGTTGAGCTTCTAGGTAGCAGTGTTCCACGGCAGATGGTATGCATGTTGGCATCTGCCTGCTTCGGTAGTGAGTCGCCAGCGAGTGCTGCTGCGCTTTCAATGCGTTATAATGGAGCACGAAAAGGCCGCAGCAATGCTTTAATTGGCTCAGTCTGGCCGGACTCGAGAGGCACGTCTGGCTAGGGACTACAATGTGGCTACGCTTCGACATCGGTTAGATGATTATTGAGACAACATATGACTTAGGCAGTGGTCGTGGTAGCCTCCGACGGTTACTGGATTGATCCTTCTCTCAATCGGTCGAGTTCTCAGCCACAAGCGATACCACTAACACAATCATCAAAAGACACGGTCGTTGTAGTCGCCAAGTAGTATGAGAATAAACCGTGTGTGATCTGGATGACGCTCTGTGATAAGTCTCCCATTGGCTAAGGTGATAGTACTGGTGCTGATGTCTTGACAGACTTTCGGGAAAAGGCGTCCATCGTGGCTAGGAATGTCTCGGAAAGTATAATATCACTTACCGTAGCAGACAGGGCACGACTGATATCAGTTCATGCCAAGGTGAGAGACTAGACGACATCGGTCTGCGAGTAATGGTATGATGCCAGTGGCCGGCTGAGCTCCATACAAGTCGTGGTTGCAAAGAGTGGACTTTAGAGCTCTGGGGTAGGGCAGAACAACGAGTCCGACGAAGACTCGAGACACTGATCGAGGCTGGTGCCTATAGATACTCGTAGGACGTAATGGTGGGGTGTCCCGGTAGCACGAACCGTGCTCCCTCATGCGAAAATGTTCGCTTCCTCTTCTGCCACCAGATAATGTTTATGATGGAAACGTCACGGGAGCCCATGGACTTTTCCTTCGAAAGGCTGTTACAACCGCTCAGTATTCTGAGAGTAGTCATTGTGCTCTAATACCACATGTGTCGACAGCGGCATGAAGTCTTGGGTAGCGCTGTTGAATCCACCCTTGCCAGGCGCACAAGGTCGATCGTAGGCGCATGGAGGCTCAGCAAGGGGCGTTTACCTCGGGTTTCATCGTTGACACTTTGCAATGGGAAGCCACAAACAGCGGCTATTGGCAGGACAACAATCCACCACCTCCGTCAGAGTCAAGTGCAGTGGCGAGAGTCGAACAACCGCAGGTGATGGATACTTCTCAGAGCTTCAATCAAACAAGGGCAACGAGATGCAGATGAAGACAGAAGTTAACTCTGACTTTGACAGCACGGAAGCGGTAATTGAGGTGGCACAGCATTGTCGGTGACATACGAGCTGAACCTTAGGAATTGCGGCTGAGCCGCTCTGGGTGATATGTACGTACACGAGCGGCCCAATGTACTCCGACTCGGAATTGTACGTCGGAATTGGAGAGATTGTGATAGACGAGCATAGTGCTAGTAGCTGCTGAATGGACTAGACGATGACTCTGAAGTAGAGGAACGGGCACCGGCTGTTCATAGGCAAAGAGGGGGGATTCAGGGCCCCCAGGGTAGTATTTGTAGTGAGTGGTCTTCAGTGAGCCATGGTACGGAGGAACGTGTCCGACTGGTGTGGGCCTCGCTGGAGTCTCGCTGATCCGTTCCCGAGACTTCCGACACAGGTGTTTGTGTCATCCGGGACGACGTAGCCGCTACATGCCATGGAGGCACTAGTCGGTACCGAACCCTCGATTTGGAGAATGGGGCAATTTTATTTGGGGAACCGGCAGCCGGAAGTGACCGGAATGGTGCCCCACGATTGGCTCAAACGAGACCCTGAACGGGGAAGCTTCTTATATAAGTGATCAGCCTTGCGGCAAGATTGGGTGGGGTTTTCCCCTTGGGCCCTTCGCATCACTTGACCGCGCAAAGCTGCAAACAGATCCTGCTGGTAGAAAAAAACTTGAGTGCGATTCCCTGTCGCTGGTGAAAATCAGTACATCTCTGTGGTCTGTGGCAAGTGCGCGCCATCGGGACCGATCTAGAATTTCACACAGTCCCAAGTCCTTTGATATCCGGGCCGATTCATGATACCCTGTCCACTGAAGTGACCTAGATCCTGAATCTCCGTGTGCGTAGCGACGGTGTCGGCTCCGCACTGGCCAATGACTTACTGCATCGACATCAAGTAACTCCCCTCTCGTGCAGGATGCCGCTCTCCGATCCATTGAACGATTGATTTTGCACTTTGTCCAAGCATGTCTCGTCCAACAGCCGTTGCGCCATACGCACAACAAGAAGCGGCTTTCCACCAGGAATGAGCCAAGCGAAAAGCTGCCCGCGATCGTCTGCGGAGCGGCCGGTCTGGCCACGATGGCTACTCGGCTATTGCTGCATTGCATACCACTGCTCGAATGCTGTTGCTCGAATCGTCGAACCACGCCTCAATCGCACCCCATTTGTGATCGTCCAGCCGATCGGACACGACAACTGGCATAGTGAGCGCATATCTCTCGCTTCTGGTGCCCCGCGTCGTCGCAAAACCTTGGCTTAGCGCAGCTTGCTTCCGGGTGCGACCTTCCCATCGAGAACATCCAAATCCAGACGTGGGTATGAAATGGCGAAACCAACCCAACGAACCCGGAATGCGTGGCCAATTTGAGAGTGAGAGCCGAAATTGTGCTTGGCTTTCGTTTACGCGTGTCTTATGTTCCCTGGAACAAGACCAACTCGTCCTTTGTGACGGAAGCGATTCCGGCGCCGGCGCCGCCGTCTCATGCCAATAGTTGCCCCAAGCTTGTATCAGGACTGTAGGTACCTCCGCCGTGCGAGCGGGCGGCGTTGGACCTGCGGACAAGTCCCATCCTCCCACCCTCAAAGCTTATGACACGCCCGGGGTAGGCTTGGGATTCGATGGTTTGGGTTGCGGCTGGGGCTTGGGCCCGTAATCTTGCCCGTGGTCTAAGGCAACCCTCTGTCAGCACTTTGCGACAGGGCCTGGCGACATGTCGCCGACCTTTTCCTTGTCGAGGAAGCGAGCACGTACCTTGTCTATCTGTGGAAACGGACATCGTTGTCATTCAGTCAGGAGTTTCGCCCGCGTGGCTTACTGTGTGCCCGAAGGCGTCTCTGTCTTGTCGTGACAACCGTGTCGGTTTTGCAAGAGTGCTCAAGAAAAGTACTTCCATCTTGCAATGGAAATGGTTTGTAGCACCTAATGTAACAGCCGCTATGCGTGGCTAGCTCCTTTCCACGGTGGGGAACCAGCTCAAAGATCTGCTTGTTGCGTGGGATAGTCTGATACGGTAGGATACCACCCTCCGCCCAAGCACTCGTGCCTAGCCGATTACTCGATGCGATCATGCATCTGCAACTGTTCTGCAACTGTTCTGCACCTGCTCTACCCAATGGAGCCACAACACATGATCGTGCCCTCGGACCCGCAGTCATAGACTCTTTCGTTTTGACAACTCTTCTCTTCCACGTGTTTTCGGGTACTCGGGCTGGTCAAGGTCAATATCCGATCAATAATACCCGATAGTTGCATGGGAGAGTTCGTCCTTGCTCTAGCGATGGGAGTTGATTCGTCTTCCGACTCCATGGCGCAGGCTGTCAATCTGCAAGGTGTCGTCTTGTAATTGGACCTACGGTTCCCCTTGAGACAGCTTTTCTCTCACCTTCCAGTCGATGCTGATTGCCAACACGCAGATTTGTTGTTACGCTTGCTGCCGCACTGCAGTTCCTTCATTCTGCGAAACTGCTTTCACATCGCGCGAGGCCGACCGACTCGTCAATCCTCGTGCGCGCCAACACATATCGAAAAAAACTGCTCTCACTACAGGAGATGAGTGTTTTCGATGCAGATTGATTTCAATGATAGCCATTGCGACTGAGTCAACTCGCTGCGCACAAGAAAAGCTTCACTCTGTCAATGCCGCGCCGGTGCCTTCCGGATGCAGGTACTCTCGAACCTCGACCACAAATGCCACTCGTGGTTCAGGCAACGAGTTTGTTACGGTAAGGCCTGGATTCTTATGTTGGTCGCATGGTTCATTGTCTGTGCCTCACCTTTGCAGACCCGCGAGGATCTTCCTTACTACGCTGCTGAATTAAGTCGAAAACGAAAGTCGCGCGAGAATGGGCTTAGCAGAAGGCACAAAACAAGATAGAAGAAGTCGAGAATGGACCAATGTAACGAACTTCGCTCCCAAAGGGATGCCAATGACAAACAAGTCGTCAGTTACATGCCAGAAGTCGGGACTTACAGTGGCCACATTCTTCCTTAGGTCAAATTCGATCGTGTCCATGACATCCTTTCTTCGCCGCATCTTTCAGCGTCATAATGTCATCAAAGGATAAACTACCGAAAGAGTCAACTCTGCAACACGCACAGGTGGCGACTTTACCGACAACCTTTAACTACGCACTTCTGAAGTCCGAGATGTATCGTTGATCCACAGGTCAGACCTGGTTTGCATAGAGCAGGAACCGCAAAATATGGACTCTGGCCTCAACCAGTGACCATTGGCAATATCGAGGTCCAAAATGGGTGCATCCGTGGTCGAGACCGAGGGGGGTGCCTGTTGCAGCCAATTTGATGCGCTCTATTAGGATCACGGCGGTATGGGATCGAATGCCATCTTCTGTCACCATTCTTATGGCCATGCTGTCCTGGAAGACTCGGAAGTCATCCAAACAAGGCTCCTTCTGCACAAGGGTTGAGACTTATGACGATTTCTATCCTGCGCGATCTTTGATATCTCTATGCTAACACTGTCAACTGAGACTGGCCGACGGTCGTTGTGCCGCCATCCACATCTAAGGCGTGTATCGTTAGTTCCAACAGACGACGTTCACGGGTCCCAGACGATGCTGCTTGAAGGCACCCTGGTTCATGTCGTCTCGTGAGACTTTTGCATTCATTGGTCAGTCAATCAAAGCCAATGACCCCTGGACGAAGGCCGGAACCCAAACCCCGTCGGACTTTTATTCTGGAACACTGTTGCACGTGCTTGCTGGAGATTTGGTGATCTGGACAGCCCAAGCCAAGTCTTGAGCGCTTGTGCGTAGTCTTCTTGCTTTACCACCGAAAGGTCTAAGGAGGGGCTCGTCAAGTTCAATCAACGATCGAATCCCAATCAGATTATTTCCGCAACCAAGTGCACTTACTGTGCAGCGCACAACTGGATGTCAGGCTGTACGGAATCTACGGACCGTCTACTAGTAGTATCTTTTCTAAGCTGTGATGCCCAAAGGCCTTTCGAGCGAGCGGTCGAGGGACGCGAGGGACCATCGCCTCCTTCACAGCTCCCCATGTCAGTGGTTGACAGCCGTCGAAGTGACGCGAAGACTTATACTAACCATTCAATTTTACGTGCCACTGATATATCAATAATGACTTCTTGCACGGCTCGTGGTTCCGGGTCGACAAAAGTACCATCATCCGCACCAATAGTGGCTCGCCAAAGACGATCGCGAGACGATGTCCAGATGCGGTCTAGCGTGTGCTACGGTGAGGCATGGAGACACACCCTGCCAGATTATGCAGATCCAGATTCTTTCCGCAAGATTATCTCTGAAGCTCCATACTTCCATCGCTGGTCTTTTGCCATCTATTTTCCATCTCACTTGAGTCCGGCGCAGGAAGAAGGTAGCTTCGGGGGAATGATCACAAGATGTGGTGTGCAATATCTGCTACACCGCATCGGTGACCTACCAGTCTGGCAGAAGGCCAAATATCCGAGCTTGTCCCCATCTCTTTTGAGCAAGCGTTGTAGTTTCAGCACCTTTGGCGCACGTCATAATGTTGGCTCGCGAATACGCAATATCGGTATCATTGCTCACATCGATGCCGGCAAGACGACCACCACTGAGCGAATGCTCTTCTACAGTGGTCACACACGCAGAATCGGCGATGTGGACGAAGGCTCGACGGTGACCGATTTTCTTCCGGCCGAGAGAGCCAGGGGTATCACGATCCAGTCAGCTGCCATCACCTTCGACTGGCCACCTCCGCAAGACCTGGCCAGTGGACATCCCTTGGACAGTAGCAGACCGGTCCACCACATCAACTTGATTGATACGCCAGGGCATGCCGACTTCACCTTTGAGGTACGCCGATCGATTCGTGTGCTTGATGGCGCAGTTTGCATCTTAGACGGCGTTGCTGGAGTCGAGGCTCAAACCGAACAAGTGTGGAACCAGGCTGGCGAGTGGAAGATTCCACGCATCATCTACGTCAACAAGCTAGACCGAGATGGCGCGGCCTTTGGGAGAGCTGTACATGAGATAGGCTCCCGGTTGGCAGTGTGGCCTGCGGTCTGCCAGATCCCCTGGTTTGAGGGTGGAAGAGGCAGCTTTGTTGGCATTGCCGACGTCTTGAAACTGCAGGCCATGAAGTACGATTTGGGCTCGGACGGGAAGCACTTCAAGAGGCTTTCGCTAAGGGATCTTGACGCAGAGGAGCCGCATTTGGCAAAAGAGCTCCGTCGTGCTCGCGCAGCCCTCGTTGAGCTCCTCAGTGAGCACGACGATGCGCTGGTGGAGGCATTCTTCGATGCGAACGAGGACCACCTCGCCGTCTCATCAGAAGATATTCTGCGCAGTCTACGCAGATGCTTGCTGCGAGAAAATTCGCCCGTTGCTCCAGTCTTTGCTGGAGCCAGTTTTCGAAATATTGGTGTGCAGCCACTGCTCGATGCAGTGTATGACCTGCTTCCAGCGCCCGAGGAACGACCCGATCCAGATATCAGCGTCGGGAGTACCTCAGGCAGTCTCTCGCAGCTCCTGACAGGAAGTCTTTCCACCTCCGTGATTGGTCAATCTGCAACGAAAGGCAAGAAGAACGCAGTTCTAGGACCCGCCGTTGGTAAACAACTTCAGGGTTGCGCTTTGGCCTTCAAAGTCGTCAACGATCCGCGCAGAGGTGTCTTGGTCTACATTCGCGTTTATTCTGGATCTATCAAGCGCAACGACCTCTTGTATAATACTAACCTTCAGGTTGCCGAGCGGGCAACAAGCCTGCTCCGGATGTACGCCAACGATGCTCAGCTGGTCGAGTCCATCGAAGCTGGCCAGATTGGCGTAATTGCTGGCTCGAAGACCGCGCGCACAGGAGATACTCTGATCTCATATCAAGGCAACAAACAGGCGCCGCCTGAGCCTCTGAACCAGCTGCAACTGCGTCCCATCCATGTACCCCCACCGGTCTTTTTTGCTGCAATCGAGCCGAACAGCCTACGAGAGGAAAAAGATATGCACGACAAGCTACAGCTACTACTGCGCGAGGATCCGAGCTTATCTGTACATCAGGATCAGGACACCGGTCAGACGTTGTTGAGTGGAATGGGGGAGCTCCATCTCGAGATTGCCCGCGATCGGTTAGTCGGTGACCTCAAGGCCAACGCTCGCATGGGCCCCATAACGATCGGGTACAGGGAGACAGTCAATAACGCATCCAGCGCCGTGCAGAAAATCTTCGACAACGAGCGAGCCGGTACCAAAGGTAAAGCTGGCTGCACGGCAATGGTGTTACCTCTTGATGAGGTCGATCAATGGAGTGATCGCCCCAGCAACGTGGTGGAGCATGAGCAAGATGGCAATGTGATCGCGGTTGATACGCCATCACTCGACAAACGGGGCCGCCCACTCAGTTCGGACACTGTGTCGCTCCCAGGGCACCTGACACTGAGAGAGGTGCAAACGGCGTACATCAACGGTGCACTGGCTGCGCTCTGTCGTGGCCCAGCATACTCGTATCCCATGCGCAATGTCCAGGTCATACTCACCCTCGACCCGTCGAATCATATTTTCGGTACCGAGACCACCACAGCTGCACTGTCGGCGGCGGCTCGCATTGCCACCATTGCTGCGTTCAGAGACTCGGTCGGCAAGTCCAAATCAAGCCTGCTAGAGCCAGTCATGAACGTCGATATCAGCGTGGATGATGCATCACTAGGCAAGGTCGTGCAGGATATTTCCTCGAGTCGTGGAGGTCACATCGTATCCTTGGGCGACGATGAGGCTGAGAAGGGCGACCACGACGATGATAAGGTCAGCGCAATTGATGTGAAGAGGATATATGCTCCGAAGGACCCATTCGAGACTCAAACATCTGGTGCCGCGAATGATCTGCAGACTGTCAACATTCAGCGGACTGTTATAGCCAAAGTTCCGCTGAAAGAGATGGTCGGATACTTGAAGCACCTGCGCAGCATGACGGGCGGCAGAGGTACCTTTGTCATGAGTGTGGACCGCTTTGAGAAAGTGACGGGCGTCAGGGAGAAGATGTTGCTGCAGGAATTAAGAGGAGAGTCCTGACGCGGGTTAGCTTCCAGCGCGAACGGCAATGTAGAATTTCTATAGATGTAACAACACCTCTCCTGGATTGATAACCTACTTGCGCATTGCTTCGGCAGCCGTGAAGCTAGGCAGCAGCATCCACAGCATGCCATCTGGCCTTTAAGTGGAAAACACAATAGTGAGGAAGAGCAGCAAGAGGTACTCGACTCCCGCGCCCAGAAAATATAAAAAGGGGGTGCTCTATCTTGTCTGACGTAGCCCCGCGCCCTCCACCGCAGGGACACCTTCAACTTCGTTCGAGACTCGCGAGGGACCGCATGCAGGCTGACTTCTGATTTCGGTCCTTTTTACATCGCAGACACACACATATACACACGCGACCAGCCCCCCTTCGCCTCTCTCTCCCTCTCCCCTATCGGTGTTGTCACTCATTCTTACCCCGACCATCCTGCACACACTCACTCGTCCCAGCGGCCATGGCTACCAAGGCGTCCTGGGAGGTCGATCCCGAAACGCGCAGTAAGGTACGAATGAATATGGAAACATCACCCTTTTGCGCCCCCCCCCGAACACCTGAGTCGCTTTCCCTTGTTCAGCCGTCTACGAGCAAGCGGGCAGGTGAAAGAGGCAGTGGGCTAACATATTGGTTTCTTTCAACTGTGTAGCTGTCGCAGATTCAAAAGAAGGAGGGCGCTGGCAATGACAAGTGCTGCGACTGTGGCGCTCCCTCTCCGCAATGGGTTCGTCCTCACCTCTCCGTCTCCCTCTCCCTCTCCCCCATGCCTCGACCTTCAGAATCCCCCGTGCGGCAGAAAACCCCGTTCCGCTCCCCCTTCCATTCACTCCCTGAACCTAGCCTTTCCCCCAAATCAACTAACCTTACGGAACCCCCGACGCAGGCCTCCCCAAAATTCGGCAACTTCATCTGCCTCACCTGCGCGGGCACGCACCGCGGCCTCGGCGTCCACGTCTCCTTCGTCCGCTCCATCAGCATGGACGCCTTCAAATCGGCCGAGATTGCGCGCATGGACAAAGGTGGCAACAAGCGGTGGCAGGACTTCTTTACGGAGAAAAACCCCGGCGGCGCCAGCTTCGACGAGTGCACCGTCAAAGAGCGCTACGACTCCGAGGTCGGCGAGGAGTGGAAGGAGAGGCTGAGCGCCGAGGTCGAAGGGAGGGAGTTTGATGAGGCCGCGTTCAAGACGAGTATGGAGGAGATGCGGAGGAAGAGGGCGGAGAAGGAGGCGCAACAACAACAACAACAACAGCAAAATAAAAACGGGAGTCGAAATCAGAGTCGGAGCGCGACGCCATTGGGAGGCGGGCGCGCTGGCGGAGGGTCCAGGAATGAAAGCCCCGCGCCTGGGGCCCTGAAGAAGGGCCCCTCCGGCCTGAGCGCCGAGCAGAAGGCGCAGAACGAGGCGTACTTTGCGCGCATGGGCGAGGCGAATGCGTCCCGGCCCGAAGGGCTCGCGCCGAGTCAGGGTGGGAAATATGCTGGCTTTGGCAGCGCGCCGCCGGAGGCGGTGGGCGGCGCGCAGCAACAGGGCGCCGGTGGTGGTGTCATGCCCGGTGCGGACGAATTTCAGAAGGACCCGATCGCCGCGCTTGGCAAGGGATTCGGCTGGTTCGGTGGCATGGTCAGCAAGCAGGCGAAGCTGGTTAATGAGAGCTACCTGCAGCCGACGGCGAAGAATGTGAGTTTTGCCCCCTCCTCTCCCCCCCTCCTCGGTGCTGGTGGTGTTGTTTGCGGTGGTGTGTCTATGAGAGAGCGAGAGAGGAATGAGGTTGCTAATCCATTGGTTTTGTCCCCCACGGCAGATCGCATCATCGGATTTTGCATCGCAGGCGCGCAGTGGCCTGATGGCCGCGGGCCAGGGCATTCAGTCTGGCGCCAAGGGCGCGGCCGACGGGTTCAACAAGTTTATTGAGGGACAGGATGAGGGTGCCGCAAGAGTGGCGGCACGAGGCGGCGCGGGCGGCCGCAACGTAGAGCCGGAGAAGAAAGACTTTTGGGATAGTTTTGGTCAGGGTGCCACGGAGCAGAAGGGGGGGAGTAGTAGTGGGAGTTTGGGCACGAGTGCGATGAAGAAGAATGCTGGGGGTGCGTCGCAGCAGCAGCAGCAGCAGGGGAAGAAAGATGATGGCTGGGGAGATGATTGGTGAATGGGGGACAGAGATGTTTTGAACATTAGCTTGGGAGTTGGGACGCATTCTCGGGCATAGATCACCCGTCTTGTCTGTTCCGGATCTTTGGGGGAGTTGCAAAAGAGGCGAGCTGGAAACCATATCGAAGAGTTCATGGTGTTTTCAATAGAGAAAGAACGGTATCCGCAACAGTTGAAGGGCGGATTGGATTGCTACCGGCAAAGGCAATTTGAGGTCTTTCTATTGATTCAGAGCTTGCTCGCAAAGTGTGACTTTGCGTCTGGCTTCATAACGTAGAAGGCTTCTTGCACACACGACGCTATTAGCCTGCCGTGCTTGGAGAAGATCCTTGACTGTGCTAGAGCTCGTCCGTCCCCTGTCCAGGGTGAGGTTACTTCGATGTATGTCATTTCATCCGCCCGAAAGTCGTGCGAGTGGATGTGTATTGTGTGGTTGAGCGATGTGTAGAGCTTGAAGTTCATCTGAGTCCGCTCGCCGGAGGCGTCGCCTATCGCTGGGAGACCGACATCTATGCCATGGAGAGCGGGTGCTGCCCCTAGGACGTGGTAGTCGGACAGATTCAGGAGGCCGAGAACATGAGGAATGCTTCCGACTGGGGAGTTGATGGGGCCGATGATATGCGCTACAACGGGCTCGACAGACGTGTTCGGCTCTTGAGGGCTGGCGTGGATGAGTGGCAGTCTCTGAAACTTCATGAAAGACCCTAGAGGCCCTCGCCCCTTTTCCAGGTCGTCAATGGTGATATGCTCTATCCTCTGCTTTCCAACCTGGCTGACGGTGTGCTTCATGGCCGGGCCGTTCCAGGGAGATGCATTCGCGAACACGATGGTCAGAGAGACCATGTTGCGTTTGTTTTGTTGTATAATCACTGACCTTGTTATGAACCTCCGGCCATCACTAAGGCGCTGGACATGGTACTGGAAAGGAACATCTGGCTTCGGGCCGGACAGAAATTGGCAGTGTAAGTTGTCGAGAGCGTAACCCTCAGGCAAAGTCTTGTAAGCGGCCGCGCTACCCATCGCCATGAGAAGTCCTCCGGGGACGACCGCGCCGCCGGGCCACGTCCATGCAGGATGTACATTCTCGTAGACATCGGGCGCGATCTGCCATAGCTCGAGGCTTTCTTCGAAGGTGATACTCTTCATATCGTCACGCTGGCATCGAAAGTAGTAAACAAGACACACAGCACTGCTCCCGCTTTCATCCTGGCATACTATCCACTACGCGAATACGATCGCGGCATGGCGAGCCATGTACTCCGGTTAGAGTTGGACCGAGGCAAGAGCCGCCCAACTTGGAAGTGAGTGAGGCAGCGACAAGGCTGGCGGAGTGGAGCCTGCTGTGCCAAGTCTTCGCGTTCAAGGCTGCGAATGTCAGAGGAAGGCGTGAATCAAATCTGCCCGTTTCTTTGTTCCCTGACACCGTGCATTGCAAGCCATCCGGCCATTGTACCACTAGCCACGGAGCATCTCGTCGGCCTTCCGTACCGCCATAGTCGTTCCTTAATCCGAAAACCCCCCGAACGGTGCTGCATCGAAGCACGAACGAGCCGTGGCCGCGTCACTCCTCTTTACCCGATCCTAGTGCTCCGCATGGTTATCTGCATCTCATGAACTACAAGCAATTCCTGTCCACGCCCGTCCTTTCGAGGCCCAATCTTTGGGCGCTCCGGCGTGATGCCTACGCCCGGCGGCACTAAGCGCAAGCAAGGCGAGCGAACATACGCAGGCGATGAGGTCTCAAGGCCTTCGCCGTACCGCCCCCAGGATCAGCGTTTGGCCCAGCAATCACAGTCACCCAGTAGCAATCGCGGATCGCCCTATCACGAAGGTCGACCCAGAGCTGGACGACGTGTGAGTCGCGGTGGTGGTAGAGGTGTTCCCTCCGCAAACCCTTCTGTAGCCTCGCCCGACCCCGCGCCTACTGTGCAAGAATCTAGGCCAACGCCAGCTCCTACAGACGCTCCTCCCGATACAACCATGGCCAACACGTCCACAAAAGTCCCAGAGCCAGCTGAGGAGGTCCTGCTTTCGATACCGTACAGCTACTCCACCGTTACGGACGATGTTTGCGCCGCATGGGAAGAGCAAGGAAGACAATCTGTTCTCTCGCAACTGACGGAGGCAGTCACGGGAGGAGACGAAACGACGACCTCCCTCATCGTTCAAGAGTTGGTACAGTCAGTCCTGGCTGGGCGTGTGGATGCGACCAATGCTGGCCAACTCATCACCGATGCCATTGAGCATACGCAGACTGTCGAGGGCGATGCAGCAAGCTTCGATCTGCACACCATAGTCTCCGACTCATTCTCTGTGGTTTGCGAAGACAGTCCGACATTTCCAATCAGTCGCCTTGCCAACTTTATCCTCGCCGCTCGAATCGATCACGGCGCCTTGCAGCATGAGCTCGATTCGAAGCTACTGGAGAAGCTCGGGCTAATCAGAAACACCTTCGATCGTATGTCCATCCGCAAGCAGACCAACATCGTTTACAGACAGGCAAATTTCAATCTGATGCGGGAAGAGTCCGAAGGCTTTGCGAAGCTAGTTACGGAAGTCTTTAGCAGCAGCCTGACAGACGAGCCTTCGGGCGAGAACGTGAACGAGACTGTTGAGAAAGTCAAGGCTCTGATCGGTGCTTTCGATCTCGATGTTGGTAGGAGCTTGGATGTCGTTCTGGACGTCTTCGGCTCGGTGCTCGTCAAGTCGTACCGGTTCCTTGTCAAGTTTCTCCGAGCAAGTCCTTGGTGGCCGCGTCAAGCTAACCATGGCTCACTGGCAAATAACCCAAATGGGCTTCCGGCCTGGGCGCTACCTGGTGTGGACGACTGGTTTTTGAGCGATGAACAGAAACTCGCCATCGCCCAACAGAACCTTATACGCGACTCAAATTTTTGGGAACAAGCTCGGGAACATGGTCTCTCTGCATTCTACCGACTAGGCTTACCAGAAGTTGCAGACGGTCAGGTTCCTCCGGAGTACAGCAATGACGATTTCGCGAAATCCTGGGTTCAGGAAACCGGCACCCGACCTCCAATGGGTAACAGGGATGCGGCCCAACTCCTTGGCTTTAAACTTCGCTTCTACTCATCCTCACCAGCTCGGGACGAGACCGATACACTTCCTGATAACCTCATGTATCTGTCGGCGTTGTTGATCAAGATTGGCTTCATCTCCTTGAAAGATCTCTATCCCCATCTATGGAGACCAGACGAATCAATGGAAGAGCTTCGAGCCCAGAAGGCCAAGGAAAAGGAAGAAAGAGAAAAAGCGGCCCGGCCAGGTGCTGGAGCTAAGAATGCACTGTCTATGGCTGCTGCTCTTCCAGACGATACTTTACCGGCACCAGTCAATCGCCTGAGGGATGCATCAACGAGAGCTGCTACTCCATCAAGGGAGTCTGAAGCGGAAAAGTCGACAAAGGACGCGACCAGTGAACCTGCGGAACAGAAGATCGCCCTCCTAAAGGCCCTGCTGGCTATCGGTGCGCTTCCAGAAGCTTTGTTCATGATTGGGCGCTTTCCGTGGGTCCTTGACCTATATTCTGACCTTCCGGAATACATCTTTCGCATATTAAACCACTCAATCGACGCAGTCTCTGAGTCATCTCGACCTCTTGCGACCCGGGACACTTTGGATCAGTCCAAACCGCTGTACGAGACCGATATTCCAGGTGTTTCTAAAGGACAAGTCAAACTCACCGACAACCCGGAGAGAAAGGTGCTGAGATGGGCTCAGCTTGATAAGGCCGACAGCTCGGATGGCAACAGCTATCGCTACTACTGGGATGAGTGGAGTGACCTCATCCCTGTTTGTCAAACCGTGGACGATGTCTTCACTCTTTTCGATACCCTACTGCCGCTCGTTGGCGTCAAAATTGGTCAAGATCCGGCACTCGTGAGCAAAATTGCTCGCATCGGCAAGCATAGCTTACAAGAAGATCCCTCAGAACCGAACCGAGATCGGTGGCTCGACCTTTGCAAAAGAGTTCTTCTTCCTTGTGTCAGCCTGACCAAAGGCAATGCAGGCGTCGTCAATGAAGTGTTCGAGTTGTTGACATTTTATCCAACCCGAACGCGGTTCCTGCTCTATCTCGAATGGCGTGATGGCCGCACGTCTCGAAACCCAGATATCAGGGCAGCAGTTGAACAGGCAAGGGCAGAAACATTGGATATTCTCAAGCGTATTTCGAAAACCAATATCAGGCCGATGGCTAGAGCGCTGGCGAAGGTTGCTTACGCCAACCCCCATATCGTCACTTCAGTGGCTTTAAGACAAATCGAATCTTACGATAGCATTTCGGCAGTCTTCGTGGAGGGATCCCGCTATTTCACAGATCTGGGCTACGATGTCCTAACCTGCAACCTGATAGGCTCGATGTCCAAAGCCGGTCGCAACAAGATCCAAGACGGTGGCATCTTTGTCAGCAGATGGCTCACGGCACTGTCGAAGTTTGCTGGAGACATATACAAGCGATACAACATGATGAAACCCGCACCAGTCTTGCAATATGTGGCTCGCCAACTTGACCAGGGCAATACCGGCGACCTAAAAATGCTCGAGAGCATTGTTACATCGATGGGTGGCATCGCCAATGATACAAGCTACAACGAGGCACAACTGCAAGCGATGGGAGGAGGCCCACTGCTCCAGTCTCAAACCATCTTACAACTTCTGGATCAGCGTCACGAAAAGTCAGTCCAAATTACTGCACGACGTCTCATGGGATCTCTTCATACGACTGAGCTTATTGGGAAGTTCTTGCTATCAATGGCTCAGCAGCGACAGGCTTGTATCTTTCAGGATCCGGAAGTTCCGCTCAAAGTTATCGGCAATACCTACGACGAGACTCAAAGAGTCCTCGCGCAGTACTTGGACTTCTTGCAGTACAACATGGGCCTGGAAGCGTTTGCTCAGGCCGTACCTGATGTCGTTACTCTGGTCACTGAGTATGAAATTCGACCTGAGATCGCGTTTTGGATATGCCGGTCCGTCATCGCCAAAAACATCGCCCATGAGCGTGAGAGGCTGGATGATACTGCTCTGACGGCTCAAGAGTCAAATGGGGACATTGACATGAAAGACGATGCCAATGAAAGCTCTGAAGAAGATGGCGAGGCTATCGAAGACGAACCAGAGACGACTGCTGCCACTCCTACTGCTGACGATATCCTCAATGCATCGACAGAGTCCGAGCCGATCGAAGCATTGGTCCCCGCGAATGGTGATGGTCGGCCTTGGCATCCTGTCTTGGAGAAAATCATGGACCAGCTCGCCAGCAAACTTCCCGAAGAAGTGGTTCAGACAATTGGTGTCGGCTTCTATGTCACCTTCTGGCAATTGTCGCTCTATGATATCACCATACCGAAAAAAGCCTATCAGGACGAGATGGCAAGACAGAAGAAAAAGCGCGATGCCGTCAAGGCTGACCGGTCCAGCTTGAGTTCGAGCGCCTCCAAGAAGAAAGAAGAGCAACTTCAGGTCTTCAGCCAACTGATTGACGATTTGCTTGCGGAGAATGGACAACATGTTAAAGCCCAACTCGCGTGCCGCAAGCGCCTAAATGCCGAGAAAATGGCCTGGTTCGCCGGCCAATCACGCAGTGCGGAACACCTCAACGCTGCGCTGATGGAGTACTGCTTCCTACCAAGAATAATGGCCTCTGCGCTCGACGCATACTTCAGCTTCGCATTCGTCAAGTATCTTCACGCTATGGGAACACCCAACTTCCGAACACTTGGGTTTTACGACCTGCTTTTCAAACCCGAACGCCTGATTTCGCTAATCTTTATGAGCTCGTCAAAAGAGGCAGAGAACTTTGGCCGATTCTTGAATGAGCTGCTGAAAGACCTCAGTCGCTGGCAGAAATCGAGATCCACATACGAGAAAGAGGCTTGGGGTACCAAGAAGGAGCTCCCAGGCTTCGCGTTGAAGGTAGAGGCTGGTAAGCCCGTCCTCATGCTCGCTTTCGACCAATTCAGAAAGATCCATTACCGCTGGCATATTGCCCTCCACACAGCGTTCCAGAAATGCTTGAAGTCACCAGAGTACATGCATATTCGCAACGCCATTTCGGTTCTGTATGCGGTCTCCGAAGGAGGGGCATATCCTGTGGTCAACATTCATGGTGTTAACCTTCAAACCACTATCGACAAACTGCGAAGCTCGGAGATGCAAGACCTGGTCACTGCCTCCACGTCCCTACTTTCGGGCCTCAAACGAGGAGAGAAGCACTGGATCTCACCTGGGGCGTTCTGCCCGGGCATGCAACAAGAGTCAACTCCTGTTCCACCAACGAACAAAGAGGCGAGTGCGGCCAAGTCGACCGAGCAGGCTACAGGCAAGTCCGAGGATGAAGGTGGATTGAAGAATGCAGCCACGACCGAAGGTGAAACCAAGCCAGTGCTGCAGACCGGAGAGCAGAAGACGACTGACACGAAGTCGGAGGACAAAAGCAAACTCCCTTCACGACCGCCCATCAATGGAGAGTCCACACCAAGAGCTAAGGAAGAGCGAAGCTCGAGCCAATCTCGATCTGGTCATCTGGAAGCCCCGAAAACATTTCCCAAGAGACCGTCCCCACCGCCACGACATGCCGCTCCTGCAAGCCTACCGAACCGGCCAGATCCCTCGGATCCTCGTAATGGTCACCGTGACTCTGGGAGGTCATCGCGGCCACCGCCAGAATCAGTTCGCCCACCACATCCTCGTGACGCTCGAGATCCTCGTGGCGGCTATCGTGCCCCTGAAGGCTCTTATGAAGACTTCGAGCCGCGGCCTGCTCGAAGATACGAGCGGACCGATGCCCCAGTCCCGGGCAGTCGCGATGATAGGGGCTATGGCCGAGACCGGGAGACTGGGAGGGGTCATGAGAGGCCGCGTGACATTGACCGTGACCGCCTTGCGGAAAGAGATCGTCCACCGACTCAGCCGCATTCACGGGAACGAGACACGAGTGAGCGTGCTGCTAGAGCAGGTCCTCCATCGAGACAGCAGCATGATGAGACTGGCTCCCGGCCCTCGTCTGCAGCTCCAGCTAGACCTGGGTCGTCACAGTCTGATTCTCTCAACCCCGCAAGAGCTGCTATGATGGGCATGGGCTCCGACACCGTATCACCGGGACCCGCTCGAGGTCCAGCAAACGACCGACCTCAGCGGCCGGGTCGTGCCCCATCGCCTCGGCGCGGTGATGAACGCAGAGGACCTCCCCGTAACGAGCGTGATGCCCCTCACCCGCGCGACCCTCGTCCCGACACACCATCTGGACGCCATGTCCCACCTGCCACCGGCCCTGCAGGCCGCTCTGAACACGGCACAAGACACCCGCGCGACAATCGTGCGCCCTACAACGCGCCTGTGGACATGGAGCATGGAAGGCTTGAACAGGATCCGAACCACCGGCCGCCTGTCAGAACGGATCGCAATGCAGAGCCTGAGGTACCTTCTGGGCCACGCGGTCGCGGACCAATGTCGGCACCTCGTGGCAGAGGAGCACCCGCAATCAACACCCATGCTGCGCAGTCTGACCGGGGCCCTCCTCCGACAGGCCCATCTGGTCGCCATTCGCGTGGTCCGTCCAACGCTGAGAACACGTCCGCTCCACCTGCTCCTGACACAAGCGGTGTGCACCCCTCTCGACGTCTCCATATACCTTCGCCAACTGAGCCCTCTCATACCGGCGGGCCTCTACCAAGTGGTCCATCCGGCGGTGCCCGCAGTGGCGCCCCAGCTCACGCGCCATCCGGCCCGTCGCCCACAAGCCGTGGCCCTCCAATTGGTCCAAATGGTGGTGGCGATGGCTTAGGCCGTGGCTCGCGTTCCTCTCGGAGTCAGATGACTACTGTCAACAACACTCTTGCCCAGGCAGCTCATCCATCGTCTGGACGTGGTGGAGGAGGTAGCGGTCGCGGTGGTCGCCCGCCCAGCGGCGCCATTGGAGGACATGGTGGTCCTCCGCCTCCTTCTGGACCGGAGCGTAGTTCGTCGCGAAGTGAGAACTATGGCCAGAATGACCTGTTCGGCGCACACGGCAATCCGAATGATGTCCCAATCGGGCCGAGACCTACAGCTACGAGACAAGATAGCATACGTGAGCGTCGTCCTACTGATGGCGAACGTGTCGAACGCGGTGAAGACCGACGGTCCAGCCGCAGACACGATGATGGTCGTAGCGAGCGTGAGCCACGAGACAACAGACCTGAGCGCGATGGGCCTCCCCGCAGGGACGATCGTCCTCGACGTGAGGATCCGCAGCACGTCGACGACAGAAGTGGCATGAGGCCGTCGTACCGAGGCGGGCCGGGTCCAAGAGACGACGGTACGATGAACAACCGCAAGCATCCCAGAGGTGATGAAGGTGGTCCTGGCGGGCAGTATTCTGGCGGTGGAGGCGGTAGAGGTGGCAGCCGTGTCGCGAGCGAGAGCAAGCGGCCTAGAAGGGGAGGTTAGAATGCAAGCCTCCAAAAAGGTGTTGACTGACCACGCCTTTCTACGATAGTGGGTACTAAGTTGGGGAAGGAAGAAGTGCATTTGGGCATGGTGGTTGCAGCTGGTTGAAAGCGCAGATGAGCTCTACTTGTACGATTTGAAATAATAGCATGGCCCGACAGTTTTGGGCCGATAGGAAACCTCAGTGGACCGATTGATCTGTTGATTGTGTGGCGTCACTACGTTTTTCGTGCCTGTCGTTTTGTCTTGTAGCCCATCGCTTTTAAGCACCTAAGTATGATTCACAGCCATCGATCCGACGTTGGGATTCTGGCGAGCAATTCGAAAAGTACTGTAGGTGTAGGTAGGCTTGTTCTCCCTCCACGACGACGCGTCCTAAGAGATACATACCCCATATTGTTGACGTCCCCATCATGGGGTGGGTAGCTAGCAAGCAAGCAAGCAGATGATGAGTGGGTTGATGGGTGGGTGGCAGGATACATTGTGGGAATGAACAGAAGTAGATGTGGATCTTTTTGCACATGTAGGCTTGTCTCCTATGCATGTACAGGACGGGAACTGACTGGTTTGCTAGCTTAGCCTAGCCGAGCTGGCCGGAGGAAGGGGTTGGTGTGGTTTGCTTATGATTTCTATGCGCTCTACGGTGCCTTTTTTCTGAATCGAGCTTTACTACTCTGGGCTATTCAAGGGAATGTCTTGTCATTACCCTGCTTGATACGGCTGATGGGCGGGGTCTCTCCGTGAAGAGCACTGTGGCTTTGACAGGTGCTTGAGACACCGGAAGTGGCGAAATTGACGTAGCAGGCTTCTTGAAGCCATAGCTGAGGCTTTTTGGGGAAATGATTCATCCATGAGTTCGGGCTGGATTCGGACGCGTTTCTGTCGCTTCGTCGGCCCCATCGTGAGCTTGGTGCCGGCATCGTCGGTCATTCGTAGAATTGAGAATTCTCTCGGCATCTGTGAAGGTTGGCTTCGGGGCCTGTGCTGATGAGTTTCTCATTCACAAAGTCGATGACGATGTCCTGGACACACCTGTTAGGCTTCGGCTGCTTTGGAAAAGGGGGGATTGGAGTGAAACTCACAGTCCGGGATTTATGCTCATGCCCACCCTCATACATCTTGGCTTCCTGGCTAGGACAGATCTCGAAGCGGTCGAGTTTCATCACGACCTGGAAGGAGAGCTGTCCTTGCGCCATACGCTGCTTAAGGCCACTGTTATAGAAGTTGGTGGCGGCTCTTCTCCAGGACTAAAAGGACCAATAGAGCATGTCGAACACTAGGCAACTCGGAACTTCGTCATCTTCGAAACAGCTGTCCTCCAGTTCTCGGTCGATCCTGAAGACAAGCACATTCAAGTTGGGCACGATACCTTCGTCCACATAGGCGGTCTTGGAAGTTTGGATGACGGCGGTTTCCGTACACTGAAGGTAGTGGGCTGGGATGACGCGGCCCGGCAGAGTATCGCAGAAGATTGGTGTAAGATACTTGGCTTAGACTGGGAGAGCGTCCTCTCTGATGACTTTGCAGACTAGTAGTATCCCGGGAATGGATTGTGGGCGCAAATTCATGCGGCGGTGCTCGGCTTGAGCATTGATCAAGCGACGAGGGGCTTCGATGACGAGCTCGGCTCCTTCAAATATGAGTTCGTATACCATAAGACGAATTTCTGTCGGCAATGCCATGAATTCGAAGGCTCTGAGGACCGAAACATCGCGGGCGAGAATGATAGAAGTCATTGTCATCTAAAACTGAGATAGAGCAGACTAGATGCTCTGCCAGTGGATGATAATGCCTGCACTGCTTGGACTAGTAACGTTGAGAAAGGAATGCAATTCTTGTGCGCAGGCAACAGCCTTGGACGGCTGTGCCAAGGAATAGAGCCTCAACGTAAAGCATGTTATTGTACTGAGTCTGTCACTGGACTGTTAGTAAAATGCTGTTGAAAGTTCACCTTGTCACTGACGATGGAGCGGCGCTAAGGATGTCCACCTCTAGGGGAAGCCTCCACATCAGGAACGAACGGAATGTGATGGCCATGAACATAGATAAAATAGACCCAAATCTTGAGGCACTGAACAGAAAACGGCCGTAGGGAAAAGGGTTAATATTAGACCCAGACATCACTTGTATCCTCCTCTGTCCCTAATGAAGGTGGGCGAGAAATGGCTTGCGGCTGACAAAAGGTGGCCAAGCAGACAGGCATCCGTGCTTGAGAATGGTAGTTCGACTGTTCAATGCTGTATGCTGTGCGTCTGGACGAAGAACTCCACCATCAGTCCAGTCTAGGTTCGATCGCCCTCAGATCAGCTCTCACAAGTTCTCATCAACAACCAGCGTGAACAAGCGGAACGTGTCCGGCAGGCAGCGGTTGTCTCGACTTTGGCTTTTGTCAGTCGATCTCTCACGTTTGTGAGAAGGTCGAGTCTTCATCGGGCAGTCCGTGTACATATGACGGAAATAGGAAGTGGTCTCGGCAGCGGACGATTGGAGCGGCCATCCGTCATCGGCGGGGCGGAGGAAAGAGTCAAAGTCCAGGAACAAAAGTCTGCTTTGACGCCATGACCTACCTAGGCATACTTTGCGGACATTAAATTAGACACCAGGGAATGAAGTCCGCTATGAAAAGATGCACTCCATACGGAGTCGAGAGGAGGGAAGAGAAGCTGAAGCCAGTTTTAGCTTTGCCCAGCCATCAGGCTTATCGATAAAGCGCGAGGCTGGGCCAGTGGAGTCGTCGTGTCGTGGAGTCCGCGGCGGGCAGGAACACGCGAAACTGGTAAGCGAACCTTGAACTGGGCGCGGGACCCGCCACCAGCCATCTCAAGGCTCGCGTTGACGTTGACCGCTCGGCAGAAATACAAAGGCAGGGCTGCTGCCCTGTGCACTGCTGGTCAGTCCATCCATGCTGCTTGTCATTCCGATCTGAGAGCCGTGAAGATTGTGGGATTCCAACCTACACGGAGAACGCACTCACAAACAGCCAGCCTACCCCACCATCAACAGTCCGACTCGCACGATCTCGCGTTCGTACAGGAATACTGTCGTCCGGCCACGACACTTTACGAGGCAGAAAGTCTCATTGACTCAGCTCCTGCGGAAAGAACACTCCAGAGGAAGGGATCATCACTTCCTACCTCGTCGTTCAGCCGCACAGCTGTCAACAAGACATGCCACTGAAGAGGTCACCTCCGAGGCCGTTTGACGAGGATGGTCCTACTATAACACTCCCGCCACCTGTTGAACGCAGTCACCAGAGATCGCGCACTACCGTCGATCTGCCGCCGCTGGTCTCCCGAACTTCCTCCAGCTCTCCAAATCGCTTGTCTACCTTTCTCCCCTCGATCCGCTCTGCGAGTCGCAACGTCTCTCCCGAACGAGTCTCCCCGGACGAAGCAGCTGAATATGACATAGATGAAGCGGAAGGTACACAGCGACCCAAAACAAGTGCCGGTGTAGCCAAAAGCCTTGCCTCCTGGTTCGAGGGTTCATCAGATCCGGTCAACATCGGTCTCGTGCAGTCCCCGAAGAAGGAGGAAGAGAACCCTATCAGTCCTGAAGACGTCCAAGGCACCATGTTCAGCAACAGCTCCGAAGCTGTAGACACATTGACGAGTCGGCCTTCCAGACCTCAGTCGCAGCCGCGAGCAGAAAGCACCAGCCGCTTCAGCTTCTTCCGAAAGCAAGCTACGACTCCCATCCTGGCGCCCGGCGAAATCGATAGCCTCTCCAGTCTGGACATCCGAGATGCTCTGTTCCCTGGTGGGCCAGCAGACGAGTTTTCGCCGGCCGCCTTCAAGAATCTCCAGCTGAATGCTGAGGGCACGCTAAGAAAATTCCAATTCGCGCACCAAGAGCAACAGAAGCAAATTCGCTCTCTGAAGTCAACGAACACTGCACAGACTGACGACCTAGAGGCATCTCAGATCAGAAGTGAGCATCTAAAGCTACAATTGGTGGAAATGGCAGAACGGGCCGCCGAGCAGGAGCGCCTCATTACTTCGCTTCGGAACGAGCTGGCATCCATCAGCCACCCATACTCGGAAGAGAGCTTCGAGCTACAGCAATCGAGCGTCCGCAAAGTGCCGCAGAATCTCGATATGTCACAGACCTACCAGACTTCTCGCTCAAGGCGAAAACGGGTCTCGGACGCTCCCAGCGCGACTTCGTCAGAGCCGAGCGATCGGTTTAGCATTTTTTCAGCCGATCAGCGCTCACTCAACAATTTTGTCGACTCGCCAGGCACATCCGCCGCACCAAGTCCAGTCATGAAACATGCCAGTATGCACATTACAACCGTGTCTACGCCAATGCATCAGCACGAGCACACGGCGGTGTCAGTGATCCCAGTACCGGAATGCCAAAAATGCTACGGCGTAAGGGCAGATGAAGCCTGGGATGTCATTTCCATGATGAAGGTGGAGAGTCAGGCTTTGAAAGAAAGGATCGAGGAGCTTGAAGGCGCCAACGGTCAAGCCCTCGATTTGCTAGGCAGTCTCGACGGTCTCAGACTCGACGACCTAGGCCTGAAATGAGGGGGCTGGTAGGCTGGTAGCATGTATCATTAGGGAAAGAATGCATCGATGATGGTCTGGTCGGCGGGACAGGCGGCAATGAGGAACTCTCAGGAAGCGCTAGAGATGGAAGGACAACATTATTGCGAGATACCCAGCTGGTCAAGTCCAGCGTTTACATTGAATTGAAACATTTGCTTCTGCTCAATCTGCACTCTTCCCTTCCTGCTAGCGATTCATTCTTGAGAATAGCACGCGAGCATCGTAGCATTCATCATGGCCGTGCCCCAACCCCGGGTCGGAGCCGACCTACGCACCATCGTTACACCGCACACAAGCACCCACACCAGTGCATGCCCTCAAGCAGCACGCGCTACGCTCAGCCTAGAGCCCGACAACAACAACACCACCACCACAGATAAGTCTTTGATGTGTTTTGCGTCTATTTACACGCGTCCCAGATAGGCAACTATGAACTGCACAGCTCGCCCAGCCCAAGCCGGAGATCTGATTGGTCCACCGCCCCCTCTCCCCTTTCCCGGTACAGCCTTGGAGGTGCTTCAAGATCGTGGTTGAGTACCTCCTCTAGTTTCTTCTTCTTCTTGAGTCTTTGCTGTTGCTGCCTGTATCTGAGGTGTGCGTGGGAGTGAGTCAGAGGGGAAGGAGGGGGAGGTGAGGTGAGTTGAGTACCTGCTTCGCTGAGAGGTGGGTATATAGTCGGGGGGGAATGCTGCGTTGACGGGAGGAGCAGTTTGACTGAATCAAGACGAAGCATTCAGTATCTGGCACTCACTCGAGGTCTTCACTGTATCTTCATCTCAACTCGATTCACTTACTTCGCTTTACAAGTTATTCACCAACATGCTTTCCACTTCCGCTCCTGTTTCCCGCCTCGCGTCTCCTTCCCCTACCACCACCACCACCTCCTCCTCCATCAGCTCCGACGGCTGGACATTCACGCACGACGACGAGTCGTGCCCCATCCCCGAAGAGCACAACCTAGAGCTCACCAACACCAAGCCCACCGTCCCCTCCGCCCCCTTCCCACAGCAGAGCCGATCCGCCCGCGCCCGCCTCTGCCACCTCCACCACCTCTCCGACGCCACCTGCTCGGCCGCAGAAATTGAGCGGCGCGACTACGCGCTACAGCTCAGCCTGTGGCGCTACCTCAACTCCGTGCCCTGGTCCTCGTACGGCGACGACGACTGGATCTACCTGCCCCTGCCACTCCACACGCAGTGGCGCCTCGTGAGCAAGACGACATGGCAGGTCGAAGCCGCAAAGCACCGCTTCTACTGCAAGTGTGGGCTGCCCAACACGCCGCTGCTGGCGATGAGGCAGGCGGCGTTCTGTGATGAGGGGGAGGAGGGAGAGGATGCGGCGGGCGTGTGGCTCCGGGAGCATTGGGAGCGGGAGCAGCGGTATAGCAGGCTCTCCGGGGGGAAATATACGGGCATCGAGGCGCCCGTGGAGGATCCGTTTCCCGATGGGAGGGGCGTCAGGCCGCGGATCGGTTGTGCGACGGAGAAGGGGGAGGAGGGCGAGGAGAACCGGGGGCTGAGGGAGGCGTGTTGGCGGCAGGGACGGAGGTTGCCCGGCTTCCTTTTGGGCGAGGAGGCATATAACCAGGATGCGTGGTTGCCGGAGTGCAGGTGGCCTGTTCCTCCGCTGATGCCTGACGGAAGCTCGTCGGGGGGAACTGAGCTGTGGAGATCGGTTTCGGGTTCGGAGGACGAGGAGCAGGACTACTTTCGGCCTGTTATGGTCAACAACCCGCAGTGGCTGGAGTCTGCCTGTCTGCCGGGTGCGGTAGAGCAACAGCCAGGATCGCCGCTGTTTAGGTGGCCGACGAGGGGGAGCCACGCGGTGCGGATCGTCATGCCTGAGAAGTGAAGGAGCCACAGCCTTTGACCTAGCACGGCACCTGGCTCAGAAGAAAATGTGACTTTGATGCCCGTCTTCAGCGACCTGTCGGTCACATCAACCAGTCACCTCTTCCGAGCATCACTCATGAAGCAGTGAATGAGCGAACGTCAGCACGTCGGCCACTTGGACACAGCGACCGACAAGCATCGAAGTGTAGCGAGATGGACCTGGCATCCTCTGAGCGTGTGAGCACTAGGCTGGAGAACTCGAGCAGAGCATTCGAGCGCCGCAAGACTGGTCTTGTGCGGTTGATGATTTGACGGATGATGCTCAAGAGGAGCGACTCCGGACTCTCACATCGTCGTCTCATCCGCAATCAACTGTCACGTTTCGGTCACGGTGTGATTCTCAGCTCGGCCATGTTCTCTGTGATGCCGATCTGCATGTACCCGAAGTCCACGCCTTTAGTACGCCTAGCACAAAGGCACAAGGGCGTCTCGCATTATCGACTCCCAGACCATTCTGCAAAGCGCCTCTGGAGCTGTCTTCGGACTGCCTGATCACCCATCTCATCCAAGATGCCCGGTTCAGCCCAATGCAGCCAGCGATCAGCTCTAGCACCTTCTTCTGCGCGCAGCAAGCCAGCCGCAATATCCGCCCAGGACTGTGCCGGCTTCACAACAAAAACTGCTGCACCACATTCGCGACAGAAGTATCGGAACACTCCTGGACTGATTTCGTAGCATTGCGAAATGCCCGCATCCAGCTTCAGAGGAGCGCCATCTTTCAGGCGTACCTGGGTCAAGGGGCACGGAGGTCCAGCTGCTGATCTCGACCCCCGTCGTGAGGCGGCAAGACGCACAGGTGTCTAGGCCGGCATGATACCGCTTCCCATCTTTTGGAGGCAAGATCTCAAACTCGACGTTCCCGCAATGGCATTTTCCCGTGAGGACTCTGCTTCCCGTAGGTGCTTTTGACAACGCGGGCGCTCCGAAGCTCTCGAATTGCCATTCCCGCGACTCAGGGCCCCTTGAGTACGTCTTCCCAACGTCCCTCAACCAAGGCGCCAGGCCCCCATCCCGCGTGTCTTCCACGAAGATGTGCTTCCGCGTCAAAGGCCAGGTCTGCATTCTCGGCAATGACGCCCGGACAGAACCGCCACTGGTTGTCCGTCAGGTCGACGACATTGGCGCCGCAGACGGGGCAGAAGTAGCGGCTGCGTATGCTTGAGGTGTCGTATCTCGACAGAACCGAGACATCTACAGGTCCAGGTCCTCCTTGGGGGCGGGGGAATGGTGGCGAAGGATGCCGGTAGCTGGCCGGTTCGGCACTGATCGCGTATCGTATTTATCATGGTTGCCTCAATCACCTCTTCATGGGCCACCCCCAGACAGCGTAGCTGCAGCAAATTCCGACATCATGGGTGACTTGGCTGGTCGTATTCGGTTTCTCATTTACAGTAGCGATGATCACATCCAAGGGGTCAGAGGGCACCGGAAGTAGATTCCGCAGAGCAGAGCGTGGAGGATTGTCCTTGACGGAGGTGGAAATAGATGGTCAATTTGCGTGTATCAACCGAGCATGTCTTAGAATACAGCAGTTCCGGAAAGAGAGAGTTGCGCTATGGAGTGTTTCACCAGTTGGGCTGTATAGAGCTATGATTCAGCCTACCCTGACCGAAAGCGCCGGAGCTTGCCAATGCTGCATCTGTGTCTGCCAGACCTCCTAGACCTTTTTCCAACTTGTTGTTTGTTCAGAGAACGCCGAAGAGAGCACCGCCCAATGCCACCAACACCTCTCTATATGATGCCTTCCAACAAACATCTACAGCTTGCTCTTGACCTGCCCCCAACCCACCGCATAAGGATGGCCCGTGTTCTTACACACCAAAGCATCGATATCCCCCGTATTGACATACTCGGGCCCACACTCGTCCACGCTCGTGATGCCCGAATTGCGCATCGCGACCTCAAACTCATCCTTCAGGATATCAATCATATGCTCGACGCCCTCCTGGCCGTAGCCCGTCGCGAAGAGGGCCGGCCTCCCGACCCCCACCGCCGTGGCGCCCAGACACACAGCCTTGAGTATATCGGTGCCGCGACGCACGCCGCCGTCGACCAGGATCGAGAAGGGCTTCGTGCGTCCGGCCTTGACGCTCGCGCTGCTGGGGTGGTGCAAGCGGATGATCTCGGGAAAGCGGGCGTGGATCTCCAGCAGGACCAGCATGGCGGGCGGGCTGGTGTCGAGGTTCCTCCCGCCGTGGTTGGAGAGCACCACGCCGTCGAGGCCGTGTTGGAGCGCGAGGGCCACGTCGTCGGCGGACATGATGCCCTTCAGCCAGAGGGGTAGGCCGCGGAGGTTTCGTCTTAGCCAGACAATGTCTTCCCAGTTCAGATTGGGGTCGATGAAGTTGCCCATCAGTCGGCCGTAGCCGCCGCCTTTGTTGTCGTTCTTGGCGCCGGCCGTCATCATGGGGTTCTGGATGGATTCGTCGGCCTTGACGCGCTCGTCGGCCTCGCGCTTGCCGGCCGCGGCGGCGTCGGTGGTGACCATGATGCCCTTGACGTTCTTGTGCGAGAGGATCCGGGTGAGGAGCTTCTCGGACTCGTGGCGGACGCGGTTGACGTAGAGCTGGAAGATGAAGGGTTGGTTGGCTACCACGGGCTGGGAGACGATGTCGTCTGCCGAATAGGAGGCGTTGTTGGAGATGGATTGGATGAGGTTGCGCGAGAGGCAGGCGCGCGCGATGGCAAGCTCGCCGTCTGGATGGATCAGGCGGGCCATGGCGGCGGGGGAGATGAAGAGTGGGAAAGAAGAGGTGAAGTCGATTCCCGGGAAGGGGGCGCGCGTTGCGGTGTTGATCTTGTCCACACGACGCATGACGCGCGGTCGTAGGAGGATGCGTGGGAATAGAGATGCATTGAGGTCTTTGGTGATGAGGCTGTCGGCGGCAGAAGAGTAGAAGGCCCACGTCTTTGGTGTAGCGGTAGTTTGGGCTGCGAGCTCAAAATCGTGGAGGTTGATAATGCCGGATAGTGGTGGCTTTTCAGATTTCGAGGAGGACTGCGATGTGGCTTTAGGAGCTGAGGATTCTAACGACTTGTTCCACTCTGCTGTGATCGTCGAGGAATCGAGAACGCCTTTTCGGGCGGAGGCTGGCAAGCCGTTCTTGATGATGCTCGGGGCATGGATCTCGTTGTACGCTGTTGAGGCATCACGGCCGGCGTACTTGTATATTATGGCAGGACCACCGGGGTGCTCGGGGGCGAAACCTGTGATGTCCCATACAACGCCGTCCACCACTATCCAGCAATCCTCCTGTGTGTTGTGGGAAGAGATCTCCTCGACTGAAATCTGCTTTTCGCCCATCTCGACCAGTCTCCACAAGTTGATAGATACTGTATATCGGTCTTATACAAAATGGCCAGAAGGGTAGAAAGGCAATCTACAGCCGTGGTCAATGTATATATCACAGCCCAAGAAAAAGTCGGAGACGCCAAAAGAATACGGACCACCGCCGATGTAGCCGCAGCGGGAGGCTGGGATCAACAGCCGACAAGCGTATCATAGATGCTGGATTGGGGAGCAGAGTATGCTGCCAGCCGGGGATCAGCCCGAGTGTTGAGCAGAAAGCGGTGCGGGGACGCCGTGGGGGAAGCCCGGCGAATCCACTTTTGTCGGCGGCAACCCCGTAAGGCAGCTTTGGTTCTAGCTAAACTGTTTGGGGATTAGCATGGTGCCTCGTGCCCTCACTACTCCCGCCGGTTCTATCAGGCCCGATGGAGGGATTCGTACTCTACTCATGACCCACGTTCCTGTGCTTCCTGATTCCAATCTTGGGTGTCATGCATCTCGCACGGTCTGACAAGGGCACTGTTCGTCTCTCGACGCCTGCTGCAGCCGCAGCTCCCCCAAACAAACCACCGTGAGTTGCATCAAGCCTTCGTCGTTACGCCCGGCGCCTCTGCCGGTGCGTCTCTTGTCTGCTCAAGACTTCCCCATGCACCTCATGACCCCATCACATATGTAGCATGGCTGTTCCGCAGTCTCTTCCGCTTGTTGGTGTCCTCTGCTAGACTTGAGCCCCTGTGCTCACCATCTGTACCGTTCTCGGAGTTCTTGCGCTTGCGACGTCCTCCGTAGAGTGTATTGTGCACTTCCAGCAGTCTCTCAGCGTTGTCTTCTGGATCTACGGGTCTGGACGCGTCTGCACTTCGACCGGTCTCCAGTTGCGAGCCCTTGTAACGCTGAGCATAAGCTTCAAGCTCTTGTTGCTCACGTTCGAGCTGCTCGAAGAGTGGGGCGTCCTCGCGGATCTGTAGAAGGGACGGTTCGCCAGGGACATCCAAGGTAGTGTCCTGCTTGGAATCCAGTCGGATGATTGCGCGACCGGCATTGGCCAACCCGCCTTCATATACCGCGTACTCGCCTACGAGCTTCTTGACACACTTGGCATAGAGCTTCTCGAAGGTGGCGATGTCGACCAGGAGTTTGCTATCCGTATTCGTAGTAGCAGCCCATAGCTCCTTGGTGGCAGCTTCGTCTGCATCGACAGGAGTGCGACGAGCATAGGTACCTGGAACTCAGGCTTGAATCCAGCGACCAGGTTCTGGAATGCAACAAGCTTGCCAGGTTCCAGTTCGCATCGCTGATCAGCTGTTTCGCGCTCAACAAACCATATCTTTCTTCTCATGCGACCAGCTCGGTCCTGCTCCCTGGTCTTCTTGGGAGCCATAGGCCGATACAGCTGCTTTCGAAATTCGATGACCATCTCAATTCCATATAGCTGCTTCGTCAGCTGCCAGGCCGCCCTGAATTGTCTCTTGACCTCAAACTCCCGGCCAGTTTCCGGATCGGGCTTGTTTTTCTTCTTGAGAGTGTTGCCGGGGGCTTTTTGCAGAAACGGCATCAGTTCGAGGATACCTGTGGTGTTGAGGTGATTACCCCCACGGCTTAGCCGCAGCAGAGACTCGAGGCTGACGCTGGACGCTTCTACATCCAGCTCGTTCCACACCAGGAACTTTCCTCGGAGCGAGCCAAGCACCATGCGTTTAAGAATAGACTTCGCCCTGTCGAATACTTTGTAGCCACGCGCCATAGCGAAGCCATGAACGATGAGTGCTTCCTTACGAATCTTGAAGGTATCGACGATGTGGAAGCGGATGTCGCTGTCGGAGAGTCTTCAGTTAGCTGAAGTCGGCAGTGGGAGCATAAGCTTAGCTAGAGGTCTGATGGTACGGTTTCATGTGAGACACTTACTATTGCATAAGTCAGCAAGGGTCTAAGGTGGTTGGTGCTGTGGATTGGAGGACTTCACAGACAGCTCTCAGGAGCGCCAACACGATGCACAACCTCGACTTGACTGTCGGAGGCCTTACCGGATAGCCTTTCTGTTTGAACTTGAGTGCACGCGCGATGGCTGACGGCAACGAATCAGTGAACGATATCCAGTGGCTGGATGTCTTCTTGTTATTGAGATGGTCTCTCAGTGTTTCTCGGATGAACTTATTGTCATGGGTGGAAGTGAAGAAGTTGGACTTTCCCAGGCCTGAAGCCACAGTGCCAGATTGGTACAGCCCTTCGTTGTTTGTGCCGGCAGAACTTGAGTGCGTTACCCTGAAGAGGTAATGCGGCAGATGATCCTCGGTGACAAATGCAATCGTCTTAAAGTATGGAATTGAGCCTTTCATCGATCCAGTGCGGCCGCTCCGTCGAGTAAGGCGATATGTGCTTGAACCGTAGTCACAGAGCTCGTGTTCAAGGTCCTGATCGGAGCCGATTTCAAAACGAGGTATGTCCGCTTGGTGGACGAAGTCTCCAAAAGGGTCGGACTTGAATTTGTGCTGCATCTTGGAGGTCTTCTCATCCAGTCGGCTAGAATGCACTGCGGTGGCCCTTGCTGAGCAAAAGCCGGCCTTGTAGTTGTTGTAGCGAACTTTGGTTCGGTCTTCCGACCATGGTCTGCGCATGCGTTGTGGTATGAAGAAGATATGGGAGAGGCGAGTAGAGAGACGGTACCAACAAAACCTAAGTAGTCGTGAGCAGGAGGGACGGCAGTGAGTGGCAAGCAGGCTGGGGCCAGATCGAACCAACATTTGGAGCCATTTCAGTTCAGACTTGATCTGAATGTCAGTAGCTAGTCAGCTCAGCTCCATTCTTTAGTCTCCGAGAAGCTGGAGGCTACACCAGCAAGTACCAAACAGGCTTCACTTGCACACACAGCAGCCACGAATTGGACCTCTTACTCACAGGGTAGCCTGCCTCCTCTGGGACACAGACTGGACATAGGAAGGGGAAATACTGGAAAGGCGTGTCAAAATCCCAAGTGTCAGGGCAAAGCCCTGATGAGTCGAGACCAACAGAGCGGTTCAAAGTGCAAATGGAGGGATCAACCACTGATGGCTGAAGGATAATCAAATTTACTGACCTGGTGTACATACCGAACCGCGTGCATTGCAGCCATGTGCTGGTCCAGTGCCCAGTGTAGTGCGCCATCGCTATGCTGTTCTCGTGGTTATCCATAGACCCGTTGACCATATACCCCTAAACCGTATGCAATGTCGTCCATCCTATCCTCACATTTCACTGCTATTGAAACAGCTCCTAGGTCTTTTTTGCAGGCTTCCCCTTGGTTTTTGCCTCTTTACCACTTCCCAGCCCGGTGAACTTCAGTTTGACGGACGGCTCACCGCTTTCATCTCGAGCCTTTGGTGTAACTTGAATCGTGTCGCCATTTATTTCGGTCTTGATGGGTGTCTCACTCGACTTGTCGTCTGCATTCGTTGAGGTCTCGCGAAGCTTACTAGGAGCACCAACCGCATTCTTGGCGTTCTTTTTGAGCTCGGCGGTCTTCTGCTTTTTCTTTGTCGGTGCTGGCCCCTCGTCATCGGCAGCCTTGCGTTTCACGCCGTTTGCTGCTGCAGGTTTGGGGGAATTTGCCCGGCTATCGCGTGGTGTGCCGCCAATCTTAGCGTTGGCTTCTCTGCCTGCTACCCTGTCACGCTTGAGATAGCAGCTTCCGTTCAGATGCGTGGCAAAAATGTTGACAGCCTTCCAATGATCGCCTAGATGGGACTCACGGTTGGGACATTTAGCGGCCGGGAAGTCGATCTCTTTGAACTCGAACGAGTCGGGCATGGACGACAGTGGTGTTAACGGATCCGAATTCTCAGACGCGGGGGAGGGCGGATCGTTCTTCTTTTTGTTCTTTCCTTTGGCCTGGCCCTTGACTTTGACGCCTTTCTTGCGTTGCCCATGGACATCGTGCTTGTCGATTATGATCATTGGCTCTTGCTTGCAGTACTGCTCCGTAGCATCCGGCACAGGTCTCGCATTGAAGCCGACTCGTGGGTAGAGCAGGCGGCGAAGGCGGCAGTTTGGACATCGAATATGTTTTACAGTTTTCATGGGGTTTCCTTTCAGTTGGATACCATTGGGGCCTCGGGTGGCAGCTTTTGTTTCGACCGGCTCATGACCCTCGGAGTCTTGGGTATCCGTAGGATCCTGGTTGAGCTTCCTCCCTAGTTTATTGGCCCGGTCCTCGAGCTCGATGACGGCTGTCTGCATACGTGCCACCTTTTCATCCTGGTGGACTTCGAGAAGGACATCGTGCATAATGCTCTCCAAGGACTGCTCGATTAAGAGCGACATCTTTTTGCGTCAGTATCATTGTGCATGACTGGATATCATATTCTCACAACTTCTTTCTGGTCCTCCCAAGTCAGATATTCCGATGGAGCATCTGAAGATTCGGCGGCCATGGTGAGGATCTGCTTCTTGATCAAATCGTCAGACCAGCGTCTCGAACAAAGTCATGTAGCAGAACAACCAGTAACCACTCCCCGGTCGCCCGGGTATGTGACAGGGCAGCAGCAGCAACGCAGGTGTGCACGCATATGAGTTGTGCAAGAGATACGTAGTCTCTTATGCCTTGAAATATTGCAGAAAAGCACCGGTAATGGAAATGAGGGTTTACCCAGCACGCAGGAGGTCTCGTGGGCTATGACTTACGTTGGAATGTAGACCCTCTTCCTGCTCTCTTCCTGCGATTTTCCCGCACGAGCTCGAGTTTGCAGCTCAGAGCGCCACCAGAGCTATGCGTCCTTTGCTCTGAAATAGTCTATCTCATAGCTTTGGTATTTGCAGTACAGGTTCTTGTGTTGGACCAATGTAGTTTCTCTTGACACGCTACCTGTGCGCAGGTCGTGGGGTGGCGAGCCCTTGGGGCCTGGGTCGCACTTTCAGTGCTGTGACGGCCTGGCTGGCTGTCACAGATAGAGCCGAGTGTTGGCAACAGCGTCGGAAGGAGTGGAGAGTCACGCTTGTACAGGGATATAAGCAGTTGGTGGTCAAGTGTGCGATGAGGCTCGCATCATTTACCCGCACGTAATTCGCATTCACCTGCAGCGCCCGGAGTTGCGCAAAATTAGTTAAACCTCTTTAAGTAAGCGTGGACGGTTGTACCCGCGCGGCCATCTCATCTCGACGCGCCCCACTGCTGCACCGCCGATCTCGATATCAATTTACGCGTCTCTCTTTTCGATGGCCTCGGCGTGCCAAATGCCAATTCCTTATTCATTCATACAAGTGACCGAAGTCGGCGTCTGTTCGGGGGCATAGGCAAGTTCTCCGCCGGAACATGACTCAGGCGACTCTGCTCAATTACTTCAAAAAAGCTCCGTCGTCAGCAAGTCCGGCAGTACTCGAGCATCCACCTATCTCAACTCTTTCACCCTCCGACGTCTCGCCGTCGTTAAGCAATGAGCCCGAGCCTATTGTGTCAGTTGATGCGTTACACTCCTCAAACAGCAGTGCAGTTGAAGCGGATCTCCAAGTAGCCGTCGAAACACATGTCCCAACAAGGACCCCAATCCCCAACATCAGTCATGCGGCCATCTCCAGAGTCGTCGCCGAACACCTTGAGCCATTGAAGCGGCTGACATCCACCATTTTGCCTGTTCGGTATCCGGACAAATTCTACAATGCGGTGCTCCTGGAAACCGAGGTCTCTGACCTCACGAGGGTTGTTCTCTATCACGACAAGCCTGTGGGATGGATCCGGTGCCGCCTCGAGTCACCGAGCCCCGAATCGGCTGTCAAGCAGATCTACATACAGGCCCTGTGTATCCTTGCACCATATCGGGAGAGAGGGCTGGCAAGCCACTTGCTGAAGTCGATTCTCGAACCGAGGATTCTCCGCCAATACCATGTCAACTCGATTTATGCTCATGTATGGGAGAGTAACGAAGATGCCCTGGACTGGTACAAAAGGAGAGGCTTCAAGCAAATCATGTTGGTAGGACAGTACTACAAGAGACTCAACCCTTCGGGCGCATGGATCGTGAGAAGAGATATCAGCGTGCTGGATCATGTTGCTCCGGGTGGATGAGACGACTATCAAGGAGCATACGTCGAACCTAAATCGGAGACACCTTGTGGGCGCTAGCGGTGCTTCATCTGCATCAGTGAGAACCGCTGTCGTCTCGAAATCGAGCCGAGCGCAAGAGAGGACGTGACGACGCCTTCCGGCCCGCCGCTTCCATGTTTGGCCACCTATGTTCGTTGTTACAGACCCTTTGGTTCGGTGGTGTCCAATCCAGCAACAGCTGCTGACCACTAGACCGGCTTTGATGAAGAGTGCCTGAATGGTCTTGCCCGAGCGTGACTTCTCCAGAGCGTTGGGTACGAGTATTAGAGATTCCAGCTTTTGTGTGAGGAAGAGGAGCCATCTGGCGGCGTGCAAGAAAACTTGTATTCGCGCGGCAGACAGGCATATAGAGAGATATCGATGGATAGAGTTGCCCCATCTGTACTGAGGAACAGGAACATGTTCGAGGTGAATACACATGCAAGGGCTCGCCTTGCATCTGTCCGTTCCCAATCGTTTGAGCTGCTCTTCTGGTCATGCTGCTGAGCACTATCACTCATGTCTTGACATACCAAGTCAACAAACCTCCCACACACCCAACCTCCCCACCGCCTCCCCCGCATTCCTAACCACACACAACCTCCTCTCTCTAACCCTCCTCTCCCTCAACTTCTTCCCCTCTGCTCCCCCCTCCCCCTTCCTCTCCTCCTCATCCTCGACCCTCCACCCCTCCCTCACCCTCTGCACCCACAACCCCCCAACCGCCGTCCCCCGCCCCTCCCCCAAATTGTACCCCCCACTCGTCACGAACCCCACCAACTCCTCCTTGTCAGGACACTCCACCAACCCCTTCTCCACATCCCACTTCTCGCCCGCACCAAGATTCTCCCCGCGCGCCAGCTCCCTCAGCAGCTCGGCGCGCGCCCACGCCTCCTGTTCCGCGGGGGAGAGGGGCTTGGCGGCGTATTCGTCCACGATGGCCTGTGGGGCGTTGCGGGGGAGGACGGAGAGGCGCGAGAGGGCGAAGTCGTCCGGGCCGGCGGCGTGAACGGTGGGTTTGCTGGGGAGGTTGCGGTGGTTGGTGGCGGGTTTGGGGAGGGGGCGGGCGGTGTGGTTGGTGTTGCTGGGTTTGTGGTGGGAGGCGTAGAAGGTGGGGGGGACGAGGGAGAGCCATTTGGCACGCTGGGTTGTGGGTGTGTTGGGCTGTGGGAGGGTGGAGAAGGCGGTGGAGGAGGGGTTGAGGGAGGTGGGTGGGCGCTGCGCTGCGAGTGATGGTGCGTGGGAGGCTGAGGTGGGAGGGTCGCTAATGGTCGTGGTGGTGGAGGGGTAGGTCGAGGTGTGCACTTCTGCTGAAGCAGGGAGGGAGGGTGTTGGTGTCGATGGTTGTGGGGCGGCGGGCTCAGGTTGTGCCAGTACTACGCCTGCATTGCTTCGCTCAACAGCGGAGGCTGGAAGTGAGGATTGTACTGGTGCGGATGAAGGCTGGGTTGCTGTGTTCGCTGCGATCTTGTCTGGCTGTGGGAGTCGGTAAATCCGCGCCCCGGCCTGCGGCGTTCCTTTGGTAAGAAGGCGGATGCGGACAGTGGCAATGGCGGGAATGTCACTGAGCCCGGAATCGGTCACTCCCTTTGATTCCGTAGGTTTGAGGAGGATGGCTGCCTCAGGAGGCGCGACCTGGTTGTACTCGGTCTCCGATATTCCTGTTGCAGCTTCAGGCTCAGGTGTGGTCTCCGGCGACGAGGTATTGCGCCTGCGGCCACGCTCTTCCTCTTGCTGGTCACCTTGAGCATCGACTTCTATAGACTCAGGCTCCACCTCAGGGGATTTGGCTGGCGGTTCATCCATCTCCACGGTATCTTTGAATAGATATTCCCAGTCACAGCACCAACCTCTCCCTACTTCACCTTTTCTCCCAAGACCCAAGTCAACCAATTCCCATCTCATGCGCCGACTTGGTGGCCGCCTGATCCACGCGTCAAACCGCTTCTCGCTCTGGGTCCTCTCCCACGCCTTGCCCGCGGCCGTTCCCGGCATGTCTGCAGGAAACCACGGCACCAGCTGCTCGAACGCGATCTGCTGCGTCTGGTACAGACCGCCGAAGCGAGGCGTGCCACCAGTGGCGATAGGATAGTATAGCAGAGAGCGCCAGACGGCATCTACGCAACACCAGGGAAGGAGCACAGTCCAGGATCCTTGTGAATTAGAGTCTCTGTTGGGCGCGCGGTGCGATAGTAGAAGTACAGGGATTTGAGGGTCTTTGTCGAGGACAGGTATGGATTTACCGGGCCCAGCTTCTGCACGACGACGATTGATGGACTTCTGGGAGGGCAATCGTGTACTTGCTATCCATCGAGCTTTATGTGTTGCGAGGCTTGTAGGTACCGGATTCTGGTCAGGAGGCCATGTGGCGATCAGCTCCGTGAGTCTGTTGAGGCTGTCGGAGTCTGATGGAACCTTGACTTGCTTGGGCGGGTGGCTAAGCCGTGGGTCGACGATCTCAAGAGGCATAAGCGTCCGATCTGGCAAAGAACCTGGGTTGCTCAATCCAGCCAGTGATGCCCAAGTCTTTACAGCAGTTTTCTCCTCGCTTGGGGGATGTCTCGGCTTGAGTACAGCCAGAAGCGCTTCGGTCGATGCCGGACCTGTAATGTGAATGCTCCCGATCTCGAAGCGCAGATCCTCTACCAGGACTTGCGGTTTCTGTGATTTGGCGGCTCTCAGGAGATGCGTCCAGAAATCCTTGAAAAAGGATGGATGGACCCGGATGAAGATCTTTCTATCGAGCTTGACCTTCTTATGCTCCTTCACTGACCCTGGAGCTGCTGCATCCCCTGCCGCAACGCCCTCTTGGACTGTGGTTTTCGCTGGCGGCTCAGCGGAGCCAACCCACAGTACCAACATTGGTCCGAGCAGACTCTTCGCTCCATCTATCATGTGGCAATACCCCTCGGCGAACCTTGTGCCGGATTTCCACCTCTTCATCTTCGCTACGCTCTCGGTAGCCGGCGCGAAGCCAAGAGCTTCCAGCATGTTCAGCAGCGTATGGTCGGTCCCCAAGCATGCAACTGTAGACATGTAACTGGTGTCCCACGCAATGCAGCCTCTGGTGCCTGCTGCACGATGGCTGGGCCTGTAACTCTTCTCCGTCGGACGCAATGGGATAGCAAGATTCCAAAGCGGCTCTATCGGTCTCGTCATGTGAGCTCTCTTGGTATGCCATAGATGGGTTGGCAGCCATGTCTTGTTCACCTGCCGTCGCCTATACTTGGTCGTAGCCGTGGGAGGCTTTGCAGGGATGTTCTTCTTGATCTTGGGAACTCGCACAATCTCCACTTGTTTCTCTGGGTCGGTCTCTTTCGGCTTGTCTTTGGCCTTTGCTTCTTTCTTCTTTTGCCGGACCGTCTTGGAGCGCTGGTTGAGCTTCTTCAATGACTTCGCCGTTTCGAGTCGCAATCGCAGTTTTCTCGACGGCGCCCGAGTTCTCTTGCTTACGGTCGGGGTGTTATCCTCTCTCATCTACCGTTGGAGTCAGCTTCGTCATCACGATCAAGATCTGAGATTCGTGATAACCGACCTCACGCAGCGCTCGCTTCCGCAGTCGTCTGGGAACCTTCTTGACGTTATGGCTAGCCGTCCTCCGCCGCATATGACGGGGCACTTGCTGAAATGCCCGCGAGCTCAGGCTTTTGCGCATATCCCGCATATTCTTCTCCAGTGCCTTGATCTCGAACTCACGTGCCTTGACGAAGTTCGCGATATTGATCTCGCCTTTGGAGACATGCTCGGTCGGTATATCGGGCTTTCTGCGCTTTGGCGCGCTTCGCACGTTTGGCGGCCCTTCCGCGCGGCGCTTCTTACCGGCATGAGTACTTTGGGACGCCATGGTGTCGCGCTACCACGACGCAGGCGTCTCGGGAAGGTGCAGACAAAAATCGCGTTGGAGAAAGTCAGCGCGTTTTGCCCATGATGAGCGCCAAGAAGGTCATTCACTGCCTGAAAACGACTAACTTCCGTGATAGGTATCAGGGGTGCAGGTAGCAAGTTCTCTAGGGATATACAGATAATTGGACACGACTAGTCAGCTTGAAGAGGGTGCCTAAAGACTGTTGATTATCATTGTTGTTGGTGCAAGCCATTGGCAGCATCTATTGCCTCTACGTCTCTGGGAGCCTCAAACCACATCCGTTCAGCATCAAAGCATATGACCACCGTACCGATCACAGTCTCTTAGGCACCGTTGAAGTACTCTCACAACACTGTCTCTCTCTTGCTCGTTCTCGGGCTTCCATACTTTCCGCAACTCGGCGTAGACCTCTTCCACCTTGGCACGTGAGCCAGTGCAGCGCGCATATGCTCGCAAAAGCCAACAAGCCATCGGACGATCTCCGGTTATCCGCTGAGTCGCGTACTGCCTGTATTCGCCAGCATCTTCTGCCTTCTCATCGATCTCATGATGCTGGTCTGCGTGGCGTTGAAGTACATCGGTCGAGTCCGATCTGGACGCTGCATCGGAGTCGCGTCCAAGAGGTATCGGTCGGGCATCCGAGGAGTGCGGTCCGGCAGCAAAGCCTTCGCCTGGCGTATCTGTTCTGATGTCCGTAGGCTGGCCATTGGTCATGTGACTCTCATTTTGTGGCATGTCTTCGCCTGCGTGCCATTCGTCTGACTCGGTAGAGTTCGCTATAGACGCACGAGTTGGCGAAGGAAGCACATATTCGCCTTCCTCATGGTCGAGCTTTTCGTTGCCTAATGCGTAAAACATCTCTTGGTTCGAGGACGCCTCTTGTTTCCTGGACGGAAAGAAGGGATTGAGAAAGCCACGAGATTGCGCTGGCTCATCGTCAAATAATTGGGCATGAATCCTCTCAATTGGCTTTCGTCGCTCACGTGGGAAGGCCGCCAAGTCGAGGACGAAATCGTCCCAGGGATCCAGGCGTTTCTGCTTGGCAGCATCTACAGCCTCACGAGCTTCCTTCTTAGCTTTCTCACGACCTTCAAGCGAGGCCACTGTTGGCAATGGATCAACCTCAGTCCCTTCCTCTGGTGTGAAGTTCATTGCACGGTGCGCAGCTTTCGCATCCAAGATGGCTTGGCGGCAAGATCTCCATACAAGAGCCAGCCGTTTGATCGTCCATCTGTCCTCTGCGGTATTCGCACGTCCATGAAGGGCGAACCCCTTCAACAGCAGCTGGAAGAAGACGTTGCGCATTGGCAAGCCATAATCTTCAGTCATCTCTTTGATGAGGACAGTGATCCTGTCAAGGTCACCAGTTACATTGGCGTGATAGGAGACCATTGCTCGGAACGTCATGTGATCGGGCCGCAAAGGCATGATGTTCTGAAGTTCCGTGTGGTGATCCGGTAGTTTCTGTTTCAGACGAGGCGCATCAAGCAGTATTCGACCCAGCGAGTTGGACGCCGCCTCTCGATTGATCGTGGAGAATTCGCCAGGATTCGGATATCTGATATAGAACGTCTCACTGCCATCAGCTCTCTGACCAGATTCTAGTCGCTTCTGAAGGTCTTTCATACGCTCGTAGATTTGCTCCGCGGCGCTCGGTTCCTGCGCATTCAACAGTGAAGCTATGACGCAGTTGAGGACTAGAGTGTCAACAATCTCCCCTGCTTCGACAAAGTCGCGATAAGTCCGGCGCACCGCATCTCCGTCTCCGCGAATACCATGGTAATATATGAGACTCACACGCCCAAGACGGTTGAGTCTCAAGTCTCGTGCATACATCTCCTTCATGATGTTCTCAGCAAGTGTGTACTTGCCGGCTCGGACGGCGATATCAAATAAGATGTTAAACGTAACATGAGTTGCTCGGACGCCGGCCTCGTGCTCCATCTTTCGCCATATATCGATCGCAGCACTGACATCCGACACACTTGTCTTACCGAGAGATCGCCCAGCGAGATAGATCGCTGACGACCACTCAGCTCGGGTAATTGGTAGCTTTGCTTCTTCCATGTCGTCAATAAGAGATAAGTATCGGAGCATAGCTCTTTTGGACTTGATCCAAGGCGTAGACATCCTTTGGAGAAACATGCGAATGATGCCTTTCGGAAGGCTTGAAACACCAGGACTTGGAAATTGTTTATATATGGTAAAGAGGGCGCGGTTCGACGAGGTGTCATCAAGGAGCAAATTAACGAAAGCCTGCATTGTGGAGATCTCTCGTCTTTGGTTGCTAAGAAGTGTTTTCTCGATCTCCAGGAGCGGCGACTCGTAAGTAGGATCATCGGAATCATCCTCTCTTACAGACTCTGGATTATCGAAACGTTCGGAGAGCTTGAATGTGTAGTCTTCGAGGACGATTGGTGATGGTGAATAGTCAGGCCCATGTGGTGTGAACCGATCCCGATGGCTGTAGTAGTAGAGGTCAACCAACCCCTTGTAGTCTTCTTTGGTGAGGACGACAGGCGCTGGGTGTGTACCTTGCGCGTGAGCAAGGGCTTTCGATCGCTTTGACCGACCTTTCTCTAGAGAGTGGTGCAACTTCCGCTTTGCTTTGGCTAGCTTCTCCTCTAATTCTCGTACGGACTGCAGCAGTTTGATCTGCGATTCGAGATCGACAGAGGTCTTTGCCTCAGTAGTGCTTCCTGCTCCTCCCATGTCCGTTACAGTCTGTCGCTGGTCCTGGTCTTCAGGCAGCGGACGCCCCAGGTTACTGTGATGTTCGGCGGTCCAATCTCTTGTTCTGACTTGCATGTCGAAGACATCGTCAAAAAAGTCCTTCGGTAAATGGCTGTGCGATGCCATTTTCTTCGCTTTCGAGTCAAAAAGCCCCCGAAACGTTTCTCGCGGCGCCGAATCCTGTGAGGTTGTCATATTCGTGCCTCCAGGATCTGGCTGCTGCTTAAGAGTAGCGAAAGTCGAAAGATTTCGGATATGCTGCCCTGACCTCTGAAGCAATACTCTAGGCCCGTCTGTATTTGGCCTGCGACTAGCCATGGCACCCCTGGCTGGCTCATGTTTGCGGCCATCGCTCACATGGCACAGCCGTCGATGTTCAGAGCAATTTGACGCATTCGAGATGGCCTCGAAGAAATACGCTTCAAGCGCTCCAGCAGACGGTGGGGATCGCGGGAGTTGTGAGTGCTTCTGCGCATTGTGTCTCTGTCTCTTGCGAGGTGCAGACCATGCAAAGGAAGGAACCAAAAAGTCGAGGAGAGAGGACGACGCTACCGCTGCGACATCAAGGAAGCGCTGTGGGCTCGGATGGGATCGTTGACGAGGCATAGGAGACTAGACATGGTGATTCTGTCTCTCTAACACGCTGAAATCATGTCGAAGATGTTCTAAGAGCAACGATGAAGTGACCGCTAATGGTGTTCACGGCATTGGGATGCGTTCGGGAGCTCATCGGCTAGCGCGAAATTTCGCCGCGGAGCCGTCAACCAATTGCTCCGAAAAGATACAATGTGCCTTCAAGTTTCAACATTCTACCAACATCAACGCAGCTCAGAATAAGCCAGCATACATCGTTTGCTGATATCGTCTCGGTTAAGGGTGTTGATATTGGTAGCAAAACGCCCTTGGCCAAGCCCTACGCCGTCTTCGCACCCTCTACAGACCCTACCTCGAGCTCGCACCCACCCGGTCCTTCGCCCCTCATGGGCCGTATCAACCTCACAGCTCTGCGTGTGCGCAGTCGCGCTCTTCGCAGAAAAGAAGCAACCGACTCTCGCATAACGCCTATCTGGGCCAACATTGTCGCAGACGTCCCACCCGCCCAGATCATGACCCGCCATCAACCCATCGAGCACCACTATACCGAAACCCGCACCAAGACTCTCCCTGACGGCCGCTCCTCACAGGCCACCCAGATAATAGCACACGCCAAACCCAAGACCGCAAAGCCCAAGCAACTCTACAGCCCCACCCCCCTCCGCTACGAAGAGGACACCCTGCGCAAGCAGTTCTTCAGCGACCACCCCTGGGAGCTCGCCCGGCCACGAACCCTCGTCGAAACCGACGGCAAACAATACGCGCGCGCGAATTGGAGCACAGGGATCAAGCAGCGCGGCCTGCCCGTATCGGGCGAGAGCGTTGTGCAGCGCCAGCTGTGGCTCCTGCACAACGTCCCAGATATCACGGTGCCAGAGGCGTACGACATCGCGCGCAAGGAGTTCTATGCCGTCCGCCGGCGGCAGCAGACGGCGATGCGCATTGCCGTCGAGGAGGCCGAGATGTTTGGCGCCGACTTTGGCGTCCCGGCCATGAGCGTCGGCATGAGCAAGGAGGACAAGGTCTACACCGAGTGGGTGGGCTGGGCGGCGGAAGAGGCCATGCGCATCACGCAGCAGCGCGCCGGGTTTGAGGGCTCGCAGGTGAGCACCGAGCAGAAGGCTATTGAGGGCAATGCGGCCGGACTCGGTGGTGCCAGGTTTGGTGGGCAAAGGACCGGGATGGCGCAGAGGCAGATGGCGGGACCGAGCTCACAAGTGGGATCGTCCCTTGCATGATGCGTGGTACCGGTCTGGTTTGTAAGATCATCAATTTGTATGGAGATTATGTGTACATGGCCGTAGAAAGGACTTGTTTGGTGTCTCCCACCACTCTCGTAGTTGTTCTATGCTCTATTCTCGACCGTTGTCAAGCTCTACTGAAGTAGCTCTTGTATTATTGCAATCTGCTCCAGTACGCTCTTCTTGCTGGTCCCTCCTTTTGACGTACGCTTTTCGACACTCTGTTCAAAGTCAAACACTGCTTGAACCACATCATCCCCGAAACGCTCGTCCACGTCTTGCAGCTGCTCAACGCTGAGCTTATCCATGAGAACGCCTTCCTGCTCCGCCAATGCAACAACGCGGCCACTAATGTGATGCGTCTCCCGGAAAGGGACGCCTTTGCGGACCAGGTAGTCGGCAAGATCGGTGGCGAGCATGTCTGGAGTGAGGGCAGCTCTCATTTTCTCGGGGAAAATGCTTAGAGTTGACAGAACACCTGTGGCTATCTGAACCGAGTCAGATATTGTCTTCACACCATCGATCATGGTCTCCCAGCTCTCCTGCAGATCCTTGTTGTAGGTCGACGGAAGACCTTTGGCACTCATCATAAGCCCGGCCATGTGACCAAAGACACGACCAGATTTACCTCGCAGGAGCTCCAGCGAATCGGGGTTCTTCTTCTGAGGCATCAACGAGCTGCCGGTGGAGTAGGCATCGGCAAGGCGGACGAATCCAAATTCGGCTGTCGAGTAGATGATCAAGTCTTCCGACCAACGGCTGATGTGTGCCATGAATGAGGCGGCCCACTGCAGAGTCTCGATGACAAAGTCTCGATCAGCGACACCAGCCATGGAGTTGTTGATAAGACCTTCAAATCCGAGCTCCTCTGCCATGGCATCTCGGTCAATGCCGAAGCCATTGCCTACAAGTGCTCCCGAACCGAGCGGGCACCGATTGACACGCTTGATGACCTCGCGGAGCCGTTCCAGGTCGTCGGCAAAGAAGGTGCCGTAGGATAGCAACCAGTGAGCCCAGCGAATCGGCATTGCCCGCTGAAGATGGGTGTAGCCAGGCATGAGAGCGGCTATCTCAGCCTTTGCCCTTGATGTTGTGACGCGCAGGAAAGAGACCAGATGCTCTTCGATGGCACGGAGCTCGTCCCGTAGCCACAGGCGCATGCCGGTAGCCACTTGATCGTTCCGGCTCCTGCCAGTATGCAACTTTCCTGCGATTTCCTTGCCAATGATTTCTCCCAGTCGTCGTTCATTGGCGGTGTGGATGTCCTCATCGACTCCCGGGACGATTTTGAATGCATCTTCATCCCATTCCGACATGACCTGCCCAAATCCTCGCTCGATTTCTTTGAACTCCTTTGGGGTAAGTAATCCGAGCTTCGTGTTTGCACGAGCATAAGCGATCGATCCACGAATATCTTGAGCATAGATCCGACGATCAAAGTGGATTGACTCATTATAGGTAACCATGAGCGGATCTAGACCAGAAGTGAAGCGGCCGCCCCACAGCATATTGGCGGTGGGTTTAGAGGATGCCATGCTCTCGATTATGCAAAGTGGTATAGTGACAAGATGATGCTCGAAGGAAGGAACGAGTCTAGCAGAGTCACAAAGATCCGCCTAAAAATGTTGTGACAAGGCAACGAGCTGTGGCCGATAACGCTTTCTTAGGCCTAACCGAGAATGGATTAGTGCGGTCGTGGTTGCCTCGATTTCGCTAACCAGACGTCGCTGCATCTTCTTTCACATCACTCGCCGAACCTAATCATCTACAGTCTACGCTTTGAGAGCCACATATTTCCATCGGTTGTCACATCTGCCAAAATGAGCGCCCAGCAAGCTCTTCCAAATATATGGCACCAGCGGGCAGTAGCAGAGACAGCAGCCAAATCATGCTACATCTGCTATAAACCGACAACAGCGGTCCTCGTCACTCCAGATAATAAAGTAGGCTCAAACAATGGGAGTCAAGTGCTGGCTACCCAAAGCTGCCTTCAGTCCCTTGATTGATGAGGTGATAGGATTTTTTCTATGTCTGCAAGACCCACCTCAAGGACAGAGGCTTCGCTTCGCCGATCGTTGACGAAAAGGCCGAGGCCGAAAAGCGGAAGAAGGAAGCTCTGGACCGAGAGATTGAGAAGGTCAAACAGGAGTACGAGGAAAAGATGAAGCAGAAAAGGGCCAAAAAGAAGGCCAAGGACGACGACAAGGACAAGAAGAACGATGATGATGAGGCTCGCAAGGCTGAGAAAGAAAGAGACGACAAGGTTGCCGTGTTCTGCTCCTCAATATTTATCCAATACGCTAATCAGTTGCAGATTAAAGCGCTATCCGCGGATACAGTAGCAGATGATGGTCCTCGTATCTTTGCCCTTCACAGGTACGATTCGATGTTCCCATGTGGCGGTACGTTTACTGACTTGACGGCCGACAGGAATTTCTACCAAATGCGTATCGAGCGTCTCCGCAACATTGAAGTCGCAAGGCGTAATCAGCAACGGATCAAGGATCCTACTTTCTTCCCTAAAGCGCCTACTGGGGACCTTCCGTGATCAACGATCTAATAGTACTGCACATCGATAACACTGTGTGCGTCTGGACTCGAACGGATATCCAGGACTCGAAAGGCAGTCTTGTTCTTGCGATGCGCGGTAGACTCTGTCGGGCACTTGCTGCAAGAGAGCTGACTCTGCGTTTCGCGTCGCCAGTTCTGATTGGACAACCCAAGACAGTAGCTCACCGGACCCAACACTTTCTGGCCTTGACGCAGCGTGTTGGCCGAGCGAATTGGGATGGTGGTTCGAGGAAGCTTGGAGCACTCAGCCTCCGAGCTTTGGACGCGGCTCTGTTGTGGTAGACGTCCCCTTCAGATGGTCCAGCATCAAGTTGCGCAAATCTGCGGCGTCATCGCCGACTCGGCAGTCAATTGAGGCAACAGCTTGACCAAACTCTAGCAGCCCGTCACGGAGTCAACGACCAGCATACCTACTTATACTTCGAGCACCAAACTTACGTCGCCCTCCGTTCTATGTGGCTGGCTGCGCTAACAGCTCGTCACTGGTCTGTATCGTGGAAGTCGGCTTGCATTGACAGCTATGCAAGTAAGGGTCCCTCCACTGTCGGAATAGAACAGCAGTTGCCGTCGACAGAGGGGCAAAGCTGAATATCAGAGCGAAAAGACTCCGGACGCTATCATCGCTTACTCACGCAACGTGGACCAAGCTACTCCCTATCATTATGCGCGCAGATAATCCACCCGAGGCCACGCAATCTTGTAAACGGTGTTCAAATTCCCAGTCTGATGCTACCCATCGTTGGAGACCGCGAAGTATTTTCTCTGCTTCAGGCTGGGATCAGCCGTTGAGGGGCCGACCTGGCCGCCGGTATCGAGGAACTCAAACATTTGCGGAGCCTGTTGATGACACGCTTACCCAGACGATGAACATTGCGGATCCTGCTCGGCTGCATTCTCCTCGATAAATGCGAGCTCTGTTGCTCTTAGACTTCGTGGGGGAAATACTTGATCTAATATGCCATACCACTTGCCACATTGGGTCGTCGGGTGCTTTCGAAACCTCCACCATAGAGAGTCCCTACCTGTGCACAAACCTCTCGGGCTAGCTTCGACGATGGAAACAGCTGGCACCGAGTCAGCATTCCTCCGCCAAATCCTGCCGTTTCAGCGCGCATCAGCTTTCGATATTGTTTGTTGTTCTGATTGACCAACTGACCCATCAACAAGACACGCTGTGGAGAACACACTGTAGATGTCTGATGCACATCTCTGCCTGGAGACAACGTTTTGGTTGTTTGCTAGGATGAAGCTTTGGTGTCTGCCTCCAATACACGTTTTACGATATGCTGTCAGTGTATTCGGAGTCATGGTATGACCATTTCGGAAAGTAACACAGTGGCATGCTGCAAATGGTGTATTGTTGCGCCATTGTGGCGTTGCCCCTGTAAGATGCTGACCGACTGAGCCTGACTCTCAAAGTCAGCTGCATGGCTCAGTCGGTGGTTAATGCATGTCAACGTATTGAATCGCAAGACGGCCGAAGTGAAGGTTGTTGCTGCTCCATCAGGCCCATCAGGCGTCAGGCCGAAGTTGCCTTGCCCGACCCGGGGGCTGGGAAGAAGCCGCAATCGCTTATCTCTAGCTCGTCTCAGCTCAGCACGCCTTACGATCGCATTGCGGAATCACATTGCGGAATCCTTTGCGATTGGACTTCGCAAGATGACGCCTGAAGGATAATGACCTGCCACCACGAGACGCGGGCTTTACCGTTAATGTTCCGTATTGAGACTCCAGCCAGTACACAATGCGGTTGAGGCGACGTAGGATCTTCGAACCAGTACCAGTGCACCCTTCCTTACGAGGACTGAATCTAGATGGGATCACACAGCTCCTCGCCTCTAGTCGTACAGGGTGATCCTCTCACACCGCCCGTCGCGCGCTACACAGTATTTCTCCAGTGGCAAGTACGGAGTACGGCGTACACCTTGACCCTTTCGGCTCCCGGGTCTGCAGGCCAAGGCAAGGCGTGCCACGCGCTTGAGTCTCATGGTGCCGAACCACATGGCCAAAACAGTGTCTAGTGACTCCATCATCGGGAAGTCGGAGATCATGCGTTGCTGCAGGCCGATATCTCCTTGTCTGGTTGCTAAACTGTACTACTAGTTACAGAGGCGTGGGATGGTCACAGTAAACCTTGACGTTGATGAACGGTGAGTAGGTGGACCCGTCAACGTGTCTCTCGGGAGTGTAAACATCGGGCGACCTATCACGTCGTTTGCGTCAAAATAGTGTATGCATATCGATGGTGAAGTGCCGGGCTCCGACGCCCCTCCTGAAGTGGACAATGATGGTGCCAGAGACTAGCACTCTCGGTCTCGAGAACAAGCGAGCCAGGCCTTGGAACTCTCAGAAGCCGTGGTGCCGCCGCAGCAGTAAGCTGTTACAGCTCACCAATCAGAGGCCGACCATCGCCTAATTGCCTGGAAGCAGTAACGAGTTGCCTCCTCTTTCGCGACGGGTAATTCTCGTCGCATGCCCGGCCGTCAACGTGGCATGCTTCTGGCTTGGTTTGGAAGCAACGGCTGCAGCTACCCAACGACCGGAAAGGTTCACGGCCATGGCAGCTTCAGACTATGTATGCAGCTCAAAACTGCACACTAGACCGAGGCTGGACTTTCACGACGCAGCTATCGTGCGAGAGCTCCATATGAGCACGAGGCACAAGAGGACGCCGCTCGCTAGGCAGCCTGGGCTACGGCGGAGCGCCCACGAAAACGCCGTTGGTATTCCGCTTCCAAAGGACGATCGATTGGTATGCGACGCAGGGTACTGATGGCGGAATCCTCCTTTTACCAATCGCCTACACAGCGTAAGCCCGGGCCAGTCTTTCTAGCTATACAATATGACAAGTCTGCACTACGTGGCTCTAGGCAGATTCCAACATACTTGACACCACCAAACGACGCATCTTTACCGTGCAAGCATAGGGCTGAGCGGCAGCAAACGAGCCTCGGCGGATGCTTGGTCGCTTAGCACAGCGACTTGCTACGACCTATCTACGGGTGCAGTATCACAACATGGGTCTCCGCGTTCGGATCCAGTACGTGTGGGGAGGGGGCTTAGGTTGACGTTTCCATGCCAGGTCTACTTCGTACGTACATCTGTCTGGCTTTTTGGCCCCATCCCAGCGTCGTTTGTGTCTTCACCTTTTGTCGATCCCACCGAAACGAGTCGTTCACTCGTTGATCCCAAACGGGGGCGGAAGATGGAGATTGTAAGATTTGGGATCGTGGGAAGACAGCAGCTCTGTTGCTGATCCCTGACCAACATAGAACTGTAGATCCGACCTGCAACCTGGGTACTGACTACTGTAGGCCAGAGAAAAACTTCCCAGGTTCGAGCTGGGCCACTCGAAGTGTACCGTATACTGTATCGTTCCACCCCCCGCTGGACCTTCCGGGCCTTCCACCACACCGCGGAACTGCACCACCCTGCGCCGGCGACACATGTGGCCTGAGGGGAAACTCCCCACAGCAGTGTTAAGTGTTAGCGTGCACGCAAGTTTAGCGAACCTTCCAAAGGCCGAGTCTCTACTACTACAGCACGCGCACATTCCTGTAGGCATGGTGAAGACCAGGCATAGGCTAATAGAGCTCCCCGGGGGTGCTGGTGCTCCCCCCAACCCCTCCGGCTAAACCCCATTGCAACGTTTCTGCCGATCAACCGGCGGGGGCATCCATATAGGGGGCGAATGAGTATATTCGGGATCCGAAAAGGAAAAAAAAAATAGACAACGGTTCCGGCGCGCCTCGGTTTCGATACTTGTATTGTATTGTACCTCACTCGCAACAAACCACGAATCCCGCTTTTTCTTTCCCGTAAGATTACGGGCCACCGAGATATGTAGGAGAGGTATCTAGCGGAAACTCCGCAATTGGGTTGCTTTTGTCTGTCGACAGTAAGGTAGTGGTGGCCACCAATATGCGTCGTACATTCGTATCTTCGTGTCTGGTCACGAGCGAACTCGTGCACGCTTTCACCTCCCCGGAGTGGCATATATGTCCTTGTAAGTCGTCTGATGTCTTACCTGTGATAATATCTGGCAACTAGATCTCGTGCGTGGCGCCCGGCGTGCGTGGTGTGCGCGGTGTGCGGGTGCTGATAATCAGGTCCCTGATGCGGCTCATCCATCTAGATTGCAAACAGGCAAGGCATTAGTACGCATTAGTACTCGTGTCTGTAGCAGTGGCTGTGGCTGCCATCAGTGAAAGCCACGGGTGGACTAGCAGAAGATATCGTGGCTTGACAAGGGCGAAGAAAGGGGGCTGCGATGTAGCTGCCCGTGGTCTCGGACGCGGTGATGCATAGAGTTGTCATTAGTTTATTCAGACCGAACTTTTCGTCGTTGGTCTAGTACGGTATACTGTATGCTGTTGCTCGGGCTCGGGCTCGGGCTCTTCTTGGGTACGGCGTCTATGTGCAGCGTCTAGATCCAGTCTACAGACCTCGCTATGTGCGCATGGTGAATGTCGCCCATGCAGGCCACTTACTCCCGCGCGGACGAGAACTCCCTTCGCTATCTGCGTCCGTGGCTGCAAGTCTCTATGGCCTCGGCTGTGAGCAGTGCAGTACGGCGTAGCGCAGGACGGGTGGTATCGCCGGTGTTGACAATCGCTAATCACTGGCGCACTCATAGATTCCCATCTCTCCGCATCCCCGGCGGCAGACGGATGCCCGCACCTCCCACTCTGCCTGTGCCCACACCTCGCTGCTGTCCATCAGTCCGGCCCGGCCCACTGGCGTTTACCTCTACCTCGTCCACCCTCGCCCGGCCGACTCCAAAGCCTGGCGTTACCCACCCGCCACAACTGCACCGCAGACCCTGCCATGCGAACTTGCCCACATTGGCGCCGCACGTCTTGGTCGGACAGCTGAGCCGCCCGTCCAGCTGTCCCTCGGCGAGCGTTTCCCTCATCCAGCTGAGCGGGTGCAGGAAGATGTGCGCGCATGGCTGACTTGCCGGGTCGCTACGCGAAGGCTTGTGATCAACAATGTGCGGAGTGGAGGCGAGAATGGTGCGGCAACGGCGACAGCGGACTTGCGTCGTGCTCTTGGGGGTGTTGGCGCTGCCAGCGTCTAGAGGGGCACCGGTTGGTGCGGACACGCCGGGCACCACTTCGGCAAAATCTTTGGGGGCGCTATTGTCGGCGTCAGTGGTGGTGAGCTTCGCCATGCGTGATGAAGGCGGCTCGTCAGTGGCTGCATCGTCGTCCTCATCTTCAAAGAGAATGTCGACTACATCGGGGGCCTGGTTGGTAGCGAGGGATTCAGCGACGTTGCGCTTGTTCATGAAGCGGCGGTAGAGTTTGTGAGATTCGAGCTCAGTCGATGTCGTGGGGCAGCCCATGTCGACGTATAGGTAAAGCTGGTCCATGAACCCTTCGTTGGGTTCGGCGATAGGACGGCCACGGCGAAGGAGGGTTAGGGCGTCAATGACAGAAAGTGGCTCCGGTGGCAGGGCGACGCCGTCGTTGTCATTGTCGGTAGGGGAGGTCGAGCGTGATTGGCGTGATAGCCATAGGAGGTAGGCAAGCAGGACGGTGGCGGAGCGGGACTTGCCCATGGCACTGGCAGAGGAAAGGGGTGTCAGCCTTATCTGAAGCCATGACACAGCCTTGCAGGTTCAGTCTGTTGGCGGCGCAGGAATGGAACGAGAGAAGCAATGCAAAACAACTATAAAGGTGCTCTAAGCAACACATGCGCCATTCATGCGGCGTCGGCACGCATCTCGCAACTTGGTCCTTCTGATTGGCCGTTTGAGAGTCGACATCAAGAGGATCGAGTGAACGAATTCTTGGCCTGGTCTGGGCATACATAGTTGGTGTCTTGCTGGGTGTGGTCATTCAAACGAGTAGAGTCCATTCCAGGGTTTCACCCGCGTGAGTTTCGGGCTTCCAGTGCGGGCCTGACGCAACAGAGGCCTTTGCTCGGAGGAAAGAACCTCCGCCAAGAGCCCTACGGTTTGCGAGGTATGGTGTATAGTGGGCCAGGGTGGGTGACTGTGCTTCTCGAAGACAGGAAGAAGAGTCTAGCGTCTTTGAACGCGCCTTGTAAGGCGGTGTAGGGGTCGGAGATTGTCGGTGTCAGGGGACTCGAAGGGTAGAGAGGCGGCCTGACTGTTTCTCGTTGACGCCAAGCTAGTCTTGCTGAGATCATGTGGGTTGATCTCCAACTCTTACCGTGTTGTGCGGAAATGCATCCCCGTTTCGGCAGGTGCAGGGAGTGCTGTGAGTGAAAAGCAGATGCCAGGGCAACGTAATGACATGCACTGAATACGGGCACGCTCCACAAACGATGTTTTCGAAGACTTACCAGTGTATCAGAACCCCGCTGCCTTGATGAACGTCCTCTGATCCAGACGAAAGATCTGTGACATTGTTGATTGGTTTGTCGGGTTGCCAGTGCTTCAACCCCTTGTGGATGAAATCGACCGCCTGTGGAAAATAGCGGAGAAGATTCTCATCCTCAACGTCGTCAACTGGGATGTGAAGGTGTTGAAAGCCTCGTGTTAGAGCATTATCCTCTTCAAACTTCCAGTCCATCACCGACACAATGTGCGTGATGTGGCAGTTCTGGAGAGCCTTTGGACGCCGTAAGGCTATGAATCTATTCAGGCAGAGTCAGTACGCGTCTGGGTGTGGCGACTGAAACCAAGACAGCGGAATTCCACGGGCTCGGGCACGCCGAAAATCCACGCGTCCAGGTCCTGAGTCAACATCATCGAGCCTTGTGGCCACAAAGCCCTGTGACTCTTGCTGGTGGCTGCCGCAGTACGCTTGATCAAAGAAAAGGACGGTCTCGGCGGGGATATGGCCATGGTGGGGGTCATTACTTACCCACCAATGTAGAGATTGTAGCCCGGACATCGGTTCAGGGTTGGTATGTCCATGGCAGGCACACTCGGCTGAAGAGAATGTCCCTGGGAGGCGTGCACAAGAAAATCTCGCAAGACGTTGCGTGGTTGTAGATTGGTTGGAGGACATGGAAAATCCAAGCACTTGGAAGCCGAGGCAGGAGCGACGCGCGAGCCACAATGGAGTGCGGGTACAATGCAGCGTGGCGTCGTGGCTGAGGCGGTTACGACCTGCCACGGTGGTGCCAAGCATGGTCAGCCCTGGTGCCTCTTGCTTTTGGTGTTAGTGCAAGCTGGAGTTTTCAGCTCAACAATCCTTCTGTGCTCCTTTGATCCATCATTCGTTCGCGGAATAACGGAGAAGCCATCATTTCCTGGGTGGAATGGCAGATGGCAAACGATGCATCGATCCGCTGTTGGCTATGGGGCCCGAAAATTCAGGATGCAGCCTCGAGTCAAGACAAGAAAAGCATCGGGGGGCAACAGCTAAAACCTGGCCCTGGCGTCGCTGGGCCTCGAAGCCTTGTCAGCTGCTCCCGGTTGAGACATCGAGCTCTGCAGCCGTCCATTGGTTGACACGACAATGTGTCTCTGGCGACCGCCGCGCGACCACCTCCCGTGACTTCATTCTACGCCCTATGAGCGCTTTGGGAGCAGACAATGCTGGCGCACTGGGGTGTTTCAAGGGGCACGAGCTCCAATGAGCATCACGATTGTGCAAAAGTCATGGTTACGTATCGTATGAGGAGAATGTTCGGCGGCGTAGCTGGCAAGGGAAAATGGCTCTTTCGGACTGGAGCCATCAATTTCTGCAACATCGAGGCTCAAGGCTTGTATCCTCGTGTTCAGGAAAACCATTGATCTACAGGAGGGGAATATCTTGCTTTTGGATCGGCAGGCCAATGATGATCAATGTGAGATAGCTCAGCCCTACGGGCTTGTACCTCCCCCGGTCCTTCGAGTAGGCGCCTCCACCTGATCAACGTAACATCGTGAGTGGACTCTAGGACGCAAAACACGAGCTTGCTCGTCCGTGGCCAGTATTAATGCCGTGCTCCGTACATGCAACTCTTCTGTTTTACCGTACCAGGTTCGAGGTGGAAACAAAGTGCTTGAACCAAATTCAGATCCCTCATTCGCCTGCCATTACACCACACGTGTTTCAGCATATAAGGTTGTCAGATCTCGCACGAATGGTGGATGGATGTGCAAAGTTTACGAGTCAGATGCTAGCCAGATAGAGTCAACGCTCTCGCAAAGCAGTCAATTCTGGGTTCAAGCGTCAGCGGTGAGGTCTGAGTGAATGAGGCTCACACTGAGTAAGCTGAGGCCATGGATAGCACACGGGCAATGACAACCTCCGATGTTGATGCGGCCGGGTTGAAAGTACGGCACTTTGCATCTCGCCAACCTTGGATTACACGGAGATCTAGCGTCACGGTCCGTAGAAAAGTGCGAAGTACTCCTTCTGGTAGTAAGGTTGCGCTCTGACTATTATTGCCACGGTTCATCGGCCATCGGGTCAGGCATCAGGTCCTGAGGCGTCGCACACTGCATGCTGCCACAAAGCCGAATAACCATACATGCGCGGTTTGCTTCTGCTCATCAGAGGTGTGCAGCCAGCCCATCGCGCTACCTCGTATCCATATTTGGCGGCGGCAGCATTAACGGGAAATCTTGCTTCGCGAACGCCTCCTGCTCAACTTGGTTACAGATCTGCTGCAATCCACCGTGATGAGACGGAGGGGTTTCGCTGTTGCTTGCCCGAGAGACGGTGAGCCGAAAGTGCTGCCATGCAACCAAACAGCTGCCGCAGAGGTCCGAGGGTTGCAGGACCCCAACGGCCAAGCTCCACGGCCCTCTTTGGGAGTACCTGGCTAAACGTCCGTAATGGTGGTGACAATACATGACGCAGACCCCTGCCCCTACACGAGTACCGGTGACCGCGTGAGGGGCTAAACCGGGCGCCCATCCGCACCCTGGTCGCAGGTGGGGACTTCACCTTGCATCGAGGTACGTAGGGCTTAGCTCCTAGGCGGCGTCTTTCCTCCCCTGTCACTGCCCTACGAGCCCGCATGACTCGCTGAGACGTGCTGCATTGCCAGCTGGACTGGACTTAGTATTGCTGCTCCCTCCCATACATACACCACCTTTGCACTCTCGCCGTGTCTTGCACACTAGAGAAAGAGACCAACCATATTCACCACTCCCTCTACGCCTCCTGCTTTGACGTGCGCTTTCAGCTACTACCAAGTTATATTCTTCTGCTACTCTAGACCTGACCGTTCCGCCGTTCCAGTAGGATTGGAGCCGCACCCTTTGTATACCCACGGTGATTGACACAGCCTCAATTCGCCGCCAGTCCTGCTCTGCCTGAACTTTTTCCTCCGCCAGCCAGTCCTTACCGACTTCGTGCCGTCCCCTCCGCCTCCCTGTCTGATACACGATCCGGCAGGCACCGTTCCACTCCACCCTTCAGTCCGCCACCAGCCCGAGACCTTGTCCCGCGTTGCCTCCTGCTGGACTACCATCCTCGTATACTTGCGTTCCGAAAAGAGAAGGAGGAAAATTCAACCCACAGGCTGAAGCTTCGTCACGTCAAAGTTCGTCTCCAGCTGACAGACGACTCGGTGCCCTACCATCGCTGGCAACATGGTGCTAAACAGATAGACGCACTTCCACCACTACATTCGCCATGGATATCCACCGCTCGTCACAATCTGTGCGCATGCCCACTCGCCCCTCCTATGCGGCGAGACGGCCAACTACTTCCCGCGCGACCTCCCATACTTCGACCTCCTCCTCACATTCCCGAGACCCCATGCCCATACCCGGCGCCCCTATAGACGAGCCGCCTCCACCCCTCCCACCACCCCGTTACAATGAAGAGCTGGACAGAGGCATAGATGCGGCGTGGAGCTGGTCCAATTCTCAGCCACTTGGAGTCGCTGGAAAACTTGCTCCCATCAGACCCAGTTCCAGTCTGTACGGCGGCTACATGCGCTCTCGCACCAACTCGAGACTTTCACCCGATCACGACGAAATGGACGTCGACGATTGGGACCGTCGAGGAAGCGCTGCTCTGACCATCCGCTCGCCATCACAGGCAGACATCCTCATGGGTGCAGGCGGCGCAGGCATCGCCATCGAGGCAGGCGCGCCCACTAGCATTCCAAGCCTGGTCAGACGACCTCCCTCACCAACCCCATCAAACCAAAGGTCAGTTCCAGTCCTGCTGCATGTCTCGCTCTTTCCGAGGTCTCCAGCCACATGATGGGTGCTACCGAGCCTGTGGCACATGGTGCCGCTTGGCCACTCGGACGGCGAAATCCCTCCTTCTGCCATGTCATTGGTTGTCCTCTACTGCCTCTTCCCGTGTCCACCCATCACCGTGACTGACGTGTTTTACGTGTTGCAGACTCCATGGCGAGAGACCACTGGCTCAGGAGAACTTCAATCGCTCCTCACAAGCCTACGATCAGAGCCTCCTGTCCAAGATTGGCAAGCCCAATTCGCCGCCACACCAGCGATCCGAGTCGGGAGACACGGCGCCTCTGAACCACAAGCTTTCCCTACAGACAAGAGATGCCAAATCTCAGCAGCGCTTGACCGTCACAGATCTTTCTGCCGCGCCCATGGACTCGGCACGGTGGATCACAAGCCCAGTTTCCGGAGGCGTCTCGCCAGGCTCCCGAGCTGGATGGCGGGACGATCATATAGATCACCGAAGCCCGTCCAACGACAGCGCAGCCAATTCTCTCGTTCTAGACCCGGAGCTATTCCTCCAGTCACGAAGTGGCAGCAAGCAGGCACATAGCGGTGCTCAAGCTGGCATCGACGACTCTGCCAGTGTCGAGACAAGGTCGCAAAGAGGAAGTTACGATCAAGCTATGTTCGGAACAGACCAAGACTTTGCCCACGAGGACCACCACGGCCAGCTCGAAAGACAGATTTCTAGACAAGGAATGAAGCGACGTGCGCTGTCACCGCCTTCAGACGCGGCGCGGGACGATAAGTCGCCAACCTATACAAGCGATCTGTATCAGAAGGTGTTTGTCTCTAGTGCCGCTCGATCACCAGCCTCGGCATACCGCGCTCACCCCGGATATGGTTCTGTTTCGTCAACGGCATCGAGTGTCAGACAGAATTCGTACGCTTCATCGTTCGCGCCATCTATCGCTGCCAGCAGCATGACCAGCATCTCATCGTTTGACCGACAGTCCCCCTCCGACCCATCCCAGGCCCATCCGTTCATCACCTCTGCGGGGCCGGTCTCCAGCCCTGCCACGTCAATCCCCCCTCCTCGGAAACCTCACGGCCAACAATCGCCGCAGGACAGCAAAGCAATCGCTCGCAAGATGTCTATTCAAACGGCTGTCAACGACACCCGGGGTACCCCCGCCACCAAGCTCGGCAGTTACTACATATGCGAATGTTGTCCCAAAAAGCCCAGGAAATTTGATACCGAGGAAGACTTGAGGCAAGTTGGATCCCTAATAAGCGCTTACCTTGCCCCTCCCGCTGCTGATTGCATTTCTTCCCTCCCCACATATTTCCACTGCGGTTTTCACGAGTCTGACTGTTGCCTTTAGGTCACATCAAATGGAGAAGCAATACGCGTGCCAGTACTGCAATAATCGATTCAAGAACAAAAATGAAGCTGAGAGGCATCAGAACTCGTTACATCTACGACGGCATTCTTGGTCTTGCGCGGCCATTCCGAATTACCAGGCGGCGTTTCACCCTTCCACCTCCGGTGCGCCAGGTTTGAGCGACGTTTGTGGCTACTGTGGCGAAGAATTTCCCAATCATCCGACACCAGACTGGGAGCGCCGCGTTGATCATCTTACCAATGTACACAAATTCGGCGAATGCAACCAGGGCAAAAAGTTCTTCAGAGCCGACCATTTCCGGCAACATCTGAAGCATAGCCATGCAGGACAAAGCGGCAAATGGACCAACATGCTGGAAACCATTTGTTTACGAGAGGAGGTACCGCCGGAGGGTCCTGGAATTTCTCCAACTGGCAGCGAACACAGCAGTCAGGGTCGTGGACCGAGCAGTCTTCCGGCTCCCGGAGATGCGCCAATGGGCGGCGCAACAATCAACGAGGCCCGGGACGAGTCGTGAACACAGCGTAAGAACTCGACATGCGAATCCCACCTAGGCAGTTGGCCGGCTGCAACGCGATCGGCAAGCTCCTAGATTCACCGGGTCACCCCACGACGCAGCGGAAAGAACCGTTGCTTCAGGCCTCCAGCTTGATGCTTGGGCTTCCTACAGCCTCGACTTAGGGCAGTCCAGCCAACCCCACCACTGGCCCCGTCTCAAAAGGTTGGGTATGAGCGCATGGTATGGGCTTGGGCATTCTCCGTAACTCACGCGATCTTGAAAAGGTGCAGAAAGCGACCTGCGGCCGAAAGGTCAATGCCGGGACCGCAGTCACCCTGCTGGCGAGCGAACGACACGTCTGCAATACTAGGTGCGTTGCCCCGCGCGCAACCCTTGTCGGATGACCAGCGGTTGGCCGCAAGCGGTGACGCCGTATGTCACTCTGTGCGTGTTCGGTTTGGGCCTGAAGGGACCAGGACCAAGCACGGCTCAATCAATGTAGCGTTGAATGGCATCTGCCCCGCAAATTTGCAAAGCCAATGATCCAGCAGTCGCTCTCTCGCGATCAGTCTATCTTCAACTCTCACTGCCAATTGAATTCCAGGTGTTGGACATGGAAATCTTGGGATATTGCCAATCGCATCCCGGCTGTGGAGCGGCGCCAAACGATACAATCGACTGGGGTCAGCAGTCAGTGAGCATCGACACAATCTTGAGCCGTTTCGGAAGCTTTACCGGATCTCACCATAGCGAGAGTAATCCATTTGTCTGATGGCGAGTTCCGTCATCCAGGGTCATTGAATCGAGCGATTTGTTCTAACTTGGGACCGTCCACAACGCATCCAATAAAGGCGCGTGCCTCGTGCTGATGCTGATGAGGCTACCCGCAAGGCTTTCTTGGCGACCAGTTCGAAAGATTCCTTCAAGGATTGCTCCCAGCTTTCTTCGCAGCTGTTGCTCTCGTTCACCCGTGTTCAGTAGCCTATCGAAGGGCTTGGCTGACATTTATGGTGGTGTATTATCGTCCGCCATCAAGGTTTGAGGACAACGCATCAGTGCGCGATGCGACGTCGAACCCACAGGGATTGAATCTCTCGACTATTTGTTCGAGGTGACATGGACGCCATTATTTGCGTTCCCCGGGGTCTAGTGGTAACGAGCCTTGATACACGCAGACCTCATCTGTATCTATGATTGGACATCCGACCGTCTATGACAGACATATCAATCCACAAGACACCAGCCAGCGGCCCGGTCAGAACCTTGCTTGGCTCGCGTTCTGGCTCCGTCGGGATTGACGACCTCGCATTCGGCTACTCACCTAAGTATTGCCAATCATGTCAGAAGGCCCCGGTTTGCAAGCCTGGTGCAGTCACTTTGACACCAGTAGGTCCAAGTTGACCAGTAACAGCATAGTTCAAATCTTAGTGCTTATTTCGTACAACCTTCAAGCCATTCAGGCCCCTGTCTCCAAGGACTTGTCCGAAGACGCACACGTCGATCTAATACGTTTGAAGCAAGCTACACAATCAGAGCTGTTGACCCATCTTTTCGCTGTCACCGGCAGCGAGCTAGACCGGGCCAAGAATGCGGATGCGGATTTGTGCTCGGCGACTTTGGCCCCCGCCGCACCAGTGTTTGCTCCGGGATGCTTGGATATACGAGTTACCAGTATAGGCCAAGTGCTCTGGCTGTCTCTCGGAGGTCAAGTTAATGTTAGGCAACGCCATGCGAGAGTAGCGCTGAAATTTTGTCTACGAGTATATCAAGAACTCGAACAGTCTCCACGAACTTATGAGATCGGGCTCTTCGATCAATTTTCCGCCAGGACCGTACGGACTGCGGCTCTCGCAGCTCAGGAGGACCCCACGATGCAACCAGGTAGCGAAGGCCTGAGATTTCAGGCTTAATACGTGCCATTCCAGGAACAAGCCTCTCGAGTTGACCGCCATTCGTCATGCCCAATAATGTCTCGAGGAAGTTTCATATTCGTTTATGCCTGAATGATATGGTTGATTCCAATACGCGAAGCCACTGCACTCGGAATCACAACGGTTGTTTCCGCTTGATGACCATCGCCGTCCCAAAGAATGGCTTCACGGCGGCTTCAAGAACACGTGAAAACCCCAGTGATGCTCTGAGGCTCAAATACGGGGCTCTTGTCGTCGTTCGCTTGTTGAGCTACCCCAGGTTCTAGACGAACGAATCAAGTGCAATAGATCGATGGGACCCTGACGGTTCAGGCAAGATTGCGAACTACACGCACCTCACGGTCGCCGAATCAGGTTTTGCGCATACAGGTCTCCTGTTGAACTTCCTTGGCAGTCTGCCTTCCTGGCTGGCGAACTGAGAGATGCTGGCGGATGTCCTGTCCTCAGACCGTTACTCAGTGACCTGCGGTATCCACCATATTCCTGATTGCTGATCTTGGTGGTAACAAGGAAATGCCACCATTGTGTCTAACTTTTGCTAATTGTTCCAACCGCGGGCTCTCATTTTTGAGATCAGCGTTTCTGCAGTGCTCTTGTACGTGGATCAGCCCTACGTACGCCCAGTCTGTCAGAAGGCGACCTGGTCCTGTCTACCAGTGTCTTTAGCACCTGAGACACGTACGTGCCCGGGCGTGTTAGATCACGGCGCGATTTCGAGACCGAAGCAGACTGAGACCCGTTCCATCCCTGCGAACGAGTATCGCGATGAGAGAGAATCACGAGTGGAGTCATGGCTTATGAACGATGTCTGCGCCGAGCGCGACTACGAGGGAGCATTGGTGCTGGCTTCAGCGTGGACTGCTGTTCGACAGTCGATTACGGCATGATGGATTGCAATGACTGCTTTGCAATCGAATCCCAACCAACAGCGAGACGCAGGAAACATTGTCAGATGTAGACTACTGTGGTTCCCTACTTCGACCCATGTTCCCGGATGGGTGCTCTTATGCCCTACACGTTACGTCGTCAAAGCTGAACAGCACGAGGGTGTGAATCTTTTGCAGACCCTGGAACTGGAGCCCGGGCTTGATTTGCTCGGTCTCCTTGAAGACGTGGGTCCCCTGCTCAGTCTCTCGCAGGCCGCATCGAGCTTGCCTGATGACGATTTCCCAACTCGACGATCTGGAAGGTTACGATCACGAGATTGACCCCACGGTCCGCTGCCACGAAGCATAATAATGCGAACACGAAGAGCACTCTATTCTTGACCCTTGAACCAACCCAGCTTCGGTGCGGGGCACCTTTATCTGAGCGCACCGTTAGCCATTCGGAAGGACGTTAACCAATCTCACCGTCACGTGAGCGGCGGCACTCGGGGACTTCTTGAGGTGCACGTCAGAAGCAAGGTTGGCTTTCCCGTCAGGCCCGCGGCCCATTCTGATCTATGCTTACGGTCGGGATCACCAGCTCGAACACGCCGTCCAGTCTGAGGGCCCAGTCTGACTTGGATCTCCGGCCCCGCCCACCCGTTGGCCGAATTTCCCTACATGGCTAACGATTATCGATCATGAACTACCACCTTTGGCAATGCATCTGCCCGTGCAGGCCGTGGGTTAAGACTCATCAAGCGAAGGCTTACTCTGGGCGTCGGGCAGGAGCGTGTGGGGGAATCTCCCTCATTCAAATGGCAAGCCTAATCCCCGACCAAGATGTGTCTCCAGTCCCCGATCCTAGGCCCCTAGCAATCGTGGGAAACACCGTCTTGCTCGACTGGAAACGTTGTGCACAGTCCGCCTTTTCAAGTGAGCGTCGCCAGGAACGATTCCAATACAGTCATGTTTGGAAATTCCGGAAATCTCTCATACGCAACGGACGAACACATGATGTGTTTGTCACAGCGGGGCGTCAGCCATACGCAATCGTGTAGCTCACGACAAGTTGTGACTGCACGCGAGTCATGTCAACCACCACCACTCATATCATGAGCAGCGAAGGGCCACCACTTTGCGCGCTTCAGACAGGGGAATGGCGCCCAATCATGCCCTCCCAACTCTGATTTCGCGGAGACTGCCCGCAACATGGCGTTATTGCGGGCTTAGTAGACGCATTGCACAACAACGCAAGTCGCTGAAAGGCCAAGGTTCATTTCGCGAACTGGTAATGAAGACATCGTTCGTACTGTACACACAGCCAGTGGACCCCAAGAACCGACGACCCAAACTCCACTCCCCCCTGGGAATTTCTCTTTGAGCACTTAGGTCCGAACTCTCACCCTCCCAGTCCCTCAGCGACGAGGCTGCGACGACTCTGACGCCAGGCAACGGGCCAGGATCATCAGTCAGGCTGGCCATCGTGAGACTTGGAGGGGGCGCCGTGGGTTTGTCTTGCTTGGCAGGTGGACGTTGCAAGGACGGCTCAATGTGTTCCACTCATCCCATACCGCTGATCGACGGGATCTGTACCGCCAAGCGCTTGAAGTTTCTGTTTCTCCTGATAGGGAAGGCACACCCTGTTTTCTTCCATGCGCGAGTAAAGGAAAGAGTACTGCTGCTGCATACCTCCCATCTAGGTTTCGACTGGCTTGGCCATGTGCTCCGACGCAACGATCTGTCTGTGTGTCTCCCTCTTGCGCGTTCGTGGCGCCGTTGCCTCCCCACCCTGGGTACTCAAGATAAGTACGCCTCAATATCAGGCTGTGTGAAGGCTGTGTTGGGCGAAGTTAGGTCAGGTCAGGCCAGGCCAGGTCAGGTCAGATCCGGGGTCATCTGGGCGTCCTTCTCGCAGTGTAACGCAGTGTAATATCGGCGAGGGGGAGCGAGTAAATGGTTGGTACTTTTTGAAGCAAAGATCATGTTAGCCTTCATGATGGGGGGGAGGGCGTTCACACCGTCCCCGCCCGCTTGGTAGGCATAATGGGCTTGGGAGTCGTGACGGTCGTGACGAGCCACAGTAAGGCATACCGGGCAACACGTGCGCCGTCGCGTCTGATCTTGAGCTGGCGGGGCAGGATAAGGATGAGGAGAGGGGGGGGGGGTCCGGGCGCAGAGGGAGAGGAAATCGAATTTGTTGCAGCGCCAAATAGGCGTTCGGCGGCTGCAGGCTGGCAGGCTGCAGGATGGCCATTGGCGAGAACAGTAGGAGGAGAGTATGTTACATAGTGGAATCAGTGAGGCTTGTAGTTCGTTGACGCAAGTTCACACTGGGATGTTCGTTGCTGAGCCAGGGTCGTTCTCAAATCTGCCAGACGTTCGTGGTTTGCTATTCTATTCGGGAACGTTGTGCTTTTTCTTGATCAGACCGGTCTTGTCTGTGCTGCCCAAGGTTTTCAAGATTCAAGCTTCAGGGCGAAGGGTCATTCACGATTCATCAGGAGTAGGGAGTAGTGGAGTGCTCAATCCATTTCGGCCTTTCGACGACGAAAGGGGCACGGTCACGTCGTGATATTGCAGAGAAGAGCAAGCATATCAGATATGGCTCTCTTTGAGACCTCCACGGATTTTTTCAATGTCCTCATTTCCTCACTCAAGCGGGGGTCCGACATCGCCTCAGCTACAGGGAGTCTTTGACACGCAGGAAGTTTGTGAGATGCGGTCGGCACCGAGACTACAGACAGATCGATCCTTCACTCGAGGCTGGAAGTGTAGCTTCGGGAAGGCAAGGCATGCAGGCATGCAGGCAGGCAGGCAGGCAGGCAGGCAGGCAGGCAGGCACGCAGGCAGGCAGGCAGGCACGCAGGCACGCAGGCAGGCAGGAAGCAACGAGCGAGGCAATCCACTGGCAGAGGTCCCCAGAGTGGGCTAGGAATGGAAGATGCGGAACAAGATCAACGACGGGCATTGAGTTGGCATATGGAGCAGAGTAGGTAGGTCCGAGCAGACAGACCAATACCGGATACATGACGCCGATTCACTGCCTGAGGAGGCTTGGCAGAAGGCAACCAAAACTGCAACCGTTCGCACTTTCAACCCCGGTTCATCGCGTTGCGGGGAAGCCTTCACCGTCCACTTCGGAGGGACTGAAGCGCGTGGCTTTCATCTCGTGGTACTTTAGAATTTAATGCTGCAAAGTTGGTCTTGGCTTCGGAGGGGGCTTCTTCTGTAGCTTGACTGAACTTGCAGTGGCTCAAGAGAGACTATCGAGACTCAGCCTTGCGGTGTACCTGACGGGATGCCTTGCGGGGGCCGGTGGGATGCCAATATTCGCTAAGCGACTAGATTGCTTGGACCTAACGCCCGGCCAGTGTAGCAAGGCCACGAAGGCTTCAAGACATTACCGTTTGGTTTGGGATGCCTTGCGAGCTCGACGTCTTCGCAGCAGGTCCTTTCGCTAGCTGAGTCTACCTTGATCTATCGTACACCGGCTTGGCTAGCTGGTGTTCTTCGGCCATCAGACACGCCTCGCTTGCTCTACGCGTGGCCATCGGTCCGTCTGTGTCTGCGTCAAGCGTAGGCTTGTTGCGCAGTCGGGTCGGGTTGGGGTGTCATGCGTTATCATGACGTATGGTGAGAATGGTTCTGATAGCTGAAACGAAGCTGGGATCCTTCTTGGACCAAACTTTGGACAGCGAACAGGTTGTGAAGAGAATGCAGAGTTGCCCTACTGCTGTACGAGCTGTAACAAGCTGTATCAAGGCTGATCCTTGGTAGGCCCGTTTCAGTCGCCTCGAAGATCAGTGGTCTGACGCTGAGTATTGTATCTATCCTTCCTCCTTGTTAGCCCTGGTCAACTCGTTGACGCGGCTTTGCACTGGTCCCGCAGACATCTACGTGCAAGCGATCACAGGCTTCTCCGCGGTAGAGCACAACTAACAGCGTATTCCAAATATTTGGCCCCTTCGCTCACCACTGATTGGGTTATCGTGGCGAAAGTCCATGTTGGGTGCGTCGCTTCGACCGGCTCATTAATCTTTTCAGTCGCTGTGCTGGGTATGACCCAGCGTGATTTCCAAATAACGGGCGGGAAATCATTTTCCACAAGTACTGGTCTGAAAGGGCAGCGCTCAGGCGTCCATCAGATGAAAATACGGTTCTGTAAGAGCTGAAACCCTGTCCGGAAAAGAAACCCTAGGGCTGCGCTCGTTGATCCGTCTGAGGGACTTAACAGATCAGGCTCCGACTGACCCTTGTAGTCATGCCATTTCTGGCAGTAGAGGAGCCCAGGCGATCTACCAGGCGTAACACTACGTTGATGAATCATGCACTGTTCTGCCAGGATGGCGCGACTGTTGAGCACAAAAGCAATGTCGGTGGGTCTTTGACCGTAACGATCTAGTGGGACTTCGGTCGCCGTTATGATGCTCTGTCCAAGGCTTTGTACCAGGAAGACAACAGGTAGCCAAGGCGAGGCATGAGAGTATCCAGGCTACGGTTCCAGAAGCAGGCGGGAAAGCCCGGCACTGCTGGTTGAGGAGCCGATAATGAAGCCACCGAGATTCCACCTCATGCGCTTCCAGACAGCCACTTAGGAGTCATCGAGGCATTCCCAGTTGTCTCGAGGCTGCCACACATCGATTCGCGATAACCTCTAACAATCAACCAGCGGGAGACTTTCCGCTACGAAGGTTGTGCAGCAAATCGATGCAGCAGCTACCACACACCGCTCTTCAAAGCGCTTGAACCCCATGGCTAGCATCGTACAGCCACAGCACCAGACGGGCTGTACCGTGTCGGTAGTCCTGAGGGTCAATCAATATGTTCTGGCCACCAAGCTGATTGGTGTAGCTACCGAAGGTATAATCCTTCGCTTGAATCACCACTCTTGTGCCTCGGCTAGGCAAGTTACAGTAGAGCCTGCACGAAGGCACTTCCTGACCACAGATTATTTGGTTTGGAGTGGCCGAAACCCCTTGCAAGTACGTGCAGGTAAATTTAGTCATCGGAGAGTGTCTTCGCCGATGCTTGTCCTTGTCCTGTATTATTGCGCTAGGGAGCTTTTGCGATGTATTGTTGTCGGTCGAGCTGCAGGACTTCCTTTCGACCCGACGGATTTACGAGGTCGTATTCGACTACTGAAATGCGACAACACAAATGTTCGCGACTGCTCGTGGCCCCCACGCGGGCCGACGCCTAAGCATCACCCTGGGTTTCCATATCTGGAAGTCGAGGTTTGCATGATTGGTCGCGAGATGCATGAAATCGCCGGAGAGAATTCGGTCTTATCGTAAGCTGGTATAGGGCCAAAGGTGCTTTGGCGTGGGAGCGAGAGATGGATGTCCAGCCCAACGAGACCGCAAAGTCGATCGGATTCTAATGTAACTTTATCTTGAGATCACTCTTCGCCGAGGCGGGGCTGAGTGCCTACCGATCCAGCTTGGCCATCAAGGAGGCCAAACAAGCTGACCCGACGCCAAGTCATTGCCTGCAGTCCGTCGAAAGGGGACTATCGAAATTACTCGTGAAGGTGCGGTACAAAGACGAGGCATTGTAAACGAGTAAAACACATCTGTGCGATTGGAGGCCGTGTCCTGCTTACGCAGCAGGTCGACCACCGTAACATTGAGCTTCCGAGCATTTCAGAAATTCAGACGTCTGGCAAAAGCCGAATGACCGGTGTCCGGCCGCAAGGAACGACCAAATGCCGAAGCTGGCCATTGACATGCTTGGTCAGATATTTGTCAGAGCCAGTGACTGCAGTAAGTACCTAACAGGTTGTGGCCATTAGAGGTCTCGCTAGGTCGCAATCCCCTGTTTTCGGTAATGGGGGCCAAATGTCGAATTCAAGGGATTTGAAATAGAGAGTGAGACCAGCCTGGCGCCGCAACTTGACAACCCAAATAGCGGCATACTATGATGATAGAGCTGCAACACCAGCCTCTCCGGGCTAATGCTTATTCACTCGTTCACCATCGACGTACTGAGGAAAGCTCTCTGACCAATGCAACCAGTAATACGAAGGCCGCCCGCGCTCAAAGAGGATATCGTGCTGACAGTTCCATCGATATCTCGGTCCATGATGCATGGCTCTCTGCATATTGATGTTGTCTGGTCGGAAAAGTGCTTCACGTAGTCGGCACGGGCGGTGAAAACGATCATTCGGTGACGTTGTTGTCTGCAGTACCAAGAACTTGGGCACCGTCGGTCTTAGCTTCAGCTTCCATCATAGCGGCAAGTCTTTGTGCCCGGCGCCTCCCACCGACCCACATCATGAACTCCCCATAGCTCTGGGGTAAGACGTCCACGTCGGCCGGGGACCAAAAAGTGTAGAAAAAGGAGCCAGTAGACTTTCTCTCATTCTCTCCGTGCTCCACATTTCGGACGTGAGTGCGCACCATGACCTGGATTCTCGAGCCTCCGTTAGGATCCCGTTCGGTGTAGGTAACACTGGCGCCTGTGTACAGGACAGAACCCACTGGCACTGGGTTTTCGAATGTGCTCGGATCTAGATTGATGAATCTCGGTCTGGTGTGTGAGAATGATGCAGCGCAGGTGAACGCCAGCTCGAAGGAGATCTTGAGGAGATAGCCTCCAAAAATCATGAAATGATGCCGATTGCGGTTCTGAGGCTGCATGATTTGGGTCGAGTGTATCACTGTTTTCGACATGGCTACAGAATTCGCTGGCTGGCTGGTCGGGTTGCTTGAATCGGCGTATGCGATGTTCTCGGTCCACATCTTATGAATGAGTGTTGATTCGTGAGCATCAGGAGCCTTCTGCATAATGTTGGAGTCTCTCAAGGCTCGTTTGCTCTTGTAATTATCTTCTCCACGAGCGTACAAGGCTCGTTCTGCAGGAGTCGAAAGGGTTAGCGGTGCAATCTTGACAGGCTTTTTGGTCAACGGGTTCAGCGAGACCATTGTCATTGCACAAGTCATCAACACATCCTCAGGTTTGACCATTTGATCGTTTTCTGGGGCCTTCGCAATCTGCAAAGTCACCTCCATACTCGACCTACCGGTCGCATACGTGACTTGACCACTTAGCTCGAGATTGCAGATCTCCTTCAACGGGTTTTTAATGGTGATTCTGTCAACAGCTGCTGTGACGGTGCTAACACCCTCTCCCGTGTGCTTGTATGCCACGACCCCGGCGAGAGCATCAAGGTCCATCAGCAAGGCACCGGTGCGTAGCTGTCCAGAGTAGTTGGCATAAGTGTCCAACATCCACGGATCGTCTTGCAAAGGCAGTACAACTCTAACGTAACTATCAGACATCTTCTTCGGCGTGAGGTCTGGTTCTGGAGGGTCCTGTGGCGCAGCAGAAGACTGGTTTCCTGTCTCCTTACTCTTCCGCAACGCCTCGATCCAAGGCGTTCGTACACGCATCTCTGTAAGTTCTTTGTAGACTCCATCTGTTTTTTGTATCGCAGTTGCGTGAATACGGCGAGCTCCAGGGACGGACTGGGTGGCCTTGGCCGTCTTCAGGAGTCGTAGTGACCTTGTCCATCCTCGTGCAGCGTGCAGGTGAGTCATACTGCTAGGTTCTGGGTGCTCTGGCTCGGCAGGAATCAGTGGGTAAATTCAGCTCAAGTCGTCGAGTAACGACTACAATCGCACATCGACGCGCGGAAGATGGTCCAGGAGGTGTTAGCTGGGTACCATGATCGAGCTGTAGCAACGACAGGGCATTATAATTCTGTAGCGTCAACGCTTTCAACTGCGGTGCATTTAAGCTACGGATGAAGTCGGACGCGCAGCAATGAGGTTGAGTCGAGCTTCGGCGACATCCCGAAAGCCTTGGCAAACTAGCTGCCATCGACGGCAAGAGCCCCATCGAACCTGAGATGATTCCATCGACACCATCACTTCAATCTCGCAATCTGTCCCAAGGATGCAGGTACTCTTCACGTCCAAGATCAAGGCGGCCAAAGATGCCTGGCATGTCCGTGACGTTCAACCGCGCTATCTTCACTCACCATGCTTCGCGACTGGTTCTAGAGTCCTCAGCAACAGTAAAACTGACCAACAGCAGCCCAAAGGGCATTACGGAGACTACTGTCGATGCCTCTGCCTTCGACGAGCGTCAGATATGGATTCGATCTCATAGCCCACTTCGATTCACGCTGTCTTTCCACTTCCACGATCTGAATGCTTTCCTGCCAGATACCACACATGCCTTTCAGCAAGACAGTGTTGCTTCACTTCGAGATGCATCGGTGAGTCGAATTTTGTTTAACTTGTTGTGGCACTGAGAGACATAGCTCTGGACCCAAGTAGGGTTTTCTGTCGTGGGCATCCATTCTCTGGATAGAGCTGCAGTCCATGGCTACCCTTCCTTTGACGTTGACATTTTCCTTGACCCTATGCCCAGACAATCTACGCCGAGTTCATGCAAGAAATGGCGCTCGCATTGTCCGCGCAGCGCAAACGACCTGCATTGCCCAGAAGGTGTCTCGTCTGCACGGTTAGACTATGTGTCTCTTAACTTGAATTTCAGCCGAAGTGGGATTGACATAGATTACAGCGGGGGATCTCGCAGCACCACTGGCCTCAATGATGCAATGATGGCTGTCACTGACTCGGCTCTGCGAACTCTGCTATCTCGTCGTACTCCACGTCTGGCTAAAGGTGTCAAAAAAGGTGATCAGAGGGCTTCCGGAAGTTTGCAAACGACCTTTCCCTCGGTATTCTCGACTAGCTATGTCGAAGGTGTATTGAGCCGGGCCAGCTTAGTACCATCGATCTCAAAGGCCTTGGGTGCATTCTGTGCACGGACGGCTCCTCATCAATCTGCAGGTTTCCAGTCCATATTCGAGGCCAAGACAACCGCGAACGACCCTACTACGCCGATAGCGAATATATCACATGTCTCTATCAATAATGGCACGGGGACACAACTTTGGATGGCCTTGTTGAGCAAAATTTCAGCTCCTCAACGGGATGCAGTATTGTCCGCCATAGCCTGTGCTCCACGGACGAGCGATTTATCCGAGCTGTATCAGCTATCAGATGCTGATTCTGTGGACCGCAGCCTTGAGCAGATTCAGATCGCGCAGCAGGAGGGTCAGTGCATCAACAATACCATCAGTCACTACACCAATCCCGTGGAATATGCTGAGGAAGCACGAGACTTTGACCTAAATTCGCTCCACACAGAGCTGCAGACGTGGGACCTGACTGTCCTCTCTGGTACGCAGCCGCACTTTTGCAATAGTCATACATTTGTCGAGCAAGCGGAGAAGAGCATATTACTACTCAGCAGCAGCGACGAATGGATGTCACACCGCAACACCACCCCAGCGAGTAGCCAAAGCTCAACACTCAGCTCTGACATCTTCCCCTACGTGGAGCATACCAGTTCTTATGAAGGGGGTAATCAGATTGGCAGCTGTAATATGTGGGATAAGCTAATTGGTCCATGCGCAAAGCTGACTCAGAGCGAGACCCGAGCGGATCCGCTTCACGATCCTATGCTTTTTGGCCGCCTCGGCCTCCAGCAGTATGAGATATATCCTGAAGACCTACACGTCACTGTCGCAGCGATCGAGAACAACGCGAAAGGATACGATATCTCTGGCTCCGAAGTTGACCTGCTCCTCCCCAGCTCGCCGGACACTCGACCAGCAGATTCGCTCCACGGAATAGTCTCTACATTCCACAAGAACTCGGATCTACCGGTCACATCTGACTCGTTCAACCAAGAGCTCTTCTATCCCGATTTTCAGAGCGATTGTAACCTGTTCGGGACGCAAGTTGAGGTGATGCACCTTGGCAAAACACTGGCTCATCTGCAAGCCATGTCGACTCCATCCGCCGCCGCTACAGCTAATCAACCGGATCGGCCGATAGGTGGACTTGACCAACGAAATACAGCTAATGCGGATGGGGAGGCATGTCTGCCCTCGTCGCCTTCGAGGCCGTTTGTGAAGCGTGCGAGCACAGTGTCCATGGGCTCGTCGACGATCTCAGATTCGCCCGGCCGCCGAAGCAGCCTGCTTAAACGACTTTCACGAAGAACGTCAAAATCGTCAAAGCACGAAGACCTGGCTATGATGGAATTTGATATTGGCAACCTGCAAGGCCGCAATATTGAACTCAAGCGGCGAAAAACACTTGATGATTACAACATAAACGATGAGCAAATCCGAGACGAAGACGATGAGATGATATTTGTATGAGGTTCTCATTTTCTATGACGGAGTCCTATATTCAGATCGGCAATGTGGGGTGGCAGAGTCTGGGAATATTGGGTTCATCGTCAGAAATAGCTGCGGTTCTGCATGCATATCAAACTGATGGAAGAGATTTGACTCCATGATCGAGGGCCAAAAAGTTCATGACTGCAGGAAGTTTCGGCACTACCAAATATTAATAGACATGTAAGACTAAACTTCTGGACTTGTTGTATGCTCTGCAGCTCCCTACACACTGGCAACTATGTAAGTATTCGTGCCGCTGGCTTTACTTCCCCCACAAGGCTGCAGCCTTATCGTTGTGCTTGGCGTAGCTAGCACATGCGACTGCACTCTCACCAGTCTCCCGTACTGCGTGTCCATTGCGTATTCATACCCACCTTGAGAACTGCAAGCATGAGACTGCACCCTGTGATATGGGCGTGCTCCATGCTGCTGCAGTCGGTCTCGGCCATCTTCTCCGATGATGCATTCGTCCTTGACTACCACCATCCGCTGATCGGCATTCCGCAGTCCCATGCCACTTTCTTCCACAAGCCACAGTCCTCCTCGAATGCCTCTTTGCTCTATGCACTGTCAGATAAACATGTGCTAGGAGCCATAAATCCGAAAGATGGGGCCGTGTTATGGCGGCAGTCATTCGTGGATGAATCTGCTTCAGGCCAGGGTAACAGCTATGCGGTTCCTGGAGAAAGAGACGGGCAGATTGTGACTGGGTACGGCGGAAAGGTCAGCTCTTGGGACGCGTTGGATGGGAAACTACGATGGGAGCGCGACATTGGAAGCCCATCGACTGTGAATGGTGTACAGCTTCTTCCACTTGAGGATGGCGCCTCGACGGTCGCACAAGACGTGCTTGTCATTGCGGGAGGAGACGGTGGACAAGTTGTGTCTCGCCTTGCTGGCACCAACGGAGAGTTGGTGTGGTCGCATTCTGATTCGAGCGCCGGCAGCGGATCAACGGTCTCGGTGGCTGCTTCTTCTACCGCTGTCTACTACATTTCCAGATCGAGCGGCCTTCTAGCCGGAGCAAAGGCGAAGGTTGTTGTACTCGATCCCTCCTCGGGCAAGGAGAAGAGTCAATACTCTGTGTCCGTTGACGCGGAGACTCTCATTGGAGGAGACCAGTACTCTGCAGGCTCATGCGCTAACCACCCATTCATTGTCTCCTCCGAGAAGCCCTACAAGACCGTGAAATTCAACCTCCTGGGAAATAACAAGCAGAGCATGTTGACTCTCGAGGCCAAGAATGAGGAGATTGAGTCTCTGGGCATTCAATACGCCTGTGGTCCCTCGGCCCCGTCGCACTTCCTTGTACATGCTCGGACTTCGACGAAAGACTGGGCTGAGGTTTATCACATTGATTTGAAGAGCGGCGACGCTACGAAGGCATACTCGCTCCCCGCCACCGAAGAGAGCAGCAGCTTCACGGCTCAGAACTCGGGCTCCGAAGCCTACTATGTCCGGACCACACCTACCGAGGTAGTCCTCTACTCTTCTGCGTCACACGGCGAACTTGGACGCTGGAGACGGAAGGATTTGACCAAAGCGCTTGAAGGCTTAATCACTCCACTTCTCCATGGCGCAGCGGAAGTGGTCAGCGGCAAAGCTGGGTTCGCTGTCCGCGTTGCAGAGATTGACGCCGATGGCAGCTTCTCCTTGATTCGGAATGGTGAGATCCAGTGGACCCGACCCGAGATGCTTGCGTATGCCATCATTGGATCATGGATCGATGAATCTCCCCAAAGTGCTCTCATCGAAGAGCTCGAGACCGAGGCCTCTGTGTCGCCAATCACCGCATACTTGCATCGTCTGACACGGCATTTCCACGACCTGCAAGGTCTACCAGAGTACCTCAAGGACATTGTGCAGAGCATCACTGCACCTCCAGCCTCGGCTGTCACCGATACCAGGCGACGTTTGGTGGGCGATAACACGGTCGTGCTTGGAACAACCAGGAAAGAGCTAATTGCCGTGGATGCTAGCAACGCCGGAACTGTTGCATGGCGAACAGACCTGTCGTCCAAACTCGCACAAGATGCAGGTTTCATCTACCTCTCTGCCTCAGGGGGCCGAGTGTCCGCCTACCTGTCAGACGGGTCCCTCGTTACAGTCAATGCTACCTCTGGCACTTTCATTGAGTTCCTAGAGGGCACAGTCCCTGCAAGCAGAGTACTCCAAATACCAGGACCGGCTGCACCAATCATTGTCAAGGTTGATGCTGACGGAAAGCCCCGAGTCGCTACAGACTTCGCACCATCCGTCGCATCAGAAGGCAACACCATTGTAACCCTGAGTGAGAGTGGCACAGCCTTTGGCTGGAGCATTGGAAAGGACGCGAAGCGGACATGGACTCTCCTTCCGAAGGCCGGGGAGAAATTTGTTTCAGCCGTTTCTCGTCCCCGCGGTGATGCCGTCGCCTCGATTGGCAAGGTCCTCGGCGACCGCAGCGTACTCTACAAGTATATCTCTCCTAACCTTGCTCTGCTGAGTGCTACCTCCTCCGACACCCTCACCATCTACCTCATTGATGCTGTGACTGGGTCCGTCCTCTACACGACTTCACACTCTGGCATCATCGCCTCTGGCCCCATCCCTACCCTTCTCACCGAGAACTGGCTGGCCTATACGTACACGTCTCTCGACCCCGTCACCTCGGCTCTCACTTCGCAACTCATTGTTGCCGAACTGTACGAATCTGCATCGCCCAACGACCGTGGCGCCCTCGCAAGTCAGACGAATTACTCCTCATACGCACCTGATGCAGGAAGCCGCCCCCACATCATCACACAATCCTTCACCGTCGCCGAACCCATCTCCAACCTTGCCGTCACACAGACCGGCCAGGGCATCACAACGCGCCAGCTCCTCGCGACGCTCGCGCACTCCAACGCCATCGTCGCCATCCCCAAAGAAGTCCTCAACGCACGCCGGCCCGTCGACCGCGACCCGACCACAACCGAGAAGGAAGAGGGCCTCTTCCGCTACTCGCCCACACTGGAGCTCGAGCCACGCAACTTCCTGTCACACGCGCGCGAAGTCATGGGCGTCAAGAAGATTCTCACGACGCCTAGCCTGCTGGAGAGCACGAGTTTGGTGTTTGCGTTCGGCCACGATGTGTTTGGCACCCAAGTGAGCCCGAGTGGGCCGTTTGACATTTTGGGTAAAGGGTTCAACAAGGTGCAGTTGTTGCTGACGATCGTGGCCCTGTTCGTTGGCATGCTGCTGGTGAGGCCGCTGGTGAGGAGAAAGAAGGTTGAGGCCCGGTGGAGGAATTGATGTAGCTGATTCTCGGTCTCGGATTTGAGGATAGGTTAGATTAGACCCCTGCCCGTGGCGGGGTTGAGAGGTTGTTGTACTATATTCCCCACTGACAAATAGAAATACTTGAAGATCCTCGTATTGTTGTTTGCTCTGTTGCATGGTACTTACTTGCAAATGCAATCAAATGTCGTCGACACAGGTTAATCAAAATTTGCTCCACGTCTTTTTTCGACGTAGTCTCATTCACAGAGGGGAAAACACCAATTTCCTCCCACTAACCCTCCCCGCCCTCAGCTCCAGCAACCCCTCCCTCATCACCCCCTCCAACCCCCCCGCCCGCACCTCGACGGGATGCGGCCTCACGATCTTCAGCTTCAGCAGCCTCTCCGCCAGCACCGCAAAATCACGCGCCTCCTCGAACGCGGCGCGGGAGGCCGGCACGACGCGTCCGTCGAGCCAGTCGTACGGCTCGTTGAGGAATGAGTAGCCTAGCGTGCGGACGGTGCGGACTTTTGGGTCGTCGTTGTCGGGGAAAGGGAAGGGGGGCGTGAGGGGCGTGAGGGTGCCGTAGATCTTGCCTACGTGGGTGTCGAGATCGATGTCTTGTTCCGAAGGGAAGAAATCTGGGGGGGCAGAGGGGTCAGGCGGTGGGGAAGCTGGGGTGAGGATCTGGGAACAGAAATGGGTGGTTGAGGGGAGGCCGATGCAGTCGAGGCAGAGGGTGAGCGGGCCGTATTGGGAGGAATTGTGGGCGGCGATGGCGAGGATTTCGGAGGGCGCGGTGGGGGAGTAGTGGTCGAGGACGGCGTCGGCGCCGTAGGAGGAGACGAGGGACTTGTTGTGTGGCGAGGCGGTGCTGATGACGAAGAAGCCGGCGAGTTTGGCGTATTGGATTGTCATGGTGCCCATGGCGGTGCTCCCGCCGTAGATGAGGATCTGGCGGGGGCGGGTGGTGGGTGGGGATAGAGTGCCGTCGGCGGAGACGGTGGGGTAGGGGATGCGGAATTTGTCGAAGAGCCAGCGTCCCGCGGTGACGGTGACGATTCCTAGAGGTGCAGCGTCGGTGAAGGACATATGGTCTGGTATGTGCAGAGCAAGGTCGGCTTTGACGACGATGTATTCGGCGAAGACTCCCACGTCGCTTCGCTCGCCGTCGGTGGGCTTGGACATGCCACAGACGCGGTCGCCGGGTTTGAAGGACCGTTCCACGTCGGGGCCAACGGAAACGACGGTACCAGCCCAGTCGCAGCCGAAATTGTGGCCGGATTTGACGAGCCCGTACTCGAGGACGATATTGTCGGCAGGATTCACGGTTACGGCCGCGGTCTTGACGAGCATGTAAGTCGAGCGGACCTCAGGGAGCGGCAAGTCGTGTATGATGACATTAGTGCCGGTGCTGTCGACTGTAAGAGCTTTCATCGTCGCCATGAAGCATGTGTAATGTCCAGTCCTGGTTCTGCCAGGGTCCCCGTGGCCTGCTCGATGGGTTGAAATTTTCGAGGTGTTTCTGCAACGGTTGACTCAATTCACGAACACACTCAGTTTGCCACGAAGCTCAGCGTGAATTCCAATATATATGTTAAGCCAGACTCGGAGACATTCTTGTATAGTTACCTCGAGGCTTCAACGTTGTCAGGCGTTCCAGAGGGCAAGTCTCCGAGTGCCACGCCATGGTACTGGGCTGCAGTGCTGCCTTTCAGTTACGCCGGTGATTGACTTGGCGGTAGGCCCCGAGCCTGGCGCTGTGGGATTGTCGGCCACATGCTGCCCCGTTCATTCGGTTTGATCTGTGGTTGCTGTTCTGCAATCCGTTCTGGCACTTACCAATAGCTTCGGGTCGTCTATGGGCACAGGTCCCGAAAAAGATGCAGCGTTGCTGTTCACGACAGCATCGTCTGCCATCAAGACTAGATGACAATAGCAACGATGCGAGATGTTGAATCGTAGGTAGAAGGAGAAGTGGTTTCACTAATGTCGCACATGATCGACAGCAGGTCTGCGCAGGAAATAGATAATGCTAAATCCGGGTGACTAAGAGCTGGCATAACTCGCAACCCTCGCAAGCACAAGCGAGGCTATGCACGCTTGATGTTTGTCATGACCAGCACCGCCATGCTGGGGCCTTGGACCAGACTTAAGAATCATGCGGGCCTCTGATGGCGGACTGGCTTGTCACATCGGCCCTCTGATGCACATTTGCCGTCTACAAAGCTTTCTGAGCAAGAACCCACCATCATGGCCCTGATATCGAATAAGCACGATCCAGATAGCTGGTACGGCGTTGAAGATCCGAAACAGCGAAAGAAGATTCAAGATCGGCTGGCCCAACGAGCACGAAGTAGGTCCAATTTCTGACAGGCTCCGTGTTCCTGCGTACTCATTCAGCCGCGTTTAGGGCAACGATTGGCGCAACAGCGTGGGAGCAAAGGTGCCAGTGCCAGTGCCAGGCAGATACGGAAGGCGGCATCAAGCTCCACAGAACCATCTGAAGCAGACATCCTTGCTGTCATTAACAGCCCAGATCGCTCACCGTTAGCCTCGGCCGTCTACGCCGCGCTAAGACCCACCAAGGGTCCCAACAAGGGCGCCATGATTCCCATTGAGGTGCCCCTGACCGTCTATTCGGCGCTCTACAACAATGGCGTGATCCTGGGCTTGACCTGTGCGACTGTCATGCCTCAACGATCCAAGCCAGCACCCCATGCACCTCGCTCATTGCAGCCGACCAAGCTTCAGCTTGAAGCCGTTCATCTCCCATGGATAGACCGATTCCCGCTCCCTCGCTTCCGTGAGAACTTCATTCGGAAAGAAGCCGAGATTAACGAAGAGGAGTTCTTGTTCGACATGTTCAACCTTGACAGCTTCAACCTCAGGCCTGGACGGCAAGGGTGGGATGAAGATGCATGGGTGGTCCATCGAAACTTTGCAAGCAAGTGGGGATTTCTACTGAAATGATGGTCGATTGTACTTTCTGTCCGCCAACTCGGCCGCTACCATCTTCGGGTGTTTCGCTCCGTATTTCAAGCACCGCGGGCCAGAAGCCCCTCCACCGCCTTCACCAGGATTTTACCAATATTCTCCGGCTGGCTGGCATGTGGGTTGTGTCCTGATGCAAATTCGTGGACATCCACCTTGTACTCTCCGCCCTGGCTGACAAAGTCAATCATGCCCTGCTGACCCTCCGGCGGGACGACTTTGTCCAGCGTGGTCTTGATATACGCCAGAGGAACACTCCAGTAGCCAGCATACGACAATTCGCTGGCGTAGCTCGACACCGAATGCATGGAGAATTTCTTGGACTCCTCCACGCCTTGCTCGTGAGGCAGGTCCGAGAAGTTGCTATCAGCAGATTCTTGGTGTTCCAGATACATGTACTCGCCCTGAGTCTAGTTAGCGGATGGCTTCGACGACGCCCTATGTTCGTATGGTGTACTTGCCTCGATCTTGAGATAGGCGGGCGGCTCGCTCATGCCAGCTTTCAGCGACACACCTACCGGGATGAGCAATGCCGCCAAGGCGACGAAACCCACCACAGCTGGTCCCGTTTTGGCGTCAGTGTGCAGGCCTTTGATTGCCTCCGAAGCCACTAGGCCTCCGTACGAATGCGCGATTAGCAAGACAGTCTTGCCGCTCTGAATGATGTCGAGCGCCTTTCCCCGGAAGAGAGCAGCGTCTTCATACATGTCGGCGGATTTCTGGGGCGGCGTGCGAGAGGCAGACGGCAGGTCGTAGATCTCAACCTCGTATCCAGCGGACTTGATGGTTTCGACGACGGTGGTGTAGAGTTTAGCGGGCGCGAACGAGCCGGGGACGAAGAGGATCACGGGGTTGGAAGCCATTTTGATTGTCCGAAGATTCAAATTTGTGCGTTTTTCTTTCTGAAAGGTGATCAATGCTGTTGCTATTGTTGTTGAGCATGAATCTCTGGAGTAAGTACTCCGATTCGAATGTCGAGGATCTCCCGCAGATATATATATCCACATTTCGATTCCTTGCTTGCTCGTTCAGCATCTTGTTACCGTGCACAGGGACCGTCGCAAGCTGACGAGACACAGAGGAGAAGCATGCGAGTCTCACTCTCTCACAGCCCCAAGTCAGAAAGTAGCTACCCTTTAAGCCCACGAGTTCACATCCATGCGGTAGTCTTGAGTATTGCGGCGGATTGATTTCCGTTACATTCTTACCATGTCTTTACTCGGCATTACGAATGGTAACGACGTTGGGGCTCTTGACACTGCTTTGATCTCAGTAGAGCACGGCTGCAGAGCACAACTTGTACTAAGTGTTACTAGAACACATCATAGTACACATCTCAGACTCAGATATGTCAGATAACCATATTGTCGCCCTGATGGATCGGGAATCTGTAGGCAGTAAATGTCTCGGCAAGGAATTCACTGCCTGAAGCAGTCGTACGACCCCACTGTCGCCACCCGTGAATAAAGAAGGCCGCCCCGTCTGAGCCCTGTCGAAGACTTCCAGGCGAGGGCAAGGTCCGTCTTTTCTCGACTTTACATTGTCAGAAAATACACCTCATCCAAATCTACACAAATTTCTCATCTCAACTCGCAACTCTACACAAGGCAGGTCGATCAAGTCTTACGCCCCAGAGGGTTCCCTCCTCGTGGGCCTTTCTGACATAGTGCCGCTATCTCACTGCTTGCTTCGCCCGAAAAACCCAACACATCGCAAAGACAACAAGCACGAGTCAGAATTCGCGCCCGCCAAATTCTGACCAAAACTTGAACAGAGAGCCCCCGGAACAGATCTCCGAACTGGATTGGCACCCCGCCGCCCAAGCGAGGGAGTGATCGCCCACACCAGCACAAAGGCGGCAGAAACGCCAATGTCTGACTCTCCGCCCCAACTACTCTTTGTCGATGCCTATGACTCCTTCTCAGAGAACATCATCGCACTGCTGAGAAACCTGCTCGACGTGGTGGTTTACGACATCAAAATCGACACCGACATCCCCCGAGATTTCGGGCTGTCTGAGGATGCCTTCTTCCGGCAGTTTCACGCCATTGTGCTTGGTCCAGGGCCGGGCAACCCGCTGAACAACAGCGATGTTGGCCTGTACAAGGCCGTGTGGAGGATTGCTGCTACGCACAGTATCCCGGTATTGGGGATATGTCTTGGCTTCCAGAGCCTGTGTATTGCTCAGGGCATGGAGATCCGCCGCCTGCAGATGCCGTGCCATGGTCATGCGAAGGCGATTCGGCATCGTTGTCAGGACATCTTCCGTGGCTCAGGCGTGCTGCTTGCCACATGCTACAACAGCTTGGGAGTGCGACTACAGCAGAGAGAAGAGACGTTGTTCTCAAGGCCCAGCTCGCCGGATTCAGGCTATGATTCTAAACCGGTGTCGTCCAGAACATCATTCGAGGCAGAGCACGGAGTCACAAACACTGGTGGCGAATGCAAGACGTTGGAAATTTTGGCCTGGGACGATGACGGCTGGATCCAGGCTGTGAAGCACCTGACCCAGCCATTCTGGGGTCTGCAGTTCCACCCTGAGTCGTGCAAGTCGAACGAGGCTTGTCACAAGGTTCTGCAAAACTGGTGGAACGACGTGGAGACATCAAATGCCGAACTCAGACCGCCGCTACTCGCAAGATCGATGCCATCAAAAGGCATTCAACGATCTGCTGAGCCGGTAAAATCTGAGCTAGATCATATGTCTGCGATACTGGCTCAGCTCACGCCTTTGCCCAGCACCGATGGTGTCCAATATGAGGAGCTGCAACTATGTTTGAGCAGAAACGATATTGCAAACCTTTGCTACGAGCTCTCACTTCACGAGCACGTGTCCATGTTGGAGTCGTCCAAAAAGGGTCGCTACAGCATCTACGCAGTCACCGACCAGTCAACCTGGACGTTGGAATATGCTCAGAACCACACAAGAATCATCACAGACGAAGTGATTGAGAGCCAGCGAATGAATCTCACAGATGCAATGAGTCTCGTGGAGGCCTTCATGTCATCGCGGCTGATTTTGGACGGCCCAGAAGACTCTCCTTTTTGGGCTGGCCTGGTAGGCTACTTCTCCTACGAGCTCGGCCTCGACCTCCTCAACATCGCCGATCCACTTCAGAGCCCACCCCCACGGGACGTCCCAGACTACAGCTTGATGTGGGTGGAACGCAGCATCGTCGTTGACAAAGAGACCGGCACCATCTACGTACAATCCGTACGGCCTGACGACGCCGCCTGGATCGCCTCGACATCCTCCCACATCAAGCATCTCTCCACCGCCTCAGCACCAACCCCGTCCCCCAAGCTTGACCTTAGCGACGCCCAAATCACGCCACCTTCCCACGCCCACTACACCTCCCTTATCTCGCAATGCCAGGATCACCTCCACGCCGGCTCATCCTACGAACTCTGCCTCACAACCTCCACGCCACTCTCCCTCCCAGCCCTCCCGCCCTTCTCCCTCCACCAACACCTCCTAAGGCACAACCCCTCGCCCTACTCCGCCCTCCTCCTCCACCCCTCCATAACAATCCTCTCCTCCTCCCCCGAACAATTCCTTTCCTGGCCGCGGCCCACCTCCACCTCCCCAGACACATCCCTGTCCATGATGCCCATGAAAGGCACCCTCGCCAAGACCCCCGGCATGACCGCCGCCTCCGCCGCGGCCCTGCTCGCCACCCCCAAAGAAGAAGCCGAAAATCTCATGATCGTGGACCTGATCCGCCACGACCTACATCGCGCGCTCAACAGCGACAGAGGCAGAAGCGGCAGCAGCAGCGACAACCAATCCCAACTCCAATCCCACAGCAAAGTCCAGGTCATCAAGCTCTTCGAGCTCGTCGAAGCCGAAACCGTCTACCAACTCATCTCGCACATCCGCGGCACCACTCCAGCACCACCACCACCTTCAACAACGTCCCCACCCACAACCTCCCCTGACTCTCCGAACCAGCACAACCACAACCTCCTCCTAAAAGCAAAGCGCAAAACCCTCACAACAGCCCTCACCACCCTCCGCGCCACCCTGCCCCCAGGTAGCATGACGGGCGCGCCCAAAAAAAGGTCCTGCGAGATTCTACGCGGCCTCGAGAACCGCAATCGCGGTGCCTACGCGGGTGTATTGGGGTATTTGGATGTCGGGGGTGGTGGAAGCTGGAGCGTGGGGATTCGGTGTGCTTTTTCGCCCAACACTGCCAAAGACAGGGATTCAAGTGGTGGCGGTGGTGCAGCAGCAGGAGGGGAAGGGGAAGGGGAGCCAGAGGGGGAAGGGAGGAGCAGGAGACAATGGCACGTCGGCGCCGGCGGCGCCATCACGGTCCTCAGCGATGTCGAGGGCGAGTGGGACGAGATGCGCGTCAAGATGGAGAGCGTGCTGCGTGGCTTTCGTGGCGGCTAGCGGCTAGCGGCTAGCGGCTGATCTCTACGCTAGACTGGAGGCTGATACAATGGGCAATGGCTCCCAAGCATGTTGTTTGGTCGGGCGTGTCGATACGTGCTAGGAAAGGGGGGAGGGTCGTATGTGGCGACGTTGTCTTTCGCATCCTGAGCGCTATTTTCTTGCTGCGATGGAACAGGGCGGCCTCCAAGGGGAATGTTTCCTTTCACATTTCAACAGTTCTCATTTTCAACAACTAGGGGCATCCATCATACCACTGGATTCGAGAATTGGTGCTGGCAGAGGCAGGCCTTTTGTGCGGAAAATAAGGCATCGCAAATGGAAGGGGGCGGCAAGGGGAATGGGCCTTCAACATTGGAATAGAGCGGCATTCGCTATGCTAACGTTGGCGGCGGCGGCGGCGGCGACAGCGTGAGCCAGGTACTTCAACAATACTGAGATACCTCTGTTATGAACCACAAGTCGTAGGATAGATATCTGAATGCAGAGAGAGGAAGCGATTTCCGAGTAAAGAGCGAGAGAGACTTTGTACATTCTATACGCTCCTGCTCTCGCTATACCTATAAGAGCAGTGAGCGGTGCCAGCCCTAGACGTCCCCAGTACATCTATCTATTCCAGGAACTCCGAGGCTCCCACGTCTTGCCCTCCTGGACCCCGAACCCAACATGCTCCTGAAACGCCGCGCTGAACCGAGGCCTGTCGTTATGGATCGTTGCACACTCGCCTCGAATTCCTAATCCACCAAGTTGTTTGGCTGTTGCTGGACCGCAGCCGAATTCCTCTTATTGGAGATCTCCCCCAGCCAAGCCACAACTTTCCCAAAGTACGACGAGACGAAGCCCTCGGTGTAGTAACTGTGGTCGCTGCTGTGGTCGCCAACCAGATTGTGCGCCAGCTCGTGACACAGGATCACCCACCAATAGACAAACACAGTTCCATACTCACCAATACCGCCATCAGCCAGTAGCTTCTCGTGCAGTTTTTCAAAGTAGAAAAAGTTGCAGAAAATACTTCCTTGGCGATTGAAGGCGATGGTCTTGCCATTCGTCTCGTAAAAGATGTTGAGGATCTTTGGGTCGAGGCTGAATACCGCCCCCACGTCCTTTAACAGCGTAGCAAAGGACTGAAGGCCAGCTGAGTGCTGCGTCAGGAACGCAGGCCGAACCGCATCCGGGAATGCCGTTGGTGAAAGAAATATGGTTATGCCATGCTTCATCTCCGCGGCTGCGGTCAGGTCATGCGCCGGATGCTCATCGCAGTAGGACTTGGTTTCGGAGACTGTATTTGTCTCTCCCCTGGAATACAGCTGACTGGAAGTATGAGGGCGAGCCTTTTTGATGGCACTGAGAAGGTTCTGTTGGAGTTGATGGGGTGCAGTGACTCCTGCGCCAGCCTGCTTCTGAGTTTTCTTCGTACTTGTGTCATCCGCGCTGTATGGCGGTGGAGCGTCACTCTGCGCTGAAGGTACCGCATCCGGTAGTGGATCGGGCTGTCGACCAAACATCGATTGAATGTGGCGATTGTTGTTCAGTCCGAATTGACGCGATATATTGGAGAGCAGGTTTCGCGGACCATGCCGATCATCACTGTCATCCGTCGGTAGCACGGAGCGGTCTGGCAACGCTCGTGAATCTTTCCCGTCTGGTGAGTCCGGGAAGCCGCCAGGAGGAGCTCCTTGTTTACTCCCTCGCGTTGCAACTTGCTCATGAGCGGCATCCCACGCCTTCTGCTGCTCTTCAATACGCCTGCTTTCTTCTTCAAGCTCCTGTTGCCGCTTACTCTCTGCAAGGCGTGCTTCAGCTGCTTTCTGTCGCAGTATTCGAGACACGTTGAATCCACGAGCACGTAGATCGAGCAAGTCAGTCTTGAGGAGCATCTCCAGTGTTAGTGCTGAGTGGGGTTTCGGCCGGTTCAATAGCAGATTCACAAGAGCTTGACTGACTTGATACAAATCAGGCCGTTCGCCACTCACCCACAAGGTATATTCGCGATTGACTTGGGTGACAACAGCAGTCCGTTTCTCGGTATGAGTAACATTACGACCTTTGAGTGATCTGCGAAGTGAGATAGAAGATACCAGCTGAACATTGAGATTCTTCTCGAGCCATTTCGTGTCGTGCTTGATTGAGTCTGGTGGCTGGTCATGCAAGAACAAGCGAGATCTTTCGAGGATCTGCTTTTGAAGTCTCAAAGCAGGCTTCTGATCCGGCGCCCGTGGGCCATGCCGGGCTGCTTCTTCGACGAGCGAACTCAAGACAGGAGAACCAAGCGCGAAATAGAAGTCCTCAAGAGTTTCCTCCTGAGGAGCAGCCAGGACGCTAGCTTTGAATAAGCTGTAGTTGATGTAATCATCAACAATGATCGCATCTTCTGCCTTACATAGTTGGAACTCTCGGATGCCTTGGGCCTCGTCGTCTTCCAGATCGTCGAGATCATCTGCACGAGTGACGGTTTGCTGGGCCTTCGACTGCTGCGCCGGGAGTTCCTTACTTGCGAGAAGAAAGGGAGACTTCTTCATCTCACGCCAGAGATCCTTGTTCTTCTTCAACTCGGCCACACTATCAGCCATGTTACGAAGAAGCGCAAGATATTTTTCAGGGCTTCGAAACGTGGACGAGATCCGAGCAGGCTCGCGAACCAATATCTGAGCAACTTCGGGTTTGGTGGGCTCGAGCTTGGATCCACACCTGATGAGGAACGAGTTTGCTGCATTTCCAAAATCAACGAAGTCGAAAATACCACCAAATGTTTCACTCTCGCCTAGAAAGCATGATTGTGGAGTAGCGTGGCGGGTGGCCAGTGTCTTTTGCTTGTCGCGCGAGAAGATTGGAACGAACGGCAGCGTCCTTAGGCGCGGTATTGTAGATCCATCAATCTCGCTCAGCCGGCCAGCAAAATAGCCGAATACGGCTCTTGCTTCTTGATGTGTTGTCGGTGGTCTCTTTGCAAGGATGGTGATACAGTCAGCCATGGGTGGGTGGATTGCAACCCCCAATTTCGAGGCGTGCGGGACCCAATCCCGCTTCAGCACATCATAACCCAGCAACGCAGCTCCCTCGTCAACGTAGCATTGGGACGGAGTCGCTAGCTCCTCCGGCTGCCGCTCAAGGGGTAAGAACGGTACTTGGACGCCAGCATAGTTGAACCTCGCATATCCATCGGCATGATGATGGGAGAGGAAGTAGATCAGGGCCTTGTCTCTGAGCTCCAGATCTCTTGTTGCCCCAGCTCTAGCCATGGTGTTGATAAGCTCTTCCGCTGTGGGAGAAGTCCTCAAGCCGAGAGCAGATAACAATCTACCCTCGGGGCTTCCACCGCGGAAAGGACCTTGCCACTGGAGGACTGGTAGACCCAGGTCGCGCAATTCAGCTCTTGGCTCGAATAATTCAGATACTTTGTACCTTTTCGAATCTTGAATCTCTTCGCATTTGATGGATCGAGGACAGATAGGGGTGTTTCTCAGTCTTTGGATGTCCTGGCCCGGGATATCATCCCTCACCGATGCGAGATATTGTATCAGGTCGATGTGACTCCACTGAGGCTTTTCGTCTTTCTTTGTGCGACCGTCAAGCGCAAGGAGACGATCGAAGACGACGCCTAGCTCGATGGTTTTGCGAACGCCAAGGGCAACAAGAAATTTGTCTTTGACGGCGCCCAGGCTGACGATGGTCGGTAAATCATCGAAGAGCTTCACATTGGGGAAGTAGGATTCGGCTGGTTTCCGCATTCCTAGTTTCGTTGGAATGACTGTCTGGATAGCCAGAGTCTCGAGTAGAGAACTCTTCGACGATTGGCTCAGCGAATCCCACTGCTTAGAGAGAAGTGGCAGGATCTGTGAAGCGAAGGCCTTACTGCCGGTGAGATCCTTCTCTTCGGATAGTATGTTACGGTCTTTCGAGACTTGGATCAACCATCGAATCCAAGGGACGATCTGCAATTCCTGCCAGCCAATGCTTTCCAACTCGTGTTTGCTCATACTCTTCGTGAACTTGAATGGCATCACGGTTGGAGGGATCGGCAAATCCACGGAAATCTTGCTAGCGTTCAAAAAGTGTTGCATATCTCCCAAAACGAGGACTTGCGACGGAATACCTTCACTGCTCTCGTCATTGGCAATGGCAACGGATAGCAAGCTCTCCACCGTAGCTTTATCAAGCTGACCTTTGGTGGCCTGCTTGGTTAGCCAAGACAGAAATTCTGAAACTTGGGTGGCCGTGAGGGGGGTAGATTCTAGTGATTTTTTGACGTCAGAAACAGTGACTTCGGTGATCAAGCCAAAGTCGATCAATTTGTCGATAAAGCTCTTCGCTTCCTTCACCAGAGCCTCCGGTAATATTGGGATGCCGTCCATGAAACTGAGATCTTTGGGTGCCATTCGCACATCGTGTGTTTGAAGGACACCGCAGCTCGACAAGACTTCGATGGAAGCTTTCTTACCACACGTCCAGAATGCATCCTCGAGTATCTGTCCAGTCTTGGACGCAGGAGTCGATTCTCGGAATGTAAAGTTCTTGAACATGGTGGTGGCCTCGGGGAGGTAGGGCTGCACGTTATCCATCTTGACTTTCCGCTGACCTTGCGCATGGCGCGCGATTTTGTTCCCCAGCTCCGACATCTCGGCTGACCAAGCAATCCTGCAAACGATACCCGCGGCTCTGAGCATTTCGATGTTCCATGTTCGTACATAGCGCGCGTTCAAGTCAATAGACTCACGCTCCACCGTCGGAATGACAGATGGTGCTGAGATGTGCGCATTCAAACCGGTAGTTTGATGCGTTGGGAAGCCAATGAAGATCTTGCCGGACCTTGACGGCAGGACAGAGCCAAAGATGTCACCGGCAGACTTTGTCTTCGCAACGGTGTCGTTTTCAATGTATGGTGCCGTAAGTATGGCGAGCTTGGTGTACTTGGGTGGTGGCTTTTTCGTCGCGCGTTCTAGCTCCTCGTTGAACTTCTGACCGGTAAATGTCTTGATTGTCGCGGTATTGACATTCAAAAACACAGTCGCTGACACTTTGGTGGCAAGTCCATCGTTTTGATTGTCCTCACCAGAGGCTGACGGCGGACGCACCTGCTCCTCAGGAGCTGCTCCCGCCAGCCGCGAGAAGAATTTCCTGAGGGACGGACCGCTATCTCGCTCATTAGTTCGACTCGTGCTCGTCTTGGGGGCGGTCCACCCAACGATTTTCATCCAGCTGCCGTCAATCTGCGCCACCTGCTTCGTGACAGCGGTGACCTTCATGAAGCCCTCACTAGTCTTGGGTTCAATGTCTCGGGGAATAGCAACATCTAAATTTGGTGACGCCTTTTTCTGTAGCGATAGTATGTTGTGGTCATCTATGAAGAAATCGATATTCTCCAGACCGACAAATGTCAAACTGCTTGAAAGAAATTGAGCTAGGGGTAGCAATGGCGGCACAGGGGACGTTGTGTCCCGGTAGTCCAGAACAAATGTTGTGTCTGAGCTCGCATCCTTTTCGGGTAGCCGGAGTCGTCGTGTGAATAGGCTGTTGTTCTTCCAGAAAAAGGCCATGGCTTCACGTCCGGAAGACACGAATGGCTCCTCACAGTCTGCAAAGACTGAGTAGAAGCCAACACCAAAAGCACCAATCTTAGTCTCATCAGGATTGCCTTCTGCTATTCTCTTCAATCTGGACCAGTCCTTCTCATTGAACACCTGCCCATTGTTGGAAACAACTAGTCTCTTGAGCGTATGATGTTGTACAGTATGCTTAAGAATGTTCGAAGGGGACTGCTCCTGAGGTAAGGGCACCGCAGCAGAAGGAATGGTCTCGAACTTGACTGTAACCTTGGTTGCAGTGGCGTCCGCGGCGTTCTGTAACAACTCGCGCAGCACAGTCCATTCTCCCGAATAGCGTGCTAGGACTTTGTCTATCAAAGCTCTGGTGTTGACAGTGACCGCCTCTTCGTCGAAGCCGGAGCCCATGGTTTGGGCACGCAGCGCGTTGTAGTCCATGATGCAGACGCGGTCGGACAAGTCTATTGTGCTAGGGAAGTGCAATTATAGGTGTTGCTGGACGGTGCTTGGAAGTACAAGCAGTCGACGTCTCGAGTGTGGCGCAGAACCTCATCGAAGACCATCTCAGTGACTGGCGAAGTACCGGTACTTTCGCTGTCTGAGTGGCGGCCCTCGGGGCAACAGATGTTTGAAGGCAGTTTTAACACTGGTACATGGAAAAGAATGTATATTTTTGGGAGCCAAGTCCTAGACCATAGTCCTGAGGAATAGAAAGTACCGCTAATGTCTAACACAGGCTGATTCAAGGCATGATAAGTCTATGGGGCCTCTCACAAGGCAGGCATCGACGCGCAGTCCGACGTATGCGGGAGGCGCACTCGGAGATAACCTCCTCTTTCTCCGGGGCGGTCGGGGGCCACTAGACTACATCCGTATCGCGAGGCGCTCACGCTGCCTTATTGCTCTTCCATCTGCCACGTACTCGTGACCCGAACTCAACAGCCGTACGAGAACGGCACGAAGACGCCTTCAGTGTTGCTTGACTGCTGACTGTCGTCCAATGCATTCGAAAGGGCAAAGTGGGTAACAATGTGCGGTCATAGCCTCTCCAACTGGCGATAATCACCTTGAACGGGAGCCGACTATGGGTTACGATCCTTACTGGCCAACATGCTTGGCTTCCGTCAACGTCCTCTGTGTGCCAGCTGTTACCACTACGCCCTCGAGATTTGATGAAATCTTCAGAGCCCTGAGCTCCGTCAATCATGTTGACTTGGAGGACCTAGCAGATGGAGAGGACTTGGGCAACGGTACGAAAGCTGAACGCTATTGAGGATACAGACAGGACTGACTAAACCGAGACCTCATCAACGCTTCCGATTTTCGCAGAGGAGTGGCATTCCTCGACTACTCAAAGGAAAGCGGCAGTGCGCGTGTAGAACGCTTTCCCATGGAACCCAATGCTGTGCCGCAGGTTGTCCTTGGCATCTACGATGCCACCCATAGCAGCGACGCGGTAGCCACCGATGACGAGACCAAAGGCGCCGAGGCTGATGACTTGATGAGCCTCAGCCAGCGCCTCGAAGCGACTTTCTCAAAAAGCCGAGGCGACCGGCTCTGCATCTTGTTAGCGATCGGACAAGAAACGACTAGTGCAGGTGCGGTAATCGCCTCTCCCAGTCTTGACCAAGCACCGATTTACAACGCTGTGAAGCTTGTCTATAAGTCTCTGGTCACGCACCTGTGTGCCGTGACGGAGTCTCTTACCAACTTGGAGTTTTTGAATCCGTCCCTGCCTGCACCCTCAAACTCGCAACCTGAGCAGCATATCAATGGCAGCCCCAGCCCGCTCCAAGCGGACCAACATCCACCTGAAAATTCGTCACAGGAAGTGCGCAAAGGCCGATATACCTTCGTGATTGGTCTGCTGAATTTGTATGCTGGCGCATGGCCTGACGCGATGCGGCGCCTAGCTGAGGGAGCGATGCTGGGTCGCGAGAACGGCGACTCTCTTTGGCAGGCTCGGGCGCTTGAGTGTCTTCTAGTATGCATGCTGCTTCTCGCATGGCGTGGAATCGATTTCGATGTTCCCGAAGTTTGCGAGCAGGCTTACAATGCCTCTCAGATGATGTCTAGATCCTCAATGTTTGCAAGACCAGCGAGCATCGCACTCCCTTCGCAAGCTAAATCCGAGGCTGATTTAGCGCCCATTCAGAAGTGGTCGAAGTACAGTCCGGTCGTCGCACAGGCAATCCTGAGCGTCTACAGTAGCCTTGCTTCAACTATGGGTCAACAACTACCCCCCACACTTGTCACCGAGTCCCGTATAAGAGTTATTAATCTACTCATCTTCTCCTCTAATGAGGTGACATCTTCGCAGCGTCAGGCCCTCGACCTCTTCATTCTCCGCCGAGAGCACCCGGCTTCGTCTATCAAATCGAGCACGTACGCCTCAACAACTTCTATCGGCGCAAACATTCCCACCTTGTTGCTTGAAAGCCTGCCGTCCTCCAATGATGGACTGGCCGACCCAGACCACGTCGCAGCAACTATAGCGATCGTCAGCGCTCTTTCATCATTGGGCTCGCTACGTAGACATGCCTTCACACTACGAAACTTGCTGCAGCGTCTTGCGCCCACCTTGATGCGAGCAAGGAAAGTGGGTGCTTCAGAGGCAGGCGTCCACCCAGAGTCAGCCTTTGCTGTGACAAGCAACACCCGGCAGACGTCGCCAGGAGAACCTCGCACTGGTCTACGCCCTCTGCTTCAGGCCACAACATCTGCGTACGGCATCGCGGTACCGGAATCTGTGTCAAGCCAGGCCGACGAGGTTCTGAGCAAAAGCCGAGTGACAGAGAATCTCTCATCATGGTGCCAGCACCACTTTGACGGAGATATCCTCCTTAAAATCGATGTGCTGTTGCAATGCATCTCGGTCTGCGACGCCTTACCAGATCCCTCTCAGGGTTTGTTGTTCACATCCACATTGCTTCGACTCTCAATACAGAGCGTGACGATTTCGACCGTGGCACCCAATTCTCCCCCCCATATTCCCGCCAAGGAACAGAGTCGATTGCTAGAATTCATCAAGCGGACCGCCGATCCTGGACGAACGGATGCCAATATGCTACGTGCCCCGTACTGGGATGACTTCCTTGTACGCGATGTTCAGGTGTTTCAGCCGCCTGGCGGATCCACGCTGAACTCGCATGCACCTAGCGAATTGTCTTTGGCTGATGATCAGTCTAGCAGCAGCGTCAGAGATCCCTTCATCTTCAACCCCTTTGCGAGAAACACGACTATACAGGCCGCGCCAGTCGTTGTAGCAGGCGAAATAATTGTATTCACGGTGTTACTCCAGAATCCCCTTGAGGCTGAAGTCGACATCACCGATATTGCTCTAGCAGCAGAAGGATGCGACTTTGAGCCAGGTCATCATAGCCTAGTGCTGGGCCCTTCCTGTGCCCAGCACTTCACATTAACCGGCAAAGGACTGAAGAGCGGTTTCATCAAGATCATCGGCTGCACTGCCACGGTGGCAGGCTGTCATTCGCAGACGTTCCCAATATTCAAGTCGGAGTGGCGAACGCCGCTGAGGGTGAAGCAGACAGTCTCGAACAGCGGACGGCGAGAAATACCTCGACTCTTCTCAGACACTGAGCTCAATGCTCCCGAGGCACATACACTTTCCCTTACTGTGATTGATCCTCAGCCACGACTCGAAGTGCTTTCTTCTAGCCTTACACAACCTTCACTGATGCTGCTTGAGGGCGAGAGAAGGACATTTGAGTTGAAGTTGAAGAATGCTTCCGCAGATGTGGCATCAGACTTCCTACTACTATCTTCTAACGACAGTGTATCCAAGGGGTTACGAGAAACCTTGAATCGGAAAGACCTACTACCAGTTGATACATATGAGGTTCAACATCAATTAAAATACCGACCAGTAGTGCAGGTCTCCGATGCACATCTTGCGGGTCAGCCAAGCACTGGTCCGCAGCAAGTTAAGTCCTTTGCGTTCAGCATTTGGGGCAGACCTGGGCTTTCAGATGCTTCGATACACATCGACTTCGCGCATTTAGGCAGACCACACTCAGAGATTCGCCAAACATTCTACACCCGGCAAGCTCGCTTCCCTCTATCTCTGACCGTCAACGGCAGTATTGACATTGTACGTTGCAATGTGTTGTCGGTTCAGGGCAGCTCGCCTTCGACGACTCTTTTCCGTGACAAAAATGACCTCCATACAGAGTCTACGGGCACATCCAACGGCGTCCATGATACGGTCCGGCGATGTTCGAATGGTGTTTGCATGCTGACGCTCGACCTTCGCAACGTGTGGCCCGAACCGCTAGCAGTTGAGCTGAAGTCCAACCTGGCCAATGCGCCCGTGACCGCCAACGGAACACGCACTGAAGACGATGGTTCATATATCGTCAGTGAGACCATCCAGCCGGGCCACATCAATCGAGTTGTGCTGATCGTGCCGCGACTCTTCATCCGAAACCCATTTGCACCCATTCCCAATTTGGATACGAAACGCCAATTCGTGGTCAGCGCGTCGAAAATGAGCCTCGAAGCCGAAGCTGCTACTCGGGAGAATTTTTGGTACAGAGAGGAATTGCTGAAGCACTTGACGGGGACATGGAAAGAGGTTAAAACAGGACGGAGCGGCGAAATTGATCTCAGGAAGGGCATTCGTCTGAATCTCAACGCTCGGATGATCGATGTTCTGCGTGTTGATCATGTTGACCTGAGCTACTCGCTTGCTCCAAAGAGCTCATCGGCCGAAACGTCTCCAGTGAAAGAGCTCGAAGACAGCCACTACACGCTGCGTACCGAGTCTTTCGCCATCCTCCGTGTCCACGTCCGCAATCGGTCGGATGACAAGCTGGCGTTGCTGCTTCGCCTCCAGCCTTCCCTCCGAGACCAGCCACACAACGTAGCACTAGATCTCTCTCGCCGTCTCGCGTGGTCCGGGGTTCTCCAACAAGTCTTGCATCCACCTCTCGAGGCTGGAGATGAACGCACGGTGGAGCTCGGGCTGGTCGCCTTTGCTGAAGGACTCTACGACATCAATGCCACAGTCGAAGAAGTCAAACCTCGCCGCAAGACCATGGCAGATCCCTCAGACGGCCTAGGCCTTGATGGGCACCGCCGATTGTGGCACGCTCGGTCTCCCTGTCAGATCGACGCTGCTGATGCACCAGCATCCACCTAGTAGTACCTCAAATGACGTTCAGCACCAGATCAACGAGCTGCAAGAACACCTCTCGGTCCGTCTCCGCCTTCGCTAACCCGAGCCCTAGCATTAGGCTCCGAGTCTCGCCGGGCGTTTTGGTCGTGATGGCATGGGCGATTTGAGCTGCAAACAAGTGACCGGTCATTTCTCGTTCAGGCCCACCGGCGCCGAGCAGGGTGCGCGGCACGAAGCGGGTGGAAGGCATCAGAGCGTCTTCCTCGGATTGGGCAGTTTGGAAAAAGGGGTCACCAGTCGTTGGATTGTCGGACAGGAGGGGGACCGTGACCTGACAGTGTCAGTAATAGATCTGGCTAATGCACATGTAGAGAAGGCGAACCCATTGGGCCAGACGACCGTTTTGCGTGACCGTGATCATGATCTTGTCAGAGAAGGAGATGGAGCTGACATCCGTCTTGGTGCCGTTGATCTCGCCCGCCGCCTGCTTGGATGGGGCGGGGAAGGGGAGGTTGCTGTCCATCGCAAAGGTCTCTTGGGGCAAGCCCATGACCTTGTAAGAGAAGGACTTTGCTGTAGCCCCACGTTACTGGCTCTTCTGATGAGGAGCGCCGTGAATTGAAAACTATCAAGAAGACTTACAAGGCCTTGAATAAGTACCGTGACATTTGACGTTTGTAGACCAGACCAAGATCACGTGATGACACACCGCTTTTGCGGGAACATCTCCAATGCTGCCGAGAGGCAGTGATTTTTCTGACCGTCGCTCTAGCCTAGACCTTGCGCAGCGGCCGTACATTGGCCCCCTAGGTGACCTCAGCTACGGGGACCACGATGTTTAATAAAGTCTTTCAGTAATACTACAGATCTTTACCATAATCCATGGCCCCTTTCACACCGAAGCCGCGCAAGCAGAAAGCGCGGCGCGAGGCCGCCGCCGCCGCAAACGCTCATGGCACGTCCCATGACGCCAATGCCACCGTCATCCTGCCGCACACCGCCTCCAAAGCGGAGCGCGACGAGAAAAAGCGCCAAATGCGAGAAGATCTGAAGAGGGAGCAGGCCAGTAAACCGTCGGCGAAGAAGGCGAAGCGTCTGGACAAGTATATCGAGAACAAGCTGCGGCGGGATGAGAATTTGGAGGTGTTGCGCAAACTGGAGGCGGAGAAGGTGAGGGAGGATGAGAAGAGGGCGAGGGAGGGGGGGTTGGGTGCGGGATCGAAAAGGGGCCTCGAGGCGTCAGATGAGGGGAGGAAGCGGGAAGGGAAGCGGAGGAAGCACGTGCATGAGGTTGTGGAGGAGGATGGGCCAAGTGATGTCACCGAGGATGAATTTGAGGAGCAGCATCCGCAGGCTTTCGGGCTGGATGCTGCTGAGAAAGAGACGGCGGTGTCAACTGCGCCGATTGGGGGTGGGTTGGCGAAGCCTTTGGAGATCGGAGCGGACGGCTTGCCGGTTATTGAGATGAGATCTACGAAGAGGAGGAAGAATAGAAGGAAGACGGCTCAGCCGGAAACGGAGCTTGACTCTGACGAGGAGGTTGATCTTCAACCTACGCGGGCGGAGCGGGAGACCCATGAGGATGAGGACGAGTGGGGCGGCTTCTCGGATGGTGAGGAGGCGGGGCACGACCAACAGGACGAGAGAGCGAAGAAGATGGAAATCATCAAGCAGATCCTTGCACAAGAGGAGGATGGGTCAGAAGGATCAAGCATGGATTCAGAAGATCAGGACGAAGACGAAGATGAAACCGAGACGGATGACGAGAACGAAGACGAGGACACGGACCCTACGAGTGAGCACGAATCTGAAGACGGATCTGACGTCTCGGAGGCATCCGGCGGCGCAAAGATCAAACCTCGCGCATCGGCGTTCAAAGCGTGGGCTACTCAACAGCTGAATCAGTCTTTGGGCCACGTCCCGTCCTACGAGGCTGGAAATCTGCCGACACAGACCATTCAGCAGAATCTACGGCCTGTGCAGAAGCAGCCTGTTATCAACCCGATTCTCAAGTCTGTTCCAGAGTCCACCGAGCCAACAAGGAAAGCATACGCCGTCCACGTCGAGCGGGACCTGGAGCTGCAGGGCTCTCGCTCACAGCTCCCCATTCTCCAACGAGAGCAAGAGATCATGGAAGCCATTCACAACAACCCGGTCGTGATCATCAAAGGCGATACCGGCAGTGGAAAAACAACACAGATCCCCCAGTTTCTGTACGAATCGGGGTTCGGGTCAGCCGAAGGACCAACACCGGGCATGATAGGCATTACACAGCCTCGCCGTGTTGCGGCCGTGAGTATGGCGAAGCGGGTTGGTGACGAGCTCGGTGATCATGGCAGCAAGGTGGCTTATCAGATTCGGTTTGACAGCAATGTCTCTACAAGGACCGCGATCAAGTTCATGACGGACGGCATACTGCTGCGAGAACTGTCTCAGGATCTCCTTCTCCGGAAGTACTCTGTCATTGTCATTGACGAAGCTCATGAGCGGAGTGTCAACACCGACATACTGATCGGTATCTTGAGCAAAGTCGTACCAGCACGAATGCGGAAGAGCAAGTTCAACCCGAATCCGACGCCCCTGAAGCTGATCATCATGTCGGCGACTCTGAACATCTCTGACTTCTTCAATGACCGCTTGTTTGAGTCTGGCGCGAAGCCACCTGTGGTGGAGGCAGAAGGTCGGCAACATCGAGTGACCACTCACTTTTCGCTGCGGTCAAGGCCCGACTACCAAGACGAGGTGGTTGAGAAGGTCCGGAGAGCTCATCGAAAGTTGCCTCGTGGCGGCATGTTGGTCTTCTTGACTGGCCAGAACGAGATCCGGCAAGTCGGCGATCGTCTGCAGAAGATGCTGGGACGGACTGATGGCACAGAACTCGACAACGGCAAAGTCAAGGTCCAGCTTGCGTCGAGCGAAGTGCCGCTAGAAGTCGAAGACATGGAAATCGAGACCACCAAACAAGGAGACCAACCAGACGATTTCGATGATGTCGAGTTCGTGACCGGATCCGACGACGAGGACGCAGAAGACGAGTTCGACATCTCCGATGACGAGGAAAACGAACAGGACGAGCAGGCCTCTGCAATGGCTAAACCCAAAGTATCGAAGGATCCATACACCGGCGTGCACATCCTCCCGCTATATTCTCAGCTTCCAACCTCGCAACAACTCCGCGTCTTCGAACCCCCACCACCGCACGCGCGCCTCATCGTCCTCGCCACCAACGTAGCCGAAACCTCGCTGACTATTCCGGGCATTCGCTACGTCTTCGACACCGGCCGCTCCAAGGAGCGCAGATACAATCTCGCCACCAGCGTACAATCCTTTGAGATCGACTGGATCAGCAAAGCCTCCGCCTCACAACGTGCGGGTCGCGCGGGCCGCACAGGCCCCGGCCACTGCTGGCGGCTGTACACCAGCGCGGTGTACGAGCAGTTCTTCCCCGAGCACGCCACACCCGAGATCTTGCGCACCCCGGCGGAGAGCATCGTGCTGCAGCTCAAGGGCTTCGAGTATCCGAAGCCGGTGGCGGAGTTTCCGTTCCCCAGTGCGCCGGACATGGACACGCTCGTCAAGGCGGAGAGGCTGTTGAAGAACCTGGGCGCGTTGACGGTGCAGGGTAAGATCACCGAGCTGGGGCAGCAGTTGTCCGTCTACCCGCTGTCGCCGAGGCTGGGGAAGATTATGTCCAAAGGCGTGCAGCAGGAAATGCTGCTGAGCCAGGCCATAGCCCTCGTGGCGGGACTGGCGGTGCAGGAAATCTTCATCAACGATGCGCACCTCGACTTGGCCACGAATGACGCAGCAGATGGGAAAGTGTACGGGTGGGAGCAACAGCAGGAAGACGAGGCACGAGATCAGCGGAAACAAGCATTCGGTCGCGCGAAAGCGACGTTGAGCAAGCACGACAGGATGTCCGATGCGATGAAGCTGCTCAGTGCTGTAATGATGTACACGGCGGCTACCGACAAGGAGGCTGTCTGCCAGGAGTTCTTCCTCCGTCCCAAGGCGATGGCTGAAGTCGCGCAGCTGCAGCGCCAGCTCATGGGCATCGTCAAGGCCAACAATCCCGGACTGCAGCACAGCACCACGTCCGCGAAGATGTCGTCGAAGCAGAGCCGGCGGCTCAACGCCGTCGCAGCTGCTGGCTATGTCGATCAAGTCGCCATCCGCGCCGACCTTGCGCCCGTCCCTCCGGAAGTGCTGCAGAAACCGCGGCGGGCGATCGATGTGCCGTATCTGCCTCTGTTCCCTCTGACCGAACGGCCCTCGGCGTCCCTCGTGGAACGAGCGATTTTCATCCACCCGTCCTCCGTCCTTGCCAAGCAACCTCACAAGGATCTCCCGCAGTACATCGTCTACAGCCACCTACAGAAATCGCAGGCACAGAATGTCGGTGGCGAGGCGATGCCCAAGACGCGGATGTTCCCCCTTACTCCTGTCGACGGCCCAACATTGATCGAATTGACCAAGGACTCGGCGCTTCTGGAATTTGGCAAGCCGGTGCTGCAGATGAAGGTGCAGGAGTTGGCGGGCGTGCCCAAGCGGCGCGAGTGCTGGGTCACCACCGAGCTGCGGGCTGGTACTGGTAGCGGCGGGTTTGGCTGGCCGCTTCCTGCGGCACACGTGCGTCAGGTCATGGACGCAAAATCGCCGAGTGGGTGGCGTGTCGAGGAAGTGCTCGGGCAGTAGTAGTCGTCGTATATACCCTCGCGGATGGGCCTCAAGGCCTCACCCACCCCCAAAAATGATACCCCATAACAAATGGCCAGAGCTTTTTTCATTGTTCATCGGTCATCCTCATCCACAGCTTCCTTCCTCTCCTTACCCGCCTCCTCCATCTCCCTCTTCTGCCGTCTCCTCTCCTGCCTCGCCATCGGATGCTCGCCATCCTCCCTTCCCTCATCGCCCTTCAAGCCCAACGCCCTCCGCAACCGCTCGCTCTCCCGCTCCTTGGCCTCGGCCATCTCATGCACCTGGTAACTCTTCAATCTATTCCCACCCCCTTTGCCCGTCCTGCCCTTCCCACTCTCCAACTCCCTCGTCAACTCCCCGCGCAGCTTCTCACACTGATCCTCGATCGCGTCGTCGTCCAACTTGCCCTCGTCCTCGAGCTTGTCGCGCAGCTCGAGGACTTTGACTTCGATGGCGCGCAGGCGGTCGTGTTGAAGGATGTGCTGGTCGGGCTTCCGCGCCCGGGGCGCCGTGTCTTTGCTGCTGGCGAGGTTGTAGGGTTGGCCCGCGCCCGCGGCGCGTGGCTTGAGGACCGAGAGGTTGCGTTGCACGTAGCCCGAGGTGCCGCTGCCGCGGGGCGTGGAGAGGCCGACGTTGGAGGACATGAGTGAGTTCGCGCAGAGAGTGTTTGTGGGGTTTGTACGAGCTTAGAACGGAAAGATATCAGATCGAGAGATTCTGCACGATCCAGTGTCCGTTAGGCAGTCGTTCGTTCTTTCTTGATGGAACTTTTGGCGGGTGGAGGAAGTCGATTATCGATAGAGTACGGTGGGGGGTAGAGCACAGCGTGCATCTCTCGTTTCAGCCTCCCTCCCATCATCCCTACCCAGGTAGGTGCTGTACTACTCCTCAATGAACACATTCTTGCAAGGATCACACACTGTAAAGCTGTGTGTGGATCTTATGTGCAGGACTGGGCCGTCCAAGATACCGCTGTCGATGAGGAATGATCATACAATGATACATAGAACTTATGCGCGACAGCCGGGCGTTTCTCTGAGATCTTAGCTTGCTGACTGGCAGTCCATACTCTCCTCACTATTTCGACTTGGGAACCTGGTGGATCTTGGACTGTTCTAGCTCCCGCAGCGTGTCGTCCCAGAGCCGTCTTGAAGTCCCACGGCCCTCGGGCGTGTACAACAATGGGTGGAACCTTGTTGCGGGGGCATTAAAGGATTGACTGCGTTCACCATACACTGGGATATAATGCCCACCTACAACTTTGTAGCTGACGTATCACGGCGCCTGGGGCGACGAGCTATATGGGTAAGGCTCAAGATGACACTATTGACTGTGGGGGCTGGTAGCGAAAGGTGGGGATGGGACTCCGGGGGGGAGGCGCGGCTATGGCGACTCTAAAAGCGGCGTTTAGAGGCGCTGCGAAATGTACGTTGGCCGCCAAGCCACAACCCTCCCAGTCAGCCTCAGTCTCCAGGCCGAGACTCGCTGTCCCCACCACGTCGTTCTACTATACTAGTACATGTCCTGGCTTTAAGCCTGATGGTCGACGAGCTTGACCAGAGGACAGATGCAAGGCGCCCTGGATGAAGCGGGTCGTGCGGCGATCCGAGCGGAAGTCGGTGCAGATGCGCTATCCAAGATCGCCTGCCACAGCTGTCGCCGAAGAAAGGTGAAATGCGATCGCAAGCTCCCGCACTGCTCCATCTGCACCCAGAATGGCCAGCAATGCTCTTATCCGGAGCGCATGCTCAAGCCAGGGCCGAAGCTAGGCTCGAAAAACGCCCGCCACAAAAGGCGACGACTCAGCGGGAGCCACGACGACGATACTGAGCTGGAGTACGCTGTTGAGCAGACAGAGCATTCAGATCCAGACCCCACTGAAGCCCCGCGGAGGACTGTCTCCATCAGCTCGTCTTCCACGACACTGAGGAATCCCAAGGATATCCAGAGTCTATCGTTCATCATCCACCCGTCGCACGAGTCAACCAGCCCGCAGAGTCAGCGCATCGCGGAATCGCCCAATGGTCGGTCGCCGTCGAGCGGCTCACTCGTCATCGCAGCATGTGCGGCTATGCAAATCGCCCCGGACATGATGAACGTGTTGGCCGAGAATTACTTCAGGACCTTCATGTCCTTCCGCCTTTTCCCCGAAAGCAGGTTCTGGGCGCAGATCCTCCAGATCCAGGATCTGAACACCGTCAAGGCTCTGTTGGCGCCCATCGCAGCGTTTGCTGTCAAACAATGGGAGCCGACCCCGGCACAGCTAGGCTTCAGCCCGGTCGTTGCCACCATCTCAGTCGCAGGTCTAATTGAGTTCGCCATGAAAGCCGCCAATGCCGCGCTCGTCGATTGTGGAGATGAGCCGCCTCCGCTGCCTCTACTACAGTCCCTGGTACTCATCAGCCATTGGCTGCTCATACAGGGCGTCAGGGGTCGAGCGTGGCGCTACCTCGGCGTCTGCATCAGGGTGGCGTACGAGCTGAACCTGCACCTCGTCGACTCAGGCAAAACGTCGGATTGGATAGACAACGACCCGACTGGCTGGGCACAAGATGAAGAGAAGCGCCGAGCTTGGTGGGCAATATGGGAGATGGACGTGTTTGCCAGCGTCATCAGACGATGCCCCACCGCTATCAGCTGGCTACAGAACGAAACATTCCTTCCCGCAGAGGACAACATGTGGGAGCAGCAGCAACCGCAGCGCAGCTGTCTGCTTGAGATCAACACCATGAGCCGCTGCAAAGTCCTCCAGGCCACCGGCAACCACTCTCCCCGGGCATGGTTTGTGGTCATCAACTCGATTATGAAAGACGCCCAGACGATATCCGCCCCCAACGGCGTCAACAGGTCTCTGGGCTCCGAGCTTGGCTGGGAGGGAGCCTTTACGCCCCAGCAGCAGGCCGCCAACCAGGCCGAGCGCATCGACGAAGCCCGCAAGCGCTTGACGACCTTCTACAATGCAGCCCGCTACTTCTCCATGGCTTTGCCGGGGAGCTTGAAATACCGCGGGCAGTACCTGAATTTTGACTCCACCGCCGCGGTGCAGGTCCTGGCCGGCACAAAGACGCTGAGAGAACTACACGCACAGATCTACAGCATCCACCTCATGACGCAACTCGCCTTCCTGATGACGCTCAAATACCACCTGTTCAAAACCTCGGGCCGACATACCGGCGGGCACGGCCGAAAACGCGAAGGCAGCCACGGCTCACCTCGCGACGGGGGAAGCCGCTCGCGCCATACCGAGTCACAGAACCAGGAGAATGTCGACCAGTACTTCGAGGCGTCGAACTCGATCCTCGACATCACCCACCGTTGCAACGACCAGTTCTACCGCTACATCAACCCGTTCCTCGTCAACACGATCTGGCTGGCCGCCGCCGTGCAGCTGCTCCGACGAGAGCTGTACTGCGCCGACGACACCGAGAAGGAGCTCGTGCACTCGAATTTCGAGGTCCTCAGGATGGCGTACGACCAGTTCGTCGAGTATTGGCGCTCCATCGATACAGCCAAGAAGAATCTCGACGCGCTCGAGGGCCAGCTCAAAGCGTTTCAGGTCCGGGCCAAAAAGGAGGCCGGCGCGGCCGGCTGGCCCCACGCGACTCGCGGTGGCGACGACGACGACGACGCAGAGGATGCGGATCGTGCGGTGGCAGCGGGCAGATATCCTCACGCCAATGCGCAAGGACAGCGGGATTCAGGTAATCAACGTCCGGCAGCGCCAGCAAGGTACCATAGTGCTAACACAGCCATCTAGATCTTTCTAGCTCACGTGCAGTCCTGGACCCAGCGCCAGCTACGTCGCAACCTTCCGGTGGCAGGCCGATCAACGGCGCCGTAGAAGGCACCTATCCCAGCGGCAGTTCCAATTCCCTCACTGACTGGTCCAACGCCAATAATGATGGTCCCCTCGCAGATCAAAACGGCATCGCCAATAGTTCGCAGCCTGGTACGATGGCCGGTTTCGGAAACGACACGTTCACGCTTCAGGATCAGAACTTCTTTGACCCCTTTGGCCTTCCTGCCGACTTTGATTTCAGCATGGGTATGGGCTCTTATAATAGCTTTGACGATGTGTTTTCGGGCTCCGTCATATAGTCAGTCGAGACTGTTGAGCGAAAACCCGTCATCAATTTCCCGCTCGACGCATCGCGAAGTTTCGACCGAAGGAGGCAAACGTGACACGTCGAGGGAGGGAGTCACGGGTGAGGCTTTGAACCACCGGCACTCCAATTCTGGAACAGTCAAGATGGCAAAGGCTGCTGGTGAACGTTAGCTCCAAAATGTCAGTTGCCTGTGATGTTTCGTCTCCAATGATAGATTCTGACTTCAGAGTTAGGGTCCGGTTGGCACATTTGTTGCGTCAACGACTCGTGGAATGTCTGACTCCCTCGGGACACCAGGTCAGCCTGCAGCATCCGGCTTTTACGCTGCTGCATCGTCGATATCTTCGAGAAGACCATCGAAGCTAGCCAAGAAGAATCGCTCATCGTTCGCATCATCTACGGGCCGTTTGGCCTTGAGGCGTGGAAGCTCGGCCGGATCAATTTCAGTTTTCTCGAAAGGTCCATTGGGAAGTTGAGCTTTTTCGTCAAAGATGTGCGCTAGCAGGTTCCCAACGTCGACTTGTCCTGCCTGGACCCCTACCCTCAATATCCTCTGCAAGGCATTCAAGTCGGCGGGTCGTGTCATGTCAACTGCGCTCTCGTGATCGGAAGTAACACAGGCCATAGCTCCTACGACGAACCCGACAGCAAACTGGGACCATTCCTCGGCTTGGGCAAAACTAAGAGAGCCTGGCGGCTGTCGGAATTCAATCGTTCCTTTCCGCTGGTTGGCATAGGGATCTTGGTGGTGTTCAGCATGATGACACTTCGGGCTGTTCGTGTATGCAGCATCGGAAGGGTCAATCGGATCAACGACTGAGGCATCAGTAAGACGAGTGAAGTTCCATCTGTAGTATCGGTGGCTTGAACCGTCGTTGCCGTCAGAGCACATGAGATGAGCCAGAGCGGTCGGATCTCCAGTCGAGTCGATCATTTCGAGCACTGACTGGATGCTACGACCACGGAAAATGGGATTGTAGCGATTGCTCCGACAATAGTGGACTTTCAGTCGATTAAGAGGCATCAGAGAGTCCACACAGCGTTCGAAATATATAACGGCTTTGGCAACGCGCTTCAAAGCCTCGAAGTGGTCAAACCACCCATGAGCCGACAGAGGGGATACGTGTACGTGTGTTCCACACAATTTCTCGTCAACGAGGGTAAAATGCTGTCGAAGACTCAGGTACATCGTTTCGTAATTATCTAACCACGCGGGCCACCGAGTGTTCTGTTGAATCGGTGATACGAGTTCGAAGCCGAAAACCCCACCAGCGTGATCTTGGGGAATGCTTCCATCTGTTGTCAGAGCCCATTGCGTATAGTCGGCGGGCTGGCCGCTCTCATGCTTGTAGTGCCGTATGCCGGCCAAGGTCAGCTGTTGACTGAGATATTCAGCCACTTGGTTGTATCTTTCGTGAATTTGCACATCGAAAATCGGAGCATTCGTGAACTTCACCAGGATCTCCAGCTCCGTCCCAAACAACATAGGCTGAAAGTCAGTGGGAGCGACATAGTCCGCAGTGAATCTTGTCATGGCTTTGCGAAGCGATTGATACGTTCGAGATTGATCCATTGTTCATTACACAGTGGAGTCGCAACTCTTGAAGGGCTGCTACTTGTTGTCAGCGCAGCGTTGAAGTGCTCTCGCCAGGTGACAGGTGAGTTGAGAGGAAGGCTGTAAGCTGCATGAGTCGTTAGTGTCACGGAGTAATGGCGAGAGTGTTCTGGGTCACGGTAAGCAGAGGGCGAGCAGCAGGTGTGTAGAAGGGAAGGTACGATGAACGTCAATGAAGCCACGCTAAAAACAGTTGCCAAGAAGGGCCGACGCCTTGTGCACGCCGCGCATCAACTTGGACTGTGTTTGACCTCTCAGCGTGACACAGGGATTCCGGGTATTGACATGTCTGCCATCAGGATGATTGGAATTGGGTACTCAGACTTTCGGTAACACATTAAGAGGGTGCCGATTTCAAGCTCCCGTCTCGCCACGATGGCGCAGTACGTCTACGAAGACCAAAGCCAGCAAGTGTTTTCGAAACCGGAATGGGTTGCGACTGAGGGTCGCGGCTCTATCAATCACAACAATGGTACTTTCGTGCAATAGCATGGGCTCTGTTGATTGCTGACAAGATTATAGTGCTCTACTACTTTATGCATTCGCCATTCTTTGAGCCTGGCTGCAGAAATGCAGAAGTCTTTGACGACCGGAGAGACATGGACAAGTGGATCAGGATCATTGGGACGTACAAGTCATTTCACGAGGAGATGGCCAAGAAGCCTGGCGTCGAGTACATCCTGCTGCACGACCCTGAAGACGCAAATACGATGGTAGACACGGCCAGCGGGATTCCTGAACGGTCGTCGTTGTATATCATTCGAAAGCAGCGGAGACATAACGCCCACTCCATTTCGCCCATGGCATACTACTGGTGCATGGGCATCCGCATCTTCCAAGCGCCTTGTGCAGCCAACGTGCTAACGCCGAGAATCCTTGACCTGTCGACCGCACTCAACAAAAGTTTCGAGAAGATAGCGCAGCTCTCGGTGTTTTCTGCCACATATGGTCATACGTGGGAAAAGCCAGGACAGAAGTCTGGCAAGAAAACTACGGCGGAGTTGGGACAGCAGAGCAAGGATACGACACCAGCACCGACACAAAATAATGGTGCTACCGAAGGCCTCGGATTGACGATTGCCTCTGCAGCTAAGGACGAGGAAGGCGATTCACGAACACTGGCGCAGGCATTGAGATTGACGAACCAGTATCGAAAGGAGTACGCGGATGAGGTGACATTGGTGGGCGAACCAGGGAACTTTCGATTTAGCAAGGATAGAGGGCAAGCTGGCCTAACCGCCACTGGGCAGCCGAGGGATGGTTCGAGAGCGGCCACTCCGCTGCAGTCCAGGGCAGCTTCTGTGGCTATGGCTAGGCAAGCCTCTGCTTCGAGCAAGGGCGGCCGGTAGAGGACCGGGCTGTGGAGTGAAGTGGCGCTGAGGTGGTGCCTAGGCCTACAGAAATGCTGCAAACGCCAGAGGTTGTGAGATTGGATGTGAGAGTCACAGGCAGAAGCGGCAGGTCAACGGCAGGTCAGTGAGAGAAATAGAGTGGTATAGAAGCTCTATCACAAGGCAACTGCAGAGGCTTGGCAGAATCAGGCAGAGCGGCTCTCTCGCGTCATTCATGCCGCCAACACCTGCGGCCTAAAGATGTTGTTACCTCGACTTCCGCTCCACTTGTTTCCTCCGCCATCTTACTACTTTGTTGCGAACCGAACTTCTCACGCACGCCACGGTCAAAGCGCACATTGTTGAACCGTAAATTGATTTTCTCTTACGTCTTTCAATCGTGGGCGGCGAACCGTTCGATAGTGGGGCAAGATGAAGCTCAACTTCAAGGTAGGCTCGTTGTTGCCACAACCTCGAACTCATGTATGCTGACTCGGACACAGGATTTGAAGCAGCAGAAGTTCAGTATCGAGGCTGAGCCCTCGGATACGGTACGCACGCTCCCTCCCCACCTCGATCGTCTGGACTCGATACTCATTATTTCCGCAGATCGCGCAGGTCAAGGAGAAGGTCGCCGCTGAGAAGGGATGGGAGGCTTCCAGCCAAAAGCTCATCTACTCTGGTGCGTCTCAGGAGTTGTGCAATCATTACAAACACTCATGAACCACAGGCAAGGTCCTCGCTGATGCGAACACGGTCGAGTCCTACAAAATCGAAGAGAAGGGCTTTATAGTATGCATGATCACCAAGGTCAGATCATGTCCTTCGCATCTCCTACTCAGCAGCTAACATCTACCAGCCAAAGGCGGCTCCCGCGCCCAAGCCTGCTCCTCCTGCCACACCCGCTCAGCCTGCCTCGACCCCTGCGCAACCCGCTGCGCCTCAGCAACAGCCCGCTCCCGCTGCTTCAAATCCACCCGCCACACCTACCCCCGCTCAGCCTGCGACTGGAGCTGCTCCTGCCGGCAGTGCGCAGTTCAACGACCCCTCTGCTATGCTAATCGGCAACCGAAATGAATCGACCATAAGAGAGATGGAGGCTATGGGTTTTGGACGACCAGAGATTGAGCGTGCACTCCGTGCAGCTTTCTACAACCCCGACCGGGCTATTGAATATCTACTCAATGGCATTCCCGAGCACGTCCAGACCGAGCAGCGACAACCGCCTGCTGGTGGCGCGCAAGCCCCAACTTCACCTCCTCCCGCCGCGAACCCTGGCACCGCTCCCGCCGCGCCTGCCCCCGAACCCTCTGGCGGCGATGAACCAGTCAACCTCTTTGAAGCTGCCGCTGCCGCTCAGGGTGGCACCCGTGGAAGCGGTGGCGCTCGGAGTGGCGCTGCTGGTGGAGGTGCCGCGGCTGGTGCAGCGGCTGGTCTTGGTGCGGGTGCAGGTGCGGGCGCTGGTGGACAGATGAACATGGACTTCCTCCGTAATTCTCAGCACTTCCAACACCTCCGCCAGCTGGTTCAGCAACAGCCCGCTATGCTCGAGCCCATTCTGCAGCAGGTTGCGGAAGGCAACCCTCAGCTTGCCCAGATGATTGGTCAGAATCAGGAGCAATTCTTGCAGCTATTGGCCGAGGTAAGTGACCCTGTGTCATTTCCAAGATTGTGCAGACGCTAATTGACTTGCAGGACATGGGCGGCGAAGAAGGTGGCCCACTGCGTCCCGGCGTGCAAATCGAGGTGACCGTTGAAGAGCAAGATGCCATCGAGCGGCTGACCCGACTCGGCTTCTCCCGCGATGCGGTCATCCAGGCCTACTTTGCGTGCGACAAGAACGAAGAGCTGGCTGCCAACTTTCTCTTCGACCAGCCAGAGGATGAGGACGATCAGCCACCCGCCACTGGAGGCCAGTGAACCTATCCCTCTCCACACCACCGCCACGGCCGACTTAGCTTTGAGCTGACAAAAGACCCGCATACGTTCGACAATTGGCATATGATATCAGCGTGGTAGACTGGTGCGCCACATCGCCCTCCCACCAAAGGCGGAAGGCGAAGAGGCATGGGCAGCGAACGTGAACTCCAGAAGGACGTGTCCAAATACCTGTCCACAGAGAGAGAGACACACACATAACACACAACACACGTGCGAACGAAAGCCGGACTTGGTTGGGCCCCAGTGGCAGTGATTGGCAAGGGTTCTAGTCTATACCAAATCAACACCTCATGATCCCCGGGGACTTGAACAGACCTGCAGCAGCTCAGGCGAATAAGCAAATCATCACCCTTCCTGCCCCAGCCTTTCTTTTATCTATCCATCCATCCATCCATCCATCCATACCCTCGATGATTGATGCCTTCTGTGTATGATTGTCGTAGAGGCCCGACTGAGGTACAGTACAGTAGAGCCGGTACCGACTAAAAGGCAACGTCGAGCGCGGAGACCGTATTATTGCTTCTCTACTGATCTTTAGTCTGAAGCCTGACTTCTACAGCAGTCCTCAGGAAGGCTGCTCTCCGTACGCAAACTTGGGTATCTCATCATCGCAGCATCTTCCCCGTCCCAAAAGCCTCAGGATGCCCGCCCCAGCTGACGTTCCAATGTGCCCCTCGCGCTCACGTCTGTCCAGGCCCCTTCCCCTTTCTCGCCCTCGCGTCAACAACGGCACACATTTTTCGATGTGTGCGAACCTTTGTCATTGTCATTCGCAAACGCGCTCAACTCTCCAAACTCCCAAGCCCCTTCTCCCAACCACGCGCTGTAGAGTCGGCAAGATGCCATCGTCCCCGAAATCCATGTCGTCCAGGTTGAGGTGCTTTCTCCACGTCCCCAGATTGCGCAGCGCTAGTTGCACGTCCTGTCGCTCAAACTCCACCTGGAAGCTGAAATCTCGTACGTCCGGGTACTGGCCGTCTGGGAGGCGCCAGGCGGACAGCGGCGCAGCGACGAAAACGTCCGTGGACTGGCTGTGAGGGGTCAGACGCTCGATGAGGGATGGATCGCAGGTCGGGACGTGCTGCATGAGCAGAAAGAGTAGATCGCGTTGCGGAAGGCCTAGCAGCGGGATCGTGCTGATGTTGAGGGGCTTGTCGGAGGTAGGGTGGTTTGGTGGCGGCGAGCCGAGGAGGTAAGTGGGAGGTGGGTAGGTCTTCCACCAGAAGACTTCGATGTTTTCCGAGGATGATGAAGTTGTGTTGAGGGACTGTTGAACAATGCTGGGAACGGAGAGTTGTGCCGGGACAATGCCGGCCTGGTGATAGCTGCCCATGAGGGTGGCGAGGAGCAGGTTGAAGACTGCCCAGGAACTCCAGAATGCTGTGCGAAGGCGGGGCGATGTGGGGAGCCGAAGGCAGGTCAGAAGTAACGGAACACAGGGAAGCAAGAACCTGGATTCCTGGTGAGGGATGATGGAGAGGATGAGGATCGATGTCGTGGCAGAAGAGAGTCGAGGATTGAACAGCACCGATGTCAGCGTGCGCTGGCCGAAAGGATAGCACTGTCCAACGAGGAGGACGAGGGCAGGCCCAAGAAGCTGGGGCAAGTTTGCGAGGAGGTGTTGGTAGTGAGGGTGGAGGCCATGTTGGGCGAGATTGGAGGTTTGGGAGTTGTAGATGATGTTGTTGAGAGGAGTTATTACTGGCGAACTGCTGATATGGCGAAACAAGGCGCGGTAAGAGTCGTTCGCCTCGGGTTTATAGTATGCTGTGTCGGTCGCAACAGCGATAAAGGTCCAAAATAAGCCGGAGACGATAATGGTGAAGAAGCAAGAAGGTCTAGCTAGTCAGGTCTGACCGTTGAGCTGGCTCGTAGTCGGCTTACCTATTCCAAAACTGTGGCAGCAGTGTGATGCCGGGTATCATAACGAAAGCTGGAAACGTGATTCGGTTGAAAGTGCCAAAGACAAGCAAGAAGGCCAAGACAAAGCTTGAAGAGAGCGAAGCATTCTGAAATCATGAGCTGGGAATCAGGAGGATAAGTTGAGGCTCCTACCTCTTCATTGGCTATGCGCTCTATCAACACAAGACTCCAAAGCACAATAAGGGTCTCCACGGAGTTGGAAAAGGTGTGGGTCTGATAGGTCCAGGTCACGTACGACGAAGCCACCAGTACCACCGCCTGTCTCCGATATCTTGGGGAATGAACCAGCTCATGAATGGCCCAATCTTCCAGTACGAAGCTGAGGATGAACATGACAACTCGCAAGGTATAGTAGATGGCGGTGGTATCAACAGGCTCGTCACTACCGCGTGGCCACAGCCACTGGAGAAGGACCATTGGCAAGCCGTACGCTGGCCATAGCGGGAAGACACTGCGAATCGGTCGGTCTGAGGTCCATTCCCACGTCCGACGGCTTGGGTAGTCGAAGACAGTACCTTTTTTGCTATCAGTACCTCGGACTCGCGAGGTGGGAATGCCCTTACCTGCGATGACTTCTGGTCCTTGGAAGTTCTCGTCTGGATGCAGATAACTCGGACACAGCGCAAAGTAGATGCGCACAAACAACAGTAGTAGATAGGTGCGCCGCCACATCTTGCAGCGAAAGTCAGCAAAGCAGATGAGATCAAGGCGATTGCGCAGGAGTATCTGCCTCTGGGAAGAGGAGCGGTTTGCAATCGCGCATAGTTCTATACCGCAGATGCACTACCTCAGTAAAGGCAGCAGGAACGCGAGCACAGTCGAGAGCAATGACGCGATGCGAAGCGCTACGGGACCGAGAGGCCTGATGCTCTTAGGGCAGCCGCGACGAGCGTGATAGCGATCGCATGATGATTGCAAAGCAAGGAAATGTCAGGCAGATTATGCCAGGCTAGACGATGGCCTGTCACGATCGCGCCCGGTTCAAGGGGCAGACGCGACGTCGATCATTTGGCGCGAGTGACAAGGCCCAAAGTGGTAAGAAGAATAGAGATCCGGAATGTGTCTATTCACCGAAGCTATCTACTCTTTCATTAGCGCATTGACACACCATCGCCATACTGTTAAAGCATTGTTCCTGTCACAGTGACTCGGCATTGAACATGTGCTGTTTGCAGAGCTTGGCTTTGATTACGTTTAACAATGAGATGATCCTCTTCCTTCGTAAGTTTCTCTGATCACTCACTGTTTGTATCACATTAGAATCGCACTGTCAGCTTGGCGAGACTGTTCAGAATCCTTCAACCATAGGTGAGTAAGTCGAATCCCTAGCCCGCCCTTCAGTCCCAGGAGCACCTATTTCCACCAAAAGTTCTTTTATCCGCAAAGCCGGCGCAAGGCCGTTTCAGGCACCAGGCAACTCGCCAAGACTGGCGGACCCCACCTGCAGCCTGCGCCCGCCCCGCGGCGGCAGCACCTGCCCAAGGTCTTTGTGCAAGCCATGTCACTTGCAATCACTCCTGCATCTGAATCATCCTTGTAGTCACCACTTCACCCAGGCCCCAGCATTCTCTGATTACTTAATTCTTCCATTCTTCCACTTTACGGCCTTACTGCCTGCGACTTCGCATACGCTTACTCAGACGGCTCCGAGCAGATCCTCCAGACCAGTTCGACTTATCCATTCCATCCATCCTCACACACCTATTCACTACCGTCGCAATGGCTGCCGACAATAGCAAGCTCACTCTCATGAGCTCTGATGGCGAGAACGTTGATGTCGGTAAGTTCGGCTTTTCTCCGCGCTTCAAGTTGTTGCTAACATGTAAAAGAGCGTGGCGTTGCCGAGCGATCGGTCCTGATCAAGAACATGGTTGGCGACTTGGGCGAGGATGCCATCACCGAGCCGATTCCTATTCCCAATGTTAATGCTGCTGTGCTAAAGAAGGTCATCGAGTGGTGCACCCATCACAAGGACGACCCCGAGAAAGCCAACGAGGACGAGTCCGATTCCCGCAAGAAGTCCACCGAGATCGATGAGTGGGACCAGAAGTTCATGCAGGTCGATCAAGAGATGCTGTTCGAGATCATCTTGGTAAGTTGCTGTCACGGAGATTGCTTTGTGAAGCATACTAATTGAGTATTAATTAGGCTGCCAACTACCTTGACATCAAGGCTCTCCTTGACGTCGGCTGCAAGACCGTCGCCAACATGATCAAGGGCAAGTCTCCCGAGGAGATCCGGAAGACGTTCAATATCCAGAACGACTTCACCCCTGAGGAGGAGGATCAAATCCGTCGCGAGAACGAATGGGCTGAAGAGTGAGTTGTTCTGTCCCTGGCAATCTATTCATTACTGACCATCTCAGCCGCTGAACATCTTCTACCCGCTTCGACGACAGCCGCATGCGTAGAGGCGCGCTGCGTGTGACAATGAGTCACTCTACGTCCTGCATCTGCGAAGGCGTTTCGGGCATCACCAACAACCGACATGGGTGGAGTTTGGGTTCGGGGCTCACAGCGGCTTATGATATGATGCATTCGATCCTCCGCAATGGCATGACAGGGACAAGTTTGAGGTTGGTCAGGTTCCGGCTCATCGAGCAGCTATTAGAACCGAGCCAAATCAATCAAAGCATTCATCATCATCACAGTAGCCCCCAGTTCTGCGAATAGATGGATACTGAATCAACACCTCTCACGAGGCATTTGAAACAGCTTGAACACCTTCACTTCGAACTTGTCGCCGTGTTCAAAGACTACTCTCACCTCACGTGGATGTAGAATAGGGCATGTTGCTTCAAGCTTGGTTATCATTGATCGTGACGGACACAATCTGCTAATCGAAGACTTCGGCTTCCATGACCACATTGCACTCTTCATCGTAAGTGCCTGCGAGGGTCTTCACGTTTTTCCCCAGAGCTTGTGCACGCGTGCTTGAAGAGCAATAAATGCTGAGGGTCCGCGAATTATCTTCCGAAGGATCCTCCATCATCAAACAACCATCAATGCCTCTCTCCAGTCTCTCGAGTAACCGACATCGCCCATTGTTCACATAACGAGTCATCTAGATGCCGATTCTGGTCTTGCGCCAATGTCTTCGCTTAGCATTGTATCTATAGTCCTGAGTCAGTATTCTGCCATGTTCATCGTACTGCATCGCCCTGAAAGGTCTACTACGAGTAGCCGAGTGTTGCGAGCGACGGTAAGGGGGGAGGCGCTGTACCTGATGGTGTTGCCAGTTCTCAGACGAATCCATTGAGGGATGGGGCGGTTCTGCTTCTGCGCTTTGGCGAGCTTTTGCTTCGTGCGGAAGGACTTGTGACTCTGGGGATAATTGTCAGTCTTGGGTTTCCATCTCTTGTCTCTTGAAAGGGTAGGCGAACGTACCGGCATCTTGACGGTATTGTCGGATGTCGAGGCGTGGGTTGGTGAAAGGAATATCGTCGAGGTCCAAAGGCGCATCCAAGGCGGGACGTTCGAGATTGGCGAGTGTGCGGTCCTGTGTGAGGCTTGGCGCCTAGAGTTTGAAAAATCACGTGATGGGTCGCCGAAGTCAAGCGACAAATGAGGTCAGTGGTGGGCTTTGGAATGAGGCTCCGAGGTTAAGGGCGCGGCCGGAGTCGGAGCTTTGCGCCAACTCCGCGATCATTGTCTAGAGATTATTCTTTTGGTGATTGTGAGCTCGCTCTACGTTCTCTTCGAGTGAGCCGCGCTTCAAATCGACAGTGTTGAAGTATTGGTTGGAGAGTGGAGGTGACCACATTTTCGACACGCAGCCAATATGTCGTCGTCAAAGCTCAGGATATTGGTGCCAGTCAAGCGGGTCATTGACTATGCTGTAGGTCCTCCCAGCTGTACGATGCACAAGCCACCAGAACCTCTTGCAGGCTATCAGCTATCGCGACCGCTCATTGAGGCCTCACAGCCTCAATAGAACTCTTCTTCCCCTCCAGGACTGACACTATCAGGTCAAACCCCGCGTCAAGGCCAACAAGACCGGCGTCGAAACGTCAGGCGTCAAACACTCTATGAATCCTTTCGACGAGCTCTCGGTCGAGGAGGCTGTCAGCCTACGTGACAAACGCAAGTTACCGGTTGAAGATATTGTCGCCGTCAGCGCTGGCCCGGCCAAAGCTGTCGAGACTCTGCGGACCGCCATGGCTATGGGCGCCGACCGGTCTATCCACGTTGAAGTGGCCGAAGACAAGCCTCTGGAGCCGTTAGGCGTGGCAAAGATGCTCAAGGCCATTGCGGAGCAGGAGAAGAGCAACCTGATCTTTCTAGGCAAGCAGGCTATCGATGACGACAGTGGCCAGACAGGCCAGATGCTTGCCGGACTACTGAATTGGCCCCAGGCGACGCAAGCGAGCGAGGTTACTATCTCGGGAGAAGACGTCACGGTAGAGCGAGAGGTTGACGGCGGTACCGAGACCCTCAAGGCGAAGCTGCCGATGATCATCACAACTGATTTACGACTGAATGAGCCTCGCTATGCGAGCTTGCCAAATATCATGAAGGCCAAGAAGAAGAAGGTGGACAAGAAGACGTTGCAAGACCTTGGTATCGATTCCGAACCTAGACTGAAGACTGTCAAGGTGGAAGAGCCTCCAGCACGGCAGGGAGGTGGGAAGGTTGAGGATGTGGATGGCATGATCAGCAAGCTGAAGGAGTTGGGTGCTCTGTGAGAATACCTGCAAGATTGTCGGATGACACTGGCCGTCGGATTCTGTTCGAAGTACGGCACACCGGTATGTATATACTATGTCTACGGAAGCAATTCACTTTATCAATACAGATCGTGGGCATTATTCTCAACGCATACAACGCGGCCAATTCGTCTTATTGCGCTCTTCTCTGCCTGCTGCACTTCCTGCCTGACAGCTATTCACGCCTTTGCTATTCACCAGCCATCTTCCAAGCCTCCAGCGCTGTGCCTGTATTCACTGAAAGGAACCAGCCTATTATTCTCACCATGATACCTTTCAGCTGATATCCTACGCGGCCTCCTAGTCCTCTTCCCTTACTGCTCTTTACAGTTCTTTCCCTCTGTTCAAGTATCTCTCAAAGGATCAACTCACAATGATCGAACCAGATAGCCCTGCCGCCAAAACCCGTTCCCACAAGCGGTCCCGTCAGACCGAAGGCAATAGGCCTTCTGTGTCTGTCGGTACTGACTCAGAGTCACAGCTAAAGGATACAGGGCATTTGAATAAGAAGAGCAAGCTAGCACATAGCACCACGTTGGCCATCAAGGAGCAAGGCGTTTCTACTCGAAGAGCGCTTGCTGAAGACAGCAAAGAAGAGCGAAGCATACGAGCCGGCATTTCAAGCATCAAAGGCGATATACGATCCAAGGCGGTACCTCTCAAAAGTGCTAAGGCTATGATTCACCAAAATCACCTCAAGGCCCAAGAAGCGCACAAAAATGGGCAATCAGCGGCCACTGGTGGCCTACCAGAGCTATTTCCGGCAATGTCACCTTCGGCCCCTCGCGAAGCATATCAAATCCCAGCCTCAATCGCCAAGCATCTCATGACGCCGAATCTTCAGAACAGCAGCGTCGTCGACGCGGTCTCGGGTTGGAAGTCGAGGAACCGTGCTCATGCGGTCCGTTACCAGCGCAGACTCTGGCGTCTGACTCAAGAAGCGGTCAAAGCACGTCAGCTCACGAATGAGGAGTGGGAAGGCGAGGCCGTTGAGGAGTCGAGTTTACCTGTGGCGGTGGTGCACAGCAGTGTTTTCACCAGAAGGGGAGTGCCGGTTGGGGAGAAGACGGAAGAACAGGAGTGGAAGAGGGAGAATCGGGAGTGGAGAAGCGTTATTGCCAGTTGATCCTGAGGTGTATTGTCGAGGGCATGGAGCAAGGAAACAGGGCGAGCTTATCGGGCGCGCAGCTCTGGATACAGGTATGGCGAGGCCGGAATGGCATAGCGAGTCAAGCCTACGAGAGGATGTCATAGCAGAATCGTTAAGCTAAAACGGGATAGCAGACAGCCGGGCTTGAATTCGTGGCTGTCAATCGAGGACGTATCAATCGTTGCTGATCTCTCCAGCTCAAGGCTCACTGCATGCATCCTCGATGGATGGCGCCATGGTTCTGATCTTGTACATAGGCACAGAGGGTATCACAGTGGAAGACACAGGCCCTTGCCGCACAGAGACGCTTCAGTACCTCCAAGTCAGCATCCACCGATGTCAGCGTTGCGGGTGCCTTGCAGAAAGGTTGCCTCGCCGAACCATCGGGACCACGAAACACTGGACCACCAGTCGAGAAGCAGGACCACATCGGTCTGGACTCAGCACAGTTCTCTAGGTATGCTACTTAATGACGAGCTGTCCCGCATTTTCGTTAGCTCGTGCTCTCAACCTGTTCCATGTACGCACATTGCTCGAAATATTCATACCCTCCAGTAAACGACATTCTGAACAATACTCCCCGCGACAAACTGTCTACAACCCGAAGCCAAAGTCAGAATGGAAGACACACCGTGCTTCTTGCGCCGCTTTCGCCGTCACCAGCGCAGCACTGCGCATCACAAAATGTCGGTCGCCACCGGAGTTGCTCCTGCAAACGATAGTGGTACCAGTAGAAACAGACTTAAGCTGAACGGAGCACTCACCGTCACGACCACTGCCGTCAAAGATGGCAGCAACAGGAGCGGCGGCATGGAAACGAGCTGTATAGTCGACAACAGCCTGCAAAGTCACCCAACCACATCAGAGGCGTCCGACTCGGCGACCGTGCCGGATTCAGAACCATCGCTCCTCAGTGCCCCAGAGTCCCCCGCAACGAAGGCCGGCAATGACGAGACACACACGAAATCCGCAGAAGAGCCCAAGCCCAAGTCCAAGTGGACGCTCGCCTGGCGCTGGTGCAAACGCGCCTCGACCCCATACTCCAGCCAACCCCACAATACCACCAAAACCACAAACCAGCGGCCCCACCACCTCCCCAAGAGATACCCAGCCATGCCTCCCACGCCCGCAGACCACGTCCCCCATCAAATCCCCGCACACATCGCCGCGAAGCTCATGCACATCAACCCCAACAGCGAACATATCAAGACAGAGCGAGAGCGAAGGACGCCGGATTACCAGAGCTCGAAGCGGCTTGCCAGGACAGAGTGGGAGAACACGCGGCGGGAGTGTCGTCTGCGAAGGATCGACATGGAATACTGGGAGGGGTCGCGTGATCGTGGAAGCGCCGGCTTTCTGGCTGTCGACGTCACGGGAAGATTGAAGGCGACGCGGCTCAAACATCCCGGGCTGGGGGAATATCGAGAGTCGCCGTTCGTGAAACCTACTAGTTGTAAAGGCAGGTAAACGGAGCGAAGGAGCCGGTAGGAGATAGTTTGGAGGTGCGGCATTGAGAGGGGCGGGAACGAGCGCGCTGAGAAGGTGGAAGAGGCTTGCGAGGACGGATCGGGGCCAGGAGAGGCGTCGATGGTCGTGGTAGGAGAAGAAGGGATGGTGAGATGAGGTCTGACGAGAGCCCTGAGTCCTGGGCGTCTGAAGTCGCTGTCTCTGTCTCTGTATCGTGAGTAGGATGGGCAATTTCCTTGTCGACGCGACCTTTGAAGCGTGTGCCGTGCTATTGATCGTCAGGTTACGATAGATTTTGTAAGTGATTGATAGACCGGTGTTTCATGGACCCCTCACCGTGGCAGTGATCCGCAGCGGCTGCAAGCAATATCTTCGAGGCCAATTTGCATTGAGACCTGCAGGACTGACCTGCGGGACTGACCTGCCTCGGAAGTTCTTCGGGTGGTTCTTGAGATGGCCAGCGGGGATGGCGTATCCCGACATACCGTTGTCTTGAAGTCGGAAGAGCAGAGCACTTGGTTCACCGAACTCATCGCCATCAGTAGAAGAGGTAGCGAATATTTGAACTTTGAGGACTTCTTCATTAGCGTCCTATCTCATGGTATCGTGCGCAGCTCCTCGCCATGATTCGGCGCCGTGCTATGCTTCTCCCTCTGTGCAAATGGGTGGGAAGAATCAGAAGAAAAGGGGATTCTATCAAACAGTGCCGGCAATGGTCAATTCACGGATTTCGCTTAGGACCTGTTCAACTCGGTTATCCAAGTCTCCGCGCGCGTACTGATCTCTGGTGTCAGCATCCAAATACTGTTGTACCTGCGCCATACGCGAATAGGCTTCTGCACAGAATCGAAGTTGGATCTTAACGAGTGCTTCGAATGATGGATCCAGGTAAGGAACGCGTAGGTCAATGAGTTGCGGTAGTTCGGTGAAAAGTTGCTCGTTGAGCTGTTCGTAAGCTTGCTTCGCGACCTCAGCTTCTCGCTCGGTGCGGGGCAGTTTGGTAACATCCTTGTCGGGTTTTTCGACGAGTTTTTTGACTCTCGAACGAACGGCATCATAGTCGAGGAGCTTATTGTTGCGCTTTTTGATGCACTCGTTAATGTCGGGAAAGTAGGCACAAAATCGAGAAATTGGCTCGAGAACCGTCGTTCTAAAGGGGTATTAGAGAAACAGACGCAAACAGTATCTCATGCCTACCTGTAAGGTCCATCGAGGGCCTTGATCGTCTCCGCATCCAGATCTTCGACAGCTTGCTTGTAGGATCGTGATACGCCATCTCGAGTGCCGGCGTCTCCGTAGAACGCGTCAATCGTCTCTGCTATCCGCATCTGAGATGCTGTCATTGCTGCGGAATGTTAGGAACGGTGATGGAGAAGGGCATGGCATTGTGCGAACCTCGCAGACTATCGAGATAGCCCTTGGCCTCCTTCTGTAGCCGGTTCGCTGCCGCCTCCATCGTTCGGTACCGACTGTTTGAGAATCAGAAAGCGCAGACAGGTGAGTTGGAACAGTCTTACCGCTCCTCCACCTCGTAGTCCCGGTCCGAGGTTCGCTCCACGTGGCCCGTCTTCATCATTACCTGGGTCGTCGCCCGGTTGACGTTCTTCTTGAAGCCGGCCCACGACATCGTTGCGGAGCTGCCACAGAAGCGAGAGGTGATATTCTAGGTACCGTACAGCGGCGCAGGCGCGTTGAGCAAACTGAACAACGGGCTCGCCGAAGGCAGGACCGCTAAGGATCACAAGGTACGCGAGGTTGTAAGGGTATTCAAGCCAGCTCGTCTCGAGAGTTGAGTACTGAGGGTGTCGCAAGCAGAGGTACTCGACTGCAAGACTACAGCGGGCTCGGATTGAGAGACTGAAAGTGAGTTCGTCGACAGTAAAAGAGTCAGTGAGCACTGGCTCAGCGGTTGGCGGCCGGGGCTGCGCCATCTTGATTGACGTCGTGGTGGTGGTGGTCGGATTATTGTTTTACCGAGCCGTAGTGTGACTTACTAGGAATGTTAAGCGAATGTCCGTGAGGCTGCAGCCTTGTGGTAGAACGCCAAGTTTTTTGTGGGGCAAGTTCGTGAGCTTTAGTTCATGCTGCAGGTGGGCATGAGGGCCTCCTGGGAACAACTTGAAATGTAGTATCCAAGAGCTTGTTATGGGTCTCACGTCTACAGTGATCATTGCTGTTTCCCGATCCTTCTTCTCGAGTATTTCGGTGTCTCTGAACTGGTCTAGAACCCTATCCCCTACCGGTAGACCTCGACAAGACCGTGTACTGACATCTTGGTGTTGTTGCTCAATAGCCTCCGGCTATAATCAGAACTGGACGAGGGTACCGTCTTCAAAATATATACATCTCTGTTCCTCTACTTCGAGTGCGACGTCTGTTCATGCTTGCAGCATCTTCTCATCCTTCCATTCACTATCCCCTGTGTCATCTTCTTGTCTCTACAAAGGGTATAACGCTACCAACGATTTCAATCTTGACTGGGACTGCTGCAAGCACAAGCCAAGTCCCAAATGAGCCTTAGATCACAACTCCAGCAACAAGCAAAGAGGCCTAGCTGATGACCAGTTGAAGTCAGACGCAGTCAAGACCGAACCTTGACTTATCACCCTGGCACCTCCACTTCCAGTGGCCCCCAGAGTCTCCGAGATTGACGGTGGATTACTCTCTGCTTGTCCCAAGCCTCGAGGTACGGGCGCTACTGTGTACACTTACCCAATGACCTTGAACATTCCGGGTCGGCTTATGCCCAGACAAAGTTGCAGCAATGAGCCGTGGCTCGGAACGTCCCTTGTTAACGTCCGAGCGGCTCACATCGATTGCTCTGTCTGTTTGTTGAACCCTGCAGTCAACACAGTATATGCAGCTTGCCAGATTGGATGCAACTCAACTTGCGCTGAGAAGCATGTGCCCAGATGTGCCTGCTGTTATACCGCCCACCACAGCTGCCTGCGATATCAAGAAGTTAGCATGCTCCGGCGTAGAGCACAAACACTACACCCAATTGGATGTATAAGTCTGCGGCGACTATTAACAGGCGAGATGAAGAAACGGTATGTCTGCGGATGTCTTCACATGTCCGGCCCGGTGCGGACTGTGGATGTGCTATCGGCATTTGGTTGTACAGAGTATTCGCTGGAGGTCATGGCTTCGCTTATCCTGCAGGTCAGGCTTCCGCTCGCCTAGTTTGATGCAGCTTGATGCTCCTTGAGACAAGCTGCAGATATAAAACAGCATTAACCAAAGGATTGACCAGTGATACTCGTACGACCAATGGCCTGCCGCGCTGAAATAGGTAAGTGATTTGAAGCATACTTGACATTGCCAGCGAGCCTTGATCGGCGTCCTAGACACATATTACGGAAGGAGACGGGCATGATGGAGTTTCATGGGTCGCGCAATCCCGTCAGTCCAACAATCATTCCCGCGGACTTGCATGGAGCAGTATCCGATTCCGACGCACGTGCTTCAAGGTAAGGAGATGAGACAAAACAGCTCAGCAGGCCTGGCAGGGAGTACAAGAACCAACACACTCGATTCGAGAGAACGAATGCTTGGCCCTCATGGCGGTGAAAGAGCGGCTATGCGCGAAACGGGCAAGACACGTTTACAAGAACGAGCATGTGCAACTATTAATGGGCAAACAGGAGCGGTGACGGTGCTAGGAACGCTTGCGCTCGTACGACAATGACCCTATCCAGCTGGTGTTGCAGTGGAAATAAACATGGCCGAACACACAGACGAGCTAATCTTGACCGTCTGAAAGATGCCGGATGCAGGTCGGGATGAGGCGACGCGAGAGCTCCATCGCAACTGTGGGAGCGACACACAAATAAAATAAATATCAGGTCAAAAGCCGCTCTTTCGGCTCACACGACACACAATTTCCGTTTTAGCCAGTCCTGCTACGAGCAAATCTTGTTGCTTCATCAAACTCTTCGTCATGCTTTTTCCTAGCTCGTCATGCCATTCGCGTGGGCACCGTTTGGAGAACCCCCGCTGCGAATACTAGCATTTGGTTCAACTGCTAGCTTTTCTCGCCAGATTGTTTAAGAGGGGCACCCAGCATTTTTGAGAGAGTGACCGCATCCGAAAGCCTGAAAGCCTGGAAGGGGCCCATTCCCAACGCCTGCAGCAACACTTCCAGGCCTCGGTAGACCGTTCCGCTACGGGCATCCTCAATACCGTGACCACACACAACTGTGAGCATCCTTACCTGAGAGAAATTCTCTTCTCTCAAGCCCTACCAAAACCCCTCGGCTACCATTCATTCTTGATCCAAGTCTCAGGAGCGGCTGTTGTTCTCGTCTTCTCCCCAGCTTAAGCATCTAAATTCCGCTGGAACCCGCTAGCAACTCGCAAGCATTGAATCAAGCACTGCGGTCACTCGCTTGGCAATTCCGGACTGTCGACAGATTGGTCAGCAAACACCACCTGAAGCCCCGAAGCCCTCCAAGAGATCCAACTGCGCCTGCGGCAGGACGGGCATCCCATCTCTTGGTAGTATCCATCTCCAACTTTGTCGGGTCCCTTGGACTGCGCTCACAGCCACACTTGACGTCTGATTTCGGTCGAACAAAAGGCCTCTCCGATCTGTCATCACAAGACATTAAAGATCGCCCTCGCACCTGGCCCCGCTGACGCCACCTTACTTCCAGACATCATTCACAAGACAGTATAATATCGATAGTACTCATCTTCTAATCTGCACCAAATTCGACATTTTGAATCGACGTCACACGATCTCGCGTCGACTGCGATCACCTTATCTACCCAATCGCCACTAGAGGCGCGTCAGATAGGCACCGTTGGGCACCCCACGCCCACAAACCCACCCCTCGCAACTCGTCCCTCGAACTTTAGGGACTACGCGAATGAATCAGCCTACGCCTCCAGTCTCTGCCAATCCTTCCACCACTTCGGTCGCTTCACAACATTCTCGCTCCGACGATGAGAAGGTAACACAGTTGGCGGGTGATACGGCTCACCTGTCGGTCAACGGGAAGCCCAATGGCTCTGCCACACCCGCCATCGAAAAGCCAAAGAAGCCAAAAATGTCCTCTCGCCTGACCCGCATGTTCTCGAGAACGGACGGCAAAGAAACCGAGCTTGCTAGAAACAATGTCGAGAACTCTTCAACTGACACTCGTCACGAAGCAGACGGTACTAAGAGCCCTAGACCTTCGGTCGGCGGCAGGCTACCTTCCGCTGAGAAGAAAGAGAAGACGAGAGAAGGGTCGGTCGACGGACACCCAAGCAAACGCTTCGAGATGCGCGATGACGGCTCTCATACTCACTATCTCAAGTCACAAAAACGCAACGAGAAGCTGTCGGATATGCTCCGTGATATGCTTGGTGGCAAGAAGAAAGAGCACGATAACGAGGATAAGCAACTCTCCCTCATGTCCAACTGGGTCGACCAGCTTCGTTCTGAGCGTGACTCCTTGGCCTCGGACAAGAAGGGAGGACCCAACGCCACAGCCAACCTTGTCGAGAAGTACGGCAAGTGTCAGGAGATAGTCGGACGTGGCGCCTTTGGCATTGTTCGCATCTCCCATAAACAAGACTCCGCCGGCCATGAAATGCTCTATGCGGTCAAAGAATTCCGACGTAGACCGCAGGAGACCTCCAAGAAGGTAAGCCACCCCCCACAAATTTCAGCGACAGTACAAGAAAGCTGTTTGAAAAACAAGATTTACTAACGCTGTGATAGTACCAAAAACGCTTGACATCCGAATTCTGTATTAGTAGCTCGCTACGCCATCCCAATGTCATTCACACCTTGGACTTGCTGCAGGACGCCAAGGGTGACTACTGCGAAGTCATGGAGTATTGCGCCGGCGGTGACCTCTACACCTTGATTCTTGCTGCTGGGACCCTCCAAGTGCTCGAGGCGGACTGCTACTTCAAACAGCTTATGCGCGGTGTCGAGTATATGCATGAAATGGGCGTGGCTCATCGAGACTTGAAGCCTGAGAACCTCCTGCTTACTACCCATGGTGCACTCAAGATTACCGACTTCGGCAACGGAGAGTGTTTCCGCATGGCTTGGGAGAAGGAGGCGCATATGACAGCCGGACTCTGTGGCTCTGCTCCTTACATAGCGCCCGAGGAGTATGCTGGAGGTGAGTTCGACCCCAGAGCCGTCGATGTCTGGGCCTGTGGTGTAATCTACATGGCCATGCGGACAGGACGGCATCTGTGGCGCCTAGCCAGAAAGGATGAGGATGAGTTCTATGCCCGCTACCTCGAGGGCAGGCGAGATGAAGATGGCTACGCTCCCATCGAGAGCTTGCACAGGGTAAGTCACACATGCGCCGGTACCCCTCCTTCTGAATACAGACTAACAACCACCAGGCACGTTGTCGCAATGTCATCTACTCCATTCTCGACCCCAACCCGGGCCGGCGCATCACTGCCAGCCAGGTGCTCAAATCAGAATGGGGACGCGAAATCAAAGTGTGCAAGGCTGGTGAGGAGGGTTACTAGCCTCTCTCACCTTGACTTTATTGCACATCAAGACTTCCGAAATTTGTTACGACGTGACGACCTTGGATACACCCAGAGTATCGACCGGCAAACAGAGCTTACGACCACCCTTGCTCTTCACAGTCCTGATCTTCTATTTACCCCTTTTCAAATCTTCGCCCACAGACTCTCGGTACCAGCGGAATCTAGACATCCCGGTGACGGCCAGCCGGCTCTTTTGTTAGTCGACAGAGACCCTTTCATACAGGCGGAGCGGATTTTGCACTTCGAGCGTTCGTTTCAAATCAGCGAGCATGCGAGCGCAACACAAACCAAGCGCGCTCTCTAGGATTCGGCAGTAGTGCTTTTTCGGGGAAAGGCTGGCCCATCGATCGTTCCAGAGCTGAATGTTTAGAGCTGAGCAAGTTTTTCTTTCTGGCTTCTGTATAGCAACGCACTATAGCGATAGTAGCACAACCTCCCAACCAACCAGCAGCAGCAGCCGCCGCCGCCGCCGCATCAGCATTCATCGTTAGAAGAATTGCAGACAAAAGACACTTCGAGCTCTTACCCCCCTAACCGTGCTTCACTGCCGTCAAACCATTTCTAGACTCGCTCGCTCACCTCATCTTATCACGTGCTGCCCCCTCGCTGCCCCCTCGTTACCGATAACTACTGCCGCGTAAGTCACAAGAATCATCATCATTTCCCAGACGAGCCATTTACCTACCGCCTCTGTGTAACCGCGGTAAAGTCGCCGTGGGACCGCGGGACCTCGCAGCCCGGGTCCTCTCGGGGACAGTTTAGCTATCATGCATGTAGTAGGTGTGTGAGTAGGTGTGTGCTCTTACGGATTAGATAGCTGACGCGAGATATATCATCAGGTCGCAAAGAGGAGGCCGGCTGGATCCGATGATGGCTTTTTGCGGGATTTTGTGGCTTTGGAGCGTTGTGTCGTTAAAGGAATCTAAGCTCACCTCACCTCATCTGGGCTTCACCACACGGGAATATGAGCTCGGTCGTATTGCCATGCATACATAAGTGTTGTGAGGGTTAGTTGGCACAGCCGGTCCGCGCCGGGCTGAGAGTTAGTAGACTGACTACCTATGCTGATGATGGCATCAGCACGGTTCATGGGACGAGCCTCTGAAGGGGTGCTTATGGGGGAGATGTATTGGGAGCAGAGATTAGATGGATGGATGGATGGATGGTCAGAGGCATGGCGCAACACGACTTTGATTCAGCCTATGGATAGCTAGCTCTGGGTACAATAGCCAGAACCTTTTGTGTGTGCATTATCTGCATGTGCTTTTAGCAGAGGATATGAAGTCCTTGGTATCAAACCCCCATCGACGATTCACACATTTCCCCAGGATGCTGACATGCACCTTGATGAAGAACCGTTTTCCGCACACCTCGTAAAACGCCGGCCCTGTTCCTTTCCGTTTGAATGCCGCAGAGCGCCGGTAGATTTTGGTCACAGCTTCAAATCGACTTCATGCGTATCCCCCAGATGCGCGCATCTTGTCTCCTCGTTACATCCGCACAAGCTGACTGAATTAGGAGCTGGTAGACTATCGCCGCGACAGAGTCGGACGCTGCTGAGTCTTGCTGCGAGAGTCAAGTCATAAGCATGGCGCCGTGATTGCACTGTCCTATTCATGCAGACGGCCTTCAAATTCTCTCGAGGCAGGTGAGCCATGATCTCGTTATCATAGTCTTTGGACAAGTTGATGCCATGACTTTTGCTCAGTCGCTGTCGCTGTCGTCCTTAGACTTGCTCTTTCGCTTCTCCTTCTTCTCTTTCTTCTCCTTCTTTGCCTTCTTGCGCTCGGCGCGCTCCTCGGCCGTCTCACCATCATGCTTTTTGCGCTTCTTATCTTTCACCTCGCCGTTCGCTTCCGCCTTGACGGGGGTTGGGGCAGTGTCAGCCATATCAAGATCACCGTCGGAGTCACCATTGGGTGCGATGGGAGGGGCAGATAGAACATCGGATTTAGAGGTGGTCTCTGCCTGAGGGGCGCCAGAGGTGCCGGCCTCGCCAGAATCAGCAGCGTTGTAGTCGGTATACCCTGCGGTCCAGGTGGACGGGGTCTTCTCGTTTGGTCGGCCGTATTTCTGCACTAGGTTAGCAAAATGTCAATTGTCTGCCAAGAAAGCACCTACGTCAAGCTTGCCATCAGACTTCATCTTTTTCTTCTCGAGAGCGACAGGGCCCATGCCCCATCGTCGGGGATAGAGGTCTCGCTCCATGATGCAGCGCTTGACCTTGGCCACAACACCGTGATCGCATGTGGAGAGTTCAACGGTAGACATTTGAGCAATGCCCAGAGCAATAGCCTCGCCCTTCGTGGTCATGAGGACAACTTCTTCGTGCACCTCAATACCTGCTTCAAACCGTAGCAGGCCAGGGATCATTAGCTTCGCACCATATGTAATGGCGTTGACAGCGCTGTCCTTGACGACTATGCGCTTGTAGGTGGTAAGCAGCGACTCAAGTGGCGAGATGACTTTGCGGAGATATGATTCATCACGCTGGTTATCATACGTCCATTGAGCGTCCAAAACATCGTGGAGAGTGACCATGCCCTCGGATTCGTCCTTGGCTCCGGACCGTACTCTCCGCAGCTCCTGCATGTGAGCACCCACGCCAAGGAGCAGACCCAAGTGAACACAGAGGGTTCGGATGTAAGTGCCGGCTTCGCAGCTGACCCAGAAAACGCCCAAATGTCGGTCGTTGTCGAACTCATACAGCTTGCTCTCGTAGATCGTCCGGATACGCAGTTGACGCTTGACTGCTGAGATCAATGGTGGACGCTGGAAGAGCGCGCCGCTAAGGGTCTCGAGAGCTCGAGCGAACTGAGCTTCGCCGCCAGGCAGCTTGTCGTGGAACCGGATAACGCAGACATACTCTTTTCCGGCGCCTTGTTGTGACTTGACGAGCCTCGTAGCCCTATCAATACAGACGATAAGGCATCCCGTAACCTTGGGATCCAGTGTACCACTGTGGCCGGTCTTCTCGACGCGGAGCATACGCTTGACCCATGCTACTACTTCGTGACTGGAAGGGTTGGAGGGTTTGTCAAGGTTGATGACGCCGGAGGAGATGTAGGATTTGAGGTCGCGCTTGTAGGGTGTGCACCCACAGGGGATTGGGGTGAAGTGCCCTGTTCGAACGAGGACTAGGACACTGGTCAGTACGAGAATTGTGGCTGCCGCGGGTGAACAAACGCTTTTCATAATTCTTCAGCAACAGAGGCCAGTCCTCGGTCGAAATGGTTTGAGTAACATTCTCGGGCTTGATGGCAAAATCGCCCTTGGTCGCAACTTCGCCCATTCTTGCTGCTGTGGTGCTGCAATCTATTTCGGTAGTACTTGTCGCGAGGAGCACCTGCGCTCGTTGCGGGTGAGCTCGATGGCAAATCGCACGAGAGCTCTCGATAGTGCTTCCGTGGTCAGCGGTAATGGTGCTTTCGCTCTCAAGGGTCGCAGATATTGTCAGGGCAATATGCAGCTGGCAGCAGCAGGCTTGCTCGAGTTGTGCCGTCAACTTTTTCTTTGGAGAACCCACTTTGGACGCCAAGGCGCTATGCTTAGAAAAGGTATGGCGCAAGTGACCTTTTGGAGCCGCCGGATTTGTTGGACACACCGTGACAGCCTGTTCTCATCGTCCTCATTAGCAGCTATCCTGCTCTACAGGATGATTGTTCACCTTTTCTGTCTTTCCCGCTGAACTTCCTAAGAAGTCACTGGAGCTCCAGTGTCAGCATCATGGATCGCTTTTGGAGTGCGCCTCCTGTTAGCAGGTATGTCGGCCAAGCTTGCCTTAAATCACCACTGCTAACCGGAGTCGCAGGACTATCGTTGCTGTAATGGGAATTGAATCCCTCCTGGTCATCGGCGGGATCATGCCAATATACTGGGTCCATTTCGAGCCGTCGTTGATGTGGAAACTTCCGCCTCACGTCTGGCGGCTTGCGAGCTCGTTTCTTTTGACTGGAGGAGGTCTGAGTTTCATCTTCGACCTGTACTTCACCTGGATATATGGCACTGGCCTCGAGCTCAATTCGCCTCGCTTCAGTCAGCCTGGAGATTTCTTCGTCTACGTTGTCTTCAATATGCTTGTCATCTTGGTACGATCACTTCCTTGCACTGCAATTTCCCTTTCCCACAACCCTCGCATATCTGCCCCTAGGGTTGTTCATAAGGCCCTAAGGTTCCTGGAAACGAGGCAGAGTACCCCCACGGCACGTACTGATCCATCATTCGCAAAATCTGTCAAGGACTGTACGCGGCGTGGGCATGGTGGTGGCTGTTTCACAAAGCTCGCGTGACGCATTAATTTGCGGGGGCTGAAGTGGCCTCCTACATCTTATTTCTTGCTATTAAAGCCCGTCCAACAATCGAATGGATGGTGTTGGGTAGCTAACACTACTCAAGGCTACGGCAGGGTTTCTTTTGAAGGCATACATCTTCACATCGGCGTTGATCATGGCTTTCATCTATACTTTCTCTCAAGTAAGCAACACTTTCATTGGCCCCATCGCCTGATATTGACTTTGATATGTAGGACAACCGTGGGACCAAAGCGCACTTTGTGATCTTTCAAATACCTGTCGAGCTGCTGCCGTGGGCGACTCTTGCGCTAACGCTGGTACTCGCCGGTCCAGGGTCAGCAGCCGTGCAAGGCATGGGCATCATCTCCGCACATCTTTATGACTTTCTCACCCGCTTGTATCCCACATTTCAAGGTGGGAGCAATTGGGTTCAGACTCCTATGTTCGTGAAGCGAGCGTTCGGGGCTGATCGCACCTCTTTCGCCCACAAGAAATATGGGACAAGCGTGCGTCCGGGGCAGCCAATACCTCAACAGCAGAGTAGAGGGTGGACGAGCGGCTTCTCAGGTGGGGGTTGGTCTGGAAGAGGTCAAGGCCACCGCCTGGGGAATGGTTAGGGAAAGTAGGTATGAATACAGCACTTCAGCTTTACACCCATCTTCCCTCTACCCCTTGTTGCGAGGTGTACTGGCATTCGGTTTGGTACACCTAAACCTTCAGCTTCCTCGAAGATGGCACTATTTCACAATGCTATGAGAGCACAGCCTCTCATAAGAGATACTAGTAAGCAAGATGCTGTGCTAGAGATATCGTGGGCATCCTTTGTGAGGGCAGGTGTGAGTGCAGCAAGCGGAGAGATATGAACGTCTCTCATGTCTCTTGCAGCAAGTCTGTCTTGGCCTCTCACTTTGCATTCACCTACACCTCACTTTGTTCTAGTTTGCATCGCTCCCAACTCCACGTGTTTTCAATCCCACTATTTCAGTGATCATCCCAGCGCATGCAGTCAACAACACCGCTGATCACTTAGCACTATCATCACTCGGCTACCGCAATGGTTCGCACCAAACAGCCTCATTCGACCTTGAGTCCTGACAGTGACTCTCTCACTGACCACATCATCGCCTGTGTCGATCTCCAGAAAGAACGCATTCCCTTAAACCATGGGAAGCTCCCTCCCACATTCGCGGATCTTGACCGTGCAGTTCGTGAATGCGGGTAAGCTTGTTGCAGCCAACCAGGGCCAGAAGTTGACATTCACAGTGGTCTAATCGTCAACGATGTGTCTTCTTCCACCATCCTTGTTGCAACCGAAGCCCAGTACAAGAGACACGGTGCACGTGTGAAAGCGGCAGTTGACCGAGCCTTACCAATCGTGACATTCGACTGGCTAGCGGCTTCACTTGACTCTAATGCTCCTGTCGATTGCTCGCCATACCATCTACACGATTCGTCCACGTCGAATGGATTCCATTCGACCGCAGCAGGTGATACGTCAGTCAGCAGCATCGGCACTCCTGATGCTTATGTCAATAGCGGCAGTTCCTCTAAGCGGTCTATCAACTCGCTCGATACCGATGACGACGGATCAGAAAACCTATTGAAGAAGTCGAAGACGTATCAACCGACACTAGTCCCGGTCGACAAGGAGTACCCTACCAAGAAGTGCAAAGTGTATCAAGATGGTGACGGAGTCTTCTTTGACGCGACACTAAATCAAGTTGACCGCGGAAAGAACTCGAACAAGTTCTACCGTCTGCAGCTGATCCAGCACGACGATGGCATCTACTACACGTGGACTCGCTGGGGTCGGGTCGGCGAATCTGGCCAGAAAAAGCTTCTTGGTGATTCGTCCTTGCACGAAGCTATCACCGAGTTTGAGAAGAAGTTCCGCGACAAGACTGGAAATCTCTGGATCAATCGTAGCGCGCCTTCCAAACCAAAGAAATACACCATGATCGAGGTCCAATATTCAGACGATGAGGCCGATGAAGATGGAGCGCCTTCTGCTACACCCGCATCTCCCTCAATCGAGATCATGTCCAAGCTGCCTAAAGCTGTCATCCGACTTATGTCCTTCATCTTTGATTTGGACATTCTCAGCAATACCATGGCCGAGCTCGAGTACGACATTGACAAGATGCCTCTCGGTAAATTGTCGAAGAATACCATGCTCCGCGGCTACGGCATCCTACAAAGTCTATCCGACTTGATGCAGACAGCCGGAGACGAGCCGGACGCAATCGCAGTTGAGGCGCTCTCTAATCAGTTCTTCACCCTGATCCCTCACGCTTTCGGTAGATCTACACGGCCTCCCCTGCTAGATGCGATGGACAAGATTCAGAAAGAGATCGATCTTCTTGACAATCTTGATGACATACGTGCGTCAGATGATTTGATGACCAAAGCCAAATCACAGCAAGCCGAAAAGCTTGCCTTGGTAGACCGACAATACCAGGCATTGGGCCTCCTGGAGATGACACCACTCGACCCGGGTAACACGGAGTTCGAACAGCTTGAGACCTATCTGATCAAATCTGCGGCCTCGACACATAATTTCACCTACCAGCTCCAGGACATTTTCAGAATCCGGCGAAGAGGAGAATTCGAGCGCTTCGATGACTCGGTGTATGGTAAGATGAGAGAGAAAAGCGACAGACGGCTGCTGTGGCACGGTTCGCGGGCCACGAACTTCGGCGGAATACTGTCACAGGCAAGACCCCTGTATGACATTACAGGGTCACTGGCTAATAAGACAGGGTTTGCGTATTGCACCTCCGGAAGCTCCTCCCTCAGGTTACATGTTCGGAAAAGGCGTGTACTGTGAGTATCTCTCCTAAGTATATCGGCCCAACCTTACTGATTTTTCTCAGTGGCCAACCTCTCAACTAAATCTGGCAACTACTGCTTTTCGAGCTCGAGCGAGAACACGGGCTTGTTGCTCCTCTGCGAGGCTGAGCTGGGAACACCGTCTCTCAAGTGCACCGATGCTGACTATCGTGCGCCCGAACTTGCGAAAGAGCAAGGATTGATCTCCACGCATGGCATCGGCGCGACCACGCCACAAGCTTGGAAGGACGCAGGTTGCGTTCATCCCGACTTGACTGGCGTCAAGATGCCTGACGTGGAGCATACTGCACCTGGCGCTTCAGAGACTGGATACTTGGGACTTCTCTACGATGAGTATATTGTCTACTCAGTCGAGCAGTAAGTGTCTGCTTCTTCGGATTGCTCCTTATTACGAGTCAGCTAATTCGGTTAGGGTCCGCCTTCGATATCTTCTCAGAGTCAAGATGACACCACGATACAGCTACTAACAGAATTGGACGTACGTCTGTTGACGGGTCACAATCTTGATCGTCTCTCACAAGCCTCGGAAACTGATATCGATAGCTCTTAGTTTCGGCACGGCATCCATGCGATTATCAATGCATCAATTTAGCGGTGGTTAAGGGTGGAGCACGGTTCCGCACAAGTATTGAGCAATGGATGGTCCTGTATTAACCAGAAAGCGCAAACATGTACATCGCGTCCACATCATATGCGGGAGTCCGACTCCATTGAAAGTCACCGTAGCTCACGAGCGTCAGTGCTTTCTCATGTACCTCTAATATTGATTCAACTCTAGCATGAATGTAGGAATCAGTGCGCTTTTGATCCGGCAAGTCCTCTCGTACCCTTGGCCCAAATCATACGCTCGCAACTGTCCGAGACAGTCTACATGAAGCGACGCTTTCCCCCCTTTTCCCTTGTGTTCACCCAGTCAATGCTCGGAACCAGTCGGGAAGCGAGTAATGCTCCCCGACTACGAGAAAAGCCCCCTGATGAATGAGCATTTTTCCTTCAGACCTTCTCCTCCTCTCTGAACAAGGGGAACTTGTCCATCAACGCCCTGGCCTCCACATACTCCTCCCGCAGCACCTTCTCATGCCGTGGGCTCCGGATGCGGATGTCGCACTCAAAGTGCCTTGGTCGGATATTGAAGCCGCCTTTCGGAAAACATCGTTAGCAATACTCCCTTTTTTCCTTGTATTCGAACCTGTCTGAGAAGGAGCAAAGAAAACTTACCGACATAGTCCCACACATCATACTCGACGCCTTTCAACGGCCGCACGTCGAAGCACCACAGCAGCCTCGCCAGCGCGATGTAGAGGTTATTCATCGCGAGGTCCGCGCCAGGACAGATCCGACGGCCCCAACCGAAACTCGAGTGCCCGAGTTTCGACGGGTGCGGCTCCCCCTTCTCCGGCGGCGTGCCCTGCACGTAGGTCTGCGGTAGGTAGGGCAAGCTCGTCGGCTCGACGTCCAGGAAGCGCAAAGGGTTGAAGTGGTGCGAGTTCGGGTAGTAGCGCTCGTTGTGGTTGATGGCCCAGGTGTTGCCCAGAACGTTGGTGTCCTGCGGGATGTACCAGCCGCGGTAGACGTCGCGGGCGGTGGTGGCGTGCGGCGTGCCCCCCAGCACGGCCACGGGCCGCCAGCGCAGGACCTCCTTGCACAAAGCACGCAGATAAGGCAGATCTTGCTCGTCGGCGAAGGTGGGCAGCCGGTCCGGGCCGATGACGGCGTCCATTTCGGCGTGGACGGCGTCGAGGGTGGCCGGGTGTGTGACGAGGGCGAGGAGGGCGGAGCAGAGGGACGAGGCGGTCGTGTCGGCGCCGGCGCCGAACAGCGAGGAGGGAATGAAGCTGAAGTCGCGGTCGCTGAGCAGGGCGAAGGACTCTGGGTCGGCGGCGCGCCGTTGCAGGAGCTGCTTGCACAGGCTGTTGGGGATCTCGCGGCCCGTGCGCTTTTCCTCCTCCATCTCGTGCTTGATGTAGTCGGTCAGTCGCATGTTGGCGTTGGCCTCGATGGCGCCGTGGCGCTTGATCTCGCGCTTCCAGGGTGCCAGCCACAGCGGCATGTGCTTGAGGACGGGGAAGGATTCGGCCAGAAACCGCCCGGGAACGTTCAGTGTTGCGTTGTAGTGCATGATGCTCATGCGCTCGCGGATGACGGGACTGTCCATGCTGTCGATGCGGTGACCGTAGGAGACGGAGAAAACGATCGAGGCCGTCATCCAATCGAGTAATTGCTCCCATTCGTTGGGGCGGGCGAGTAGCTGGAAGCAGAGGCGGCAGGCTTCGGCTTGCTGCACGGGGATGTAGTTCTGCAGGGCGCGGGGCGTGAGGGCCGAGTGCAGAAGCTTCCGACGTATCGACCACTCCTTGTTGTACGGCTGGACAAGGATGGAGGCCATTTCCCAATAGATCTCACCCATGACCACGAATCGAGGTCGAGAGCTGTAGTTTTGGCTGCGCTTTTCCATGAGCTCGACGGCGACGTGAGGGTCTGAGATGATGACGGTGGGCCGCCGTCCAAACCAGACAGTGTAGATGTCGCCGTAGATTTTGGACCACTCCTGAAACTTGATCCATGGATACTGTGCTGGGACGCTCTTGGTGTTGCCGATGAAGGGGGTCGGTGGTGGTCCTGGCGGCATCCGCCTGCGGAGGACTTCATCATGAACCAGGAAGCCCAGAACTGGCACGATGAGAATGGCTGTGGCGAGCCACCAGAGATGGATGTACTCTGTCATAGCCATGGTCCACGGCGTCCGAGTTAGTCGGGTGAGTCCTTCCAAGATGCCGCTGATAAGAGCAGTGGCCGTTCAAAACTCCAGTGCCGAGAACTACACTCGCTTCTAAGAGATGCACCGAGACAGGTCTGTCTGGCAAGCCTCAAGAATGCTTTAATGTGGGCAGAAAACGCACGACTGAAGGCTTAGTTGCCATGGAGGCACACAGGCCCCGGCTTCTTTGGACCGACCCATCGTCAGGCTGGAATGGCTCTCCGGGCTCAGAGACATGACCCGCCGGTCACCAGCCCCATCATGCGTCTGTGGAGTGGGTTCAGATGGCGTCTGCAATGCGGGGTGTGGAAAATGGGTTCTATCCGAGGATCTCAAGTCGCACGTCTCGGCAATTGGCAAACGGGACGTTGAAATTGCCCCAGGCTTCTTCAGGCTTTGGAGGATCGGATACGCGCTGGACGTGGTGGTCCATCTTCGCGTCCTGTCAAGGATAGCCATTGGCTGATGGTACCCTCGCATGTATTCTGCCGAAAGTCTGGAAGGTCATGGTATGCGACGGGCCTCGGGGTTATTCCGTACCACATGAATTAATTGTACATGCTGTGATAAGTCGCTGGATGCAACGATTCTCACCTTGAGAACGACATCAAATATCAGTACCGTGCGCAAGGAAGCACAAGATACGCAGCGAGAGAACGTGCACCCGCTGCCAACCAATCAGAAACCACCATGGCCCAGCAGCAGACGTTCGCGAGGTTACCACCTTCAGGCATCAAGGTCATCATCGTGGGCGCCGGCTTTGCAGGTCTCTGTGCCGCCATCGAATGTGACCGCAAAGGCCACAGCGTTGTTCTCCTGGAGAAGGTGGCAGATTTGAAGCCGCTGGGCGATATCATCAGCTTCGCAGCCAACTCGGGCCGCATATTCGAGCGATGGGAGGGCGTCGTGGAGGCGCTCGAGCCCATCATCCACAAGTCGGAAGGCTTGAATTTTCATTCTTGGGAGGGCGAGTTCATGACGAGGCAGATTTGGGATCCAGAGGCCAAGTATGGGAGGAAGATCAACGGTCATCGCGCAGAGATTCACGAGGCCGTCTACCTCCATGCCAAGGCGAGAGGCATCGACATCAGGTTGGACCAGAATGTCACCGACTACTTTGAAAATGACGACCATGCCGGCGTCGTCTCCAACGGTGAGACGTTGACGGCCGACTGCGTTGTCGCTGCCGAGGGCGTCAAGAGCAAAGGTCGGAAGATCGTACTGGGATACGAAGACCGGCCAAAAGCTTCCGGCTATGCTGTGTAGGTCATTGATCTGCTGCTGTCTGGCAATGATTTGTTCCAAGCTAATGACACTATCCCCAGATTCCGTGCATGGATGAAGACCGACGAGCTTGCGAAATCCCCCAGCACCAAATGGTTCTGCCACGGAGACACCCACAACGGCTGGATGGGCGAAGACAAGCACTTCCTCGTCGCCTCGATCAAAAACGGCACCGAGCTATCATGGGTCCTGACGCACAAAGACGACGGCGACATCGACGAAGACTGGTCCTTCCCCGGCCAGATCGACGACGTCCTCAAGTGCATCGACTCCTGGGACCCCGTGCTGAAGGAGCTCGTCAAGGCCACCCCACCGGACCGCCTGCACGACTACAAGCTCGTCTTCCGCGACCCCCTGCCAACCTTCATCTCCCCCAAAGCACGCATCGCGCTGATCGGGGACGCGGCTCACCCCTTCCTGCCGACCTCGATCCAGGGCGCCAGCCAGTCCATGGAAGACGGCGTTGCGCTGGCCATCACGCTGGAGAAGAGCGGCAGAGACAATGTCCAGCAGGGCATCAGAGCGTACGAAGCGGTGAGGTACGAGCGCGTCCACCGTGCCCAGATGACCGGTGTCACCACGCGGGAGCAGTGGCATAAAGCCGACTGGACCAAAATACGCGCCGGTGAGTTTCCACAAACCCCCGTTTCAACCCCGTGCAGAACGGACTATACTGACTGGACCGTGCCACAGACCCCAAATCGTTGCACTTGCGACGTGAGCCCTGGCTGCTGGATTTTGACCAGGAGTCTCACACCTACGCCGTCTTCGACGAGACGGTCGCGAAGCTCAAGGAGAAGGAGAAGGAGGATGTTGCGGCGGCAGCCCCCGTGGCCGTGGAGGACGCGGGGTCGGAGAAAGTCACTGCGGCGCCGCGCGTGATGGCTACAGAGCTGCTGGGTGTTAGTCAGGCGTAGATGTGTTAACCGCAATGTGCAGTGTGCAGCTACAGTCGGTATCTGGTCGGCTGCAAAGGTGCACAGGGGCAAGCTAGGGCAATATACACGGTGGGAGCAAAACCGAGTTTTATATTTACGAGGTCTCCTCTTTACTGCCCATTTTCTCGATGATGCATTGCACCATGTGTGCTGGGAAGACTCGATGGCTTGCTTGGGCGTCGTCTTGAGCTCGGCCATGGTCGAATGAACTACTTTGCCCAAGAGCTGCTGCACGGCCTCCGCCCCTCACTGCCCCTGTACGACGCCCCCAAACCTTCCATTTCGTGCTCGCTTTCAATTCCGATCGCCATGGGTCGAGGCTTGGGCTTTGACTCGGAATCCTGGATGCTTTACATATCACCGAAGTTTACCACCGCAGAAACTCCTCCGTCGTGGTCTCAATAGTATGTTCGGAGCTGGTAGCGTGGCCCCCAGCTTTCAGGCAGTAAAAGTCTTGGCGAGGAAGTAGTGGTAAAATCTCCGTCGAGCTCACGTGGGCGCTCACCGCCTTCGCGCCGCTTTTAATGTCGCCGCACCCTTGACTCACCCTCACCTCACCAGCTCCTCAGCTTCCACTCACCTTCCCAGTCAAAACCTCGCTCGTCTGCCGCGCTGTCCTCACAACATGATTCACCGCGCGACGTGGCGATCCTAACCTATGTCCCCAATATGGGCGACTACAGGCCGTCCCTGTTCTGGGACCTCTTAATGCGCAGCTGAGCTAACTTTTCCCTGTATAATAGTATACATAAAGACCTGGTGTTCAGCTGATATACAGCTGTACCCCTCTTCCTATCTTTCCTCTCTCCTCTCTCCTCTCTCTTTCTATTACCTCTGCTATCTCTATTAGTAGCTCCTGTTACCTGAACCTTACTGTAGTAGTACCCACTACCCACTACCTATCTAGCTAGCCTGTACTATCTAGTACCTATAGCTAAACCAACTGCTAACAATCTGTTACTAGCCCATAATAAAGCTAATAGGTACTAGTGAGGGGTATATATAGAGGCTAATTGGCTCTATAGCTATAAGAAGTATATAACTAAGAAAGATCAAGACTATAAACTAAGACACTATATCCTGTAAGTCTAGCCTAACCCCCTCTGCTTATACCTAAAAGGTGCTTTGGATTTATTAGGGTGTGACGATGATCCATGAGGTGACTCCACAAATACTTCGCTGGGTCCCACCAAGCTAGCCATCATTCATCGTGACGAGAGAAGAGAATCAACAAAATACCCTGCGGGAAGGTGCTGACGAACTCTCGTGCCTAGAGGGTCAGCACCTAAGGGACCTGCTCCGCTCTAACGTCGCAGAACTGTTCTGGCGGCCCCCAGCGCCTTCGTAACTTTCAATTACGGGGGGATACCCCCCGTGCCCCCAAGGCTAGGGGGCACGGCCCCTAGAACCCCCTTGGGTCACGTGACGAGTGTTTTTTCAGCGAATCAGAAGACCTACACGTGACGACTTTTGACCAATCAGAAGCCAGAGATCTGCCCAATCAGCGTGCAGGATTCAATTCCTTGGCGCAGAAAACCCAATATATCCCTGCTCCGCTATCGCTTCGCAGGATAAATGAGGAAGCGCATCAGGGAAGCTGATCGCCCGGCCAACGGCGCTCAAGCCTACGGCTCGGCGAAACATACATTCCGAAGGGTCGATGGTCCATCGAGTGAGTCCCCCAGGAGAATCCTTCTAGGAATGACGTCTGTGATGAGACAGGGCCGGAAGATTGGAGAGACTCTGGAATAGAGATGGAGAACCTCCCCATCCTTCTCTGATGTGCGAAGAGCCGATCGACATGCGACCGTAGAGTATGACCCGAGGTTTCGGTGCACACCTTTGATTGGTCAACGAACTCCTCTACCTTCAGCTATGGTGAACTGTTCCGTCTTTCTCAGGGTCAAACGCACACCCATCCTTGTTTCATACTCTCCGTCTCCATCTACGACTCTCGCGCGCCAGTTCCAGCCATTCCGACAACCGCCGACGCTAGTAGCTAATTTTGCCTCCCTCTCGAATGCGGGGCACACAAAGCTAGGAGCTCCGGCGCCAAACCAACTTGAACCACTTGCCCCGCAACGCCAGGCACAAGAGATTTACTTTGTGAGAGCGCGCGACTAGAGCAACCTCCCAGATCCTTGCTGATACAGATGACAATAGTCTACAGTCGCGTCAACATCCCTGATTGCATGGTGCGACAGTGCCGGCGCTAGCCCGCCCAATCAGAACCATCTTGCAAAGGTTAACATCAAGTATATCTACTCTGGGAAACAGACGCATTTTTAAATTCATCTGCCTCAGGCTACGCGAGTCGGTCGGTATCAACTAGTCGAAATGACGGAACCTTTGAGCATCACTGCCTCCTTACTGGCCGTTACTACAGCGGCTTTACAGTCATCGAAGTCTCTCTATAACACTGTCAAACGCTTCAAAGGTCGCGACAAAACATTACGACGACTTCAGGGTGAACTAGAGGACCTGACCAATATTTTGGCCTCGTTGACGCAGGTCATGACCGCTGAGCAGTCAATTTCCACACTTCTCCGAGGTCCTGTTGAACGCTGCGACCAAGTATGCCGTGAGTTCCAGCAAGCAATGGAAACTTTCGGAGGAAAGCCAAAGACAGGCGTTCTAGACTGGGCGAAGATGGAATTTATGAGAGGGGGGATACAGGACTTCATCGATTCGCTTGCAAGCTACAAGTCGACGATCTCAGTGGGGGTGGGCACGATCACTCTGTCAGTTGAACTTCCTTTCCTACCTCGGCTTTCACTGACAGATTTATATGTCTCATACGTCAAAAATCTCGGACCAGGTTCTCCAAGAGTATAATGAGATAGTACAAGACACGGCATATGACCTTGAGCTGCATCTGAGACGAATTGAGGAGAAGATGACGCAAATCAACGTCCACATTGCTCCTGCATCGAGTGTGGATGTAGACCTGAAAGACGAAAGAGAAGTTACTCAGCAATGCCTTCGTATCTGCGAAGATGCGAAGTCTTATATCAAATCCATAATGGACCGAGAATCGACTCTGCTTCCACAGCCGTCCCATGACGGTGATGAAGATCAGCCCTTTGAAGCGCGGACGCGAACGCGTGACGCGCTGAATGGGAATCAAGACAAATTTGCGGAAACCATCGATTACCTTCGCACACGCCTAGACGTCTTACTTCAGCAAGGCGATGTGGGAAACGACGCCGAAAGATCGCGGTTGCAAGCCGACATCGATCTTTCAAAGCAATGTCTCGACGTCTGTAAGGTGGCAAGCGAAGTCTCACGACAGACAGTGTACAGAATCGGGGAGGTCATCGCCGAAGGTGACAGCGATCAAGTTGTGGTAAATACTTTGGCCGATTTATTCGATATAAAGAAAGCTTTTGCCAAAGACAATGCGGCACAGCTGGTTGGCTCAATGACCGCCGAAAGTCTTCGAGACCTGGCAGACAAGCGCTACGGCAGTCGTTCTGCAATCTTACATTCCGGTCGCGTTGACGACAGCATCGCCAGCTCGCCTGCGATTCACGAAGTCCGAACGAGTCGACATACTACCACGACTCGAACGGACAATTCTGAGCAATCTCCAGGACTACGATCAAAACAATTGAGGCCAACGGCGAACGAAATCAAAAAAAGGCAGACAGACGATGTGACCGACTCAGGGCGGCAATGAAGCCGCAGACCGGCAGCGCCTTACACGAAAACGGTGACGAGCAAGGCGAGGAAATCACACCGTTTTTTGTACGTCGGGTCCGCCTACCTCGTATTTTGGGGTAGACTACAGAAGGTCCTTATTAACACAAGCACTGGGGGTTGCGGCTTACCCTTATACAGCCTCACTCAGGTAGGTTGTAACACCGCCGCTGCCTGGGCCAGCTGACCAATCCCCTACCGCGCCCAGACGGCGGTGTCTCAGGGCGACCGGGGTCGAGGGTGAGCGCGCACTTGGGCGTCGCGCGACGCGGGTGAGGCGCGGGTGCGCGTAAATCGGCCTCACCCTTGTCCCAACGATGGGTGATCTTGACGCAAATTTTACCCTACTTGGCGCTGTCGATGGATGAGGCGAGGATCATTACCTAGCAGATTCATTGCAGATAAAGAGGGGAAACTGCTGCGTTAGCTAAAGCCCATTACCGCCAGGTTAGCTCGCGACGTAGTTACCTCAGCGAGCATGTTACAGCATGCGCCTGCTGTACGTACGCGCCGATGGCGGCCGAAGATCCAACCTCACGACGTGGGGGATGACAAACAGGCTTGCCCGACTATACAATCCTGTCTCACAGGTGGAGGAAGGGGACTCGACGACGACGAGGTCATCTTTGAGGACATACAGAGTGGAACGGGCCTGAACAAGGCTGGAAGATATCAGGGTTCGTGTCCAAGAAAACGCCAATGGGCTTTTTCATGTGAGTGGCGCTGGTACTTAATATTCTCAACGAGGAATACGCACGAGGTGAAATGCCAGCCCTGAGGAAGAAAACTTGAGGAGCTACCGGAGAAAGCTCAGTGAATTCTTCGTATGGCCTCTCCCCCGACTCATCCACTTCTATCTATCCTCCCCATCTCTCCCCAAGCCTCTCAACCTCCAAACTCGCCATGACGAAAGCCGATTCCCCCAACAAGCTGTTTAACAAGATTGGTCTCCCAGTATAATACTCATATGTGGCCGTGGAGTTCAGACTACACACCGCGACCGTCTGATTGATTCCCACCGTCCCATTCCCACCTCCGCTCTCCGCGAAGCTTCCGTCCATATTGTAATAGACCAGGAAATTCTCCGCCGCGTAGCGATAAGCTTTCATGCTCGCTTCATGCACGGTTGACTCAAAGTCCATGTCGGCGAGTATCTGCAGCCGGATGGCCTTCAGCAGACTCCAGGTGAAGAGCAACGTGCTGGAGCTCTCGAGGAAGTTGCCCGTTTCGCCGGGCAGGGCGGTGAGTTGATACCACGCGCCAGTAGATTGGTCCGCGTAGGGGATCAGATTCCGCGCCGTGTCTTGGAACGTCGTCTTCAGCTGATCGCAGAGCTGTGTTTCTGCCGGCCCGAGCTCCTCCCGAGCTGCTCGGCTCGCAGACGCACAGCAGAGCTCCCCATAAGCCTGTACCAACCCACTCATGAACCACCCCAGCGATCTCCCCCAAACATACGGACTTTTCCCCGTGGGGCGCTCGGCCCAGGGGTATGTGAAGTTCGCATCGTACCCGTGCGTGACCAGCCCGCTGGACTCCTGATGGCAGCGGCTCACCAGCAGCGAGAGCTGCAGCGAGATGTCGGTGTAGTTCGGCGACGGCTGCGCGACCGTGTACGGCAGCAGCGAGAAGAGCCCGTCGAGATAGCTCAGTGTTGGGTACGCGCCCGCGTAGTACAGGTACCCGCCTAGGTAATTGCGCGCTTGCGCCCGCAGCGAAGCTGCCAAGGCCGTCGCCGCGGCGGTCTGGTTTTTGGACAAGCCGCCCAGCGGCTTTGCGGCGTCGGAGAGGGCGACGCCGACGCTCAGCCGGTCCAACGGGAGCAGGGCGTCTGCGGTCGCATTGTCCAGCTCTGCTGACGCGATGTCGAGGATTCGGTTCAGGTACCCGGTGTATGTCGATGCCTGCTCGGCATAGCGGTCGGCGGTCGAGAGCAGGGTGAGCGCGAGGAAACCGCTTTCGAGCGTCGAGGTGGTTTCGCCTGAGCTCACGACGCCTTGTTGTCGGCCGATGATGCTGGCGAGCATGCGTTGCGAGAAGGGCTGCTTTTCTTGTCCTTGATCTGCCGCTAGACCGAGGCCAAGATAGCAGAGGAATAGCGCGGTGGCGCGCAGTGGGCGCCGCATCTTGTTGCCTGCTGTCCGAGTGTGGTCAACCTACCCGGGAGCACTTTTCAATGCGAGGGCACAAGCAACCTTTATGCTAGGTGTGAAGTGGTTGCCTCAAAGCCGAATGTCGGTACTCCGTACGGAGTATCCGGATCCCGCTTAGAGCTGAACAAACGGGGTGGAGTGCTGGAGCCGCGTTAAGCCCATGTCGGCTACTGTAAGTTCATATCCATGCCTTGGTGAACTAGATCTAGTGGAGGAGGCTATTGTAGGTTAGTAGCGCGAGCGAGGCCAACTAGTGGCCTGCTGTCATATACCCTATACAGCACGAAGGGGTGATCCTTAGGTAGATATTCGAAGAAGTCGTGTGCTTGGTTGCTCAAGTTGCCGTACCCTTCCCTCCTGGGCGGTTGTGTGTGTGGCAAACGAGAACAATACATAAAGTACACACTGCCGTGTTGCAATTCCTGCCGTGAACTGTATGCTGCTGAATTTTGAGAACTGTTACAACAGATCTTTTTTTCCTACCGCCTCCTCCGTCAAAAGCAATCATGAAGACTCCTTTCATCCATGCTCTTTGCTATCAGCCTGGGTAACTGCAGTAATAGCTGCTCCAGCCACGGCGGCAGGCGCTGTAAATGCCATAGCCAGTCTCTGTCTTCCCCTACGATCCGCAACTGGTGCTATACAGCTCGGTAGTGGACGGCACAGAATTGCATGACGCTCCTCAAGATGCTGCTGAGGGACAATGCGCTGACTACAGTCGTGAGGCAAGCGAGACGAGGACGCGGTTGCTGAAGACAGTATTAGGCGAGGATCATGAGTAGATTCATCACAGTAGATCTTCAGGACGGACAGTACACTCCTGTCGAAAGTGTGGGAGGTGATCTCTCGTCATTTGTGATAATCAGCCCTACATCTGTATTCGAACAGTTCGACTCATCTGCCGCCTTGCATCTTTCGTATTCGCTCTTCCGCAGCACGAGCCCTGCGCTCTCTTTCAAGTCTCATCCGCATTTCAGGTGTCAGCCCCCTCATCTCTTCTTCGCGCTTTTCCGAACCCGACTTCTCAGCAGCGGCTGCCAGGCTTTTGCCAGGCCCACTCTTGCGCTCCATCTTGTTCACGGTGCGCAACTCCTCTTCCTTTCTTATTCTGTCAAGGTCAGCATTCCGACGCTCGGCCTCAGCCGCAGCGTTCGAAACTTTCTCCTGGGCTGCTCGCTGGTCGGCTTGTTCTTGGCTGATACCACCCGGAACATGACTGGCTGACCAGTCTACGGAGTCTTCACCAAGCTGGTAGCGAGCTACTCGGAACGCGTCCCTGGTGCGCTGATCTCCAGCAAGGTCATAAGGGGTCTTGCCGTCGTCATTCGTGACAGATGGAGTAGCCTTACCCTTCAGGAGCAAAGCAGACACAATGGCGGTAGAATTGGTAGATGCCGCCAAGTGCAACACTGTGGGAGCGTGGTGATGGCTTGACGGTGGAAATAGCCTGAAGTCCGGAGAGAGCTCGTTTTTCGTCAAATACAGGAGTACGCCAGGGGCCTTGGAGCGTCTGATCAGATTTTCCAACTGAGAAGTATGGAGCTGGGAAGCCTCGTCTTCCTTGCTCAGTTTTGCAGGCTCTGTCTTCGGTTTGATAGGTTTCGGTGCTGTAGTCCTAGGCTTGACCGGCTCCGGAGTAACGTCAGCTAGTGTGCTCACCTTCAGCCTTGACAGTTCTTGAAACGACCTCAGCAGCTCCGCCTGGGTAGCGCGCCGGGTACTGAAAGGGAATCCTCGCAATCTCTTGTCTTTGCTATAGAGAACCTGGTCATCGTAGGGACCAAACAGCGTTCGGCGATTTTGGCTCCCTGTAGCTCGAATGAAAATCAAGTCGGCGCTGTCAATCATAGCTCGCCATTCAGACAGAACTGTGCGTATATCGACTTCGAGCGCCGCCTCATTGGCTCGACGAATAGAGGAACCCACCGAGTGAGCATTGCCTTTAGAATTATCATTGGCTGACTGCGAGCCACCTTGCTTCCGCCGCGTGGTGTACCGGTGGAACGTCTTGTGAGCACGGACAACGGCGTGACGTTCTTCCACACCCCCAGGTCCTCTTCTGATCTCGGGGACTAATGAGACCACCATAGCTGCAAAATGGCCACCGCCGATCATACAGAGGAAGTAGTGCGGGTCAGCATTGGTCGGCTGGCTACTTGATTGCCCACTGCCGCTATGCTTACCATAGATGGGTTTCAACTGACGTTTCTTGAGAGCGTCTAGCAATGACCCTGGTGCGCCATCTTGTTCCTCATGAGTGAATACTGCTTTGTACAAACCTAGCACGTGGTCTTCCCCGATCTTTGGGCTGGAGAACCAGTACATGGGTGCGTTGCCTGAAACAGTCTTGGCAGATGGTCCCGTAACTGTTTCTTCATTGGCTTCGTGAGACAAATTGGCCTGTCGCTTCAGCAACGTGCTCAGCGTTGTGGCCTTTCCAATTGGGTCTTCTTCTTCCGAGTCGTCTGATTCTGACCCCGAGATCGACTCGTCTAAATCACCGATCATTCTAGCGAAGGTCGCCTCATTAAGAGGTGGGACCCCCTTGACCTGCAATTTCATGTTGTAGCGATGGAAGTCAGATTTGACATGCTGTCGCTGCTCGTGAACAGTAGGGTACGAAACACCACAGAGGCTGCAGGCCGTTGACTGTGATATTCCCTCCTCCGTGGCCGCTGGCTTTCGCGATCTGAGGACATCATAGTTATCCTCATCAGCTGGGCCAACTGTTGCCTCGCCTGTAGTCTTGACAGTAAGGCTGTAAAGTAATTCGGGAGGAAGATCGAAGGCATAGAGTGGTCGGCGAAGGTAGGGGTTGGGGTCGCTTTCCGCCATGGCGAAGGCCAACTTTAGGTCTGTCGGATTCCCCAGTCGTCTCCCGTGATGCGAAACACAGTTAAGAGGAGAAGGAATCAGAAGAGGGACAATGTACCACAAGTTTTAGGGTAGGCAAGGTGCCAGAGCGACTCATGCGTCACTAAATCTTACAAGTCAAGGCAGATCGGCTACTGCCAAGACATGACTCACGACTTCAAGTTGAGACAGATCTCGACAGATGTCACAGACGATGCCTGCTTCGCTCCACTTCCCCGACCTTCCGTTACTTACGACGTCTCAACAGTCTAGCGAAGACAAGCGGTCGATCGCTGGGCAGCGGCTAACCCAGAAATTCGCCTGTGGAGGTCGCCTACAGCATCAAACTCGCGCTGGGCCAGCCTCTCCTCGGTTCCAGGTTGTTGTAACAGATGTGGGTTAGCAGGATCGAATGAACGTGAGCAGCAATGGATACGGCCTCCACGACCCAGACGAACATTGCTTGGACTCTCCCGCGAAGATTTGAATTCTTTTCAATCCTTTCCCCAGCACGTCGATCTGCATTGACTATTGTTGCCCAGGCGCGTCATTGCAGCCAGCTACCCATGTGTGAGTCTCTACAGATCTTGCAAGAGATAGTGTCGCAGATTCTCACAACAACCTCTCTGCCGGTCAACATTGAGGTCTTTGGTACCGGCTCACGACTCTATAAGGAGCTCGGGTCTTTCATCCCAAGAATGTTCTCCCTTCTTCATCCTCAACCCAGCATTCAATCTTTTACAGTCTTCTGAGAAGCCTCTTCACACTCTTTACTTCTTGGCAGACTGGTTCTGCTATTTTTCATCTACCACTCATCTTTCACAGTACTCACCATGAAGGTCGTTCAAACCATCTCAGCGCTCGCTCTTGTGAGCCACACCCTCGCTATTGGCCCGTTGCCCGTTGGCAAGAACGCCGCCCTCTCGCTTGCTTCAGTATACTTGTCGCACGTCGCGGTTGCGAACGCTCTGCCGCCCCAGCGCCGCACCGAGGACGCCAGCGGTCCCGCTGGCAATGGCGAAGGCCCACCCGCTGGTGCCGGTCCTCCCGCTGGTGCTGGGGGTCCTGGTGAGGGTGGTCCAGGAAATGGTCAAGGCCGAGGGAACGGTGAAGGCCCAGGAAATGGTAAAGGCCCGGGGGACGGTGAAGGCCCAGGAAACGGTGCTGGCGCTGGCGCTGGCGCTGGCGGTGCTGGCAAGCACCAGGCAGCCGCTGCGGCTCCTCCAGCTGCCGCAGCCATGCCGCCTCCCGCTGCGGCCGACGCGCTGCATCCGCCACCGCCAGCTGCTGCTCAAGTCGAGTGTCCCGCCGTCGATGCTGCGGCGATCGACCCGGCAACCCTACACATGATTATGCAGATGATGGCGGCACTTGGCCCGATGGACCCTGCACTTTGTGCAGCTCAGTGTGGTGGGGCAGCTGCGGCATCTCCACCGCCCGCTGCAGCTGCTGAGAAAGCTGCTGATGTGACAGCGACCGCTGATGTCGCCGCGGAAGTCACAGCGACTGCTGATCTCACTGCCGCCATGGCCGATGCGACTGCAACTGCTGACGCGGCCGCCATGGACGTGGACGTCTCTGCCTCCGCAACCATGGCCGCAGATGTCGCTGCTGAGACCGAGATTGCTGCGGCAGGTGACGCTGCCGCTATGGGCGAGGCAGATGTCTCTGCTTCTGGAACCGTCGCCGCAGATGCCGCGGCTGCGACTGGCATTGCTGCTGAGGGTGGTGCCGCCGTGATGGGCGAGGCTGCGGTCATGGGCGAGAAGCGCGCCCCGTACAAACGCGGCTTGGCTGCCCATGCCCGTCGCTGGGCCTTCGCCGCTTAAATGAATCTTCATTTCTTCATACGACCGACCATGACCGGGTTTGCATGGCATTTGAGCTAGGGTTTAGGACAAGATAGAAGGGTTTGGATCGCGATTTGGTTTTGACACATGGGACATGTAACAGTCTTCTCCGAGAGAGGATACTGCAAGAGGGCGTACTGGGATGATGAACATGGAAGATTTGTACAGCACAGAAAACAAAGGCCAGATTGTATCATAGGCATGGGCTCTTCACATGGGGCCAGGACTGGGGGACACACGCACACAAAACTCTCTAGGCTCGACCGAGCTCAGAGAGCAGATAGCAATACATACACTGAAGTGTGAACCCCCATCTGCACCAGCTCTACCGTTCTCAACACAGACAACGGCATTGACAAGGACCCCATCCCACCATGACGAAGTCACTCTTTTGACTCGAGAACTGAACCGGGCTGACAATTTGTGTAGCAGCCCTTTGAGCCATTGGGAAGTATTTCAAGACCCACTCGAGACGCCGAGGACGGGGACCATTCGAGAGCAATACAGGACAGGGATTGCGGTCGAGAGCACCTTCAAAAAAAAGGGGGGCCGGAAGTCATGAGAATATAAAACGAAGTTGGGCGTGTAGCTACTATTCAGAAGCCAACCCGAGTTGGCGGCCTCACCACTCCTCCTCATCCCGACGCCAATAATCCATCTCAGGCTTTGATCGGAAACCGCCTCTTCAACCACTCGGCAATCATATCCGCGCACTCCTCGGGCTTCTCGTACGCCCACCAGTGGCCGGCGTCCAGCACCTTCTCCTCCAAATCCGGCACGAGCGCCTGCTTCTGCGCGTCCGCCATCAGATCCGTGCGGCACACCCAGTCGCCCGTCTGGCCAATGTACAGGAGCGGCACGTCGATGACGCGCTGGTCTTTACCGTCTGTGGACTTCTCGCACAGCGCGCGCTCATCGTCGATCATGGTGTTGTTGGCGAGGCTGTGGTAGTAGCAGACGGGACCTTCGAAGCCGTCGCGGCTTAGGCGCTGCACAAAGCGCGCCTTTTCGGCCGCCCAGTTCGGGTAGGGTTTGGGCTGCACGGTGAAGTTGGCGTAGCGGCCCGTCGAGGTCACGTACTCGCGCATGGCGTTGGTCACGCAGAATTGCTCGCGCATCCAAATGTCGCGGCCCTTTTCTTCGGGAAGTGGGGAAGGGAAGTCTGGTGGTTTTGTCAGCAAAAGGGGAGAATGGGAGTTGAGTGTGTATGTAAATTTGGAGCTGGTTGATGGCGGGCTAAGAGAGGCGGCCGCTTACTGCCGTTGTTGACGTCCCAGAAGCGCTCCAGGTTCTGCCGCATCAAATCTGGGGCGTCGGGGGCGGTGAAGAATTCCCAGTACGACCACTGCGGATAGCCGAATCGCTTGGTGGTCTCGTGGTTTGCTGTCCATAATGAAAAGTGCTTCGGACTGGGTACCTGGTAAGCAAGGGACAGCAGAGTGAGACCGATGCAGCGTTGTCGGTGGTAAAGGAAAAACCGTTGCGCGGTGGCGGAGCCCCAGTCATGTCCAATGGGGATGATTCGTGGGCCGGTAATGCGTTCGGTGTCGAAGATCTGGGCGAGGGAATTGGCTTGTTGTTTGTAGTTGTAGAGGTGAGGATTGGTGGGCTTGGAGCTGCCAGAGAACCCGAGAAGATCAGGGATGACCAGCGGATAGCCGAGCTTGAGGAAGGTGGGAGCAACGCCGGCCCACATGTGAGCGTCGTCGGGAAATCCATGTAGGAGGAGCAGGATTGGGAGGGACGAGTCCTTGAGCTTGGTATGGAAGTCGGGCGAGAGGTAGTAGCTGTAGGTCAGGTTGAAAGGCTGGGTGATGAGAGTTCTGTGAGTAAAGCCGTCGAGTTCCATGCTAGGCGCCATGATGAGGGTGGAACAGTGCGAGTGCGTCGTCTCTGATGCTGGCTGTGCGGCTTGCTGCTGGAGCAAATGGTCACGGCTATATAGAGTAAGGACTCTACATCTACACTGAGACGGCGTACCTTATGGGCAGCAGGTTGGATTAGACTTCACGGTCTCGTCATAACCGACTCGATCACGCCTACACATTCGTCCTGGGGACTCTCTCGTCGCAAGACTGCGCTGACTTCAAGTGGTAGACAACCCCTCTCTGATGGCAGTAGGCCGAGGCTGAGTCTGAGCCTGGGATGACGCAATGAAGCTTTTCACAATCATGAAGCAAGTTTGGAGGTCCGGCCTGACCGGGATGAACCAGATGTGATGCTGCGACGATGGCGAGCTTTCCCGCTGAAGCTCCTCTACCAGACGTTGTGTCGAGTCTGGACGCTGCCGCCGAGGTGGCGTGGTGGTTGTGGCATTTCGCTTCACAGGGAGTTTCACGGGAAGGGATTCGATTCCCAAAAACACTTGGCTTAGGAGACTGTGGAAAGAGCAACATGGGCCTTATATGAGGCTTTGATCTTATTAAGTAGCCATGCTCCCTACTCGAGTGCACCGGGCGTGGTCCATCGAGGTTCTTTTGGATGCTTTCGGATGTGGCTGCAGAATAAAGTGCTGCGGAGCTTCCTGGGCGGCCATTTCGAGGCCTAAGCAGCCACCAATGCGCTGCAGGCTAGGCTCGCCTAAGATCCGCCCGGAGGACCACGCCTAAAGTGATTAGTGCTGCCGAAATCAGCTTACGCGTAAACGGCCCCCCTGGCTGATGCAAATCCAACGTCACGTCGATCTCTCAATCTGCATGTCCGGAATTCTCAAGTCCATCCTATCCGTACTTGCGGATGACAAGGGGTTCTCAAAACGAACTGCGGGAGCCCACTGTTAACGATTCCGTCCACACGAATGTCCAAGTCGGCCCCCCCTTTGCGGCATGCAAGCCACAAGCGTGCAGAATCTCTGGGCTGAATCATTAATTCATTCTTGTTGATTTTTGTTGGCGTAAGATTTCACGATGCCAACTTTTTTTAAGTACGGATACCCATCAACAATCTCATGCTTGGGTCAAGTTCCACTGCTAGCAAACTCCGCCGTGGTGACAAGTTGCGCTGGATGCGCGTAGCATTTCGGCCAGGTCTCGCTTCCTCTACCTGAACTGCGTCTTTCGTGTCGTGCTCGTCCAACATGCTCTCTCTGTTCTGCTGCGCCGTCTCGTAATCTTTCTGGACACTTGAGCGCGCCTGTCGCGAACAGAAAGTCCTCGGCCAGTATGCCGCCATTACATCTCCAGAAGCTCAACTCCTGCCTCAGTCGGCGGACTTCAGTCCTTTGTGCGGCCCTGGCGTTTGTGCTTCTCACTTTTTGGTTCTTGCAAGGGCCTGCCACCTCTACTCCGGAAGCCGGTCGGCGCCTACGTCCTGGAGAACGTCTGAATCAGTTTGATGGAACATGGAACTATGCGAGGGACAAAGACAATCTGCAGCTCGATCTGAATCAGTGCGAGAAGGCATTCCCCGGCTTGTTCATCGAGGTTGATCGAGCAGTCGAGACACGCAAAGGATCTCGTATCGAGGAGTCTGTTATCGATTCGATTGAAGAACAGAATGGCTTCGTTCGGGCTATGATCTATGATCAGAAACTGTACATCATCTCCAAGACCGGCGGAATCTACTCGCGAGAACTTGCGACCCTCCATGCTATTCACCGAGCAATCATGACGTCCCCCGAAGTCCTTCCCAACATCGAGTTCGCATTCAACTCCGACGATCGCATTCCGTCCGTGCCTTTGTGGGGATATGCGCGACGTGCCGAAGACACCCACATCTGGCTGATCCCCGATTTTGGGTACTGGAGTTGGCCTGAAACCAAGGTAGGAACGATGGGTGAAGTTCGCATGAAAGCAAGCTTCGATGAGCAGTCTGGGCCATGGTCGTGGAAAAGGAAGTACAACCAGCTGTTGTGGCGTGGAGCGACAATGGGACTGAGCCTGCGCGAGAGGCTCCTCCAAGTAACACAGGACAAGGCTTGGGCTGATGTGAAAGCGCTTGACTGGCATAACCAGGACTCGATGACGAATGATCTCAAGTCCATGCCCGAACATTGCCAGTACAAGTATTTGATGCAGACCGAAGGCAACTCCTACTCTGGTCGACTGAAATACCTCCAGAATTGCAGGTCTGTTATCGTGAGCCATCCTCTGGACTGGATCGAACATCATCACCATCTCATGCGCTCCAGCGGACCCGACCAAAATTTCGTCGAGGTTGAGCGGAGCTTCGAAAACCTGGAAGAGACTATCCTCTGGCTACAGCAGTATGATGGTAGAGCAAACAACATCGCCCAAAACAGCGTCCAAACGTTCCGCGAGCGTTATCTGACGCCCGCAGCTGAAGCCTGCTACTGGCGAAAGCTCATCCACGGCTGGGCTAGTGTAAGCTGGGAGCCTCACTTTTGGAAAGATGAAAACGGAACACAGGTGTGGAGAGGACTACCTGCCGAGTCCTTCTTGCTGGAGCGAAGATTGAGGTGGGACCCTTACTGAAGGCACTGGTCGCAGAGCGACTACTCGCGGGCCGATTAGGGCTTGCAGCACCTCCATGTGTCGTCATTACTACGCATCCGATGATCGAGCCAGTGAAGACTGTTCATTCACTGGGCTGACGATAGCGCGAGGGCGTCCTACCATTGTCACAGACGACAACGAGAAATGACTGTGACAAGTCAACAGCACTTGTTCTCGGGCGACTCATAGGGCTATGATATATCGGCCTTATCATGAAGTCTCTACAGCACTAGAGGCCGCATGAATCCCTGGCAGCTCACAAAGCTTCTCTGCCTCACCTTTGCCTCTTCAGAGGACGTCTCATACAATGAAGGAGCTTTTCTGCCATGACTGAGTCCTACAAAGGATATTCAACAGCTTGAACTCACGAAGGCAAATCTGGGATATGAAATCAATACCTAGGCACCATTTGGTACATTGAGGCCAAGCAGGCTGGAATGGCGGAGCGCGCTGTCCCACCATTCCTCCCCTTGCTCGCTTGGCTTCGCTATTCAATCCGTCTCAGCGTCGTTCTCCGCCCCACGCGGGATGATTGTTTGTAGTATAGATCGCCGTTCAGGCAGCGATTGCTGCCACTTTTGATCTGATAAGGTACTCGAGTATCTTTTCTCTCTTTCTCTTCCGCTCGTCCTCACGGACAAGACCAGATGAGATGTTGTCCGTAGGTTGCAGCGTCGGGTTTTGGCTGACCCTCGCATCGCTCGGCAACTGCGTTATTCCGGGCCCTCTAAGAGCCGCCCACGACCCAGGTTCCGATTTCAACTGGACAGCAGTAGAACCCTCCGGGCGACTCAGGTATCATGATTGCTACGAAGAATTCCAGTGCGCTCGGCTGGTCGTACCGCTGGACTGGACCAACGCCAGCAACCCCAATGAAGTCGTGCTTGGCATCGTCAAACTGCCCGCAAAAGTGCCTCCTTCGGATCCCTCGTTTGGCGGCACCATCCTGATGAACCCAGGTGGTCCTTCCGGATCAGGCACAGACGATGTGAGGTACAATGGGCATTCGATCCAAAACATCGTTGATGGTCCAAGACACTTCGAGATCCTCAGCTTCGACCCACGCGGAGTACACCGTACCACTCCCTCGCCCACTTGCTTCGATTCCGATGAGGCACGCGAGTTGTTCACTGAGCTCAACAAGATCGCGGGTGGTGCCGATGTAGAGACCTCGCTCAACATCAAATGGGCCATGTCGCAAGGACTAGGCGAGCTGTGTGCGAATGCGACTTACGGTGTCTATCCTAATGGCGACAACATCAAGCAGTACGTTACTACCGCGCTGGTAGCTCATGACATGGTCAGGATAATAGACGCCGTTGCTGAAGAGCGGGCCGAGTCCTTGCAGGAGACTTCAAATCGAGAGGTGAAGCAGCAGACTCTCTCCAACTTCAGAGAAGAGCCCCTGCTCAACTATTGGGGTTTCTCATACGGGACGTATCTCGGAAACACCTTTGCTTCTCTGTTCCCCTCCCGAATTGGTCGCATGATTCTCGATGGCAACGTCGATGCCCCAGACTATGCTGCCACAGGCTGGTCCACGAATCTGAATGACAACAACCTCGTCTGGCGAACGTTCTTCGACTGGTGCTTCCAAGCTGGCCCTGCCTGCGCTTTGTACGACCAGCAGTTCCAGAATCCGCTCAAACTCCATGCCAAGATCATCGACATCTTCGAAGACCTGAAGACCAATCCTGTCCCCTACATCGACGATAAAGGCCGCATCAAGGTCCTCACCTACTTCAACCTCGAATACATCATGCACGGACACGCCTACAACCCATGGCACACCTGGCCCAAGCTCGCCTCGAACATCGCTTCCCTCCTCAACGGCGACCCTTTCCCACTGCTCGATCTGCCTCCTCCACCTTCCAACCCGCTACCCAACATGACGGTTACCGACCCTTACAGCAGCCATGAAGAAGACCCCCGCTTCCTCAACCTATCAGCACCATACCCACCGCCCTATCCCCACGAGCTCGAAGCCGCCGTCTCCATCCTCTGCGGCGACGGCTCCGACCTCACCGCCCAAACCAAAGCCGACTACGCCGACTACGTCTCCCACCTCGTCAACCAGTCCTCCCTCATCGGCCCCACCTGGGCTCAGATCACCCTGCCCTGCCGCCATTGGCCCTCCACTTTACGGCCCGCGGAGCGCAACCGCTTCACAGGCCCCTTTGGCAGCAAGCTGCGGGACTACGCCGGCGCAGACCGCAGGGGAGGCGACCGATGGGCCCGTCCACTGCTCTTCATCGGCAACACGGCCGATCCGGTGACGCCGCTGCGTAACGCGCTCGCCATGAGCAAGTCGCATGAGGGCAGCGTGGTGCTGACGCAGGATAGCCCCGGCCATTGCTCCGGGCCGACCGTGCCGAGTACGTGTACCTGGGATGTGATTCGGCGGTTCTTCAACGATGGCGTGCTGCCGGAGGAAGGGAAGGTGTGTGCTGTGGATTGGAAGCCGTGGGATCGCAGTGTGGGGGATTGACAACAACGACGGAGATATGATAGGATAGGATTAGGTGGGGGGCGGCGGGCGATCTGCTTGGACTATGAGAAGCCATATATGATCAATAGTGAAAGACCATGCATGGCAAGGCTGGAATCGCGAGCGAAACAGTTCCATCGCACCGAGCCGGACTTGAGTGGTAGTAGAAGAGAGACGCAGAGAGTCGCTGATTGGAGGCGACTAATTGAGTGGGGAAGGAAAGGGTCGCGCGCGCGAGCGAGATATCGCGCAACTTTTCGTCAGATACTTGCTACTACCCTTCACACGAAGCCATCATAACAGTGTTGTTGCTGCCGTGGCAGGACGTTAGTTGAACGTTGAACGGGCATGCCGGAGTCGTGGGCGGACGCTGGGATGCACGAGCAGCAGTACACTTGAGAATAACGAGATTACGATGAAGAATGAACCCAAAATTGAAAACAAACTGACGAAACTATACGCTTGAATTTGGTTACAAATCTGACATTGGCGCGTGAGCCAGATGCGGACCACCACCACCACCACCACCACCACCACCACCAACGAGTTGCCGCACGTATGGCCACCCAGCCCACTATGACAGCAATCTTGTTATGCGTCCCCGAGAGACTCACTGCCTCGCTTCGACTTCCTCGACTGACTTACCTACCTATCCCTCCGCAGGCCGCTTACATCCATCCCACCCATCCCATCCACTCACCCCTCCTGGCCCCAACCGGGCCCCAACCCAGCAAAGTCCCACTCGTAGACCGACGGCGACGTCACAATGACCTCTCCATAAACCGGCACAGGCACACCAGCATCCTCCTGATCCTCCTGATCCCGCTCAGCCTCGTCAACCTGACGCAGGAGCCACGATAGCTCCTCCTCGAGCTGCTCGAGCCGTTCATCGGCGGCCCGCTCCTGTTCCTCCAGCTGTGCGCGCTCCAGCCGCAGCCGGTGGGCTAGCTTCTCGGCAGCGTGGGCGCGCTGCTGCAGGCTTTGGAGGGTGCTCTGCGGGCTGCTAGGCGGACTGGATGGGTACGGGGTCAGGTTCCGGCCCGGTGGTCTCACGCCAGCCCCGGGTTGTTGGAGTTGGTCGCGCCAGGCTGGTCGCGGCACTTGGACGGTCGCGGTCGCGTTCGGATTGGTTGGAAACCGTAGACGAGGCGATGGCGTATCTAGGCTGAAGACGACGTGGCGTTTGTGCGTGCGAGGTTCGAAGAAGCTCTCGTTTGCAGTTCGGCTCACTTCGGCATCGTCGGCATCGTCGGCATCGTCGGAGCCTGGAGACACAGGCACGGCGGGTCTAGCCTGGTTGTGGGTGGCTGGGATCCGAAGCCTCACACCCAGCTGAGCACGGAGGCGTTGTTGTGATCGGGATTTGTGCGTAGACATCACAGACTCGTCAGCCCATTCTCGAGCAGGCGGCTGAGACACTTGTCGAGACCTTGGCGGGATCGCTGCCGGAATATCGTTTGTTGACACCTGCGACGCGGCCTGTCGAATGTTGGACACACCGCCAGTACGTCTCAGGAAATGGCGAGGAGGGCTGTCACGAGGTAGGACACAAGTTTCCGTCTCCCACGAGGTTGAGCTGGCGGAATCTGGACTGCTAGGATCAGATTGCGCCGTGGCATAGTTGTCATACATCAACCAAGTTCCGAAAACGTTGTTTGTGGGGATCTTTGGTAGCCTTTCACCTCCTGTATGCTCGTTAGTGACCACCGTGAAGGGGTTAGGACGGTTAACGTGGACTTGGTGACGGCGCCTTCGCCGAGCAAAACGAGAGCAGAACCCTCCTCGCTTGGTTAAATGGGCAATCAAGCTGGAGTAGGCACGGGTCAGACTTACAGACTGGGTGCAATCAGGGACGTCGTCTCTTGTCAGAGCCTCGTGTGAGGGAGGGCAACAGCATAGGCGGCCAGCCACCTTGCTGCAGAAATCCCTCATAGCTGAGACCATATGTGGTATGCTGGAGTTGCTTTCGGTGTCGGGCTTCCGTGAGGCGGTTGTGGACCCGAAGCACAAGGCACGGTGGTGACATGCAATATATATACTTGTAAACATGTTCGTAGTCGAGATTATGTCTGGTGCATCAGGTAAGGGCTATTGTCTAGGAACCGTCACGCTCATACTCAAGCCGGGATGAACTTTCGAGCACTGTGACGGAGCGACCATTGTTCCGTTAGGCAAGCGGTAATAACGCATAATGAATGATAGCGCCATAAAGCGGTGCGACCAAGCCAGTATGTAAGTCCGAACGCAATAGACAAAGAGCTCCCGAAGTTTGTTGATCGTGACACCTGAAGACACAAAATCCCTTTCTTATCCTGATAACCTGTCGGCCGGACCGGCTTGCCACGATCAAAGGCCTTCTTGAATCTTCATTATTCGGTGGCTTGTTGCTTTCTTACCAGGTTCATTGATGACCTAGGCCATCTCTCTGACAAGAATGGATAGATTGTGAGGAGGTGGCGATCTTTGGGATTATCTCGGCTCGTACGCTGGCTGTGCCGGGACCTTCGTCGGGGGGCATATCGCAATGATCTGGGCAGTCATACTCTTGTTGGGCCTTTGACACCATATTGCGAAGCAGGTCTGTCATCACTTGATATTGATGATCAGACTGGTAGCATGGAGGATGTTCTGACGTGCTGCTGAACTACACAGAATGAGCAGCAGTGCTGATATAGGTAGTTGAATTATGCGGTGACAGGGCAGTGACACGCATATCGGTATGCCCCGACATCACAGACATAAGCGAGGCTGAAGCAGACCTACTCCTTGACACAGATCACCCCGGTAAGGAAAGCTTTGTGGGCAAGCTCGGAGAACGTGAACTCCGCCCGACTTGAGTGAGTGCTGGAGGGCAGCTTTCCTTTGGGTGGACCACAATGACAAACAGAGCTACGATCTCATCCAGCCGATAGACTTGGGTTCCACGCATCACTTTCGTTGCAAGCTTGCAAGCAGAGAGACAATCAGGCGAGATCTTTAGACGATCCTGACCGAAGCATAATAGATAGAATGCCACTACTTATATCGTAGCAAAGTCACGAAACAGTCCTTCCAGGTAGCGGGTAGTTGAGGTAAGCGCCTCGATGAGCGAGCCCTAAACCTTTTTCTCACGAGGCTGAGCGCGCAAGGCTGAGAATTTGGACATTCACACCACGGACCGAAGCAGTGAACGTTACCTCACAGTAAGGCTGACGACTTCAACGGCATATTGAATACTCTTCTCGGACATATCAACACGGCTCTCTACGAAATTAATCTACTGCTCACTTGACGAAGATTGACGATCTTTACACTTGCTCCAATCCTCTTGCTCTACGGAGCCCACCGCTTCCAAGCCTTCCTTCTGAGAGAATAAACGCACCCATTTACAGTCTTTTGATCAGCAACCGCACCATGGCCTCCGGTAAGGCACCTGCTTAGGAAGCTATGATCTAGCTGATCCCGCTCCAGAGTTCCCGCGGGTGGTGCCCCTCACCTGTCACGGCCACTCAAGACCTATCACCCATTTGAGTTTCTCTGCCATTGTCGATCAGGACCAGTATTATCTCATCTCTGCATGCAAAGGTAAACCCCAAATTCCACTCCATTGACAAAGGCTGAATCTCCAGACAACAACACTCAACTAAGAGATGGCATCACCGGCGACTGGTACGTTCCCAACTTGCCCAATCTTCAGGACGTTGACAGGACAGGATCGGTACGTTCATTGGACATAAGGGTGCCGTCTGGTCATCGCGACTGTCTTCAGATGCATCGATGGCTGCTACGGGATCGGCAGACTTCACAGCGTAAGTCTAAACCCTACTTAGGTGTATGTTGACTAGGCTGACGGAGTAGTCGCATCTGGGATCCACAGTCTGGCGAGTGCCTCCACGCGCTTTCTCATAACCACATCGTTAAAGCGGTGTCGTTCCCAATACAGCGCAATCCCGCAGTGGTGGCCACCGGTGGACAGGAGAAGAAGCTGAGGATATGGGACCTTGAGCGTACGTCTACACCAAACAACGAAACGAACGGGGACGGGCCGCGAACTCCTACAACAAGCTCAGAAGGTCTCGAGATCGGTGCGGGCGACCATACAGCGAGCATCAAGTCGATCGTCTGGAATGTTGACTACAACGTGATTACAACCGCTGCAGATGATAAAACGATTCGGTGGTACGATTTGCGAACACAGGGGCCAATCGCGACACACAGGACCGAACGAGACATCACGTCTTGTGAGCTCAGTACGAATAATGCCGATGACGCCGACCCTGGAATCCTCAGTGTGGCTGCAGGCCAGTCCGCCCTGTTCTTCGACGCCGGCCGACCGGGGCAATTAATCAAGCAAGTTGATTTCGATCACGGAATAGCCAGCGTTGGTACAAGCGTATCTACGGGTCGTTTCGTCACCGGTGGCTCCAGCGATACTTGGGTACGGGTCTGGGACCTTGAGCCAGAAAAGCAGCTTGGTGAGTAACGTATTGTCTTGGTGATCGACAGCTACTGAACTCTTCACAGATGTGCTCAAGGGCCACCACGGGCCTATTTGGTCGACCTCGTTTTCACCCGATGGTAATATCTTCGCGACTGGAAGCGAGGACGGCACCATCAAGCTTTGGAAAAATTGCAAAGATCCGTATGGCCTGTGGCGTTAGTTATCGCCCGGGAATGCTACAGTGTCAAGTAGGCTGCCTCATCTGGAGCTCATGCACATGTTCACGTTCCGAGGGGCAGGCCGGGCATCACCGTCCAGACAACGCAACAGCAATGTCGACGATTGCCCGTCCACATCGTCGCGGCTTTTGGACCGAGTCGGCCGTATAGTGGAACGGTACCGCCGTCTGCAAACGTTGAGCATGAGGATTCAGATTTATGGGGCTGAGGAGTGCTCCTTGCAGGTGCTCATAAATGGCGCCATGTGCCGGCAGGGGAGCTGGTAGGATCCGAGCGCTCGGAGTGGGGGAGCCAGGCTCAAAGCTATGTGTTTCAGGAGAGCGAGCCAGTCAGGGCCCAGGTAAAGGCAGCTAGGCTCCTGCCGCCCATATTTTAGCTTGCATTTTGAGCTCCCTGCATATCAAATGCTTGGCACTTTCGACACCGCAACTTTCCTCAACGGTGGTGAAAATGTCGTCCCCCGCATTCTATCACTACTGTCCATGTACTAGACTTCCTAGTGTTGCTGGTCTTGTCTTACGGTCTGTCGGCAAGCCTTGAACAAATGGTTGTCCCCTTTTGCATTGCATTGTGAGCGGTTCTCTGCTATCGCTCGCCTTGTCGCTCGCTTAGCCACCCCTCTACTCCCCTCTCTGCCTACGAGCGTGCTCGACCTCCTGCGGCGCTGGACGCATATACCTCACGGTCTGCTGAGCAGATATCACCCGTTCCCTGTGAAATCGGCTTGCTTCTGCGATCGCCAGCGTGTTTCACCCAATGCCGCCCAGAACCAGGAATTCGCTCTCTCCCGGGAGAGACCAAGAGAAGCAGCAGATGGCACAGTCGACCAAAGAACACCGACCGCGTGATGGGCCCTCGCAGAAGATAGCGTTTCCGCGGTGGCGGACGCGTGGAAAGGAGAAGAGTACCGTGGCCCATATCTGCTCGTGGGTTGTTGACCACCAAATCAGTAAGACCACGCTCAACGACCAGAGCCAACAGCTGACAGTTGCTAGGCATGTCCGTGACCATGATCTCCATCCTGTTCTCCGTCCATGTGGCATTCCCCGACGCCCGACACCATACCCGCAAGTTCTTCCGCATCTCTTACTACAATCCCATTACAGGCACCTTCGCCTTGGGGTGGGACGATATCTGGTTTGTCTTCTACTGGATCATTGTCTTTACCGGTGCTCGATGCTTCACAATGGACTACATCCTCTCTCCCATCGCACATCGTGCCGGTATCCACAAGAAGAAAGCCAAAGTGCGGTTCGCCGAACAAGCCTGGATTCTCCTCTACTACGGCCTATTCTGGTGCATTGGCATGAACCTTCTCATAAACTCCCCATACTGGCTCGACTTACGCGCGCTCTGGCGAAATTGGCCCATACGCGAGATGGAAGGCCTCGCAAAATGGTACTACCTGGTCCAATTCGCCTTCTGGCTACAACAAATCGTGGTTGTCAATATTGAAGAGCGCCGCAAAGACCACTGGCAGATGTTTTCGCACCACCTGGTAACTTGCGCTCTAATCTTCACTTCCTACGGGTACCACCAGAGTCGTGTGGGCCACCTCATACTCGTTATCATGGACCCTGTCGACATTATCTTGTCTCTTGCCAAGATCCTCAAGTACCTCCGTCTCCAGCTCCTCTGCGACATTGCTTTTGGCGTCTTTATCGTCGTCTGGTTCATCACTCGCCATATCTTCTACCCCTTGGTGTGCTGGAGCATTTACAAGCACATCCCTGAAGAAATCTCCTATGGTTGCTATTCCGGCAGCGACTCTGACCTCCATGGTCCACAGCCAGTTCCAGAGGACTGGGACCACCTCACGCAACCCTTCCGCGATCCAGTTGGTCTTGTGTGTTGGAACAACAACATCAAGTGGGTGTTCCTCGGTATGCTACTTGCTCTGCATGGCCTGGTTCTCCTTTGGTTCGTGCAGATCGTGCGCGTCGCGTACAAGGTACTTAGTGGGCAGCCTGCCGAGGACACGCGCTCGGACGACGAAGATGAGGAGGAAGAGGAAGACATGATAGACGTGATAGACATGGCAAGCACGGAGAAACAGGGGACCGGGTATATCAATCAGGTGAATGTCGGTGCAGAATCTCGCCCATTCATCGAGAAGGAGGTCCTCTCCACGGACCAGCAGTTCGCCGACGGCAAAGCGAAAAGCCCAACGAGGAAGAGCAGCAGGAGGAGAGGCGAGGGACAGAGCAGCGGGGTCAACCTGTTGGCCGGCAGTGATCGCAAGGAGTTGCTGGGGAGAATTGGCTGCGACAAGCCAACGAATGAGTAGCCTGCTAAAGCAGTGCCAGAAGTTCTAACGGAACGTGGCGGCGTTTGAGCTTTCCTAAGGTTTGGGAACATCACGATACCCTTGGAGCTGACTGAGAGTCCTGGCATGGCTAGCGAGTTCGCAGAATGAGAAGGCATCTATCTGCCACAGATCTTTCACGTCTATCGTTCCAGTGTCAAATCGCCACGGTGTAGTCTGAAAGCATGCCGGGAAGTGTGACTCGACGCCTGAGCAATGCATTATGAGTGCCTGTATCGTTCCGTGTCGCCCATTTGTTCTACAATCGCCGCCCATGCCCATGGAGCCGCAAGGCCTGCAAGACCAAAGCGGACGGAGTTTCGAAAGTACATCTCAAAGAATCGGCCCTTCGTTTGCCGACAGCCGCTTACAGATACAATCCCTCTGGCTCGCCCTCGTTCTTCGTCTTCATGACACTCTCCTTCGCACTCCGGAAGTCCGCCATGTTGACTCTCATTCTCCGCTCACGTAGGGCCCTCAGGCCGGCCTCGGAACAGATTGCCTTGATATCTGCACCACTGAGATCATCCTTCTGGGCGATGAATTCATCCAAGTCCACGTCCTCCGCCAAGCTCATCTTCGAGGTGTGCAGCGTGAAAATCTTCTTCTTGGTGTTCTGGTCGGGATTCTCGAAGAGGATCTTGCGGTCAATGCGACCGGGTCGGATCAGCGCAGGGTCGAGCGTGTCGATCTTGTTAGTAGCCATGATGACCTTGACATCGCCACGATCATCGAAACCATCCAGTTGGTTAAGGAGTTCCAGCATGGTGCGCTGAATTTCACGCTCGCCACCCGATGTGGATTCGTAGCGCTTGGTACCGATTGCATCAATTTCATCGATGAAGACAATGGCGGGTGCATTCTCGGCGGCCACTTGGAAGAGCTGGCGGACTAGACGAGGGCCATCACCAAGGTACTTTTGGATGAGCTCTGACCCAACGATGCGCAAGAAGGTGGCAGAAGTTTGATTGGCAACGGCTTTCGCGAGAAGTGTCTTGCCGGTACCGGGCGCACCGTAGAGAATAACGCCTTTGGGCGGCTTGATGCCCATCTCTTCGTAGAGCTCAGGGTGAAGCAAAGGCAGTTCGACAGCTTCTCGAACTTCTTGAATTTGGTTTTCAAGACCTCCGATATCAGCGTAGGATTCTGTGGGCGCTTTATCAAGCTTCATAACCGAGACCAGAGGGTCCGCATCGTCGGTGAGCACACCGACGACTGCGACTGACTTGTGATGCAAGAGAATCGATGCGCCGGGTTCAAGTAGATCTTTGTCGACGAAGGACATGATGGAGACATAGTACTCTGGGCCGGTGGCGGAAGAAACAATCGCGTGGTCATCATCGATAAGCTCTTCGAGGTTGCCGACGCCCATGGGGCTGCCACGCATGTCGTCGACACGTCCACGTTCATCAGCATTCCGGTCGACCTGCTCGGCTTCGTTGGTGCTTTGGGGTGTTTGGTTCTGAGCAGCCGTTGCCTTCCGTATCCGTTCTTGATTCTCAACGTACTCTTCCTCCAACAGTAAATGATCGTGGACTCTTTGCATCCTAAGATACCGTAGCTTGCATCGCGCGGTAGGGTAGATGGTAGGCAACTTCGCCGCAGCATTTGGGCCAGCCTGCTTTCTCTTCTTGCGGCCGATTCTGGTGGTTGGCTGTGGAGGTGGCTCGTACTTGGGCTTGTCCTTCTACAAAAGATTAGCATCGATGAGGCCGCGAGACATCAAGTGACTTACCTTCTTATCTTTGTCATCCTTGCCGCCCTGGCCAGGCGGACCTCCGCCGAGATTGGATTGTTGGTTACCCTAGGCGAAGTGTCAACAAACACCGTGTAGTTGGTCAGGGCAAGCTTACCATTACTCGACCTTGAGCGAGAGACTCCTGGGGTGTCTGAATCTAGTAGAGGAACGAATGATTCGAAAGAGGCAACAAGAAAGGATGATAGATTTAGAAGCGTTGATTACGAAGTGACGATAGCATCTCGCGCCTGCGGGAGCAAGGCTGAAAATTGGCCGCGATGCCTTGCTCAATATGATTGGCTCGCGTTTCTATTCTTTCAATTCACCAAAGACGATGTTCTTCACATATCGCTCGTCCCATGTTTGACCTATAGAAGATCTCATACCACTAGAGTCCATACGCTTTGGACACCAGTGCGCGAAATTTCGAGCAGCCTGCTGGCACTTTGGAGCTTCTACGTTGTCTGCCCGTAAACCGAACAGGGTGGGGCCGCTGTAGCCTTGAGGCTATTTGGTGCCTGTGACGCAGCCGCTGCCGCGGTGCGTGCCACTGGAACTCAGCGGTCGAAGTGAGGCGCACCCTCCCTCCTCCGCCACACGACCAACATCAAAGCCGTAATACCACTTAGGGGTGCGCTCCTACACCAAGGAACACACACCAAAGCACGATCTCCGCTAGAAGCTATCAAGTGTTGGCCATCTCGGAACATCCCCACGCATACTAACCCCACGAGCTTATTCTCTGTTTCTCGATGTGATTCCAGCCGCCAGACAACCAGATTTGTTCCCGCTTTCTCTTCCACATTCCTTTAGTGCCTTCCACGCACCTGAGATACCACGTTCCGTCTCTGAAACAAAACTTTTGGCCACCGTCCTTCGCGCTATCGAACGCGGCCCATCTTATCCTCGCTGATCTCTCCACCTAATCGGACCTTTTTCTCGAGCCTCGAGCCACGCATTGCACCGGTCAGACTCAAGATGGCCGGTCACAGAGCACGCAGAGTTACCAAGGAGCTTGCAGACATCAAATCCGATAATGTCTCTCACATTAATGTTGACACAGTCAATGACAGTGTGACTAAGCTTAAAGGCTCGTTCAGTGGCCCACCGGGAACACCATATGAGGGCGGGACGTTCGAAGTCGACATTAGCATCCCAAATGAATATCCGTTCAAGCCCCCGGTCATGAAGTTTTTGACCAAGATATGGCACCCCAACGTATCCAGCGTTACGGTGAGCCTAGGATCTCATCATGCGTGTGGCCAATACTGATTCGCATAGGGTGCCATTTGTCTCGACACGCTTAGCACAGGATGGTCACCGGTCCTCACGATCAAGAGTGCTATGATATCGTTACAGTCGCTTTTGAGCTCGCCGGAGCCGAAGGACCCTCAAGATGCTGTAGTTGCGCAGCAGATGATCAAAAATCCGAAGGAATTCGAACGAATCGCACGCCAATGGTCAGTTCAATACGCTGGGGCGCCCAAGTCGATGCTCGGCGAAGGTAGCGGTGGATCTTCGGCTGCGGACATCGAGGCAGCGGAGCAACAAAGCAAAGAAAGGGAGGAAGCCGCAAATTTAGAGGCGTATGATGGGTATAACAAAGATCTCATCGACAGATTTGTCATGATGGGCTTTGATCTGGACAGAGTGGTAGAGGCATTCAACTACGTTGGCATTGACCGAAACGGCGGCCAGGACTACGAGCTTGAGGAGGCGTACATGGGAGACATCACGGCGAGACTTCTCGGGGAGCCTTGATCTGCCATGAGAACTGGCTTGAGCGTTGGTGTACGGTCCTTTCAGCATGCATAACGGTGTGGTCTGAGCTTGGCCACCACTTCAGGGCGCCATGGTAGATATTGAATGTGTGGCTACTTGAGACGTATTTGACACACTCAATCAGTCAACTCATTGTTATTCTACATCACGCCTTGTTTCGTTTCTTTAGATGGTATTGCGTATTCGTGCCGAGATTAGGCATGTGATGTGTGGCCCCGCCTAGTTTGCCTCGCCAAATTGGGCTAATGGTGACTTATAGTTGAGCCTTGTGTTTATCGATCTGCTCGACACCTTGCCAAATCATATCGGGCTCGCATACCGCAATTGCTGGACTTCGAAAGGGATTTCTGTCGCCACTGTTCGAGGGGGGAAACGTCATGAACAGCTGCTAAGAAGCTGAACACCACTACTTTCCTATTTCCCTGAACACCAAAGATCCATCAGAGAAATAATGATAGAAGACGACTTCTACCGTTCCTCTACCCAGTATCGGCACTGGTCCTTCACTCACTCCCAACTTTCTGAGCGACGCGCTGTCACCAATGCCCACGCAGCCGCCCGCGTCCGCGCCGCATTCCACCGTGCCCAGACCGCCAACGGCAACGATGCGTCCTATTCAGACGGCGAAGTCGATACGCTGACTGTCGATGAAGAGCTCAAAATCATCGAATGGGGCTCCAACAAGATTGTCGAGATGGGGAAGCTCCTTCACACCCCTTCTTCCTTGCAATCGACCGCCATTCAGTACCTCCGCCGATTCTACCTGACTAATTCGCCCATGACCTACCACCCCAAATCCATCATCGCGTGCGCGCTATTTTTGGCCACCAAAGCGGACCACCAGCACGTCAGTGTCCGAGCATTTGCAGAGGAGACGAATGTCACGGAGGATGAAGTCAAAGCACCAGAGTTCTTGCTGCTGCAGGGCATCAAATTCACGTTAGACGTGAGGCACCCGTTCCGAGGACTGGAAGGAGGCAGTGTTGAAATGAGAGAACTCATCACCGAGGGCAGATTATTGAGCGGAGAGAAGGAAGCCGTCAAGAGACTCGAGGCGGCAATCGTGAAAGCAAAGGGTTTCCTGAGAAGAGAGGCGCAGATGACAGATGTGTACTTTCTGTACACGCCCGCACAAATCTGGCTAGCAGCGATGCTGATGGCGGACAGCGAGCTTACGGTGGCGTACCTGACGGCAAAGTTTGAGAGCTTGCTGGCATCAGAGCCGCCGGTGGGTGCGGACTTGGAGGCACTACAGAGCAAGCTCACGGCTACGGTACGGAAATGCGCGACCATGCTGGAGGAGTACAAATCCCCCGAAGACGACAAGAAGGAGCGCAAGGAGCTGGGGAGGATCGGCAAGAAGCTGGCGAAGTGTCAGGATCCAGAGAAGACTGATATCGTGGCAGTCGCGAAGGCGAAGAAAGCAGAGAAGCGGGAAGGGAGCGAGAGCGAGAGGGAGGGCGAGAAGAAGAAGCGGAGGACGGAGAGAGAAAAGCTCGGAAAGGACGGAGATGTTTTCGGTGGCGATCTGAAGGATATAAGGTGACCATGAAAGGGGAAAAGTGAACAGCGAAGGGATCTGGAATGTCTATCGCGATAAAGATATCTGGAAAATATTGATGAAGACGGGGACAGCCCGTGGCAGCCGCCTGATACTGAAGAGAGATTACCCTAAAGCGCTTTCAACGCCAACCCAGCAAAATATACATGTTGACAAAACCAAGCTTCCATACGCTCTCGTGCTCCGATGCTGTTAGTTACCGCTCGGGCATCATCATGCGCATCGTCTTCTCTGATGGCTCGACGAAGTTCATCTGAAGAGGCTTCTCATGCGGCAACCGCTGAGACGCATCCGAATTGTATGACCGAGGCCTTTCCGAAGGAGCGTTGTACATGTCGTCTTCGGGGCTTCGGAGGCCGTTGTAGTTGTAGTAGTCAGGTTGGTAGAGATTGTCCCGATGTTGCTGGGATGGCTTCTGGTGAGACTGTTGGGGATTCTGAGTTTGATCACGGTCCTTGTTCAGCTTCCTGAAAGCATAGTAGCCTACACCGCCAATTGCAGCAAGCTTGACGAGGCCCATGTTGGCTTAGAAAAGGATGTACAGGTATGTGTCTTGGAAGTATTCTTATGAGTGGTAATGGTTGGATCGATTACAGCAGATGCGTTATTGGCTGGATGGTGAACTTCACAATCCTGATGGACATGACCTACCTTTATGTCCTTCACTCTCGTACGCTATTATCGTTGCCTAGACGGGTCCGCTATGACTTGCGCCGGCCGCAGTCTAGTATGGCACATATCGCCGAGTATGTGAGTTTAAGTCAGAAGCGAGCGTTTGGTGCAGCCGTTGGGGTGATGCGGGGTGGCTCGTACAGCCTCATAGCCGCACACTCGCTTTGTGGAGACCGAACCCGGGCCCGAGCTAAATAATGCTCAGCCACGCCAAACATAGGGTGGCCTAAGGGCATTGGTCGTATCAACCATACGTATTGCGGGCATATGTCGAGTCGATCATTCGCAGCTATGCCATATATTCGAATTCTAGTGCTAAAGACAGTGTTGGATTGTGTAGCACGCAACCGCGCCTGGTTTGCTGCTGCGCATGAGGCTCGGCCGTCCATTTCGCTGTAGTGTTGGAACTCAGCCGAGCCGGACTGCGTAAGCTACAGCAGGCAGGCGCATTTCTGCTGCACTGGACCATCCATGGGCCACATTTCGGGGCCGAAGGTCAGATGAAAGCGGATTTATTAAAGGCGAACGGTTATGATGAAGCCTGGAAGGAGGCACAAGGGACCTTCAGGCAAGCCTCCAGGCGCTCTCTGCCCGTACCCAAAGCTGGCGAGGTTGTGCTAGACCGTATCGGGTTATATCCGTGGCACTGGAGTGACGTCAACGCGTTCTCACGACGCGTGCATCTCCTAAATCTGATCTCGAAGTGAATCGTGTGCAAGACAGTAGATTTCGCACAGATTTGCTTAGCTTGGATCAACAACATGGTCCCTAATGGTCGTGGTTACGACTGCACCCCACTTCCTCCATAAAAGCCATGTCCTCATCGCAGCCGTTTGTAGCGTCCTCGCCAATTGGTGGACGCCGGCGCAAATCACGATTTACATACAAGCAACTGAATCTGCTCGCGCAATCCTCTACGAATTGCCCGCTCCGTTGCATTGCACTGATAGATTATGACGCTTTTTATGCGCAGTGCGAGTCAGTGCGACTCGGTCTTCCTCCAGATCAACCACTCGGAGTGCAACAGTGGCAAGGTTTGATCGCCATCAATTATCCTGCTCGTGAGTTTGGTCTCAATCGACATGTCACTCCGACGGAGGCGCGCCAGAAGTGCCCACAAATCACCCTACAGCACGTCGCAACATGGCGAGAAGGCGATGATAAGTGGGCATATCGGGACGGCGCGGACAAGCACATCTCAACGGATAAGGTATCACTTGACCCCTATCGGCTAGAGTCCAGAAAGTCCCTCGCTCTGATCAAAGACTTCCTTCCTGCGCCTCCAGTCCAGAGAGTTGAAAAGGCGTCGATAGATGAAGTCTTCCTCGATCTCTCTGCACAAATTCATGGCCTACTCCTCGAGCGTCATCCTGAACTACGAATTGCACCATATGATGATCCTACGGAACGCCTCCCTTTACCACCATCTACTGCTCTAGATTGGCAGGCAGATGCGCTAATTGACCTTGACGATAATCAAACAGAAGACGACGACCCAGACTGGGACGATGTGTGCATGAACATTGGCAGTACCATTGTTAGAGATGTGCGTCGCATGATTTTTGAAAAGCTACATTACACCACGTCTGCTGGCATTGCGCGCAACAAGATGATGGCTAAGCTGGGAGCCGGCTATAAGAAGCCAAACCAGCAGACGATTGTCCGGAACCGGGCAGTGCAGCATTTTCTGGGCAGCTTCAAGTTCACAAAAATACGCAATCTTGGTGGCAAACTTGGTGACCAGATTGTCGAGACTTTCAACACTGAAGAAGTCACGGAGCTACTCAAGGTTCCTCTCGAGACGATGAAGGCAAAATCCGGTGATGAGACCGGCACCTGGCTGCATGGCATTATACGTGGTGAAGATAATTCGGAGGTGAACTCGCGCACACAAATCAAGAGCATGCTATCGGCAAAGTCTTTCCGTCCTAGCATCAACAGTTTTGAGCAGGCGGTGAGGTGGCTGAGGATTTTCGTTGCTGATATCTACGCGAGACTAGTCGAAGAGGGAGTCACCGAAAACAGGCGACGACCAAAGACTATGAACTTGCACCACAGACAGGGTGGTACAACAAGGAGCAAACAGCTGCCCATCTCGACCGGGAAGAAGATCGACGAGAACACACTCTTCGAATTAGCGAAGACTTTGATGGGTCAAGTTGTGGTAGATGGTCGCGCGTGGCCTTGTGCTAATCTAAGCTTGAGCGTTGGCGGTTTTGAGGATGGTATCACGGGCAACAGAGGCATCGGTAGTTTCTTGGTCAAGGGCGATGAGGCGAAGGCGCTGGAGGCAGAGAGGTCCAACAGCGCAACGCCTGTGCCAGGAAATGACGCCACGCGCCCAACGAAGAAGCGCAAACTCGACGGCCCAGATATTGGACGTTTTTTTGCTAGGGATGATAGCCGCGGTGATGACGATGCGGAAGGGGATCGACGCATTTCAGATGCAAAAGAGGACCGTGACATGTACGGTGAAGATGAACATGACGCGGCGGCTAATATGAGTGGTTCAGTTGAGCGGGACACTGCAACATATTTCTTCTGCGCAGAGTGCAGCAAGCAGATACCGGAAGGAGATAGGGAACAGCATCAGGACTGGCACTTTGCCAAAGACTTGCAGGCTCAGGACTCGCAGATGCCTGTTCAGCCAGAACACGAGCAGACCAAGGGCCGGCCTCCTGGACATCCAGCTTCTAAGATCAAGCGTGGCGGTGGACTCGCAAACGGACGAGGTCGGGGAAGTGCAAAGGCTGGAAAAGCAGAGAAAGGCCAGCAAAGACTAGCTTTTGGGTAGACTCACCTTCGAGATGTAGCGTCAACTGGATCGCACCGGATAAGCGATGTGTTGAGACGCGGGCAATCTACATGCGATTTTCTTGCTCTGTATTTGTATTGCTCCTGTCGTCAACAGCTGGCGATCCGCTGTGTCTACACTAGCCTGTATCAAAGTATTCTTGTCAATCGTCTGCGCGTGTGACACGATTGCAATTAGCTTGGCTCAAAATGACAATAGATGCGGCATTCACCTCAGGTATGAACGCAGATCAGCTCTTCTCAGCAGGGTCTTGGAGTACTACCACTCTGGAAAATTCCCAGGATCCCAGCCGCCAAGAACAAACGCCCCCTGGCAGCTTTGCCTGGACCCCTAAATTTGCCCACCCCGGATCTCGATCCTAGCGCTGGTTCGGCTGTCAAACAACCCGAGCTCAATTTCAACCTCATCCTTACCTTAGTTGAACTTCAAGCAGTCTCAATAACACCCTCAATGGGACTTTCAATGCGCCTCGAGAATCTTGTGGGGGTCATTTGATGTTTTTCTGTTGTCGTCATCAGTTGTTGTGCGGTGGGGCGTCACTATCGCCCATTACGGCAGAAATCACGTGCAGTGCCGCAAGTTGCGGCTACGAGGATGGCTGGAGTGCAGAGAAAAGGTAGGGAAGGCGCGATGGCCACGCTTGCCCCGTCCAACACTCCTATCAGAGTCTTGCCAAATAGGAAACTGTGTGGTTCTCTTGTGTCAGCACAAAATGGCCGGGCGCGAAGCGAGATTCCCTGAAATGTTGGCTGTCATGTGGGACTTTCAATATTGATCTTCATGGGAATCGTTATCGCTTGGGAAGTGCTTGGTATCGGCAGGAGCGCCTCTTCTCCTGCCACTGAATGTATTCTGCAGGCTACACCAATGAGTGCGTATCAAAGAACTGGCGCTGCCTCGTGCTCAGTACGGCCGCCGTCAACAACACCCCTCCGAACACTCCCCCTCGTAGCCGAACTCGGCCAGACTTTCGTCATCTCGCGGTGCACTCTCACCCTCTGTCACCATTTTGGACAATGCCCACAGCTTGAAAGTCGGGCTACAACCAAGCAATCGACATGGTTCTTGACATGAGAATGCTCGTCTTGGTCTGAATCGATTGACCCTGCTCTTCATATTGGCCATGGACAGCTCGCTAGCAAGTTCGAACTCGACTCTCTGATACCAACACACACATCATCGCCGTCATTATAACCCACGCGTCCATTGGGCGCTCAGAGCCACACACATGAACCCTGATTCCCACTGTCCTAGCCGACTCTGTGAGCACAGCCCATCTCTGCTCCAGAGCCCAAACCTATAAGTAGGCCCTGTCCCCCTCGCCTCCTCGATTTCTCTTCTTCGTCCCTTCCCTGCTTTCTCTGTGAGTACTCTCCCTGGCTATCTCTGAACTTTGCATACCGCTGATTCACATCACAGGTCATATCATACACTCACACAAGTCATTGAAAAGTAAGCTCACTTTCCTTTCCCGTTTCCTGCCCCCCTTGCCCCTCGTAGACTGTAGAACTCCCAAGGTATGAGTTTTCGACCTCAAAAGCCGCACACTGGAAATCTGGCCGACCAGTATCTCTTGGCTTGTCCAGGACACAAATCCACCAGAAACTCACCAAAACTCGGCTATGAGGCCACTGGATCATTCCTTACGATAAGCAGCACTTTCTGGTCAGCAGGGAGTTTGTGCTCATCGCCATCTAGCACTCATCAGATCACTCTGGAGCTGGACTCACCAAATTGCGGTTTTGAGCCCTTTCAGACCCCCAATAGCACCTGGAGCTTACCTACGCTTGGCGAGCTCCAGGTGCCGCTTTGCGTGTTTGGCTTGCCAGACCGCCGCACTTGCAGCCCTGCATCCGCCTACGGCTGCGCCTTCGCCCCTATTTGGCCCTGCCCTAGGCCTTGCCCTTCACTTACGGCCAGTCAACTCCACGCCTTAATTTCTGCCTTTCGCATATCATCAGACGCTTCAGGGAACTCGACCACCAAGAATTAAATGGCCATGCCGCTGCCTATCAACATTACACGTCGCTGGCGTCTCACCTTACCGCCGCCTGACCTTGTCGCCGCCTGACCTTGTCGCCGCCTGACCTTGTCGCCGCCTGACCTTGTCGCCGCCTGACCTTGTCGCCGCCTCACCTGGTCGCCGCCTGACCTGGCCGTCAACCCACCTAGGCGCCGCCTCACCTGGCCGTCAATGCACATCGTCACCACCTCACGTTGTTGGAGCCTACTTCGACACTTTCACCAACACGCCAGTTCCCGGACATTACGACAAGGGTTGCCCGCGACAATGCAGGCAACCCGGGCCGGTGAATATCTCGACGAGACCGTGACAAGAGGCAGTGAGTGGAACACGTCTGACCTCGATCGGTCCTCGGAGAGCTCTATCACCGGACCCGTAAACCACTCGTAGACCATCGCACTTCCTCGAGACCATTTGCTAACTTCTGCTACAGATGTCTTCCTCTCTTTTGCAAGATAGGCGGATGAAGCGAGAGCAGCGGTCTCGGCCGTGGCTCGTGAATTCCTGCCTATCCTCTGCTCCGGCCTCTCTTCCCCTCCGCACCAAAGAAGCTCAAACGATTGCTGAAGTCCCCAGCAAGCTCGTGAGTGAGGTGTGTTGTCTCAACCAGAACCACCGGAAGTCTTTTGCTCTCAAGCCCTGCTTGAAGCAAATGGCCAAGGTGGCGACGGCCTCGATTGTCGATCGCCGGAGAGACACGGCGAAAAGACCCTTCTCCCTGATTCCGAAGTTTCTTCGGACTGGGGACCAGAAGGTCTTTGACAGAAAAAAGGTGGAGTTGCGGCTTCCCACAGTTGTACGATTCACCGAGCCTCTCGTAAACGGGGTAAAGAGAACCCAGAAATGGGACTGCTCTGCGCCTACGTGCGATGCTCATGAAGAATGCAGGGAAGACGTGGCTTTTACCTGCTGGCGGTCGATCGAGGACGACCATCCAGACCAGCTCAGAGTTCCCTTCTTTGACTGGTTCTGGAGCCAACTGAAAAAGGGTCACATTTATTGTGGCCCCGACCTTCCCACAGAAAACCGACACGGGGTTGTTAAGTACCTCCGTGCCGTGTTCACGCCGTAAGGCATCTTGGGTGTCCGATCTGGGGGCTTTTGCATCTATCTGGGGGAACTCATACCGGCGTCGCGCCGTCGGCTTTGCACGAGGTGATCTTCACCGCAGAGGGCAGTGAATTCGGTCTACTGGCCAGGGGACTACGAGTTGTCAGAGACTTCCCGTCTGGTACCGATTTGGACAATTCACTGCAAACCATCCTCACTGGACGCAGTGACTATGGGAGCGCTTACTTACATATGGGATTTTAGAGCTTGCTCCTTATGAGTAGTGTCTGGGGTCGTTACTTTTTCCTTTGTCTTTCCTTTGTCATTGTGGGCTGCATTCTCCTTGGTGGGATCAGTCTGAGTCTGCTCCTTAGCGAGTACGGCTGTGCAGGTGTTGGAGGACAGAAACAAACCACAAAAAAAATCCTGACGGGGAATCAAAAAGCATCAAAAACAAACCTGGAAAAAAAAAAAGCTTCAAAAACAAACTTGAAAAAATCAGAAAGGCGGAGGTGAAGATTCGAAAACTCCTTGTTTGCCTGACCAGCAACACAGGTGGTTTTTTGTTTCGGATCCAATGCATCAAACAAATGCCTATGATCCGTCCAGGTTTCCCCTTCGGGGTTTGCTTGGGCGAGGAGGCTGACTGGAAAACGAGAGACCACCTTCACGCGGTTCCGGTTGTGAGTAGTCGTTTCGCCTTTCGGAAAGAAAGCTGGCGGCGAAACCAAGTGTCTCTCAATGATCTCAATGGATGACTCTCAATGATGACTCAAAAGCTGGCCCAACGTCAAAAGCAATGGTCGAAGGACGTGGAGATGAGAACGGGTTCGAGGTCAGCATGCATGAGGACAACGGGCAAGGGCAAGGGCAAGCGCAAGGGCAAGCGCAAGGGCAAGCGCAAGCGCAAGCGCAAGGGCAAGGGCAGCGGACAACGGCAACGGACGAGGACAATGAATCCAGGGACATGGACGAAGAAAAAGGTCGCGGAGTGAAGCGGCAGGGTATCAGATGCTCAGAATCTACAGCTACTTAGCTAAAATTGCGACGATATGGCACGTGAAAGACAACGCAGTGCATTGAGACCTCGTAGCACGCACTCTGTATCGATCATCAAAGCCATTGGCATGCTCCAGTCCCAAACATGGCCAACTTCTTGTCCTGAACAAAGTGCCATTCACCTTGTCGGCGATGCGTTGCGGATTCATTTCTTCGCCGGCGCCAGCATGAGCTCTGGCCGGACATATTTGTCGAAGTCCGCCTCGGACAAAGCCTTGAGCTCCATGGCGCCTTCTTTCAGCGTCAAGCCATTCTTGTGAGCATGCTTGGCGACTTTGCTGGCCATATCGTATCCAATGACAGGATTGAGGCAGGTCACCAGCATCAGACTGGGGTTGTTAGCACTGACTGTCGGACAGATTTCTTGGGGGAGCATTCCAGGGATAAAGGCCGACTCAAAGACTTACCTTTCATTGAGTAGCGCGGAGATGCGCTTCTCGTCAGCCTGCAGGCCCTCCAGCAGATGGTCGACAAAGCTATTCATGGTATCGGTAAGCAATCGGGAAGAGTGCATCAGGTTCTTGATCATCACAGGCTTGAAAACGTTGAGCTCAAACTGGCCGCTCATGCCGCCCACAGTGGTAGCGACGTGGTTGCCCATTACCTGAGCCGCGACCATGGTCATGGCCTCACACTGTGTGGGATTGACCTTGCCGGGCATGATACTGCTGCCAGGTTCGTTCTCGGGAAGGATGAGTTCCCCAAGACCGCAGCGGGGACCAGAGCCAAGATATCGAATATCCTGGGCTATTTTGAAGAGACTGCAAGCGAGCGTATTGAGAGATCCAGAAGCCTCAACAATGGAGTCGTGGGCAGCGAGGACCTCAAACTTGTTGGGTGCTGTAATGAACTTGGTGCCGGTCAACTTGCTGACCTCCTCCGCAACACCTTCGGCAAAGCCCTCGAACGTGTTGAGACCGGTGCCAACGGCTGTGCCGCCCTGTGCGAGCTGTCTGAGGTGAGGTAATGAAGCATTGATGCGCTCGATGTTGCGGTCAAGCTGAGCAACATAGCCGCCAAACTCCTGCCCAAGCGTCAAGGGCGTAGCATCCTGCAGATGTGTCCGGCCAATCTTGATGATCTTCTCGAACGCTTGTGACTTCTGCTTGAGAGTGTCGCGCATGCGGGTGAGGGCAGGCAGGAGCTTCTGCTCGAACTCAAGAACAGCAGCAATGTGCATGACAGTAGGGAAGGTATCATTGGACGAGGCAGACATGTTGACATGGTCATTGGGATGTACCGGCTTCTTGCTTCCCATGGTTCCGCCCAGGATCTCGATGGCACGATTTGAGATGACCTCGTTGGCGTTCATATTGGACTGGGTGCCAGACCCGGTCTGGAACACGGAGAGAGGGAAGTGGTCAACGAGCTTGAGACTTGCAACTTCGGAGGCGGCTTGCTGGATGGCTTCACCGAGTTTGGGATCTGTGAAGGTATCAGCATTGCTGCAGTGTGCGATTCGGCGGTACATGGAGAGCTTTCCAGCGAAGCGACGCACCTAGGCCGTATTTCATGTTGACGGTAGCAGCAGCTCCCTTGAGGATACCGAACGCTCTCACCACACCCTCGGGCATCTTCTCCTGCGGCAAGTTGATGTTGAAGTTGCCCAGCGACCTCTGGGTCTGCGCACCCCAGTACCTGTCCGATGCCACCTCCACGGGTCCAAAGGCATCGGTCTCCGTTCTTGTGCTAGCCATTCTGACACCGTGTAAACGTATAATATTAGAGGTATAGCGTAACGATGCAGCTGTGGTTGAGTGTTTGAGCGATGTGGTCGCTGAATATGTGGTACGGAGAGAGAACATGGCGTGCGCAGGAAGACAGAAGGAGCGTTATGTATCAGAGTTATGAGAATCGGAGGAAGAGGGGGAAAAATGTTGCGGAGCTGCAGCTACGAAGCATTCACTTTTTGGTAACTGAAGCTGCGATCGCTTGACCCTGGGCCGCCGCGACTGCGCAAATATAATTGGGGGCCGGGAGAAGCCGGGTGCAGCTAGGTCGCAGCTCTTGGGGCATGATCGTCGATTTCAGATGCGGAGAGCACATGCGAAGCACAGCACGAAACGCGTTTCAAATCCAAAGTCTTCAATTATCTATCAACACCACATTAAGGTGTCCAAAATCGCTAGAAAGACATGCCCAGGGTATCTCTGAAAGCGCAAGCCGACTCCTTCTGTCCAATCCGGGCCCCGCCCACGAGTCCTAGGAGTTTCCGGCGACGACCTTCGAAGCGTTGCCGATCATGAAGTCTTTGGATTTGGCCATTTTGACCATGAAACTGGGCACCTTCCAGCCGAAAGCAATACCGACACCCTGTGTAGACCCAACAGGCACAAATTGCATGTCGCTGGTGATCTTCTTGTAGACATTCTTGGTCCGCGGGGCGGGTTCTAGGAAGGATTTAGCACACGAAAAGCGAGGGGGTTTAGGGCCTTACCGTTGCCGGCCAGATCGTTCTTCAAGGTCTCCAGAATAGCCTTCTTCGCAAACATAACGTCGGCGATGGAGCCGTTAGAGTAGCTGGCAGCGGTACCATAGACGTAAACGCCTCTGACGCCATCCACACTCAAGCGCAGGGTCTGAGGGTCGGTCAGGACTCGGTTCTTGTCGTCGAGCCACTCTTTGGGCACGAAGCTGGTGCTGGGTCTATCGCCGACAGCGCCAATGTAGACGTCCACCGTCTTGGTCTCGCCGTTGCTCAGCTGCAACACCTCTTTACCGCCTTCAGAGCGGTGAGAGGTGATTTGAATGTTGTGCTGGACCTTGATACCCTGCTTGAGCAGGCGCTGCTCTGCATCCTTGCCCACCGCCTTGTTGTTTAGATTGTTCAGCAGCTGGGATGTGCCCGAATATAGGGTGATGTCTTTCTTAGAGCCATAGAGGTCGCCCAGCTCGCCTGCGGTCTCGGTGCCGGCTGCACCACCACCACCAATGACGATGGTCTCGGCCTTGGGAAGCTTCTCGTGGAGATCCTTGATGGCGGCCTTCAAGGGTTCTTCTCCTCGGGCTGTCGACCATAGGTCATTATCGAAGTAAGTGCCGGAGCAGATGACCAGGCTGTCGTACTTGACTGAAGACTCATTGCTGAGCTTGACAGTCTTGGTGGCAGGATCGATCGAGGTAGCGGATGCCTTGATGAACTGGTATTGCTCTGCGCTGTATCCGCTGAAGGTTTTCTTGAAATCGATGAGGGCCTTCTCGAGGGGCAGCGACTGCGGGTTGATCAGAACTCGCGGCGCAGCAATCTTGAAATAGAACTGGTCCGAGGGTGCGACTTGGACGACCTTGAACTTTTGTTTCGGGATGGCAGGAATGATATCTTTGAGCAGGTTATGGGACACCGTGAGGCCTGCGAAGCTGGCGCCAATGACAACGATCTGATGCTCGGACATGTTGGGAAGTTCAGTGGGCTCAAGGGGGATGGGAAAGAGAAAGCAAAGCGAAGTGTACAGGAAGTAGAGATGCCGGAAATAGCGTTAGGCGACAATCACGCAATAGATATAAATTGGACAAGTCAACGATAATGAAGCGTGTTTTGGATTGATGGAGGGCCGTCGGACTCCGTGAGGCAGGGGCAGTTATGCTCCTATATAGAGTGTTTTCGGATCTACGAAGCCACTGCGTTGGCTACTTGACCCACAGCTATTCTGATGACAAAAGGGACCCATGCAAAGACAGACGGCTGACCACGAACGACGGAATATGAGCGTACTGCGCTTCACGTGCAATCTTGAAGTTGGTAATAATTCGTCCTTTTTTTTCGGCACGGAATTCTCGAGCTGAACTCCGGTCGAAGACGCGTTTAGGGTCTAAAGTCACTGGCGCGAAGTTCTGAGGCCTGTGACTGGGTCGACCAGTGAGACCCGCCAATTAGCACCTTTGTAAGCTCCGCTTGCGAATCTCCGCCGCGCTGTCTGTCACGTGGTGTCTCGGCCGCAAGCACGGGATTTCCTCGTAGTACACCACCTCGTCCGTCTTGGATGTTTAGCAAGCACGGGTTAGAGTTGGTTGCTTTTGTCACCGCTCACATCATCTCTACCGAGCTATGACTGCATTGTGGGAGACAATGTGCGGGTGAGAGGAGATGGCGCATTCGCAGTGATGCCTGCAGCGCACTTTGGTGGGCTCGGATTCACCAGAAAGGTAGGTAATTATTATCTGGACTTCGACTCTGCATATCTGTACACTATAGCTGGTATATGAAAGAGGCGCTCATCGCGGCGCCGTCCTAGCCTCCTCACAGCCTTTCAGAATGACCGAAAAGTGGTGGGAAATGGTGGTTTAGGGGGTATCATCAGTTTCATCGAATTCTGTTCCCTTCTCTCGAAATGCTCGCTTGCTCAAATTCAAAAAGTCGTCCGGCCCGCGCGTCGTCGCTCAGAGAGCGTAATTTTCGGCATGTAGGTATATCTCGTCTTTCGCCGAGTCGCTCCAGACCTCCTTCTGCAGGTCGGCAACCGTTCTCGATACGTCCACTCGCATTTGTGGAGGTCCACAAACGAACACACAGCTCCGCCTTCCAAACTCGCGTGCCAGACCTTTCAACAAGTATGGGATGTCGGGCCGACCGTACTCTGTTCGCCATCCGTCACGCCGTATCGTGGTGGGCAGAAAGGCGAAGCGCATGAGATTCTTCTGAAATGCTGTCGGCGTCTGGGGAAAGCCGAAATCAAACCGCCGAATAGCGTCATTTTGTGCCATCGAGATGGTGCTCTGGCGATTAGTCGTAGGAGGTGGTGGAAAGTACTGCGCCGTCGTTGGCGATGGCTGCGGACGACGCGCACTGTCGGGTGAGAGGTAGGCCGCCTGTGGAAGGGCAGTCATGGCATCGAACTCCGGAGACGGCTTCTGATCAGGGTGTTGCTCTATGAGAGCAGAGTTGCGCTTTGATGCCACACCCTGGAGCGCATCATTGATCTTCTCCTTGAAGCCACTGTATCGCTGCGACTCCCTCGGTGGCTGCGCCCCAAAGTTCTCATAGCGCTTCGCAGCAGTGATGAAAAAGTGACATTGCATCGAACCTGGGGGAGCGTGTTCACGGCAGATTCGGAGCTCCTCCTTGAACCATTCCATTAGCTCAGGTCGTTTCATGGCCCACACAACTGTGACACTGGTGGTCGTTGCCTTGCCGTCGCGCATGCGCTTCACGAGGTCCAGGACCTGCGACGCAATGGCGGTGATTCCGGAGCCACCAGCAAAGAAAACCACGTTGTCAAAGCTGGACATTTGCCGTTGTGTGCCGCCATATGGGCCGTCCACGTAAGCGCGGTAAGTCTTGTGCGGGCCCTTCCTGAGAGCAGTGTCGTAAAGCTTGCGTGTGAATCCACCAAACGGGCGGAAGATTAGCATCATGTCACGATACTGCTCGCCGTATTCTGAAGGGAAGTCTTCACTGCACAGCGAAGCGATGGTAAATGGATGATTTTCGAAGAGTGCAACGCCCGGCATACGCAGATAGGCGTATTGTCCTGGTTTCCATCGCTTCTGGGTTGGAATCGTGACTTTGACGGCATTCTCTGGCAGGATGGTAACAGCCGATTCCTCTCCGATAAGGAATGAATTGCGCAGTGGGTTCATCCAGTTCAAGTAGAAGGCGCGCGAAACGAGGGACAGCGCCAAGAGTGCAATTGTGGTGTAGAGATAGCTCCAAGACGTGAGATAGTTGTTACAGTGCCACATCAGCAGCCCAACGAAGGCGTATGCAACTGGTGCATGCAGAATGACGAAGAACTCGTACAGCCTGGCACGCATGATCGGCAGAGAGTGAAGCACCAGGAAGATCAGAGGCGCGACTGCCGCGATACCTGTGGTATAGATGTAGTACTGCTGGTTGAAATAGAGTTTGAAGATGGTAAATCCACTCTCGTCTCGGACTGATTGCCACCAGTATGGTACTGCATGAATGGCGGCAAACACGGCACACAAGTAGGCCGCCCATCGATGGAGGACATTCAGCCGCTCGTGTCCGATGCCTGTCAGGTAGGTGAGGATATTGGCTTTCGCCGAGGTTGCCACGATCCAGGGAAGAAGTGACACCGAGATCATGCCTGCTCGGATTGCCAACGGCGGCGAACCGTACGACATGGAGGCATAGAAGTACGGCTGTGGAAGGAAGCAGTACAACAGAGACGAGATCGCTGCGGCCAAGACCACTGCGATGACATTCAGCGATGGGAAGACGAAACGGAATTTCCATATCTGCAGTGGCGGAATGGGACGGTAGAACACCCAACGGAAGACAGCAATGATGTTGTTAATGGGGGCGATCGCTGATACGGCCGCCTGCTTTTTCGGTTTTTGGGGCACGAGGGGGCCAGTCGCTGGAAAGAAGTGTCTGGTTGAGCCGTCGGTTTGCGAGCTCGTTGGCATGACGGAATCGGTGTCTGGGATAGCTGAGTTGGCGCTCCATTCCTTTGCCGATTCGATCAGATCTTCTTTGTGTAGGGCGGTCCGGATCTTGTCGCCCCAGTAGTGAAAGACGCGCATGAATGCAGTCGCGACTAGCAGGATGACGGCGAAGTAGACGAAGAGCAGGCCATATTTGCCGGCTTGTGAGAAAGGGTCCTGCTGGATAGCCTCCTCGAGCGCCGGCGGCGTTGTGCTGTTGATCGGCACATTGACTCTTCTGACCAAATCTTGAGACTGGTCCAAGTCTCCTAACGACCGCGCATCCAGGTAGTCTGGTACAGACCAGACGGGTGGAGGCATGGTCGTGTATGTGGCGGAGCCCGATATGAGGATTTGATTGTGTTATATCCGAAGCTCATCAGCCCCGCGGTCGACCTGGTGGAGTATGGGGTCCGGCCCGTTTCAATGTCGATCTATTGGCTATGTCGCAGTAAACAGAGGTCTGGCCGCGATCACGGCTATGAAGAGGCAGACATATAGGATGACGTCCGATGAAGAAAGAAAGCCAGCTCTCCTTCGGAAGCGAGTGTAAGGGACGGTGGTTTGGAAGGGACTAAGAGGAAGACAGGACGCGATCAGCAGGGTGCAGCTATGTTATCGGCTCAGATGGGGACGGCCATAGTCAGCGCGGCGAGAGTTTCGAATGGTTCGAGCGAGGTGACGGCTGCAGCAACCGACGTTAAGCCCCGCCACACGAGGTGATAGCAGAGTGAGTGCGTGGAAGGAGTAAAAGGCGGACAGAGGTCACACATGGCTACGATGAAGTTCATGGCGAGGTCGAGAGCGCATGCACGGACCCTGAGGTCTGTCAGCGGTTGCTCCGCCGGATGGATTGGCCAGGATGCAAGCAGGGACTTGGAGGGCAGCAGGGCAAGTCTGTTGGTCCAGGGTTTGAGGGGCGGACCGTCGGAGTAGACGTCTTGGAATTGTGAAATGGGAGGAGGAAAACGGTGAAATGCAGCAGAGGTAGTGACTTGATTGGCAGAGGGACGTGACGCGCAGGAACAGAGTGCAGAAAACGCTTGGGGAAACCCTTGAGAAACGACGCACTTGGGGGCCGCGATCATCCAGATCGGCTAGGATCCACGAAGATACAGCCTATCAAAAGCGAATAGGAGCACTCACAGGCATGTAACCGCCGGGCCTAAGGCACGCTACGGCCGCCTACGCTGGTCATCTTCCACCAATAGCATGCGGCAGCACTGCTAAGCTCATGGCACTCAAACTCGACTTCACCACGCCGGGAACGTCCGGGCATGGAAAACTGCTTCTGTAACACGAGCCGGACAGTCAATTTCTACTTGTACGGCGACCGGAGCGAGTGCACGACGCTGTAGCTGCCACAAGAGCTGCTGCACAAGTCCGGGCATGATGTCAGCTGCCGAGGCTCAATGTTCCCCCTGCAGTGCTGGGTTGTCACACTCCGATTTACGGGGCAAAGCACAAACCTGCAGTAAGCAGGCCAAAAGGCGTCAAGAGAATCGTCACGACGCATGGCGCCCTGCCTCAGAGCTACCGACTATCCGCTCACCTGGTAAAGTCTATTCCACTACCCGAACGCCCTTTTCCCTAGCTCGGGATGTGGTCTAGACAAGACGGTTACGAAATACAGAGTATCGAATATCTCGTTTCTGACGGCGCCACGCCGAATTAGTCTCGTTGAATCATTGCTCTCTATCAACATTGCGCGAAGCTTGGCGCAATCGAAGTAGCCGCCGTGGCCGTCTCAAGCGCTCGGATGCTTCCCATCCCTCGTCTTTCCGTCAACAAAGGTCTCACTGCAGTCTCGCATGTCTCTCAACCCCTTTTTCATTTTCATTAGCTCAAGTCAATCTGCAGGACATTGACCGAGTACAAGGGCACATTCCATGTGAAGGACTGCCCAGATGGTGCTGGAAGATCAGAAATGGATTCGGGCACCACCACGTGGCCCGTTGGATCATTTTGCGAGTCTAAGCTGGGTGCGGTCTGCTCATATCGTCAATCAAGGTTTCCAGGAGCATTGATGGAGGTGTACATACCAAGATGGTCCCATTGACCCCTGTGTAATCTGCGCCGATGTCGATGGTCAGTGCCACACTGCTATTGCCACTGTTGATGACCTTGAAGTATACCGCATTTGAGCCAGTGTCTATGGAAGCACTCCACCACAGTGGATTGAAATCGCCTTCCGGGTTTGTCACAGGCAGAGTCTCGGTCCCGTGATAGTGAGCGAATAGCTGCTGCAGGTAGTAGCTCGCCGAGAGCACCGTCTCGTTGTAGTTGGCCGTAAACGAGACCAGGTCAGGATCCCAGTCAACGCTGTTAAGATTGCAGAAGCTGGGAGCATAGCCCGAGAGACGCACGACGTCGGGGTTCCTCTCCGCGCCAAGTAGATACACGCCCTCGCCGATGATGGACAGAAGCTGTGGGTACTCGATGTGGATGTCGGCCGGACGGCTAAAATTAACCTCGCCGTCAGGAGTGTCGATCTGGAAGACCGAGTATTCGCCAATGAACACGCCGACACCTTCATTACCTGTTTCCTCCTGCCAGTTGTCGTAGAAGTCGAAATTCGTAAGGAAGTACGACGGTTCTTCGTAATGATGGGTGTCCCAGATAGCACCTGCCGGTATGCTGAGGTTGTAGTCTCTCTCGTCATACGCCGACGATATCAACGTCAGATTCGGGTGAGCATCCTTAATGCCCTGATATAGGTAAGGAAAGCGATAACCGTAGCTGCTGCTGAACCAGTCCTCGTTACCAATCTCGACAAAATTGAGCACGAACGGCTCCGGGTGACCGAGCTCGGCCCGGTATGCACCCCAGGTGGTACTGGTATTGCCAGTGATGAATTCTAGCTCGTTGAGAATATCTTCTAGCACAAGATACATCTGGTCTTCGGGGAAAGAGGTCTCGCCAGCGCCGTAATTGTCGAGAGAGTAGCCTGCATAGACGCCAAGAATCGGCTCCATACCGACATCTTCGCAGAAGTAAAGATATTCCATCAGGCCAAGCCCATCTGTGTTGTAGTACCCCCAATTGCCAACTCGGCCACGGCGGTCAATAAGTGGCCCTAGAGTCTCGTTCCATTTCCAGCGTTGATCGATAGATTCGCCTTCAAGGTTGTTGCCACCTGGAAAGCGTAAGAATCGAGTCCCGAGGTCCTCGACAACCTGACCAAGATCTCGTCTTATGCCGTTCTGCCGACCCTTGTAGGTCTCAGGGAAGAGACTGATCAGACTGAAGTAAAAGACGTCTCCGGCAACCTCGGAGGCATTGAATGTGATATAGAACGAATTGTTCGAGTTTGGTGCCGTCTCGGTCACGGTGAGCTGCGTTTCGAACCGTGTCCAATCGAAGTAGCTGATGTTGCGCTCGGATGTCAGCTCAATAGACTCTTCGGCCCAAACATCGTCGGTCAGATTCGATCGCAATGAGACGTCGACAGCGGATAGGGTCCCATTCATTTTGGCTCCATTTCCTTTGGCATAGAAGGAGGCGTTGTACGTGCCCGGCTCGATATTGATGCCCCACCAGCCTTCATTGAAGAAGCCGACCTCACCCTCTGCACTTGGGTCGATCTCCATCTCCAAGACAACAGGTAGTGCATCCGAGAGCGGCTGCATACGGCTCAGTCTGAGCGTAACATTGCCTACTGGATAGTATCCGTCAAGAGAAGGACCGAAAGGAAGGCCAGGGTTCTCGCGGTCAGAGCCTTGGAACGCTCTATTGCGAATGGCCTCAGCATAGATACCGCCATCGCCGCTATGGCTGATATCCTCGAACATCCATCCATACAGCATCGGGGCTGTTTGGTTCCTTCCACCGGCATTAAGCCCTATGTCGACCGTGACCGGTCCATCATTGCCACCGAAGTAGGTATAATTGATGCGCTCAATGCCCGAGAGATCCGACTCGCCAGACTGCCGCCTGTTGAATGCTCTACTTGCAGCTAGAGGCACTGTTGCCAAGCCGAAGAGGATTCTGGAGAGCTGCATTGCTGTATGTGCGTGACTGTGCAATCCAGCCGTAGGCCGGCTCTGGCACTCTTAAGTTGAAATCCATGGCGATGTAGCAGTGGTACATGCCTATTCAAGGAATGCGCCGGTGCATGACTTCACTCACGATCCGTCGAGCAAGCGCAGCCTTGGCGCATGGGGAAGGCATTGAGGCTGATTGTCGATCGTGGCAGACGTGCTGTAGACGTGCGCCCCGGGGAGAAGGGCCGGCCTTGGTTTACCCACGCCTTGAGAAGAGATCTGCCGTACTGACCACAGTGGTCATCTGATTGGGTCCAGATGCTGGTGTCGAACCGAAGTAAGAACAATGACACCGAGGTTTGCACCCTAGTGGACCAAGTCTGATGATCATCCATAGTTGCGCCGAAAAATTGAGATAGAGCGGGGTGTATGCAGAGAGTACCTTCCCTTACTAGCAGTTTAGGCTAAGCAATCGGTAGATTTTCTCGGTTGGCTTTGCGATGCGGGGTGGATTCTGGGGTGGACCTCCGCATTACTCAGAGTCAGTCCTCTCAATCGGCAAACGCCCGGTGGCGCTGCCTTGAACACGGTGCATCTGGAGTTAGTAGTGCCGCGTCACTGCAGGACAATAAGTGTATTGTAGTCGGGGTCAGCGACGGTGCACTGTCTGCACGACACCCATATCAAGAGTTGAAAGCTGCTGCAGATGACGGCCACGCCTCTCTGCAGGAGCGTCTGCTATTCTGCATCGAGAGAGATCTGTCCGAGTCCGCTGATATCCAACTCACCTCGTCCTATATCGCCCAACTCCTCAGCCCTTTGTCTTCGGTCCGCCTCCTCAACTTCCTTGGCGTCGGCGTCTTCAAACCAGAGGACACCAGGTCCGCCGTACGATATGCACAACTCTTCGCCGTCCACAATGTCACGAAGCGCAGTATATATGAGACATTCGTCGTTGAGCAAACGCTTCCAACCAATGTTCTGATGCAGCGTGGAGTGGTTGAAGAGTGAACCCAAGCCGAGTGCTATGGCTTGTGTTGGTGGTTGGCCGGGTATCGAGGACGGCCATGTACTTGGGACGGACCATCAGTAAAATTGCTGACTTCGAAGTTGCGAGAACTAAGGCCTCGGGTAGCACGGCGGAACTGACTATGTGTAGTGCTGCAGCAATGTTCGACTTGTGTGGGCTTCAACTTCATCGTTCGGGAAAATCAAGACGGGACTGATGTCGATGACTGTTCCTGCAGGAATGGCGCACGTTGCAAAAACGCCTCGTCCTACGGCAGAGTTGCGTCTGTCAGAGATTGAGGTCTTCGGATTTTGCAAGTGGTACACATCATGCTGTGAACGAGTCGGATGTTTCGTGATGTGCAACACGGGCTCTCACCTACCTTTGGGCGTATCTTTGACGAGCTTGAGCCCCGGTGCTCGCTGAAGAGATGTGCCTTGTTGCATCAGGATGAGACCACGCTGTGGCCATTCAGAATTGGCTTGTTCGTTGTGTTGAATGAAACGGGCGTGCAACTGCCCTGGAGGCCAAATTTGTCGGCAGCACTTGGCGCGGACGGGAGCATTTCCTGATACGGACGGGCCGACCACCAGCGAATCTCGCCGCCAGCAAGTCGCATCTCCAAGTCGGACCGTCCCCCTTAAGTTAATATCACTCAGAACTGGTAAGTCGGTCCTGGAGACGCTCCGCTGACGTATTACCCTCCATGACAACGCACGAGAGCAAAGTTGAGGCATTTGCCGCACCCACTCCCCTCACTGGCCCGCAGGCTCCTTACCGTCTCAGCAGGATTCCGACCACATCCGCCCGGGACCCTTGCTGACTTGGAGGCTCGCGCTGCATCGGAACTTGCCAGTCCGACCTCAAGGGTCCAACGCTATGTGGTCTATAGTCATCGGCCCGTATTCAGGCGGGTTCCCTATTTGAACGACGAAAGCCGCGAAATACGCAGGGCGGCTGCTTACGGTGATCACTCGGATGCTAGAAGGTTGAGAGGCTCGTGTTGGTTCGCATGAGATGAGGGCGAGGCATATGACCCGAAACCACAACCATGGGCGACGTCATCTCTCCCTGTGAGAGGATTGGGTCTACATACGAGTGAATTGCTACTGAGTCTCGAGCCCAAGCATAAGTACGCCCTTGCCTCTCAGCATGGAGTGCCTCAATCCCCACTACTCCGTTCAATAACCTCATACCACCAGCATCAGGCACAGTTCAGTCTCCAACGATCAAAACCTCCCAAGTCATATCTTCACCATGGCCCAAGCCTTTCCCAACGCCTTTGCCGTCGACCAACCCGAGGGTTCAGCCCGCACCAACCCCTACGCCGCAGACGCCTTCATCGAGCCCTGGCTGCTCAAGCACTCTGAATTCTACCGCAAGCACCTGACCAGGGACGGCCGCCGCTCCAGCAAGTCCACCCGCCGCGCCAGCCGGATCACGCTCGAGTCGCGCAAGAACTCGCTCGAGCCCGTGGTATCACCGGGCGCCGTCGCGGCCGCCGAGCGCGCCGACAGCGTGGGAGCCACCAGCATCGAGGAGGACCGTCTGAAGGAGAGGATGGCGCAAGGCCGGCAGGACAAGGAGAAGAGCAGCTGGAGACGTCACCTCCACCTCTAGGGCGTGGAAGAAGTGATGTTTGCTCCGTCGCCAACAGCTCTCCACGATATCGAATGAGTTCAGCAATTGCGGCGCCCCATTTTGTTTCGGTATACCCTCGGCGGCAGCATAGCTCGCATAGTGAAATGATGAATCTGTGTGACCTGAACCAAGCTTGTTAGCCTCCCCTGCTCCCTGCTGAACCAAAGACCATCCGATCCAGCCGTGGCCTCGCAACACAAAAAAAATCCATCATCTAGATTTTCTTCTACGAAATCAAGCATCAAGCCCCTCGCATCAGTCAGAGAGTGAACCACCCTGGCAACGATCCGGCCTGGACAATGCCATGCCTTACTTACTTACTCACTCGCATTGACCCTTGGCGACAGACGAGGCTGGCTTCAGTGAAGAGCGCGCGTCACCCAAGCTCACTACATGAATTAAGTGCACAGCAGTAGATTGCGACTGTGATAGCCTAGTGTTCCCGAGGATCGGATCACCCTCTTACGCCACGAACCTCGTCAGTCGTGACTTTGTTGGTCCCATCCCGAGACCCGAGAACTTCGTCCACGCGGATGCAAAGCCGCCAATGAAATGGCCACATACCTCGCTGGATCGTTGCATCCGATAAGCTCTATAGTCAAGACTTCTGGAAAGATCCGAAATAGACTCTCAAGATAGAGAAAAAAACGCCCCAACGCCAGCAATGCAGTGAGTGGTATATGTCAAAATGTGCCGAAGCAACGCCGTCACAATGCGCGCTAATAGTTCCAAACAGAATACAAATCCCCCTTCGCTATTTTTCATCCACGAGTTGTCTGGTTCTCCTGCCCGCAGTGCTCCCAAAGATCTTTCGTCTAATGGGAAATATATCGTACCAACTCGCGCCCACTCATACATTGATGGCCTGGTTCCACACCACCTGCTCAATCCGGTGACTGAACCGGCTCACCTCCAGCATGGCCACCATCTGCTCGGTGCTGACCTTGAGCGTCCGTTGGGGCAAGAACCACCGGAGACCTTCGCTGCACGGAGGCGTCGTGAGACTGCCTGCGTAAGTCCAATACTCCTGCACCTGACCGACCTCCTCAATCGCGAGCATATGATCCATGTGCACTCCTGCTGTTTCCGCGGTATCGTTGAAGTGGATCAACGTGGGCAATTGGTCGAAGAAAGCGCTGCTTGTTGTTGTGGAAGGCTCGATGCGCACTCCTACTACGGCGGCAGCATCGCCGGCCGCGTTCGTGTGCACCAGATGCATCTCGGCGCGGGAGCGGACGCCATCCACCAGGTGTTCGGATGGGAAATGGATATGCCAGCCGGTAAGAAAGACGGTCTGATTGTCGAAGCTCAGCGCTGGAAGGGTAGAGAAGTCGGCGCCTTCCTCATGGTCGATGGTGTAAGCAGGGCCGAAGCCCCAGTTGTTGAAAGTACCGGTCGTGGGTCCGTGTGCTGCATAGCCCGCGAAGGACGGGGGGTGGGTGGTGGCAAGGCCTTGCGAGGAGAGGACGTTGATGGGAGATTGACTGGTGCCAGAATGGCAGAGTTGGTATTCTGAAGTCATGGATTAGCGGGAGGAGAGTAAAGTACGAATACCAAACGAACCTTCTTTAATCGTGTGCCAGTCGAACGAGTTGACGTATTCGAAGTCGATGGCCTCTTCGGCCCGCTTGTAGACAGTACCAGTGTGGGGATTAGAGAACGACCTGGATCGTCGTGTATGAAAGTTGCAGGCGCTGATGGGAGTGACGGCTATCGCCAGGATAGCCATCGAAAGGAGTGATACCGCCATGGTATATGGATGTTATAATAATACTGTAACACAACTAAGAGCTTAAAGACAGACAAAGGCGCAAGCGAAAGAACCCGATGAACATAAGAGACTGAGAATCAGACCACGTCGGTCGAAGGCGAAAGCCGTTCACTCATATAGACACCACCCGACCTCGTTCGAGCGTTCCGGTAAGCGTGGCGACAAAAGCGAGCTTCTGCTACAGCCGGGGTGGGCTCGAATGGACTTGCGTATGCCATCATCTCGTTAGAGCGCGCAGGAGCACTGTGCCCAAATACAATAGCACCGGGCGAACGCGCTCCTGGGAAGCCAAGCGCTTCGCGAGCGGTGCATGCAACAAGTGGTGAATCAGCAGTAAAACTCGACTTGTGGTGGGACGCCGCTTGTGGCGGCGGCCTCGTCTAGCCATGTTGGTATACATCCGAGATGGTCGCTTGGTCCTTGGGGGCTGCCACCTTCTGCGTAAGGCTACTCGCACCACTGGCGAACAGCTGAGGCCGTCCTAGACACCACGTAAGAAGGAGCTTTCTGCGCCGTGATGTCCATTTGTGGATCGTGTTGCGGCCTGACAGCATCGCTCATCTCTCGAGGTGAACAGTGTTGTCAAGCCGCGGATTCAAGAATCCACATGCAGAAAAGTCGAGGGCGCTATCCCCCCAGAGGACCCGCTCAGGGTTGGTCCATCCTCGACCTAGCCATGTTTTCCCAACGGCTTCAGCAAAGAGCTTACCCTGGCGTCCTGGGTTTAATCCTGTCAAGGGGCGGATCTTCAGTCAAGCAATTCAAGCCCGACGCCCAGTCATGCCCCAAGCCGCATGTTGGTGGCAACTGGCTGGCGTCAAGACGCTTCAAGCGTGTGTCAGACAGCATTGGCAAATATTGGCATGAGCACTACCCCCTAGCCGAGCCTCTCCGCCTTTCGCTCTGTGGTCTCGCTTGTGGAGGAGAAGCCTCAGACTCGCCATGGCGGAGCGGACCATTGGGCTTTAAGTGTCGGAGGTTTGTGCTCTAGAAGGGTTTCCTCGCCATCTTCGCACGGCCACGCGTCAAATGGTAGCGAAGCAGCGCTGAGACGTGCTTGTGATATCTTGTGAGCGGCCAAGAGATGCTTGCGCGAAACACGAGGGCAATACAGAGTATAATGAGGCTCCAGGCTGTTCTTTCCCTACGTGGTGGAGGTTTGATCGTCGGTTAGGATCGTCGTCGCTCGGAGAGTCGGAGGTTATTCGGAGTACCGCTTATGGCTCCCGTTGTGCAGTAGAAGTGACTTGGCCTCCGCAAGGCTTCGCCCCAGACGATCAGATATGGTATATAATCTCGCATACATTCATCTCAGCGCTGCAGTGCGCGTGGTTGATGGGAAAGTGTGCCTGCTCAGTCCAGGCATATCGGCAAGCTGTGCTTGCCAATCGTGCCCGCTTTCGTTGTGCGTTCTTTCGCTGCAAACCGCGGGAACCGCAGCTTGCGTGTTCTCTGGTTTGAAGAACATCTCAAGATTCGCGCCACCAACCATCCGGACGGGGCTACGAGGATCAGTCAGGTAGGCTGCACGGCTCGACAAGAACCCGAAGAAAGTATTCGTAGGAAGTAAAGAAAAGCTCGTGTCATTATTGGTCGCTTGCCATTCCCATCGCATGCAAATGCTCGAAACAAACATGACCCTCCCTATTTCGAAACCGTTATCTGTACAGCCACTGCCATTCTCCATGGACCCCTGTCTATCCAGAGCTCCGAAACCCCTGATCTTGTACAATCAATCGCTGTCGCTCAGAGGAATTGCATCCTCGACCGTGGCGCCTGGTCCAGAGCTCGTTGCTCGGCTGGTGGCCTGGGTGTTGGGCGTGGGCGCATCTTCGTAGTAGACTTTTGAAGGTTGGTGCTGTCCAACATAGTCATATCCATCTTCCTCATCCTCGAGCTCTTCGTCGTCCTCATCGTACTCGTCGCCATACTGGTCGCTGTAATCTTCCTCCTCGCCTCCAACGAGATCATCATCGAACTGATCTGTGGCTGTTCCATTTTGTTGGAAGTAGTGCCCGTAGCCCTCCGTCTCATCCTCCTCGTCAGCAGAAAGATCCCGGTCCCGCTGCTCTTCACCTTCGTCCTCGTTGCCATATACGAATTCTTGAAGCTGGGAAAACTTGTTCGAGGACTGCAGATGCTGGACGGGCTGCTGCGATGCTTTCGTACGAGCCATAGAAACGATGTGCTTCTTTGATCGCTTTTGAGGAGACATGTTCATATCGTCTTCTTCCTCGTCCATCTCCTCCGGACCAGGGCGATATGATCGATCCACAGAACCTCTCTTCCGGCGCTTCTTCGCTGTGCCATTCGTCCCGATTTCCTCGACCTCTTCCTCTATGCTGTAACGCTGTGCGCTTCGCTTCGACATGGGCACAGGAATGTAGTCAGATCCACTAATGGGTTTGTAAGACAGCAGACGTGGACCATTGCGCTGAATGTACTGCTCGACCCTTGACATGGACATACCAGGCGCTGGCGAAGCAGAGGCATTGCCGTTCTGTGGTACCAATAAGCTGCGACCACTATTCGCGCTTGACTGGACCTTTTCTTCATCCACCTCTTTGCCCATTCGCTCGGCCTGCTCTTTGAACCACTTGGTGTCATCAGCCATTGCCTCACGGGCCTCTCGGAGCTGCTTCAACAGTCCATCCGTCTCGAGGTCGTACACTGAGCTCGTGTTTGAGGGCGCGGGGGAAGGCGCAGGCGGAGGCGCAGCTGGTGAGCCGGTAGCAGGGGAAGAAACTCGAGAGTTTGATGTAGATGCCGCAATAGGTCCAACTCTCCGGCGATTATACGCTCGAGCGATTGCAGCCTCTCGCTCTTCCCTGTCTCTACGCTGCTTTGCCTCGACTTGTCGTGCAGTCCGAGGCACCAAAGGTGTGTCGGGATCGATGCCTTGGGCAACGAGTTTGAAATAGTCGGTTTTTGTCTCGTCCTGTGTTTTTCGAATTTCAGACTTGCGTAGGTTGCTAGTGCTGCTCGATCGATTGAGATGTTTGCTGCTGGAGAAAATCGATTGATGGAAGTGACTTGGTGAGGGAGCAGAAGTCGCCAGTTGTGGTGCCGGTGGTGGCGGGGGCAACATGCTCCCAATGGTGCGCGATCTCTTGTGGTGAGATGAGCTATTCTTATTCGCTGATAGGTTTGGTGATGAATCCGCAAGAGATTCGCCGAGACCCTTCCTCTTACTGCCCGCGATTTGGCTACGCTCTGGCTTCTTGTCGATGAATTGCTTGATCTCGGCCTTCTGTCGCTCTCGAGCCTCGGCTTTGATTCGCTCGGTTTCTTCCATGGCGGCGAGTATCTCTTGCAGCTCTGCGTCGTGTCGCTTCTTCTTTTCAGCTTCCATTCTCAAAGACTGGGAGAACATCTGTCGTCGCTTGCTCGCCCGCTTGTTAAGGTTGTTTCGCCAAGTGATGGACCTCCAGAAGGCACCGTACTTGCGGAATAAGTAGCTGGTTTTGAGCCGGCCTGCATGAATTAGGTAAGGTCAAAGACTTCGGTGGGAGACTTACTAAGAGTTAATTGACGGACTTCGGCGCGATGTTCTTTCACAAGTCGCTCGAGTAAGGGCGGCAAAGCGAACTCGAGATACTCTTGAATGAGTCCGTTGGGTTGGGCTAGTGAGAGTCGCGCGACGTGTTCGATTAATTGCGATCCAATCTGCGGTGACTGACGTGCGTGCTGCGGCTGCACCGGCGAATGTGGAGGAGTAGTACTCTTGCTCTGGCCTGAAGAGCGCTGATTGTGGTCTGAATCTGGGGAAATACCGGCAGAGGGCTCAGAAGTAGCTTTTGGTGAGCTGGGCGTGCTTTCGGATACCGACGAGACTGATACAGGCTTAATATTGCTGAGAGGCTTTTGAGCTGGTGGAGAGGTTGCTTGAGCAGGTTCCGCTGCCTTAGGCGTCAAATTGAAAAGAGGAGCAGCTGGCTTTGATACATCAGCGGATGAAGGTGTTGGAAAAGGCTGAGGTTGGTGAAGGACTGGTTCCGGAAGCTGGTTCAGCTGCGCAGGCGGCGCAGGCGGCGCAGTTTTGGTCGTGGGTTGTGAGAAGAAACTAAAACTTGGCTTTTGTGCACTCGATTGAGCGTGTGAGGAGGACGGAGAAGCTGACTTGCTCTCCGGAAGCGCTTTGGTAAATTGGAAATCGACGCTTTTCGGAAAGGCAAACGGTGGTTGGGAAGGTTGTGAGGAATCCAACGGTTGTTGAGCAGAGAGTGTTGCTTCTGTAGGGCTTGAGTCAGTTGCATATTGCAGGGCAGATAGGTAAACCTACTGTTTGGCTGAGGGGTGAAAGAGAAAGACAGAGGTCCTTGCTGGTCTGCAATTGAGGCTGCTGGTGCGTTAGGTATTTGAGGCGTAGATGAGGGTACAGTGTCTGGCGATGCAGCTGGCTTGGCAAAATTGAAACCGCTGAGCGGTGCTGTCGCTTGCTGCGCTGCAGTAACTGCAGGTTGTGAGAACCGGGGTCCACTCGTCGATACAGGCTGCCACGATTTCAGGGCGGAATTCCCGAACTTCTGAGAGTCGAAAGCGACCGAAGTCAAAGTCGTCGTTGGCACGTTCTCGCCAAGATTTTGGCCTTGGCTAGGCGTTGGAGCCGACTTCACTTGCGCCGTTGGGTTGGGTCCAAAGATGTTGTTCTCCTCAGTGCTCGGCCTAGACGTTCCAAACATAGTCATGAAGTTGGGCAGAGGCGGCTTGGCTTCATTGGTTGCAAATTGACCCCATGGCTGATCTGCATCTCCAAACTTCTGACTAGATCCTGCCGTCGATTGAGAAGGCGCCGAGGTCATGCTTGACCAAGACTGTTGAAGATTCTCTCCAAACTTCTTGGTGAAGCTGGACGAACTTGACGTCGGCGCCGCTGACTTGGTCCCAAACGGTGAGCTGGCTGGCACGTTGGAGCTCTGACCGAAAATCGTGGAAGTAGCTGTGGCAGCACCTGGGTCGAAGGGCTTCGAGGGTTCGAAAGCCGCCGCCTCTGGGTTGAACGTATTCGGTCCTAGCGACTGCTTCCCAGCACCGGTCTCGGGAATGAACAGGCTTTGTCCATCATCTTCAACTTCTTGCTGTTGAGACACTCCATCGGATTCTTCAACCATTCCTTGACGAAGAGCGTCCGCTGGCCTTACATTGTTGATGACAGCCATCAAGGTGCGGGAGCATCGCTTGTCTTCGACGTACGTATGCGAGAAAACAATTCCTTTGGGGATGGATGATTCTACGCATCAAGTTAGCGATTGCCTTCAATCACTGAGTTGGAGAGGATCAGCATACGGTCGAGGGAGGTCTCTTTGTGTCCGGCAACATCCAAATATGTAACTCCTTGCGGATCTGTCGAAAAGTTCAGGCCAAAGGACGCGCAGAAATCCACGGTCTGCTCCTCGGTGTCGAAGCCTAGGTACTCTGTGATCACCTGTAGAGTCCAGTCTCGAAACTTGGCTTGCTGAGCACTTGGCGCAGACTTGGATGATCGCCACAAGGCTTCCAGGGCACCAAACCGTGCCTGATTGAAATACAATTCCGTAACGCAAGCGAGCAGATATGGCACCGCGCCTGAGGCCATGATGGTCCAGAAGTGACCAGAATCATTCTGAGCGGGCGTGAACGGTGTTATTGGCTTGAGCGGTCCTTGGTCGAATAAGGTGTTACCGGCAGCCTGATAGAGCCTTAAAGCGCTCTGAACTCTGCCATCGGCCAGTAAATGTAAGGGCCACGACTGGACACGATCCTCGATGTCGGGATGCTGCGATTGGAATGCAAGAATGATGTGATAGGCGCGGAACTCGGCTTCGTTGGGGAAGTTGATCTGATCGCGGTGGTCATCGTAGTAGTATAGTAGGGAGAGCAGGGTGTTGTTCAACTGCTCGCGCTCCTGATACACGTCGAAGTTTTCACCCTCGAGCAGGTTCTCCGGGTTTGACAGCTGGTGCAGAGCCATAATATGGAAGCGCGCAATCCTCTCGAAGCATTCAACCGCGATTTGAACATCCCCATCTTTTGAGACTTGCTGGATAGAGAAGTCATTGCGTATTGCTCTTGTCCGATCCCAAACAAACTTGTGGACGACAGCAAGTCTCTCAGGGCCACCAATGAGCTTATCCACCAGATAATCCAACGTCATGCGTAATGTTTTGGGTGTGCGAATATCCGAGGGGACTTGTTCATCGTCTCCGGCCGCGGATCGTCGAAAGCGCTTGACCATGATCTCTTCCGAAGCCGCTGGTCGGCCGCCATTGGGATCGGGAACCTAATTCCGTCTCAGTACAGCCGCATCTCTCAGGCAGAGGTTTTCTTACTCTTTCACATCGATCTACCATCATCTGCACAATGCGCTCGACTCGCTCGTAGGGCGGGCACATCTCGGTACACGTGCCGACTGGGGTGATCGCTTTATCGAGCGTCGTCTTCTTGTCCGGATCGGCCAGGAAGCCAGCCCGGATGGCTTCTCTCCGTTCTTCCTCTCTAAGGTTTTTGAGCTAAAGTAGAATTCGTAGGTCAGAAGCCTATAGATGCAGTCGTGGTCAGCCATATGGCAGGAGAGGGCGGACGTACCACATTGTATCGATGCTGGACATCGCCGGTGGAAGAGGTATCGGTGGACACGAAGGGTGAGGAGGGTCGCGAGTTTGAGGGCGAATCATTGTTGTGCAGATTGCTGAATGACCTGGAGCTGTGACCTCTGCTTCCGCCTCGAGGGGTTGAAGTGGTGGTCGCTCGTGTGGTTCCTCGACCTTCGAACGTTGTCAGTTGCTTCTGCATAGAAGTGTTGGATCTGCATTCCGCGGCTCGCGTACCTCGCGCTCCGGGAGCAGCGCCCGTGCTTGTGCCTCGAGGGATAGTCCCATTGCGCATCTGCTGAAGCAGTCCCTGGGCATTCGATGGTGTCGGCGCTGCTCCTCTTCCACCGCGAAGCAACCCGCGCGCGGCGGACGCGCCCCTTCCTCTAGAGCTACCGCGATTTTGAGATGAGCTGGCTGCACCTCGAAGGCCTCTCATGCTGCTTCCACCGCGACCGCGGGGATTGGGGGCAGACATTGCCGGAATGTTTCTTTACCTGCATCGGTGAAGGAAGAAGAAGACGCGCATCGAAATTTGTGGTGCAAATTGTGGCGTGAAGGATCTTTTAGAGTGTTGTGAAAGTGTGTAATGAGTAAGTAGTTGTCAAGATTAAGGCGAAGCAATAGCAAGTCGAAGTTCACATGGTGAACGCACTGGGCCTTGAATGCCCAAAGCCGCCTGCAAAGACCGCAGCTCACGCCAAGCCTCAGTACTGACCCGCATTCAGAACCACTCGTCAACAAAGGACTCTTCTCACACCTTTCACATTGACTGCACTGTTCAGAAAGCTAAGAACAGGTGATAAAGCAGGTCTGTAGAGGCATCACTGATACCGATTGATCATCTTGTATACTATCTGGTGGCGGTACAAGGGCGGGCAGGCAAGCCGCGTTGTCCTGATTTACTGCCTGCTTTGGCATCTGAGATCCTCCAGTATCTTCGATCTCACATGCAAGTAGCGACTCTCTCTTCGCTTCTCCTGGCGCTTGGCGTATTGGGCTTCGGATCCATCAGCTGCGGCACCGTGGCCCAAGGGTTAGGATCTGCTCAGGTGGCTGGATCTTCCTTCTCCTGACTCTCTGCCCGCCCCACCCTTGTTCACTGAGCCTCGTATGGTACTGCAGGCTGTCCATCCGCCATTGCTATTCCTCTGCTGGTACGCGAAAGCCCGGACTTGGGCACAAGCAAAACAATGAGAAGCCGAAATCTTCCCGAAGAAAATTCGTATCGTCTTAGCGACAAGTGCTGGCCACATCTGGTATCGTGGGTGACTCGAGTTGCAACAAAAAGCAAATCCCCCTTTTTGCGCGCCATACTTTTCCCCTTTTGCTGATATCAGAAAGGATCTCAAGCATCGCTGACAAACAAACAATGGATGTGCTTCTCGCATTCGCGATAAACAAACAACACAAACCCGAAATAGTACACTATGTACTCTGTTTCCCAATCCACGCCGTGACTTGATGTGCCGTGCCTGGATTAGGGCGTCATGGATTGGGTGATATCAGTCTTCGAAGAGACAGAAAGAGAACGGTGTGGAAGCGAGATCTTCATATCTCTCAGCCGTGATAGAAAAAGCCATGAGCATCCTGCATGGAGGGATCCATCATTGAGGCGTGAGAAGCTGACATGGTTCGACTTGGTAGAGGTCTCGAGTGGTCCGTAAAGTTCTGGAACGCCGTCGCATCGGCCATAGGCAGGCCAGCGCCAACCATATCCCTGTCGCTGAGCCCCATTGCGGCCCCGGCCATCCGAAAGCTCTGATCTGGTACCCCTGTCTGACACTGCATGCCGTTGAACGAGTACTCGACAGGAAGCATGGCCGTAGGCGAGTTGGCCGACATCCAGTCGAACGCATGCATGTCTGGCTGCTGCCGTTGACCCATCGTCGAAAGGAAGGCCATATCCGGCCTCACATGAGCTCTAGCTCTGCGAGGGTCTATACGGACGACAGACTTCGAGGGGAATGGGACACTGTGAGCGGACATTGAAGGCTGGTTTTGACCGGTCGTCATGGTGAGGAAATCGCTGCTGGATACTTGAGAAGCCTCAAATTCCTGCTGTGACGGAACAAGAGGGCCGTCGTCTACCAATTCCGTGTATCGACCGGTTCCAGGGATGTGACTCGGATGGTGGACCTTCGCATCCTGATCAGCACGAATTCTTCGTGGAGCAGTGTCGTGCGTTCGGATCTCGGGTGAGTGAGGGCCTGCAGTATCACTGGAAGCAGAAGTGACTGGCTTGTCTTCATCGAAAACTTCTTGCTTGTCCTCTTCGTCCCCGTCCCCGTCTGGGTCGCCTTCACTCTTGGCCCGTGCTGGCTCGCTGAAGTCGGAGACGTGAATGACTGTGCTGGGATCTAGAAGGCGTTAGAACAGCAATTTTGGTGCCTCTGAGGACTGACCGTGGTACTCAGAACCATCATTGAACCTCTCGAGCTGTTCTCGAACTCCAATGATCTCTTGAATGATGGCCCACCGATCCTCTTTGAAGTCGCCTTTCTTCTCTTCGAGGGCCTGGAGTAAGTCAGAAGCGAAGATGAGGGGACCGTCATCAGTTGTGGCCCTGAGTTGTTGCTGCGGCGTGTGCATAATGAGATGTACAAGTAAGGATGTTCGGGCTGGGTCAAGTCAGTGAATTACCATAACATTGCTCCGGATCCGCTTACAGTTGCGATCGATATGGTCTGGCTCCTTGTGAATGACCCTGGGAACAAGTCAGCTACGGTCCTGCTGCAACGTTATCTGACGCACCCGGGAGGCCAGTAAGGGGGCCGGGTGCGATTGGCGTCGTTGGGCAAGTCTCGAGGCAAACCGCCATTGTATGGATGAGTCGATTGCTACTGTGTTTAGCAACAACTTTCAAGACGGTATGACCACTCACTTTCTTCGGGTGAATCTTCTTGATCCAGACTTTGGCTATTGTTCGACAACCGACTTGCTGCACAGCCTTGAAAGCCTCGCTGAACCATTTCGCTTGAGCCGTCCAGTCATTGACCAACAGTGGGATCTTGCGCTCCCCACGACCGGGCGATCGAGTTTCGACTTTGGGAGCTGGCAAGAAGAAGGACCGCTGATCGAAGGATTCGAAAATGGTTGGGTGGCTTCGTTTGGTGGACTTGCGAGCGTGAGATGTCATCTGTCCCACCGGAGGACTGGTAGGAAGCCTCAATCTCGATTTGCCATTCTTCCGTCGCTTCGCCGGTTCTTGCAGTATGTCAGCTCTTGCTTGACGGAGCGGCAGGGCTGCCCCACCAATGTAATCGGTTAAAACGTGCTGGAACTTGTCCACTGCTTCTGGCTCCAAGACCATGTCTCGATATTGCTTCATCTCCGACGATGAGCGTGTCACCAGTCGTCCATCCTTCCAGACGATGGCTACCCATAGCTCGAAATCCTCGATACTATGCGTTGGATCCTATACTTTATGAGCATCAGCTGTTCATCAACAATAGTCTCTGGCTCACAAGTACTCGACGCCGGGGACCCGGCTTGGCCGAAGGTGGCTTGCCCAACTCCGTTACATCTCGCTGTTCATGTTTGAAGTTGTTGGATGGCAGCATGCCGATCCGCCCAAAGTTGTCAGACTGAGCGTCGCTCTCTTGGAATTGGCAGACTAGCGTCGTATCATCGAGGATAATGGTGGGAGTCCTAGAGAAGGAGCACACTGAGAGGCTGGAAATGATATCCGTTAGCGTTCATTAGGCGTATCTGGAGCAAGAAAAATAGGGACCTCAAAGAAAGGCAAACCACCTAAGGGGTAAGCTAAGCATCCGGGCGAGAGCGCCCGGCGGGATGAGCGCCCGGGCCTGGGGGCCGCAAGCGCTAAGGGCTGAGCTACCCCAAACCTTGGCTTCTTTCCCCATGCCCCTCTAACATCCGACTTTCTGGTCGACATGCAGAGACTTTTCCTGCTCGAAGCCTCCCGAAAAAATTTTTGAGTTCAATTTTGTTTCAACGTACCTTGGGCAAAGTCCCGAGACGTGTAGAATGGAGAAATCGGAATGCGCGTTTGATATTGTGTAGTTGCCTGACACAGCCGATTCCGGGCGTGCAGGGTCGATGAGAGCAAAGAGCAAAAACCACCAAACTAAAACACAAAAAACACAAAGACAAAGCCGACCAGTGTATAACTGGATTTGATGTAGTTCTAGCCTGCACTCATGAGGAAGACAAGCTGTAGACAGAGTGTGATGGATGAGGATCAGGGTCGACTAGGGGAGAAGGGCGAGGACGGGTGTCGCTGCAGAATTCACTCAGTCAAAGGCTCGTTGCGTACCGGTCGGCGAAGCAAACAATGTTGACGAGAGTGCAGAGAGGTTCTGTGGGTGAAAGAGCAAGCGAGTCGTGGCCAGTTGGCGTGGGCAAGCAGCCGTATGCTAGAGCCGCCTGAGAAGCCGCTGATTGCTGCTTTCCAGCCTTGATGCAGAACCAGGGCGGGATGAGGGCGGAATGCCGTGGGAGTGGTAGTCTTGAATATCGAAAGAGTGGAGGAAATTTTGCGGTTCCAGCTGCCGCTGAGACGGTGGTGTATAATGGAATTTCAAACCAGCCGAAGCGGCATATAGGCTAGGCAGAGCCAGGCAAGCCTGGTCGCACGGCAGCCGGAGGTACTAGTCATCAGCGGAGAGCGGAAGAGGTTATGTGGGTGGGTGGTGCGAACGGTGAGGGCGTGTAAGGCAGGGTTCACGTCTCCGAATGACACGAGGTCAAAAGAGAGACTCAGCTGCGTAAGTCAGCAAGCTGAGGCGCCACATTCTAGAAAGGGGAGGCAGTATCGCCGCCTGCGTGATGGCTAGTTGCTCCACGGTAGAGAGGTCGGAGAGGACGGACTTGTAACGATAAAGGGAGACTGCAGCGAAGGAGGACAGCAGTTGGACCGGGTCGAACAGCGGGGCAGTCGAGAGTCACGCAAACAAGACCAGCTTCCGTGTAGCGCCAATCAGCGCCGCCGAAGCTGGTCGGGGAAGCAGAGGCGGTGTTCCGAGGCTACGATTAAGCGCAGCATAGTCCGTTGGCTTTGTGTAACCTGGCAAGGAGTCGAACTGCTGGGCTGTACTGTCCTTTGCCCCAGGCGCAAATGCTGAAGCAAGTCAAAGCTTCATCCACAAGCATGCCGTGCCGTGTCGCCCTTGGCGTGCCGTTCAAGGAGGCCCGCCCCGAAGCCAGCAAGCTGCGTGCTGCATGCCGGACTGGTTGAAAATTCGCCGCAGGGCTTTTGCCAGCTGGCGGGTGGCCAGTGTCTGGATTGATGTACTCGGATACGATCGCTACAGAAACTCGGAAAAGCACCTGGAGGTGGAGATGGTGGCACTTGCAGCAAGATCCGAACGTCGCCAACGCACCGTAACTCTTCCTCAACTGAGCCTACAGACATTCAAAAGAGCGCAAAGGCCGGGTCAAGGTTTGTTGGCTGCAGCCGTCAAAACCACCGTCCACCTCTTACTGCGACTTCATCTAGCCTAGCCAGCTACGCAAGACGCACTGGCTCCCTTCTCATGCAGGCTCGGCCTTTGCGACCGCTTTCATGACGGGGCGACACGGTCGTTGTGAAGATACTCTCTTCCGCTTCCCTACCTTGGTTGGCTCTATGACTAGGTAAGCACTCCGGCAACAAAAGGCTTCCACGCCCAGGGGAGAAGCGGGATCGGCCGGATGTGTTAGTGTCCAGTATCCGTGATCCACGCGAGGGTAGCCGGCGCCACTCGTTTGCGGCTTCGGACTCTCAACCCCATAGCCTGCCTAGTGGCCACGAGCCTGTCCACTCAAGTATTGCCTATGCTCACCAGCTCGGGCTCTAGCCTTCTGCTGCAGCACTGTGTGACTTCACACCCCACAATTTCGCTTAGCAGACTGTTCGAGTTCCACGGTCGAAGATCAAGTTTGGCTGTTGCGTAACCTTTGTGCAAGATCTCCCTACCCACGGGGCATTGCCTAAAGACCCATGTTCGACCGCCCGTCGAAGTGGTCTTGAAACACCGAGCCTGATGCAACGTCAGGCCGTGGTGTGAAACCGCAAACAAAGTCGAAGTCCGCAGGCACTGTTGCGTGATTGAAACCAGCCAAAGCTCTCATCGTGATGCTCGCCGTGATCAAGCTGATCGCTGGTCCTGCAGAGCTTCTGGAAATTGTGTTCGACGGTAGCACGGTCTTGGTTGGGATTTGTCAAATTGGGCCACGTGCTGGCGATGGATCGCAACATTCCTAGATGTACAGGTACCGTCCGTTGAGCTGGTGAGACATTGCTTGTCCTGGTATAGTTACCGGGCTGTCATGGTGCCACGGAATCTATCGCACCCTCCCATAACTGCGATTTCAGCCTCATATGCCACCATCTGTCCAGAGTGAGTCGAGCTCTCCGAGTGACCCCGTCTGTTCATCTGAATATTCTGGTAGACAACAGTACCGACTGTCCGGGTCGGCCAATATCTCACTCAACTCAAAGATACCTTTGCAGAAGTCATAAGCTGCAGTCCAATTCGATCACCGTCGCACGAAAGTCATTCGGAACACACTCTGTCAAACCTCCCACCAAAATTGATTGGCTATGCGTCCTGACATGTTCGTTGCCAACGCACCTTTGCACGAGTGAGGCAGGGGGCGTCGCCCACAGAGAACATTCTCGGCGCTCCACATCCACACACATCGCAGCTGCCGAGGATCAAGGTTCAACGGCCGCTCTCAAGCGGGACATTGACCTAACATGGCCACGAACGCCGATTGTCCCGGAATCTCGGTAATATGCTCATGTTGGGAGATACACAAACCGATATTGGGCACATACGGATTCCCTGTAGCGACACAGCCATCCTCGATTGCACAGAAGTGGCAACAGGATTAGACAGTGCCGTTTCCAAAATTGTCCAGTAGCCCAGCTTCACGAACGAGCTCATAGAATAACCCGCGTCTATTGATGAGCTCCTGTGGAGTGTCAAATTCGGCGACTTTGCCTTGCTGGAGAACCACGATTCGGTCAGAGTCCAAGATGGTGTTGATCCGATGGGCGATTGTGATGATGGTGCGGTTGTCGAACACGGTGCTTCTTAGCGTCGCTTGAAGCAGGGCGTCTGTCTCAACGTCAACGGCAGCTGTCGCTTCATCCAGTACCAGAATGTTGCTCGGTGTCAAAAGAGCTCGTGCAAGGGACACAAGCTGACGTTGACCTTGGCTAAGGTTGGAGCCTGTCATAAGCAAGTATTAGCGTCTTTGCACTCATGCCGGGGCCGAGTCAACATACCTCCTTCATGGATCGCAGCATCTAACTGGCCTGGCATTTCCGATACATGCTGCTTGAGGCGCGCATGGTCTAGCACACTCCACAACTCGGTGTCATCATGAACGTGACGCGGATCTAAGTTGTCTCGGACGGTTCCCTCGAATAGTGCTGCGTCTTGCGGGATGATGGCCAGTCTACGTCGAAGATCGAGAAGCCCAATGGTTGATGTGTTGAGTCCGTCAATACTGCACGGTGTCAGCGGCAGCTCAGATACTTCGGCCGGGCAAGACATACCTAATATTCCCTGAGATTGGCTCGATTATCCTGAACAGGGCCAGAGTGAGTGAGGATTTGCCTGCTCCGGTGCGGCCAACAACCCCAATCTTCTCCTTCGCATTAATGCTCAACGAGATATCGCGGAGCACCGGATCGAGATTCTCCCTATACCTGGTCGAATAGTTCTTGAGTGTGATCTGACCACTGGCCGGCCAGCCTATGTTAGGTCGCTTCTTGAAGATGACGTCTGGTGCTTCGCTTGGGAGGTTCGCATATTCAAGCACGCGTTCTACTGACACAATGTTGGTCTCGACTTCTACGGTCTGTCGGACGATCCAATTCAGGGATTGCGTAATCTGTAGTGCATAGGACATCTGTTCTCTGATTAGCTCGATCATTAATTTGACCTGCTAGCGCTCCACTTACCGCAAGACCAACCATACCCGCGGATAGACCGCTTCCTGTGCTGACCGAGATAATGGCGAAGACGGCCGATGAGAAGATGATGATTGATCCGATGAACTCCAAGCGAACGGCAAGCCATCTATTAGCGCTCACAGACGGGAAATATGCTCGTAGATTCGCATCCATGCGCCATTCATTCTCCAGAGCGAAGCGCCCCTGCTGACGATATGCTCGAATGGTAGAAACGCCACCGAGTGATTCCTGAAAGTGAGCGTAGATCGGACTTCGACTGACGCTATCAAGACGCTTGAGCTCCCGAGACGTTCGAAGGTAATACTTCTGGTAGACGACATAGACAACGCCCAACGGTAGCACAACGACGAGGATGACTGGTGTGGATACTGCAATAACACCGATGGTGAATATCGCTCGACCTGTATTGACGAAGAGCATGTTGAACGTGCGTGCAATGACCTCGTCCACGCGATAGATATCGGATGAGAATCGGTTCAAGACACGTCCAATGGGTGTTGTGTCAAAGAAGCTCATTGGTGATCGGAAGATCGCATAGGCCATGCGATCATGGAGTTTGCGAGATGCCTCAATAGAGCAGAAGATCCAGAGCAGCAGGGTCTGGATCACAACAAGTCCTGCTGCTCCAATGCCAAACGCAAAATAGACCCCAATGTATTTGCCCACTTCAGGGTTGATTCCAGTCCTCTCGTTGATCTCGGACCAACGTTTCAGCCAGAAGCTGCCGCCGATCTGGGCAGTCTGGGCTGCGACCAGAGCGACGAAATAGATCCCGACGGCGACGAGATTGCTCTCTTTCGCATAGGTTGTGTAAACAGACCATTTGACCTTGCCCTGCTCCTGCGTCTCCTTGTTTTGCTTGGTTTTCAGACCTTGCTCCTCGTCAGTGACTGCGCCCATCGGCCCATGAAAGCTGACTGTAGACGCGCGTCGGAGAGTAGCATAGCTGGACTTTCGGCCAGCAGTCGAGGGACCAGACGGTCCTGGGCGTATAGGAGCCAGACCGCCGACTTCTTGTCGAGCTTCTTCAGCCTCTTCGGGATCTAATTCGTCTTGAAAAGCTGTCGAATCATCGCTGTCCATGCCTTCAATGCTTGGGCTCTTTTCGGCCTCGGAGCCGCCATGTTCGCCCTCATCCGAGACGGCAGACTTGATGATATTAGAGACTTCGCCACGCATAGCTATGAGTTGCTTGTATGTGCCTTTTTCGAGAATCGACTGATTTCTGAGCAGGTAGATGTAATCGGCTTCTTTCAGCACAGTGATGGCGTTGGTGGCAAGAATCCTGGCTTTACCGGACAAGAGACCGTTAGGGCCCAAGACATTGTTGATGATGTGTCGCCCAACATGCTGATCAACCGCCGACAGCACGTCATCGAGAAGGTATATATCCGCTCTCGCGTAGACTGCTCTTGCGAGTGTCAGGCGCGCCTTTTGACCGCCCGACAGACTTATGCCACGCTCTCCCACTTCCGTCTGGTCACCATCAGGGAGTTGCTTGAAATCATCTGTCAAAGCGCACGCGCTGACGGTTTGATTGTAAAAATGAGGATCCCAACGATGACCAAAAACGATGTTCTCTTTGACCGACGCATTCATGACCCACGGCTGCTGTGCAACGTATGCAAGTCGACCACGAACAACCACTTCGCCATTGATCTTCCAGAGGTCGCCGAGAATCGATTGAAGGAGAGACGACTTGCCGTCGCCGACCCGACCAACGACCGCGGTGAGCTCACTTTTGTTCGCTTTGAAATTGATGTTCTGCAGAACGTTCTTGTCTTGATTCTTATCCCTGTAGCTGTTAGCGGAGCTCTTTAAAATAGCGTAAATTGGGATGAAAGACCTACCACGTGAATGTGGCCTCACGAATGGAGACAGACTCCTCGCCTGCTTGCTCAGCAGGTTGATCGATGAACCGCACCGCATTCTCCTGTAATTCATCGGCCGTAAAGAAAGCCGTGAGGCGGCCCACTGCGACAGTAGCCTCGATGATACTAGTGATGACCATGGGCAAGATGGTGAGGGGAAAAGTAAGGAGGTTGAACAGTGTCAGCGCCGGGAAAACGAGGTCGGTAGTCAGAGGCTGCTTATTGACAAGAACAAACACTGCAAAGGTGGAGCAGGAGACGAAGAAGGGCGTTGAGCTCCACGTGAAAGTGGCAAAAGACTGGGCAGCACCAATCTTGCGCAGGTTATTGAGCTCCTGGTCGTTCCGTACATGGCTCAGCTTGTCCATGAAGGCCGAGCCCCAGGCGTACAACTTGATGCTCTTCATGTTGTTCAAGATTTCTGTCATGAGACGCGCACGACTATCCTTGTACTTCATCTGTGACAACTGCAGCCTCTTCATGAATCGAGCAATGAAGGCATTGATAGGCACCATGAGTACCATTGCGGCGACACCCGCAAAGCAAGCCACTCCGACCAGCTTGTAGAGGGAGATCATGCAGAGCGCAATCTGGAAAGGGGCCGACCACAACTGCTGACCCCACTGACACAGATCCGACAAACGCTGTTGGTCGACACTCATGTACGTGACGATGTCGCCAGTTGACTTTGTAGCGCGGGATTCGTTCGACAGTTTTAGAGATTTTGAGTAAATCATTGAAGTGAGGGATGCCTTAACTCTCATGCCCGTCTCAAAAGCTCTCTGGAAGTACTGATGGAGGGCCGCTGTCTGGCAGACAGAGGTTGCAAACATTGCAAGGGCGATTGCAACGCCTCTGATAGCTGGTTGGGGTACGTTGCCATGTCGATACGAGTCCACAAACTTGATAAGTAGCCGCAGTAACTGTGGCTGGATGAAAGCTAGAGAATCGCTGACCGTCTTGATAAGGGCTCCTCTTAGGTACGGCCCACCGAAGGCTCGCCCGAGAGCAATCCAGAGACTGGGCTTCTTCTTCTCGAGCTCGAGCTCCCATGCTCGTTGTAGCAGATCACCCGTGACTTTGGTGGTATCTCTCTGACGCAGATTCCATAAGTCATCTGCCGTCAAGAAGTTCTTGTACCCAAAGCGCATCATTGGAGTCATCCAGCCAAAAGTAAGAATGGAGAATATGTCGGCATATTCCATCGGACACTCATCCTCAGCGCCCAGGGCGTCGTATACGCTTTGTTTCTTAGGAACGAAGTATTCGAGAATGAACTCAACAATACCTAGACCAAGGCCGACGGTGAATATGATGAAGAAGGGTAGGCGGTCTCGGAAGGCATCTCTTGCAATGAGTGACCTGAGTTTAACTCCATGGGCAATGACGAAGAACACCCAGAAGAACAATACGACACCATTTGGATTCCTTGCTCTCGAATGCTCGGAGTATTGCACTGCGAATATAACGCCCAATGATCCCAGCAAGAGAATTGGAGCATAGAATCTTATATCGTTCATCCATACTTTCGGGAGTTGCTCGATTTGTAGCGCGGCTTGAAGGGCGGTGGTTACGGCAATGCAGACAATGACTGAGCTGCGAAACATGTTAGAGTTGCCAGCATTGGAAGGGCTTCAGACGTACAGTTTCACGTAGAAGTGCCAGTTCTTAGGTACCTCTTGCGGTATTCTTTTCTTCAGTAGATACCACACAGCGCCGACTCCAAACACGATTCCCCATGCTGCCGCAAACACTATCCAAATGTCGAGGAAGCAAGGAGTGAAATCGTAACGAATGTTGCTGATAGGGCCCCATCCCTCCGGATTGCCGCAGAGCGGTGGGTGATTCCTGGTCTGTACGTCGAAGACGCTTGGGAGCTTCCCCAATCGACTCGGTGTCGTCAAAGGTACCTGTACAGCCCCCATCTCCCCCACTATTGATAAGATGAACGGTCCGAAAGCTTCAGCATGCGTGCTGATCGGGAGGACAATGATTAACGATGATCCAAGCTACTTGAAGGCTACAACGACCATGACGCCGCGCTACGCTCGAGCCACGCCTAAGTTCGCCGCCGGCGAAAAACTTCACCTCGGACTTTAGGTAAATAGTTCCTGCGGAGCCCCGCCGCTGATTAATCGGGAAGCCCTCGTCATGATGGATTCGTAGGCGACCCACCTGCCACTTTAGGCGGTGCATCAGGCAGTGAATGAGCTGTCACCCACTTATGGTAAAGCTGAGAAGCCTGTCGCCATAACCATAGCATTCAGAACTTCAAGTATCGATGATACGTCCACTGTGATGCTCGATGGCTCTTCAATGTTAAAATCTAGTGCCCATGTGCTTCTAATGGCTATCATCACATACAAGCCTAAACGAAGTTCTCCTTGGATATGTGAACCACAAGCCCGACCTTAGCCTGATATCAACACTGGTGTTGTTTCAGAAGACTTCCGGATCCTTCCATGAGTATGTGTGCCCTCTGCTTCGTTCAGTTTCCCAACCACTATCAGAGTCGCTCACCGACTGCTCATTACGGTGCTGGTCAGCTATCCCATTTTCGGTGGGCTCCGCATGGTGGTAATCCTTGCGCTGGAGCGCTGCGGGTACCTGAGGAAGCACAATGCCCTACGCAGAGGGGTTGTACGTCGACGTGGCCCGAGCGAACTGCGCTTCAGCCTCGTGCTTCTGGCATGCCGGACTTGAAGCATCAGGGAAGGGTGCTAGAACACGAGCGGATTCGGCGAGGGTTAGATCCGAGCGGACTGGACCAACATCCTGCTTACGCTCGTTTTGGGCATCAGCGGTGACTTGTTCTCTTAGTGCCTCCAAATCAGAAGGTCCTGCACTCAGGTAGGCCCCACGAACACGGTCGTATGCGGTTGCCCCTGCTTCAGCTTCTCGCTGCAGGAAGGCCTGTTGCTGCTCTTCCGACAAATTCTTCCACACGGGTCTGAGAGGCATCTCCAGCCAAGTTCCTCTCAGCTCTTGAGCAAAGTGCGCTTCGAGGACATCAGATCGCGCTTTGTACCAGTCGCGCTGTTCAACATAGCTTCCGACGCTCTCAACCTCTGCAGCTGCCCAATCTCGCATCATAACGCCATCCCTTTTCGTGGCCTCAAGTTGTGCCTGCTGATCAAGAACCATGTGCTCATAGAATTTCACCTGGTCGCGACAGGTTCCGTAGAAAATGTGCTCCTGTTCTCCGAAGGCTTTCGATTCGCAATGAGCCTTCCAATAGTCTCAATCCTCGACGAGACCTGAAACTTTGCTGGTGGCCTCATCGAGTTCTCCGCGGGCGCTACTGAGCTCCAGAGCTTGCTTGAGATCCCCAGACTCACGAGACAGCAGCACCTTCTTCTGCTCGTCCACTTCGGTCCGTAGCGCTAGAATGTTGTCATTGTGCTGGCGCCGCTTCAATACCGCCTGCTCCTTTAGCTCGGATACTTCGCGCATCAACGACCCCAACATCTCAGCTGAGGTTTTGGCTTCAGTCATTTTGTTGATTAGCACCTCGACGGCGTCGGTGATTGTCTGATTGGAAGATGCAAGCTTCAACATGGCGAAGAGGTCCTTGACGGCAGAGGCATGCTCTTGAGCGAGATCGGCGCTGCTGTCAGCCTGTTGCAGTTGTTCGACCTGCTCACGAAGCAATTGAATATCTTCACGCAGCATCTCAGAATCTTTTTTGTGGTGCTGCGCGAGATCGAAAGCCTTGATGTAACGATCCCGCTCTAGTCCATGGTTTCTCTGGGACTGCACAAGAGCCAGCTGAATCTCTCTCATCAGAAACTGTCGCAAGCTGTTCTGAAGTGGCATTGAGGTCTGCAGATAACGATTCCTTCTCCTGAATGAGGGCCCCAGTGATCTCTAGAGCACCTGCAAGAGCTGTAGAGTCTTTCACCTTCTCGGCCAAGAGAGCGTCGTATAGCTCTCTTGCCATTGCCTCGTCGTCCTTCGCCGCCTTGCCTTGTTTGAGAGCCGTGTTCAAGTCGCTTTGCAGTTCCGCAGACCTGGCAATTTCTACACGGAGCTTCTCTGGAGATTTCGTCACCAGTCCAAGAGCTTTGTCGGTGCTCTCCTGCCATGATAGAGTTTCCGCGACAAGGTTTTCATCCTTCTCAATGTAGAACTTCACAAGCTTGCGAGCTCTCTGGAGCTCCCTCTGCTGCCCATTGTTGCAGTGACGCAGCATACGCAGCCGGTCGTCTCTGTCGCGCACCATCTCCAATAGAGAAGCACCTTCTCGACCAATTATTGTGTCTGGAGAGGATTCCAAAGAACTGCTGGCAAGCTCTGGAAATTCGGCTTGCGGTTCATCTTGCAATTCGTTGAAGAAGGCGGAGCTGGCTTCATCGTAGTCGGTCTCTGAAGATGAGCTATTCGATGCCTTTGCTGATAACAGGCCAGCATCTCTAACCGCGGTGTTGCTGACGGGGCGAGTGATGCGTTTGGGAGTCTCGAAAGTCCGTCCAATGAGGTCACGAATAGCTGACACCTCGAAGGGGTGATGAGTTGGTGCAGGGTCTTCCTCAATGACAAGTCTCTGGCTGGGCTTGGCCTTGGATATCACTGAGTCCTTCTTGTTCTTGTGGAAGGCTTTACCAATAGAATTCATTGCAGATTTAGCGCATTTCTTCGTGGTATTGACGGCGATGTCCGATGCTTTCGTCAGTTCATGGCGCACAGCAATGATGCGGGTGTTCAGCAGAGGCCCTGCAGTGACTAGATTGTTTTTGCCTCCACAAGCGAAGATCTGGCGACTTGCGTTAGTAGAGAACAGGAGAGGAGGGCGGCAGAAAAACTGACTTTTCAAACATGGTAGATCCTTATCGATGAGCAATCTCGTATCTTGACATTTGTCTGGCTGTTAAACAGCCCTCGTGAAGTGGCTCTACTTGATTCTTGTTAGAAGGTTTTGTGCTGAATTGTACCGATGTCGATGTCGAGAGATCCGCAGAGCTGAAAGACAGAGTTTGATGTTGAACATCATCTGGAAGAACATGTCCACGACACGCGACCGCGCGGACTTGTCACCACTTTCACCACTGTCTCTCGGGTAACAGGCACGAGGTTTATCACGGCAAAGACACGCGTGGCAGTAAGTTCGGGTAACAGCGGTCTGCTACTGCCTCTTGCCAGAGCTGTCACCATCGATCCGTCTGCAGCCCCATGCACGCTTGGAATTCATTAGCTATGGGCAGCTCTGAGTATGAGTGATTTCGCCGACCCAACTCATCAATACTAGTAAAGGTAGCTGCATGCCAAAGCTGGCACTGCAGCATCCGGGTATCAGTATAGAGACATCTTCGACTCTGTGCGGAATGAAGAGCCCTTGTTGCAGTCTTAGCCACTGTTGATCTTAGGTCATACTTCAGCCTTTGCCAGACCAAGGCTCAGGGCGAAGAACTAAAAGAGACTGGCGAACGTGGTCCATCATCTAGCTGGTACGAGGAAGACCATCCATCACTTCCGGGCTCCATCTCGCTCAGGTGAGCAGACGACAAGATGACGGCAGGCACGAAATCTCACACCTACCGAGTCCAGAAGGCAGGTGAAATAATCGAATGATCGCAGAGTATCAAGCTGTCCAGTAAATCGTTCACGGAAGCATTGGACGTGCCCTAGGGTGGACCGGAGGCACCGTACGTTGCTTCCCCACAGCTTTTGCTTGGCGACACCCACGGCTACCACGCTGTCCTTCCAAGCTGTCCGCGAAGATTCGCGCAGTTAAGTTAAGGAGTTGGCACTGTCAACTTCACCTCCTCCGTTCACCTACAACTTCTCTCGTACCTCATCCCCTCCTTTCGCTACTGAGGATATTTCCTGTTCGATACAGAGAAGACCTCGTTCGCACCTGCAATCATGTCTGGCTGTACGCATATCCTTCCCGTTCGCGTGCCTTTCGACTAATTGCGCCAACAGTACGGTTTCTCGATCTCATCAAACCCTTCACGCCCCTCCTCCCTGAGGTGGCCGCTCCCGAGTCAAAGATCAACTTCAACCAGAAGTTGATGTGGACAGGAGTAAGAATAGCCATGAGCGACGTACAGAACGTTGTTAACACGACAACAGTGCACTCTCCTCATCTTCCTAGTCATGAGCCAGATGCCCCTCTACGGCATCGTGTCCTCCGACACTTCAGATCCTATCTACTGGCTACGTATGATGTTGGCCAGTAACAGAGGAACATTGATGGAGCTTGGGACAACACCTATCATTTCCTCTGGCATGGTTTTCCAGGTATGCTATGCGCCCAAAGCATCATGTGCGTAACTAACCGTGGCAGCTTCTTGCCGGTACCCACCTTATCGATGTCAACCTCGACCTTAAATCCGATCGTGAGCTCTACCAAACCGCCCAGAAGCTCTTCGCCATTATCCTCTCCTTCGGTCAAGCCTGCGTCTTCGTCCTTACCGGTCTCTACGGCCAGCCCAGCGATCTGGGTGCTGGCATCTGCTTGCTCTTGATTGTCCAGCTGGTTTTGGCTGGACTGGTTGTCATTCTTCTGGACGAGTTGCTGCAGAAGGGCTATGGCCTCGGGTCTGGCATCTCCCTCTTCATTGCCACCAACATCTGCGAGTCTATCATCTGGAAGGCTTTCTCCCCCACAACAATTGATACTGGTCGCGGCAAGGAATTTGAGGGCGCGGTCATTGCGCTCTTCCACCTACTGGTCACCTGGCCTGACAAGACCCGTGCCCTGCGTGAGGCCTTCTACCGCCAGCATCTACCCAACGTTATGAATCTCCTGGCCACCCTCACTGTCTTTGCTGCGGTCATCTACCTTCAAGGCTTCCGGGTCGAGATCCCAGTCAAGTCATCCCGCCAACGTGGCATGCGTGGCTCATATCCCGTCCGCCTCTTCTACACCTCCAACATGCCTATCATGCTGCAATCCGCCCTAGCATCCAACATCTTCATGATCAGCCAGATGCTTTACACCCGCTTCTCCGATAACCTCCTTGTTAAGCTCATCGGTACATGGGAGCCTCGTGAGGGCTCTTCCCAGCTCTATGCATCCGGCGGTATTGCGTACTACATGTCTCCTCCCCTCAACTTCGCCGACGCTCTTCTCGACCCCATCCACACCGTCATCTACATCACTTTCATTGTTGTTGCCTGCGCCCTCTTTTCCAAAACCTGGATCGAGGTTTCCGGCTCCGCTCCTCGTGACGTTGCCAAGCAACTCAAGGATCAGGGTCTCGTCATGGCTGGTCACCGTGAACAGAGCATGTATAAGGAGCTGAAGCGGGTTATTCCCACTGCTGCCGCATTTGGTGGTGCTTGCATTGGTGCTCTGTCCGTTGCTAGCGACATGCTCGGTGCTCTTGGAAGTGGCACTGGTATCCTGCTCGCTGTCACCATCATTTATGGTTACTTCGAAATCGCCGCTAAAGAAGGCGATTTCGGAGGGAACTTGAAAGGCCTCGTGGCCTAAGAAAGAGCTCGATGAGAGTTCTAATTCTTATTGAACACCTTGGTATGAGGTGCTTGGCTGCGCTATGCGGACCATCTGATACAAAAACGAAAAATCCATGTACAATATAGTGATGACCTGTGTAGCATCCCCAACAGCTATAATGCGAGGAGACATCCGATCGCTCGCAGTCAATAAGAACATTTGGTCTCGCGTGTGTTTCATCTACGTCCGATAGTCCCCATTGATTGTGACATACTCGTGGCTAAAGTCACATGTCCACACCGTTGCCTCTTCCGAGCCTGTTCCCAGATCGATGACAACTTCCAAATCCTCATCCTCTAGGAGCCTCGCCGCGCGCGCCTCGTCCACCGTCTGCGGCTCGCCATCCACCAAGAGCTTCAGCACCCCTTGGTCCTTGGTCGCACTATTGGCCGTGGGCACGAAGCTCACATTCGTTTTCTCCGGCACAACTGCCCCATCTGAGATCCCCGCCGTGTAACCAATCGCGCACAAGATTCGGCCCCAGTTCGCATCCTTGCCATACAATGCTGTCTTGACTAGGGGTGAGCGTGCAATAGAGCTCGCGATCTTGTGTGCGTCGTCGTATGAAGAGGCGTTGCGCACGGAGAGCTGCACGAATTTAGTGGCGCCCTCGCCGTCACGAACAACGAGCTGTGCTAGGTGCTGCGCGAATGATGTAAGTGTGGCAGCAAAAGCGGCGTAGTCGGCAGAGGCGGGGTCCGAAATGGGCTTGACAGAAGAGGGGGCGCCAGCACCATTGGCCAGGATGGCAACCGTGTCGTTGGTGGAAGTGTCGCCGTCGATGGAGATGGAATTGAAGGATCTGCCGACGGCGCTGGTAAGAAGCGAGTGTAGGGCCGGGGCTGCGATCGGAGCATCGGTCGCGAGAATACCGAGGAGGGTGGCCATGTTGGGGTGGATCATGCCGGCGCCTTTGGACATGCCAGCAAGGGAGTAGGTAGTGCTGGCGTCGGAGGGAAGAGTGAAGGTCGTAGAGGCGAGCTTTGGGAATGTGTCCGTGGTCATGATGGCACGAGCAGTGTTCATCCACGCTTGGTGACTTGAGTCAAGCGCAGAATTGGCCTTCGGAATGCCGGCGAGAATCTTGTCGATGGGGAGCCGTTGGCCTATTACTCCAGTGGACATGACAAGGCTACTGGGCGAAGCGTCAGTCTCGCCAAGTACCGCTGTGGCGGCCTCGGCCATCTTGTTGGCGTCTTCGACACCGCCATTGCCAGTGACTGCATTGGCGCAACCGGAATTGATGATGACACTTCGGATACCAGCACCATTGCGAGATTCGAGGACTTTTCGCGAGACTTGGACGGGAGCAGCTTGGAACTTGTTGGTGGTGAACACAGCAGCACCGTTGGCTGGTCGGTCCGACGTTATAAACGCAATGTCAGGTTTAGACTTGTTGGAGGGTTTGACGCCAACGTGCACACCGGAGACAGAGAATCCTTTGGGATAGGTACCTGAGCTGGGCACATATTTCTGCTTCGCATGAGGAATTGACCCCTCTGTTGGTGCAGAGTACGACCGAGTGAAAGTTCGGGCAAAATTCCGGACGGTTAACTTCGCCAGTGAGGACATGGTATCGAACGTTGAGTCCTTCGACTCGTATGCGCTGGAAAGACGAGCTATAAAAGTACTGGATCAACGTCGTGACTCACATTTGAAGCTGCTCGATATAGCTAGAATTAGCGCCTTGACGGTACCACAGGCGCTGCGAGCAATGCTCAAGATCCGCTGACTGTCCCGAAGCCCAACAACTCGCACCCTTTTAGTGACCTCCAGGTGACTTTGGCATCCCCACGAAGGTGAAGCTCGTGGAGGACGAATTCTTCAGCCTCGTAGCCTTGTAAGCATAATGACCAATTACACGTCATCATTTGCGGAGGTCACCACAATCCGATACGCGTCGCGCCAGGACAGAAGTTATCCTGTCTGCCGGAAAGTTTCACCGCAGGTGTATTGAGTCCAGTGGAGGTTCTGTACTTACTTTACATGGCGAAACGCCAGCAAGATGATGCAGTTTCAACGCCTTCAAAGCGACTGCGGCGGCCTACACCGAAGAAAGCCTACGTGGAGGACTCGGACCCCGACTCAAATGATCTGTCCACGGACGAAAATGCCACGCCATCAAAGCGAACAGTAGCCAGGAAGACCGGCGATAGCGCAACTCCCCGACCGAACGGGACTACCTTGTTCGCCACTCCGTCAGGGGGAACAATCCAGACACCCTCGAAAGCGAGACGTGCCGACCAGTCTGCTAAACGCAAGAGTGCCCGCGCTCTGGCCGACGTCCAGGATGAGGATGACTGGGAGGGGAATAATGCACTTGCGAGAGAGATTCTGAATGACGAGCGGGCAGAAGCAAGACAATCAGTCGAAGCTGGGGATACCACACCCGCTGCAACACCCTCCAAACGTGGTCGAGGACGACCTCCTGGAGCCAAGAACAAAAGATCTCCCACTCCGGAAGGTGACATAGCGCCGGAGGAGCGATACTTCTTCCAAAATCGAATGGGCCCGCTGAGAATATCAAATAATGCCTTTTCAAAGGTCAAACCGCTGACTCATGAAGAGTATTTCGAGAACACGAGACAACTCGGGGAAAGTCATAAAGTCGAGAAGGAGTTCCTCATGAAATTGCACGCCCGGGCATTTACACAATGGGATCTGGAGCTATCTGAGGGCTACAGTGTCTGCTTATATGGCTATGGCAGCAAGGCTGTATTGGTCAACAGGTTCGCGACTTGGCTCTATAACCATTCTAGTCCACGAGCACGAATTGTTGTGGTCAACGGCTATGCTCCAAAGCTCAATATCAGGACCATTCTGAACACCATCGGCTCAGCAATAGTGGGCAATGAAAAAGATCTGAAGCTCACAGGCCAACCGCAGGATATGCTGGAGACGCTATTCGAGCGCCTCGAAGAAGCCGCCCCTGAGGGACCACTTTACGTCCTGGTAAATTCTATCGACTCACCCTCGCTTCGCAAGTCAAGCACTCAGGCCGTTCTGGCACGGCTGGCAAGTCATCGCCTAGTCCGCCTGGTCGGAACAGCCGATTCGCCCACTCTACCTTTGCTCTGGAATTCAACGTTACTGGACAAATACAACTTCGTTTTTCACGACTGCACGACTTTTGCGCCCTACAAGGTGGAGCTTAGCGTCGTTGACGATGTCAACGAACTTCTTGGCCGCAAAGGCCGGCGAGCAGGTGGCCAGGAAGGTATCAAATACGTGCTGCAATCTTTGCCTCCCAATGCTCAGAAGCTCTATCATATTCTCATCAGCGAAATTCTGTCTATACTTGCCGGAGACTTTGATGCCGAGGAAGAGGACGACGTTGGTGGGTCCCGAGGCAAGCCTATGCAGGATCTGGCCGAAGAGACTGGCGTTGAGTATAGGCTACTGTACGACAAGGCCTGTGACGCTTTCATCTGTACGAGTGAAATGAACTTCAGGTTCTTGCTGAAAGAGTTCCACGACCACCAGATGATCACGAGCAAAAGAGACGCGGCGGGAACCGAAATGATGTGTGTGCCCTTGGGTAGGGAAGAAATGCAGGGGTTGTTGCAAGATCTGGTTTCTCTAGACTAGTTCACCGCCAACGCCCTGTACACCAAGAGATATCACCATCGAACTTTTTTCAATTGCAATTACCAACCCCGACCAGCCAGCTTCTCCTGAGGAGCCATGGTGCCGCAGTTGATCCCCACCATGGCCTCGCCAAGACCTTCGCTGCAGTCGGCAAGAACTTTGGGGTCCTGAAAATGGGTGGTGGCCCTCACAATAGCCTTGGCTCGAGCGGCGGCATTGCCAGATTTGAAGATTCCACTGCCAACGAAGACACCGTCGCAACCAAGCTGCATCATGAGAGCAGCATCGGCAGGGGTAGCAATACCGCCAGCAGCGAAGTTGACAACGGGTAGTCTACCCAGCTCGGCCGTCTGCTTCAGAAGGTTGGGATCGACCTCGAACTCGCGAGCCAGAGCGCGAAGAGCACCCTCACCTTCCCGGAGGGCTCCTTGAGCACGGGCAATGTCAAGCTTAACTGTGCGCATGTGCTTGACGGCCTCAACGACATCGCCAGTACCAGCCTCGCCCTTGGTTCGGATCATGGCTGCACCCTCAGCGATTCTTCGTAGGGCTTCACCAAGATTTCGGCACCCGCAGACGAAGGGTACCTTGAAATCAGCCTTCTCGACGTGGAATTTATCGTCCGCAGGAGTCAAGACCTCGCTCTCGTCCACATAATCAACTCCCAGTGCCTCGAGTATTTGGCATTCGACGAAGTGTCCTATTCTTGCCTTGGCCATGACGGGGATGGTGACAGCGGATTGAATCTCTTTGATCAACTTGGGGTCCGACATGCGAGCAACGCCACCGTCCTTGCGGATGTCGGCAGGAACTCGTTCGAGGGCCATGACGGCGCAGGCACCGGCTTCTTCGGCGATGCGAGCTTGCTCGGCGTTGACGACATCCATGATGACGCCGCCCTTGAGCATTTGAGCGAGACCGGCTTTGACGGTGAAGGTGGTGGCGGAGGGGCCATCATTGCCATTAGAGAGAGTGGTAGTGGCCATGCCGTTATCGTTCATAACCATGTTTGCGGTATTGTAGGAAGAGGAGCGCAACAAGAGGAATGATGAGGTTTGTAAATATGTACTGAGTCGGTAGCTCTTATGAGTCAAAGATGGGTGCTGACCAAAAGAAAGGCACGGATACCGTCGGTTCACGAGAATTAACGGAGTAAAGCGTCTTTAGCGTGTTTGCGGTCTACAAGGAGAAAAGAAATACGACTGTCAAGGAAGCGCCCTGCGCCTTAGTACAGAAAAACTGCGAGCGTCGGAGGCTGAGGCGTGAGCTAGAAGTTTCCCAGCCGCGGTGTCAGTCATGGTAACAGGAGGGTTTGCCGCGGGGCATTCTTTCCACCTCCCCCCAAATCAATGATTTCAAGCTCGACTTTTTTTTGTGGATCGGCCTTCTGGAAGCCTTCGAGACCGCATCACCGAGCGTGTCCGGCCCGGGCTCGGCACAAGGACTGAGCACGTGACCACAATGACTAGCTACCGCATTTCTGGCTAGCGGTTAATCATCAGGACCCTGAATCGTCTGTGCCCCGTTGCAACTCCGTCCTCTGGAGCGGAATGGAGCCTGGACCCCTGCCTTGGCCGCCATTTTGGTTTCGGGCAAGGATATGCTTCCCTCAACCATGTCCCCTGCTCACGATCATTCCTCCCTTGTTTGTCTAACACTCAGCACTCCTTTTGTTCTCAATAGTCCACTACTGCTGGACAGTGTGACTACACATCAGATCCTTACGTTATGACGCGCCTGCTGAGACTGGCCTGACAACTCATGTAATCGCTTATTGCTCTGCGGGGCAGCTGGATCGTTGAGACACGTGCATGCGCTGGTCCGAACATTTGATATCGTCCCAACCTCTACGCGCCCGTCGATCACTCGAATGCCCAACATGACTATAGATGCCTGCGAGACTAAGGGCAGCTCAGCTGTTGCTCGCCTGTCATTGTCCGACCTGCCTGAGGACTGTTTCCTCCCAATCCTCGAATACCTCCAGATCTACGATGTTGCACGGTGTCAGTTGGTTTCAAGAGCATGGAGATCTGCCTTCACCAATCCACTGTATATGGAAATGGTCTTGAAGATGTATGGTAACGCACGCGAACTCCAACAAGTAGACCGCGCCCGAGGTGACGACGAGATTGCCCGCATTTTCAGCCGCCTAGCCTCCCGCTACTACCACCTTGCTCACGGCAAGATTCGGACCATCGATAGGTACAAGATAGCCGCTTCAGAGCAGAGGGGTGACTTCGTTCCTGTCGGTCAATGGGATTACCACGAGTCCCAGCCGGGAGGCCGCTTGTATTTCGAGAATGCCGCTACTCATCTGTCGCGCCTCAATATGGCTGCGAAGCCCTACCTATTCCGCAGCACATTGTGGTCATACGACGATGGACTCCTGGTCTACGCCCCCGAGCAGCTACCTCCCGATTCCCCTCGCACTCAAATCCTAGCCCTGCTCGACCTGTCCACCGGCTTCCATTTCTCTGTGCCTTTCGATATCACCAGTAAAATCATCCGCAACGTGCGACTCTCCTGCCATACCTTGATCGTCGAGTGGGCAGAACGCGATCCCTTCCATTCTCTGAACGATATGGAACAGGTCAATCGCCACTTCGCTTCATGTTACGATGTCATCGCATCTGCCTCAAAACCAACGCTTTACAGTGTGGTCCATCGAAATGAGTTCAAATTGCACTTCCTCGGTCTACCCCTCCTTTCAAGCCGTGATCGCTTCTTCAGTACTCATACACAGCATCACTACGCAATATACTTCTGGCAGCCCAATCGATCCATGTATACAGGGGATGAGGAACTCCCAATAGAATCCCTCTTTGTCTGGGATATATCAGCCGCCTCACAGTACCGTCCCTCCTTGGATCCTTCAGGGTCCAATCGACCAATGGACGCCCGCAAAGGACCTCATATTGTTGCCCGGTTCCCCTTCAACGAGCTTGAATTTCTCGGTATTCGGCAGCACTCACAGATTCGGTTGATGAGTCTGCACCTTGATAGCGCCACAAAATCTCTGACGTGGCGTGAGAACATCTGTGAAGCAGGTCAGGGGTATTTCGATCCTGCGGGACGATGGTGGACTGCAAGATCAACCACCTTTCCTTTTGTTGGTGCCGGTCCTCATCATGTGGTTGAAGGTCACGAGAATCTACCACCGTATCGAGGGCATGCCAGCATGGAGAGTGCTTCGTTGGAGGATGGCGAGGTCGAAAAGTGGTTCGTCCCAATCATGGACGTGGTGGACCCAAAGACTCAAGTTCGATTGAGTTTAGTCGAGACATGCTTCACAGGATGGATGATGGAGAACCGTCTTGTCATGAGAATTGGAGCACCGTGGATGCATGAGGGTGACGCACAAATGGAGGGAGGTGACGTGTCCTACGTGGTGCTAAAGAATGATGTTGCTACACGTGGGATCTCAGCTATGGGGAGGATTGCTGGGGATGAGCGATGGCTGTTGGGTCAGAATGAGCGGATGGAGATTTCCGTCCTCCGATTTTGAATGACTTTTCTAGATTGTGACCATATTTGTGATACCCAGGTGGAAACCAGATAGAATATTCATTTTTCGGCTCAAACTAGCTCTGTCGTGACTTGCGAATGCATCCATACCTACCTACCTAGGATGCCAATTGGGCCAGGTTGAGACGAATTGCTTGACCAGGTGCGACCATTGATCGTGTTCCCGAGGCCACCCAATAATTTACCGCGTATAAAGTTTTACAACTTAAGAAATGGACATCAAGAAGTCTTACCCTCTTTCTCCAGCTGGCGAGCACAACAATCAACCTTCCAAGATAGCATTGAGCGTGGCGTTATACGCCGGCTTCTTCTGGTAGTTCTCATCCCAGAGCAGCGCAGCACCTTCACCAGGGAAGACACCAGGAATCCACGAATACGAATCGACCACTCCCTGTAAGAATTGTTAGCCACCTTCCAAGACCATTTGTACTTGGATACCCACCCAGACGGTGATACCGATACACCTCGCCACATTCAAGCAAGCTCCCACGACCCTCGAGTACGCGTCCGCCTGTGTCTGCAGCTTCTCTGCTGTGGCCGGGGTGTTCATTCGGAGATCCAGCTCCGTGTACGCCACATCGACGGCCAAGTCGGCCACACTCTGTAGCGTAGCCGTTAACTCGGCCTCGGAAGGCGCGGGGCCGGGTGACGTAGGCGTGGCCTCGGACGATAGATGGGCCTGGAAGCCAACGCCGTCGATGTGCGCGCCGTACCGACGGACCAGGTTGACGATTCGGATGGCACCGGCTGTTTTGTTGCCGCCGTACTCGAGGTTGTAGTCGTTGTAGAACAGCTTTGCCTGTGGGTCCACCTTGTGCGCAGTGGCGAAGGCGATGGGAATGTACGCTTCGCCGATCGTGGTGTACCATACGGACTCGCGGTAGGTGCCGTTCTCGTTGAGGGCTGTGGGGCGTCAGTACCTAGCAACTCGATGACGGATGAACGCGTTAGCTTACCTTCGTTGACAACATCCCAGCGCGTGCACTTGCCCTTGTATCGGCCAGCCACGGCGCGAATGTGATCCTTCATCACCTCAATTAGGGTAGCATTGTCAAAGTTGCCCGCTTCGACCCAGGGCGCGAGCTGGCTGTGCCACACTAGAGTGTGGCAGTGGATCTCCTGACCATTGGAGTCGGCGAAGGCAACGACGGCATCCGCATCAGCAAAGGTGAAGTTGCCTTGTTCCGGTTCGGTGGACTCCCACTTCATGGCATTTTCAGGCGTAACAGAGCCGAAGTCCAGCGTGTTGGAGATGATGCCTTGTTCGATGGTGTCATTGCGGATGGTGAGCGCTGTGCCAAACCATTCGCGGCCCTTGGACTTCATGGCGACATTGAGGCCCGTCTGCGGCGAGGTGCCATTACCTGGTCCGCCAGGACCTCCTGGAGGCGATGGGGGGGTATGACCGCCAGTCGGACCTGGTTTGGGTCCACCAGGAGGCGGTGGAGGCCCTCCCTTCGGCGGAGCGGGCGGCTGGACGCCGTGACCAGGTGTAGGCTTCGAGGTCTCGGCCCAGACTGGGCTAGCAGCGCCCATGCTGGACAAGGCCAACAGGGCGGTAGATAGGGCAGTGAAATGCATTGTGCAAGGGGAGGTGGTCGAAGCGAATGTAAAGAGCGACTGTCGATGGACAAGTTAGTCCGAGTAGATGGGCCTCTTGAACCATCTTATAGCATCTGCCATCCATCACGACACACGTGGCGTTCTGCCCATGTTGTTTGATCTCGCCAAGCTGCACCCATTCTGCCGTCTACATGGACCACATCGTGGTCCAACCCGTCGCCACGCGTAGGTACCACTACACAGTGTGCAGATTTGGGGCCAATTCAGCCTGAAAGCCAGCCAAGACTGTATCTGTGCATGACTTTGCTCGTTACGGTCAGTCTAAGATCTCGCGTGGAGGCTGCTCTGAATACCCCGGCTTCTCCAGGTTTGATTATGGCAATCACGGGTGAGAGGATCTCTGGCGGACTCCCTGCCAAGACCTCCGCGGCTCGCGTCGATCCTTGTACGATCGACGGATAAAAAGACTGGCTAAATAAACGAGATGAGTCCAAGACGATTTGAGGCTGAACTGTTCGAGTCGATGATGGCCTCAAATCCAATTCGCTTTGTATTCATCAAGGAGGGCTCGATGGTTCGGCAGTTTTCATGAGATGCATTCGCTACGGATCGGGTGTCCGGTAGGGGTAGCATGCGAATGAAGCGCCATCCAATTTCCTTATATTCAGGCTGGCACTGCCTTTACTGGGAACATTCACTCGCTTACCATCCCCCCATATCGACTACCCCATTGGCAATCTTGTTGTTGTCGCTAGAAGGTGGCTCGCCACCACCAACTAGGTGGAGAGCGGTCGCGCCCTTTCTATCCTCAATGATTTGTACATTCCCGGTGTAGCTAATCCTCTCGCCTGTCTTCTAGCGTAGAGTACGCCTGGTACAGTGTAGTCTGCGGGTGACTCGAGGATCGTCTTGTTGTTGAAGTAGACGAACGAATCACCCTGAATGGCTCTCGGTGCTGCCACCACGAATGTGACGGTCATGGACATGAGAAGAGCAGTTAGCAGCATGTTGAATATACCTTACCCCTTCGTCTGAATATGAGGAGGGCACCAGCAATTAGGTACCTTATACCTAAGGAGTCCGATATAATCCAAGGATTTGTGTATCTGGAGGGCACCAGCATTTTTGAGCTATTGCCTGAAAAGGTGTCGAGGAGTGCGCTGATCGTTATTAGTAGAGCGAGCCAGATGTGTAACGTAACATCTCGGGAGGCCCCCATCATCTTTCCAACATCCTCTTATAGTACCTCTATGCTCCATTCGTGTTCACACGTGTGGCGCGCCTCCGGACTCTGATGTAATTACGTTCACTCTACACTCCGGACCCATACTGCAACCGTAAGACCTATTACAGAAGGTGAAGAGCACTATTCACATGGGTGTTCACGCTGTCAAGTTACTCCGGCGGATCGGCAGGGTACTCCTTCCTCAAGCAGCAGTTCTTCAACGGCACGGACAAGCTTTAGCAAGTCGTGGGCACAATCGTGAGGTAGATCTGACTCTACTCATTTCAGATCATCGACGAATCGAACGCAAAGCGGAACTGCACACATCAGTGGGCCATTTTGGCGGTGGCGTACTAGGGCGAGAAAATGAGGCTCGACCGGGAAGTTTTGAGGGCATGCGCTGGGGGTGAGGGGGGGGGGGGGGGGCCGTGAGTCGAATGCGGCGAGAGTTTCATGGAAAGACGACGTGTCTACGTGGGAATGAATGGCGGAAAGTCGTGATACCTTATGTCTGGTTGTGCTAAAATCGTCAAATTCCTAATAAACCTCACGACGCCGAGCTGCCGTCGTATTATCACTGCCTATCAGCGATTTTCTGTTACGACCCAGGCCACCGTGCGACCTGCAGGCCACCGGTGACGTCCGGCCTGAAGACATAGGGGAAGGTTAGCCGACCCCAAGGGAAGGTATACGTCACGTGACCCAGGCGCTGGGCCCGATGGGTATGATGGGTCTGCTGGGGCCCCGGCAGGCACAGCAGACGCAGCAGGACCCAGCATTACATATCTTTACAGGACTATATAGAGGGACGACCCGCCCCGACACTAGGTAGGACTCTTGTAGTCAACTTCGTATATTGATTCGCTCTATACATTGGTAGTACAACTGCTACTATTAGTTCCTACGTTTACTTTGGCCTAGCCTTGACCCTGATACTATCCCCCCAGCTGCTAAACCCAGTTTGGACCCGACGCTTGGAGCGGTTCATAACACTTTGACTACCCTGTAACAGATAGTATCAATCATGTCTAGCGTTCGATCCCCATCCCTATCCGGATCTGTCTTGGGAAAGAGAGGTAGTACTACTAAGGCTGCTTCTAGCCTTAGTACCTTGGTCTAGTCGGAAGGAGATGGTAAGCTCAAGGCTAGGGTAGAACCCTTTACAGGGCAACGCTCTCAACTTCAAGCTTATCTGATCCAGCTCTATATGGCCTTTGACCTTAACCAAGGACAGTTTACTAGTAACTGACTGAAGGTCATCTACACCACAGCCTATCTTAAAGGAGCAGCTTTTACCTGGTTCAAACCATTTCTCAGTGATCACTATAAGAATACGAACGGGGCTAAAGAAAAGACCAAGAGGCTCATCAATTCTTTTGAGGAATTTGAAAGAGAAATGAAGGTGATCTTCGGTACGGCAAACGAAGAAAGGACTGCTGCCAGAGAAATACATTAGCTTAGGCAAACTGGATCTGCATCTGCCTACTACTCTATATTTTAGCAAGTAGCCTCACACCTAGACTGGGATGAAGATGAAGCTTTACAGGACATGTTCTATTAGGGATTGAAGATGGAGGTTAAAGCTAAAATAGCTGTACTGCTACCCATGACTCTGATTGAAGTAGTAGACAAGGCTATTAAGGTGGACAACCAACTCTATAAGCTTAGGATAGAATAGTGACACCCTGGAAAGGTTCTATTCAGCGGATATAGGGGAAGGAAGAATTGTGCTTATGATCAAGGGGACCCAATGGATCTCTCTGTAATGTGAGCCGGACAATCCTTACGACCTAGAGGCCGCGGTAACAGAAGGATCCTGGGTAGAGACAAATGGGAGAAACATAGATGAGATAACCTGTACTTTAATTGTGGAAAATCCGGATATCGGGCGAAAGACTGTGGGACCCCGACCTAACGACTGTATATAATGAGCAAACAAACAGCTAGTATACCAGGAAAAAAGGCCGACACTGGTATGAGCACTGCTAAAGAGGCGGGTAACCTCTCTAAATCAGAAGAGGTACAAGCACAGGAGGGATTAAAATAACCACTAGTAGGAACCAAGGCCTACTGGGAATGGTACAAGAAGGAGTTTATATAGGCGCACATATCCTCTGAAGACAAGAGCTTCGTTGAGATCCCAAGAGAGGGAGAGGCCTCTTACGCACAACCTCCAGAAGAGGAGAAGGCTAAGCCAGAAGAAGAAGCGGATACACCTGAAAGACTCAGCTGTTTCTAGAAGGAAGCCATTTAACTAGTGGAGAAATATGACCGCCACATTAGAAAATTATGGACAGCCTGTCGGTACAATCAATACTCTAAATACAGGAGCGAGAAAGAAGGGTTAAGGTGGTACCCTAGAGGGACTAAGAACAAATATTAATACCAAGACCCGGCCGACTGAATAAGAGACCTCTAACAGGAAGAGTCTGAAGAAAGTGCACAGGATCCACACGATGTGTATATAAAGGATAAGGAAACCATACACAATCTTTCTATGATAAGCAGGAAGGTGCCTAAGGGAAAACAACCTAGCGAGAGGGATTCTCCCTTGGTGATCCTTAATACAGGACCTTTCTATATCACAGTAGCCACCAAACAGTGGGGATTAACCATAGGACAAAACAGGGAGAAATACCCTACCTACTTTCTAACAGGAGGAAGAATAGAGACACAACAACCCATGGTGATAAGAGTGTGCCCTGACCATGAATGTCCCAGATATCCGACCATTCACATATACAATGTGATAGGACAACCAACATACTCCCTAGAGGAACAAGGGTTAATAAGCCTATATATAATAGCTAAACGACAACCAACCACATTACTATACTTCTAAGATAAAGAAACAACAAGTGAGGAAGAGTTGAGTGACAAATTAGATTAGGAAGACTAGACATATAACAGTGAGCTCCCTAAAGCCCTAAATAAAGACCAAGCCTCTGAAGCTAAACTGTGGATAGTTACTCACATTACACCAGGATTGGTTAGGCTTGTTACTAATTGATGGGAAAAGAAAAGGTGTACAGGAGATTGTTTAATTGATACCCAGCACATGTATATCACATACACATCAAAAGCAAGCCTAAAGAGGGATGTTAGGGTATTTCACTTGAAAATGTGTAAGGATAAACAGTGTGAAAATAAGGATGACCTATATGTACATATTAAGTACAGGGAAGATAGAGCGTCCGAAGAGATAAACATGCCCGTATCCTAGAAGGAACATTTTGAAAAGCTACAGCTTGGATCAGAGTAACCAAGCAAGGAGGTCAAGGTGAAAGACAAAAGACCTGACAAGACAATATAGAGCAGGAAGTTCTTGTGCGCCAATACAGATTGCAGAGACTTTATGGAGCCACACAAACATCACTGCACTATTGACCCTATAGTGCCTCACCTAGCTATCTCCTACTACCAGGCAAGAGGGATACTCTAGGAAGGAGGGCTCTGTAGAGATAAAGATTGCACATTCCAAGAATATCAATATATCTACCTACTAAAAAACGAGAGAGGGGGAGGCTGTTGAGGCGAACCTCTCCTCTAATAAAGCCTCAGCTTTGTACACTTGGTAGGAACACTAACCAATATTTGGTCTTAACTGGATATATCTAAGGAAACTACACGAAGATAATGATTGACAGTGGAGCCAATGTCAATTATATAGGCATAAGGGCAGCTTATTAACTAAAAAACTATTGGTATAATAAAGAGTAACCTTACTAATTAGATATGGCCAACAGTAATCTGATGAAACAAGACCAAGGATAGGTTAAAAGAGAATTACAGAACATTCACCTTCACATACAAGGACACAAAGAAGACATTACACTGGACATTGTTAATATAAAATATAACATGATATTGGGAATGGAATAGCTGGCACAGCACAACCCAGTAATCAACTGGAAAAAGAGAACACTCAAATTTCTGAATTGCAGTCACAGACAAACGGAGACCTGATCAGTCTTAAAGGTTCCCTTCGCAAAGGCAATATAGGTATGACCGGTGGGAAGAGCTCTGGCAGGTATAGCTATGTTAGAGATTCCTCTGGAATACAAAGAGTTTGAGGATATGTTCACAGAGAAAGTAGGGAGTGCTGCCCTACTAGAATATCAACCATGGGATCATGAGATACCCCTGTTAGTGGAAAATCTAAAGTACCATGCCGGATTGATACCACTTTCTAAGAAGTAGGAGGACTTCTTAAAGGAATACCTAGATACCCACCTGGAGAAGTAATTTATATAAAAATCTATATCACCTATAGCACATAGTGTGCTATTTGTACCAAAGAAAGACAGCAGCCTATAACTGTGTATTAACTTTAGGAAGCTCAACAATATCACCCGAAAGAACCGATATCTACTTCCATGTATAGATAAACTGCAGGACAGACTTTTAGGCGCCAAGTGGTTTATAGCGATTAATATTAGGGACACCTATTATCAAATCAGGATAAAAGAGGGTGAAGAATGGAAAACGGTGTTCAAAACACGTTGGGGACTCTATAAGTACTAAGTCATGCTGTTTAGATTAACCAACATACCCGCCTCTTTCTAAGAGCTAATTAACAACACCTTACGAGAATACCTAGACATTTTTGTCCTGGCCTACTTAGACAATATCTTGATATTCTCTCAAACCTATAACAAATATATAGAGCAGGTTTGGAAGGTGCTCAAGAAACTACAACAGAAACACCTCCCAGTGAAGCTCAGCAAGTGCGAGTTTTATAAGCATAAGATAGCTTTCCTCAGCTACCTTGTATCAGGAAAGGGATTAGCTCCAGATCCTGCGAAGATACAATCTATTAAGGAATGGCCCAGGCCACAGAATGTTAAGGAAGTACAGTCGTTTATAGGACTTGCTAACTACTACCGCAAGTTTATCTTGGGGTATTCTCATATAACTACCCCCTTGACAAACCTCACAAAGAAAGATCAACACTTTAACTGGACAGAAGAATGTGAGCAAGCCTTTAAGGCTATTAAGGAGAAAATAACTAAAGCTCCAATACTCGCCATTTTTGATCCAGAAAAGGAAGCTATACTTAAAACAGACGCCTCGGACTACACAGTCGGTATATGCCTTACCCAAAAAGGGGAAGACAGAAAGATTAGGCCAGTGGCCTATTGGTCCAGAAAGATGACCGGACCTGAATTGAACTATAATATCTATGACAAGGAACTTTTGGCAATAGTGGAAGCCTTAAAGGAGTGGAGAGTATATCTGAAAGGAACCAGTTACCCTGTTCAGATCTTTACTAACCACAAGAACCTTCTATATTGGACCACAACAAAAGAACTCAATAGGAGGCAAGTCAGGTGGGTAGAAATACTTTTAGTATATAACTTCAAAATCACGCACATTAGAGGAACAGAAAACAGACGCGCTAATGCTTTAAGTAGAAGGCCTGACTACGCGGAGGGAACTAGACCTGCACTAGCCTTAATACTAAGGCAAGACAGGAATAGCCTAGTATATCAGAAACCTCAAACACTGGTAACTATAGAAATACAACTAAGTGAATAGCAACACTAAGAGGTTATACACGACAGGTATAATATTAAAACAGCTAGATATCTAGGTGTTAATAAGACAATTGAACTCATAACTTAAGACTTCATCTGGCCTGGCTTGAGGAAAGATATGGAAAACTATATCAGGAACTGTGACTTGTGTGCACAAACCAAGCACAGTTAATATAAACCCTATAGGTTACTATAATCTCTAGAACTACTAGATAACATATGGACCTCAATCACAATAGACTTCATCACGGATCTGCTAAAATCCGCATATCCCCTCACAGGAGTGGAATATAATAGCATCCTGGTGATAGTTAAAAGACTGACAAAATGGGCATACTTTGTACCATTCTTAAAAATAGCAACAGCAACAGACTTTGCTCATATTTTTATAGAAACAGTCTTCGCACAGTATAGAATGCCAAAAGAAATCATATCAGACAGAGATAAACTCTTCACATCACAATTTTGGCAATTGTTAACAGACTAGTTAGGAACAAAACACAAGCTGTCAATAGCATTTTACCTACAGACTGATGGCCAAATAGAAAGAACAAACCAAGTCCTTAAACAATATCTATAGTGCTATTTAGACTATAAACAAACAAAGTGGGTTGAGTTATTACCAACAGCACAATTTGTATACAACAATTCAGCAGGAGCAATAGGGATCTCCCCTTATTACACAAACTATAGAAAACACCCAAGACTTTATGACCACAAACTGGGTATAAAGCCAGTGGTAGAAAAAGCAAAGATATTAGTAACGCACTTACAAACAATGTATTAACTACTTAGGGACAACTTACAGGAGATTCAAGATAAAACAACAAAATATGCAAACAAAAAGAGAACTGGAGGACCAGTCTTCTCGGAGGGGGAGATAGTTTACCTTCTACAAAAAAACATAAAAACACAACGACCAAGCTCCAAACTAGATTACACTAAGCTCGGACTGTTCAGAGTTAAGGAGAAATACAGACTGGTCACCTTCAAACTGGAACTCCCAAAAGAAATGAGGATTCACAATGTATTCTATGCTTCCCTACTAGAACCAGCCTCAGGAAAACAGTGGCTAATAAAGGAGATAATCAATATTAACAAAGAATTGCAGGAGACACAACATAATAAGAAAGATGTCGATAAAGTTATAGGCTATAAATTCATCAATAATATCCCATACTATTTGGTACACTAGAAAAACAGTTAACACTATGACAATACCTAGGAACCCCAAGGGAGACTCACTGTCACACAGATCCAGAAGTACCACTAATATCACCTATCTCCAAGGGACCAACACCAGGCCCGGAGAAATCGGGGGACATAAACATCAGAGGGTCCTACCAAGGCAACACCTGATTGTTGAAACCTACCACCGAATTAGCAGGCAGACCGTTAAGCTTGTTAAGAAGGGATAGCTCCTAACGGAGTATCCTTGACTGGCTCTTGGTGTACCTATCAATCCGGGACTGCAAGTCAATTTCTTCCTACTGGGCCTTCGCCAGTTCGGCGTACACCTGAGCAGCAGCAGCGGCCAGACAGCCCACTTCAGCGCGCTTCGCTTGCGCCTCTTCTTTTGCTTCGCGTTTTTTGGCCTCAAGGGTATTGAACTCCAGCTCCGAGAATTTCCCATCGCATCGACAGTTGTCCTGGTGCTCACAGGTAGAACACCGCTTGTGACCCTTGAGGATAAAGCATGGCAAGTTTGAATTCTAATAAGGGGTGTAACAGCCCATTTCTAACAGCTTGAAACCAAGAGCTCTGATTTTTAAAGCAGCAGTTTTGCAACGTTCGGACGAGGTCTTGCTACATTTGGTGGCACAGTTACTGGATATAGTAAGCTATAAAGAACGAAGAACAAAACGGGCGGACACTGACCTTATGTATGTGAGGACGCAACAGACTGGGAGGGGGAAAGTGTTACGACCCAGGCTACCGTGCGACCTGCAGGCCACCGGTGATGTCCGGCCTGAAGACATAGGGGAAGGTTAGCCAACCCCAAGGGAAGGTATACGTCACGTGACCCAGGCGCTGGGCCCGATGGGTATGAT